AGCATTGCTTCTGAGTAGAATGCTTTCCATTACAGGTCCTGATGGGTCCGAAAGGGCATGCGAGAGTGGTACCTTGGGTGGACCCGTTCCAATATGATCATTGGCTTGTTGTCAGAATTTTGTTTGCGCCCTTTTGAAGGACAACTATGCACATCATGAGCCGACATGGCCAATCTCTTGCGTCTGTCTGAACCATTCGTTTCTTTCTAGATTCTGCGGACTTCTGGCACAACATATATCAAAGTCCTAATATATGATCGACTCGTAGCCAAGGTCAGGACTATCCATATACCAGGCTTTGTCCTTGCCATCTGCATCCATTGTGCAGAACCCGTTGCCCAGGTAAGCAAACCGATTTTCGGAGGTCTGAGTCCATATGAAGTCTTCCCATCGGGGCTCCAGAAGCATTTGGAACCAGTGTAGGCGACTCCCAGGATGAGACAGTGCCGGGCCTTCATCCTTGCCGCCTTTCAACCAGGAGCGGCATTTGCCACCCCATACCGTTTTCATGATCAAAGTATCCGAGTGCTCGATGAAATCCGCCACGGCTTCTGCTCGTGGCTCCACGGATTTGTAGTTCTGCGTTTGCATTTTATACAGCAGGCGAACCAGGTATTTGGTGAGGTGTTCGATGCTAGGGAGTGCAGAACCATGGGTGAGTGGAGAGTTCGGGCCCATAAACACTGTTCTTTGTCAGAAAGGGTCGGCGCATCAACCCACGAGGAGAGAGAAAGAGAGGGACTTACGAAAGTAGTTGGGAAAGTTGGGCACACCAAAAGACAGGTACGCAGTGGCCCGGGATTTCCACAGCTCTGCCATGTCAACGTTATTGCGGCCGATTATTGGAAAGCGAGGTCGCCAGGACGTCTCGAAACCAGTAGCACAAATGATCGCATCGAGCTCGTAAAACGTGCCGCTCTTCGTCATAATGCCGTTCTCGAGGACTTGCTGGATGCCGTCGAGCTCGACAGTCACGTTCGACGCTTCCAGGCACTCCAAATATCCCGTCCCAGGGGTTGGTCGTCGACAGCCAAACCCGAAGGTCGTGGGGATCAGCTTTTCAGCCAGATCCTGCCTGTCGGGGCCGAGGCGGGTCTTCATCATCTCGGTGATGAATTTCACGGCCATCAGTTGCTCGGGCGAATCCTCAAAGGCGAATGCAAACCCTCCATTCATCTCGGCTTCGATCGCTTTACGATACTCCAAAAACTTGGCTGGGTCTTTCCGCCACGACTCCTTCTGCTCTTCGCTGTAGTCGAAGTTTGCTCCATTGGGACCGGCAAAATCCTTGGCGTACGAGGTCGAGATCCACGTGGGAGTGCGAATAAAGGTGGTTAGATGCGCAGCCTCAGGTTGCAGAGCCGTCACTATCTGGATGCCAGAGGAACCGTTGCCCACGACAGCGATACGCTTGCCCCGAAGATCAGCTCCAGACTTCCAATTCGCCGAATGCAGAAGATCGCCCTCGAACGAATGCAGTCCGTTGATATTGGGCCATTCCCAATGGTTTAGAAACCCACCCCCATTCACCAAAAAGTGGCACCAATCTTCCTTATGCTGGCCGGACGTGCGATCGAGTATTTGGACCTTCCAGATCCCCTCCTCTTCCACCCACTGAGCATGATCCACTTGGTGTTGGAGATGAACGTTTTTTTCGAGGTCAAACTTTCTAGCCGTTTCCTCCATGTACCGAAAGATCTCCTCCCCGTTGGCGTAGAACATGCTCCAGTCAGGATTCAGAGACCAGAGGAATTGGTAAATGTGTGAGGGGATGTCACAGGCCACCCCCGGGTACGTATTCTCGTACCAGGTGCCACCGATTCGAGGATTTTTCTCGTAAATGACGAGCTCAACGTTGTTCATATGTCGATTGAGCTGGTACGCTAAGTTGAGCCCCGTGGCACCAGCACCAATGCATAGTACTTTCAGGTGACGGGCCTCGCCCAAAGGATGGTCCTCTATCTCATACATCTTGCGATGACCTGTCGGTAGACCAAGTTGCTCGATACCTACACTGCCCATGTTAGAGCTCGGAAGATGACTGCTAATACTAGTAAGACGAGAGAGTGTTGAAGAAATAACGGCCATGAATGTAAAATCCGCTCGAAAGTGCACAAGATATTGTTCGAAGCTTTCTGAATGTCTTATCTCCAACTTCTGGCATAGACGGCGACCGACCTCAAGTCGCGGGGGGGCGATCTCGCGAGGACCGCGTTTGACTCAGTGGTTCGCCCGCTTACCATAGGGATCAGGGGAGTGAGGCTCCGAAAGTGAATGGCAAAAGACCAGCTCGACTGCCGGGGGTTTGGGACCATCGGAGTCTCCGATACCTTGGATCCCGTGTGTTTCATCCATATTGCGGAACGGATTCAGATCCAGCGTTGGTTTTGGACCTCGTTGCCAGGAACTTCACAGATATTCGCCAACCTATCCCTGGTTGGGCCCTATCATTGATCCTTATCCATCCAATCGAGCCAGGTCTGTATAAGAACAGTGGCCACCTCCATCAGTGGTCTGAGGCGCCCAGGACCCGGAAAAGAAGCAATCCGAGGCATAGTGCTGAACAGCTGATCCTTATCTCTAGGAAGCAGATGCCTGGTGATTCACATGGGACCGAAAAATGTTAACCACTATCCGAAACAGCATCGGTATTTGGATCAAGCGTGTAAGAAATATCAGTGCACTCATCCGTACTGAGTTCAATGTACAAACAGGTTAACGATCATCAAGGCGCTATGGTCGGCACCTTTCAGGCCAAGCGAAAGAAGCACATAACATGCTGTATTCAGGACTATCTAGACAGCGGCAGCAGCAAGCTGTGTGGAGGTGACCAGCCCGGTCGGTTTCAAAGGCACCTCGCACGCACGAGTGTCGGATAGTTCAGGACCAGGACCCCGTAATTGAGCTTTATGCTGTTGTACAAAGGTGCCAACGGCGTTGACATAGCGCTGTACGTCATTGGCGGTGAGCTTCAGATGCAACGGTGTGTAGCCTCGAACAGCAATATAGATGCCACTGGCCATCATGTGCTGCCAATATAATGCCTGCCATAATCCAGCTTCGAGGCCTGAAAAGCGGACGTTAAGCATGCTTCCACGTCCGGTTATGAACATTGGGGGTAGTCTCTCCAATGACTGCTCAGCACCCACTTGTACTGTCGTCTCGTGTTCAAAGCTGTCAATCTCAATCAGATCGACGGCGGGTGAAGAGATATTCTCAGGATAAATTTGCTCCTCTATGAGAATCTTCTGAATCTGCTCCTTGAGTTGTTCACCCAATTGGTTTAGTCGAGCAACCTCATCTGAATTGTAGATGTTCAAACCTACTAGTCCAGCGCTCATGCTCAGGATATTATTGTTGTAGGTGCCAGGATGGAACAATTTGCCCTTGGCTGGGTCGAAATACTCCATAAGATCTCGGCGACCTCCGAATGCTCCAAAGGTCATGCCGCCAGCGATGTATTTCCCGAGGGTAACGAAGTCTCCGCGAATACCGACCGTCGCACTGTAGCCAGCGAAACCTAACCTCGAACTCATGATCTCGTCGAGAATGAGAAGTGCGCCTGTGGTGTCCGACACTTGACGCAAGTACTGTAGAAATTCCTTGGTCGCTGGTCGGCAGCCTCCCGAACCTTGCACGGGTTCGACCAGAATAGCGGCGAGACCATCATCCGCGGGGAGACTTGCCACAACGGCCGCTGTTTCTGTAATGTTGTTGTAAGGTGCAAACACGAAATCATGTGGAAGGTTCATAGTTGGTGCCGTTGAACCCTTCATGAGCGCCATCGGAAAGATGAGGGTGCTGCCATGGTAGCCACCGCTAAAGACGAGAATCTTGCGGCGCCCCGTGATGGCGAGAGCAGCGCCGAGAGCACTGGTATTGGCCTCAGTGCCGGAATTTGTAAATCGTACAAGATCGATGCCCGATGGCCCGAAGCGGTCGCAGACTCTTTCCGCAAATTGTTTTTCCAGTCGCGAGTTGCCCCCAAAATTCCAACCTTGCTGCATACCAGCCATGACGGCTTGAGCAATGCGTTGCTCGGAATGACCATAGATTCCTGCGCTGAACTCGCCCAGGAGGTCCGTATATGTGTGCCCGTCGACAGATGTCAGAGTGGAATCTTTACCCGAATCCCAAGTGATGGGGAATGGTTCTGCATGAAGCACTGTCCGGGTGTTGCCTCCGGGGAGATGGCGGTGCGCATTCCGATGCGCTTTCAGAGATTGGGGATTGCGTTGAGTATAGCCCAGTTGTGCCCTATTCAAGGCGTCTTCTGCATAGGTAAGCTCAACCATCTTCAAAAATTGTTGACCTGTTGTTATGAGGGAATGAGTTTGCCTTGCAATAGGCCTGGGCTGCATCTGATGGGCGAGGCATATTCTTTAGTTTGTACAGACGTCCAAGCTGTGTTGCGGCGTCTCGTTTCAGCGAAGGGGTGGGGAGTGTCAGTGGCGAAACACAATGGAGCGATAAGTTTCGGAAATTCCGACAGAGAACCTGGTCATCGTCGAACTACTAGTAGATGCTACGCCAAAGCCATGGGCACCCCTGAGAGCCCTCGGGCCAGCTCTCGCAGGGTTCGCACACCCCCACGGACAGGGATCTACTATGGTCTCAGCAAACCTGAACCTTTGCGACGAGTGGTAGGCAATCGTCAGTTTTGGAGATGGATTTTGTAGCACTTTCAGATTGATAGAGTGCAATCAAGGCAATGATGCTTCCATATTTTCTTTTTCTTTTCCATTTCTTTTTCTCATGATGTGCTATGAAAAGAAAGTAGCGTTCTGGACGCAGTTTATCATTCATGAGCACGTGACATGACCCAATATTGCGATGACCCCAGTGGCGCTTTAGGGGTGGAGGAAGAGGGGAAGGGTGATAAGATTCTGTTCTGGGAGAGAGCTTAGGCCCCTCGGCCCCTCGGTCGAGGACAAGAGTTAAGGTTGACCAACTGAGCGCAACTTCCGGCATGATTCCTTCAATCTCCTACCGACAATACAGGTCGACCGACCATTTTATTGAGTCCTCGATTATGGAGAATTCGGTCGTCCAAGACTACGCGAAGGTACTCAGCACGTGTGACCTTTGTCGACGACGCAAATCTCGATGCATAAGTATACAATCGATCCATGCGAATCAATGTAAACCCGAACTCATTTCTAGTCAGAAAAACATCCCAATGACATCGCCTGCACTTTCTGCATGGTAAGGCTTCATCGGAACCTGGTTGGCGTATAGTAGCATGGCGGTCCCTAATATTGCACTCAGAGCAGAGGCGAAAGCTGCCATTTCTCATTCATCAAGCAGCGAAAGTCTCGCCAAATCAGACCTGCCTCTCGAGGTAGCTCGATTGAGCCCGTAGCAACTCCCTGCGCCTTATCGCAGCTGCCACCATCGGCATCTTCAATCCAATCCAGTGTGCCCGCAGTACATGCAAGTCAGCCGTCACCTGAATCATCAGATTCTAACGCGGTTGAAACCACGGAGGCAGATGGCGTCACTTTCCAGGTAACGTTAATTAATAGGATCATCCATGGGTCCATATCGACTGACTGGACACAGCGGACTAGCAACAAGTACAGTATGCCGCTCTTGCGCCCGAGCCTAAGCTCAAGACTGGCACAAACTTCTCGTGATTGCGATGCTGATCATTTCTAGTCACAAGCTGTGGTCTGGCATTCTTCTCGGAAAATAACCTGGCAGAATTAGCACGGCGGCTAGGCCACGACCGCGTCCGAATCTTGTTGCATGAGCTTGGAGCGAGCTCCAGGGCGAATCAGGCAACCTCCATCAGCCGTGTTGTCAAGACTCAACCATTTGATGCAACGACTGTGCTCCAGCCACTTACAAATGAAATGCGAGCCACATATATCGACGGTTAGTATTGGAGATCCGACCGAGTACATTATCTGACCTTAGTAGCCTTTTTCGCGGAGATCTACCCGATTTACCCCTTCTTGGACAAGCAGGCTTTCCAAGATGCAGCGCTCGGTCCGCTCGCAACGGAAAAACTTCGAAATGACAAGTCGTGGGCACTTCTGTATTGCACAATCTTGAGCTTGGGAATTCTGGCGCGCGAACAAGGCTCGTTTCAACCAATGCAAGGCTCATCGTGGAAGTTGTTCTCCTATATTCTGGGGTCATTTTGCGACGTCTTGTTCGCCAGAAAGTCTCTCCTAATTGCACAAACACTTACAGCCATGGCCATCTTCGCCATGGTCCATTCCAGCTGGCCAGTGGAAGAGCTACTGATCACAGAGGCCGCACGCATTGCTTTAGCTCTGCATTTAAACAAGCAGGCACCAAGTCGAATCGATTCTGCAGAAAGGCAGAGGACATTCTGGGTGATCTATTGTATTGAGAAGGAATATTGTTTCCAGTCCACGCAATCTTCAGTTGGTGCCCCTAACATGGGAGACTCCTTTCCTTTATTTTCAAGCTAACCGCTGATGGAAGGTGTTTAATGATGTCGATATCAGCTGCCCGATCCCTGCGGCCATCGATGTAGCCGACAGCGATGTTGATTGGCTCCGGGTACAGGTTGACTTGAGCAAAATAATCTCGAATGCTTCTGTAACATTGTTTTCGGCACTGTCAAGGTCCCGAAGCGCCGAGTCTTGCGAACGCGAAATCTGTCGCATCAGGAATGATCTTGAAGCATGGAAAGCATCTCTACCTGAACACATCCGACCCGATTACCCCATTCGACAACGATACTTGACCAAACCATCTTCCCTGTACGCGACATTACAGACCCAAATGCTTTACTATAACCTGCAGATAGCGATCTGCAGACTCTTGATACACGTCAACGTTGACCGACGTTGCATGGCCGTGGCAGAAAGCAAATCGATGCTGATGAAAACCGCACGGAGGATCGTTGAGTTAATGTCGTTTATTCCAATCGAGCCTTCAACTTCCATGAAGTTTGTTACCTCCAGAGGCCCCTGAAGTATATGTTGACACGCTAAATTCGACTAGCATCATCGGATTGACACCTATCGTCGCAACCTTCATTCTCTTTGACCTGGTCATCTACAATCCTGACCATTCGGAAACCCCGCACAACCTGATTTTCCTGGATATTGCGGCTGGTTATTTCCAGCGGCTCCACGTTCTCACCGGGTCTTCAAATAATGGCCATCTTATGGCTGATATGACCCGGATCGCTCGGGAATATACGGCCGCAAAATGCCAGGGCAGATCAGAGAGTGTTCCTAATGCCCAATTACGCCACGGCGGTATAGGGGCACCGGTTGATGCGACCGCATCTGCTGATCATGGTAACGTCGACCTTGAACCGCCGAATAATCGGGTGTCCATCCCAGATTTAGTAAGTTGTAACTCCATATGAACGAAGCTGCGGCATTTTAATCATGGGATCAGACTCAGGATGCATTGTCAGAAGCTAATTATATAAACTTGATGGATTACCCCGCCGTCGACGCTCTGTACGGGCTCGATGGGTTTTATGGCGACGAGTTCAGTATGGTATCAAGCATTCTAGGCCAGCAGCCTCTCTTCAACTTTGCGGAATCGGATGACATGTTCGGATGACTCGAGTGGCCGAGGGTCAGGTGTTTGAATTGCGTTCAATGGTCACCATAGTAAAGTATGGCATTTGTACCATGTGCAATTTGCGGACTGTGTAGTATCATATGGGTCTGAATTCTCACCAAGACCTTCTTCTGTGCACTGGGACATGATTCTCTCGAACCTCTTAATTGCAGCGTTATCACAAGATTCTCCTTCTTAACCTCGATATGTTACCGTGATTCGCTCCACTGTCATGCCTTGTGCTGCCATTTGATCTGGTGTGACCGAGCCCGACCGAGGCTGCTACGTGGGCGCCTGCCGGGAATGAGTTTGTACATCGATACAAGGAGTTGACAGCGTGAGAACGGCGTGAGAAGGGGTGTCACCATTCATGGCGTCAATTGAAGTGTGCAATATAAGAGGAGCAAACGCGAATGACATACATATCTTGGATAATTCATGACGTACCAAAACACCATGCGATAGGAATGTTCCCGTGAGCAGATGTTGCCTTTGTACGACATAGCAACAAGCGATATTCGTTGACCGAAGCAGTTATAGTGACGCACCCCAGATCTAGTAAGCACGTAAGTGGCAGTCTACACGTGGTCTAGGTCTCGCTGTGGACTGCCTACCTAAGTATCTCGAGCTACCAGATGAATTCACAATTTCGATAGGAAAGCCATCTACATATATGATTCCCTCATTGTCAACTTTGCGCCCAGTCGGACTCTCCTATGCTTTAGGGGCTGGGTGGCGTGTTCAGGGCCTAGTGTGATCTGATTCCTTGTGCCCACCGCTTGGGCATCCTAATTAACACTGCGTGCCAATCACTTGTTTACTTCCACCAGTTGGAGGCCCACAGTCACTGCCCAGAAACAGTTTACACTGGCTGAATCCACCGAAGGCCAGTTGGCAGGCGGTTGGTCTGCGGCATCTGGAAACTCCGAAAACCAGACCATTTCTTTGAGCCCCTGTCCCTTCCAAGCCACCACCCAGTACCTATAGTGAGGAATGTCTAGTGGGAGTGTCTAAGAATTGCGCCACATTGTCAACACTCAATTCCTTTTACATTTCTTCTACTGCCTCTATCATATGTCGGGGTGCCCTTGAAGGTCACCCATCGTCGAGTCCTCTACCCCTCTTGAGTGCCTCTCCATCTTCTACCACAAGTTACAAAAGGAAAATATTCGAGCACCACAACAAGGTCTCACTTAGATCGTGCGCTGGGCGAATTGATGCCTCCCCAACACCGCTGCCTCAGTCCATTGTGCAGCCGTCGAAAGTGGTTTTCAAAGTAGCACGCTGGTCTAGCTCAATTTTCGTGAACATCATATCAACAACATACCAAAGGGCACGATCATCGCTGCAAGCACTCCCTCGAACAAATCACGATCGATTATACGGACGCAAAGAACAGTCAACTACGCCTAGAACAGTCGACATCGTGATGCCCAAACAGGTCCGTCGTACATTCACCGCTTGCTGGACTTGTCGGCGGCGTCATGTGCGTTGTGACGGCAACTTGCCCACTTGCTGTGAGTGCGAAGGCCGTAATATCACCTGCGAAGGATATCACATTCAACTGGTCTGGATCGACCCGAAAACCGGCCTGTATCCCACACACTTACGACGGAAGTTGAATCCGGAAGAAACATGGCAGAAGATCCTGGTCTACGAGGACTCGCAGCTCTGCCACCTCCTCTCAGACGATAATGGCGTCATCTGTGACTGCGAATTGCATCTTGCACCTCACAAGCCCTTCGGGGTGTTCGCTTTACGATGAAAAAAGAAAGAGACCTTTCAACCTGCGCCATCTCCCATCACTACAGCCACTAGCAGTCTAAGTCCGTCCCTAGTCTAACTCCCATTTGGCTATCGCCTCTCCAAGCATGATCTTAGTTAGGTTTCGTAGGAAACTCATACATATGTTTATACTATCTATTCAAATTAGGAATTGCTACCTACTATATTGTCACGGAGGCCCTGGCACCGGCCCCCGAGGAAGTTTTCTCGACCCATCCCGTGCCAAGACCCTACTAAGGTCCTAGGGTGTCAGGGAACGGAGTTTCCGTCTAGTTAACGGCGTTAGAAGATCTTTAATCCTATTAGACTATTTTCGGCCTCTTATAGTGGGATAGTTTCGAGCCTTAGAACCTAATACTAGTGCCTAAGGTATATATAATAAGGCGAGTTCAAGGTTAAGCCAGGTCACCTAATACTTATATAAAGCGGTAACGTAGAAGCCCGAGTAGGCGCGGAGGTTTACTAAGAGATGTCAAGATTAGCAGCCGTATGTAATCTGGGCTCCTGGTCCTGGCGTCTTCGTTGTTCTCGTTCCGGTAACGAAGAGGAAACGATTGTCAGTAGGCTATGGCGAGTAATGCCAGCCCAAGCCAGGTCCAATAGAAAATACGATAATGTCTAGCCAGACGACACGGACTTCTCCATCCATCCCAGCCGCTGCTGGGATGGAATGTGCCAGCCTGATTGTTGTGCCAAGTTGCCTGTCCAAGTGGCGACGCTGCGCCTTTGCCAGCCCCTCACCCCACACCAGTCGTTTGAGTCAGAACAAACAGAATAGGCGGGAAAGCGCGTGCAGGTTACCTCTGTACACGAGGACCTACAGACTGGGCAGAGTACATGATGTACTCGTCAGCAGCATTCTGCCTGCCTGCCTGGCGCACACCCACCGGTAAGGCTGTCCAGCCTGGGAGTCGAGATTACATAACTTTGACGGGCCCGAAGATAGACAGACGGACTTGGATGGAAACTCAGGCGCTAAAGTAAGTTAGCGCTCTTGCCTTTTTTTTTTCCAAAAGCCGCTCTTTTCTCATAGCCATAAGCCGAAATCAGAATCGATGCGGATGTGACCGTTCCATTAACTGTACACTTGAACAAGGTGTCAAAGCGAAGCGAAGGAGGTTTATAACACTCTCGACTCTCCAGCGGATCAAGCAGGACATGTAGACATCATTCATCGTTGATTCGAAGAGTCATTAGTATCCATCAACTTCAAGCATTGACTTTGGTATTCACCCAAACAGTTCCAAGCCAGAGCCATGGCCCCAGTGGTGGGAAATCCCCTGAAGACGTCTCAATCAAAGCCGACCTCCCACCCTCACCGTGGCGACATTGCAGCCAGGGAGAAATCCCAGAGCAGATCGTGTCGAGACGTAAACGTGTTGCCGATCCAAGATCCAGTCTCACGCCACAGCTATGACTTTGTCACTGAGGGTTTAATGGGTTCTGGGAATTCACATCGTCAACACCAAGCTCGAACATGGCCATCCGACAAGGAACAAACACTGGACACTGCCGTACGGCATCCTGGTTATGAAGACTCGCTGAAGAGTCGACGAAATGGAGTTGCTGCGTGGGTCACTCAAGATCAACGAGCTAGTAAAGATGACCATCGCCCACTCCTTGACACCGCAACGACGCTGTTCGGACACAGCAGTCATCAAGGCCGAGAAGCCACGGCAAGAGAAGTGAAAATACCTAGGGGATCAGCAGATCCGTTTGTTGGTATTGGTGCCCAATTCCAGACCGAGTAAGTCGTACTCTTGTGGGACCCATCAACCAACACCCATAACTTGCTGACAAAGATTATTGACAGCTACCCCACAAGACTTAGGGGAGATCTTGATTTCATATGATATTGGAGATCGATAAGCACCTGTGAATCAGTCCATTCGTCTCTCTGCTCGCATCTTTTGGCCAGACATATCTGGATGGGAGAAAGGTACCCCCCCTTGGGCGCAAGGCTGGCTTGAATAGGGGGGATCGGCTGGTGGGGCAAGGCAAAGGAGCAACGGCGTTCCTTGGAAAGAGATTCCCTGTTCAATGTTGCACGTCGATGAATTTGACTTTGACCAAGTCGCACAAGTGGAATCAATGGAGGTTTTTAAAGTTGACCTTCTGCTCCACGGATTGGGCTCGGCGATTACTACTCGGCCGCGGGGCGCCGTATACGCGCCTAGCGCGGCGTAGTGTGAACACCGGATGGCGGGAAGTGCGAGATGCCGCGGTGGGGGTCCGGAACTTGTCCCCGCCTGGTACTCGTGCACATACCTCATTCTACGCATGCGGCACGGGAGGTTGCAAGGTCCTGCCTAGTTGAACTGATGGGCTTGCAGATGGAGCGTGTTTCTGGTTGGCAACGTTGCCAACATCGTGGGGTGTCATAGAGTCTAGATAGTACTGATGGCAGGTTGGGGGCATCACAATTTGTTTGCCTGGGGCGCGGTGGGGGGATTTGTTTTTTCCAAAACAATGTGCTGCCGTGCAAGCGCCGGCTCTAAGTACCACAATTTTATCTATGGGCATGTCTATCGTTTCTATCAGTCATAACGACGAGTGAAATGGGATGAATGGCCCAGGCTAGGCCTTTTCTAAGTCGGTGACCTGGGCATGATCTCGCTCCAGCGAGTTTTCCCTCTCCCGGTCCCTCTCAGCTTGTTCAGCCTTATCCTTTGCCTTGAGTTCCTTCAATTGCTGGCAAAACTTGCTGTTGGCCCTAATACTGTCACCGTACCAGATGAATACAAAGGGAATGGCGACCATGCCTAAGCTGAGAAATGCAAGGAGACTGCAGGCCCAGGCGACTCCCAAGGTATGAAACATTGATGCAGAGGCCAGAGGCAAGACAACTCCAAAGAGGCTTCGACAGGTGCTTGCAATGGACTGGGCGCTGGCGGCAAAGGTCTCATATGCATCGGTCAGATAATTAAGCAAGGCCATGAATATAAGAAGGAAGCCCATCCCAAAGGGCACGCCTGACAAGGTTGGGACGATCCAATGGGTACCTTCTCGGGCACTCCAGCCGATCCAGAAGAGCGCAATGACATAGAGTGGTCCTCCGATGCATGCGAGGGGTAGCCGGTTGTATTCTTCTTGCTGAGTCCACGGCGCATTCCTTTTTCGAGCCTTGGCCACGTACGCATCCCACCACATCCAAACAGGGGCAGAAGCCACCGCGCCGAGAGTAATTGGTAAGAATGCCAAACCGGCGACTCCTGGTGACCATTTATAAACGGAATTGGGTCCCTGAAAAATAATGGGGTAGGCTTGGAAATAAAGGTAGAAGATTCCATATGCCAGAGCACAATAGGCACAGACACACATGACAATGACCTCTTGGAAGAGCATGCGCCAGGGCCGTGTCATGACGACGGTGAGGATGTGTTGGAAACTCTTCTTTTCAAGTTCCGACTTTGCCACCCATTCGTGATCTCCCGTGTCATTGCGCATTTGTCTAGCTTTCCGGCGAAGAAGAACGGGAGCATAGGTTTCGGGCATTATGAGAATGATGGGAATAGTGACGGCGGCAAAGATGAAGCCAAACCAAAATACCCAACGCCAGCTGGCGGATTGGCTAATGAAACCAGAGATCGGAGGGGCAATGATGGGGCCTGCTGTGGTGGCAACCATGAACCAAGCCATACTCGTTCCTCGTTGCCGCGGATCATCGTAGAGGTCGGCGTACATGCCCCCAACGATACCGATAGGACCAGATGCACCAAGGCCACTCACAAAACGGAAGAACAACAGCAGCGGCCAGCTGGGAGCCAAGGCACATGCCATGGTGAAGACGGTTGCAACCAGGAAGAAGCCAAGCATGACAGGCTTCCTTCCAATATACTCAGACAATGGAGCGGCAATGGTCGGACCAACGCAATACCCTGCTACAAAACATGATATCGGCAAGGGAAACTGTACTGAATCTTGGACATTGAAATATTGGCGAAGAGCTTCGATAGCACCGCTAGGGAGGGAGGACTCTAGGGTGCTGTTGATAACCATGATAATGCCAGCGACGACTATGAACACCTTCTTGGGCTTTGACCAATTGTATGGGTTGTCGGCATCGTGGGCTCCAAAGGTGACAAGTTTCTTGGGATCATGTTGGTGCACAGGCACATGCTGTTCGGAGACATCGTCATCGAATTGCTGGAGACGAGTCGGGGTTTGAGAGTCGGTGGATTCGGTACCAGGAGAAGAAGGTGAACGTGGACGAGGTTGGGGCACTTATTCAGTCAGTGAATCTGCCAGGTTGACAACGCACAGGTTCGACCCTACCGGGAACAGGCTGGGAGATGGCAGCAGGAGTGCTTAGCGTTTGCTCAAGTTCCCTCAGACCATGTTTCGCAGAAACCCCCATTGCCTAACCAGCGTTTGGAGGGAGATGCGAGCAGAGGAGTGAAGAGAGGCGGTGGTGATTGGAAATGGTAATGTTGAAAATGAATTTTCTCATACTCAGGCCAGGAACAGTGTCAAGCATGAGCCAAGGAAGGATGATAGAGGGACTCGAGGGACAAGAATGAATGGATGTTGGGCATGACCATGGCAGTGTCTTCGAAAGGAGTGTAGAGGGGAACCAGAGAGGGCTGAGAGTGCAGACGCAGCAGGAGAAATATCATTGTGAACATCCTCAGTGGTGGATATCTGGGGTTAGTACTATGGGTATCAGTTCGATGATGATAGAGGCCACTAGCAACGAGGATCGGCTAACACGGCAGACTGAGAGATTTGTAACTTTATGAGTTGAACAAGTGGCGGTGGTAGTGGAGGTGGTGGAGGAGCAGAGGAGACAGGGTCAAGGTTTCAGTGGAGAAGAAGATGGAGAGCACCAGGGCGCGAGGGGTACGAGAATTGTACCAGAATGCGATGCTTCAAATGGGCGTTCAATTGTGCGGGGAAGAATTCAAGACTCCAGTTGAACTTCAGGGGGTTGTAGGCGTGAATTGGAGACCTCGACGGCCCCTCGGCGCTGGGATATGACATCGTAGGGCCTACATTGCTTTCGTGCTACCTAACTTGGCTGCACCGGTAAGTAGTGCCTTTAGGCACTAAGGCGCCAAAGAATGCAAAAATTAGGTACTCTGGCACGGTAGGTACCTACGCACCACATCTTGAAGCAAGCTCATCATCTTTACTCAATAAACTTGTTCAATATTGTACATATTAGGGTTATTGACAGTAATCAAACGCCCGCTTTACTATGAAAGAGAAATGAACTCCGCCTAAACTGAAAAATTGTTAGGGGAGGTTAGGGGAGACTCCCTCCAGTTTTCTGTGCCCGGATCACATCATCTACCCACTTGACTGGGTCAGCGTCGAGATCCTCTCTACCACTATCGGTGCTTTTCCTCGCCAGCGACTCGTTGGACTTCTCATTCTGATCAGGTCTGGTGGATGTCTGAGCCAGATCATGGTCACTAATGCCTGAAGGGGTTTTGCCTTTTTGGGAGGCATATTCTTGTTCCAACTCGCGGTATCGATTCTCGTAAGCCAAACGCTTCCTCTCTCGTTTGGCTTGCTTTTTATCGTGAATGTGGTGGATCAAGAACCCAGCACCAAGAATAATAGACGCCATGTTTCGGTGAGACAACCCAGAGATCGAAACGTGGGCCTGTGGTGAGATGGGTTGTGGACTTGGATGATTGGCGTGAGGGTTGTGGTGGATGCGGTACAAAGGACTGACAGGGTCTTGCCTTGTAGGGATAACCACGGCTAACAGAGAAGCGATTAAAGCTGGGACAGGTTCAATCCAGATCGCAAGTCGTAGTACAATGGTAGTCAGTAAGGAGTAGATTATGTATAATGTTTGCGTAAGTACCTAGTAGTTCCAAGTGAGGAGGCAAAATGGTTTTAATGGTCTCTCGGCCCTTCTTATGTAAGTCGATTTGGCTGGGATCGATTTGGCTTATTTCATGATTTCATGACGATGGCCATGACTCCAAACCAAGTCGCTTTGCGGTTCGCCGCCAAGGGAGAATTTGGAATGCCGTTTGATGCCTATGCCCCGCCTCACTCCAATTCAAATACTTTTTCACAAAAGTACCAATGAACGCTTTCATACTCCCATCTTTATTCCAAATTGGTTCATTTGTGCATTGATACTCCTTGGGCTACTGCGAGGCTATGACTGGTAACGTAGTAGCAGCACAGCCTCATCCCCATCCTCTCCCGCACAGCCTCTAACACCTTTGGCAGAAAGGATATGATTTACCACCGAATTCAAGTCCTCATCTCAGGTACTGGGTCTTTAGTGAAAATTCCTCGCGCACTCACAAATAAATTGCTATCTTTCTCACTAGACCTAGAGCACTAGTAGAATACAATTACGCGCGAAGTTGGGGCACCGGTGCACTGCGCCTCTCTCTGTTCCTACTACGTGCCTTCTCTGTCCCGTGATTTGAGAGACATTTGAGAGACATTTGAGAGACGAGAACTCTTTCATTGGCCTTTGATTTTCCCATCATGTGGATCATCATTCGTCAGATCAGATCAGATCGTGCTCATCAATGGGACCAACTCTCTGCCATAGCTCCTCTCTCTACCACCGTGAAGCCTTCCTTAGGCTCCTCCATGCCTGTCTCTACATCCTGATGGCTCATTAGGTCGCTGCCTTGATCCCGCCCAGATCTTCCTTCGACAATTCACATCTCTCCCCCATGTCGTCAGGACTCTCACCCCCCAAAACACATAAGCCTCCTCAACGACCCCTTTTTGTCGTCCACAATTTTTCGATTCAGACGGACATCGGTGAACTTCTCTCCATTTGGGCCCGTCAATGTCTCATAAAAGGTAGGAGGGGGCTGAGATGGCGTCACAAGAGTCTGCTGATGTCTCTTCTTCGAGGCTAAGGCTGCCGAGTAGACATGAAGCTTTGCGACAGGATTGTTCTTGTTGTCTGGCGAAAGAGGTGTATCTGGGAGTACAGCTCCGCTGTTCTCGTCAATGGCACCTAAGAGAGCAGGTTGTGGTGGTGTAGATCGGCGCGGATGGCCCACAAGTTGTGAGGCTGAACTTGATCTGAATGCTCCTTCTGCTGAAGAAGTTGAGTTGGGGGATGAAGGTGGTGATGAGTAGCATGATCTATAAGTGCTTGACGAAGATTCGCTAGAGCATGACGATGTTGGTGATGGACTCCGGGAGATTGGAATGTCCACCACGATTGGAATATGCTTGGGGCGGTCGGGGGCCAGAATGTCCACCACGATTGGAATATGCTTGGGGCGGCCGGGGGCCATTTGCTATACGAGATTCGTGAGTGTCGAGACGTCGCACAAACTCCCTTCTGTCCACAAATGGCTTCTTGATTCTTTAGCTACATGAGATTGTTGAATATAACATGGACATCAATGGCCACGTATAAAACAAGAGAGAAAGAAGGCTTCCCAAAAGAATGGCAAGGTAATACCAGGACGGCACCCAACGGTTCAAAGCCCGCATGGCTTGACCTTGGAAAAGCTGAGACTGCTTCGTTATAACGACAACCTCTCAGGGTGGCTTGTGTCGATCCTCAAGCCCCCTTGGAGCTGTCGCAAACTGGCACTGTCACATGTGGATAGAGGTCGTCAATATGTCTGTTTGATTGGATCACAGGGCTTGTCAGCGCCTGATTTTCTTTCCCCGAGGAACCCTACAACGGAAAATAAGCACTACCTGGAGGCGAATGATGTGGCCCCAGGCCAGCCACCATATCCCTGTTAGGCAATGAAGATCCCCCCACCTAAGATCTCGCCTATGATTGAAGCGAATGACGCAACACCATCCACATCACAATGGGCAAAGACAAGCTCGAGGAACCCAACCGCCTCCAAACATTTGGTCCCTGGTTCTGGCTTGTGCCTTGATTACGTTGGATGCAGGCCCCAGCAGACAGACACATACCAACCTAGGTATCTAGAATGTGTTGTGTTATGAATCAGCTTATGACCGCGAGAAGAAGAAACCGTTCGTTCACCCCCCAAAATAACATCAAAGTCCAGTCCCTGACTTTGACAGCTCGTGGTGGACCATATGCTATGATTGAGTTACTGTAGACTCTGACGAGAACGCTTCTAGATTTTGCCTCTGCTCACTAGGTACTTAGTAACCACAGACGATGAGTTTGTCCCTTTCCAGCCTTCTTCGAGGGTGGATGCACCCCCCGCAGTTTCACAACGGGCGTTCCTCATGAACCCTGTACTCCGCACTATATCACTACTACCCAGCACTAGCCCATAAGCCGCAATTGAGGCAACGATCACGTCCGTTGAGATGTAATGTGTACTTGGAGTTTATTAGATTGCTTGAACGCACCATGGAGTCGCCTCCTCCATCGTGAGTGACATAGCCTCTTTTACACATGGCCATTGGAACTGGTTCGCCTCCCACGAATCCCCGAAGGCTCTCTCCGCTAGAGCCGGAGCCCTATGTTTTGCGCCATGTCCTCGAGGATCTTCCCTTGAATCCTGACGAGGGCGATGGGGACGCCTCCATCACCTGTGTTGAATTCTGGAGTGTGTGCACTTGTCATCATATGAGAAAATCCCGTGGCTGACACACTTACAGATAACAATCTCTATGTTGGCACATCTGCGTCCGAGATCCTTCACTTGGTTGCTTTTCCTACCGACGAATCCGATCAGAACGCCGTTCCCACCTTTATCCTCGCTTCTCGCTTGCAGCCCAGTGGCCATGTGGCCTTCAATGACTCCAGCGCGGAGTCTACGCACCTCGGTGTACAAAAGATTCTTGTTCTTCCAGGACCGATGAAAGCGTGTGTCTTGTGCAATGGCACCGTCTCATTCTACTCCCTACCAGAGTTCAGCCCTGCGTTTCCTAATAGGGAACCTGCTGGTGTGCAATGGATAGGAGGAATTGATGAAAATGATGACAAAGAAAGCCCCGAAGGCCCTGTCGTCATGATCGCAAATGCGCGACGTATTCTCCAAGTCAAAGTGGGCGAAAAGTTGCGTCCGATTAAGAACAACATCGAGTACCCGGGGTGCCTGAGTTCAAGCAGGAGAGACACCATCGCATGCGTCGCTGATGACACTAGCTATGCTCTTCTCGAGCTGGAATACCAACAGAAGATCCCACTGTTTCCCATTTCCTCTCAACCCGCGGTAGAAGATCCACCAGAGTTGAATCCCATGGCGACCTCGCTGTCCCCACCTCCATCAGATGCTGGTCACAGTCGAAGTACTAGCATGGGTAATCTCATAGGCTCGCCAGACCCTCGAGGACTCGATCCTCAACGTGAGGAAACTCAGACTCCTCCTAATCCTTCAGCATCAGCCTCGGCCGCAGGAGAGCCCAATGAATCACAGACTCCGTCCAATCTCCCAGAAGCCGACTCCGGTGCCCCAAAACTCAGGCCCCGAGCATCTACAGATACAAGATCGGCCAGTACTGTACCATTACGTTTACCTGAGAAACTCAAGCCTCATATTCTCTCACCAAGCCCCACCGAGTTTATGCTGACAACTGGTACATCCGAAAAAGAGCCGGGAGTGGGTATGTTTGTTAATCTGGACGGCGATGTCGTGCGTGGGACTGTCGAGTTTCAAACTTATCCTGAGGACCTTCTACTCGATAACTTTTCGCTGCCAGAAACCCCGGCGAGTGTCGAAAGTGATGACGATGGCCTGCTCATCTTCGCCCTTTTACGCCGGCATGAAACTGGGAATGTGACGAGAGGCCTCGAAGTCCAACGACTAGATAATGCTGCTTCATCAGATCATCCCAAAATATGGATCTCTCTGCCTAAATCAGCACTCCAGCATCCTCGTGCAGGGCTTCATCACAGCTTCGGCAGTCTCTCTCACTCGTTTCCAATTGCCAGCGATCTGCTTGAACTTGTACCCTTGCCGAGTGGTCGCTCTCGGGCCCGGATCGACCATGACCCACGAACACAATCTGCGGTCGAACAATTCGAGCAAGAGCGTGCTCTCTTTGATAGCCAATCGTCATCAGCCCCCACTGAGACATCGGCAGAATTGGTCACCAAACGTGCATCCGAAGAAAAGAGGTTTGCCAGTCGGTTCGGACAGTCCTTCACAAGAAATATGGTTTTTCATGGCAAGGACTTATTCATGATTCTCCGAAATCCCTTAATCTCGCAGTTGGAATATCGGTTGATGCAATATGTGCCAAATGCCAACCTCTCTACCATCAAACCAACCCAAATCTTTGGCTTTTTGGCTAGCATTCACGGTCGTGAGCCGAAAGACGAATCCGAATTTCTAACATTGAATTACATCAGGCAAAAAGCAAGTCTTTTGCTCTTCATGCATCTCCAGACTCAATTCGCCTCGACGGATCTGGACAATATCCTCCGGCCTATCGAGAATACCCTCCATGACGGCGGGCTAGATCCGCGGATTGTACTTTTACTGCTGCCCCCTTTGTCCTCAGAGGTACTCTACGGCGCCGAAGGCATCTGGCTCCACCACGGCCTAGCTGACCTCTTCGAGACCTTTCAATCCAAGATAGCAACGTTCGCTAAAGCGCCTGTCGAGTTTTGGATGATGGTTCGCCATTTTCTCATGCTTTGGCAAGAGAAGAGAGGCTACGGCAGTATTGCTGATGAGAAAAACGTCTTCGATTCCACCGACTCCGCTCTCCTCCATGTCCTCCTTCACCTAGATCAAATCCTCCCCCAGGACAGTGGCGCCCAGCGGTCGGTCAAGATCAAGTTGGAAAACGTTGTTGACCATTGGAAAGGTGATTTTGATCGAGCAATACAACTGCTGGAAAGCTATGACCGGCTTTTTGTGCTGAGCAGATTGTATCAAAGTCGGAAGAGATCCCGCGATGTTCTCCTCACCTGGAAGAGAATCATTGAAGGCGAAAAGGATCCCGACTACGGCTCGAACATCGAGTTCGTTGAAGCACGAATGAAAAAGTATCTGACGGTGCTTCGAGATGGCGGCTTGGTCCAAGAGTACTCACTTTGGTTGGCGCGAAGGAATCCAGAGATTGCCGTCCAGCTTTTAACCGACGACACAGCTCGTGTCAAATTCGAGCCTCAGACTATTGTTCCACTGCTCAAGCAACACGCACCTGGGGCAGTACAGCAGTATCTCGAACACCTTGTTTTTGGCAAACATCTAGACAAGTATGCCGACGATCTTATCGGCTACTACCTTGACTCGGTGTTGACCGTACTCGAAAGCTCGGAACCAGCACGCACGTTGCTGGCAGAGAGTTACTCAACCTACCGGGCTTTGGAAACCCCTAAGCCGACGTACCTCGACTTTATCAACCAAAACCCACCTCCAGACCCTTGGTGGCAATCACGGCTTCGATTACTGCAACTGTTGGGGAGTGGAGCATATGCCAGCCGTGGCGCGTCGAGTAAAGACTTGACATATTCAGTCTCCAAAGTGTTGGAACGAATGGCGCCTTTCTCGAGCTTTCTAGTCTCTGAATCCATCATCTTGGACGCCCGTCAAGGACGACACACCGAAGCACTTCGACTACTCACACATGGTCTGGGCGACTTTGACACCGCAACACGCTACTGCTACTTTGGCGGACCAGCACCATCGTACTCACAGACGATCGACGTGTCCATGCTCCCACCGCGCTCGCTCCAGACCGAGCTCTTCAACTTTCTGTTCCGCGAGTTCTCGATGATTGAGAATCTCGAGGACCGTATTGAACGCACGAGTCATCTTCTAGGTACCTTTGCGACTTTCTTCGACCCGCTGGCCATCTTGCAGGAGATTCCTGACGATTGGACCGTGGACATTCTGTCGGAATTTCTGGTGCGCAGTTTCCGAGCCGCCACCACTGAGAGAAATCAGGCTGTGATTCTCAAAGCTCTCAGTGCAGCACAAAACCTGCAGAAACAGGTCGAATTTATCGAAGTTTGCGAGAAGATCGGTGCTCGTTTCGATAGAGGCCGCGGTGGTGAGTTGGATAGTGGGGATTCCATCGGTGCGGGCATCAGCATCAGCTGAATCCACTGTCTGTCGCTTATGTATATAGCAACCTCCACAATCGAAGTTGCACATGTCAGGAGACACAAGGTCATGGACCGAAATGCGATTAGACATTACACACGCTGCAAACCAGTTGCAGACATGCCCTTTTTTCTCTCTATGCTATATCTCACGAATAACGTGACGATTGTTTCACATGCAAGACAAAGGAAACCCATGATATATGTCCAACTCAGCAGTAGCCAAAGGCATACAACACGGTGGCCTGTATAAACAGCCAACATAAGAAGATTCCTAGACGCCGTCGCTCGTTCGCTCGTAACAACGCTGAGGATGGATGCCAACGCCGTCAAAAATTGCCCGGCGATTGTAGATGGGCCAAAATCAGCAGCATGTCCGGCCTCCTCGACTTTGAGGCCGTCGAAAGACATCCTCCCATTCACTCAAACCGTGCAGCACCCCTCCACCTCGCTTCCTCCTGTTGCCTCGCCGCCGTAATGTTCCTTCATCAGCGGCGGTGGTGCCGGAATGTATGCTCATACCGTCTGCGTATGCTCCACCATCCCCGTATTGAATGCCGCTAGCTGGGTCATCGGGGTCAATTTCGCCCAATTCAATCTTGGTGAGGATCATGCGCCCAAGTCGGTTGAAGAGTTCATCCACATTGTCTCCCGTCAGAGCAGACACCTCCATTGTAACAGGAACGAGTGCCTTGGATGCCCAACGTGAAACCAGCTCTGGGCTCACCTCTCGGCCTTCAGCCACGGTTGCAGTCCATTTCTGACCAGTGAGGTTGACGGAGCCACCACGCGATCTCGTTGAGCTTGTCCCTCCACTAGCATCATATGGCAAGTACGACTGTCGGCTCGAGGCACTCGAAGGAGTGGCTCCTCCAGAAGTGTCTGATTGCGTGCCACGGTGTGACGTAGCCCCATTGATATGTTGCGCCTGTGTCTTGCTCGAGGTATCTGCCAAATCATTTTTGTTGCCAGCGAGGATCAAAGCTAAATTTGGACTGGCAAGGGCGCGGGCGTCTGATAAGAAGGTAGGCAAGGCATTAAAGGTTGCGAGGTTGGAGACATCGTAGACGAGTATTGCGCCGGCAGCGCCTCGATAGTAACTGCGGCTGACACTGCGAAATCTTTCGGTTCCCGCCGTATCCCAGAGTTGTAGTTTAATCCTCCGCCGATTCGAGCCTGACCCAACTTTGACAATCTTGGAGGCGAATTCGACGCCGATCGTTTGTGAGGAGAGGACGCGCCATTCGGCCTTGACAAAACGGTGCAAGAGACAGGATTTGCCGGTTCCAGAGGGCCCGATGAGAACGACTTTGGCCAGATAATCATACATGCTGCCTAATTCCTGCACCCACGGAGTGGAAAGATCAGTCTCACATGTACCGATGGTTGATCGATTGGGGACATACCTGGTGTTGATCAGGCACCGAACTGTTGTCGGATGCGGCCGACGTTCCTCTTGGGCGTGCCATGTCGTGAGGCGATTAGAGACCGAAGTCTCTTGCTTCTGTGCAGGTCAAAGCAGAGGCTCGCGCTCGTTGTCAGGAGATTCCATGGGAAGAGGATGTCACTTGGAGCAAGATCTTGGCCCGTGACTCGCGTGCCTTTCTGATAGGCGACTCCAATCGCGGGAAGGCGCGATCCTCGATCCTCCGGATAAAGAAAGAACGCCTGTCGGGTCCGGAATTACTACTGATCCGGGCATGGCTCACCGTGGAGGCCAGCCTTACCCAGCCACGAACGCCATAGCATTTACAACTATGCTTGTCTATATCTTGAATGAAACGAGCGCTTGACACGAAAAATGATAAGGAAAAAGCACAATCTCTGTTAGGCATCTATGTACATTTGATTCTAATTCGCAAAGCCCAACGAGATTCTCATTCAGTTACCACCATCTCCAGACCAAAGTCCAAAAGCATTCAACGACCCTTCTTGCCGACGCCGGGGAGATTGATCTCGTCTGCCGACACGCCACCCTCGATGAGATTGATGGTATTAACCAATGCATCAAAAGCATGCTTCGGATCTTGTTTCTTGGTAAAAACCTCCTGGCGGGCCTGGATGTAGCTGTACTTCTCTCGGGGAAGCTGCGCGAGCAAATGCTTGACCATGTCTGCATACATGTTGGAAGATTCAGACGGATTGTATTCACGAACATTGGCCTGGATGCGCAGCATTTCTCCAATGAACCAGTGAGATTGTGTGTCGTGATCCCAAGAGAGACGCTGCAATTCATGCTTCGCCACTTGATGTCGGTGTTTCTGGTCAATGTCGAAGCGCTTGAGAGACTTGAAAGCATCGTGGGGGCTCTTGTACTTGACAGAATCGAACTCATCGAGAACACCCTTATCAAGTCGGTTGCGCAGGTATTTGATGGCTTGAAGACGTCGGCTCTTTTCGTCACGATAACTGCGCATGCTGACCATGAACTTATCGTGATGTGCCTTGAGTGCGGCAAGATTCTCATCCATCACAGCAAGTTGTTCCTTGTCTGAAGTTTTTGGGTCCTCTGGCTTCCAGGAAAAGCTAGTGTAGGTCCCAAAAGAAGGTGCGATTGGCTCAGCGGCAGATTCGTAGTACTTCATGTAGCCCTTGGCGATGGCATCAGATTTCAGAGCTCGGACCCAGGTCAGATAATTGTCGGTTCGAAGCAAGTAGGGATTGGCATTCCGGGCTTGTAGGGGTTGGTTAACAGGAGGAAAGTTCAATGAGACCGGGGACGGCTGGGAGTCTGAAGCCGCATTGGAAGACATGGTTTCGAAGAACGAGTTGTTGAAAGCGAGGATATTGTTGAGTGTTAAAGTTGTGGCTGACTGGAGGACTGAAGAAAAGTTCTAGTCGAATGATGAGGTAGGAAGAAAATGATCTGTAGGAGAATCAAAAGGCTTTTAAGTAGAGTATCTCTTCGCCTACTGCAGTTGTCACACTAAACTGCCTAGCAGCAAATAACTTGACGGTGCAAGCAATCAAGGCAGTATTTGGGCCTTTGAAAATTCATGTGAAGCAAGCTGTTCACCAACTGTCTGCATAATTGACACATTGAATGTTAGCATAGCAAAGGCCCAAAAAATCGATGCAGGCTGTCACAGGGGTAGTTCAGTATCAAGGTCATCAACGTGCTTTTTTGTGACAGCTTGTATCAAGGCCAAGGGTGCAATATGACCTTATCGACACAATACACATGGCCCATTACACTGTCTTGTTAGCAACAATCATGGTTGCTGGTGTACAACCAGTTGTAGAGGCCGAATTGCTTGTGTAGACATCAAGGGACAGCATCGACAGGCACCAGGGTCTGTAGCCTTAATGCTGGTGTAAGTGTCATCAGAGCATGATCGAATGCACCAAGTGTAAGATGCAAATAAACATCTTGTGACTTGGGTAGCAGTTGTTGTTGTTTGTTAGAGGTGAAAGTTGTCGACGTGTTTGGGTTTGGGGGTTTTGATATATCAATATGCACTTTAGGACACTGTACTCCACCCATTCAGATACGGCCAAGTACAACCCTTCCATTGTCTGGGGAAATAGTGATCGTGTCCACAACCATTCTGTTACTGGGAGACTTGAGCGCAGCTTGTAAAAGACACCATCTACTTCTATCCAGCCATAACTTCGTTGACACCTCATCATCCCCTGTCAATCCTTTGCGCTGTCTAGTTTTCATCCACGCCTCCCTACCTTCTTCTTCGGACTATCCTTGTTGATAGACGTCTTCACTCAACCCGCAGACCTCCATATCCCGCACCTCTTCCTCTAATCCTTCCTCCAATACAACAATGGTACGTTTCGATTTCGCTCTTCAGACGCGGTCAACATTTCCTCGAGCCAAAGCCACCTATGCAGCACAAAATCGCCCATGACCAAGTCTCGCGTTAGCTGACAACAATTTCACAGGCGTCTGCCAGACCATCCTCCCCCTTGACCTCAGGACCAGAATCAGGAGCCGATTCCACGCCCTCAGCACAGAAATCGAGCGGATCTTCGATTGCACGTGCAGGCTCACCACCCGGAGGACCTCGCTCTGCCATCCGCCGACGCGCTGCCGCTGATCACAAGGAGTCTGTCAAAAATGCCCGACCAACTTCAACACGCGCCGCAGGAGCAGGAGGCTCTAGTGGAACCATGCTCAGGTTATATACCGATGAGAGCCCTGGATTGAAGGTTGATCCCATGGTCATCCTTTTCTTGAGTCTGGGTTTCATCTTCAGCGTTGTTGCTTTACATCGTGAGTTGCACCAGCCGCGAGAACACGATTGACCTCAGACTAATTGCGCCGGTAGTTATTGCCAAAATCACAAAGAGATTCTCATAGACTGAGATGTATCATCTGGTGGCATGTCGGAGGCAAAGACGGTGGCATGAAAGACACAAAAAGCATTGGTACTGGTTGGCACTGGGTTCTAGCAGGTTGCGTACGATACTATCTTCCAAACACCCATCCGATTACCCAACCCAGTTTCCTGTTGCTTCGACCCGGTCTCGATTTCGTGCGTCGCGCCAAAGGATTGTTTGCTTCTTTGTTTCCAAAAAATACAGGGGGGATTTATTATGCGACCTTCCCGACGCAAGCATCTCCATCCATTCTGTCTCTCCAAAAGAGAACCAGAAGCACTCCATCGTATTTCTGCCAGTGGCGACAGCAGATAGCGGCTGGCGCCTGTAAAATCGCGGACAACATGGTATAAATGTTATTGTAGAATCATTGTGCATGATTTTGTGCAGGAATTCGTGGTGCAACATCTGACTTCAAGAACCAAATCCATCATCGTGTGCGTGTGATCTGCTCTATATGTCACAATGTGGCGAGTTCTGCTTTCCGTTTTGGGACGTCATGCGATGCGAATAACTTATTAGCAATATAAGTAAGCCTGGCAACCATCTCAGAACTCTTCAATACCATCTGCAGACATTCCTTCGTCTTCATCTCAAAGGCCCTCTGCAGCATCCTTGGTATCATTCGCCCTTCGCTCATCCCGCTTTCAACTCTGCCCCACCACTGCATGATCATGACGGAACCAGAATCCAATGAACCCTCTCAAGATCACATCACCAGGGCAAATGATCACCCACATACAGATGTGCATATCCAAATCCCCGCTACCGATCCCTCCAACTCCTCTGCTCCTCTGGTCAACAGTAACGGCTGGGACGGCAAGTTGAGGCTCCCTCCTCGCAATGCGGTTCTCTCCAACCCTGAGGTTCTGTCAGATCCCGACTACTCAGACCCCGATGCCCCTCCCGTCGACCAGATTGAGGCCGATGAGGATCTCCTTGAGGACTTGCCCCTCGATTCAGAAGATATTGATCTCGTCCACTCCCGCGTCACTTCCATTCCCGCCCTAAATCTCTCGCGCTTCCAAAAAGTCCTGCGCCTGTGCCTGCGCCAGAACCAAATCACCACCATTGACTTCCCTCAAGAATTTGCCGAGCGTCTACAAGAACTAGATCTTTACGACAATCTCATTTCGCATATCAAAGGCTTAGATTCTTTTAAATCTCTGACTTCACTCGACTTCTCCTTCAACAAAATCAAACACATCAAGAACATTTCACATCTGACCACCCTTACCGAACTGTACTTCGTGCAGAACCGTATCTCCAAGATTGAGAATCTGGACAACCTATCGAATCTGACGAGCATCGAGCTTGCAGCAAACCGAATCAGAGAGCTTGAGAATCTCGAACCCTTGACATCCTTACGTGAACTATGGCTGGGCAAGAACAAGATTACCGAGATCAAGAACATATCGTCACTCTCAAATCTCCGACTTCTCGACATCAAGTCCAACCGTCTCACCGCCATTACAGGACTGGAATCTTTATCAAATCTAGAAGAACTCTACGTCAGCCATAACGCCATTGCCGAGATCTCAGCATCATCTTTACAGCACAATTTAAAACTCAGGGTCCTCGATATCTCGAACAATCAGATCGCTCATCTCGAAAACATCTCCCACTTGAAGGATCTTGAAGAACTATGGGCCTCTAGCAATAAGCTCGCCGACTTCCGCGAGGTTGAGCGTGAACTGGCTGACAAGGAACACCTCGAAACCGTCTACTTTGAGATGAACCCGCTGCAATTGGCAGGGCCAGCCTTGTACCGAAACAAAGTCCGATTGGCGTTACCTCAAATCCGTCAAATCGATGCAAGTAAGTGAATTGATTCTGGCAGAGCCATGCGGCGGTACTAACTATGGATTTAGCATACGTTAAAGTCGCCTGAGGTATCATCGGATGGGCAGTCCTAATTGATAGCGAATGTCACACACCTGTTTCAGAAGGTATTTGTCGACCCATTTCGACCATTACTCCGAGATCCTTCGTTGGATTCATCACTCACGTGGTCAAGTGAGCAAAAGAAGCTCCTCACGCGTCCCATATTTTACCATTTTCTGGCTGTGAGGACATCGGTCCTCAAGATGAAACCCTAAGTACTTGTGCTAGAACTGGAAGGCTATCAAAATGGGCATTGATAGGGGCATGCAAAATGGCATAATATTGGGCATAAGAACACGGCCACCATGTCACGAGCGATTCGGACAAAACCGCCACCGGGCACACGGATTGGGTGAGCATTGTTAACGAAGTTCATGCATTCACGAATTGAGTATCTGAATCATAATATTTCTCATTCCTCTACTCAAGGGCCTAGCATCAAAGACGAACTCTTTACATGTCAAGGTCTCATGATAGTACAGGAGCCATGCCTTTTTTTTCTTTATCGAAAAAAAAGACACTTAAAGGAGTATTTGACGCATTAGAAATTCGCTGCATAAGCCCGAGAGACAAACTCCAATCCCAGCTGTCCCGAATCCCGATATCCACATCCGGTTCGGTCAAAGCTTGCCAACAAGTTGAACGCCACATGAACACCGACCGTCCTTTTTTTGCATTCGAGACGCGCCTGGGTGAGAAGATGGATCTGCCTCAGCGGTTCTAGCTCTCGTGCCCCCAAATGTTGACACAAGCCGTCACCGGTTGATAACTGTTGTACATCATCGAGGCATGGCTTTGCCGTGTAATGAACTAATGGCAAATGTGGGGGCAGTGGTCTCTCCCATACGATAGAGCCAGACTTCCGTGTATCCTGTCGTCGTTGATCGTTCCATTTGCTTTACATTCAATCGGTACTGTGCTTGTAGATACCAGCAACGACGCAGTGGTCTCGCTCGAAGGGTTCTGTTTTGCAAAAGCATTGTCAGTTACCGACCCTTTTTGGCTGGCATGAAAAGAGAAAAATGTCTCGAGCTTAACTTACCTAGCGTCAATTGTTCTTTAGGCTTGATTCTCTCTTCTCTCATCTTCTTGACCTCGTTGGCGAACACGACTTCAGGCTTGGCCGTTGAGTCGATACAGTTGGCCTTGATGGACACCAGAACACCACCGTCGACCTTGAGGAACAGATGGGCATTCAGTCCGACAATACGAGCCTGATCCGGTTGAGCAACATCGGCAAAGATGACATCGACCATGCCAACAAGCATGCGGTAGCGAAGAGGGTGGCGGGCGTCTTCAATGATGGGGATGACGTTGGTGCGGTGTGTCGCCATGGTGATGAGATCACGGCCAGATCGGTGGGAAAATTCAACGGCGTACACTCGACCAGTGGGACCAACGATATCAGCTACATGCGACACACTGGTACCGGAGGCCGCACCGAGGTACAGGACGCTGGCACCTGGTCGGATGTAGATATCTTCCAACCCACCCAGGATACCCGCAGCAAGCTTGGATCTGAAAGGATTCCACACACGGTATTCTGTCTTGAGAGCTGGAGTGGCCTCGTTGGCGTCACCACTGAGGGCGGGGTTGCCGGGGCTGTCGACGCTGATGCGCTTCTCGCCGTAGACGGACTCGCCTGGGGTCAGATTCTTGGTCACGAGGAGATCTTCCTTGCCGCCGCGAGCGACGAAGACACCGGGATGGCGATGGGGTTCCTGGAGAAAGAGAAACGATCCGTAAGTTGGTGGTCTTCGGAGGGAGAGAAGTACGAGGGGTAATGACTTACAATGACAACCTTCGCACCACCTTTGATGCCCGGCTTTCCGCCACGACCACCGCCACGACCACCCCGTCCAGGGGGTCCACCTCTTCCACCGCCTCTGCCGCCTCGTCCTGGAGGACCTCCTCGGCCACCTGTGTAGTGAGTAGAATATGTTAGGTCAAGGTTCAACCCGCTAGACAGACCATGCGGTCTGTTGGCATATCCTCTTCAGAGGAAAGACGTCCTCACCTCTCATGCCACCTCCTCGTCCACCGCCTCGACCACCTCTATCACCACCACGAGGTGCGAAACCTCCGCGGCCACCACCGCCACCTCGACCTCTCGGCGGACCGCCAAACGCCATCTCTTAAAATATTGTTTTGGTGTTATGGGACTCGGTGGGTGAGATTATTTCGGTTGCGTGAGAATGATTGTAGTTTATAAAGATCGCTGGATGACGGATAGGATGCGATGTTGAGGAGAAAATGATGTTGGTTGTGAGGCAACTTTTTTTCGCATTTGCAACCAGAATGGAAATTTGGAGCTGGAACGATTCTCTTCTGGAGAAATTCTGCCACTAGATCCTAAATTGTACTAGTGCAAAAGATATTGCCAAGGCCTCTTTTCATTGGTGGAGGTTAGAGCGAGGCTCCCAGGGAACCCCACACGCTCTCTGCGTTGGACTTAGATATCTACTGCATATATACATGTACGGCATTCAAGGCTTGTAGTATGTGGTATGTGTGTACATGAATCTTCAGGAGGAGTGTACGCGAACTGCGACTCGCTTCCTGGCCAATTATGTTCCGTGCGCAAAGGTAGATGTGTGGCAGATTTGATCATACGCCACCTACGGCTTACTAGGGAAAATCCAACCAAGGTATCGCCATCACAGTGCTACTTCATATCCTCCGGAACTGCCTAGGTACCTCAATGCTATTGGTTTGTTGATTCGAATAATCAATCTGTCCCATAGGATCAGCTGGGCCCCCTGCTCGAGATGCCACGCCTGCTCCAATAGTTGAAGCCATCAGCCAACTCTTGAAATGATCCCAATTCCCGCCAAATGTTTCCCTGTTCTTCCAGGGAGTCCCAGTACCATTCGATATACGATGGATGGGTTTTCGGCAGAAGCGGCGTTATGTCTTCGGGGAAAACGGTCTTGCCTTGGTCTCTCTCAAGAGTCGATGTGCCTCCCACCATTTTCAAGGCCATCATTCTATCAGCATCCGTGACGCATGATGCTCGCATTACTTGGATCTTCTGGAGTTCTGTGGCTGCAATCTGAAGGCCCAGCGAAGTTGTGTAGTATGTCAACTCGGGGAGTTCATTCCAGCAACTGCTGTCATCCGTGGCTATCCATTGCTCCAACGCTCTTCTAGAATACGTCTTATACGGCATCCTCCGGGCTATGTCCTGTAATGTTTTGCCCGGCTGTACAGCGTGGTCGACAAACAGCGGCAGCATCACAATTTCCTCGTCTCCATTGCCTGGATCAAGCGCCCCAGTCATGAAATCATTCTCACCTGGGCGATGAGTCTTTGGTAGCACAACTGGAAGTTGATCTTGATCCTGGTTCAATGCAAAATTGTCAAACATGATTTCAGATTTGCCTGAACGAATCTCTGTCTTTTCTTCTGAGGATCGGCTTTTTGGCCGAGCCATATCAAAGGTCATCGACATTGTCAGTGCCGACTTCAATGGTATAAAGGGCTGACCAAAATCCATTTTGGTAGAATGGAAGTTTCTAGGCCGAGATGATGGACTGGGATAATCGAAATCCATGATGGATGATTTTCGCCGAATCAGTAACGGGGAAAGCAGCGACCCAAAGCGTGAGGCGTTGCGTGTTGGCGTCGGTGTATCGTACTCGTAGCTCATTAGTTCCAGTTGTGAGGCCGATTCATCGAATCCAATATCATCGAACACAACATCTTCATTCTCGTCGTCTTCGTCTGACACCTCCTCTTTCTCGGGTGGGACATGGTGACACTCGTACCCGGTCTCATCCTCGAGATCTGGAAACCATATGGGTGATGGTTGGGGACTAGCCCAATCTTTTCGAAGAAATTCCCGTCTCGCTGATGCGACCAAGTTGGTCAATGCTTCGCGGGAAAAGGTTGGAGCATTCCTGGCTGGTTTCTTCATCAGTAAAACTCCAACGGGTCAGCGCGGAGGGCGGGGGGAGAGGTGTGGGACGCTTGTCGTGTGAGTTGTATGAGGTAAGTTACTGTGTTAGTCGATGCAGGCCCTCCGGTATCTGTGTTCGGTCGACTTTATGCCGCGGCCATTGTTCGACAGTCGGTTCTCCATTCGCGCTGAATGCGGAATTTCGACGAAAGCCTTTGTGCAGCCACCTAAATATGGTGTACTACCTTGGAACGTGCCCTCTGACAAAGGCATTGGGACAATGAGTCACAGATTTCATAGTCGAAGAGATGTACCTGCAATGCCACATCCTCGAAAATCACATGGGATGCAAAGTCAGTTTGATCAGTTTTGAAAGTTCCTACTGTGGTAGAGGTTCATGCGATATGATGAACATGTCTCGCAGACTGGACATTAGTCTCCATTACTTGTGGCATATATACCGGTGCAAATATAGGCTGTCGAAACTGTTGGTCGAGAAGTAGGTACAATGAGTTGCCCTATGCAGAAGTCGATGACTTGTTGTCTTCTTGAGCTAGATCGATAGACTGTACATAATCTCAGGCTCAACCGAAGGTAATGATTACCTAAACTGTATGTGTATGGACACGTGATGCTGCCACAACCACACGTGCCTGCCTTGGCAGAATGATGACATGATGAACTGCAACTTCTCTCTATGCGGGGATCATCCCACTGCGTTTCTTTCATGAATGTTAAAGACATCCTCATATCAACCCAGCGGGATCGAGGAGCTGAGCCGGCAATCACACAAGTACATACTTCTCCGACGGAGTTTCGACCAGGATAAATGAAACCACTTGATTCACTGGTACGACACGTTCGTCCTTTCAGTCTTTGGACGGCTTCTCGTGCCAAAGTCTTGCCCATCACAGTCCTTAGTGGAAGCAGGCATCCCCCGCCATCTCCCCCAAAACAACCAGGCGAGAGAGACGATAGATCTGAGGCAACAGATCCAAAAATGTCGGCCCTGAATGGTGAGTTTGATTGAACTAACACCTGCGCCTGTGCTCTTTTGTTGCAGTGTTGTGTACCCACCACCATTGCACTTAACCCACTGACACAGCATAGTCTTCAAACAACCCCTTGCCTTTTTCTCCGATCGTCCCATGACAGGCTTTTACAGAGACGGATATTGCAGGACCGGTGCGGCCGATTTTGGAAACCATGCTGTGGCAGGTGTCGTAACAGAAGAGTTCCTGAACTATTCAGCTGCACAAGGAAATGACCTTCGGATAGCAGGTCTAAGCGAGGGGTGCAAGTGGTGTCTGTGCACAAGTCGGTGGCTTGAGGCATTCAACGCATTCAAAGACGGCCGAATCAGCAGGAATACTGTCCCGAAGGTACACTTGGAAGCGACCGAGGACAGTGCTTTGCGGCAAGTTGATCTCGAGAGCTTTAAGGAATTTGCAGTCAAGCCGCAAACCAACGGCGTCACCAATGGTATCAACGGTCATTCGTAAAACCTGGATTTTGGTCGGGGGACAAGAGTAGCACATTCGGATTAGTAGTATCCAGAACTCGGGACAAAAAGTGAACTCTTACCTCAAAAAGAGAAAGTGATAGCCGCCCCCCAGAGTAATCGGAATCGAATTGAAACCCCGTCCAAACTCCAACTCCGAGAAGTCAGAGAATCTCAAGGATTCCCGCTGCGATTGCACTAAAGTAAGCCCGCCTTCTGCCCGAAGGCGAAGCACGTCAAACAATCTTCGCAATGACTCTTCCAAAGGGAATCCTCCAGATAGAATTCTTAACCTCACCGAAGCAAAACCAAGATCCACTGGAGCCCTGTAGATTTCTGATGCCAATTGCAGACACGGAGATAAACAATCGTGTCAGGCCCTCGCGGGCAGTCCTAAGCCTCGAGTCATGGGCGACAACGAGTCCCAGGTGTTTGATGAAGATTACTCCGAATTTCTCATCTGCAAGTGTGTGACTGTGGCTTCGACTGCCATGACAGCAGGAGTGACCAGACCATGTGTAGCAGAGAACGCAGCGGTTGGGGGACGGCGTATGAGAGAGAGGAAAGAAAGAGTCCAGATGAGTCAAGAAATTTTTATGGTGTTGCGGAGGTCGTCGTTCTGCCAAACCCACCGCCTTTGGTGGAGTCACGTGATATTATTACTTGTCCTCCACGCCATGTATCGCGACGAATATTTATTATAACACCAGGCAGATATAGGAGTTTCAACCTAGAAATGAGTCTCGAGGCATTTATGAACGATTCTTTCGTTAAAATTTCTTGCATTTCGCTCCCCGTTTCAAATTCGAGCGGTACAAGTACAGTTGCTCGCTTCAAAGGTGTATGAGGCAGCCCAGATCATCATGACCCTTGTATACACGCGAGGTCGAGAAGCCTTCGTGTTACCTGAGAGCCAGTTCGATCCCTGAAAATCATTCTGGCGACAGACCACTCTCACTCCCAAAATGGCTTGGCCATATCCAAAAGCATGGGCCAGACAAAGACCCTGGTGGCATGTTATTCTCTCATGCCTCTGTAATGTCGTACAATAACGTAAAGCGAAAATGATTGTTGTCGTCATGCCGAACGCAGGCGATGAGAGCGAGCTGTTATTTTGCCCTAGGAGGTCCCAAGGAGATTAGGCTAAAGCAGCCAACAGATCGATCGGTCGCCGACCATAGAGAAGCAAAATCAAATGAGACCCACGACTGCTAAACGCCAGGCTTTGTACGAATCGAATCCCTTGTCATTGATTGCGCCATGCTTGGTATCACTTGTAACGGGGTTGCTGTCCTGGTGGAGGAGGGCCGTTATTCCATCCTTGTGGGGGACCTTGTTGTGGCATCATCCCGCCTTGCCCTTGTTGTGAACCGACGTCCGGTCGATTTCTAACCATAGGTCAATTATTTTTGTACTGGGGCACATTGCCATAGTATTGACATACCTCATGTCTTCGCGGAAACGGCAAATTGAGCATGCCAGCTATTGATGTATCAGCATCTTTTCTCTCCATTTTTTCAGTCTCCACACACATCTTTATGTTTGCTTCCCAATGGAATGACAGGAACAAAGCAAAACGTGAACCAGTCCCAGGATTGGATGGGGTGGGCTGCCCAGTTCCCGCAGTTATGGCATTGTGCTGTGACACCTTCCAAGCCTGGCAATGGCTTGGTGAAATCTGTGAACGCAGTTAGAATAATCAACAGAAGTGGCCTGTGGTCTGGGAGCGCTGCCTGCCTTGTGTCCCAACTGTGAAGCAGAAAGCCATGGTCGAGGCCACTGATACAAGGTGGTTGTTGTCAAGATCAAAGGAACGAATTACTCGGAACTCCGGGTCTGAGTTGGTCGGAAGAGGGCGGAAAACGACAAGGGTTCGAGGGTGCGGGTGGGAGCGCGTGCGTCTTTAGATGGTCACAAGCAGTAAGAAACGCCTGCAAGTAGTGCGCGAGATAGGATGATGTGTATGCGCCGAATCATCTGAGGATCAGAGCAGAGAAGTCATGGTGCCACTGGAGGTACACATCATTTCCCTTGGGGAAACTGTGGCGAAGCATCATGACGACGATCGAGCTTCTCCACAGCCTACAAACACTATGCGCCACAAGTGGCTGGTTTATAAGGCTCCGGTAGCCTTGCCGCAGCCTCGTGGATTCTTTCTGTCGCGTTCCATTCAACAAGCACTCATTATTCCAGGCTATTCGGCATATGTACTGACGCAAGGTGGTATACAAAACCACAAGAGCATGGATACGCCACTTATCTCACACGAAACCCCCTTTCCATCGCCCACGTGTTGCGACTTTCAACCTGGGTGCCTGCACATCCAGAATCCAGTGGCAAGTTGTTTATAGCCGCATCACGGCTCGTGATTCTGTTACAGCCACAACCCTTGTGGAATCCAATGATCAAAGTTGTCCTTCGTCATTGCGTTTTGAAGAGCAGGATGGCCACATGTCCCAGGTAGAAATAAATAAAGTGTTTCGTCTCTGAATCTGCTGTTAGCCTCATGCCCATCTTTTTGAGCCGCGCAGACTCCATACCATGCGTGACAAAACTGCCAAAATTTCTTCCGACTACACAATGCCATGTGGCACCCTTCTTAGAGTCAAACTGTATCAAGACTTAGCATTGCAGTTGACATTCCCGAGTGATAGTCTCGCGAACCTCTCGTTTAATGTGCTGGGCGATGTCCTGCGAGTGTCAACTGTCCGTCATGTCTGACCTTGGAGTCTGAGCGCACCTTCTCCACAGTAAACTTGTCCATCGCTTCTTGTGCTATACATTGTCAACGTCTTTGCTTCTGCAGCCTCTTTCCACCAAGAATTGCATACCAACTTCGATTGCTTCTTGTTGCATATCCTCACTCTTCGAAATTTCATTAGACACTGGACTTCAGGAGGCGGTGACGGCATTCTTACCATGTCGACTGACTTGATCTGCGCTATCTAGATGTCAGTGAACTGAACCGCCGTATGAGATTTTGTACGTACGCTCCAACTTGACCTTCTTCTCAAGCCCGGCGTCTGCCATGATCGATGCTTAGGTAGGATAAAGTACTCGAAGGGAAATGTTGATGGGTAGGACTAGAGAGCGCGTGGGTGAGAGATATAAAATCCTTTGCACACAGTCTTTGGAAGATTGCAAGCTCGTATGATAGTTGTGTCTTTGTGACTCGATTTATGTTGTGAGTTCGTAAAGTCGACGTGCATGCGAAACACAAACAGTCAGTTGGTAACGACAGACACGCCAGGAGTGTCGCGCAGGGAATCTGGGGTGGAGAGACATTGTTCCGTTCCGTGGAAAGTCATATTAGCGCGGAGGTCTGTCGTTCTGTCCCTTCCTTCGCAACCCCACCGATCTTGTCACACCGTCCTTGGCACTTGTGCTCCACTATTCCAGTCTGGCTCAGAGCTTTTTCTTGCCTTTTACAACAAGTCTGAATGACCCAAGTCCTGCCCCAGGAACTTGATCCCGGGCTCCCAAAGCCATAGATGCCATGGGAGAACCCGTCGACGAGTCATCAGTGACTCGCATCTTCATTACAGGATTGCCCCCGTCGTTGACAAAAGAACAACTGCGATCTCATTTTGCCGCCAAATACGTTGTCACCGACTGCCACCTTGTCTCCGGACGGCGGATTGGTTTCATTGGCCTCTCTGACCATGCCACTGCTCAAAGTGCCGTCAAATACTTCGACCGCACTTTCATGCGCATGTCCAAGATTTCCGTCAGCCTCGCTAAACCCGTCGAAATGAAGCGCGATTTACACGGACACGCCGCACCCGTCTCCCAGCGGCGTCAAGCTGGCCAAGGGGACCAGCTGAGAAACAATTCTCACAAGAGAAAGCGAGATATATATGACGACGGAGATAATGATGGGCAGAGGGCATTGTCCAAACCATCCGTACCTCAACCACATGGCGAGAACACAATAGCAATCACCTCAAACCCCCCTCAAGCGGAAAGACATTCATCACCCCAAGACACCCAAGATATGGACGAGGGCAACACTCCCCTCGACAACCATGCATCTGATGCCGATTGGATCCGGGGGAAGACGAACAGGCTTCTTGATCTTGTGGAAACTGAGCACGAGCCAGCGTCTGTTGACGATGCACACCATGTTCCTCCCGCTACCAGTCCTGCGATGCCCTCCTCCGACCCTAGACCCCAGGCAGAGAGAGATTCACAAGAGCCAGCTCCCGGCGATGTCATACAGCCGCAACTGGTTCCCAATGCGCGTTTATTTCTCCGCAATCTACCTTTCACCACCACATCCGATTCCCTTCGCAGCATATTTTCTCCATATGGCATGATTTCTGATGTAAGTCAAACATGTTTCTCTGCCACTTGTTTCATTTTTGCGTGATGATTTCCTGATAGGGACAGCTTATGCCAATGGCATTTGATGTGAACGGAAAGAGAATTTTAGTAGATGCCTCTGTATTCTGATTGCAACAGTGTCTTGTTTCTGTTACTTTGTCAAAATTCTAGATTTTTGTCACTAACCGAAGTTAGATCCATCTTGTCAAAGACACTCGCACTGATTCCGGGAAAGGACTGGCTTACGTTCAGTTTGTGGAGTCTCAAGATGCTGGTAGAGCACTTCTCGAACTTGATGGCAAGGACTTTCAGGGGAGACTCATGCATATTCTTCCTGCCTCTGATAAGAAGGCTCAAAAGCTCGACGCCTTTGAGATCTCCAAACTACCGCTGAAACAACAAAAAGCCCTGAAGAGAAAGTCAGAGGCTGCCACCTCCACCTTCTCCTGGAATTCTCTTTACATGAATCCAGACGCCGTACTTGCCTCGGTTGCTAATCGACTTGGTGTGACAAAGGCCGAGCTCTTGGATCCATCCTCGACAGATGCAGCTGTCAAACAAGCCCACGCCGAGACAAGTGTGATTAGAGACACAAAAGCTTATCTCAAATCCCAGGGCATGAATGTCGAGGCATTCAAAAATCATGCCAGAGATGATACTACCATACTGCTGAAGAACTTTGCCTTCGGTACGACGACGGAAGAATTGTCTCAGCTTCTGGCTCCATTTGGGAAGGTGATCCGCCTGATATTCCCCCCAACTGGCACCATTGCTGTCGCGCAGTTTGAAGAGTCTACTGGCGCCAGACTGGCTTTAAAACAACTCGCTTATCGAAATCTGAACGGCTCGGTTCTTTATCTTGAGAAGGCGCCAGAAGGTGTCTGGGCCTCTCAAAAGGTCCCCAGCACCGAAGTGACTGCGGATACAAACACTGCCGCTCAGCCTGATAACAATACTACTATGTCCCCGACGACTACCCTGTTTGTCAGAAATCTGAATTTCAGTACCACAAGTGCGAAGCTCTCTGAAACTTTCCGGCCTCTTCCTGGCTTCCTCTCTGCCAGAGTCAAGACGAGGACGGATGCAAAACGACCCGGCCAGGTCTTGAGCATGGGCTTTGCATTCGTAGAGTTTCAGACTAAAGCTCATGCTGAATCCGCTGTCTCAACCATGAACGGTCGATCTCTGGATGGGCATGACCTCGTTGTACAAATCTCCCAAAAGTCAACCGATGCTGCGGAGGAACGGCGAAAGGAGGACACAGCGAAAAAGCTGAATGCCAACAAGACAAAGATCATTGTCAAAAACCTGCCGTTCGAAGCGTCCAAAAAGGATATCCGTGCATTGCTGGGACCTTATGGAAAGTTACGAACCGTCCGTCTACCTCGGAAATTCGACAACAGTGCTCGAGGATTTGCCTTTGCTGAGTTTGTCACTGCAAAAGAGGCCGAGAATGCCATGGATGCCCTTTCCAATACTCATTTACTGGGTAGGAAACTTGTGCTTGACTTTGCCGAGGGAGAGGCGATCGACCCCGAAGACGAAATTAGTGCTATGGAGAAAAAGATACAGGGCCATCAAAGTGTATTGACCCATCACAAGTTGACCGGGTCGGCTCGGAAAAAGTTTAACCTTCAGGGAGCACGAGATGATTTCGACCCTCTGTAACCCACTTCTAGGGCATCCCTTGCAGCGGACTGACTAGGTCAAGTCGGATTGGCCTATTTCCGCGATCTCTGTGAACAGGAGGGCTAACCCTTGTTCTAATATGATGTATCATGGGCCCAAAGGGGAGGTTCTTGTTCAAACAGTAGGTCTTGATGCCTTCTCTGCAGTTGAGTCTCATTCAATTGCTCTATCTAGGGCTCTCATATTACATATTCAGACCTATTTCTGCAATAGGTCCGGCAAAAGTGATAATACCATCATCGTGCAGTGATTTCTTCTTGCACGAGCTCCCAATCCCTTTATCACCCCCTTGCATAGGATCTTTGGGGGTCAATGCGGCAAGGACACAACACTGTCTACTGCACGTTGAGATTGCGTTGTCTTGTTTGGCTTCGATTCCTTGGTCGATGTCGAACGGGCAAAATGTCCGTGGGATTGACAATTGATGTATTGCCGCTGAGTTGCACGAGCACCTTGGGTGTCAGCAAACCCCAGACTATTGATATATCTCTGTCCATATTCATTCCACATCTCATCGAATTTGTTGTGAGCTCCCATTCCCATTCCAGAGACCGAATCAAATTTGCAAAGCAAGCATTTCCCTCTCGGCTGTGTGCAGTATGGATGTACATACCGATCACTCGTTTTCAGAGCATGAGGAAAATGGCCATCATCAGCAACATCATCAACACCTGCCTCCTGGATGTTTCTCTCAAGGTCTCTCACCAAGCAGCGTGCATCCATTCGTTCTTCAGTCCCATGACGGGCTCGCTTTTGAGAACCAGGATCCAAACGCAGATCTTACCGGTTTCTCGAATGGCCTGTACTCCCCTGGCGTCCTGCTCTCTACTTCTGGTGCCAAAATCGGCTCCAACGACATCATCGACCAACGTTCTCGAAGCGGGACGACAGAGAATGAGCACAGGGGATGCCGAGCCATTCAGCATAAGCCTCTGAATACTATCATCAATACTTCCAACAGAATTCGCCGACCTCAATCAAGAGCAGGTCCAGAATTCGCGAGAACATATCTCCAGCATCCCAAATATATAGAATACCGATCTCGACCTCGGCAGGAGATTGGTAAGGATGGGAAACCAATCTGGCCTGATCATATTGAGGCGGCATTTCAGAATGGTAAGGCTTCCTGCGTCGAGTTCCAGGCAGCTGGTCGATCGACTTTACGTATGCAACACTTCCATACTGACACCCTTCGGATATAGCCCTCGTGCACATCGCTCCAATGGGTAAAAAGAAGTGCTCACAACACGGTCGGCTTTTTGGCCGTAATATGCTTATTGCAGAATGGATCTATCGTGAAACTGGAGAGCAAAGAACAAGGAAACAAGTTTCAAGTCACGCTCAAGTGCTGAACAAATTTCTTCAAGGCACCCCTGAATGTAAGCTTTCTATGTCCCATTGTGGATGCGGCTCGTTCTAATCCATCCATGATATAGGGGACCGTGTCTCGAGGTTCGATGAACATGAGCCGACGACGAAAGAGGGACACAAGTTCCATCACAATTCCATTGAACATATGGTCAACGAACAGCAACGCCAAAGCAACGACGCCTTGAAGAGGAGTGAATCTCTTGAGAGTGACCTAAACTGGGAATTCGATACGCATGCTCAACCCTCAGATCATTACATCCTGCACAGCCTTAGCTTCTATATGAGGGTGAGTCTTGCTCAGGATTGGGACAATGCACTTCACAACTACACAAGATTGCAATGTCAAAGTCAGGCATCATTGCCAATTCCGCTTGAGGATGTTCCAAACTGGCGATTCGATTTCCCTAGACTACGACACATGATTGATGAATGGCCTACCGGTGGTCGTACGGATATGGTTCTTTTGAACACGACATTTCAACTCATGGATGACTTTCCTCCACGTCGCTCCAAGCTTGGTATTGATCTCGAGCTTGATTTCCGGATCCAAGACAAGGAGCCCTTCATGGGCTTTTCCATGTCCACAAACCTGACGGATTGGACATGCACAACACATCTGTATGCCGGTGGCAAGTTGATTCAAGAGCGAGCACATGAAGCTTGCCGACTTTCCGAAGACGGCAAGATCAAACCATTCTTCCTTTCCAAATGGTGGGCATCACAATTCACGTCGCTCACAGAAGCCAGGAAGCGTGCCATGGAATCCAAGGATCCAAATGCCATCAGCATGAACAATGTACAAGTCCAAAACTTCTTCCACAAGCTCTCCATCATGCAAGAGATCTGGGCTGTGGAACCATCACCTTCAGGTGGGAAGCCGAGCAAAGTGCGGGTGCTAATATTGTTGTGGAAATTCGCCCTAACACCCGATGGGTTTGTCGGCACTACAACATGGCAAAACCTCATACCGCCACCGGAAAGGTTCGCAACAAACAGTCCTTTCCCAACAGATCCGGGCATGGAGCTGCCTACACTAGCCCTGGACACAATGATGGATGATTCTCCCAGTCAGGGTTTCTTTGACAGAAACAATCAATTCCTAGGGCAGCCAAGCCTGTCATACGATTTGTGCCCAGGAGGGGATGAGGGAGATAGTCTGATGTCATATAAGCCGGAAGAGCTGGGCACTTATAGTCAGCTCAACCACGAGTCTAGTCATCTCATCTCAAACAATGTGGACTCTCTTGGGCAGACCGATGGCACCAATGCTGAGCTTAATTCAATGGTTACAAACGACAACACCAACAACCAGGCTCCAAATATTGAAATACTGCATGCCCAACGAGAGCAGCAACAGGGGCAGCATCAGGGATCAGCATCATACCAGGAATTTGAGCCGACGGATCACAACAAGCGACTGACGTCTCATGGTGAATATCCCTTGGCGAGATTCGATGTCAAATGCCACCAAGCGCTCCAAGAGCAGCTTGGAACAAACGATGAGAGGAAACGAAGGTCAGGTCAACCGACACTATTAGGCGAACAGCACACTCTCTCCAACGAGGGTAGGCGGTCTCCTTTTGTCAAAATGGAAACTGTGGCGGAAAATTCCATGTCGACCCAGGACTGGACCGGCATTGACAGCCGAGACGAGGTTCTCCGATCAGCCCTGCTCGCAGCCAGTGCAATAGAGGATCGCAGGATGTCGTTACAAGCCGAATCGTCAGGAGCTCCGCAGACACCGTTTCACGACCAGAATCGATATGACCAAATGCAGAATATGCCGCGTTGGACGTCACCGCTGGCAGTGAGGCCGAGTCTTGTCTCCCACCACAGTTTTCCCGGTGTCATGATGCCTGAGCATAGCCATGACAGCCACCGAACCTTTCCACTACTGACAGAGAGCCTTAGTACTACTGAAGCAGTTACAGTCGGGCAGCCAGAAATGACATCTTTGATGCCCACCAATGCCATCGAGGTTCCACATCATGCTAATGGTCAAGGCCGATTTTCGAGAGCAAAGAGCGAGCCTGAACCCGAGTTACTCCTCGATTTTGAGATGGTAAATTCACAACAGGATGCTTACACCGAAACGATGATCGACACAAATGCCATGACCAGTCGGTTGGAGGCACCCGTCCAGCATGACTGGGTCAACATCAACGATGACCAGTTCCACATTTCCTCAGGAGGATCTGCGGACAGTCAGAACTCACAACTTTTCTCGCAGAATAGTGGTGAAATGATCTTTTCTCAGTCCCAGGGGCTGGGAGACAAGATCGACTTGGAGGACAGTTTTGCACAGGTGCAGGTGGAAGATGGATCGGTATAGACCATGGATTGTATTAGGCGTCTGGCTGTGTAGACATTACCTAGTAAGTTTGGCTTCAAGATAGGTTTGTCGGAGTTGGAGTCGGGGATAGTGGTGAATAGTGTCAAGGTATCTTACGGTGTTTGATCAGTAACCATCCCTAGCTGTCAGGATCGTATTGCATTCCATTCTTATGGACTACTCTAGTATCATAGCGAGTTCCTTAATGCGAGCTACATGGGAAAGCCTCTTATTCAAATTGCGAGGCTAGATCAGTCTAATCTCTCCGACATTCTGTGCTCACCTATGAAGGATGGAACCCCCTTGTCGTGAGAATGTATCGACGTGGTAGTGATCTCGGGAGATTCTGAGGGAAAAAAGTTTTCATGGTGAGGAAATGAGCTTGACTAGATGTTCGATCTTCAGATCCCTACTTGTCTGGCATCGTTCTAGGCTATAGACAATGACCCTCTCGTGGTGATCAGACAGCCAAATCTCCGGATTCGAATCCAAATCCCAGTACCTGAAAGTGAGGTTACGTTCGGATGCGTTAAGCGGACAATGTGGTTTCGCGTGACATGGAGGGAGAAGAAAAAAGAAGTTCTCAACATTAACATACTAGGTATTAAAGACATCCCACACGGGATGACATGCTGCTCAGACTAAACGTGTTGGACTTGAAGTGAAGTGCATCAATCGCGTAGCCAATCGCATGGCATTGATACGACCCCATAAGCTCTCCAGATAATACCTAGGTCTGTCGAAAGATGCGCTGCATGTTAGCGCACGCAGAAGTACGCATGTCTATGCAAGCAATGCGTCAGAAATGTAGTTGCTGACCAGGTGGTGGAAGGAAAATGGGATGGATGGGCAAGTTGAGAGATGTCCAGACAGGACTACCATGCCCACCAACAAGCATCGATGACCCACATCTCTTCACTGATTTGATAGATCCATGAGAGCGAGAGCGAGAGCGAGGCGAGAGTGTACGTACTCCGTAGACATCATCCTACAGCGATCAGAGTCTGTTCAAGGATCGTGCCAAGCGGAGACGGCGACTCTCAGCCTGAAGAAGCTAATGGCAAGCCTCGGACTTGTGAGCTTGTGTTGAGTTTCGTTGCTTTTATGCAACCAAATTCAAACACTGATAAGACGGCGGACGTGAGTGCTTGTGAAACTCTACCTGCAGTTTCCAGTACGAGATGGTCAAAGGCTTTCGGGCAGGCCCGATAAGGATGCATCGACAGGTCATGTTGCCATTGGTATGAAGCATGACTAATGCTACAGTTGTATCTTAGGTATCTATACCCGTCATTGCCGTCCTGACCAACCACCAAGCTTAATGCTTAATACACCCAAGTTGTTAGCGTTCATTGTCCAACCGCGGCAATATTGGTGAATTGGGGCTTCGAACTCATAACCTAGGAGTACTCGTATGCACTACTAGGCTAGAACATGCCTCAGAAGCTCCAGTGGCTTTCTTGGGGCGTGTTGCTTATCTTTGGATCGACAGACCCCGGTCTATTTGCATCGCCAGTCCCTGCATCTGGCTTTGGATTCAGAAGCCTTCATTGGCGGACTGGTGCATCGTCCAGAACGCATCACATGCACGCGAAACTCCGTATGCTGCTTGCATCTTCACATCGAAGATCTCCTCATGCGTGTCGCAAAAGGCAGTGTGGGAAAGTCTGTCTTTCTCCGGTTGTGCTATCTTCCAGCCCCAGGTATTCTCTCCACGTTACTCAAATCATGTGCTCTTTGGTTTTGAATTCGGCGATGGGAGGGCCATGGTCGATCCTCCAACACTCACCGACAGATATATTTCTGACCTGGTCCCTCCACTCAGCACAGGGCCTGTCGAGCATCCCTCAACCTCTAATCCTCTTGTGTGAGAAGCCAATATTTGAAAAAGCAACTACAATATGGCCAACACAGCGGGGGCGGCATATGTGCCGCTCTCTCAAGGATTTGGCTATGGCATCATTCTAGGTTTGGGCTTTGCCTTCGCCCTGGGGATGATATTCACCACATGGGCGTTGAAACGCTATCACGGCGAAGTCAGTCAACCTCTCTACTTTGGTCCATTGTGCTGTCAACTCATTTATTCCTTAGGTTCAAACTTCAGAAGCATTCTCAACGGCTGGCAGAACAGTCAAATCTGGTTTGGTTGCAGCAGCAGTTGTTTCATCCTGGACGTAAGTTGTCTTCGACCTCTTCGGCGGAATAAACACCTCCGTACCTGTTCTCTACACTGGGCTGCCATGGCCTTCACTTATAAATTGTCGTTTAACGTTGGGGATCCGTAACGTGAAAGTGGATGCTGACTTCATGATACAACTAGCTGGGCAGCCACTCTCCTTCAATCCTCTGGCGTTGCCTACTCATACGGTGTGAGTGGGCCGTTCTGGTATGCCTCTGGTGCCACGGTTCAGATCCTGCTATTCGCGACGCTGGCTATTGAGTGAGTACATACCCAACGCGCCCACATTCTTTACAGCGTCTCTATGCTAAGAATTGTTCGTCTGCGATAGACTGAAGCGCAAAGCACCCAACGCTCATACTTTCCTCGAAGTCATTAAAGCAAGATATGGAGTTGTCTCGCATATCGTGTTCCTTGTTTTTGGCCTCATGACCAATATTCTGGTCACAGCTATGCTTCTGACCGGTGGAAGTGCTGTCGCTAGTTCCCTTTGCGGCGTTCCCACCGCAGCAGCTTGCTTCTTGCTCCCTGTGGGCGTGGTGCTCTATACGTGAGGCACTCTGTATCCTCCTAAGCAATACTTGCTGATATACCTTTCCCTAGCATGTTCGGCGGGATCAAAGCCACATTCCTCACCGATTATGTTCATACGGTTATTATCCTCACCATTATATTCATATTCGCGTTCAGTGCATACGCAACTAGCGATGTTGCCGGATCTCCCGGGAAAATCTGGGAATTGCTGGTTGAAGCCGCGGCGAGACACCCAGTTCACGGGAATGCTGAGGGCAGTTATCTCACGATGCAGAGCAGAGAAGGAGCTATATTCTTTGTTATCAACATTGTTGGAAATTTCGGCACTGTCTTCTTGGTGAGTGGTTTACTAACTGGAATGTTGCCGGTGTCTAACATAAGTCCAAGGACAATGGATATTACAATAAGGCTATCGCTGCCTCTCCAGTTGATGCACTGCCTGGCTATGTCTTAGGAGGCCTGTCTTGGTTTGCTATCCCATGGCTTTGCGCTACCACTATGGGACTTGCAGCGCTTGCATTAGAAAGCAATCCTGTTTTTCCGACATATCCCGACCGCATCCCTCATGCTGATGTCTCTGCCGGTTTGGTCCTGCCGTATGCTGCAGTGGCTTTGCTTGGGAAAGGTGGAGCGGCAGCCACATTGCTCCTGATTTTCATGGCTGTTACCTCTGCGTCTTCAGCAGAACTGATTGCCGTGTCCTCAATCTGGACCTACGACATCTACCAGACCTACATCAACCCCAAGGCTTCTGGAAAGTTCCTGATTCGAATGTCACATGTCTCTTGTGTGGTATATGCTATTATTCTGGCGTCTTTTTCAACCGGGCTATTCTATGCTGGTGTAGGAATGGTAAGACATCATTTGGCGACTGTAATCACTCTTAACTCTGTTAATGCTTTGTACCTAGGGCTACCTTTATCTCCTTATGGGCTGCATCATCTCCAGCGCCGTCCTGCCAGCGACTCTTTCGTTGATGTGGAAGGACCAGAACTGGCAAGCCGCAGCCGGTGCTCCTATACTGGGTTTCATCTGTGCCATTACTGCGTGGCTTGTGACGGCCAAGAAGGAATGTGGTGTTCTCAACGTCGACTGCACGGGATCCAACAATCCGATGCTCGCTGGCAACGTCACTGCATTGCTCAGCCCTCTGATCTTCATCCCTGTCCTCACCTTTGCCTTTGGTAAGCAAAACTACGACTGGGAATCCATGAAACAGATTCGCAAGGTCGACGACTCAGAAATTCTGCGACGAGCCAGTGTCGACGCTGAGATGGCTCGCACCGTCATCATGCAGTCGGCTGAGCAGGAGGCAGCGGAGCAAACCAAACTCCACAAGTCTGCCATCATTGCACGAAGCTTGACTGGCATCATGACACTGGCTCTCCTGGTGCTTTGGCCCATGCCTATGTATGGGACTGGGTACATATTCAGCAAGAAGTTCTTCACAGGTAAGTCCATGATCATGAATTTTTATGTTGTTGAATTGTCGTGGCTGAACTGTGTCTAGGGTGGGTCGTCGTCGGTATTCTATGGCTATTTTTCAGTTCCTTCTGTGTGGGCATCTTCCCGCTGTGGCAAGGAAGAAAGACTATGGTTCACACGGTCAAGTCGATGGTGCTGGACGTCACTGGTAAAAGGAAGCCTGCTATGCTTGGTGACGTTGTCCAAGTTGAGGACGACAGTGGCCAGCAGACCCCAGACGAGAAAATCGCCATCAAGACTTCCTGAGACTGTGCTGGGTTTTGAGGGTCTAGGTGGATCATCTGGTTCCAAAGGCCTTTTTACTCATGGACACCGGGATGACGAAGTGTATGACATGTCTTGTCGTTGATGGAGCCTCAGATGTGTGATCGATTATATAGTTGATGGTCCTAAAGTGAGAACGTAAAGTGACTTCACTGGCCTAAGAAGGTGTTGGTTGATGTGGCAATGGTCTCGGAGGTTCCATACACGGTCATCGAAGACAATGACATTGATCTATCAAGCGTGCTCGACCTGACTACATCAAACTGCAGCCATCCAAACAAAGGTACACTTGACCTTGTTAGCATTATCAGGGGTTTGCTATGGTGCACAGGATATACTTCGTCAGTGGCCTGATCCTTAAATTGAAACTGCCTATTTTAATTGATTTGGTTCGTAAATCCTTGCCAGAACACTGTACAACTTGTTTCTCAAAACCTTTATTTACAATTTCGCAGGCAAAGACCCGTCCGAACTGGTAGATCCATTGACAGCCTTCCACACATGGAGTGCTTCTTCCCATCTCTCGTCCTCCCACATATCCAATCCACCACTAGAATTCAGACGTTTGACATATTTGGGACCCTTCTTCTCCCATTGGACATCCTTGCCAGCGACAAAATCCGCGAAAAGTCGATGGAACGGACCGACGATCTTCTTTTCTGAATCGGACAAGCCTTCATTCCAGCCATTTCCCCACCACCAAATCGCGCTATCGGTGTCATGGGTAACCTTCCACTCGCGAGGCCACAAAGCGTCGACGCATTCTGCCCGCCACTCGATGCGGTAACGGAGGACGTCCCTTCCGAACTCGAGGCCTGCGTTCGCAAGATTGTTGTGAAAGCCCCGTTCCAGACAGTGTACCTGCAGATCTGCATAAATGCGACCGAAAAGATCACACCAGTCTGTGCAATGTTGGGGAAGTTGCTTATTCTTTGTATATAAATCAAGCACATTGTTTACAACCCTTTCAGGATAGTCTGCGCACAATCGTGCATGAACGGCTTGGAACGAATTGGCCGGTGTGCGCCAGTCTTGATAGAGATAGTGCTCGTCGGCACATTCGCCATTGAGGAGTTTGACGCCTCTCGCTTTCATGCGCCGGCCGTACTCTCCAGAATTGATTGATTTGATGAGTGATTTTGAGATGAACGAACCATCAGAGTATCCTCGAAATTCTGAGTACCTCATGGTGTTTTGAACCTTGATAATGTCGGCGACAGGTGCGGCTCGAAGCGCGGCCAACTTTTCGGAAGGTGAGAGCTTGGGAGAAATGTGCAGAGTAGAGAGTAGTTCGTCGAAACTCTTTTGGTGTTCGTCCAGGAGTTTTGGCTGCGGGCCAGTGCCGTTGGACCACATTATTGCGCGTTTGATGATGGATTGAGAGGCTGGAAGGAAGAGGTCATGAGACAACTGTTGAAATGTGGAATGTGAACCGGCAGAATAGCCTCCCACGGTGATGTTTTTTGGATCTCCTCCAAAAGACGCAATATGCCTCGAAGTCCACTCAAGGGCAGCTCTCTGGTCCCAAAATCCTGCATTGCCTGTCGCTTCACCGGCATTTCGGGCTTCTTCATCCAATTCATGGCTCGCAAGAAATCCAAGAGCGTTGACACGATAGGCTGGCATCACAACAATGGCTTGGAAGGATGTTTCCTCGAACATCTTGGCAATGACATCGATGGGTTTATCGGCGGAACCAAATTGCAGGAAACCTCCATGAATATAGAAAAAGACAGGCCATCCAGCTGCGGGCTTCTTTCCGGACGGGACCCAAATGTTGGTCTTGAGGCAGTCTTCACTCCAGGTATTGGGATCAACCTCCCAACGCCATGTTGGCTGTGGGCATATTGGGCCAGCTGCAGTGTACTGACCCGGGTTTGACTTGGTACCGTAATTGAAGGTTGACGGCAGAGGGCGAGTTTTGCGGAAACGAAGAGGACCTACAGGCGCCTGAGCAAATGGAATGCCGCCATAGTACTGGCCGAGATCCTTTTGTGATTGGGGAGATGTTAATTGCAAACCCTGGATCCAACCCAGTGAGCCGAGGTCAATTGGGGCGGGTTTTGAGGCCGCCGTATATCTCGAAGCCATGTCGCTGCCTCAAAGCGTTTTATGGAAGGTGTTCTTTGGTTCCAACGAAGCGGTCAATACAGGACAGACGACGGATTGCGATGGACACTCCGAGGAGTCGAGATGGACAACGACTGAAGAGGAATATGGAATAAGTAAAGAAGGCTTTGGCAATTAAGGCCACAAAGCAACGGAAGTCGGCAAGCACGCAGACTGTGAGATCGTTTGAGTGAAACTGATTGGCGAGCTCGGCAAGATCTTGTCTATCTTGCGGAGAAGATACTCGTACAGAATGAACTACGTATCTCATGCTTTGTGGTTTGGAAATGGGAGAGTCGGCATTCGGTAATAAAACAAGCCCCGCAAGCTTGGGTTCCCCTCCGGTGGAAAAGGTTCCGCGAATTGCAAGAATATGTGCCCAGAAAGCATCAATCATGAAGCGATAAGATGGTCTGAGGTGGGGAAGAGTCTGTGATTGTCTCTCTGCCCGCAGCATAAATCTGGCTTCCTTCCTTTTCTGGTATGCATATGCCTATATAGGGCATGGCCAATTCTATGAGTTGACAGAAGGAAGGAGCGACTGCCACGACGCCAAGAAATGTCAAAGCACGTGATTATATCAAGCAGTTTCTCAGGAGAAAATTCATACGTCGAACCAAAGTGAAGTTATGCGCAAAAGAGTCTTCGATCTGGGAGAACAATGTGAGTCGCTGAGTAGCAGCACCAGTTGACTGTCCCTGAATGGCATACAGCGCAGTATTGGAGGTCAGAGCAAGGGCGAATCATCGATCGCGGTCTCTCAACCTGGTCCAATCTCAGGATAGATGTAACTCAATCATCAAACCCATGCCTTGTGCGGGATAAGAGAGAGAAAGAGAGAGGGAGAGAGCGCGACAACTGATGAGAGCAACTAAGTAGTGGTTGATACCCTGATTGACTCTCAGAGAATCAATGTGGGTTTGGCCGTACAATGCAGGATTGGACAGACGTCGGTGCTGTCCAGATTCCTTGGTAACTGGTTGTTAATCTGAGGGTTATGTATTGATCGTCCTGATCGAGGGGTCAACTCCTAAGATTACAAGATCCATTTATCCTCTACAAGCAAAAGTAGGTTTCCCAGTCTTCCACCCGCTGATAACTTTTTCTTAATGCTCGTGAGCTGGTTCGCCGTGATATCCTACCACCTTGAAGCGTCCAATCATCTCGCCAACGGTGAAAAAGCCGAGGATCTCAGCGGCGACGAGTCCAACGGTGGCTACTTGTCGGCCACTGGCATTTCGGACGGTGCTCAGAGCTTGCTGTGGGTTGACGGAGTTGGTCAGAGAACTGGTGGCGGAGGAGATGGATCGAGGGTTTCGGACGATGTTGGTCAGAGGTTGAAAGTATGATTGAAATTGAGCCAGCGAGCTGCAAGAGTTGGTTAATAATGTATGGATTGAAAGGCGCGAGAAAACCCTTACGGAGGTGCCCATTGTTGACCCCGAGCGACCATCTTGGACAGCTCCAAAGCGACGCGAGAGTAGTAGACGGTGGGTGGTATTAATGCTGGCGCAGAATTGTTAGCAGGTGTGACAGCGACGCGATGAACAGTGTGTTTTTATCGTACATTCAACAAAGGCAATGAATCTGCCCGTCCTTCCCCCAACTTTTCCCAATGCTGAACCAGCTTTTGAAATGGCAGAGCCTGCGGAGCTTGTGACACGGCTCAGACCCTCTGTAGCCTTGGAGATTGCCTTCTGGCCAGATTCCTGAGCCTTGCCAGCTGCTTCTGAGGCAGTCGAAGCTTGTCTGAAGGCATTTCGGCGAACGACAAGATTGGATTGACGAAGTAGGATGCGGGTAGCTCGAGTAGAAGACATGGCTGCGCAGGATGCCAGACAGGGCGTGGTGGATGATAGAGGGGGAAACCGGTGCCCAAGAATAAAAAGACCGCGGGTTGGAGCTCGCAGTGATGTTTTCTTGGTGGTGTGGTGTTGTGTGAAGAAAAGACAACTCGATCACGGCTCGTGAGACTGCACTGGACTGGACGCAAAGCTTTGGCTGATTTCGAAATCTCGGAATATTTTGGGAAGAGTCCGCCCAGCCATACAAGCTTCTGATTGGTCAAAGGTTCACGCTGGTTCCTGGCGCTGCCGCAACGATAAATATCTACGGAGTATCTTGATAATATCAAACCTCTGATAAACACACTTTAGTCTTGCAGTGGGTTCTTTATGTTCATGATACCAGTTCCCCAACGCAGCATTAAATTTCTGGCAAAGAAGTCCAGGTGAGTGAATTGCAAACCAAAACAATGCAGGTTGTGATTAATTGCCACTTCAAATGGGCGACTCAAGCATTGAGCACGTGACATTCCACAGGCAAACTTCCACTTGGCAGCATCTTCACCGATGAGAGCACATAAATCTCTTTATCCATTATCTCAGTCCACTGTTCCGACCAAGCGTGGCAAGACAGGCCTGACATCCAACATCCGAAGATCACAAGCCAACGAAGCCTAGGATCTAGCCATGGAGAGGTCCACGAGTGCTCAAAGAACTGCATTAGCGAGTCTTGACCCTGACCCGAAAAACAGTGTTTGGCCCCAAAGTGCACTCAAATAGGCGTAGATTCCTGGCTTCCCCGGTAGGATGATGGACCCAAGGAACCCCCATCAGTCGATCATAAGCCCTAGGTAGGTACTCATAGGCCATTGACCCTGGCAATGCCCCTGGCAATGCCCCTGCGTCTGGGCCCCTCGGCCTGCAGCTGTGCCTGGCGTTGGGTGTCTGCTTCCTCGAAACCACCGGCCTGGAATTTATGAGGTTAGTAAAGGCTGGGGATGCTTCTATAGGGAGACCTTTCCTCCCCAAAAGGTCCATAAGGTCCACTGCGATGGAACCTCGCTCTTCTCTCTCGTGCCTTTGTTTCTGCGCTCGTATTCCACACGCTCTCCCCCTCGAAAGATAATTAAGCAGCACGAGCACCTCGTCTGTAACGTCTCTCGTTGATTTCAAGATGCAGTCGAGATGAACAAAGAAACTCGCATCCACAATATTGTCATTCTCCCTTAACCTCAGCTGCTAAGCTCCAATACCGAGCATCTGTCAAGGTTGGTGGCAGCGAGTGTGATTGATTTTGAGCGTTGTTTGCGTGGCGCCGTCGATCCGGAAAGCCTCAATTTGTTTGATTTTGCTCTTCATCCAATCCCTGCCATTATTCAACTTTGCGAGTCTGTCAATCTGTCATTGCTGTCAGTCCCCAGCACTTGTTGAACCGAACCGAATTCCTGCACAGATTATTCTTTTTGTACTGGGTTACACAAATCGGAGCTGGCATCTCCTACTCTTCTTGAACCTCACCTCTGTTCATATTCTCCCATCAGTCACACGTATTCGACCGCTCTTCTTCACCAGGGCGGTGTCATTGTCGCCCACCCATGGACACCTCCCAGCTCCTTTCTCAGAAAGTCCGACAATATAATGGCGTCTCACGGTCGACCTCAACAGCCTCGACGGTCTCTAAAACAAGCTCTCAAGGATCTTTTCCATGGCAGGACCAAGAAGGCTTTCCAGCAGTCTCAGGCATCCCAGCCCGTTGGTTCAGGAATCTTGCGCAGAGGAGGCCCAACTCTCGGTAGCACTTCTTTGGCTTTGCATAGTCAACAATCCCTCTTTTCGGGCTTTTCAGAGAGCTGTGTCAGTGTCGAACAGAGCATCGTTTCCCATGCCATTCCAAACAGATTCAGTTCGCATCAACAGATCCAATCAAGCACTAGTCGACCTCATCATGGAACGCTCCTGCCTGCGCGAAGTCTAAGTCAATTTGAACTTCACAACTCATATCTACGAACCTCGACTGTTGCCTATCACCAGGTACAGCACAATTTGGCGGAGGTTCTTGAGTCACATGATCCGTACCAGGCAAGTGTGTCCGAGTTGACCAGTTTGTCCGCCTTTTCCAGCCTGTCGACTCTCAAGGTGCAAGATTCCAGAAGACAATTACGGCAGGGTGCGACTTTGCACCCTGTTCAATCACCATCACCGCATCCAGACACCTCTTATTCTTATCGGGCATCCGAAACCCGCCCTACTTTGTCGCATCCTCAGTCTGGACGTGCGCCAGTCGAACCAAAGCATGTCTCGTGGTTGAAGTCTCCGTCGGCGTCGGGCACTTCTGTTGCCTACTCATCAACCACTTCGTCGTCGTCATCAGCGTCAATATCTCGAAGCACATCGACCGCGCCCGCAAGTCTGGCTGGGTCAATGGGTGGGGGCCCGCTTGTAGAACATTTCAAATTGTTTTGCATCCTCGACACTATGACGCCGGGATATCCTGTGGTCATGGCATCTGAACAACTCAGATATATCTTCAACATTGGAGAACAATTCTTCCTCAACAACCGTGAATGCGAAGAAACATCGATGGACATTGTCACGGGAGTTGATGCCGCGGGTGAACCCGTCACCCACCTAGTTCTGTTTACACCGCTTGTCATTCCCAGCAGTGGTCGCCATAAATTCCTCATGGCGTGTCTGATTGATGTCACTCGGTTCATCAACGATGCCGCTTCACTGCCAGACCTGGATGATTCGTCGTATCCATCGTCAATGGCCGAGACCGGGCCTCGGACACCATCCCAACAGTACCATTCGGTCTCGAGTTGGATGGCAGGCGGCTATAAACTCTCATCGGAAGATCTACTCGGTGGCTGCGTGCTCCCTGAAGACCAGAAAAGCTCAAGTCGTCCATGGACAGTGTCTCGAGATGATGTGTGGCTCAATCTAGCATGTGAGGAAAGAAGTCGAACGTCCCCAAGCACAGAATCTCCACAACGGACGAGAAGGCCAGCACTGCAGGAGGGCATGGCGACACATTCGTCGCATTCAACAGGGGCCAGCACATCCATCGACGGGGTTCTGGAGGAATTTATGTTGGGTCTGCAAGAACTGTACTCGGACTTTTTCCTGCTGGGAAAGTCACCTTTGAGTGAAACTTACTACGAAATCTGTAACATATCACCCACTCTTTACACGGCGCAAGATTATATCCAAGGACATCTATCGCACACAGATCCTTACACGATGGACGAGCTGGGCACTCGTCTAGGTCTCGACCTTGCCTTTTCTCTCAAGGTCAAGTGGGGCAAGGCCGGAGAGCCAAAGCAGTTGTATTGTAGCCCATTATATGGTCAGCGATCGGTCGCGTGGGTTTGTTTTCTTGTGGACGCTGCGAGTCCACCTCTCTGGTGAGGAGATTGACATAACGACGCCCAAGACATGTGGACACCAGGAGGGCAAGGCCCGCGATAAGGTCGATGGTGTTGGTGGCAAATTGGTCTTGTAGTGACCTAGGTATCACGGCCGAAAGATTGCCTATACCACGGTGCCATTGGCAGTGGTGATCGACACGTCCAACATGGTCGAGAGCGGCCTGATGGCTTCTCGAGAGATGTCGTGGGAGAGTCCAGGTTGGCAATGCACAACGAATGATAGTTTAGGGCTTGCGACTGCGACGATCATAGAACGGCCGAGCTTCTCAGCGTTCTTGTAACGTCACCTGGGATCAATGTAAACCACTTGGCTTGATGAGAATATCGAGCGTAACTGACCAACAAGAGGCGGGTCGGACCTGGGCAGCGAGTGAAAGCGCCAACGGCTTGCGTTAATCGGCAGCGCAATCCTTGTCGAAGCAACACTGGGGGCACGGGTTGATCTTCTAGCGTCCTTCCAAAGCTACCTAAATGAGGTGAGCAGCAAGGGTTGAGCACGCTAAACCCTGAAGGCTAATTACAGCCTGAGATCACCCAACACTGATGACCTAATAATTGTGCAGATGGAAGGTGCAGGAGAGGGCGCGAGGCATGCCTGGGGACGCCTAGACTTGTCCTACAGTGTAACACAACAAGGAGAAGATTTGATGGGCCGAGGAACAATAACGACATTCGATTTCTACCACTTCACAATGCAGTAGGTACTGAGTTATGCATTTCCGGATGACGATGACGCGACTTCGGCCAAATTGAGGTGCAGTGAGTTTAACGCTGACATCTACACACGGCGTCTAATAATCATGAACTATCATTGAGGGTGTGTGCAGGCAGGCCACCCTGCAGAAAATATTCTTTACAAGTACTGGACCCAGAGTCCTTTAGTACGGAGTAGGGTGATGAAAGGGTGGCACTGGCGGCACTGGTGGCACCAACAAGGATGGGAGAACCAAGGAGCAGGGAGACCATCCCCGCTGTGACTACGGAGTATCTACGGGTACGGATAGCGCCAAACCAACCCAAGATCGAGAATCCAGACTGATGAGTTCGCTCATTCTTTCGCTCGCTTCTAGTGATATCCGACCTCCCTTGGCCTCCGTACCCGCCCAGAGTGGCTCCCGGGTGTGGTCTCCAGTGGTCTCCAGTGGTCTCCAGTGGTCTCCAGTGGTCTCCAGTGGTCTCCAGTGGTCTCCAGTGGTCTCCAGTGGCACCCTTGGCCCCTCGGCCTCAAGTGCCCCAGTAATAATGCGACGGGCGTCGGATGGACATCGTGGGTCGATGCATGGCTAAGCGAATTGTCCTCGACGGGTCCAGCCAGGCAGCGGTAGCAGCCTACCAGATGTCGGCTTCACTTTCTTCAAGCACTAAGGTAAGTAATAGTGCCGCTCTTTCATATGCCGCCGACGAGATTTTGGGCTGAACTGGGGGGGCCACCTGCGGGGGGCGACACCTAGGATTTGATGAGAAGATATGGTACGCATAGAGAATTTACATACATTCCTTAGGTCGGTCAGCTAATGTACGTACCTACCTAGGTACATACATATCTAAGTATTAAATACTATTGTTATCGCCCTTTGTCTCTTCATTACTTCTACGCGCCACGCATATATTCCAATACCCGCCCATCTACCTTCGTGGCGTCAAAAGATCCATTGCACCATCAACATTCATTAATAATACAGGACAAAGTTTCCTGCAGCGTTCCAACTTTCGCCGGATCAGCCCTCAATCAAGCGTTGACCCCACATCGAAAGTTTAGTGAATGCCACGACACTTGACGCTGTGACGCCGCCGCGGATTCCACCGAGTGGCTTCACCTCTAGAACCTTGATCTTGGGTCTCATCCTTGGTACTGTAACTGCAACTCGAATTCCAACTTCATATCTGCCGACATTCAACTTCCTCCATCTTCTACATCCTCGACACGGCCTTTGATCTGAAAATATCAACATACAAGTTTCTACCGCCGTGGCCCACACTCGCCAACTCCGAGAGTGAGAGCAACCACCATGTTCAACCAAAACTTCTCCTTTGGCTCTGCGCCATCCCCGCCTCTATCAGACCCCGACGTCCACGACTGTACTTCTGCAGACATCTCACCTTTTACTTCAAGACCATGTTCACCACTTTCTCGATCCCGCGCCACCCAACGAGATACCAGATTCGACGCATACCGATCGTCTGAAGCAGCACCTCGCCGCCCCTCAGTCACCGCAATCACGGCACAGTTACAATCCCAGGCACTCAATGACGTTGTAATGGATTCTCCCCCATTGAGTCCCGATGAATTCCCTTCCTCATCTTCCTCATCCGACACAGACCCCGACGAGGGCTTCTACGATGGACCCGAAACCCCCGACACCCCTCTCTCCGACGACGCCTTTGCCGTCCACGAATTCGACCCTACCCTCTGGGACTTGAGCATGTCAGACACCATGGTTGCCACGTCCTCTCCACGACCTTCATTATCACTCGAAGCCCAGGCTCTGTCATCTTATACCATGCGACGGCGTCAACGGCAAGCCCTTGTTCGACTACAATGCCTCGCCACTCGAACACCAGATCTAGCCATGCTGATTGAAGAATGCCACCCCAGCTCATTACCATACGAGAGTGAAATCTTGAGGGCTTACTGTTCCAAAGACAGAAGCGCCAGTGTCTGCAGCCAGTCTGCAACCTCCAGCATTCCCAGTGGAAGAGTCGACAAGGAACGCAACAGCTCTCTGGTTTCAGTTAGGAAAACTCCTCGCATGAGAAAGAGGTTATCTACAACAGGGTCTACGCGATGACAAGCACCTATCCGATCTGTTCGCAGGAGTCGGCCGACCGTCTGTCCATTTTGTGCGTATCTGCCTACAGTTCTATACCCATCAAGTACTCTGCTATTCTTCAGCACGCAATAAAACCATGTGACTGTCTCATCTTTTGGGAATTCTGTTCAATTCCTTAATCCTTCCAACATTCCCATAGCCAAAGCCCAGCCCAAGGCACATGTTTGTCGTATCAGGTAGACTCCACCCATGAATGTATGTGAAATGGGTACAAAGCTTTCGATAAATTCCATAAGGTATTACCGAATACGAGGTCTGAGGGGGCCGTGTGGTACCGACCAGCCAGGTAGCTAACCAGCCAGCCCCCCCGTCGTGGGATGCCGTGCTGGTTTCCGGTCCTTCGGAACCTCTCCACTTTGTATTGTGACGACCGTTCGATTTCTTCACGAGCCCCTAACATGGCATCCTCACAAAGCGGATGGGATGCCATGCCATGCGCGCCGATTCAGCGCCGATCTCCCGAGTGGGGGAATCTTTTAGCGAATTTTACCAGTCACGTTCTTTTTTCTGACTTGTTCTCTTTCGTGTCACTTTAACTCCACAACATTTTATTACCCAAGCACGCACACAAGCAAAACTTTACCCCCATGCATGCAGGTCATCTGGTAGGTACCTTTAGGCAACTGACGGAGCCGGCCGTTTTTTTTCTGGTTTTCTGATACTCGGCGAAATACGGAATTGCAGCCTTTTTTACCTTCCTTTTCGTACTTTTAGGCGACAGCGGGATCCCCCCGGGGGGGTTTCCCTAGAACTCCGGCTCCAACAGCCGGTAATTTTGTGGAGTGACTGCATATGCCTAACCCGCTACCAATGTTGATCAATTCGTATGATGTCTGGTTCTTCTCATCCATCAATCCATCTGTAGTAGCATAACTCGGCAAATTTTGCACTGCACTTTAATTCAAGATATTGTGTTCCTTCATTTTGAAATGGTCTGAGTCTGAGTCTAAGTCTGAGTTCTGGTTGCCGTTACTGCGAGCCGAAAAAGACTCGTAGACTTGAGACTTGCAATGTACTAGGTACTAGGTAGGTACAATGCACCATGCACAATACACACATTCACTGAGGTGATCACTCATCCTCCATTCCGAACCCAACCGACTAGTTCTGTTTGTGATGAGAGCTGATACATAGAATTTTCAACTTGAATAGGCACCGCACTGGACGACTGGTCAACCACCCATCACCATGTGATAAACTCTCGTCCTTATCATGGTTCTAGGTACGGTATGTATGTAGGGTGCGGCCGGTCCAAAAGAACCGCCGGCAGCAACACTTCATTTTTGACTGCTCTGTTACTTTACCCTCCAACAAACTTAACTTTCTACTGAGGTGCTCTTCCTATTATTATTAGCCCTGGAGTCAGGTCCTAAGGTCCAGGTAGAGAAGCTTGGGCAGTCCAGTGATCCTTGCATATGCGTAGGTGACAAGCTGAGAATCGTTTGCGATGGGCCTTTTGACTGGAGATTTCATGCGGCCCAATCGACTTTTCTTCCTGGACAAGAGTCTGGGGATTTGATTCCTGGATTTGTGATGATGATGATGATGATGCTGCTGCTGCTGCATGCATGGTTGATATACAGCATGTTGACGACTCTGCTTGAAATCCCCGCCATTGTCTTCAGCAGCAGTCATTTGCTGCACCAACAGTTTCGCATCATCTCCTGAGTGGGACAAAGCATGTGACGATACAATTACATACCTAAGATTGACGGGCTCACACGATCTCGACATAGAACGGTAGGATTACAGATACGAAGTACACTTTGAAATTCAATTCGATCTCTAAGGCGTCTAGCTAACTCAATCTTCGCAATCTCAGATCTCATCTGATCAGACATCGCAAGCTTACCCACATAGACACTGTACTACAGTACTAGTATAGGATCTAAAACCTGGGATTTCCAGATCCATGGTAGCCAAGTACCGCGCCACGAAACACAAAACGTGTGGGATGCGTCCTGTACGACCATACACATCCCACAGGCACTCATCTTGATCCTTGGACGTGGGCCCAGAACACAGAAATCCCCATAACCCAAGCACGACCAAGTTAGCGGACCAGATTTCAACTTCTGCGGGCCGAAGGGCCAAGAGGATCTTCAGGGGACTCTTGGTCTTCATAGACCATGGTCTAGACCCCCTCAGCCGTACTTTGGGGTCGAAACAAGAACATCCCCCCAAGGCGTAGGACCCGTGCCTTTGCCTTTACTAAATTAACCGTGCTAGTAAGTATTAGGTTATTTTACCTGTGAAGTGAATCTTTAACTGAAACGAACATTTTGCATACATTGTACAATCGCTAGACATTTATACTTTTACATATAGTTAAGGTATGCATGGATGTTTACGAGTGCCGCGTACGCATTCTCAGGTACCTAGGCACCTCCCAATGATTCGGTCACGGTGCCCAGTGCTGACTTATGAGTGGGACTTGATCGAGACCCATGCCTACGAGTAACATGGAATGGATGTTCGGATGTGGCTACTAGCATGCCATATATGTGTAGCGAAGGTAGTGAAACGTCATTGCCCGTGCGCATCTGGACAATGAAATAACATACAGTCGACCTCGCCCTTGACCTTGATCTGGAATGGATGGTTATTACAGTCCTTCAATGGATTCTGTGGGCACGAGCGTCCTTGCTGGCTTGAACCTCCCGGTTGAAACTTCCAGACTGGCGCGCGCCAGCACATGGGAAACCTGTACCCAGAGCAAACACCGTAACAAACAGGGCGAACCATGGGTCGCCAGAACAGCTTCAGCTTCAATAGTCATGAATGAGTAACAAAGCTCAGTCGCATCTCAGCCATTTCATTCCGAGCTGACAACAGGTTGGCTAGAACTTGGATATTCCATCCATCTGAGTTAAAGCCCCAAGGATTATTGCTTGGGATTTAATTCAGCCTGTTCTGATTTCCTCCCCATAGGCCTAGAACCACCAACCCTCCTCCCTATTATGATTATGTACTCCGTATATACTGTGTAACAAATCCACCATGGGTGGTCCGACATACCTACCAAGCCCCATTGATCCATTGACCCTTGATTTCCAACACACGCTCACTTGTGTCACTTCAGGTCGGAAATTCCGCCGAGCTTTGTTTGCCGGGTCCCAGGCATGGACTCTCGGCTCCAACAGCCTGTGTGTGCACTGGTATCGACTAGCAGGGCAGGGCAGGGCAGGGCAGGGCATGAAAACTCATCTGACCTGACCTTACCTATCCATGAGTATGCATGGATAGCCGACGGGTCTACGGTAGTTGCCGCTCTGCCGTAATGGCGAATTGGAAGCCAGAGTTCGGCAAATTCGGTCTCTGGTTTCGCTTACTTGCCTTGGCGGATTCGGAGAATTGCCGAGTGATGTACGAGGAGTAAAGTGTAATGTCATGGCGAATTATACGAGTATTGTGGTCAGTACCTAGGTCGTCAGGGGTTGAATATTGTTGTATGTGAGTATGTAATAACAATAATAATGAGTTGTTGTGATTTTCCACCTGCGTCGCCTCGAATCGCCCGTTTAATGAGTCGGCAACAAGTTGGGTGCCGTCGAAACCAAGATCCGCGGATGGCAGATCCGTTCCGTGTCTTTGATGAATTCAGAACCGGCGATTAGGGATCGTGGTGTGTATTGCCGGTGGGAATTATATTGCAATCCAGTAAATTTGTGGAGAGTGCAGTGATGACTTCTGCTCTCGATGCTGTATAGCACACTAGGTCTAGTACTCAATCGAACCCAGTCCAATCATCCTCAGTACTCTGTTGTTGATCTTGCCTGCCGAGTTTTCTACTCCCTTCGATTGCGCCGCGCTTTCGATTGATCTCTCGTCTCTCAAATCCACTCTGGGTACCAATCCTTGCCTTTCGTTTCAATCGCTTGGTCTTCTCATCATCATCCGCCCGTATAGCCCGCCTTGATTGCACTCCATGTAACTTGAGGTCTTTTCGAGCCGATTTGGACACGTTTGGTAGCGCACGCAGGAGCCATGGGTCAATGATATCGTCTCTCCGATTGGAGCTCCCTTGGCTTAGACCCGTGGAAGCGTCCTCCTCCAGTTTTGATCGTGCCTTTTGGCTTGCTGAAATCACGTTGGCGATACCTTTGACATACTGGATGTCGTCCTTAGTGTAGAAACTGATACAAACACCGCCTTCTCGTCCAGCTCGTCCAGTTCGCCCTGCGCGATGCACGTAACCCGCAACCGTGGTAGGGATGTCGTAGTTGATCACTGCATTCACGCCTCGAAAATCTACCCCACGAGCTAAAAGATCTGTTGTAATGAGAATCCACACGCTCCCAAGCCTGAACTTCTTCATGATTTCTGACCGAGCATGGTCAGGAAGTCCAGAATGAAGGACTGCTATCCGTGAAGAGCCGCCAGCGGCAGAGGGGATATCGTATTGAAGTTCATTGTATAGAGCTTGCGCTCGATCGATCGTTTGAGTGAAGACGAGAAATGGAGGTCGGACTGGCTTCGAGTCGTCCTCACCGTTTCTCGACGCATTTGACCGTGATGGTCGAAGCAACTGGCGCATGCCTAGTAGTTTTCCTGATTCAGACGCAGTATAGGTCAATCGGTGGGAGATTGTCGGCAAGCTGATATCTTTGAGTCCAATGATGGTCCTGAGAAGAGGTGGACGCTGATCCTTCTTAATCTTGAGGCGCTTGTGTCTCTCCGAAATTGTCTGGACGGCCAATTCCTCGATGTTAGAGCCAATGGTAGCAGACCACATACTGAGTCGAAGAGTTGGTGAGGTGCATGCAGCCCAAATTGCAAGGGTCTGAGAGCGGAAGAGGGGGTCAAGTAAGACATCGGCCTCGTCGAACACAAGTGTCTCGATGTTCGGCAGTGGATGAGGTGGGATTGATTGATCAAGTTCCCAGGATGGACAAAGGACATGGACCAGATTCAGTGGCGTCGTCACCAATATGTCGGCTTTGACAAGAGGCTGATTTGTTGAGGTTTCTTCCTCAGAAGAGCTTTCATTCTCCCCATCCACCTTGTCCTCAGTTTGGTGAGACGAATGTCGTGTTGATGTTTGTTGGTCTTCGAATAATCGCATGCCTCTTCTCATAGCCGTGATGCTGATCCCGGTTTTTAAGGTTAGCTTCCGGCCCTCGTTGACGATCTGTGACACAAGTTCTTTGGTAGGTGCAAGAATGATTGCACTGATGTGCTTGTTCACCCCAGCATCCATTTCCGCTCGTTGGCTAGAAATCTTATGAATGGTAGGGATCAAAAAGGCCAAAGTCTTGCCGCTTCCAGTTGGCGCAACAGTCAGCAAATCCGGTTCCCCCGAGGTCGAGAGCGAATTCTGAAGGAGAAGGGGTAGAGTGGCGATCTGGACCTCTGTTGGTTCACGATAGCCTTGATGCGAGATGTTCCGGACGAAGGCTGAGTTGATTTTGTGCCGAGTTTGCAATTGGCCGAAGGATACTAATGGCTGCGGAAATAGTCTCGAGTGCTCTTTTTGCGCTTTTCGTGATTCGGCATCGGCGATGGATCGAAACTTGTTCAGGTCCACGATTTTGACGTTGTGTCTCTTCTGAAGTTGACGGATCTCTGCCTCTGACATGTCTACCGACGCAACACCTTCGTCGACCACTGAGTCTTCCGTTCCCCGCTTTCTCTTTTTTGTGGATGCGTTCTTCGCATCTTGCAAAGTCGTCCCTTCATCGTTGACAGCAGGCGAAGGTTTTGTGGAATTCGAGATTCTGTTTCTCAGGCCCGTGGATCGGGATAGCAACTTGAGAGCATCCATTATACAACGGACACAAACAAGAATTTGGATCTACCAAGACATGATTCTGTTGATCGCCTTGGTGAGTTGCCTCAATTACTATGAAAGACGGAGAAGAAATCATCAAAGACGAATGCGAATTTGATGCCAAGATATTGCGGAAAATCAATCCGCCCGAAGTTTAGAGAATGGATGACTCAGCAGGTGCAATGTCGATCCTGCCACCTTCAATGTTCAAGTTTCTTTCTTCGACAGCTGTTTTTGGAATACTTCCCACATCCATCTGCTCTTGCGACCCTGTGTCCTGATACTGCATAATGAATTGCAAAAGCGATGTATTCGCCATCATGTTATCAAAAGGCCATGAGATCCAGACCAACCGATATTTGTCTGAAGTACCTTGCTGCCGTGGATTGGTAGCAATGACTCCTGGATGAACCCATGTTTCTCAACATGAGCTCCCCTATGTCGAAATCGCTACGAGACCTGGTATGAGTCTCTCTCTCGCAGGCCGCTATGATGCAACTGTGTTCTTGGAATAGGTCATGACCCTTCACGCATGGCCTAGAATGCCCGTGCATTTGGCTTAGCGTTCACGTCAATGTCCTTCTGCCGTGGCTGCAGCCAATCATGTGTCAGAACTTTCAAGGAGACAGACTTCAATATTCGCCGTTCTCCCAGCCTCCATGTAAGTCAGGAGGTGATGGATGAGTTCATGAGAGACGAGAAAAGTCAGAATGTTGACTTCTTCCTTTCTCGTTTCGCCTTGGAGCCACAACTCTTAACTCATCATTTAACAGTCACACATGGACTACAGAACAGTTTCATCTAATTTTGCTGAAAATGCATCGCCCACTTGCGCTCTCACTACTATTGCTCTTTATACACAAGGTGCTGGCGAAGCCATGGGTGCCATGGGGTCATAACTATCCCTCATACCCGTCCAACTGCTTGACCGACGGCCAGGCTCTCGACATTGCTACACGTTATCTCTCTCGCTATAACAGCGGCGCGGTGACTTCATTGTCAGACCTCGCCGGCATCGTGACTCCAAATTTCACCAGTTATGACGAGACTGGAACGGGGCCATATAGCAATGAACCCGCGACTGTTGGCATTGAGGCCTTCTTTCAGTCCCTGACAGCGAGCGGCCCAAATTCGTTTGGGAACGCAGTACAGTACCCGCTATTTTTGTTGCACGACTGCAGCAGTATTTCATATCGCTGGAAATTTGAGGGATGGTCGACAGGATACAATGCGTGAGTAAATCATTGGTTGCATAGTATCAGCTTCCTGATGATCACAGGACCGTTCCTGCTGGAACATATCTCGAATTCAAAGGGATAGATATCATCTCTGTCGATTTGGACACGATGCTTGTATATAACGCGACGTCATCTGGCGACTGGATTAATTTAGCACGAGAATTGGGTCAGATTGGCACCTTCTTCCCTTGACCTCACGGTCAAACTTTGTGTCGGTCGATTGTGCTGAGTACCGAGGGATGATGACTGGGATGTATATCATACATCTTGCCATGAAACGTGTAATATTGAGGAAGGTATCAACATGGGATATAATGGGAAATAATGACAATTATAATGAAATCTAGGATGATACACACTCTCGCTAGATAGACCCCGGTATCACGTGCAATTAGGCGTTCTCGTCACGTGCGCCTTTTGTTGACCTGATGCCATGTGTGTCTGTCGTCATCTTCCCCGACTACGACTTGTTGCCTCTCCCATCATCTGGCCGTCGCCAGTTCGCAATTTAGCCAGCACGGCACAAGAAACCTTGGTCAACCATGTTCACAATGTTCACGTTTTACCTCTTCTGTCCCCCATCAGCCGTCAAATAAGCTCTTCCTCGCCCAGATGCAATGGTTATCGGCCTCTTCATCATCACTGCGATTCCTACCGTCACTGGCGTAGGCCAGGCCTATTCTGCCCAGAAGACGGCAGAAGAACGTGAGAAAGATAAGAAGCGCATGGCAAAATTTCACATCGACCTTGTATGCGATGCAGATAAGCCACGATTCGGGGAGCTAAATGGCAGGAGAGTGGTGTTAAAAGATGACCTCGTTTGGGTTGGTGCCGCTGAAGCGTTAAACCCGTCGCCTGAGGGTTACGTCGCGGAGGCATTCTACATCGAATATCCTGATAAAGAGGTAAGCTCTTCTTTTGACATGACCTACCACAGTCTCCCCTTCGCCAGCCATTGACATTCTCCTCGTCAGCGAGATCCTGTACCCCTTGGTCTTGTCAGCCAGACACGCGCAGACCCTCCGCTCTTGAACTGGATATATCTGGACAAGAATACTCTCGAATTGAAATACGGGAACAAGACTGCGAGCATAGAGCATCTTGTTGGCCCATGGGACTGGACAAAGGATGAACAAAAGGTCACATTTGACGAAGTTGATGAATTTACTGCTGTACAAGAACCCAAAACTCGCCGGTGGCGATTGTATTATGACATGAATGATGATGGTTTGGTCGGTTATGTTCCAAAGTCATGGCCCAAGGTGGAAGTGAAGTTGGAAAGGATTCTGATACCTGGGGCATGAATTACAGCCAAGTATAACTTCTCTAAGTGCAGTCGTTCTTAGCTACGGTGGAGCATTCGATCCACTACGTAATGCATTTCCGCACTTCTTCACCCAAACAACATGACTTGAACTTGTGTATGGTTTGAACCTCTGCGTTCTACGTGATCCTATAAGGAGTCGAATCCCGCGCTTGCACAACCTCGACACCAGTACTCCCTGTTGTTTCGTGATGGTCCCACACCACGATCTCGCTGCATCAATGACATGTTCCCTGATAATCTTGTCGCCGGTGGAAGTTCGTTTTTGAGATCTGATACCTCGTCACATGACTCTTGTGGAGGGAGATGATATCAGACATCTTCACAGTTTCCTCCACCGCTCAAGGATAAGTCAAGACTCGCCTGCGCAACCTCCCTCTCTCTCGCTCACCAGGTTCGCTCACGCATCTCGCCGTAGTCCCCCGCTCTCTGGTGAGGGCAGATATACGTTCAGTCGATCGCAATGGGTACCAAAGGCCACAGACAAGTTCGGTACATTAACTCTGTCAGTGATGGGGACCAGCGGCACTGGCCGCCAAAGCCATACAGAGCCAGCGATGAGCAACGCTATCTTAACATGATTGGCAGTGCCTGGGCACAGCAGGATGGTTTGGCAGGACCTGGTAAGTCCCCTTCTCCTCGACCCTCCCTTGCCATTCTCTCAAAGCGCGATTGCGTTCCTTGGGCTGCTCTGTCCGTGTCTAATTTGCACTTTTGCACTTTAGGTGCCGAGTTTGCCATCAACAAGCTCCCTGCTGGCTACTCTCTATTCGAGATCGACCAGCCTGGTGGCCCGCAAGTGTACAAACGACTTTTCGGACATCCGTCTGGAACCTATTTTGATTCTGCGCAAAAGTTTCTACCACACTTTCTATGGCTAATGAGCAACATGGCTGGTGACTGCTCTTGCATTTTGTGCAAGAAAGCTAAGCACAAGTCATCGGTGAAAAGAAGCCAACCACCAGGTGTATCCAAGCCATCACCAGGCAGACAGATCATCCCACGGCCAAACGCACGAAAGCCTCGAAATGCCCTTGACCCTTCTTTAATCATCAGCGACTCGAGAAAACAGCAGATGGACGGTGATAGCAATGGTTCAAGCAGATCACATTCCTTGGCAGGGAATCGGCGACCGCAACGACAGATCAGAGCTTCTGGCGCACCATATGCAGTTGATGCTTTCGGACACGAGGATGTGTACAAAGACCTTGTCAGAAGACTATGGGGAGCAAAAGATAGTAAGCAGGGCATTGAGGATGATATCCTTCAACCCAACACGATGGACTGGAGGGCCGGGCATGAACACGATGGCCACGGGAGAGACGTCATAGAGCGATGTATCACGTCAATCGCCCATCAGCATTCCTTTATCCCTCGAGTTGGTGAGCTCGTTCTGTGGATCCCCCATTTTATGGACAGACACTTCCTCATGGTGGATGATGAGACCCCGCATGGAGAATTCAAATTCTATTCACCAGATCAAAAGTGTTTCCATGGCCACCCTGATTGGAGAGGTGGCGTGGTTGTAGAGGCTCCCATTGCCTCGTCTCTGAACAGGCCCATTGATTTTCCAGATATTCAATGCCTGACGGAAAGCAAGAGATCTTTGAACACCTCGGGGTTTCGAATCGAGACATTTCCCGACCCCAACAATGAAGTGGACAAATCGGCATCAAAGCAATACCGATATGTTCCCATGAGGAACATTCGTCCCTTATCTCAGTGGCATGTACTGTTACGAGGGATTCCCGAACAAAAGTGGCACCCGTCGATTCGACACGCTTTAACTTGCATGACCAGCATCTCATTGATGGAAAAGTTCTGGTTTAGTGGGAAATGGCCAGAGGCCAAAATTTCTTGCAAGGCAATGTACTTGGGTTCAGAACTCATCACAGTCGGTGATGTCGTCCGCATCAAACCTGACCCGTCTGGAGCAACAAGATTCCCACAATGCACGGATGTTATGATCGTTGACGCCATCCGACTCCATCTTGGTGACATCAGACAAGAGTACATCGCGCCAGACCACGACCAGCTAGCGTCTGCATATACCCTCTCGCTCAAAGGACGTGCGTACACTCTTGATGCACGTCGTTCTTTTGACAAGGTAGAGTCCCATGCCGAGTTTCCCCCTCGCCCTGTGGCTGTTGCAGTCGACCTGGACGAGATTAAAGCGGAATTCCGACCTGTTGGTGCAGCCGACTATGGTCCCTGGTATCGTCTCCACGACCCAAAGAAATTCTATGCCATCACACAAGACATGGTTTTAGGCCGTTTGTACGAGTCCGGAGCGGTCCAACTTTGGACAGGTCAGCTACAGAGGAAACAGAAACCGGGCGCTAAGATTGAGCCTCCCAGTCTAAACTTTGACGTGCATGGAATTACCGAAGGCCGTCGATATGCCACCAAACACGATTTGAGACTGGACGAGGTCTCCACAGATGAGATTCAATGGTTCTGGGCAGATGACCGGGCAGAAGCACTCGATCTCGAAATGTTCAACGGAGTGAAAGTCGGAAGATTCGCTGATTTCAGAGACAAACCTACACAGGAGCAATGGCGGCGAAATGTTCGAATCATTGACGGACACACAGTGGCGAATGACTACTCCAAGTATACGCAGTTTACTGAAATCCAGCTTCCAGGAGCCACCCGAGGTAGGAAGCCGGGGTCCAAGGTGGTGAATGGAAAGGTGCTATATCCGGGCCATCCAGACTACGGCGCAGCTGTCGCAGCTGGAGCCGACGATGTACCCAGCACGCCTCGTAAGCACAACAGCCAGCTCGCAGGTGCAGCATTGGTGTCAACGGATGAAGAAAGCTCCTCGGAAGACGCCGAAGAGTACGAAGATGCACTCGAGGATCACCCGACAGGTGACACAGTTGGAGCTTCAGGTATTCTTGAGACGTCAGCACCGCCTCCGAAGCCCGCACAAGCATTACCTCGTACCAAACAGCAAATCATGGGGAGCGTGGAGGACGTGATTGAACTGGATGATGATTCGTCTTCTGATGACCAAGACTGGTTAGAAGGTCCTCCTCCATTGATTAGAGGAGGGACCGAGGAGTCTGAAGGGGGTGATTATCGACCTGATTGAGAATAGGATGAGTTCATGGCGTGTGCATGAGACTTTGGAGTGGTCATGCGAGCAGCAAGATTCTACTTGACTTTGAGAGCGATGAATTATGTATGATCTGACCTGATGAGGGACGTCAAACAAGCGGCGGCTAGGATAATGTCAAGTTCGCCCATGGTTCTAGGTGGATGCACGACAGTGAAAGAAAGCATGGGAAAGAAAATGGCTACAAGTCCTGCTCATAAATTGGCATGTAAAGATACCTGATCGACATGATGCACTCAGTCAGAGGTGGTTGCGAATCAAAATATGGGTTGACCTGATGCTGTGCTTTTCTACTGTACAAGATGTTGCCGGGAAATCCGCCCAAGGCCTTGGGCCGAGGGGTCCTTCCGTTTAAGTAGACGGCTACCGCGTTGGGCATCGTCATTCTCTTGAAACAAGTCAGGCTGGTGATCTGGCGCGTTGGACAAGTGTGTTTTGCCGGCACATGGACTTGAGCACTTCAATCCTGATTTAGCAAACATAACTTCCATGTTGGGGTACTTGACAATGCCAAGAGCCGCACTTGACATTTGGGGCTGTTGTCGAGCTTGCCCGACTTTCCTTGTGTCGGCAAACCTTCCAGCTTAAATCTGCCACCGATCTGATGAATCGCAGTCTTGGCTTTTCACACAACCAAAAATCTATGCCGAAAGTGCGCCTCGCCTCGACTTTTGAAGATTGATTTACGACAAACAAGGAGCATCCATCACTTCAACACCCACACAAGTCAAGATGGTACGCAGATTCCCCTCTCCTCATATTTGCGCCCATGACTCTCGACGAGTCACATTGGCATCAATTTCACCTCGCTGCTGGACGTTACATACTGACTTAAACAAATCTGTAGGTCCGCTACGCTCCCGCCGGCCGCATTGAAAGCGCCAAATCGGCTCGCAGCCGTGGCAGCTACCTCCGAGTCAGCTTCAAGAACACCAGAGAGACTGCCCAGGCCATCAACGGCTGGAAACTCGACCGAGCTGTCAAGTACCTCGAGAATGTCCAGGAATTCAAGGAGGCCGTCCCCATGAGAAGATATGCTGGCAGCACTGGCCGAAGCGCACAAGGTATGCAATATTCCGGTTGTTGATTTGGTTTTGGGGATCAGGGTACGAGAGGAAAAGAGGTGGAAGTCCCGAGGTCACGATGTGGAAGTGTCGTTAGGACATTTTTTTTTCTTGAAGAAGACCCAGCCGAGGGGAGGATGTTGGGTTGAACCGAGGAGGAATAAAATCTCTTCAAGTTACAGCGCAAGCATTGCTAACACCCTCGTTCGCATCTACAGGCAAGCAATTTGGTGTCTCCAAAGCCCGACACCCCGTCAAATCCGCCGAGTTCCTTTTGGGTCTGCTCAAGAACGCCGAGGCCAACGCCGACACCAAGGGTCTTGACACCTCGAATCTGATCGTCAAGCACATCCAAGTCAACCAAGCCCCCAAGCAACGCCGCCGAACATACCGAGCTCACGGTCGTATCAACCCTTACATGTCGAACCCCTGCCACATCGAACTCATCCTGACCGAAGCCGAGGAGAACATCACCAAGTCCGAGGACCTGAGCGCCCCCAGACTGAACGCCAGACAGCGTGGTGCTCAGCGACGAAAGGCCATCACTTCATCCTAGATCACGACGCAGATTGTCAAAAGGGGATAAATGGTGCTTACCTTGACAAATGTTGATGAGCGGCGCTTTCGAATTCGACTACGGTGGGGTGGTGGCATGGCGGCATGGCACTGGTTGTGACTCTCCTCACACGGAGCAACGACAACCAAGTGAAGTGAAGACTACTGTGATGGCCCATGGTGGGATCCAAGGACAGCGACGGGTGTTTGAATGAGGTCCACAGCCCATCATCATGCCTCCACCTGTTCTTCCGCGATGTTCTTGGGCGCACACAAAACCTGCTCTGAAGAGCTTGTATCAGACCTAGGTCCAAAAACAAATCACAATCAAGACTATTTCAATCTTCTCTGTCTGAATTGACATGTTGTCTGTCGTTGGTAGTCAGACAAGTATGATTGGACTCTTTTCTATTGGTGATGAGCCCGTGATTCGAACGTTCCTTTTTAACACCTAGGACAGTGACGGCGACATGGCCGCCCTACCACCAGAATGAATGGAACATCGCCCTCGGAGTTCAGACCTTGCTTTGATCTAGTCAGGCTGCCTTTGGTCATGGATCCTTTCCTGCATACCCAAGCACTCGTCCACCCTGCGTCCTCATCATTTAGTCTCTTGATCACGAAGGCATGCATAATGACATCTGTGTATTTGTGGCTAAATCAATTCAATCATGTGCAAAAGGGGGCTCTTTGTGTCAAATCATAAAGCTAACCTAATGCCTCGTGCAGTATTCAGATCGCCTTTTGCAAATCATTAAGAAGCAGATTCATGTCCCTCGCAGTATTCAGATCGCTTTTCGAAAACCACCAAAAGAGCAGATTCATAAGCAGATTCGACCGGCAATGATCCTCCGAGTCTCTTGACCTTAGATTCGTGCCACGTAGCCCTTCGACCTGACTATCCTCAGATCCCTAACATTCAGCCTCCAGCCTCCGGATGGGGCAATATGCCTGAGACCTTGTCCATGACCTGTCCTCTCATTCTCCCAGCCGAAGTCATTCTCTCACCTCAACAAAACCGAAGCAGATATGACGGTTGACGTCTTGACAAAGCCTTCTGGGGTGAATGATCTCACCGTGACGTGAGGAGTGATGCCGAGTCGGATTGTGGGGGTCCCACGGTCTTGTTGGTCACCCTGAGGATTATCACGAGCCATCATAATGTCTGGCTGGAATTGCGTGCCAACATGGGGGATCTCAAAGCGGAACTCATCAGCGCAAGAAAACATCTTGACGGCGATCTTATGGGCCTCGGTGACCAGTGTCACCAAATCCTCCCAGTCACGGGTGGTCTTTTGGTGCATCATGGGTTTGACGACCGCCCATAGTTGGCTGCTTCGTTGGCGTGCCACGTGCTGCAGATACTCTTCAAACTTTATGTGCCTAGCAAGTTGAGTGATTTGCTGGGCAATGTTTGTGAGAATCTGGAAATGAACTTGGGCAGGCGTTGTCTGGTAGATTGATGCTCTGAGACTATCAATCTGGCCGTCAATCTTGTGATCAAGCCCACTGAATGCATCATGCTTGAAGACATTCTTCATGAGCCATTGGACAATCACCTTTGTTACCAGGTAAAAACGTGTGTAAGGCGTTGACATGAGTGTGAACGCCGTGGTGGGAGAAGCAGCCTTTAGCAGGCGTTCTTTTATGGCTTTGGGCATACCATTGTCTTTGTGGGTGCTTGGAGTGTTGACATGGTTGAAGGCGTATAGTTGAGCCAAGTTCATGAGCTTTGAGAAAGACTCCTTGGGCTCCTGTTCCATGACGTCGCTCTTAGCTTTGGTCAATGCCAGAGAGTTGTCGGCCGAAGTCGCACGAGAGTGCTCACTGCTGTTCAATGCTGGAGTTCCTCGCGACGTAGATCCTAGCATCTGCGCCGGGCTGCGTTTAGAGCCACTTCCACTTGAAGAAGGCACTGCTGATGGATGATAGCCCGGTGTTCGATTGTTCTGAAGTCGTGGCTCTGGTGAGCCAAAAGCATTCACAAAGATGGATGGCTGGCCCTGGTGAGATGAGGTTGGCAATGGTTGTGATGGAATCCCCGATGAAGAGCCAGACCTATGGACGTTTGCTCCATAGAATGACGATTGTTGCTGGCCATACGGAGATTGGTTGTCTCCACCAGAAAACGAATGAGTCTGATCTGGAGCACCCTGGTGGAAAGAGGACGGCTTCGGATCAGCGTCAGTGGAATACAGAGGTCGAGGAGGTGGAGGGAAGTTTGGTTGTGAATCACCAAACGAAGAGGTCTGGCCGGGACCCATTCCACGACCTGGGGTTACATAGGGCACCTTTGGTTGGGAGATCGTCTTGCTTTGGGTCATGATGGTCACCTTTTGCTGTTCAATGACCCCTTTAAGGCGGTCTATCTCCTCAGCCATCTCCGCAAGCCTGGCCTCAAGCATGCGGATCTCTCGGGCATTGCTGATGCTGTCTGCTGTAGACATGGGAGTTTGCGAACGATTAGTGATCAGAGTATGCAATTCATTCTGGGTCTGGGAAAAAGTGCGCTGGGCGCTCCTGAGTCTGACTTGTGCATGCTCCATCTGGGGTGAGGTGATATTGTCGAAGGACATGGGGGCTCCATGTTGCCGAGACATTTTTGGATCAGCGTTGTGAGTAGGAAGGCACTTGGAAAAGTATGTAGTTGTGGGCGATCCCGTGGTAAATGGTACTGGCCTCTGCAGTGGTTTCAGCACCTAAAAGCCAGATGTCAGCTAATCCGATGGTACAAGGTGGCTGTCACTCACTGAAGGCTGGGTAAATCAGATGTCGTTGTTGACTTTGTTTCCAAGAAGTAAAGTCTTGCAACAAGACAAGTCCCTACTTCCAATTGTGAGAGTAAAATCGATAATGAGACACACACACGGATTGTGTGAGTGTGCTGTGTACCAGGAGTGTGAGGATAGTGTTGGACTAGTATATTTTTAGATCTTTCTTCTGAAAGATCTACTGGACCAAAGATTTGACCGAGGCAATATCCTTCTGTTGTTGGAGAAATTTGCAAAGGCGCCTGGGGAGATCTGCAGGTGATGATTGTTGCTTGTGAGTGAGTTGCTGAGGCAAATAAAGACAAATGAAACAAAGGGAAGCACAATTTGTGTTGGATTTTGGATCTTGGCTGAAGTGAGAAAGCTGTCAATGGGAAGGAGCTTGTCTGGGGATCTGAGAATTTGGCAGGAAGGAGAGCCACAGAGTAAATTTGGAAGGAGGCTGAATTTTCTGGGATGAGGAAAGAGGCAGCAATTGTGAGCGTCAAAGGTCAAACACAATGATTTGGTCCAGCTGTTTGGCCACACTGTCAGCAATAGTTTGATTCAAAGACCATAGAACCGAAGACAACTAACCGCGAGCTTGCGAGAAGGTGTAGCCGTAAGTGTCAAAAGGCACAGTAGAAAGCAGATGTTGTAGAACAAGACTCAAGGCGTAGACTTGGTTCAGAAGGATGAAGGAGAGAAAGAGGGAGAGGGAGAGAGAGCGAGTTTGGGGGGTTTTTGTAGAGGAAAGGAGCCACCAAGTCCTCAGCACATGGCATTCGCCTCTTGAGGCTGTGAGTCAGATCCTTGGTGTCTGCATATGAGATCAGAACACTCAAGCCCAAAGATGACTGAGCTTGCTGGTGTGAATATGATCGAATGTCTCAATGGCCCAGCATGTGCAAGAGAAAATAACGCCTAGGACGCTGCGTCCGAAACATGAAGAAGGCCTCACTGCCAATAGTAGACTGTAATTGACTCAGGTTATTGTTCTATGCCTTAGCCGTGATCACTAGATCAAGCATGAAGTCCACTCTCGATCGCCTCTCATGCCTTGGATGTTCAATATTATGTGAAGATGAGAACCTGTTCCAGACAAGCTCCGAGTCAGCAAACAGCCATCGTCACCTCGCGATGCAAGATACCAATTAGCTGTTGTCGCGAGGACAAACTTGTAATATGTTAAGTACTTTTGGAGGTGACGTTAACATCGTATAGCGGAGGAAATATATATTATGAGGTGAGTACCTCCCCCATGTAGGCACGTGATGTTAAGTGAAGTTTACGGCACAAGAACATAATGTTGCCTGTAACAGCCACAGAACCTACCGCAGTATAGCATATTCGGAGCAGATAGAGTCCTGGACTTCTCTAGCTTCGACTGACCCTTTGCCCTAGATACTCCTCTCATCTCATGGCAGGGCCTAGGTCTGATACAACGACAAAATAAATGTGTGAATTCAATGGAGCTGGCAACCATATCTGCTTGCGATTGGATTCCGCCGAGCAGGCAGGTTGTGACAGTCAACATTGTCTAAGACTAGAACATTCATGTAAGCAAAGAAGAAAAAGCATGCTTGAATTGTGGTTGATGCAACAAAAGCACACCTGTCTCACAAAAATTGAAGTAGTCAAGGCTGACAATCAGACCTGCATCAAACTTGCAGTGTCTGCCTCCCCATCACCACAGACCTACCAGGTTCCTCCACCATTCTGATCGATTCCTTTAGCACTGACAGCACCTCCAGCACTTCTGAGCTATTGCCATCTACCATGTCTGGTCGCCAAAGAGCCAGGTTAGCTCAATATATCATGACGACACTGTTAGGAGGATCGGTCCACCACTTAGAACTGGTGCCAATTACTGGGCTCCCTTTTGGCAGATAGGGTGCTTCTGCTTTCCCCCCTTTCCCTAGTACCATCAAGACCACATGGGTTCATGTTGGGAAGGCGAAAAGTCTCCACAAGATCGAGATCAGAGATGACGTGTCCTAGCATCAGGTCAACCAAGGCTTCCAGGATGGGTCAGTCCATCCCGCCAGTCTCACTGGCTGCGCAACACTTAGTCTTGACAGTGTCGTCTCGTATCGAATCAGGATACCTTGCTCCTCTATTTCATTCCACCTCACAGTGCCTTCGTTCGGGAAAACAAGCTGCTGTAGACGGCGTCAACAACTGGCTGTGCAGAAATCTGCCTACCACCAAAGTAACGTCCGTTTAGCCCCTTGATCGCATTTTCACCGCCAGACACTCGTTCAAACTTGAGGTAGATATCACCTTGCGTGTTGGGGTCGAGTGAGATGTGGACCACGTGTCCGTACTTTCCCTCGCATTCTGCCCGAACATCATCTTCGAGCTCTTTGACCCACCCCTCGCCTTCTTCCCTGTGAAACAGTTAGCAACATGATCTCGCTCTGGGACAAACACACATACTCAGCTGGGTCAAACATGTTTCTCAGCAGAACACATCTGCTAGCTTGGCTGACGTTGACTGGTAGAGGTTTGGACTCCCTCTTCGGCACTGTAGCCCGTTTCGTGTCTGCGTCGGCCGGTTCGTCGGTTCTGGCTAGTTTACGCATCAACGCATCTCTGCTGTAGTTGCTGAAATTGACTCCAGCGACATCCGTGTCGTCCAAAGCACTGGCGCCTCCCTGGTTTTTGTCTGTGTCGCGTCCACCGGCACGGTCAAAGTTCCCACCAGAGCCGCCAGCATGAGATCCTCGGCCCCCAGAACCCGAGAAGGCAGAGCCTTGGAAGGGCCCAGGCCCATTCTGGCCTTGGAATCGTTGCAAGAGGTTCGCAGTGGATTCGGGCGTAAATTTGTCGTTACCGAGGCCGACTCGGATAGGACGTCCTGCGAGGTCAAAGCCATTCATTTTTTCAAGGGCCTCACGAGCTTGGTTAGGATCCCGAAATCTATCATTCACGCGGTTAGTAAAGAAGACAATAACGCTAACAGGCTGGACAACGTACTGCACAAAGCCGTACCCACGACTTCGTCCACCTTCCTCCTTTTGAAGCTGGGCAAATTCCAACTCCCCAAAGGGTTCAAAGACATTCTGCAAATCTTGTTCAGTGATGCTGAAATGAATGTTACCAACATAGAGGCGGTGAAACGGAACCGAATTGTGGTTGCTGGTCGACGCCTCGGGGTTTCGTGCTTGTCGGTTCTTTTCTGCTTCAGTAAGCTGGGCGATGATGGGGATACCGAGTAGTTTCTGTCCTGTCATCTGGATAGCAAGTTGAACGGACTCTTCATTCTTGAACTCGACGTAGCCAACCCTAAATTTTGCGTTAGAAAAGGGGAAGAAATGGGCGGCGGATTACAACTTACCCCTTGGATCGCCCGGAGACTCGATCCTTGACGATCTGTGCCTCTTTGACCGGTCCGACCTTTTCGAAGAACTGGATCAATTCTTTTGTTCTTAGCCGAGCCGCAAGCTGTTGGACGAAGACTGTTCTCCTATCTCGCTCATCTTCTGTGAGCTGCGCTTCTGAGGCCTTGCTTTCGCCCCCTCTCTTAGGACTACCCGAGCGACGTCGGTCGCGGTCGCCCGCTTCTCGATCCCGCTCTTTTCGGTCATCTTGATCATGTTTAGACCGTGCACCAGGGCGATAGTAGCGATCATACTCGGGAGACCTAGAGCGCTTTCGATAGTGGTCGTCGTCTCGTCGTGATCGGCGACGATCGTCATCCCTGCTGCGACTGCGTCTTCGACTGCTCCTATGGCTGCCATTAGCACTTCCATGGTCGCTGCGAGGGCTTGTTATGTCATTTCTATCTCGACGGTGTTCACGGCTACGGTCTCGTCGTTTGCGGTCGCGATCGCGGTCTCGGGACCCATCGCGATATCTGTCCCTGTCACGGCGATCTGAACGATCAGACCGATGACGATCATCTTGTTCCTTGGGAGAGTCTTTGGTCTCGGCTGCTGCCGCCGAATCGAGGAGCGCTTCGACGTCGAGTCCTGACATTTGGGGTAGTTGTCGGTTGCGTGCTCGTAACAGGAAAAATATTTTTTAGAGGGTAATCACTTGAGGATGGTCAGAGGAGTATAAGGAGCAAGGTGTGCGTTTAGCCAACCCTTGCAATAGGATAAGAGAGGACGGCGTCGGCTCAGTCGCAAGTCTCGCTGTCGATGGCGCTCAGGACAAGACGTGGAGCGTAAAACTTGAAGATGCAAATAATAGCGTGAGTGTGGTTTTCGTGGGAAGAGTGTCAAGTCTCGTGGTAACAATAATCAAAGGAATGGCTATGATGGCAGTCGTCAAAGCCGTGAAATGTGTTATCAACCTGATTAATTTCGCTTGGATCGATGTGGTGGATTGCGAATTTCCACGAGGTGTTTCGTACTCATAGCATCTGGTGGCGGGCGCAGACACGCAATACTGCGTTCGGAGAAGAGAAAATCCTCTTCCGTGGCTGACTCATCAATTATCTGATAACGACAGTGTACAGTCATCTCTTGATCACGTGAGTCTTCTCCGGATACCCATGAAGCCGTATTGGTTGGAGGCAAACGAAGTGAAAGGAATTATGAATGGTAGCAGACTGCAAAATACAACGCGATTTCATTAAGACTGGCTCGATGTCTTTGCTCGGGTGGCTTCTGACAAAGGTGAGAAATGGAAATAGCAGTGAGGCTCTTAAAGAAGGCCAAACAGCTCTCCCTCAGGCATCAGGCAGCTGATGCATTTCCAATGTCCTTGCCCCCAAGAACAAGACAGTTAAACAAACGCCTGTCGAACGCTTCCAATAGTGTCCCAATCTATGACACAGTGGTGTTCGATCCCATCATGAGCGACCCCAAAACTCGGAATACAATTTGCAACCACGTGCTCCCCCTTCCAAACCCCCTAGGTTTCTCGAGAAGCCAACTCTCATCATGCATTGTAGCTATCCCCAAATCAAGAATAAGCCACATTGTTCAATGGCAGCTCATCAATCCACATGGGTGCATCATTGACGGCAACGAATTTTCGAACAAGGGATGAAGCTTCTCTAAATATCACCCCGAGCTCTTGATCCTTCTCGCTTGACTCAACCCTCTTGCTGGAAAGTGAATCTGCTTCTGGATTGTGGTTGATTGGGCCTTCCTCGTGAGTCGGTAGATTATCGTCTGCAGTGCATACTTTCTGGGACTGGAAGGTGTCGGTTACGTTGTTACTGTTCATCGTACCCTTCATGCCCTCCTTGCAGAATGGACAGCGATACTGTTCATCGTCCAGAGGAATATGACCGAGTCCAGAACACTGAAGGTGTATTTTCCCAAACATACAGAACATGGAGCTGCATTGAACGATTGGGCTATGGTCGGACATCTCTCGACAGAAACAGGTGCTGCTACGCGTTAGCTCGTCTGGGCTGCACACATGCTCTTGATCGATTGCGTTCTCCACTGGGACAATGACACCGTCTCGTGCAGTAGTCGATCGATCCGCCCATTCAAGTCCTTGTTTTCGATATTGCTCCCGGTGCGGAGGAAGATCAGGTCGAGCAGTAAGAATAAGATTGTCGGACGTGTTCGAGGTGTTGAGTACGCGTGCGTGCCACCGATCTACCCTCGTATCCCTCAGGATCCGCTCAATTTCATACTGCTTCTGTCGACGCAGGCGCAAACCGAAACTTGAATTGGAATCGACGCCATGATCGAGTGGTGGTTCTCGGGGGAAGTACATAAACCACATCTTCTTCTGCTCTAAACTTGGATGCAATCTCTCTGCCGCTTCCAGGATTTCCGCACGAAAGTCGCTCGTAGTACCGTCGTCTGTGGTACCATCGACGCCATTTGGCAATCTCGAAGGGATTTTCTCAACTATTCTGTATTCCTTGATGATCTGTGCCAAGCACTCAAGGCAATAGAACACAGCGTTGATTCCAATCCAAGGCTCGTCTTGCTTCTGCTGGTTGTCGGCAACACTACCAAAGGTATCTCCGACAGAGATACTGTAAGAATTGCGTCGACAAGTGAGGCGAGAGCAGCGATATGTATGATTGGGGTCTGAATGGAGGTGGAGAGAAAAGATCTTCGCCTCTGTTTGCGTCAATGTGTACCCTAGAAGGATGATGCGAGTAAACTTACCTATTACGCGTGACTGAAGGGTCTGAAGGTGTGTAATCGTCCCTTTCACAAGACCAGGAGTGTTCTCTGGGTACCGCGGTAGTCTGGTGCATTCGGTGCCCGAGCTGGAACTAGGATCGTTTTGCTGATCGGGTGACCGCATGCAGACCTCTGCGTATAGTATCGCAGGATCAATAACAGGCTCGGATGGTGCATCTGTGTCGACATCTTGGGCTTGCAGGGGTTCACCAGCGCTTGTCCAGGGCATGCCGCGCAACTTTGCAAAGAGATTCCAATTGGTGCCACGAATCCGGTTCACAATCTCTGCGTCTGCTATGGCATCTTCGTCGCGGAACACCACAGAGTAGCTCCGAGTCTGGTCAGCCTCTCCACACATGTAAATGTCGTCGTCAAGGCCAGGGTTTCCCTTGAATAGCTCCATCTCACCTCGGTTGCACGATAATGGCAGACCAGAAACTTGAGGTAGAAACTTGAGATCGGTGTGTTGATGTCTCGAGTGCATGGCAGATTAAATGCTGCAGTCCGCGTGGAAACTAGTGGGATATTCACCACTTGTCGGGGTGCGGCAATATCCCATACATCCTGCGCCTCGAGGTTTGCTGGTGAAGTACAACAGCCAATACTAGGGGTGACATGGCGCATGTGAATTGTACCTACATTTAGTGAAGAAGTCTAGGTAGGCTTTCTCCCTTCCATGACACAGCATTAAGTGAATTGATGAAATAACGTTAATTACCTATCACGGATTAAAAGGGAGAGCGAAACTTCACCAGTTACCTTTTGCTCTAGTTTTGGACACGTTATACTTCCACTATAATGAATTGAAAACGCCATGATGAAGATTCACGTTAAGACAGAATGAATGTTATGAAGGAATAACCTCTTGGTTGAAAGACGGAGTCTATCGGAGGTGGACCTAGAGGGTGTTAGTGAACCTAAAGGTTGTTAGCGTCTCGAAGTCTTGGCGGACCACAACGAACTTTCTCAGAAATCTTGAGACTGACTGCGGTCTGATCTTGTTTCTGACCTCCTCACGCACAAACGACAAATTCCACCGTCAACCACCAAACAATATTCCAGAGGTATGTCGGCACTCCGAACCTCTTCAGCTAGCCTTAGATGAGCAATCCACCTGGGAAGCCATGATTGTAACATTTCCATGGCAAACTGGGCAGGACACGCTCATCTTGCGCAACACGAGCTGAAGAACCCTTCGTTGGGCACTCTTACTTCTCGAGGCTACTGAAGACTAACAAGAACTCTGTCGCAGACACCTCAAGTCCTCGTTCTACACGACTTGAGAATCTCCCTATCCCAAAACCGCCAAAATGGTCAAAACCTCGGTCCTCAACGATGCCCTCAAGAGCATCAACAATGCCGAAAAGGCTGGCAAGCGTCAAGTCCTGATCCGCCCCAGCTCCAAGGTCATCATCAAGTTCCTGGCTGTCATGCAAAAGCACGGTACGTTGAACATACTCTTGCTGCTTCGATTGCGAATACAGAGCCGGTTTGGTTTACACAAACATTGTCGGGTTGATAACTAGGCGGAGGTTTCAAAATTGCTCGACGACCCTTGCCCTTTAAGTACCCGAAAGATTGAAACACTCAGCGGTTGATCTTACACATTGCTTTCGTTTCTTTATGTCTGATTATGTTTATTCGATCGCGACATGTTTGGCTGATACGTCTAATTAGGTTACATTGGTGAATTCGAGGAAGTCGACGACCACCGCAACGGCAAGGTCGTCATCCAACTCAATGGTCGTCTCAACAAGACCGGTGTCATCTCTCCTCGCTACAACGTTGCCCTCAAGGATCTTGAGAAGTGGGTTGTCAAGCTGTTGCCTTCTCGTCAATTCGGATACATTGTCCTCACCACCAGTGCCGGTATCATGGACCATGAAGAGGCTCGACGAAAGCACGTTGCAGGCAAAGTCATTGGATTCTTCTACTAGCCGTGTCGCGCTGAAAGGGCTTTTCTACATGACAGGCATGAGTGAGAAATGAGATACCCAATAAGTTTTCTATCGTGCTAGGTTTCTTCATCGACTCCTACGCACCCAATGAACTAGATAGCCTCAATACATCAAGTCAATGACCAATCTATGACAAGAGAATACTCTGTGCCCCTGTTTAATCGTACCAGAACTACAATGTATGCTATACTTGAGTCGCTCCTCGCTATAATAATGGCGTGAATGCCTTTGCATGCCTTGCGCAGGGTTGAGTCTATGGCCCGCCGTAGAATTTGTGCCAAGACATTTGCCCTAACTTTTCAACCTTAGACTTGGCGAATGCGGCGGAGAAAACTGACTGACATTGGAACCGCATCCTCTCGACCGTCCAGTTTATCACTCACGACAGAATATCGACAATATGGTATGCGCACCCATCGACGAGTCATAAAAAATTGGAGTACGGTTTACTAACAAATACAGGCGCCCGCAGCATCCTCCGGCGGCAAGAAGCAGAAGAAGAAGTGGTCCAAGGGAAAGGGTACGTTTCAAGTCAACCGTTGAAGTGTCTATGAGGAATTCTCAACTCATGGCCATCGAGATCGATTTTACCTCGCATGTGCCGAACAGTGCTGACATAGATCTCCCCATATAGTCAAGGACAAGGCCAACCACGCAGTCGTTCTCGACAAAGCCACCTCAGACAAACTCAACAAGGATGTTCAGTCATACCGTCTCGTTACCGTCGCTGTGCTCGTGGACAGACTCAAGATCAACGGTTCATTAGCACGAAAGGCTCTCGCCGACCTTGAGGACCGAGGTGTTATTCGCAAGGTGGTCTCGCATTCCAAGGGCAGCATCTACACCAGAGCGGCTGCTGGTAGCGATTAAGTGGACGATTCATGTCGATCAATATGTTTTCACTCGGAAACTCCCCAAAAAACATGAGCGCAGGAACACAGTGAAGGAGGCAGTAGACAGCCACAAATTACCACGGCTTCAATGCATTGGTTGCTCTATTAGTATCAACTGCGTGAGCTGATTGTTCACGAGATCTTCAATGGACCGGTTTACCTGAGGCTTCAGGTTGTTGATGCGTTTTCTGGTTCTTCCTTTTAGGCCGACCCTTCATCGCCTGCTTACACAACTCAGGTGGTGGACCATCGTATCGTGGCACAGCTTCTAGTTTACCAACTTCGAAGTATTTCTTGTGATTCTGGTAGAACTTTTCCCACTTCTCGACTTCCTGTTGTACTTTGGTTCTAGCCTTTCTTGCTTCCTGTTCCGCCCGGATCTTCCTCTCACCGCTCGTGATAATCTCGTCGGGATCGTCAATTGGTATGTAAATTGCTTCAGCGCCTCGTAGGTCGCCTGTCCGATCTTCCAAAAAACAACCTGTCACAAATGCCCGCGTGGCATCGCGGCCAGCGAAAACCGAATAACTGCCCCCAGGCCCGTAGGTGTGACCACCAGCAGATACATCAAAGATTCTGCCGTTGATTGCAAGATAAATGGGCTTAGTAGGATCAGAGCCATCGAATGCAAGCAGTTCTTCTGGGGTTAAGGTGATTGGTCCTTTCCACCACTGTGTAACTTGTGCTGTATTTGCAAACCATGGGTGGTAGCCCCAGAGTAATGATGACCCAGATGTCAAGTAGTATGAGAGAGCACAAGAGACGCCGATCAGCGTTATGAGGACTCGGAGAACATCAAGGAGGGATATGACTCGAGAAGTTTGATCCTCCAGGCCATCAGAGGTCGTGTCTATGGTCGGACTCGATGTATGCTGTGGAGGTTTCGTTGAGTATTGTCGTCGTCGTATGTCAGCCGAGCCATCAATGGATGTGGTGGTATTCAGGCTAGAGGGAGCATGTGGAAGGAAGGGACCGCTGACGTCTTGGTGGCTGTCAACATTGGCTTTAGAACCAGCCGAAACGTGGCGACTGCTGTTGTCAGATTTGCCCATTTCGAGAAAATCAAGGCCCTAGTGACAGATGCTGAGTATGGGCATGTGGAGCAGCTGCCGACTGCATAGTGTGATGGTTTGGTGGTTGCAGCCCGCATAAGCATAAGCGAAAGGACGAGGCTGGGTGATGCCATAATGGCGCAGCCTTGGAGGGAAGACGAACTGCACTAACTTGAGTACCGTAGTGACCAGCCACCCCAATTCCCAATACCCTTGAACCACCTTCTCCCATTCCACAAATACCCATTCTCTCAACTTGGCTCGGTCTTATATTTCGTGCACTGACCACTATCTGCCTGCGTTTGACCTGAATACCTAATTGCCCGACAATTGTTCCTGAACATCATCGAAGTCCACCAAGACGACAGTACTGTCATCGCCTGACTTGCCGAGGCTGAAATTCCCAACGTAAACCAGTCACGCCCAACCTGCGACCCTCAAACACAGTCTCCAAGAGCAAGTTACTGCGCTGCGAGTTTCGCCATCGCATGGTCTTCTAAAGAATACGTCATATGGGTCTTGATGAGTCAAAAGCATAATACCTTGGCCTCGACACATTGACTACAATGTCAGTCCAATATACTGTCACTGAACGCCGAAAGCGAACTACCAACTCTGGAGGCTTCGGTCATTCCGGCAATAGGTCGACGTTTGGTTATTGGGTGCCATTGACACTCACTGTCACTGCTGCCGTAATCGGTATAGCTGCTTGGATATGGAGTGAACGCCACGATGATGAAGAAGACTATCCAAGTGAAGATGAGCACTACCCTGGTGCCCCTGGTGGAGTTCCGCCCCCAGGTTATGCAAACATGAGTGGCGGCTTGCCTGTACAATCTCAACAGTCCACTGGAATACAAGGCCCACCACCGGGTGTCCAGGGCTATCAAGGGCCCCCAGGCCCAGGACCTACACAGCCAGGGGGATTCGGCGGCCCGCAGGTGCCGCAGGGGTTCCAACCTCCCCCCGGGACTGGAGCTCCTGACGCTGGGCCAGAGTATCGATCCTCGAGATCTGCTCCTAATGACTGGGCAAGCAAGACTTTTGCAGCTGGAGCAGCTGGTGTTGCCGCCGCCGGAGCCATGGTCGGTGGTGCCATCAATTCATTTACTGGAGGTGGAACCTACGAAGATCACGAGCGGTGGAGTGAAGAGGCTTCCCAAAGGCAGAACAATGAAGAGATTAAACAAGGAATCAGACGACGCGGAACTGCGGATGAGTTCTTCTCAGGCAGTGTTGGTTTACCAAAGTTAGCTTCTACTATGAACAGCAAACGAAAGACGGTCGTTGTCGTCGTATCGGCCTTAGAAAAGGACACACCTGACTCCAGCGAGTTTGGAAACCATGCTGTAAGTATCACAATCGTCCACTACCGGACATAACTGACGTGGCCACAGTCAATTCTTGCACATCTTCCCGAGTACATTGACCCAGACAAGGCAAGAATCTTTGTGCTGATCTACGCTCCGGACCTTAAAATACACCCCTCGAGTGCTGTCGCTGGGAGAAGGCCGTCTCAATCGATGGCTTCATCTTTCTCCAACATCAGCCACAAGGATGTTCAAACACCAGGACAGACGCCAGGCGAATTTCCGTCTGATGGCATCCTGACTCAGGTTGAGCCGAACCCTATCGATGAGGCTTCACCTCTATACAAGGACTTGCACAACCAAGCAATGTCGCTCGTCGATAAGGATAGTATGATCATCCCCTTTGCATCCCAGAATGGACACAAACACGTCTTGCGCAGCCTAGCACCAGAAATTGTCTACATTCAAGAATCACTCTGTGGCTCAGAAGGAGAAATTGTGTCTGATCTCTCTGGATGGGTTCGACAGACTGTGGTCGTGATCGGTGATGAAGGCGGACAAGGTGGACTGATTGACACCGATGATGAGTCTACTGTCACGGTCCAGAAGGAGACTTGGTGGCAGAAGGAAGAGCGAACTGGCCTAGGCAAGCGTGTGGCCGTAGTTGAGAGTCTCAAAATTGGCGATGACTGGCAAAGGCGAGTCAATGAGCGTGATTAATGGGATTGATCTGGTACCGACATATAAAGATGGTGCAGCGTAATCCAGTCCCCCTTTTTAGGATGACGTGCCCCTTTTTGGTGACACAGAATGTTTATTGTCGACCACGTTTCCAAAGTGTGCAACTACGCTCAAGCATATTCTCAGTCTGGTATTAAACTAAATCCCTCTAAGTATACGAAGTAGATGTTTTAAGAAAATGACCATTATATACCTTTGATTGACTGGTACTGGTACGTGTAACTTTAGGCGAAGAATGGTAGCCTCGCGGAGTTCCGCTCCTGCATAAGGCGTTTGCCAAGACAAAGCCCCGACCACGTGATCAGAGATCAACTTGGACGACATGCCTGCGAAACTCCGCCATCACCATCAACCAGCGACACGAGGTTTCCATCAACCCAGCATCTGCACGTTATCTCCTCTATCCTTGCCCTCATCTTGCACGTCGCATCATCATAGTCGCCCGAGTCTCTGTCCCATCACCTCCTCCCGGACCTGGCATCGATCTCGACTGCCCCTCATGATGCGCGTGCTGCCAGCATCGTCGCAAATTGGCCGAGGTAACTACATGGTGGTTCTGACCACTTCGGACTAGATCGAAAGACTTGAAGAACGGAGGGAGCATCTATTGCTCCCGAAATATCACAATATGGCGACCGTTGTCGCGAAGCCTCCTGGAACGGCCACCAAGATGAAGAAGCCTCCCACTCCGTCAGTGCAGACAAACGTGAATGGTGGCAGACCCACGGCACCTTCTTCTTCTCCCTCAAGCGCTCGAAAATCTCTTCCGAGTGGGAATCTGACCACTCCCACGTCTGCCACAGCGGCAGCCGCACCAACCACAAATGGCGTCGCGAGGCCCAATCGTCGACTTCAGCGCCTGTCGACCAAGAACAACGCCTCGGATACCGCGACTCTGGACAAGAGGAATACTAAGAGGTTCCCGGAGCCCCTAGGTCTGTCTAACTGTCTGAGGTGAACTTCTCAAAGAGACTTGACGCTGATAATGTTGTGGTCATAGTGCCCAAAGAACCTCATATCCTTCGCAAGTACAAAGGGTCCCCCCCATCGTTAATCGTACATTTACACCCCACACACTTCCGTTTTGACCAGCAAGATGGAAGTTTCAGTTATCATTCGGAGATGCGCATATTCATTGAACATCTCACAAAAGGCACCATTCCACATGACATGATTGAGGAGTTTCGTAAATCAGACGTCAAATACTACGAAGGATGGTTGATCGTCCGAGTGGTCGACCACAAGTCCATCGCAAAGGACGCTGCCGCCACTGATGCAAATGCAGACAGTGACAAGCCCTTCTCTATCCACAACTACAATCAGTACATTACCCCGTCGCCTTATGCTCCATACCCAACCAAAGAGCAGTCCGCAGGCAGGTCTCCACCATTGAAGCAAGAGCAGCGGGACTCGGCATCGAATGACGCAACGCAAAATGGCCTCCATTCAGATGACACCATCGACGTTGCACCAAAATCGACCAAGCCACAGCCCACCATTTACCATGTCGGGCTTCGACCGACCATTCTGTCACGACACATGGATCTTGTCCTTGACGCCATGACGCCAGATCCCAAGTCAATCAACCGGAAGCAGTCCCAGGCGGGTGTGAATGGCCGTGGTCCAAATTCAGGTGCCCCTCAAACACCCATCTCGGGAGTTCCACCTTCCATTTCGGCAGATAAAGGACCCCCTTTCAAGAAACAGAAACTGAAGATCGATCCCAAAGATATGCTTGACTACGAGGCACGCGTTATAAATGCCACTGCACCTCCGTTGTTCCTGGACCCGGTGGATAGCATTGAAGAGGTTGAGTCTCTGGTCAATCTTCTCAAAGATCCCTACCATGATGAACGGCCACCTTCACCAAAGAGCAGGAAACGCACGGTGGCTGAGCTTGCTGCTGATGATGCGCACGCCAAGGAACAAGAGCGCTTCATGCTGGTGATGGATCAGCGCTCAGGCGATGGCACAACCACGACCAATGCTGGTGCAGTTGACGGACAAGCTGGAGCTAACCTCTTCCAACCTCGTTTCGAGAAATTTAACGCCCTCGATAGCATTAAGAGAGATATTGCTGAGCGTAAACAAAGAGAGAAGGATCGACAGCTGCAAGAAGATGAGAATAGGAGAGGCGCGCAAGAGCGCATGGCCGAGGAGGAGAAGAAACGCATCATGATGCAACGAGTTCAGGACGCAAGAATGATCCGAAATCGGGAACGACAAGAGGCCAACGCTATGCAAGCACAACAAGCTCAGCAGGCACAACAGGCCATTCAGCAAGCCCAGCAACAACAACAAGGTCAAGCTGCAGTTGCAAGACCTGGGTCACAGCAAATGAATGGGATTCCGCCTAACATGCAGAATCAAATGCTGGCGGCTGCGCAACAGCGAGGATCCCCAATTATCCGGCAAGGAACTCCTCTTGCCGTTTCCTCGCCAGTGGTTACAAGTGCTCCGCAAGGATCTCAAGCCATGGTCATGTCCAGTTCCCAACAAGGTCATGGCTCGCCTCAACGACCAGGATCAGCTGTCCAGCATGGGCATCCGTCAGTACCCATGGCTAGAGGCCCAAGTGGACAAGGTCAACCGAGTAGGAATGGTACGCCTCAGATGCCTCATGGCACCCCGTCTGTTAGGAACGCCACGCCAATACTCCGACAAGGCACGCCAGCGCAGCACATGTCGCAGGCGAGCCCGCATGGTAGCATGGTCGCTCCAACGCCTCAAATGATGCAAGCTGGACTAATGCAAGCTCAAATGCAAAACGGAGTAGGCCGGCCGATGAATCCACAGCAACTTGCTGCGCTGCAGCAGCGCCATCACAATCTACAACAGCAAGCTGCAATGCAACAAATGGCTAATGGCACATCCCAGATGACACCTGCCCAAATCGCCAATCTGCAGGCACAGCATCACGCACAACAGGATCGACAGGCAGCGATGCAACGACAACAGCAACAGATGCAAGGTACTCCTCAGAGCCAGCATATGTCCCCCGCGCCACAAAACCAAAAGACGTATAATGCAGCGGTGATGGAGCAGATGAAGTCTCAGATGCAGAGCCTTCAGGCACAGGCTCACAGTTCGCCAGGCCAAAACCAGATGACTCCTCAGCAGCAACAAGCGCAGCTTTCGCACGCTCAGCAACAAGCGCAGCAGGCGCGTATGTTGCAGCAGCAACAGCAACAGCAACAGCAACAGCAGCAAGGGCAAATGATGCCGGGGATGATGCAACAACAACAGCAGCCGCGAGCCAACCATCAAATGCAGCAACTATTTCAAGCGCACCTGGCAGCGTACCAGACGAAGTTTCTGCAGCAAGCGGCACAAAAGTACGGTGGCAACACTCAGATGGTACAAGGAGCGGAGCTTCAGCATGTGCTTAATCAAGCCAAGCAACACGCAATGGCGGCGGCACGAAGGAAGCAAGCGGAGATGACTGCGGGCATGCAAGGCGGTAACATGAATGCCAACAATGTGATGGCAGCACATCAGCAGCAGGCCATGCTTCGGCAGCAACAGGTACAAGCGGCAGCGGCGCAGCATGCGGCACAGCAACAGCAACAGCAACAGGGTGTGATGCAGAACGGGATGGGTGGCAATATGGGGATGAATCCCAACATGGCACACGCGATCCAACAACAACAGCAGCAGCACATCCAGCAAATGCAATTGCAGCACGCACAGGCTCAAATGTTGGGCATGCAACAGCAGCAACAGCAGCAGCAACAGCAGCAGCAGCAACAGCAAAACATGCAATTCCAACAGCAGCGATGATAAGGATGGTACGCGCGAGCAGAGCAGAGCAGAGCAGGAGTTGGAGTTGGAGTCGAAGTCAGAGATTTGGTTGACGAAGGTGACCCACGATGGGAAGGAAGTTTCTTGCATATGAAAATGATTATTCGACAATGACCGGATTTGGGTGGCGAGAAGACGAATCAGATCAGGCGAGAGCAAAAAGTCAGGTTGGAGCAAGCGATGAGATGCAATCAGATGCAATCAGATGGGAGAGTTGTCAAGGACGGTGAGAAGCAGGACGATGGGGAGCAGGGAAGACCGAATGCGGTGATTTGCATATCAATTGATCATGAAGGGTGTTGTATTGTCTTGCATGGCTCTTGAATCAGAATGGCTTGCTTGGTTGCCTGCTTGCTTGTACGTAAATTTGTATGCATGTAAATCTTTTGCAGGTGTGCTGCGAAAGCGAGTGTGTTCAACATTGTTAGGATCAGACTTGACCTGGGAAACTCGAGTGCTGATACGCCTGGGATTGGTTATGAATACAAAAATGACGATTATGGAGCGTTGCTATTCTATTGAGAGCTGATTGAATGTGATTTGATATAATTTGCTTCATTTGACTGACTGACTGACTACTGATTGATTGATTCAACTGGACTTTTAGACTACAAACCCATCATCGACCTCGCCACGTGACAATGCATGTATCATATCATATCGTAAGTCGACCTCGAGGTGTACGGAGTATATATATATACGTAGACAAACTGGCCTCGTCACACGGCAATCGGTTGAGCCTCGCCAGGTTTAGCATCATATGAGATTCTGCCCGCTGGAAGGAAGAACAAAGCGACAAGCGCACCACCACGCACCTCAGGATAATGATGGGTTCCAGGACCAGGACTCGTCCACCCTTTACCCTGCCAACCCTGCATACCCATCAACTCGGCACTGTCGTCAAGCTGAACAACACAATTGATCTCGCCGTAGGGATGTTTGTGGTATTGACCACGATATATGTCCTGCGACTCCATGTAGACAGTGGTGATGCTGATGAAGAGTGATTCCTCGCAAGGGGCTATAATGCGTCCTCGTCGGTATTTGGGTCCGTCGAGTTCGTCCTTGGCTACCCAGCCTTCCTTCAGTCCTTGTTTGATATAGCGACAGAAGTCTTCGTAGTATTCGTTGCCTAGGCCGTAGTCGCGATTTAGTCGGGTTTCTAGATCTTTGCCGGGAGTTCTGAAACCGTGATGCCACGTGATTAGTCTTCTGATAAGAGGGGGACATGATGTTGTTGCACAGTACAGTGTCAATTGTGAAATTTAATGTAAATGACGGATGAACAACTAGGATTGAGGGGAGAGGGGATTTCATTCTTACAAATGCTTGACCTCGCGGAAAAACTCATAGCAGCGAGCCACGAATTCTTGCGCAGTAGGGTATTCGGCTAGGTTGAGTGGTTGCGCCCCGGCATATGTGTCTGTAGATGCCATGTTGAGGGGAAATGAGAGATAGAAAGGGCTGGTGGAGGGATGTCGTCAAGATGAGTGCTGCTTGGTTCTAGTGTGAGTGAATCGACCCCTCGTGTGTCAATGATACATATATAGAAGTATGTGCCCTCCAGGTAAGGATACTGGGTCGGTGTAAGTAGGTCAATCAGGCCCTGTGACAATCCTTTCTCAGTTTCTAGACGGCTGCTTCGTAGACTTGGAATTGTCTCAATAAACAAAGAATTCAATCTATTATGGGAATGGCAAATCGGGACAAGGCCATTACCATGTTCAGCGGACAATTCCTGAACCAATCGTTCCAAGTACGACTGACTACGCATATCGGGTTTCCCCAAATCCAACACACCCCGAGAGCTTAGTATCGCTCTCCTTTCATTTGCCGAAATCGATGCCGAAGCCACTTCTTACTACTCTACCACTAAATAAACGACGGGATCTCGGGGAGGCTTGCGGAGAAGGTCGAACATTGTGGATCTGATTTGCTTCCCCAAGAGGAGAGGAGGGGGAACATGTGGACGCCTGGACAATCGAATTGTCCTAACAACCAACTATACTTCCAGTAAATGTCACAGGTGCTGATGATTCTCCAGTAGTGATATCTCCTAATCGAGTAGTTTCTATAGGCTCCCCAGCCGTTCTTCCTCCTCGGCTCAAGATCGAAATCCAGTTTTGATTCGACTCGACACTTCACTGCATGTTCGCTGACCTTCTTTTGTAAGTAGTGGACTTGACCGTCCCCCATGGTCCACTATCCAGGTACGACTAAGGACTCGTACTGTAACCCTCCAAGCGCTATCGCTATCCGATAATCAAGGGATTCGGGAAGAAAGATATGTGGATGATTGATTATCTACCTTAGGTACTTAGTCTATCCGTAGGTACCTAGGTATGTATGTACATACCGTCCTTTTGACTTGACCATTCGAAATTCGGTTCCTTGGATATTTCTCAATGGGTGGTGTCGTTGCTGTCCTCAAAGCATCACATTCTTTGAGCATGTGCATGCTGTGACAAACACCAATCTATACACTTTATCCCCCTCAATTCACCCTGACAACCTGAGACATTGACGAACGGAACCTACCTGACCTGTTCTGTCGAGTCCGTCCCAACTCGACCACCTACACCACAGTCATTTGTCTCATCCTTCTCCATTCCAAATAATGGATGCCCTTCCCTCCGAATCAACCGTTGATCTCGTCGTTGTCGGCGCGGGATGGCATGGCCTCGCTGTCGCCAAAACCTACACTGAGGTATCTCCCTCCGCCAAGGTATTGATTGTAGACACGGCCCAATCCATCGGTGGAGTATGGGCAAAGGAGAGACTATATCCTGGTCTCAAGACCAATAATCTGGTTGGATCGTATGAATTTGGCGATTTCCCTATGACGCCGGAACGGTTCGGTGTGATGCCAGGACAACATATTCCTGGCGCTGTCGTTCACCAGTACTTGAATGCCTTTGCGGATGAATTCGGTTTGACATCTAAATTGAGGTTTCAGACTAAAGTCGAGACTGCTGAGTTGCAGGATAATGGTGACTGGGTACTCAGTTTGTCGAGTGTGTCGTCGTCGTCATTCCCCACATCCACGCCATTAGTCCTCCGGACCAAGAAACTGGTCGTGGCAACAGGATTGACCTCTGAGCCATATATGCCTGAGTTTCCAGGCCGAGCGGCCTTCAAGGGCCGGCTACTGCATTCCATCAATCTCAAGGAACGGGCCAAGGACATCGAAGCGTCGCGTGAGGTCGTCGTGCTGGGTGCCAACAAGTCAGCTTGGGATACTTGCTTCTCCGCTGCCACTGCGGGCGCTCATGTCACTATGGTCATCCGTCCTGGCGGTGGTGGCCCCAGCTGGGTATGGCCCGTCACATTCACACCGTTTCATCTATCGATCCAGCGACTGGCAACGACCAGACTTTGTTCTCTGTTCGATCCATGTATCTGGGCCCAGGAAAGTAACAACAACAGGATCTTCAACTGGACACGCTGGATCCTGCACAAGACCTGGCTCGGTCAGAAACTGGTGGGCCTTTTCTGGGGATGGCTAGGCTCTATCATCTGTAAGGCGAATGCCTACGATACTCACCCGGAATTAGCCAAATTGAAGCCCTGGAGCTCGACATTCTGGATGGGCAATTCGCTTGGAGTGCACAACTACGACTCCAACTGGTTCGACCTGGTCCGGAAAGGGAGGATCAGCGTCCAGATCGCCGACGTGAGCTTCTTGTCTGAAAAAGGCGTCCATTTGTCCAACAATCAGGTCTTGGACGCAGACACGTTCGTCTGTTGCACTGGGTGGAAGACAACACCACCGATCAAATTCCTACCGGAGTCGATCGTACCCGACTTGGGGATTCCCTGCATGATACCAGCAGGTCAGCAGCAGCAGAAGGAATTGGATTTACAATCCATACACGCTCGGGTCTTACAAGAAGCGCCGATGTTGCGACAGGGTCCTGTACGAACATTACATCCGTCTGCGGCTCCCGTTGCCGTTCCCGTTGCCATTCCTAATGCCAGGGTCAACGACAATGACAAACCAAAGATTCAGTCCAAGGCCCAGGTCCAGCCCCAGGTCCAGGCCCGTTCCAGGTCAAGTTATCAGTTATACCGATTCCTTGTCCCATCAGACCCCAAGTTCTTACACCATCGCAACATCGCATTCATTGGAACCCATTTGGCCATCAACGCCGTGACGGTGGCGCAAGCCCAGGCACTGTGGATCACAGCCTTCTTTACCAACAAACTCGTCAATCTTGACCCCTCCTCACCCTCACCCTCACCTTCACGCCTCGATCCCGCCCAGGTCGAGTATGACACTCTACTGCAAAACGAGTATTGCCGACTAAGGCATCCTCATGCGGGTGGCGGGGCTGGCGATCGATGTCCGGATCTGTGCTTTGACGGTCTGATGTACACGGATCTCCTCATCCACGATCTTGGCCTGAATGTTCTGAGAAAGGGTAGTTGGTGGAAGGATTTGTTCTGCAGATATCAGCCGGCTGATTACTACGGTATTACCAGGGAATGGATGGAGAAAGCCTTATAGCCCCCGATCTCGACATCCTGGACCTTTCCCCTCCTTCGATCCCTTCTACTAATACTACTTCGTATTACTGCTAGCACTAGTAGCGGCAATCTCACTAGTGGAGACTCGTTTATCTCTCTCTCTCTCTTTCTCAATCTTTTGCCAATTTTCGAATTGAACCCCTCCCAGCGTCTTGAGCGGCACGATTTGCTTAGTGACTCAGAGTTGGGCGGGCGTGCATGCATGCATACTTTGATGCGTGCGCCGAGTGTGCCGTGCGACGTTCAGGCTGGGATTGGTGCGGCGTCCTGTTTTGGCTTGACACACATGCATGACACACTGACCGAAGTTGGGGGATCATCATTTTGACACAGCAGGATCCGAAGTGCAACTTTCTGTGGCGTTTGGGGGGAAGTTTTCATTCTGCTGATAGGACCATAGAGCAGATCATATTCTCGACCTAGCTTGGCTATCGAACATTGTCTACGCCCACTCTCTGGAAATCGGTATGAGTGACTTGGCAGAGCATGGATGAGAGAAATGAATGAGAATGTGCATCACACCAAAGCCTATGGTTGGTCAGAATGGCATGTATTTCGTGTGATCTGGCTCCCAGGTCTCACGCCATTGGTCCTCTATACCAGCTGAATGTGCTATACCATGTCAACCCCATGGCCACGAGAACATGTATCACAGTGGCGGGGTCTCGACACCCGTATAAATTCGATGCCCTTGTTGACTATGGCCATGGCAACAAAAGGCGGAGTAGCTCACCTCATCCTCACCTCCAACCTGTGACGAGATCCCTGTAGAGACCGCATGTGCATGCTGTTCTGGGTCTGCCATTCGAGCAAATCTGGTTGGGGACCGTCTTCGTGGGTCATACAGACATGAACAACACCGCTCTGTCGCTGTGGAACATGGCGGTGTATATGAGTCTCTCCATTTCCATTTGGTGTCCGGCAGCCAACAGCCGCAATAATATCGTTATTTACTATCCAAGGCTCTGGAATTGATCTGGACTGGCCAGTAAACATTTTGCATCCAACAAGCACGTCAACCTGTCAACGATGGAAAAAAAGTCAGAGACTCACGTCCATCCTCAACAGCTACCAGATGGCAATAGTCCAAGGGACTCATTCGTCGAACCAGTCGCGGAACCAGAGCAACACGTCCACTTGAAGACTATCATCTTACTCATTGTAAGCTACAGCATTCGACCATCAATCAGTGGCACTGACAACATGCTAGGCAATCGTCACTGGGTATGCTGTCCAGGTCTTCAACATTGTCGGCGCTGGTTTCCTCGGCCAGAGCATAGTAGCAGCGGTTGGAGGGGGTGATCAAGTCACCTGGTTGGTGTCAAGCGTGACAATCATGGCGGCTTGCCTTGGACTGCCCATCAGTCAATCCGCCGATCACTGGGGCCGTAAGTGGTTCGTTGTGATTCTTAGTGGGCTTTCCACTGTTGGGTGTATTGTCGTGGCGACCGCCGAATCTATGGCAGTGGCAATCGTGGGCCAATGTATTGTTGGCCTCTCATACGCAGTCCAAGCTCTCGAGCATTCGATTGCGTCCGAAATTCTTCCCAGAAAGTATCGACCATATGCCCAAGCCTCAATCAGTGCCGCGACCTCTCTAGGTGGCGTCGCGGGACTTCTCATCGGTGGTGCCCTGACACGCAACAACCCCTCCGGCTTTCGTACATACTGGTATATCACTGCTGGTTTGTATGCAGCGACCACCCTCACCATTGCCTGGCTATATAATCCTCCTCTCCGCGAATTACAACAAAAGCTGACCACCTTTGAGAAGTTGGCTCGCCTGGACTGGATCGGCTATTGCTTCGTCATCTGCGGCTTAGTTCTCTTCTCTTTTGCCCTTACCTCATCCACTGGAATATATCCATGGCGCAGTGCAGAGATCCTGGTTCCACTCGTCCTTGGAAGCGCATTTCTCTTGGCCTTTGGCATCTATGAATGGAGATTTACCTCGACCGGAATGCTGCATCATGATCTGTTCTCTCGTTCCCGAAACTTTGCCCTGGCCGAGCTGTGTATCTTCCTTGAAGGTATCTGTTTCTTTGCATCCAATAATTACTTCGGATATGAAGTGGCGGTCCTGTATGACCAGGATCAATTCCATGCTGGACTCTGGTATACAGTCGCATGGTGGTCATGTCTGGTCTCGGCTTGGGTGGCTGGGCTGTACTGCTCAAGGACCAAAACAGTGCGGTTGACGGTGGTGCTAGCCATGGCGGCTTGGACTTTGTTCAACGCGCTGATGGCGACTTTGACACCATCGACGCGGTCCCATATTCTCGGTTATGCACCGTTCATGGGTATTGGATTTGGTGCGGCATTGAATATCCTCGTCGTGGTCGCCCAGCTTTCAACACCACCAGAACTCATCTCAATCACTACTGGTCTGCTGTTGGCGACACGGGGATTTGGTGGCACAGTCGGATTGTCCATCTACACAGCCATCTTCACTGGTACACTTACCAATGAGCTTCCGGGCAAGGTAGGGCGGGCAACAGTTGCTCTAGGATTGGACCCCTCTTATGTGGACCAATTAGTGGCATACGTCGCCACGAGTGACTGGGCTAGTGTCGGCAACATGCCGAATATGACGGAATCTATATCCCAAGCTGCTCTCGTAGCTTCCAAGGAGGCGTATACACTCGCATTCCGATATGTGTGGATATGCGCTGCAGTCTTCTGCGCATTTGGGATCCTTGGTAGGTGGAGGAGGCGATCATATTTCATGAAGAAACCCTGGCTAATTTATGCAATGTGCTCTAGCGGCCGCTTTCTTGATAGATCCAAAGGGTGAATTCAACGGACATATCGATGCTCCAGTTGAAACAGAGGAAGAATTGAGCCGTGGGCGAATCCAAATTATGAGGCATGGCCAGGTATAGAAAGGTGAGGTCAAAGAAACATCAAATGCCGTTGTGGTGCAAGCTTTGGAGCGAAAAGGCGATGCAAGTCGTCTGCGTTTAACGGAAAATTGGTCTCGGCCTAAGGCTCCAGCCTTGATAATATAGTTGTCTAGATTTCCTTTTTCACAAAGTGCTCTGGTTTATGGGTGGTTTCAAAATCGATGTGAACATAAGCCCTTTCGATATCCGGTAGACTCTCAAGCTTCATCTGCAATTCTTCGGCGATATCATGACAAACGCGGAGAGTCTCATCTGGGTCCATGACGACATCGACCTCAACGACCAGCCTTGGGCCAGAATGCCAGGCGCGGACAGTATCGATCTGCTTGATACGTTCACTGTGTGTCATGCTGACATAAGTGATGAGTTGCTGGGTTTCCGTGTCGGCGGTGATGCCAATGAGCAGTTGGAATTCCGAGTATGCAGTGCGTAGCCAGAGAAATGTGATGAGGACGGATAGGACAATGGCACCAGCAGGGTCAAGCCACCATCTCAGCTTAGAACCACCGACAGAGGTCAAAATACCAAAGCCGTTGACGAAAAGATCATTGCGGTGATCCTCCCACAGAATGCGAATTTGGGAATACTGGTTGCGCAGAGCCCAACAGTAGAGGAAGAGGAGAAATTTTGTGCAAAAGGCAATGCTGACTGCGATGACTGAGGGCAGATGAAAGCTTTTGGTTTCATCCGTGGAGCCCTGGCTGAGATCTTGGATGGAAAATGCAATCAAGATGAAACTGACCGCAATCATGAGAAAGCAAAATACAATGTTGCCGGCGTTTTCAATGCGAGCCTTTCCCGCGGGGAATTTGCGGGCATCGACCTTTTGAACAGCCTTGTGAGACAAGATGAGGGTGAGGTTGGAAAGCGGGTCGAAGATGGAATCCGCCATGGTGGTGAACAGAGATAAGGAGCCTGAGGCAATAGCGCCATAAACCTGGAGAGCAGCAAGACAGATGTTTGCGCCGAAACTTCCGTAGACGGCAATCTTGTATTGGAGATGGTTGGAGGCATGAGTATCTCGTGCTTCGCGAACATGTTGATCCACGGGCTTCAGAAAGTTTTCAATCTGCTCGTTCTGGTTCTTGTAGAAGTCGACGACTTGGGAGGAGGCATTTTGGCCGGTGATACCGAGGGGACTGCAGATGGCATTCCGTTTGCGAGCAGTGTTGGCGGTGATGCGGTCGAGTTCTGACCTTGACTTTAGACGACGGGAGAGGTCGAGAGGGTCTGAGGAAGAAGACTGGTCGGGAAATTGATTCTCAGCATCAAATGTTGAGGCTGTTCGGTGACGGGACAGCATGTCTGGGGTATCGTGGATGGCGGAGGCTTTGGCCTCACCATGCAGGAGGTTCGAGGCAGGCATTGGACTGTAGACATCGCGAGATGGATGGCGATGGTAAGGATTGGGGTCGAGTTCCATGAAGCGATCGTTGGGATTTTGGTTGCCTGCGTCCATGGTGAAAGTTGGCAGGCACGGCAGGTTGCAGTTTGTCGGTGAGGAAGGAGCTACCGAGTGCAGGAGAAATGGGCAGCAGATCAGGAAGGTGCAACTCTCACTCTTTCCCAGTTTTGAGAAAACAGATTCTCCTGAACAACTTATCTCTGGGAGAAAGGATCAAGAAGAGTGAGAATGCTTGAGAAGACTAAGGATATGCATTTGTTGAGAGATGGGGAAAGACAAATTGCCCTTGTTCATGTTCTTGTACGGGCGACCCTTGAATTACGAAGTATACCCTAAGTACCTAGTGACTGTGGTTACAAGGGGACTTACTCCAGGTTTCAGGCTTTTTCAAGCATTGGCACGCTAACTAAGTAAGCCTCAGCGGGGTAGATCTCATGCCAGATGCTATCAGACTATCGTGGCCAAAGGTTAAGCAACGTGCCAATGTACCATTTTACTTGGAAAACGCACCGTGCTTTAGCATTTACGTAACCAAACAATCAACTCACTGCGAGTAGACACTTATTCTTTTCGGATATAGTTATTCATCTCACGTAAAAGTAACGCTATACATACAGTATGTCAGAAACGAGAAGGAAAGAAGAGATCTAAGCAGCCTAGGCATTTGACTCTCCACACCGATCGCTTGGAGCCTGGAACAAGGCTCTGCCTCAGGCAGTCAGTCCTCTACTTTGCCCCGAGGACTGATGTAGGGGCAACTGGACGATTCGTATGAAGACGTACACAAGCAACTCCTCAAGCATTTGTATAGGTATATGAGATATACGCTCTTCAATAGGTTCTAACACGGCTTGAAGGTTCCTCTTAGCCATTGTGCGTTGGTGGTTATTATATGTATGACTGTTGCCAAGAATATCACACCCCGGTTGAACCTCGGCCAATTCAAAGTAGGCGTGTAAATTGTCTCTGGCGCAGCAAGAAAGAAAGCCTCTCGACAAGCTATGTATTTTATACCAGTCTAACACCTGGATGTATTCCCTCGGAGCTCTTTGACCTTGGAGAATAAAAGAATTCTCGAAATGACCAAACAATTTGCGCCCTTGAAAAATGACCGACTGCTTCGAGCAGCGCGGGGTAAGTTTCACTCTTCACGAACTTGAACAACCTCAACTGATCGCCCCTCAACAGGCGAGAAAGTCGACCGACCACCCATCTGGGTGATGCGACAAGGTATGCGGCGGTCAGTGCCAAACTGCCCATCTCTCAACCCTCACTCGATCGGACGCGCTGACTCAGTTTCCCAGCTGGACGATACCTACCAGAATACCATGAAGCCAAAGGCAAGAATGACTTTTTCGAATGCTGTCGATCTCCCGAAATCGCTTCCACTCTCACTCTCCAACCCGTCGACCGCTACGACGGCCTCATCGATGCTGCAATTATCTTCTCCGACATTCTGGTCATCCCTCAGGCGGTGGGAATGGACGTCAAGATGGTGGATGGAGTGGGCCCCAAGTTTCCCAATCCCCTTCATTCACCCGCAGACGAACAGTATCAAGAGATCATCAAGCGGAAAGTCGATGTTGCCAAAGAGTTGGATTACGTCTACAAAGCCATTACACTGACACGGACAAAACTCGCCGGTCGGGTACCCTTGTATGGATTCTGCGGTGCACCATGGACGTTGATGTGCTACATGGTGGAAGGCGGAGGAACCAAACTCTTCCGGGAGGCCAAAACGTGGGTCTACAAATACGGCAAAGAGAGCAAGACGCTATTACAAAAGCTGTCGGAGATCTGTGTCGAACACCTCGCCCTGCAGGTCAAGGCAGGCGCACAGATTGTGCAAGTCTTTGACTCGTGGGCCGGAGAGCTCTCACCCAGCTCATTCAAAGAATTCGCCCTCCCTTCCCTCCGATATATTTCCGAGCACCTACCTCGAAGACTACGCGAATTGGGCGAGGATGTCGTTCCAATGGTTGTCTTTGCCAAAGGTGCATGGTACGCCTTGGATGACCTGTGTGAGTCTGGCTACGATGTGGTGGGACTCGATTGGCTACATGATCCGGCCGAGGCAGTCAAGATCGCCCGAGGCCGAGTGACTTTGCAAGGAAATGCAGACCCGGGAGTCCTGTACGGGAGTCACGAGTCGATTACAGCGGTGGCAGAAAATGTCGTCAAGGGATTCGGTGGCGGCAAAGAGAGGTGGATTGTCAACCTCGGTCACGGAATCACCCCAGGAGTGAATCCGGATGATCTCAAGTTTTTCTTCCAAGAGATCCATCGATGTACGACCTAATTTTGGCGCACAAAAAAAGGGTAAAAAAAAGAAATAGACATAGTCGCTTATGAAGCCACGATCAAATCTTCTCTCAACTTTGGACCTCCAGGTCTGAGTCGCCACTTGTATCTGCAACTAACTTACTTTGTCTGAAGAGAAGAAACATTCTTGATAAACTCGTTTCATCATTCAGTAGTTTCCAACCCTACGATACAGAGAATACTACTCTCTAAGCCTAGCTACCATGGTAGAGCATTCCCAACGGTGGAACGATCGCTGGATCTATTGCTTCTTGATCTCGTAACGCATACAAATCTTTGGCTTTTGGTCTTGTTACTTCACCATCTGTTGTTTCCACCTGTTAGTCATGATTCACGCATGAATGTAAAGTAGGGGAAGGAAAACACTCACCCAAAAGCTTCCTCGATATATTCCAGTCCCTTCTTACCCTGTTTCAAGGCTCTATGGGCAGCAGCACGAGCCTCATCAGCCATAGCCGCAGGCCCACAGGTAAGGATAGCGATTTTTCCTCCCCTGGAGCCAGCGGCATTCACCTGGTCGACAAAAGCCGAAACATCCTCCTGGATATTAGGTCTGTGACTGGAGATCTCAATGTCATCGAAATCGATTGACGATGGAGAGGCAATCGCCTTGAGTTTTTCGGGAGCGACAAGAGCCTTGGCCTTCTTGTCCCGCGTAGCGAAGAATTTGAAGGTGATATCTTCTCGGTGTAGGAATGGTCGTAGTTCACGAGATGCGATGTCTCGGATCATCGCAGATTGCTTTGTGGCCCAGATGACGGTGATGTTACGGGTCCGTGTTCCCCTGGTCTGTTGTTGAGAATCAGGGGATGGAGATTGCTTTGGTGAGGTCAACCGTAGATGTTGCTGGAGATATGGAACTGCACCTGCAATTCCTGTGCCTCCGACGACGAAGATGACGTTCTCGAAGCTCCTGAGTGGACTACATTCTCCATAGGGGCCTTCCACGAGGATTCTCGTGTTGGTTATGCCTTGTGGTCCTGCCTTCACGCACTCGTCGCGGAGGCGTTTAGTCCAGCCGTTGAATGGTCGAATGAAGAATACCAGCTTGTGTTGTCCTGGGGCAATCAGTGGTCTTGAGGTTTCGAGTTTGGTGTCTGACAATGATGTTGGCGTTGGTGATGTAGACCCTGAAGAAGAAGGCATGTTGTCAGATCCAATGCTGCCTTCGGATTTCTCCATTATGAGTGTAGGTCGAACGTCAGGGTCAGAACTAGGCTGGTTAGTGAAACCCTCAACGGGATCACCTTCTTCTTCACCAGCGGCGTAATATGCCGCTAGAGTAAAAGGATGATTCTCCCAAAATCTCAGCTTATTGAACTGATAGATGTAATAATGTTGACCAGGTCCAGGCTTAAGCAATCGAGATCCTGGGAAAGCCTCAATCCGAAGCATGTCGGACTCTTTGTTGTACGTGGCAATTGCCCTGCTAGTCTTGGGAACACCAGAACGTGCCCGGACATTGCAGTATACCAGGCGTCCGAGACGGGCAAACCTATCAAATAGCCAAATTGCAACGCAAGGCCAGAGGTAGCCGTCATACTCTCTAGTAGTGAAAATAGCCGTGTGACTAGAGTCTTGGTTAGCAGAGCCAATGAAAAGATGGAGACATCCTACTAGAAGAGTCCAACGAGAGTGAGCACAGAGAGGGCAATGTGAATAAACAAGAAAATCTCATAGTGGTTCAATCGAGCCCAAACGGACGAAAAGACCAAGAGCAAGCTCATAGTGATGGTAGCCTACAACACGTTAGATGACATGGTTGCGATGGGACCAACGAGACCATACCATGCCTCCCATATACCAGTACTGCTGTTGCCATGAATAGGCGAAATAGCCATCTAGGATGCCATCAGCACAGTGACAAGCTAACCGCGGGAATGAACTTACAATGGATCTCAATAGCGCTCCAACCAATTGAGTGAACAATAGCCTGGATCGTGGCAACGCGAGCGATATGACGGTGGAAAATGTTGAAGGATGAGAAACTCCACCCAGTCAACCAAAGAAAGACGTTGTTTCTACCAGAGAACATCCAGAGAAAAGGCAGGTTAGCATAACAGATGATACCAGTCCTGTCTGAAATGTATCTCCACGCTTGAATAGCCTTGGTATAGCTATAATATGTCAAGTCAGAAGAGATTCACGCAGTCTTGGATGTTTCGGGTCCACTTACTATAGATTTTGTTCAAAAATGTCATAAGACACACAGCAAAGGACAAAGTTGAGGATCCAGAATAGGGCCAAGATGATGGTCTCCATACGTGTTGGGATGCTACACCAGTAGTACAGACGTTGATGATAGGAGCCGAAAGCAGCCGGAATGATCAAATTTGCGCGGAACCAATGGTGTACAGAAACAAAGGGGCTCAGCAACCGTGAAAGCCCCGTTCGAGGGTTGGAAGCTGGAGCCTCGCCCTCAATGTCAATGGTCTTGCGAATGGAACGGGAAGCAAGGATGTGGGAGATGAAACGGTTCGCAATCCCAATGAGAAGCAATGCGCCCCAGAACCCATAGACTCCCCAGCTGAAAGGCAGAGTCAGTCAGAGAATATGTTTCTTGCCAGGAGGGATGAAGAGATGCTTACCCATATTGCTTATGCAGGACATATTGCATGTCAAACGCGGACTATCAATTGTCAGTCTCCTTGTCAGAGTATGATCGTCCCTTGCGTCAAGCTCCGACTCGGGTTATACATACAGAACTCCTGTAGCCGGCTTCATAAAGATCATAAGATATCAAGACGGGCGTCTCCCATACCACTGAAGCATCTCGTGTGTCATATGTCACAATATTCAGGGCAGCGATGTACTCGTCGGTGAGGATGGGAAGTGTTTCAGCGTAGGTGACGAGCTCGACACCGCCATACTCTTCACAATATCCGGCGTAGAGCTTTTCTCCTGCCTCGATCTCTTTTGGAGTGCAATAGAGCTTTGCCGCAGCCCACCAAGAATTGACAATCAACTCATTTCGGCACATGTTCGGGTAATATTCTTCTGAGATGGGTACGAATGAGATTTCGGAGACGGCCGTGTTAATACCAGCCATGCATTGGATGTCCCAATCCATCCCTGCAAGTGCTGGCGAGAGCCAGAGGGCCAGAAGCCAAAGGCACAAAGATCGACCCATCATGGTTTGACAGGCTACGAAAAGAAAACGACTTGAGCTCAGGAAGATTGTGAAAATGCCTCGAGAAAGGTCGAAGTCCTTAGGACAAAGGGGCCCTGGAGATATACCAATCCTCCAAGAAAGGGCTTTCAGTGGGATGCAGAAATCGTCACGCCAGGATCTTTTCCCAGGCTACGAAGCTCGCCGATCATTCTCTAGATGGTGAGAATTTTCTGCTGATTCTTTCTCTTCTCTTTCGCCGGAGGATCATGATAGTGGAGCATCTGTCAGTCGTCCGGTTCTGCTGCTCATGTGCATACATGTTGTGGAGTCCGGGCACGATGTCGACTCGACCGGTCAACTCAAAGCGAAGAATTTATCCCGTTCTGTAAATCCGTTCATGACTATTCGTGCGGAATGGAGGGACAGCCATAACGCTGGCGTGGTATTTTCAGAACCGTGGTCTGATCTCAATGGTCTGGAATGTTACGGTTCCCAGCCTTTCGAGAACCAAAAGCCATGCGTCATGCACTCGAGCTGGTCGGATGAGCACGTACTTGGATTTCAAAAGGCGTAATGCTTGGCGATGGGCATCGTAACGAGTCCATATGGGTTTCTCACCATATCGAACACGCCGACGACATGTCTCCGTCGGATGGAAGACCACTTACCTGATGATCTTATCAGATCAAAATTCTCCCTTTGGGTCCACTTGAGCGTGGGCCACTTGAGAGAAGCATCGAGCCAGACGCCATAGCGGCAAAGAAGAACTAGGTAGAGTGGGGGGTTCGGGCTCGCTGTTCCTTGCCATTGATTGGCAAAAGCTTGAGAAGCATGGCATCTCCAAGTGTGAGAATTCTCGTGTTTTCAGACGTGTGGCCTGTTCCATGGCGCACTCAGTGTTCAAATTACCGTTTCGAGAAATACTATTGCTCACAGAAACCTCTGAAAGCTCAAAGGCCGAAGTCGGAAGTTTAGGTTTATGCACGAAGTTGGTGACCATGTGTTTTTACAGACCCTTTGACGTTGTGCATTTTGCTGATCTGGACCCGGAAAGGAGCGAGGATATGCTTGGCGCCAAGATGGTCCTACTCCGGATTCGCCATACAATATCCACATTTGGTTCTCCACAGGTTCTCCAGAATAACGACGCACATCCTTCATCTCAATGACCTATTTGTTGCTAGAGAAGCTATCTCGTCAGGCTAGACAGCGAGGCGCTTCTCCCTTCTTCCCCCAGCCCGATCATATGGTCGTCCAGCTCTCCACATTGCGGGCTTGCGGACACAGACTCAGCGCCGACGCCGACTAGTCGATTATAGATGCCTCAATAACACTTCACTTATGTAAGTCTGAAGTCTCTATACCCGCACGATAGAGTTTCTCGCCTGCGTGAGGGCTTTTGGAAGCAGTTGAGTCACCACAGTCGATGATCTAGCTCTTCAGTGAAGGCCTAAGTCAGAGAATTCCTGCTCTTTCGGTCTGGGGATCGCCAATAGAAACGCCCCAAAGCAAGCCTTCGCTAAAGAAGTTCTCAACTTGGCATTGGCTCCATGCATAACCAGGTAGGTGGCGGGAGGTTCTCTATACAGGACATCTGCCATGATCCGACCTCCGACCTCCGCAATTGGGATAGCGTTGAATGCATCTTCACTGAATGATCCATCGCTGTGAGCAACGATCAGGGTTCATTGAGTTGGACACTACGACATTGACGAAGCGACTTCGGGATGCAACGCCTTTGCTCCGAGCTCTAGCCGCCATATGGAGCAGGAAGTTGAATAGTCTACCTTTACAAACGTAACGAGTTCTTCTTTACACGTTGATCTGGGCTTTTCCGCCGTATATCGGAGCACAGAATGGACGACAAGGCGTTGAACTCCAAGAAACAAGGCGAGAAGGAATGAATAGTTGAGACTAGCACGACAAGAAGTTGAAAAATGTTGCAATTGACCCCACGAGGAGCGCATGATCGTGAGAAAAGGCAACAGAAACCAAGACAATATTCAACAATACCGCTTTTTCGTCGATCTATGCTTCGAAGCGATTAAATATCACGTTCATTCCCGCCTTGATTCAGACAAAGAGCCTCAAGACATCCTCGCCTTCTAACTCCAGTGGGATATATCTGAGAAAAAAGACCAGAGAAACATTCAAGGTCAAAGCAACAATGTTACGCAGAGCAATTGCCCTTTCAGCCACTTTGGCCACCGCCGCTCTCGCTCAGAGTCATGGCCCGTTCACAGACCTAGTGAGCGTGTTGAATGGAACACACGGATTCTCATCCATCAACGCCTTCATGGAGTACTACCCCAAGCTCCGGGATTCGTTGAATGAACTCAAGAACGTCACCGTCCTGCTACCAAAGGACACTGCTGTGTGGGAGTTCATTGAAGATCCTCGGTACGCGGCCCTAGAGGCCGCCGGCGAAGATGCCCTAGACGCTTTGTTGCGCTACCACTTCATCGATGGCGTGCACGACAACATCACCGATTGGGTGCAGTATCACACCTTGCTGACTTCACCTGAGTACACCGGTGTCACTGGTGGTCAGGTGGTGTTTGGATACAACAACGACCATGGCTTTGAGAAGAGCTTCTACGGTGGCGCTGATCTCAGCGCCAGTGCTGGGAGCGAGCCCATTCTGTTCGACGGTGGTATTGTCTACCCTGTCGACAACGTCCTCACCATCCCCACCAAGCTCGAGGAAGAGGTTGAGGCTGTCGCCAACGAAACGGCCTTTGTTCAGGCTCTACAGAGTGCCGGGCTGTTGGAAGAGGTCCAAGCCCTAACTGACGTGACATACTTTGTGCCCAACAACACCGCCTTCCAACTGGTTCAGGACAGTCTATCGGAGCTCAGCGCCGAGGAACTGGCCGATGTCCTCAAGTACCACATCGTCCAAGGAACCATCCTCTACTACAGCACCTTCAAGGATGGTGTCACGCTCAAGACGCTTCAAGGCGATGATGTGACTATCACCATCAACGCTGAGGAGTATACTGGATTTGTCAACGGGGCTCTCTTCACCTGGAGTGATATGCCCGTCGCCAATGGTGTCGTTATCATCATTGACAACGTCTTGAACCCCAGTGTCACCGATGGCCCGGCTGATAGTGCCGTCGAAGAGGGTGTTGCTGCTTGGCCCACAAATGCCATTCCAACCACGACAGATGACTCGGCTGCTGCTGCCACCACTAGTGAAGAAGCTGCCGCTTACACCGGTGCTGCTCCCTCCATGCACAAAGTCGGCACTGTCAGCATTGCTGCCATGATCGCCATGGTCGCATTTGCTGTCGCTCTATAGACTGTTGCAGTGCGAGAGATACCCAGCCACGCGAAGAACAAGAAAAAAGGGCCAATTATACATGGGCACGTAATGAACGGAGTACGAATGCACGTTATTGAACGAATCAAAGAGCTGGAGAGACAAAAGTCAAGTAGATGGCATTCATAGAGCTAACTAACCTCCCGTTATCCTTCCACTAAAGCAGGAATGTGGAGGTCTAGAAAGCAATATCATCCTCTATCAAGGTAAATATGATCATGGCTCACCGATGTCCTCGTTCCTACAAGACGCCAAGTTAGTCTTCGTCCCGAATCGTGCCGAATATCTGAAAGTGTATTCCGAGTAGAAAGACGGATGGAGGACGTACCAGACATGGGGTTTCTGCTCGATGAACTTCCTCATCAATTCTTTACACTCTTCGTTATCAAAGACCACGACCTCGACACCGCGAGACTTCAAATACTCCTCTCCGCCGACAAATGTCTTGTTCTCGCCAATAACAACCCGCTTGACCTTGTACAGGATGCAAGCCCCAGTGCACATGTCGCAAGGGCTAAGAGATGTGTACATGGTGGATCCTTCATAGGCTGAAGCCGGCAAACGACCCGAGTTCTCTAGTGCCGAGATCTCACCCTGTAGAAACCACAGCCCAAGGCACAAGGGTCAGAAATGTATCCAGTGGGGGATGAGAGAATTCTTCTGGTCGGAATCAACTGACATGTAATGTGGCGCTGCCCTTCTGCACGCGCATATTATGTCCTCGCCCAATGACGGTGCCGTCCTTAGCAACCAGACATGCGCCTGTGTCGTAGTAGTAAGGTCAGAAGAGATCAAGCTGCATCAAACCGGCGTGAATGACAAAATGCACCGCACTCACCGATTGGGACACCGCCTTCTGCAAATCCTTGCTTGGCCTCTTCCACCGCGGCCAGGAAGCCCGGGTCTGTTTCGGACATGATGAGATGATTTCGGAGGGGTGGGTATCTTTTCTCGGGATGGCTGGTACCAACACGGGGTAGGATAGACAGATGACAGGAGTAAACGAGTGCAGGGGTACCAGGTAGTCTCAGTTGACTTGTATCTTGGTGGGTGGTGGTTTGTATATGTATGTAGATATTTTAATTTTTTAATTTGTGTAGTTGTTCCTTTGATAAGAATATGGGTGGCTCCTTCCTCCGTTGGTATACCTGTCTGCACCTGCCGCACCGCACATGTCCGCCAGTCTGGGGCTCCTTCCCTTTTCTATCGCCAACCCAACATTGGCAGGCACGGCAGGTCGAGCAATGTAAAATCTGCTCCGTAATCACGTGCTGCTCGCCCGCACCATGCCGCTTTTAAAACCACGACCTTGCCACTCATCTTCTTAGCTTCACACATCTTTTTGGTTCTTTGTGCTGATCGCAGCAAGGGTTTCAACAGCCTTACGCACGTCATTGACGATAATCGCGTCTACACCGGCCACTGCTTGGATCTATGCATAACCTGGTTAATGCCACAGCTTGGTCATCGGTGGACTGGAAAGATTGATGCATACCTTGACCCCTTCGACTTGGTCGTTGAATTCTCCATAAGTGGCAGTCACCATTCCCTTTCCTTTCCCTTTGACGTATCCCACCAATTGTGGCGCAAAAACAAAAGGTTCACTCGCCAATACTATGCCATCTAACTCCCACATGTTGGCAAAGCTTACCGCCTCCTGCAGACTCGTAGCACGAACGTCTGTTGGCTGCCAGTTGCCAGAATCTGTCCCGAAAAAGATCGGCCAACGGGACTGCTTTCGGGCCAGCAAAATACAGATTTCAGGGCTGAAAGATGAAAGTAGAATGGCGCGGCCGGATATATTTTGGGCAAGGCACTGCAAACTGCTATCGGTGAAGAAATTGGCTTCGACGAAAAACGGGTCCATCTTCCAATCGTCTGTCGCTTCGGAGAAGATAGGGTATTCTTGGCTGGTTAATCTCTTTATTGTGATAACACAGGCACTCGGAGCTTACTGAGTTCAATGTCAAGCGCTATGTCTTGCGGGAGCTTTCTCAGTAGCTGTTCGAGGGTAACAAACTTCCCGTTAATGAAGTCACCCCTGATGTTGCCCTTGAAACCTCTCGAATTATAGTCGAATGTGTGCTTGATCCTGGACATGAAAGGCCCCATTTGGACAGTATCAGCAGAGCTCAGGCTCAATCTTCGTGTCTTTCTGCTTAAGGGGTGCTGGGATATTCCTTTCTTTTCTTCCAAAGAGATTGTAGACAGCCGCTGATCGGACTGCTCATTACTGATATGCATAAACTAAAGAATTAATATGATGAGGGTTCCGCGGTCGAGCATGAAGACTCACCTGCTCGAACGTGATATCTTGCATTGGAGCGTCAATTCCAACTTCAGACACCAGGAAGTCATGATAGACCACGGGGACATGGTCCTTGGTCAGTTGCACATCTACAGCATTAGCCACTATCGATCATCATATTAGAACCAAGCTCACCGAGCTATAGTAGTTGTTAGACTCATTTCCACTGTGTAGTTCTTGAAGACTTTCCTCAACATAAGAAGCGCCTAGATGTGCAGCTGATAGAAAAGACTAGGGAATGCTGTCAGTAGAAATAATCTTGCTCGAACATGAGTTCATACCTCGATGGTGTTTTCTCCAACCTGAAGTCTTCGAGGGGTTGGTAAGTTTTGTCCCAGTCCTGACTTGTATCAGCGAATGATAATAAAGAAGAGCATGGAGAATACCTCGGTGTCCGACAATCTTCGAGTGACCATTCTCGGACCACAGTGTTTCGGTATTGACAGGTGGAGTACTCGGCAGTGTTAACGGTGTCGATATGATGAAGCTGAAAACAACAGTTCCAAGATATTCCAAGCGGTCAGTTGACATTATTGCAACACTAAAATCTCTGCTGATACTTTCCCGCTTCATATCGACGCCTTTTTTAAAACTATCGAGCAAACTCATTCCCCTCCCAATCAAATTTCTATCTTCACCATCTAGTGGTACAGCGCGGAACAGATTGAAGACCAATTTTGCATCCATGGCGTTGGGGACGGTAAATGTGTAAGGTGTATTGGGTGCATCTTTCAACAAGGGTAGCCGGACTGTGTACCTTAAGCCGGGCGCACCCGCCACCCAGATATCGAGGGAAAATAAAGACTCGGGATGGATGTCAAGAGCATTTTTGGTCAAATTCGAACTCAACGAGACAGCTGGTGCAGTATCCGACGAGTCCAGAGAGCCTATGTTGACGATGATATTACTCTCAGTCGCAGAACAATTGCGGCTTGGTTGTCCCCTGTTGAAGGCCTTCTGTTTCGCAGGAGCCTGGAGTTTGTCTTGGAGTTGTTCAACCTGTTCAGCGGCCAAACCTTCGGCTACTCCGGAGAGGGCTTTCGAGAGTGAAATGTGACCCCTATAACATGCATGATCAATGGCACTCCAACCTGCACAGTCACGGTGCTCAACCTGTGCACGATGTTTGAGAAGCATCTTGGCTACATCGCTATTTCCTTCTGAGCTTGCAATGATCAGCGGACTCCAACCCTTGGCAATTTCAGCTTTATCAACAAGAGCCCCGTGACGCAGTAGTAGTTCCACCAAAGTCATGTTTCCAGATCGAGCCGCAAGATAAAGAGGTGTCTGCCCAAATGCGTCGGAGCAGTTGACGTCGACATCAAAGTCGAGAAGACATGCGACAGCCTCTGAAAACCTTGTTCTCGCCGCAAATAGAAGGAGCTCGTTATATGCTCTTCCAAGCTGTGACGGGACATCGGAAATGTCTAGAGAAGCCTCGTTGTAGAAATGAATGAGTGTCTTTGTAACATCTAGATGACCGCTGAAAAGTGACAATTGCAAAGGGTTCCGCTTTTGACTGTCTTCAAGCAGAATGGCCGACTGGACTGCTGCTCTATCACTTTGTCTCCACGTTGTCATGAATTTTAAGACGAGCTCGCAGATGCCCACCGAACCACCTTCACAGGCGTAATGAAGAGGTATTTGCCCGAAGTCATCTGGTTTGAATAGAAGATCGAGCCCCTCGACAATCAAGCGGTCTAGCAGGTGGGCCAATAGGGACGAAGAGAGTCTATCCCTTGTTGATAGCACTTCGCCCTTCTCGCTAGCAGTCCAGCAAAGCTCAACGATAACATCGCGAAGACAACTCTCAATCCACCCCACCGAGTCGTAAGCATGGGCACGAGATATAATGACATCGACCGATGCGCGTGAAGAAAATCGAATCGAGTATTGAAACAGGACTTTGAAAAATTGACCCCGTGAGAAAGCCAATTGCCCACCGCAAGCATTATCGATCAGTTTTTCCAGGTCAAGCGGCTCGCCACGGTCAAGATCGTAAAGAAGCGGAAGTGCTGGGATACTAGAGTCGACTCTCGCAAGTCGACCTTGAAAGCCCTTATGGGCACTGCACGGTGAGGTAGCAATGTTCTCTTGTGCTTGCGTGATCAAAGCAATGGTCTGTTGCAAATCACCCAAGACTTTCAAAGATTGATACTGAGTCTTGAATTCCTTACCATAAAGGCTTCCCTCGATCCGAGTCGAAATTGAACTTCCCACTGCGCCGGAGGAGCGGACTTTTCGAATTAACCGTTCGAAGGCATCGGTGTTAACATGACCATACCATCGTAAACGTCCGAGTTCCTCTGCCAGTTTTACAAAGACTCTCTTCTTGTGTCGCGATTCGCAAGAACTTAATCCATCGCATGCGAAGTGGCTCGGAAATTCTGCATCAGGATCTTGATCACTACCTTGCCGTCTGGGTATCGAAGATACGTTTGAGAGCAATGTGGCTTGAGTGCTGCAGTAAAATAGATTTACCGATTCAACTGCGCTTGAAAAAGACACAACGAATTCTAGGGACACCAATTGATCAGAACCATTGCTTTGGGTCAAGTATTCAGGCGGGAAAGAAAAACCGCATTTCGGATCTTGCACATACCTCGAACATCATTCTTTGCTCTGCAGTCTTTCCAAAGTCTCTTCAAGGCTGCGTAATTCACATAGGCATCAGCCCACTCGGCTATCTGGCTTTTGTGATAATCTCGACCGAACTTCATGTTGATATCAATTCATCTGTGCTTTCCGGGGAATGACTGCCTTGTAATGAGATGCAAAATGGCATTAGGGAAAGTGAAGCCGCAATTGCACGGCTTCATTGTGTGAAGTGTAGTTCTTGAAGACAGTGGTTTGCAGGTTGACTGACACGCGGCTGTCACCACAATTCCTCTGGCTTGAACTCGAATTCGAATTCGCCGGAAGAAGTCTTCTGCCTGTTTGTGAGAATGCCCCGGGTTCTGAGTCGAGCCTCCTTACAGTAGACTTAAGCAAGGGGCCTCCTCAGCCCTGCCAGTCCCGGTGGCTAGGGAAGGATCATAAACCCCGGTTTGCAGGCTCTCATGCAGAAGCTAGGCTGGACCTGTGAGTGCCCCCAGAGTCATGCAGTCTTTGTCTCGGTTCAAAAGCACGCCCTTGCTCACAGCTGCTGCAATATGCTGCACGCTATTCGACCTTGCCAGCCAGCGTGGATGGCACCCGTCGTTTCAAGTAGTAGCTTGATTGGATATCTGCAAGACCCTTTCCTTTTCTCTAATGCAGCACGTATCTGCCTACACTACGAGTAAGACCCATGCGCATTGCAGCGCCGAAAGATGCCTTGAGTACATATGGCTTTTGCAGGGTTACTCTCCAGTCAGTGTGAGTGGAATCTTAGAAGATCCTGATGCCTTATTATGATCAACTAGAGCCCTGTAGAATACTTGAAATACATATATCTCACCATATTTATCTAGATATGAAAGAGAAGTGTCTCCAGCATATAGCTTCTCAACCTTGTCAGTCCCACTTTCTACTCGTTCACGCACACCAACTGTAGATCAAGTTCGGCCTAGGACCAAACAAGTTTCTTCCGACTCGGTTTCAGCCGCTAAGGAACCTTAACCTTACTTCACGATCCTACTGATGAATCACACAACCCGATAGAAGCCCGCGAATCCCCAGCATCGCAGTTGCGGTAGGTAGGATCGGCTAAAGATATTGCTCGACGTGGTCAAGGAGCTAGACATAATGTTCCGTTGGGGTGCTGTCTGGATGCATCAATATTGACCAGGCGACCACATTGCGAGCGGCTTCCGGGGAAGAAGGGGTGAATCTTCTTCACCTGGGCAGGTCAGGTGCGATGATGCCATGTTCAACAAGCCAGACCCACACTTGTCTCCCTCACGGGCTGTAGTGAGACAGTCGTAGCGTGCCAAAAGGGAGGGAGAAGACAGCAATCATGCGAGCTCATGTTTGGAAGCGGTACCATCCTGACATTGAGAGGGCGCAGAAAGAAATCGCATCAATCAAGTCAAACCTCAATGTCATCCTTCAGATCACCAATCTGTAAGTATGGCCACTGCTTTTCTTTGTGAAGCATCTTGCTCTCCCATTGTCCGTGCCACTGCCCTTGCCACTACGCCGTCACCGGATGCAAGGTAGCTGAGCTCGTGACGTGGCGGCTGCAAACGGAATGCAGGGGTCTAGAACAGCCAAACAATCCATCAAGATCAATTACGAGCCGATCTTCTCGCTAACCTCTCCGTCCTTCCCATATCTACTTCAAAAATGGTTCAAGAGCACATGGATACATTTTTCAAAAGACAGCAGGCACAGTTACAGAGCATGACCGCCGAACTCTTAGAAGACCAAAACGCAAGACTAGATCCGCTCGTTCGTCGGCCTCCGAAGTCGCGTCACAGATTCCATTCTGAGGCTGTAAAATCGCGGCAGCGCCAGAGTACTTCCAACAACAGCGAGGGCGTTGCGGTCAATGTCGGTCAATATGTTTCAGTATGTATGAGCTCTTGTGTTTGCGCATGCCACCGGCAAGTCAAGGTACCGGGACCTGCTTTCATCAACCGCCTCTTGGGACATCTTTTCGTAGGAGCTGCAGGTATTCCACTATTGAGTCCCAAATGCAACACTCCGACTTGCCAGAGCTCACAAGCCCCACGAGTCTCGGTCGAATATTGGTTCCCAATTGGCGTCTTCTGGTCCCAAATGGTAAAACTGCAGGTTGAGTATCACGCTAGTACGGGGCCCCAATTCAGCTTAAGATCGCTGAGGAGAGTGCCCGACTCCTCCCAATGTGTTCATTACGCCCAGATCGGGGATATTGAAGGATTGAAACATTTATTCAAACATGGTTTGGCATCCCCCTGGGATGTGAGCAGTACCCGTGGTGATACGTTGGTCCGAGTAAGTAGCACAATATCGTGGGAAATGCTAGGCTATCTATTCTCTGGACTAACATCTTCTAGTGGGCCTTATATTCGAAGCAGTATAAGACTGCCAAGTTTCTTACACTTGCGGGCTCTGATGCAGATTACAAGTACCTGCGCACCTATCTATCAGCTTGGGAAATAGCTAACTGTTGTGCCAGACCAATTGCGAATACGGATAATTCTGCTCGTCACAAAGCTTTTGACAATCTCCTTCAAGGGGGGCTCGATGCAGAGGCCGAAGATGATATTCGCTGTCTGACAGCAGGGAGTGATTGGATCGAGGAGCAACAAATGAGCAACCTGCACAAGATCATCATTAACGTTCAATACTCGTCACTGGAAGATGCACTCGCAGAGCAACCGTACAACGTCGACATCAGGGATAATATGGGCCGAACCCCTCTGGTCTGGGCAGCTGCAAGGGGAGATCACCAGGCTGTCCAACTCCTCCTTGACCACGGCGCTGATCCCAATGTCATGGACATGTACCTTGCCCCACCGGTTTCATACGCCGCCGACCGCGGACACACGTTATGTGTTAAGCTCTTGCTTGAGGCGGGTGCTAAGGCTGAACCCAAGCTTCCCCCAGGCGTCAAACTTGGCAGCCCACTGAACTGTGCTGCTCGCAACACTAACGATCCGACCCTGTTAAGGTATCTGTTGACCTATGGCGCCGAGGTCGATGCTACTGGGGTCGACGGGAACACTGCTCTTATTCACGCTTGCCGGACCGACAATGTGAGATTTGCGGCATTGTTGATGGACTGGAATGCAGACCTTAACGCCATCAACATTAATCAGCAGACTCCTCTGACGACCGCGATCATGTCAAACAGCCATAATGTCCTTGAGCTTCTTCTAGAACACTGGGAAGAGTTTAGCACATGTCCACGTCTCAAAGGCCCTCACTTGCTCGAGATCACAGCTTGTTATGCCGACCTTGAGACAGTCACTCTACTAGAGCACACGGACCACCTCAAACTAAAGTACGATGCAAATTACAGCGTAAGAGACTTTGCAAAATCTCTGAGCGGGCGGGCTGATGTGACGGATGAGTTGGTGGCCGGCTTTGACAGGCTACTTCACATTGTCGATCAGAGTCCGGAATTGACGAGGCCGTTGAACTCGATGGAAAAAGACCTGGAGAAACGGTCTGCTCTGGCTACGAAGGATGGTCGTCTGTCGATATATGCAAGTGAATGCCCTTATAGCAATGATTTGGAAAAATTGGGCGATGATTACAAGGATGGCAATGGAGGACTTAACTGTGGATGATTGGTGAGTTGGAAGACTGGGTGTGTCACGGAGAATGTATGCTGGTCATAATAGCCCAACGACTCGAGCCTTCATTAGAGCCAGCAGACCAGGCTTGTCAGGACTACAGCTGACACCCACGGAAGACGATTGCTCTGCAGCTTAGCTTTGCCAGCCCATGACCAAATGATGCTTAGACCACCTGAAGATCTTGGTGGCTAACCACGAAATGCCTGCAATTTTCACTATGAATAAGAGCTTGATTTAAGGTGATCGATCTATGCACTCGCCATTACTTCATTCTATGTCATTCTTGATCTGCTTCTCATCTAGTCATGTTTGGGGATTTTCACCTACCTGTCTTTCGCCTGGACTTACCTATGAACGATGTCAATCTAGCGCTGAGTAGGTGATGCGACGCGGTCACTTGCTGCAGGCTTCCTTACCTTTTCAATACATCTGTCGACCAAACGACCGAGGTGAAAGGCGTCCGGGCTCTTCCTGAACCTTCTCCTGGACACCCCATGTGGCATCCTGAGGAGGAGGTGTAGGTGGTTCAGTGATTGTAATGGTGACATCAGCACAAGTCATGGCCTCCCAAGTATGGTGGTATTCGGCATCAGGAGTATTGTTTGGCACTTGAAGAGAACCGGCCCTATCATCACCGTCATTGAAGACTGGGGAGGGCAAGTCATGTGGTGATGGCAACAGGTCAGAGAAATCCAAACCAATCAGCATCAAAGACCCCGACGAGGGCACTCTTCTCGACCAACGATAATGTGCGAGGGCATTTCGGAGCTCTTGCATTCTGGACATGGGAGTGATGGTTGGACCTTCTTGGACTTTGGAAAAGGGAGTGATGTTTGGATCTTCCTGGATTGCCTCGAATTTGGCTCTATCCTCGTCAGAAAGATCCAGACATTCAACCTTCCAAGGGAAGGGCGATTCCGGCGACTTGTCTCCATTCAAGGCCGAGTCTGAGTTCGAGTTCGAGTTCGAGAATGTGTCAACCACAACATATTCCTCCTCCATGGAAAATAGATCTCTGGAAAATTCAGTATTCTGGCAGCGAAAGTTCTCGGGCGAGATCACCATAGGGCCATCCATCAGCATCGACTCACCATCACTGTCCTCCGGCACCATTGTATCTGGAGATTCATACAGCGGACTTGGAAGCATGGCGGTGGGAATGTCCTCGGACATGTTCTCCATCAAGTCCGTGATCAGAGGCGGGAGCTGCGGGCGATGCGATGAAGGGGAAGATTTGATCGAGTCAGCCATGTTAAGTTGATGAAGAAGTTCTCTTTTGTTCTGTTGTTGTCGTTGTTCTTGAAAACCAAGGTCTCAGTGTTGACTTTTCGAACCTGTAATCTGTTGAGGGATATGGGTTTCGTCTGGTCAATTGTTGATCTTGGTTGTCGAATTTAGCAAAAGAAGAGATGGAATATCAACCAAGTTCGACGAGAAGAAGTACAATTTATATAGAAAGTGCTGAAGGCTCGATTCGTCAACCTTTGCATTGTCTTTCTTTGTCACTTCACCATCTTTTGTCTAGCCCAGACAATGGGCTTGGTCATGTCACAAAGAAAGAGATATTTCTCTTTGTTCGGCCTAGAATTCATCGTCGCGGGCAACAGGACTCCCAGTGCACCTACTCAGCTGCACCAATCACAACCAAGTTGACATGACATTCACATTATCTATCTACTGTAAGGTAAGGTATCTTCGACCGAGTGGGTGAATCGAATAACCTATTCTCGGTATGCTCATCAACAACACAGCGAGCGAGCGAGCGCCAGCTAGAAGCACCATCCCAATCCCGCAATCCCAGCACAGCTTCAATCAAGGATATCAAGAACGCGCGTATTGTCTCTGTCTCTCTGTTCTCTCTTGCCCCATCATCAATGGTGATGATGAGAAGATCAAAGTCCAAGACTTAAAGGTGTATAATCGAATGGCAATGAAAATCCCGACCCAAGAAACAAGGTATCACATGGAGCAGAGTTGATCTCAATCGTAGAGCACGTGTTGGCAATAAGAAATCATCATTCGACCTGGAGATGTAGAACCACTTCAGTCAGCGAAGAGCTTCATTCTTGTTCGCACGAGAACTGACTCTGTTGATTAGCTGCGATGGGGTTTTGTTCACAGAGCAATGCCGGGTCCCTGGGCTGTTGATCCTTGTCGTAGGTTGGAGGGGCCAGGGGGCGAGTTGCGTCTGTCTCGAACACTCATTGCGCTGGCAGAGTTGCTTCGACGGCGTGACTGATTACCACCCATGGGCGCAGGTCCTCCACGACCACCGTAGGGCCCGGGAGACATGCTTCGCTGTTGAGGTCGGGGTCCTGGTGACAAGGGTCCTGGTGACAAGGGTCGGGGTGCCTGGTTGAATGGCCCTGGGCTCATCGATCGACCGGCTGGTGACATGGGACGTGAACCGGGTCGGCCGGCGGGCGACATGGGACGAGAGCCTGGTCTTCCAGCAGGGCTCATTGGTCGAGGAGGGCCAGCTCGGGGAGGTCCGTAGTTGCCTGCAGGTGACATGGGGCGGGAACCACCGCCAGGGGCCGGTCTCATTGCTTGTGGACTATTTGCATACTGGTTGAGATGTGCTGGCTTGGGCTTGGATGGTTTGGCTGCGAGACAGGTTCGTGGGACAACACCTTGTTGAGATCTGTCGAGTCTGATACATAGAGCCTGGACAAAAGTTAGGAATATTCGCTGTAGATTTTCAGTTGGCCGACTTACCCATCCATCATCGTACTCGTGGAGCATACGGACGAGTGAGCCACTGACAAGCTCAAGCTCGTCTTCCATAGAAGGCTTGAAGTCCATCATAATGCGGTAGACATTGCCTTGGGGTTGTTCAGCGCCTGGACCAGTCGCAACAACTGGAGCAGGGGTCACCGGGGTCGAGGGTTGCGAAGTGCGCCTAGGCAGGGGGGCAGGATTCGACATGCTGTTGGAAGCCGAGTGGTCTGGAGTGGCACGGGGAGCGCCTGCAGCAGCAGCGGCTGCGCCAGCAATTGCACCAGCAGCTGTGACGGCGGTGGTAGACGTTTGGGGAGCGTTGGATGGGGCGGGACCAACAGACAATGGAGCAGGTACAAGAGCAGTTTTCTCCGGGTCAGCGAAGGGGTTCTGCGGATCAGCGAAAGGATTCTCTTGTGGCTGGTTTTGGATAGGACTGGGGCCTCGCTGTTGTTGTGCTGGACCACGGCCGGAGCCTGTCTCGCCAATGCTTGTCAGAAGATTTCCACCACTCAGTCTGGTCTTGGGTCCAGATCCCATGAATTCGGGAAGCATTCGAGAAACAGGACGGAGGCTTAGGCGAGGGGCTTGAGCACTTGTAGGGCTTCTATCGACCATTTCGGTGGGAGGAGTGCTGGCCGCTGCTCCACTGCCATAAGTGGCTTTTTCATTCTCTTTGGCAGCTTCTGCTTGACGTTGCTTCTTCTTCCTGCCCAAGCAGAAGAGCAATAATATACCGATCAGTCCAACGACTGCAATGACGCCAACGGCAATACCTGCTTTGGCACCGACCGAAAGGCCATCACTGGAGGTAGACGACGACGAGGATGCGCCAGAGGTCGAATTGGCACCTGCAACTGCCGAATTGCTTGATGCGATTTCGTTTGAAATGGTAGTAGGGTTGGCCAGAGTTTGCGTTGGTCGGGTGGACTGAGATGACGAAGTTTCAACGCCGACAACTGTCTCGGTAGGAGCGGTGGAAGTTTCGGGAGCTTCTTGGGTCAAGGCACCTGGAAAAGAATTCGTCGTAGCCGCAGCGGCATCGCCGTCGGTGATTGTTGTATATCCTCCAATGACGCCAGTGAAAGTCGGTTCAGCGGTGACATAGACGACCGAGTAGACAGTGCCGCCCTCAGTCACGACCGAGTTCTGTCGTTTGGCCAACGCTGCCATTCTGTTGTGTAGATGAAGATGGGAGAGGTCGGCCATCGTTCAGCGTTTGTGTGCGACGAAATGGGATCTTGTAGCGACTAGCCACGAAGGGGAGGGAAAGTTCAGTCTCTGACTGTTTCGTTGTTTCGGTGACGATGAGATCGATGGAGATTCAGTGACCGGACCAAGGTCAAAGGAGTGGACAAGAGCGACTGTCGATAAAAGAGGGGCGACAGCAAGCGACTCTTTGAAAAAAGGTCGAAGGTGATGAAGGGGAGGTGAGGAAAAGGCGCGTGATCAACGAGCAAGATGCAAAAAGAGCATCAGCAAGAAGGTGGGTGGCAGTGAGGTGAGTAATGAGGTGGGTGGAGGATTGTCTCACGAGTCTTGGATGGGACGGTGGTAGTCAGGCCTGCGTACCTGCGGTGGTCCTATCTGACGTGTCTGTTTGAGATGCGGAAATGAGAGACGAGAGCGACAGAGATTCAAAGTGGAGAGGCAGTTCCAGGAGTGGATGTGAGGGTGATGATTTCGGGGGAGATATGACAGCTCACCACGCAAGATTTTGTGGATGTCTGTTGAAAGTGACAGGGGCAAGATGATGATGATTGGTGTGCCTGGATTTAGTCGTCGACGCCACGCTGGTTAGTCGCTGCGGCTAGAAGGTCATCCCGTTGGTGGTGTGTACCTGCATTGGCTCCAGACACGTTTAAGAAGGGCTCGGTGCTCGCTTGGCCAAGACGTGCGAAATTGCAATCAGAGGCGAACCTGAGGATTCGTGGGAACAAGCGCGGCGACGGTTGGCATTTGACTTGACAGCTGCAATATTTTATCGAGCGGAGTGGCACGAGCACATAACAAGCACAAGCACGAGCATTCGCACGAGCATCACCTGCTCATCTAGAAGACTGGAACATACGACATGTCTGCCCTACCAGAGATGCCCTTGGATTCTATTTGGGAACAACGCTCGGACAGTATCTCGTGATATGATGATAAGCCGGGGTGTACGCGTAAATTGATTTCAGGGGGCTCGCTTATTTATGGCTACGAAGAAAATCAACTGCGTGTTGTTGGTGTTTATCTGTTCTCTGGCCACTTCTGGACTCTCTGGCTACGGCGCGACTGTGACTGCGCCCGCCTGCGCTTGCCTGTTGACAACCTGGTGCGTCTGCGCGCGCCTGCTTATCCAAGAAACTCGTGGCATTCATGGAAACTGCGATCGCCACATGCTCCGTAAATGCCGCTATTGCATTTTGGCTCTTCGATCTTCGATTTCTTTCTTGGCTTCTTGGACTTTTGGAGCAATCTAATATGGAGTAATATTGATCTATTTTAATAATTTGAGTACGGAGTACTTGACGAATGCAACTCCAACTACTTCATTACTGTAGGTATGAATGCATGCTTATAGTATGTGTAGAGTTACTAGGTAGTTGTCTTGATTCCCCTCAGCAATAAATGACATTCTCAAGCCAAGGAAGAATGATCTCCTGCCTCCTGTCGCTAGAGATATCCGACATAATGCTTGAACTTGCATTTGACAGTCATTTTTAATCATCCCATGTCCCACACTGGATGCTAAATAAATGATGGTGAATTTTCCCGATGCTATTCGTCAATTGGCCTTTGAATTTCATCTGTACACAAAGAGCCTTTATCAACCTGGTGCGTCTTCCATGCAGTGTACTCTGTACGACACATGGAAGACGAAATCACGTACCACACTCGGTGCCGTCCCAAAACTTCTTATCGTCCTGTGCTACCATCTTATCGGACATCCAATGCAGACACTTTAGCCATGTCACCAACTTACGGAGTACTCCGTAGGTGTTGACGATCACCTCGATAAATTGTCTCCAGAATTCATTATTTTTTCCCTTACTGCAACATACCGCAAATTTTAGGCGTAGCATCTGACTCATTTTCCTACTACAGAGTACATCAACCTCGTTGAATTTCCCTCCACACTTCGCCTGCAAAAGGTCTTGATACTCAGTCAATTCAAGTGATGGACGCGCCGACAGGCAAGTGACGGAACACAATTAGTAGCCACGGCACGTTGCAGCTGCCACCACCCTCATTCGCGGCTAGTAGCACCGTGCTCAGAGTCAATGCTATTTATTTCTAGCATTTTGGAGTCACATCCACCCCACCGCATAGTAGGTGCCAACTAGGAGGATCGTCGTTGTCATGCGTAAAGTCGAGCCAATGTATGATGGCCAAGTCCAGATCAAACGCCTTGAAGACTGGTCACAATTTGCATGTCTCTTGCATCCCTGATATCATCGACACCTTTGCGTGGAGCGTCAATTGCTCTCCTCCGTCGGGTCATGTCCGCTGAAGAATTCTTCTAGCATCTGCATCACCTTATCGCCTCCCGTATCTTGGACTTCATGCTGCTTCTGATCTTCCATGTTTCTCTTTGTCTCGAGACGTTCCAATTCCCTCTCCAGAAACCTCACAATCAATCCCAGCCGCAAAAGTCCCCTCCAGACCTGCAAGTCTTTCTCGACCTCGCTTTCCATGATACGCAATTGATCAACAATGCAGCCTATGGGTTTGCCAGGCAACAGTCCCAGTCCCTTCCACACTCTTTCCCCGGTTTTATCGACAGAACATCTTCTGAGATCCACGTAAAGTTGAATTTGCAGATCCAGTAAACCTCGGGCAAGATCGAGAGTATCTGCCGAAAAGAGCTCATTGGTTTTGAGAGTGGTCGTGTATTTTCGTAGCCATGGCGCATCTGTGATATCTGATGCGGCATTTGCGCGATCGAGGAAGCTGTTGGCAGTTTGAGTGTTGAGGGCTATTCTGGCCAACAACTTCTCCACCGAGCCGTCAGTGTCAAAGGGATTAGAGCGAGCCCAGGGAGGTAATTTGGTCAAAACGCTCATCTTATTCGATATGAGTGCGTTCATGGCATCGTGTAAGCAGGGTGGACAGGCCATGCCGTAGGCCGTAGACGGTTGTCGATCGACCGCACTGAGCTGGGTATGGCAGATTCGGGAGTGTGGCAATATTCTGGAGCGACTGGAAACTTGGGCAATCATCCTCGCGCCGACAGTTAATGAAAGACATCGCGAGTTTTGATTCACTGGTCCAGTTGTCACACCGCTGGATGAGCAGTTTGTTCATCTTGACATGTCACTACAAACGACATCCCCATGTTATCGGCCTCAGAGCATGGCCTCCGGTTTGCAAAAGTCGAGATGAGACCGTCACTCTCAAGGTCTCTGAAGCTCAGCTGCAAACAGATGATCTAGTGCCTATTCAATGAAGTGAGTTCAAACCCTAACATGGGGATAGGATGGCTTTGCAAATCTTACCTCATGCGCTGTCAGTCTCAAAGTACTTTCGTAGCAGACGGTGCGGCTGACAAAGTCGACGGCTCCTTTGGTCACCCCAGGAAGTAAGTCATCCCATGATCGAGCAGCAAAGTCCTTGAAGCGCATCTTTCCCCAGTCTGGGTATCGTTTAACCGACTACGGTGATCAAATTAGTCTAGAGAATCATGACTCCATGCAGGGTACTCACAGGCCAGATCGTCTCGTTGGGAGTACCCAGGGATTCAAAGATGGACTTGATGAGCCCCAATTCACTCCCCAAAGCACCTGCATCAAACAAGGGCTGGTGGTCGGCTTTAATCATCTCTGCAACAACACAGCCAGCGGCCCACATGTCCAACGACGAATCATAAGAGTGGTCACCAAAGAGAATTTCGGGCGGGCGGTAACACGTGGTGCCGACGTCGGTGATTTTCTCGTCTGAGGCCTCAGAATCCACGTCCTTGGGTGACCATGCAATGCCAAAGTCTGCGAGATACACGGGTCCTTCCATGGTCTTGAGCAGGATGTTTGAAGGTTTAACATCCCGGTGGATGACTCCTAAAGAATGAACGTGCTTCAGCGCGGAGAATAGGCCTTTGAATATAAGCGAAGTCTGTCTCCTATCCAATCGACCTGAGCGGAGGAGGTTTTCCAAGTCTTGCCGTAGAAAGGGGAAGACCAGGACATATCGTCCCCCAGCCTCGTCGAAGCTATCCAGCAGCGGTACAACATGGTTATGTTTTGCTAGGGCGAGGATTCGGGCTTCGCGCTTGGAGTTATGGGGTGGTGTCATCATAGCAGGATGCGTCACCTTGAGAGCTACGATCCGAACCGCAGCCTCAGGATCCTTTGCTTGAGCTTTGAAGATCGTCGACATCTGTCCATCAGCATGGAAAGTAGCATATTGATATGCTCCAAGGGTCGGGCCTTCAATATTCAATATTTCGTCTGGGACGGCTTCGACTGCTGTCTCCACGGGAGGGGAGGGAGTGGTAGGCGATTCGAGCTCGCTGATGTGAGAGGCACATTTTTGATGATACTCTTCGCCAGACTGAGCGGTTTCAAAGATTTCGTTCTCAAGATCCGTAGCAGACTTACGAGCCGTGCCAGTGTCTTTGCCTGAGGTGACGAAGGCATTCGTTAGGGCAACAATGCTTCCCAGACGGTCCGAGAAGCTGAGGTCAATAGCCATGATGCTGAGCCTTATACAGCAAAGTGTGAGCTGTGGTATGGTAGGGCCAAGGCTCGACTGCTACAAGGCTGAATTGCCCATGGTGAGTGTGTAAGAGTGGAAAGGCTTACGTGCGGTGTTCCCTCATATGTGGACCATGTAGTGCGGCGAAGTCCGACAGCTCAAAGACTCGTCGGAGTGTTGGCTATAAGCTCATTCTGTAGCTTCAATATGTAACAGGATTTGTTCTGATGATATGGTTGCTGGAGTATGGATCTTCACATCAAGCTTGGAGGGAGTAGAAGGTGTCGTTGAGGCCAAGACACAAGTACCTGGGGGCTCATGTCTGATTGGTTTTGTAGCGATCTCTTGGGGCCTTGTTGGTGGAGACGATTTCTTAAAGAGTGGCCCATTGGCCTTCCAGCCACCTAAATCATGCCCTGTAAAATCCCCGGGAGGTATTGATAGATACCATCCCCAGCCCCGGAGCCACTTAACCTTTGCTAAGCTACTTGGCCCGGGTATCTCCAGTGGCTAGAGACCCATTGTCCAGGCATCGAGAGGCTAATAACCATCGAGTTAGGGGCCCGAGTGCACGAGGGTCCCCAGCCGAGGACCAGCTGACTTGACAACTCGCTAACCAACCTCATCTCGGCCATGCCTAAGTAGTTCCTCCACGCTCACTTTCGTTACTCGTATAGCCGCAACCCTCCACTACATCCACCCATACTCAAGATTCTAATGACCATCGTGCGCAAGCTCCTCATTCCAGATCTTTTTACCACGACCCTCCACTGTTGACCACTACTCCTGCTCATGACGACAACCTGCTGACACCATGGGCGACGCATTGCGAACTGAATACCCGTCCTTGCTGGTAACCACCTCTTCCGCACCTTCCCACTCTCTTTTGTCCCGCGACTAATCCCATCGCTTGCGCCAGACTTCGCTACAACCGGAACAAGCCATCACTGTCCTGCAAGACCGTGTCTCGCTGATAAACAAGGTCAACCATGATATAGCAGATTGGCTGCTGGTCAGTTCCCTATCCCAACCTTCTCATGCAAGCCAATGATGTTGACGAAATGTCCTAGGAACGACGAAAGGTCGAAGAAGCTTACGTCGCGGGTCTGCGGAAGCTTGCAAAACGCCCACAACAAGATGGAGCATCTGCCTTGGGGTATGTCCCCTCCTCCTTGACCTCTCACCTCGTTCTAAATCCTCCGCAGCGTCTTCCAGATGCCATGGCAGCGTATCGTCTCCGGGACCGAGAACCTAGCTGCCTCACACGAATCGCTAGCCGCAAAGATCGAAACCGATGTAGAAAGCCCTCTGAGATCCTTTGGCACCAGGAACCGCGAGTTTCAAGCCTTGAACTCAACTCAGGGGAACCTCGCCTCGATCGCAAAGGATCTCATCAATGCTCAAAAGAAGGCAGCAAAGGGAAAGACCTCGTCCGCCGAAGCGGCTTCGCAGCAATGGGAATCACAGGCCCCATATGTTTTTGAGCAACTACAAGCTTTAGACGAGACCCGTGTAAACCACCTTCGAGACATCCTGACCCAGTTCCAGACCCACGAGTTGGACGCTGTCGAGAAGACAAGAGCGAGCGCAGAGTCGATTTTGAACGCTCTACTCAACGTTGAGACCGCAGACGAGATCAAGACTTTTGCAGCAAGAACCGCAACACAACGTGGTGGCATCACGCGAAGGCGTAGCTCTGCCACTCCAAGCCAAAGACCGACTCCTGGATCATCTGCTCTTCGCCCTCCACCAACCCCTCCCCCTCCGCGCCACACCGATGATGGACGAAGCCAACGTTCAAACTCCACGGCTGGCCAGGATAGACTCGGTTCTTGTACGTTCTCACCACCACTACCTCTTTTCCGTTGCTAACAACATTCAGTGCCTGATACTACCCCCCAGAAAGAGAAGAGTCGACTCGGTGGCTTGAAACGCTTAGGCACAGTCATGGGTCGAAGGAAGAGCACAGTCCCGCCTATACCTCACTCTTCAAACGAAGAAAAAAGAAAGACCAGATCCTTTGCACCCTTTAGAAGAGGCGATTCCAATCGAAGCTTCCACGATCTTGAAGAAACCGGTCAAAATCTGACTCCTAGCTCCACCCAAGATTACCGCCCTCCCTCTCCTTCGCGAAATTCCAGGCACGAAGGCTTTTCACATGATCGCTCGGAGGAAGCGGCTCTTCCTTTCACCAACGGCACCTCCTCATCACACCCTCCAACGGCATTGAGCGAGGAACCTGCCTCACTGCAACCCTCCTTGCAGCCTACTCCAGCCACTGACGTCCATACCTCATCGACACAAGACGAATATCCCCCAGCCACGCCAGCCAAAGACCACACGGCTCAGGCTCACCAGGACGCTAGCCTAGCTATCTTGAGTGGGGACGATTCAGGTCGCAATTTCCAGATCCGCGACAAGCCCATCAAGGAGGACGAGAGCGAGGCTCAGCTCGCCTTGAGCAGCATGGCCAATCAATTGCGCTCCCAAGCGCAAAGTTCTGGCCTCACCAGGGTGCAAGGAAGCGTAAGAGGACGAAGAGATGTTAGAAACACCATGTTCGTTCCCAACGATGCACCCGACCCTACACAAGTGACAGCACGCTCGGGTCCTCCGGTCGCAATACCTTCAGCGGTTGCATCCGCAGAGACGATGCTCGCTTCCCCGATCCAACGGCCACCGACTGCCGTGCCTTTGATCCACGATGACCACGCACTTGCATCGGACACAACTTCAGTCCACTCAGCCCGAAGCCAAGGCCCCTCACACAACCATCCGGAGCTGCACGATCCTGGTCTTAATGTTTCGATCCTCGAGACCGTTCATTCATGGTTCACAGAATCAGGAATCAGCAAATCTTTTGTAGTTGGCGAGATAGCATTGGCTTACACTCCCACTGGCTCTGCAGATCCCGAGAAAGAAACCATTCGTTTGCAACACTTTGAGCAACTCGACAAAGTGGCTGTCAATCCAATTTACTTGGCACAGACCAAGTTGGATGGAGGTGCCTCAGCAGAAGAACAAGCAGGCATCTACACTGTGTCTTTGTCACCCATCCGGCGGCCGACACCTCTGGTCGGTCTCAAATACCAGCTTCATCTGGAAGAAAGCAATCTCGCTCAGTACAGCCCAGTTTTGTTGACCCCTGCGTGGCAGATCGTCGAAGGACAAGTCAGTGTCATTCTATTGTACAGTCTCAATCCGGTCTTTGGCAATGAACCGTTGAACCTCAAGAATGTGGTCATTAGCGTGAGCCTCGATCCGTCAGGCGAAGGCAAGGCGACCTCTGCGATGATGGCGCCGTCACAAGGAGCCAGTTTCAAACGGAAAGCATCCTCGATCGTGTGGAAATTCAATGATCTGGCAGTCAAGCCTGAGCAAGAAAGACTCCTCGTCCGATTCATGACTCAGGGAGGGTTAGCCAAGAAAGGCAGCGTGGAAGTCAAGTTTGAAGTGCCTGGTCGCACTGCGTCAGCCATTGGGGTTGAGAAATTGGCGAGCGTAGACAAGGAGAAAGAGACCAGCGATCCATTTGCTGATGATTCCGGCGAAGGAAGCAGTGCTAGAGGCAGCGCTGATGTGAAGAGGTGGGATATATTACCCGCCAAGTTGAAGTTGGCCAGTGGGAGATATACTGCTAGTTAGTCAATTTTGCGGAGAATTCATGGATCATCACAAGCGAGTTCAGTTCAGTTGAGACGATGCAAACAGTCATAATAAGTACCTACCTACCTATATTGTCCAAACATGATGAATGTTGAAGCCGAGCGAAATGAGTTTCCGATTCCTAAGTCTAGATCTCAACGCCTGAAACTGTACGTATATGGCTTTAACCCACTCGATCGAATTGTGCCGGCATGGAAAGAAAGGTCCCCTCCCTGCCTGGTTGGATGGATCAGGTATACTGTTATGTGCGATGACATGAATAACGCCAGTAGCATGCATGTAGTTATCCCAGCTATGTAGGTATATATATATACATTGTGTGTAGGTGTGTGCATGATCTGCTCATTTCTCATCTCGTTTTTAGCTTACACTCAAAACTCACACCTGGACACATTGACATGGTACTGGCGGTCTGATTGAGTGAATTCGAGAAAAGGATCATGAGGATTTCCACAAATAGATAAATCCCTCTCGGTGAGCTCAAGCTCTGCACCAGTCTGTCTCTCCGTCGCATAGACTACCTACTTAAGAACCAAGAGTCTAGACACCTGATCCATTCTAGCGACCTCTTTGACAAGTGCCACAAACTCGGCTCGTCGATCCTTGGGGTGTGCGACGACCTTCATCAAGTCTTTGATGGCAATACCTCCCTGAGGAATGGCCTTACGAATCTCATCCTTGCTGGGTAATTCAGTTACGCCGATCATGGCGCTTGGGCTGCGGGCTGGTGAGCCTGCGCGAGATGATGGTTGTGGAGTAGATGTGCCGCCGCCAGGAGGTGGTGAAGCGGACATTTTCAGCTTCAACTTTTGGCGAGCTCGTGATGCATCGCTCATGGCGCCACCTTCGCGGTCGGATGCAACATTGTCGGTATCGGAACCTGCCCCAGCCCCACCTCTTCCTCGTTGGCGGATCCTGTTCGGGTCGAGACCACCGGGGGCGGAACTGCTGGGAACATTTGCAGGACTCATTGGGCGAGACACACTTGGTGTTGGTTGAGTACTGGAAAGGTGTTTGGATTTGATCTTTTTCTTGCGTGTCGAGGCGTCTGTGCCGCTGGCGTCGGATAAGTTGGGACTACCAGGTCGTTTGAGTGTTCGTGATGAGGCCGATTTCTTGATACCACTTCCTTCGCGGTCAGATGAAGTAGCATGTTTCTCCTTACGTCCAGACGGTGTGTTTGCGCCCGAGTTCAGGCCTGATTTGTTGGCGGCGTCTTCTTCACGTTTAATGTTCTCGAGTCGTTCGCGTTCGATGCGTTCGCGCTCCTCTTCCGAATCCGTCTTTGAGAATACTGGTCAGCACGTATCCATGGAAGGGTGTAGAGCGGAATCAGATTAGACTTACCGAGGAGGACTCATCAGAATCACTACCGTGGTTGTAGTTGCGCTCTCTTCTCTCCAGTGCCTTTCTCAAATCTCGGAAATTCCTCTTCTTGGCCTCTGCTTCTTTCCTCTCTCTCTCCTCAGCTTCATCATACTCTTTGATGTCTTTGAAATCCAGGAAGTTAGCAGTCAACTGGTCTTCTTTGATCCTTTTCTCTGCGATTTTTTCATCTTCATCCTTGTCGGCAAACAAATCTCCTTCCTCGTCGTCAGCAAAGTCATCCTCGAAGTCAAGATCGGCATCTTCTCCTCCGCGTCCAGCGATGTTCTGTTTCTGGGCACCCGAAAACAGACTTTTAGCTTGCCTGGCGGCTGCTTCTCTGCCGGCTTCGGCAATGCGAGATTCCCGTTGTCGAACGAGCCATTCAGGGTCAGTGCCACGTTTCTTCATGGCAGCTTCGACCTCTTCGATGGACATTTGCTGTGCCAGTTCTCGTTTGGGTTTGAACTGGTAGAGCTTTTCGACGGGAATGAGACGAAACTTGCCATCTGTACCATTGCTACCAGGTTCGTACAAGAATGCAGCGTGAGTACTAATCGATCCAGGCTGGTGGTGTCCAACCAGAGTATGCTTGTTGTCGAAGTCTTCTAGGTGCCAGGGAAGCTTCTCTTCGTATGCAGTTTGATCGCGACGTTTCTGTTCCACCGACCTGTTGGGCAGCCAAACTTGTTGGGTCTTCTTCTTGAAGGTGGACTTGCTGCCTGTCTTCTGAGAAGGCGCTATCTGTGCCAAATTGGCTTCGCGCTCTTTCTGACGAATCTCCTTCCTCCGGCCTAGCTCTTCACGCTCCACAGCATTGAGGCCGTCCTTTGGTTCAGGGCCGGTTTCCTCCTTTGGCTGCGGGCCTGGGGGTTGGGCTTTCGGATCTCGACGATGCAGGCGAGCAGGCTTGGGGAATTCTGATTCATTCCGGATATCCAATACCTTCTCACCGGCTAGTTGTAGTATGTGGTAACGTGCAGCATTGATCAAGTCTCGCTTGGTTGTGACCAGCTTGTAGTCTTTGTAGGGGATGCCTTCAGCCGTCACGCGCGGATCACTGAAACCACTGACTCGTTCATTCTCAGGGACAGGTAGAGTTGCTGGAGAAGAGGTGCGGGGAGGGTGAGGAAGCGGTTTTCGCAATTGCTGTGGTTTGGGGATATGACCATTGACGGGGAGAGGGAGGCCGCCTTTGGATTGAAGGTTCCCAGTCAAGGCTGGCTTTCTGGAGGCTTTGAAGAAAGGATCAGCTGCAGGTTTCTTGCGCTTTATTGTTGGCGCTGGAACTTGAGGTCGATTCGCAGGTCCACCTGGAGGGACACCGCCTGGGTTCATGGTCGTGCTAGGAAGGCATAGAACTTGGGGACACGAAGGTACGAGTTGAATGAAGTATGGATGTGAAATAAAGAGGATGACAGTGGAAGGTCGATTAAGACTCAATAGAAGAGATTAAAGAAATGGGTTGGAATGTTGATGGCGCGTATGTCGAATTGGAGTCAAGGCCAGCCTCTCATACTCGATTTGTGTCGCAGGGAACAGGTTAAGGTCAGATCAATAATAGCAGGCGCACGCAGGTGGCTAACCCCATGTTGCCTGTTCGCACCTGCCCCTTGCCTGGTGAAGGAGTTCAGACACACCACGTGAGCTCATCAGCGGAGTATATGGCCTCAGAGAGCAGAATCTGGAGATACAGAGAAGCATAGCCTCGAAAAGCCACATGGCACGTGCTAGACGCCAAGCCTTCGAAATCAGCGCCTTCTACCAACCAGCATCGACTTCTTAAACATGCCATCAACTTCATCAACCAAACAACCCATCTCTCTTTAACCTTCTCTTCAACACTTCTCTTGCCTTCCCTCACTTCTCAAGTCTCTGAAGCCATCAAAATTGGTGGCTTCAAACAACCCTTCACTCTTTGTCGTTCCTGGCAAAGGCTGATCTTCCCTAGATTCAGATCTAAGCCACAGAAGGCGATGCTGGAGTCCAGCCCAACACAACTGTGCTTCTGATCTCACCTTCTTGGTCAACCTCTGTTCCACGGACCACTTTCTACCTGTCAACATGACTTCCTCCCAGTCATCCACTGGTTTTCCTGAACACCTCACACAACAACTCCAGGAGATCTCTCGTCAGCAACAACAACAACAACAACCTCCATACCAGCATAGAGGTCGAGGTTCTCATCTGCCCAGAGGACAGCCATCCTATCAAAGACAGAACTACCAGAGAGCCAACCATTCATCAAACCTACCCGAAGACTTTCCCCCTCTCGGCACAGCCAATCCGGCTGCTTCAAGATCGACCCAAAATGGCTCTCGATTCCATGAGACCCAGTCAGCCTATCCATCCACGCAACAATTCCAGTCTCTTTCTGCGCCAAATAACAATTACCGCCATGGTTCGCCTAGGGAGTTTCAGGACCAGGCACGAGCAAACTACAGAGGCCGACAGTCCCACTACAGCTCTCGCCAACAATTCATGCCACAGCAAAGTCAGTCCACCTTCTCGAGTCCCTACAATCGTCGAGGTGGTCGTGTCTTCAACCCCAACGCAGGCCTGACATATGGTACCCCCGAGCAACAGCAAGCAGCGAGACACCAGATCATGAAGCAGTCTGACTATCTCATGGCCGTGGGTAGAAAGCCCTATTTGGCCAACAAACTGCAGAGGGAAGAATCCATTGCCAAAGACGAATTCCGCCTGGAGCTTGAACGTATTGCCATTGATGCTCTCACTACCAAGTATCCTGGTCTGGATGCCTCTAAAGTCAAACTAAAATGCTACGGCAGTTTAGCAAATGGATTCGGCCTTGCCGGTTGCGACATGGACCTCTTGCTTTCGCTGCCAGACTATCCAGATTACAAAGCCCCTATTACCACACACGATGGCACCACTCCTGACCATGTAGCTCTTCAAGATCAGAGCGACACCAATGCCGACAAATCATCATTCAAAAGCGAAGTTCAACGTGTACTTGAGAAAGCATTTCTTGACCGTGGTTACGGTGCCAGGTTGCTTACCAAGACTAGGGTTCCTATCCTCCGCATGTGTCAATCTCCAAGTGCCGAACTTCTCCAGAATTTACGCGACCATCAACTCGCGGAAGAACATTCGGCGCAGGAGAAGAGAGGGGCCCCCAAGAGCACAACTGAGCCAGGCCAACATCCTGTTTCTTCTAGAACAACAGAAGACTCTGGAGACGTGACAGAGTCGGTGGCAAGTGCCTTGGATGATCTGAACATTGCTGATTCAGACCATCCTGTGGTCTCGAATTCAAAGTCTCGTGGCAATGCAGGATTAGAATTTGTTGGTGATGTAGGTATTCAGTGCGATATCAACTTCGGGAATTTTGTGGCCCTGCACAACTCAGCCCTTCTTCGAACTTACCATTCCTTCGATTCACGAGTCGGCGATCTCGGAATTTTTGTGAAGATCTGGGCCAAAACCCGTGACATCAACACCCCTTATCTTGGCACTCTTTCCAGCTATGGGTACATTCTGATGGTTTTGCATTACCTGATGAACATTGTGAATCCACCAATCATTCCCAACTTACAGGCACTGGCGAAGAAAGATGATGGTTGGTATCCTGAGAGGCCTGTACCATTGTTCGAGGGTTTCGACGTACGCTTTCTCCAAACTTCGCAAGACATCCAGAACGCACGTTCGCAGCTACCCAGAAACAATGAATCGGTAGGGCAGCTTTTGAGAGGTTTCTTCAAATACTATGGAACCAGAGAAGGCTTCCACTGGACCAGAGACGTCATCTCCATTCGTGAGCCCGGAGGTCAATTAACCAAGGCTCAAAAGGGATGGACCGAGGCCAAATGGGCTGAGAATTCAAGCAACCAGGTCCGATTGAGGTATCTCATGGCAATCGAAGACCCCTTTGAAGTGGAGCACAATGTTGCCAGGACGGTTGGCCATCATGGAATTGTTGCAATACGTGATGAGTTTCGTCGTGCATGGTCCATCATCGAGAGAGTCGGCACAAATACTGAAGCCCCCATCGAAGAATTGTTGACACCCGTCACTGATCGAGGGGACACACTGAGGCGGGATCAAGACTTTCACCGACAGAGGCAGCTTCAGATGAAGCAAGAATTGGAGGCTAGAGAACGAGCACTCCTGCAAAAGGTTGATGACGAGGATCCCGATGCTAACACAGACGGTATGTCAGGAACCTCTAAGGTTGCGCAAATCAGCTTCCCTCCTGATCATGCTGAGAATCACCATCATCCACCACCACGCGCAAGGCTGACATCGATAACTTCCCCTCAGGCATACAGGAGACAGACAGGAGTTCTGCGCCGGTGTCCACGGCAAATGAAAAATGACAGTGACGGCGAAGACGAGGGCGATAACAGAGATGAGTCTTTGACTTTAGCTAGCAGTGATATGGGAAGCGCTCATTCAGAGGCCCAGACCACACCAGAGAGTCTCAAGTCCAAAAACGGTCTGCAGTCACGCACGGGAGGCAGCGGCAATCTGTCTTTGCTGCATGACCCACCTAAATATGGAGTTGATGCCAATGGCAATATCATACCATGGGATGTCGATGATCAAGACGGCCGTTGGCTACATTGGCGGGATGTGCAGATTCGCCGCGGGGCTAAACTTCAAATTACAAACCCTACGCTCCGAGACCTCCACGAGAACAATCCTTACGAACCGAATCGACCAAATCCTTATCTTGAGAAGCCATACAACAATCGCTTCGAAGGAAGAGAGCACCGCAAGGTCTCTGAGCGGCCACCATGGCCTGCGCCCAATGTTATGCAAAAGAACTCGACGGACGAATCTGACGGATATCCTGAAGATGACAGAAACGGTGTACTCGACAACACGGTGGCCAATGCAGGAGCTGAGAAGCATGAGACATCAGGCAACATCGCACGGCAGGATATGAGAATGGAGGAATCGAATTTGACGTGGGCCGCAGATCAACATGATCTTCATTACTCTCGAAACGATTCGAGATTTGAGAACACGGGCGAATGGGACACAAGTCTCCAGGATGGTAGATGGCTCTCATGGCGTGACGATCTAATTCGAAAAGGGCTGTGGATAGGCGCTCCGCGCAAACCATGGCTCTCAAAACTAGACGAGCTTTTCCCGTACAGCTCCGAGCGCACATCCGCAGAATGGGACGCAATGAATGAGGAGCTGCGGGAGCGTTATCGACAGAAACGTCAATTCCGAGCAGCAGCCGCCAAGAGCAAGCGACACCCAAGACAACAACAGGAGCATGCATTGGATCAGGCCTTGAGGCAAGGGCCATGGAAAGTCTCGTCCCCTGAATCAAGCCAGTCAAGACCGAAGCGGGTCATCTCGTACGAAAATAAAAGCTGGGACGATATTGCACAGCATAGATACCACGACCACGGCTTGATCCCACAAGAGACTCACTTGATTACTCAAGAGGATGCAAATGTCTCGACCATTCCTGAACCTCACAAAAATAGGCTCAGCGCACCCCAGTCGCATCACGAAGAGGAGGACTCGCATCCTGACAGTACCTTTGTCCGAGCACAGCGACTCGCCTTTTTCGTCAAAAGTGGGCAGGCTGGGCTATCAGCGAAGTCGATTTCATCTTCACGGTCCGAAAGCGCAGAGGCGATGGACGAGCAGAGTCGAGGTGATGACAGAGAGGTACAGCATGTTAATGGAGGACCGACTTTGGAGATGGCTCGTACGCTTGAAGATCAGGCCGAGGGCAGTGAGATTCCACCAGAGGACGATCCTCGGATTATGCCAATCCCACAACGCCCTGGGTTTCAGTTTGACCCGCGACAGATCGAAGACCTATCCATCATCGCGAGAGGAGGCAATGGTTGTGCTCGAGCTGGGGCGCACTTCAGTATTGAAGAAGATTACGAATGGGGAGGCGGTGGAAGGATGGGATACCGGAAGAGCACGAGCGGTTATGAAGGCCACGAGAGTGCATCAACTGCAGATGAGGTCTTTGGAAAAGGGGACGACGAAGGGCTGCTGGAGGAACTACCGCGCGAGGTGGACTCATACGAGAGATGATGGGTGGAGCACTCAGCACTAACGCAGAACGGATATTTGTTATCATGAGAGACGAGGGGATCGATAGTGGAAGGATGAGTATTGAGTCCAGAAGAAGAGTCACAAGAAAGGTTCATTGATAGAAGAGGATCATTAGACCGGTAGCCTTGAAGGTGACATGAGTGGATTTCAGCATTAATCTCTATTCCAATGAGAATGAATCATAAAGAGCGAGTAGTGTATCACACATCCTTTATCTTCATCGACTTTAGAGCCGGTCAATAAGAGAGTAGTGAGCAGTGAGAAGTGAGAAGTGAATGGTTTCAAATGTGTTGGTGATGTTTCAAGTTGACGAGGGACTAAAAAGCACGTGAGCGAAGATGCTATCTTCAGTCAACTGCGGCCTTGGGTTTCGGTGGTGGCGCCTCCTGATGGAACATGAAACACCACAGCAACAAGGACACTTTGATCTTGTTTCTTCCATCTCTGCTGGACTCTGATGTCGTTCTTAATCTCTAGTTGTCATCAAGCGGTTTTTTACGTCTGACATTTTCCGTTTTAGTCACTTGAGGCTGGTCCTGAGGCGACGACACTACATTCAACACGAGTCCACAAGAAGGACTGGCAGCAGCAGATCAACAACTGAGGTCAATCTCCATCACCAAATTCCGTCAGATAAGTTAGTCTTTAACGTTACCAAAAATGGTCAGTCGACGATCACCACCAGGGAACAAACCTCTCGAAGGCTCGACACCACCATCTTCAGTCATCTCATCACGACCTAAACCATGGTATCGTCATGTCAACCTCGACCTTCTCATTCTCATTCTGGTCAATTCCATCTTCCACCCGTATATCATGTTCATCTTCTATCTCTCCCAGGCAGCTTTGCATCTCCACAAACAACCCTTGGCATATTACACCTTGTGCTACACAGCGGTGCTGGCTGTGGTCGAGGTGACTATTCACGTTAACCATCGCTATACGTACGGCAAGCACCGGAAGGTGGATTGGGAGAAGGAAGTGGTGGTGATTACGGGCGGTGGAAGTGGGCTAGGTCGGGTCCTGGCTGAGATGATGGTTAGAAAGGGAGCTAGGGTTGCGATTCTGGACGTCAAGGCTGCGGATGAGGAGGCTCAGGATGCTATGGAGAGGTGGGATTTGATCTGGGAGACTTGTGATGTTGGGAATCAAGTCGATGTTCAGAGAGCGGTTGCGACGATCGTTGATGAGGTGAGTTGAGTTAGTTCTTTGTCATGGTCGCAAGGAACTGTTTTTACTTGGTTTCTTCTCTCTTCTTTTTTCCCCAGACAGCTAACCAGAGTATCTAGCTCGGATCTCCCACGATCTTGATCAACAACGCCGCTACAGCAATCACTGGTCGTCGAATTCTGGCCACTCCAGGTCAACCCATGGTTCTAACCCCCGAGCAAGCCAGCAAGACGCTCAAGACCAATGCTCTCTCCCAGTTCAATACTCTATCTGCTCTTCTTCCACATCTGGTCGCATCACCTGTCGGTGCACATGTTGTCACCATCTCCTCAATCCTCTCACACCTATCGCCAGCCTCGTTGGCCGACTACTCTGCTTCCAAGACCGCCATCTCCTCTCTTCACCATACATTGCGTCACGAACTCAGCTCTCATCCAGAACCGTCGGTTTTTCACAAGGTCAAGACCCTGCTGGTCGAGACTGGGCAATTGGACACTGGTCTGTTTGCGGAAAAGACCAGTCTGCCCTTCTACGCCGAATTCTTTGGTCCTGTGCTGGAAGCGAGCAAGGTGGCCAAGGATATTGTCAAAGCCATTGAGAGAGGTGATGGTGGGGTCATTCGAATGCCGTTTTATGCCAAAGTCATGCCTCTTTATCCGATATTGCCGGGGATGGTGCAGAACTTGATCCGATGGTTCAGTGGGATTGATCGAGCTATTGGAAGAGGTGACAATTGAGTATGAGGATGTTTGTTGTTCAGACTCGGCCGGAGGTGGTTGGGTTGTGTATATGTGCGTGGAGGAAAGATACCCTACCACCATTCCAGTCCAAAGACAATGGACGGACATGGTGAATTCTCATCAATGATAAATGTTCTGTGCTGTGCTGTGCTGTGCGTGCTTCAATCGTCATCATGAATCGTAATTCCAGTCTCCTTTGCAATTTCAGCCACGCCAAAATCACTTGTCTGGTCATCATCCCCATCAGCTCTCTTCGGTATCTGCAAGCCACCCTTCTTCCTGTTCCCATCAACTGCGCCATTATTCTCAGTCGCATCCCCTGCACCCACACTAACACCAGGACCAGACGCAGAATCTTTCGCATTCCCCTTCCCTTTTCCTTTCTTCTTCATCCTCTTCTCTCTATTCTTCCTCGTCCTTTCTTCATCCCTCTCTTTCCTTTCCCTCTCCTCTCTCTCCCACTTTTCATCATCCTCTTCTTTCTTCGCCTCCTCCTCCATCAGCCTCAATCTTTCATATTCCCTCCGTCGACTTGCTTTGTAGACGTGGAATTCTCCACTGCCCGCACCGGCGGATGAACCTTGAACGTTGGCGACGATTTCAGGTGGGGCGGCAAGTGTTCTGGCATTGCCGTTGGCGGAGGAAGCGGAAGGGAGACTGACGGGTTTGGAAGGGTCGAGGAAGAGAGTTTCGATTTCGTTGGCCTGGTTGACCAGTGCGGTGTTGGCCCCTCGTGCGCGTTTGATGGGACGATGGGATCGTCGGTCGGCTGATGTGGGTATGGATTCGGGGATTGGTTCTGACATGTTGTATGGATGGATGGATGGCGTGTGTCGTATCTTAGTAGAGGGGTTTCTGGGTGGTGTATTGAGAGGTCGAGCCTCAAGAAGTCTCAGGGATTTATTTGTGAGAAGATTCAGTGACGATCGACAAAGTCGCAAAACGAGTGAATGGGGAAAATCATGTTAGCAAGGCTGCGATGACGCAGACAAGGCTGAGATTAGGTCTGGATGAGTGCAGCGGAGTAGATGGTCTTCCATGGTGATTTCTTCAGCGGATCATGAAGAGCTCCAAATGCAGTTGGTTGACGGGTTCAAATCTGACCATGATTTTCTGTACTTTTCTGCTTGTCTATTGTTGTCTACCAAAGGTATTGTTGTCCTCTGATCAACTCAGTGTGACCGCTAACAGCATTTACAGGCCATAATCCCTCCTATTGACCAACACAAACATACCGAATCATGGCCTATTTTCTATTGCCGGGGTTTGACCTGCATAGGCCCGCCACGTCCGCTCGACAAATCATTCATGTTCGATGCAGCCGGCAAGTGGATTCAAGCCGCGGCTCAGCCGAACAATCGACAAAAATCCGTGATAGATGCCGCAACAGAGTGTGGGGTTGTTGACTGGGACTCTGGCTTATGCTGACATCGACCGAGGCCTAATATGCAACCTTTCGGTAAGGGAATGGATGGGGTCAAGATTGGTGGTTTTTGCTAGGTACTCACTTCTACTTGGTATCTGCCTTCAATGATTTATTCTTTTTGTGTTATTTTTCTACGCCTCTATTGTTGAAGACGAGATCTATTTACATCCATCTCCAGAGATAACATAGTCTGTGTAGCACAATGTCGAGAATCGGATACCCTTACAAAGATGCCCTCTTGGAGGTCAAGGGCAAGATTGGTATCATCAAGGTGAGTAACATGAATCTAATTCTATCCTGTCTCTTCTCAACAGATATTGACCATATCTCTTCCAATAGCTCAACCGTCCTTCATCCCTCAATGCATTTGGCGGCAATTTGTTGGAAGATCTCACCACCGCCTTCCGCGAATTGAACGAGCACCCAGACACCGTCTTCACCGTCTTGACTGGCGAAGGTCGATTCTTTTCTAGTGGTGCCGATGTCAAAGGTTGGTCAGCCTTGTCCCGTCGTCCGAATCTTGCACATCTACTTAGTCACTTCTGCTAATTCATTGACTCTTCACAACAACAGCAAGTGGTGCAGACAGCAATAAAACATGGGCCAGTCCTGCTACGAAGAAATTGGATTCCTTCTCCAACTTTGCAAGAAGTGAGTTACACCGTCAATCCACTTCCAACCAAGTCTACTCTCCAGATCTCCCACTAATCAACCTATTTCTCCCCTCCCCTCAGTGATCGAAGTCCTCCGCTCCATGATCGACCATCGCAAAGTTCTCGTTCTAGCCATGAACGGCCCCGCCGTCGGTGGTGGTGCAGCATGGTTTCCCGGTGTCTCCGACATTGTCCTCGCCGCGCCTAGTGCATACTTCCAAGTCCCATTCAGTGCACTTGGTCTGGTGCCCGAATTCGGTTCCTCCACAATCTTCAGCCAGTCCATGGGTGTGCACCGGGCCAACGAATTTCTCATGTTCGGCCGTAAACTCACCGCCCAGGAAATGTTGGACTTTGGCATCGTCAACCAGATCTTCCCTCAGGAGTCATTCCAAGCCGATGTCATGAAATATCTCGAGGCACAGTTGGAAATCAATGACGGAAAGAGTATGATGGAGGCAAAGAGACTGCAGAATCTACCTCTGCGAGAGTCCAGAATCTATGCTGTGTATAATGCGGCGGATGCTTTGGCGGAGAGATTCGTTGAAGATGCTCCTAAGAAGAGATTTGAGGAGAAGAAGAAGTTGCTTGAGGGTAAGTCGAGTGGTCTCTCCCTTTGTTTTATGTCGGATTACCTGATTCTGATGCTAATTCTACAACCTGCACAGCGAGATCAAAGTCAAAGTTGTAGCTTGTAAGTCGGTGTTTGGACACATGTCTGGGACTTGAATCTAGAGACTTGATAAGCCTGAGACAAATCATCACCCCAAGGCACAGTGTTTATGCTTGTTGATACCATGAACACATTGAAAATATATTCCACCACAAAGCAGACCCAATACCAACAACGTACCATTATCCTAGACCACGTAGACTACAGACTTACGAATTACACCACACAATCCCTCTCTGAAGCCCATAATTCCTTAGATCGATCCTTGACCACCAATCCCCTACAAATGTCTGATATCCCCCCCAGACCCCAGAATTCATTATGCCGAGGTCCGCCTGAAAACATTGTGGGGGATCCCAAGGATCGACGTCAGCCAAAACGCCAAATCCTCTGAGTAAGTCAAGTTACTCCGCATTGGCTATCAACATCAATAACCATGGCAAGATACCAAACCAAGCAAGGATTGTAAACCGATGGTGACATTCAATTTCATAACCAAAAAACCTACATCGATTCTGCAACGTGTCAGCACGCGTGGAAGTGCTTAATATCTACCTTATTTGTTAAAAGAAGAAACCATGAAGGACCCCGGTAGTCGTCCAACTCGACTGAGGCAAATCGCTTTAATCGCCGAGGATTTGGATCGTGCGAGACATTTATTGGTAAGTACAATATCAATATCCGACTCATAACATGTTCATCTCACGTACTCATACGTGCGTGCGTTCCTACGTAGACTACTATCCTCGACACCGAAGTCGTCTTCATCGATCCACAGGTCGCGCAATGGGGATTGAAGAACATTCTCGGTAAATCCTTCCCCCTTAGCATCTATTGATCCTCGTTTATCTAATCTCATCTGATCAGTCGCAATCGGCGGCGACATCATTGAAGTTTGCTCCCCATTCAAACCCGATACCACAGTTGGAAGATTACTTCAGAAACGAGGTGATGGTGGATACATGATCATCATGCAGACGATTGACGCCGTCGCTCGGAGAAAATATATCGAGTCTCAGAAGTTGGCCAAGGTTATTTTCGACCATGTCCATGACGATGCTGTTTGTATTCAATACCATCCAAAGGGTGTCCCTGGTTCGTTTGCCCCTTTATTTCATTTCTTCCTCTCCCGCCAGGTCTTGTCTCGTTGTCACCGGGCCGGGATCGAGTGGATGATATGCTGATCTTCCCTCCCTCTTCTCTTCTCTAGGAGGCATGATGCCCGAACTCGACTCTCACACGCCATCACCAAAAAACCCAACCCCGCTTGACTCACCATTCAGTCCCTGGCATGCATGCGGAGCCGACTATCTTGCTTACTCGACCGCAATGAAGCGACGGGCACATTTAAAACTCATTGGTGCGACTTTGAGACTTGCCCCGGGAAATACCAATATCCAAGCTGCGGCCCAACGCTGGAATCATCTCTTCGGCGTCCCATCCCAGGCTAATAATCTGCTCTTCACAAATGCCAAACTTGACTTTGTCAATGGTGTTCAGGGCCAGCCTGAAGGTTTGGAGAGGATCACCATTCAAGTTGACGGGAAGGATCGTCTTGAGAGGATTCTCAATATCGCTAGGAGAGAAGGTGTGTATAAAGATGGAGCTGTTGAGATGCTGGGTGTGAAATGGAACTTCATCGTGGGCGATGGTGATTCTTCGAGCGATGCAACCGTCAATCGTAGTAGGTTGTGAGTTGCTCTCTCGGGGGTTACGAACCAGTCTCGTTGGTTGATGCATTTCATAAAAGCGTTAACAGGACCTGATCCCCGTATCATGACTTGGGCATGAATCGGGCGACGAGCCAGTTGAGAGAATCCTCGTGCGGTTTTGGCCATTTCGAGTAATACTTCCAGACCTGTTCGGTCTTATCCCACTTCCTGTTGGGAACAAACGCCTCAATGCTGTAGTAGTTGTCTCGCATGTAGATAGGTTCGTAGCTTGGAGGCCCACTCCGCTCAAGGTACGTGTCATAGCCATCAGCAGCCTCTGAGTCTGTCAAATGATACAATCTAGGTCTTGGAGTAGTTGTCTTTTCGCCCTTTTTCCTCCATCTACCAGATCGGATGATGGCGCGAGTTGTCGTGTCGAGATGAGTTTGTAGGATCCGTGCATGTGCAAGGGGACTCTTCATGGCCAGTCTCACAATTCTTGCATTGTCATCCAACAGTTTGACATTCCATTCGGGAGTGCTCCCTCGGGCAATGATGGGGATCGGTTCCCGGTTTTCCAGATTAGTCTGCCAGTGTGCTAGGTCGAGAACGATGCACAGATTGTTCCAAGCCAATGCACAGCTCATACATGTGCATACGGACTGCGGATCGATTGCCTGGACGTGTTGATATGGATTCTTGTGAATCCGTAATCGATCTTGCCAGGCTTGACTCAGGACAGCGTGCTGGGCGAATTCAGGCACTGCATCCAAAGCGACTGGTACTGGAAAACATTGTTTCAGAACCCAGAATCGACGGTTCATCACCTGGGTGGTAATTGGGGAGATGTTGTCTAGAATGAATCGTCTTGTTGCATGGTTCAATCGGAGGAGTCTGTAAATCTCACTTGGCTTCAGATAGCTCAAGACCGCAATCATCAAGTCGCCTGGGAGATCGAGGAATGAGTGGACATCGTGAGAGAATGCCTTTTTCTGCGACTGCTTCTTCTCTTGCCGTCGTTTTAATCTCAGTGTTTTTTTCGATGTCAGGGTCAAGGCAGCCGTTGTGTCCACCAATGGCTCAAGGTCGGCTTCTGAGTCTACCGACTCTGAGGTGACAGATGGAGCTGCCTGTTTCCTGCCATTGGATGTCTTTTTCGATCGTTCACCAGGAAATATGATGGTCACTTGCTCATTTGTGTCGGAGGCTTGAGATTGGGGAGTAGTCTGCCCAACAGCCGACCCATGAGGCATATGCGCTGTGTTTGGCCCAAAGTTTGCTCAACAATATGATAAACTATTGACACAGCGCAGGATTACAGCCTCACTTGTCTTTTGGCCTTGACACATGGCAATAGTTAGTAGTTGAATGAAGATGACGTTAATGGTTGTCGCCACAGAATAAGTCGAGTCACGACTAATCGGCGCTAGTGTAACAACATCGAAGCATAGAATCCATCACGCAATTTCTCAGCCTCGTGAGCATCGAATTGGTTCTCTTGATTCCAGTCAGCGCACAAGTTTAAGAATCTAGCTTGGGCGGCAATGCACAACAAGTAGACATAATATATAATTGGATCCTTGAACGCCGTATGGGGCCCCTTTGCAAGCCCACAGCCTCAATCTATAAGTCTAGGTGCCAAAACTCCCCATGGTCTTACCGCTCTTCTGGGGTTATACCATATGTTGATATAGTGGTAAGGTTTCTCTGTAACCTTGTATCATATGCCCTCTTGACAAGTGCATCCTCAATCCTGTCAAGACCCTAACCAAGCGGCCGTTGGAGTTGTGTGTCATGCCGCCTTCGAGGACGGCTCGAACGCGATCCACATCAGGTGAACATGGAGATGTCACCAATACTCTGCCGCCCGATCAGCCCGCGTTCCCTCCTTTTCGACGATGACTGTCACCGATGGGGCAAGTCCCGTCTTACATTCTGTGTCAACTTGAGGGCCATGACAAAACACTGGGTTCAGACGAATGTTGAGTGTCGTGTCTTAATATTTAGGAAGTAGAAAAGCTCAGGTCGTTATTTCGTAACGTGTCGTGAAAAGCCATGGACTGGCAGGAGGCTCATTTAGGAATCTCCCACTTGGGCTTGCAGTCTTTCCTGTCCTTTTTGAACTCATTGATCCGATCAAGCATCCATCCGGAAGTGGTCTCGAGTTCTCCATCAGTTGAGTGGCCTAATTTGATTGTCTTCTGCAATTGGCACGTGCCAGGGTGGAAGGACCATTGTATGCACTCAGTGTCTTCGGCACAGGCTTCCTTGCATTTTTTAATAGAACCCGCAGCGGCTTTCTGGAGGTCAGACAGCTCATCCCACATTTTTTGTTTCTCTTCGTCATTTTTACCATCCCAGTCGCGGTTTTCCTTGACGTGATCCTCGACAGGTTTCGTGAAGATTTTATCACCGGATAAGTTATCCCAGTCTTTCTTCTCTTTGGCGATGGTAGGGGCTGCAAAGTATTCGAATGCATCTCGATACAAGTACGGAACAGAGCCATACTTTTTGCCATTTGATGTCTTGTTTAGCCAGTCCTGTTCAAAGTCCCACAAAGCCTCGACTTCGTAAGTTGGTGAGTGATGCCATGTAATGGCAGGGGTGCACCAGTAGCGGTCTGTCCAGGTCATTTTTGAGGGAGGATCTATCTGGAACATAGGCCATGCTCCAGTGACTTCGACACCAGCGTGTTTCATGGCGACTCCGAGCATGACATCCCCACAGCAAATTGTCGAGGTTTCCTTTTCCCAATCGGCAATCTTCTCCTTGGTGCGGACCTTTTCGAATTTCTTGACAGCGGCACGGGACAAAAGATAGCCAGTCCCTCCTTGAGCAAAGGAAGTGGGGCCGTGCCAATAGACACAGCCAGAATAGACAGGCTTGTTTGGGTCCATTTGAGCCAACATGAGGAGTAGGTTGGACCATCCAAGGTAGGTATCGGCATCAATGGTCATGAACCAGTCAGCCTTTGGATATTTGGTATATGCCTTGTGTAGCATGGGGATGTTCTTCCACTTGTCCAGGTTCCAGCCCTTTTCTGAACCCAGTAGGCTAACATCGCCATGGGTGAGGTGTGATTGACGCACTTGGTTGTAGAATTTGAAGTCGTCATGGTTGTCTTTATACTCCTTGCCCACTTCATCGAGAGCATCGTAGATGTGGTGGTCACCCATGTCTTGCTCCATGTCGGAGAAGACCATGAAATTTGGAACGCAATCTGCTAGAGTCAAAAGCTGTTGTGGCAATCTGGCGAAGGCTTCGGTGGCTCCAGTCTTGACGATGACAACGACTTTGTCGGCGCCTGGGAGATCCCGGCATGATGGTTTTAATGGTTCTGGGGCGGGTTTGACGACTGGTTTGACGGCCAAAGACGGGGTCGGCGTAGCTTTGGAAACTGAAGATGAGGAAGAGGAGGATGAAATTGGAGAGAAGAAAGATCGTTCAAACTCCTCCATGGCCGCGTCCATCGAAATATCCTTGAGTGTCTTCTCAACCTTTTGAATCTCAGCACCTAGGCCTTTGCCTTTGCTAAAAGCTCTGGTAGAGTAGTGGTAATCGGCAGCCACATCGCTAGTGTCGTCCATTTGAGGGGATCGAATGGCAGAAAGCCAATTGCTCGAAGATGAGGAAAATGCTTTGGCAGCATGTTTGGCAGCATGGGGCGATGGTAGGTAATGGGAACGAAATACCAAGACGGAGAGCAGGATGCAGAAGATCACAATCAACCTTACAGGTCCCAGACCTCGAGGAAGGGTGAGGGCCATGGCAGACGGTCGGTTGAAGCTCGCAGAATCAGCAAGTCGTGGAGTACCTTAGTTAGTAAGATACATCTGCTGGACGAAGGCACGCTGGTCGAGCAGAAGTATGGTCTTTTGTGAGCTTGATGGGAAAAGTCAGGGGACTGATGCTTAGCATGAGGGATGAACTGATGGGCCACAAGTGGATATGTCGCGGCACGTCAACAACGGGGCTGGGCTGGTAGATGGCTGCCATGACGGAGAGAGACCGCTGATCAACCGAAACCTACCATGGTACATGGATGTTTTGTTCTGTCGGTCATGGGATTGTATCACGATCGTGTTGATTCAACTGAGCACCGCCCATACGACTGTTTGATGGAGTGAGTGAGACCATCTGATTTTTGAGGATGGAAGAAGAAATTTGCGTGTGGGAAGAACGCGTTAAGCAAGACACGTGTAGACTGGTACCGAGGAAGGAGCTCTCCAGGCTCAACAATTGGCTCCTGCCTTCGTTGTTACATGTGCAGGCACGGCAGGGACGAGTGAAATTTGACAGCCTGCCACGGTGACTTGACAGCACTGACAACGCGTCCAACTCCCCCTTTACCCAGTGCTTCTTCCTCCTGACCAAGAGTGCACGTTCATCAACACAAGTCATTCAGGGCCGTTGAAGATAAGAAATACTTCTAAATTAAGAAGCAATGAGGTTTGTCTGATGATAAATATGATGAAAATGGTTGAAGACCTACACATAAGGTTGGTAGAGGTTCGAATGCCAAGACCATGCCAAGCCTTCGCGTTTCGCGAAGCTCGCGTCTGCGTGTATCAACAGAACAGTCTGAACTCTGGACATTGAAAAAGGCCCTGTGAGACAGCTTTCTTTTCTTATCAAACTCGGGCTTAGACATGCAGCAGTATGATGGTGCAAAGGCGTACTTGTGAATCTCACTGCTAATAAACTAGAATGCATACTTCAAGCCCCTTTCCCTTTTTGGTTCTTCACACATTTCCAAGAAGCAGGTGCTTATGGACTCCTATGCAAATAACATCAAGATATGCTTCCATGCTAAAGTTGTCCGGAATCCGCTGTGTTGTCGCAAAATCGTAGGTGTGGAGGCAGAAATAAGGGAAGCATTGGTTGACCTTTTCAATCCCTTGCATAACCATCCTAACCTGTTTCTGCTTTCTCTCGTTCCGAGTGAGATTATAATATAGCCGGGCAAGGCTGAGAGGAAAGGTTTGGCTGGTGAACCGATACCAATAGTACTTGGGCGACCTCACACCCATGTACTTCCAATATGGAGGTTGGAAAACCACGTTTCGCCCAAAATATTCCAATCCCACAGATATCATGCTTTTCGCAGGGCTTCCGTGTCGAAGCCCTGCCACTGAGTGAACAATGTGGACGTCCTCTTGTTCCGCTCTGGATGAGTTCTGGTCTCGAGCAAGACATAAATTCTCGATAACGTGGTCTGCCACAATATCGACAGGGACAATGTCGAAAGTGGTGTCGATACTTCCTTCCATAACATGGAGAAACCCAGCACCAAACAGCGCCGCATACCCTCCTAATGCTCCCCGACTGTCCAGCCATCCAGGAAACGGGTACTCCCAAGCGGCGGATATGATGCTCGGTCGAACAATTGTCAGTGGGAGGCTGCCAGAATATCTAGCAGCTAGGTGCTCTGCTATACTCTTGGTCAGAGTGTAAGTATTTGGGTGGCCACAAGACTTCAGCAGTGCCTTTTCGTCTGTCCTGTCCGATTTCGCTGCAAGCAATAACTCTTCTGCTGGTGCTGGCAGTGCAGCTAACTGTTCTTGAACCTTTCCAGGCCGGTGAGGTGTAACATATGCTGTCGAAACCAGCACTATCTTCTGCAAGTTCGGACAGTTTTCCGCGAATCCTAATATATTGAGGCAAGTATCAATGTTGGAGGCCGCTGCATCTGCTAGTGGCAGATTGAAATCGACCGAGGCCGCGCAATGGATGATGTGAGTGACCTTTTGGCAAGTCTCGGCATAAACATCTGGGTTGAGGCCACACCCCTTGCTCTTCAGCTCGCCATTAATGAAATCGATGCTATCAGACCACCCGCTCTCGAGCTTCGAAAAGCACCTGGATTGTGTCAACTTGACGAATCTCGACTTCGTGTCTAGTTTTTTCGAATCCCGGATCAAGAGAGTGATCTTATGTGCTGGCAAGTCACCCAGTTGTAGTCGTCTCACCAGTTCCTGCAGGATGACTTTCCCTAGGAACCCAGTTCCTCCCGTCAACAAAACGTGCGGCTTGTCCAGTTGAGCCATGGTCTTACAATGTCAATCGGAATTCTCCTGAGGATTCTGAACAGTGGGATTTGGAAGAGACACGAATATGTAGACGAGTTGTGCCGAGTCACCCTGAGTGTTCGAAATGTCTGGGGTAATGTCTATGGAGCCAGCCCACAAGAATATCTGCTCCACTATACAATGAGAATCCAATTTACACTCAAACACCAATGCCCAGTAAGGGAGAACTTGACAGGACAAAGCGCTAATACCCATATACTACTCTAGATCACCAGATTCAGTTTTAAGGTGGATCCGAATCTAGTAAACAGGCCTCATATAAGGCCCCCCAGTATAAGTATTGTGTGAAGGGTGTCACGGAATGATTCGAAAGGCGGCTGGACTGTTCTGTGAACCTTATTAAATTGTCCAGCGGGAACACAAGTCAGCCACCTCCCTTTCGATTTTGCAGTCCTGCCCATGACCCAAAATAATGGAACCTCCATGCCGTTTGTCTGAATCTGTCTGTCAGATCTCAGCCTCATCTCAAGAAAGCTATCACCCAAGGGGTCAAAGCTTTTACCACGCGCTGAGGTCCTGAGCTGAGTTTGCTCCCTGGCCTGTGTTGGTCTATGTTCTTCTGATTGGCCTTGCTGGCCCACATCCAGCAGCATATGTTTGTTGCTCTATCAGAATTTCCAGCGGCTCCTGGTCCAAAGGACACAGTCTAGAAATTGGCCAAGCTTTCTCTATACTGTTGTGTCTCGCAAATGGTCAGAACCCTCTCCCCTAGCAAGCCAGCCGGTCCTCGACAGGTCGATCACATATTTGCAATGGCGGGCACTGTTTGCGAGGTACATGTCCACAAATACATATTAATCACTGACTCGGGCAACGCAACCTGACTGCCGCCCTTCGCCTCGCCCATATTCTGTAATCGTCCCAATCGTGGGTGACTTGCAAGCCACTCATCCCCCCAAGATGTCACACGTCCTAGAAGGGCACCACCACCGGAGGTCCATCTCTTGTTTGGATCCTTCTGAACTGACGACAACGTTGCCGAAGCGAGTCAGCACTTCCTGGGGTTCAATATCTTCCATTTTATCCGTACGCCTGGATTGGGAGAGCATCGTCGTTTTGATCTTACTTCCGGCCTACGGCATTTTCCAGTCTTTCCAAACTCATTTACAGACCGCGACGGCTGTTTGGTCATTAGCTTTGTGCCTCTGGACAGGTATATCCATTACCGCAGGCTATCATCGCCTTTGGGCCCACACGTCATATTCTGCCACATTACCGCTCAGGATATTCCTTGCCCTAGGGGGCGCTGCCGCTAGCCAAAGATCGATACGATGGTGGGCGAGAGGTCACCGAGCACATCATAGGTTCACCGATACGGAGAAAGACCCATATTCAATACACAAAGGCCTTTGGCATTCTCATATCGGATGGATGCTCGTGAAACCAGACCTGAAATATGCTGCCCGAGTCAAGGTTCAAGATCTTGACTGTGACCCCGTCGTCATGTGGCAGCACAAATACTATACAATCCTCTTGTTGTGCTTTGGCATCGGCCTGCCAACGGCAGTCGCAGGGATATGTTGGGGGGATTGGTGGGGAGGTTTGATCTACGCATTCATCCTGCGCATGTTTGTCATTCACCAGGTCACATTCTGCGTCAACTCAGTTGCTCACACGCTTGGAGAGCAGCCTTATGACAGCACTTCGTCCCCACGAGATCATCTGCTGACAGCTCTGCTTACTCTGGGCGAGGGCTACCACAACTTTCACCACAGATTTCCCTGCGACTATCGCAACGGCGTCAAGTGGTATCATTACGATCCGACCAAGTGGTTCATCCGTGGATGCAAAGCATTAGGGTTGGCGTACGACCTCAAAGCCTTCCCAACCCAGGTCATCCGTGATAGCCGGATGGAGACTTTCACAGGTCCTACCCTCAAGCGTAAACAAAGCGGGTCAGCACACGAAATCTCGATTCAAGCTCTGCCCGTCGTCACATGGGATGAATTCACTCGAGCGGCAAACTATAATGAGCGCCGCCTCTTAGTCGTGATATCTGGTGTGATTCACGATGTAACAAACTTCGCAAAGAGCCATCCAGGTGGTAGCTTTATACTCGAAGCAGAACAGGGGACCGATGTCACCACCCTATTCAATGGTGGAGTCTATAACCATAGCAAAGCGGCGCGGAAGATTCTAGCATCTATGCGTGTAGCGGTTCTAAGACAGGACGAGAATCATTGAAATAAATCAGTAGATCGTCTCGAAGCCAAGGGTTTGTCGAAAACTGAGATTCACACATGTAAAAGTTTCGAGGTCCAAGGACATTTGCTCGTACGAAGTAAATGTGTTGGTCAAGCTTGCGGCCTGGACCGAGCATTCCAGCATCCGCCACAAAACTCTAATGCACGAGATGAGATTGCCGATCATTAGCGTAAACCTAGCCTACATGGGATTCTTCGACAATTCCGTCAACTGGAGGCACGTGCATTGTCTTGCAATTGTCTCGATTTTCGATCCCGCGTGGATGTGGAACCTCAGTCAAGAATGCCCAGTGAGTCGCATGGGTAGTCCTTTTGACTAGCCTTTCTGTTGATTTCCTGACGCGGTACAATGTCGTTCAATTTTCCTGAGGCTCTCATAGGTATATGGACAAAGCTGCTGCTCACTATGCGTTGCACCCGTTTTAGATGCCGGTAACTAACTAACAAGGCCGAGTCGATCATCACCGCTAAGATGAAGGACATACCGCTAAAGGATATCTCGACAGCAGTTCATCCCTACGAGGACTTGGATGTCGAAGCTGCCGACACATTCTTCGACAACCGTTCGATAGAGCAGTTCAGATGGCGGGACATCAACGTTGTGGTCAAAGACAAAGATGGCTCCGACAAGACCATACTGTCAAATAACTCGGGCGTCGCTACGGCCGGCCAAGTCCTAGCTCTCATGGGCCCAAGTGGTAGTGGGAAAACAACTTTACTCAACGTTCTGGCGAATCGATCTATGGTATCTCACACTGGACAGGTGTTGATAGACGGGAACACAGCCACGCCGTCTAGCATCAAACAGCTCTCCAGCTACGTCGAACAGAGTGACATTCATTTAGGCGGCCTTACTGTGGAAGAAAATGTCGACTTTACATCTCGGCTTGCATCACCTAAGACAGCCAAGTCTGTACGGAGACAGCGAAACGGCAGCGTTCTGAACGCACTCGGGTTGAACGCCCAACGAAAGACATATGTGTCGCCACTCCTCCAAGCTGGTATCAGTGGAGGACAGAAGCGGAGACTGAGTCTGGCGACAGCACTTGTGACGGGACCCAAGATGTTGTTTCTTGATGAGCCCACAAGTGGTCTCGACTCGGTCGCCAGCCATCAGATCATGAGCTACTTGTCAGTGATTGCAAAGAGACACGGTCTGATCATAATCGCCTCGATCCACCAGCCCTCGAGCTCGACCTTTGCGCTGTTCGACAGTGTCATGTTGATCTCCGGGGGTCGCACCTGTTATTTCGGTCCCAGAGAGGATATTGCCACCTACTTCAGCGGCATCTGCCCTATCCCCAACTTCACAAATCCTGCGGAACATATTCTCGAGCTTGTCAACATGGATTTTCAACTCGATGCACAGAAGAATGATCGTATCAATCAGATTTTTGCCCTTCACGAAGCCAAAGCGAATATTTTCGACGACGATTTCGTGGCCAACGACGAGAAAGGAATAAGTTTGAGCAGTGAAAGAGGCTATCCTACTGGCTACTTCGAGGCATGCGGAATCCTCTTGCACCGCAACTTTGTCAAGTCATACCGAGATCCTCTTGCATATGGAACTAGGCTGCTCATCAATGCAGCTCTGTCAGTGGTCATCGGTAGACATGTCCACCTCGTCTTCCCAAGAACAAAAACTAATGTTGGTATATAGGCACAGTCTGGCTCCGCCTATCTTACGGCCAAGAGTCGATCCAACCATTCATCAACTGTCTATTCTTCAGCTCTGCCTTCATGTCCTTAATGGCAGTAGCTTACGCGCCATCCATCATCGAAGACATTCAAATGCTGCAGAAAGAACACGCCAACGGATTATATGGCGCTCTGTCATTCAACGTTGCTAATTTCCTCATTGGCCTCCCATGGCTGTTCCTCGTTGCGGTCATCTTCAGTAGCATCGTCTACTGGCTGACGAACCTCCGTGCCACTGGAGAAGCATTTTTAATGTTTACCCTGTGGTTATATGTGGATCTCGTCGCGGCGGAAAGCATGGTGGTGTTGATCTCGGCCTTGACTCCTCAATTTGTCACGGCGTTGGCCCTGGTCTCGTTCGCCAATGGACTCTGGTTGGCGGTGGATGGTTTCCTCGTACCTATTGGCACACTAAACGTTTTCTGGAAATGTATGTTTGTCTCATCGAACTCATATCTCTCGTGATGATCCGTGAGAACTGACCTAGTCTAGATGCTTTCCACTATATCAACTTCCAAACCTATGTGTTTCAGGGTTTGATGGTGAACCAGTTCAAAGATACGACATATAAATGCCAGACTTTGGAGGATGGTGAATATCACTGTATGTTTTTAAGTGATTTGGCACAGCAGGGACAAGTCCGTGGAACGGCGGTGCTAGACGCATACCATTACCCCTATACTTGGGCAAAGGTAGGGCAGTGGCTTGGATACGCCACCGCAATTATTCTTGTTCACAGGCTTATGGGTACATTTCTGTTGAGTTGGCGAGCATCTAGAAAGTAGACTTGCACACAAATCAAGAACAACTGTTGCTGGTTAGCGACATCGAAGAGGAGTTTCGACATCGTGTTTAGAAAGACGGGCGCTAGATACCACTGTGGACCCAGTCAAATTCATGCTATTCGTTTGCGATGTACCAATAATCAAACCTTCTAAGAAGCATGACTCAATTCTCTTCTCGCTAGATTAGCAAGGGCCCTTGGGACGGAATTCTCATACGCATCAAGCGACGAATCCATTAGGAACACGAAAGCCAGATCAGAACCATAATAAATGCCGCTTAGACATGCCTATACCTCCACCACCCCTCTCCTTGGGAACCAATATGCTTGGCCCCCAGGCTGTACCACCTTATATTTCTTGTTGTTTTGTCCCCGACATGCTTCGTTCTTCCATTGTTGTCTCCAGAATAGCCATGAAGAATGACTATCATGAAAGCAAAAAAAACACTAAATCATGGTCAAGTCTCATGCTATACTTGAAATCACCCAACCCTACCAGCGATGGCGAATAATGACATGAAAGCAGAGTGCCAATTTCTGCGACCCACCGTACCAAGATCCCCGACTATTGATACTGTTTCCTAATGACTTCAGCAGCTGCATCATGACACACCCCTAAGAGATTCTTTCCTCTCCATTTTGATTCATCGTCAGCCAGAGGGTTATCCCACTTCAAACCAATACCCCAGATCCGATCAACTGGACTTGCCTCGACAAATCTTCTTGAGCCAGCTTTCACATACCAGGAGCGGAGTTCCTCATCAGCCTCTGCTCGTGCGATACTGGTACAAGTGACGATTTCAGCGGCGGCTTTCTGCCACACAGAGCCATTGAAGTTTGGTACTTGTCGACCAAGTGCCTTTTGTGCCTTGGGTGATGATGCATGTAGGATATTGACTAGGAATGACTGTCGTGTTTTGTCTATGACAGGCGGGGTTTGTAGAGCATCAAGGGACTCGTACTCAGCCGGGTTTGATATTGTAGACATCATGAATTTGAGCTTGTCTCCATGGGATGTAGCATCAGCTTTGAGAGTTTCATTGTCCTCAAAAAGCCATGCCTTTAATGCCATCATTGCTTGCTCACCACAGTTGAACTCATGGTTTCGAATTAGACTTGTTCCTAGACTGGTTTCTTTGGGATGGGGGATTTGTGCATCGTCAAGACGTGGTAGGAGAAGTGACAAGACACGATCGCCGGGAAATAGAGCTCCAAGATTCCAATTCGACAGTGGTCCTCCCCAGAATAGAATATGCTTCTCGGTCATAAGAGTTCCTTTGCGACCACTAGTGGAGGGTTTCTTGGGATTACGATTCGGTTTAGAAGCCGGTGTGGTCTCTTGTTGTACTTTATCATGGTTTCGTTTTCTTGATCTCCTCCCTTCGGGGCCTGAACGGCTATTGGGCCCGTCATTCTGGTCCTTAGGTCTAGAGCTTGGGACATTGGTGCTGCGGGTATTGTAGCGATTAGGGGAAATGACGTTTGTGGCTGTTACTGGTGCCATTTAATCAAGAGCTGTTTTTGTGTACCCTCTATGGAGAGAAGGACTGTGATATTGATGTCAGGCTTATACTTTCATTGTACTCAGTTGGTATAAAACACGAGGTAGTGGAAAGGAGGGAAAATGAAACCATTTGAGGTAGTGATAGTAGACCTAGATTTAAGGCAACAAGCCACTTGCCTTGGCTGGTGACATACATGTAGTTGATCAGTATCCAATCATAGTCTTTGATCATGAGTCACTTGGAATCACACCGGTTGTGCTTAGCGGGAGGCGCAGCTCAGGATAGCGGATCTGAATGGAGAGGGTTTTGTCGTACGAAATGACAGAAACGAGACTTTTATGATGGCTCATCCCCGAAGTGTTTGAGACGTTGGATTTGTAGGGATAGTCATGACAGTCAAGTTCTAAATGTGAGGCCATGGCGGGGCAGAGGAGAGGGGTAAGTTTGAGGTTTTCAAGTGACCACACGGCTGAAGTTGGGCGCCTATCTATCCCACAGGTGTCCCAGGGGCAACATGCATGGAAGGGCAACGTTCGATAAGACCATGGAGGGCAAGATGAACCAAACAGGCTATCAGAGAGTATTCAGCAAGAGCACCGTACGAAGGAGGTAGGTGTGAGCAACCCGACTAGGTTATGGCTGTTTGGACACGATACCTATATAACAAATGCAGTCTTTCTTCAACCGCCTTACATCAGTTAGTTGAAGCCTCATCCGTCACTCCTTTCGCCTGCCTGTTAGCTCTTTGGAACGCGAGTTGTCTTCGCCCTCTTTGCTGCCCCTGGGCCTACTTCTTTGGAGACCGAGGTGCCTGGGGTGGCTGTTTGTGGAATCAGGTTCCGCTCATCTTCCTGTGAAGCAAGGTCGATATTATCTGGGTCTGCAAGAAGGCTCCCCATATCTTGTGATAAACCAGTTGCCTCCTCGGGGTGCGCTCCAGGTTTGTCAGAAACTTCAAAGTCAAGATTTGATGGTATTTGATCGACAGCTGAGCAGATTCGTTTGAGGTGTGTCGGCATCCAAACATCGTAGACGTTTTTGTTGAATTTGTAAGCCGTCCACTTAGCCTTTCCTTCCGGCGTCCGTGAAGTTGAATTTATGGATAGAATGCCGGTAGAAGGTGACTTTATCTCCATCTATGACAGGATAATGACCATAGATACGAACTGATTCTTGATCGTGCGAGATAGAAAAGGCGAGGATCACTCGATCGAGCTCTGTTTCTCGCTGCACGGCTCTACAGAGCTCGACGACACTCCTCACAGCAATCGTCATACCATGGGCATTCTGTCGGTCGGCAATGTCAAGGGACGCATCGCCGCACTTGACTTCGTAGGTGAGAAATGTGGCTGGGAAAACCTGTTCGCCTGTCCTACCTCTGTCGATCGAGTTCGATGATCCCCGTCACATGTAGCTACTCCGTTGCCTGCGGTCTTCATCTACAGGCGGAGCCAGTGTGTTTGTCGATGCTTCCAAGCGGCCAGCGACTTGCTGAGCCAGGATGAATATGCGTTCAACATCCTAGCGCAGACTCTCGTCAACTATCACTGGAGGAGGTGGAAAAGATGTATCGAGGGGCGCTAGCTGAGTATAAGGAAGCACTCAGATTCGAGCACACATCGACCATCAATTCTCTCAAAGAGTATTTTGCAGTTTTGAATTCTTCCGCATGAAACGCCAACAGACCAAACCAGGTATATAACACGAGAACAAGCTTGTCTCGCTAGATTCAGATAGTTCGACATAAGCCCTTCTTCCTCAAAAGAATATCCACAGCAATGAGCAACCGCATCTGAACTTCATCGCGATTACCCGTAGCGTCGACTTGGACCAGTAAATTCCTCCTTTTGTAATGGTCGATAACTTGTTTGGTTTCGGTCTGGAAACTCTGCAGTCTTTCGGCGATGACTGGTTCAGTCTCAATTGACGACGGCTGTGAAAGTGCGCGAGCTCGACATCGAGTTGTCATGATTCGTTCGCGATTGTCAAGAAAGATGACGGCGACTGGCTCGGTGAGTCTTTCCTCAAATATCTTGGCGCGTTCGAGGTTGCAAGGAAACCCTAGTGCTAAATGTCAAGCTCTGGTGGGTTTTGTCTGTCTACCTAGGTAATGAATGAGTGGCTTACCGTCGACAACAAATCTGCCGTTTGATTCCTTCTGTGTATTCTGGAATAACAGATGTTCCTTGAGTATTTCAACCATCATTTCAATCGAGGCTGAGTCCTGGTGCTTGGTGGTTTCTTGCGTGATGGATTTCCACTTCGATGTCTCCTTCATAGTCTCTACGTGGACTATATCGTTTATATTCACGCGGGTGAAGCCGCGGTGACCACAGAGTCGATCGCATTGAGTGGTCTTGCCTGAGCCAGGGCCTCCTAGCACGAAGATGATGCTGAGTCTATGATCCTCCTTCTCTGAAGGTCCATCTGCTTCTGCCATGCTCCCCATGGCGTCAGTGTGGAAGACCCGCTTTCTCACAAGATGATGATGCGATACTGTTCATGTGGGTCTCTGGTTGATATATTTTTAAGTCGCCTCGCGAGGATGAACGTCAAGAACGAAGTGCAAACAGTGAACAAAACTGATGATAGAGAGAGGAAAGAAATTCGAATGGAAATGGACCAGCAGGCGCTTTTAAAAGGTAGAGAAGGAAGAAGCCTCGTTGGTGCCATCCCCGGACAACGCAGCAAGCCAGTCAAATGAAAGGCGGAAACCTTGTAAACGGAGTATCAACTTGGTGTCAACCTTGTTCGCCTCCCCTACCACTAGTTTGTTCAAACGGAAAAATTCAAGACACCAGTCAAAAATCTTGTTCTTATTGTTGATGACACCTATTACAATTAATTCGCCTGGGACCCGTGAGTTGTAGAACACGTCCGATGTCAAACGAAAGTGCGCAGTCCGGGTTATTTGCAGGCTGCCGTGAATCGATTAAAGGCAAGGGAAAGAGCAGCCAGGTATCGATCCGCCTTGACGTTGTCGATAAACACAATATTTGGGAGCTTCTTATCCCACAAGAACGGCGAAAGATATGCGCCGTCGCCAGTGATGGCCGCAAGTCGACTGTTGACAAAGTCGGCTCGAGTTGTGATCTTGTCCAAGAAATTGATGTTGTCCGGTCCCAACAACGTCATGGTCCATGAAAGCAAAAACACTTGATCTGGGTTATCCGGTTTGGCGAGTTGATCCAGGAATTTCTGGTGTTGGTCGACGCGCATCTTGTCTAGCTCGTTGGTGTTGGAGTAACTGTCAAACTTTGGAAATGCCGAACCAGGGAAGAATCCCTTTCCTGTAAAGCCGTTCTTGTCGAGGAATGCCTTGTCGCGCTCCGAAACCACCAGGACCACCGCAGGGCCATCTTTGATGAAATCGGACAAAGGCAGTTTGGTCAGAGGCTTGTCGGTTTTGACTTGCCAACGGTGCTTCAAACCGTCAGTCAAGTCTCGTAGTACGCCTATCCATTCGTCATCGTCAAACGCCGCATAGTCGTGATCGGTGTTCAGGGTGTGTGACAGGTAAACAACCACAAGCTCCGAGTTTTCCTCGGTAAAATCGTTGATGTTGCCGATGATGTCTGACATCTTCTGTCCCACAGCCCCTTGGTTTGACTTGAGATCGTGAATGTAAGAATAATGCCCGGTATAATACTGGCCATGAGAGATGACGGGCCGAATGTCGAAGAATCGCACTCCGGCGTTGAGCTGACCTAGGATATCTAGTGACTGGGTTTGGGTGTTTGCTGGACCAGCAAACGCTGTGTTATACTGGATCTTGGACATGCCAGCGTTGTGCGAACCGGGAATCACCAGCTGTTGCAATGTCTGGCATCCTAGGAATTGCAGATTCTGCTTCATCCAATCGGTGGGAGGTCGATTGCCGACATATGACCCCTTGTCGCCAGCTAGAATAAAAGGTGTCCATGCCTTCTCGTCATCGAGAAAGCCCACATCCACTGAGGAGGGATTGCTCTGCGTGCCAAAGCGGTCAAACTTGGCTTGCAGGTTGACAGTATAGTCAAAGGTACCGCCATCTACGCCCAGGGCCAGCTGGATCCCGTTGTCGGTACCGTCATCGAGAGAATAATAAAACTCGGCCGCAGTGTCGGACGATTTCACTGTAAGGCCAGTCTTGATTTGGACAAACGCTGCTGCGTTGGAACCTGTCAACGTCAGTTCATCTCCTTGATGATCTAATCAGGCCACGAGTTGATCGGACCTTTGCCAACTTCTTCAGGAAAAGCTTTATCCCAAGACTTTAACTGATAAGAAGAAGGTTTTCCATTTTGTTTCAACGCATAGGGCGTAAGATTTATGATGGCCAGATTGGTGGCATCGGAGAGAACGGTGGTGAGGCAAATGCTCAAATGAGCCAAAACGAGCGACCAAAACATGGAAGTCTACGCTGAAATCCAAAGGCCCGTGTGTGGGCTAACATGACTGTGAGGAACAATATTTTCCGCCGCCTTGCGACAGCGGAAGAAGAAGATATATGGTTTTGATAGTGTCTGCGGCAGAGCTGGGGTTCGTGGCCTGGGAGGCGAATTTGAAAACCCGTTCCTGGCTACATGGGCCAGTAGACGACCACCAACTCACCAATGCGAAGTGTGTGTGGTAATCCACAGCTGGGCATCTCTGGGACAGAAATATCCTTCTCGGGGGCCTCATTCGTTGGGCATTGTCGGCCAAGAGCGATTAATGAGCCCCCAATCGACCACCTCGAGCCTCACATCATCAAGCTTCTGGGCCCAATGGTCGGGGTCGGCGGAGGCAGGTTTCAAGAATGGCACCAATAAGGTCGCCAGGCTTGGACCTGACCAGGGGTGTGGTGGCGGGGCCATCAAAACCTTAGATTCCAGGACTCTTCCAGGTCTTCATGGTCGAGCCATACAGCACAGCCTTGCTGACATCAGGCCATGCTAGATAATTTCATTTTGAAAGTGCCAACTTGACGTTATGGGTGTCCTTTTGCCAGTAAGGCCAGGAGCCATGATGTAGAGGACCCAGGGACCCACGGAATCAAGAGGCCGTAAGGCTCCCCCTTGTCCTCGCCACGCTCCGAGGGTATCTGTGGATGTGAGATGCCCGATTGGAACTCCAGTCTCCGAACTCAGCCTTAGCCGTTGGTGATACACGAAGTTGATAAAATGAGACTTGCAGACATGTATCGCCAATTTAGTAGATTGATGATGAATTTTGTGGAAAGATCTTTCTCTCCAACCGCCAACAAAGCCATTGGTGCCACACCGAAATAGGGTTCATATGGTGCCTGGCGTGCCTGGCCATCACCGCTTTTACGCCTAGAAATCAGGTCCATGCTGTGCCTGACCTGCCGTGTGAAGTGGAGCCTGAAGCCTATATTAACAGTTGTGCCGAAGCTCCCTCGGCTCACTGTCGTCTCCTCTTACTTTGCCAAAATCATCGCCCCGGGCGTAGAAACTGCCTATAAATTCCACAGGGCTAACAATCTCAAGGCATGGATCACTTGTTATAGTCGAACTTCATAGACAGTGGTTTTGTAACCTTCAATATGGCAACAGGGTCATGGTTTTCTTTGGTTCCATCCCCAGCAAGACTTCACCGAACGAAACTGAACAGAGTGTCATGCCCCGGCGCTCTATGCCGATTGGAATGGATCCAGAAGGTTTAAGCAATTGCTAACTGACTAATTCTACCACTCGCATTCTACCGAGGAGCCTCTACCGAAGACGTATCCATTATTTATGACCAACACTGGTAGGTCATTTATGCTCAGCGCCGCTGTACCGAGAAGCCCCGGACCGCGGACTTTGAAGTGCGCAACAATGGATTTTCGAACTTGTTGCTATGATAGTATTATTCGATTCATGGACAGCTTGTTAATACCAGAATTCATCGTTCGGTCATGCCATTGATGATTTCCTAATCATAGCCGGTAGCCGGTTACACTTGGTAAGAGGATACCGGAGTTTCAAGGATCTATTGCCCCATTACAGCGCTGGAACGAGATATAGTCATAAAGTGGGATGAGAATCCCTTAAAGCGTCTTGTTCTTGACCACATCCAACATCTTAGCAACGCAAGTTCACTAACGTCGTCCCCATCCTACTAATCCTCAACAAAGACAATGAAAGCCATCGTCCTCGGTGACGCACCTGGAAAGGTATCTCTCGTGACGGACCGGCCATCACCCAAGCTACGACCAGGCTATCTCGGAGTCAACGTCAAAGCTGTGGCCCTCAACCCCACCGACTGGAAGCATGTAGACAGGTTCAACGCTGACGGCTCCTTGTCTGGTTGCGTATCGGGCTGTGACTATGCCGGAGTGGTAGCTGAGACAGGGACTGGATACTCAAAGCAGTGGAAAGTGGGCGATCGTATTTGCGGGTTTGTTCATGGAGCCAACGAGCTTCAGAAGGAGGACGGAGGGTTTGCCGAGACCGTTGTCGCCAGAGCGGATATCCAGCTCCGAATTCCCGATGGCATGTCCTTTGAAGATGCCTCGACGTTGGGAGTGGGTGTCATTACCTGTGCACAGGCATTATTCATGCAAATGGGCTTGACTCAACCTCCTACTGATGGTACTGCTCCTGCGAATGGAGAGCCCGTCCTCATTTATGGCGGTAGCTCTGCTACGGGAAGCATCGCGCTTCAATTTGCCAGAATGTAAGTGTTGATTGTCAAGGGATCACTGGGAATCTCATATCTTGAACCCTGAAGCTGACATGTGCATCGATAGTGCCGGCTACACACCCATTACACTGTGCTCACCGCACAACTTTGAATTCGTCAAGTCTTTAGGAGCGGCCGCGGCTTTCAACTACAACGACGAGGACTGCGTAGAGCAGGTCAATCGATTCATTGGACATGATCGAGGAATCAAGTACGTCTTCGATACCATCTCGACGGCGGCGACATCAGCGATCTGTGCCCGTTTGATTGCTCCCAAGGGACGGTGGGCCTACGTCCAAATGGGGACTAACATCCCCCGTGACGACGTAGACAAGATGTATCCACTCGCCTACCTGGCTGCCGGCGAACGAGTCAAGAAAGGAACCGCGTTTGATCTCCCGGCGTCGAAGAAGGATTTTGACTATGTGTCGGAGTTTATGCCGGTGGTGGAATCTTGGTTGCGACAGGGTATTTTGAAGCCTCATCCGAGTCAGGTTGGAAACGGCCTTGAACAAGTAATTGACGGCCTTGATCTGATGAGACATGGGAAAGTGAGTGGGAAGAAATTGGTCTACAAATTGTGACCTTTCCGGGCTTCTCTGGGTCGATATTGTCTTGCTCGAGTCAGCATGATGGACATTATTATCATCATCTTAGCAGGATACATCTCTCTCGAATCGATGATCAATCTACCGCCCTTTCCTCTGCTCCATCAATTTCTGCGCATCTACCAAACCACTTGTTTCTTTCGTACGCCATTGCACAGCCTTGCACAAGCCATAAATAGTTCTCACAATGGGCATACCAACACCCGCCTTTTCGCCTTCCCTCAAAGCCTCACCAACCAGGTTTTCATACTCGATGAATCGCTTCTTCCGCCTATCCTGTTGCATGCTAGGAGAGCAGAAAATTTCAATTGGATCACATTCGACCATCGCCTCGACCAATGACTCGGGTAAATCAACGTTGGCCGCTGCTTTAGCGGCGGCTCGGATCTCATGCATGGCAGGGCGCACGAGAAGGTCGAGGGGACTGGCTGGATCAGACGGGTCTGACGCCAGACGGAAGCGTGAGGTGTCGAGATCCGTCAGCGCACAGATTGGATTCCACACGGCATTGTACATGAGTTTCCGCCATCTTACGAACAGTACGTCGGCATCGTATGTACAGTCGACTTTGCCTGAGGTTGAGTAGATGTGTACAAAGTCTTGAGCAGAGTCGATTTGGGCTTGTGTGTCGAGATTGGGTGATAGGAATGGTCCGATGATGAGTCGGTCCTTGTCGTTTTGGAGGATTTCGCCGGGACTGAGCTCGTCGGCGCCCATTAGCGAGACTCCTGACAGGACAAAGTTCTGGGGAAATGCTTGGTGTAGGGGTTTCTCAATGTTCAGTCCATTTTGGATCAGGACGATGACCGAATGGCCTGGTGTGATGGCTGGTCGGATTAGGTCGACTATCGTCGGTGGAATGTCAGGGATGTTTTTGGTGGTGCAGATGACATAGTCGTAGGGGTGGTCTGGGCTTGCATGGGGAATGGTTTTGACGACCTCTGTCGGTCTCCAGCCCTGGATCTGGCCATGGTCGCAAGAGTCGATTGTGAAGCCTTTTTCTTTAACCACATCGTAGTTTGAGCGGAGAACTGCTGTCACTGTCGCAAGACCTCCTTGTTCAAGGTTGAATGCGGTCATGGTCCCTATCCCTCCAGCACCGACGAGGAGAATTCGCCGTTTCTCTGCCATGATTGAAGATAGGTGAATTCTTAAGACTGTGGATCTATCAACGAGCCTGTGAATACCTTGACGGCACAGGATATATATGAGACCTAAGTAGTTAGTAGTTCTTGAGAAACAAAGTGCACCGGGCCGGTTATGGTCGTCACAAGGCGTTAGAGAATTGGTAAATGGTTCTCTTTCCTTAAAGTTAACTGGGCTTATCACGATAACTTAACTAAAGTAATAAGTATAATTAGTGTCTCGCATGGCAGCTAAGGGCGACCCCTCGGCCCCTCGACCTTCTGGAGATGCCCGCTTGGCTATAACGGATGCTTAGAAAGATTCTCTCCTAAAGGGTGTCAACCTCAGGGTGGGCGGGAAAGTCCGGAGTAGTCATACGAATAGAAGGGAACAATTGAAGATGCAGTAAAGTGGACACGATTGATATCGAGTTGATTATGATTCGGCCTAGTAGCAAGAGTGCTCTACGACGCCTCACTACTCTCTAAAAGCCAGGACGAGACCTTGAAGGCCCGTAACCGCCTGTCTAATATGTCCAATATTCCAACTGCTCTCTATCCCCACTCCCATGAGCACACAAAGGAAATGACAATCTCGAGGCTAGTTCAGTTTGGGGTTGCATTTCATCGAGGGCAAATTTCGACCTTCCCGTGTCATTCATATGCCACTATTCTCCGATCACGATGGCCAGATTGCTGTACGTCTCGAACCTTGCCTATGACTGTTTCAAGTCTGTTGAGGCTGATATGAGTCGTCAAGCGAGGTGAGATCCCGCAAAGGTCGACGAGCCTTGACATTGCAGATTTGTATGTCTTCCAAAGACATGTGAACTCAGTTCCGAGGGTTGGTAAAGCGGAATCTCAAGTAAATCTTGGTGTCTTCATTCTGAACCTTGGTCGGCGAATCGTCAGCAGGATGGTCAGTGGTATGGGTTGAAGACTCACCAGCTTGGGCTAGATCCTGTTCGGTTGGGGGAAAGGAGGTCCTAGATTGCAATTCATTATGAGTTGAATCCAACTCCATTGTGTCAAGTGGGGGAAAGACGTACGGGATGTGTTTGGCATAGGCCGAGACGTCTTTGTCCAAGAAATTGCAGAAGATGATCTTGTCAAGCTTGTCGCCGTCTGATTTCATCAAGAAGGCTCGAACTTCTTCAACTGCTGCACGCGCGGCATCGTTGCTTGGATAGCCATAGACACCAGTGGAGATGGCTGGAAATGCAATGGAACGGAGGTTATTCTCCACCGCGAGTGACAGACTCTTGTTGTAGCATCCACGCAACAAAGGCTCTGACTCTTCGAGATCCTCAAAGATGGGACCGACGGCGTGAATGACCTTCTTTGCGGGCAGATTATAGGCATCTGTGATCTTGGCGGAGCCAGTTTGGCAGCCTCCCAAGGTCTTACATTCCTGGAGGAGTCCAGGGCCAGCAGCACGCTGAATAGCGCCATCGACACCCCCACCTCCCCTCAATCCTTTGTTGGCTGCATTGACAATGGCATCAACCTGCAGGACAGTGATATCACCTTGATAGGTGCAAATCTTGTCGTTGAAGCTCTGATTTGCTGGAGGCAGCCCAGTGGCAGATGACGAAGGACGCAATTCCCCCGATCGGTAGAGAGCACTGATGGAAGGGATGTCTTTGAGGGCAACGAGTCTGGAAGTCATCTTGAGGACGAATGAGAGCGGCCTTCTCCTCGATTGGAGATTGCAGAGATGACTGGATGTCAAGTAGTTGTTAGTAGTTGAAAAATTCCAAGTGCAGAAGAAGAGATGGCGATGCTTTTATAGCATAGAAGTTGGTCTCTTGTCAATGAGATCAGTTACTTCCCCGGATTTGGATGTCATCTCACGTCACTGTTTCAGCCTTTCACTCACCGAGTCACCATTCATTCATCCACTCAGAACTTCACCGAGTCTGCCTCTCCACACCAAGAAAGGATGGAGGGGTTCTGGCCACTCGAGACAAGTTTCATTGTCCCCGGCCCGGAAAATCATCCCGCCGAGTGACTGCCCATGGCCCCTTCCTTTTAAGTCCTTGTTCGTCATTGCCAGGCAGTCAAGCAGTCACGCAGTCACGCAGTTTCCTTGTCACAACCAACCCAGGCGCTCTTTCCTTTATATAAATATACGATAACTCTGACTCTTCGTGCTTGACTTCACCCTCGCAATTCAACGCTCCTATCTTGGTTTTGAATGTAGGAGAAGAGTTGATTCTTATAAGCCGGTAGCAAGATCTCTTTGAGTGTTGAACTTCAAAGAGCAGTGAACAGAGGTCCTTTGTTAGAGTTCCGCGTTGGTTGCACATGATTTGATATTACCCTATCATTTTCGCCTCGCTTGGGACCCCACGTCTCATTTCCATCAAACTTGGTTCAACTTTCAAAGATTAACCTATCCACCTGCTCTTTGTCTACTATAACTAGCGTGATTGATTGAGAAGATGACTGTCAGTGTTCGTGCTGCAACCGACAATGATCTAGTCGAGGTGCGCGACATCTTCAGCCACTATGTTCTCAACACCGTTATTTCTTTCCTTGTGCAGTCCCCTAGTCTCGACTATATCGCTTCTCGTTATCGAGACGCTCAGGCCCGAGGCTTACCTTATCTTGTCGCAGTAGACGACTCTGCTGGTGGGAGAGTGGTGGGGTACGCATCCGCATCCGCATGGAGAGGCTACATGCTAGGCTATGGGCACACAGTTGAAATCACTCTAATATGCCATCCAGACTATACACGACGAGGCATTGGCAGTCAGCTACTCGCTCAACTTGTCCACCATCTTCGCAACACAAAACACGTGACTCGCGAGGTTGATCATCCAGACCATGTGGTCGAGTTTGACATCAAAAGGGTGCTGGCAGTCATGGCGGTTGACACCAATTCAGCCGGGGATGGCATGTCCCTTCGAGATTGGTATCTAAGAGCCGGCTTCGAGCAAGTTGGGAGATTGAAAGGAGTAGGTTCAAAGAAGGGAAAAACGTAAACAGTCCTAGTCCCGTGGTTGTTGTCCTGTAACACTGACAATGACAGCATTGACACAATCATGCTCGAGCTTGACCTTGATTCTACAACAATCCGGGGATGACAAGAAGTGAGATGAGGTACCAATTGATGTCCTCTCCACATCGACTTATGGTTGTTATTCCGTGGTGGCTGTGTGACTGATATGTGGCTTGACGGGGTGAGGCTGTGTGACACTACGATGACCCGGTCATTCCCTTGCATTTCGGAAGATACGCACCCACATTTTCGACTACTTGGGTTACCATGAATGACACATCTTTGTTTTCATCACATACCTAATCTCTTCCTTGATTTTTGTCCCAGATAGCTGACTCATAAACGTCGATGAACTCTTTCGTCAGCCTCAATGTTGGTACCTGGCCGTGCCTGCCTAAAATCCTGGATTGCGGGGCTAACCGACCGCGCTACGGGGAAGGTGCGACGCAAACCGCAGCCTGGCAGGGCTTGGCATCATGATTTCTGACTCCCAACTCGCTTCTCTACTCTTTCATGTTGATCACTTCTCAATCAATCCTATCATCTTTCCGATTCTTCCTTCAACTTGAAACGTATTCAATGGACTCAGATTATTCCCAATCTGTCACTCTGTACTCTCCCCGGTAAGACAAATAAATCATTCGTCGACTTTACTGTCGTCAAGCAGAGGCCTACGAATCCTGTGCTCTCAATTGAGGGTACCAGCGCCAGGACAAATAAGTCGACTCCAGTAATCATTGACCAAACAAGCTCCTTGACATGAAAGACTATTCGCGCCACTAACCTCACCATCCGTCCCAAGCGTGTTGCCTGTTGTACCAGACGGCCAACTGCATGAGTATTTGGCGTCGATCCAAGATTTGCTGCGCCCCCACATGATTGGCCAACTTCCACCATACTTGACCTAATCCGGCCGATTGGTTCTGCCTCGCATCTGCCTAAAACGTGACTTCTGGAGATATAAGACGACCCAACTCCTCCCGCAACCTCAACTTTTCTCATACTCATCTTTCCTCTCCTAACCACAAACACTGAGATCTTGAATCCGCCTCCATGGCCTCTTCATATACTAATCTTCGCTTTTGCGGGTGCTGGTACCCCGTCTCTCACATCGGTATTTGGGGTCAGAGCGCCACCAGAAAGTATTTACCTCAAGTTGAACTCTCATCCTCCACAACAATCCTTGCAACTACTTCTCGTACCGTCTTGAGACAGACATTCATCAATCCAGAGAAATCTTCCCTCAAAGAGCTCCAGTACACTTTCCCACTCTACGATGGCGTCAGTGTAGTTGGCTTTAGCTGTACTGTTGGCTCAAAGACCATCGTTGGCGTTGTCAAAGAACGCCAACAAGCCAAAGCAGACTATCAAGCAGCTGTCGACAGAGGCGAGACCGCTGGACTTCTCGAGCAACTACAAGAAGCCTCCGATGTCTTCACCACCGCCATCGGTAATGTCCCAGCGAATGAAAAAGTTCTCGTCGAGATCTCCTATCTTGGTGAGCTCAAGCACGATGCAGAAACCAATGGATCTCGTTTTACAATACCAACAATCATTGCCCCGCGCTATGGCTCCACCTCATCCGAGTCTGCAGCTGCTCTATCGAGCAGTAATGCATCAACAAACAGTGGCATCTCCATCACGGTCGACGTCACCCTCGAGGCAAATTCTATCGTCCGAGGCTTACAATCTCCAAGCCACCCAATCGCCGTGACCATGGGGCGGACGTCGATCATGAACCAAGATGCCTTTGACAACAATCATGCATCTGCAACGTTAACCCTAGGCACCACCGAACTTCAAAAGGATTTTGTCCTGGTCGTTCTTTCAAAGGAAAGTCATACTCCTCAAGCCTTACTCGAGCATCACCCGACCATACCCAATCAGCGCGCCCTCATGACAACATTGGTCCCCAAGTTCAACCTTCCCAACACATCCCCAGAGATCGTCTTCGTTGTCGACCGGAGTGGTAGCATGGAGGGCAAACTCGATCTCGTCGTGGCCGCAATGAACATCTTTCTCAAATCTTTACCTGAACATCTTTCTCAAATCTTTACCCATTGGTGTCAAGTTCAACATCTGCTCTTTTGGGTCCAGGCATACTTTTCTTTTCAACAAGAGCAAGACTTACGACAAATCAAGTCTGGCAGACGCACTTGAGCATCTCAAAACCTTCGCCGCAAACTATGGAGGAACAGAAATGTTACGCCCGATTTGCGATACCGTCGAACGCAGATTTACAAGCCTTCCGCTCGAGGTCATGGTTCTCACGGATGGCGAAATTTGGAATCAGTCAGAGCTCTTCAACTACATCGGTGGCGTCAACAATGCTCGCTTCTTCACCCTTGGCATCGGAAGTGGAGCATCATCTGCTCTCGTCGAGGGAATCGCCAGAGCAGGTAATGGGTTTGCCCAATTCGTCGGTGAAGGAGAAAAGATGGACAATCGAGTAGTCCGCATGTTGAAGGGAGCACTAACTCCACACATTTCCGACTATTCAATGGAAGTCATCTATGACGACAAAGAAAACACCACATCGGAAGACGACTTTGAAATCGTTGATTCAGAAAGCGCCTCTGTACGAACTCTCGTGCCACCGGAACAGGACCAATCACAAAAGAAAAAAATCTCTCTCTTTGACACAAGCTATGTTGAAGAGCCAACCAATCCCCCCACAGGTCGCTTCGATCACCTTCCCAAAGTTGCCATACCAAAAACTATCCAGACCCCTCACAAGATTCCGGCATTATTTCCTTTCAATCGCACCACCGTCTACCTGCTTCTAAGCCCAGACGCACCTCCTCGAGCCCCAAAGCTAGTCAAACTTCGTGGAACCAGTGACCAGGGTTCTTTGGAATTGGATATCCCCGTCCAAGATGTAGGCACCGGAGAAACTCTCCACCAGCTCGCTGCCAAGAAGGTCATACAAGAACTTGAAGAAGGACGAGGCTGGCTCACCGAGGCTCGCAGTTCTGACGGAACCCTGTTCAAAACATCCCATGACGGTCAGTGGGATCTCATCGTCGAACGTGAAGCAGTCAGAATCGGTGTGGACTTCCAAGTTGCCGGTAAAGGCACATCATTTGTGGCTGTCGAGAAGAATGGCGATTCCAGTGAGGGTGCCAAAGACTTGGTTTTTCGTACTGTAGAGCCAGGTTCGTCAAACAAGCCTCAGCCCCAAAGGAATCTTTATGCCATGAGTGTCGGCATGGGCTCTGGTGCCAGGTTCAGACTAGCGAGAGCACCACCACCATCTGCAACTGCCCCAATGGCCCCACCACCGCCTGGCTCAGCGCCATATACAGCATCTGCATTCTCGCCCGCCCCTGCACCCGCCATGTGTGCAGCACCATCTCCTTTCGTTGGTGGTGGTGGCGGTGTTGCAGAATCTGCTATGGCCCGGGGCTCTGCCCTAACCCCTACCAGCTCGGCTTTATTCGGTTCTGGCCAGACACTTTGCCGCGCACTTTTATCAAGAACAAGTCGCAAAGACAGTAACCCAAGCGCTCCGTCGGCCAAGAAATCAAAATCCCCAGCAACAGGGGCAGATGAATACTTTGAACCTGAATTCGCGCACGATGAGCCCGAAGCCGACTTGGGCCTGAGTTCCGAGATCACACAAACCGACAAAATGCACAACGTGATCGATCTACAGGCATTTGATGGAAGTTGGTCTCTTTCAGACGAACTCGTCAAAGTTCTCGAATTGCCTGCGGGATACGATAAGATGCCTGACAACATCACGGATAAGACTGTCTGGGCGACTATTCTCACCATAGCGTGGTTTGAGAAGGTTCTAGCGGACAGCGAAGATGTTTGGGAAATGGTGGTGGATAAGGCGAGGGAGTGGTTGAAGATGAAGACCAAGTTGAGTGGAGAGGAGATTGAGAAGTTGAATGGAGAGGCGGGCAAGTTTTTCGGAGGGAAGTGAGTTGTTTGATGTTGATGGACGACATGTTTCTCTGCTTAAATCAGGATGGGAGGAATGAATGAATGAATGAATGAAACGATTGCAGAGCCGAGAGCTCACAGATTACCTCAGGTTGTCATCTTTTCACCGCATGAGAAGAATTATGAGACTGCGAAGCAGAAGAATGTATCACGATTGCTGTAGTATGAACTTGCACCAACACTCCAAACCGCACACATGTACCCGATGGATTGTCTTAGGTAGCCAACAAATCAAGAGGAATGAATGATCTATCACCCGGTGGATCAGAACCCAACAATTACAATACAAATAACAATAGTATAATAGTAACAATAGCTCTCATCCTTGGGCCATTAGTAATGTCATTATATAGTCAATTCCAGCAAGATCACCTCTTCATTTCACTGTAGCCACAGTGGTAAGCAAGACAAGACTTAAGCTTCAAATCGGACTTCTTCCTCGCCCGATTTCGCAGCTTCCATCTCCACAACCCTCTCGATCTCACTGGCCACACTAAGGACCCAATGATCTCTTTCTGCTCTGCTTCGACATTTGAACACAATCCCTCGTCCAGGTACTCCCAGCTGTCGAACTCGTCTTAGCCTAGCTCGGTTTCCAGTCTGCTTGTTGCCATCATTTTCGTCCTTGGGTGCTCCCGCTGTCCGGAACCACCCTTTCCTTTTATTCATCCACACCACGAAACATGTCATCACGTCAATGTCGGCACTCGTCCAACCGTCCTCGGGGTACACACGTGGCAAGGCAGCCATGCCAGGGTGATTGGCATCAAACGTTTTGTTCTGATAAAGGAGGTCATCCTCCACGATCAACCCACTGTATACATAGCAATGTTTGAGGTCAATGACCTGCTGCTTGTCTTGATGAATGCGTCGAATCTGTTCGCCTGTCGTTTTTCGGACCGATCCTTGATACACGATCAACTGCCCTCCACTGAGGATAACCTGGCCTCGATGGAAAGCTGCTCTTCGTCGCATCTTCATGTACAAAGATCCAGCAAGGGTGATGCTTCGACAACTGCTGATCCCACACATGTTGTACAATTCAGGGGACGCCTGAGCGCGACCAACCTCCCACTTTTTGGCAAATTGACCTAGAAGAGCCTCCATTTCCTCATCAACGTTCAACTGTTCAAGGTTGGCGCGGCGCACTGCTTTGTATGTATCCATCTCGGCGGTGGTCCGAAGTTTCCAGTATTTGACCAGCTTGCGGAGCCTGTGGATCCATTCATCACGAGTCTCCTTCGAGAAAGCTTGAAGTCGAACCACAAGACCATTGTCGAGCATTATCTCAAAGGTGCGTTCACCATCGATGCCTTTGGTAGTGCCATCGTCCGCAGTCGTGTCGTTGACGTCTTCATGAAAGTCAACGTCGGAATCTGAACCTTCTTCCAGTACCTCGTCCGCGACAGATGCCCCCCATTTCATGTGGCGGACTTTTCGGATGTTACACATGTTGATATAGCCATCGGCATCAGCAAGGTTGGCAATGTTGCGCCTTGCTTCCTCGACAGCGTCTCGGTCATGAATCTTTGCGGATTCCTTACTTGCGTTTGACAACCAAGCCAAGTGATCATCGTGTAACTTGTAGGGCTCAACGTCAAACATCAATGGCATGTTCTCAATTATTTCGTGGGCCGAGGGTATGTTACTACCGCTAATGGTAGCAAGGCGTGGTGGGTGCGGAGGCGTCGATTTTGCAGGTCGGTTGAACATCAGGAACTGATCTTGCGTAGAGAAGTATAGTCGCTTGAAGAACGCCTTTCCGAACCGCTGCTGAACACCTTTTTGAGAGGTGAGTCGAACCAGGAAGCCTTCCACAGGTGGTGGCTCGTTATGAAGCTTGCCCTTCTTTCCGTATGCCGCAGTAGGGAAATGTTGCTTGGGTCTCAGTTCCAAGTCATAATACTTTTGCATGGCCATGGAGCCGTACATCTTTTGTTCATTGATGCCGTAGATCCATTCCAAGCGGTCGTATCTCTTCCAAGCTAAGCCCATCTTTGCGGTTTCACTCCAGGACTTGAGAATGCTGGACCATTCCGGATCTCCCTCAAGCATTGCCAGACACTGCGAGATGATTCGGCCAGCCACGGCCTTTTCCGCTGCTATCGTCTGAGCGATGGCGGTTTCTTCATCGGCAGCTCCGAGTCCCGCAACATGAATCTCTCCAAAGGGGTCCTCTACTTTGAGAACAACGTCCAGATCAGGTACATCGACCTGGAGAGTTGTGGGACGCTGCCAGCCCAAGGCATCTCGAAGGAAAGTGTACCATTCGACAGAGTGAGCAGTTGAAGAAGGGCGCATTATCACGATCCTGGTGCCCTTCTTGTAGGGATGCCAAATAACGACCGTTTTGTCGAGCGAGGAGTACAGATTAACACGTGTTGTTTTGGGGTCGAGCCGAATCTCGTGGGTGGGCTTCTTTTTGGTTGTTTCATCATCGATTTCTGGGATGACTCTGGTCTTATAAATCTGGAGTCGAAAATCGTGAGCTGATTGCTTCTTGCTCTTGCGTGCCACAATCATAAATTCCCTCCACTTCTTCAACGGCCTGGTTTCTATTTTCATGCTCTCATTCTCGTCAAAGTCGTCAGGAACCTGTTGGATAGTCGTGTCAATTCTGGTGAGCATCAGTTCCATCTTGACGATGGTGCCTTCGAGCAGGGTATTTCTTCGCATGGCTTTCCGCACTACGCGATCTTTGGCTCTCTCAGCTTTGTTTTCGATGCGTTGACGACCTTGCAGCACCCCTTCAGTGACCTTGAACCTCACACCAGTGTTGCCACGGCCAAGCTTGTAAGGTAAAGTATCGCTCACGGGAGCTGGCTCGTGGCGTATCAAGGAATGTCGTCGTGATTTGGCGTCGTCTTCAGCGGGCAAGAGACCAGTCCTCGAGTTTGCGTCTAAATTGTCTTCCATCGTGGCACCAGAAGGTTGCAGGGATGCTCGATTAGAGGGCCCTTGGCCTTCGGGGTCCTCGTTGCTTGGACTATCATGGGTTTCGATTTGAATGGCAGGTGCAGTGTCTTCAGAGGGCTCTGTTTCTTCTCTCGCAGTCTTGAAGGATTCTGCCACTACAGACTTTGTGTCGGTCGTTACTTTGGTTAGGTTGTGAGTTGCATCGCCTGGCGCAGGTGCAGCATCATGACGCCTGCTTTCCCCGTCGGCTCCGTGGTCTTCATCCTCCCTCTGTTCGGGAAGAAGGTCTTCATCCAGTCCTTCTCCAACTTCGGTTGTAGCTACCGGAGCAAGATTTCTTGTTTCTCTTTCCACATCATCGTCGTCAGTCTCAGAGGGTGTGTCTCCAGGGGAAGTTTGCTCATCATCGACATCTTCTGGCTGAGGGAAGCTCAAACTCATCCTGGCCGCTGTGGATGGACCATTCAAGCCAGTCATCATCCTGTGATGTTGATAATCACCAGAAGCAGCGCGGAAGGTGACCGACCGGGAGGTGTAATTGCTCAGCTCTAGCCTCCTTTTGTACCATGACTTCCTGTTGCTGTTGAGCCATCCTTCGGGAATAGGTCCGATGAAGAAACGACGGGAGGTCATGTGAAGGTGCTCGGGTGAGGCATGTTTTAACCTTTGTGCAGTGTAGGAATCGGGATCGAGTACATCGACATGGTGGGGAGTAGTCAAACTGCCCACAGGCATGACTCTGGAGGTGGTCATGATGAAGTAGGATGCTGTGTGCTACTCGGTGAGTTTCAGATTGAGGGAATTTTAGGCGAGTGTATATGCATGCTGAATGCTAGTGATAGCAATGGCAGCGATGGCAGTGACATGATCTCTCATGAAGTATGAATATAGAGCATTGGATGCATGTTGTGTGTGGACGTTGAATAGAATCAAGAATCCTTTCAACCTTTCAACTGTTCCTGCCACGCCAGAATTGACGCGTCGTCAACCAACGCCACTGGGACGGTGGCACCTTCCGAAGAAAACGGCGATCAGACAAATGTGGCAGGAGATGACGTCGATGGGCGAAGCTGCCCCCCAGAAAAAATGGCAAGAACGACCCCCTGTGTTGATAGGCCGTCTTATTTGGGCAACTCTGCCGACACGTGCTCCCCTATTCACCGCCCGCCAGAATCGCCATAAACGGATCAAGTGCGGGCAGCCGACACTGACACCGTATCCTGCACAGAAGACGGTGAGCACTCTCACACAATCTTGAACCTCAACTTTGCTCATTTCTAGAATTCTCAAGTCTTTGTGTGATCTCTCCGAGCCCGCCAACATGTCTTCGTCCCAAATACCAGCCGGCAAGACCTGGTTCGACACCCTCAAAGTGCATTTCTCCGATGTGCCCATTGGCGCCGACCAGGGGATTTCCACTTCCGAGTTTATCGACGCCTCAGAAGCCACAACAACCCTCTTTGACCTTCTCGGCTCTGTGGCCTTTACCCCCGTCAAGAATGACATGCTGGGCAACGTGGGAAAAGTTCGGGATCGACTGAAGGCAGCCCCCGCCGAATCTACAACCTTGCAATCATTGGTAAAGGCCGAACTTGCGTCCAAATCACACAAGGCCACTGAGGGGCTGTTGTGGTTAGTCAGAGGTCTTGACTTCACTGCTCAAGCCCTCCGAGCCGACATCACTGCCAACGAGGGAATCTCCGTCACGGAGCAAAAGCCGAAGAAGGAGCTGGCAGATGGGTTCCGAACGAGCTACAAGAACACCCTGGCTCCTCACCACAGTTTCCTCGTCAAGCCAGTCTTTAGCGCTGCCATGAGTGCAACTCCATACCGAAAAGACTTTTACGCCAAGGTGGCCGGAGAGGGAACCAGTCCAGAGGTGGTTAAGGAGCAGTTGGAGAAATGGGTGTCTGCATTGGAAGAGCGGGTCAGCATCCTCAAGACCTTCCTCGCAAGCAAGGAGGCCAAATGGTAGAGTTGGGACAGAGACATCGACATCACCATCACCATCACCTTGGGCAGGGCTACAATGCTGGTAGGTCATAAAAGAAATGGGACATGTCTGCTACAGACCACAGGAAACAGATAAGCGGCGTCACATAGGGTCGAGCATGGCTATATTCCGAATCCCAGCACAGACAATGACGATATTATGAAGATATAGTATATTTCCCGTCGTGTCTAGGAAGTGCTCTCGGTTCATCATGAGTGTGACGAGTGCCACTTTACAGAGCCATCCACAGTCCAGGGTCAAGGGTCAAGGCATGAGGCGTGGTGTCCATCCCTACTTTGATTTCTCGACCTTTTCGAGATATGCCCGTAATCTCTGTTGGGCAACCTCCTCTTCGACCGCCACTGGTCCCTGACGAGGAAGAAGACTCCGTGACCCATTGCGATTGAGCCCGACCTTTTCAAAAGCCGAGCCCAATTCCTCCTCAATCCCCGCCGCAATCTGTCTGACCTTGTCATCCTCGATATCCATATTCATAGCCGCCTCTTGGTATAGACTGCGCAGTTTCGCCAACATGCCGGGATCTCTCATCGAAGTCGGCAGAACATCCCGCTTCATTCTGAGAGTATTCAACTCTCGTTCCGCCGTCCCATCCACCCATCCTTGATTCAAAGCCTGTTGGTCCGGATTGATTTGTGCATCGCGCACGGCGTTCTCATATACCCTACCGTCTCTTTTGGCCGGATACATTTCGTTTGTTTCGGTGTCAGGCTTTAATACCCTCCAGCCATCTTTACTCTTGACAATCTTGACGAATCCATCCACCAGGTTCTGACTGATTGGTCCGTACCAATTGCTGTCGAAACTCTTTTTCCTGACGCCGACATCGCCTTCGACCCAGATGTGGTTGTATGGGACGACGATTCCTGTTTTCTTTTTGGAGTCTTTGTCATCGGTGGGATTGTGGTTGTTGTTGTCATCATCCCCATCCTCACCATCAATCGCCGTATATCCTTTCAACGGTATCACCACATCACCTGGTACACCAACGACTCGTTTAATGGCTCTTGTACCCGTTACTGGTTGAGTGTAGACCACGATATCGCCTCGTTTGATCTCCCATCGCGACAACTTAGGCCGCAATAGGTAATTCCCAAACATCAATCTCTGCACGATCACCGTATCCGTATCCATGTTTCCATGTGGCGTATTTGTATCGTATTCCGGGTTTAGAGTCGGCGTCATAGACCCGCCTTGGACATATTCAACACTGACGGGGAATTCGGTATAGAGGAGAAGTAAAGGCGGGACATAGACGAGGAGCCGGTACAACCATCGTCGGGCAGTGGGAGAGAGGTATGCGTCGAGGAAGCGTTCCTTGGGGATTTCGGGGTATTCATGAGTATATTCTGACAGTCTTGACCGTGCTATTGATTCATTGCCGACGTTTTGCTCCGAGAAGAGGGTATTCCAAGATTCGGGTTTGGTATCGCGTGGCTTGGTGAAAGTGAGCTTGCGTTTTCGTAGTTTGACGGGTGGTCGAGAGCTGGCGGGACTGGCGTATCGGCGGATCAACGGTATGAAGTGGGATGAGAGTGTGTGAGGACGGGGAAGAGAGGAGAGAAGGAGTCGGCATAACAGAGCACCTCTTGATCTTGGAGGCATGGTTATGGTGTGATGTAGAAGAAGCTGGGATTTCGACTGCATCAAAGGCCTGATGCTTCAGGCTGGAATGCCGAGGTGACCTCGAGTGAGGTTTGCGCTTCAAGAGCGAGAGGTACAAGCGCCAGTTGTCATAATGAGACCATTGCCAGGCTGCGTGAGGAGATCAGCGTTGGTAGTTCTCAAGAATTAAAGATGGTGAAGTCGGAGCGGACGAAGTGCAGGACGGACCAATCGCCCAGTCGCCGCTTTAAGCTGGACAACCGACATTTTACATATTGACCGGCTTCAATCCAAATCATACAATTCATCAGGTCAGTTCCTGGATACCTTATATATCATACATCATGTATTCATCTATGTCCTATTTCCCTTCTAATGACATCTATTCTCTGTTATTAATTGCTTGATCTTAGCATCACTTCCAAGCGCCCGTGAACCCGTCGCCGTGCTCTCTTAATGTGTGCTTCCACGTCTTTTGAAGCCTTCGGCTCTCTTTCTCCTCCCTCTCCTTCTTCTTTCTTTCGTAAACTGCCCTTATGGTTCTCTTGGTGATGTCTGCCCCTTCTTCAAAATTTGTCTTTGCCAGTTCCACCACCTTGTCGATTTGTTCCGGTGTATAAATGAAATTCCACGTCGACAGATAGTCGGTCTTATCTGGATCAACCCCTTCGACTTTGGGATTAGGAAGAAGAGGGAAATAAATCACGGCGATGCCAGCTTCGGGCTTCGTAAGTGCAAATGTCGAGTCGGAGGTATCATCCCACGCCAGTAATTTTGACGGCGGTGGTTCTTGATCGCTGGAACGCTCTTCCTTGGTTCCCACCCATACATTGCACGATCCAAGCTCTGTGGTCGGGGCATCTGGGGCAGATCCCGTGGTTGGGCTTTCGGGAACCTTTTCCCCGGTCTCGGGCGATGTCTGGTGCGAAGATGCTCGAGTCGGTGCCTGATCTGCATGAGGTTCATCTTCCTGATCCTTTTGCTGTCGACTGGCTTCTCTAGCTTCGGCTAATTTCCCAGCTGCTTCTTGAGGAGTTGACACTTGTGCTTCTTCCAATGCCATAGCATTCTCTTGTGGCTTGGACGAGGATTTTGGCCACCCTGCGCCCATCGGCCAGCCTTTGATGCCACGTTGTTTGGCGTACCCGTCGACCACTGACAGCCAATTCTCTTTTTGTATGTCAGCAGAGGCATCAAAGGCGATCAAGACGTCGACGTCTCTTCCAGGCCGCAACAGCGGGTAGATGGGCAAGTTATTGCTCATTCCCGCGTCCATCAGTTGAAGATGATCCGTTTTGAAGACCGAGTCCGGGCACGTCGAAGGAAGCTGACCTTCCATGCCATAGACGAAATTGGGGATAGTTGCAGGATCGATGGGGTGAATCTTGACTAAGTCCTCATTCTTTTCTTCCATAAGCTCATTGATGCCGGCAAATCCCACCATGCCGATCAACGCGGGTTTAATTTCTTTGTAGTAATGAGACAGCGTTGCACAAAATGCCGAACCCCAAATTCCGAGGAGCAGGCTCTGTCGTAGCTCTGGAAGAGCTACACCAGTCTCCATGACTTGGTTTCGGCCTCCTTTGAAAGGACGGCCTAGGGCCCAGGTGGGAATTCCAGCGCCAAACTCCTCACACCACACTTCCCACGGGTGCATTTCGATCCATTGGAACCAGGCTTCTTTCCTCGCTTTGTCCTTGATCTTTTGCTTCACGTACAGGCTATCCTTGGCCTCCTCCATTTCTTCCGCGTCGATCGGGATTTCATGTCGCACAGCGGTGTAGATGGGCATAGGATGTGCGCCATCTTCAAGGTACGCCCGTTGATTGGACAACTTAAGATCCTCGTCCCTAACGTCAAGGTCACCGTTGGGGACCAACAGTCTTGCCGCCAAGAGACCGCTGTAGACGTCGACCAGACCGAAGTCAGCCCCAGGATCACCTTTGAGCTTTTCAATAAAGCCACTGAGAAGGAATTTGTTGGTTGGAGCACTAGTAACCAGTTTCAAGGCAGCTGGGGGAAAGGCGATATGTGTGCCAATTCTCGACTTGAGGTGCTTGATCATTTGTGCGTGATTCTGTTTGCCGAGGGAGGAGAAGTACAATGTCTGGAGCCAACAACTGCCACTGACTCCAGCGGTGTATGTGACACAGTCGAAAAGACCAGCTTCCTGTGCTGACAAGTAGCTGCTAGTTCCTGCCACCAGAGCTCTGAGACCGCCTCCACTGCCGCACATGGCTATTGTAGGAACATCGTCTGGGTTGACATCTTTTTCGTCCAAGTCGAGATATTTTGCCAAAGCCTTGGTAGCATGAGTCTTTCTCTTGCGTCGAAACTCGAGCTCATCCCTGCCGAGAGTGTCTCCCACTCGGACTCTGGCATCCCACAAGATTTCTGGATTGATTGTAGGATCATGTGCCTCTTGCCAAACATCATCTGCCAATGTTCCGGGTTCCATGGAGAGCTCAAAGCGCAGCTTTTCGATACCATCAGGGAGTAGCCATGCCCAACTCGGCACCACAAAGTCGGTAATTTTGTCTCCGATATTTGTCCACTCTATCCTCGAAATGCCCTCACGAACATTGTTGAAGTTTCTCGAGAACAAAGCCCATGCATTTGCATCATCGTCTTCAAACGTGGGAGCGTAGGTATCGGCGTCATTGGCCCTATCGATGATCTTCGCGTCGCCCCGTTTGGTGGCAGACTTGGGATCCTCATGTTCAAAGTGCCGCTGCACCCGTTGCGAATAGGATGCTAGGGCGGAATCTTGAGGGAGGGAATTGGTGTAAGGGCTATCAAGTCGCGTTTTGGCCGGCCGTCTGCATGACGTGTGGATGCCAGCGCATGCGGCGGCTGCTAAGGCAGTGTACCTAAGTTGGGAGGAAGCAAGCAGCCGGGCAACACCCATGGCGCCACGTGAGCGAAAAGGACACAACCAGTGTCAGCAGAAATCAGAGGCCATGCCAACTATAGAGGTATGGGGAAGAGGGATGTCGTGACGGATCGAAGCCAGGCTGTTGTCTGCGTGTTTGAGTCGACATGATAGACAAAATGTGGCGTATGGGCGTGTGGTGGTGGGAGAGCTTTAACTTTTGTTGACTCAAGATTCCGATGATGACGTCCAATGACGCACCGACCTAACATCCAATGAAAAGGCTCTGATCTTGCCGAGGGACGCAAGGCTGAAGCCAATGGGTACACAAGGCTGAACCACTCATTCATCGACATCTCGCAGCTTCTCCCGCCATCCAACATCAACCTTCCAGCCTCATCTCATTTCATTCTTTGTTGTTCGTGTTGTCAACACCACCGCCACCACCACCACCACCAAACTCCTGCACTCGTCTCACGCTACTTCTTGCAACCCATCAAACCCCAATCATGGCATCCTCTACAAGTAGCTCATGAGTTTCTTCCGCGAAACCCGACATTCTCACCATACTTACGGCCGCCCTCGTACCCGCAACCGCTCACCTTCCACTGTCTCTGCATACCCCTCCCTCACAGCAATCGGTTCCTTGTTTTCTAGGACTGCAAGGACCAAGAAATTGGGTTACAGCGCCGTGTCCGACATTGATTCCACCCGTCGATCGATTATGTCGTTTTCAGAAGTTGGTGGCCGCAAGGCCGCTGGTTCATCGAGTGGAAAAACTGCGCTTAAGCGATTGACACGCGAACTACAAACACTTGCACAATCGCCACCCGAGTCAGCACTACACCTAGGCCCATCAGATGAGTCGGACTTGTTCCACTGGGAAGCAGTGCTCAAGGGCCCTCGCGACGTCGCCTCACCGTACCATGGCGGTCTGTGGCTGCTCGACATCACCGTCCCACCGAACTATCCAAACGCTCCTCCCAAGATCAAATTCGTCACCCCCATCTGCCATCCCAACGTCCACTTCTCCACGGGCGAAATCTGTCTGACTCTCTTGTCCGGTAAAGACTGGACCGCCGCCTACAATCTCGGCACCACCATCTCCGCCATACAGCAGCTGCTAAGTGACCCAGGCAACGACAGTCCCCTGAATGTCGACATTGCCAATTTGTACCGTGAACATGATGACATTGCCGCAGAGGGTTTGATCAGGTTCTGGACCGGTGAGAAGAGGTGGGCTGGTGAGGGCAAGGCTGGCTTCATTAGTGAAAAGTTCAAGGGCAGTGGAGGGAAACTGGGTGAGTGATGACATCAAGCAACGCAGGGTTCATGTAGTTTGACATAAAATACTACAATTCTCCGTTTACCACTCCACAATCAAATGTTCCGTCTGTCTGTCGGTGACGGCCACGTGGTATCCATTCTCACCCGATAACAAAAGCAGTGACCCCTCCCCATGTTTCGCTTTCGGTCTTTCTGGGCGGTTTGACATAAAATCGTAGAGCACACAACAGTGGTCAGACACCGATATTGAACGAGTATTAATGGTAAGGTCCTATGACACGATCGGAAGATCTAGAGGCATCCTCAGTCGGTGGAAGGAATATCCAGAAGCCCTTGGCCAGACAGAGCCTAGACGACGATCCAGAAACGTCATCCTCATCGATCTCGATCTGATCCTCAGGTGACAAAGATGGGAAAAAAGAAATGACAATTGATCACGTTAACGATGGGCAAAGTCCCAAGAATTTGAATCATCGTCTTGCAAACAAACACGACGATTGATGCCTGGCGTGACGGGTTGGAAGATCAGTGGAGATGTCAGGGTCCAGATGGCCGACGACGGCATGAACTCTCACAATCCACTGTTGAAGTACTCCGTATGTACGTACTATACTGGAGCCCGTCGATCGATCCATCCATCGTCGTTGCCACCGCAACGAAGGACTCCAGATCTGCAGGACCGAGATTCTAGAAAATGGAGTTGGGGAAGTGGCGACGAGGCTCTCAAGAGGGTTGTTCCATTGTCAGATCTCTTGCTTCAAGGCTTCAACCAATCTTTGCAATCTCTTCCTCGGAGAAGCGTAAATCCCAAATGTCCCAAACGACCAGGGTACCAGGGTGAGGGATGAAATCTTAGACATCGGACAGTCATCCCCAAGTCTAGACACCCTCCGACTTCCCAGGCCAACCAAGTAAACCAAACCCCGGTTGGATGTGCAGGGTATACCAAGAGACCAGCACGGTATTGACTGACATTGATTGGACACAGCCAAGTTCACCACCCAGCATTGAAGACCCGCGTATTGGGACGTGGGCAGTTGGAAATGGAGCACCCACACCCTACTATACTCCGTAGTACGCATGTCACTCATGTCGTGCATATCATTGTGTAAAAGTATGGATGTCTGAGCCGGGCACGGACCCTCGGTTGCGGCGTCGCCTAAGACTCAAATCAATAGCTGAAGACGCACGGACATGACGGACATGACAGAGGTGGCTGTCGGATGTGGGAACTCAACACTAGCGGGTGGTTCGAACATCTGGCCCGTGTTGTCCTGACCATTCAAACCTTGAGAAGTTCAAGAACGTGTCAACGGTCCGAAGAAAACTTTACTCCGTACGTTCGAGTTATTCCTCCGAATACGAATAGCAAGGCTGAAGGAGAAAACGTGTGTGTTTCCGACAACCCGGGAAGCGATGTCGGTGGCGTTCAAGCTAGAAGGGTCGTTTAGGGAGATGTTGTTAGTTTCCCCATAGTGATAGAACGTTGCGTTGGGACTTGTCTTTTGTCAGTAGTATGTATGAGTAGTAGTAGTACGGTAGCAGATGTCATTGACGGATTCGGTTCGGATGGAGATTGCCCATGAGACTGATTGCTTGATGACTTGGGCACGGCCGAAAGATTGGGAGGTTGAAGTGGTAGGAGGAGGCCTTGGCGAGATGGGTATTTGCCATGTCAGACATGGATTTAACTATTCCCCTGAGTGGTGGGGAATGCAATTACCACCGTCTGACTGGAAGGCTGTCCAGTTCAGGAGTAATGACCGAAAGGAGTGCACTTACCAAGGGGGTCCACCGTCACGTGTGGATATTGTTGGCTTCCAAGGTTCTTCCTCGATTTTATGTGTACGGAGTGCGAATACCTAACACTGGAACCGTATGGGGATAATGGATCCTCAACGCCAATCTAACCCATAATTATAGCAATAATACTAGTTTTGGGAACTCGAGAGCGTCCTTTTGTACCGTGCCACTTTGTTAGTCACAGGTTCCAAAGTCCACTTTGTACAATTGGAGAGTAAAATCATCTGCAAATCGTTCTGGTGTCATGATTCTATTGTTACACTGTAACAAGACCCAGTAATAATGTGGGTACCTATTAGATGACTTATAGCAATTACTATGTGAAAAACTCCAAACCCGGGATTGAATGCCTGTATCCCTACGCCATATGCGCCCTGTGCTTCATCAAATACTCGTACCGCTTTTGGAGAATGCCCCACTGGTCAGTCAACCCGAAATGTCCTCTGGTCTCGAACCACTCGAGTACCAATGCACCGGTTTGCGCCATGGTACCCTAAATGACCCATTCCAATCCCCGACGCCCTAGTCGTAAGACCAGACCATCTCTGCAGGTAACCGGTTGAGGACCTCCCAGTCCACTCCGTGTTGCCGGGAGCAGATGGCCACCACGTCAAAGTCGGCGGCAATCTCCTCAGTGGTGAAATCATCAGCCTCGAGCTTCTCCATCCAGGGAAGCGCCGTGGCCTGCACAAGAGGGTCGTAGTATGCAAGTCGGTCGCACTGGAGACGCGAGAGCTCCTTAGAGAAGTCGATGCCAGGCGAATGTGACAGCACTGATTGTCCGGGCTTGAAGCCCATGCCGATCACCAAAACACGTGGAGCCATGTTTGTTGACGCCAGAGTAGTTGACACGCATGTCTCATATAACTCTTGTGCAAGCTTGATCGGTCGGTTTCTCATGAGGATTGTAGACTTCTCCAACACTGGTAGCGATGGGCATGTCGCGAACAGATATGATGGGTTCACGGGAATGCAGTGTCCGCCAACGCCCATTCCTGGTCGGAATGCTTGGAAGCCATATGGCTTTGTGGCTGCGGCATCAATGACTTCGTTGGGATCCATGCCTAGTGTTCTGCAGGCATCGCTGATCTCGTTGACATAGGCAATGTTGATCATTCGATAGCAGTTCTCAAACAACTTGGTCATCTCGGCCACTTCGGGCTTCGAGACGGGAACAACGTTGTGGAAGACAGTTGAGTATAGCTGGGTGATGACCTCCAGTGATTCTGCGGTAAGGCCGGAAATAACCTTGGGGATGTCGTGAGCAGCTGGGAATGTTCGTCCAGGGTCAACTCGCTCTGGAGACATGCCACAGTGGAACAAGTTGCCAGTGGCAGCGAACAGTTGCCGCGTTGTCCCAACTGAGACGCTGCTCTCAATGACGATGGTGCTGCCAGGCTTAGCATGTCGAAAGACAGTCGACAATGCTGACTTGAGATGGGAGAAATCCACAGAGTGATCGGCTTTGAGAAGAGTGGGAACTGAAATCAGGAAATGCTGGGCCTGATCAAGCATAGCCTCATCACACGTGAGAATGATCTGCTTGTTGTCGGCATACGAGGTTCTCAGTTCTTGTATACGTCTCTCTGAGATATCGAAACCAATGGTAGGGTGGACGGCGCTGAACTCTCGAAGGAGGGATTCACCCACGAATCCAACTCCAACGACGCAGACCGATCCAGTTTGGCTCGACATGACGATGGTCGAACTAGTCTTTGACGTTTCAACAACAAAAGTCGAATGGAAAGGGTCTGAATGAAAGTCTTGTTTAAGGTCAGGGGTACTGAATGAGGAGTGGTGCTTGTTGATCTCTGTCGATCCCGAAGGTTTCCAGAAGTCATCACAGGATTATATATCACTCCGAACAAGATGAGACTCCTGAGCGAAATACCGCTCTGCCCCGAGAATAGTCGGATGGAAAACCTTTCAACATTCTAGACGCCGTGGAAAACTCGTGCTCGCAAGACTATTTCTCAATTGGGTGGTTTATTGAAATCGTCCCGAACCCGAAAGACCCAAGGCGGTCGCTATTCTTTGGGCCAGACTCCAAGAGCCCACGAGGGGAGAGGTCTGGCTCATGGAAATTCTCTTGCCGTGGTGAGCTATCGAAATCGAAGACAGGCACATATTGCCAATATCGACGTCTGCCCCGGGATCCACCGAATTGTGTATCGGACGAGTATAAGTCTACACTTGCCCGAAAGGAAAGACTCTGGCCGGATGTCTGGGCCGAGATCCTGGAACCAAGTAGAGAAGATGGGTATTCTTCTGTGAGAGCAAGGGTGAGGAACAGTGCTTGATTGGCCAGCGACATCATTATGCCGCGTGAGCCCAAGACCCCAGGTACCTCTAGAGAGTGGTGGACTGATATCAGTGTTCCCACAACCTCGTGCTACCCATGAACCTCGAGCCATGACTTTGCCATGGCTTTGTTCCAATAAGTGTCCTTCTGGGTTAAAATGGCCAATGGACCCAAGACCCCATGTACTGCACGAGCCACTACGGCTGTTTGTCATTACACGAACAGTGCACGAGCGTTCCTAAGAGCCGCCGCACCCGACGCACGGACGCTCGCGAGTCGTATTGAAGGATAGTGCAATATTCAGTAGTTCGGTTATACCAATCTTCGCGGTACGAATGTAGGCGGGTTTTTCGGTGCCTGATGACTTCTACCTGTATACTGTCAGTAGTTTCGCACGCATTGTCATGCGATCAACAATTGTTAGAAGGGGTAGAATGTCTTTCACGGTCACCGTCTCGACTATAGAAATATGAACTGTGCACCAACTGTACCTGTCAGAGGACTTGGCATTGGCTCCACGAGGAGTCTCCAATGGGAATCAATGTGCCCTTCGCTCACCCAACTCTGCGCGGCGGAGAATAGATGGGGATATTCATGGACATTGCGTTGTGCCCGTCCCTCAATGATCAGTCCTCGATAAGAGGTTATCACCGTTATTGCGGGATATGACCGACCACGGCCGGAAAGTGGTCCCGGAAAGTGGTCTTTGGTCTGCATTGGACTTTCGCAATGCTCCGCTGCCGGTGGAAAGGTCCCGAATGATCGAACACGAGAAAGAGCGACTCACACCGTCGCTCGAAGGTCTGTGCCCTGGAACTCCATGTGGTGCCAATATTCTCATGCGACATGGATCGATCAATACTTTTGGAGTAGTCTCACCGTATTAGGTATAGCAGGACGGTTCGCCAGCATCTTCTCACCCCTTTGGGAACTCTCAGAGACGATCGCAACTCGATACGGCCAGCATGATGGTGACTGATCCAAGGATAGACACAGGCCTAGATCATAACCCGAGTTTCGAAATGTTGATCGAAAACGTGGTACCAGAGTCCGTGACCATGGGCTAGAAGCCCATGGAGTTTGCTGACAACTCGTGACGGTGGTCTGACATCTCACTGGAGGATGAATGCTCCGTCGAGAGCCGGAGACTTGCGAAAGAGATGATCTTCTCCCCAACCGTTCGCGTGGATAGCGATACGAGTGGCTCCCTTCATGGCAACCTCCGAGTAGGCTAAGGGGAATTCAGGGGGAAAGTTCCGATCCACCGTTTGTGGTTGCGATCGCTGCAGTAGAGGTATGGTCATCGCGCTCTCGTCATGTTACTCACTAGTATTATGGTCCCAGAGGTTGGACCATTGGTGGTTTGAGGCAAGACAAGTGAGCAGTGAAGAGAGAGTTTTCTCCTGGCGACGCGATGCGAGAAAGTTTTGCTCTACGTTGCCAAGCCCGCGCTTCCGAGTAGGTTAATCCGTTCCGTGAAGACAAAATGTTAATCCGCTCCGGCGCCACAACCGTGGCACATTCGCCACATCAAAGTCAATGTTGACAGTCGAATATCCACCAAGTTTATGGGGAGAGTAATGAGCAAAGTGCTTCACAGAGCGTGCTACAGCAAAGAGTATGCATTAGAGTGAAGACGCCGAAGTGAAGTCGTGATGGCTGCAGTCAGGCAGATCCCTTTGCCTTTTTGAGCGACTCATGCTGTTGCGGCTTCATTGACACACCCCTTGGCACGGCTATCTGCCTTTGTGAAGGAACCATCATTTGAAAACACGCAGCCCTTGAAGTTGGAGGTTGTTGTGGTAATCCAGCGCCTTTATTAGTTCTATGAGTGGTTCAGTCGACCAGTCTCAAGGTGTGACGGCTCCAGAACTCTGCAGTGAGAATTTCAGCAGATTATAAATTCCCAATCTGGGATATGAACCTTGCATCCAGTCGGCAGGATGGCACCCAAACGTACCCTTACTCCACATGCCTTCTTTACCACTCTTTTACACCTGGTGGATCTCGAGCAAGCGTCTGAAGTCAAAGAGACAAGCATGTTGCTTTCTTCCACGCCGCCCACAATCCTCGCCCGCGCAGGTCTGGCATTATTGTCTTTGACAATCGCATCTCTTAAAACCGGCATGGGAGGTCGCACCGTCATCGAATTGTCACTTGACCCTGCAGTGGTCGTCAAGGGAACGAAAGGAGAACTGCCGGAGCATGCCCTTCGTCCGGGAGACATCGTGCGTGTGGGGGAGATGCCCAAGGCCACCGCCAAGAAGAAAGAGGCGGCTGAGCTGAAATCTAAAGGAGTGGAAGCGGTGGTCACTAGAGTTGGGGAGAGGTCTATCTGGGCGGCATTGGGAAAGGATAGCGGGAGTGGAGATGGGGATCTAGAGAGTGTGCCAGATGGACGACTTTGGATGTAAGTTTGAATGGGTTTGGGGGACGGTGCGAGGGGCTGCATGCTAATGTGTGCTGGTAGAGTCAAACTCGCCAACGACGTTACTTATAGACGGATGAGCCAGGTGCTCTCGAAATTGCTCAAGACGCCTGAATCTTCTTACACGACACTTCAAAATGTCCTCCTTGGCCTGTCGTCCCCGGGAACGCCGGACACGAATGCTTTCAAGGAGCTCGAGTTTTTCGATCCGACACTAAATGACTCTCAAAAAGATGCCATCCGATTCGCGCTCGCGTCTCCAGATGTGGCTCTCATCCACGGTCCACCAGGCACTGGCAAGACTTATACTCTGATCGAACTCATTCTCCAACTCCTCAAGCAGAAGCTCCGAGTTCTAGTGTGTGGGCCGAGCAACATCAGCGTGGACAACATTGTGGAACGGTTAGCCCTGACATCGCCATCGACGCCGATTGTACGGCTAGGACATCCGGCACGTCTACTCCCAAGTGTGTTGAACCACTCGTTGGAAGTCCTCACTCGAACGAGTGAGGCAGCGGGGATCGTGAGCGATGTGCGAAAAGAGCTTGATCAGAAACAGGCGTCGATTCGCAAGACGCGCAATGCCCGCGAGAGAAAAGCGATCTACGCTGACATGAAGGATCTACGGAAAGAATATCGCGAACGCGAAGGCAAGTGTGTCGACGACCTGGTTAAAGGAAGTCAGGTGGTGTTGTCGACGCTGCACGGATCTGGCGGTCACCAGACGCGGAACCAGGATTTCGACGTGGTGGTGATTGACGAAGCCAGTCAAGCCCTAGAGCCCCAATGCTGGATTCCACTTGTCTTTGGTGGCAATCATGTCCAAAAACTTATTCTTGCAGGCGATCACTTGCAGCTACCTCCTACGGTCAAAGGCGGGGATGACAAGGAGAACAAGCAGGAGAAGAAGACGGCGGTGGCAAAGCTAGGGGAAGAGCTCGCTAAACTATCGCTGAGCGAGGATGAAGTCAAAACCTCGCAGAAATGGTCGCTGGAGACGACTCTGTTCGATCGTCTCCTGGCCCTGCATGGATCAGACATCAAAAGGCTGCTCAACACGCAATACCGCATGCATGAGAAAATCATGCGATTTCCCAGCCAGGAATTATACGAGGGTAAATTGGTCGCGGCAGAGGCGGTCAAAGCCAGATTGCTCACCGATTTACCTTATGAGGTGCAAAGCACTGAGGACACAACAGAGCCCCTGGTCTTCTACGACACACAGGGTGGAGATTTCCCCGAGCGAACTGAAGATGACGCTGAGACATCCACGAGCAAGTCAAGGCTGTTGGGAGACAGCAAGAGCAACGAGATGGAAGCAGCCCTAGTGGCCATGCATGTAGAGAAATTGATCGACGCTGGGGTCCGAGCGGAAGATATTGCGGTTGTGACTCCGTACAAGGCTCAACTGTCGGTTCTGAGCGGGCTGTTGAAGGAAAAATATCCTGAGATTGAGCTGGGCAGTGTGGACGGGTTTCAAGGGCGAGAAAAAGAAGCGGTGGTGGTGAGCCTGGTGCGAAGCAACGCCGACAAGGAGGTGGGGTTTCTGGGGGAGAAGAGGAGATTAAATGGTAAGTTGCGATTCCAATATTGGCCCCAGATGTTGCACCAGACCCGTGAGTTTGGGTTTGTCGTGACGAATACAAGTCATCTCGACGGGATGGCTGTACACAGATGTTGTGCCACCTGGCGCCATGTATCACAAACAAAAACGAGGCTGACATTGAGACCAGTTGCAATGACGCGACCAAAAAGGCATCTGTGCATCATTGGAGATTCAGAGACGGTATCTCGAGGAAGTGCATATCTGAAGCGATGGATCAAGTTCTTGGAAGAAGAGGCCGATTTGAGATATCCCAACGTTGACGAGCTTGGTCAGTGATAGACTTGGGTGGCGCAACATGCCATACATGTAGTTTGAAAACTCGGAAGCGTATTGGAGGGAATGTCACAAGGCCAGACCTTTCAATAGACCATGGATTTTGGTACTGGCGGTGACTTTGACGCAACAGCAATGGTGCCGTCTAACAATTGAGTAGTCGGTGGTGATTCATCACTATATGCGAGAACCAGCGTGACAGATCGTTATCGGCGAATCTGGTCGGCGTGGAGAGAAAGCCAGCCCGTGCCAGCCAAGGTCAGGGTTCATCAGGCAGCAGAAGCGAACCTTGTAGAGAGCGAATCAATAGCGAGAACTGGGTTTTCTGGGAATGAACAAGTGGCAGCAGCGTTCGCGATAGACTCCAAAAGGACACACCCAAGTTCAGCTCCCGTGTGTAGAGAAGGTGAATGGCGAGATCAAGGCAACCCACACGGCGAGACCGAGCCGGGCCTGATTGTGAAGGGAGGGGCAAACCTTGAATTAAGGTCTGCTGATGCCAAAGTATGTAAAGTCGGATGCGCAGTCCACGTAAATGATTGGATGGGCGGCAAGGCTCAAACATGCAGAGTAGTCCCATTGTTCTGCCGATCTTTTGGGTCATTATTCAAAAAGATTATAGCTTTCGACTCGAACCGGTAGGTAGTACTGTGATATGGATAAGTTGCACAGGCGGGCCCCGTGATGCTGTTGGGGACCTAAAATTCACTTGAGAGATTGCAGTCCTTGATGGACGAGCCCGGTTCTGCAGTGTCTCTGTCTCAAACGATAACAAGTCGAAATGCTGGAGGCTAGTGGGCGCCGTTGGTGCTTGGATCCGGATTGGGGAGAAGGGTCGATACCTGAAATGCTCACGTCAAGCGTGATGCGGACGGCATGGCAAGGCCCGATGGCCCATGGCGGGGGCATAGACGCTATCATTATTGGGCCTGGGAAGACCGCTCTCTCTCAGCTTCCTTAGCAAGTCGTACGCGTGTTTGGGCATAATGAGAGGCCAGACTAACACAATGACTTGCAGTAAACGCTGCATGGCGCAGGGGTAGGCCACTCAAAATCATGATTGAAGAAAGCTGTCCGCATTGGACGCTATCCACGGGACGACATTGTCACCTTGGACCTTGGACCTTGGTCACCATCCTGGGCCATGATTTAATTTAGTATTCTTGTGTCAATGCGACACGGCCCAGTAAGTTCTGCTCATATTTTTCAAACCCGACAATGCCACATCTTGAATCATCTCCACCCCCCGCCGATTTGGGGTGCAGATGGCGTTCCGTCCGAATTTAGCAGACGTCATGAGAATACGAGGATCGTCAGAGGATCGAAGGTGGGTGCGTGGGAGGGTGAAAGGTGAAGCGAGGGTCAACTGACCAAGTGGGCCTTGAGTGGTGAGGATGCTGCCACGGGTCTGCCACCTGTACCGTTGAGGACGATAGCGAGGTCCAGTCATATTGCAAGGAGGGGTCATGGAGACCATTCGCGTCAAGATGAAGGGCTAGTTGCATTCGGGATGAGGAACATCTAGATCCCACAACGAAGGTGGTATGGTGGTCAAGATTGCGGCGTAATGGCGGGGAGTGGCCAAGTAAGTGGAGCGGCCGAGGGGGCCCAGGTGACATGTTTCCATGCTGGAATACTTTAGTGGGCTAGGTGAGTGGTTAGGGTCGCCTAGCGTTCCCGGGGAAGCTTATGGCGGTGGATTGATTGTCCCAATAGAACCTCATTAGAGCGAAGGCAGACTCGTAAAAGAGGTCGCAGTGGTGGCTGCTGTACGTACTGTCATTGGCAATAGCTTGACAGCCATGGCTGAGCAGGAAGAGTGTTTGCTACAGTGCTACAGTGAGCTTCAGGTACAGAGCATTTTTAACGAGGAGGGCAAATCAGGGTCATGGTAGCTGAGAGGGTTCGGTTACAGAGATATGCATAGGTCTAGCAGGGTCTCACTGGTATCGATATGTACGGAGTAGGCAGATACATACTCCGTAGTCTGAGATGACATTCACGGCCTTTGAGCCCGACCCTTGACCCTTGTTTGCCTGATTGTTGATTTAAGAGTTCACATCACGACTGCGGTGACAAGTTGGCGATAGTGATAAGCCATGAATAGGTACGTAAGGCTAGGCGCTGGTGCTCAGTAGGCGAGAAAAGTCATAGGGGTCTAGGGCCTAGGGCCTGGTTTCCGCTCGTCCAGCTCTGAATCCTCGATCTTTCCCCCTCCCCCAAGAGCTATGTCTACAGTAAGGTAGACTTCTTCGTTTGATCTCTAGGTACCTAGGTAGGTACCTGAGGCATATCTGATCACTCGTAGTGAACCTCTGGGGCTCGCTGTCAAAGCCTAATGACCTGGCGGCCAACAGGGGCCTCAGGCTCCACCTAGCCAGGATTAGGCTTGATCAAGAGGGGAATACCCCATCTACAAAGGTACTCCTGGGCTGTTTTCTGCTTGTTGACTGGTCCAAATGGCTTCAGGCTCAACGCCCACTGGCCCACATTTCCATCTTTGTTCCTCTTTGATTCACACTTGGTGCACACCATCTCCGCCCTGAGCCACATTCAAGCAAACAACCTCTGTGAAACAGCCGACTAGAGACCAAATCATGTCCACCGTGCCACCTCATGGTCATGGCCACGCTTTTACTGCCACGCTGCCATATGGCCATGCTGCCAACACACACACATCCACACACCGTTACCGTCAGTGCCTGTCTCAACTCCCGTAGAGTCACGTCAACTTAGCCACTAGCCGTCAATATGACAAGCCCGTGTCATCTTGTCATCTTCTGTCAAGCCAACTTTGAACCTCCACACCTTCCCAACCCGCGAGGTTATCCTTGTCAGAGACGACGTTAGATCTCATCCACACACATCTACCGACCAGCCCACTAGACCACCCTCACAGACAGCCTCCCCTCCTCCCTTCCCTCCCTCCATGCTGTTCCTCTCACATCTCCCTCCAGTCAATCCTGATACCTGCATGTAGTCCTGGCCATTTCTACCATGATCGCACCTTTATGCGCATGCAGCGGCTCGAAGCGACCCTGACACCAAAATCTAATCCTTGGGTCCATTAATCCAATCTCTTCGCTTCACACCTCCGAATACTCATACTCCTACTTCTATTGCCCACGTCGGCGCACGGCTTGGACTTGCCACCTCTGACCACCTCTTAATATTATCTCCTATTCAGCTACCTTTGGGTAATACTGTCGCCAACGCCTTGGCTAACCAGCCTACCACCGAGCTCTTGCCGATCTTATTCAGAGCTGAGCCACCATCGCTCCTTCCGCCCATCTGACATCGCGTCAGCACCTTCCTCGGGTTGGCCTGATTATCAACTCGTTCTTTGTTCAACTTAAGCCTCACTTGTGCTTCTCATTGATTCCTGCTCTGACTCCATTGGACATCTTGTGATTTTGTTGCTTCGTCCAACTCACCACGTTTCTTGCACTTTGCGACATCAGGTTGCGACACCTCAGAGCATTCAAATCTAGGCCTCAATCCTTGTCATCTGACCTTGGCCAACCACACCCGTCCGCTCTTTTGCCCATCGTCTTTCATGTACCAATACTAGCTTCCAGTCGTCAGTCGCCCATTCCCTGGAGCCTTTGTTTTGTTAACTCGGCATATTCGCCTCTCGAGCCTCGTCCTTTCCATCTTCACCTCCCGAACCAACCCCTCTTGGACCACCAAACCTCTATATCTTGCCTCTTGAGGACAACAGGGACAATTGTGCACCACACCCGCTGTAACCATGCAGCTCGGCCGCTCACCTAACATTGTTCCTTGACCAAACCGCCTGGTCCTCGAGGCGGCGGCTTGCTCGCCGTAATGCCCTCTCCCAATCATCGCTCCAGTCGATCACTCAGTCTGGCAGGTACAGGTGCGGCTCTTCGAAGGGGCGACATCTCAATCTCAGACCCTATTCCTCAGGACCCTGACGAAGCCTATGTCGGCACAGAAATGGTTGCTCACACAAGATATCTTTCCGCCCCTCCGGCCAATGATCCTTCGTGGACCCCAAAGACCGACGCTGCGCAATGGGATTCACACTACAGACACGTCTCCGCCGGAAATGCCGTGAGCAATCCTTCCGCCCGTGTATCCACAGGGCCTTCGTTGATGCCTAGCTCAATGTCTTCCGCACCTTCAAAGTCATCCCTGACTCCAAAGAAAGCCTCGGGGTTTCGCGCCACCATCAAACGCATGTTTTCTAGCAAACGGCACCGGTCTGTGCCCAACACCGTCGGTGAAACCCAATACCTCCGGAGCGATCCTGGCCACCTCAATCCCGTGGTTGAACAGGCCCCTGCCGTCGAGGTCACACAGCCACATGCGCTCACCGCCCCGGCTCAAAGTACTGCCCTGGGTTCTCATTCGACCCACTATCAGTCACAGTCGGTGGACATCCAACCTGCGGAGCCACTCTTCCCGCGCGGGCGCCGGAACACACTGCCAAGCTTAGTCTTTAGCGACAAAGACACGAGCATGGATGTGGCAGCTGGCGAACGCTCTGCTCAACAATCACGACAAGACCATCACTGGTCTAAAGAAGACCACGTCTCTGAAGGCCAATTCCGACGTCGGTCCAGAAGCGCCGATGCTCTCAATCAACTCGTTAAACAAGCTGAGACCGACTCCGCCACGAGCAGGAATCGTGCCAGTGAAATCGCCTTTTGGCGCACGAGTGCAATCCAAAACCCCGTCCCCGTCTACAGTGGTCAGTCCATCGCTGTAGATCCAGTCCACGTCCCTCAGCCTACCGAGTCGATCGATGACTATAATCCTCCCTCATCGAACTTCAACCCTCTGGGCTCTTTTGATTTCGGCCTTGAGCAGGACAACGACGGCACTGGAATCAGTCTGGAGCAGAGGGTCAACACTTTAGAAATCAAGCTCTTTGATTTTGAGTATGCGCTTGCCAAACTCCAAGGCGTCGACATCCCCAAGCCTGTGCTGCCCCCTCACGGAGACAACCGTCGGTCCATCATCCAGGAATTTACCTCCAATCCTCCTCATCCGGTCTCTTCTTCGCCGTCTTCCCATGCATTTGGCTTCCCTTCGTCGCCGGACACCTCCCACGATGCCACCTTTTTATCGTCACCGGACCCATCGTCCCAAGCCTCACCGACCCAAGGCGATAAATTTCCTTCTCAGAGAACCAGCAAGGCCACGACTGCCACCATTAGACCCTCGAATACCAGGGAGAAGTCGCCTCGCCCATCGTCGCCGCAATCTATCCACATTCCCGTCGAAAAGTTTGAGGCATTATTGGATATTGTCAAACAAGAACAAGAAGCCCGCCGGAAACTCGAAGAGCAGGTGCTAGAGATGCAACAGGAACTGGATGCTCTCCGAAGCCCTGTGTATGCAACCATTAGGGAAGCCTACCCCACGCCTAGTCCAGAGTCATCGCACGCAGCCGTGTCGACACCTCGTTTGTTACATCGAGCTCCTGCTTTTCAGATTGGCTTGGTCAAGGAGATATCGAGATTCAGCAATACCGAGACAGATTCTAATGTCGACGATGTCGACGATGTCGACGGATTTGAGGATGTGTACGAGACGCCTCAAGGCCGGAAGAATACCTTTGAGACCGCAAGAGGAGATTCGAGCGAGTTGACTCGGTAATACTAGGTATCAGGTGAGTCGTGTCCACTATACCACATGTCATGTCGCAGACAACAGCAACCCAAAGTTTGTGTACCTCAGTCGACACTGGCCGGAATGGAGAGGCTTGACGCTGGCGGAAATAGCCTTGTAACACAAACTCCACAGATCAGGTCGTGCTTTTTGGCGCGTCGCTTCCGAGCGACCTTGTTGATTAGAATTGTACAAATATTGAGAAGCGGACGTATAACTTGCTATTAGTTGAATAATACTGTTATCCATCTCAAAGTAGGACAGATCATTTGAATCAATCTATCTTCTCAAGTGTCACTGCTCATCATTATCACGTGACACGCGGCTCTCCTCGCGGGTCGGGAGCTGCATAACCTTGACTAAGTACTCCGCATGAGAACCCATTTCCTAAAATGGGTGTGACACTACAGCGAAACTCTTCTCCATCTGACACCTCTTCTTACTTGGATGCTGAAGTGGATGAAACATCACTAGATCTTTTAATTATAACCAACCTTCTCCTAAGCATACCACCATTTCTCTCTGTTCACAGCGGACTCACTCGACGCTATGAACTTGTATTTGTTGTAGAAAAGAAAAGATGGTCGGAAACAAAACACTAGTGACTGAGCACTGCATACGATCCTAATCCTCTTGACCCTCCAGCATCACGGCGACTAAACGTGGCATCTCGAGCAGCAGCAGTAGCACAACCACCACCACCACCACCACCATCATGGCTCTATCCCCGTCATCCGGGTCCCTCACTCACCTGGACCTACCTTCCTCACAATCACCATCCTCTTCTGGGCCACCCTCAGCGCGTCTTCTGAACCCGTCGACCAATGCAATCCCTTTACTCACATCCCCTCTCGCCAAACGCTACAACCATGTCCACACAGCCCTAGTCCCGACCTATTTCTACCTCCGCGCCGGTTCTTTAGTCGCCGATCCTCTACCAACTCTCATCCAAGACCTCACGTTCGTGGCTCTGGCGCAGACAGCCGCCGTGGCTATTTCCCTCCCCTCCGCCGGCAATTGGCTCAGTGGCACCAATGCCGGACGCATCATTGAGGGGACCGCTAGTTACGGTAATTATAGAAGTAGTAAGAGTGGGAATACTGCTTCAGCAGCGAGTTTGAGAAAAAAAGGCACGAATACAAGCAGTCATAAGAGTAGTGATCATGGTAATAATGGAGGAAGTTGGCGAGGGAGAGCTATGGTAAGTCATCTCATATTCCAAGGGAATATTATATACACCGGCCGAACAATAAGCTAACCACGTCTATTTTATTTCAGCCCACTCTATTCTCACTGATCCTCACAATGACATTACCACCCATCCCATTAACCGTGGTAGCTCTCGTCCTCGGAGCACCACTATATCCATCATCTCTCCTACCCCACACACTTGCTCTTGCAGCACACGTATCACTACTGGGGTTTCTACCTCTATTCTACTCGCACGGAGTATCAGCACTAGCATGGCGCGACATCACCGCCGCATGGCTCCCATTTGACGAGGCCGGTGTCTGGGGCGGCACCGTCGGCGTCATGGTTGGAGGCTGGATCGGAGCCATCCCTATCGCCTTGGACTGGGATCGCGAATGGCAGAAATGGCCATGTACCGTGCTCTGGGGCTGTGTTCTGGGATGGACGATTGGAAGGGTGCTTACCAGTGTATTGGGTCTTGGAGTGGGGAAGAGGATTAACTTGAGTGAAAAGGAACAACCGTCACCAGGCGGGGCAGGAACTTCGTTGTCAGTTGTTGCTGGTACTCGAAGTGGTACAGATGCAGAACTCCTCATGACTACACCTGCGGCAAGTCCAAGTCCAGCGCCTGGCACACTGGCAAAATCGTCCAAGTCAAGGACAAAGACAAAGACCACTTGACAGGAACACATCTATCTATCGATCGATCGATCGACTAGAAGCTACTTGAAAGCTGTAATGGAAAGACAAAAGGGGTAGGTGTTATTTGCTGGGCCAAAGACATTTCCCACCACGCCACCCCATGTGAGCTCCTCTCGATCTAGACGTCTCTCTAATCTCCATATACATGGGGATGAAAATACATGTATATATTAGTTGTACAGCCGGGAAGGATTGCATCTATTCATTTTTGAACCGCATTAGATGTCTTACACGTGACTCGACAATATTAGGGGTAAATCTGGCCTGACCCCTGTGAGATTGTCTTGAGAGATATGGAAAAATAGAACAAATAATCTCACAAGCACGAGAAATTACAAAGAAATCAGTTTGTTGAAAATATGAATTTTCAATTGTCAGCTAAGATTACCAGCGAGGATTCTATTCTAGCTATCCAATCTTCCCTCGATGAAGACCCCCCAAGGGGATCCCCAGAGGAGAATGGTCATCAATTTTCATGCATCAAAGGACCAAGCAACAAAACTCGTCCCGTGCCTCTGCGGGTCTTCGTCTCCCACGTCTCCGACATTTCCAAAGCATTCATCTGTTCCACGTTCTGGCACCGGTCCAGTTCTGTGTGGTCATGAATCTTTTCCATTCGTTCTGGCAACTCTACTCTCCGAGAAGCCATGAGCTCCAAGGTAATCTGTTTGTACAAGTGATCACTTCCCTGATGGGAAAAGACCGTGATCATGAGGTCTTGAAGAAAAGAAATTTTTGTTGGTGTCATGTGCAAAATACTATTTGCAAGAAGTATCGAGTCGAAAAGAAGATTCTCGAGGGATTCCATCGTCAACACCTTCAGAGCAGAAGGAGGAATGGAATCATCAGGCTGTGCTGCCTCGTATGTGTGTTCATTCCCAAAACGCCGTCGCCATGCAGTTGAAATCGAGTATTTGTTGCTGAAAGAAAAAAGCTTGGTGGGTTGATCCAAGCCATGGCCCGCTGTGTTGGGTGCGTAGTCATCACAATCAGAAATGGTCGTCAAGCACCTGGTACTGTCTGAGCTCTTTCCGTGAGAGGTCGTGAATCAGGCCGTCAGTGACTGTCAGCCTCATGAATCGTTCATGCTTCCCTCTATGCCACCTGCACTGGGGTTCTACCCAATCTGTAGTTGGTGGCTGCAGAGTTGAAGAGTCGGTTCATCACACCGCCAATACCATCAGACTTGACCTTCTTAGCTGGCTGCTGGCTTTCACCCTGAAAGCTCGTCTGGTGGCCCTTGAGACCAGGACGAGAGGTGATAGCTTTGCCGTAGCCACTGTGGTATGAGGCATCCGGGCTCTCTGTCTGATCCACCACAACAATGCTGTCGTCAATACCCGACGAAGCTGTGTATGGTGTTCCGCGATTGGTTGGTGCCAGCGACGAAGACCGGGACCTCAATGAAGGAGCCATGGAGGAAGATCTGGAGCTGGAGTGGCTGTGCATGGTACCTGGTCGGCTTGATGACACTAGTGGGGGAAGATCCCGAACTGAGGGAGGCGACATCGATAGCTTGCTGATGTGGTGACGGAAGGGTGAAGGCACACGACGGTGGCTAGGAGCTGGCAGAGAGAGCGAGCTAGTGCTTGGTCGATGCTGACGAGGATATCGTCCACCCGAGAGATCGTCGTCCATGTACGAGGCAGGCGAGCCATACACACCGACAGCCCGTGGAGGTGGTGTGGTGAGTACGGGCAAGTCATTGTCTCTGATGTGGCGCGAGGGTGGCATGGGCAAACCAATGGCGGAATCATACGAGGACTGCTGCGAATGCCAGTGTCGGGCACTGCTAATCAGCTCGGCCTCCTCTTGTTGAAGATCCATCTGGAAGCGGATGGGAGCCAGGAAAGGTTCGAAGTGAAGGAACAGATCCTGTTCTGTGACTCGGGTGTCGAAGTCGAGCAAGTACAGCATTTGTCGTTCCATCAAGTTGACCTCAGCCAGACCAAAACCAAAGCCCTCAAATCCCTTGACTGAGGTGTACTTGGCCCAGTGTTTGTTCTTGGGGCTGGAGTCATTGAGGTTCTTGGCTGCGAGAATCAGCGAGGCCAGAAAGATTCTGTGTACGGTGCATCGCATTCCCTTGGCAACTGGAGGTAGTTTGGCTCGCAGGCGAGCGAGGTATACGAGAGAAGACATGAGGGTAGGCACCTGGACTGAAGATCGGTGGACGAGTGAGGTGATGAACTGCTCCAGGCTTGGAAGGGTAGGCTGTGTGAGATCGACGACGGAATTCTGAGGTGGTGTCGAGGGGGGTGTTGGAAGAGAATCTGATGCAACTGGCTCCTGGTCGCACCTGATGACCTGAGATGCCTGTTTGGCCAGGTGTTGGATCATATAAGATCGGACGGGCTGTCGAACGAACTCGTCAAGAGCAGCCCGATTCTGGGCTTGTGAATACTTGGAATCCATACTGGATGATGGGTGTAAAGAATGGTCAAGGCTGAGAACAAGCAGCCGAGATGGTGAAAATGAAGCAACAAGAGAATAAGAATGAAGATGAGGCAGGTCAGGAGTTTATGGATGCCTTTCAAATGCCCTGGCCAGCAGTGTCTAGACAAGTGAAGAGGGCAACTTGACGTATGCTGCGACAGATGGATGACAGGTGTAGGAGGTTGGTGGTATTAAGTGAGCAAAGACACTGGGTCTTGAGGTCCTGGCCAGCAGGAGGGGTCTGAGCGTTCGGGTATATTGAATATAGTCGGATGCTGGGGTGTCCGGTAGTGGATGGCTAGGCACGGTCCAGGGTGCAGCCTCCTGTGTTTGAGAGAGAGTCGCGTTTTTGAAGACCTCCTGAACAATGCACGGTAGACGTGCAGCAGTTGCGGGATGTGGAGTATTGTGAAGGTTAAGGACCTGCAGCTAGCGGATAGGCGATCGATAAGATCCAGGTGTCCTTGATCCGCAGTCTGTAGGAGGAAAAAGTCTTGCCTGCTTGTTGCGGAAGTCGGAATATGCCTGCGGGAGCACCGTTAGGGTTTCTCAGTGGGGTCGAGGACGCGGGTCGATGGCGGTCCAGGGGCTGGTAGAAGGTTGGAGGGCCAAAGCAGGGGAAAGGACCATAGAGTGGTCCGTTGGCGGCGATGGCGTCTGGACGGGTCTGGCGTGGAGCTTCTGGAGCAGAGGGCCAGCAGAGTGTCTGTGACTGAAGCACCGATTGAGGTTTGGAGGGCTGTAATTAGACTAGTGCAGGTACAAGACTCGAATCTGGAGCTGCCAGGCGGTGCACGGCGTGGAAAAAAAGAGTTGGAGGGGGGTTTTAGGTGGGGATGCCTGCCCCAGAATGGCGATTGACAGGGTCTGTGGTGGAAAGTGAGAGGTGACCAGGGTTGGTGATTGGATTTTTCAACAAGTGGACTCGACTCTTGTCCCTTCGACACTGACGAAGGTGAAAGCGAGATAATGGCGAGATGAAGGTGAAATGAGTTATGGATGCCGGATGGAGGGAGAGGAGAGAGAGGTAACTGCGGCGTAAGGACGGTCTTTATGATTCAGATCTGGTGGTGCAAAAGTCCACGAGCATTGCCACAAATGAGGGACCAGTAGGCGCTTGCAGTGGATCTGAACAGCATCGAAGAATGCAAAGGGAGGGAGGGCAAGACGGCCAGGCAGTGGTCATGAGTGACTGGCAGGCAGATGCAGGAGAATGGCAGCAGGGCAGTAGCAGTGAATAGACAGCGGCAGGCGGACAGTGGACGATGACCGGACGGCAGCGCAGTTGAGGGCAGCTGGCCTGTTTCGCATAGGGTTGGCGGCTGGCCGGTGAGAAACGTGGATTGGGTGGTTGAATGTCACTAACTGGAATCTACATGTCCGGGGCGTTGGTGCCTTCGCCCCTACAGATGACCTAACCATAGGATCGTGACCTCCGAACCTCAACCTCCTTGCGGCGGAGGTCTCCCTCCACACACCCTTCTACCGTAGCCCATAATTGTCATGCACCACAGGTTCAAGCCGCGGCATCTTGTACGTGTACACTAGGAGATCATGGCTTTAGGTTCATTCCACGGCGCTCCCAAGAAACGGGCTGTGAAATTGACTGGATGAGACATCAGATTGGATGAAGAGAGCGATAGTCTACAGCTGACAAGGGTCGCCACCAAGGCATCCAGCTGGAACCACTACTACGGATACCATTATTGCAGTACGTACTACTCGCCAGTAGATTCTATTTGAATACCATTTGTCGTTGGTCGTTGGTCGTCCAGTTGGTGGTTGTCCTGGCACCTGTTGGTTGTCGGCCAAGGGTTGTGCAGCCCTGGTCATGAATGGTAGACCAGCAGTCGAGACAGACGCCCGACACGCCTGACACACTTGGGACGATTCTGAGGCACCAACTGACACTCGTCAAGTTTGGCGGGGGTCAGCGAGGACGCGCTTCAGGGGTCCGGCTGCTGAGCCGAGGGTGGTCCCTCGGTCCTCCAGCCTGTGGTGGTGGTGGCGCCTTAGTGGCCCAGAAAGGGCTTGCCGTCTAAAAGTCTGGGTTTAACCATTACCATTGGCTATCATGCCTTCCATCTGTCTGCATCTGCTCTGGTGAAACCACGAAGGAGCTACCCGAGACCTCGCGTCTGTCGCGTCGACGCGCCTTAGGGGCCACTTGACCCCCCGTCTTTCACCAATCATAGCCACACCCAAATTCAAATCTCCAGTCGACAAGTGCCAGACAAGAGACATCGAAACCCTAAGATCTGCACTCTTGCATCTTGCTTAGGAGGCGTCTACTCAGGGATGGTACTACCTTTATAGAGATTTATCAAGGGCCACTGAATTTCGTGATTTTCACATGTTCCAATTCATTAAACTGTTTCTCACCTACCGCCTCACGGCTTTGGCAGCTTTCAACGTCCATTACCAAACACACAGGCGCGCCATGGCGGTTTGGATGGTTCAAGGTGATTGGCAAAAAGCCAAATCGTGCCCTCGTCTCCCCCTGGCCTGGTAAGTATCGACATGAAGACAAGAAGGTGTAGACTAGATTATTCGTGACTCCTCGTAACCCATGCGTACGGTTGCCGGTCAGCTGCGTGCGGGCACATCGGATCATTCCAATGCCCACCGTTTACTGATTTGATATTCCCACCTAATGCAAGGTCATCATGCGCACACGAAACCCTTTGACTCCGATGTCCCTTTTGAAAGAGCCTTTTGAAAAGGGATCGCCAAAAGAGTTTCCTCCGTAGACGCCTTGCATACCGGCATTCCTTCCACCAGACCATGTAACCACGAAGTCTACCAATCTGCAAGGAAATCCCTTAGAGCGGGGGTCTGCGTGTTGGCTACGACGAGGCATCGAACGGGACCGCCGTGACCAACAGTTGCAAGCTCCAGGATGGGTAGTGGTCGAACTGTGGTGCGAGAGCGGTGGTTGGCTTGCCGCATCAACGTTTCTCAGCCAATGAAGCGCCTATGAAGTCCATGCTGCGCACGGTGTCCGCGACGAGCCGTGGCGGTGCTCTATAGTGGGGCGACATGTGGCTGGAAGACGATTGACCAATAGTTGGGAGAAGCCTGGACCATGGGCAAAGCATGGCAAGCAACGTCTTGTGCCCCAGCACGCCCAGTTCTCCCAGCCCGCAAGAACATGTTCTTCCATAGCCTGACACCCTGAATTCATGGCCCCTGCTGTTGAAGTCATCACCACGATGATCTCAGTCGATGGCCCACCAAACCTAGGTACGCAGATACCATGCCGCTAACAAAGACTGGCTCCATCCCGTATGTGAGGCACTATCAAGTCAACCACGTGTACGATGGTGACCGACGACCAAGGCCATCATCGTCCTCCAGCGTCTGTGCTAACTCCAGGCTCTTATTCTCGACTCGGTGGCATTATGAGGGTAGGAACAATACTCGTCATGATGGTTGATCATTCTATGGCATATCCCAGTAATCGATGTCTATGCCACGCAGTCCTGTGACGCGATCTCCCGTCTTGTGACCAGCTAAGACCACATGAGGTGAAAGCCATCTGATCAGGCTACAATGATCGTGGTCATCTGGAAAATCTAACACCACGCGTGCAGACTTTTCATTTTGAACATTGTGCTACTTTTGACGACTGGTGGTTAGCCATCCGTCTGATGCAGGATGGCCCTCACCCAGAGGCTCTTCAAATAGCACGACGTAGACGGTGGATTACTTTGAAGCTCTCTGGAAAGCGGCTTCCCGGAGAGGACAGGCAATCCTAATTTCGGAGATCGGTTTTCTGTAGATGCATTCTTTGAGACGAGGCTCTAAGTCAGCGTAAAAGACAGTGATTTGGGTCAGCCGATTGAAAGTGCAATATGAGGCTCTGCCCGTCACCTAGGCAAATAGGTACACCTCTCACGTGACTTTTTTGCTTTCGCCAGCCACCTTCACTTGACCAATCACGTCTCACCAATTCATCATTCTATTCTTGCCTCACAAGACAACCAGGTCCTGGATGGGCAAACATCAAACAAATGCTGACGGCACATTAACCAGAGTTCGTAGAGGGTCATTTGTCATCGGACGCATAACAGCGCCCATCATGGCGCCCGGAGAGTACACATCCATGGGCGCCGGCAAGTTGAGACTAAAAGGCGTCAAAGATTCCAAAGTCGAAAAGAAAAAGAAGAAAAAAGACAAGGCCAAGTCTTCCGAGCAAGCGGAAGGAGAAGGCCAAAGGGGAAGCCACGATGCCGAGGATACCAAATTTCAAGACAAATCAGTCATGTTGAAGAAGCTCGAGGACGAAGATGAGATGGTGAGGCGAGAGCAGCTGGATGGCTCAGAAGGCGAATCGACAAAGAAGAAAGAGGTAGAGCGGACGGGACTCGAAAGCGAGATTGTCAAGACGGAAGCGGAGCGGAGGTATCAGGAACAGAGGAGAAGAAGGGTATGTCATTATCCCAATTGCTGACGCGCCTCCTGACGGTATCGCTCCTTTTTGGTCTTCTGCTAATATCTTACGTGGTTGATTCTAGCTCGAGGAGAGACTGAAACGAGAAGGTGTCAAGACACACAAAGAGAGAGTCGAGGAGTTAAACCGGTACCTGAGTTCTTTGAGCGAACATCACGATATGCCCAAAATTGGACCTGGATAACGACTCGAGAGTACTTTGTTGTACTGCATATTTGGCGTTCACGGTCACACGATTCACGATGATTGGTGTATGGCAAGCCTGGGGCGCTTTGAGGACAATCGGCTTTACATCCTCCCAATCAACTGGTGTGGTTCAAGCTGCTTTGAACAGTGCAAGACCAGATACAACTACTTCATACGATGTTTCCTGCACGTCCATAGGTCAATTGATACCATTCGCAATTCTTGGATATTGTATGTACAACGCCACAGCCCCAGTGGCCCTCTTCAGACGCCTTATGCGACCATTCTCAGCTTCTGTTGGCCATCTATTCTTCATTTTCGGCGGTTTCAGCTCTTCCAGGCTTGGAGTTGAGGTAATGGTTTCTGTAAATGAAATGTCAGATATGACAGCTCCAGTCAAGAACCACGTTGATGGCGTGCTATGATCCAGTAACTTACTTCTCGGTGGCCCATTCCATCGTTACATATGCGAGGACCAGGGGAGGAAGCCAGTACAGAATCTGGTGATATGTTCGGCGGTATGTGTTGAAGACGGCATTGTACATGGCTCCAGCCATGGGGCTCTGTCGATTGGGAGACAGGGCATATGTAACGATTCCTTTCTGTGCTGGGGATCCTGTGCAAAGGAATCAAGGTCAGTCGAGCTGTCATCAAGCAGTACTGTCTCTCGTGGTCCGGTCACTGATCCACAACTTGAAATGCTCCCATCTGTTCTGCTACCTCCTCTTTTTGTGCATCTCGTGAAAGGTCATTCCGTACCTAGATTTCCCCAGCTACCCAAGTATCTGTTTACGAAGATAGTCAGCATCTTTGTGATCTTCTCCAAACGGGCCTGAGATGTTGGACGTACATTCCATTCTTTGGATCCGGGCCATGGCCTCCCCGCAGAGCGCGGGTCGCTTGCATGCGTAGAGCAGGAGTAACGCGCATCTTGAGGAATCGTGATTAGAGCTATGGGAGCAACGAGTCGAAAGGTGGGAGGTGGAACAATAGGTGTGGTAGCAGCAATTCCACGCAGGTTTGAACATGTTCGGAGCTTGAGGTGCAGCCTTGACCTAATCGGGACTAGTGTATCTCCGACTCGACGCATCACAAAATGTTCATTACATTACATATGACCTGGGTACCTAGATCAGTCAATCAAGCGGCTGCATCGGCCATTTGTATCACCACAGCCTCCTCTACGGTCGAAGACATTCCCTGACAGTATTTTGCGAATCTCGAATCGATCGCCATGGCCGCGCCCAATGTCCTCAACGCCATCTCCAAGTGGGCAGTGCCGGTTTTCATCGGCTTCTCCCTCGGCCAGGCGGCCATCTACGACGTCAAAGGTGGTACCCGAGCGGTCATCTTCGATCGTCTCAGCGGTGTTCAAGAGTCTGTCGTGAATGAAGGCACACATTTCCTCATTCCCTGGCTGCAGAAGGCCATCATCTACGATGTCCGCACCAAGCCTAGAAACATCTCCACCACCACCGGCAGCAAGGATCTGCAGATGGTTAGCTTGACCCTCAGAGTTCTGCATAGGCCAGAAGTCCAAAGATTGCCCAAGATCTACCAGGTAAGTGACACGATTCGATGTCGTCTGACCAGTTTTCTGACTGCGCGGCACAGAATCTCGGCCAAGATTACGATGAAAGAGTTCTTCCCTCCATCGGCAACGAAGTCCTCAAAGCCATCGTCGCACAATTCGATGCCGCAGAACTCATCACCCAGAGAGAAGCCGTGTCACAAAGAATCCGATCAGACTTGCTCAAGAGAGCTCAAGAATTCAACATTGCGCTGGAAGACGTTTCCATCACCCACATGACCTTTGGACGGGAATTCACACGAGCCGTCGAGCAGAAGCAAATTGCTCAACAAGATGCCGAACGAGCGAGATTCATTGTCGAAAAGGCCGAGCAGGAGAGACAAGCCAACGTCATTCGAGCAGAAGGTGAAGCAGAAGCTGCGGACATCATTAGCAAGGCCGTTGCTAAAGCTGGAGACGGTCTGATTCAAATCCGAAGAATCGAAGCTAGCAAGGACATTGCACAGACACTCTCGAGCAACCCCAATGTCACGTATCTTCCCGGTGGAGAGGGCGAGGGCAAAGGCAAAGGTGCTGGTCTTCTTCTCGGGCTGAGATCGTGAGGTCTTGGGTCCATATTGACTTCGAGAGTCGGCGCACGGGGTTGACGGGCAAAAATTGCTCTGCATCTGAGAGGCGCAAATACGGTAAAACCTACCCACCCACCCACCTACACACACTGTGTGGTCCCAAAACTCTGCTGTAACGATATGAAAACTCGTCTATTGTTGACCTGTCTTCGATGTAGCACCACATAGCGATCGCAAAATATAATCCTCAGGGGAATTCTCAACTTTCTATCTTCATTCTGTCTCTGCCTGTCCTGGATCTCCTGGTTTGATTCTTTGTCACTCACGTGTCATCGGAATTCGTCTCGTTGAAGCGGCGCAGGCGCGACCCAAGTGGAGTGCGACTAACAAAACTCCGGCGCTTGGGTCCGCCAGATCGACTCATCTTTGGTCTGCGTTTGTCTGGTTCAGCAAACCACAGCACGATACCAACCAAATGAGTTTGCTGTCATGGTCGATCTTAATTAAGCCAACAATGAGGACCTTCGAACACTTGTCCAGAACCATCAACTGTCATGCTCGACCGCAATCCGATGGAAGTGATACACTTTATAAGGTCATCGGACACCATTCAATCTGTTTACATATAAATACCATTGAACCTTTATTCCTCGCTAATCTTGGTCTAGGGAGCGCCTTTGCCAGTTTTTGTCGCCTCTGATGGACATGCGGTGAAATTCGATTTGCAATTTGCTCATTTCTCTTTGCACTTTCCCACACACGTCGATGACAGCCTGCTGAAGACACATCTGTCCACTTCTCCATCAGCGCCTTCCTCTACGCATCATGGTGGTCTGTCGCCGGGACCATGGGTCCTGCTCCTGTACTTCGACATCCTTCTCGAGACCTTTGACCGAAACGATCCTCTTGGCTGCCGGTCCACATCTCATCCGCTGGTCAACTCTTGTCTTTTATGGAGCGTTCTTGCGACAACTCGAGCCGGTTGGCACGGCCACCACTCGAGGCATGGTCATCAAGGAATACGTCCAGGTCCGATCCCATCTTCGTCGAGTGGATGCCGGCAAGGCATGGAAAGAGTACATTACAGCATCCAGGTCCAGGTCAGTATCGTCCTCCAGCTCACAAATGGACTTTGAAATCCTCAAGAAGCGTCGCCAAATGAGCAAATGGCGGGCATTTGTACACAAAATCCGACTCCGCAAGAGAAAGGTATCGCGCCTAGACACCGAAACACCCCCCTCAGAGATGGAAATGACTGTGCAACGGCCAAAAACGCTGGCCGAAATGTTTGAAAGCGTCGCCAACAGATTGAGAGTATCGCAGGCGATGCTAGAAATGGCATTTCTCCAGTACGCAAGTCATGCGGAGGGGGGACTCAAGTGTCCAGAGCTGGGTCATCGACCTATGGAAGAAGGTTGGGTGATCGCTGTCACAGCGCAGGGTCTTGCACGCAGTGCCGATTATGAAGCTCTCGGTCGCCGCATCCTGACGGACATCGAGGGCCTGCCACCGTCCAATGCAACACAACCGTGTGAAGAGACGGAATCGAAGCACCATGTCTCGTCGCTAGCCATGTTACAACGCGCCTCGAGGAGCGGCCCCGGCGGCGGCAACGACGACGACACACCCGGCGACAGCAGACTCGACAAGAGCGTCAACCCTACCGGGCAGAATATTCGCACCAACATCCTAGGTGACCAACTCGACCTCGTCCTGCGTGCCATCCAGGCCTGTCGATCCCACTACTTCGACTCATTCCAATACACAGAGCCTCAGAAAGTCCAATGCCCATGTCGACCCATGCAGCTTGAGGAATGTGACATGTGCAGCTCGTCGACCGGCTCTTCCAGCGACAACGATAAACTCCGCTCGACCAAGTTCTTCAAGCACCGCCGCCAGAGCCAGGTTTCCAGCGACAAGGGTAAAGAACCCGTCCGCGAGTGGGGAGGTGGGCGTGTCGCCATCGGTGATGCAGGTGCTGCGGGTGCACTATCTGTCAGGGGTTCCACGGTCAAATATATACTCCATTCGCGCGTCTATACTGAGCATCTCAATCCGTTCGTCAGGAAGAAAGGTTGTTTCGAGTTCGTTCATGAGAGGGCTTCTGAGGAGTGGGAGCCTCTACTCCGTCAGGAAACTTAGTCTAGTGCTGCTGATATAGGATCACTTTGTGGATCAGGACGAGATCATGTCTGGGGTTTGGTTGACTTGCACATTTGGATTGTCGGTCTATTATTTGGTGCGCACCGGGTGTTTTTCATGGACTAGTCGCAGCAGAACTGGGAAGCTTTCTGTTTATAGTTTGTTATGACCTACATAAAGTAAGTAGGTGGCGTTGAGAAGAAGATAATCATGTCAAGTCTTGCGAAGAAGAAAACAATAGTGTCAAGTGTGGCAAACTCCTTATTATATATAACTACACCCATGACTCTGCACCCTTCCTCGCCGTGTAGCAGGTGAAAGTCTCCGTAGATAGCGAAAGTATGGTCAAGATTGATAGCCAACAACTGCGACTTTCCTCTCCGCAGGCGTGATGCCCAGGCGCTCGACGTCGCTGGCATCAGTCCTGCCCAACCCACTCTGCTCTACAGGTTTGTCAACAGACTTGAGATCGACGTTAGCGACACTAACGCCATCCACCGTGAGTGCGTCGTCAACTTCAGCACCTGCCTTAACGCCTTGGAAAGGAGTGATGCCCTTTTTCGTGGCAACATCCTCGTCAAAGGTGCCGTAGAAGTCGTACTCATCCCGCTTCCCAGCATTCTTGATCTTCCAGATCTTGCACACGATCACGTACAGAACCGCAGCTGACGTAGAGCCAAAGAGATAATTTCCCCAATAATACTGGATGGCACCTTGGCTAACATAGATGTTTGGATTTAGAGTTCCGATCATGCCTGGCATGGCTGGCACGAAACAGACGACCCAAACAATGATGGCACGCAGGTTAAAGCCGTGGAAGAAGTAGTACGATCCTTCTGAAGAGCCGGTGTACAGCTGGGTCACTTCAATATTCTGTCGGCGAATAATGTAGTAATCGGCAAGCATGATGCCCGTGAGCGGGCCAAGGAAGACGGAGAAGCTCGCGGCCGTGGCGACAAAGACACTTGAAGTGTTGTAGAAGAGCCACGGTTGTACCACCCACGACAATAGAGCACCGATGATAGCTCCACGGCGGATGTTGATGAATTTGGGAAACAGGCCTGCCAAATCCATTCCAGCGGCGTAACCGTTGGCCATGATGTTCTCAGCGAGCTGTGAAATGATGAAGCCCAAACCACAGAAGAATGCGGCTGCACGGGATGTAGCGCTGTAATCGTCCAGCATCCACTGTGTAATAAGGGTGAGGGGATTCCAGAATGGATCGCCTCCGTAAATTTCGACACTGGCCGAGGCGGTGAGGAGACCCATGATGGGAACTGCCATGCCGGGGATGAAGAGGGAGAAGAGTATTCCAGGAACTTGAACACCTTGGCGACGGGCAAAACGGGTAAAATCAGACTGATTGATGATGCCGGCAGATATGCCTCCCAGAGAGGCGACAATGGCATAGACCCACGCCCAAGCGTAATTCATGCCAGGGATGGAAGTCGAACCGGTGTACCACAGGGGACCTGGTCCTCCAGCTTTGTTCGTTGCCCAGATGGTGATGCCCAACATGACAAAAAACGTAATACCGTTGGCAAAGAGGACAGGCCATTTTGCTTTTTCGGGGCGGACGAGCTGGTTGAGATCAGACATGCATGTGCGTTTCGGGACCAGGAGAACTTACAAGCAAAGGTAGAGAGATGATCTGGAATATGGTAAAGCCAACCAAATCTCGCGTGACCATGTGAGCGCTTTCAGGAAGAGTGTTCTCCAGTGTGAGGAAGGAATAAGACCAGCTGCTCAACATGACGGCTACGCACAAGCCACCCAGCCAGGCTTGTGATGCGTACCAAATGATGGACAACATGATTCGAATGAGGATACCAATGTATGAGCCGTAGACGCCGAAGATCAACCTATGCAGCAACGTCAGCCGTCGACAATCATATTGTTGCGTAAACCTCACAGACCTTTGGGCTACCGTGAAGCCAATATGCCATTCGGCGCCGAGCCAGCCGTTGGCAATGACAAAGCTCGAAATCAAGACCCTAGCGATGATCATGACACCCATGATGTGAGGAACGCTCAGGCCGAGGATCAGGAGCGATGCTCCGCCAGCCCATACAGTGATGCAAACACTGTAGCAAGAGGTTAGGTCAGTGTGCGCGAGAGCAGGGAAAGGTACGCTGCGTACTTTGCAATCGACCCCCATCCGAGATATGCAAGATAGCCCCATGTACGACGACTGGGTGCTAGGGGTGTGATGTCTGGGTTGATCCATCTGGTGGTTGCAGCACCATTGTATTCGTTGTTGTCAAGGGTAAGCCATTCAATAACAGGTTTCAGTCCATCCATGTTGAGCAGCTTGCTGGTCAAGGCAGTGACTCAAAGATGTCGCAGACGAAACTTGCTGAGAATCAGAGTCTATCTTATAGGATGTGGCCTCTGCGTCTCAACATCCTTTGATAAGCTGGCTGGTAAGGAAGTGCGCGTGGTGGGCCCTGGCCTATCTCGAAACCTGGGGCAAGCAGACGACCATCGACAGGGATTAACACAAGCTCGTCCAGGTCGAGTACAGTCATTGGCTGGGCAGATAACGGTAGGTCGGTTCAGCAGGGATGGCTTCCGTAGCAGTCGTTGACCGTTTAGTATCCAGGTGTGCCAGGGTGATTTGAGTTAACAGACTCATTTTCTGGAATTGCTTGACTTCGAGCCTTGAAGGAAAGGCCGCGGTAGAGGTGAATAAAGTGGAGGTCTGCGCACTACTGATAGCATGGCGATAGGCTTTGCCGGAGCCAAACCGCTTTTGGGGTATATCTGGTGGTATTGTGGCCAAGACCAAGTGCGTGTCGCGGGTGGTAGACCACGACAGTCCCCACGGGTCGGACGATCCTGCACGCTGAGATGTCAGTACGATGCGAGGTGTAATGTGTATTTTGCTCCGTTACGGCGTCAACAGACCAATAGTGCTCATGCATCTCGCTTGTGATTTACAAGTCCACAAATGTGTCGAATGACTTTAAGCGGGAAGATAGAAGAAGAGGAAGAGGAGGTGATGCCATGCAGGTTGTAGCACGTGTTTGGCGGTTGCTCTTTCCGTCTCACTTGCATCATCTGGGTTCCTGCCCTGAACAATAATAATAATATCGACGCTGCCCTGGATTCGGAAAGTGCGAGTGACGCGTCTCTGTTGGGCGGCAGTTGCCACCCCTGCAGCCACACCTCCTCCGATACTACGGAATTTAAATGCCCGAGACGCCCTTCTGCCCAAGAAAACCTCTCCCTCGTCACCCGATCTCGCCCCCCCGATTGCTGTCTTTGATTAATCAAGGTTTGGCCAAGGTATCCCGTTGATAGCCTGTGAGTTGTGGGCTCTAAATTGCCGCCGTTCGTTGCTGGTATTCAATAGAATTGTATTCAAAAGTGGAACATCAAAAGGCCCAACCCAGTGGACAGGTAAGTGATGGAAACAAATCGGAGAATCCGTTTCCATCTTCTTAGGCTAAAGCGAGGCCTGCGATTCCTTCAATCCAAGGTTGGCCCATTATCAAATTGTTAGTCACCCTTTGCCCAAAAGCCATCCACTTGCTCGCTACTTCGCTACAAACTTATTGTCGAAGCGAGCTTACTGCATTGCATGGTTCTTGTAGAGACCACGACAGGACATGATAACTTAGCGACTGCCACCCTCACACTTCCTTGGGACAGCTCCTTTGCACAGGGATCTTTCGTTACTAGGTGCCAATACATCAAGCGACATATTCTAGACTTTACTTTCTTTCGGAAGAGGCGTTCCAATGTCGGCATCTTTAGTGGTTGGAGTTGACGTCGGAGGTATGAAAGCGATCAGTCTACGTGTTGGTCACGCACTGTAACTTGCAATCTAACAGCTCGACCCAGGTACCAACACAGACTCAGTCTTGCTGGATGTCTCCAAGAAGGGCAGTGATGCTGTCCTGGCTTCGCACAAGGCTGCCACTACCTCCAACGTGACCCTTGGTGTCCAGGAAACTCTGGCTGTGCTGCTCAATAAATCAACGGTCGAGAGGGCTGATATTTCCGCTTTGGCCATTGGAACCACCCACTTCATCAATGCAATCATCGAGCGAGACTCATCCCGAGTTGAGAAAGTCGCTGTCCTCCGCCTCGCCTCGTACAACTTTTCCTCTGGCACTCCACCATTTGCCGACTGGCCGGCCTCTTTGAAGCGCATTGTCCATGGCTATTCGGCATTCATTCCAGGAGGTTGTAACATCGATGGTCAGCTCATCGCCGACATTGACGAAGCCGCGGTGCGCGAACAGGCCGCCATTATCCAGGCCCGGGGCATCCGGAATGTGGTCATCGTTGGTATAGGTTCTCCCTCCGACACACGTTACAACCAAGAGGAGCGTGTGAGGGAGATAATGCAGCCCTTACTGCCACAAGACGTCAACTTTGTCATTTCCAAAGACGTCGCGGGAAATGGCTTGTTGGCTCGCGAGAACGCCTCCATCCTCAATGCCTCCATCCTGAACTTCGCGCGCAGGGCCATTTGCTCTTTCATGGCTGCCATGAAGCACGTTGGTCTCCAGTGCCCGCTGTACCTGACATCGAACGCAGGCCACCTCCTTACCTCTACCGACGCCATGCAATTCCCCATCCGAATTTTCTCTTCTGGCGCAACAAATTCAATACGCGGTGCCGCATTCCTGGTAGGCTCAGAAATCGGCAACACGGGCTGTGTTGTGGTAGACATCGGCGGAACCACCACGGACGTCGGCTATCTGCTAAAGAATGGCTACCCACGCCTTTCAAAAAGCTTTACAGATCTTGCCGGGGTCAAGGTCAATCTTGAAATGCCCTTTGTCGAAAGTATCGGACTCGGAGGTGGTTCAATTCTCCACACTACGCCTAACACTGAAGACGTTGTGGTTGGCCCTGACAGCGTCGGACATGACCTCTTGACCAAGGCATTGGCCTTTGGTGGAGATGTGCCCACTGCGACTGATGTCGTTGTCGCCGCAGGGGGAACGGTTCTAGGAACCCACAAAGTGGGCCTATCCCCGAAACTCATCTCCAAAGCCCAGGCTAGAATGAAGAAACTGCTCGAGACTTGCATTGATCGGTCGAAGAACTCGCCTGATCCTTGCACCGTCATTCTCGTGGGTGGTGGGTCCATCCTCTGCCCCCCTTCATTGATGGGAGTCAGCAAGATCATTCTTCCTGAACACGCAGGGGTTGCCAACGCCATCGGAGCGGCCATGGCAAAGATCTCGGGCTCTGCCGAGCTCATCGTCAAAGGTGTAGAAGCACAAAAGGGCATTGCAGAAGCCAAGGCTCAAGCCATCAACAATGCAGTCGCCAAAGGTGGTGATCCAAGCTCGATAATCGTTCTAGACCAGGAAGTCGTCGGCGTGCCGTACACTGAGGATCAGACGCGCATCAAAGTCGAAGTGGCTCTGCCAGCGGACCATGAGAGAGCCCGCAAAGAGATGCAGCTTCTCTCGGATAATAGCGACGCAGATACCGTCAAGGAGCTCTTCCAGGAAACCAAGGTGCACGAGATATCAGTCAATGGGGACGATGCGGAGAGCGAACGGATAGACTTCGACAGCTATCGGCCTCATGTGACGCCCGAAGGTGTTTGGATGCTTTCAGAGATAGACCTCCGATTTTTATCGCTTGGTTGCTACATTCTCGGCACAGGCGGCGGTGGATCTCCATACACGACCTATCTCACCCTCCGACAGTATCTGGAGGAAGGTCATACGCTTAGCATCGTCAGTGTGGACGACTTACGTGACGATGACTGCCTGCCAACCGCTGGAGCTATAGGCACCCCTGCAGTCAGCATCGAAAAACCCGGAGGAGACGGGATGATGCACGCTTTGCAACTCATGTCGACAAAGCTCAACGCCAAGTTCACACACTTGCTTGCCTTTGAGATTGGCGGCGGGAATGGCCTCTCGCCACTGGTCTGTGGAAGCTCCAAGCACTTTAACCTGCCAACTGTGGATGGAGATCTCATGGGTGATGTCCACCTCTTATCCGGCTGATCCTGACCCATGCTGACTTTTTCTCAGGACGCGCTTATCCGGCGTTCGAGATGGTTTCTACATATGTGCACGCAGACAACATCAACACGTTGTTGCCTGTGACATTGTGCAGTGGGACTGGACACGATGTCTTCATCCCCGCGGACGCGACCGATGAGTCGGCTCCTGGGATCGAAATCCGCAATGTGTGCGTTGCTATGGGGTAAGTTTCGAGGCTCCTACGCTCGCGCTGCAAATTTTTGCTGACGTCCCACCTAGCATGGCGTGTGGTGCGGCTGGAGTGCCTTTGAGCGGCCGAGAAATGAAGGATTTCGGCATCCCAAATACGCACTCTTTGGCGTGGAGACTCGGCCGCGTGGTTGCTCAAGCACAGCAGTCAAATATGCTATCAACGCTCCCTGAGAAGCTAATTGCCGAATGTGGCGGACCAGGATCTGCTCGCCGCCTATTCACGGGTAAGATTCGAGGCGTTGAAAGTGGTCTCACGACAACAGCGCACAGCGTGGGAAAGGTCACCATAGAAGCTCTAAGTGAAGAGGAAGTGGAAAATGAAGCAGATCGACAAGGTGACTGGAAAGAGATTGTGATACCTTTCATGAATGAAAATCTCGCCGTGATTGGAAAAGATACAAATGGACAAGAGACGGTAAGACACAACCTTGACGATTTGGATTGGATCACGCTGACTCATGGGCACACAGATCTTGGCCACTATCCCCGACCTGATATCCTTGCTGGATGTGTCGACAGGTGAGAACATCGGAGTACAGGAATATAGGTAAGGACATGTGTTTCGGAATGAGTTGATGTGCTCAGCTCACATGGATGTCTAGATACGGACTCAAAGTTACCGTGATGCTGTTCGCTCCTCATCCAGTCTGGACGTCGTCGGAGCGAGGCATAAGGATTGGTGGCCCGGAAGGGGCGCATCTACCGTACAAGTACAATCCGACCTTGACATACTCCAAGCCTCGCAGCGTCATCGAGGAGTTCCGACCCCGGTCGTAAAGTGATCGGCAACCGACGCGAGCTGCTGGCTCGACCTTTGGACTCTGTATGTCCGATAGAGCTCGATGAATGAGAGTGCATCCCTTCACGACGATGTTACAGAGCCCAGAAGCAGGGATCGTAGCTGGGGCAAGGCTTTGGCAAGTGATTAATCTCCGTGGAGTCTTGCTCGATCAAAACGAACTCGACTTTTGTCGGAAGACATGCAGGCGGCAGGGGGTGGATCTTGCACGTCTTGGCCCTTTGAGCACCTTCACATAGTGCCTATTCGTTTCAGATGGATGGAGTCGACATCTGTGGACGATATGCGAGAGAACGGCGGTCGTTGTTGTAGAGAATCCAGTGGATACTAACAAGGTCCATCCACTGTGGAGAGATATGAGAATCCAGGGAATGATTACGAGATCCCACGCGTGAACTTTTCCCAGTGCTTCGTTTTCATCCGATGCCACAATTGGTCAATGAAAGGGGACTGGGACCCCCGCGGGAGAATCACTGAACCTTCAAGCCGTCGCGGCCTCAGGCTTTTGGCCATATACAACGAAACTAGGAGGACGATTAGTTTGAAAAGGACTCAGGCTGATGCAGCTGGGGAGTGGGACTCACATAGGCCAGTAGGCATGAATTTTGGGATTCTGAATGTCAGCGCGGGCACCAGCCAGGAGAAGCTCAAATTCCTCGGTACTCATGCCCAAGACGCGGGTACAGAGCCGAGCAGAGAAACCATGGAGACCGTCGAGGGTGTTGAACATGTTCCACTGACCAAGCCTTTTGAGGGCCTTGTCCTTGGGCCATTTATTTTGGGGCCACTTGTACTTGATCTCCCGAACGTTGACAAAGCCTTGTTTTTCGATGAAGTCTCTGTAATGGGAGGCCCAGGCCCCATCTCGACCGAGCATTTGGAGGGCCTTGACGAGATTGTCGTTCAATTGTTCGTAGGCAGTGCCAGCCATGGTACCGTCATCTGACGTGACGGGAAAAGCAAAGTCCTGCAGCTCGACCCAACCTCCCGGTTTGAGGGCATCGTAAGCCTGCTTCAAGAGCTGAACGGGGTCGGCCAACGACCCCGCGAGCATCCTTCCGTGTACCAGGTCGAATTTCTGGCTAAAGGACCACGGCTGATCAAAGTCGTCGACTTCGAATTTACAGTTTGGGGGAAGGTAAGTCGGCTGGATGGGGCTCAGATCGGTACCGAGCACGGTGGACTCGGGGAACTCGTCGGCGAAGTCAATGGCCCAGATGCCAGTGCCGGTGCCGATGTCGAGGACGTTCAAGGCCGTCTGCTTCATGGGGAATGCAACGAGCTTTCGGTTCATGGTCTGGAGGAAGATTTCATGCTGCATGTCGAGCCGTTCCTGCTCCCGCTCATCTTCGGGCATGAAATACAAGCCATCCTTGTATTTGTGGTAGCCGCGTCCATTCTCGGAGACGCTCTGGAATAAGCTCGACCTGATGCTTTGGGTGTCTGATTCGGATAGATCGTCTCCCAGTGTCGAGTCACCGTCGCTGGTTAATTCTGCTTCAATGTGGCCAGAGACCTCTTCAGACGCCATCGCGGACAGGTATCGATGGTCTGCCGCGAGGGGACAGGAAAGTGGTGCAAAAGGCGCGAGACCACGTAGACCGTTATCCAAGTTGTCGATTGAGATTTTTTGGGGTTGTCACGCCTTTAGCGGTGCGAACCGGTCCGAAGTGGGACGAATCAATATAAAGTTAATGTCGTTGATGGCTTGGAGAGGGGTTTGGGGGATGATGTTATTGGACAACATGGAGGAAAGGGCCGACAAGGATTGAAGCAGAATGGCTGTCACTAGCACCTACATGCTTCGGAAGTCAGTCATGAAGAGTCCGCTGGTGGGATGTTGAGCAGACTACCTTGTTCAACAAATCGGACTCTGTGACGAAGAAGATCAAACGACTTGGCTGCGTGGAATGTTTTCAAGCTGGGGCCACTAAGGCCTGCCACGAGTTTGTTGACGCATTAGTCGATCAGCTAGTCCTGCAAGGTGGTTGGTGGAAGGGAATCAATCGGTGGCATACGCGGAAGATCTACGTCCGCACACATGAGTTGTCCAATGTGGATGGGTGTTGTGATAGATGTTGAAGAGCTGGTGACGTTGATTTTGCAGAGTAGAATAGTAAATCGTAAATCGTAAATTGTAAAGCTCGGACCACCGAGGAGCCGGATCATCGCTCCTGCTTGTTTTGTGGAAGATTGCGTGTTCTCTTCTACTCAAACTGACGCGAGTGGCAGGTGCGTGTTGTGAAGCCATAGGCGCACCTTCCCCTTCCTCTATTTGCGCTTGGCAGGAGACTACTAGAGATTTCCCACTGGAGGGAACTCTCTTCTCTCTTCTCTCTCTCTCTCTCTCTCTCTCGATCATTATGGATGTGTTGCACGCATCGCAGGACGCCTCCAAAAGTGGGCAATTACGACTCTCAATATCCAAGTAATTTAAAAACGAGAGGGGGTCTGGCGCGTGACAAAAGTGATGTAGACATGAGCTACGAGGCAGGAGGCCTTTCCTTCATATCACTCGCATGCGCAAGAGGATCAAATGACTTTACTTGAGCATAAAAGGACACAATCTTATGTCAACGAGTAGACATTTAGGTACTCGCCAGGCTACCTACTTTACCATTACAAGAATACCTACCTAGGTATATTACATGTTTAGCACACTACTAGTAAAGGTCGGTAAGAAATCCTTGGTCGATAGAGTCTGAATCTAGGTGCTGGAGGCAGTCCGTAACGGCCCTTGTCAGATCAAGCATTGATAACAAGCCCGTGCAAGCCGTTAGTGGTACGGGAGGATACGGAGGAGAAAGACAAAGTTGCGTTGGCGCCGTTGATGGTGGGATGATGTCGAGTTCTCGAACAAGATCGTTGCAGTTGTAAAGGCGTGCCTATGCGCTACTTGGAACAGACAAGTGGGCATGAAGTGGGCATGGTGGACCAGAGGGTCGAGGCGCCAAGGTGGCTTCGATGGGGGCGGGGGCCGCGCCGAGACCAAAGCCCGGAAGCAAGAGAGGCAGACCCTACTAAGTACCTGACTTATGGAGTAAAAGTAGTAAGGGCTTCGACCCCTCAGAGTTGAGTTGTGCTAGTACTACTCCGTAGTAATAATACCTGCCCATTGATTCATTCAATTCAACTCGCTTCCAGTACAGGCAGTCACTACGGAGTACTGATTTTCGGAGCGAGCACCTTTCTGGGGCAACCCCGCTAAGAAGACACTGCAAGTGCTACAGTAGCACCTTCCATAGGCACCCACTGGCATCCACTATGCCTCTAATCTCTGCGGGCCGCACCTGCATCTCGCACATCATCCATGTTCATACTTTCTTCTCCCTGCAGCCTTTATCTCATCCGTCTCGCCAACTTCGCTGCCACGTCAAATATCGAGTCTTGTCATGTCCATTTGTGGACATGGCTGCACGGGCTCTAACGAATCACGCCTATCTCAATGGCACTTGCGTTCTTCCCCCGCGAGCCCTAGTCTTTGACACGTTCTGGCATCGAAGATATTCTAGAGCTTCCTTCGTCCCCATTTCCCAGTTCGAGAGCTCTTCCATGTCGAAACATCTTGCTATCATTCTTTGCCCTTGTTGAGGTCCATTAGAACCATCCAACCATGTCTTACCTCTACTCCAGCCTCGTCACCGCAGGCGTCGCTGGTGTTGCCTACCTCGTCGGTCTGGTCATTTATCGATTGTTCTTCCATCCTCTGGCCAAGTTCCCTGGTCCAAAATATGCGGCAATAAGTAGGTGGCATGAGTACTATTATGACGTCCATCTACAAGGTCAATTCCTCTTCTATATCAAAACCCTACATGACAAATACGGTGAGTCACCTGTCAGTGACAACAACGTGCGACATGCGCCCACCCTAACACTGTCTCGGGCATTTGTCAGGTCCGATTGTACGAATAACCCCTGACGAATTACACATCTTGGACTCGGATTACTGGGAAACCGCTTTCACCAAAGCAGGCAGGGTCGACAAGTATGACTGGCTGTCAGCACGTTTTGGCAACGAAAATTCGGTCTTGAGCACTGCTCCCGCCGAACTTCATCGCGTGCGCCGAGAAGCCCTGAATCCTTTTTTTTCCAGAAAAAGAATCATCGACCTGCAGGCTATTATCCGTTCGAAATTGAACCTCTTGATCGCCAAAGTTGGCGAGGCCAGCAAGGCCAACACCCCATTGACCATCAGTCGAGGCTATATGGCCTTTGCCGAGGATGTCATTATGCAATACTGTTTTGCCCATGACTACAATGCCCTTAACACCCCCGAATGGAAGCCCATCCTCCACGATCCATTCCAAGCCGTGAGTATCAGTGGCAATATGTCCCTGCAATTCCCTTTGCTCCCCAAGGTCTTGAACCAGCTCCCCCAGAATTGGCTGGTCAAGCTCGAGCCCTTGTACGCCCTTGTCTTTCGAATGCAGAGGGTAAGTCCGCTCCGTGTTGGGCCTCTCGCTGGCTGTTGACCGGGAATATAGGATTTTGCCAAACAAATCGTCAATCTGAAGGGCGGCAAGATTGATGCCCTCGCCGCCGAGTCCGGTCATACCACTGTCTTCTCTGAGATCCTCCACGGAGACCTCCCGCAAGAGCAGAAATCCGACATCCGGCTACAGGACGAAGCCCAATTGCTCATAGGCGCTGGATTGGCCACAACTGGCTGGACATTGAGTGTCGGCACCTTCCACTTGTTAAACAACCCACCTGTACTGGCACGTTTGACTAAAGAGCTCAAGGAGGCCCTTCCAAACGCCTCCTTGGCTGATGCGAGCACGCCTTTGGAATGGACTGAACTAGAAAAACTCCCCTACCTATCCGCCTGTATCAAGGAGGCTGTCCGGCTGTCGTATTCCACCACTTCACGAAATGCCCGTCTCTACTCCAAGCCTATGCAATACCGCGAATGGACCATCCCCCCAAAGACCCCGGTCTCCATGTCTATTTACTTCCTCAACCACGACGAAGAGATATACCCCAACTCGACTTCGTTTGTCCCAGAGAGATGGCTGGGAAACCCCAAGACCAAGAATGGATCCAGCCTGGATCGGTACTTTCTCGGCTTTGGCAAAGGGACCAGGTCCTGCTTAGGAATCAAGTGAGTTTCTCCTCATAACTCTGTCTGGTTCGTCATCTAATAGTCTTCAGCCTCGCATACGCCGAATTGTATCTCACATTCGCTGCCATGTTCCGTTACTTTGAGTTTGATCTTTACCAAACCGACCAGAGCGACGTGGACTTGGCACATGACTTCTTCCTTCCTTTCCCCAGACTCGATTCTCAAGGCGTTCGTGTGACAGCTAGACCCACAAAGGCTTGATCAATTAATCGAAAATAACGCACTGGCGTCCCAAGAGATGAAGATTGTATTGGGAACCCTCGAGGGAGACCTTCACATATGTGGAGAGCAGTCTCACCTCATCGCACATAAGGCAGGCAGGGAGGGCTTGGTCTTCTCAACCTTTTCGTAAATATCAATATCCTATAGCTAAATTGGGATTGGGAGTGATGCGCGTACAATTAAGATCTGACGTCTGGTGAGCGATGTGAATCTGTTGAAGATCAAAGACGAGGCTGCGAAGGCTGTGAAAGGCTGAGCTAGGCCTATTCAGGCAATTCATCAAGGTCTGCTACGGTGGCGCAGAAACTCGCGGTTCCCCATCCTCTCGTTTTTTGGTAGACAATCGCATCCCAAAATCCTCTTGACGAAATCAAAACATCTAGTCTGACCCTTTCCAACCGCCTGTGCATGACAAGATGCTTATAGAAGACCAGAGATTCCTCCACGAGGACCTGGAACGCCTTGAGCAAGCCATCACAGAGCGAGTGTCTGAAGATCCCAGAAATGTACGTTGAGTGTCACAAATCAAGCCTATCCTATCGAACTTCTAACATTGCCTAGATCAAAGACCGGTTAAATAGAGACCACCAGATCAATGGCTTCCTTACGCGAATACAAGATCAATCCAAAAGACTGCTAGACATTTACAAAGATGCAGAGGGACTGCGATCCAAAGAAGTGCAGAGTTTAACAACTGGCGATCCATTCGAAGAATTTTACAAACAGTTTGAGGATGTCAAAGATTTTCACCGCAGATATCCCAATGAACCCGTCGAAAACCTGGAGCGCGCATATAAGCGCCGTCGCGCCGAAGAAGGCGAGCCCATTGTTTCCGAGATTGACAACATGTTCACCGGCGAAGAGTCCAACGGCCGATTCCTTGACATGACCACCTTACACGAAGACTACCTCAACCTCCCAGGGGTCAAGCGCCTGTCGTACCTCCAGTATCTTGATAATTTTGACGCCTTCGAGCCCCCACGTCTTCCGATCAAGCGTCAGAACAAAGTCACAGACACCTACCTCAAATACGTGGCCGACCTCGCCAGCTACCTAGAAGGTTTCGTCCGGCGCACGAAACCCCTCGATGATCTCCCCAAACTGTTCCTCCGCCTCGATCGAGATTTCGAAACTGCGTGGGAAAACGGCACAGTGCCTGGATGGGCAAAATTACAATCAAAGGATGTTGCGACAGATGGACCACAGACAGAAGGCACAGGATCAGGAACATGGTGTCCAGACTGCGAAAAGGAATTCAACAACCCCAATGTTTACAAAGCTCATCTCACGGGCAAGAAACATATTCGCAACGCCGAAGCCAAAAAGTCACAAGCCAACGGCGCGGCCGACGACGCCACCAAGCCATCAGGTCCATCCTCATCTCTCTCCGGAACCGCCCTGAAAGAACGAGTAATCGCATCGCACGAGTTTCGAATCCGGGCACTCGCAGATCTACTCTCCAACGAACGATCCAACACACGCGTCAACGTCGAACGCAAACAAGGCATGACAGAACGAGAGCGACAAGCCGAACTCGACGCCCTCTTCGCCGAAGACGACGCCGCCATGATAGCATCCGACCGACGGGGCGACCCACGACACGGCGAAGACTCCGGCTCCGACTCGGACTCGGACGAAAAAGTCTACAACCCCTTGAAACTCCCTCTCGCATGGGACGGCAAACCCATTCCCTACTGGCTGTACAAACTGCACGGTCTCGGCGTGGAATTCTCATGCGAGATCTGCGGTAATTTCGTGTACATGGGTCGACGCGCATTCGACAAGCACTTTAGTGAAGGTCGACATGTGTATGGACTCAAGTGTCTTGGTATTACGGGTTCCGGGGCTGGTGGATTGAGTTTGTTTCGTGAGATTACGTCGATTCAGGATGCGTTGACCTTGTGGGAAAAGATCAAAAAGGAGAAACGGGATAAGGAATCGAAAGAGGATGGTGTGGTTCAGATGGAAGACGGGGAGGGAAATGTCATGCCAGAGCGGATTTATCTCGATTTGCAGAAACAGGGCATCTTGTAAGAGTAGGTAGGTACTGGGGGTCACTTGACAGCGTGTGACTACTTAGCCCTGGTGGGCGAGCGCTTGTTGCATATAATACAATATGTAATACTTGCAATGATGCAGTTGGTCATTGTACCAGATTACTCGCCATGGGTTCTTAATTGATCCTTTTGCAGGTCTACGTTGAGACATGTTCCTGTAAAAATTCCATGATAGTGACAAGTGAAGAACGGAAACAAATAGGTATTCATTACTTGTTATCAACAAAACCCCCTTCCAGATATTGTGACGGCGTACAGAGATCAAACCACGCTATGCTTTGCTCTACTATCAACAATGTTCAAACTCATTCACTTACACCCTCACCACTCGTCCTCGGCGTCACACGCATGCCCATAATCAAAGCATCGCCATTTGAAGGACGAGGTAACACCGGCACAGCGGCCGATAATCGAGGAAATCCACCAAATACATCACCACTATCACGAGGAGCCAACCTCTCCATCTCCCTTTGCTTTTCCATCTCCTGCTCCTTTTCCTCTTCTCGATCCACTTGAACAGCGTTCTTGACCTTTTCTAACAGATCCCAGCCTTTAGCTGCGGTTTGGATCGCCCGCTCGACAATTTGGTCGAATAGTTCTTCGTTGTCTTTATAGAAGCCGCATAGGATTAATTTGCATAGTGATTCGGTCGCAGTTGAACGGACTTCATCTGGGAAGCTCGTGGACAGGGCTTTGATGAATGGGGCTAGGAGTTGGGTGGTGGTGGTGGTGGTTGTGGTTGTGGCGGAGTTTGAATCTGATGGCTCTGAATTATGAGTGCTGGTGTTGGCATCGGCGGACTCGTCGGATCCTGTGCCACTGGGTGACGATGATGAGGCGGCGGGGCCTTTGGCGAGGAGAATGTCGCAGAGAATGCGCAGGGCCATGACTTGGAGTTGTTCGTGGCCTTTTTTCAATAGATGGGTGAAGAGTCGTGTGTTCTCTTCGGCCAATTTGGGCTCCAAGAGACAACAGAGACCAAGACACTGGACGCCCCTTTCGCGGATCAAGACTTCGTGAGATCGCACCGCGGGTATTACCAGGCTGTCGAGCATGGTGCGAAGATGAATGTTGGTTTGTAGATTGCCCGCCACGTTCTGCAGCATGCACTGTGCGATCCACAGACACTTCATGTTGATGACGATTTCCTTGATGACCTTGGCCTCCTGTTCCTCGGCCGAGAGGTTCTTGTTGCGTCTCTGAGACTTGTCGCCATCTTGTCGTGGGGTAGTGTCAGCTCCACCACCGCTGACTTCGCTGCGCGCAGAGACAAAACTGTCATCCTCGTCGGCCTGTGCCTCGTCCTCGATGTCAGATGTTGCAATGTTGTCGTGTACTTCGGCGATGGCTTCGAGGACCACGGATGTGAATTCCCGCTCTCCAGCTTCGTCCGGATTACACACCAGCCGGAGTGCCTCGACGGTCAGGCGTGTGCATTCCTCAGGAAGGTCGGCCATTGAGAGAGCGTGGCGCAAGAGGGCAAACATCTTGCGTCGACCGACCTCGTCAGTGTAATCAAGGGTCTGTGCAATGTGCAGCAACTGCTCCACGATAAATTCCTGTTCAGCCTGTTCGGCGATTTTATCGTCGGACTCGGCTTCTGTGGCAGCTTGCACCTTGATCAACAGGGTGTTGACGTGCTTTTGAAGATGAAAACCAAGACGGGTGACCTCGGGCATTTTCTCTTCGACCATTGCTTGGTACTTAGGGTCGGCCTGGCAATAGTCGTTGAAAGTGCGGGCCATGAATGCCGATTCAGGAGTGAGGTTGTCCCAAAACTCATCGTCAAAGAAGACAGCGTCGAGATAGTCAGGCCGGCCAGCCCAGAATTCTTTCATGGCTTCTTGCGCAACCCCATCCTCGTTACCGGTGTTCAACGTGTCGATGCGTTCGAGCAGTTCTAGCAACGCGGGGATACTTGGATCATAAAAGCCGACCTTCTTTTGACCGCCATCCTCCACTTCTGCCACTCTCGATCCCGCGCAGTCCTCGATCCAACGCTCCCTGAACAACCGTCCAGTGGCCTTGCGCACTTTTTCGTCTCGATCTCTCAATCCCCACCTCAACAGTTTCTCGCGCATCGACAGGGACAAGTGACGAAAGTCACCTAGAGATGGTAGCAGACGGGCATAAAGAGCTCTTCTGGTCGGTCCGTCACGATCTCGGGCGCGTTCCAACAGGTAGGGCAAAGTCTTGGGAGTTATGGGCAGATTGAGGAGTAGAGCTCTTCGGACGTCGGCGTTGGTATCGTTTTGAAGCACGTCAAGAAGCTTCTCCAGTAGGCCTGGAGCAACGTCCTCGTCTTCGAAATCCTCATCGTCATCGTCGTCTTCCTCCTCCTCCATTTCGTTCTCCACTAATCGACCGAGGGCCATGACGGCCTCGAGTCTTATGGCGGGGACCTTGTCTCTCAATCTTTTGATCAATTCATGGCGAATCACCTTATACAAGTCATCGTCGATAGTAGTGAGAACGCCGAGCGTCTGCGACACGATCTGTGTGGCCCGGTAGCGAACGGTCTTATCTTTGGTGCAGAGGAAGGGGAGGAGCGCAAGCAGTAGGGCAGCTGCAGTCTGGCTTGAATCTTCTGATGTTTCGAGATATGTTGTGAGGAATTTGATGACGCGACTGCCCGCAACTTCCGACTTGCTGACATCGAGTAATCGAAAGACACATTGTTTGATCTGTGATTCAAAGTTGGGTGATTGCTCGAGACGGCGCAGTCGTTTGGCGAGGGATTTATGGCCCACAAGTGAGCGTTGGGCATCGGCGAAGATCTCTCCCACCGACATTTTGAGGGATTGCTGCAAATGTGGTGAGAGGTGTCGATTTTGTCGCAGATGTAGTGAGGGATATCGATGTTGTACGGGTCTGGCCTGCGACGTCAATATGTAAACAAATAGTTGGACACGGGCGAATCATGAAGAGGGGATAAATAGCTGACTGACACAATATGGTGCGCACTAGCACACCACGTTTGGGCGGTCAAATGCTCGCTGCATGTCATTTGATCCGTTGCGAGACTTGGCGTTGACCACGTGATATGAACTCACAAAGTACCTCGTCATCCATGCCATCCATGCCAGACATACCAATCCATCCACACCTTTCGGAGCCCGGTGAACTTGAACAGTTGATCAGCTGCTAGCCACTGTTCCAAGCGCGGGGAACAAACGACAATCTGTTAGCGAATTTCGGGGCGAGTCAAGGTGGCGCCGCGCGATCTCAAGATCCATGGTTTCGTCAATTGTCTCTGCTCCAAACCTTGACAATCGTAAATTGATCGTCTTCTCCTGACTCCTGACTCTGGGAGGGGCTTGAAAATTCCAGACCGCCTCTTCTGCCCCGCAAACAAACCTGATTTTCTACCCTTAGCCACCGACTCGAAGGTTTTAGCTAGACATGCCAGACAAACACGGGCCTGCGTGGCTTGTCTGATCACCACGCTCGAGAGATATGGCGTCAGGGGCGTTCACATGTGTGAATTAGAGCCTGCGTGGTACAGAAATTCTCTCTCAGGCGAAAACTATGACGCCTCAATCATGGCGGGACGATTGATTCCGAAGCCCCGTCTGAATATCCTGGTCCGCCAGATCACTATGTATGGGACTCTCGGTCGGTCCATCCAAGCCAGGAAATCACGAATTGCTCGTCCTCGAGATACTTCGGAGACCTGAAAAGATGGTGGTCGGGCGAAGGTTACTGTGGTGTGCTTTGAGTAGGTCGTCGTTGGCATGATGAGTTGTCAGGACATCGACCAGGTTCTGGGAGGTGCTAGAAGATGGTGCGGCCCAAAGGTCGAACTGGTCATGATTTCCAACACGGAATCTCACGCGATTGAGGTCGCGATCGAGCGACAAATTACCACATTCAGACAGTCTAGGAAGTTGATGTTGAGACAAGGACATGTTGAAACTCATCGGAGAAAGTTCAATGGCGTTGAAGTGTGTGCGTGGCACGACATCCATCCTCGTTGGGCATGAACTTTAAAGAGGAGGATGACCTTGGACCATTTGTGGTAGCTACAGTCCTCGTATATCAAGTGGCCCGAGGGAAGAGACCAGGATCTACAGGGCTGAAGTCGAGGTTGTCTTGTGCGACGTGGAAAAGCAATGAGTCAGCATCTGGACAATGGGACTTCCAGGACGTCGTACAAGATATAGAATGATCACGTTTTGTCCATGGGCATGATGCACTGTTCTCCCCCAAAGTGGCCCGATGGACAGACACACTGCACGTCAAGTCATGTAGCACAGCCACGGGCAAAGGGTCCCGGTGGCATGCTTGACAGCCGTTGGCAAGATGGGTTTCACATGGGCACCCGTGGCATCACAAAGTTGATCAGCGACGACGACTCGTCACGATGGCCAAGGGTGAGACGACGGTCACCGGACTTTGCGTCAAAAGCATGTGTCTGTATGTGTGTGTGTTACATGCGTCACTGCAAGGACCAGCGGCTCCCCGGACATGGCGTTGGGCAGAGCTCGCATGAGAATCTATCCAACAGGAAGAAGGATTTCAAAGTGAGGCGAAGGAGGACCAATCATGGGGAGGTCCGACTCGCTTAAGTGCAAAAGAAGTTCCTGGAGCATGACGAGGGAGATAGTCAAAAGAGGCAAAAGACGTTTTGAGGACTGCCGGGGCCAATGAACAAAAGAGGGAATTGTGATAGCCTTTGACGGCCTACCAGGTTAAAAAGATGGATGGAATTGAGTGGTGGATGAAGTACAAAAGATGGTGTAGATGGTTTTTTGGCGAGCACCTTCGCTCCTTCTGGGCGTGGGAAACAGGGATCCACCTGCCCATCTTAACGGTCGCAACAGGGTTCCTGCCATGGGAAGGTGCGCGCCGAAACCTTATTTGCAATCTGATTGGCAACATGGAAGGCGCGGATTGTCCGGATCATCGTGTGGTAGGCAGGCGCGAACATGGTTGCCCTCTCGGCTCATGGTTCCCCTTGGCTTCTCAGTTGCCCCTCATTGTGCTCTCAGGTCACGCCCCCAAACTCTTACAACTCTCTGTGTCAAGTCATCTACCAGACTACCAACCCACTCTACCACACTTCCAAACACCCAGGCTACCCGTCACGCCCATATACTGTACTACGACAAACTCGTAGGGCCCGAGGCGCCCTCGGCCCCAGGGAGCCCTTGGGTCTTGCCCACGCCCGCCAAGTATTCTTTGTCCTTTCTGCCGTACGATCACCAGTCCACCAAGCCATCGACGTTGCTCGGAAGACCGGGGCATGACAGGTTTGAGATTTGGGCCGAGCGGTACAGGCTCAGTTTGGCCATCAGGCAAATGAGATGCAAGACTGCAACCATCTCGGGATGCCTACATCGGGGATGGCAGCACAAACCCTACAGTTTGTACTTTCTGCTCTCTGAACAGCCCGTGCCAGCTTCAAATTTACCCACCGACCCGGAACAAACATGCCAGGTGACGCCTTCGAAGCTCAGTAGGCCAGATGCCACCCTCTTTTCCTGACCAGGTCCCTAGCTGAATCGTGTTTAGGCTCACTCCATCATTTCTCGTTTTCCCAGCAGTGCCCGTTGCCTGCCCCACGATGTCCACGCTACCCTGAATGACTCTTTCGGCCTTGGGAATCGCCATCTTCGATCCCTCCACCGCAAAAGAAGATCCCCCTACCTTGTATAACAGCCTCCAGCCCGCTCCCACAAAGTCTTGGTCCTTCTTTCAACCATTCATTGCCTTTAAACGCCCTCCCTTTCAATTCACTTCATCTTACCTTACCTTCAACCTCGACCGTTTCCGCATCCTTTGATCGTCCATCTGTGCAACACCATTACTTCATCACCCCAGACCCTTTTCGACCATTTTGTGTAAGTGTGATACACTCAAGGAAGTGGTGGCTTGAGTGCAACTCGCCGACTCCATGGAGGCCGCTGACCAGCACAGACTTGATATTCAATTTGGCCCCCTCCCACCTGGGATTCATCTTTGTGTTTATAGTCGCTTGCTTCCATCTGTTGGTCAGCATGAACCACGGCAGTCAAGACCTAGCCTTAGCCATGCGTCCCTTTCGAGACCAATACGACAAGAACCATCACCACCTTACGCCCGCTGAACGAGAGAGAGGTTGGCGACGGTACGTAGCGTCCAGCGCAAGCTCAACCCACGTCGGTCCGGAAGCATCCCTCCAACTTTATGGATCCTCGGTTCCTCAGAAGCGTACCGCCTCGCATGCCTTGGACGAACCTGTCGGCCCCTGGTCCAAGCGTGCTGGAAATGTATGTCCATCCCTCGTTTATCCTTATATGGTTTGACAAAGCCCCAAGGCTCCCATGGCATCCTCGGCACCGTCTATTCCTCACCTTGAGCGGCACTTTTCGGCTCCCACTCCTGGTCGTCATCCCACGAATAGTCCTCAAGATCGGAGACCTCGACCTTCGGTTCCAGTACAGACATCCGCCACCTCGTTCCCTATGCCCATTCCGACTCAACATGGCCAGCGACAAGTTTGGCCCTCTCCTTTCGCGTGGCCTACACACTCGAGCCCCAACCTCCCCTACGTCCAAGAGACGACCAATATGTCGCCAGATGAGTACCTCGCCCGCCCGGTGGAGGATGACTTTGTGTTTCCCCTCCAGTCTACACTCGATACGCCTACCATCAGCGGTGAGTTAGGTAGCAATCAGTTGTCGCATCTCACTCCGTCATGCCATTCGGCATTAGAGGCGCTGGGAAGCTACCATTCCCCAGTGTCCGCGTCGTCCGATTCCAGTCTGACGGCATCCTCCATGGAGTCGTCAAACTTGATGAATCGCAGTAACACAAATGAACTATGCGAAGGCTTGGGAATGATCCGCGTTGACTCCAAGTCGCAGTCCGCGTCGGAAGCAACCTTCGTTTCGACCCTGTCTGACTCGTACTATGCCTCGCATAGCCTCGGGGTTCCACCGGATTTTCCTTGTTTTTCCTCCGTACCTGAATATGGGTACATGTCTTTTCCTATTGCGTGTGTGGATGAAGAGCTTTCGCCTTCGAGTTCTGAGATGAAGCCTACTACCTCGACGGGTAGTAGCTCTTCGTCTATTTCTATATTCAGTCAATCGTATTCACCTGTGGGAGTGTTTCCTGACGAAGGCGTGCCTCGTGTCACTAACGCAACGTCGCGACCCATCGCGCCTAAGACGCAAGAGCCGTCCGTGGTGTCGAGTGGGCGGCGACGACCACCACACATGGTCATGGTCAAAGGCGAGGACGGGACGGTCAAGCAAAAGGCCGAGATCCCTCGACAGACTCGACAGCAACCGGCACGCAAGGCCATCTTCTGTGAATTGTGCAACGATAACCCGGCAGGGTTCCATGGTGAGCATGAACTTCGGCGGCATTGTGATCGACACCACAAGACGCATCGCAAGGTGTGGATCTGCAAAGAGAAGAACGCCGGGAGCACGCTCCTAGCCAACTGCAAATCGTGCCGTAACAAGAAGGCGTATGGGGCCAACTACAACGCGGCAGCTCACCTTCGACGGGCACATTTCCATCCGTGCAAGAATCGACGGGGCGGCCGGGGCAAGAAGAGTGAAAACCGAGGTGGCAAGGGAGGAGGAAACCATCCTCCAATGAAAGTGCTGCAAGACTACATGTATCAGGCGATTGAGGTCACGATTAATGGCACACGGATCATTCAAGAGTCGCCCGGGTCTATGGCCGCCGACTCCGAAGTCGAGCTTGGACTGCTTGACGGGGCCGGTTTGGATTTTGACGACGAGTTCAATGCGCCATTGGAGGACTTTTCCTTCAATGACATGTCTCAACAATTCATACAAGCCTACGACATGACGACCGACGCCTCGTACCTTGTATGCACCGGGGTCACGAGTTCAGCCATGCCAGTAACAATGGCGGCGGGTATAGATAACGTCAACAGCATGACGTTGATGAATGATGGCGGGTCATTGGGGACTTTTTGGGGTCCCAGCATCTTTTGAGCCACGGTGGTGCGGTGGCGATGACTCGGGGATGAGATGGCTGCTTGAGCGGTTTTGGCTTGGACGTCCTGGATCAGTCAGGACAAGGTTTGATGAAATGGTTGTGCACGGCCTCCAGGTGCCGATTTCACCCAGCAAGACTCGACGACACCAGTGTATCTTAGATTTTTTGTCAACGTCTATCGGATATGGGGATCTATGGGGAAAAGCAAAAGTTGGAATGATTCCGGCAGTGATGAATACATGAACTTATTTCCAAAGTATATTATGGCTTGCAAGCTGAGCACTGTTTAATGGTCGTATGGTCTGTAAAAATCCACAAGTAGGAAATATGAAGGGTGCCCAGCGTGATAGGCTAGAGCTGAACCCCCGGTGGAGTGAGGAATGAGTGATGGATCTAGGATGGTGGCATACGATATGTAGAGTGGGAGTGGCTGAAGCTGGGACGAACCTATCATGGCCCGGGCCACGCGTCCACAATTGAACCTAGTTCGGCGGTGTTCTGTCGTGTCTGTTGGGTGAGAAACGATTTTAAAGACGTTTAGTTAAACCTTTATCGGTTGCCTAAGATTGCAACCATTTCGTGCCGTGATAAAATTGCCGGCGTTGCTGCTTCCATGTTTTGGAATTGGTGACTCAGCTAGCAAGGCGCGCAAATGGAACACATTAGCATGGTAGTGTGTGTCTCACCTCACCAAGAACGCCTTGCGCCCAACTAGGCAACTCGATGCTGAGCGAGCAAAGTTTTAGGGGAGCGACCCTTAAAGTGGTATTACCGCCACAGAATCCAGGTCTGAAGAAGTCTCTTGGGGTCAGCCGTTGGAGGGCTAAACGAAGGAGGTAGAGCTGAACAGGTACAAGTAGAGTCCCGTGACTCGATATCATGGACACGTCAGTAGTGACTCAACAATACCCCGCCAAACCACAAAGGCACCTGACCGAGCTGGCACGGCAGGAGCCCGGAACATGACGCACTCTCTGCCTATCCTTAGGGCTACTTGGCCCTCGTGCCCTCCAAGTGTCTGCGATTAACCTAGAGCGACTTAAAGAGGCAACCTTGGCTAGAAATAGAAGCAGTGTAGTACTCCGTACAGCCACAATCTCTCATCCACGTCGTCATGTTCGATGCAACGTGGGACCGTGCCTGGATGTGTAGCATATACATATGTCACCCATTTTCCCTTGCCTATGTCCTGTCCCCAATCTCTCGTGATTTGACAATGTGCAAGTCATTGCCTTGAAAAAGTGCAGTTTGGTGGACAACAGTCACAACCTGGTCCAACGCTAATTACTCATCCCAACCACCCCTCCGTCAGACGCCTATCGGTGCTTATCGAGCCTGATCCTTAGCAACATAGCCCCTCGGCCCCCATTGTTCCCCCCAACCACGCCCACTCAGCAACCACTGTGGAGTCAAGCCGGTCTGATTGACCAGGTCCAGTGGCCGCCAAACAAAGCCAAGTGCAGTTAAGCTCCTTATAACAAGCCGCCTGTGCTCTTTCCCCCCAGCCGATCCAAGTTCTTTCGCCCGACTTTCGAGCTTCGACTCAACTCCGCACTTGAATCCTGCATCTCAGCTTCACCACAATTTCATCTTCATCTCTTACGAGCCATCGATTCCTGTCATCCAACATCCTCAACTCTCGTATCACTTTCCAAATCCATCGCCCAACATGTCCAATCAATCATACTATAACCAGGGCCCACAATACCCTCAACAGTCGTAAGTTTTGGTTCGCCCACAATATTTCACTTATCCTACAACTTGGGCAACGCCTGGTTGCCTTTCCAAGATTTCTCTCCCCGCGTGATCGACCACGCATTGGGTCCAACGCTGTGTCACACTCTCTACAACCTTGGGGCTGTGCGAATTTCTTGCCCTACTTTGCACCTACCGATTCTTCTACCCGCATGTCCCTCCTAGAGCATTCATAGGCTGACTTTGTCGTCTTCCCTCTCAGATATGGAGGCGGATACCCTCCTCAAGGGCCACCTGGAGGCCAATATTACCAACAAGGTCCCCCCATGCAGTATCAACAAGGCCCCCCTCAACAGGTCATTGTGAGGGAGAAGAAGGATCGAGGATGCCTAGCTGCCTGGTAAGCATCACCCAGTCCTGTTGTCTGTCAAGAACTAGGCTGATCCACTTTTCCGCAGTCTGGCCACCCTCTGCTGTTGCTTCGTCTGCGAAGAGGGCTGTGAATGCTGTGCCGATTGCTGCGAGTGTGCTGCCGAATGCTGTTGAAAATTTGACGTTCATGCATGCGGGCGTTTCTTGCAGAAGTCACACTCATGTGCCCCGGGGTTTGGATGCACATATTTCCCAAGAGCAGGTGTTGGTATTGGTCTCATCATTGGTTCGCGCATTGTGCTTGACACACGAAATTTACTCAGACATCCAATCTCAACACGTTTCAGAGCCAGGTTCTCCAAGTGTCTTTCGTTCTCTCCGCCCAGTTCTCCGCGTGAGGCATCCACCTTGAATCATGACAAGGCATCAAACAATCAAAGCCACAATTAACATCAAGCCGCACAAGCCTCCAATTCTGTCATGATATCCAGCAAGCCCTCGAAAGCTACCAGTGTCACCATCCCTCACGGCTTATCCACATACCCCACAATGCTTATAAATAAGATACGCGCTGCGGAGAAATATGTCAGATCTAACATGGAGGCTTGTGCCGGTCATATGCTACTTTTGAACTGGAGCATTCCACCTTTCCCATCATCGCAAGGACCTCGATGTAAGTCCGCACAGGCTCGACCCAGGCCCACTTTATGACGGCGAAATTGTCATGCTCAGAATCAAAGGGCGTGGGCAGAAGCATAAAAAAACATCCTTCTTGGCCCCAGACCTATCCCGGCCCGGCGCATCAACCATACTGACATGTATATAAAATCTTCTTTGTGCTTTGATCATGCATCGATGAGGAGAGCCGAAATATTTAACATACCTAGCTGCTTCCCATCTAACGTACAGAATGACCATCCAACCTCTCGCAACCGAAAACATCATCATCCGTGGGCATCGCATCGCATATGGGACCTACGGCGCTGGAGAACCGATTGTGTTTGTTCACGGAACACCATCATCTTCGCTGATATGGCGCCACATCACCCCGCGATTGGTGTCTGCGGGGTTTAAAGTACACGTCTTTGATCTTCTAGGCTATGGTTTGTCGGAAAGACCATGGGATCCCGAAGTCGACACATCCATTTCTGGCCAAGTACCCGTCCTCCAGGGTCTGTTGGATCATTGGGGTTTGAAGAAATTTCATCTGGTGGCGCACGATATTGGCGGCGCGGTTGCACAGCGATTCGCCATCTTCTTCCCCCAATTCATCCAGTCTCTAACCATGATCGACGTCGTCAGCTTTGACAGCTACCCCTCGGCACGCACCAAACAGCAAATGCTCAACGGGATAGAGCAGCTGATAAAGACCAATGATAGTGACCATCGCGCCCATTTCAGAGATTGGCTCCTCTCCGCCGTCTATCATAAACAACGCTTCATCGATTCAAGCCTCGACCCATACCTCGAATACATCTCCGGACCCGTGGGTCAACCCAGTCTCTTCTTCCATCAGGTGCGTCATTACGATTCAAAACATACCATGGAAGTCGCTCCTCGCTACCATGAACTCGGCAATCGACCTGTCAAGTTGATATGGGGTCGTGATGATGCATGGCAAACCCTGGTTTGGGCAGATAAATTGAACAAGGCCATCCCTGGGTCAGAGTTGGATATTATTGACGAATGTGGTCACTTTTCTCCAGAGGATCAGCCGGATAAGATTGCCGATTTGCTGCTGGAGTTTTGGAAGAGATATTCATGATTCTGTGGCACGGGGTTTGGTTTTGTTTTGCGATGAGGCTTGTTATTTAGATGTGTGAATGAGAAAAGAATGTCTCATATCGATTTCATGGTTCGAGGACCACTGATTTCAACTTTGACTCATTATATGTGGAAGTTCCTTTTCTGCTTCTTAATTTTTGGTATATGTTGTGCTATATCGACTTTCTCTAGTGATCGTCATCTTCAGAGTCAGATTCACTCTCAGCCTCGCCGTCGGCCTCGTAGTCAGAATTACTGTCGTCATGATCATCACTATCCTCATCCATGTCGACGTCACTAGATGCATCGCCCTGCATGATGACCAAATCATCATCATCCACTCGAATCTCTTTGCGGCATCCAACATGCGGATCAGCCATATGATCGGATTCTTCTGACAATCGAACGACCATTCGCTCATACAACGCCACCTCATCTTCCGGGCCGAGAGGTTGATCGCACCAGAGACATGTCGGTGCCAAGCCGTCCGCACACTCGCGAAACCAGAAGATAATGCAACCCGGGCAAGAGATGAACTTACAAGTGGTGTGGCTAACAGGCTTCCAGTTATCCACCTGCAGACTCGCCATGGAAAAAGTCTTCTTGATCGCTTCCACGTCTTCGTTGCACATATAGCGTTCCTGCCCTTCGTCCGATCCAAAACCCGGCCAATCGAGGACATTAGGATTGATATATCCCTCGAAATTGGGATTGATTCCTCGATTAGTCAGGCGAGCCATGGCACTCGCGTCGTAGATATCGTCAAAGACATTCTTCGACAGAGTTTTATTCACCTTGCGCCATTTAGTCACCAGCTCAGTAATCTCAAGAAGCCACGCAGCCAGATGAACACGGAACTTTGCATGTTCCAGAACCTTACCTTGCATCAATAGCAACTCTTCCAAACATCGCGCCATGCGCCATGTCTCTCGTAACTTGGCTTTTGTCGGAACCAGGCATCGTCGGCATACCTTGATCACGGTCTTGGGTGTGGGCACAAGGCCATGATAGGGTGGGTTTTCCTCGGTGTTGTGCTTCGTGAAGTTTGCCTGTGCAGTCTCTAGCTCATCGAGAACCGAGCGAACGGCTCCTGATGTCAAGTCGGCGTCGTTGAAACCGGTCTGGTCTACAAGCTTTTGGTATTGCTCGAGCAAAGCGAATAGATTCTTGGAGGAGCTAATCAATTCACCCTCGAAGGATGTCATGCTCTGCCACACGGAGTGGACTTTTTGGTAGTCGTCGGTTAAAGCGTCGACGGCGCGAGTTGGATTGGTTGGTGTACGCATCATTTTCAGTCGGTCGGTTGATTTCTTGTCTTGGGTTTTTGTTCGGTAAGCTCGAGATAGTTGCAAGACGCAAGTTGCAAGTTGCAAGATGTAGAGCTAGTGAGATTACCGATGTCTTAAACCGATTTGAGCGCGTATCTGTGTGATGACGAGAAGAAGAGGAATTAGAAGAATACCTCTTTCGACTGATGAATACATATATATATATATATATATATATATATATATTTCTCGCTTCACAAAAGGAAACTGATCGTCCTTTGTGTTGCGGCCGAAGGTTTTTGTTGCTGTTGACTCGACCTTTGTTGGACAATGTGCCTTTATCATCGACATTGTAACGAGAGCAAAGAAGACGTCGTCCTGGAGATGTCCGCTGGGAGTATCCTAAGCATTTCGTCTTCAGGATGAGAATTGTAGGTACTGGCAGATTAGTTATTCACCAGATACTCTGACATCGTAATTCAAATATCGACTTGTGGTGATCGACTTCTCGTATCCACAACGGTGAGATCCGTGCCATGTTCAAGTAGCAGCTTGACAAGGCGAGCGTTTTTGGCTTGCGCCGCTGAATGCAATGGCGTTGGGAGCCCATGGACGGCCGATATCTTGAACGTGGCAGCGATGTAGAGGAAGAATCGATTAGCACAACAGCATTTTCGGCATCACAGCGACTCTGAAAACCCCGTAGCTGCCTACACAACAGGAGTATATATATATATCGTGTTGGGCAAGGCGTAGGGTTCAAGACATGATCCATTCATGGTCCAGAATGACATCTAGTTCATACAAAAGGATGAGATGAAGTGGAAATGATGAGGTGGACGAAGTTGATTGGTTGTCTGGGCTACGATGACCCCGCACTGAGGACAAAGGACTCGCACCCGTTTACTTGGTCAAACTCGCGAAAACTCACCGGCACAATCGAGTCAGGCTTGACCCTGGAAACGGCAGTATGGTCGAGGTTATACATCAAATCGATTAGTGCACAAGTAGAAAAGAAAAGTGTGTGTAGAGGTGAGAGGAGAGTGGGGAGAGAGTGAGGTGCGAGCGGCGTGCGAGCGACGCATGTTTAAAAGCCACACTTTCTAGGTGAGAAGTATATAAGTCAGTGGCCTACTAGTTTCCTTACTTTGTCAATAATGCCATGACTCTCGGAGAACTCGGTTATGCACAGTAAAGTATGTACGCGTACGTCAAAGAGTTGAAACCATAATAAGGTGCCGTATATGACTGGTGATTGATGAACCTTGAGCAGAATCTCGAGTCATGAATTGTGTAAGTTTTCAACGGCTGAGGACACTAATGAATCATGTTATCTCGCTTGAGAGGCGGAGTAATCCCATGCTTGAGTCAGGTCGACGAGGGTACGCACGGTACTTTATTACTACGAGTACCTGTGTGGGCAAACTCTTACTTGGGCGAAGTACCAGCCGCCCGTGCCCATGCCTGTGCCGTTGAAACAACCAAACAAAATACAATCTTCTGACATGTCTATCAAGGAACCCATGATGAAATGACAATTCTCGAGAAGCAAATCATTTATTTTAAGATGGACGAGATGTATATGACACGTTGGAAGCAGCTGGGAAAGATCCAGACCCTCCCACTTCAAGGGCTTATGCCCCGAGGTTTGGTAACTTTCGGGTAATGTTTTCCATCCCCTTCTAAACTTCGACAAAAGTATGGAGTTGAGCTGGGGCCTAGGGCCCTTTACCCCCCGAACGGCCCCCAGAAAAAGCTGGGGGAATTTCGATCCGGTGGTCTGGGCAAGCCATCGTTCTTCTACTACTAATACGCGTAAGAGACCACACCATGATATAAAAACATTCACGGTAGGCTCACTCAGTGGGTTTTACAACCTCTCCTTTGTTTTCTCCCTTTCCTACTTCCCATATATGAACCAGAATTGAGCTACGAGCAACACATCAGCTCGATATATATATTCAAAAATGGCTCACAGGGATGAAGCCTCGCCAAAGGCCAGTACAACCATGGGTCCAGCCATATCGGCCAAGGAGTCACACAGCCAGCATATCGACGATGCCGACGTTGTCAAGACTGCCCATCTTGATGGTACGGTCGATCTCGTAGACCGAAGAGCCATGGGTGGCGCTTTGGAAGAAATGCCCAAGGGCTATTTCTTGAGTATTCACTTTATTGGGACCGTCATGGTATGTTGTTGCCAATCGAACAAATCTCCTTATTTCTCAAGACCTCTTGCTGATATTTCTCTCTCTCTCATAGGCTTGTTGTCTCGGTAGCATTTGTGCATACCTAGGATGGGTTCTTCCAGCAAATACACTGTACGTACCTGTGTCCTGCAAAGCACTGAAAAAGAAACAAAAAAAACCACAAAGCATTCAGACAGCCAGCTGATGATAACCTAGGTTGCTCATCAACGAAGCCATTGGCCCTTCTCCCAACATCAACTGGGTCGCCACCGCCTGGACACTAGGATCCGGTGTTGGCTTCCTCCTCTTCGGCCGTCTGAGTGATATCTTCGGACGGAAATGGTTAACGCTCGGAACCAACGTCCTCTCCCTAATTGGATGTATCGTCGGAGCCACCGCCAACAGTGTGGAAGCCCTCATCGGTGCCAACGTGTGCAATGGCATCGCCGCCGCCGGTCAACTCTCCTTCAGCATCATCCTGGGTGAACTGGTACCCAATAAATACAGAGGTCCGACTGTCGTTCTGGTGTTTCTGTCGTCATTGCCCTTTGCCGTCTTTGGTCCTGCCATTGCTCGCCTCTTCATCCTCAACACGGCGGCAGGTTGGCGCTGGAGTTACTATCTCGGCATCATCTTTGCTGGCATCACCGTCATCTTGTTCATGTTCCTCTACCACCCTCCCAAGTATACCCAACTTCACGTGCACGGCAAATCTCAATGGCAACAATTCCGCGAACTCGACTTTGGCGGTCTCTTTCTCTTCTTGGCTGGTATTGTCCTGTTCTTGATCGGTCTGTCCTGGGGAGGTCAAGCGTATCCGTGGTCTGATGCTAAAGTCATCTCCACCATCGTCGTGGGCGCGGTGACATTGATTGCGTTTGGGTTTTATGGTGAGTTTCCTTTGAAGATGAAATCTCCCTTTTGTTAAATCTTCCATACTGACATCATCCTCCCTACAGAACAATACGTCGTCAAAGGCAAGGGAATCATGCCACCGAGGATCTTCAAGAACATCGGATTCATCGCACTCGTGTTCTGTGCTGTGATTGGATCTATGGTTTATTACTCGATGACGATCCTATGGCCCACCATCCTCGGAACCGTGTTCACCACAGACATTATGAAAATCGGCTGGCAATCCTCCGTGGTCGGCGGTGGAGTGCTACTCGGCCAAACCATGGGTGGTCTGGGCATCTCATATCTCCCCAAGGTCAAGTGGCAGACCATCATTGCATCGGTCTGTTCATGCGCATTTGTGGCATCCTTGGCTTCGATACACGCCGATGGACACGCACAAATCATCGTGCTAGGTATCTTCGCCACCGTCAGCATCGGCTACGTCGAAAACATCACTTTCCCAGGCGTAACACTCCTATTCGAAGCCCAGGACATCGGTCTAGCCGTCGGCGTCCTCGGCTCCATCCGCGCCATGGGTGGAGCGGTCGCTCAAGCCCTCTACGTCTCCATCCTCACGACTCGAGTCTCGGAGAACCTACCTGCCTATGTCGGTCCTGCGGCCATTGATGCCGGTCTGCCTGAATCGTCTCTACCTGCATTGTTCGCCGCCTTGTCAGTGGGAGATTTCAGCACCGTCGTGGGTATCACGCCTGAGATCATTGCTGTGGCAGCTAGCGAGATGCGTCGTGCTTATATCGACAGCTTCAAGATTGTTTTCTACGCCACCATCCCATTCGGCGTGCTTTTGATTGTGTTTGCCTTCTTTGTGCCCAATATGGACAACTTCTTGCATAAGAAGGTCGCCCGTAAACTCCAGCATCGCAATCAAGATGATCATGTCGTGTCGAATGAGAAGTCGGTCGGCGAGCATGCGGTTTGAGATGGATGGAAATAAGGTTACTTGCATTCATTGCAATAGATACTAGGTACTCCGTACACACACAATGGTACAGAAGGTTGCACAAAATGAGGTCAAGATGGCAGTACTGTACTCTCCCAAGGTACTCTCGGTAGTCATGTAGTCACGTTGTGTTATGTAGGTTATTCTCGTCGTCAGACTTGTATGAGTCAAATAACCAAGAGTCAAACATCAAGACTGAAGAAGCTCTGAAGTCATCTGACATCTGCAGAAGAGGTGCTTGACTTTGACCTGCCGTTTGCTTGTTCGTTTGTCGACGCGACGGCGCGACGCGACGCGACACCATGCGTGTCGCTGAGGTGGATAAGTCAGTGAATGAATGAAGAAGAAAAATTGAAAGTCGGGAGGTTGGTGGCTGGTGCCTGGAGATAACGAGACTTGAGATCGGTGCTGCTGAAAGCTGGAACAAGTTCCAGACGGTTTGTCGATCTGAAATTGATGTCTAGAAGGGAGTCTGGAAGAGAGAGAAAAGGGGGGTTTCCATCACGTGCTGAATATTGATTGATTTGTTTATTTGTTTGCATCAATGTGTGTTTATGTGCGTTCACCTCGACTCTTGGCATGAACTTGATGATATTTCTGAATATGTCCGGAAATGAGGACGAGGATGAAGGATGCAGACAAAGGAGAGATAGTTTGGTGGGCGGAAGGTGACTTGATATACAAAGCAACCTTAGCACACCCGCACCCAAGTGAAGCGTAACAAGGGTGCAAGGGTACATCCATGCAGACTACGAGTACGAGTATGCCCTCTGCTCTCGTTCCAGTCCCCGAACTCATGTCCATTGATCATCAAGCATTAAGTATCATGAATTAAGAAATAGGAATCAAGAGTTGGGTATCATTAATTTGAAAAGCACACTATTGTTTTTTTGGCTGAGGCTATGATCAAGAAATCAAATCCATCAAGATGTGACTTGAATTGACTTGACAATCACCCCTTTGCTTGGTCTATCTACATTCTCTGATTTCCTCGAGTCTGAAATCTCCTTTCCAGTGCTGTCCTGTCCAGTCCAGTCCAATGGGACCAGATGCGCGCTGCCCTCTGGCCGTCAATTAGTCAGTCAGTCTTTTGCTGCTGATGCGCTGTGCGCTCCTGCGCCGTGCTATGCTGCGCTGTGAAAATGCAATTCATGAAAAGTGCTGTACTCCGCAAGTTGCCAATCGAAGGAAGTTCTTGGGCTTGCTTTGAATGGTACACTGGTACGATGGTAACTTTTCAATTCAATTCTGTTCTTGGATTTCTTTCTGTGCTGGTTGTACCATCGATGGCATGCCTTTGCATGGCGTGGGTATCATTGTGATTACTGTTGAATGCTTTCTGAACTTCTGGATACCTTGTTTTCTGGGTTTCTGAGGGGATGGCGGTTGGACTAAAGGCTTGGGTACCGGCGTTGGTGAGGGATCGTCGCAAGTGGATCTGTATGGAGATGCGGCAAACTTTCCGTAACCTTATTCGTAGAACATGCCTGATATCACACAAAACCTTGGTCCTTCTCTTACATCTGGTAGCCAGACTTTCCAAAGTCGAAGAGCTCGCTGACATCGAGGTCGAATGGGTCGAAATCATCTTGGATGATGCGAGGGTCGAAGCCAAGAACGGGTTCCATGTCAGGATGGAAGTGGTAGCCGAATTCCAACTGATCATAAGCAGCCTGTTGGTCAGCAGTGACGGCACCAATGGTCAAGTAACCCTCTGGAACATGGTCACTTGAGACACTAGAAGGAGTCGCTTGGGCGGAAGTGATGTAGTTGGTCTCAGCATCAGTCTGCTTAATTATGTGAGTATTCATTGTAAACCATGGAGCTTGAAAGAATTTCTTACCTCGAACTCTGGAGTTGTCGCAACACCCTCTGCGAAGTCTTGCTGGGGAACTGGGGCCGTGGCGAAGGTGATGTCGTAGTCCAAAGAGTTCCACGGATCTGACTGCGCTGATTCGGTAGAAGACAGACAGTCATCTCTATCAACCAGTCCCTGCTTGTAGCAGTGCTCGACCAACTCATGCACAGAGACATTGGTTTGTGGAGGAAATTCCAGGTTTGTCGCAGCTGCGTCGAAACCATCAACTCGACGAATGGCGTCTTTACCCTCATTGGTTGTGACAGTCCAACCCATCTTGACAAGATACTGGTCGGCTGGGACGACAGGGAGAAGAGGAATAGTGGTCTCAAGGAACTTTTCAAGCGAGACCGATTCTGAGTGACCATCGCGGAGGTCAGAGAACGCTTTGCCCAACAGACCGAAAAGGTTGCGGCGAGGTTCCTTGGCCCACATCTCTCGGAGGAGCCCAGACTTGTCCATCTGTTTGCCCTTGAACACCGATCCATAGTATGCTGTTTAACGTCAGTTGTCTATCATTGATGAGAGAAAGAGTAACTTACATCTAAAGCAGATGAAGCCGTTGAGAACTCGCTTTGTCTTTTTCTTGCCACGAGAGTTCAGGACTCGAGCCGCCGGCTTGGAAACCTTGTTCGCATTCTTTGGCTGCATCGCATCAGCAGCAAGACCTTTCGAGTTCTGCGCAGTGAGTGTTGCAAGGGTTTTGTTGATGTCGTTCAATTGTGCTTCGGTGAGATTTTCGAAGATTGCGCTCAGTGTGGCCTGAAGCTGTGCCTTAGTTGCGGCCATCTTGATCTGTGTTCAGCAGATGAAAGTGGAAGCGGGACGCTCGGGCGCTGAACAAAGAAACTGGTATGTGAGACAATCGTTTCGACTCAACCACACAGCGTTCAAGGTGATGATTAGAATATGAAACCAGTCGATCAAGACAGAGATCAAAAATATTTGTGGTTGATCTGAAAGTGGTGGTGGGCAGAGAGAGAAAAATCCCAACCTCTCTAGTTCAATTTTTGCACTTCACCCTGCTGGACTTCACTCCCTCACTCCAGGAAAATACTAAGCAGAACCGATACTATTCTTTCCGAAAGAACAATGTCTCTTCATTTACTATCCCCATGAAAGCGCCCAGCCACTGCAGACTTTGTCATCGCAGTTGATGGTGAGCTGTCGGCTATACTCGACGTCCGGCTTCAGTTCTTTTAATACACTCATATCCCGCCAATACCATACAAATAGTTGATGCAGCCCTGCGACATCATGGACACAGATTATTTAACTTCCAATTCGCCCACCATCAACGGCGAATACAGCCATCGAGGTTGCGTCAATAGTACGTGTGCATCTCACCACTTGCTATCTTGAGCTAACATTCTCTGCGTGCAGGTGACGGTAATGTCGAAACAACATGTAGCCTGAAGTACCTCACTTCTCTTTGTCTGGAAGTGCTTCGGGCCAGATCTGCGCCAATGGTTGAGCTCGCCACAGATGCGGACGAAAGCTCAAGAATTCGTCGTCTGCAGTTTGTTTCAACAGAAGTTCGAAGACTATTTCAGAATCCGGCACTCTTCCCTTCAGATGCTGCAAGAGTCAGATTTGCGTCCATCATAGCATTGGACGCTAATCTACAGTTCGTCGAAGCTGTTCAGGCCCACCTGATTCGAGCGATACAAGAAGAGCTAGACAGCCAGAATCGGGAATATAGTCGTCCGCATTACGTCGAAGGGAGCAAAGGGTGGGAGAACTTTCTTTGCAATATGATGCCTGGAGTAGCAACGAGCAATCGCCCTTCAGAGACCACACCCAAGTCTTCTCTCCAGGCAATTCCGTCAGTCGGTCTGAGAATAGTCGGAGACCTGTCTCGACAAGATGATAATATTATTGTGTGGGATGTGCTGGTGAGTATACCCCATCAGTCTGCACCTGTCCTCTAACTGACTGGTACAGAACCCCAAGCCACCTGAGATGCCTCCCGCTGCGACTACCAGGCTGATTAACATTGTACGTTGAGACTATCTCGAAATCGCTAGCCATGTCTAACTTAAAGCAGGACAACCCTGCTGATCAAACTCCAAATCCTGATATTTCGCTATCACAACAAAGCTACAATGTAAGGGGCCTTCTCACAGTTGAAATATTTCTTGGCGCTAATTGAGACAGACATTCATACAACCGAATCCATATCGCGAGGTATGACCAACCTTCGCACATTTCCAACCGAAGAAGCTGACCATGTACAGGACGAGACTCTCCGGCTTGATATTCCGATACAAGGCCCTGAAGCAGTCGAGGATTACACTGCCCTGATTGGTGAGTACAGCAGCATCTGTTAGAGGAAGACCAGGGCTAATTCGAACAGCCCGTCTGGAAGCAGATCCTCCACCTGCAGGCCTGCCTGTCACGAATATGACAGGTCTTAACATCTTTCCCATGGTTTACCTTCGATCTTGGCGACCGCCGACAAGGTTGGCAGATCTCAAACACCGTGAAAGACCGCGCCCGCCAGTAAGACGTTGATTGAGTCAAAGGATATTTGATGAGCTTCGAAGTCAGCCTCAAGCAAAACTTCCATCTTGAAGGGCGGCCTCGCCATCTAGAACCTAGATGCGACATCCTGGGCTCTGAGTCTGCCCTCCTCCACTCATCCAAGCCAGCTTGCCAACACAGCAGCACCAAAATGAACCCAAATGCCAGATCCATCTTCTCGTCAAGAGTTCATCATACCAGCCTCGAGGCATGCCATCACCAGACGGACATTCATTCACCACCAGAATTGTTCCTCATGTACATTCCCAAAAAAAGAAAAAGAAAAACAAGCAAAGCCAACGAAAAAAATTTACCCTGCCCCCTGCCCTCGCCCCTCGAGCTCAACATTGCCAGCATTGCCACATCAATCGATCGATGCACAGCACCGCAGTGCACCAGCCCCAACTCTCAGAAAGAGTGTGGGCCATCAGCTCAAGAAAGAGCAGGATGCAACTCAAATCAGTTGCAAGAAAGAAAGAGAAAAACATACACAAACTGGAACGACACCCAGTCACAAAAAAAAAGCAGAAAAGGACAAAAACCAAGACGAAAAACTCACACCCACAAAAGAATAGAGAGTCAGTCAATCAGTCAGTCAGTTTCATCAGGTCATCAGAGTTTCCAGACAAAGTTTCATTTCCTTCCCACGGGGATGGAATCATGGAATGAATCATGGATGATCAGTCAATGATCAGTCATACTGCGGAGCTTGAACTTGTTTATCGCATCATTGGGCAATGGGCATTGGGCAACGGGCACAGGCATGGGGGGTCAGCCTCGATCGAAATCAACATGGTTGAAAGGGAAAAAAGCAAAGTTGAAGCTACAGATTGTGGCTATTGGAGGACAGGAATCAAACCAAACCACAACGGGGTTCAAAATGTTCATAGGTCCGTAGTCATTAGGATAGTAGAATTCACTTTCGCAAGTTTGGTGGTTCCTTCTGATGGTCGGTACAGTGATGTAGTTCTTGTCGCCGTTGATTGAGGATCACTTATATGTATATAGTTGGATAGGCCGTGAAGCGGGAGTATGGGAAGACAGAGCATGGATAGGTGTCATGTTGAGATGGGAATAAGGTAGGCACTTGGGACTTGAATTGATATACAGCAGCCTGGACGTGGCTACCAGATGCTAGATATGTACATGGTCTGTGTTCAGCTATGGACAATATGGTGCTGGTATGTCAGTGGCACTCATATCCGCTGGATCGTTGCCACTGATTCAACCCTCGAGTCGGCCAGCGCAGACACGGTGCGATGTGATGAACAAGGCCATGGAGCCAAGAGGCAACCGTCCCTTGGAAATGCCTTTTCTCGGGAGGGTGAAGAGACTGTGGATTTCCATATGTGAACGACGTGGGAGTCATCCCTATCTCCCAATCACAGTGCAGAACAGTGTCCTGCGTCAGGAATGTAGAAACAATGAGCACACCACCTCAGTCTGGATCTGGAAGATGGGCATCCCAATCACTTGCCCAGATAAAGGTGCCGCATCTCCATTCAGTTCCTCTCTCCTTGTTTCCACTTGGCCCCAGTGGACGATTGCACATCCAAAAGGACCGCCCACAGTTAACGCCCGGCTTTTTAGTCAACATGGTTTTGCAGGCCTCGCCATGGTCACATTTTGGTGCGACTGGCTTGGCAAATAACTTGCCCCATGTTTTCTTGGTCTCAAATGAAGTAGCTTCATCCATGATGAATGTGTCGGATTTTGTGGGTGATAGGTCGAGGGATTTGGTGCTAGAGGGAGGTGGTTGAGGAATGTCAGACTCGTCAGCAATGACTGCGTCGTTGACCGCTGGAGAAGCCGTCGCTTGGGCGGATGGTATTGGGGGTTTGGCGGTGAAGAAGCCTTTGAGACTTTTCTGGCCTTTGTTGACTCCGTTCACAGGTGTCTGCGAACCCGTCTTGGTTCTCTTGGGAGGGGCAGGAGTGGGAGCTGCTCCTGGGCGTTTGCCATTGATGGCTTCTGGCTTTGGCATAGGCGTAGAGAATGAACTTTTCGAGTCTGTGTTGGCTTCTCTGGTAGCCATAGCCTTGTTTGGCGACTCAGTAGGGTTGGTGATGGGGACTGCGGTGGGTGTTTGTTCTGGAGTATCTTGTATTGTGCTTGTCGACTTGACGCCAGATGGCTGCCTTGTAAACATGTCACGGATACTGCGTCTTTTGTCGAATTCTTGGATCAATCTACCTGACATGGGAAGAAGATGTTTGTTGGTCCAGTCGTGCTGTCGAACACCATTCTCAAACATGCCAGGTGGATTGACCATGTCGAGGACATGTCTCTCGATCTCCCCAACCATGACTTTGTCCTTGAAGACAGCATAGACTGGACAGTGATCAGATCCCATCAGGCCCTCCTGAATATCAGATGCACTGAACCAATCCTTCATGTCATGTGTGCAGACAACATAGTCGATTCTGGCACCATAGTTGCCAGGTCTTGCATTGACTTTGGTCTCCCAACATGTGTACATGCCTTTGCGACCTGGATGGAAAGCCCGGCATATGTCCCACATGATTGGAGTCTCCCTGCCCTCGTCCCTCTCGCCATGGACTTTGCCACCGACGAGTAGTTGATTGAACATTCGTCTCGCAGGTGTCGAGATCCACTCGATTGGATTTATGTCATTCTTCCTCATAGATTCCTCGGCGGCTGCAGTGTCAATCTCTTCGCGGGAAATATTCAGGTCACCAGTCCAGATAACTCGTTTGCCCATTTTGACCAGATTTCTGATTCTCGAATCCAAAACTCGAAGAAAGCTGGTGCGGAAGTGTGTTCTTGTCTCATCTCTTTCTGCGGGACAGTATGTACCAATCAGGACAAAGGCTGGGAACTCGAGAATGACGCATCTCCCCTCGGAATCGAGTGTCGCGGGGTCGAAGTCAGCCTGGGAAAGTTGATCGGCATTCGGATAGCCACCGATTTGTTCGTCGTCGGGCAAGTCTCGAAAACTGGTTGAGGAATTGGGAGGAGTGAGGATTCCAGTGATGCCTTCTTCTGCTCGAATCGGGGCACACGTGGCAGAACGAGTGTAGATGACGACTCCAGAGTAGCCTTACAATATCAGTGGTAGTGACAAGATATAAACAGTGCAGCCATACCTTTCTTGTGTTTTGGGAGACTCCAGTAGTTGTCCCACCCAGGGACGAGGACCATGTCATCTCGAAGATCCTTTCTCTGGATTTTGGTTTCTTGAAAGACGACAATGTCGGCCTCGAGAATGTCAAACATAGCATCAAAAGTTCTTTTGTCTCGCCATGGTTGGTATCCGAAAGGATTGCGGATGCCATTGACATTCCAGGTGGTGATTCGAATCCCCATTGCTGGCTAGGGTCGTCGCCGCCGCATCGCAATAGCGACGAGAAGGAGGGAGGATGGCAAGCAGAAGAAGATCTTGGTGGAGAGTAGGAAAGAAGACAAATACCAGAGAAGCCAGTGTATGATGTGAGGTTGTTGGAGACGGAGGCAAATCAATGAATGTACCCGCGAACCACTCTACAAGGCGCGTGGACACGGAAAGTTGATGATGTCGTAACTATGGGGCAATTGGCGCGGAGTTCCAGGCGAGAAGAGCCCGTAGACACGGGTCCTTTACACTTATGGAAATGCTTAGGGCGCCTATAAGTGGGATCTTGGGCATGAGAAGCGGGTTGCCACTGAGGCTGCAGCCGGGGGCACCTCCACCAAGAAGAAATGGCAAGTGCGACCGTCGCTTGCTAGCGACATCCTGCTCCTGCCTTTGGTTGTGGACACCTTTCTGCGTCAGAGGTCCCTATACTCCGCACCCAAACCTCGGCGCACTGACGTAATGTATCCCGCAAATTGTAGGAAGGCAGTTGGCAGTCGGCAGACTCAGACATTTATTCACTCCACCTCATCATCATCATTGTCCATTGCAATTTCGTGTAAACTGTTCAGTTCAGTTGAGTTCTTTTTGTGTTGATTGAGGAGTATTTCATTCCCACAATCCTTCTTCTTTCTGTGGTTGAGCAGGTGCCTTGATTCCTCGCTTTGAGTCAACACGTCAAGTGCCCTGTCACTTCCATTCCACGACTACGGCACCAAATTGCCCCGCGCCACACTTTACTTTTTCAACCTCAAGTGGCTGTGCGCATCAACCATCAGTCAATTCTTCTCAACGCGAATTGTCCAAACTCTATACCTTATCGCCAACGTGTCGACAACGAAGCTTCATTCCATTCCTTGATCCCAAAGTCTTCAGCCTTCACATGTTTCTTCCTGTCTAAGCACAATTGAAACCCCCTGGCCCGGGTAACGGCCCCCAGTCATCATGTTGGAAGGACTGGTGGCAAACCTCCTCAACCGCTTTCTGGGCATGTACGTCAAGAACTTCGACCCTAAGCAGCTCAATGTCGGCATCTGGTCAGGCGACGTCAAGCTCCGGAATTTGGAATTGAGGAGGGAAGCCCTTGATCAACTACATTTACCTATCAACGTTGTCGAAGGTCGAGTTGGAGAGCTAACCTTATCAATTCCCTGGTCTAACCTCCGAGGCAAACCAGTCAGGGTCAACATTGAGGATGTCTTCCTACTCGCAGCCCCCAAAGAAGAGGATGAGTACGATCATGATGAAGAGGAAAAGCGTGCTGTTGCTGTCAAACTTGAGAAACTCGAAAGTGCCGAATTGCTCAAGGAACGCAATACCGAATCCATGAGCCCTGAGGAACAGCAAAAGAACCAGAGCTTTACCCAGAGTCTCGTCACTGCAATCGTCGACAACCTCCAAGTCAGCATCAAGAATGTGCACCTGCGTTATGAGGACTCGATAGCAACTCCAGGCCATCCATTTGCTGTCGGTATCACCTTGAAGGAAATGTCCGCAGTTAGCACGGATTCTGAATGGCGTCCAACGTTTATCCAATCCACGTCCGGAACGACTCACAAGCTCGCTGTCCTCAACTCTCTTGCACTGTACTGGAATAGCGATGCCGAACTGTTTGGAACCGGCAGAGGAGGCGACGTTGGCGCCGCCGCTCAGGAGATTGACAAGGACGAATTGATTGCAAAATTTAAAGAGGCCATCGAAAACACTGGCAATTCTCAGTACCTCCTCAAACCTGTCTCCGGCCGCGCCGGCATCGAGATGGACAAAACTGGCAAAATCGAGAAACCAAAGATCAAGGCCCGCCTTCTTTTCCAAGAACTCGGCTTCATCCTCGACGAAGATCAATATCGCGACGCTCTTATGCTGGTTGACCTAATGCATTACTTTGTCCGCCATCAAGAGTATAAAAAGGAGCAGCCCGACAAGACTCCCAAGGAAGACCCCAGAGCCTGGCTCAAGTTTGCTGGTTCAGCTGTCTTGAACAAAATTCACGATCGTAACCGGAGGTGGACCTGGGATTATTTCAGGGAACGGAGGGACTCTCGGCTGAGATATATTGAGCTCTTCAAGAAGAAAAAGAAAGAACAGCCTCTCACAGACCAAGAAGCCAAAGAGCTTTCAGATCTTGAATTTAAGCTTACGTATGAAGACCTGCGCTTTTGGAGGTCCCTAGCTCGGAGCCAGCTTCGAAAGGAGAATATCGGCGCCCCCAAGCCTGCTCAGAAACAGACGTGGTCTGCATGGATCTGGGGCTCCAAGACCGAGACAACACCAGAAGATGGCGAGTCAGGCATGACCGAAGAACAGCGCAAGGAATTGTACAAGGCCATCGATTGGGACGAAAAGAAAGCAATCGCCGACAGTGTCGATCTTCCACGGGAAACCATCAAGCTTCAAGTCGAATCGAGTCTCCGCACTGGCAGCTTCACCCTCAAACGCGACCCACACGGGAAAGCAAACGAAGTCCTCAAATTGGTCTTCGATAACTTCACTGCCAAAGCTCTTCAAAGGCCGGACTCCTTTCTCGCCGACCTCGGTCTTGGAGGTTTCCGCGTTTATGATGGCACAACCGAAGGTAGCTTATTTCCTCAGATCGTCCGAGTCAAAGGTGTCAAGGAGCAGGACAAAGACGATGTCAAGGAAGAAGAGCCAGGGAGCTTGGACGACGAATCCTCAGATGATGAAGATGGCCCACAAGACCAGCCGCCTTCAGCAGACAACTTGTTTCATCTCGTCTTTGAGAACCATCCACTTGATGAAAGTGCCGATACAAAGGTCATGCTGAAGCTCAAAAGTCTCGAGTTCATCCACAATCCCAAGTTTGTGGTCGAAATCGCCAAGTTTTTCAAGCCTCCTGAAAGACAGATGGAGTCGATTGGGGCACTCCTGGAAACTGCGGGAGCGACAGTCGATGAAATTCGACAACAAACCAGAGCCGGCCTCGAATTTGCTCTCGAAGAACACAAGACCATCAATGCCAACATCGACATACAAGCTCCCATCTTCATCATTCCTGAAAGTATCACACAGGAGAGCACTCTTTGTATGATACTTGACGCTGGCCATGTCAGCCTGAAAAGCGAGCTGGTGAATAAGGAAACCATGCAAGAGATGCACTCCAAACGGAAGCAGCAATATACCAAAGAAGATTTTCAACAGCTTGAGGGTCTGATGTACGACAAGTTCCACCTGAATCTGAGTTCGACTCAAGTACTCATTGGACCTGGTATTGAAGCCACACGAGCCCAGCTCGAGGTTCAAGATGATACAAAGAATATGCATATTGTTGACCGCATCAACATGGACTTCCTCATTGAGAACTCCATCCTACCCAAGGACCCAAGCATTACGAAAATCCGAATTTCCGGCTCAATGCCAGTGCTTCATGCGTCAATCTCAGACCGAAAGTACAAAAACCTGATGAGGCTGATCGATGTTGCCATTCCCAAGTTTAACGATTCGAATACTCAAGTCGTCTCCGACGAATCGACCGAACAAACCAGCAAGACTGTCGAAGACACCAAAGCGAAGAGAAAGTCAGTAGCCTTACTCGAAGCCAAGGACATTCCTGTCATCGATCATGAATCCGATTCCGAAGATGCGCCAGCCGACAGCAAGACTGACAAGCCAGAGACTCCCGCAAACATTCATCAGCGAACATTTGAGATCAAATTTACGGTCGAAAAGCTGCAAGCCTCTCTGTACAAGGCTGATCCCGAGGACAAGAAGCCTGATCAATTGCTCGTCGAACTCGTGGCCGAGCACTTCTTCTTCGACTTTTACCTTCGACCGTATGACATGGCTGCAGAAGTCATTCTCCGCTCTCTGACAGTCGACGATCATATAGAGGATGAACCTCTCCCGGAGTTTAAGCAGATTATCTCGTCTAAAGGATTCAAAGCCGAGGAAGGGAAAGACCTCTTCAATATCAAGTTTGTCAAGGTCAACCCGCAGTCCCCCGAGTTCGAATCGACATACGAGGGCATCGCTACCAATCTCGATGTTTCTGTGTCTACCATCAATGTCATTGTAACGCGGAGAACGTTGCTGACCTTGCTTGACTTTGTACTCACAACATTTGCTGGCCCTGGCGATAAATCGCCAAGTCAAGATGAGAAGCAAATCGAACAAAGCAAGGACTCGGCTGAACTTGCAGCCCCAGCACCGCAGCAAACTGACAAAATACGTATCAAGGCGGCATTGAAAAGTATCGCTCTCATTCTCAACAATGACGGCGTCCGCCTCGCTACTTTATCTCTGAACTCTGGTGATGTCGGTGTCTTTCTAGATGCCGGCACGATGCAAGTCAAGGCACGTCTGGGCAGCTTATCCCTTGTTGATGATGTCAATCAAGGCGCACCAGAAGATTCGTCACTCCGTCGCTTGATTGCCATTGAAGGGGACGATCTTGCCGATTTCAAGTACCAAACTTACGACTCTTCGAAACAGAACTATCCTGGCTACGACTCGGGTATCTTTTTGCGCTCCGGCTCAATCAAGGTGAACTTTCTTGAAGAACCATTCAGAAAGATCATGGAATTTGGGGTCAAATTTGGCAAGATGCAGGCCATTTTCAATGCTGCTCGACAAGCTGCTGCAAATCAAGCGAACCAAGTCCAGCAAAGCGCGCAAAAAATGCACTTTGACATTGTCATCAAGACACCTATTGTGGTTTTCCCACGAGCTATGGTGGATGATCGCCCACGAGACTTGCTCACGGCCTATCTAGGCGAAATCTATGCAAAAAACAAGTTTGTCGGTCTACAAGGCCAGAAGGGCGGACCAATGATCAACAAGCTGTCGGCCGGTATTCGCAATATCCGTCTCACATCCGAATTCAATTACGAGGATGGAGAGTCACAGGAACTGGAGATGATTGATACTGTTGACCTTGATTTTAAAATCAAGTATCTTGAGCATCAATCCGGTCTTGAAAGGCCAGATCTCGAGATTGAAGGAGGGATCTCGCCCATCAATTTGAAAGTGTCGCAAAGTCAAATCAAACTTTTGATGGAGTTATCCAAAACCATTCCAGCCGCTTTCGCAACTGAAAACGAATCAGATGAAGCGATCGCCGAGGAGCTCCCTAAATCAACGACAGAGCCTGCACAGTTGAGTCAAAAGGAAGACCAAGAAGTACAGACTTCACGACCTTCATATCAAGCACCCGAACTTGGGATCAGCGATGAAAACTGGACAAAATTAAATCTGGTCTTTACTGCTCCAATGATCAGTCTGGAGCTGATCCTAGCAAAAGATGACGAACCTCTGGATTCATTTGAAAGTGCAAGCATCTCAAAATTCTCTCTCAACGAGACAAACGTCAAACTACGGATGGTTAGTGATGGCGCACTCGAGTCTGAGCTCCTCATTCATTCCTTCACTATTCGCGACAGTCGAACGAAAGACTCGAATAAGTTTCGAAAGATCATGTCTTTGATCAACAATGATGTCCAACAGCAGTTCATGGCTAGTGTTTCCATCTCTGGCGGTTCGAAACGCCAGATGATTGTCATGTTGACAATCGACAGCCCTAGGATCATTGTCGCCCTCGACTATCTCTTCGCTTTGCAATCGTTTGCGAATAGCGCTTTGGCGTCTGATGAGCCGCCGCCCATATCCGATGTGTCCGAGATCTCTTCCGAGGACGATCCCCTCAGCCCACAAGATGAGCAGAGAGAACTGACTATAAGTGACAGCCCTTCACCGGAGGAGAACTCTATGGATGTCTCGTTCCGCATTAATATTGTGGATGCTCAAATCATCCTCATCGCGAACCCTGCGATTTCAAATACCGAAGCCATCGTCCTAGGCACAAGAGAAGTCCTCGTCTCTCGACAGAATGCAACCACCCTTCAAATCACAAAAGTTGGGATGTTCCTATGTCGGATGGACAGATTCGAGACAAGCCGTTTGCGAATCTTGGATGATTTCAGCGTTCAAATGTCCATGGACAGCCGCACTCAAGGCAAAGACTCATCCCTCACATCCATTCATATCGGAATTGAGCCACTCGTTCTAAGACTCTCCCTACGGGATATCCTCTTGGCTATGCAAATAGTTAGCAAGGCATCATCAACTATGCCGCAAACCCAGATGCAAGAAGATTCTGAACCTCGAAAGATCAAAGAGGTCAAGGGCTCGTCGAAAGCACCATCCACAAAACGCAAGTCCATCGGAGGAGGTACGACTACAACGGCAAGAAGATCCCAGCGTAGAAAATCAATTTCCAAATCCGGTTCAAAGCCAGGCCCGCCAAAGAAGTCGGTGGTCATGAGTCGAGAAGAACTCGTTGCACAACTCGACGGCATCCGTGTTGTGCTGATCGGCGATATGCACGAACTGCCACTTCTGGACTGGAGCGTCAAGAAGTTCGATGTTGACGTGCGAGACTGGTCGGGGGCAATGACCGCAGACACAAAGTTCGACACATTTATCAATGTCTACAACTTCTCCAAATCAGCTTGGGAACCATTGATTGAGCCCTGGAAATTAGGCTTCCACATGTCCAAACAGACGCAGCCTGAGGTCATGTCAATGGAAGTCTACTCACATAAAAACATGGAACTCACAATCACGTCCGCTACAATTGCACTAGCGTCCAAGTCGTTCGACTTTTTGTCCACCGAGGAGGATATCCTGTCCAAGCCAAGAGTCGCAGATGCCCCGTATCGAATCCGGAACTACACAGGATTCGACCTCAGTGTCTGGGCCGATGAGAAGAGCGACAATGCCAATGCCGCCAAGCTCAGTGATGGAGAAGAGTATGCGTGGCGTTTTGAGGATGCCACAACCATGCGTGAGAAGCTCACTCCAGAAGGCAACGCCGGCTTGGTAGGTGTCAAGATCGAGGGCAGTGGATTCGACAGTGTCAGTCGCATTCCCGTCATTCGTGAGGGTGAGACGTTGTACAATCTCAAGCCGAAGAAAGATGGAGTTCAGCATCGGTTGCTTGTCGAGGTCACGTTAGGATCGGACAACGTCAAGTACATCACATTCCGATCACCTTTATTGGTGGAGAACAAGACCCAGATACCCATCGAAATTGGAGTCTACAGCCCTGAGGATGGTCACTTACTCAAAATCGAGAAGATCCCTCCTGGAGAGGCCAAGCCTGCCCCAGTTGGCGCAGCTTTTGTCCATTCGCTCGTCTTACGTCCTGACCAAGGTTTCGGCTATGGCTGGTCAAACGAGCGTCTTTTCTGGAGGGATCTGTTGAAGCGATCTACTCGAACAATCACATGTCAGACGGAAAGTCGAGATGATTCGCCACCATTTTACTTCCAAATGCATGCGGCGTATAACCAGAAAGATCCGATGACCAAGTCCTACCCGTATATGCGTATTCAAGTTTCGGCACCTATCGAGGTGCAGAATTTGTTGCCTTATGATTTCAGGTATCGGATATATGACAAGAACACCAAAAAGGACTGGACCAACTTTCTGCGTAAAGGGGGTGTCAGTCCGGTACATGTGGTTGAACTCTCTCACCTACTTCTATTGAGTGTCGACATCGAGGATACGTCTTTCCGGACCAGCGATTTTGCCATCATCAACAGCAATACGCAAGAAGACTTCCGCCGCGAAAAGACACTCCAGATAAAGGATGAATCTGGAGCAATGCTTCGGTTGAAACTTCACTATACCAACATCAAGGACAGCGGGGGAGCCTTTAGAGTTTCGGTCTACAGTCCATATGTCCTCTTGAACAAGACTGGACTGGACATGAGCGTGCAAAGCAAAGCATTCTTTGGCTCTTCCAGACCTGCCGCTGCACATGGCGCACGAACTAGCTCCGGAAAAGGCAAAGCCCTACCAATGCTTTACTCATATGCCAGCGACGATCGGAAGAATCGGTCGCTGTTGAAGATAGGTGACTCGACTTGGAGCAAACCACAGAGTTTTGACGCCATTGGAAGTGCTTATGAGGTTGTGTTACCTTCAGCAAATGGTCGATCGGAATTACACGTGGGGGTGTCTGTCACCGAAGGGGAGGGCAAGTACACCTTGAGCAAGGTGGTCAGTATGTCACCTCGATTTGTTCTCAAGAACAAGATCGGCGAAGACCTGGAACTACGTGAGCCAGGTTCCTCCGAGGTCATCAAGCTCAAGAGCAACGACCTTCAGCCCGTCTACTTTATGAGACAGAATCCGGAGAAGCAGCTTTGTTTGTGTTTCCCCGGTGTCAACAATCAGTGGTCATCTCCGTTCAATCTGTCCAATGTCGGCATGACACACGTGAAGCTTGCGAAGCATGGCCAGCGGCAGAAACTGATTCGTGTTGAAATCATCCTGGAAGGTGCAACATTGTTCCTCCATTTCAGCATCGAAACGAAACATTGGCCATTTTCTATGAGAAATGAAAGCGACACAGAGTTCTTGTTCTTCCAGGCCAACCCGAACATTACAGAAGATGAGGAGGAAGACCGTGGGAGTGGTTGGAAACCCATCCGCTATAAATTACCACCACGAAGCATTATGCCATACGCCTGGGACTATCCTGCATCCAAGAATAAGGAGCTTGTCCTTACTTCAAGGGGTAAGGAGAGATATGTCAAGCTCGCTGAGATTGGCAACTTGATTCCCATCAAACTCCCACCAGATGATCGCAACAGTCCCATGAAGGTGATTGATGTCAACATTGTGGCGGACGGTCCAACCCAGACCCTGGTTCTATCCAACTACAAACCATCAAGGTCGTTATATCGCCAGAAGACAAATGCAACCACTACATCACAAACCAGCTTGAATCAAGGCTTTGAAGTCAAACAGATCGAATCTGAAGTCAATTTCAAGGCAGAACTTCGACTTGCTGGCATCGGCATCTCCTTGGTCAATACCAAGATGAAGGAACTTATGTATCTTACTTTCCGTGAGATCGAGTTCAAGTATGGTGATTCGAAGCTCTACCAGACAATCAACACAACCATCAAATGGATACAGATTGACAACCAATTGTATGGTGGCATCTTCCCAATTCTGCTATATCCGAGCGTGGTTCCAAAGACTGGCAAGGAGATGGAAGCGCATCCAATCTTCCACACAATGGTCACTCGAGTCAAGGACGATTCTTATGGTGTGCTGTACATCAAATATGCCACTCTCCTTCTACAACAGATCACCATTGAGCTTGATGAAGATTTCATTTTCTCCATGCTCGATTTCCTCAAGGTTCCTGGTGCCTCATGGTCGGAAGAAAAGGAAGGGAAGCTCTGTGATGAAGATCTCGATGTTCCCGAACCAACCCTTGAGCAACAAGGTCAAGATGTGTATTTTGAACTCTTACACCTCCAGCCCATCCAACTCGATCTCTCGTTTGTGCGCACAGAGCATGTCAACGCCGAGGACAATTTTGTCAACAGTCCTCTCATGTTCCTAGTCAATGTCATGACCATGTCTATCGGCAATGTCAACGATGCGCCAATCAAACTGAACGCTTTGATGCTGGAAAATGCCCGCATCTCCATTCCAGCACTTATGGCCAACGTCCAGAACCACTATACCCAAGAAGTCTTGCGACAAGTACATATCATTCTCGGGTCGGCCGACTTCCTCGGTAATCCTGTCGGTCTCTTCAACAGTGTCAGTTCTGGAGTTGCGGACATTTTCTATGAACCTTACCAAGGTTTGGTCATGACAGACCGACCTCAAGAGTTGGGTATCGGGATCGCCAAGGGTGCAAGCAGCTTTGTGAAGAAATCCGTCTTTGGATTTAGCGACAGTATGGCCAAATTCACTGGATCCATGTCCAAGGGTCTTGCCGCTGCAACGCTTGACAAGGAATTCCAAGATCAACGTCGCATGTCCAAGAGTCGTAATCGACCAAAACATGCCTTGTACGGTGTGACATCAGGCGGCAACGCCTTTGCGTCAAGTGTTGCCAGTGGCATTGGCGGGCTTGCACGACATCCCCTCGAAGGCGCAGAGAAAGAAGGTGCATTTGGGTTTGTCAAAGGTGTCGGCAAGGGTATGCTTGGACTCGCCACCAAACCGGCCATTGGTGCTTTTGACCTTGCATCCAATGTGGCGGAGGGCGTCCGAAACACAACGACCGTCTTTGACGCCGAAGGTCTTGACCGAGTTCGGCTCTCAAGGTTCATTGGCATGGATGGCATCGTACGTCCATTTTCACAAAGAGAAGCATTAGGACAGTTCTGGCTCAAGACATGCGACGATGGCAAATTTTTCAACGAGGAATACATTGCACACTTGGAGCTGGAGGGTCGAGATATGATGGTGATGATTACCTATGACCGGATCTTGATGATCAGGACCAAGAAGTTACGCATGGAGTGGGATGTCCGCTTGACTGATGTCCAGACCATTAGCAAGGAGCGAACAGGAATGAGCTTTGGCCTCAAAGGGGGGGCCAATGGTCCTTTTATTCCTGTTGCTGATGAAGGCAGCCGCAATTGGCTATACCGACAAATTGCAATTGGTGAGTTTTGTGCAATTCCAGGAAGATGGACATGTTGCTAATCATTTGGGTCTTCTAGCTGTCAACGCCTTCAACGACAAATATAATGCTAAGGGGTAACTAACTCATGACATCTAATTACGACTGCCGGATTCTACCCTGTATGTACGAATGGGATCGGCTTCAGCATAGCATTGGCGTTGGTTTTATTGCGATTAGACAGTGTTTGTGGTTACTTTGGTCTGTGGTATCCTTGGTCTGGCTCTGGGAGTGCAAAGCATACAAGGCACATCTGGAGGGTTGGTAAATGTAGGAGGTAATGGAAAATATTTCGAGCTTGTCCTGTTATGGTCTTCAATCCATATCATTCCTTTAGTCCCTTTGTATATCTCATCTTTGTCTTTGCTTCACATATCGCGCCTTCACAACTTGGTCCCCTGCTAGACGGTATGACAGTGTGTTCAGCAGTAGTAGTGATGGATGGGCTAGAAGTCCATGAAGCATTATCAAGGGATGGAGTCCATCTGGAGTCTGTGATTCGATTTCCTTAGTTTTATATTATACGCTGGTGAACACGCGCTGAATTTCAACTCGTCCCTTTGGACTTGCACTACTCTCCCTCTCAGCAACAATAACGATCTCTCTCTCTCTTATTCCTCCTTACAACCTCTTCCCTTCCATTTCCAAGCCCCCATCATTTCACTTCCCATTCTTAACACTCACACTCACCTTATCCAGATCCGAATCTTGAGTCAAAAGCGAGTCCTGGTAGATAGATATACATGTCAGCCTGAATGCCATCTCCCTCTTCTCCAACAGACAGATCCCTCCACAGCATAACTTAATCTAACATAACATACCGTAATAAAGGTCGGAAGATACGTTGTAGCATACTTCGCAATCGACGCATAAGTACCTCTGAACGTCTTACCACTTGCTCCACCCAGAACATCATTGACCACCTTTTCCGCATACACATGTGCTTCCGTTCTCTTCACCTTGACTTCATCTGTCTTCAACGCATTCAATCTATTCTGTACCGCGCGATAAAGACTGTTCTCCGGCAACTTGACACCCGGTGCATTGACATGGATGGACGATTCAATCGCCCCCGTGACAACCGTCAAGACCTTGACGTTGAGTGGCTTTAGTTCGAGTCGCAACGATTCGTCAAAGGCATGCAGTGCGGTTTTGCTGGCGTTGTATATACCTGCATCAGACCACCAGAAGATTAGTTGCAAGAAACACTTAACGTGGTGTTAATGGTTGGTAGGTTCATACTCAAGTAAGGGTTATACAAGTATCCCAAAAGAGAACCAATATTGACAACGGTCCCCTTTGCAGCGACCAACAACGGACTAAACGCCTGAGTCATTCTCAGAACAGCCCAGAAATTGACTTCAAACATCTTTTTGCCCTCTTCGATATCCGAGTCCAATGCTGGCATGATGTATAATACTCCAGAGTTGTTTACTAGGTAGTCGAGTGTACCGCCAGTCTTGGTGCTGACTTGCTCGACCACCGTTGCAATCTGAATTGGATCTGTGACGTCTAATGCTAGAAGGGTGATGTTGGAATATTTGCTCAGGGATTGCATCTTGGTCAGGTCTCGAGCGGTGGCAAAGACATTTAACTGTCTCTGGGCGAAAGCAACGGCCAAGGCATAGCCGATTCCGCCTTCGGAACAGCCTGTGATGAGGACGGTTTTGGGTGCCATATCAACGGTATAGGTAGTATTGATGTAGGACTTGAGAAGGGAGTTGAAAGGTCGATATTACTTCCTCCCATTCACTTCTATATATACACTCAACCACGAATTCCACACAAACTACCATTTCAATCCACAACAGACCACGAGTTGTAATTGTATAGGGGTGCAAAGCCTCGTTCATCTTGGTTGGATCGCTTCATGGCTGGTTCAACCGAAATGGGTTTAGCTTGTCAGCATACGGCAGACTTTGATATGCGCTACTCCACTCTACGCTCTCCGCCAGGCATCCATGAAAGAGATGTAGCGCATTTCAGACACTTTGAGCATCCAGACCATCCTAGAAAGTAAGACAATGCGAAGTTCTGATAGAATAATCACTCCTGTCCCTCTGCCTATTCTTAAACCATGATATCAAATCTTTATCCGACTTCGTCCGTGTCAAGAATCTCCACCGAAATATGAGCCGGACTAATAATCCCTCCGATCGTGAGACATACGAGAACATGTACTAGGTTTGAACAACGACAACTTATGCTCAAACCCTTCTCTAAACCGGCCTGAGCAAAGACAATCCACCTATTCGATACCATGTTAGCTTCGTAGTATCGATCGACATGGAATCTAATCTAGATATGGATGTTGATATTGTTCCCCTCTCTCGACCACCCCAGTTATCAGAGGTACGTGGAGTGTATCCAACTCTCATCTCGCAATATTCGCCAACCTAGGTACTAACTAACCCCATCTCTTACCTAGGCATTGGATAAATCAGACGACTGGACTGGATTAAGTGATGCACAACAACGAAGAAAATTACAGAATCGATTGAATCAAAGAGCTCGTCGTACGTTTTATGTCTTCTTTCCATAGTAACCCTCCTCCCCTAGAACATATATCTGATACCAATATCCCTCATCAACAGGTCGACGAAAAGACCCTGACAAACAAACACATCTCTTCTCCAAAATCGACGATATTCGTCGTGGACATCAGATATCCAATCTACCTCAAAGTAATACTACTACTACTACTACTACTATAATCTCGACCAAAAAGACTCGTCCTCATCACACCCCTAATTCCAAACAAACATTCATTCTCCTTCTGGGCCAACTGGCAATTGACCACCAACATTTCCAATTCCAATCCTCCTCATTCAAATACCACCAACCCAATCTACCCATCTTCCCTCTAAGCCGCGACCACCTCATCCCTTTAGTCCACTACAACGTCCTCCGCGCCGCCAACACAATCCTCGTCTTACTTCGCAATACATCACCGATCTTCCAACCCTGTACCAACACCGACACCAACTCTGACGAATTCCAATCCCATTACTTCCGAATCACCCCGCTCCCAAGCCCAAACCGCCTCCCCCCATCCCTCCATCCAACTCCATTACAACAAAAAGTCGAACATGCCGAATGGATGGACATCTTCCCATTAGGCGGATTACGCGATTCACTGATTCGACATGCGGGCACGTTTGATGAAAGTGATTTATTGAATGATTTTCTAGGTGGGATTTTAACGAAGAATTTACCCGTGAGGCGACAAACCGGGCCCGGGCAGTCGAAGGGTATAGAAGCAAAAGCTAGGCCGAAAGCGAAACGGTGTAGTGAAGTATCTATCGGTGCGTCGCGGGTCGGTGATGAGAATAGAGGGTTTGTGGTTTGGGGCGATCCGTTTAATGTGGAGGAGTGGGAGGTTTCAGAGGGGTTTATGACGAAATGGAGTTGGTTGTTGAGAACGGGGTGTGCGCCGCTTCTGAAGGCGACGGATTTACATAGGGAAAAGAGAGGGGAGGAGCCGATGAATTGGGAGAGATGGGGGATTCAGGTGTAGTGAATGATTGAATGAATGAGGGATGTGTATTCGTATTGTATTCCATGGAATGCCCGTGTGAATGGATAGGTACATACGCTCATTTGATTGATCGATTGATCGCTCGTAACATCAACTTCAACGTCTTCTCGTTTGAACAGATCCATCATCCCTCTATACTATACTATACCTCTTGGATATAATTCGCAGGTACACTACGAACCTCACCGTTCTTTTCCACATCCGCCCATCCATCTCCTGATCCCATGCTCACCAAGATAAACTTCTCTCCTTCCACCATGTCGAACTCAGCGTCGCTTTGAGCTGTGTATGCATATAATGCTTCTGCGTATTTAACCTTTTTCGCTCCCCTGCGTGGTGCCACTGCCGGGCCTTGTTTCTTCTTGGATGCTAGGTTGGATGAAGCTAGTGACGCACTCGAGTTGTTCGAGTACAGTGATGGTGGTCGTTCCTGTGCGGGAGTGCTTGCCGCGGGAGGAAGTTCTTCGAGATATGCTGTCGGTACGAGTCCTTCCTTGCCGAAGCCGACGCTGATTTTGGTCCAGCCTTGATCTGTTCAATGCAGTATTAGTTCTGTGCCATGTGTCTGTCAACACCTTACGTACCGTCTGGTTCGATGATTTTAACTTCAGCCCCTTCCGACACTGATACTTCTCCCGAATCGCGAGCCTCGTAAGGATACAGCATCCTTCCTCTGGGTTGATTGCTTCCGTTTGCGGCGGCCCCTGAAGAGCCAACATATGCCGCCGGAGGTGGAGCCACTATTCGATTCCTTCTTGTCGTGGCCCCTGTACTCGCTCCAGCGGTGGATGGTGCTGCTGTCAATGGCGAGCTCGTTGTGGGTGTCGTGTCGTCTTGTGTGCTGGTTCTCGGAATATTGCCAGACATTGATCGACTCGCACTCGCCGCATAACCAGACGACAGGCTGTTCATCGTATCTTGTCTCGTGAGAGGAGGAAGATTGTTGTTGCTATTGCCGTTCACCACAGGCGTCTCAGCCGCGATGCTAGCTGCCGCCTGCCGCTCTGCTTTGAGCTTCTTCCGCTCTTCCTTGGTTTGTTCGCCCGGACACTCAGCTGGCACCTTCATCTGACACTTGCTATGACATGTGAAGCCACAATCAGTACAGATGAATCCCTTTGCGCTCAGACCCCAGATTCGGTCGCCACATAGGTCGCAATTGGTGGGAATCTTGAAGGTCTCTGACTTGAACGGGTGACTCTTCCCGTACATGCTGAGGTCACCAACCACTTGAGTGATGGTAGAAATCTCAACCTCGGCGGTCAATCGTCTCCGATCAACGGCGTGCAGAGCCTCTTGCACTGCAAACTGTGACCGAACGCAATCAACCTCATCCCTTCGGTCTTTGCCCGCCCGAATGTTCTGGCGTAAATTCTTCACATTTTCCAGCTCCCGGCATTTAGCGGCCCCTTCTGTTTTGAGCTGGTTGATCAAAGGTTTGCTCTTTTGTAAAATGTTGCGCAAGAAGATCTTGGACGTTTCATCAGTCATCATGTTGTCGGCATCAAGCCAGACAGGGGACGGCTCAAACACGAGATTTGCAGGTTCCTGCCATTGAACCGCATTGTGTCGAACAAACATGTTGCTGTCAAGACTGGGATTGTTTCGGGGAATCTCGGTAGATAGATGGTTCAAGTGCTCAACACTTCGTTTGAGTGTGTTGTTCTCAAGTGTGGCAGCCACCAGCCAGATCGAGTTCAACTTGGACACTCGAGTTTCGTTCAAATCTTGCAATGAGTCCAATAGTTCCGGGACATACTCGTGGTAGTAGCACTCCTTGAGCTTGTTGGTGACGTTGATTCCAATCAAATAGGTGTTTTTGGCATTGTTCATTTCCATCAATTGCTGGTTGTATGAGCTCTGGGCTTTGGCTTTTTCAAAGGATGACTCTGCTTTCTTTCGGCGATTCTCCACCTCCTGACACACGGTATCATATTTTCCCTTGAGTTTCTTGAGGTCGCCATACGACGAGTCTCGTTCTTTGACGAGTTTGGCCTGGTATTCCGCATGGCTCTTTCGAAGTTCTTCCAATTTCCTCGCATTATATTCAAGTGGTGTCGAAACCTGGCTGATCAGGTCTGTGGAGAATTTGGCATGCTCGTTGGCTCGAGCCTCCAATGTGGACAGTTGCGTTGTCCATGTGGTCAGCGAGGCAGCTTCCAATGAACCCGGCGTCAAGACTGGATTGTCGCCAACGCTCAAATTGCTAGACTTTTTTGCCTTTCTGTCATAGTATTTTTTCGCCAGCGCAGTCAATTTCTGGCTGTATTCTTTTTCGATGGCGGACCGCTCTTGGTAAAACTCTTGGATTTCGGTGAGCCAACCAATTCCGAGGCTGACCTGTTTGGAGGAAAGGGTTAGGGAATGTAGGAGGGTATGATCTTGCGAAAGCTACTCACCCAGTTGTCTACGGGCTTGTAGGCATCCTGTTGACGGGTCAGTGGTCAGTTCTAGCTCAAAGAGTTGGCGCAATCTGAGAGCGCACCTTGAGTTCTGTGCCAAAGCTGACAGCGTCCACTTGAGCCATGATAATGTCACAAATGGAGCTTGACTCAACGGCATTGTATCATGACGGTTGACGGAGGATGTAAACTCTCACAGACCAGAAAGGACTGAAAGAGTGCCGGTCTCATTCAATATTAGCGTAGTTTGTTCAGGTACAGTTGCATTCGTCTGCTTCTGGAATCTCGACTCGGAGTACTTAGAGTTGATTTGGAGAGGGCCGAGACATTTGGCGGGGGACTTGCGTACTCGCAATGATGGTGGCGCAAGGGAATTATCCAATTGGTAGGGAAACAGAGGGGAGAGTTGTAGGTGTTTGAACAAATTGCATAGGCGGCCAAATATCACTACGGGTGTCACTGGTCACCACGAGAGACCCTCATCAAGTTCTAAAATTTGAGGTTGTACAAGAGGGACTGTAGACAATAAATTCAGTCATCGGTAAATAGCTTGCTTGATCATGGACTCTGGTTCTTCCTGCTCATCTTGTAAAACCACCAAGAGGCGTGGCTCCGGCTCAGGCACCAAAGCCACGATTGGGCGACCACTGGCCAGCCATCGGGCACTACTTTCAGGGCCAATGAGCCCCTATGCGGGCTTATAGGTAAAGGTTTATGCCTTAAGGGGTGATTGTTTGGTGGTCTCCCCACTAGATTTGGGGTTGGTTCCTATCAAGAACCCCGCGCTGATGTGCGCCACATTTGCAAAAAAGTGTGCGCCACGGCCAACCCAAGTGGAAAGTGGCAGCAGATGAGGAGTAAAAGCTGCTTGCAGCTCACGTGCGACTCACCCTGACCGGGCACGCCATGCCACTTTTAAATGTGTCACTGCCAACCAGACTAATACCTACTTACTTTACTTAGTGATTGTTCAGCCTTGTCTGCACATGCCTCCTCCTCCAATTGATGTTTGTACGCTGTCTCTTGGTCAATCTTTGCCCTTATCACAGCTGGTGCATTTGATTTTCTTTGCTTCACCGTATCAGCGACTATGGCGGATTATAACTGTCCACTTGTTCGCGTGTAATCAAATATGACATGCTCCTTGGTCATGAAGCAGCGAGATTTGCCCATTTCCACGAACCGCCGCTCATCCTCCACCAACGCCTCGGAGGCCTTGCGCGCCTCCTCGCTATCATGGCTCGCGGACGGGTCAGCTATCCACACTTCGGTAATCCCGTCCAGCGCCGGCGCAAAGCCGCGCTCCTCAACTATACTGGCATTGATCTCCGGCGCGACGGTGTGGCTCTGAATATATTTGGCCATGTTCGAAACATCCGCAAACCCGCGCACGAATGGCCCATGGTCCTTTAGCCAGGTCTCGTGGCACGCCGCCAGGGTGAGATCGTCGCGCTTGGTCAGTAGATACGTGCATTTAATCGACTGATCGCCCAACGGCTTCTTGTCGGTGTAGTCGAAGATAGTGTGCTCCTGCGAGAAGAAGACTTGGGATCCTTTGATGTTGATGAATTTGTCCTCATCGGCCGCAAGCGCGGCGCTCGCTGCACGCCCTTCGGACGTCGCGTAAGCTGCCTGAAAATCCTCCAAGCTATCCCACCACACCTCCGTGATGCCTGCGACTGGCGGTAGCATTCCACGGGCACTGCGTAGTGCCTCGTTCGCCGGCGTGTCGATCAGATGGCTCTGCACATATTTCTTAGCGCGAATGGCCTTCGCATGGCTACGCACCAGCGGACCATGCTTGTTCAGCCAGTAGTCATAAAACTCTGCCTCCGAAACATCGGCACGGCGGTCAACTACATAGACGAGCTTGATCATGATGTAGGTCTTTGAGTAGTAAGATTTTCCGTCCCAAAAGGGCGAGGGGTGTCGCGTACCTAATGCAGACAGAGAAATTTCTCGGTGTCACGTAAATGAAACCAGCGAAGACAGACCTCTGATTGATGGCAACTGTTGATAATCGTGACTAACGGATTCTCAAGGCAAGGCTTCAAGTTTTGGCTGAGTCCTTCTCCTCTATAATAAGTAAACTGGCTTCCGATATCTACTTACTGACTACTAAGGACCCTAGAAATCATTCGGTAGGCAGTTGACCTCGGCCTCCTAGATGGACCATCCCGAGGCTGTGAGACTACTATATACGACTGACTAAGAATTTGAGTTCCCTGGTTTGGGGTAGTGGCCTCGCACTGCAGGCGGGGAAAGGCGGGGAGTGTGAATATGCCTTTTACCGGCTGGGTCTGGGTGAATTCCGTCCGACTTGCAACACACTCGGCCCACGAAGGCGCACCCAAAATGCCACAATTGGTCGACCGCAACCTGGGACGGAGGAAGGGAGCAGTGGCGAAAGGGGGGGATTTGGGCGCAGACGGCATCGAGGGTCGGTCGTTCGAAAGCGGAGGACAGGATGGAAAAGCAAAGAGGCACTGGAACGTCGCAGATTTGCCGGGCGAGAGCAGGGCGTCTTAACGGTGAGAAAAGTAGAGGACCGTCATTCTCTCTGTCATCGAGACGATCAGGTCGGTCCAACTGGAAACGAAAGGAGGCCACACCAGTCCGGCGCAGAGTGCAGTCGTGACAGCGGCGGGGGGAGAGTTTATGTCTATATAGACTCAGACAACGAAGTGACGGGTTGGGCCCTAACGCAGGGCCCGCGGTGGGCGGCACCAGCTTTAATCTGTTCCTTACCAAGACGCTGCTTTTTATGGTCCAGGAACTGCCTCTTGCGGCTCTCGTGAACACCACGTCTAAGTGAATCAGCCAATAACAGTTGAAGATTGAAGTACCCACCGAGCTGGCCGACGCCGGCCGTTGGATGAGCACAGGGCGGCGTCATGCTTGACCTGATCCGGTGTGTGCGGCCAGCAGTTTTTCCTCTAACTGGCATGAGTGTCAATGGAATGGATCACGGCAAAGTTGATATCAGGTATTGTGAGTCTGCGACAATGTCATGTCTGTAACAATATCCGTCACTCAACCCAGCCAGACTCCCAATCACCGATTTCTTTTCTTTTTCACATTACCTTACACATTTCAACATTAATCTATTGCAGCGATCCCTTTGAGATCACCCACACATGACCTCGATCTCGCTCCCACTTTCACCCACCAACACTTGACATTCACTCGCTTTCTTTGACTCGAGAACCCTCCAGCTTGATACAACCCGCGAGATCGATCACGCTCGTTTGATCGACTTGTGATCCGGAGTGATCACCCCTCCAACCCCCTCTACCTCACCGATCTCTTCTCCCTCGTCTCCTCTCAGATCATGTCTGCCCCAACCGGCGGCTCGCTAGCCGATCGCGTCTCAAAACCCAACCCAAGTGCAGAGCCCTTCCAACCAAAATCAGGCACATCTTGGGCCGATGAGGTTGCTTCGCCGGCGGACGAAGAGCCTCCGTCCATAGACAGCCTCAAAATTGGTCAAGACACAGATTCTCCCGCCATTCCTCAAACTGATGGAGCTGCTGGGGAAAATGGAGGTTCAAGTCTACACGAGCCTGATTATCAGGTCGAAATCAAACTGGCCGACATGCAAGCGGACCCAAATAACCCCCTTTATTCAGCCAAGTCATTTGAAGAACTAGGACTGTAAGTCAATTCACATGTTTTCACAAGGCACCGTCTGACTTCCCTAGCCACGAAAACATTCTCAAAGGTGTTATGAGCATGAACTTTCGAAACCCTTCCAAGGTGCAAGAAAAGACACTACCTTTGCTACTCATGAACCCGCCTTCAAACCTGATCGGTCAATCTCAGTCTGGCACTGGAAAGACTGCCGCATTTGTTCTCAACATCCTCGCTCGCCTTGACCTTTCCACCGAACAATTGCAAAAAACCCCACAAGCCTTGGTTCTCGCTCCCAGCAGAGAGTTGGCTCGACAAATTGTTGACGTGGTCCAAGTCATGGGGAAGTTTGTTCCAGGACTTGTCGTGGAAGCGGGTGTTCCTCAAGATGCTGCCCAACGAACGAGGAAAATTGAGGCTTCGGTGGTTGTTGGAACGCCAGGCACGGTCATGGATTTGATCCGCAAACGCAACATGGATGCACGAGGCATGAAGATCCTTGTTCTTGACGAGGCCGATAACATGTTGGATCAGCAAGGTTTGGGCGACCAATGCATCCGCGTCAAGGGGTAAGTTCGTCAAGACAATTTCTAGAGCACGACTGACTGGCGCAGCATGCTCCCCAAAAACATTCAAATCGTCCTTTTTTCAGCGACATTCCCAGACCAGGTTGTAAAATACGCCACGGCCTTTGCTCCTAATGCCAATCAAATGACACTTCGACATGAAGACTTGACGGTTGAAGGTATCAAACAGATTTATCTCGATTGCGCCAACGATCAAGCCAAATATGATGCACTTGTCAGATTCTACGGTCTATTGACCATTGGCTCCTCGATTATCTTTGTCAAGGTGAGTCCCTAGCCGAAAATCGATAACGATATTCAAAATACTGACGGATGGTAGACTCGAGAAACAGCACAAAATATCGAACGACGGATGACGGCCGAAGGACACAAAGTGGCCTCACTCACGGGCGGTTATGAAGGTACCCAGCGAGATGCCATTATCGATTCCTTTCGAACTGGCAATGCCAAAGTCCTCATCACTACCAATGTCCTCGCTCGTGGCATTGATGTCCAGTCGGTGTCGATGGTGGTCAACTACGATGTACCCGACAAATTCCTAGGTCGTGGACAATATGTGGCAGATCCTCAAACCTATCTGCATCGTATCGGACGGACTGGTCGATTTGGCCGAGTCGGCGTCGCCGTCACTTTTATCAGCACAAGGGAAGACTGGGAAAAGTTGATGGAAATCCAAAAATACTTTGGCACAGAGATGACCCAAGTCGCTACTGACGATTGGGATGTCCTCGAGGAGACAGTGACAAAGATTATCAAGAGTTCAAGAGCAGGAACAAACTTTAAGGGAGCTAATATGTCTCGAGCATCTTAGTACGATCGATCGGGTGGAAGAGGAGCTGTTATTGATCAACGAGCTATTCACGCAGTAGCAGAAGGGTCTATCAGCTTCACCGACCTCGGATCGTTCTGGTGATCAAGCCAGCAAGAGCAAGGATGTCAGATTATTCTCAAGGTCTGAAGCTACAGAGCTGTATCAGATGAGAATTGTGAGAGTGTATGACAAGCTTGATACCCACAAAGACGAATACGTTAGCGATGGATGGAAGCACCAGAAGAGAAGCAAGTCATGCCAGAAAATGGGATGATGGCCATTAAATCACTGATCAAGGCTGAGATCACCAATCACTAGATTTACCCAATAAATCCGCTATGGCTTCCAACCCTTTTTGATCTTCCTCATCAAATCCATTTACCTCTGTACAATCAATATCGATGACACCGACGACCTAAACACACATTCATAATTAGCCGTCACATCACAGGTAAGATTGACAAAAACAACGGCCTAAAAGGTCCCAAACCAAACCAAACCAACTCACCTTCCCATCTCCATCCCTGATCGGCACCACAATTTCACTCCTACTATCCCCATCACAGGCAATATGCCCAGGAAACTCATGTACATCCTTTACAACAACCGTCCTCCCATTCCCTTCCGCCGCCGCACCACATACACCTCTCCCCACCTTGATGGTCTGACACGCAACTTTGCCCATAAAAGGACCGAGAATCAATTGCGAACGTGCAGGTACAACATCAGGGTGATGGTCAATCACGTAGAATCCAGACCAATTGACGGAATTCGATGGTGAGGGAAGAGAATGATAGAGGTGCCACAAGAGAGAAGCGGTGTTGGCCGTGTTGGCGACCCAGTTGCGTTGGGAGTCGAAGAGTGATTCCAGGGACGTGAGGACTTGCGTGTAGGCGGAGGATTTTGTAATGGAGGTGGGGAAGAGCGTTGTGTCGGCGTGGGGCTAGAGGGGAGAGGTTAGTTGGTAGGTATGTAAGGTATGTACATACTTTTGTGTATATCAATGATTTGTATAGGGAAGGGAAGAGAAAGGGAGGTATTGATTGTATGGTGATGGTAGATGATGTATCGGAATTGTTTATGACTTTCAGACTTACCATGATGAGTGGGTAGGTACCTTCTTATCGAATCATGAACTTGAAAATATTAGAACTAGCATGTAACCTCATGTCCAAGTCAAAACATCGATAAAATAAAATCTCATTTCCAGTGTCGGTCGTGAGGATGTGAGAAATAAATTTGAGGGGAATAAATAAAGTGCCATAAGATGACGCCATTAGAGCAGACTCAAAGTAGATTCGGAGAGTTACGAATACTACTATACTACTAGGTACTTACTTTTGGTCTGTTCTATTCTGAATGACTCAAAACCACTCAAACCTCATCTCATCTCATTTCCGAGTCATGGCTAAACTTTTATTTGAATACACACACACATAGAGATAATATTTGATAGACAAGACACTCTGCCACTCACTACACCGTCACAATAGCCACCTGATGTCTCTTCTTGCTCTTGGAGTGCCAACATGGCAAGAGGGTTTCATTTTGCCACTCCAATCGCATGAATACATCTTCCATCTTCCCCAACTGAGTTGACTGTGAGCAACATCAGATGGGAACATGGTTGCTTCTGCTTGTGCTTGTGCTATTGATCGTAGTGTAGATCGCGTCCGCCGAATGTCTATATTTTCTCAGATAAACCCGAAATATCCACCCTTCGTGCTGTCTCCCACTGCCACTACCGTCGCAGTGTTTAACAACCAGGCACATAAATGTGTAGACGACCTTGGTCCGCACTTCACGTGCTGGGTTGAGATCCGAAGAGTCGGGCCTTCTCTGTGATCTTTTGAATACCGAAAGATGAGGTGACTTTCTTCTTACTCAACCCTCAGACGTAGTAGTAATTCCCGAAATGGTCTATCAATCAATGAAATCCTCCGACGTCCTGGTCCGTAGTCCGTGGGCGTTGCCGTTCGCTGGTTGATTTATGTCGTATCTCTGTGTTTTCTTTTCTTTTGTTTCGATCGTCTCAATGATGGTCATCAAATAGGTATCTGGCGAAGTCATTGATGATCAGTGAAGGGAACTGATATAGTTGATATAATCATCCACCCCTCAAGCAAACTGCCAGCAGTCCAACTGAGAGACGGTGATAGTGATGATCCATTCAAGAAACCGCCGACATGGGTTTCCGTCCATAGATAACAATCCTGCAACATAACCTGTCAGAAATACACTCTCTCCATCAACATGGAAAGATCAAACTTACGCAGGCCAATAATAACAAGCCTTTTTCAAAGTGAATTCCTTCCTCGTCTGAGCAAGCAACACCGCAACCTCCTCCGGCGTCCATTGCAGACACCGACAAAAGATCGCTAGACTCAAACTCTCCATACCCTGTAACATGGCCACCAATTGAATAGCACCAGATTGTTTCAACGTCGGATCAGCTGGCCATTGTCCAATGGGTTGACGATATGGATAAACATGAACATCTTCGAAACCGACTTCGCGCATTAAATCGGCCAGCTTATCGAAATGAAGGTCTAGTCTCCGGCCCATGACTTGAATACCTTGTCGCATCAATCTGCACCATTTTTGAATGCTGCTGTTCTCGGGGATTGTGTAATGGTCGCTGCTGATGCGGGTGGTTATTTCGTGGATTTCAAAATATCCGCCTGGGCGACAGTGTCTTGATCATCACATTAGTCACAATGCCCACCCACAGAACTAATCTTCAGGTTCATCATCTTACCGAAACGCCTGCGTAAAATACTTTCGAAAATGAGCAATACTCCCGGCCAACATGACTTTTGAAAAGATAAAATCAAAATGATTCTCTGGAAACGTCCAGTCATCTTCAATGTCGTCGACTTCAAACTTGACATTCGGAGGAACCCAAGCTGGTTGAATGGGACTTAAATCCACACCGATGATTTGAGCGGCAGGTAATTGTTCGGCGACTTCAACTGCCCAAATCCCCGTTCCAGTACCTAGATCGAGAATATGGAGTGGATTGTTTAGAGGAGAGAGATAGTTGCGTTTGCCGAGAGCGAGAAATCCAGCGTGATGTTGCATGTTGATACGTTCTTGTTCGGGTTCGTCGTTGGGCATAAAGTACGCGCCTTCTTTGAAGGCATGGTATCTACGGCCATTTTCGTATTTGTAGTCGTAAATCGATGATCGAACGCTTTCGGTGAGGACGGACACGTCTTCGAAAAAGCCGGAGTCGTCGGTTTCATACTATATAAGAGAGAGTTGAGAACGTGCGGTAATTAGAGAGGTGTTGAGTCACTTACACCTTCACCCTGTGGAATGGGCGCGCCGAATTCATTGAACTCCATGATGAAAGACTGAGAATGAGAGTGAGATATCAAGATGAAAGAATCATATCATATCATGTCATGATCAGGAATACAATAATAATGAGGACCTTCAAGTCAAGTCAAGTCAAGTCAAGTCAAGTCAAGTCAAGTCGATTGATTGAATGATGAGGTAAAGTAGTTAAAACCTGCACCTACAAGGTTCAAATTCGTTGGCGATAATCCACAACAGCTCTAATTGATTGATTAACCCGACCCGCATCGCATCGCCTGCAGCCACCAAGTACGGGTACATGTACGCACAGTCCCCCTATGGCTTAACTAAGTGATTGGATGCTAGGCACAACATGTGGACCAAAACCAACCCGAGGAGGGTCGAACAGACCAACCCCAACGATGGATTGGGGGGGGGGACGGGGGTAGGTGATACTTGCGCCGTGTCCCCGAGAGTCTTGAGTCTGAGCCTCTGACGCAGACGCATATTCTGGCCGTCTTAGGATTAATGAAGAAAAGCTAAAGGGTGGGATGGGTTTCCAAGCCTTGAGCTTGAAGCGAGGGCTAGGGCCACGTGGCGAAGGGGGGAGAGAGCCGAGGGGCGGCTCTAAGTACTCCGTAAGGTAGGTTGGCCCAGTGGAGGTGCTTTTAGAGGGGTTCGTTTTGACCTTTCACATTCTACAGCCTCCATCGCTCAGCCAAATTGCAAGTACGGATACCTTAGGTAGGCACCTACTAGGTAGGTACCTAAGTACGTCTCTCCTCAGGGACTGTATGTAAGGTATGCATCTGCGTCCGTATATGCCAGATATGAAGTGTCAACAGAATCCTACCACGCCTACCATATCTCCCACCCTCACTCTCCCTCAGACCTAGCCCTCATGTCAGGTCCTCGCATCGCATCCGCATCGCATGCGTATCTGCATCTACGAATATGTCCGTGCGAGATCCTCTGATCCTTCTACAGTATGTATACGTAATACCCTCCCTTAGGCTCGACACGGTGAATACCTGATCTGTAGGTACCTAGGTAGGTAGCCCGATGGGTGCTGCGGGGGGGCCAGTTAAAGACGCCCGTTCGTCGCCGTTCTAAGTAGGCCGAGGCGGGCCCGGACAAGCCCTCATTCCCGCGTCGATCATCCCTGGAATAACGATACCAAGGCACCACACTAAGGCCTTATGGGCGTTCCAACGTCACATTCAGCCGAATCACCCACGAAGATCCTTTCTCCATTGTTTGGTAGACTCCACACCACACGTTGATTGTATATCCGATCGTTGGCATTGGTGGCGAGCGATGCGAGCATCCGTGCATCTCGAGATTTTGGATACGATCAGATCAGATCATGTCAGTGTCAGGATCAGGATCAGGATCGCATCTGTATGCACGATCATTGCATTACGATGCAGTAAGTACTTTGCAATGTATGTTGCAGTGCGTTATAGCTATAGCCTTAGGTACAGTCAGTGACGCAAGAATCAACACCTGCATCCACAGCCAACTCCATCCTCAGAATTTACCCACGCATGCCGCGTCGTGTGATTGCAACATCTCAGATTCATTTACAGTCTTTCAATATCAATATCAACATCAACATCAATATCAATGTACGTACATCCTTACGTACATGTACAGGATAGATATGTACATGTATCTACACGTCCACTTCAACCTCACTGGACCGCTTCCTTGTTCTCCTTCATCTCCTCAACCTCGACATGTTCCTCCACTCTCAACCACATGCCCTTCTGAATCCAAAGCCCATAATTCGTATCCGACTCCATGGGTTTATTAGGATCGATAAAACTAAACTCAAACCGTCTCATCAACTCGAAAAAAGTCTTGAGCAATTCAATCCTTGCCACCTTCTCACCCATGCACCTATACTTACCATATCCAAACACCAACTCATGCGACTTCTCCATACGCGCCAGAGTCTCCTCATCCGCTTCAAGCCATCTTTCCGGTCGAAACACATCCGCATCTGCGCCATACACCGTGTTCTTGCGGTACACATTCCAGGCGCAAAACCCGATTTCTGTCCCTGGAGGTAAGTACATACCCTTGTGCATGTCCCCTTGAAGGCCGACTTTTCGGGGCATTAAGCCTGTGGCGGCCGGGTGGTAGCGAAGGGCTTCTTTGACGACGGCGTTCAAGTAGGGTAGGTCTAGTGCGCGAGTGTTGGAGATGATTTCCGTTAGGGGAACTCCTGCATTGACGCATTCGGCTTGTAGGCGGTTGTAGATCCTTGGTGTGGATATAATGTGTATGAATCCAGACCTCAAAATGGTAGCTGAGGTGTCGCTGCCGGCGAGGATTTGTAGTAAGGATTCATCGCCAATCTCTGCTTCGGTGAGACCATGTTTGATGAAGCTCTGAGTGATGTCCTGTTTGGTTTCCTTCTCGGGTCCGAATCGACGGGCAATGATGTCTCGTGTGACAGCTTTGATCTTGCCCATACCCACTCGGTCTTTGACTGTTGGGAGTGCAGCCCGCTGGACGGCGGGAATTCGCATGATTCTACTGAGAATCGGCACCGCAGACATAAAGTTCATGGCAGGCATGTTTTCCTCCATAGTCTTGAGACACACACCATTGTCAGCATACATCAACAACACATCAACCCAACGATCCATTCTTCTACCAAGACTCGTCAACATACCTTGACATATTCATACATGTCTTTGTCTTCACTGATCCACCCAAACGGCTGACTCAATGACAAAGACGTGATGACATCCAATGTAAAGAATTGCATCGTATTTGCAAAATCCAACGGTCTGAGGTCGGACCCACGACTGATATACTTCCTTTTGATCAGATCAAACAACTGCCACAAAACACGATCGATGTCGGTCTCCAGGGTAGGGTTTTCTTTCCCGGAATACTATTCGGATCAAAACTGTCAGTTCTGTGACGCCCATCCCCGCCGTGTAACAGTAATAGTAACAGTGACATGTCAAGCCCCAACAAGAAAACAAGATAAGGCAAGACATGAATGAAATTCCACTCTTACCCCGGCCGTCACTCGCATACGCATCTTGATATGTTTCTCTTCATCCGGTTCTGAGAACAGATTCTCACGGTCGGCATCGAATTTGAATGCTCGATACCAATCTCCTCGACTATAGGAGGATCGCACGCTGCACATTTTGCGAATGAGTTCTTCATCGCATGTCACGAGGGTATTGGGTCCGATGCGAGCGGTAGGGCCTATTGGAACGATGGAAAATATTCTGGTTAGTAAAGGTATCCAACTCTCTGCTGGTACACGAATAATATGCTTCGTGGACATACCATATTTGTCGCAGGCCTCAGATAGACGCAGGTAGGCTTTATTGGCGACAGCGGCGCGGACATACCACAGGTGGGATATCGCAGCGAGTGGAGGTCCCTTGATATGTCGCAGTCGCCAATATGATCTGGCTGTGGAAATCACATAGTAGAGAAACCATGCTGACAAGATACCATACAGCCACAATGACATGGTGGACGTGTAGGAGGTTTTGATTGGTATTGGAGGTAATGGAACGACTTCCAGTATTTCGGTCATTGGGTCGGTGTCCAGCAGATGGAAGGGCGAGCGCATAGGTCGGTGGGTGGATGGATGGATGGAGGGATGGGTGACTGATCTGTTCCTTGACCTCGTCCTCAAGCAACCCAGCCCAACCCACTGGTCAAGTTAATTCGTCACACACGTTTGCATTCCACCTTCTGAGCTCGGTTTGAACGATATGACGAGTAAGAGACACTGTCGAGGAAAGAGTCATCTCAAGGGCATATCGTAGCATCACGATCTTGACGGTTGAGTACCTAGGTAACTAGTCTGCATGATACAAACGTTACCTGAGTGGGCGCAGTTGGCAGACAAGACACTGCAGACACTGATGGCCAACGCAGATGATAGCGTGGACAAGACAAGACAAATCAATCAATCGATCGATCCGGGTCAATCCAATCCCCAAGAAATACCTAGGTAACTTAATGAATGATTAGCTTCTCGGTGGATACAGACCTTTACTTTAGGCAAGGTGGAAAGGCACACAACACACCCGCATCAGGTGCCGCGGCCTAAAAGGATGCTAAACGAAGTACCAAAGTTAGTTAAGAAGATCATGTCCCGTCCGTAGCACATCCTCGCATCGAGCATCGAGGGGAGGGGAGGGGTCGGTCGTGGGGGTTGGATCATACTGTACATAGCACTTACGAGTACATGCACTTATCACTGTCTGTTTGTCAATCAATGAATGCCAATACCCAGGACGAATTCGAATCCACTGGTCCGGATGGACTCCTTGTGAACGCTGCTTTCTTGCCTTGATCTGTGGTTGAGCCATGGGATTACTGACTAGCGACAACGATGCATGAGGTCGCTTTGGAGTACGATAGAAACACATTCATTGTGATTTGCTGGATACCTAGATTCATGCAGCCACTCAACGCAACCACCGTTCGAGCTACCGTTAGCTACCCCCCGTGTCCCCCCAAGCGGCCCTGAAGAATCGCGGCACGGCTCACTTTGACACCCGCATCCCCAACCAACGGGCGTCGTGGGTGTCTCTCGGGGGGGTGGGATTGGCGCCTCTCGGCCATGCGAGTTCGGAGAAGATGCCCGCATGCCACCTATCAATTGCCCCGCAGTCCACATGTTTTGGCCACAACGTGCATCATCACTAAGTACTCCGTACCAACACAACAGGCCCCTCGGCCCGACCAGAAACAACACATTTGCCAGCTAACAATCTACAATCTACAATGGTCCACAAGACCAAAAAACCCACTGATCCATGTCTCAGCATTCGTATGCATTTCTCATTGTCATATCGTCGTTATCATGCTCCACTTGACAAGCAAGTGCTATATACGGCTTGCTTGATGACTCGCCAGAATTGTAGATATCCTAAGGTAAAGGTAATCCAAGCTCATAGGGTCAAAACTCCTTGCCTGCCGGATGCCAAACCGCCCAACTATACAAGAATGCTGATCTCATGTTGCTTCATCTGCTGCCGCAATCTGGTCATACCACTTACTGTGAGCCTTGAGGTCCACGGTCCGAATCTTGTCTAGTGAGTTTACCAGACGATTCACCTCGTCCAGGAACTCGGGCATCCCCAGTCTAGCTAGAGCCTCTGCCGCTCCTGTCGTAGTCCGTACTCGTTCCGCCGTCCCGCTGGCCGAGAGTCTAGCAAATACATGTTCCCTCAATGATTTCAAAAGGAAGCTAGCAATCTGTTCACTGAAGCCCTCCTCTCCATCAGTACCTGCTGAGTTGCTCTTTGAAAAGTCGTATGCAACTTGATTGTGTAGGGCATCCTGGTATTCTTGCTCAGCCAAGTCAACATGATGCGCTGCTGCGGCGGCAGGCGGAAGAACTCGTCCCACAAAGTTGGCCACGCCTTCCTTCGTCGAGTCCGGCATCATGTGAGATGACTCGATGAGGGAGACGATGCGGTTTGCATCCACTGTTTGCAAATCCAAGGACATTAGTCTTTGTGCATCATTAGTCCACAGAGACTCTCGGTGTCGACGCAATCGAATTTTGGTGGTGAGGAGGATTGAAGACGTGGCGATCACGTGGAAGACTCGAGCTCGTAGCTTCAACAAACGTACATAATCCAACTGTAGCGTTTCGGGGAAATCCACATATTGAACGCCGGAATTTCGTAGAACCAAATCTACCAAGCCTCGAGCATATATCGCACTCCCAGTGCTGCGAGGGGTTGACAGGCTCGAGCGGGCATTGGCCCACCACTGCTTGGTGCGTTCAAGGGCGTGGACCCCGGTTTGGATATCTCGCTCAAAAGAAACAAATTCATGTTCATGTCCCTTTTCCAGAACTGACTGTGACGCCAGTCGGAATTGGAAGTTGATGTGGTCCAATGTCATCAAGTCTATAATGTCGATCAATTCAAAGAATCGCTTGATGGTGTCACCAGATGTATTGGTGGAAAATGCTTTTACTGCTTCGTCCCGTCCCGGCGAGCAGATCTGCGAGATCATGCCCGAGATGGTCTGGAAGAAAGAGTCGTAAGAGAAAACTCCGTTGACAGATTGTTGCCGGATCAAGACCGGATCAAGGAATCCATCAATTCGGTCGTGTAGAGGATGTCGAGGGCTGATCAGGTTCATCAACTTGTCACGGATGAGGACAGCCATGGCATGGGTCCATCGGGTGATGGATTCACCACTGCCATCTTGCATGCTCAGTCGCATGTTGCTTTGGAGAGAGTCCATCAAATCTTTCCGTGCCTCTGTCCACGGTCGCTGTTGGACTTCAAAAGTTCCGTTGATTTGTATCTCGTGAGCAATCTCGCGATTTGAAGGGAGAACAGTCATGATCTGGCCCAAGCTATCGGCAAATGACGACGTCTTTGGAGACATGCTTCGCACTTCGGGCTGTGGAGTGGCAGGAGGTGTGAGTGGTGCCCCGTGTTCCGAGACACCAACCTCGTTGGGTGTGGTGGCTCTCGGCACTTGAACAGCGGTCTTGCGCTTCTTGTCTGCGGCGTACTGTTTCCGTGCCTTACGCACCGCCACTCGGACTCTTGCGAGTGCCTCTTCTGTGCCAGCCATTCGTTTGAGCCGGGCGAGTAACTTGACTTGTTCTTGTCGAACAGCTTCAAGATAGTCGTCTGCAACATGTCCTTCGTGGTCGTTCTTTGTGGCCTGGATGATCAAGTCTAGATTGACAAAAGAACTGATCATGATGTCCACTAGAGTGTTCAAGTCCTGGCTTTTCCAAGTATCAAACGTGGCGCAGAAATCGTTCACTGCAAAGCTCAGCTGTTCCTTAGCCGGTAATGGCTTACTGGGCCGATAGACGGAGAGGATAGCTTGGGTATAAGACTCAAAGGCATCGACTAGAGCCGCAGCCTTTGAGATGAGGTCTTGCTCCCGTCCATCGTGACCGCCATGGCTCAGAGCCTGGACTGGATGTGCAAGAATCATGAAGGAGCTGAGGAAAACCCGAACCATGCTCGAGTCATCCTGTACCTCCCCAAGCAAGCCGAGATACTTGAACAGGGCCAATGTAGTTGAAATCGTATCATCTCTGGCTAGCACCTGTCTGAGTTCTTCAAAGGGAGAAGATTTGGCAACCTTCAGGGACAGACCCACTGCAGAAAATGCAGAAACGAGCTTGCGAGTTTGATAATAACGCCAGGCTCTTTGGATGACTTTGGCCGAGAAGACACGATTGGTCCGCTTGACAACCGGCGCCACCTTTTTCTCCTCGACGGCGGTCAACGAGGTTGCTCTTGACCTGCGCTGGCCTTGCTGGTAGAGAAACTTGCGATGAGCTGCCACTGCGAACTTCTCCGCCATTTCCTCCTTGAGTCTGGCCAACTCAGCGGCCTTCTTCTCCTTTGTTTCCTCTGCAATTTTCTTGGCTCGTCGGACTTCTTCCTCGCATCGTGCTGTGATCTCAGCGAGAAGTTTCTCTCGAGCAGCTTGGGCGGCCTGGGCCTTTTCTTCGGTGTTGTTGGCTCTCTGCGACGCCTTGGCCGCTGCAGCTCTCAGTCTAACTTGCTCGGCATGGGCGGCTTTAGAGGCCAGCCGGGCCTTGCGACTCTCAATGATGGATGCGCGCCGAAGATGTTGGGCAATGTGATTGCTGTGTGGTCCCCCGTGACTTGAGAGTACTGAAGAATGCGAGTGGACGGATGACAGGGAGCTACGGCGAGATGAATTTGCAGACGTCTTTCGACGAGCATTTGATTTTCTGCAGAATCGAGCAGCTAGGCGGGCCGGAGGGTCACGGCAGGCATCTGAGGCATCGGTTTCGAACAAGTTCATTTCAACATCTTGGTTGGCAACCTGGTCTATGGGGTCGTCCATGTTTGGTGATCTGTGTCTGAGGGTGGAAGGATAGGAAACAGGAGAAACAACGGCCGTAGGAAGAGAGGAAGACAAGGAAATCGCTTGCAAGGTTTCGAAGTGGGGTTGTCGTCACAGTACCAGTGCCGGGGACGTCGAGTAAGCGTGGGAGGTTGAATGACAAAGAATTGGAAGCAGGCGAGAAACAAAGGTAGAGAGTGTCGCAAGGCGGATGCAACGAAAGAGTGGCTGTGAACGAGAAGGAGGGAGAATATGAAAGAAATGAGGAGGCAAACAAACCTCTCGAGGGCGTCAGGATGACAAAAGGTCAAGTAAGTAAGTGGGAGGGAGGGGAGGAGAAGGGGCGGCGGCGTGGTGGTTGAAGGTGTTGATGAGGAGGAGTCAGGCTGGTGGCTGGGAGAAGCACAGGGAAGGACAGTGAAGAGTGAAGAGATGATTGTCATCCTCCACCCAGGCTACAGACGGGAGACTGCAGGGCTGTTCCAACCATTACCATGTGGTCGGGCCAGCATTGGCTGGGCACCTGGGGTAAGCAATTGTGGTACGGGCACCAAACCTGAATTGTAATGGGGGACTCGCACGACTTGTTTCATTTTGATGGAGCCTCTTCATTGTTTGATGGGGCCGGAGGGCCTTGGATCTGGGATCTGGGATCTTGGATTTTGGATGGGCAAGGCAAAGCAAAGCAGTACGGAATACACAGCACATCACAAGCACAACGCAGGCCTCACTTGAATTTTGACTGCCAGCGTGCATCGAGCTTGGGTATGGTGCAACCTTAGATTCAGTTTATTAGCGGAAGTCAAGGCCCTCGGCCTTCTGGGTGCCCTTCCGCAACCTTGCATGCCTTGGCTGCTTCCCAGGCATTCGGCCAGCCACTCGCAAGGACCTAGGGAGCTCTCGAGCCGCTTATAGCGTTGCGAGCCAGGATCTTATAGGCGGTCGTGGCTGTTCTTCAGCTGCGTTATGGGTGAGTTTGGGCAAGGGAACGACGCCTCCAACCAACCGCTGATGTAAGCCCAGTTTTAAAACCATCGTCGTCGTCCAAGCTCCCAATTGCGTGATGCAGTCAGGACGCTTCGGAAGTCACAAGAGCAAGTATTTGACAAGATCGGATGTCTCTACCCCTTGCAAGTAGCGAAGACCTTTGATAATCCCAAGGTCGAGGATCGAGAGAGAAATGGTCGGCTAGCGGTCTTTTAGGTATTTGCCACGGGCCAGGATGATCATTTCTCTTTGACGACCTTGATGGGTTTATCCATCCGTTAAGCCGTTAAATCAGTGGCTGGTGATGTAGAAGTCATACAGTTTATCCAAGATCTGGTCTCCCGGTCGGAAGAATCGACAAGAATTGACGGCTGACTGACTCTTTCGCACATTAGTTGATTCACTGCCCTGTCGTCACACACGTCACACACTCAGTCACACGCACCACCACGCATGGACAAAGTCTGTTTCAGCCTCCCCAGCCACTATGCCTGTACTATATGTGCAGCATGGCTTTATCAAGGCACGCAAGGATCCTGTCATGGTCAGATATGCATCCGTCGAGCCGAAAATCATGTCAATGTCGAGGACAAACACACTAGTAGTAGACAAGTAGATTTGTACTCCGTAGATCGAGATGCACCTCGTCAAATCGGTTAACGGCACGGTCGACTCGACGCCATTCTTACGCCTGTAAGCGAGTGAATCAGGCTCGTGATCATTATTCGGGGGTTCTGTTCCGCTTCCCCACAAGCATCGCAGTGCATTCAATGGCCCAGATCCTGGCAGAACGAACATCTTCACGGATCGTAAAGCCAACTTACATCAAAACGATTGTATCTTGAGATGGAAACACTTCAATTCATGCACCTATCCAAACAATCATGCATGTGCAATGCCAGTTCTAGTCATGATATGAACAGTCATTGCAATAGCAAACCATTTCCAACAGATCCCACGCGATCTGCAAATGCTTCTTCTCGGTTTCTTGCCAAATACCCCAGAATGAATCAATCAGATCGACTACAAATTCCCTGTCGTCACATCGTGAGGGCCCATGCTGATAGTCCATTCAATTCGTCAATGTAGGTGCTCGTAACGCCTAGGTAAAATCCACTGTGTTGCCTCGACCTTCTCTCGCCAATCTGGCCTGCGCTCGCTCTGCCCTCCGTCTTCTGCGATTATTTGCGTATTCCGTCGCACCACTCGTTTCCGTTCCTGGACTGGTAACACTACCAGCAGGACCAAGATTGCTGTGAGAACCTGGGATAGGCGGTGGCAGTGGTATCTGATAAGCTTGGCCGGCCGAATGGTCTACCGCCACCCCTCCACTTCCAGGAGGTGGCGGACTGGGATAGAATGAGTGCGCCGGAGTGACAGCTTGTGGCCGCACGTTTGATGCTGCTGCTGCTTCGTTCTCTGCGGCCTGCTGTGCCTCGAGCGCCTCGGTCCTCCTCCAGCGTCGGTCCGCTGCTGCACTAGCGCCGCCTTCGCCAACCATCTCGCCCATGTCGCTGCTTGAAAGGCTAGAATTTCGTCGTCTGCCAACCGCTGAGGCTCGCCGTTCTCTTTGTCTGGCCTCGCGTTGAGCCGCCGCTTCTTCTTCTGTCAGTCGCCGCAGAGTAACTTTGCGGCCGTCGTTGTGCATGTTGATCTTAACAGACACCGGCGGTGATTCCATCGAGTCCGTGTTGGCATTTGCACGGTTGGAAAACCTATGTCGTCCTTCTGCTGCTGCTGCCCCAAGTGCAGCCCCGGCGAGTCCGGCCGCCGCCGCATTGCGATGGCGATGGCGTTGTCGTCCGGAGTTGGTGGTGTAGAGCTCACTACCAGAGGAGTCATGATCATTGTGGTGAGGAGGAGGGATTGGAGGTATATCCATGCCATGTTGGCCGATCATGGGATGGCCTGGCACTTCGACTGGGGGATCATTGCCCACTGGGCGTATTCGATTGCGATCCGCAAGAGCACTTGCGGCGGCTGCCCCGACGCCAGCAGCTGGCAGCGCACCACTCATGCCGTGGTGAGGGTTGTCATCCAACGCACTGGAAAGGTCCGTTGCCGACTGGCTGCCCATCCTACCATGGGTCCTCCTCGGAGGTCTGATTCCATCGCCCGTATACTTATGGGCTGAGTTCATGCGTTGAATCTTTTCCTGCTCAATGCGTTGCCGTCGCAACGTTTCAGACCGCATGTCTTCCTTCCTCTGCCGCCGATTTTTGAACAAGGACCGCACTGCAAAGGCAGCCCCCCCAGCAGCCAGCGCATCGCGGAATGTGTGAGACCGGCGATCGCGTCTAGATGGTGACCCTGACAGATACGAATCATCATAATATGAATACGTGGAAGAGCTGCGACGGCGTCCAGACCCCGGTGTCAAGGGAGGCTGGGCGAGAGGATGAGTGGGACGAACGTGTCCTGGACTGGTCCCGAGTGGTGTTGTTGGTCTCATATTTGGTCGTCCTTCTTCAATTCGCGACATGGAATCCGAAACAACCGATTGATTGCCTCCGAGCGGTGGTCTGTATGGCCCGACATCAGATTCGTCGTCTCGACCACGTCCACCAAATATTTTCTTCGCCGCAGCCACTGCCCCGCCAATTGCCGCAATCTGCAACAGACGATTGCCGAAGCCGCTCTTCTCTTTGCGAGGCTCTGGTCGATGAGAATATTTCTCTTCAGAAATGTAAGATGAAGACATGCTTGTCTCGGTTCCTAGTGAGCCATCGGTCTGATTGTTTTGCTTTTGGGATCGTCGTCGCCACAGTGAGGCTAGTCCAAGGGCGGCAGCACCCCCCAGGATCCATTTCCCCCAGCCGCCACGTTCCTTATGTTGGCCGGGACGGGAGGCAACCTCTTCAGAATAGTAGCCTCCGACACGGTCGCCGAAACGTTGGCCTTGGCGTCGTTCAGCCAAGTAGGACAGGATGAAATAGACTACTATGTAAGCAATCATCAAGAGGGTATACAAGACGAAGAGGTAGAGGGGCGACCCATACAAGGTGAGCCCAAGAGCCACCTGGGTGATGCCCAAAAGAGCGATTGCTCGGCCAAGCCATTGATGGAGCATGACTCGAAGTGGTGTATGTGGTGCGGTTTTGGCTCTGCCTCTATGCGCGATACATCCCCAAAAGACTTGCACCCACAATAGCACATAAATGGCGACACCGATGCCATGATGGGGGTTTGATAGACTTCGATTGGGCCCGACGGCCATGAACCCGAGGATGAAGACGACAGTGGTCAAGAGCAAGGTAAGGATTTGAAGCCAAATGTGCATGCGGAGGGCTAGTCGTGGATTGCGACCGTAGAAGCGCATGAGGAAGATGGCGGTCGGCACAGCGCCGAGAAATGTAATGGCCGCAATGATACCGTGCGTTCTGACCAAGGCATGGTATCCAGTCATGGTGAAAAAGCGGTTTCCCATTCCTGGAGATATGAGTATGTTTCTTTCTCGTAGTAGGTCATATTTGCGTACCATTATATCTAGTTGTCGCGAAGTTGGTGCCGACCAAGTTCGGCAGCAGGAAGGTGTCTCTTCCAGCGTCCCAAGTGCCATCGCCAACGTGCATTGTTCCTGAGTCGTATGAACTGCTACCCGGGGGAGCAAGCTGTGGTGAGGGAGACATAGTAGGGGTCAGAGGAAGCGCAGGCCGCACGGTGGACGTTGCGTGGAGGTGGACCTCCTAGATAAAGGACGAATCGACCATGCAGGAACGTGCGTTATAGTTAAATATCAGGACTCGGTGACACCATATGGTGAAGAGTGTATAGTCGATGATCTTGAGAGTTGGGATTCGTTCTCAGCGGAGCTGTAAATGTCAGAGTCTGGCGGTGATGCTTTGTTTACCGATGATGAAATGGGGTGGCCTGAGCACGATCCAAGTTCTCCAGTGTTTGCCTAAAGATTTGGGGACGACTGGATGATGACTTGAGTACTCTGTGCGTTGCTTGGAATTTGACAAGGTATTAACAACAAGGGACAGCTGAGGTTTTGGGTAGACGACACCGCAAGAGGTGTTCTGAAGGGTTCTAGCAGTCTGGCTATCTTGCTGCTCACCATTCAAGTCGTTCGCTGGCGGTCTGGTGGTAGAAAGTCATGCCAAGACGGTTGGGTCGCGTTGCGCAGGGTGATGGCTGAAGCGGTGGCTCTTTCCCCGTTTTAGCATGACGCCCCCCGGGCTCTTGCCAATCTTGTTTGGTCTTGCCACTTGAAACTGCAGTCACGAACCCCAGCCAGGCACGCAACACGCACACCGTAGTTCCTTCCTTTATCGATTGCGATCTTCGGACATCTTATCGCACAATCGCCCTCGACCAGATTCTTAACATTTTGGCTAAACCTCGATATATCCAAGGCTCTGAGTTGGACAGCATGTTCCAGTCATTAGCAATGTGACGATATCCTTGCCGTTCACAATGTCCATGGGGCGCGTTGATCAGACCTGCTTTCTTCATATCGAGCAATAATTCAACCATACCTCATTAGCACCACTTCCCAAGCTATGGCTGCGAACAATCAGGCAGTCCTTCTCATAAAGGCCATCTCTCGGTAAGTGACATGTTCCAAGCCATTGTAATGGAGTGCCCATCGCTGACAAGCAGAGTAGGCTTCTTGGTTGGATTTAGTAGGCCGTCTTACTTGCCTGGATGATGGACCGACAACACTAATCCGTCTGCAGCGTATTCTCCTGGAGTGCATCTTTCTATCCCCAGCCCATCCTCAATTGGAAAAGACGCTCGACCCAGGGCTTTGGTATCGACTTCCCGACACTGAATATTCTGGGATTTGCTTGCTATAGTATCTCTACCTGCTTGTTTCTCTACTCTCCAACCATTCGAAAACAATATGGGCAAAGACACCCACTGTCACCGGAGCCAACTGTGCGCTTCAACGACGCGGTCTTCGGCATCCACGCCGTTATTCTAGTCACCATCACCTATTCCCAGTTCTACCCCCATATTTGGGGTTTCAAGGCGTATGGCGTCCGAGCCAGTCGGCCTGTATTGGGTATCTTTTGGGGGTGTATCGTGGCGGTGGCGATTGTTATGGCAATTGTATTGAGCTCTAGCCATACTAATGTGAATCGCGAGCCAGCGTGGGAATGGGTTGACGTGGTACGTGGCAGACTCTCAATGCCATGCCGACATGTTTGACTAACGGCCTTGTAGCTTTATACCCTTGGCTATGTGAAGCTCGTCTGCACATTTGTCAAATACATCCCGCAAGCATGGATGAATTACCGACGCAAATCTACCCAGGGGTGGAGCATCTCCCAAATACTCTTTGATCTCGTCGGTGGAGTCCTTTCTCTTCTGCAACTCATCATAGATGCCAGCTTCCAGGGTGATTGGAGCGGAATCACCGGTAATCCCTTGAAATTTGGACTTTCCAACATTTCGATCGCCTTTGATCTCATCTTCATCACACAACACTACGTACTATATCGACACCAGGTTGACAAGTTGATACAAGCAGAAGATCAAGAGGAAGAGCCTCTGCTGAGTTCGTGAAGCCGAGCCTTGCAAATGTAGGCAACCAGCTGTGCACATATTTTCTGCCGGCTTGCCTCTGTCATTATTGCATGTCATACTGAGAGTCGACATTGGGGCAGCTACCGTCACATGACCCCAGATGAAGCATTGAAAAGAAGAAGCGCGGGATCTCCGGATGACATCGCCGTCTTGCCACAGAACCACGCAGCAAATTTGATCATGGGAGCCACGCCAGTCGGAAAGAACTTCGCACTTGGTTTGGATGAAGCATAATGGTGTGGCGATTTCTGGCAGTTAAAGAGCTGCCAACAAGCTGATCCGGTACGATGTTGCGGAAAAATTGGCTGGGTGCGAGACGGATTTTGGATATGGAATGCGAGCGAGTGAAGAACTGATGTAACTCATGATGAGAACATCAGTCGCAATTTCTGCAAACGGTTAGATTAAGGGTGTGAGATTTCAGGGATAGAACAAAGTCATAGGCTATAAGAGTAAAGGAATCTCGTGCGACATTGGTGTTGAATCAAGCGTGGGAGGTTTGTTGATTCAACAATTCCATCCACCCGCGTCATCCGTGTCACCAGTATAGGAATTGGTAAATGGAGAAGTTCAACATCCCAGTGACATTCGAATCGTGTGCTGCTACCGAGCGATTCATAGCTTTAATGATTGGATCTGTGGAAAATCAAGATTTCCTCGTCCTCGTTCGCCATATTCTACGCAGCTGAGTCTGGTCAGGTATCGCCCATCACGAGGAGGCCCACATCGGACAGGGTGTTGCGTCTGCATGCAGCAAGATGACTCTCGTTTCGGGGATGGCAAGACAAAAACGTGCTGTTCCTGATACGTACATCCCATGGCATCATGTCCCTTGAACATGTCCCTTGAATGTCGACGCATCAAGGGCCTGCAGCAGGAAGCACCGCCAACGCAAAGGCCAACGGTCAACCAGACCTGGGAGGTGTAGGAGGTCAAGGATGTCTACTTAGGGGGTTCGAGGAATCAGAATTGAAGGAAGGAGGATTGCGGTGACTCACACTCACCAATCGCAAGTTGCGCAGTTGACAGTCTCACGAGTCGCACTTGCCGTTATTATTACATGAGGTGACTACCTGGTTTCCCCCTTACAAGTAGGTCGCTTGAGGGAAGGTGCAATTCGCAGGTTACTGCCTTCCTAACAGGCCGAGGTAAGCTTAGGCACCCAAGTCAGTTACATTGGTCTGTTTTTTTCTGCAAGTTGACTCTGTCTGCGCTACCTACTCCCTTGCAGCCTCACTTCACAGTCCCTTCACGTCCTCGGACTGGTGATCGACCGCTGGGTGAGCATCAAACACCCTCGACACGACACCGCAAGTCGCTTGACACGTCCCTTCCACGATTCACGGCCAGTCTTTGACGTCAAAAGCGAGTCCAGCAGCAACACAAACAAGATACTCATGGTCAGTCGACCCGAGGCCTTGTTTGAAAGGAGGTGTGCTGACACCTAATAACCAATAGCAATAAACAGCAAAACCCACCTGCCGCTGTCTCTTGCGTCCACTACACGCTACACGGCGTGCGTACTACGTACAGTGCTCGTACGCATCCGCATACGCTGCCACGGCTGCCCAATATCCTGCCACGCCTCAGTCATCTCCTCCACTCTTCAACCTGGGTCAGCCGCTTGCCCAGGATTGCCAGCGATCGTGCAGGGATACGATGGGAGCCCACGGAGCCTCCTTTTAGCGGGCCCCGTTTGCTCTGAGCCGCGCAAAGTTTAATTTTCCATGGTCAACAGGGTACGCTGGCAGTCGTGGCAGTCTAGACCTTGCATCTCCATTGCTTGCATCTTGGAAACGACCAGCCACAAGGCCATAGTCTTCGCCATTCACACGTCGACAAATCCGGCGCTTCGCGAGCCATCGCAATGGCGGTGGATGGATGCCCCAATTGCCTTTGCATCTATGTCCCTCAAAGACGCCATCTGCATATAGACAATCTTCATCACCACCATGGCCCAGCCTATTCCTCTGTTAGCTCATTTTCATGCGGCCTGTCCTTTGCCAAAACCAAAACCCGAAACCTACTTGTGAGCAGCGTGTCTTACGATCCTCATCCCCGTTCCCACCTCTTCGTCTCAAATCAGGCAACACACAATCCCAACTTTGGGTCCAGAGAAAGCACTGCCTCTTGCACTGCCTCACCAATCAAAGTTGGACGCCTCCTAGCCCATCAAACAACAGCTTGACTTTTGTCTGATCTCTTCCTGCCTTGACTTGACCCCATCAGCCTTGCATGTACTTCATCCATCCTCGTGCAACGACCATACAACCACAGAAGCCATTGTCCTACTACCCATTATTCTGCTTGCACCACAGTATCACGACTTACCGTCCCAAGACTCTTCAAAACACAGACAGCAACCCACGATTGGTTGTGTTCCCGGCCTGCAGCCTCCGCAGTTTGCCTACTACTTACCCAACTTCTGGAACCCACACGGTTGGAGAACCACAGAGCCCACAGAGAAGAATCGGTATGACATGCCCCAAAGCCCTCTGAACTTTTGTTCCTCAACTCATCCGTGCTTGCGACCGTGAATCTCAATCTGAGTTCAAGACGATCTGGAGTCACTTTCAGTGGACGTTGATTTCCGTCACTCTAATATGCGGGTCTTGTGCACGGCTATGGCTGAATCTTCGATGTTCCAGACCCTCGAGTCCTCATCGTGTTTTCCCCGCTATACACCTCAGACCACCACCATCGCCAATCTTGTCATTTGCAATGCTCTTGATGGTCAATGCTACGCCATCTTCCTTTGATGGGACCAGGGCCCGTCACTGGGGCCTTCCCATTCCCTCTCCAGCCTAATGCTTCCTCCATTACATATTGTTCGAGGTCCTTTGCCTCGAGCATGGGGCTAACTCGCCTTCTTTCTAGATCCAAAGACTAGGACATCCCTTGCAAGTCGACAACCCATCTCTCCGGCGACGCCAACCTATCTATGGGTTGTTAATACCACATGTGTGCTTACCCAGCAATGTGCAGACCATGATTCCGACAGCTACTCATGTCAAGCGCCGAAGACCAATACTACCGTGTTCCCTACTTTGATCCAGAGAGGGACTTTTTGGGGCCTGAGAGAGCTGTCTCGCTCGAGCCGGTGCAACCCACTTATGAGCCAGAGGAGAGCCCTCGGCCGCCCCTGGTTCGATACGACACATCTTCATCCTCAGGTGAAAGCGAAGGAGAGGGCAACACGGTGCCGCCCAGAGGTTCCAAGAATATAAGAGGTCGAACAGCACCATCAATCTGCGGGGCAGCCCTTATTCCATCCCTAGCCCTAAGTCAACCGCAAAACCCTCTCGCCGCAGGCAAGCATGCTTTAGAGTCTCGCATCGTCTCCGGGGCAGAAGAAGGGGAGGAAGACAGGGAAGGGGTGGCGGACCAAGGAGAAGGCCAGCAGTTCACCTCAGTTGACGGCCAGATGAGACATTGTGTATATCCCATCGACAGTACAGCCTCGACTGTGGAAACGGAAGCGGAAACGGGGGTGGTTCACTCGGTTGACCCCAGGCGCCGACATTCATACCACGATGGCTCGAATTTACCCTTGGCTGCTGATCGTTCGCGCCATCATCATGGAACAAAAGATGGGAATCACGAGCTATCGAATAGGGAAGGGTCTCGTACAAGCCACGATACAACACGCCCAAGACATGGTTGGCAGACCCTTCCCCCCCTTAGTTCTATCCGTGGTCCAGGAAACGCACCTCTGGATCTTGATGGCAGTTCTGAGCGTGAAGGTTCACTTGTCTCTCCCACGTTGTCCAAATTTGCCATATCTCCTCGAGATGTGGATCGTGACAGTCTCATCACTCTGCCGGCCTTGCAGCGTTCGCCACCACCAACCTCCCAACCCAGGTCACCAGAAACGAAGCAGACTTTGCCGCCCATTACCAATTTGATCGATTCAAGCTCGGGTCTTCACTCTCCGCTGCTAAGCAGAAATTCTCCAGGTCGCAGTTCTCAAACTCCAACTTCATACGCACCATCTCCCCACCCAGGGATGTCACCACCTGCACCTCCTGTCCACTTCAATTTTCGATCTTCCACTCGAGACAGTTCGATCTCCGGAACATCCGAATACAACTCGAGCACATCTACAGCAGGCTCTAATTCGGCGTCTTCCCTCGTTGCACAATCTCCCGCGGCATCGTACACATCTACTCTATCCATACTACCAGAACGGGACCTTCTGCCGCGACCAGACGACTTGACAGGTCTCACGTTATCTGATCCCACAAAGACCGTCCCATCATCAGATTCGAATTCCACAAACTCCTACGTCTGCACACATAAGGGATGCACCGCGCAACCTTTTCAGACCCAGTATTTGTTGAATAGCCACATGAATGTCCATTCTGACGCCAGACCACACTTTTGCCCCCTCGACGATTGTGCACGTGGCCGTAACGGCGAGGGCTTCAAGAGGAAGAATGAAATGATCAGGTAAGAGTCAGCATTTTAAAGATCTTGGGAAGATGATGATGTTGGTCATTTCTGACAAAATATGTTCGACAGACATCGGCTCGTACACGCCTCTCCTGGGTATTTATGCCCTTTCTGTACAGATCAGCAGCATCGATATCCACGACCAGACAACCTCCAACGCCATGTGCGCGTGCATCACACCGACCGCAGTCGCGACGACCCTCTTCTACGCCATGTCCTCAACCAGCGACCTGATGGTGGTAACAGGGGAAGGAGACGACGTATAGGCACAATCTGAGACGTCGTTTGGGAGTGTGTTGAACAGAACATGTATGTACAAGCCTGAACGGTTCACGAAAGTAATGAGATGGACGAGATATACGTGTTTTATTTTACATTTTCAGCCAAATGCACGTACCCTGCGCTTGGATCTCGGGGCGGCGGGTGGATTTCGCATGGTATCAACACGTCTCGAACAATGTCGCTGCTCGCATCATACGTCTCGTCCCGTCTCGTCTCCTCATCGGCAGAAAGCGACTCGGTCACAAGAGAATAAGCGAATTCGGACCTTTTTTCCCTTTTCCATTAACAGGCCCAAGAGCCATTTACGAAGTTATGAACAAATTTACAATATCAGCCAGCCAAAAATGGCACAGGTCAGTTTTAGGTTAGGTTTGGGGATGGAAAGTCAGTCATCCATCCATCTCATCTCGGCGCAGACAGAGTGAATCAAGAGAAGGAGCAGGAACATACGACGAAGCAAACGAACATGAATCGAATCAAATCCTGTCTGATATTAGACGAGGAAAATTGAATGGTCAGCGGGGTTCCAGGGCAGGTCTAAAAGAACACCAACCTAGGTTTTATGAGAGCCAAACCCCCCCATCTTCTCTCTTTATCTATAGGCAGTGTGTTCTTAAGTCAGGCTCGAACTTTGAGTGTAGAGAAGAGATACAGAACAAAAATGACTGGTCTTACTTGTATTTGGCGGCCGTCATAAAGTATCTTTTCTTAGCACCCATTTAGGAATCAAGATAGCTAGCTACATACCGAAAGACTCAGCGGCGAACCTTGACCTCTTCAAAGTCCATCTCCCGTTCTCATAACCCGAGTATCTTGGCGTCAGGTTGAGAGGTGACAAGGTGGAGGTTCGCTCCTCCTTGATAGCCGAGGAGGGCTTCACTATCTTCAGACAAGAATCTGCGCAGCTGGTCTTCATACTCTCCACTAGATGATTGGGAGATGCCATACATACTCTATGCTTTGACATAGTCACGTGCTGTACCTAGAATCTGGGGATGTATTGTAATTCCCCTAAGATTTCCCTTTCGCTGGGCCACGTCTTGTGAGGTCGACCATCTGGCCCCTCCGCATCAAGACGGTCGCGTACGGAATTAGGCTGATCTCTTAGCTTTCGGTCGAGAGACTGAACCTTCGTGGCCACGAGAGTTGAGGGGGCAGATAAGCAGAAGTTGAACTGGTTGCAACGAGGATAGACAGAGGGAGCGAATGGCAATCAGGTGGGATTGGAAATGGAGTAAGTAGAAGCGTAGTACTGGAAGGATCTTATAGTCGGAAGAAAACTCTCGCTTAAGGAGTCTGGGGAGCAACTTAGCTTCTGACGTTTAAAGCTTGGTAGGGGTTGTCTGGAATGACTGCGGTTGGCGCGAGTAAGTAGATTAGATTCTAGCAAGGGTTCACGAAGGATGGAGTAAAGATTGCCACAGCATCAAGATGTACAAATAAAGATAATATCTTATTTTGGGAACATATATTATATACTACAGTGCTTCATTTGATGGTACATATGGATGGAATTTGTGGAAAAGTTGGGTTTCCTCAAGTTTCGCTAATATGCTCACAAGAATTGTTATGCTCACGAGAATTGTTGATATGTACAGTTCACAGGTGTTGACAGAACAGATGCAAGGACTGTCTCTAGAGAGAATGTACTGATGGCGGTGACATGTTGAGGGAGACTGGGTGTGTGCATGATTCGCTTTCGACACTTTTCTCAATGACATGTCCAAAACAACGATCAAGGAGGAATGGTATTGCGGACTTCAATGTGAGTGCGAAAAGCACTCGGGGGCCTTGATCTTGAATCATGCATTCGGTATGATAGGCCGGTCGAGGATGATTGTCCAAGTAGTCAAGTATGATGCGCGGTCCACTGAGACAAGATCATTTGTCCCCTTAATGGCTTGATGTTGCCATGGTTCTTGATCTTGGTCGATTTGATTTGCTCGTTAGACTTTTGGTGGCCTCAAACGTGTGGGAAGGGCGTTTGATTTTGATATCAGAGCACCGCTCGTGATCCCAGAGAGGGCTGCTGACTGGAGTGGTGGCAGACAGACCAGGTCACAAGTCTCGGCCAGTCTCGAACAATCTGGTGGAGAAGGGCATTGTCGGGCCTTTCCGTGTCTTCTTTACAGCGGCATTCCAGTGAGCGATGCGACGCGGTCTTTGAATGCCTGCCCGGCCGTGATGTTGCCTTGTTTATGTTTGCCTGAGAGGGCAAGTTCAAGCTCCTCCTTGGATGGTTGAATAGTGCCCCACACCCTCCAGTTTTGGAGTTCGCCTGCAATAATGAGCTGCTGCAAGACCACGTACTCTTCGATGTCGATCTCAGTCGGTGTTGATTCTCCCGGGCGCTGAACCGATTGAATAGACCGAATCCGGACAATCATTTCGCGAAGGAACGAATTGTTCTGGACCGGGATCACCGTCAATTGGTCTGACACCACTCGGATTGGCGATTTGAAGAGGAAGAAGGACAGGGGCCAACGCTGTAACCATGACGGCCACTGGATGCCCTTGTACTTCACCAACTTCCAATCGATTGGCTTGGTTCTCTGCTCTCGTTCTCGGGCAAAGCGACCTCTGCATTCGTTGGCTAGGCCCGAGCAACACAATTCGCTGACTGCCAATGCCGAGCGTTGGGAGATGGCTTGGTTGAGGTCTACGTGCATTTGTCGGGCGATGGCTGTTCTAGAGGACATGAGAAGCGGCCGTCTCATCTTTTTGCCTGTTTTTGGATGCCTGGGTACGTCCCATTTATAAAATTGAAACAACCTAGATTTTCGTCAATCTTTCGAGTCCGACATTGAAACGTGGAGTATTCGTACCCAAGAAGGCCAATGCCAGTCTGTTTTAACTTTTCCCAGTATAGTTTTGTTAATGCACGAACTGTTTTTGTCTGGTCTTTCCAAGCAGGAAGGATGACGATCCCTGGTAGTCGACCGAGATCTGTACCCATATCCTTCAAGCTCATATTATCAAGTTGTGTTTTCCTAGCCTTCTGTGGTGGCATGCCCCCCGAGGCTTTCATCTGCTGGACAATCGCCTTGTTGTATGGAGACGCAGAGAAGTGACGAACAAATGGTAGGGTGGAGGGTCTCGTACACTGAAAGCGAGGCTGCATGGTGCTGTTTCGAGATGTGTGTATCCGGACGGAGGTGAATTTGTTAGGAGCGTAAAGCTCCCTGGGAAGTCGTGACATGGCGGAGGGAAACTCGGCTGCAGCTTTGGGCCAGTAGGACTGGGCCAGCTTCAAAGCTGAGAAGAATGGAACGACGCACACCGTTTGTGAGAGGTTCGGATGTGTTGTAGGAGGAGTGCGACGACCTCAGAGTCTTGAACATTTCGCATGAGGAGCAGATAATGCCGAGAGTAATTGTCTTGGCATGTATCTCCACTCACGTGATACCTCCCCCTAAGAAGGGCTGGTCTACGCACGATTTTGGCTCCCTAAGCCACTTCTTTAGGCAATCCCTATACGTGGACCCGCCTATCAGGCACCTATTCGTACTTCTATAGGCCTAGTGCACTCTTTTAGAGGCACTCTTACAAGCTTTCAAGGCAAGTGTTGAAATGGTATCAATTAAGTAGGGTACTTTCGTCCTTGGCTATCTGACTACATCCGGCAGGATGAGTGATGCTGATACTGGCTTTTATCACAGACAGGCTGACACAAGAGGTCCTGAACCTTCGAGTTGGGCACGTCGTGTAACTCGTCCCAATTTGTGCGTTGCGCGGCCTAGACCTCTCTCAGAGGGATAGAAGGTCACTGTTCTTGCTCTCAGAATTTATTCTCTCTATACCTTTACACATATTATATGTACCTCTCCAGAAATGTCCCCGTACTGATATCAGAACATGTTCGAATAGAGGCTCGTAGACAAATGGTACATGGATCGTCCCCCAATGAGGAAGATGATTTCCCTCGTTACATGACCGAACATCCCTGCGCCTGTCTGATTCTTGCCTTGATCTGCTTCAGCTGCTTCTTCTTCATCTCATTCTCGTCCCTGAGATTCTCATTTTGATGCCTTTCCGCCTGTAACTGGGCCACCATTTGATCGTGCCATTTGGCCTCTTCTCGCAACTCCTTCGCGCGCTCCAGCTGGAGTTGATCCCGATCGACCTTCATTAGCTCCCGGTCATCTTCCACGCTCTTGATTTTGTTCTTCCATTTGTCCACTTCCTCTCTGAGGCAGTTGACCTCTTGTTCCCTCATTTGGTGGGTCAAACTATTATCCCGCTTGACTTCTGCAATTTCCCTCTGAAGGTCATGGATCTCGCGTTCGTAGATCTCCCTTTTAGTTTCCAACTTCTCCTCTAATGCGATGCCAGCCGCAGTTTTATCAAGCGTTATGCCGTCCTCCATTTCTTTCTGGATTGTCAAGTCGATGCCTTCGTGGGGCCGAATTCTCAAAAGGTGGAGCACAATCTTTTTCGCTGACCGCTCTTCTCGGTCATGGATGAAGTCGGTTGCCCCGCGAAGGATCATGGGCTTCCAGAATGCCTCGTCCTCGAGGAGCTCCTTGTGGCGAGCGAGCTGCTTTTCTCTGTCTGCCTCTCCACTTCCCCAGTGTGTTGTCGCAAGAGCAACCGAAGACATGGAATCATCACCGCACAGTTTTTTGAACATGCGAAGGTTGTTCTTGGCAGTTCCTGTCACACGCGTGTTATTGATCCCGTGTAAGTATACTATGCCTGTTAGCTTAATCCCACCCTGGCGTGCCTTGTTGAGCCAGTTCGCTATCTCGCGCAGGATGGCAGAATCGGGTCGAATGGTGTCATCAAATCCAGGAGTGTCGACGAAGATAACTCGACGGCCGTCAATTCTTTCAGATGCCGGGTGCGCCTCGACCATGGCAGTCACTGCATGCTCATTTCGCTCTATCAGCACTTCTAGAATCACGGCGTCGCGCACAGCGATTGTGGAAACTTGCCTGATTTTAGACCATCTCCCGCTACGGCTGTATCACAGAAGTGTCGAATGAACGTGCTTTTCCCCGAGCCAGTCATTCCCATAACGGCAATGAAAGCATCATTGTGGTCGACATCTGGTAGCCTTTCGAGCCGTTAGTCATTTGATCTCCATCAGGATGCGCATATCTCGTCCAAACATACTGGAAGATGGAAGGTGCAGAGTCACGCATCTCCATATCGGGCTCACACGACTCGTACGGCGGCGGATTTTCTTTGTGGTCCGTTTCTTCTAGCATATAGAATGGGTAATAAGGATTCATGGATTTCCCGACGAAACGACTGCTGGTGGTGCTGATGTGGCGAGCCTCATTAATTCAAGAGGAGCAGCATTCATTCAGCATTAATATCTCTGGGTGTGTCCAGAGTCGTCGATGTCCCATTTCCCCCTCCGCAGCCTACAAGGCAGCATGGGAAGCAGGCTGGTTTGCATAACGAAGACGAGGGTTTCAGCCGCATTCCCGAATATCGTCCAATGAAACCAAAACAAGTCTTGCAGCACATCATTCCCTTGTGCATGTCCGACGATGCGTATCTCGCCAGTGAAAAGGGACTGAAAAGCTGTGAGAGGGTGGAATGTGTCTTTTATTCGCTCATCGTGATTTTTCGTGGCAGCAAATTCCACCGGTCACAAAGCCCAACGGCCATTCGACGGCCATTTATGACACGTAATCACCAGACAGTCCACCGTCCAGCGGTCTTCCCAATAAGAGCCCATCATTGCATGTTGTGTAACGTCGTCTGCCTTCCTTCGACCCAATGACGCCATGCCTCGTGGCACGGATGTCGTCGACATTCGCCCTGGTATCTATAGGGTTGCATGATTGCTGGCCTCGGGCAAAAATTGTCTTTGAAGCGCCCAAGTGGTCAACTCCCAATGAAGACCTGACCATTTTGAAGTGGGAAGAGACGCCAATTCTTCATCGAAGAGAATTTCTTGCCAGCTGTGCGCTTGGCTTGAGTGGATAGTATTCAACGACTTGTTGAATCGATAGCTAAAAGCCGTCTCGGGGGCCGGAGTGAGGCAAGCATGAACACAATGAGTTGCCATACAAAGAACAAATTCCAGGATATATCACGTGACTTTCAGCCCGATCCATTCAGATATTTTGAACATGCCATCGCATTCCACTCCTGTTCCTTCATCGAATTATCAGTAAATGGTCACATATCAAGTCTACGATGAGACCACATGGCCATCGATCATCCCCATCTAACCGCCATAATGGTGCGTTTCAGCGGCGGTCTGTTCATCTGGACGAAGAGCAACGGTCCGACAGACCGCCTCAGCTGAGACGAGCTATGACACATGAAGAATCCCTACTCCTGAATTTGCAGCATAGACTGGCCTCTTCCTCTGCACCCTCTTCTCGGCGCGAAAGCGTGACGGAAGCGATGAGAAACGCTATGGCTCCAATCCAAAGGGTAGAGGGCGGACGAGGCTTGCCATCATTGTAGGCAGCGATCCACCAACTGAGCGTACGTTTGAATACCAGTTCTAACATAAATTTCAAGGACCAACAGTATGGTCATCGCTCTTATGGGTGTTACTGGGTCGGGAAAGAGCTCATTCATCTCCCTTCTCGCCGATCAAGATGTGGAGATTTCGCACAGTTTACATTCCAGTAACGCCCCTGCCTGTAATGACGATCCAGAACTAACATGTCGGCAGACACCGTGAGCATCAAAGTATACAGTTTCAACGACCAGCGTGGCAGAACAGTGTACCTGGTTGATACGCCGGGGTTTGATGACACGACCCGCTCTGATGCCGAGGTTTTGAAGGATATCTCTTATATCTTGGCAGCCATGTTCGCTGCCGACTTTCGGCTGGCCGGACTCATTTATCTGCATCGGATATCTGATGCCAGGATGCCCGGCTCTGCGGTGAAGAACTTACGCATGTTCCAGGCTCTGTGTGGTGAGTCGAATTACAGGCATGTAGTCCTCGCAACAACAATGTGGGCGGAAAGCGAAGGGAGCGATGCACGAAACGTTCAGAATCAACGCTTGCGGGAGCTGCAAGACACTTACTGGGCCGACATGATTCAGTCCGGGAGCATGGTCATGAAACATGACGGCCACGAGTCGTCAGCTCTAGAAATCATCCGCACCCTGACGGCTCGTGCCGAGCCGCCGATCACCCTTGCCATCCAGCGCCAATTGGTTGATGATGGTCTAACCCTGGATGAGACTGATGCTGGCAAAGTTGTTTTCGAAGAAGTCATCGCAGCAAAGCGCAAGTTTGAGCTCGAACTTGCCGAGCTGCAAGAGAGCTTGGAGGAGGCAGAGCAAGATGATGACCAAGAAGGCATCGAAAACCTCAGGACCGAACGTGCGGCGCTCGAGACCGAGGCCAGACGGCGCGAGAGAGACGGTGATAGTCTCGGAGTCGACATCCGGCAGCTAGCCTGGGAGCAGCATCCAATGTATCACGACCTGATCTCCACCCTCCAGCAACAAGATCATGACAGTGTTCAGACGGCTGGTTTTGTATATGAGCCCGACTCTAGGGTGCGGGAACTGGAGCTGAGGCTCGAGAATGAGCAGCAGATGCGCAGGGAGAAGGAACAAGAAAACGTGAAGCTCAAAAGACAGCTCCAACAGCGTCATGGCGAACCAGCGGCGGAGAACAGCCGGAAAGGGCCATCCAAGTCACCGAATTTCGGCGTCGTACGGAAACCAAAGACCGAAGACACGTCAGGCTGGAGGACCATCATGCAGTTCTGGAAAACGGTCGCGTCGTACTCACCACTCGAAAATGAGAGGTTCTACGTGAAGCAAAGCAGTCGCTCGTCGTCGTCGACATCCTGGTCCAAATTGAGTATGGGCGATCAGCCCAGGGGTCAGATCAAATGAGGCCTCTGTTTTCCTCCCTCATGGAGCCAAGGAAGTCAACAACCCGGGGAAATAGATGCTGCCGCCTTTCATGATACCAACACTAACACGACCGAGCAATCCAGAACGAAGGAACCATGGGACGCGCGGGCGCGGGACTGCAAGCAATCCGACAAACGGGTTTATTTATTATGATCGTTTTGTTTTCCGTAGCTTGACGCTCAGTTCATTACAATTCCAACGACATATTCTGTCTTGCCCGTTCCGCCTGCATAGGAAGTGACCCTTCAGGATCAGGACTTTCACACCTGACATGCATCAAGGAAGTTGGTTAGATACGTTTTGGCTGTTTATTGCTCGTAGTATCGTTGCACGTAGTATCGTTGCTCGTAGTATCGTTACTCGTAGTACCGTTGCTCGTAGTACCGTTACTCGTAGTATCGTTGCTCGTAGTATCGTTGCTCGTAGTATCGTTGCTCGTAGTATCATGTCCGCTCCTAGCGACCCTGCTTGCCTGGGACCTTTTGATGTCGGTGGCGATCCTTGACATCGTCGTACCATGTGACCGTACCGTCTGAATGCTTGTGGTAGTAACATCTTTCGGAACTCTTCTTCTATTAGATTCTACGTTTGCTTGTGTGTCCAGGGGATCCGTGGGACGATGTCTGTGAGGATGGGGCTTTTCGTTTGTGACTGCTGCTGTGATTTGCTGAGTGGTGCGTTGATGTGGAGGATGAGTGATGTGCCGACGAACGGTGCGATTTCGAAGAGTGTAGCGACGATGAATGGTGACGATGCGAAGACTCTCTGTTTGTCGTTGGCTGGATGATCTCGTAGTCGTCTTCTGCTTCTTCTTGCAGTACGTGCGGACACGTGTCTTCGTATCCGTCCGTTGTGTGCGGTGGCAGCTCTACGTCTGGCTGATCAACTCCTTCAGCGACTGGTGGGAGTTGATTGCGGTGCTGTTTCCAATGTTGCTTCAGCTGGTCTCTCAGTTGCTCGGATTGGGTCTTGGCGTTGTCTTGGGCGTTCCTCAGACTTTTCCTTCCGTCCTTGTAACCTTGATAGGTGCTCGTGAGGTTCTTCGACGATACAGGGTACTGGTGATAATGGAGCGTGTCTCCATCTTCGGCTGATGGGGCAGCATAATGAGCGTACAGGTTGAGGTTAGTGCCGTCTATAGTGAATGTCGTGATTTCTGCATGACCTGGGGGATCTTCTTTTCCCATGTGAGCGAGTGCTTTTGTTCTCGCGTGAACGAGCGCAGCTCCATCGTAGGCGCTCTGCATTCTAGCTTCGTCGATACTCCCATCGGGACCCTTCCATTCTCCAGCAAAATGTGGCAGAGCAAGAGAACGGGGATCGTCTTTATAGAGGAGAGCTCCAGGAATACAATCATTGACCGGGAACGGGCGAATTCCTTCTGTCTCAAGTCCTTCGACGAAATTGGGCTGTGGGGCGGATAAACCGTCGGTAAATCCGACGCTTTTCGGAAGTCTGTGAACTGTCGGTTGTAGGTATGATTATAGCCTTTATCGCTATATTCCTTAAGCAGCTTCCTGCTAGTATCGGCGACCAAGGTCGCTTCGTTGCCAGCTCTGTCGACTTGATTCACATAGTCCTCATATGTGGATTCAGGAGGCGAGGCAGTCGCCCGTGTTCTGGCGTGTCGCTTGCGAATGTCGTCGAGGTTGATAGGGGGTTTGGAGTAATCGGGATGGAGGATGCCGTTATTGCGGGCCTTGATCGCAAATCCTGACGATGTTGTCGACGTAGTCTTCGTAGTTGTCAACGATCCGTCCGTGGGGTCTGAGTTCTTCTTCTTACCCATCTTGTCAAAAGTGGCTAAGTTCCTCCGTGTTAATCGTACTCGTGTCAGTCGAGGTTCGTCGTTGCTGCTATCGCTTTCGATCTGTCGTTTTCGTGACGTCTTCAGAGGAATTTGGCTTAGTGGTAGCTCTGGTTGCGAGGACTCCGGCTGGTTTTTTTGCGAGTTCACTTGTGTCTTCGATGCGTCGTCCATCGTGAAGAGAGTTGTGGGCAGGAAAGGTGGAACATGTATGGTATTCAGTCAGGTCGCGAAATTGGCCTGATAAAAAGAGCCGCATGAAATTGTCATGTTGGCAGTTTCAGCCAGCACTCGGGTGCCAGCGAAGTCCTAGGCAGCAGGCGGTGCTGTTGCAAGTGATTGGCTGTCGACGTGCTGCCTCGGGCTGGGGTAAGGATGACCCGTTGTATGAGCTGTGGATAGGGTAGATATGCCGTATATCGAATATAGACATAATGTCGATGTAGTGGAGAAGAAGAGAGACTACTTACGGAGTAGTAGCCTGCGTCGCAGGCGGCAGGTGTAGTTTGGTTCGTCCAATAAGAATCAGAGTGCTAGCGCCGCGCTAGTGTTGTCGTACAGCTTTCCCAACCCTGAGCCTTGAGGTTGGCACAGTGTTCTGGCCATCAAAGTGAGATACTTGATTGAAATTGACAAGACTCATACCGCCATCTTGACTAGGTAGATCATCACGTCAACACTGTCCTCTTTCATCATCATGGCCTCAAAGAAGGATCAACGCCGGCCTGACCTTGGTATGGATCAATCCTTGTTTGAGAGAAAGTGTGTCGGTGGCTAACAGTCCATCCTCCACAAAGTCATTCCCTATGTCGAGCCAAAGGAATCGGATGTCACAGACTTTGGCACCACGATATCCAGTACTATGCCCATGGCCGCTGTAAGTTCAAACATCCTGTTGTGACGAGGCTTCAATACTAATGCATCTACAAGATGTTCACTAGGAACAGGTATGTCTAGAAAGATCTGACGTAGAGGCTTGCTTGTTCATCAAATTTACTTGGTGGGTTAGGATGCTCGGCTGGTAAGACTGTCCAAATTACTGAATTACTCAACATTCTCACAAGATGATGAAGGTTCGCCCTGTTGCAATCTTTGCTTACTTGGTTGGGGGAAACGCCGGCGCAGAAGAGAAACGCCACCACCCCAGGATATCTCTCTTTCGGCATGGCAGGTACGTTGATAAGACATTGTTGTCTGACTTTTGGCTAATAATGCGGACAGTATTGGCAGTTATTGTGGTATGTTCAGTCAGATGGTCATCTAGTTTGGCAGAGCTGATAAAAAATGTCGCAGACCTACATGCCGTTGTTCTTACCTCCCACGCCAAACCCAAGAGCAGCGACAGGCACTGGTGTCCCGGCAGCTGCGCCTCAAAATCTCGGCTGAGGCTGTCAAAAGTCGAGCGCTCAGCATTGCTTTGTATAAACATTCGAGTTGATAAATCGCCTAGGTACATTCAAGTCTATTAAAAGCGTGCATAACAAAACCATGTTTACTCCATGGAGATATCTTGGTGCTCCTGATCACGTGCTGCATCGTAGACATTTAAAATGACTCCAGAGTGAGATAATAACCATCATTTCTCTGTATTGAACGAGTCATGGCAACCTTCAAGTCCCTTCCCAGGGCCTGACTCAAATAGGTCTGAAACATGTGACTCGAAATGTGGGAGTGCGAGGCACAGTCTGAGATGGTGGCGACCTGGGGTAACCTGTTGGCACATGGCAGGCAGCCACGACAGGTCCAAATGACTCACACCTTACGAAGAGAAATGGTCACCCGTAGAAGCAGCAGCCTATAGGTGCATTACAGTCTCTATGTTGGGGGGACTAGGTTGGCTGGCAGAGAGAGCCAAAGAACTGGGGAGAGACCGCGGTCAGAGGATTCTCTGGGCTTCTGTTCTCCCCACCTGACACGGCGGATCATTGGAGCGCCAACCGCAGTGCAGTCAGTCATTGTGGGCGTGCACGGCGTGGTGGGAGTGGGTTCAGTGGACGGTGGCGTTGGCCTTTCTGCCACTGCGCATCACTCAACCACCACCGAAACTGCGCCCAGGAGGTTTCATTCATCTCATCTTGCCATCCAACTTTGCCCTTTCTTCTTCCCTTCTTCAAAACACAACCACCATTCAATCTCCACTCCAACCCTTTAAAACCTCAGCAGTTTAGTTACAAACCCCGTCACCTCATCTCCCCTTCATTCCAACTTCAAACAAGTTTCTCGAGACAGACGAGTTTATGTCAACTATCCAAAATCTCAAAACCTTTGGTAAGCCCTGATCCTGACCCCTCTCTCAGCCCGCACTTGTCCCAACGGCCGCTTCACCACAACTCATCACCCATTCTTCAACTTCGCGACCTTGAGTAATGATCCACGCCTGTGTCAACACTGTTCTCGATGTCCCAGTCTTCCGAGTTCAATATTTTTCAGATGCCTTCCCCTCAACAGCAGCCTAGATCATACTGACTTCTCTTTCTTAGACCCCTTCGCGGAGGCCGACGACGACACTGGGGAGGCAAAGCAATCCCAGAATTACATACATATTCGCATCCAGCGTAAGAGAAAATTCTCCCTTGGGCCATGCAACCATCACTGACATTTCAATCCAGAACGCAATGGTCGTAAGACTTTGACCACCGTCCAAGGCCTTCCCAAGAAGTTCGACCAGAAGAAGATTCTCAAGGTCATCAAGAAGAAGTTCGGTACGTGCAGTTGACATCAATATTACCAAATGAACATAGACTGACCTTGGGCAGCATGCAATGGCACAATCGTCGCCGATAGCGAAATGGGGGAGGTGATTCAACTTCAGGGTGATCAGCGCAAAGATGTTCAAGAGTTCCTGGTCGCCAAAGATGGCCTCGAGCTCGACGCAAAGACTATCAAGGTGTGTATACCCACGATTTGTGTTTTGGGCATCTACTGACCATGTACCAGGTCCACGGTTTCTAAACGCGTCAACCTCCATCCCGTGCTATCCAGCCCGCTATTCGAGAATTTACAGTCATGATTCGACAAAGGAGCAATTACGAACCTCATCCCATGACGATCTCTTGGTCTCGCGCCTGTGCGGCCTAACTGCGCCCCTTGAAGATAGCACCGTCGGGATGAATGAGGTTGCATGCGTTTATGATACCCATGAATAGATAATTGCTTCAGGATGAGGGATGATGGATGGCATTGGGGTACACGGTATAGGGTACAGACTCGGCATCCATGAGAGTGAAAGATATTGAGCAGTAGTTCATGATTCTGAGGTCAAAGCGACATGAGGTGGCTTGCCACTCATTCGTGATATTCAGCTTGCCTCGCCGAGGCCATGAACATGAGCTGACTAGGTAGTTTCATAACATGAAATTGTCTCGGGCTTTTCTTGTTGATTTACACGTGTAGAGCTTGCGTGATACATGATGGAGGGGTACCGAGGAGGGAGCATCAAGGCTTCCATTGTCTCCCAAAGGAGAGGCCAAGGGGCTGAACCACGCACCCAACTGCCCCATCCACGACGTGACGATGGGTTTGACTGTTAGGGATGATTCACGGCCGAGAACACACCACATAGGGACTGTAGTTCCTCAACCTCTTTTTCCTGTGAGCTAAACTTGATATTTTTGAACGATTCCTACTTTTGATAGAGAGCTGATCCTGCTTTGAGGTTGTTGTTCTTGGTCGTGGCCAGCCCCACCAGTCACGACGCTTGAGCTGTCAACGGCGAACTCTGGAACGTCGAACAAACTGTAGGAAAACCTCAAACTAAACGCCTTCAAAAGGCACTGCAATTCCTAACGAACACTCCACGGAATTCATGTAGTGATGGTCTACCTAGGACAGCATTGAGCAGAATCAAGAGTAGTGATATTCTCTTGAGTCTCGAGTCTATGTACTTATGTTTAAAAGGCTAAGGTGATTAGAGGGGCACAAGGCCCGCGGGCAGATCCGGCGCTTTCCAGCCTTCTGTGTAAGCGATCGACATTGTCGATAACATCACTTCTCACTGTGCGACGTCTAGCAAACCTGCAACAAAGGAATTTCGTCAACAGGTCTGCATTTCCGCCATGTTGAGATCTTTCGATCTGGAACCAGAACGGTGGCGTTCTACCTCCGGGCAAAGACAAGCCAAACACAATCACTAGGTACTTAGGACCAAACCTGGCAAACGACCCCGTGGCCACCCGTCCCTACCTCAGGTCTCCTTGCTAGCCTCATTGCTAGCCTCTCCTGCCTCTCGACAACCCCGGCCAAAGCGCGGTGGTCAAGGCCTTGGACCAATGAGATTATGGCCTTACAACAGCCACCTTACAATACGAGGTGTCGTTCGCTTCAAGCCCATTATTGAGCTTGCGGAGGTCGATCGCCTCTTCAACAGCCGGCTCGTTCAGCCTTATAAAACGTTGAGTTGTGCCACATGAGCGATGCTTGCCGACTCTTTGTTCTCCTCCTGGCCACCAGGAGCCCTTGAAGAGCCGCAGTAGCAGCTTCGCAGCAGGAGACAATGCGTCAATTCCATTCATGGCCAGCCTTGCCAGCCTTTGTTGTGCTCCTTCTACAGATTTGTACTCTGTCCTGCGCTCAAGTCAATAATGAAGATTTGTCCGCTCTTCCTGAGTGTGGAGTAAGCCCCTCTCTCGAAAAAGCCATGTCAACAATGCCAGAGAACTGACCAAGACCTCTGGATCTAGCAAACCTGTGTCCAAACGGCCTTGGACTCAGCCTCGAAACTTGGATGCCAACCAACTGAGGAGGGTGCGGTCAAGGCTTGCTTGTGTGGAAAGGCAGACTTTCACACATCAATCTGGGATTGCTCTTCGAAGTTTTGTTCCAACACCAACGAAACTGAGACTGTTGATGCCTGGCTAGCAGACTATTGCTGTATGTTACGCGTGCCCCACTCTGTCGTTGGCGATGTTAATGTCCACTTCCTCACACTAATGACTTCATAACAGTGCTCTCTGCTGGCTTTTACACCGCGAACTATACGGACAGTGCAGGAGCAACAATCTACTACTCAACCTTTGAAACAACCTACGGATACACTGCAACGAATGGCGCGGGCGGTATCACAACCGAAACGACTACAGGTCTTGCCACCACCACCTCAAGAAGCGACTCAGCTTCAAGCACAGATATTGGAGGAGCAGAAGAGGAATCATCGAGTGGCGGTCTCTCCACCGGAGCTATCGCTGGCATCGCGGTGGGTGTAAGTCTTGGAGTAATAGCAGCTATTGCGGCTCTGGTCTTCTTCATCTGGCGCAAGCGACGCGCCAACAAACAACAAGTTGCTGCAGACCAAGCACCTGGCGGTCCAGCAGAAATGGCTGCCACCAACGTCGCCGGTCAGCAAAAGAGCGAGTTGGGTGGTTCGCAGGTTGGAGAATTGAGCGGTTCTCAGAGTCAGGCTGGTACCTTTAGCACCTCCCAAACAGGAGAACTCAGTGGAACGACTGCCAGGCATGAGATGGAAAGCCGCCCCAGCGAGTTTGGCTATTGGCAACAGCCGACGAGGTCAGAGCTGCCTTAGTCGGTGCGAAGACGACTCATGAATGAGATACATATATTTAATTACATAAATATGACGACTGCTAGATGCAAAGCGCCTTCCTCGAGTTGCTCAAAGCCCTGCCCACTTGGCCTTCAAACATACTCTCTACTTTCACCTGACGAAAGAAGGAGTTAATGACGAGAGGTAGAAGCAAGTCAACGTCGCTTCTCAACCGAGAGTAGTACGACAACGAAAGAGAAGACACAATTAAGGGTTGGGGAAGTTCTGTTGTCAGGGGCCAGAGCGTCTGCGTCTGCAAGAACAGCGTACTCCGTAGAGTCACAACGCACAGGACCGGGATCACTGCTGGCGATTCCTTGTTCAATGAATCCCTGGGCTGGGTTTCATGGGCTGGCAATGGTTTGGGCGCCCATTCACACAGGGATGTCCCTACAAGCGACTCCCTAACATCGTCTAACCCAGGAATAAAGTTCGGCTTGGCCGCCTCGGCCCACTGTGTCACTCTGATAGTCTTCAGCCGCAACATGGCGTGAGAGGTCATCGAAGGGCCAGGTCGTGGGTGGCAGGTTCCCTGTAGCCCAACAACCGGTGTAGCACAACAAAAGCCCGTCGTTGCCCATCGTTATTGTCATTGGCTGCCTTATGCGCTGGCAAGCAATCCTGTCGGCATTTACAACTGTTTCCCGTCAAAAGGAATACGAGTGGAAGCAATGGATGCAGAATTATGTAACACCAGCGAAAGGCCAAATGATATAGCCAGGAAAAACAGAAGTACACATCACGAAGATGGGGGCCGAGGGGACAGAGGGGAGCATCGCAGGCCAAGCAGCCAAGGGCCCTCGGGCTGTCTAAGCCTAATTTAGGGGCGATCTACTTACGACCAGCGCCCGAGAGCCTTCAAGGCATCCTCGGGCGTGCCCAAACAACCAGGCTAGGGACTCTTCCATTCCCTATAAGTTCTAGGTACGAGGAAGGTATTGCGGGGGAAAGTGCCGATCAGGGCGACTTCCAATTGGTGTTGTAACACACACCTAAGTAGATAAGGTAGGTGCGAATCCATCTACTGACGCAACTAACCCCAAGCAGGACTACCAATCGAACCTGCCAAGACTGGGGAAAGAGAACTCGAGATCCATCCCACTTGGTCTCACCTTAGCTTCACTTCACCCCCTCTAACAATTCCACTTGTCTCCCTCTATCTCTAGATTTACTTCATCTCTCAAACGTCATAGGGGCACCCAAGAGACCTTCGATCGAGCATCAACAACGTCGCCTGGTTGGGTCATGCGCCCGCCAGTGCACCCAACAACCTTGAGCTGGCGAACGTAGATCGACTTCCGGCTTATGGCCAGGCGATCAACGACACCCTTGACCAACTCCGTATGCTGGATACTCGGCAAGAAGATGCAGCTGAGAGGAAACAAAGCATTGCACTCAGCGCCAGATATCCGAGGGTTGCTGTGGCGCTGGGTGTTCCACCACGATGGCATATTCCCTTGATGCTATGCCGCTCCCTCTCTACGATTTCCGCGCTGTGGTGGGCCTGCCAAATGTGCATCAGTCTCTATCGCGTTTTCATACAGAAGCACGGTCTCCATGAGGGCGCTCGACGCAATCGATTCTCGAATTCTGCCCCAAGCCAGGTCAATTGGGCTATTGCTGTTGCTCAGATTGGATTGAGCTTTTTGTGGGTAAGGAAGGCTGCACACCGTGTCGAGATAAGAAACCGCCAAGACGACTGGCTAACTACCTCAATAACAGGCAGGAGCAGCAGCTTACCTCGCCCATCTCTTCGCTTCCTCCCTTATGTCGAGATGGCTTCTTCATTACTCGCCTTTTGCCGTCTTGGTTCGCCTCTGCAGCATGTCAATTCTCTTATCATTTGGGTGTATGCAGGTCTTTCGGGTGTCGGCGGCAACGGAGCCAGAACTCTTTAAGCTCAGCAGGAGTTTATTGGCGTGGATCATCATTTCCATTGCTTTGATGCTTGCTTATTTCAGCACTCAACAGGATATTTCGGTCGAACATGATAGGGATGATCGTCGACGTCGCCAGCTTCTGCGTCTAAAGTGCTTGTATGTTATTTCAGCATGCAGTCTTTTCAGCCTGTTCGTCTTGGTTTGCCTTGTACAATCGGATACGGCTTCTTGGAATTTTGACAACTTTAAGCAGCTACAGCAACAAGCCTGGCTGTGGGTGCAACGATGGCCTTCTGGGTGGCGAAATGAATTATGATGTATTGCCAACTAGGATTGAGGAGAATTATACTAGATATTATATGCATCAGCCGTTCCTCAAAGTCTCCGAATCAAATGAAATTGGTGCCTTGACAGTAGTTCTCGTAATTGTCAACCGAGCAGTGATCAAGGTCATACCCGGATTCTTCGAGAACGAATATGCCAGAGGATACTTTATCGATGGTCGAACACCCTCCTTCAGATTTCGTCAGGCTACAGCTTAGGTCTGCAAGTCGAAGGGAAATGGTCCTGAAGCAGCCCCCACGATCACGATCACCGTAAACGTCTCATTCAGCGACATTGCAATGAAGTCTTCACCTGCAGTTCTTGGACTTCAGCCAACACTGCCAAGATGCCAAGACAAGCCCTGTCTGGAGGGATAAATATAGGAAGACTCTTCTCTTCCATATCCTCAATCCTTATACCCTTCTCCCCATTCTCGCGGTGTCTCGACACGGCTATTCCGCCTCACATCCTCGATTTTAACATCAGTACACAGTGGGTGCGCACAACCTCTCAGACTTGGCACTGGTGCTGCCGCCAAACACCATCACAACACAATGTCCGCGGAACAAAAGTGGTCGCCATCCTCGATTGGGAGATGTCAGGTTTCTATCCTGAGTACTGGGATTACGTCAAGAGCCTCTATAAACCTGCTTGGGAGAGCGGCTGGGTCAAGGACAAGGTCGCAGATAGGATTTTACGGCCTTATTACGCCGAATTGGCGGTGATGTTGCATGTTCATAATATGACTTGGTGAGGAAGCTGGCCAACAGGGGTTTGGCTGGGAGATGTTTGCGGTTATCATTTGCCATATTGTCACTACCTCTAGAGATTGAGCAAGGCTTAGCTACGTAGTATCGGTCCTGTCCCCAGTTAAACTTCTGCTACGTTCAGCATAATGCACGGGAGACAATTAGCATTATAGAACCGTTTGGGCTGACCAGTTTAGACAGCGTGTGGGCTCGAGTACACTGCTCTCAATCCACCGCTACGAGAAAGATGGTTGAAGGAAACGCACCCTAATATGCAGCCCGAGGAGTCTGAATTAGTCCTCAATTTATTACAGGGTCTTTTCACATACGATCCGGACCGACGTCTTTCGACCAGAGGACTTTTAAAGCACGCTTGGATTCGAAATTATTGTGCTTCAGGTGGGACTGGGCAAAATTTTCGTAGCCTTTATCTCATTCGGTGCTCAGAAGATGCATCAGACCATCTAAGCACATACGGAATGCCGCCAGAATGGTGTGAGATAATAGTCATATGGCGTAAGAATGCTTATCAGAGAAACACAACCCCCGTTGGCACGTGTCTTCGGCCATCCGAGCTTCCTTCTCGCACTCTCTATTTAGGACAAGGGGACACGAATAAGCGTCTCTGTCTTTTATGACCAAAGCAACAACGTAGACATGACCTTCTCTAGCTTCATCGCCGAAAGAATTTGAGATAATATCATTGAACCTCGTGGATAATCAAGCTGTCTTGAGCAGCTCGTAGTTGTCCTCATGCCTCGACCAACTGTGGCTGCTTTTGTTGACTCATTCTTCACTCAAAGCCTATTCCAGCGAGACGACGACCTTGCTGCGTCGGTTCTAGCCACCGAACTTGCCTCTGATGCAATCATCAATGTACGTCTTCTCCGCTCTCATGCACGATCAAGCACTCCTGCTCAGATAACATTTCAATCAAGATCAATGGCAATACTTTAACAGCCACGGATTTTGTCAATATCATCACTACGAAATTTCGCGGCGCCTTTCTTGCATCCATTACCGAGATCAAAGACCTTAACATTGTCACAACCAACGGGTCGGGCTCTACCGGGGTGGTTGGTCAATGGACATCGTATGTGACACAGGGGAAATCGGATGGCGAAGAGCTTAAGCAGAGCGCCACAACAATTGTAAAGGTGGAGGAAAGACAGGGAAGGCAGATTGTCACTGCTATATGGGAGGCGCAGACGGTGGATGAAGCTTAATATTTCGATATATGACAGCTAAAAAGGGTCTAAGCCCTTCACTCGAAGAGTTTCCGGTCGAGAAGACCAGCCATTCCAAGACTGCGGCAACCTTATTAATCTCCCGTTCTCGATGTGACCGGACACAAGATGCTCACCTCATCGTATAGTCGAGAGTTCACCCCGAGGCTCTGGAATAATAACCAATTTATCGCAGCAGAGAGACCTCCACCACAGGCTAGTTTCTTGTTAGCCTTATCAACAATTAAAGCCTGAAAGGCGGCGAGCTTACTGTTCACGATCGTTACGTCCCCTGAAAGAATCTGGTCTAACTTGTCTTTCCCAAGCTGTCCTGCAATGTGCCTTTTCAAATCTTCGGCGCTTCGTAGGTAAGTAAAACCGGTTGGGTCTTTGAGGAGAGAAGATGGGAAATCTAAGAGCAGAGATGTAGGTATGTGGCCTGCCTCGTATGATGAGGAGGGTCTTGCATCGACCAAGACAGTGCTATCAGCTGTAAGGGACCGCCGTTCGGCTAGCCTGGACACCTGAGCGAAGTCTGGATAGTGTCAACCAGATTCTCGGCAGAGAGGCAATCGAATGCAAAACATACCCACAACAGCATTACCATCCACCACAGGCACAGGGTACTCGGCCTCCTGAACATGAAACTCCGTTAGCCCCCCATTCAAACATCAGAAGAGCGCGGGATCGCAGTACTTTGATCTCTCTCGGCGAACCAGTCTCGAGAGCGACACCTTCTTTCTTTGCCCGAGGCAGTCCACCGTCTATGACAGACACCTTTTTGTGACCATACACCTATGTTCCGTCGTGATCAGTGCACCGTCTTTAGTCTTCGTTTCAGCCGGACTGACCTTGAAAGTCCAAGCCGTCCGCGGTGCAGCAAAGACACCTTCTCCATCATATACGATGACATGGGTGTCCGGAGTGATGCCATGTTTGCCAGCAAAGGAAGCGAAGCGCTCTGGAGATGGTAGCATGAGGACGTAGCCATCTGGATGGGGTTCAGACACAGCCTCCAAATCCCAGAATTGGGCTTTCGGAAATCGAGGTCCTGTTAGAAACTCCTCATATGCATTGCGCGTTGGCGGATCCGGTTCGTATAGCCACGAGGCATCGAGGATCACGGCGTCCCGCGAGTCAAGCAGCGGAGATGTTGGGGAAATGATAAGAGGTACAGCCATGTTCGTGGGTGTTGTCAATCAAGGAAATGAACAACTGGTCTTCATCAAATGATGTTGAACTCCAACAATCAGCGGCCTCGGCTCACTTGCAACTTCTTCAATGCCAATGTCGGATGCTGTGGAAGCAAAACCACGGGAGGACTGTTCTTGATCGTTGATTTTACGCCAGCTCGGCCATCCGAGGCGCTGGAGAGCGCGCTGGAGCGGATTGCGTGCTTTCGGCGATCCGAGACCTCGAACAAGCTAACTCTCGGTGCTCGTGATGGTGCAACAACCACAATGGCCGAATCCATCTTCAACCAGTGTGTTCAGACCAGGAACTGCCTTGAGGCCCCTACGCAATCTATATCTTGAACGCCATATGTGCAAGTCCTTTGACGAACAGCAATTGCCGCCATGGTGCTACCATCTGTTCTAATCATCGGCTGCGGTCCAGCGTAAGTCCATGAAAATATTCATGAGGATCTCAACCCTGCAGCTAATGTGAAATGCAGAGGATTAGGGGCTATTGAACAGTTCAGGCGAAAAGGGTTTGATGTCGTGGCTTACGAGGCTCGTGACAGCGTAGGAGGTCTCTGGTCAGTTAGCCTCTTGATGGCGTGCTCGGGCGGTTCTTGGGCACAATACTCCAGCGATACTTACATGGCATGGCATAGGAACTTTGATCCAATTCCGGCGCCGTGTCGAATCTCTTTTGATGAACACGGCCATGCCATTGCTTTAACAGATCTGGAGCGTTCCGGTCTGCCAGCACCGGCGCCAACCCCCATGTATGCCGGTGTCACAGCGAACACGCCGAGGGTGAGTCTTAGTCGGAATGGCATATCCTCATAATCTCGCGGCTTACTCTCTCCTGTGCTTGCCTAGGATATCATGCCGTATCGCTCTCATCCATATCCACAGGGTACATCATGGTCTCCGAAATATGATGTGATTTATAAATATCAACAGGAGCATGCCGTTCCCTACGCTGACTTTATCCGTTTGAATCGGGTGGTGACACGGGTGCGACATAATCCACGCGACAACCCCTTACCAAATAGATGGCTGGTGGAATGGACCCCATCTGTGACCAGTAAGTCCCAGGATATTGGAAAGACCTTTGAAGAAGGATTCGATCATATTGTTGTCGCCAATGGATCAGACTCAAGGCCATTCATTCCCTTCTTTGACAACTTATGGCAGTGGGAGGGTCAGATTCTGCATTCAAGATGGTATAGGCAAGCCAAAGTGTATGCGGGAAAGGTGAGTTAATGCCAAAGTTGTTGTCAGATTCGATGTTGAAGGGAAGTAGACAGTCTTGGTAGTTGGCGCCGGGCCATCAAGTGAGCAATCCTCTCCGCGATCAAAGTGGGTTGCCTCTGCTGACAATTCAGGCGCTGATATTGTGCGCGAACTTGGTATGCTCTGTGTTGAAAAGTCGTCTCTTGCACCACGACGAGTGTATCGTTCGCTTAGAACTACGCCTCGCTACGATACAGAGCATGAGAAGGGCTGGGCTGAGTTTGTCAACAACATCGGACCTATTCAAAGCTTTGAACCTCCATCCGCGCACTCCAGCACCGGAAGAATCATCACTATGTCAGGAGAGGCACTTGACGATGTTGACGTGAGCACATACCACTGAACCACCCTGATATTGTAAAGCTGACGGCTCTAGGCTATCGTATTTGCTACAGGCTTTGTGATCCGCTTCGAGTTTTGCAGACAATCGGATGCTCCTTTTGACCAGGCTCCATTATTGAGAACACTTTCTGCTCCACCAGCGCACCATCGTCCACCAAATGACAAGATTGGCGCCGCAAAGCTAGAAGGTGGACATCGTAAGTTGCCCACGAGCGAAAATTCGCATAATGTGCGATATTCTCTAACTGGAATTGCGGCCAGGGGTCCACAATCTCGACGCTCACCAGCTCTTCTACCTTCCAGATCCTACATTGGCGTTCCTGCTACTTCACGCCGAAGCCATACCGTGGCCTTTCTCGGAGATGCAAGCTCGAGCAGTTGCAGCTCACTGGTCCGGCACGCCTCTCGAGCTGAAGCCCCATCCAGACGAAGAGTCCGACTTCCATTCTGTCTTAGTCCTCGGCCATCCTGGAGAGTGGGTTCTGGTAAGATCTTCCCCAGTAGGTAAGATGACTAACTGTTTGTGCAGGTTCCAGTATGCTGAAAGGCTATTAAGCTTGATCGGGGAAGGAGGACCAGAGGAGGTGGATGATCAGGGCCGCTGGGGAGCCTGGCCTGCTTGGAAACAGCAGATTCGCGAGGCAATTGATTGAAGAGGTCTTGCCAGCATATATTTTTGTGCGGAGCAACTCCTTCTCAAAGCTGCTTATGCCTTGAGGAAGGCGTGTTAGAGAAAATAGAGGGTGGCTGATAACTCTTCCTAAGTGACCCTGACTGAGCAAATAGCCTCATTGGAAGAAGCCGTGATTGACACTCCATGTCATACGTCTTACAGCTTGCTGAAAAGTCCATCGTTCAAGAAAGAGAAGCTATCTCCCCAAACCGCGTGGTCTGTGGCATCGGTCATCCATTGTGGCTCGATCGATTCGACAGGGATGTGCGCTAGCCAAGCCGAGCTGTCATTTATGGAATTAAAAGTTGACGAGGCTTCTTGAGGGGTAGACATAAGACGCTTCTCTGAAAGAGTTGATTGTCCATAAGCAAGGGCAGGTGGAGCTTGAGGCCGAACGCTAAGTCTCGAGACAAGGTCGATGTTAAGGCTCGGATCTTCGTCGTCTTCCCATAACGGCCAAGAAGTAGTCCCTTCCGAGTCTCGAGGCTCAGCCCTTGTTGGAGAACGGGCCATTCTTCGAGCGAGGACTCGGATGGCTACGGCTTCACTCTGACTATTAGACCCATGATTGTGGTCAAGCGTGCGAGAGAGCTGTACAAGTAGCTGACCGATGGTCTCCACATCTGGAAAGGGCGATGAAAATACCAGTAGAATGTCAATGGCTGTGAGCAAGTCGGGTCGATGCTCGAAGGCAAGGTCGGAGCTCTTCAGCATACATGCAATGAGCGTATGCGCGGCAGCGGTGACATGGGATACTGCGTGAAAGCCACAGAAACGAAGGAGGCCAAGGTGTCGTAATCGGGAGTAGGTCTTGATGGTATCCACTGAGACGCGACAGGCTTCTGATGTAGCGAAGCTGGCTGCTCTGGTAGACAGTTCTGTCCCAGCGTCCAACTCGTCGATAAGAGCTTGACGGGCTATCAATGTTCTCACGAATTGCAGAACAGTTCTCACCCGACACGAATGAAAGAATTTCGAGGTGGCACTCGGCGTTACATCCAGTTGCGATATATAAGGTGGAAGGTCACGTTCAATCTATGAGCAAGCACGGTCAATAAGTGTTATTGTAGTAACCAGGCGCTTGTCATCCAATACATACCTCTTCAAGCCGATTTTGCGCCCGCCTCATGAGATCGCCACGATCTAGAGTATTATTGTCCAAGGAGAGTGCTGCTGCAGGTGTTTTTGACGGAGCATTAATTGCAGAGAGTACCTAGAACGGCTTGTAAGAATCATACCCAAGTACACACGACCACAACTTACCTGCTCTAGGACAATATAGATTTCAATCATCTTTACAGCCGCAGCCATGGCGAGGGGCGGATCGTCTTCCGGCTGGGGGAGAATCTCCGTTTTCTTGATGTACACGTTGTCGACGATGGCAGGGAGGTCTACGCTACCTATTATCCATCAGGAGCAGGTTTTTGATAGAGACTCTTTTGACTCACATTCTGACAAACGAATCAGAGGTGGACGTCCTTGAGAATATGCCAGTGCAGTGTCTAAAGTGTAAAGAGCCCAGAATAAACGGGTACGAATCTGCTGGTCAGCATCCGTTGTTGAATATTGTCGAGCGAAGACATGTTTTACCTGTAATGTCACTGGATCCATATTGAATTCCTTCGTACTACGATGCAATCCAGTAGTGAAGGCTAGCCCTACAGCCTCTGCAACGAAGCTGGAAACAGACCCTGAACACCAACTTTAGCATCGACTTTCCCCAGGCTTGAAATGGGAACAAACCTGCAGAGCCAGTCCGACCCTCGGCAAATAGTGCAAGATCTATTTGACTTGTAAGTCAAACATACAAGACAACATCTGTTGAATTACTAACGATATAGAGCGAGGATATGCCGAATATCCAATTTGTTCTTGCTGATCCTGATGAAATCTTGTGCAAGCTCAAAGTAGGCTTCGCCAGCTGTATCGCGCTCGGAAGCAGGAAGAAGTGCTCTAGCGCTATCGACCAGACGCACCGTGACGGCGAGGATGCTCATCAGTAGTGCTCCGTATTGTGCCGTGCATAGCAGACGGCGTTGTGTTACTGCGACAAATTCCTAGTCAAACCATCAGCTCCGTTGACCAGTCGACCGCAACATCCCTACAGATAAGAATGAAGGTGCGTGAAGCAGAGGAAAGAACACAGCTTCACATGGTCAGTCGGCATCCTTGAAATGCATAGATCTCGGGGCAACTGACGCGTGTTCAGATGGTATCCTATGAATTTGAACATGAGTTCCTGCGGGCAGTTCTGTAGGCAGAGGTCGAAGTAATCATTTGAGGATGTCATGGCGCCAGTTATACCCAAAGCACCTACGGAGTGGGACGCAAAGGATGTGCCAGTTGCATTGCTCTCGGAGACTTCTACCGTGTGCAGCAGACCGAGACGAGCAAAGAGTGGCATTCCTGTAGACGGCCCTGAATGAACAATCTGGTCATCTGCATCGATGAGCAGAAGATGCTCCTTTCCGGCTCGGACGCTTCCTTTTGCGCGGGAAGCATTTCGAGTACTAGATGGCGAGGTACGCTCTGGCGAGCAAACATTTGATGGCGAGTTCAATTTGAGGCGTTTTGAAACTCTGACGGCAGCATCAGCGTTGACGAGACCTCATTGAGAATCACCATTTCCTCACCTTGCATCATGGGGATTTATCGTGACCCGCCTTCTACTCGTGGTGTTCAGAACAATCTTGCGGGTCGCCTGAGAAAATACTCACGGTGTGGAAAAAGTGCAATTTTTGCCACTTTTGTGGCATCGCAAACATGGTCTCTGGCCATCACAGCGCACCTTTCAGGTTAAATTATCTCAGCATCATAGTCCTGTCTGAAGACAACGGTCTACAACAAACCTTTCTTCGCCTGCAGATGTCGCAAGCCACCAACATCTTCCACCTAATGTCAGACAGGTCGCCGGGTCCCTCATCCTGAGCGACTTGTGACATTGTACGAACAACGAGTACAAGCCAGCTAGCCTTAGCAGCGATGTTGAGTCGTTGTCTAGATGTTTGAGCCATCACAACGTTGAACGGTCTGCGGCCAAGCCTTGCGATTGGATTGCGTGCTATCTGGTTATCTATACGCCATGCCGAGTCTCGGCACTTTGTGCCAGACGTTTGCCCGCCAAACTCTGGACCCTCGGATGGCCGAGATGACCTTCAAATTGCGACTGGCCGTCAATCCCTCACCGCATCATGCATTTGCTGGTTATAAGATTGAGAGGTTCAGCAAAATGGGATCGAAGATGCAGCGAAACATTGGAATCGTCACAAGGCTACCCTGATTTGAACGACAACCACCATGTCTTTGCTACCTCAAAGTGCCGGTTATGCGACCAGTAAGGTTTCCGGTTCCGTTATAAATGGCGCACATATCTGACGATGTGGCAGTTTTGGTCGGCGGCGTCTTCTTCGCTGCGCTAATGAACGTGATTACTTGGCTGCAAAAACGATATACGAATTTCCATCCGGGCAGGGTAGAGGAGTTCTCTTCGGCTTCTAGGTCCATCAAGACTGGAATGTATGCATGAGTCTGCTGCAAGCATTCTAAATATGGCTAATTCATCTAAAGGTTGTCAGTTGGCATCGCCTCTGCATGGATATGGGCTGCAGTCTTTTTGCAAACAGGAACCCTGACCTTCCTGTATGGCGTCTCCATTCCATACTGGTTTGGGATGGGAGGATTTGTTGGTATGGTCCCTGAGTACACCTAAGTGGGCAATAGGAAGCTTATCAAGCACAGAAATCGCTGCTTTTGCGTTTATTTCGTCGAAAATAAAGGCCAATGCCAGCGGCGCCTCTACGTAAGCCTGTTCAACGCTTGAAGATACAAAGCACAAATTGATCAACTCTGAACAGATATCTCCAGGTGGCCAAAGTTCGCTTTGGGGTTGTTGGGCATCTTGCATACATGTTTGCTGCTCTCGTGGCCAACTTTGTGGTGGGCAGCGAAATCCTCATCGGTGGTGGAGGAGTCATCGCAGGCATGACTGGAATCAGTCAATATGCTGCTGTGTGGCTCTTGCCCCTTGTGATCGTCGCTTACGGTTCGAGATGATGACTTCGACATTATCAACGATTGCTGACGTTTCGACAGTCTTGACCGGTGGGCTGAGGGCTACCTTCGTGTATGTATGGTATACTCTGTCAACAGATTTCCATTCTGACCAATCTTTGTAGGGCTGACTATCTCCATTGCGTTATACTCTTTTCTTGTCTCCTTGTCCTTGTCCTGGCAACCTACACGAGGGGCGACACAATTGGCTCGCCTGGAAGACTCTATGATCTTCTCCTTGAAGCCTCCGCGGTAAGACAATCCGACGACGTATCATATATACGCGAATTCGCCAGCTGATGCAGACTAGGCAAGCCCAGCAATCGGTAATGCGCATGGATCCTACTTGTCCTTCCGAAGTGATGGTGGCATGTGTATGTGTAACTCAGAGGTGGTTTTTGGGCTAGACTGACACGAGATAAGACTATGCAGTGACTGCGGCCACGTCATTTTTCGGCCTGTCATTCTGTGATCAGTGAGTATGCCAATCCGACAGACAAGGATGATTAACTTATATGAGAAAGGGCTTACTGGCAGCGGAGTATCGCCGCTCGGCCTGCGGGGACCAGCAAGGCCTTCATCTTCGCTGGATGCTTCTTCTTTTCTGGCAAGTTTCATCGGCGACGATTGTATCTATTTTGCTAAACGTTGGAATAGTGGCTCTTGGAATTGGTTCTTCGATGGGTCTAGCTGCAAGAGCTCTGGTGGCACATCCATCTTTCCCAACTTATCCGGAAGGGCTTTCGTTGGCAGAGATTGGCGCGTATGGGACCACCCACCACCTACATACTTTGGAGACTTCTAATCTGACTGACTGTACCTTTCAAGGGGGCTTGCCGGACCTTATGCAAGTGTGGCAATCCTTGGCCAGGCTGGACCTGCCATGTACATTATCATAGCATTCATGGTTCGAGATCACGCATCCGTTGAAAAGGCCCTTGCTAATACTCTTCCCAGGCAACCACCTCCGCCCTGTCTGCTCAGTTGGTGGCGGTATCGACCATTTTCTCCTACGATCTGTACGTTTGGTGACATCGGAAGTGTTAAGAATACTTACTCATGTTCAAAGCTACCGCGAGTATATCAACAAGTCTGCAACGAACGCCCAGATGATGAAGGCCAACCATATTGGTAAGTTTACTCGCTTCCACCCATCGAGCATCACTCATGTGTCACAGTTGTGGTCCTCTGGGCTATCTTCCTCGCCAGTATCGACACAGCTTTCGTGCATATCGGTCTAGATCTCAACTTTCTTTTCTATCTGATGGCAGTCTCAACTTCTGGAGCAGTCTTCCCGATTGGTCTTTTGATGTGTTGGACCCGATTGAATAAGACAGGTGCCATTCTAGGCGTTATTGGTGGTTTGGTGATGGGTATGGTCGGATGGCTGGTGACAGCTGTGACGACGCAAGGAAGTATCACTATAACGACTCTGACCGACAGCAAGGTTATTCTTGCGGGCTCGCTTTCAGCCTTGGGAACTGGAGCCATCATACCTATTATGTTTTCGCTCATCAAGCCTGCTTCTTTTGACTTTGAGCTTACTAGAGCCATCGGTCGCGGCGTGGCAGTAAAGGAGCCACCGACTCCGTCAAACGCATCGCACGCATCGAATGAGAAGGTCCCTCAACAAAGTCAGAGCCACTTGCTCACCGCAAAGGATCTGTCTCTCGAGCCTGCTCTCGCTCGCGTTGAAGGTGGGGGTCAGACTGACGAGTCTGAAGCGCAGTACGCCAAAGAAATTGTCCAGCTGGAGGCGTCGCAAACTCGTTTCCGCATCATCACTGGGCTCTTCCTACTTGTCATCCGTGAGTTGCAGCGTTCTTCCAATCGATCATCTCTAACATGGTCTCATAGTTGTCCTCATTCCTGCTCCACTCGCCGGTACCGCAGTGGTCTATCCTCGAGGCCTCTTCATTCTTCAATGCGTCGCCGCGGCGACCTTTGTTCTCGTATCTCTCCTACTTATTACTTTTGTGAGTCCTTTTCCCGCGTTTACCATTGGTGCCTACTGACTCTTTACCCTTAGTGGCCTTTGTTCGAGTCAGGCAAACAGTTTGGTGTCATTCTTGGCCGGATCAGCCGCAACGAACGCCTAGACATCAAGCAACAGCCGCAGGAGTAATGTCTTCCTAGCTATAACAGCGGGCGATTGCCATTCATCAGAGATTGGCGTGAGGAGACGAGTAGCTCGAGTCTCAATCGGAAACTGTCGTTCCTATAAAGTAACTTATTATAAGAGTGCCTTAATAGATTAATAGGACTATATACTTAATACTCAGAGATAGTAGCTAGCCGTTAAGTAATATGAGAAATGTCATGAACTAGAGAAGGGAACCGCCTTACAAGCACTGGACTCCTTTACACTCTGCTTTCACACTGCCGCCTGGGTTTCTCCTCCGCCTTCCAGCCGACTTCAGTCCATCTGAATGTAGAAAGCTAAGTCGCTGGTTATTTCGGATCCAGTCCACTCAGCCAAATCAAGCTTCAAATCAGATTTGATCAACACAGAAAATCTGTTGAGCTTCCTCCGAAAGCCAGACCGCTCGCTGCCAGCCCGTTCAAACTAACATATACATACTGACCATCCCGTACGACATGTTGCTACCAGTTTTCTCTCCTTCCTTAATCCTTCTTCGTGACCCAGTCGTTCATTTTCTGCAAGCCTAGTTGCCTGCGTCCACTCTTTGACAATGCGTTCCATTTCTATTCTTCTTCCTTATCTTGCCGTTGGATTCGTAGCGGCCAATGCTCCATCTGGCCCAACTGTGACCGTCACGTCAATCCGCACCCACACCGTCTATCCCGTCACGAGCCCCATCACTTGTGCCAAGCTCAGCAAGTCGGTTTTCGTGGGTACCGGTCAGGATCAAGCTATCGGCGATGAATATGCCTCCATCTGGGACCATGCAAAGACCGAGTACAACGGGCAGTGGGACGATTGGAAAAACGTGGTACCGACCTCCTTACCAACCACAACTGCTGGTCCCAAGTCGAGCAGCACTAGCTGGAGTATTGGCACTGTGTCCTCCACTACCACCGGGCCCACCTCGTTGTCCTCTGTGATCAGTAACTCGACCGAGGTCTGCAACGACAACCTCAATCGTTCAAAGTGGTGCAACGGCAAGAGCATAGCTTCGGATAATACCAAGAACGACTACTATACTGGTGTCGTCCGCAAGTATACTTTCACAATCACCAATACCACCCTTGTCTTCGATGGACTAGTCGTATGTTCTCACAAGAGTCAAGATCTAGTTTGATTTCCGCAGGAATGCGTTCTGGCGTTCGCCACAGCCCATCGTTGTGGCAACCTCCATACCGAATTCACTGATTGTGTGAACTACGTGCATAGCCATGTAAACAGCCATCGCGGCAGCCTTATTATACCAATGTACATGCTGTGCTGCCTTGCCGAAATGAAGTGGCGAGTCTTGGCGGACGTGGGCGGCCAAATCAAACGCGTTGCCTTTCACCCCAAATCCCGTGACTGCTCACTACCCCTAAAGAGAAAGTCTGGCGCAAACCTGCGCTATAACCTCCAACTTCAACTGCCATACGATCAACTTTCACATTTTATTTAATTCTTTACCCAAACAGATCCCGCGACCTCTTCAAAATGTCGTGGCGCAATCAAGGCATCACAGGTTCGAATAACATTCCTCTTGGAAATCGCCGTCGATTGGGTGGTGAAAGCAATGGCGACTCGCAGAATGGAAGCTCTGTCAATTCTCCAGCCTATGGAGATTCTGGCAAGCGTGGGCGCAGTCCTGCCAGAGGTCCTTCTCATCAATTCCGCGTGTCTATATATTCTAACAACTCTCTAGCCGAGCCTAGTGTCGACGGCGTCAAGAGACGTAAGAAGCGCAATCGATGGGGTGAAGCTGATGACAATAAGGCTGCCGGTCTGATGGGCCTTCCAACCTTGATTCAGGCAAACATGACTGCAGAACAACTCGAAGCGTACATTCTCAATTTGCGTATCGAAGAAATCAGCCAGAAACTTCGCATCAACGATGTTGTTCCCGCCGAGGGTGATCGGTGAGTTCAAGTCCCTTCCCAATTGACTCGATCAACACTAACACTTGTCACAGTTCACCCTCACCTGCCCCCCAATATGACAACTTCGGTCGCCGAGTCAACACTCGAGAATTCAGATATCGCAAGCGTCTGGAAGATGAACGCCACAAGCTGATTGAAAAAGCCATGAAAACCATTCCTAACTACCATCCGCCATCTGACTACAGACGTCCAACCAAGACACAGGAAAAGGTTTACGTGCCAGTCAACGATTATCCCGAGATCAATTTCAGTATGCCAACTAACCCTCTAACTCTATTGCAAGCCCTTGTCTCTGATTTTTGGATTCCCGTTTATCTGCTGTTGCCTGCCTTGGTAGGCTTGTGACAGTGGACATGGCTCCACTAACCATTTTTCCCCTTGATCAACCATTTTATTCCTAGAACCACAAACTAACGCATAGCTTCTTCTCCGTAAAGTCGGCTTACTCATTGGACCTCGTGGCAACACTTTGAAAAAGATGGAGACTGAGTCCGGAGCCAAGATTGCAATCCGTGGCAAAGGTTCCGTCAAAGAAGGCAAGGGTCGATCAGATGCGGCTCATACCAGCAACCAGGAAGAAGACCTTCATTGTCTCATCATGGCCGACACGGAAGAGAAAGTTAACAAGGCAAAACAATTGATTCACAACGTCATCGAAACCGCCGCCTCCATCCCCGAAGGCCAGAACGAACTGAAGAGGAACCAGTTGCGAGAATTGGCTGCGCTCAACGGAACCCTTCGTGATGATGAGAACCAGGCATGCCAGAACTGTGAGTCTTGAACCCTATCGCTATGACATTCCACTAACTCTCATTCAGGCGGTCAAATCGGACATCGCAAGTACGATTGCCCTGAACAACGCAACTTCACTGCCAATATCATTTGTCGTGTGTGCGGAAATGCAGGACATATGGCTAGAGATTGTCCCGACCGGCAAAGGGGTAGCGATTCTCGGAATAATATTCCTGGCGGCTATGGCGGACCACAACGTCGCCTTGGAGGTGGTGATGCCGTTGACCGAGAAATGGAGGTATGCTCATCTCTTCCCCACAACTTTGCAATCTCAGTTATACTGACGCGTTTTAGAATCTCATGCAAGAACTCTCTGGTAATCCGTCCAGTGGTGGTCCTGTCGGCCGAATTGAAGCTGGTCCTGGCGGCTACGATCAGGGCGAGTCCTACGGTTCAGGAGGTGACTCCCGACCATGGGCCCGTCAACCAACGGGAGCTCCTGCTCCATGGCAGCGAGACCGTCAAGATCGTGGCGGTTATGACCAGCGTGATTCCGGGTCCTCAGTCCCACCTTGGGCCGCACAAAACCATGGCAGAGGTAACGACTCGTATGGTGGTGGATATGGCTCTGCCCCTGGACAAGGTGGTGGAGCTCCTCCATGGCAACAGCAAGCACCACCACCACCACCCCCCGGTGGACAAAGCTACAACTATGGTGGATACCAGGGCTATGATGCTCAAGCTGGCTACGGCAGCGTGCCTCCACCACCTGCGCCTCCGGGTCTCAGCTCATTCTTGCAGCAATATGGCGGTGCACCTCCACCGCCTCCAGATTCTCATGCACCACCACCTCCCCCTCCAGGCGAGCAACCACCGCCACCACCTGGTATGGGAGACTACCCTCCACCGCCACCACCACCTCCGCCAGCGTAAGTTCGGTGCGTCTTTGAGAACTATTTGGCAACCTCGGCACCCATCTCGCAAAGGTCGTCCGAGGGAAAGGGCTATTCGATGGACAGAGGACGGCGTTCTCCAGGTTGTAAAGCGCAGAGTGCCTGTATTTCTATTTTGACTATAGGAAATCATTAGCAACACCTTCGTTGCTTTTATGTTTATGGATTCGTAGACTACACAATTGTATGCGTATGCGAATCGTCGACCAGGCTTGCGTCGCGGGCCGAAGGCAACAGGCTCACTCGTGGCCAAACGTCCAAATGAACCAATCATATCACCTAGAAAGGGCACATCGTCTTGGCGTTGGAGAAACATTTCAAGTCCATAGATGAACCTAGAGCTATCCATCACCTACTCTACTTCTTCACATTCTTCCCTTCATCTACACATCAAATTCCACCGTCTTCGTATTCGCAGGCAACTTCGAAACTTCGAAACCTCGAACCTCGAACCCACTCAAAAGTCACCTGTACAAAACCCTCTAACTTACCTCCCTCCCGACTCCTTCCCTCACCCCGTCAACAGCAAAAATGGCTCGATCACGCGGAGCAGCCCCCTCCCGATCCGCCCCGTCCAGACCTACGGCGTCTGCACCTCCCCGAGCTGCACCACCACAACAGCAGCAACAACGTCCTTACTCGTCTACTCCCGCTGCTCCCGCCCAGGCGCAGGTAGCCCATCCTCCTGCCGCCCAGGCTTCCCAGGGACCTGGTCTTTTCGGTCAGATGGCCAGTACTGCTGCGTAAGTTTGATGTTTTGTTCTTTGCCAATATTTCTCATGAAGCCGTCTCGCCACGAGTCTTGGTAGGAGGAGGATAGCAGGATATGATCTCACCATGAGAGGAGATGGAAGAAGGGGTGTGACCCCGATGGTGTTCTTTCCGACTTCGAGAATCATGCTTGCAGCATGCAAGCAAGTCTGCATAGCCTCGTCTCAGGCTGCAAGGAACTATGCATAGCAACCATAGCTCTCGCGAGTCGCCTATCCATCTACCTCACTCACCTCATTCATCTCACTCATCTCGCTTCGCATCCCATGCCATCCCCTTTCCTTCTTGAATACCCGACCAAAATATCGAACATCGAACATCGTACTAACATATCCCTTTCTTCCTTCCCAGTGGTGTCGCCGTCGGCTCATCCATCGGTCACGCAATCGGCGGATTCTTCAGCGGTGGCTCATCCTCAGCCCCCGTCGAGCAAGCGCAACAGGCACCAGTTGATAACTACTCAGGCGCCGGAAATTCTCTATACAGCCAATCTGCCGCCACCGAGGCTTCGGGCCCCTGCGCCGCAGACATCAAGTCCTTCACCGATTGCATGAACCAGAATCAAGGTAACATGACAATCTGCGGTTGGTACATGGAGCAGTTGAAGGCTTGTCAGCAGGCTGCGAGGAATTATTAGGTTGGGTTGGGTGATTTTGACCTTGCGGGATTGAGATGAGATGAGATGAGGGAAAGAAAAGAGGAGAGAAGAGATGGGTTGATGGAAATGACATGACATTACATCACTGGAACCTGTGGTAACATCAATGATCAATGATCGAGTGTTGCTGTCGGGGAATGTGATGTGGTGTGTCGATGTTGAACATTTCGAAACCTCACTCTTGCATCCATCCCAAGACGAACAAAAGAAAAGAATACTTGTACAGAAATGGACACATCCCAGCATACCATACCACACCATACCACACCATTCCTGAACAATGCCACAATGGTAGAAAGGAACATGAATGAATGAATGGGTACCTACCTACCTGGGTGTGCATGTCAGTCTCTGCATAGCGCTGGTTAGGAAGCCAAACACAAAAGACAAGACAGACCGTCTGAAAGAGCTATAGTTTAGGTTAGCTTGTACAAAATGTCAATAAAATACCTTTCTCCGCTCAAGTGCTCTCATCAATCCGGTATCTCTTGTTGTGTCTATCTCGTTCTTGCTCAGAATGACATGATCTTTGTCTGCCCATGTCAGTGAGCTGGACCATCTGCCTATCTGTAGCTTGTATGTATATATTGCAAGAGGTCGATATCGGTATCGACTTTGGCGATTAAGACCGAACAGAGCCCACCCTCCTCCTCTCTCCCTCAGTAAGACGCTCGTTCAAGTAGACCTGAAGCAAAAGATCATCCATGATTGCGCACGCATACGCATACGCTGGAATTATGTCTCCACGACAAAAATACCACATTGCAAGAAGAGCCACGTCAGTCAGTCTGTCCCCCTCTCGCTCGGAGGAGCAATAACTTTGACGTTCTGCACCTGATCATCCTATCCGATCTTCGTTTCTCCCCATCACCTTGGTTCATCCACTCACTGGATAAACTCAGGGCTTATCCCACGTTTGGGTTCGAGTGGGGATTGCACAACTCTTCACGGTCTTTGGTTACAAAGTTGCAGGACTCGTAAGATATTCTCCTTTTTACTCGGACATATTGACCCATCCAGGGCATCCATGTCAACCAGCAACGTGGCTCAATGCTTGCTCTCCAAGGGCCACGTTGGGGCAGATAACAGATGGGGGCTGTATTTTATTGCTGGAACTCTGAAGCATGTTATGGACACCCTTCGTGCCTCCATGATCACGATATCACGATGATCATCATGACCATTGGTTCATGTCTCATGCCGGCAATCGACTCGTATCTGTACATGACCGTATGTGGAAATGTTTGCGGAAGTCAGTGCCCGAATCGAACGTACATTTAGCAACGAAGACCACTTATATTGGGTGATTGGGTGGTTGGTTGCCTTGGACCCTACTGAGGGGTCTGTGTGTTTGTGTATGGGTGGTTAGGACAATAAGGCCGACATAGGGGTCCGAGGGTTTGTAGTGGAAGGCCTGGCAGCCTGAATCATCGGTATGCAACCCCGAGGAAAGGTATTACGCAGGGTGCGCTCTGACTTACGCATCTGATAGGTTGTCTGATCGTTCATTTTTCCCTTTGAAGAAGGTCGATAGAAATACAAATCATAGAGGGAGGAGGGGCAAGAGGAAAGTAAGCTGTTTGGTTGGTAGCGATCGCATCCCTTTCTAGTGATTTCACAGGTGCATGTGAAAGTCCTCATGTTCAAGGGAAATATCGTGCGATCAGAGTCGCCTCACTTCTCCATCCTACTTACATTGTGGTGCAGGTAGAGACCGTCCCTACCATGTGCATCCAACCACCCTCGTGCTCGGAACTCGAGTCGAAACTAATCAGTGATTGATGATCAATTTGAGTTTCCGACCCCACGTGGGCCTCAACGACGAGCTGACGGTCTTCAAATGAAAGAGTCCTGAGACGTGACTGAGTCGTACAACTCTGTACGAAGACCGCGTGTATTGTCCTAGTGGAAGCATAGGAGGGTCCTGGATAGAATCAAAGGGTTTCGTATCGGAGAGCAGATGGCTGTATTCCCTCGAGAATCATGGCTGGCATACCTGGCACCATATCGCATAGTGGTTCTTGTGTGGTGAGATTGCCTCGTAGCAGGACTCGAACCGTAGAGTGAGACGATGCTATTGGACATCGACCGTTGGATCCGGTCACCCCATCAAGGTGCGGTCAACCACCTTTAACATGTCCTATATCAAATCAATCAGTGGAGGAACGAGATTAGAGATCTTCACCTTCCAAACCATCGTCCAATCAGCAACTCGAACGAAATCGGGGGTGCACATACAGGCGGCCAGAGGACAAGTTTCTTAAATCCGGCCTCGGTCAATCGACATTATTAAGCCTGGACAGTATCTCGTGGACAGGTGATTTGTTGATTGGTCACCCTGCTAATCTAGGGCGGAGATTTGACGGATCGTCGTGCTGGCTGGTAGCTTACTCAATCAACTGCCACGGCTTCGAATTTCGACATCCAGACACTTGCTGGTTTGCAAAAGCCTTCGATGCTAAGCTTTCCACCGATGGGAACCGTTCGCCAAAATGGATAGGATATTCTGCAATGGGGGCTAAGATACGGCCTGAATAGTCGGCCTGATGTCTGGAATTGTCTGGTTGGGTAACCTATAGCTAAGACGTTCAGCCGCTATTTGGTCTGTTCCGTAAAGGCCGTAGGGACAGTACAGGGAAGTGGATTTTGGAGACAAGATTGGCCAGGTTGGCTACTCAGCCCTACGTGCCCGGCCCAATACGGAAGGCGGCAGCGAGGAGATGTGGTGATCATAAGCCAAACCTGGAGTTTGAACATGGCATACAACGATGCTGTTGGATGGCTTCCAGTATCGAATGTATGCTTCTGCTTACGGCTGAGCCTGAGTGCGCTGGTGGCAAAGCGTCCCTGTCCAGTGCGGAATGCCACTGTTCCAGCTCGTTCTAGGGCGCAGACCTCAAGCAAGGGTTGAAAGAGTATTCCCTAGACTTCGGGTGCCATAGTAATCATTATGTTCAACCCGAGAGAGTGGTCCACCCGAGGACCGAGGAGCTATCATGACCCCATCTCGTGTAGTTAGCCGCGAGACGTACGGAGCAGGGTCCGCGGACCTTGATAGGGGCTCCCTTGCTGACCATAAGCGTGAGGTTGGAGGCATGTCGATGCTCCAAGGTTACTGAATTTGGTCAAGTAAGCGCGGTATGCAGACAGAGATAGCTCAACATCCCAGTATAGCCTAGGCCCGGCTGTAAGATGGCGAGGAGCAGACCAAAGGACATGAGTATATCACGTGATCCAATGGAGTTGCTGGCGGAGATGGTGGTCAGCAGCATCTCTCAGGCGTCTCACCTTTCCAGTACGAAATGAATCTGGTATGCGGCTCAAGCTCCCTGGCATCGGGATGAGCGATCTCACGGGCGTGGAAGTTCAAGCTCCACCATAGGATTGTCGGTGTGTCCTTTATGTGGAAATCAAGGGTCCAACCAGCTCAAGAGGCGAGCAAAAGTACAGAAGCTGACCGCGACAGGGATTTTAAGCCTTGTGCGTATCCCGTGGTTGCATTTGGCAAGGTGAGATATTGTGTCGAAGCTTGAGAGTCATACATCCTGGTTCCTGGTGCCTGGTTTGGAAGTCGGTGATAACCTTTTTGATTGCAATATATGGAGTAGACGTGAAAAGTACGTGGCACAGAATTAAGACACTTTCTCTGTGGAACTCTCTGACTCATTTTTCAGTCAGAATATCGACGTTGCCTGGGGAATTTGTGTTTGGGTCTTGTACAGCCACAAAGACAAAGAATGTGATGCTGCGTGGATCATGCATCATGCATGGCACGTATGCGTACGAGGGAGGCACGGGAGGATACTTTTTGTGGACGTGTTTGTATGTGTTCTAAGAATAATGCACTGCCCAGTCTCTAGGGCAAGCGGGGTTGATCTTTCCAAGTACATGGTTTCTGTCAATGCGGCAGGAGACGCGACAATACGATTGTCCAATCAAGGGTGGAGCGGCTAGGCACCAACTAACGGGACGGAAGCCACGAGATGAGTGGAAGGAGCCAGCCACAAAGATTGCCAAGTTCAGTTCATCCTTCGAGAACACTTCCATATTTGGAAGGCATAAGGCTTGTGCTCAACGAGTATTGGCTTCTTTGTGTGCACAAAGCGGGATGTGGGGTGAGCTAACGTTGCAATTCCTCCCAAGCCACAGTATTGCGGCCAGGCATCACAATTTTAAGCTCGATTGGATTGTCATGCCTTTTTGGGTGCTCTGTGCGAGTCATGCGTTCTAACTGCTTTGTATGCTTCTAAGGATATGCCAATTGTCCAGGGAAGCCACGCTTGAAACGTGTCAATGCAAACTAAAAATGAAGGCTCAGAAGGAAGCACATCATGTGCAGTTATTGCAAACGGCCAGAAGCTACGGCTTCTGCCAGATACCCAAAATATAACACGCGAACTGGATTGTCCCCGCGGAGGACCTGTTATCACGAGGATGATACGGGGATAAAGATGGTACGTCCTATGGTTGGTAGTTTCAGGATTTAAACTTGGTCTGGGGTGTTTCACGAATAGGCAATCTGGAGGTAATAATATTCCTCCGACTCACGGGTTTAACTGTTCCATGGCCCTTCTAGGGGATCTTACGCCCGGAAGACACAGATCAATCTAAGTCGGCCTGGGGATTGGGAGGAGCTTAGCGATTGGCTGGGAATACGTTTGTGCAAAAGCATAAGCGAGGAGCGCTCGCAAAAGTGCTTGGCCGGGCCATCTTATGCCCGGTGCGTGGAACTGGTTTGGGCCGACTCCAGGACCCCCAAGGTACGAAGTCGGCCGATTGCAGGTAGGAAATCAATCAATCAATCGCCCGACTGTCCGAGCTCCACGGACGAACCAGGCTCAATAATATCCACCAATCACAGCCATCATGCTCAGCATAACTCGATCCTCTCAAAGTTATTGAGATTTAAGGTTAGGCTACCACTGTCGCAGTCGCTGCATAACGAGAGTCAAGCCGGATACGAAACACGAATGACTGCACGTGTCTGTCACAGGTTCAGGTCGAAACGTCGATGCCTGGTAAAAGTGGTTCGATGAATACGTGGGTATTTACGAGGAGCAGGTGAAACCCAAAGAAAAAGCAATGCAATAGAGTGCACAATGGCATTTAGCCGTGGTGAATCTCCGGGTTAATAGTCAGCGTCACAATATTCCAGGTGCTCAACAGATGCAATGATAAGGCTGGTAGAACTGCGGGGAGCCAAAATACCAGCTGCAGACTGTACATTAGGTGAATACGAGGATGGAGGTGGGAAGCAGCTGGATGCACAAAGCGACAAATTGTAATTGAGCAATGCAGTGCAGCATGTCGATTGGGCACACAGTGAGGCTGGAACAACACGAAGCCTGGGCTTAGGGGAGTAACCAAATGAGGCAACTTCACTTGATACGTAGAAGTGCTGCTTGAGGAAAGTTCAGTAAAGGACAAGTAGAATGACGGAATTACACCCCATCGCTGCTTCAGGTATTTGCATGTGTTTGGAAGTCGTGGGGAACCGTGGAACTGGTTCGAAGCAGCGTGAAAATGGCTTACGAGAGCTGGCTTGATTGCCTAGGGAGGGATAGCGCCCAAAGAGGCATCATCATTACTGGAGGTTACACTTCTAGGTGACAATTTCACAAGCCATAGGCCAGAGGCCATAGGCGGGCTGACCAAGCCAACCCCCTAGACAGACCACTGATTGGCTTTCCCCAAGGTTTCTGGTACAACGATTTGCATTTCTCAGCAAACAGAGTCCAGACATGACGAGGTGGATTGTAGTAGCCCGCCGTTATTGCAAATCCTAGTAATCACAAAGGGCAACACCACCAAAATCGAGTCATTGGTAGTCATTATTACTTGTTGGTGGACCCTCAAACAGCAATGCAAATTTGAAGCTGAAATACGTGTTTCCAAAATACGACTAAGCACTGTAAGAGAAATGAAAAGTGACCTGAGATACTCCGTAGATTGCAGGTGCTCCATGGAAATGGAATGTCGAAAGCATCAGTGGGAGACCGGATACACGATTACACGAAGTCACCGGTTCGACCAAAAATACTAAGTTAATGTTATTTCTGTATCGGGGCCGACCTGCGAGGCCAGCAAGGCCAGCAGCGTCAGACAGGGTATAGCAGGGCAGTGAGAAGACACCTCGGGCAGTGAAATTTGGCGGTGGGTAAGGCAGACGGGTGAAAAAACCATCCGAGTGACAGGCAGCGCCGCCTGGAAAGTCAGGCAGCCGTAATAATGCAGTGCAGGTGGGCAATAATACTCGTACGGGGCCGGTTTTTAACTCCAGGGCCAGCAGCGAGATGCCTAATGACCAGTGCCCAGTGCCAGTTGCCCGCGGACTCAACTTACGGTCGGGATGTGTCTTGACAAGAATTCCGACTGTACCAAAAAGGTAGAGAGTGCAGAGTGTCATCACCTCATGCACAATCATCGCGGTCACCGCCTGACGAGACAACAGGGTCATGGTGGGCGGGTCAATCTGGCTGAGAAATCGTACGTTTTCCGGACGGGGCTAACGTAGCACCGCTGGCCACGGAATGTAAATACGAAGTTGACAGGGGGGTCGGTCATGCGTTAAGTCCACCCATCCTGACAGTGGAGCCGACGATGAGGAAGGAGGACCCAGCAGCAGGGGCCAGGGTGCGGACAGGGATCCTCATTCTTCGGCCTTTACGACTACCCGCTCGCTTCTTACTCAGGCACACTCAATATCCTAACGTTTATGCCACCATCTGATCTCAGCCCCGTGCTTTACAAAAGAATCCCCAGGCCCTCTCTTTTCGGCCCAGGCTTTTCCTTCCCATCATCACCATCCAACAATACAACAAGGCAAACATCAAACATCAAACATCGACATTGAATGCCCCGCCTAGAACAGCCTTGCTTGCAAGCCACGTTCCATCCCAGCCTAACATAACCGACCATCAGTGCCACCCCACCAAGTGACTCACAAATCAGAAGCCACTAAAAAAGTCGAAATGCCTTCCACCATCAGCTTTTCCGCTGTTCCAGCGAAGAAATCATCAACCCAATCCATCTACACCCGCCCAGCAAAGAAGCAGAAGATGAGCATCACTCAAACTTACTTCCTTGCTCACAGTGCCCGTGGTAAGCTCTCCAAGGAGGCTTCCCGGCCTGATCACGATCTCCGACTCCTGGTCGGACACGCCAACATGCTCGACTCGTTGATGCTTGACCTGGCCAACGCCGAACAGGAGCAAGAACGGTGGTTCAACAACATTGTCTCCGGTTCACAAGATGAAGAGGAGGAGCGACCACGACATGTCGAGACCATTGTCGAGGAACCTGAAGCCGATTGGGAAGCCGAGGATGCTGATTCCTCTGACGAAGAATCAGAGGATGAGGTCGAGGAATCATGGACCTCCAACGTGAGCTCCATGGAAGTTGACGCCGAGATGGACGACGAAGAAACACAAGACCTCACCCTGACTCGCACAGCCTCGCGACATTCTCCTCCCGAGTTGAGCCTCGACTCGGACTCGGACTCTGAAGATGAATCAATGCCATCTTCCCCACCTACAATCTCATTCGACGTGCTTAGCGAAAAGCAACGACAGGCCATCGCCACCACCTCATTCTACGATGCCAAAGAAACACAATCATTATCACCCGCAGATTCAGAGACCTTTGTCCAAGAAGGTTTCTACCTCCCCTCGAGGCAACAGCCAACCATAATCGCTGCCTATTGAGCAGGCTGATTGACCGCCCTCGAGATCTGATTTGCGAGCGATTTATATGAGCGTTTCTAGCGAACGGCATTCTTTACGACAAATACGAATGAGCATTGGCGCCCTGGGTTTTTTAATTTCACATTGGAAACAAATACTCCAATCATGTCTACATATCTCTACGGAGAACTCCATTCAGCAGCACCAGCCGATCGAACACAAGGACAAAGGCACCATCAATCGTTTGCAGAAGCAGTAGTCGTGGCCTTTAGCGCCAGCCTGTGGAAGCAATTCGCTTGAGCGGTAACCCAAGTCAAAGTCGTACGATAAGCTAATGCTCAATGACTCTACTCATGTACACTTTACTTTAGGTAGCTCTCCCTGCTTTCCAGGTCGAGACACTAAAATATGATTATAATATCTCAAACAAACACATGATCTCAATCTTCATTCCTCACTGTTCCTTTTTCATGCTTCTCCTCGACTCGTGACCCTTCGCCATCAAGCCACAATGCCACCTTTCACTCTTCGTACACACTTGAACAAGGTTCCCCATACTCTGGAACACACAAACATAACTGTCGTGACTTTGATGACTTTGTCAGGCGTGACTTCAGGGTCTGCAGATCATCGGCGCCTCGGATTCGCTTCCCTTAGTGATCGTCGGCACCTCGGACGCCTTGTACGGCCGAAGAAACCCGAGCCCCGCCCGTTCTCGTCCGCCAATCCTAGCCCTTCTACTACTAGCTAAGGATGACTCTTACTTCTGTTTTCCTTAGAAACTTTTGTGTGTGGCCTTGTGTCCTTATCCCCGGCCATGCACGGTCAAGGTCGAGAATGCCGGCTCGAGGACGATTTTGTCTCCGAGAGCGAGCGAGCGAGTACCTACGCACCCAGAAAAGTCGCCTACGTTCGGGCCCCAAAAAGCTTGGACAGAAGTGCTCTCTCGTGCCTCTCTACACTATCACCTCTAGACTCTCGTACTATCTACTCCGTATGTCCATGTGCACTGCACAATCCATCTCTACACTCACGCGTGACCCAAGCGTTAATAAATTTTCTTCCGTGGTTCCGGTCGAGACTGGGTTCCATCAACACCGTTTGTCACCGTCTCCAATCTCTACACTTCTATCTCGAAGTGCTCTACTGCTATGCTGTACATAATCGCGTCTTTGCAAAGTGCACACGTGCAAAAGTCAAAGTCATTAATCTCGACTTAATTCGGAAGGTGGCCCCTTCGTTCTGATGCACGAACAGTCAGAAAATCCCAAATTCAAATGATTTGTCCACACGGAATTTGTGTAGCGTCATTGGTAAACCCACTGTTCCCTAGAGACTTTGTGCTTACGGCAGCATTGATTTGACTTGGTGAGGACCACACAGATGGCACAGGACCAATGTGGGCCCCCAATACCCCCTCTACGATCGCGATCGCGGTGACCCTACTGGCCCCCAAGTTTCTGCTTTTGTAAGCTCGTACATAGTTCACATTATTCAGTGTGGACAACTTAATTTGACCAGCCTTGTTTGTCGTCGTCGACGAAGGCCTGATTGACGACAATACTTGGTTTGCCTTATGCGCAAGACTTGTCGATCAACCTCAAGATACATGATGCATGTGTGCTCTCGCTACAAGATCCGATGCATGAAGAGGTATACCTTCCGAGTACTTTTGGGCAGGAGTCTATCCGAGTCTGAGTGAATTTCTAAAGCGAGGGAGGGGGAATTAGTCATGGTAGGTAGGTTCCAACGGGGGTAACTGGCGACGGGCGACGGGCGACGGGGACTCACTTGTCAAGCTCGGGGATTCCCCCAAAGATCGACGCTCATAGCTCGTTTCTTGGGTGGTTGGACATGCTGACTATTGGGCACGTGCCAAAGATTGGCAAAAAGGTCTAGACCAAGTTACATGTGATCTGGATACACGTGACTTCACTTCGAAGTTCGGCTAAGTTACCCAAATATTAAGATGTCCTCCAAGGTGTCAGCACGCCAAAGGATCTTCACGAATTTTCAGTGTTGGGATTCATCGCCTCAACAACTGACTGATGATGCTACAGATGCATCCTCACAATCTCTCAATGGCCTGCAAGACCTTGACAATACTACGCATCACGGGATTTGAATGTCACGTATGTTTCTGCAACCTCGTCATGATGCTACCAGCGCTTACCACTGCTGCAACACTGTCCTGCGCGGCTGGCTCACCAAGTTGCTTACGAGAAGATGAGAGCTCTGGCTTGACCCTATCATAATGATCCCGAAGTTGTGTGCCGCCAGGTATGATGTCGATGGCCCCTCAAATTTGACCAACAGGCGCCTATCGCCTCTGCCCTGTCGCCCTGCAACTCCAGCGGTGGGTTTTCGTTTCACTGCACACTACGCCCTGCACGCTACGCACTACGCGTCAGTTGGGGGTCGACACTCTGCTTCTTCTGGTTCCACTTGATCCACATGACCGTCGTCTCGAAATTGATCAGGCCCTTTTAGCCGACAAGAGACATCAACCTAAACCTTGGGCAGCTAAGATTCGTGGGCCTGTCCTACCTGTTCTTGCAACTTCTAACCGACGAGGCTCGCATGAACTCAACCGTCGAGGCTTCAGGATGCATGCGAATGGGTGAACGCCGGCGAGACACTCAGGCAGAATACAACCATCAGCGGTGAGCTCTTTTGGAATGCGGTTGTACTATGCAGTGATGAGCTTGGAGGCACGCCTTGGGCTAAGTCTATGCCCCCATCTTCCTGAATTAGCCCAGCCTTGTAGATCTGGGAAATCACTACGGCGAGTGTGTTTTGAGAATGAAACAGCTTCGAGGGGCCAAGATGAGAGCGATTTTCCACGATCAAACTAAGTAAGTGTCTCACACCTCGAATTCGGTCAACATCGAAGCCCTGAGAGCGATCTTGGCCTCAGATACCTCTGATATCGGGGCTCTTTACGTGTGTCACAGTGAATATGCACGACATCTCGAAAATGGGTCATCATCGTTCGTCTGCTGAAAGTACAACGAGCGGGGGCTAGCTCAAGTCGTTATCCTAATGGGTGCAATCCTTCCAGTAGTATGTGTTGTTTCAGACGTGAGTCAAGACCGAAGCTTGAGAGACAATCAAGGACACCACTCTGAGATCCGGGCTTCTCGGTGTGGACACGGTTCTTTCACGGTGCAAATCGTCCTACCGATGGCCGTGTCACCGATGAGATGGATGCCGTTGACCGAGTCCAATGGCTTAAATCAATGGATCTCGATCAGTTTCATCCGGGGCATGTTGCTTGAGCACTGTTGCTGAGAAGGCCCGCTAGAAAGCTGAGTGAGCGATTGATCATCCGACTAAGCCCATCACTATACCAAAGGGGAAGGCTTGGCATTGCTTCTCCTACTTCACGGTCAATCGGCATTCCTCAAAGCGCATTCCCAAACAAGAAACACCACTATGCCTAAATGACACCTGGCAGAATTGCAGCATCTTATCAATCAGAGTCAATCGAAGCTTGTCCTATCACATTGTCTCATTGCTCCATCCTGCCTCGACCTTGGAACAACGAGACAAACAACATTGACGTCGAAGCACTCGTCACATTTACAGCCCCGCTCATCACAGGACACGCTGCGTGTACCAGTAAGTCCTCGAGAGCTTATCCATGCTCCCTGGTACCAGTCCTTGGCAGGTCGGCGAACTTGGCGATGATGTGGTGTCTGGTGAAGCCTTGTTCACACATTGATCCTATTGACATCCAGAGACCCACGCTCCCAAACAAGCCTACGTAGCTCACAGACACCATCATGGGCGCTACGTACCCGCCTAGCTCTTCCCCACAGGTCTACTTTACTGCCCTCCATCAAGCGAGCATCATCCAACCCCGTCGACCTATCACACATTTAGCCTGTGTGGCCTGCTAGCTCCCGTCCGGATGATGATGCAAGAGAAGGTTCGAAGAACAAACTAAGCAGAAGCCTCCTTCGTTTGTCACCCACCCTGCCACCTCCACTTCACTTTCACCAGACCTCTTCTGGCACGATCGAGATTTGAGACTCCCGTTGTCTCAATCTGCAAAATCCCAAGGAGTCCTTTGACCGCCCTTCTGTTATGACTGGTACCCATTTACCCAAATGAGAAGGCGTGCAGGTCCTCCGTGCAAACGGCTTCGGGACTTTCCACGTTATCCACCTTCTTAAAGCCACGAGTTGATTCGTCCGGGTGTCATTCTCAATAAGGTTCGTCTCCATAATACTGAGGCTTCTTCTAGGGTTGGCAGCTCAGCCATTCAGCCTTGTCATAATGTTCTCCTGGGTTGTCATCCGAAGTGGCATCGGTCCGGGGCCTCCACTCAGCCACCCACCTTGCAAGGCTCTTTAAGAAATGAGATGTTTGTTTTTGCAGATCGGCGAGTACGTCAGCGCGTCAAAAAACGAATGTGGTGTTTGCTATGGGGTCACAAGATGTAACTCAGCCTATCTCTCGATACAACTGGATGCCTACACCGCGTCAAGATGGATCCCTCCTCGGCGATAGTGCCATGATCGGAAAGAGCCGTACTAGCAAGCGGCCACTTAGTGGGTCTGCAGGACACTGCAAGCTACTGTACACACAGTAGATGATGCTCTCAGAAACGAGAATAGCCGAAAACATATGCAGTCAAGTTAGACGGAGGTTCATTACTGGAAAAATGCAAATTAGCCTTTGCTTTGCTAAGGGCTGTCTCCGCGGAAATTTTTCACGACAGAGGTCCCAGTCCCAGTCCTAGCGTCAACCAGCATTGACTCTTGTGGCCCCCCATTATCCTGCATGTGCGTACGCTTTCCTTAGAGCGCAACTGGGGTCGGTGACCACGGTGGCCGCGCTTCGAGAGACAAGACATACTTGCAGTTGTCTTGGTTTGGGCGTTGGACTCCCTATGACGTTTGGCTTGCTCTCGAGCGATACCGATACCCACCCACAGCCTTGTGTGCAACAACATTACGATGACTTCGGGGTCCATCGTCGGGATGCTATTGTAGAACAGCCAGATTTGTGAGCATTTTAGATATGAGGTCTTGCCGCTCTACATCCAAAACGACTCTGAACAATACCAAATACGATGTTGATACCTGACCAGCCTTGTTGTATCAACATTACAACACCTAGGTATCTCTCTTCATGCTCAGTAGATCGATAGCAGTGGCAGTGTCACTACCTATTCAGGTACCTAGTTACTTAGGTTCTCTACTCTGCTTCACTTCTTATCCTCACCCATCCCTTGCATGATCCACTGACTCCCCTTTTTGGCATGTTCCTCAACCTTCTCCTTATCACGAAGCAACTCCTTAATCTTGAGCGGCTTAGGAATATCACAACCCTTCTTAACCGTCGGTCTCGCATACAACATCTCCTCCCACTTCTTCACATTCGGAAACTCATCAATATCCACGCCCGCCCACCCCGCATAAATCACCCAACTCACCGCCGCAATATCCGCAATCGAGATATGATCCCCCACCAAAAACCCCGACTTTGACTTCTGCAGATGATTCTCCAACACCTTGTACAATCTCCGACTTTCATTCGTATACCTATCCATTCCATATTTAATCCTCTCAGGCGCATAACGAACAAAATGGTTCGCTTGACCTTGCATGGGTCCCAACCCTCCTGCTTGCCACCATACCCAATTGTTGACTTCGTATGCTTCGCGCGAGCCTTGAGGATAGCTGATTACGTGATCGTGATCGTATTGTTCGGCCAGATATTGGAGGATGCTGCCGCCTTCAAACAGGCGGATTTTTGATCCGTCAGAGAATGTATCGGTGATGGCGGGGATGCGGCCATTAGGGTTGATTTCAAGGAACCAGTCTTCCTTTTGTCGGTTGGTGGAAATATCAATGTGCTCGAGCTTGTATGGAATACCCAGCTCTTCCAGAGCAATGGTGATTTTGATCCCGTTGGGAGTTGCGTCTGTGTAGAGCGTGATATCGGGTTGTCTTCTTCCTGCCATTGTTGATGCGAATCGAGGCGTGATATGAGATCCAAGTTGTAGGAGTCGTTTCATTGTTGAGGGAGAGTGGTGCTCCTATGTACTCCGTGAATTACTAATCGATGTCCTTGAGACTTGATGTCATTTTGGTAGCAAGTCACGAGGAAGGATGACCAATTGGATGATTTTCGGATGATTTTCTCTCCGCTCCGAGTCTACCACTACTGATAGTGCACGTGACTACCACTTCCGATTCAAAGTCCCGTGATGACATCTCCAATCGCCAATCGCCTCAGATCTGAATACGAATAGGACGGAGATGTCTGGAGACGGGTACATGAACGTCAGTTTGAACTTCGTAGACATGTCATTTTTTTCGTCACAAGCCCGCAATATCGTGGTACACACGACCCTTTCCGAGTTAAATCCATGAGATGATATCTCCAACCAACGGATTCATTCCCCGCGTCAAGCAAGCGTTCATCAAGCCTGAGCCAAGCAAATGCGTCATTGGCTCCGTTTCGCCCTTCGTCATTGATTGACATTTTGTGAACTCTGTACTCTGAACCATGAACTCAACTCTGCGACCTCCGCCACATTTAATTCTCCCTTTGAGCCGGTATCGATCATCCTCTCCGCCCTACCGCAAATCCTGAAACTCTCTCCCCAATATAAAGAATGCTTTCCTCATCGAAAGAGATAAATGCATGGTCCTACGTGGCGAATATTGTGAGCTGCAGCGACCTTTGACCGCTTCTACAATTTGGTCATCTCACCGCCGCATCTTGCATCTTCGTGGGACGGCACGATATGCCTCCGCAGACTGCAACTACACTGTAGTATTCCTGGTCCTTCGATGGACGATAGACTACCACTTCGCAGTGTATTTCATTATCTACAGGTGAAACTGAATCGGGCAACATGACTCCTCCTTCTACTTCTCATCATACCGCCGGCCCTTCGTCCGCCCATGACTCTAGCACCTTTCCTCATCGTCGATCCTCCTCGTCGACGCGGAGAAAGCCATGGCAATATTCCCATCAGGCGTCATTCCACTCGAATCGCTCGGCCCCAGATGCTGAGGAAGTTCGACGTCTCTCTGAGCATGTCACGCGCCAATCGACTCGAACGTCACACCGTCGAGTTGCAAAATGGTACAAGATTCGTTGGTTCAAAGGCGTGCTGGATGATATCAGGAGGAGGGCACCATATTACTGGAGCGATTGGAGTGATGCTTGGGATTATAGAGTTGTCCCTGCGACTGTGTATATGTATTTTGCAAAGTAAGTAGGTCAAAACACATATGTGATCTGGATGGATTGTCCCCATAGCCGTTGGGAAGAGAAGGTGTTCGGTTCATTTCTTTCAAAAATACTAACCATATCCTATCCATCAGCATCCTCCCCGCCCTAGCCTTCTCTCTCGACATGTTCACCAAAACCGATAATTCTTATGGCGTCAACGAAGTCCTATTAGCTTCAGTCCTCGGCTGTGTCGTCTTTGCTTGTCTCGCAGCCCAACCACTAGTCATCGTCGGCGTAACTGGCCCCATTACCGTCTTTTCCTACACCGTCTACGACATCGTCACACCCCGTGGAACCGACTTCTTCGCCTTTATGGCCTGGATTGGAATCTGGTCCTTGATCATGCACTGGATCCTCGCCATTACCAACAGTTGCAACGCCCTGACCTACATCACCAGATTCAGCTGCGATACCTTTGGCTTCTACGTCGCATTCATCTATCTTCAAAAAGGTATCCAAGTCTTGACCCGACAATGGGAATTGGCTGCTTCCGACAGTGCATATGTCTCCATCATGGTCAGTCTCCTCGTTCTTGGATTCGCATACGGATGTGGCCTTATTGGAGAAAGCAACCTTTTCCAACGCCATGTGAGGAAATTCATCGAGGATTATGGCACGCCTTTGACGATTATTTTCTTTACTGGATTCGTTCATATTGGACATATGAGGGATGTGGTCATTGAGACTTTGCCAACGAGTAAGGCATTCCTTCCAACGACGGATCGTGGTTGGTTGGTCCATTTCTGGAATATGAGTGTCGGTGATGTATTCCTGGCGATGCCGTTTGCCATTCTCCTGACGATATTGTTCTGGTTCGATCATAACGGTCAGTACTTGTCTTCCTCTTCCAATCGGAATTATATAAACATCCATCCACCCATTCATTAATCATCCATCGAACAACACATTGCTAACGAATGATTCGATTGATCCACAGTCTCCTCCCTCATCGCCCAAGGCACCGAATTCCCGCTCCGCAAACCCCCCGGTTTCCACTGGGACATATTCCTCCTTGGCCTGACCACCGGCATCGCCGGTCTCCTCGGCATACCATTCCCCAACGGCCTCATCCCGCAAGCCCCCTTCCATACTCAATCCCTGTGCGTGACTCGACAAGTCGTCGACGAAAAATCATCCGGTCATCTCATCCGAGTCACAGACCACGTGGTGGAACAACGAGTCTCCAACCTCGCCCAAGGCCTTCTTTTCCTCGTCACCATGACCGGCCCATTACTAATTGTTCTGCACCTCATTCCACAGGGTGTTCTCGCCGGTCTGTTCTTCGTGATGGGCATGCAAGCACTCGTCGGCAATGGAGTGACGCAGAAAATATTGTATCTCCTGCGAGATAAGGAATTGACTAGTTCATCGGATCCGCTTGCGCGATTAGATCGACAGAGTTCGATTTGGGTTTTTGTGTCGTTGGAGTTGATTGGTTTTGGTGCCACGTTTGCAATTTCGCAGACGATTGCGGCGATTGGGTTTCCGGTTTTTATTATTTTGCTGATTCCCTTGCGGACCTGGTTGATGCCCAAGTGGTTTCGAGAGGAGGAGTTGAAGGCGTTGGATGCGCCGACGGCGGGTCCGTTTGTGATGGAAAGTGTGGGTGGGGCGTATGGTGAGAGTGGGACGACGACGCCAGGGTCAGATGACAATGGTGATGATGAGATTGCTGTGGTGGAGGATTCGTTGGAGAGGGGTGAGAGCTATGAGTTGAGTACGACTTCTGGACCTGAACGGACAGCGAGTCGATTAGATGGCAATGCTGGGATGAGAAGGAGGAGTCGAGGTTCGTTACATCAATGAATGAAGACTTCAGGATTCGTTGATTGGACTATGCTTGGAGGTAGATTCAAGCTGAATGGGTTGGATATACACAATCTGGAAAGACCGAGCGCAGAGGACAAAACTAGAGAGAAAGAAAAGAGAGAGGATTCGTAGATATGAGAAGTGCCACATTTTGGCAGAGGGATAAACAGATCGCTGCATATATGAAAACAGATTTGAGCAAATGCTAAAGAGAAAAGATATCGTCTTAGGAGTCATCTCCCAGTATCATTTTATTTTATTGTGCGGAAAGCTATCCTAAGCTGGGATCGCCTTCTGCTTGCCCTTGTTATTCTTATCATCTTGATCCTCATCAGACTCGTCATCATCGTCATCGTCATCATCATCAAACCCAGCAAATCGTCTTGTTGGCTGAGTCCGAGCCTCAGGCAACAGATGCGACGGAATCTTGAGACGTTCTTTCAGAACCCAGATAGCATCTACATCGCCTCTTTCTGCTTCCTCCCTTAGCCTGGCCATTTCCGAACCATCAAGTTCCATGACATCGTCCTCTTCGCTATCCTCCTCACTCGCACCGGCCGACCCTCCGCTTCCACTACTTTCATCTTCTTGCCGCGAGGACGATTTGCCTTTGCCTTTACCCTCGGTCTCAATCGCCAACATGGCTTGCTTGACCGCATTCCTCACATTCTCACCCACCTCTTCCTTCTCATCGACCCACTGGTCACTAAGTCCCTTCCGTCGGCCGTCAGGACCTTTACCTGCCCTCATGTCTGCTTCTCTCTGTTCAGCTAGGTCGATGACTTGTTCCCATCGCTTGCGCCTTTCTTCTTTCTCTTTCTTGTCCATCTCAGGCTTTGTGGCCAGGTAGGTGGCTAGATTCTTCGCCTCAGTGATGGTCCGCATCCGTCGTCCGTCCAGGTTCCGGGCGCTACCATTTGCGGCTTCAGCATTCTGACGCTTTTTGCGAGCAGACATACGTCCTCCTGCAGCTCGCAGTTGAGAGCCAAATCCTCCCTTGCCACCGACAAGAGGCGCCGAGAGGCGTAAAGAGAGGAATGAGGAGCTCCCAGCATCCTGACATGATGTAGATGGCGATGTGAGATCGCCTAGTGTCACTGAAGGGGTATCGTAAATGGGAATGTTGGACGTCGAAGTCAAAACGAGACGAGTCTCGGTGGGGAAAGGCTTCGGCAGGACATGTCGAATAGAGGAAAAGAGGTCTGCAAGGGAAGTCGATGCAGGCAAGGGCAGACAAAGTGTAGGAGGAAGCGACAGGCCCGGAAATGAATCCAACAGGACATTGACCACAGGTTCCATATTGCGTCAGCAGGTTTGGTGGGCGATTTGAGTGTGCGTCTGGATGTCTTGCAGGGATTGCCGAGTTCGAGTGGTAGGATGATGTGTAGTTGAAGATGGACTCTACCTAGAAGAGTTCACAAAGGGAACGAAGGTGTCTGGATGTTCACTCCCGGTGGAGATAGTTGTCACAAAAGGCCTGCCAGAAACGGCATGAAACAGATCACGTCAAGAGATGTGGAGGGTGGTGGGGTGATGGTGGAACAGGATCTGTTTGTAGAGGCGATAGTGAACAAATAAACAAAGCGAGATGATGAACCTCAAACATTGTGAAAATTGTAGGTTTTTGCAGGCTGAATCAACCACCTGCAGTTAGAGCCCCAGGGCGGCTGGGCATCCGCATACATCAAGAAGCCTTGCAGGTGAGGGGACTGGTGGCCATTGGTCGAAACTTAGGCATCCACGGCATCTTCAGAGCCTTGAGTGTCCCTGTAGGCCTGGGAGTCCTGGAGCTTGGTTCTCCAACCAGAGGTGGCCAATGAAGCAATCAGGACGAGAATCCCGAACGTGGAACTGGTTGGGTTGGAACTGGTTTAACTGGAGCAGCTCAAGCCTGGTTAAAAATGGTTAAACAGATCGCCGAACCGAGCCCCTCAGGTACCTCGTCGAGGGGTCATCTTCACTTAAAATTGCAAGCGACCACCCTTACCCTTCCCCGTTGGCGCCCCTCGGCCCCCCTCTGGACATGCTGGAGGAATTGGCAGACTGACTTACTACTACTGACTGGGACTGCAGCAGATCAGCACCGCCGCATTGGGAGGAGAGAGGGGGAACCACTGAGACCAACTGGGACCTCGTATTGAGAAAGCCACTTTACACTTCACACGACAATTCCTGACTTTTTGGCTTACACGCGTCTCGTCGTCGCAAACCCGTCCACGAAAAATTCCCTTCCCCTTGAGGTTCCCGCACATCAACAACAACAATTATCAGAATCCTGGCCTGCAGCACCTGGCATAACCTCCGTGACCGTCACTTTCCCTCCATCACAGCTTGACCCATTTTCCAGCCAGCTTATCAAAGTCAATGCGGAGACGCGGCGCACTGGCCCCTGGACCCGATCCACTGCCAGTTACCATCTTGGAAGTCAGCATCACTGCCGCCGTGTACACTGTCACCGAAATCAGAAATTGATATTAGCCGCTCAGCTTCGCAATTAAGGCTTTGTGACAATGCCGTGGCAGCCCTTGCCACTGTCATACGCGGTTGCCATTTATCCCTTTCAACCATCCTCGTCGCCGGCTGAGCTTCCACTTCAAATTGGCGATCAGCTTTATGTGATCGAGCAAGGCGGGAAAGATGGTTCCTGGTGTCGGGGTTATCTAGTAGCACCTCCAACGTTACTATCCTCTCTAACCTCTGGAGTTCGCACCATTTCCGATGCTCGCGTATTTTCTGGCATCTTCCCGCGATGCTGTATCGATATTCGCGAACAATTGGGACAGGCTCCCCCTCTCCCAAAGCAGGCAGGGCAGCCAAAGCCCCCTGCCCCAGTGCCAATGTTGAAAATCGGCGATGAATCACCAACATCATCCGCCGAACCCTTGGTGGATGAGATCTCCAGCTGTCTTAGAGAATGGTACATTCTCCACCTGCCTGATCTCGTCCTACGACGGGAATATCAGCTGCTCGACAAGATGTCCGAGTTCTCCACACGTCTGGACTACGCTCGACGAGAATTGCTGAATGATGTTCTGACGACCCAGGAACGAATAGGAGTTCGAGAACAGGCGGTATGGGATTTGGCTCGAGGCAATAAGATGCTCAGTGGCGACATCATTGTCAGAGATCCTCACCAGCATGGTCGGTTACTAACTTCAGAGGATTCGGCGATTGAGGTCACCAAATTACAATCAGTCATGGGTGTCCTCGATGGCACACCAGCAGAAAAGTCAAAGGTTACCTCTCTCCACCATGCACTACTGGAAGTTAAATCTGTTGCTGGTTCAGACTTGGACCAAGTCACTGTGAGCCTTTCGTTGTATCAGAAGAACGAAGAGGGCACGGTATCTTCTTTTTCCGAGGCATTCACATCTCTTGCTTCAGCTAAGATTAAGACTCTCTTCTCTGATCTCGGTTCTCGAGACATTGCTTCCGACGGTCAGCTATATCTAGTCGCCAAGGTAGTGGTGCCGGAAGCCCCACGCAAGGCCAGGAAAGTCGTAGCGGAGCGACCGCCATCAAGAAATGGGACAGTTCGAAGTCAAAGACAGTTGTCCCTTAACAAGCGGCGATCGAGTCTGCTTTTTGGGAAGAAGAAGAATGCTGAACGACCACAATTGGGCCAGAATGGTCGTGTCACGCCTCAAACTGCCAGAGCCTCCACACCGACTATCATAGAGGACGAGGAAGATCCACCTCCGAACAGACCGCCAGCACCGCCAGTGCCCCGTACTGTGGGAGTGGGGATCTTGGACGTCGCCGAGATCATGAGGAACAATCGCTCGATTGAGGAGAGTATAACCATCTGGGCCTCACCTCAACGCGAAGACGAGAAAGGTCTGGAAGATGACCCCGTTATAGCACAGCTCCTCAATCATTCGGGCAAGAACTTTGTGATTTCAAACAGAGTTTCTTCGGTCAATATTAAACTCACATCGTTCGCTGCGCCAGATGCAGACACTCTTATCAAGAACAATCCGACCTCGATGCATTTAGTTGTCAAGACACAGAAGATGGGCTTTTCAGAAGCCCCCTCAAAACCCCGTCATGACATTTATTTCAGACTCAACAAGGCTCTTGTCGGCCCAAACGCTCACCTGTCACACCCGGAACTTGGTATCGCACCACTGAGAAATACTGCACTAAAGAATTTGCAGCTGACCATGGAGGTCCGAGATTCTTCTGGCCGCCGTGTCGAACATTGTATCTTCCCATCATCAAACGGAGCGGGTGTAACGGCGTTTCGCACAAATGCCGTCGAGCATGATTCTCGATGGGACCAGACCCTTTGTCTCCGCATTCCGACCAACAAGGTCAGTGACAGTCATCTTGTGTTGAGCATAGCAGACGCCCCGGAGTTCCCCTTCGCTTTGGCTTGGATGCCTCTGTGGGATCAGCAGGCCTTCATCAGCGATGGAGGCCATTCTTTAATTCTCCATGCCTATGACAAAGTCACGTCTAGCATTATCCAGGGCAAGGGGGCCTACCTCTCCCTGCCCTGGAACAACGCCAATTACAAGACCGTCTTCGAGGGTGCAATGACACATGTTGCCTCAGTCGAAGTGGAGACAGTCTTGTGCAGTACCGAGTTTTCTCAGGATCGTACACTGGCATCTCTGATCAGCTGGAAGCATCAATCATCTGTGAAACTGCTGGATATTCTACAGAAGGTCACTTTTGTCCCGGAAATTGAAATCGTCAAACAACTCCGGGAAGTCCTGGACGCTTTGTTTGGGGTGTTGGTTCACAAGTCGGGCGAATCAAAGTTTGAGGACCTGATATTCAACGATATCGTCTTCGTTCTGGGAATTGTCCATGATAGGAGGTACAATTTGGGCCCTCTGGTGGATCAGTATACCGAAAACAACTTCCGCTCTCCCTATGCTGCATCTGGACTCATACGCAGTTTTACTAGACTCCTGCAAAGTGTTTCTGACCCTCAGAGTGCCCGAGATATGAGAGCGCTTTTCAAAGTTGGGCGAATGTTTATGAAGATTGTCATCACTTCATACCAGCAGCGGCGATTTGGGACTCAGGCGAAAGATGTTGAAGACAAGTACTCGCACTTTAGGGAAGATATGCAAGCCATCCTTTTTGGATTGCAGATGATGATGCGCAGTGAAACAGCGGCATTAGTGGGAAGCAAGACTCTTCTAGTTCAACAGTTCCACACCTGGCTACCAGAATTGTTACCTGCCTTCTCCAGAGAAGAAGTCATGCAGATCGCGATTGACTTTATCGATTCTTGCGACGGCGCCACAGGTAAATTGTTCTTGTTCAGGCTGGTCTTGATCTTGAACTACACCAAATTGGACCAGATCTGGGTTGAAGATCAAGACAAGGAGCTTCTAGTCGAGAACTGTGTCAGATGGCTCAACCCATGCTGGTCACCTAATTCCGTCACAGATGTGTGGCATGAACAAGTGCGGTTGAGCTGTTCGGTGGTCGCCCAACTGATGCGGTTCCCAACCCATCATCTGCAGGACTTCATGCCGAAGCTCATCTCCGCATACTGCTCAATCTCAAGTGAGCCCCCGACAAAGAAATGGGCCCTTTCGCTCCTGTTCTCTGAGCAATATCCACTGGTCAGCAAACCGGCTGAAAGCAACGACCAATTTGACGAGGCTCTTCTCGAGCTGTCTGCTCTCATTTCGGCCATTGCGAAATTGAGACCAACTACCGCCCCGAAGCTTGAACAACAAGACTTGTCCGAATACATATTGTCGACATTGACGGTATTGCGGTCGTTGTTGAAGAATGACGCTTGCCCGTCATCGTGGCTCAGTCTACACATATACAATCATGCCTCAGCCCTCACTATACTTGACCATCTCTCGACACTTCTAGTCTCATACTATCTACCTACACCTGAGGATGCTGAATCATTCGACATGCAGTTATGGAAGTCGTTCCTTGATACACTGATCAATCTTGTATCTTCGCCGGCGCTCACTCTGGAGCTGTTTCCTGAACAAAAGAGACGGGCGGTGTGGAAGATTGCCGGTGACGTGCGACAACATGGAGCCGAGTTGCTTCGCAGGAGCTGGGAGAGCTTAGGATGGGAAGCAACAGCTGATGATCAACGCCGGTACAACATACGCAAGTTAGGAGGCTATCAGGTACAATATGTCCCTAGCCTTGTTGGACCAGTCATCAGCCTTTGTTTGAGCATGCACGAAGGATTGCGGAAAGTTGCGGTAGAAATTTTGCAAACCATGATCATCAGCGAGTGGGCACTCAGCGAGGATCTGGAACTTGTGGAAACAGAAATCATTGGTGCGTTGAACACAACTCTCAAGGCCAAAGCCGTGTCGGCCAACGAAGCCATGGGACGGAAGTTCTTTATTGCAGAACTGCTGGATCTATTCCAGACGATCGCGAATCAACCGGACGACGCGCTTTGGACAGCATTGGAAGAACTTGTTGGCACGATTGAAGAACTGGTAGACCTCCTTACCTCGTCTGAGTCGGAGCATGGCTCCACGGGCGCAGCTGGTGCCACGACGAATGCCAAAACACGAACCAATGGCCACGGGCCTGGCAAGGACAGCGACTCGCAAACCTCTGAGTCGAAAGAACTTGATCGAGCACGCCGCAGCATTGATGGCTTGAGCCCGACTTCTCAGCAGCAAGGGCGCGAAAGAGCATATGGAGTTCATGCCCTAGAGTGTTACAAGCAGCTTGCAGACGAATATGAGAGGAATGGAGACTACAAACGTCTAGCCAAGACATATCGAGCGATCGCAAGGATTCATGAAGCGAGGGCCACGAGCCGACTTGCTGGTGGCAGGGATCTCGTCAATGGACGTGGTCGACTAGACGAGGAGCTCGAAGAGGATCCCTGAGGTATGTGTCCTCGCAGTACCACGGAAGGAGATTGGGTGGAAATGCAGTAAGAGGTCACTGGGTACCAGGGACCAGGGGACGATTTTGGGCTTGTTGATTCAACTTTGTGCGAGTATGTGATTATTAGCCAAGTTAGTAGCCTTGAGCGCCCGACTCAGACATATATTTCGAATTAAATTCTTTGTATTTGCTTGATTTTTGATTGTGAGACAAAGTGCCTGATCCTCCAATGCCTCCTTTAAAGTGACACGAGTGGCCATGGACAACAGTGACACCTTCGGGCTGGAATGACGCTTGTTGTGTGCAGGTGGGGGCAAACTAAAGGTTGGGTCAGGCACGGTTAGGCTTTCCGCATGTTTTCCGCATGATATGCAGACTGCCTGCGTTGCCTGTCACTGACAACGGCCTTTGCCTGCTTGCCTTGAGGTTGCCCACATATCGGAGAAAGGTGCGTCCGACGGCAATGCTTAAGAATCTGCAAGGTGACGATAGAATACCATGACGAATCAATTCACCCAGAACAATCATCTTTCGATACTCATATTATTGTAAGCTGACAATCACCAGTCACCATGTTGAACGAGTGACACACATACCCCTCCAGTCTACACAAGACTAAGTAGAGGGGCCAAAATCACATCACGATGACAATACGGAGTAATGGCCAGGGCAAATGATAACCTACAGAATGCTTCGGAACAGAAATTCGCTAAGACCGAACGGATAGAAACCGATCGAAGGCGGCAGATGTCTTGGCATGTTCAGCCTTTTGTGAGCCTCCAACCAGGTTGAGGGACCGCGTAGTTGGCCTGCATGAGCCCTGGCTTTTTGCCATTTTCACTGACTTTGGCTGCTCCTTGGTTGGGTTATATTTTACTGCCATTGAAGTAACTTGCCTCGTCTGCGTTTTGTTGCCTCCAACTAACTAGGTATTCACGAGTGTTGCAAGACTTTATTTCCAATCCTTGACCTCTCTCTCCTTGTACAAGAAACCTGTCTTCCCTTTTGCTCGTGGAGTCATTATCTGAAACATTCTACTCTCCGTCGACTCATCACCACCCACATCCTCCCGATCTGTCCCACTCCTGCGAGTCAGGTTCCAATCTCAGCTTACCAACTTTCCAACCTCCCGCAGTATCTACCTAGTCCCGCCTACTTGTCTGATACCATAAATACAATCGCTTCACCAAGATGGTCAAAGAGACCAAATATTATGAGATCCTGGGGGTATGTTACTCAGGTTGCCTTGATGTCACCAACAACCAGAAAACTAACATGCCTGTCATCAGGTGGATATCACATGCACCGAAGCCCAACTCAAGACAGCCTACAAAAAGGGTGCCTTGAAACATCATCCTGGTAGGTTTCTGACTGCCAAACATATAGTCTCAAGAATCGTCAACTGACATGTCACCCATAGACAAGAACGCACATAACCCGGACGCCGCTGAAAAGTTCAAGGATCTGTCCAAAGCCTACGAAGTCCTCTCCGACCCTCAGAAACGTCAGATCTACGATCAATATGGAGAAGAAGGTCTTGAACAAGGTGCAGGAGGCGGTGGCATGGCTGCCGAAGACTTGTTCGCACAATTCTTCGGTGGTGGCTCCGCCTTTGGAGGCATGTTCGGCGGTGGCATGCGTGACACCGGCCCGAAGAAAGCTCGAACCATTTCCCACGTCCACAAAGTCTCATTAGAAGACATCTATCGCGGAAAGATCTCTAAACTGGCCCTGCAGAAATCCGTTATTTGCGCAGCCTGCGACGGTCGTGGTGGCAAAGAAGGTGCGGTCAAGACCTGCCCTGGCTGTAACGGTGCTGGTATGAAGACCATGATGCGTCAAATGGGTCCCATGATCCAGCGTTTCCAGTCCATCTGCCCGGATTGTCAGGGTGAGGGTGAGACTATCCGCGAACGTGATCGATGCAAGAAGTGCGCGGGCAAGAAGACGGTGGTGGAGCGAAAGGTGCTCCATGTGCACGTCGACCGTGGTGTTCAGAGCGGGCAGAAGGTCGAGTTCCGCGGCGAAGGTGACCAGATGCCGGGTGTGCTGCCCGGTGACGTCGTCTTTGAGATTGAACAGAAGCCTCATGCAAGATTCCAGCGCAAACAAGACGATCTCTTTTATCATGCTGAGATTGATCTTTTGACGGCGTTGGCTGGTGGACAGATTTACATCGAACATCTTGATGACCGGTGGCTGACCGTCAATATTTTCCCCGGAGAACCTATCACGCCTGGTGAGTGTGTCCACGTTGATGGCAATATAACGGACTAACAGAAAATCAGGTGCGATCAAAGTGATTAAGGGTCAAGGTATGCCATCTTATCGTCACCACGATTTCGGCAACCTATACATCCAATTCGACGTCAAATTCCCCGACAAGACACAACTGCAGAATCTGGAACTGCTGGAGCAAGTTCTCCCTCCTCGAATGGAACAAAAGCTGCCTCCTGGTGACAGCATGGTGGAAGATTACGACTTGGAAGACGTTGATCCCCGCCAACATGCTCGTGCACATGGCGCAGCGGGCATGAATGACGACGACGATGACCTACCACCTGGAACTGAGAGGATGCAGTGTGCCTCGCAATAAACGAACCAATATACGAACCAGACTGTGATGTGTTCAACGCAACGAGAAAACGATCGAGGAACGAAGAAGCAACATGACTCGTTGACACACAACACGTGCCAGAACCATTGTATTTCGGCACTCGGAGGCGACGAGTGGTATTATGGGCCCTTATTCTCCCGTGTCCCTGTGCCTCGGACATTACACGGGATGGGCAATGGGCAACAGCATTGAGGTGGCGTTGGTTTTGCACAGTGAATACAGTCCTGGGCATCAGGACAAAGACTGGCGTTGCATGTTTTAGGGGTTGGTTCTGCACAATGATATCCTGGGATGCATCCTAGCTTGTTCTAGATTATGACGGGGGGATGGTCGTGAATAGCCTGCGGCTGTGGAGCGCGGGTCGTCATTGGTTCGAATCGAAACCCGAACCCGTAGACAGGCATGCTTTCCTCATCAAGATAGACAACGGTGGAATCATATGATTTTTTTCAACTTGCTTGATGTTGTTGCGCAGGAGGGGGTCCAGGTTGACGACAGTGATTGCTTTGACTGTCACCACCCCCTATGTGCTCGTTGTATAATTGCCACCCTCGGAGGGTCAAGCATGACCATGGCAAAGGTCGGATATTGGACAATGTTCAGCCTGAGGAAAGGCACTACTTAGTCGGCCATTCGAGTCTGGAATGGACAAGGTCTGCAACAAGTCGTGTTCGTCCCAGAACAAAGTCTTTACCTCGTACTTGCCTGCAAGCTTAGTCTGGCTTATCTGCTCTTGTCATGTTGCCATTTCTCTTAATTTGTTGCAAATCTCTTGTTCCTGTGCTGGGGCCAATCTGGTTGGTAGTATGTCAAGCTGCATACGACTTTGCTTGCACCATTCCCACTCAAGGATGGGAGTGGGAAGGTAGTATCACAAGCTAGCGACGACTTACTAGGGAGTAGTGGAATCTCGACGATTGCACCATTTGTGGCGTTTTTGAAAAGATGCATCCAGCAAGGCTTCAAATACTCAAGTCACATGAAATAATGGGCTATCATATATACGGTACTCCGTACTCCGTACAGCACGAGACCGCTTATTCCATCATATCAATATGATTGGTAGGAAATGGCAACCCTCTCTGTGGTGGCGCTGCGTCATATCGGGACCCTAGGGGGTGTTGGTGTTGGTCGGGCCCTGGCATTATTTGTCCAGGTGGAGTCGATCTACAAATGATGAAAAAGGCTATCAAGCACGCCATATTGATCCTATCGAATTATCACGTTCATCCAGCCAAACTCGGCGCACAGCTGCCCTGGGTGCCTGGAGATGAGAATGAGTTGGCCACTTGTCGCACACAAGGTTAGAAATGCAATTTGCAATCATTGCTGTTGTGTCCAGGCAGGCACGATCCAGGTAGGTTTGTGGTGCCTTCCTTCCTCACCCCTCCCCCTCATCTTGACAGGAGGAATTTTATCACAAAATTTTCATCTTCAACAAAAACAAGACGACGTTTGAAGTCGTGAAGCAATCCAATCTTCTATCAAGACCCAATAAATCAAGCGAGGTTCAGTCCAAGCGTCATCATCATCAGGCCTTTCTAGGCAGTCCAGGATGCCTCATGGCTTGGAAGGCAGTCGTGGCAGTCGCTTCATGTGCTTCCTCCTCCTCTGACGCCATCCAAGCTTCGCGTGATCGCTCTCATAGATTGGGTTCCAGGGATCCGATTTTCTAATTCACAACCTCGTGGGACCTTTCCCCAGTCCATGCCTTTCCACGCAGTTCAGTGCTTGGTTTCTAAGCCTGGCCACACTTTATCCTCGTGTGGTTCCCGTCAATGAGAAGTCTGTTTCACCCAGCCATGCCCCATACTCCTTCCGCTCATTCGTCAGTTCATCGATTGCACCATCCGCCCTAATCCTCCTATACCCATCTACCCACACTCATTGAAGCTGTCGTTGTGCAATGGAAGAAATCTCTGACAAGGGGAATCAGTCATCACTCTGACATTCCTACTCTTTCTCATTCCATCTGCACAAGCATTACTTCTTTTTGTCCCGACCGACCGAGTCTCGATCTCACCTCTCGGACGCGAGAAACCCTGCCTCATATCCCCCGGCATAAGCTCCAACTTTACATGCCACCCATGGAGCATTTCTAGCCACATCGACGACTATAATATCTGGCTTTCCGTCACGCCAATTCTCTCGGCTTCTCTTCTCTTCAACGGTGTTGCTTGTCTCACACCTTGTCAAACTTGGCTTCAGACTTGGGTGACACTTGCTCAGCACGTCATCAATCTATTTTCCTTCCAGCGTTCGTCTTTGTGCAATAGCGGACCGGCACCATACCCCCTAGCGAGACCAGCAGTCTCATATATTCCTTGGACAAATCCTCCCCTGCCACACGCAGTTCCAGACTGTCCGTCCAATCGTTCTCCTCCATCTCGCCACACCTCGGAACGGGGGGCCCTGGCTATTAGGTAGCGGAAGCTGCTATAGCGTGATCGCTCTGCCAACCTCACCAAAATGCCCTCTTCTGCATCAAAGGCTGGCCACACGGCTGCCAAGTATCTTGGAATTAAAGTCCATGAGAATCGTGCCCAGGAGGATGCCATCACCAGAGGCGAATCAACCTACTCCACCAATACCAGCGATACCTACGTTGAGGAGGAGCCTCGCACAGTCGAGTGGCTCCAAGACCTCGTCCCTACATTTCCTCAGGTCAAGACCTATTTCCGAAATCTGTTCCCGTTCACTCGCTGGATTCTGAGATATAACGTTCAATGGCTCATCGGAGATTTGGTCGCTGGCATTACTGTCGGATGCGTTGTCGTTCCTCAGGGAATGGCATACGCCAAGCTGGCACAGCTTCCTGTTGAGTTCGGCCTCTACTCATCCTTCATGGGAGTTCTCATCTATTGGTTTTTTGCCACCTCCAAGGACATCACTATCGGCCCTGTTGCCGTCATGTCCACCATTGTCGGAAACATTGTCCTGAAAGTTCAAGATGAGCATCCCGAAATTCCAGGTTATGTTGTGGCATCTGCATTAGCCATCATTTGTGGTGCCATTGTCCTCTTCATCGGTCTCATTCGATTCGGTTGGATCGTCGAGTTCATTCCGTTGAGCGCCATTTCAGCCTTCATGACTGGATCGGCCATTAGCATTGCCGCGGGCCAGGTTCCCAATCTGATGGGTATCAAAGTGCAGGGCTTCAACACTCGTGATCACACCTTTATGGTCATCATCAACACCCTGAAGTATCTTGGCCACACCAAGATCGACGCCGCCATGGGATTGACTGCCCTAGCGATGTTGTATATCATCCGCTCCGCTTGCACTTTCGCCGCCAAAAAGAATCCTTCGAGAGCAAAGATGTTCTTCTTCATTTCAACATTGAGAACAGCTTTTGTCATCTTGTTGTATACCATGATCAGCTGGCTCGTTAACAGACACCGCCGTTCGGATCCTCTATTTGCCATCTTGGGTAAAGTGCCTCGGGGTTTCCAACACGCTCAAGTACCTACCATCAACACTGAAATCATCAGCTACTTTGCCAGCGAGTTGCCTGCCTCGGTCATTGTTCTGTTGATCGAACACATTGCCATCTCCAAATCCTTCGGTCGTATCAACAACTATACAATCGACCCTTCTCAGGAGCTTGTCGCCATCGGCGTTACCAACTTGCTCGGACCTTTCCTAGGTGGATATCCAGCAACTGGTTCTTTCTCAAGAACTGCCATCAAGTCCAAAGCTGGTGTCCGCACTCCATTCGCTGGTGTCATTACCGCTGTCGTGGTCCTCTTGGCCATCTACGCACTACCAGCCGTGTTTTTCTACATCCCCAACTCTTCCCTTGCCGCGGTCATCATTCATGCTGTCCTTGATCTCATTACCCCTCCCAAGACCGTCTATCAATTTTGGCGTGTCAATCCTCTTGAGACAGTCATCTTCTTCGCTGGTGTCTTTGTCACCATCTTCTCATCCATTGAGAATGGCATTTACACCACGATTTGTATTAGTGTTGCCGTTTTGCTCTTCCGCGTTGGAAAAGCACGTGGACACTTTGTCGGCAAGGTCAAGATTCACTCTGTTCTCGGCGATCACCTCGAAGAAGACAAATTCCACGATCAAGGACGATCGTCAGACGACAGCGAGGAACGTAACATTTTCCTTCCCTTGGACCACAACGATGGCTCAAATCCTTCCATTGACGTCCAATCACCCTACCCTGGAATCTTCATCTACCGATTCAGCGAAGGTTTCAACTACCCCAACGCCAATCACTATACCGACCATCTAGTCAAGTACATTTTCGCCAACACACGGCGCACTAACCCCGACTCATGGCCTCGTCCTGGTGATCGACCATGGAACAACCCGGGTCCTCGACGCGGACACAGAGAAGAAACCAACGACCATCTCCCCACCCTCAAAGCCGTCATCCTCGACTTCTCCGCTGTCAACAACGTCGACGTCACCAGCGTGCAAAACCTCATCGACGTACGCAACCAACTCGATCGATACGCCACACCAGACGCCGTCCAATGGCATTTCGCCTCCATCAACAACCGCTGGACCAAACGAGCCCTCGCCTCCGGCGGTTTCGGCTACCCATCCCTCCCCACCTCAGAATACCATCGCTGGCGATCAATATTCTCCATCACCGAAATCGGAGGCGAAATCAACTCTGCCGCCACCGCTGCAGAACGTGAAACCAACAGAAGATTATCCGCTGCGCGTGATGAGGAAAGTGCCAGAGAAGTCAAAAAGCAAGTTGCTGGTGGCGACGATTCAATTTCTGGAAGTGGAAGTGATTTGAATAAGGAAATCACGAGGAGTAAAGCATATCTTCGATCGGATTCGAAGAAATTGGCGATTGTGCAGGGAATCAATCGTCCTCTTTTCCATATTGATCTTACTTCGGCGCTGCAGTCGGCGATTGCTAATACTCAGCAAATCGAGCATGGGCGATCGAAAGCTCAACAACAACAGCAGTTTGATGAGGTTCCTATTGAGAAGTTGAAGTAGGTGATTGGATGGGAGTCGAATCTATCCATGGACTTGGGCCTGGATAGGGATTTTTGTTACGTTGTTGATCACGAGATATACCATACCAACCCTCGTCGAAGGGTAATCGTTGTCGAAGCTAAGTAGATTATAAGGTTGAAATATACCTGAATAATGAGAGATGACATATCGATGATTCATTCAATTCGTCCTGATATAAATAGGTATATATACCTATCGATGTGGTCTAACAAACCGTTTGACCAACCTCATCTCCTCTCACTGTATCTCTGCCATCGCCGTTGTCGTTCTTACTCCTCCGCTCCCTCTCCCGCATAATCCCCTTCCCCGTCCTCTCCCTTCTCCTCTCGCCTCTCCTTCTTCTTCTCATCCCTAATTCTTCTCAAAAACATCCCTCAAATTAACTTCCATCCACGCCGTTTTCCACATCGGCACACCGCCCAATTTCTCCATTACACTTCTACTTCCAACATTCGACTCCGATACATCAGCATGACCATAATAGATATCATTCATCCTTCTCTCCCTCTCATCTTCCTCCCATCCCTCCTCATCCTCATCCTTCCCCACCGCCGCCGCCGCCGCCGCTGCCGCTGCCGCCTTCCTCAACAACTCCCTCGCCACATATCCCGCCAAACCCTTTCCCCGATGTTCGTCTTCAGTATGTAAACTGGAAATACTTTGATCCTTGGACAAAAACCCCCAACTCACTGGATTTGGTTCGTCAAGGTGAAAAATCCCCGCACTGGTGAATTGGCGGAGTGTTTCCAATGTTCGTGGGATAGGGGTTCGGTCGAGTGCGGTTTGGAGGTGGGTGGGTGTGAGGTTGGAGATGTGATAGGAGGTTGGAAGGGTGGGATCTTGCGATCTCGATCTCGCCCTCGGCTTTGGTATTGGTATTTCAAAAATATATTTCCAATACCCAGTATCCGTACGTGTAATCGCGGAAGTATATGAAAGAAAATACGGCCACATGGATTCATGAATGGATCCGAAAATGACTTTTGATCGGTCGTATGGTGTAGAGAGATATTTTCCGGTCCGTTTTAATTCAAACCAGTCGGGGGATGGTGTGGAGGGGAGTAAGGGGATGAGGGTCTGGTGGATGTAGTTGAATAAAGTGGATATGAGATGGGGATGGAGAGGAGAGGAAGGGGAGGGGGATGGAGGTTGAGAGTCTTCAAAGACAAAAGATCCATCAAGGAAACGAGCACCTTCTTTTTGTAACGCTGATGTAAACTCTCCCGAGGCTGGGTTTGACCCGCTGGAATACAAAAAGACTTGAGTTTGGCCTTGGTTGGCGAGGTCGATGTGCGCGGCTAGCCAGGGTGGTGAGGGATGGGTTTCGGTATGAGTATGGCTCATGAGCCATGCGTCGAGCCATGTTTTCGTATGGTCCTGGTCGGCATTGTCATGTTCATTCTCAGTCGGTGATGCATCTTGGTCGACAGCCTTAGCTGCAAAGACCTTTGCATCCTTCCCACTGGGATGGTCGTCTTCGAACTCTAATCTCCGTAATAGTGGCAGACTGTATGGTAATTCGGCTTCAAGGCGGTCTCTTAGTAATCGGACCTGTTGAGCGGATAAAATGGCGTATTGGATGTTGGGGTGTGTGGCGGGAGGAAGGGTGATGTTGACCTCGTTGCTGACGTTGGCCGTTGGCGTTGTTGATTTCTCCATGTCATAAATTCAATTATCGAGTAATGCTTGCTCTTCATCTAAATTCCACGGCCTGTTGCGTGTGATGTTCTCTTTCTGGAGTCGAATCTGATCCGGTCTCACCACATCGCAGACTGTCTCGCTGGAGAGACTGTGTTCCTCGTTCTAAACACCAGTTTTTCTCATCGAATCTGAGAGATCCACGTGCGTTCGTCAGAATATTAGGAATAGAAGTCCCGAGTTCCAGAAGGAACCTTACCGACAGAATGGGCATTATGGGCATAATTGTGGATCAAAGTCGAACATTGACTCATTAATAGGGCTTGGGGTTTTGTGGCAGCGAATGGGCGATTACATGTCACATCTGTGTAACCTAAATCCACTTGAGAAGCAGGGTGACATAAACGGTCTGTCAACCCAATACTAGGACTACGATTCACAAGCCAGAAGGTGATATTCAGATTCATGTCTTGTTTGTATGAATATATTTCATATATCCTCAGAAAAGGTGACCGGCCAGTAGGCTTCACATCAAGCTCACCACCATGGCCGATCAACAACAGTACCTATCTGCGAAACGAGTGTCCTCCAGGGACACAATGCAAGGTCGTCTGCCCCAAGTCTCAAACTTCCAACGCTCCAAAAAAATCCACTTTAGATTCATGATGCATGTCAACATAAAAGACACGGTGCATGTCACAGCAAGCACCGGCTCTAGAAATCAAAATGTAATTAGGATTACCACACGCTGCGTATCTCAGACGAACCCCGATAGACCATGTGTACATGACGGACAGCATGCTGTTTTCAAGTATGTACGGTCTTTTTCTTTCCAAAAATGCTGCGAGACTTGGATTTGCTTCGCGGCTTTTCGGCAGATGACTTCCGTGAAGATCTCGATCGATCATTATCGACATCCTGGGCGGTTTCGTTATATTTTTCCTTGTGAATCCTGGAACACTTGTTAGCCATACATGATTTCAATTGTGAAGAGTCCCCACTTACCAACTGTTTCCAATCATGCTCACGCCCTTGGATTCAGCAATACGATAGAACTTGGCGGCCTTCTTCATGTCCTTTTTGCACCCGATGCCTTCAGCATAGCAGTAACCAGCTTCTGTCAAAGCATCCGTATCGCCCCAATTACTGGCAATCTCAAAGCATCTCAAAGCCAGGGGTTTGTCCACTTCGGTGCCCCAACCATTCAGATGAGACATGCCCAGTTCGTAAATTCCCAATCCAAACTGTGCGCGATGAGCTTTCTTCTCCATTGAACTTGCCGTAGACTTGGGAGCAGTGTCTTCCTCGTCTTCAGCAACCTCATGCATGGCAGAATCGACCGCCTTTCGAAGCCATTGTACGCCTTCTCTAGGATTGGCACGCATCCCCCAGCCATGACGACAAGCGAGTGCATATAAGAGCATGCCAGTGGGATGTCCCTTGTTGGCAGCGATTCGCAAATGATATGTCGACTCCTTCAATGAGCCACTTTCATGCAACTCGATGGCTTTATTGACATGCTCCTCGGCGAGACCCGGGTGATTAGTCGTGGTACGTGAAGTGGTGGGGCGAATTGTGCTGTTGGAACGAGAAGAAAGAGACATTTCGGCCACGGGAGACAACGGAGCGGGTGGGGGGAGAAAGTAGGAAGTCGGTGGCGGAAGACCTGTCGAGGGCTTTGTTGTGGAGGATTCATTTGAACGAAGAGAACCCGTTGGGGTATACGAGGTGGATGGTCGAGCAGAGACTTGGGTCACGCCATTCTCGGCGTCAAGATCAAAGGAAAAGCCTGAACGTTCTCCCTCTCGGCTCGGTCGGGCAGATCCCAAGGGTGAAGGAACAGCTAGCTCGTGACTTTTCTTGCCTTGGAGAGGCGGTGTTCCGGGGAACATGGGTTCCTGCCATTCGAAATGGGGAGTGGCAAGTCCTGTGAAGACGGTTGAGTCTCGTTCTGAGACATTTCGACCACGGGGCAAAGGATATATGGAGTGGGTGTAATTGACTTGGCCAGCCATGAAGCCCCGAGGAGCATTAGAGGCGTCAAAAGAGCTGGTTTGTCGTAGGTGCATGGACATTGCTGACTTGACAGGGCTCTTCTCTGATCGAAGGTTTTGCATACTGGCTGAGCTCATGGGTCGCGAAAAGTTGCGTGCGCTGCCAAGAGATGGGGAACCAAGCGAGTTGGATGACGGAGTACGACCATGAGAGTGGGAATAGGGAGACATGGGAGATTGGGGAGGAGACATGCCACTACTAGAGGAAAGGTTCCTGGATTGAGAAAAGGTCGAGCCAGCATTGGAACTAGGGTAGTCGTCGTCGGAAGCATCTTGATAGGGTCGTAAACGATGTGAGGATGAGCGAGGCGGAGCCAAATTGAGAGTGAGGTCGGGTCGAGATAGACTGAATTGCGGGTTGGATAGAGGGTTCGAAGACCTTTTTGTGAATGAATGAGAAGCCTTATCGTCCATGGGCGCCGGAGACTCTACCCTGGTGAAGCCGAAATAGTCTTTAGACTCGGATGAAAAAGATTCAGGAATTGGATCTTGTTTGGTATGTGAATCTTCGCGGTTGTGGACAGCACTCATTCGGACATGTTGAGACACCGGTCGACTAGTGGGATTGGCGAGAAGGGGAAGACTCCCCGAATGATCGAAATGGTTTGAGAAGGAGGGCAAGGGAGGCACGACATCAGCACCTTCAGAAAGAGCACGGAAGATGGGAGGACGGTTGTTCTGGTGCTCGGTCAAAGAATCGGTGACAATCTCAGGAGCCAGTCTGCTCACACGTCCCTCACCAGCCTTTCTTGTTTCTTCCAGCTCCCGAGCGAGTTTCCGACTTCTTGCAGCAATGGCGTCCAAGGGTGACATTGTGGGTGGGACATCGCCATCGTAATGTTGGATGCGAGGAGAGGGTAGTCCATTTTTGGAGAGAGCGCTGGCAGAGCGAGAGTTTGATTCGGGGAGTTCGATGAAGTTGGGACGATTCATCGCTCGTGGAGGGTAGGGTAGTAGGATGAACAACTCTAGGTGAAAAAGAGAAATTGGTGTATGCCAAAAAGTGGAAGATCAAGGGATCAGGTGATGTAGCAAGAGAGATTCGAGTAGTGGCGCAGTGAGATGGTAGTAGTGGCAGTGTCGAAGGAAGCAATCAAGTGAGGGTTGTTAAAGCGAGTGTCGTCGAGGAAGGCTTCAAGCTGCAGTCGATTGAACCCAGAGGCTTCAGGAAGGAAGCTGGGTTTTGGGCAGGTGACAACCGAAGAGGGAGGAAGAGGCCAGCGGATGAGTTGCTGAGAGAGATCGTGGGCGACGTAGTGTCATTGAACGAGAGACGAGGAGGGACTTTTCCAACAAGGCGAGGTGTAGAAAAGAGAGGATGAGAACAATGGAGGTGTTGAGATGCGCAAGTCACAATCTGCAAGTTTGTCTGCGGTATCGTCGCTTGAAAATGGGTGGGTTTGGAGAAGTGTGAACGCATCAAACTCTACAGTCACTGCAAGTCTCACAGTCTGCAGTGGTGAGTACGAGGCCGAGGGGGCGCCACTGGGGAAGGGCTGCAAGTCACTGGAATGGAGGCACGGAGGCTGTTCCTTGCTCACGCCTCTTCCGATGTCAAAAGGCATGGAAGCACCAATGGTGGGCCCCCAAGAGCCCCTAAGGGAAGCAATGATTCGCTTATGGGCGATAGATGCATCCAGCCACCCCTGCTAAGGCCACTTTAATGCCCACCCCTAACCTTGTTGGTCGCTGGCTGGTCCTCCAAACGGAAATCAGGGGTTCATTTTCAACTTGGCCCTTGATTTGCCTCGATAGATTTGCTGTGTCGCTTCGAGCCAACGAGCATCTCATACCGCATCCGAGAAAGAGATGCAATAACAATTGATCAAGCAACACGCTATCATGGTTGGTCCCGCAGAAGAAATGAGGTGCGTTGTGCTACTCACGTGTATGAGGCTGGGAGATAACGAACCAGCGAAGGAACGGTCCACTCCAGTTGGGGTAAAATTCTCCGTTCCATCAGTGGTCTGGAATGCGATGATCTTTTATTAATAAACCCAAACAACTGTGGACGGTGGACAGCCACAGCAGCCTACAACCTGCAACAAATACAACCCCGAATTGCTGCACCATAGTCTGAGACCCCAAGGATGTTCCCTGTTACATCTACACGTGACACAACACCGTGACCGCTGTGGATGGGTATATCCCACCCGCCGTAGTCATTTGGAAAGTTTTGACGACCACGTGACAAAAGCCCTGGGTAAGCAGATATGCACGGTTGGTTCCTGCCACCGTAGGTAGCTGTTGGGCGTCATATGCGGCTAAAGAAGAAAACTTTGGTCTTGGCGCTACTAGTCGTATCTATGGTACCTTTTTATTTCTAACATTAGCTAAAAGAGCCAAAAGAGAGAGCTCCATATTCTATGCAGATCCAAACCTGGTACAGGAGATCAGCTTGATTATATGCATCAGGATACGAGCTGGCCCCCTACGCTGGCTCTCCTCTTGCGAACGTTGCCATCAAATGTTGACCTTAATATCGACTTCATCACGAGGTAGTATTGATGCTGGTTACGTTGACAGTCAGCACGAGATCTTTTGTTAGGCAAAACCGCGACTTCCTTTATCTGTATCGTCTTGGTCTGGAGGTAGTCGTTCAAGCCTTCCATACCGCCCTCCCTACCATATCCAGACTGTTTAACACCACCAAATGGGGCACCCAGAGATGGAAAATACCAGTCGTTGATAGCGATGCTGCCGGTTTCAATCTCGCGGCTCACACGGAGGGCGCGGGCAATGGATTTGGTGTACAAACAAGCTTCAGAAAGTATCAGTCAGATATAAGTGCACTGAAAACGCAATTGTGATTGAAAACGTACCAGACAAGCCATATACAGTGTCATTAGCGAGTTTGATAGCCTCTTCTTCGGTCTGAAACACCTGCACTGTGATGACGGGTCCAAACACCTCTTCTTTTGCGATCCGAGAGTCCCTCGCCACATTCTTAAAAACGGTGGGTTGAACGAATAGACCAGTCTGTCCTCGACGCGCACCGCCAATCACCAGCTCGCCATCGGTTTTACCGATCTCCAGAAATGACAACACACGGTCAAATTGCGCCTGATCTGCGAGCGGCCCTACCTCTGTAGTTTCTGCCAAGGGGTCACCAATTGCATTGCGTTGGTCCACGGCGTCAAAGGCCTTCTTCAGTCGCAATATGAAGTCGTCTGCAATCGTCTCGTGGATGTAGACACGGGATGCCATCTGTATGAGTCATGGTTTGGTCAACCGTTGATTGATCGCTCGGGACAGGAAAGGAGGAAGGAAACCAACGCACTGCACAAATCTGGCCCGTGTTCATCAAAGTGCTCTCAGCAGTTCTGCTTTCTATCAGCTCCTCGGGCTCAACAGGAAATGTCACGGACGGTGGCATCACTCACTTAGCCGCTGCCAGGTCGACATCTGCGTCCTCGAAAATGATTGAAGGTGACTTGCCTCCGAGCTCCAATGACACGCGCTTCAGATTGCTCTTTGCGGCATATTCTTGAATCTTGCGACCCGTGGCCGTGCTACCTGTAAAGGCTATCTGCCGAATTTGCATATGGGATGCCAACAGCGCACCGGTTTTGCCCGCCCCGTTGACAATGTTGATGGTACCTGGAGGAAAACATTCTTTGATCATTGGACCTAGTGCTAGAACTCCCAAAGGTGCTTTCTCGGATGGCTTGAAGATAGAGGTGTTTCCTGCTGCCAGCGCGGGCTATGCGGGTTTTGTTCTCAGTCAATGCCCCCGAGTGAATCGATGTCGTCGACGGGAAGAGCAACTTGAACTCACCGCAACCTTCCAGGCGAACAGGATCGACGATACATTCCAGGCGCCAATGCCAGCACAGACACCAATAGGCTCCCGCTGCACGATCTTGTAAGGCCCCGTTGAGGTCGGATATATTGCCTCGCCGTGGATTTTATCGGCTAGCCCAGCGTAATAGGTGAACAGGTCTGCGGCGATCCTGTATCCCATTGTCTGTGTCGAGATGGCAGACCCCATAGCCAACGTGTCCAACCGGGCGAGGTCTTGGGCCTTTTCGCGTATCAGATCTGCAAACTTGAACATGGCCTTTGCTCTTTCGATTGGATCCTGCCTGCCCCAGGAGCCTTTGAAGGCCTTCTGAGCAGCATCAACGGCGGCATCGATGTCTTGTTCGCCTGCTGAGTGAACCTGGTCGGATATGAGAGTGCCGTCGGCCGGGCTGTGGATTGTGAAGACATCTTTTGATTTTGCCTCGACATACTATGACGCCTGCGTTAGCGGGATAACAATGTTTAGAGTGTGACACGAAAGTTTACCTCGTTATTGATAAATATCCGTGTTTCAAAGGTAGAGGCCATCTTGGTCGTTGAGGCACAGCCCAGTGCAGTTGAGAATTTTAGGGCAAGGGGTAAGAAAGACACTGAATGGCAGCAGGTCAAGCAGAAACTGAAGACGAGTGTTTAACTAGTACTTAGTACTTTAGTAATTTACCTCTTGCGAAATACCTTGATGTGGTTCGGAATGCTTCTCACAAGCCTCTGCGTATTGGACTGATGGCGCAAGTGGGCAAATGCTAGAGCTTTTCCTACTTAGCATCTTCAAACATGGTCTGCATTCGAATTCGCTCTGAAGACCCGCTCTATGCCGATTGGGGGTCCGTGGTACCCATTTTGTAAGCACCGACAACAGGTCTTTGTTGATGCCACAATTCTTCGCCGAGAAAGAATGCCTACCGCAGGCGTAAGAGTGCATGTGCTCTGGTCACTTTTCGTAGCAATACTGACGTATTGGGAAGGTGAGATCGTCCTCATACGATGTATTTTAGTAACTTATGGGGCACCGTTCTGATTTCCTCCACCGGCACCACGTCAGTCCTGGTGGTGCTGTTGTTAAGAGCAGATGATTCTCTCGGGTAGGCTACCGATCTGGCCCAGGTGGGTATGATAGGGCGCAGAATCGTTAATGCTCCGTTTTATTACCCGAATTGGAAAATAAAACGGCCTAGACTCCGCCGCCCGCCTTCATCTCCGGAATACTTCTCTACGGATAGCTCAATTGCATATTCCACAAATGACTCTATTAGGCGAAGCATGCCTTCCTATCTAGGGCTGGGGTCAACGGGAAGCATTGTGGGTCTGATGCTATTTGCACAGGAAAGTTCAAGTTTCAGAAAGGACCTCAATAGCGGCGTGGCGAGACTTCTGGATGGCAGAGAACAACTTGATAAGTAGTACCAATAAGCAAGGAACCGCACGTAGTCCTTCATGCATAATGTCAAGTCTAGGTCAACTCACGACACAAGCCCTCCAAACGCACCGACAATCGTGGATCCGGCATTATGCGTATCTCTGACGAGCTTCCTACAGGTCAACATGGCCGATTCGACTACATCATTGTTGGCGGTGGCACAGCAGGCTGCATCATTGCGAGTCGACTATCAGGGTATCTACCAAACAAGAAGATCCTCCTTATCGAAGCAGGTCCGAGTGATGTAGGAGATGATCGCGCCCTAGTCCTCAAAGATCGTAATGCTATGCTGGGAACTGAACTGGATTTTGCGTACACTACAGTCGAACAACCAATGGGTGAGTACAGAGCCAGAAACCAACATGTGTCGTAGCTCATCGAATACGCACTTACTTACTGTTCAAAAGGAAATAGTCATATCACCCAGTCCCGCGCCAAGATACTAGGAGGCTGCTCTAGTCATAATGACATGGTCTCACTACGAACTCCAGAATACGATGCCTACACTTGGGAGAGACTAGGTTGTGAAGGTTGGTCATTCGAAATGTTCAGCCGTATTCAAGATAAACTACGTCTCTCAACCTTACCTGGAGCTCATCCGCGGGATCGAAATCAGATAAGTAAAGACTGGGTACAGTCCGCTCATCGAGCGCTTGGTCTACCGTTGACCACAAATTTCAATGACAATATCTCGTCGTCCGAAGGTCTGAAACCAGCTGTTGGCTGGACACCGCTCTCATATAATCCGGAAAACGGCTGGCGTAGTAGCGCAAGTATTTCATATATCCATCCCATAATCCGGGGAGAAGAGAAGCGGCCCAATCTGACAATTTTAACAAATACATGGGTCTATCGGGTCAATTTGAAAGGCGACATAGCTGTGAGTGTCAACCTAACCACCCGTGACGGTACGAAACAAACTATATACTCTTCTACTGAGATTATTCTCTGCGCTGGGGCGATCGACACACCTCGTCTCATGCTACTCTCAGGACTGGGACCTCGCGAAGAATTGGACGCAATTGGAATCTCGGCGGTCAAGCACATCCCGGGTGTAGGGAAGAGCCTTCAGGACCACCCTGCCACGGTGGTCGTGTACGATTTTCACGAACCAGTCCCAGCCACTACAGCAACACATTCAGATGTGCTGGCCTTCCTTCGTCACAAGCCTTATAACTTCGCACGCGACGATGGAAAGATTCCAGATCTCCTCATCCACGTATGGGCGCTTGAACTGTGCCAGGATACAACTCGGCTTGGCTACGAGAAGCCTAGAAACCCCTTTTGCATGCTACCAGTCGTTCTGCGTACCCAGACAAAAGGCCAAATATATCTAAAGTCAAAAGACCCCTCAGAGAAACCAGCGATCGATTTCAAGTATTTCGAAGACCCAGCTGGCTACGACGCAGAAATTCTGGTAGCTGGAATCAAAGCAGCCAGGAAAATCGCGGAAACAGAGCCATTTAAGAAGCTGATAAGGAAGGAGATTGCACCTGGCCCAGCCGTTACCTCAGACGAGGATTTGAACAAGTATGCTCGCGCCGTGGGGACCACTATCTTCCACCCAGCGTGTACCACCAAGATGGGAGATCTGGACCGGGATCCTTTGGCTGTTGTAGATTCGCGGCTCAAAGTTCGAGGGGTTAGGAATTTGCGTGTTGCCGATGCGGGAGTCTTCCCGATAATGATCACGGTGAACTTGATGTTGACTGTTTGTGCAGTTGGCGAACGCGCAGCAGAGATGATTGCTGAAGACGCTGGCTGGACTGGGTTGCGCGCTGGGCTTTGAGACACTCGATTGGCGGCAGAGCATGATCAAGAATAGGAGCTGTACAGAAGCCAAAAAGTATCACTTTTGGAAGCCTTCGTCAGGATTGTAGACTACCTCACGATAGCTTGAAGGTAGAATTACAGCTACGTACTGGGCCTCCACTGGTGCGATACGTTCGTCGTTGTTATCCGCGGGTGAGGGAATCTACTACCAATGACAAGTATGACTCGCCATCATCGCCACGTTCTCCGTGGGTCTCAACTGAAATGCCTACCTCAGATCTTCTCTCACAGATGCCGGTTCCGATTCGTCAAGGACCAATCAGTCTTCTCCTTTTTCACGCCGCCATGTTTTCAAGTACGTCTTGGGTTAACATCAAGTTGGTACGATCACTGGGGTACTGGACAAGGGCGGTTATCCGAAGAGCTTATTACAAAAGATTCAGGTGTGTACCTACCGGATCGGTCTTTGATTTCGATGACCCCCTGCCGTATAGTGCCATTCACGGATCTTTCTTGCAAAGGTGTTGTATGTCTACCGCGCTATACTGTCCCTGTTATACTTTATGGCTATTTTCAGCGTGCGCCGTCCACTCATCAAGACCTCGAACTCATCATCACCAAGCGGGCTTTGTGGAGACGAAAAAGCAGCATCACCTCATCAAAGCATGCGGTATGCCGCAGCCGGTGGGCTGACTTTCGTAGGCATTCATCGGTGTTGCAGATGTCATTCCAATTAACCTTCCGGAGCCTCGCCGCCAATCTGCCCCCTCAGCCCTCCCTCTCAGCGATCTCTTAAGTCCCCAAGTACGTAAGCAGAAGGCGGAGACCCCACTGTCCTTGGGATGACGATCCGCCTCGGACACTAACGCGCTGATCATCCGCTGACAACAAACACCTGCATCCTTCGTATGTTTCCAACTTGTCCAAGGTACCACCAACATCTAATACTACCACCCTTCCACACCAGCCTCCGACGAAACCATGGATGATAATCGCACAGAATATATCATATCATGATGCCGACTGATATCTATCCTCCTTCTTCCTCTCGATCTCATCCCACTTAACTTCCTCCCACCCAAGCCCCAGCAAGACAACCACACAACAACACACCACCATCCCTCCCTCCAATCCTCCAACATGCATCTCAAACCCCTCTCAACCCTCCTCGACATTCCCCCCTCTGGGTTCGATCCCAACCATACATTCACAACCTCATGGCTCCTACCCCCTCTTCTCCTCTCCCTCATCCGCCTCTTCATCTTCCTCTATTGTCTCGCCACCCAACTCACACACTGGATCTACTACGGCGTTCACGGCGCCAACACATTAAGCGGACGAGAATTCAGTTTCTTCACCGTGCTTACATTCTGGGGAATCCTCTTCTATAATCTTTTTGCTGGCATGCATACTTTGGTATATGCATTGAAAGGACGATCGTGGCTTGATGGATGGCCGCGTGTTCTGCAAGCGTTGCATAGTTTTCTTTATACCACCGTGGTGACGTTTCCGTTTTTGGTCACCATTGTTTATTGGGCGATTTTGTATTCTGGACCGTGGTTTCCTGTGGAGTTTAATGCTTGGTCGAATGTAAGTCAACTCTGGATGGATATAGAGACGAGTTGAGGTCCGAGTTGGGATGTTATCGGCATTTGTGTACTGTTACTGTCAATGCTGACATCAGATTGCTCAGATTTCTCGCCACGCGCTAAATGCCCTCTTTGCTCTCATCGAGATCGTCCTCCCTGCGACAAACACCCCTCCGTTCCTCCACCTCGTTGGCCTTGTTATCATCCTCTTGATATATCTGGCACTTGCATACCTCACATATGCGACACAGGGGTTCTATGTATACAGTTTTTTGAACCCGGATACTGGAACTGGTCGAGTGACGGGATATTGTTTTGGGATATTTGCGGCTATTTTGGTTATTTTCTTGGTTGTATGGGGTGTGATTTGGTTAAGAAGACGGTTTACAAGATCAGGAAAGAAGAGCAGGAAAGATGTTGAGAGGAGGTTTTCAGTGGATACAGATGTTGAAATGTCCGGTGCAGGAGGGACGAGAACACAGGTGAAATAAGGTAGTCATGGGATAAGTATTTGGATAATGCTATGATGGACAGATTTGGACAAATTCCCGTAGGGGGAAGGACAAGTAGGCTGAAAATGGAATGATGGGACAGTCCGCTCGATCGCTAATCGTCTTCCCCTCCCTCCTCTTTGACATACTCTTTCTCTTCCTCCTTGACATCTTCTCCCGCCTCTCCCTCCAGCTTCCCCTTCCTGAAAGCCTTGCGCAATGCACACTTTCCCAGAGTCTTGCCACCAGCTCGACATTCATCACATCTCTTGCCGTGAGTGACTAGTAGGATATGTAAACCATACTTATCCTCGTCTGGGATCATGACATCTAAATGAGCATGTGTTTCGTCTCTAGAAGCCGACTTGGGCCGCCAACCCAAAAGACCAGTGATGCGCCAGACGTGGGTGTCGACGGCGAAACTCTCTCGTTGGAGACAGAACAACAAGACACAGCTGGCAGTCTTGGGACCAACACCCTGGAAAGAAATCATCTCACGCATGGCATCCTCGCTTGAGGCCTGGTGGAGGTGGTCGAGCGAATATTCCCCGTACTTTTCATATGTCTGTTTCAAGATGCTAATGATGACTCTGCTCTTGACCACACTGAGTCCACCACACTTGATTGCTTGTTGCAGCTTGCTCTCGCCGCCTTCAACGATGGCATCCCATTTGTCGCTTGCCCCGTATACCTTGTCCATGCTTTTCTTTGCTCGGGTTGAGTTGGTGTCGCTGGTGTTTTGTGAGAGAATGGTTCGGACCAGTGCGTCCAGGACGGAAGGGGAGTCGCCACATCCGGCTCGTGTAGTGGATGCTACTACTTCCTTGGGTCGTGTGCGTTCTCCATGTAATGAGGCTAGGATCCGATGTGCGAGTTTGCATTCTTGGGCGGTGGGGTGAGGGAAATCCGGAAAGGGTGATTTGTTGGAATACTGTGCAAAGGTCTTGAGTTTTTTGGATTGGAGATCTGTAGCCTTGGATTCTGACTTGTTGCCCCCCTTCTTGGAGTTTGGTCGAGACTTCTCCGGCGACGAACGTGGAGGAGACGAGTTGATTTCAGAGGGCGATGGCGATGGACTAGCCAAGCCCGTGTCTGGGTCGGTCTTGATTCTCTTATTAGCCTTGACATTTTTATTTTCTGTTGTAGCTGCTCGTTTGGTGGCAGAAGTCTTTGTTTTCACGGGCGAGATGTACTCTTTCTTAATCGGAGTATCCTCTGTCTCATCTTTCTTCGGAGATGAATCTGGAGTTTCTTTTTGGATTGCTGACGTGGAGCTCCGAGTGACTCTTCTTGTAGCTGCGCCGGCGGCCCTGGCGGTCTTGGACATGGTTCAACTCTGCAAGATCCCTTTGCCCTACGCTGTACAGTTGAACCTGGAAAGAGATGAGAGACTGATCAGACGTTCAGGATAATGATGGATGCGAAAAGTAAGTAGTTGGTGATGTCACGACTGGAGGGTTTAGCGTGTCCCAAGTCCCCTGTCAGAATTCTGTGTACCTTGCATTAAGCTTCGATTCGTATCTCGTGTTGATGAACTAACTTACGGAGTACGGAGTAATCCACCATCCCTGCTCCTGCTAGCGTGCTTTTTGGATGCTTATCACTGGTACACCAACATGAAGTATATGGATTATTCAAGGCATCACATATTTCTCAAGAGTACAGTGAGGGTCCTCCTCTTCAGTCTCTTCATGCCGGCCCAAGTCGAAATTTCCCATGCAACTGGTCTTTTGAACAGCGAGATATGAAGTATAGACGCAGAAGAGGACTCGAGCGGCTGGGAGTAGGTCTCTACCAGACTTCGGCAACATTAGGCTTTGGATGGCTATTGAAACTGGTATTAACGAAGAATTATCTTTGTTTGGAGAGAGCAAATACGGGCCTCGTCAACTCACAGCAATTCTCTTCAGTATTGTCTACAGTTGAGGGCGTTTCCTCTAGGTCACCTCCTTCTCAATAACTCTTGAAGCCTGTGTTGTGTTTCTGACCTTGGTAGTCAACAAGCTAGGTGATCGATGAGTAATAACAGGCATAGTTTGATGTTTCAGAGACAGAAACGGAACAAGAAGAAACGGAACCAAAAATCATTAAGGCTTTGGAAGACGAGATTGCGTTTCTCGTGCTTCCATGAAGTTTTCATGCTGACAGAAACCACGACACAGCTGCGTTTTTGGACCCTTGGTCGTTGTACAGACCTTGATGAAGTTTTCAGTATCAGCCTCACAAATTACTAGATACTCCATCGAAAGATGGAATTATCGTGCAAGGTGTGTTGGCTCTCGTGTGGAAAGTGTGAATGCTTCTGCTGGACATCTAATCGCCTCCTGCTGTACAGATTCCCAGAGTCCCTTGAGCTTCAATAAAATCTTCAGAAGACGCTGAGATGGATGAACTTGGAAGTCTCTCATCGAGAAAATAACGCCGAGCCTTTCCTCCTAGGGCTTTTCTCAAACTGATTCCTTTGTCTTTGATACTGATCTCCATACAAAGTTACAGTTTCCAACACCCACCTTTTGATTGTTTCTATGTGCGTAACCTACGATCACAAATCCTGGTTACAAATGATTGATTGTAGGTGCGGGTCTTACCTTCAGATACTGTTCATCACCCACAATGACACCCTCCACCTGGACACTCTTCAATGTCAGAGTTGTGTTCTCCATATAGTTATGAAGCGAACCTTGAAGATGGTCCTTCCTCACCAGTTCTACAGTCTACTCAATCCTGGTCTGGACACCTGGACTTACGTCAACTTCACCTTTACTGTCTCACTTCGGTCATCCAACATCATGATGACCCTGTCTTGGAGCGCCCCATAGGGTACATTGCGCATGTCAGCCGCTAACAGTTAAGGAGGATACGGTCCGGGCCCTCTCTGTGCTTCACATCCTCCACTGAGTGAGTTGCTGATCGGGTGCGAATTCCACCTCACCGCCAACAGATTCCATGGTCGATTCTACCTCACCGTGGTTTCTTCCACCACATCAAGTACTTCCCTCCTCTTCCCAATCTTTCTCCCACTCTCTTTCTTGAAACCAGACCTCTTCTTTTGCCTTGAAATCTCCCCGAGCCAACTCATCCATCCATCATTCCACCACCATGCGACACGAGCCTACCTTGCTGGGCATTCCGCCCGAGATTCGTCGCATGATTCTCGAACAGCTCTTCCCACCAAACTTACATCATCCCTATGAACTCATCCTCAATCGGCATGGCCAGATTGAAGTGGCGCTGGAGAAGCACGAGAAAAGTGTTCTCATTGCCCTTCTGCTCACTTGCGAAAAACTAGCCCAAGAAACCAGACACGTTCTCTTTGCAAACCCATTGGTCATCGTCTGGGATGATGTTCCTGTCTTCGAATGCACCTTCGGTCCTCAGATTTCTGCCCAACTCCGTTCCATCGATATCGTGTCTGAGGAGCGCGGCAACACTTTTGGCTTTGTCGCCTTGATCAAGAATTTGGCCTCTAAGTTCCCAAATCTGGAAAAGGTCAACATCTCCTTCAAGGAGACCACTCGATTTCTGGCGGGTCTTTTCGATTTAACGACTGCCATCTGTCCTTGCACATCCTTATTCCAGGGCCCGCAGCTTAAGATCGTCGTCCATGAGATTCCCCGTCATCTCCTAGAGACGGATTCATATCTCAACGAAGTTCGCTCCATCCCTTAACGCAAGATGTTGCCACTTCTCGAAAGAGTTCTCAAAGTCCCTCACCCTGAGTCTCCAGAGCTCTCAAGTATTGGAAACATTACCAACCCATTTGGAACTCAAGTTTTGACTCACCTCTGGGCTCCTAAGCTCCATGTCATCGAAGTCAGTGGCCCTCTTTCGTTGGAACACATGGAGATGCTCGAAAGACACACATGTCCAACTGGTCATTGCTTCATGAGGTTGGACTGGGCTCACCCTACTGGCTCTGTACCATCAAGTCCACATTGGGATGATCAACCGAGAAGTTTTGGATACTCCTGGCGAGGAGGTTGCGTAGTGCCTCCCGCTTCAGAGTTTGACTATGGTCAGTACATGCGATCTGCACCAACGAGAGATTTCCACGACTACCCTTTGGTGTTTGCGGACAATCCAACCCCCTCTGCGAAACTCCGTCGTACAACGGAGGAGTTGCGAGAACACCTAGCAAGTTTCAATCTTAATGAAGCCATTGGTGGTCCCCTCGAGACATTGGACACGGATGGCTCTGCCTCTTCATCTGCTCAGCTACCCGTGTTACCCCCTGTCAGCACCGGTGTTCAGCAAGGCATGTACACATACAATGTAAACCATACCAACAACAACAATCTTGCCCCTGTCCTTATTCCCACCCCTACCCACAATGCCAATGGAGGGCAACAGCCTGTTCAGAGTATGGTTGATATCACCCCTTCAACCTTCATGAGCGATGACGACGACAATATTGGTGGATTGATGTCAGATGAGGACATTTCTCACTGGATCGCAAGTCAGTCCACATCGTACAACTTCAGCTCCAGCCCCAGTTCCAATTCCTGAGATACCCAGTATTGTTTCTCAAAGTCAAACTGAGACCATGTTCGAATACACCACACCAAACCAGCCCAGCAGTACCCGATCAGATTTCTCGGCCCAGCGATCAAATGATCAATGATCAAAATGTACGAGTGTCCACAACCACAACAGTCCCTACGAAGTCGAGATCAATGTCAACCTGCGCTTAGCATGATTCTCCTAAGATAATAGGCCAGACCAGTGTTCCGAGGTTGAACAACACAGGTATGTTCTATAATTCCTATCATCCATAGGAGTATCGCACCGTATCGAGGAATATAATCACTAATTTGGTACATGATTTCTAGTAAACCACCTGACATTGACGACACGACACCTTCTGAACGAGACCAGACGAGACATCAAAAAGGCTCATGTCACTCCATAATAATTAACACCAACACCACAACTTCCCTCTCGAGCCAATGACTATTTCAAAGACCAAGCGAGCGAACGAGTGAATTGGTATGGCAAGATGGATTGGATTTTGGAATTTGGAGTTCGTCATTACTTGTCAATTGTAGCATAGCTCTATGTACAATCACCAAAACTGACCTCACCAAATACCGGTCCGCTGGGCAAACCGGAGCACTGGCTGTTTATTCTGAGGCATGAGTAAACCATCCTGAGTGGTACCTATGAAGCCTGGTAGGTTGTCTGGACGTGTGGTGTAATCGTATGAATGTCATGCATCCACGTGGCATCTTACCCTTTTGCGCCAAGGCCTTTTGGCCAGTCAGTCGTGCTCGTCATAGTCATGCGCTGGGCAGCAGCGGCGAACCACACTTATTAGGCTCTGTCAGTACACCTCGTCCATTGATGATCAGATGGTTAATAAAGACATAAAGCCAGATAGACTGCTATCTCAACAAAATTTAGACATTATATATAACATAACCTCGACAGAGTAGATCACGCCAGGCTAAGGCCAGACCAATCCGAAGGATCAGGATCAGGATCAATCCCTTCTGTCCTAACTACCGTTTTAAAGTGACATTCTTCTCCATTTCCTCGTAATCCTGTTCCCGAAACTCGATACCGAGTTCCTGCAACCCGTCTGCCGAACCTCCGCTTAGAACTCTCTTCATCTTACTCATGCTACGTCGAACACGAGATTTGGAATCGTCGTCTGGAGCAATATCAGCACCGGGAATACCACCACCAGGACCGCTCATATCTCCATTCATGCCATATAAAAGCGGAGCGGGAACAGATCCAATAGCATAAGGACTATTGCCAGGCCCAGGTCCAGCACCAGTGACAGGTCCGGCGATTGTTGCTGCCGCAGAGTGCTCCTTTCTCCATCTTAGGAAGGCGGCGGATTTGCGGCTTTTCTTCTTAGTACCGTCGAGGCCGTCCATGGAGAGTGATTGGGCTTGTGATTGAGGAGGCCAATTTCCCTCGGCTTTCCAACCATCGACGAGGGCGGATATCATGTGGTTCAAGGGGATGGGAACGTTGGGTGTTAATGATTGTACCACGACTTTGGAGTAGATGGTAGGGTAGGCTGATGGTTTGATGCGGGACCGTAATGCGAGGGCATCGCTGTTAGAGCCGTTGTCGCTATCGGTCAGGAGGGGAGGGAAGACCGGGATATAGGGTATTGTCGAAGAAGAAGAGTCTCGGCTGGACGCCATGGTGGTGTTTGTGCTTGTCGTGGTGGTCGGGGAGGACGACATGGTGTCGATGGACGAAGATTCGACGTTTTGTGCCGTTGAACTTGTAGATATGATCGTTCCTTTGGTTTGACCAGTTCCGGCGCTGCCTGTGCTGGCGGCGGAAATGGATCCGGAACCATCGGTGTTTGAATTGGAGGTCGAGCCGGAGGTCTTGCGTTCATGGGAGATGGATTTTGAAAGACGGGTCTTGTAAGGTGAAGATTCTGACCGAGTGGGTTGCGGAAGGCTAGAGGCTTGTGATGGGTATTGATGTCGGTGTTGTTCTTGTGCACTCTGCCGCACAGCACATGTCCAGGCATCACGTCGTTCTGACCATGTTCGAAGACCCTTGTTCCATTCTAGTTCTTCATCCTGTGCCCGCTTGCGCTTTAATCTTTTCTCGGCCAGCTGGCTGCCTATGGATTCGGGAGACTCGAATTTGTATGGGTCATTTTTGGTCTTGCGGCGGGTGAAGAGTTCTTCATTTTCGAGGTCTGAGAGCGTCTCTTCCCTCAATCGATAGCCGATCGGAGTTCGAACTGTGCGGTTGCCGGTGGAGGTGGTGTCTGCAGGTGGTGGCCATTCCCAATCATTTCTGATCAAGGCTTGCAAGGCTTTCCTGGCAGCACGAGTTGATTCTGTTCGTGTGACAGGGTCCTGCGGGGCAGGAGACTGATCGGCGGTGGTCAATGAACTGGCGTTCGAACTTTTCCTTAGTCGAGAGGTCAAGTTATGGAAGAAGGGAGAGTTAGGCGACTGATTGTTGGTGGTGGGATCTGCAGAGGGTCTTCGAGAGTCGGGTCTGGTGGGAGTGGTTGGAATTGTGATTGAAGCCATGTTGGCGCAATTGTCAAGAGGCGGCAAGAGGCAGTGGGAAGGACCTGAGGCTCGGCAGGAGGAGTGTACGATCTAATGGTAGGTAAAGAGCGTACTGCTGCAAGTCGACAATGCAACAAATCCCAAGACCATGAGGGCAGTGGCTATCCAAGAAGAACGACACCAGTATGAGGGAGTGATGCAAATACAGTGGTATGTAGTGATGGAGAAGAAACGCACACGAGCACCGACACGAGGATAACGAAGTAAAAACGGTCAAACGGGGAAGAAGCGAAAGATGGAGTTAGACTTGTGGACTTGGCCAAATCGGGATGTCGATTGCGGTAATTTGGATGATATGGAGTCTGGATGTGGATTGTAAGTACGGAGTAGAATGTTAATAATATGATTGGGTTGGTGACTTTGTGGTTTGAAGGGTGGCCCTGGTGGGAGAATGGGAGAATCTTGAGGCTCGAGAATGACTCAAAATGTGGGCTGCTCACATGGACTCCATCTTTTGGCGGGAGGCGATGTTGGCATGACCCAAATACCTATTCTTGCTGGGCCGAGTTTTATAGCGCCTGGGCCACTTGGTACAAGACACCACAAGACACTATAGGACACTGACCAAGCAGTCCGTGACATACCCATGTCTGAGGTATGTCTGCCCAACATGAATTCATGTCCCTGAAACAAATCGCTTTCCGTCATCATGATCTACAAGTGAGGTTCGTGCAACATGTGATTGTCAAGCGTCGTCTACTTACGGAGTACGTAATTTCAGCTAGACTAACGCATGCCACATCCGACAGAGACTATCCTCGAACAAATAGTAACAGTCCCGGATTTCCGAGGTACCTTTATTAGAACCTGCAAATCCGGGGTAATTGGTGCATCAGTAGTCGTAAGGTTTGGTTGGTTGATGGGTGGCGATGATCACTCTTGGGCTTTCGGAGGAGACCGAGGGTCTCTTTCTAAGGCTGAGAGGCACCCACGGTGCCACGCACCAAGAAGAGCGGCACAGGCTTGAAGTTTGACGGGTACGACATGTTTGTGGTGAGGGGCCGAAGGGGATTCAGATCCTCGGTCTGTCGTGCCTGTGAACCAGAGATCGAGGTGGCACGGTGCCTTGTGAGGGGGTGCCCTGTTAGGGGACAATAGGCCTGTTGGACGAATCTGCAGGCCTCGGGCTGCCCGAACCGCTGTCCCTTAGGTGGCTTGGCTCCTGTACAACGTTCCTACTCCTCACAATCGAAGTACCCTGTCATTTTGTTGGTCTTGCACCCCAGCGTCTCGGGGCACGAAGCCGATCGTCCATCCTTGATAGATGCCGGCCGTCGATGACTTGGACTGATCAGAGATTGCATCATGACCTCTCTCCATCGTGGAAACCGGATCTAAAACTTGACCATGACCAAGATGGGTGGGCATAATTGTGCTCATTTCCAAGTACCCTCCCTAAGGTGACTGTGTTCTTGTTCGTGAGGCTTCAAGTCCTGCCTGCACTGGATAATGAGAGATGGCTGTTCTGGTGCGGACAGGAAGACCCAGCCGACGTCTGACGATCTGAAATGGTCCAGGACGAGCAATGTATGAGTATGCCAGAACGAGCAAGAGAATGACCACGACAAAGACCGCAATTCCAATGTACAAGCCAGGAGATGTATGGTGATCCTCGTCTCGAGGCATCAAGGGCGAATGATAGTCTGGCATGGACAACATCGCTTTAGCAAGGCTTTCTATCGTGCGGACAGAGGGCAGACTGGGTAGTTGAGCAAATGTTTGTGTTTAAGTAGTCGTTGATGTTGAACAATCTTTCTCGCAGGTGATATCAATCCCAGGTAACTTCACAGCAATTGCCCTACCTGCTGCCTGGATCCTCGCTCTTCACTCCTCCTACGCACGCACAAATCACACCAAACATACACACTGCACATTCGAAATCAAAGTTAATATTAATAAATCACGAGGGTATATTCTTGGATCCAAGCTGCATCTATTGAATTGGTGACCTATTGCACCGGCCACAACCACCACACTCTATGCACCCACTCGCTTCTGGTAGCTCGAGAAATGCAACAACACCAACCACAATGCAATGATGTTGGCAATGTAGTGCAGTCTATAGGCATATGTCATCCCGTACAACGCCGAGTACACAGCGAGGACAAAGAACAACAGGTTAGTCGCCCATCGAAACGATCGAACCAGCGGCACCATCATCCCACTCGACAATATTTCCACCAGAAAGATGAACGGTGCAATCGACAACACATTATGATGTGATGAAAATGGCGTCAACCAGTGAACCGCCATGTTATGTATCCAGACAACCAGCACTGGTAGGTTGATGGGCAACACCCATAGCATTAAATGCAGTATCGAATATGTGTAGTTGAAGAAATTATGTGCAGGTCCGGATTTGGAGTCTTTGGCATGTCGTAGGGCTCGCGTGCATGTCATGAGTTGAACCATGCACGCCACCACGTAAGCAAAAGGATAAGGAATGATGGTCGCAACCAGGAACAGCAGAACCGCGGTATTGATCGCCCGGCGCCGTGGAGTGCTCGCAACAAAAGCCGATGTCATGACTTTTTCTCCGTCATCCAATTTGATATACTGCCGTGATACCAAATTCGACACCAGGACCAAAAAGTGTAACAGTGCCAGGACAATGTAGTTCAAGACCACGCAAGCGCCGATGCTGAGCAAGCCCGCCAGAGGCACCAGGAACCAAAAGAACGTGTCCTGGGATCCGAGAAGCAAATCATTCTGCGCAAAATTGATGGTGGTGCCATTGCCATGCTGATGATGTTGCATCACGTTTGACGAGCTGGCGCTGGTAAAAGCGGTCGCGAAAAATGTCATAGACAGCAGCAAGATTGGGAGTGGCAGTCTCAAGCTTTGGTCGAGAGACTCAGAGAAAGAAATAAAGACACCCGAGTTGTCATGCACTCTGAATTGCTTGCGCAGTACCATTGCAACGACCAATAATGGGAACGCCGCAAAGACTGTGCGGTATCTGATCACCACCTTACCAAGACTGCCAATGGGGTCGATTCTCAACCGAACCTCAAGCGAAGATTTGCATGTCGGATCAGACCAGATCTGAAAGGCAATTCCACGTTGAGATCCCGGGCCATACAAAGCGGGAGGCATAAAAGGGGCGACCCCGTGGAGGTTGACTTCTCCTTCCTTGAAATTGACAAAGAATTTCGACTCGTGTGGGGAATCGATAAACTGTCGTACTAGAGGAGTGAAAAGCTCGCTATCTGCGTTGCAACCATGTTGGCGAATTTGAAGCTTATAAGCTAAAAGACTGGACCGTAGAGAAGGTATGCGGAGTTCTGTCATGATGGGACGAGTTGCTGGCAGTTCCACATTCAGACCTCTGAGCAAGAGCCTAGGCAGGCTGACATGAGAATCAATGATGGAATCTGCACCTGAAGCGATCTCTGAATGGAGCCATCCACCATTGATCTTGGTCGATTTATCAATGATTGCCACGAATTGATGCTCTTGAAGGTCTCTGAGGTCGTAGCTCAAGAAAGTAAAGGGCGGTCGCTGCTCAAATGAGTACTGGGATGATCTCGTCGAAGCAGGAAGTTGAATGTTATCTCCCACAGGCCTCTTGCAAGCCAGACGTGTAGCACTGGGATCGCCCGGAGAGAGATCAAATTGAACAGACAAAGGTGTCGAGGTCAAGCCTCCTGCGAGTGGAAATGCACTGCAGAAGAGGACCTCCAATTTTTCGAGACTGCCCATGGGATCCATTTGCTGATCGGTGAGTAAGGAGAATCGTTTCAACGTGGAGTTGTCCACGGTGGGAATTGGGAGCAAGACAGCCGACATTTGGTTCTGTGATCCCAGTTGTCGGATAGTCACGCTGCTCTCCTTGGCAACAGATGATCTTGAGCCATCACCAAGGGTCAATAAGACCTCGTGCGCGCTGTCTCGCATGTTCTTTGGCGAGCCTTCCTCGAGTCCGGTCAAGAAATATTTTCGAAACACTTTCATTCTTTCGGCGCGAGGTTTGGTTTGAGCGGCTCGACGAACATCCACAACCTCGAACAGAGCCTTGATAATGACCTTGCGCATCTGGTCTGCCCAGGTGATAGCTAGATGGTCCATCGCAGTCCAGATAGTGGGAATTCCCGAGCTAAAGACGGTGAAGCCATGGCTTTCTGGGACGAGAGAAGCAATGTTGGTATAATCTGACGGGACCGTCGTGTCTCTCCCACCTCCTGCAATGGAGATCAAGGTCGTATGCCACAGAGGGTTGTTGCTGGCCCACCTTTGCAGATATGATTCCCTCCAATAAGCGTTGATGGATTGATAAAGGGAGACAATGTCTGCGTCAAAAGTAACTGGAGGTCGAGCATGCGGGGTAGACATTGTAATGATGGTGTTGACTGAATTTGCTTGGAACTTGGGAGTAACAAGCACGGTTCGAGCAACGATGCCGCCCATCGAGTGCCCAATCAAGATTACGGAGCTGGGATCCGGGAGTTGAGCATCTCGACGAGAGCGATTAGGATCCGTGTATAAAGAAAGAATGTATGCGACAGCCTCGTTGACATATTCGGCTTGGTCAAAAAGAGTCTGGCCATGGAAGGCAGACAGATCCTCGTTGAAATCCAGAGTGAAAAAGTCCAATTGTCTCAGACCGTCCTTTGCTTTATTGCTGTCATGTTTGAGCACACCATGATAGTAACGAGAGGCTTCCGAAGACAGAGATCGGACTTGTTTATAGCTTCCAGCATTTCCCGGGATGAACAGCACAGGTGCACCTCTTAAACCAATGTTATCTTTGCTGTATTCATCCACCCCCTCTTCGCGATAAAGGTACAAGGAATATTTGGTCGCAAATCGGGAATGTTCCGTGTCGAAACCAGACAGTTTGATGTAAGTGGGAGTCATCATCGACATGACACATCCCTGAGGGTCGACTTGTAGGGTGAGGGAGGACCGGACGATGACAAAGAGCAAGAGGAGGGCGACGGCGGTGGTGAGGAGGGTGAGAGGTCGCCATGTCCAGGGATTCTGAGCTCGAATCTTGCGAAGGCCTCGTACATCAGGATCGGACTGGTTGTCGTCACCCAAGTCCTCCTTGGGCTTCAGCAGCATTGTCGCTGCATGCACGTCTGGCCAAAGCCAGATTCGAACTTGTTGACGAGAACAAGAGGGAGCGAGTGAATGGGAGTTTGAGGTTCTTGGGCGATTTCTGAGGCTGGGAAGGCGCCGGAACGGATTATCTTGATCTCCGGGGGTGAAGCTGGCCGTGGCCACTGGGGCCCTCGGGCGTCACGGGTGCTAAACCACTTCTGAGACTAGGCGAGCACAGACCACCTACGGAGTACAAGTAGAAGTACGGAGTACGACGTGCGCAAGTGCGCATGTGCGCAATTGTTCGACAGGCACGTGCTGAAATAATCTGCACCCCCAGACTGAGGAGGACAGCAAGACTCTTGAAGAGCTCGCAGATGATCAAAGGATCGACCAGACTGACACATTCGACGCGTTTCTGACAGCATTCCAGGTGGTTTTATTATTAGCCTGAATCCCTCCACTTGAACATGCACCCACGCATACATATTCATCATGTACAGCGCAGAATCTCGTTGCAGTCTACCAACCTTGCCGCGTAAGACAACTTCGCGTTCGAGACACGACTAAGGTGGATCAATGGAGACCAATTCAGTCCCTTCTTAAGGACACCTTACAACTCCCGTGAACTCCCTATCACCATATACTGACGCGTCTTTGCATAGGTCTACACATATATTCTCGTTTCAAGATAAATCATTTCCTGCAGAGTGCTAAGCCTCGCTAACATTCATCATCAAGTGGATCGAGCGGAGACAATCAACCAGACTTGGCATCGTTGGAAACGAATACATTTCATCGACATGAAAATATCTCTGACAGTGCAACACAATAATACGACTCATCACAACTGTCGTTCCTGTGAAAAAGTCGACGTAAAGCAACCCCAAACCACGCTTCGCCCCTTTGACGCTAGCCAGCCAGATATACGGTGCAGCCATACAGCCTCCCTCGAGAAGTCCATGCCACGCTGCTGCGGTCAAGCGACCAAGACACTACGATATCTGATCTTCCCACTCTCCAGGGCCCCGTACGCTTTAGTGATTCCATCCACCGACAATGGATACTTCTCAATGATTGGCTTGATTTTGTGCGACGCAGCAAACTGGAGCATTTCCCGATGAATCTGTCTCGCCGCGACCAAACTGCCTTGAATCTTCAGACCTGTCATCAAAACCGGTGTATACGGCACCTTGAGGTCACCCTCGGAAACACTCAACGGGTAGATCGTGCCCAAGGGAGCCATCACCGGTAAGAAAAGGCTCCAGTCCGGTTGCGCAGACGTGGTAACAAGAAGATGATCAATCTTGTTCTCCAGCTTCAACTCCTTCAACCCTTTCGTGGCAACAAACTCTGTCGCACCGAGTTCCGTCGCCTCCTGCTTCTTACTATCCGTACTCGAGAACACCACAACCTCACACCCCATCTTCGCCGCGAATTGAATCGCCAAATGTCCCAATCCACCCACACCTACTACCCCAACCCGATCCGTGCTCTTAACCCCATTGAATTGCAATGCATTAAACACCGTCGCCCCTCCACACATCAAGGGAGCCGCATTTTCTGAAGTAATCGCGTCTGGGATCGCAAAGAGGAAATCCTCCTTCCACACGGCATGGGAAGCCAGAGATCCTTGATCGAGATCCTTGGATGAGTATAGCGCTCGCTGCGAACAAAAGGTTTCGGCCCCGCGCAGACATTCTTTGCACTGGCGACACGAATCATGTAGGTAGCCAAATCCGGCTCGGTCGCCTTTTTTGAACAGTGTGACTGCGCTACCGGTTTGTTCGACGATCCCGGCGCCTTCGTGACCGAGTGCCATGTCGACATGGCGGAAGTGCACGTCGGTGCCGCAGAGGCCGCTGTGTGTGATCTTAAGGAGGACATCGTGGGGGCCGAGGTCTTTGGTGGTGGTGCCTTCCACGATTTGACCGGCTTCGCTGCCTTTGTAGACGGTGAATTGGACCATGGTGGGTGGGTGTTGTCTGGTTGATGGGATGGAGTTTTGGGGATGTTGTTCGAAATGTGATAAGATGAGAGCCTTGTAGGTATAGGTAGGTTGTCTAGGAACTGGTATGTATATCAGGTTAACTGAACGATGCGATCCGTCTTGAGAACACTCATCACATCCACAGAACGACCCTGTCTACCATTATATACTTTTTCTCACCTTGACTCTTCAACAACGTATACGTATCTGTACCCCTAGTCCACAAGCCCATTACGCTTCAAGACATGCAACCGATGTTTGTCAGCTCTCCAGGATCTCTACGGGGAGAGTACCTAGACAGTCGTATTTTGATCAGACCCACGATATCCAATTCTCCCCACCACGAGGCATCCACTCCCTGCAATCTTGTCTTCAACAATACCATGCTGACATCATAGAGCCCCGTTTGGGAATATCAGTATCTGATGCTTGGGATGTCTGAGCTGGGCTCAGGCAACTAACTTAGCTTCTTCGTATCAAAGCTTACAAAGAAGGAAAACCTGACCCCGTTTAAACTTTACCAAGTGGCATACTTAAGTAGGTATCTGTCGGCTAGCTAACTTGATCATCTCTTCCGAGTCAGTGGTAATATCCATCTCTTATGTCTATTTTAGTCATGCGTGTTACATATGTTATGCAGGTCAAGATGGTAATAGCGTGGCAAGGTCAGGGTTTCCGATTTGCGAGATACCTAGCCGGTGGGAATAAAGAGACTCCCATGGCCACGAAAAGTGATACCAAAAGGACCATCCGGACAAGATCGGCCGTGGGTGGCTATTTCTGACAAATGATATTGCGCCCAGGTTGGACTTGATAGGGATTAGTTAGGTCTTTGTTGACTGAGTAATATCGTCAATTGGTGGTGGACAGACCCTGAATCTCTCTATACCTAAAGAGTTACATGCATCCGTTTCTCCACCTTCAAAACTTTCTCGTTGCGTTTCAACAGAGACTGCACGTCCTCTTGCGCAACAGATGCTCTGTATTTATTACATTCTACCACTATAGCTTCCAATAATACCATAACTCCACCTTCGGTCTGGTCTAGAGCCAAAACCGTTTCGATCCGATTGCCCTCATCGTGGAGCATGCAATCAGTAAAATGTGTTTTTCCATCAAGCCACCACTTCGACACTCATCTGCAAGGTTTTTTGGGTCTTGCTTGCTTCTATCATATCGCCCTCATCAGATCAGTTCCACGTATGCACTCACCTCATCATATAACCACTTATCAATCCCCTTCCATTTCAATCTCTGATTTTCTTCATATGACGTTGCTCTGACTTCCGAGACCTCCTCCTGATTGACTTCGACGTTTGTCGAACCTCCTCCATCCTGCTCAGAGGTCATCCCTATAGCCTTGAAAGCATCTACCCCCAATTCTTTGCCAATACCGGACTCTGCACCCTTGAAAATGACCGGGGCTATATTGCCAAAATTCTTCGGTTCTGGAGAGAAAGAGGCCATACAAGCAGCATTCTTTCCTGTCCAGCGATCAAGGCTTGCTATCTCAGGCTCGCCTATGACCTGGACGGGAATTTTATCGACCCCTGCGTCTTGATCGACCGCATCAGGAGCGGTGGGTATGGTGCTGTTATAGCCACTGGTACCCTCCACCTCGGTGCTGGAGCTGCACCGATTTGGACAATGGCATCCGACAGATTCTGTGTGTTGGCATTCTTCCTCACATTCGAGATCTTCTGGACATTGGCCATCATGATTGTTATGTCCCAAGCCACGCTGGCCATCGTGGTCAGACAACACCGTTGGTGAACGACGTCGGAGACTGCCCAAGTTTTGAGTACTCCCTTTAGTAAGTTTGAACCTTTTTGGGCTCGACTGGTTCCCGGTGGACTCGTCACAACCTCCGCCTCCTGGCCGTTTGTGAGGTTTGAAGGCAGGAAAGTGCTGCTTCGTTGGCCTGTCGACCGGCTGTGGTGGTTTCCCTCCAGCATTCGCGACAGACGGCTGAGATGGCTTGCTCTGGGATCTTTCCTGATGTCTGCCGTTAGAGTCCGTTTCTGGCCTTGGACGTTGCTTAGGTTTGGCCACTCCTTCACTACAGCATTTGTGTTTGCATCTTCTACCTTTTCCCAGACAATCATGCTGACACGTCCAACAGCCATTTTGAAGGAGCTGTGGCTTTCGGGGCGCTGCAGAACCAGTGTCATGATCAGGAATAGACAGCTCTGGCAGGATACTGTTGTTCTTGGGCAACAACTGTCGGTCAAGAATCTCGTCGATGTCTTCAACCACCTCACCTGATCCCTGCATTCCTTCAAGCGCAAGCAAGTCATTATCATCCACGCCTCCGTTGTCGAAGTCGTCAGACCATCCAGCAATCCGCTGATTCCTTGAAGGCGGCCCACTATCCCGTCCTGCTATCCCGGGCACAATGTCTCCTTTGTGACGAAAGACCCATAGTGGAATTTTCGAGATAGTCAACTCGGCAGATTTGCTCGTCCCTGCGACTTCGTCACACATCACAAAACACTTGATATGCGTTGTCGGCTTGATTAATTCAACCGTCAATGGAATTCGCTCCTGCTCTTGCAATCTCTCTGCCTTGAATTTGCGAAAGTCGACAAGTTGATCGTCGGCCGTCTCCGTCAGACAGCACACGAAGACAGGCCTTTTCTTATGAAAGTGGGGAATCTTCTCATTCAAGAAGCCAATTTCAACAGCGCATCTGATAATAGCCTTTCCGCGTTTGAGCTCTCGTCCTGTCTCTTTGATTGAAACTCTCAAGTTGGGAAAACTTTCAAGCTGCTTGAGAAGTTGAAGTCCAAATGGTGGATTCTTCCCGAGGATCGTTTCAATTCGAGATGGCTCAGTATTCAATAGGGCGTCAATACTGTTGATTGACCTCGAAGCAAGTTTGCGGACAGACACTTCACCTAATCCATCCAATTGTCTTAGTTGGCTTGCATTATTGTCCCAAACGTGGGCGGCGAGGCTGCGGCCCAGTTCAAGGGCATTGCGAGTTGAAACCGAGTCTCTTCGTAATATTTGGCAGTCGATAATACACCTCATAAGCCGATTTGCATGGCCGAAGGCTATGGTTTTGTCGACTCGATATTGGTGAATATGCTTGTTTAACTGTTCCTTCTCAGGTGGAGGTACTCCTCCAAGCTCTGCTTGAACCAGCAACGAAATCTTGTGACCAGGCAAAGCTACATCCACCTTAATGGGAAATCGTATATCTGGCGCCTTGTTGATTTCCTTGTAGAAAGACTTCTCTCCAGACAATAAGCGGATTTCTTTAAATTCGGACGCCTGTGAGAGAACGGATAGCTACGTTACTGCGGTTAGTATAATGGCGCCAACTCTGATTTTACTTACGATCTCTGAAATCTTCGCCTTAGGAGGCAAGCTCATGAATGAATTCATGGTGTCGAAGCTCACATAGTAGCGAGCCATCGCGTCTCCATACTCTGTTGATCTTAATAGATCGGTGCCTTCAATGAGCTTCGCTTGCTTCAGTGTCTCAAGGTCTTTCTGACAGAGCTGTTCTAAGAAATTTTCTCCCACACACTGTTCGACGTCTTCCCTGAACCTATAGTGCTGAGGGTTTTGCTTCCAACGGACGTAAAGAAATGTGCTTGAAAGCCACCGCTTAGCAGTGGTCAGGCTGGTCACAGTCCCAAGTCCGACTTCGGCGTTGAGATGCTCGATCAGATTCTGATGGAGGCTACTCTCAAGAGTTTCTTGTCCCGAGACCATTGCTTCGTAGCGACCGACCTTATGTGTCTGGGTAAGAATCACGGCACAAGCCGAAGATTCGAACTGAGGTCGACCTGCTCTGCCGAGCATTTGCATGACTTCGAGGTCTCCATACTCTTGGATACCATTGTCAGTCCAGTGCGTAGTGCCCTTCAAGATGACGAGATAGCAAGGCAAGTTCACACCTACAGCCAGCGTCGATGTGCTGCACATGACCCCGATCTGACCATTGAGGAAGCTATCTTCAACTGCTCGGCGATCCGAAGCGCTAAGCCCTCCATGATGGAATGCTACTCCTGCAGGAGCGACAGCTAGACTTTGGTTAGTCTTTCCGTCGGACTGTCCCAGGAATGATACCATAACAGACCGTTGAGTTCAGGGTTCTGCAGCTGGAGTAGGCTGTGCGGGCGGGCCCAAGGCCGATTCTGAGAATCTTTTGAGAGGTTTTTGACTGCTGCTAGCATCTTCGCAGTGCTCATTGCCGCCTTTCTTGTTGAACAAAATATCATGACCGGTTTTCCGCAGCTATATCGAGAGATTATGTCCGGCAGTCTTTGGGCTCTTAGCAGGTGGTAAATAGGGATTTGACTTTGCTTACTGTTTCGTCAATTTTGCTTCAAAGGCAAACTCGTTGGAGCCTCCCTCAAATCCCCGTACAACTTTATTCAACTGCACAGGTCGAAAGGACTCGCCAAATACTTCTCGGTACGCGGGGAGATGCTGCAGGCTCGAGCTCTTACCCAGCCAGACAGCAATATCTTCCGAATTCGGGACTGTAGCAGAAAGAGCAAGAAATCTAATATCTGGAACCACAGACTTCATTCGTGAAACCACTGCTTCTAAGGTTGCGCCTCGTGATTCCTTTAGAATATGGACTTCGTCCACTAGGAAGAGCTTGACTAGGTGCATTAGTTTCGTGTGGTCTTTCCACTTGCGCGTGATACTGTCCCATTTCTCAGGGGTTGTGATGATGATGTCAGCCGATTGAACCTTCGACAGATCAAAGATATCGGTGTCTCCAGTAAGTTCTGCACAGCTCAAATTCAGTATTGTAAACTTGGACTGCCAGTCCTTGTATCGTTCTGCACACAGAGACTTTGTTGGAGCTTGGTAGATGACCTTGAAGTCCGAAGATCTTTGTTCCGCAACCAATTTGCATATTGCAATTTCCATGATGGCTGTTTTACCACTTCCTGTAGGAGCAGAGATGACAATGTTGTCGTTGCTCTCGAACGCGGCAGCGAAGCATTTGGACTGGACCGCATTGAAGAGCTTGAATGGAAACACAGACCGAAGTTGGTCTGGAAGAGTGGAAGTAGAGACGAGTGGAATGTCTTGCACAATGGGAAGGGTGCTGGCGTTGTGGCTTCCTGCCTCTGGCAGTCTGCGATTGATCTCTATGTTTGAGACAGCGCCGCCTGCGGCTGGTGATCGTGTTAGATGTAATTCATGTTGCAAATGAGTACCAGGTGCTTTTCTTGTCTTTGTCTTTCTGTGAAGCACAGAGATCGTGGGACTAGTGGAGGGGAGAGTCGGCGATGAAGTTTGAGGTTCTGGTGGATGGAGAAACGGCGTACGAGCTGCTTGTTTTAGGACATGTCTCGGCCATGATGGCAGCAACTCACGAGTAATCATCTGTCCTAAAGGGGTCCTGAGTGGCATTCCCGAAAAATGGCCATCTGAGACGCTTATTGGTTGCAGGGCTCTTTCTTGCCTCGTCGCAGAAGCTTGCGAGTTCGCCTCGACCAGAAGACTCTTGTCTATATATCACATCAGCCTCTTGAAAAAAAAAACTTGTCCTTCCCCAGTACCGAAATCATCCAAGGTATCATTTTCCAGCGAAGGAAAGAAGTCCCGGGAAGACTCATGAGGTGATCTGTGGCCAAGGCTATAATATCCATGGTTGGTACTTGATACAACATGGGGACGGCGTGACACAGATTGGACAGGAGGTCGGTAGAAGTATTCGCTGCGAACTTCGGCAGCAGAGTGGATTCTCTCAGGATCACGGCGCCTGCCTAGGCCGGTGGCGACTGGTCGAACGCCGAAAGCCATCATTGAATCTAGGGGTTGCGTGGAAGATGAAATTCAGGGTCTCACGGATGGGGGGAAAGAGAAGGGAAATGCCTCCATTATATCACGAGGAAAGAATGGTTCCGCAAGTATTGATGAAGAAGGGACGTCGGGCAACTCAGGGTCGCTCTTGCCGTTGCTTTTGTATATTGGACTGTCAACACCGAGGGTGACAGAGACGGTGACATTTGGTGATCCTTGTTGAACACTAACCTCGAACAACGAGATGGCCTCATAGAAAGTACTTGGGCTAGTCTCGTTGCCAACAAATCGCCACTATGTGATGTTCCCAGAATCTGCATAATTGCACTCATGGGAAAGCCTGTTGCTGAAAAGGCTATTAAACCGTCACAATTTCCTATTATATGCATCTCTCCTGACGTGAGCTCGTTTCGTTATATAGGGGGGCATGGCCTAGCGTATCAATTATGGTGCTTCGTGAAGTATCCAACAGACTCTGGTTTTCGCTTCTTATGGGATGGGGAACTCGGTCGCGACGTGGCCAGCGCAGTTTCTTGTGTACTCAGAGGAGTTTTGGGAATCTGGATCGACATATCGTTCATCTCTGGTGGGGAAGGAATGGCCATCTTATCATTGTTCGTCAGTCTGATATGTGGGACCGATTGAGTACGAGCTTCTTCCGTGTTGTAAAGCCACGTTGCTGCAAGAACCATGAACGCTCCAAGGAGAAACTGCAGAAGAGTCAGCCAATGATTTAGCACGCGCAAGCAAGAAAAGACCCTCATACATGGTTGGTTGCGTCAAAATCAAAAAAGATCAAGCTCGCAAGACTGCTCAGAACCATGCTGATGCTCACGGCGAAATTTTTCGAGACATTGTCTGCGTAGAAGATACAGAACGCTGCAACAATGCCGCCAAACGTTTGCACCAAGATTGAAAGGATGACAATCCAGTTGTAGCCTGCAAAAAAGCCGAATTTGGCCACACTTTCTCCATCCAGGAAGATGATACCTATGAAGAAGGCGGGGAACAGAGAATAGAGGGATAGTTGGACGTTGCGGATCCACAGAGAGGTGGCTTTGGGGGCCTCCTTGATTGTCTTTTCAAAGTAAACCCCAGCAAGGCCCGAGCAGACACAGACACCAACAACTGCCAGGAGGCCCACGGAAGAGTCCATCGCAGGCTCATCCAAACCCCACTGGTCTTCTTCAATCCCTTCGTATGTAGCCGACCTCTTTTGCAAGTGTGAGCCTGCTTCACCGAAACCGAGTGGCTGACGTGCGGGTTCCGCAGACCGTGGGACGTATACCCGCGTGTGGTGGCTCGATGCTAGAGTAGGGTCTGGTCCCTGTGGTAGTGACACGATGGCAACACCTACCATTAGGAGAATCAACGACAACCACTGTCGCCCCGTGATTGATCTCCGGAGAAGAATCACACTGAGCACAGCTGTCACAAAGATCTTGAGTTGATATGTAACATGGAAAGTAGCAGCATCCAAATTCGAGATTCCGACATATTGCAGACTGTTGGCCAGGGTATAAAGACTGGCTGGGATGGCCATTTTCCAGCTGTCCCCCGCAAATATGGCACTCGCTAGTGTGCTGAGGAGCGAGGTGGCCGGTGCCGATCGGGAGACAGACAGGGAAATCTCGTAGAGTGAGATTGTCAGGCATACGGCGAGCTTAACCAGCTCTACAAGGAATACGGCGGTGGAGGGTAGGTAGCGATGGCCATCGGGCGTTGGCATGACTCGAGAATAATGTAGAATCTGCACAGCATGTCAGTTAGGGCCGCTTTGGTCTCGAGAACTGCGGCCTAGGGACATACCAGAATGAAGGCGGAAAATTGAACTGTCAACTGCCAGTTGTCAGTTATGGTATTACTATCAGGGCTTTGTTGGTTTCACTAACGATGCTCAACGTAAGACTTCGCAAAGACATCCCAAAGAGCCGTGGCGTCGGCCGTGACCTCTCTACCCCCATGATGTCGTCGTGTTGTCTCAACCACACAGATGAATTTTGGTATTTGTCTGCAGCCGCTCTGTCCTCATGAACTGCGCCTGGCAGTCAGGAGTTGGCTGCGAGCGGGGTGACTTGGAAATGGGAACAAAGGACAAAGGAGTGGACCGGCGCTTTGCGTTGTTGTGCCGTGGACAACGTGTGATGAGAGATGGTCGAATGGATAGGATGGGATGAGATGGGATGGGACGGGCGACGTAGAAGGTGAAGTAGAGATGGTCAGCCGACACATCCAGTCAAGAAAATCATAAAGTCAAGTGGAGGTGTGCACAACAATCGAAGGAATTGGCGAATACGGGTAGGATGACTAGGACGGGGATCGTGTTTTCAGGCGCGTCAATTGGGCACGGCCTCGCGTATTGCCTCTAACAATTCGCCTGGTTTGGATCCTAAACTTGGACCTTGTGCGTCATGATCAACTATTTTGGTCATGGCACAAGCCTCTTGGGCTCTTGTAAGCATCCACTCTAGCTTTGAGGGACGCCCCGCGGCCTCTAAAACCCGCCAATCTCAACATTGTTTAAGCCCCTTGACCCAAAAAGACTCCATCCGCCTGCTGGGGTGACCATCAATCGATCGAGGTTGGTAGCTATTGTAGTGACGCGTGTCATAGTTCGAAGGTCTCAAAATCATTGCGTGTTCTCTGCTCTCACAGCTTCAAAAAAAGAAATGCTATGACATGCTATTCAGGTTTCATACAGACAACTTTGTCCATGGCGCTCCCAATCCCAACATCTCAGTGTTACATGATTCCTCCCGTCTGGAAGCTTGTTAATGTACAGTGACGATGGCCAAAGATGACTACGTCGATTTGGTTGGCAAGTTCAGATGAACCGCCCAGGAGACAGAATACTTATTGAGACACTTGCATCTCAGTGTGCTGCGGCTTGTGTCACGGCTGCCTTGCTAGAAGGCTCCCATCCGGAGTAAGGCCAATCGATATAATCCTGTGATGCGGCATCATCCTTGACAGATACTTGCTGGAATCTTTCCAGGTTCGCGACGTACGCTTTGTCTGTCCGACTGCTAAACCGATCCAGTGAGTCGTTGGTACCAGTAGAAGTGGAAAAAAAGGTAGATTGACTCATCCGATTGGCAGGGGTCGCCACTGTTGCACGAAATGAAGGCGATCTCACCGCCAGAGGCGATTGCAGTTCTGGGTATTGTCCTATCGATGCCTCAGTGCCACAGCTAGCGATTGAGAATCGATGACTAGCATCGTGGGAAGCTCCAGTTTGGAAAGTGGTACACGAAGCTTGGTCAAAGTGTATTTCAGGGTTGCCCGAGCGTGACAGGTTCTGGTGTCGCGGTCGCGACGTTGAGAGTATGTCGAGAGAGTTTGAGCTGAGCCCCTGTGGTGGGGATCGATATTGCCGAACAGAAAGGTCTGGAGTTCGAGTTCTTAAAGCTTGCGCTTGCGCTTGCAGTTGCAATCTCCTGGGAGAATAACGAGTTTGATCAAGTGCGGCTCGTTTCAGTCTCATTGCTGCCAATAATGATTCTTCTTGTCTGGTCACGCTCATAAGCCTACGGCTCTCGATACTGGCTGTATCAGACCCATACTGTGGGAAACGGCGAGATGCCGAAGTCTCTGTGGGTGTCGCTGGAAAAGAAACAAGCAGATCATTCTCATCCGTATAACGTTCAGAGGAGTGATCCCTGAAGTATGCCGACCGATCTGGGGGTCTGGTCTGGCGCATTATTGACATATGCCTCAGGTCGCGTTCTTTGACTTTTCCAGCTTCAGGTACCACTTCAACTGACGCACTTTGTTTGGTATCAATGGCTTTCGCGGTCACAATCTCAATTTCTGACTCCATCAAGTCATCCAAGGCTATACTATCACGCAGTCGTGGAAGGGTCTCCGTCTTAGTAATGGACACTGGGGGAGGCACTTCATCGTCATCTGAGGACGAGAGATCAAGGATGCTGTTTGTATGAAGGTCGGTTGAAGCTAGTGAAGCGGCCTTGGTCTTCTGGAAAGCTTGTCGGTTCACACCTTGGCTGAGGCTTGTTCGTGAAGCCTTTGCTGTCAACGTTGACACGCGAGGGGGAATGGCTGACGGGGGAAGATGGTACCGGCTCGATTTTTTGGAAGATTCCGATATGGCGTCTTGAGCGGAAATTCTGGACTCGTTCTGGTTTTGGCATGTATCCTCAGTGCTTTCGGGTACGGGGTCGAACCTGCCGCTCTCGAATGCCAGCGCCATACCTGATACGAAGCTAGGAGAAAATTCTGGCTCGTGGATACTCTCGATGTCACTGATATCGACTTCGATGTTATCGAACCAATATTTTGCTCCTGCTTTCGGTTTCCTGCTATTGATCTTCATGTGTTGCGTGTTGTTCAATGTGTTTGACGATGTTGCATGCTTTGCACTATATCTGTGACTTTCTCTCTCTGGTGTTGCATTTTGGAACCGGACTCCTTTGAAGGATTTTGTGCGATTTATCTGTTCTTGAGAGTGTTGACGGTGTTGAAGTGTCTGTTCTCCATACCGTTGATGAGTGGTGTTTCGTGGCGAGCGAATGATAGATGATGGAGGGGGATTTTGTTTGACCAGTTTGCGACTGTCTGACTTTTGGTACTTGGTCAACGACCTGAGGAGTCGTAATGAACGTGGAGACGCCATGTTGTCCGAAGTTGATGGCGAAGCGTCCTTCCTGAGAGCTAGGTCTCTTCGTGATGATTCCGACGTTTGTTGAGAGATAGCAAGAGGCACCTTGTCCCCGTCATAATAGGAATGTAGAGATGAAGAAGAGATTGGCTGCTGCAGACGTCGTGGCCGGCTGGAAGGTGTGGTTTCGTTGATATTGAACTCTTCATGGAGAAGGACCGAGGAAGCTTTCAAGTGGAGAGTCGGAAGATCACGAGGTACTGGAGGAGGTGGTGTTGAGGGCGAACCAAATTCAGTTGTGGCATCAGATAACGCTGGCCCTGACGGTCTCGCCGCAACGATCGAGGAACTCATACTCTGGCTGCGTGCCGAGTCCAGTGCAGTCTTTGTAATTCCAAGAATATGTTGTGCCTTGTCGTCTCTCTCGTCTATGTGTCTGGATAGCCTTTGGCCGTCTGATTTGCCCCGGCGTAAGGCGCTAGGTAGGCTGAACCCATGGCTCTTTCCCGAAAACATGACGATTGGTCAAAGTATTATGAATCTTGCTACCGTATGCGCATTTCGGCCATGAAGTGCTCCCGCCGATATGCTGGCAGTTGTCAAATCCGAGTTGTGTGGGAATATGATACTTGTGTCGCTAGTATCTTATGTCCCGAGGCAGATAGAAGTACGTTGGTCGAGGTATGGTCTTGTTCGATTTGATAAGTCGGCGAAGTAGCGTGATGTCTGGCAGTAGGGTCGGAGGTTATCTTCGCAGCAACGTTGTGATCATCGCCCTGCGCTGTTATCGCTGTGTTGAGGCCAAGAAGAAGGGTGGACTGCGATGTCTAAACGGGCGGAAGAGCGGGCGTAGGTGTGTCGAGGGGTACAGAATGGTAGGAGCATTGTGTATAGGAGGATCGATGGGATGTAGACGGGCCTCAGGGTGGATTGTCTGGAGAGTCCAGAGGCCGATCAGGCGGGCGTGATGGGCATCCATGGTACCAGAAACGGCACAAGAGCCCACAGGTGTGTTGCGTTACAAGACCAACGACGCGATAAACTATGGACCAACACAGCTTAGGCGTGGGCGTTAGTTGCTCCAGTGGATGCGCCAGGAACGGGGCTCAGGCACAAGGGAGTTTTGTACCTGTGGGTGTGTTGAATTTGCGACTCACTCCTGTACTCCGTAGCATGCGTGGCACTCTAGGCAGTGGATGAGCGGAGCCTTGGATGGTGAGAATGACATGCTGTACGCTCCCTTCGTCCTCGAAGATTTTGCGTTTGATGCTCGAGTCGGTGTCAGCGGTAGCAGGGGTCACGGGAGTCTCACGGAAGGGCCGGTGCTCGAGCCGCGGAGTCTCATAGAGAAGAAGGCTTGTGGCTTGAGTCTAAGATCCTAATCGAGATCATGGGCTGACCACCATACCTAACCCGTGACCACAAGCACGGGGGAGACATGCATGGTGTATGTCAAGATCCCAGGGACCAGTTCGAAGCCTGAAGATATCTCATGTGGAAGCCCAGGAAGGGCTGTCATGGTGTCACCTCCACATGGCCTTGGTGCCTTGGTTCGAACACTTGCTTCCAATGTGTGTTTAACTACCCATCAGAATGGGGCAAGGAATCTGAAGGAGGCCCGCCCCCGACCCACCCATCTGAAGCATGTGTATCATGCCGTGGTAGATATGTACTGTAGAAATAAAAGTAGGATTCCAAAGGGTTCAATCCAGGTCCAAGGCATTTGGCTACCGAGCCACCAAGAGCCATCAGCCCAAAGAACACACTACTATCTTCTTAGTTCAACTCACAACGCACGAAGAGACCAATTTTGATTTGATGGAAACCCATCACCGCTTTCTGATAGCAATTCTCTACTTCGGGAAAAGTGAAATTGGCGTACCGTTAATAAGTACAGAATAGCCCGAGGGCCTTCAAGCCGCCTGGCCAACTACCTCCACGGGTCTAACCTAAACAAGATCTAGGAGGCCCGGGGGGCTCGCGGGGGTACCTCGTCCCTCGGTCCTCAACTTCGAGTGATAATAGGCCACACCTCCCGCATTGATCTTCAGGGGCTGCAGCCTACGAGTATGCGTACAGCATAGAGACGACACTTCCAAAGAAATGTCGTGGGCCTTGATCAGAGTCGATCAGTGCATTATTCATGCTTGTGAACTCAACCAAACCGGCTGGTTGGTACTAGATTTGCATGACCTTTTCTCCATCAGCATCATGTTCATTCACGCCTCTAGCTACAGTTGGTATGCTCTCCGGAAGCACCCTGAACGTACGTTGCTTCCCTTTTTCTCACTCCTTCTATCTCTCTCGACATGACCAGCTAGTCTATCGAGCTTAGCTTTCCCTAAACCTACATCCTCGATGGGTTCGTGTGGGCAACTCTATACTCCCAGCAATAAGAGGTGAGATTCAAGACTTTTTTTGGGGGAGCTGCAAGTTGTTCTGGCCAGTCTGCAGGGATGCCTCTGAGATTGTGTTGGATTGTTGTGCTCCAGCTGCAACGCTTCCAGCTGAGCCTTTAATGAGTCGCGGTTAGGAGGTGGTACGACAATCGTGTGGATTGTTTTATTTCCTGGTGGACATCAGCGGATGAATTGGACGGCTAGATCGTGACTCTTGCAATGTGGATGGGATGCTGTCCCTATGGGGCGACGAAGTTCTTTGCATAGTCCTCAGGTATTTGCTCATGGCAACGTCTTGCACACCGGATGATAATGATGGAGGCGCCAACGAGCGAATCTCTGTGTGGACATGATGGTGACTTGTCTCCATATTCCCGCCAGAATGATCACCGTCATCCCACAGGAGATCCAATATCGGCCTTCCGCCTAAAGGTTTGTCTTGTTCGGCATCTGTAAAGTGTTTAGGTTGGTACAAGAGGGGCCAGGCTTGAGTGTAGGCGAGACTCATGCCCAACTTGATGCGAGCTATGTAGGGAATGTTAGCACCGTCCACAGGAAAGGATGATGGTAATACCTGGCAGACGAGGGAGGCCCTTGAGGGAGCTCAGTAAATTGCGTATCGCAACCTTCAATCCCTGGTGGATTTGGGTGGTTAAGAATGTTTGTTTGTTAGTTCCAAAGTGAATGGTGTCTGGTCGTCCGTCCTTATACTGGAATGCAAAGCTGTATGTCTCGATTGGAGTCTGAGTATTGGCGTTGTCTTGGACAACAAAGATCTGCAGAGCTTCCAAGTGACTGTTGCGCAGATACTCGAACACGCCTTCCTCCTGTACCATTTGTCTGTCAGCATAGGAAAACATCAACGCGGTGTGGTCAATACTAGCACAGCAAGCATCCAGTCAGCGTCGCGGTTCCCACCTTTGACGAGTATCCTGAGCTCCTGCGATCTGCCTATGGATGTCAAATCAAGATGGCATAATGAAGAGTACAAATCGTTCTGATGAAGTTGAGTGGCATGTTCAGCCTGTCCAATGAATCTGGTTTGGAAGCAGGACGCCTGCCATGGAAGGAGTTCCCTCGTCCAACAAATACACGCAAGTGAGGCGTTGAGAAAGATTTGAGTCCAGGCAAGGCTGAGCTTGGCCAAATCATGCCGGGTCTCATATCTTTGAAGCGAATCAGTTGACATGACGCCGCTGGTTATAGTCTGAGTCTGGCAGAGGTCATGGCAATAAAGTCTCCGTATGACATCCAAGTTTCTTGGAACAGTGAGAATCGAGATACAACCAAGAGTGCTCATCACGAGGCCACCGTGTTTCCGGTCATAGGGAAAGAGCTACGGTGAGTACGCGGACCTACCTCTTTTGCGCGACACACTCAAATCTGGGTACCTACCTCCCTGCGCATGGCAAGGCCACAGTGAGTACTCGTTCAGGCATTTGCTAGTCCCTTGTACACTGCAGCGCACTCGTGGCAGCGAACTTTGAAAGTAGCATGGCATGTTTTATTAGATGGGCGAGCAACCTCAAATGAAGGGCTGGCTAGGAAGTGCAATTGATAACTTCAGATGCGATGGAAGGTGTCATGGGTGTCAAAGATTGTTAGACGTGTGGCAATAATGGTAATGGCGTCAGTGCCAATAAATCTCTGACACCCGCCATACTACTTGTGTACAATTTACAATGTATACCTCTAGGTAGATATTGCTTTACGACATACTGTAGAAGATATCAAATAAACCCGAGTTTGTGTCAATGCACATCAATAGACTTGATAAATCATAGCAGCCTTCCTATTGGTGAGCGCTTACATCCCATGGCATTATTCATCAAGTCTAGATGCTAACCAGCCGGGTTTCCCCGCTTCTGGTAGCTTCTGGTACGGGCAGAGCCACAAGGCCAATTTGTGGTGGTGTGTGCCTATGCGTATGGCTATGGGGTGCCTAACAATAAGAGTCGTAGGTGACATCCAGGCACACAGTCACACATTTCGGCCGTCACCTTGGCCGTCTAAGTAGTCCGTCACGTCCGTGCCTGTCTACAGCGGAGTAGAAGGTGGCAATTCGGAAAACCGCACCAAAGACTCCAAAAGGCTCCCACACTAAATTCACAGTCCCACTATTTCCACCGTGTGAGGACCTCGCTAATTCTGGACAACTCCTTCCGCTGCTCCCTCCACGCCATCCATCACACTCTATCCCACCTTCAAATCTCGATATCCTACATCCAGCCTCTCACAGATCCTTGACTAGCCATGTTCATGTCGAGGGCAGACGGAGAATTCTAAACACACTTTCCACAGCCCTTACCACCTGCATCTGTCGATTCAGACCCTACGGCAATCACGAAATCACCCTCGGCTTTGGGTCGCTTCTGTCCCGCGTCAACTTCAACTTCTACGGTGCTGTTAACCTCTGCCGTTATTTGCTCGAACCAGTGGTCCCTACCCTGTCCAATCCACACTTGGGTTTGAACCTACCCAGTTCCATCAAAAAAATCTCGATCGATCACTTCACCAAATCGGTCTTGGGACGCGCCACGAGCCTCCTATCTTGCGTGCCCAATTTCTGATGATTTCGACTCTCGGATTTTCCACACATCTACAGCGTTGATCACATTGGCCATGGACGAAGAGGAGGAGGTCGCCCATAATGCCTCGTATGAACCTCAGCGATCGAAGCGACCACACTTGCACGTCTATCGACCCATTACAAACTCGAGCGAAGACTTTACACCCTTGAACGAGCCTTCACAATCGTCACAGTCTGCTCATCCGAATGCCCTACTAGGCCAACTCTCCTTTGCCCCGGCCACACAGACAACTGTTGTCACTACAACCACGACCACGACCACCAAATTCCCCCCCTTCGCAATTCCTCGTCCACGACACGCACATCAACTCGACCGCAAAAACTACCCGCTTGCTGCGACACCAACACCTCCAAGCCTTAGAAATATCCACTTCGAGATTGGAGGAAAGCCCACGGTGTTCCGAGAAGCCGCAGATACAACTTTGGAACTCGAACAGGTATACTGCTCTTGTGTCATATTGTTTAAGTCTACTAACGCAAAAATTTCAGTTTCAAGAGGAGCGTCGCTCAATTCGAAATGCTGGGGGAACCCTTCAGACTGTCCAAAATTTCGAACCGACAAGAAATCTAGATGATGCTACGTTCTCGAGCTCCACACTCCTTTCAAGAGGTTCTCATCAGCGACCCGCCTCCCCGGATTCCTTGGCCGATACTGATGGCCACTCTACTCAAGCAATGTCCTCCCCGACACTCAGTCAGAATGATAGCGGCATCCGACAAGGTCGTCGCCATGACCGAGGCCTCATTTCTTCGTTCTCCCGCATCCAGAACAACGAAAATACAGACCCAATAACCCCCGAAAGCTCCTCAAGGCCACAGCGCTCAACTCGTCGAGCAGTGACTCGTGACGCTTCTGCCACTTCTCGGAACAGATCAACTCTCCTCCCGTCACCGAACATGGAACAAGTACCGACATTCCAATCCAGGCGATCGATAACACCGAAGCCACCGTCGCATCAGTCGCCTGCCGCACAAGAATCGGCAGGCTCGTCAACAGAGCATCTGGGCCACGTCCAAGCAAGAACACGAAGTGTTTCGCAAGAGGATCCTGTTCCCACACCACCAATCGATGATCTGGTCGATCCCTTGCCCACGCGTCCCGGAAGCCGACGCGCCCTGTCCTCTGTTCCTGCTCGCTTGCACGTCTCCGAAAGCCCGTCAGCACTCGATGGTAGCCTCCCAAGTCCCAGTCTCTCTCCAGTCACAGCTGCAGCAACTCTTCAGAATGCTGGCTACTTTGCGGCCGTCGACACTGAAACCGACACGGCCTCTCAAGATGACACCCAGACGTACGATGCCCCTTCTACTTACGAGCGACCTTCCTCGAATTCTCTTATCCCCGGTTCGAAACATATCCGCCCAACGCCTCACCAATCCTATGATCACAACCATGCCTTCTCAAGACCTTCAGTAGCCGACATCCCAGCTATGTTAGATTACTTTGAGACCATTCCTGACGAGTTGAAAAGCTACGTCATGCACCAACTCCTACGCCGCTGTCCCAAACCTACTCTCCAAATTGTCGCTGATGCAGTCAACCCGGCACTGAAATGCGATTTTATCTCAATGCTACCGTCCGAGCTTGCAATCAACATTATCAAATATCTGGACCTCCAAAGCCTCTGCAAAGGTGCGCAGGTCTGCCGCAAATGGAGACAAATGATCAACGGTGACGAGCGTGCATGGAAAGAATTATTCGATGCAGATGGTTACACTCTCCCTGAAGGCGAGCTCCAACAGGCGATTACCGACGGATGGGGTTGGCAGGACCCTTCTGGCGCTGATGGCCATGAGCAAAACATCGGTGCAAGTTCGAACATGAAGTCTGAGGCAGAAGTCGACTACTTATCGCCCTCTACCTCCCTATCAGGTGGCATCACCGGCCTTCTTCGACGGTCAAAACGCAAAGCAGCGACATTACTGTCGGGCCGCAACAAACAGGCTAAACGGAAGGATACCGATTATGACGACTCGGCTGACGTCATCCCAACTGATTGGATGAGTCAAATTTCCACTGCCGAGGGCCCTTATAACGCTGCCAACGCTGCCATGCTGGCGGTGCCTGATTCCAACGTTGGTCTCTCAAGTCTAAAAGGCCTTCATCTGTATAAATCACTTTATCGAAGACATCACTTGATTCGCCGGAACTGGATGTTCGAGGACACGAAACCCCAGCACCTTGCTTTCCGCGCACATGATACCCATGTGGTAACTTGTCTCCAGTTCGATACCGATAAAATCTTAACTGGAAGTGACGACAACAACATCAATGTGTATGAAACGAAAACTGGCATTTTGAAATCCATTCTGACCGGACATGAAGGAGGTGTTTGGGCGCTGCAATATGAAGGCAATACACTGGTGTCTGGGTCCACAGACAGATCTGTGCGAGTATGGAATATTCAAGAGGCACGTGAAACCCATGTGTTCCGTGGACACACCTCGACCGTACGATGCCTACAGATCGTCTCTCCTGTGAAGATTGGCGAAACTACAGAAGGGAAGCCGATCATGATGCCTAAACAGCCTTTGATCATCACAGGTTCACGAGATTCGACTCTTCGCGTATGGAAGCTTCCTCGTCCAGGAGACCCGATGTTCGTACAGACTGATAATGAGGGCGAGGCAGACGACTGTCCTTTCTTTGTCAGAACGTTGACTGGCCATCAACACTCTGTCCGAGCAATCGCCGCTCATGCAGATACACTAGTCAGCGGCAGCTACGATTACACAGTCCGTGTGTGGAAAATATCGACTGGAGAGACCATACACCGCCTTCAAGGCCACACACAGAAGGTCTACAGCGTTGTTCTCGACCATGCTCGCAATCGTTGCATAAGTGGATCTATGGACAACATGGTCCGGATCTGGGACTTGAACACCGGGTCAATGAAGTACACATTGGAGGGCCATACTTCTCTTGTTGGCCTCCTCGATTTGAATTGTGACAAACTCGTCTCCGCCGCAGCAGATTCCACGCTCCGCATCTGGGACCCCGAGAATGGCCAATGCAAAGCTACTCTCAGTGCCCATACCGGTGCTATCACCTGCTTCAAGCACGATGGGCAGAAAGTCATCAGCGGGTCAGACAGAGCGTTGAAACTTTGGAACATCAAGACGGGCGAGTGCGTCAAAGATCTCCTTTCCGACCTCAGCGGTGTCTGGCAGGTCAAGTTCAATGAGCGACGGTGTGTCGCTGCTGTTCAACGAGATGGCCTTACATATATTGAAGTAAGTCCCACCTACACTCCGCAGTGCCGAAATCATGCTAACATTCAGAAGGTTCTTGACTTTGGGGCAGCACGGGACGGTGTACCTGAGCATAACCGAGGCCGACGGATTGTTGTCGATGTCGACGGGGTTGAAACCAGCAATGACGATGGCGGCTATCTGGACCTTGACGGCAGCACGGATCCGCAATGAACTTGCATCCCATGATCATCATGTTCAAAATGACAAAAACAGAGCTTTCGATGGCTTGCGACATTTTCAGTCCTGAAACACCCTCGAGCGCTTGAGCGAATGAAATTTTAATGCGATTGATGACTGCTTTTAGCGGCAAATCTTGACGAGAAGTATGAGTGTTTCTCGCTCTCGGAGTGTTGAAACGGCGCATCCGTGACGACCAGCGGGCAGGCATTCTCAACGATAAGAATCGAAATGGGTATTAGCATGGTCTGGCAGGTTAAGATGGCTTTTCTGGAGAACAATGCACACTTCTTCCCGCGGCTATGAGTGTTACGAGTACGGAAGACTGAAAGATTACTGGTGGGGAGGAATTATCAGGACAGTGGGTAGGTGTTGTACAAAGTTCTTGCTCCCCGTGCAGCATGGCTATGAGAACTCCAGACTCAAAGTCTAGTCAAGCATTAGACAGAGAAAAGATATTCAAACCTTAACTGACTGCCTGACATGACACCAATGACTGTATTCGATGGACCGCAAAGAAGTGCACCTGTTGAGGTATACCTATGCTTCGTGAATATGTCACTTGCATGTGGTTGAATCCACACGAAGATTTCCGTTGTGATGTGCTATCGAAGCTAGTAGATCACCTTAATACTGCCATGTTCATTTCGATATGCATGTATTGCCGTAACTTGAACCAGACCAGGTAATTTAGTTGGCCAGGTCGTGATTCCCACGTTAGATCAACGAATATAATAGTCAATATCACGATAAATATAAATCTATGTGGTCACTAATAAACACCAAAGCATAGCAGTCAATCACATCAAGTTCTCTGAATCAGTGATTGGCGTAGTTTTGAGGTTATGACTCGTGGTAAAGTGATTACGTTTGATGAGTGTATATTTCTATTCAATGACCCTCTATTATCTGTTGTACACGAGAGCTTGCCATGGTATTGCAAAGTGAATGGCAAATGGCAAGAAAGTATGCTCACAGTCAATAAACTTGAACTACTCTTTGGCTGAACACTAGAGACATTCAACTTCGTCATTGGGGCTGGTCTGTCTCTATGACCCGTGCGGAGGAGAAGGGAATCTAATAAAGGTCCTTGGTGTTTGGTGTTGGCATTGATGTTGGTGTTGTACAATTGCAACGATGTCGGAGGTAGGTGGTTAATGGCGACATCAGATTGCCGGGCGTCAGGCAAGCTGATTTCTTCACTTCAATAGTATGAGAAGTCGAACGACGGCAATGAGCAGTGGAAGTGCAGGCGATACGATGCAAAAGGTATCGATCTCAATCATCACCCAAGGACATGTAATGGTTTCTCAGCTTCTTTGCTCATGTTCGATTCATCAGCGATTTTTCTTCCGTCCTGTGGATGGCTCGTCGGCAAACATGGCTTCAAAGGCCTCTAGACCTTGGGCGACGCCCTTGCCCATCTGAGGAGTCGATGGCTTCGAGGGAGAAGAAACATCGTTGTCCAGGGAGCCTGCACTGCTCTTGCTCTTGCTCTTGCCCTTTTTCTTCTTCGACCCCTTGGGTGGGCTGTGGTCATCGGCAAACATGGCTTCAAAGGCCTCTAGACCTTGGGCGACGCCCTTGCCCATCTGAGGAGTCGATGGCTTCGAGGGAGAAGAAACATCGTTGTCCAGGGAGCCTGCACTGCTCTTGCTCTTGCTCTTGCCCTTTTTCTTCTTCGACCCCTTGGGTGGGCTGTGGTCATCGGCAAACATGGCTTCAAAGGCCTCCAAACCCTGTGCGACGCCCTTGCCCAGATCAATAGCTGATGGCTTCTGGGGAGGAGGAGGAGTACGATGATCGGTTGAGGAGAACTGAGACCTCCTGTTTTGGGTGTTTGTATTCGCTCCCTGGGTTGGGTTGTAGGAATTATCAAACATGGGTTCATATGCATCTGAACCTAGCGCAACTCTCTTGCCCGCTCGGTCAGTTGATCTTGTTTGGCGAATAAGGCTGTCCGAGCTGAGTTTAGGCATTCCTGCTCTCCTATAATTGTTTTGCGTCGCGCCTGAGGTTCGGGCTGGGGCCATTTCATCAAAAAGAGGATTAAACTCATCCGGAAAATGTGAGGCGCCCGAGCGCAACGCAGGAGATTGGTTTAAGAAACGGGGGTGTTTCGAAGGGTCTTTTGCAACCGGTCTCACCATCATCTGGGGCATCATTGAGTCATCTTTCATATATTGTGACATATCCTGGAAAGGATCAAGCTTTTGCATCCAATCTTTACGGAGCGGTGAGCGGCCAGTATTCGTCTGCGGTGGTAGAGATGAGTTTCTTCTACCCTGGTTGAGAAGATCAACGAGGCGTTTCTCTGAAGAATCCACTTCTACCGACTCCTCGTCCTCGGTTTGGCCGGCAGGGGTTGGCTTCCAGAGCTCGATAAAGGGGGCCGGAGAGCCTTCAGAAATCGGCCTCGAAGGCCTTGCCTCAGGAAGAGTATTGAAGAGGTCGTTTAAAAGCTCATTCAGACCGAGTGCGGGCCTGAGAGGACGCTTGGTAGGATGGTTCGTTGCAGATGTGGTAGCAGGCATGGTAGCAGACGCGTGAGCTGCTTGGACTTGAGATTGATAGGACTCAACCATTGTGCCGGCAGAATAAGTCTTTTGCTTGCCTGATGCAAGTGCTTTCTGATGATGCATGGCATATTGATCGAGACCCGCTGCCCTCAAGATAGACCATTGTAGGTTTGTAACACCAAAATTTACTGGGTCTTTGATCTGGGAACGTTGATTACGTTCAGGATGGAGCACAGGGACTTCGAGGTGCCCGACCAAGATTAATTCACCGAGGCCAGGGTGCTTGTTTTTAGCGGCCTCTGCCTCCTGACGGATGGGCAGCAAGGCAGATTCAACAGCAGCTTGGGAGCCATGCCAGCCAGACTTGTCACATTTGCTGATGACAATCTGGTAAGGAATGGTAAGACCGCGCAAGTATTCAAATATCTGTCTGTCCTGCTTGGTGATGCCTTGCATCGCGTCGATGACGACAAAGGCCCTTCGAAGTTCTTTTCTGTTTTTCATGTAGGTGATGATCTCATCTCCCCAATCGCGGTTGCTTCCATAGCCATAACCTGGCATGTCAACCAGTGTGACCTTTGAACTTGTGTCGCCACCCCAGCCACGGAGTGCGCCCCCCGAATTCGGATTCTTGGCCGCCAGAGACCACGCCCACATGGTTTTGGTATGGCCCGGTGTGTTGCTGACTCGATTGAGGTCGGCAGTGTATGTGAGGTGATTTATGAGGGAGGATTTACCGACATTGGATCGACCGAGGAAGACGACCTCCGGGACCAAAAGTCCTCCAGGTGTGGTAGGCTTGTGTCTCCGCCATCCGGTGCCTGTCCATGCTCGAAAAGGACTATGTGCCTGGAAGAACTTAGATGCGGCCTCAAGATTCTCAGGAGTCGGAGCCGTAGTGTCCCAATACCAGGACTGCGGGACGAAGTCGGTTCTTGATGAGATTGGGGTTGAGGAGAAGCGACGCCGATTATCCTTTAGTCTGGTGAGTCGGAAATGGAAACGAAGCCGAGAGGCTGCCCGACAGGACTGGCAAGTAGAGGTATTCATCTACCAGGACAGGGTTCGCGCCGAGGAGAATCAGGGTTAAGGTGTTGTGGTGTTGAATGAATCAAAATAAACTGCATTGCAAACATTTTTTGAGACTGGAGGTATGAAGCCACAAATTTACTCGCCACAGCTGGTTAGCGCGAGTGGCTCACAGGCTACGATAAACTGTAGGCCCATTCAACCCCACAGTCCTGAGGCGACAGGTTGTAAGTAGGGCAGATGGGTGCTGACTTTGAGCCTCTCGGGCGGCCAGTGGCCCCCAGAGCCGCATTCCTTTAGGTGCTTCACTCCTTATTGTACACACGGATTGTGATCTGTGCGTCACCAGCTGCGGTTGCTCTCAGATCCCACTTCAGATTTACACTTTCGCGACCAACGATGATATTACTACTTCTCAAAAGACCCGGGGGCTTGTGAACTATCTATAGCGAAACTGACATTAGGGCAAACCCATCAATGCTAGCCTCATCATGATCAATGCTGTCTTGGTTTTCAATAACAATGGCCAGCCCAGGTTGACCAAGTTCTACAGCCAGCTGGTAAGTTGCAACTGTGAATGCGCCTGCAACTGCCTGCAGAAGCTGACCATGGAAATCAATCCAGGATACTGTCACTCAGCAATCACTTCTCTCCCAGATCTTTGCGCTGGTGTCTGCTCGCCCTGCGTCTGCCTGCAATTTTCTTCCTCTTCCTCCTCTCCTGGCTCCCTCGGGTGCTACAACCTCTCCAGATGCACCAGCTCAAATCACATATCGCCATTATGCCACTCTCTATTTCATTCTGATTTCCACCTCCACAGAGTCACCGCTCGCCTTATTGGATTTTATCCAAGTATTTGTCGAAGCTCTTGATCGTCTGTTTGAGAATGTTTGTGAGCTAGACCTCATCTTCGGCTTCGAGACATTGCATGCAGTTCTCGGGGAGATGGTGGTGGGGGGTGTCGTTGTCGAGACCAACCTGGACAAGATTGTCGATGGGGTCAGAACAAGCGAGGGCACCAAAGGCAAAAGAAAGGCGGTCAATTCTCGCGATTCAGGAGCATCTCTCGGACGAGGCAGTGGCTTTGCCGCTCTAGGCTGGGCTACAGGCACGGGAAGCAGCTGGCGATGATGTTCCACTGGTGGCAGCAATTACGTATACCGCCTTTGAACTTCGTATTCAACTTGAGGACTTGGATTCATCTCCTGCGGATTCGGAGTATGATATCTGACAATGAGGCATGACTTTGGTCAATTTGCCTCCGCACCCAGTTCATGAACACAGGCACCTTCGCCAGTGACTACGATCTGAAGGGTCGATTTGGGGAGGGAGCTAGACGGCAGTCAGACAAGGAGCCGGAAAAAAACAGACGGTTCGAGGATCTACATTGGGACTCTAGTCGCTCTGAGCAATTCGAGACTTGTCTTGCGTTTTGCCCCTATTGCCCAGCAGAACAAGCCATCAAAGGATTCGAGTCGATGTTCATTCTGTAGGTGTCGACTACGCTCTGCCAATCATGATGAACACATTTTGGGCGATTCCAGACTCGCCACTGAAGGTCTGGCATTTCCTAGTTGGGATCAACCCACTTGGCGATTGCTCTTGTAAGCAGGTGTGATGGTCTGGCTCGCCGGCTCGCTTATGCTTATCACTCCCGGATCACTGGTTACCAGCCTCGTCAAAAGAATCTAAAGTGGGTGAGAAGGCCAGGATTGTGAAGTCATGTTGTCCAGGCACGTCGGGTCCCGGTGACAGAAACTGCTCGAGGTTGACAAGGGTATGATCTGGCTGGGTCAAGAGATAATCAAGTCCTAAGTTGCAAGACTGCGACGAGAGATGGGCATGATGGGGAAGACGCAGATCCCGGGCGCGTATTGTGCAGAAATGTTTGGATGGTGAAGAGCCACTGTCCAGGCACAAGCGACCAACAGAGATCCCTGCTTCTCTCGGCCGCCACCAACCGCAGTCCCGCAGTCTGGGCAAACCAACCAACTAACAACCGACAAAGCAATCGACTCCCCGCCACTTGGTTTGATTCGCTCACTGGGATGCTTCATGCATGCTATGGTCTTCGACTTCACCATCCTCCTCACCAATCATCGCCTTCGCCGCCCTCGGTCACGGCCATGCTCACTCCTTCATCAATCATGGCGAGATACATCTACCGCCGTGACCGCTGTCTGCGTGCAACAAGCTGCTTCATGTCCTCTTCGGCCAGGGGGTCATCAGTTTCAGCCAGAAAGGCAATCATCTCAACTTTCTACAAAGATGAGATATTCCTCCTTGGTGTCAGCTCTGATTGTTTCTCTAGCCCAGCTTCATTTCACCCAAGCCCGCCCAGCGAGTGTATGGCAGTTTGACATCTGGAACAGCCCCGCGCCTCCTCCAGACGAAGGTCCCCCAATATCAGCTGGTGCTTTGAGAGACAAATCCAAGCTCAAGTACGAAATAATCGGCATTGTCGGTTCCTATATCGTGTGGCTCCTTGGAACACTCTTTTTGGTTCTGTTCGTGGGCAAAAGACTGCGTCGCAAGACTCAAACATCCAACCAGACTCTCAACATGGAGATCGTCAAGCCCGCTCCCCTCGGTAGCCATCCAGGCACGAGCATGGCTATCGAATCGCCCTTGAAAAGCCCCGGCAAGATGGCCAGTCTGAAGTCATGGGCCAGCGGTGGCAGATCCCACAGCCACAAACATTCCAATGTTAGCCTGGCCACAACAATTGATGAAAAGATCATCGAGGCAGACAAGGCTCGCAACATGGACGAGATGGCCAAGCTCTATGCCGCTGTTATGATACACGACGAAGAAAGGTCCATGCGGGCAAAGGAAAGTGCTCAAACAACGCCCAGGACGGCGACCTTTCCTTTGACTCCACGATCTCCTCGCACCAACATGACCTTACCGCAGACGCCTCGATCTCCTCCGGCACATATGACTCTACCTGGCACACCTCTATCGCCATACTATAAGACTGACCTGTATGCTCCTGCATCCCCAAGATCCCCGCAATATCCGCCAGAGTTTCAACATCTACGAAACACTTCCCTGGAAGGGAATGGGGACAACATCGAGCCCATCTCCCGAGCCCTCGTTCATCCTCTAGCTCCTACTCCTGTCGATGATGCTTCGACACGGGCCGTTTCTCAGACGAGCACCCGAAAATTCAAGGCCTCTCCTTTGTCTTTGGCATCGACTCGAACGGACTCGGCTAACCAGAATAAACGCCGGCCAAGTCATATATCTATCCGGGGTCAGCCAATATCTCAACCCATCGCTTCTGCCACATTTCAAGAGACATATCCTGAAAGACCGATTCAATCACCGCGGGTCTACACGCCCGGCCCTCCGCCACCGACACCTGGACAAACGGAGATTGCATCAGTCATCGGTGAAGCTGAGCCTGACTGGCGTAATGGCACTCCATTGTCCTCTGTTCGGGACATGAATGGACCTTCCAGTAGTTCAAACAATCTTCCTTTCAGACAGTTCTACGGAGATGCACTGAGGAGTGCGCCGCCAACCAAAACGACATTTTTGGAAAAACGGACAAGTATCTTGGGCGTTCACCCCAAGACAGGCGTTCCGCAGACGCCATACAGTCCTTACACGCCATTTACACCCATGACACCGGTGACACCACGGCACTTGGTGACAAGGGAGGATAGAAAGCGTAACAAGAAAAAGGAAGGGCTCAAAGTTCTGAGTGAGGACGACCTTGTGAGGGACGACGAAGACATGTGGGGAAAATGAAGGCACGACCAGCTGATGCTTAGCTTTTCTTAGCATTCCTCTTTCCACCAATTTCTTTACTGTTAGTGGCCTGGCATACCTGGGCACGTAAAGCTTCGCCTGTATCAATGCTCACCCAAAGCCATGGAAGTGTATACTTAGCCCCAATTTGGCACATATATACCCAAACAAAGAACAAGATCATCCCAACACGGTAGGAATTCGGCATGCAGCGCAGGGAACCATAGAGTTCAGGACCCGAGCATAGCCGGCTGAGCTTTCAACTCGGATTTAAGTGAGAAGAAACCAGAGACTCGGTTGTTCAAGGCCGAGAGCATGTGCACGCCGCACTTAGGCCACAACCAATCAATTTAACGGAAAAGGATGCCCAGCTTGATGATTCACAAGCTCACGACCCTTTGAGAAGGAGTTGGTGGATCTCTGACAGATCTTCCTCGCCACTGGCAAGTTTGGGTGTGATGTATAAGCCGCGAACACATAAGGAATACTTTTCATTATCATTTCAACATCTTCCATCGAATCTAGATTGTTTGACTACACAGCTTTGTGTATAGCTGCGATCCTGTCCAGGGCTGGCGTATATTCAGCTGATTCGAAAGATTCAATGATTAGGTGGATCGTCATATTGCTGCAAAATCAAGATCGCAACCATCACCATGCCGCTCACAGTCCTTAGTGACGCCGAGGTTCGAAACCTCCTCCTCACTTTGACCAGAGCAGACATCGAAGATTTACAAGGGACACTGGGAGAAGCTCTCCATTCTTATTCTACGGGAGACACAAACTCGCCTTGCAGTGCATCGCACCAACCGCGGCAGACGGCCATCAAAAGGAATGGCGTCACAACCTTGTTCATGCCGGCCTCGACAGGGACCACAGTGGGCATGAAGATTGTTTCTCTAGAACAAGCAGATGCACCAAGCAGAAAGCAATCCTCGACGACTTCGCAGAAGGGAAGTATCTCAACACCGGATGGAGCATCCCCATTAAAATCAGTGACCAGCGACCTGGGTTCCATGACCATCAGCCCAGCATCAACCCTAGCATCCGAAGAAACAACCTCGTCAAGTGGCAGCAAGGGTTCAATCGATGGCTCGAGTTTCCGACCACCGGCTTCAATTGCCAGTTCTCAAAGCACTACGCCTAAAGGATCTGTTGCTGTCTTCGACTCCAAAGGCAATCCACAGGGCATTGTAAATGCGGAAGAACTCACAGCTTTTAGAACGGCTCTGGCTGCCACGTTTCTGGTCCGCAAACGCCACCATTGTCACACCGTAACGGTCTTTGGGGCCGGGAAGCAAGCGTACTGGCACATCCGCTTGGCCTTGCTGCTCAGGGGAGATGACATAAAGCACGTCAACATCATCAATCGATCCTTTGAGAGGGCCATTCGATTGATGAAGGCGTTTCAGATCACGGACGACTCCCCTGACAAAGGCAAGTGGCGTAAAGACGTCAAGTTTTCCACCATGAGCCCCGATTTTGGAGAGTATGGACGCTTGCTCAAGGAAGAGGTCCGAAAAGCGGATGTGCTTTTCTGCTGCACTCCTTCAGCAGAACCTCTATTTCCTGCCGAATTCCTCACATCGCGAGAAGGTCAGAGGAAGGGCCGATATATCTCTGCTATTGGTTCGTATACGCCTCACATGTGTGAGTTGCATCCCGACATACTCAAGGTCGCCGTTAAACATGACGGGCACCATCACCATCATAAGCATGCTAAACAGGGAGGGGTGGTTATCGTCGACAGTCTGGAGTCATCTCTCAAAGAAGCAGGCGAGGTGATTCAGGCCAAGCTCAAGCCAGATCAGCTCGTGGAGATTGGAGAATTGATCATGATCAAGAAAGCAGCCAGGAAGGAAGTCGAGCTGGGCGGCGAAGGAGAAGGGGGTCTGTGGGAATGGCTGACTCGGGGCAACGTCATTTACAAGAGCGTTGGGATGGGTCTAATGGATCTGGTGGTTGCAGGTGAATTGATCAGGTATGCACGGGAGCGTAATTTGGGAGTGACAGTCGAGGACTTTTAGGTCGATTGGGGATGTTTTGAAACATCCTGAGGACGAGGTTTTGTCTTGTTGGGAGGAGTCTGGATCCAGATCACAGTTGTTTCCGTTGGGTTTGTGAGTAACCCACTCGCTGTAATTATAAGCGACATTTTACTACCTAAATCATCTCTGTTATCAAGCGCAGACACCCAATTTGACAGGACTGTATCTCCCAATACTACTATCTCTGGGGTCCTTTTCGTTGCATCGCATAATTATCAGGGGCGAACAGTATCCCAACGAGCCTGAGTGACATGCACAGTCGTAATAGGGCTGCTGACTCTCGACAAACTAGTGGGGTGGGCGGGAAAAGGGCCGATTCGATTCTGTCCAGGCCCCAGATAGGCGCGACGAGGGGCAGAAGAGACCCAAATCTTGTGCCTGAGGGGCAAACCAACCTGGCCCGGGGGCATGACGACTACCCCAAGACCCACCTGTACACATGCGCATAGAGTAGTATACTTGCTCCTAGTCACTAATTCATGTACCACATAAACTGCCAGTGCCACATGGTGACATGGAACTTGTGCCTGAGGCCTGTAACCATTTTCCGACTCATTCTAGCAAATTGCCGTGTCAGGTCTCGAAGACCCCTATATTTGGCTTCTTAGACCATCATTTCTATTGATCGTCTCTCGCTGAGACCAGAAGAAACTCCTTCGCAGCCTTGGTGATCGCTAGCTCAACTAAGGTGCTTAGTAGCGTGGGTACCAGGTAGGTACCTAGTTTTAACTAAGTCGTCACCTACAGTGCAGTGGGCAAGGGTGGGCTCAAGCGGGGTAGGACTCCTCGATCTTTACCCAAGCGGCCGATGGGGCCGAAAAACCACCCACGACGAGCGCCAATCCGAGGATAGAATCCACCGCTAGAGAGTACTCGAGACATCACAGAGAAAACGCAGTGGACGCTGTGGAGGGGCAATTTGAACTTCACCCAGACCTCCCTCAGCATTGATCAATGAGCCTCGCAACAAGTTATCTGCAGCTATATTCCCCGAGTCCAGATCTCCAGGAGATTCCTCCTGCGGTCTTCGAGCGACGAATTCTCCAACTCTAGCCTTTCCTCCCTCTCAACAACCTATCAAGACCCTCCTCTGCAGATTTCACCACACGAGACCAGACACACCAATCTGCAGTCTAGAAGAGTGACGCGGAAACTGTAAACACCACAAGACTGATTGGTGCTGAGACCCGCCTCACACCACTCTTCTCCTTTCATTTTGTTTTCAAGGGCCTTCCTCGTTACCATGCGATAAGTCGCCGTCCAGGACCATGCCTCAGCAGGCCTATCTGCCCAACGGGCAGGTGTACACCGTGACACCTGTCTTTGGCGGCTTCACCTTTAAGTCTACCAACCTCGACCTTCACCATTCGGCAATGCCACCAGGATGGACTGTGATCCTCCAGACTGAAGATGAGGTGGAGGACGACCCGGACAGAAGAAAGAGTAAAGTGTCCTTAAGCCGCAGAACGAGTGAGGACGACGAAGCGCCTCGAAAGACCAGAGTGATCCATCGGTTCACTCGACCCACGATCCAGAGTGACTCCCTCTTCATATCGTCCATTTCCATGCCATCAAGCTCCGACTTCAAGAACACAGCCTCCCCTACCAGAAATATTGCCATGATGCTGTGGGCCACCTTATGCTGGTACTTTCACAAGGAAGCACCCAACCCTCACGCATATACAGACGCTGCGGCCTTGACTCCGGAATCGGGTCGACCAAAGCTTGATTGGCGAATCAAGATTAAGAGAGAGGGTATTTTCAAGGGCAAAAATACCCTCCAGAAGCTAGAGCGCATGGGTTTGATAGCGAGCGAAGACTCATGCGTCGGCACAGACACCGACATTCGCATGCCCGTGGGATGGGCTGAGACCTTTGTGAGCAGAAGATCTTTCTGGCAAATCGACCCGAGGATCTTTCTATTCACCATGGCGCCTCAACAGCATTCTCCTTTCCCGATTGCCTCTCCATATCCTTCACGACCAGCTTCGCCGGATCGAGCTCCTGTCACGTCGGAAAAGCCGTCCCCCAGGCCTTCGGATTATATTGTGTCCACCGCAACGAACATGTTTTCAGATGCCTTTAGCGCTGGAATCTCTTCTCCAGGTGGTCCTTTCAATTCTGGTAGTCATTTGCCGACATACTATCCCCCTCCTCCAACTCAATTTACCTTCACGAACCACATTCGTCATCCTCTGCGCCCCAAGCCTCCACGACAGGGTGAGACATTTTACAGCCGCTATATCCCCAGCGTAGATCAATACCTCTCTTTTCGAGTGCCTACCTTGTCCCCCAAACCCTGTCCGCATCCGCACTTTGCACCGCTGGGTGGATCGATGCCAGCCATTCTTCCAAGCTCTCAAGCTACCGGTATCTCAGTAGCAACTCTGCCAACTCTAGCAAACTTTACCGAACGTCCTTCTGACCTCGACCTCTTGCATAAGTGGATGAATGATCCCCGAGTCAACATGGCATGGGGTTCAGCAGGCCCAGCGGCGACGCAGAAGAAATTTCTCGAGGATGGACTCACCAGTCGTCACTCATTCCCTGTGTACGGCTGTTGGGACGGCAAACCGTTTGGGTATTTTGAGATCTATTGGGTCAAGGAAGACAAATTGGGACGCCTTCTAGGAGGGGAAGTTGGAAACTATACTCGTGGTCTTCACGTTTTGGTTGGAGAAAAGGAGTTCCGAGGCCCTCACCGGGTTAAGTTGTGGTTGTCCGCCCTTGTACATTACTGTTTCTTGTCCGATCCTCGCACAGAAACGGTCATGTTGGAACCAAGAGTGGACAATACAAAGTAAGTCGGCGTTGGCAGATCTTTTGTCGAAACACGTGATGACTAACTTTCCCCAGATTTATCGATTATCTAAAGGATACAGGCTTTTATAAGCAGGGCGAAGTTTCTTTTCCCCACAAACAGTCGGCAGTGATGAAGCTTGATCGAGAGTCCTGGGAGGCCCCGGAGCTGTAGTAACTTCTCGACCGGCACCAGACCGAGGAAGCTATCTACCAAGAGTTGGTTATATGCGAACACCATTGGCTATAGTGTGGTGGAATACCAATACTTGACTATTGGATATGAATCGGATGGACAAAAAGATACTGGGTCGTCTGGTGCTAAATGAAGCGATTTCCTAAATCAGAGAACACCGATGACATTAGCATGAGTCGCAGGAGCATTGAATTATGATTAAAATAAAACTTCTACAACTGCGTCCATCAAGTTCCATGGGGCGCAAGTCCAATACACGTGACCAGATTCAATTGGAGTTTCATTTTTGTGACTCCCAATTGACTCCGCAGCGCCGCTGCCAACCGCAAAGAAAATAAATCCCATCTCTCTACCCAGCACAAAAGTGTTTGACTACTCGTCGCTGTACCCCAAGACAATCTTGAGGTACTACCTTGATTGTAGTCGACTCTCACTTCTTTGCTCGCCAACATGGCGACCTCAATACCCGTCGACCCCACCGTGGGTTCGGCCAAAACCCTCAAACTAGAAAATGTAAGGCTCACCGATCGCGAAGAAGTGTTAAATCCAGTCCAGTCACTAATTCAAATCCTTAGACTCACAATCGAGATGTCTTGATCGCAATAGAAAAGAAGTACCAAAAAGAATGGCAAGACTCCGGGGTCTTTGAGAGCGATGCCCCCTCTACCGCAGATATTCCCTTCAACTCAGTCCCAGCCGCCGAAATTCGAGAAAAGCACCCCAAATACTTTGGCACCTTTGCCTATCCCTACATGAATGGCGCTTTGCACGCGGGTCACAGTTTCACTGTCAGCAAGGTCGAATTCACCGCCGGCTTCAACCGTCTACAGGGCAAGCGAGTTCTATTTCCCCTCGGCTTTCACTGCACAGGCATGCCTATCAAAGCATGTGCCGACAAGCTGGTTGAAGATGTAAAGAAATTTGGTCAGAATTTTGAAAACTACAAAGAAGACGAGGAAGACGAGGAGGAGGCCAACGGTGTGCCTGTTGCGCCAGTCCAAGGTGTCGCTGTTAAGGACGACATTACAAAGTTCAAGAGCAAAAAGGGAAAAGCCGCTGCAAAGACCGTCAAGGCCAACTACCAGTTCCAGACCATGCTGGCAATGGGAATCCCCAAAGAAGAGATCCACAAGTTCTCAGATGCAAACTACTGGCTTGAATATTTCCCTCCCATCGCCAAGAACGATTTGACCGAGTTTGGTGCCAGGATCGATTGGAGGAGGCAGTTTGTCACGACCGATGCGAATCCTTATTACGATGCCTTTGTCCGGTGGCAGATGAACCGTCTTCACGAGTTGAACAAAATTCTCTACGGCAAGCGATATACAATTTACAGTCCCAAAGATGGCCAGCCTTGCATGGATCACGACAGAGCAAAGGGTGAAGGAGTTGGTCCCACCGAGTACACAGCATTGAAACTGAAGGTCAAGGAGTGGTCCGAAGAAGCCTCAAAATCCGTCGAGGGCAAAATTCCAAAAGATGCAAACGTCTATTTTGTTCCTGCAACACTCAGACCGGAGACCATGTACGGCCAGACATGCTGTTTCGTCGGCCCCAAGATCAAGTATGGCGTTTTCAAGGTTTCGGAGAAAGAATACTATGTGGTCACCAAGAGAGCCGCCTGGAATATGGCGTTCCAGGGCATCTTCTTCGACGAATCGAATTTCCCCAGAGATCAGAGCGAGCTCCAACCTGTGATTGAGTTGCCCGGCTCTGCTTTCGTTGGCACTTTGGTTGACGCTCCTTTGTCCGTGCATGTGGAAGGTGTGCGTATCCTGCCCATGGAGACGGTATCCGCCACAAAGGGCACAGGTGTGGTCACTTCTGTTCCATCTGACAGCCCTGACGATTATGCTACGGTGCGAGAATTGGCAAAGAAAGCTGAATATTACGGTATCAAGAAGGAATGGGCTGAACTTGAGATCATTCCTATCATCGATACCCCAGCATATGGCAATCTGGCAGCCAAATTCCTGGTTGAAGCAAAGAAGATCCAGTCACCAAAAGACACGACTCTTCTGGCAGAAGCCAAGGACCAAGCATACAAGGAGGGTTTCTATAACGGCACACTGATCGTTGGCGAGTTCAAAGGCCAGCCAGTTCAAGAAGCAAAGGATAAGGTCCGAAACTCCTTGATCAAAGCCGGTCAAGCCTTCCCATTTGCCGACCCTTCTGCAGAGGTCATCAGTCGAAGCGCCGATGAATGTGTTGTTGCCTATGTTCCCCAGTGGTTCCTGAATTATGGCGAAAACGACAAGGAATGGCAACAAACTGTTCTTCAATACGTCAAAGACCAGAATGGGCTCGAGACGTACACACAAGATACTGAAAACGCCTTTGTGGCCAACCTTGAGTGGTTGAACCAGTGGGCATGCGCAAGAACCTATGGTCTTGGATCCAAATTGCCATGGGATCCCACTTTCCTGGTCGAATCTCTCAGCGACTCGACAATTTACATGTCCTACTACACCATCGCACACTATCTACATGGAGATCGATTTGGCAAGACCCCTGGCCTCCTTAACATCAAGCCAGAACAAGTCACAGACGAGTTTTGGGATTATGTCTTCACTCGAACATCTGATGGAGACAATGTCTCGAAATCGACCGGTATTCCCGAAGCAGACCTTGCTACCCTCCGCCGCTCCTTTGAATACTGGTATCCACTCGACATGCGTTCTTCAGGCAAAGATCTTATCCCCAACCATCTCACATTCTTCCTCTACATCCACTTGGCCTTATTCCCACGCGAATATTGGCCACGCTCTGTTCGTTCCAATGGCCATCTTCTCCTCAACGGCGAGAAAATGAGTAAATCAACTGGCAACTTCCTTACTCTCAGCCAAGCAGTGAAAAAGTTTGGTGCTGATGCCACCAGAATAGCCCTTGCAGATGCTGGTGATGGAATGGAAGACGCAAACTTTGAAGAGAAGGGTGCTAACGCTGCCATCATGCGCATGTATACTCTGAAGGAATGGATTGAGGAGACTCTCAAGAGCGACAACCTCCGCTCTACCCAAGGTGACATTCTGTGGGATAAGCTGTTCGAGGACGAAATGAACCAGCTTGTCCATGAGACATATCAGCATTATTCCGAGTAAGTTCAACCCTCAAACATCCCTGAGAATCTTCTATGAACAACACAACTAACTCATATTCTACAGCACAAATTACAAACTTGCACTCAAATCAGGCCTGTACGACTTCCAATCCGCACGTGATTTCTATCGTGAAGCCTGCATTTCCAGCGGTACACCCATGTCTCGCCCCCTCATCCTTCGCTATGTCGAGCTTCAATCAATCCTGGTCGCCACCATTGCTCCCCATTGGGCGGAATACATGTGGCTCGAAGTTCTACATAAAGACACATCGATTCAACTCGCTCGCTGGCCGTCCAACATTCCCCAAGCCGACGCAGCTCTCACCGCAACTCGCGAATACGTCAAGAACACATCTTCCCAAATCACCAGTTCCGAAGCCCAAGCCGCCAAGCGAATGGCCAAAGGAAAAGCCGCGAGCTTCGACCCACGCAAACCGAAACGCATCACCGTCTTCGTTGCTAGCAACTATCCAGCCTGGCAGGACAAGTACATCGACCTTGTGCGCGACCTGTTGGCCAAATCATCCCTTGAAGACGACAAGGCCGTTAATGGCCAAGTCGCTAAATTAGGCAAAGGCCCCGAAGTCAAGAAAGCCATGCCGTTCGTTCAAGCTCTGAGAAAACGTATCGTTGTGAATGGTGAGGCGCCAGAGTCGGTGTTTGAGAGGAAACTCTTGTTTGATGAGGAGAGCGTTTTGAAGGAAATGAAGAGTGGATTGCAAAAGACTACCGGATGTAAGGAGGTGGTGATTGTTCTGGTCACGGATGAGAATAGGGCTGGTCTTCCTGGTGTCGCAGAGACGGCTATTCCAGGGAACCCGAGCTTTATGTTTGAGAATATCGAGGCATGAACATCCCATAAACAAGGGATGGAGATGTTTGATGATGGGGGAATACGAGCTACAATTTAGAAAGGGGATTGCCGTTTTGAAGTTGTATGTATGAGAGTCAAAACCCGCGATGCAATGCCAGATGCCATAGATGAATGGCCTTTAGGTATCCAACACAAGATCTGTGATGGTCCTGTTTGGGACTCAAAATCAACCTCATGACACAATAAGAACCTCTCACTGCAGCGACCCCGTAGCTGACAGTGTATATTGGGTATCCACTCTGATGATGTGTTATACTATGTACCTGTCAAGTCTATTCTAATCCAGGCGATCTTAAAAGTAAACTTCTCTCCCAAAACCTCACCCAAGCCGAAGCGCAAACCCTGCCCCTTGCTGCTCATCGGCTCGTCCTGCAAAAATCCCCTCGAATTCCTGTTCATCCAGTCTAGGAGCATCACCACGAACCGGAGCCTGAGGCGTCGCCTTTCGTCTCCGCTTCTCTTGGCCCGCCTTACTAGGAAAGGTAGGGAACAATTCCTTCGCTTTCGGACGAGGATCTTCTTTGAAATACGGATGATTGAGAATCGTAGATGTGCTCGGACGACTATTGGGATTCATGGATAACATCGACGCCAAGAGCCGGAGGCCGGAATTGGTGAGGTAGGGGAATTTGGACATGGTGAGTGAATATTGAGATGTAGATTTTGAGATGATTGGATGTAAGGCTTTGGCGTTGGGGAGTTGTCGAAAGCCCGGCCAAGTTTCGTTGGTGGGTGTGCCTAGCAGTGCGAAGATCTTGGATAATTGGTCGACTTCGTTCTGGCCGGGGAAAACGGGTTCTTTGGTGAGTAATTCGGCGAATATACAGCCGAGACTCCATACGTCGATTTCGAATCCGTATTCGTCGACGCCGAGGAGGAGTTCTGGTGCCCGATACCATAAGGTGACGACAAGTTGGGTTAGTTTAGGTCGAGGGTTTCCTGTGTATCTGGCCATGCCAAAGTCGGCGAGTTTGATTTCTCCGCGGTTGTTGAGGAGTAAATTGGATGTTTTGAGGTCGCGATGCATGATCCAATTGTCGTGGAGGTAGTTGGCGCCAGAGACGATTTGTAACATGAGGGTCTTGGTTTCAGAGGGGAGAAATGGTTCGGCCATGTCTTCGAGTAATGTCTTGAGGTCGTGTTCGAGGAATTCCATGACTAGATATATACTGTGAAAAGGGAATAAATCGTTCATGGTTAACGACGTCTGGTATCGGCGCTTTTCAGGGGTTGGGCACAAGTGAATGTGCCGATAGGCTTTTGGCAGACTTACTCTTTCAATGTACTGCCCATGACGACTTCTAAAAGTGTGACCACATTGGGGTTTTTGCACGCTTTGAGGGTTTGGATTTCGCGAAGTCCTGTGACGGGAAATCCGTCTGCGGTGTGTTCCATTTTGAGATGTTTCAGGGCCACGATGGTGCCAGTGTCTTTCCTTCGTGCTCTTGATACCATCCCATAGGATCCTTCTTCGATGTTGTTGAGCTGCTCGAATTGATCGACGCTGCCGCAAGGGCCGAATCTCCGTGTTGGAAATCGTAGAAGATGGGCGCCTTCTTCATTGTTGTCTGACTCTGCCTCTGGCTCTGGTTGGGGCGATGTGCGCTGTCTCTTGGTCGGCCGTTCTTCGTCATTGGCGCCATTGTTGGTTATGCTGCTGGCAATTGCTGCTTTTCGTGCCTTCTCCTCTTTCAGTCTTTTTCGTTCTTCCTTCTCTTTCTTGCGCTGAGCCGCAGCTGAAGCTGCTTCGCCGTCGTCGATTGCCCATTTGGACCTCCCCTGAGTCGCCATGCTATGAGGTTAATGAGGGTGCGACGGTAGGTCGAACATCATCGAGGAGGTGAGAAGCGAATGTTGTGGTGGCAGAATTACTTGATCGGCATACCTTCTCCAAACGAGGTTTAGGCGAGGCTGCGGACTTTCGGCCAGCAATGAACCCCGCCATGCACGCCTGAAGACGCAGGGAAGTCACGGGAAGTTTAGCAGATCGAAGCCTCTAGACCTTCAGGTTCCGCTTAGGCTTGAGGGGCCCTCACCTCCACGGAATTAGGGAAATAATATGATGTGACTTGCATCTCGATGTTCTGGTTAATTTTATCATTACCAATCAGACTCGATCACGGCTTATTGAACAACCTTTCTCAGAGTATAACTCTGCTTTTGTATTAATTTCTTGCCACTAGATTTATATCTATTTCTGCAATTCATCAAGCTACTCCTCTTTGCATCTGGACTAAAATGGGCAGTCTAGGCATCCAACCGTTCCAGGTATGTTACTCTAGAAGCCATACTAGCACGAGGGCTGACCCATCAATGTCCAGACCACATTCGCAGTCCCTCTACACTGCGAATCATGTGTAAAGGACGTAACAGGAGCATTGGAGAAGTTGGAAGGTAAGCGCTACACTTGACCCACGGCGGTGATCTTCCTTGACGCTGTGATGCAGGAATCCACAACATAAAAGCCAATCTCACAGACCAACTCTTTTACATTGAAGGCACAGCAGCTCCTTCATCGATCGTCTCAGCCATTGAATCAACCGGACGAGATGCAATCTTACGCGGAAGTGGAAAGTCAAATTCGGCTGGAGTATGCATTCTCGAGACTCATGCAAAATCGGTCTCAGATCCGGTCCGGGGTCTTGCGAGAATGGTACAGGTTTCCGACAGTCACACCCTGGTGGACTTGACGTTGCGTGGAGTGTCACCTGGCACGTACCATGCCACTGTACGGGAAGCGGGTGACATCTCCCGTGGCGCGAGTTCGACAGGCGGCGTGTGGGAAGCCATCAAGTCAATGGCCGGTATAGATCAGCCTCGTGGGGTCTTTGGGACTGTCCAAGTGGGCAAAGATGGGCGTGGTAGTGCCTTTTTGGATCGACCTGTATCGATCTGGGAGATTATCGGTCGCAGCATGGTGGTCTCGAAACAGCAAGAGGGTGTGTTTCAGACTGAGGATCCAGACACCCTGGTTGGAGTCATTGCTCGCAGTGCCGGGGTGTGGGACAATGACAAGACAGTGTGTAGCTGCTCCGGAAAGACAGTATGGGAAGAACGGAAGGAGCAGGTAGACAAAGGTATGCTATAGTATGACCATACAACTACGACGGTGGTCACAAGAAGCAGTTTGTGGATGAAGATTCATAAATTGGCCGCATGTGATTTTACACTGCTACACCATTGTCGGCCGGTGGTCCAATGACGCAACTTTGTAAATCTCCCTTCGTGTTGCAGCAAGCAACACAAAATAGAAAGCAAAACAATGGACTGGTCGGAGAGTTGTGGACAAGGCTTCGTTGGGCTCGGGTTAGGTCGTCGTGTTAGTATGGTTGGACGTCAGAACCGAGCGTGAAACGGTGCTGGAACTCTCAACAGTCACCGTATCAGAAGAAACCCTGTTGAAGGCTGTGGGTGCCGATGAAACCCTTCTGGGACAAGGGAAACGAAAAGTGGCACCGCGTCCAAAATGTTTGTCCAGATCGAGGATTTCCTATCTGCCCAGTGTCGACGGCTTAATCGAAAGCGTTATGGCTCAGGTGATGATCTCACGCCACAAATTGTTGAAAAGATAGGTCTTGAATAGCAACAGTGATTTTTGGTCTTTCGATGCAAGGGTCAATTTCTGAATCACATTTTGAACGAGTGATGTTGGACTCGAAACGCTACCGAGGTTACCGGCCTCGCCAAGGGCGACTTGGTTAACTGTAGGCAGAGCCTGTGCCCCCATCTCAGGTGAGGCATCATCCTCTAGGCATGGTCTGGGGGAGGGCCGATGCCCGTAGCAATGACCAACAAGTGCCACGCCACCCCTGAAACCCCCCAATTGAGTGGCAAGAGTATTCTGCCTAGAATCGGATGGCCTTCCCAGCCCGTTGGTATTTCTTTTAACCAACCAGTCATGTTTTCGGTGTCCCTGTCAGACCCTTGTCAGGCCATGTCCACACGCCCTAATCGATAGGCGGACGCAGCGGCGAGGATCACTGGCTGGTTCCTGCTTCGCCAGTTTCCAGCGAGCCAACCATGTGGGCCACGCGAAGGTCAACACCATTTTTTGTAACCAGGTACGCGTCACTGCGTCTGGTGCTTGTTCATCTCCTGTACCTTGCAACACTTCCACAGGCCCTGGACCCTAATGACCCCATACGCAGAATCTACCGTATGCAGACACGGACAGAGAGTCATGTTTGTGAGATGCTCCAGCCTCGTGGACACCCTGGCCACCACCACCCTAGCTACGGAGTACTCTGTGGATCATGTCAGGACTTTCCATCAGCAAGAGGAACCCCAAGGACTGTTTCTTGCGTGTCGACCTGCCACCTGTAACTTCCTGCAGGTGTCTCTTTCAGTCGACTGGTTGAAGTGTCTGTCGACCCTCGATTTCTCCTTCAGTCCCTGGTATCATATGACCGTAGCACGTTCCTCCCCTTTGATCTGAGTTCTTCGCCTCCCTTTTCCACCGACTTCAACCTTACTCTCGTTAACGCTATCAAGGCAGACTCTTGTTGTTTCTTCCCAAGCGAATTCGGCTTCAATATCACTTCTTCGCTATCGCTCTATCGCATCAACGTAGATTATCACGCCTCAAGGGCGAGTTGACTGACGTTTTCATTGGTGGTGACCCCCGAAGCATTGGCGCCCAGAAAATCAACCAACCCCGGGCGCTTAATCCCTGGATCTCGAAGACTCTGCGGCAGGGCCGGCCCTCGCTGCCACTTCACCATTCACCTCGCTTGATCTCTTGACGTCCATTCATTCCCGCCTAGGACAAGCGATTCTGCCCCACGAGTCCAGCACACCTTCCTTTCCTTTATTGTCTCAGGTACCACCGGCTCCGACCAGCAGGTACTCTTCCCTTCCTGCATATTTTCGACCTGTACCAACGCTGTCCAGTCTTACCACGACGTCGTCAGCTTACCGTCTCCGTCCATCTGCAACTGGCGCATCGCCATGTCACTCAAGCAGGTCCGTTGCTATGCTACTCGATCGCCATGTCTGCTCGCTGACTTGCTTCTAGGAAATTGAGACCTGGGTCGAAGCCCTTGCTCACTATGACAATCAAGAATTCGAAGAGTCCCTAACGATTTTCGACGCAATTGCCGATACCTCAAAGATATTATTCAATTGCGGCGTAATACATGCAACCATTGGCGAACATGACAGAGCGGTAAGCCTCCCGTCGCTGGCGCTCTATCCATGGATTCTGGCTGACACACGCAGGTGGAATGCTACCAACGAGCCATCAAGCTCGACCAGTACCTCGCCGTTGCCTACTTTCAACAGGGCGTCTCCAATTTCCTCGTCGGCGACTTCGAGGAAGCCCTAGCCAATTTCAATGACACACTCCTATACCTGAGAGGAAACACTTACATCGACTACGAACAACTGGGCCTCAAATTCAAGCTCTACTCCTGTGAAGTCCTCTTCAACCGTGGTCTCTGTTATACATACCTGCAGCAAGAGGAGTCGGGAATGCAAGATTTCAGTTTCGCTCAGAAGGAAAAGATGACTCCAGACCACGATGTGATAGACGATGCGATCAAAGAGAAGGCTCAAGGTTACGTGGTCTTCAGCATGTACGTTGGCCCCTGATCATAACCCGTCACTAAGACGGCGTCTTTTCCCACGGTCTTAACTAACACATCTTCCAGTCCCGTTGGTTGTGTCTATCGGCCGAACGAAGCCAAAGTTAAGAATCTGAAAACAAAAGACTATCTCGGCAAAGCTCGACTCATCGCAACGTCAAATACCCAAAATACAGGCACCGGCTTCTCGGGAATCGAGCGAAGGCAAGATCTCGCCACACAGTTTGCGCCCAAAGACGATCGTCCACCAGAGAATATCAGCTTTGCTGCTACGAATCTCGTCCAACGAAACCTGTCAAGCAGAGTGCCTAGAGACCAAAGTGCTCCGCCTGCTATGGGAAGGAATGTATTCCCTCCCACACCTCCACCAGAGAATGAGAAACCCCGGAGCCCCTCCTCGGCCACCCTGCCTTTGCGAACAACGTCCATGCGACAGCCAAGGAATGCTTTTCCGCGGCCGGATCCCGAGCAACCACGGCCTGGCATGTTATCCCGGTCCAATACTTTTGCGGCCAACAGTGCCAGACAGCCAAGCCGTATGGAACGCGAGAACTCGTGGGCTGACGAGCCTCAAGCTATGGAACGCCAACCTATGGAGAGATCTCGTTACGGAACTCAGCGTACCGCATCTGAGCCACGCGGTCCGGGTTCTCGACAACCCCAAGGTTTTGGACGTTCCATGTCCCAAAGGGCGCCGGCGCCCCTGTTCCGAGAACAACCAAGATACGAAGAACCTAATGATGTGGTGGATGATGTCTACCAGATGTATTCTGCTCCTCGTCGACGTCAAACCACAAGGCGCCAGCCAGAGCAACCAGCATATATTAATGAAGAAGATGAATATTTCGACGAAGACGAATTTACTTCGGAGGATATGAGCGGTTTCGAACCCGTCCAACGTCCCATGTCGGGCCGCGGCAGCAAGAGGGTCGACATGCGCAAGATCCGCGTCAAATGTCATTTCAACGAAGATACGCGATACCTTATGATCGGCGCTGTGATAGATTTCGGTGATTTTGAAAGCAAGATACGCGAAAAATTCGCCATCAAAGAAAAGTTGAAGATCCGCATGCAGGATGATGGAGACATGATCACCATGGGCGACCAAGACGACCTGGAAATGCTCCTCAACAGTGTCAGGAGTCAAGCCAAGAAGGAGAGAGCAGAGATGGGCAAGATGGAGGTATGGATATCAACATGAGAGATCTCGTCCATCTTGCTCGCGATGGAATTTCAGAGTGGAGCGGATACTCGCTATGCACGTAACTAACGAAGAAGAGAGGAGCATCGTCGTTCCTATATTGCCAGCAGGCCTGTGGAGTCATGTGTGCTCTAGATTTGGATACCCTTTTCTCTATCTGTCAACAGGGTTCAGATATGGATATGTTGTACTGAGCGTGGAGTCTGATTTGGCACTGGGAAATCTACCTCGCAAGGGGCTCTATCTGCATGCTTTATGCTTTCTGCAGAATATCAATGACTCAAGCAGTCAGTGGGTAGCTACATACTAGTCAATCTTGCGAATGTCTGTCGCATATAAAGGCGAACCAGGGTTGAACCCATGCTTATGACTATGGTCGTATAATTTTGAAACTAAACAGACGCTCCATTGTTTCTTTTCGTCATGCCACATGCTACATGCCACATGGGCATAGCATATGATGGCTCAAACGGATTCATCTACTCTCACGTGATATCAACTTCCCCTGAAATCACCTCTCGTCTGAGGTTTGTCGATCGCTTCTTTCTTGTACGCTGGTTGTCGGCTCTCCGGGTCTTACAAAAAGAATGCCAAACGACACAACCACTGACACAAGATCAGACATCTCAGGCGTTTGTGCACAAAGGGTAGCCTTACTCGCACCACCCCACCCCGATGAACAGATGGAGTGGGTTGGCCGGGGTAGATATATCTGTTTCTGATGCCATTACACAAAACAAAAAAGGTTCGAGCAAGGCGGAGTTTTTGCCTTTGACTGAGAGCCTGCGTGTCAATATTTAGAATTCAATGGGGAAAGCAAAACATACAAGAACTGAAGTTTCTGATCCTGTCTGGACGAAACTGGGAGAAGAGGATGTTCAAATACCTCTATCCGTAGAGACCACTCTTAACTAACTGAGATATATTGAGTAGGGAGTCTAACCAACATTGATCTAATAGAATCATAACACATACAAACAAACACTACATCACAACACCACACACACACTCTCTCTCACTCAGTCACCCCTTGTCCCTTCCACAACTCAACTGCACCCGTAATCTAGTACCACCCACATCTCCTCAATCCTCAACCCGTCACACAACCACGCCCTTTGATCCCATCCCTTCCCCTTCCCCGGTTACAAGTTTCTATTTTGCGATAGACTCCGAAATGTCGTTCGTCCTGTTCTTCGGATCAGTTCTCTCTCCCCCCCCCCTCCTCCCCTGGTTGCCTGCTCACGCATTCATTCTCGACTGAATCCATGCCTTGGAAACGGGAATGTTGGGAAACTCCGTTTCAAAGAGAATCTTGGTCGAGTTTACATCTTCGTGATTTGAGGCGCAGCCACGGATAAAGGCGTCGTGTTTGGCCGTCCAGCCGTTAGGTCGGGTGGGTTTAGTTGCGCTTGCATTGGCATTTCTTGCTGCAGACATTATGATGATTGATTGAATTTTGCGCAGTTCGAAAGCCACCAACTTGATAGTGATGTGAAGTTTCTGACCTAAAGCTTGATCACTCGTGAAGGGCTTCACTACAAGATGTTAGGAACTTTCGTCTTTTGTTGCTGACACCATGTTCTAGGTTAGCAAGTATTTCATTGACCGTGTGTAGTAGATCTTCATCTGCTTATGAAAATCCACTCTCCGATCGAAAGATGTTTCTTGCTCTGACCAAGCAATCATGCAAAGCAACCGAGAAGAAAGACAGTAGAGGAATGTCTCACCAGCTGTAAAGTGCTCTTTGAGAATTTTCGATCTTTTCCCTGAGGCTAGATGTATGTTGTTGCTGTTCGACAAGTTCGATATTTGTGATAGAGCCTCTGCGAAGAAAATGGATCTGTTGTCACGCTGAGCTGATGGTTAAGAATGAAGAGGCTGTGATGGTGAGGGATTGTACTAGGAATGCTGAGCAACGAGAAAAAGAGCATGTGGGCTCAAGGGGCAAGGTATTCTTTATATCTTGATAGGAAGGGGCGACTGTTCCATGGATGCTTCAGGTCGTTTGTACCTTCGACAAAGATGGACGGGGAAGTGGAAAGATACAGAATGAACCCATGTACCGACAGGCAAACGAATGAATTGCTACCTCAATCTCAAGTCCAAGTGGTCCAACCCAGCCGTTTGACCTGAAGATCCAAGTATCCGACAAGACGGATATTAGGCCAATTCAATGCCGCGGTGAAGGCTTGGCCGGTATTGTAATAGAGTCTTTCGCAATAACGATTGCGACCCTCGAAAGCAACCCACGTGGCGTTGACAAATCGAACACAATCGAGCAATCAGACACAACAACCGCACCAACCTGTATGAGAGATCTATTGCAATCGCCACGATAGCAATCAACAAGCCCCCACTGAATGGCCATAGCATTGCTCGTCATCGACAAGAAGATTATACGGTGAGAAGCTTTCATACGGAAGTCGAAAGTCATCTTCCGCTGTCATCTTGGCCACAAACGATCCATCTCCTGTTTGATTCCCCTTTCGAGATTGCGAAGGAGGATGCTTGATCCTGTGCAATGGGAAAAATATCTTGACTTTGGCAAAATTGTCCAGGAACCTCCGTCTTGTCCGTCCTTGAATTCCAAATCCAATTGAGGAAATGCCGGATGGCATCCGCTTCCCCGAGCCACCTGCAGCCTCCCGTTCATATCATCTAGCCCGAGATCCCTTCAAACGCGTTGCACCACGAACTCCAGTGACTGTCACGATCGCTATGCTTCAAGATATACCGGTTCGTACAAGGTCGTGATCCGATTGGTCGTTGCAAAAGTTTAGAATATACATTGTTAGATGTCGATGAAACATTTCGGATCAGAAAACACCAAATCCATTGGCAAACCATGCAAAAGACATTGTAGTGATTGCGACCGCAGTCAGAAGAACGCCAAGAGCTTGCTTCTCGTGGATAGACAGTGCCCCGTTGCAGGTGGCGCACTTGAACTCGTTCAAGGGAACATATGGTTGTCTGGAGAGGTATTAGTACATGGTAAAGAAGGCATAAGTGGGGAACATACCCTGTATACATGCCAAAGACGTATTGTGCGTAAGCACCTAGATGACCTGCAGATGGGACGTCGCTGATATCCCTGTCTGAATCGTGCACAATCAAGGTGTAGCTTGCGACAGGAAATGGCTGCGAAGAAGTGGCGGGAAAATTACCAGTGTCCCAAAGAATGGCTCCCGTCTCTTCTACAGACATATTTGAAGCAATGGTATAGGTTGCTGAATTAATCGCGCAAGAGGCCAGAACGTCGATTGCCTTGGGAGTTACAAGTAACGAGGTGTAGTTCCACTGGAAGGGTATCATAGTTCCGACTTTGTAGTATTGAGGACCGTCAATAGGGGCGGGAGTAATGAGTGAGATACCCCCAGGAGGTTTTCGAGGGTCGATGGGGGTCGTTTGAGTGCTTGTCGTGCGTGTGGTGCCAGAACCAGATCTGGCACTGGTTGCGGAACCTGTTATGGTTGCAGAGGAACCGGTCCCTGACGCAGATGCTCTTGAAGTGGCAGTAGTTTCGTCTGTTGCCGCAGCAGTGTTGCTGGCAGAATCAGTCGGCCTTTGTTCTTGACGTCCAACGAGAAATCTGTCGATATCGAACTTTGCTGGCCATGGCCAGGCGGCTGAGGAGGAAACGAGGAAGAGGAGGAAGAGCGTGCAAGACGCAAACAGGCCGGTGGCCTTCATCCTTGATGTTGGGCTCTAATGTGACAGCGGTTCTTGATTGATAGTTGGGAGGAGGGAGGAGGGAGGGAGGAGGGAGACGGGAGGGAGACGAGACTGGTGTTCCTTGTGACAAGGTGATGGAAGGAAAGGCCAGGGGTGATGAACGGGCGACTGGGTGATTTTAAAGATTATAACGAGAGTATTGAGTCAATTGAATATGTTAATAAACGACAGGAGAAGAGGCAGATGAGAATTGCTTGTAGAATCTGAAGATCTTGTTGAGAGAGTGAGTGGCATTATTCACGAAGAGTCTGGACACTTGATTTTGGTGGTTGTCTCACTCGCTCCTGCACACTTCTCCCTGACGACGAATCCGACCGCTCGGGCCAAAACAAAAACTCCATGTTGGCGCGCCATTTGCCTCCGCGCCATTCTTCTTCAGGTTTAGCTCATGTCATTGCCGCAAGCTAACTATATATGGATTAGATGGTTTCTTAATTTGGACCCTGGCACTCTGCGCTTTTATGTCAACATCGCCGTCAGTCTCACCACATCATGCTGGAGTTCCCAGCTTCTTATGCAAAGAAATGAAGGAATTGAGATATACATTCCTTACGCTACCTAGTCAGAGGCTATTGACTGCCACATAAGCTAAGCCTGCGTGCCAAATAACTGCAATGAAATAGACAGAAGACCTTATGTTGACCTCGACTATCAATAGCGACTCTTAGGTATAGGAGGATGGATCTTTTCGCTGCGTGCAAGGCTCGTCTTCTCGTTGTGTCAAAATGGAAGATTGTAGAGAAGGTCAAAGTAAGTGACGCCATCAGAAGCAACTCAGCCACCTCATATTAACGTCGAATCAATGCTCGTTTCATCTGCACTTTCATTCATGCGTCATCTCCTAGTCGTGAATTGGTAGACTAGCTCCGAGTGTCATGAGGTCGTAAGTCTTAGCAGATATCCTCGACATCGTTTTGTGCGGAGGAAATAATCGTGTACATCCCAGGGCCTTGGGAGGATTGGCAAATGTAGTAGGTACAGGATCGACCAACGTCCAAGGAGTCTTCTCCCGATATGGCGGCGGATAATAGTAGTCGTAAATCCTTGAACCCAAATACCTAGTCTTCTTTGGTCGAATGATCTATGATCATAGCTCGACTCATGCGTCAATTGTCGCTTCAACAACGCCTTGCTTTTCTGGTTCTGATCTCGGGGCGATGTGTCCGCTACGTCCCAGAGACAAATGTCATACATCGCAGCACAACACTGCCAAGCCGAGATGGGCATGTGTGACAAAGTCCGTGCTATTCCCTAGACCGCATCCACTGTCATTCGTCTGACCCTCGACCCAATTCGATGCAGTCCCTTGTGGGACAATGCATGCAGTTGTGATTGTAGTCAAAGCCAGTAAAAGTTTGTTGTACAAGGTGTCCGGGTCACTTTCGGACATTTCATTAGTCGTTTGTTCACGTCGTTCGTTCACTCCTTGGAAGCGAGAAGTCTCACCAGACGTAATCGAATGTGAGGACTGACAGACACAAGTCCTGGGCAGGCAGCATTCGCCAAATCTCCTTCGAGACACCTCACTCTACTATAAACAATCTCGATGTAGTGCTTGGAATTTGGTCGGTTGGTCAGGTTGTGGCTCTGTCGCCTTTCTGACGAGGGGAAGTTGACGTTTCTGATTCATCAGCTTGTTGCAGATGTCGCACGATTTTGTGGTGATATCTTTGTAGGCGGCCAATGTATCCTATGTACTGTTAGCCGGATCCAGCTATGCCGCGCTTATCGAAACATACCAGAAGCTCACTGAGATTCGTGCTCGGCTTCAAGTTCTCCAAAATGCTACTGCGAAGGGCAGGTGCTTCGGTATCTGGCTTGCCAGACACCTTGTAGCCACCCCCGTCACTCAGTTGGGCAACTTGAAAAGCAAGATGAGTGATGCTGACGTTGACCGGTAAACCGGTGGCTTCGTTGACGATGTCGACTTTGAGATCAGGATTGTTGGTCTTGAAATTGCTGACAATTTCTAAAATGTTCTCCTGAGCCGGCTCCGGTTCTGGATGAGTGTCTCCGTTGACGAGGTCGATCGTTCCAGCAATGAGATTAGCATCTTGGAGCAAGGTAGAATAATCCACCACCCAAGCATCATCGCCTTGGAATTGCTCTGCTCCATTGACAGCGCTCCACAGCTGTCGGACGTCTTCACTGTGCCAGTCTTTTTTGAACTTCTGGATATCGCTGCTTCCAGTCTGTGCAGCCGTTCTTAGAGAAGAGGCTAGTTTCTCGGGTTCAAACCCAGAAGGATCCTCCAAAGCGAAGCGCGTCGGATTAATTAGCTTCTCGGGCAGCAGTGTACGCAGGCCACCAATCTTATAGTGGAGTCAGAGCGTGTCTCAAAGTCAACGATTTCAATGTCAGGGTTAATACATACCTGATTGTACATCTGTTGCAACTTGGCCAGCCTTTCAACGATCTGACGATCTTCAGGGTTCACATCTCCCATGGTTGCAGACTCCCACATGACGGAGAAAGTGACGAGGCTCAAAGCAACTAGAGTAATGTCGATGAGATAAGACTCGCAGGAAGCGATAGATAATGCGAACGTAGTTGTATCGCCATGAACGTATCAGGGAAAACGCAGATTCGACGGAGTGATGCGGTCTTGATCTGTCACGTCGTGCAAGTCTGGGCAAGTCCGAGTCACGAGCAAAAGATATTCCCCACGAAAGTTTAGCGGATCCTGGAGCAAGCGAGGAGGTACACGTGACCAAGAAGCAGGGCAATGTAGTCACGTGATGAGAGGAGTGTCCATGCACGTGATATGCAGGTCACACCCCGCAAGGCTTATTCATCCTGCCGCCCTTCACTGTATACCATTAAGTAAGTTTACATAATGTGGAAAACACATAAAGCATCATAATGGCATATGGCATGTGTGTCGATGAATTCTAGCTGTTCTCATTGTGGAATGTGACCGATCTTCACCCTCTCATGGCTCTTTGCCAGCTAATTCATGATCACCCTTGCGCGATCTTGGCTTTTCATCTAACATTCCCTCTGTACAGCGGCATTGATGATCTACTACTGTATCATCACAAGTGAGATATTGTGGAGAAGAGTTGCTGCGTCACACGAGGCACCCGCACTTCTAACGGAGAGTTAATGAACAGGTTGTTCAAGGGCTTGGTAGTGATGAACAAAGCCATCCAACCAGTCAGGTTTTCCATATGGACAAATCAAACAGGCTGGAATCGCAGTGGAGAACTAAGATTTCGGGTTCGAGAGTTGTACATTTGATTCCACCTGACGGGTCGGGACACGAGTCGATACACTCGTCTCAGCACAGACCGCGGAAAGCCGGCTTCACCTATTGTGATCGAGATTCATTGTTCTCTTGGATGATTGACGCTTTTTGAATTCAATGTTTGTGCCTTGAAATCGTCAGACCCATGACGCATATAGCCTGCCTGACCTGCTCTTGCGGAGGACATGTCCCGCTTAGGTTTGGGATAGCCGTGACCTCGTGTCTTCTGACCGTGACGATCAAAGAGTTGGCAATCGCAGATAATTGTAACACCGGAAGCATAAGACACTAACTTAGTAGGGTCGGTCAGTGCGAATACGGTCGCTCTTTAAGTGAACACGGTGAACTAAGGGGTGCCACGACCGCGCCCGGCTTTAAGTGTACTTCAGTCCGTGCTCCAAGAACTCAAGGCATCGGTACAACCGACAAGCAAACCATCTTCACTAGAAGATCGACATTCGGCATCATCAAAACAGGAAAATAATCTTCCTCTTTACGGACGAGCCGATCTTGGATGCTAAGTAGAGCTCATACAACCAAACGCCCTGTGAACTTAGGGTCTTTCTCGCTTGTCCAAGCTGTCGTAACGGTGTTCACTATCTTTAGTGGAGTGCTAGGCCAACGAAGCCTTTCAGCCCCAGTCTGCGACGTTGTATTCTCAGTAAGTCAGGGACAATTTTGGAGCACAGATGATGTTCTTTTGACGACGGACTGTCTCATCGGCGAGCAGTTGGGTATGGTAGAGCAAGCGGCAATCATAAACAAGCGATATCCATTCCCAGTGGGTCGTGTCTAAATCAGGCAGAATTGGCCTGAACAGGACGTTCGGTTGAGACGCCCCCTTGGTCTCCTGCCCTGACTAATAATACTTAGAAAGACTCGGTACTCGGGTACAGGTCGGGCATTCTACCAGTTCCCGGCGACTTTGAAGTTGGCTACTGGAACCTGTAGGTAGAAGACCATGCACATCCACACCAGTCGAGGATTCTTAGAGGTCACCATCTAGGAGCAAATCATGATTTTGATACATCTATCGACGTCATACTCATGTTACTCTCGTAGCGATACTGCTGGTGGTGGTTAGTTTCAGGCAGTACACGGTCGCCATGCAATCTCACTGCGCAGGTCGACAAAGAAGCTTGCCTCAGTATCAAGAAAACAGATTGATAATATCCACGATGGACCCCAATGTCAGTGCTCATACGGAGAGATATTTGGCCGCGAGCAGCCCGTACGGGACGACCATAGGGCCGTTGCCAGGCTTGTATCTCCCCAAGAATAACGTGAACCCGCCCCAGGGGGAGAGGATAATTATTCATACTTGGGACGATCTAAGCACGCCAAAATACGACAAGTGGCTGAGTCCAGGTAGTGTACCCACCCCACGGGAAAGGGAGAAGCAGAATAGCCCTACCCGCTGAGTGGGCCAGAGGGAGTACGCATACGTATACGACACCACTCCAAGGAAGGTTTGGGGCCCCTCTGGCGTCTCGTACGGGCGTACCACCCACTGTAGTATGGTTAATCCTGTGAGTTTACAGGCATACGCATCTTCACAGAAGCATAACCAGGGAGGGGGACCACCCATTCGCATACCCAGGTACTTCCGCATAGTCAAGAACGTAACCAAATGGCAGTGCTTGGAGCGCCCACTGGTGTCACTCTGGGCCTTAGACGCTATTCCTTGTCTAGAGAAGCCGTATGAGTGTGTACCGTACTAAAAGCCCAGGGTGGAGAAGACTATAGCGGCAGCCAGTGTTACAGCCTAGAGGAGGGGCTTTCTGGGCATCACTGGATCACTCCCCACACTGGAGCTAGGAAACGAAGGGGTGTATGGGCACGATGGGTAAAGTAGGGCTGTGTTTGCTACCTAGACATTATTGACAGTAGAGGTACCAAGGTCGACGTGGGCCGGGGTTGGAGGTCAGCCAACGGTGGCATCTCACCGACCCTGGACTTGGCCTCGCTGGGTTGGTATTTAATGTTTGCATGGGTATCGCCCTATACATGGAGCTCGGGAGCCAGTCATGAGGCTTATCTGGCGATGGCGACCCCAAAAAGCAGCAACCGGCCGGGATCAGCATGGCGATGAAGGCTCCACTTGGTTCATTTTATGATCGGCACGCGCGGTGAGGACGGAGGTCTGAGCATATTCCTGGATTGCAATAATGGATTACCCGATCAAAGCAGATGCCATGCAAGCAGGCTCGCACTTTTGTCCTCGACTGTTGCATCTTAACCACCCCATCCAAGATAGCATGTGGATTTGCTTAAGTTATGGGTCTTTGATTCGCGCCCGTTTTTATCGCCCTTCGCCCTTATGCTTTTTCCCTTTGCCCTTGAACCTTCTCCATAGCCCTGCGATCGTCTCTGGATCGTGGTCAGCAATCATCCTGGACGGTTCGGTCTGCACGGCCGACAGCATCCACTTTGCAACGTGTTGGGCTTCTCGCACCCACCAGCCTTAGCTCCGTTTCTGTTCCTATGTATAAGTCCCGACTCTCTCGTCGGCCCCATGTTGATACCTCTGGTCTACCGTTGCTCCTACTATCATTCCTGACTAATATACAGAAGACATCGACATCCCATGCCGTCCACCGACCCAACTGGTTCTCCCGCGATATATCAGTCTAGACTGTCTTATTATTAACAACAAAATGGCCCTGGACGCTCAAGACACTGTCTTCTCCATCACCCCACCAGCAAGCGATATTGACGAATTCGAAAAGACCGGGCTGTTGGCTTATTCACCATCTGTTGCCCGATATTGTTATCCTTCCCCTACCCCTTCCAGCCAGGAGCATTCAAAATCGGTGTCGTCCGACTCGTTGTTTATGCTTCCTGAATTGATCATGTCGAACCCTCAGGATCACCACCTCCACAACATCTCCTTTGATACTCCAATGCCACAAGCTTCATTCTATCCAGTTCCTGAGACAACCAATCCATCACTATCACAGTTTGCGCCTGCTCCAGACATGCTTTATGGCATGTATGAATCGAGCAGCTGGTATTCGTACCCCAACTATACCAGTGGTCAGCAGATACAGCAATATGGCGCACCTCAGTCGACTCAATTTTCCATTGACGACCCCCTTGGTCCCCCGTTGGCGAACATTGTTCCTCCTACCCCAAGGGAAGTTCAACCTGTTCAGTTTGACCAGCTGCCAATGCCCTCGACCATTCCCTCACACCAACATTTGAGTGCCTCGCCCGCCTTTTCTCAGGTCTCCCACCACAGTGCGGGTAGTCACCGGAGTAGTGTTTCGTCACTGTCCAGGTCCTGTTCTCCGGCTTCGTCGTACCCAACACTGGGACATGAGCAGCCAGCATTGAGGCAGACGCCTCGGTCCAACTCGACATCGTCAAACACTTCATTACACGCTTACGGCATCCCGGTCCATGAGCCAACATCAATGCCATCTTCATCATTAAGTCCCCACCCTCAGGCGTGGCGATGTGCATTTCCAGGGTGTACGTCTCGAGCGACATTCACTCGAGGATGCGATCTACGCAAGCACTACAACCGGCACAGCAAGCATCTTTTCTGTCGAGTTAAGGGCTGTCCGCAAAGCGAAGCTGCAGCGTCTGCCCGTGCCAAATCCTCAGACCAACCCCTAACGGGGGGATTCAGCAGCAAGAAGGACCGGGCGAGGCATGAAGCCAAGCACAACCCCGGGATTATGTGCGAGTGGCGAGGTCCAGACGGAGAAGAATGTGGTCGTGTTTTTTCCCGCATGGACAACATGAAAGATCACGTCAGACGCATCCACAGTAAAGGACAGGCCCAACAACAACAGCAACAGAAAATTCAACGACAAAGTCAATCAAGTCGGGCCTGATACCATCTTCCCCCGCAATCGCCCTATCTGCACGACTGGAAACTTCTGAATTTCCACGTGTGACAGACAGCACGTCTGACCTGTAAAGTATGATTTATCTACGATGTTTACGAGGACAGGACAGGACAGGACAGTGATAGGTGGTATTGTCGAGTCAGGGTTCCAAGTGTGCTGGTCCATACTGAACCAAGAGGATGATCTTGCTCCTGGGCACGACAAGAGTGAGGGAATTGGAACCCCTGGGTTCCAAGCTCTCACGATTCTGACGAGGTACTGGGAGGATCTATTGCATGTTACGGCCTACAAAGGGTGTGCGCGAGAATTGCAAGTCTGTACAAGATTCCCATCTCATCTCCGCGGGAAACAAGCATAATAGAAGCAGCGGAGATATTTTCATCCATGGAGCATATCATGACAGAAACATAGCGGACTTGGCTTAGTAGCCTGTTCCAGCCTAGCGTGTTCGATCTAGCTATAGCAGACGACCAAACAATATTACAGAGAATATTGATGATTGTGCACACCCTGATCTGACAAAGCGGAAATACCTCATTTCGCGGAATTAAGCCACTTGGCATATCTGGGTAATTAGCTTGTGTAGTTGGACTGTTTGCGAGAATTGATTACCCGTACAATCAGAGCAAACAAAGGGGGAAGTCAAAAGTGGTGAGTTGACCTTCTGAGTACAGAGTTCCAACTAACTGGCGATTCGCGCATATCAACCAAGGAGAAACGGTCGGGCGCAATCACCATCTCGTTTGAGTTAGTTGGTTGGACTGGAGGACATAGGATGGATCCAGGTGGAGTATCGGCCCCCAAATGAGATGGATTTCAAGACCTAACCAGTCAGTATGATGACGAATGACATGTTGATGCACTGTTGGACGAATACGAAAATGCCAATGTCGACGAGATTATTCTCGAAAAGCCACCAATGCGTGTGAATCAACGTGGCTCCGTTTCATCCTTGTTGGCTGTGGAATACCCGCGGATTTACTAGCAAAGGTAGCAGGCTTCCAGTTGGCTGCCAGATGACGGTGACGCAACCGCAAATACTGTACAGGCAAACAAGTTGGGGAATGTTTGCGAGGGACCTTTGGTTTAGTCTCCGGGCCCTCTCTCAACCCTCAAGCAATGTTTAGGCAGACAAGTTTCCAGCTACCAGCACCTGGCTTGTCCGTCATCTACAGAGTAGATGCCAAAGGACAATTCAATATGACTCGACTACACACAACGATCCAATCTTGAGACATAAAAATGTCAGTGAGTGTCACTGTCACCCTCCTCTTCAGCTGGGGCCCACTGTAATCAAAATGGGCTTGATTCTCAGAATGCTTTGGGAACTCACTTCGGAGAGCTAGGAGTGGGCGGTGGTGACCACTAAGTAAAGTCTACGCACCGCCCATATCATAGGTGCATAGTCATTGTTTACCCAGAGACTCTGCCGCTATGCATGTGCGATGGATACTATGCCTCACTTACATAACCACAATGATTTGGAAGGAGGCGAGTTTGGGCTCATGCATAGCGAGACGAGACCGCGGCCGCAGAGTCCGCTGTCTTGGGGATCTTCAATTCAATGCGGTATGCGTAGGCACAATTCTATCTTGAGAGCCTCTGGAGATGGCAAGCTCTCGTAAGCCAGAGCCCAGTTCGTCTGGCCTTGGGTCTTGGTTTCTTCGGAGTATGGGTACCCGCGCCGCGTGCCACGCCGTTACCTGGGCGGTCAAGTTTGTGACAATTCACCATTCAACTCGGAGAAGAGCTCCCCTCTATTCCGCTAATAAGCCTTGGGTCTCCACTCGAAGATGACAACTTCAAGACTTGGCTAGGTAAAGACTTGAAGACTTAACTCCGCTTCACGTGCTCCGGGTTTTGTTGGAGCGAGAGGCACGTATGACCCGAAGACCGAGGGGGAACACCTGGGGGGAGGCACCTGGGGCCGAGGGGACAATCCCCCAGCCTCCCAAAGAAGTGAAATTCCCTCATTTGGTACACCCCTTGCTGAGATCTACACTGGTAAGCCCTCGAAAGGCATATGTCGGGGCCTGGCCAGAGTTGCTTTGTCAGAATGAAGTCTTTGGCCTTTTTGGTGCAATGTCGTGAATATGCACGCCTTCAGGATGAAATCCACCGGAGTTTACCATCCCTCAACAGGCAAGGGGCTAAATCTGGCACTTGATGCCTGTTGGGTCACGGCAAAGTCGAACCCTGGTAGGCTTGTTCATGATCGAACTATCTACAGAGAGTTCAGGAAGCGCGCTTGAAACTCAAGCCCACAATCCATGGGAAAAGACGGATCGTCCAGTAGATTACCACAAACCCCAAATTGCACCCGGACGAGAGTTTATCGTACAAAGTGGTCTTCGGGAAACCCCGAGTGGTCGCACGAACCAACAGCATTGTTTCGCTCTTGGCCGTGGGGACACTGACAGGTGGGCGCAGTGACCTCCACCAGTACGGGAAGACGACCAGTCAAGAACGGTGATGCTGACATCGAGCGAAAGAACGTGCACCTTACATATAGTTTTGTGGGCTGGCTATCGAGGAACCATATATGGAGAGGGGGAGGAGAAAAGAGGACGGGACGGCCACGACGGGAAAGCCACAATCTGCCAATCATCCTTGCTGACTATATGTCGTGCGTGCTATCTCATGGCTGATCGCCCAGGTTACAAAAGGACCAGTGCTACTCGCTGTGCAACCATATATCTCTGAGGTTACATTGCCATGAAAATAATGGGAATTTTTCAATATTGCGTGCCGCATTGATGAACCAAGATGATTCAATTCCGCGTTTATCTAGGGAACTTCCATGATATACGAAATGTCATCGCGAATGACTCATCGTCCATCATCCCCTTCCCCGTCCCCTTCCCCGTCCCCTTCAACCGAGATGAGTCTCAAGCTCCTGCAATTTGAGATCAACGACAAACACGCTCCCACATTGAGAGAGAGACACACAGATAGCAAGACTTACCAGAACTGCCATCGATCGACGCCCTTGTCGCCCAAGCCCCCAAGACGAATCTTTGTTAACTTGGGTCCATGAAATTGAAATTATTCAATGGTGCAGAGCCAGTGGGAACTACTATGCGAGCGGGTTCTAGTCCCTGTGCTCGAATCGTAGTGCATCAAGATTCCTCTTTGTCAGAGTCTATCTGGAGGCACTAATCCAGATCTTGCAACCGTGACTTTTGAGACTAGAGTTTGGCGAGTCTTGCATCCAAGGGTGGAGTCTACACTACAAAGTATAGAGGGTTCACTGGTTCCCAGGCACGCCATGGATATCGTAGGGCAGGGCGCTAATGGAGTTGTGGTACTAGCGAAGCCATTTCTGGTTGGTTCGGAGAACGGAATGCTGCAGGTGGTTTTTTTGACAGAACCCATACGCTGTATGCCTGTAGCCCCGCTTCGCATTCGTTTCTTATTCAGTCAAAGCCGTCCCACCTTGCGGGCCGTACTCGTACGGAGAGGTACTCATTCATGCCCTGTCATTGGACGCGATACCTGGCGATACCGAACCCGAGGTCTCGCTGCTTTAGCTGTCAGAGAACATCATACCGCCCCTCTAGCCATTAACAGTGTTTCTATTCCTCTTTAAGTAACCATGAGATGTTCCAGAATGAGACGGCCTTGGCGTATTTGACAGGTAACGGTATCGGTATCGCCGTCGCGGGCCTTCCGTGGAGGAGATGGGGGTCATGCTTTGCTTGGATTAATAATTATGCTATGGGGGAAAATAAAAGGTGGTGTAGGTACCGAGCCACGGTTTGTTAGGCGCGCATCCTTGGGTCTTAGGTACCCAAGGATCATAGGAATGATTGGTTTTGTCATATCCTTTGTGGCAGCCCCGGCCTGTACAGAGGTGGCATTCTGGATGTAGATCTCCAGACTTTCGGTTCGTTGTGAACTTCTGAGATGGAGTCATGAATCAAATTCACCGGCCCCCACCCTTGTGACCAACCTATCTTCAAACCTATCTCCCAACCTCTGACCTACATAATACCGACTAGAGTCACTCAACCACGTTCGAAACTGTCCTCTCCGGCTCGGCGTAAGACTGAACCGCGTCGGCACCTCGGGATAGGAAATCTATCGTTTGCGTGATGGGGAATTCCCGTTGTGCCAGTCAATGCCAGTCTTTGGTCCTTCCGAGAAAGATAGAAGATCGCCAATTCTCGTCACCGTGACACAGGGCGGAAGCAAACCTGTTGTTAGGCTTTGACGACCCCTGCGTTATGATTGTCATTCATGTGGAATCGTCAGGCCCCTGGCCAACGGCTCAAATATGCGTAGGACTCAAAAGGTAGGCGTACGATGTATTCGTAGTACTTAGGGCCGCTACTGGGACATACCGGAACCACTTTGCAACCCTGGCCCCCAATCCCTGAGACAAAAGTACCAAATTGTAGGCACCCACATCACCCTAGGGCAACTTTTGTCTGACAAATTGGAGGCAGCTATCTTGCCTATGGTCCTTGGTTGATTGCTTGCGTCCACCAACACATGGTGTTTCCAACCCCCCGAATCCCCGAATACCCACCCGGGGATATTATTCGTGAATTTTCTATCATAGGGCTGACAAGTGGCGACGCTTGCGGGTCGGAGGCGCTGAAGCCGTTGATCCTAAACATTTTGCTCGTGGGTTCTACTCTCTCTGTGCTTGCGTCTGTTGTCTGCTTGTCTGCGCTATGCTCGTGTTGTTCCTTACACCGCCAGCCTGGGACGACGGAAGCGAGACAAGGGTTTACGTCGACTATCAGGCATACCAAAACGTCTTCAATCATGGAAATTCGTATCGCCGACCCCCCTAGTTTGAATCATGTACAGACTCGGGCCATATTATTGCCTTTTTCCGTGTGTCGATGCGCCGTGTAAGCCAGTTGCATCTACCAAGAGCAACAGGGGCTGTGTGTGGGGTGTACGGAACCGCTGAATCGGCGACAATAACGAAAGATCAAGAAAACAAAACATTCATACCCCCGAAATTACACAGCTCATTGGATACGAAGTACGATATCAAAACTGCTTCTTGGTCTCAGGCCTTCCTGCTCATCACCTCGTGGTAGGTTAGGTCGCTGGCACAGGTGGTCAGACCCCCATCGTGCCTGTATACCAAGATCGGACAAAGATCCACAAATTCCCGTGTCCTTCAAACATGAACGACAAGACCGTCGACACACGCCGGTGCCTTTCGAGTCAACAGGATCGAGGTCATTGTTGACAGACAGCTCCACAGCATGGTCTCGACGATCATCTCTTGAGATAGACACGGCAGAGCAACGGTTCGATCGATTTCGGCCGAGAGACTGAATACTGTATGCTATCACGCTCGAAACTGGTATGATATCAGACAAGAAAAGGCCTTGGACGGGACGCAGCTAGCGCACTCCAGGTGGCTATGTCCTTTTACAAACACCCAAAATAGTGTCACCAGCACAGATAGTGGGTCGACTAATAACTTGATTGCTTGTACGACAGTCTCATGTTTACACTGGCAGAGATATTGTATCATGTGGATCTAGTTGCAACATCATCTCATCTACATACAGTAGTATTGCGATTGCGCCTCTACATACTACAGCTTCGCCTTTCCATCACTTGTCCTCTGGAGTCTGGCGACCAGGTCAAACGCCCACTCACCGTACGGCCCCATCTGGGCGGCATATTGTTTGGCGGTGGTCCCGCTAGCTTGTCGTTGGGCATACCGTGCTGCGATACCTTGCATGATGACGCCGGTTCTGAAGCCCCCAAATGCTCTGCCCCAAGCTAATTCTGATCGAGCATCATACCCAGACGCTTCAACATACCAATCGACTGCCTGTTTCAAAGTTGGCAGACCTGGAGTCGCTCCGTCGACGAATTCCAGGCTTTCTTTGCTTCCTGAGCCGTCAAGACTTCTTCCCACCCACGCCCAAGGTGCGGTCAGATTGACCAAATCCGACAGTGGGTGTCCTATCGTTGCCATTTCCCAGTCCAAAATACCAATAACTCGAGGTTCTGTCTTGTGGAAAACCAGGTTGTCGATTTTATAATCGCCGTGGATCAGGGTTCCACGGTCTTTGGGTTGAGTTGATTTCTGCTTGAAGAAATCCACCATCTCTTGAAAGTGAGGAATATCTCCAACTGGTTTCTTGGTGTCCACGTCCACTGCTGCTGCTTGCGCCTTGGATAATGTTCCAAAGGTCTTCAACTGCCGGTCATAAAACCCGGTGTGTCGACCGAAATTCGACAGGCCGACCTTGTTGAAATCAACCCTGTGAAACTTGGCAAGCGTCTGAACGGCGTCTTTCCACCTAGGTAAAGGTTAGTTGCTTGCCTACAGCAGATGGGACGTCTGCGACGAATGCTCACATCGCTGTTCGATCCTCCGGGCTGACTCCGGGGAAATGGTTCTCTGTCACCATACGTCCGTCGAGGAATTCCATGATGTAGAAATCGGTGCCCACAACGCTGGGATCTTGACACAGGCAGTAGACCTCGGGAACAGGGACATCGGTCTGGCCTAGTGCCTTGATAATCCTATATTCGCGATCGACCTGATGGGCGGTCTTGGACAGCAGCTTTCCCGGGGGCTTCTTGCGCATGACATATTTGGCTCCTTTAGCATCGGTGATTTGGTAGGTAGGGTTGGACTGGCCAAAGCCGAACTGTGTCTTTGTTAGTCTTGGGTCTCAAAATTTGAGTTTCCGCTTCACTAGAAGTGTCTACGGACCTGCTTCAATTCCAGTGGAGTCTTGATCTGAGGAACATTGGAGTCGATGTAGCGCTCGAGAGAAGCCAAGTCGATCGGTTGGCGTATAGGTCCAGCCATTGTGTTTGTATTGTTAACTATGCATGGACAAGGGCAGGCTCAACGAGAAAAAAGCTATAAAGCCCAGAAGAGTTCTGAGGAAGACACCAATCGTAGGTCAAAATGTTGTTGTCAGCGCAGAGGCACGCCCGGCTGCGGAAATCTGCCCTGCTCGGATCAGTGAGCCCGAGGGAAGATGGCTATAATCGAAGCCGAAGCAACAGTGTCAGGCCTCGGCTAACATTTTCCCCAGATTGACATTTGCCGGTGTAGCTCCGACTGTTCTCGTGCTCTCTCTGATTGGATGAAGTAGCCAGACGCACCAATGAGAGCCAGGGAAATGGCACGGTGAATCAAATGCTTACTTTACGATGTTCGGTCAATTATTACTGCATCGAAGGTTATCCACGTGACCAAGCCACTTTGCCCCTTCCTCACATAAGACGCGTACCGGCGTGTTGGAGGCCAGATTTACGCGTTGGGGGAAGGCATGGTTGGCGGGGCGCAGACAAATTGGGGGGACAATGAATAGGTAGGATTTCAATGTCAAGACTAGGTACATTGTCACATACAACAACAGCAAAGGTGTCCATATCTAATCCATGACAATTCCTGTCCCATTCACATAAAACAACACCTTAGAATAATGCCAACATCGACCGCAACTACACCCCCTCCTCAAGCACAAACAGCCACAGTTCACTCACCGCCCACTGCATCCAGCCCACCTCTCGCCAAACGAGTCAAGACATCAGAACCTACCTCCAACACAACCACAAACACAATGGCCGAGACCGCAACCGGCAGCAACGGTACTGCCGTCCCTAAACTCACCTCTACGTCTCAGCCCCCACTCCTAATCAAGAAGCTATCTGCCGATGCCACAACCCCGACTCGCGGATCAGCCTTTGCCGCTGGCTACGACCTCTACGCGAGTAAACCCATCACCATCCCTTCACGGGGCAAGGCTCTCGTGTCGACTGATCTTTCGATCGCAACCCCCGAAGGAACATACGGTCGTGTTGCGCCCCGTTCGGGCCTAGCGTCTAAGAACTTCATCGATACGGGAGCTGGTGTCATTGACGCGGACTATCGTGGTGAAGTGAAGGTCTTATTGTTCAATCATAGCGAAGTCGACTTTGAGGTCAAAAAGGGGGATCGCATCGCTCAGTTGGTCTTGGAGAGGATCTATACCCCTGAGATCGTTGAGGTCGAGAACTTGGAGGAGAGTGTTCGTGGTGCTGGTGGTTTTGGAAGCACAGGTTGAACATTGAATAGTATTTATACAGGTTGGAACAGGAACCACAAATTAGAAGAGACTCAACATTTTACCTCTGTTGCTCACAACACGCCATGTCCGGCTCTATACACGCCTTTCGGTCGTCCTTTCTCGTCTATAGAAGTCGTTGGTCCTTGACTCGATCTTTTTGCTGAGCCTACCTAACAGGAATCGTGCGTCATCGTGTTCTTCAAACCTCCAATACTTCAGCTTGGTATCGCAAATTTGGATCCAGGAGATCTCGTGCATATCTGACCACCCTGACCTCAGCAGCTTTTGTTTCTGCAAGATATTTTCTTTTCGCTTCACTATCACCACCGGCTTCCCCATCGGTACCACCTATGCTGCCGGAGGCAAATCTTTGCATTTCTTCGTCCCTGACTTTCATCGTCTTCTCCAGAACGGTCTGCATGCTGCTCAAGACCTTGACAGTTGCCTTTGCCAGAGGAAGGTCAAGTGCCTCCACATCATCATCTGATGCCCACGAGGGGCGATCCAAGAGCTGTGCATCCGCTGCTGCCTCCCTTAATCTCGCGGCCATCAGGCCGGCAAACATGTCACCAGTGCCACTGAAGAAGCAGTCCAATTTAGGCACCTCGACCTTGAACAGACGGGCAGTTCCGTCATCCTTCCTCGTCGAGCCCACCACAGTCAAAACACCAGGTGACCCAGTCTCTTTCAAGCCCACGCCTACGCTCGTGATCACCACGTGGCGTGTTCCAAAAGTTTTGTGTAATGTCCTCACGGCATTCGCCACTCCGGTTAATGTACTGATGCTTACACCGCTCAGCAGCTCGGCCTCAAATTGATTTGGAAGGATCAAATCCGCCTCACGAACTAGCTGGCGATAAGCAGGAACGATTTCCTCAGCCACATAAAGTCGACCCTGGTCGCCCATGACAGGGTCAAGGATCCAAAAGAATCCACCCGGTCTGACCGACGCACGGTAACGGAGGTCTCTGGCGATGAATCCAATCGCATCAACCACATCTGCGGAGGGCGCATAACCCGAAACCAGCATGTCGAAGTCGGTCAAATATGACTGCGTTAAGCCCTGGTACAGTTCGCGAATTTCGGACGCCGGCGTCTTACGGCCTTTGAATTGTCGATAGCCTGTGTGATTGCCTATTGATTGAGCAAAGAGGTTGATTAGTTAGAGACATGACACCACTGCACGTTGCCACACGGGGACCTCTGCCCAGAAGACGATGAAACCCTGCCGTTCCGATTTGGGGGTTATCTAGCTGGACAGTGGACATGCAGCATTGCCATTCGCTTCGACCAGGGGATTTGCCCAGCCTAGGCGATACCCCGATGAGCCAGCGACAAGCTCCGCCATGCCGGCATCGACGAGAGAAGCCATCAAAGGAGTGGAGGACCTAATGCAAGCGGTTCGGAGACTCACTGAAATGGACAGTGTTCATCGCCGCCACATCGCACCCTAGCGTCTGCATGGCAAAGGTTGCCATCGTATTGCCGACATACCTAGCCACAGGACATGATGACACGTTAGTAATTGCATGGGTGGTAGAAGGATGAGAAGAAAGATCCACGTCGTGGTCGGATCCTGCGTCAAACTTCCTCGAATTCGAGGACACAGTTGCGCCCGAGACCACGGCGTCGCGGAGCATCGGTAGCACTTACCCATAAACGACCTTTTGCGACAATTCCAAGATTCCAGTCAGCTCATCTGTCGGGCCAGTCTCACGAGATAGAGAAGGAAATGCATACATGACTAGCAATCGCGAGAACCTTGGTCTCCGGCAACAGGTCATCCGGCGACGCCATCTGACAGGATGCGCCCGGCACGGCGAAATCCTAACTATTCAGAGATAGGGGGAAAGAGAAATATGAGCACGGCTTCTAGTCAATTGTTTATCTTTGACAAGAATGAGAAGGTGATACAAGAGTCACGAGGGTGTGACAGGGGTGGGTGTCTGTGGACCTGTTGACCTGTTGTGGGCTTTACGTGCGAAATGACGCACTTTGCTTCCCCCCAGTTCTCTACTACTCCAGTCGCAGTCTGGCCCTCACCCCAACAAGGCTGAGGGGCAGATTTCTCGCTTCTACTCCTCAATTTCCACTTTGAACATCAAGACCGCTCTTCATGTGTTGCTGCCACATTATATCACATACAAAACACAGCAGTATGTCATTGACGTCGCATTATTACACACACATCCAGGATGCTCTAAGAGGGCAATTTGGTCTGATCGTCTCTTTGTTTTACTATTCCAGTCCATTTTACCCCCCCTTGTGCACCACCAATCATTCTCATGTTGTAGTTGAATTCGTCGTCTCGTATATGGAGGGTGGGGATCACTCTTCGTCTCCAATCTAAGATAATTTGTTAGTTGCTTGTAGCATCACGGTCAAAGATTGAATGTACCTTTGGCGCCAGGTAGAACCGCAGGTAACTGCTACCAGAGAGGGAATATTCCACAAGTAGAGGAACCTCAGACGACAGGCAGAGCTTGACTCTGCTGGACAGTCCGCTGGCCTTGCAGAAGTTGACGAGGTATTTGAGCGAAAAGGTCAGGCTCACGGGTTCGGAGAGGTTGATGGACACGTTCTTCTCGGGAGCTTCGACATTGTTGTGTTGTCTCACGGTGACGCTACCGCTACCGATATCACCCTGGCAGTGGAATCGCACACCATCCTTGTTTGCCTCGATCGACACTTTGGAAATATCAATAACTACACTTCAGCCCACGGTATGATTTGACCACTCACCTGATTCCGACATGGCAATCAGATCGCGACAGATGCGTTGGAACTCGGCGGCTGGCATCTCAATGGTGGCAGCGTATTCAGTATCGGGAATTCCCAAATGCTCTTGATCAATGTCCATCAACTTGATATCATACTCGCTCAGTCGGTCTGTCTCGCTGCTTTCGAAAATCAGGTTGACAACATCGGGGGCGTCCTCTGCTTTGAGTGTGAGGATATCTTCATTTTGAGCCGCACGCAGGACCTTGGTCAGGGCGTTCAGGTTGATTCCGAGGGCAATGTTTCGATCGCAACGGAAAGGAGAGAACATCTCGGCCTTGAGGGCCATGGACACCAAGGCGACGTGAGAGTTGTCCATCGCTTGGAGGGCGATGCCGGAGTCATTGCAATCAAAGTTGCAGTCTTGAACAAGGTCTTTGATGGCATCGACGACCTGTTAGGAATTAGGATTGATGCATTTCTCATCAAGGACATGTTCACATACCTTCTTCAACTGGGCTGCTTGTTCCAGGCGTGCTTCCAACACTGTTGCAGGTCAGCTAGAGGTCACCCAATTGAATTGGTGTGTGTGACATACTGGTGAATGATGTAAAGAGGGAGAATCTCGAGGCAGTCTAGATTATGTGGTTCTACTAGGGTTGATCGTCCAAAGAATTCGTAAGCTGTGAGTGTGTTTGTTTCTTGTTGGAATGAATGTTGAGATAGGCAGAACGCGGTCTTGAGGGGCGAGCGCGCCTTCGCGTCCACGCTAGGCCCTTTTGGATTAAATTGATGGATCTTGGCATAAATCGGCACACCTACCTTCTTCAAATGCTCCTGAATTTAAAAGGAACGAGGGAATTTTGGTGATGTCATTTTCGACTTGGGCAGGAGCGGTATCTCGTACTCCGTATGCCACTATCTGTTGATGGGCCACCGGACCGGGCTCATCACATTTACCGCAAGCGACTATGTCATTCACGGCATACATGCGTTTTGATTCTTCTTCATTTTATGCTAGGTTATGCTCAACAGACATGAGTAATACAATATCAAAGATAGACGGCCATATCTATATACCGCGTGAATTTTCGATCCATACGATACAATAACGATCGAGATGAGCATGTGGCTATGCATCCACACAGCATCCACTAATGTCCTCGAATCTCGTATTCTACAGTACAGATTCGGAAAAGTTCTGTGGCAATGCCTACCAAGATCGCCTTGCCTCCTCTCGATCAGAAGGATCGCGGTGGCCAAACCGGCGATGAAGTGCATCGATTGACCTCTTTTGAACCGGTACTTCATTGTGGTGGGCGCCAAGCGGGTGCCTGAAGTACCGGTCATCTGGGGGCAAAGAGCCTCAATAGGGTTACCTAGAGGTCCATCTCGACTGGTGAAGCACACACCAGTTAGCGTCCACTGGTCATTTGCCACGAGAACTGTTAGCGAACCCGCCGTTCTCGGTAACCCCGCAACTTGATTCGTCGTTCCATAACGTCGTTTTCGTCAAGCATGTGAGTTTTTGCTAGTATAATTATTTGTAATTATTAGATAAACCTGTGAGACTGCTGGATGAAAGGATTGGAATAATCAAGACATCCTACGGATTCTCCGTCTTATCTGGCTAATATGCTAATAGGCGAGGTGAGAAAGAGTACGAGGAGTTGTGTTATGCCCAATGATGAATTGAGACTATGCCTAAGGAACAATGACGATTGGGATGATGAGTTTTAGCACTGATCTCTCTCCAGTTCGCCACGATTACAACGCGCTGGAGATCTGCAAATTGTAGAACTTTCAAGGTGTTCGAGGCTTTAGATAAAATTGAGATGGTGCTTCGCTTCACATCTCCTAGCCAAATAGGCGACTTTGCCGAATGAGTGTGATCGTTTGGTTTCAAAGCTTAATTCTACAGACATGTCTTCTCCTTTACCTGGGCTATCCATGATAATTTTATATATCAAGCGCCTCTAGTCGCGGCCAAGAAACAGAAAATAGCTGTTGATTTTGTATGGATGGTTGTAAACATCGACAAAATCCATTTCTGGCATGATTCATCAACGGTGGCCTGTCCAGGTACATACTTTTATTTATGGGCGCTCGGGCGAATTCAATGGCCTTTAGAAAGGGGTGTGGGGTGTGGAAAGAGGAGTGGGTGGGAGTGTTGTTCCACCATCCACCAGCTAGCAGTGATTGATCATTCTTGAGGCAGCATCAATCTTGTCCCAAATGAGGATGAGCCAGTGACTGGACTCACGTACTGCGATTTGGCGGCCTGCTCGCAGGGATTGAGCCAAGAATGGCGAGCAATGTCAGTGAGTAGTTCGTATGGTCGAAAGAAAATCAATTTGGATACAATTTCCAGGTCCCTGCCAACGTCATAATTCTATTGCCTGAATCAAAAAACAAACTTCCCATTTCTGATATCTCATCTCAATCTTGGTCTCCGCGGCCGAGGGTCCGAAAGAAAGGTAGTAGGTTAATTCAACATAACGCAGCTTTCATCAGTACATCTCTGCCTGCAGATTGTACAAGGTAGCGCAGCCATCTCTGATTAGAAACTCGTCGAAACAGTAAAAATCTAATCGACCAATCGCCCATAGTCGTCCAAATAACTGCAGTCTTGTTAGTACGGAAATAGCTGATCCTAAGGGTACGGATACACCTTTGCAAATATGGAGATAAGACATATCCAGGAATAGCTGAAGCTCGTCGAAGGTACCTAATCGCGGTGTGAAAGTATCGATCGTTGCCATGAGACGAGGACACATTGCCAAGACTCATGTTCGCTTCTGCGGCCTGTGAAGAAAGGAGATTCATATTAGTCATGACTAGTCTGGATCATGTAACAGGGATTCGATTACCTCTGCCAGGATGTCCCCATGAACAGAACCCTGACTCTCAGCCAACTCCAAGGCTCGAGTATAGTGATCGACCGCTGGGATCAACAGCCCTCGAGCTTCGACATAGTCGGGGGAATGGGTTCTAGCATCAGCTTCGGCAGTTGCTCGTTCAGCATCTCGTGTCTCCTCACTCGACGTGTAAGGGAATCTTTCTCCGAGACTCTGGGGTCTGCCGCTACTTCCACTTGACGAGCTTCCCTCTAAGCGGTGGATTCTAGCGAGCAGGCTCTGAGATCGGGCAAGCCACGCTTGACCTAAACCTAGACTTATGTAAGTAGGGCGAGCGATTGGTAAGCTGGCTACATACCTCTAAATGCTGCGACTCTTGCAGCATGGTTCTGGGAGAGGGCCAGCCATCGTCCCATGCACCATTCAGCAATATCTGTAATGGCCCCGCCATCAATATCATGATATGCGAGCTCTTGTAATGTAGTGATGATAAAAGCCTGATCCACGACACTTCCAGGTAATTGTGAGAGGTTATATTCGTCAAAGACTCGTATGGCGGCCCTTGCAGTAGCTACCGACCGCGCCCGCGCTTCCGAAGACGTTGAACTGGACGCAGCAATCTGCCTTACATCGTCGACAGCTTGGGTCAGTCTCCGAGGCGCGGAGCCACCTGGTTCGCCAGGCGTTTCCACAATGTGATTGGCCATGGGTCAATTGTTGAGTACCAAGTTGGAAAGAGGTCTCTTGTCAGCTCTGGTTAAGTGTTGCGAGGTCAGAAAGCGATCTTGGGTCTTCTCAACTTTTAAGGACCTGTACGGCAAGAAACACAGCGTTCCTGCCCGAAGGGTCGTGGGGGTTTTTGTAGCCCCACACTCAGAAGAAATGGCGGGTCTGATTCTGGTCTTTGGATGAGGCTTCGTTAGATGCATGTACGCCGCGGACTGCGGCGGTAATGAGGCGGAGGAGAATGCCGGCAGCCAAAAAGATACAAAAAGGATTCGAGGCTGTAATGACCAGGTGTGTCTGGAGCTTCTGGAGATTGAATGGATGCGCCTATGTCGACGGGTGTGGCTTGGACAACCGATCACCAGGAAGGCATGCTTATATGCTGACGGGACCGCGACGGACCTGAAGCTTGTGGCAAAGAAACGTGGCGCACAGGATGTTGAAGAGGCGAAGGCACAAGGACATTGGTTGCTTCATGGCTGCTGGGCCGGAACAGCCAAGGTGGCCATGAACAGCACAGGCATGATGGATGGCCAAGGACATTATTTGGATTGCGCTATGCCCTAGCATGAAGCTTCAGGGTCCAATGCAGGCACCACATGGTGAGATAAACCCTCTGTTAAACGGCTGTGGCGAAAAGCACGTCGACAGGCAACAAGAACACCGACATACGCGGCGCAGGATGAAGGCCAACTGGCAGTGGGTGGAGACAAAGACTCTGAGAGGCTTGAATGATCATCGATCACTGGCAGAGTGGAATCCTTCCACCGACACCTACCTGCAACATCGTTGCAACTCGACAGGTTATCGACGAGTCTGGAATTTCGGGAGGTAACGGTTAGCCAAGGATGAAAACGTCTCGGCCGAACCTGGTCGAGGCATAGGAGACAGGTGAGTGTGAAAAGATGCTTGTCATGGATCGTTACATGGAGCAAAGAACTGGATGAGGTGTTTTTTCTAGCAAAGTTCAAACTCTGTCTCGAACGAGGAATATGGAGAAGAACGAGTTCATGAGAGGCTCAAGGATGGTGATATGCGAGGACAGGGACTTTGGATACATAATATCCGCCGTTCATCGCGTGGATTGCTTTCACATCTGGCGGTCACTTTGGCTCAGCCCTACCGTATGTAGGTAGGTAGGTACCTACCTTGTATGCACATTTATACTGTATGTTATGATTGATTATGACGCTGGTCCTCTTCGGGGGAAAGGGGGCACGGAGCAATGATGGGCGAGGCCGAGGCTCGCTATTGGGGAGCCAGTGAGGCCAAGACACCCGAAGGACCCAAGAGGCCCCCCCCCCAAAGCCGCCTCGAACGAGGCTCTGTGGCTCTTTCGGGGGTCGGAGGAAATGTGCTTCCGGGGACGGTGATCGTAGTGCAGAATCACCCGGGTGAAATGCACGAGAAAGTCGTAGACAGAAGAAGAATAAAGAGCTCTCAAGCGGCAGGTTCGGCCGGGTTAATAAGTGTGTGAGAGCGAATGAGAGGCCCGGTAGAGGGTGAGATTTGCTCACTAATTCAAGACTGCCTAACCTCTAAGCCTCTGTTCGGGAAGGTTCGTCCCTGGGAAATTCCAGCCAGACAGGCACCGATCGAGCCCGTGATTAGTGTGCGAAGTTAGACAACCGTGCCGGTCGTTGCTAAGAGCCTAAAGGTGTACTGGAGTGAGGAAATCCCGCAGGCCTAGACATCTAGGTTAGGTAGGTATAGGTGGTAGTCTATTGCTGACCTACCATGCTATCTTTTAGGCTGACGGTTGGTACGGATGCCGCGCTCTTGAGCTCGTGACCCGTGAGAGTGCCTCGACATCTACGTCATGAGTCTGTAATCCATATTATCACTCTTGAGGCAGGAATTACGATAATCTCGAGATGTCCCATCGTGCCCCTTATCGGAAGGCAGAATTCGAGGCACCGATGTCACATGACTTCACTGACAAGGCGATGACTCCTACCACTTAGTCAAGTCGTGGCCAACATAGCATCTCGATATCTGGTCATCACATTCTATGTACCTTGGCGGGATGTCTATTGCCAGTCTTGGGCCTGTACCCATTATACACTATATTCAACACAGAAGAAGTCGTGCTTCCTCCAGGGCGCCTTGCTTGAAAATTCGGGCTTCTCGAGAATCACCTCCTTTGTTACGGCGCCATATATCATATCCACCAGTTCTTTTTGCAATATGCTTGTGATTCAACGCCACAAATGCTGTTGCAATTATACCCCAATTGTTATAAACAAAAGAAATACCTATTTTCCACTGAGAAATTCGTTGGCTCCGTCGCTCATTGAAACACCCCAGATGCGCCATCCACTAATTCGTGTCCATGGCTCGAAAGGCCACCCATCCTCATCAATTTCAGGTATTAAACCGATGAAATTCGTGTGTCGATTCGGGCGTTCGGCCGGTGTTTGATGACCATCTGTAGCTCACGCAACATATTGGTCGTGTTTTCTGCTTGCTCAAGCATGGTTGCCCGCTTCCTTCGGTCCTCTTGCATCTTGTTGAGCTTTTCTTCTCGACTCATCGGAGCCCATGACATGCGCTTTCGAGGCAAGGCAACAGCTTCAAACACTTCTTCATCTAAGCTCTCATCGGAAGATCTCCGCTTGTCACCGCTCAAAAGCCGTAGGGCATCGGCAGGGCTGCCATCCACCATAGTCTGCCCACCAATGCTACTCGGAGACGGAGAGGCAGGCGACAGCAAGCTGGATGCACTTGACACTCTCTTTTCCTGGCCCACGCCAACTTTTAGGAACATGGTGTTGCGGCCTTTCTCCCACTCTACCAAGGCATTGCGTAGATCCGTACCTAGGTTTTCGTAGTGCCGCACCATCGCCGCGCTATACGTCGAGTCATCGTCATTGAGGCTAATGGAGTCGAGGTCATCTTTGATCAGTCGAACTTTGGCATTGAGAGAGCGTACGGCATTCGCAACAGCATCAAAACGACGCATCTGTGCCTTCGTATGTAGCCTGCGAGGTGACAAAGGCACGCCGTCTTCCGCCGACGCATCACTGACGGGGTGTGTAGGCAACTCATGGCAATTATCAGTACTCGCCTCCATCTTCATCGCGGTCTGAAGTTGGACACTTATGTCTGAATAGGTGGCGTTGAGACTTCGTAGGCTGTCGACGATGACTCGCCATTGCTTGATGTTCTGCCAGGTTGATCCTGAGTGTAGTGCCAACAGATCACAAAGGAAGACCTTCCTTGCCGAGAAATGCAAGCGAAAAAGGAGCCGAAGGTCCTTCAACATGTATTGCGCATCCGCAGGAATGTGTTCAGCAAGCGCAATATACTCAGGATAATCCTGCATTGAGACGTCGTATATATCACGATACCGCTGCAAATCGGATTCCCTGACGTGCGGTTGTATGGTCTCATGAAACTGTACACAGCTCCTGATGCTGAGTGCAATGGTTTCGGCGATGGTTTTTCTCAAATGTGAACAGTGACCACGAGACCCTGCGTCTTCCAGGCGGCTGACAGGGGGCATAGGCTGACTTCTGGAGGACATTAGCTTTGAAGTGTCAGGCACGTTCGGGAACTCACATGTCATAGCCTCGAGAAACCACTTCCACCTCTTGGATGAATCGTAAAGCCTCTGTGGCTGTACTGTCGATATTCAGGGAAAGGAGAATAAAGTCGCTGAGAGCAAACGCCGCTGATCGTCTGATAAATTCGAGGTACTGTCGCCGGCCAAGGTAAAACAGAATCAGACCACCTCCTATTAAGACTAAGATATGACTAAATGTTTCTGAGAATGAAAAAGATTGTTGGAAGAGGTAACGGCGGCGGAGGGAATGCAGGAGCCATGCTATGGCAAAGGACAAGGATGCGGTGAGGAAGGCACCTCTGACAGAAAACGAGGGATGTTCGAGGGTTTCTTCGACATGCTGCCGTCGCGGTTTGGAGTCGTCTGAGAGGAGCTGTGAGGCAATAACATTGTAGCGGAATTTTTCCAGAAATCTTTCGTTGGTCACGTCTGAGACGGATGCTGCAGTTTCTCGAATGGCGCGCAGGCTCTCTCTTAGCTTCGGCAGGCCTTTGGGTGCGAAAATAGGATTAGACGGTGAGGTGGGAGGAGTGTTGACTAAGTCGAAGGCATTTGCGTCGCCTTCTAAATACTCGGCGAGGGGTGATTCGTCATATATAAGAGCTTCCATATCATCATGAAGGGAAATGAAAGACTATGGTGAGGCAGGGTATTCGATGCGTCGTCGTTGGGTTATAGGTTCAAGTTGTTATCGGTGGCAGGGAGAGGAAGAGTCGCGGTGTGGTGCGTGCGTTTTGACCCCAGAGTCCAAGTATGCAGATGGGTGGATGACAGCGCGAGTTGCGTGTCTGTGCCTGACAACCGGGCGCCTGCCTGTCTGTTTGTCTGCCTGTGACCACGTTGCATGCAGCCACGGCCACAGCCTTGCAGCTGGAGGAGCGGGCCCCACAAAAGAAATATTTAAAATTTGCCAAGCACCAACAATCTTCCTTTAAGATGATAGTGCCACTGTCCCATTTGCCCGTTGTGACCCCTTACACCTGTAATCTGTGTTTGTAGAGACTTCCAAGGGATATGGATGGTCTGCAAGCATGATCAGGTGAGAATTAGTCTTTGCTATTGAAAAGCTGCGATCCCATAATCCACGTGTGGAAGATCTTCGAGATTAAGTGTTTAGATCTCACGTGAGAAAGCCATGAAGAGGCACTCTAGACGAGTCCCCGCAGAATTCTACCTAGGTAGGTAAGCAGTAGCCGTGCTAAGCGCTCTTAGGCGGTTAGAGCCAGTCGCTACGAGAGCTCCTCACCTATAATTTCAAAGTAACAATCGGTACTGTCACACACAGAGGCTTAGACCAATACGTGAATGCAAAACCGATACTATGTTTGTATATCAAAGTTTAAAAGAAGAAACAGGTCTTTCGATGTGCCTGACCAAAAGATACATGGAGCTTCTCTAGGATCCATCGAGGCTCCCCTTTCCCTTAACACATATGAATTCGTCTTCTTTGGGTCTTTTAACCAGCGATCCATCCTTGCCGCGAACCTGGACCCCACCAATACTACCAGTGGTGCGGAATCCCAGAAAGCCCTTGACTCTGTCAGAGCAGGATTCGAGAATGTCATCTTTGACGGAAAGAGAGTAATTCTCCTGCTGTCGCATCCATGGGCGGGTGAAGAAGACTAGAATGACTGGTCGTTGGCTCCCAGGGGTCGTATTCGCCCCCGTTGCGTGCCACAACCGACTCTCGAAAACCATACAGGTGCCTGCCGGCCCGTTTGCTGCCACTGTGTCGGCTGAACTATATGGGTCATCTGGCGCCCAGTTGCCTTTATGACTCCCTGGCATGACTAAAGTGCCGCCGTTGTCCGCCGTCACGTCTTCCAGGAAGTACATCAAATTCATGCCAACGGCAACGGAGCGAATAGGTGGCTGGATCGTGATTTGATCTGTGTGCATATGCATTGGAGTGTTTCCTGAACGAGCGATGTTGGCGGTATATGAGAATAAAATAGCGTCATCGCCGAGGAAGTCAGGGACCACATCGTCGATCGTCTTGTTGTCTAGCAGATCCAGAAACTCCTGGCCTTTGTTGGGGAGGCACCAGACACGCTGATTGGGTCTAGCTTCTCCTCCATCAAAGTGTCCTATTCCTTCGTCTGCTTCTCCCTTGGCCTGTTCAAGAAGACGTGTACGCAACCTCTTTATCTCCTCGGGGCTTAACGCATTCTTCACAAAGCCATAGCCCCAGACATCGAGATCTCTCTTAACTTGTTCGACGTCCTCTGTCGGTTTGGGGAGTTCGTCCAGGTTAAGCCGATCGAGTCTCGGATGAATTGCATTAAACGGAGTGAGAGCATCAACAAACTTGACTCCGATGCGGGTTGGGCCGCTGAGGAGGAAGATGTGGCCCCAATTTAATGCGTAGCGAGCGTCCATTAGCCCATCAACAAAGCGCTTGATCATGATAGGTTTAATATAGACCTCAGCATCAACTTCCTTGGAATGATCACTTGACACCTTAGCCAAGGTTGCTGGGGTCGTGCGGGCATCAATTAGAAGTTCTGGATGGTTTGGACCCAAGTTGAGGGTGAGAGACGCGGCAACAAGAGCCATATTGTTCAACTTTGACTGGATCAGATCCACGGCCCGGTCGTACTCCAGCTGGGGGACAGGCTGGTTAAATTTGTCAAGGTTGGCATTCTTGCTAACGTCTGCTGCCTTGCCCATGATCTTCAGCGTCTTGGAGGCCGTCGTCACGGCAGTCGAAGTAGATTGAATGGCCATCTCGACCCGATAGATGTCGATCCAGCTTCAACTCACCAGCACTCCCACGACGAGGCGAGTATATCAAGGACATATTTGCATTTTGCGCGGTGCAACTGGTGAGCATTCCGTAACAGGGTAGCCTCGGATTGACCAGCCGCGGCATGGTCTGACTACGTGAACACCAAGTCAGGACCAATGATACCTCGCACGGCCGATCTTGATCGACACCAAGTAAGTCCCCGCACTTGGATCTGGGGAACATGAAGCATGTTGCAAATGTCCACTTAGCCGAAACGCCGACAAGCCAATGGAACACGCTCTGATTACCTGACGCCAATATGGGTGCCCTTTTCAGGCGCTAGCTATCTTCTCGTGTTCGGCCGCGGCGGAGATCACGTAGCGCGCAAAAGTACTATCGAACTCTATACTATAGGGATGGTGGCGTATATGCGGATTCTTACTGCGCCGAGTTATTGTGTCATTCAGCCGCCTTTGAACGCGTTCCCAGGGTCCGCCCAAAGACTGATCGGCAGCCGAGAAACCTGGAGGACTTGGACTTGGAGATCTTCGTCGGCTCCCGGAAGTCATCCCTGATGACAGAGACAACAGCATCGGCGTCGTCGGCTAACCCTGACGAGAAACAACCGAGTATCGTACATCATAGTGGACCAATACCGAACCCCACGGGGAATGGATACAAAGCTACGGAGTACAGTGCCCGACCCCAGACCCTACACTCAGCTGCGAATACCAACATCAAGTCACTTTCCACCATACAAACCCCACTAGCCACGAATGGAAAACCGAAAAACACCGAGCAATGACATGCTCAGCACGATGATAAAATGAACTGATCAGCACTTGAATAGTTCTGAAGGCTACCGAGTGCAGATAAATCCTTCCTCTATCGAGTTCTAGTTCCTACACAGGAAAGACGGTACGATGAACCAGTACACACTTTGGTGTATTATCTACACCTCATTTGGAGCTTTCTTCTACGGATATGACTCTGGCCTCACTACCTCGATTATTGCCTATCCTGAGTTCATTGGGTACTTCGATTTCAATGCCACTACTCTCGGTGCTCTAGGCTCCGTCTACTATGCCGGTATCTTTCTTGGGGCCATATCCAACGCCTGGCTGCCAGACAAGTTCGGGCGCAGGAGAGTTGTCCAGGCAGCTTGTGTGGTATGTCTGCTAGGTGCCGGGATGCAAACTGGCGCTCCCAATCTTGGTGTTTTGCTTGGTGGAAGAGCCATTGGTGGTGTTGCAAATGGGCTAGTTTGGTCGTTATGTCCTCTCTATGCGAGTGAGATATCACCGCCCCATGTTCGAGGGCGTGTGGGAGGGCTTTACAAGTAAGTTGCGCTTCTCCTGCTCCTCAGCTACCTTTTTCTAACACAATCATTAGTGTCAACATCAACGCTTCCTATGCGCTGTCAGAGTGGATGGGCGTCGGCTTCTCGTATATCACCGGCGGCGACCTCAAATGGCGAATCTTCCTCGGGCTTCAGATTCTTCCTCCACTTGTCATGCTCGTGGGAGCCATTTGGATGCCTGAGTCTCCACGCTGGCTTGTTTCCAAGGATCGACACGACGAGGCATTGGTCATTCTACAAAAGCTCCATGGCGACAGCGTCCAAGCACCCGGTCCCAAGGCTTTGCGCGGGTTAGAGGACGATGCCGCTGGCTCCGGTGTACCATTCTATCAACGCGAGTTCAACCAGATCAAGTCACAGATCCAATATGAGCAACGGAATCCGCAGCTGGGAATTGTAGCCATCATGAGTCGACCCACCTACAGGCGAAGGTTATACATCATCATGTTTTTCTTCATGTTTCAAATGCTTACAGCCATCATCCCTTTGCAAAATTATCAAGTGCTCCTCTACCAAGCGCTGGGCTTCGATGGAAGGATGCCGTTGATTCTGGTCGGGGTCTGGGGAACCACTGCGTTGATCGTCGGCATCGTCGGCATGTACTTCTTCGACCGTCTGGGTCGGCGAAAGTCTTTCTTTATTTCCATCAGCATTATCCTGCTTGGCAGTGTCCTGCTGGCCATTTTCTGGGCTCGGTTTGAACTCAGTGGCAATACTTCTAGGCCTCTAGGAATTCTGGCCATGCTTAGCATGTTTGTCTTCTTATGCGGATACGGATGGATCATGAATGCCTTTGGATACACTTATGCCCCAGAAATATTGGTGAGTCGAGCTTGATCCATGGCATGGTGGACGTGTTTGCTGACCTTAGCAATGTAGCCCATGGAGATTCGAGCCACAGGCATGGCGCTAGGCTACGGTGGAAAAACGGCCTTGACCATCATGCTGGTTCAAGTGACGCCGATCGCCATCCGAGACATCAGCTGGAGATATTTTATGATTTTCATATTTATGGACGTTATTTTCCTTGTCGGCTTCTATTTCTTCTTCCCCGAGGTAAGGCGACGCTTCCCCCTTCACACGAGAGAAATGCAATTGCAAAAACTAATGATTGGGAAATAGACTGCCAACGTCCCTCTAGAAGAAGTGGCTGCCATCTTTGGCGACCGTGTTGTTGTGACCTTGGATGGAGACATGAAATTGGCCGAAGTGACAACCAAAGAGACTGAGCCTGATGTCCCAGCAACGGTTAAGGACGGGGCTGATCATATTGAGAACAAACAGTAAATCTCGCCGGTTGAATGCAGCCAGGGAGACGGGACTGTGAAACAGAAACAGGCGAAGGCGGATCTGACGAATGCAGCTCGGCCCAAGGGGTATTATTTGTCGGCCTCGAGCTCAACTTGAAGAAATGGAGTTCCGCAGCTGTTGCTCCCCAGAAGGAGGATGAAAGTCACCCCTATTTATACCCCAGTCATTTGGAGATAGAACACAGCAAAACAGCAAATCAATCTTGTGGTGTGACAAGCCTATGACTTATTCGTTTGCCTATCTTGTAATTGCCATGCTTGACGCAGCAGGAGGAAGTCGCCGAGGGAAGTGAGTCGCCGGAGCCTTGTCTGCTCTCACGTGGGTGCGAAAGGTTGTGGGGCTAATGACTGGAAAGACAAACTCCTATTGGTGGTGCATCATCCCTTATTTTATATGCCAAGGACCCTTGATGGTTTCCTGTGCAGCTCCTGGCTCCTGCCTATATAATAACATGGCAACAACACGATTTTTGAAAGGACAATGGCAACAAGCGAGGCCATTTCACTGCTACAATACGATCCGCAATATGCTGTCCTTACTCAATATTGTAGGACTTCGAAAACATGGCTCACAGCACGTCTACTTTCAAGCAGATTATATGCTGAAGTTACATTCAATCCAAATCTCTGCCAGAGATCACCACAGCTCTGAATTGAACTCTCTTTTAAAAGAGCATGTATGGATTCTTCTTTCGCCATATCATTGAATCAGCAGTCTCTGACATCTCCCTTGGACTTCTGTGATGAGGTACAGATTACAACAGGAGAGACTACCTCTAATCTTACCATTAGTACAAAAGATTAACTGCAATTGGATACAGAGGCATCCTTTGAGGCAATTCCCTTCCTTGAAACACAAAGAAACGGTGAAATGGGCATTATACTGCTGATTAACAAACTGCACAATGAACAAATTCACTTCACAGGTCGTTACTTTCACCCTTCACGCTTGGCATGTTGAGAGTGAAAGAATGGACTAGAAGGTGAACACTTCACTGATTCACCGACTGCTTAGTCAAGTTGCTCTTTTCCGTGCGTCCTAGACGGGCTCAATCTTCTTTTCCATGTTCGATTGAGATCACAGATCAATCACAGATCATATTGTTTCACAACCGCGACTTCACAACCGCGACTTCAGAGCTGAGACACCGCACTCGTCAATCCTCTTTATCTGTGCAAGCTCATAATCAGCATGCAAACATCTTCGGAGGCTGGCGAGGCCCAAGACGTTCACTCATCTGACCCTGCCGATGATCTTACAGACTTCAGCGCAGACAAGCTGCGTAAACTGACTGATAAGGAAGCTCGGATCCGCGAAGAGAACGGACACATCTACGCCAATCTTTTCAGACAACTGCAGATCAAGCCTGGAAATTATGAGACCTTCTATGAAGGGACCCTGCGTGTCGTACGCAACAAGCACATTGAGCTGCTCAAACGCGGAACCTCTGCTAGTCTTAGAACACTCACCGATCTGTTCCTGCGAGGCCACGGCTACCTTGTTTGGACAGAGAACTCGGTCTGGCAACTCGACAATTCTGAGCTGGGTGTCGGTGAAGTTAGACTCACATATCAACGTCGACTCAACAAATGCACTGCCAGCTCTCCAGCCGATAGAGGCGAGACCGTGAATCAAGATTCTGCAAATCCTGAGTCTGTACGCCCTAATCGCTCTCTCAAGTATCTTGAGGCTGACAACCCTAGGTTCTATGAAATCCTCCACAAAGTGTGGCACTTGATGCGAAACACCATCTTCGAACTCAAAGTCATGCCTAACCGTCGACGTCGCTTGGTGCCAAAAGCTCTCGACCTCGAGACTGAATACTACGCCGACGCGGACAGCCCTTTCGCCACTCCTCAGGTGCCCGTTCGTCCAACCATTCAAACTCGAACCATGCTTCAGGCCGTGACGTCCTCATCCACTCGATCTGAGTATGAGGCTATCGCACTGCGTCGACCCTTGACCACAGAAGAAGCAGAAGCTGCCATCATGGATCTCATCACCCATCTCCACATCATTCGCTCGTCAAGCAATATCCCTGTCTTTGATGAACTTTTCGCTCGACAGCTCGCTCGAGTTGAAGAGTTGGAAGTCGCCGAAGGCTTCACCGATCAGTTCGGCAATGTCGTCACCTCCCAGGGTTCGCCAGAGCGCCCAGCAAGCCCACCTATGTTTGAGATTCAGGTTCAGTATCAGGGGACACAGCCCAAGAGTCTTTCCAACGAACCATGGATGACTGACGGCAACCCACTCAAACCTGTTCAACAACTCGTCCCACCGACCATCCCATCCCTCATGTCGATCTACATCAGCTCAGCACGTGCCTCCCCATACCTTACAACCTCCCATCTGACCGCTCTGACCGCTACCGATCTCAGCAGCGTGATGGCATCCCGTACAACCATGGCCGGCCTCGCTCCAGCATACCACTGGCCTGGCGCACCAGTCATGAATGAAGACATGACAAAGTTCTTCGCTGGAATCAACAACCGCATTGAAGACCCATTGAACACCATCGTGGGATACATGTTCAGCTATGGCTGGAACGACACCTGTCGCTTCGTCAGCAGTGGACTTCAAGAACTGGCTGTGCAGGACAAAATCCGCGAGTTGCGAGCAATCAACGGTGAAGATGGTCACGAGACATACCAGGATCTCGTTGATCCACGTCGTGAGAAATGGGAGCCTGAACCAGAACAGTGGCAGTACATTCGACTTGGTTGGGCGGATTTTCAGAACGATGTCACCCATGCAGCTCGCCTCGGCGTTAGTGTTTGGCGCATGAAGGTCTGTGTCTTGGTTTTGAACCGGGACTGATTGAGTGAAAATAAGATCAGATCGGGGCAAAGAAGGGGGGGGGGGTTTCTTGAAAAAGTGATTTCTTGGTTATGACTTCTTGGATTCAATGCAGTTGCGAAGCGGTTGCGACCTAGAGACTGTGTCTCCGGGTATTGGCTCCGGGTGAGACACACGAAGGTCAACATACCATTGAGGCCATGCCTGTTGGGATGGTTAATGGTCAAAAGTTGTGCATGAAATCAGGATTTTAAGTCAAGTCAGGTACCTAGGTATGTTTCACTATCTCGGGGCGGTTGGCTGTAGCCGTAGCTGAATATGAGCGTGGTTGTACCAAAGTGGCAGAAAACGATTCCCTACATCCTCATTACAAGAAGACGGTCTAAGTGTGCTTGCTTTCAAGGCCAAATCCAAAGTGAAGAACACAGTCGAGCTGGGTGGTTTCCACCCACAATCGTGCATCATAACAATACCAATAATCATTCATCAATACCACACAAACACCGTTTGCTAGTTCCATGTCCATTCGAAGAGTACCAAGCACCTAGCTAGGTAAGGTAGGTAAGGTGGGTTAGGTAGAAAGACGTCGAAGCAAATTGCAATCTCGCCAGGTGAGTGACCTGTCAAAAATTGAAGGATGTCGGCCGTACATATCATTCTCTTATTCATAATCGTCAACACTAGGACGCTCGTTCGTTGCTCATGGCCACCAATTCATTCTTTCGTAGCTGGCCATCATTGATCGGACCTCATCTTCGGTCAGACGCTCATGTTCATACTGAAAGTCGACGACTCTCTCGAATAATGTGCCGTCTAGGCTGAGGTCAGCGTCCTTGAGAAGTTCTTTCTCGAGGAATGGACTGAGTGGACCGGGTTGCGTGATGCCTTTTTCATGTAAGAGGTCCGCCCATGGTTGAAGAACGTCTTCGTTGACTTCGTCGACCACACGGTCGAGATTTAATTTGGCGAACTGGGATATCAAGGAGCCCTGGAATCCAGTCTTGATGTTGAAGACTTTGGAAACGATCTCAGCAAGTTTGCCTTGGTCTGTTTCTCCGTGGTCGACGATATTGAAAATGGGTACATTTCCGATAGGTGCATCTTCTCCTTTTGAGCTCAAGGTTGAGCGCCGAGAAGACATTGGAGATGAGGGGGGAACAACGGCGTTGAACTCCCTCCATTTGGCGGCTGCCCAGAGCGCACGTGCGACATCCTCGACGTGCACCGTGTTGATCCGGAGATCCTCGGTCCATAACCATTTGAGTTCTTTGTCCTGTTCCTTGTAGACGCGTGATAGAACGAGAGCTTTGGAAACGAATTTAGAATCGTAATCACCGTAAACAAAAGCCATGCGAAGAATAACCAGATTCAGGCCGGGAATGCGAGCAAGTTCCCGCTCCGTTTCCAATTTGACCTTTGACATCTTCAGCCACGGCTTCAATTTGTCCTGCTCGGTGCGCGGGCTTCGATTTGGGGCGTAAACTGTGCCTGTGCTGGCCTCGACAAACGCTTTGACACCTCGTTTGGCAACCTCGTTGGCAAGCGCCACACTCAATTGCAATGAACGTAATCGGTAGATCTCGGGTGTCTGAGACCAGGCAGTTTCGCCAGCGAGATTGAATACATAGTCCCACGTCACATCCGGTCCGGCGGGATGGTCAAATATCCTGGACATGGAAGTTTCGCGAGATGCGTCGGCCTGGACGAATATCTTTTGCGAGCATGATTCTTCAAATTCTGGAGCGAGATGTGCCAATTGGGGAAGAATCTTGTCGACTATCCGGACCGTTGATGCAAGTTTGTTGGAATGAATATACTTTGCCAGGAACCTGCCGACATAACCTGGATGAGTCAGCTAATTTGGACGAGCTTGGGAAGTGGTGGCACAATGCACTTACCGAGACCTCCGACGATCAGAACAGAAGGCTTGGGATCATCGGTGGTGGTCATGACGAACGTTGAAGTGATATATGACCGAATGTATGATTGAATGGATCAACCGAAGGTGACTTGACCAGCAGAGTCTGGAAGTTGAAAGAATCTGGCTCACGGTGCCAGTCTCTGCTAGAGCAATAAAATGGTAGGAGAGGGAGAAGTGGGCAGTCGCGACCTTTGCGACACATAGACACATACAAGCGGGTCTCTCAACTGGTCGCGTGTTTCACTGGACAAGGTTGGCAGTGAAGGACAGCAAGGGCTGGCACGGCCCGTAGTGCCAGGTGCCAGATGGCGACAGAAGCGGGCAACTGGAGCCCGAGGTCCCACGAATAGTGGACAAAGACACAATTGTCAAGCGATTGAGGCTCGGAATGTCGTAATTGGTGCCGACATGTAGCGGGGCAGACGGTGAGTGATATTGATATGGGGAGATTACCACGACCAAGAACAGTACTGTGCTAAGTCCATAAGCTCCAGAAGTTGGTTGCTAGTGGTTACATATCCGGAGATAGCCAGACATCAGATACTTGATAAAGGGTCGGCATGTGGAGGAGAGTGCTTAGCCTACAAAACCTGATGCGAAAGACAAGACGAGAGACAAGTGTGCAGAAAGCGAGCAGTCTACGCCCTTGCATGAAGCCAACAACCACACTCATGGTTCAGGGGCTGCATGAACACTTTGGTTGAGGAGTTTATGCAGGTCCCTGGAAGCTGCAGAATTGTCACTGCAGAGTGTCAAGCGGATCGACTACTACTGTAGCTACTTCTGCATAGCAATCGAATCCAGGCACTAGGGAATCAGCAACCCACCGCCGGATGTGCACAACGTCGCCAACCCTGCGTACACAAGCGTCAATCCTCTAGCACGAGTATTTCCAAGAACGCCACATGGAGGAGTTTGAAGCAAATAGCACCAAAAGATGCTGCAGACTCTTCCAGCGCAGAGGTCGAGGTGGATCAAAGACACTCTGGAGGAACAGGTCAGATGCGCTGTTCGACTCCTGGAGGAGGGCGAGGGGCCCGAGGGGCCTGCCTTTGGAAGCACATTAACCACTTACGGTCTTCTGCACCTGACGCAGGCCGCGGGGGCCCTGGATCAGGTAATCATAGAGCCAGTTCAACCCCCCGAGTGACACCACCTCGACCCATGCCAGTGCCTAGATATTCGTAGACAGATGCCTATTACGGGTATACATGGGCACCTAGGGTTTCTCAGATTGTCACTGTTCACGGCACTCGGCTCACCACAACTCAAGCCGCTAGTATTAGTTGATTCCTTGGTAGGCTACAGTATGAATTCATGGAAAAAAGAGGCTTGAGTTGCTGGACGAGTAAGTGGTTTGTGTGGAGACGTGAGGGTCGAGGATATCCTGCCATGGCACCATGCAGACCTGTTGTGAGCTTGATCCACGATTCTGTTTCGATCTGTACCACCCACAGGTCGCAGGTTGTTTGTTTGCGCATGGGAGGACCGAGGGGTCGAGGGGCTCAAGTAGTGGGTGAGTGGGTGAGTGGGTTGCCTGCGTGCCTGCATTGAACACGATCTCCTTTGCGATTGCCTTCCCACTACGGAGTACCTTAGGGAGGTTTTATGAATGAACGTGCAGTGGCAATCCTCGTGGTGGGAGATGCGGCAGGCTTGGCTTGACACTACTCCGTACACACACCTGCATATCAGTGGGGAGGAGCTGTTCAACCAGTTCTGGTACATTCTACCTACGTACCCAGTCTTGGTTCTTGGATGACTGTTCTGATAAGGGAATCATTATTTAATTAATGCTATTACTATTATGTGTCGTGCAGAATAGTCTGACTTGACGACCAGGCTGTGAACCATCAATAATGATGCCCATCTGCCCATCCCCGAAGGAGCTTAATTGTCCTGCCACACCACCATGCCTGCTTGCCACTTGCTTCTCGTTTCATGTTTCACGGTCGGATCATCATTTGTGCCCCGCCAATCTCACCTTGTCACACCAGGCCAATGACTTCGCAATTATGCTGTCAGGGCAACAATACTCGGTGCTGTGCAAACACAACCCCTGGTTTCCGGCATGACATGGCTCTACGCATATGCTATGCGTATGGTCTTGCTTGATGAGACTCGGTCCATTGACTGGTCATGAATCATTTGCGTCTTGTTGTTAGAATCTGTATCTATGGGCCGGCCAACAAAAGAACCGATGCGCTGAATACTATACTCCCTCGCGAAAACGCTTGCAAATAGGTATCTCAACTCCCGCGCTCGCCGACCTCCCCTTCGGATCAAGGCATGGTACAGTATGTATCCTGCCGCCCCACTAAAGGACCACCTTGCATCTACTTGGCAGGTGCTTGTCGAGGTTGTTGTTTGACATTTGTAGAAAGCCAACTCTGCGACTTTGTGTCAGTAGTAGTACGGGATCCCAAGGTCACATGAACTTACCAGTCCTTCCAGTAGACCTTCGCCAGTAGTCGCGCAGCTAGGTACCACATACCAAGTGCGTTCCTTCAATTGAGCCAGTCTCAACTTCTCCGTCACTTCTGTGGGTGTCATTGAGCCGGGGATATCCTGCTTGTTGGCAAACACCAACAACAGCGCTTCTTTCATTTCCCGGTCCAAGATGATCCTGTGGAGTTCTTGCCGGGCCTCGTCTATCCGCGCTCGGTCGTTGGAGTCAATGACAAAAATCAAACCCTGAGTTCCAGAGAAGTAATGCCGCCATAAAGGCCGGATCTTGTCCTGTCCACCCACATCCCACACATTGAACTTGACATTCTTGTACGTGACCGTCTCGACGTTGAAGCCGACGGTAGGGATCGTCGTGACATCTTGGTTGAGCTTGAGCTTGTAGAGGATTGCTACAACACCATACAGTTAGTTATTTGACCATATTTTGAACGTAAATTCGTCGAGGGACCGTGATCTAGCCGTACTTGTTTTACCCGCTGCATCAAGGCCGAGCATGAGGAGGCGCATTTCTCGTGATCCAAAGATCTTGCCCAGCATCTTTGATATTTGGTTGCCCATCTTGAGAGGGTCGCTGCCGTGGCGCAGCACTGGTGTGGGCCAAGTGATGTACTCGAGGTCGTGGACTTGTGTGTGTGTCAAGAGTCGCTGTCCACTTGTTGGTGGCACTTGGTGGCTCGGTTTGACGTAGCGACTGCTTGCTGTTGGAACACTTCGAGCAAATGCAGTCAAGGTTGGGCTTCGACGGAGAGCGCGGAAATAGGCGATATCGAGGGTACCAGTTTCCAATGACCACCGTTCGAGACAATATCTGTCAGCGGTCAATCTTGTCCTAACAGTAAAGACTGAGAGTATGCCGAGGGGAAATGGATTTCTAACATGGGATGTGCGATGGAAATTTCATGGGCTTGACCGCAGCGCGTTCCCATCCATGGGTAGACGCGATAGGGGTAGCAAAAGGGGACTAGGACTCAAACGGTGGCTGCATTAGGCATGTTTAGGTGCTTCCTACATAGGACTAGACTGCTTTCTCACACATGATTCTACCCCAGAAGAATAACGTGCACGGGCACGGGGGCCGAGGGGCGCCTCGGGATGAACCACAGGTCAGGGTTAACTTGGTGGTCTCGAAACTTGACTTGAAGAACTTCGTGTTTTCTGAGCCCCAATCTGAGTTTCTACGTTGATGCATGCAATATGCGCATATGTCGCTCTGCATGAACAATTCCATTCTGAGGCCATAACCACACCCTTGTTTGCCAAGAAGACTGTGTCCGTAAAGGGAATTAGAAGAAGACACGGAAGAGTACGAAAATGATGGAGAAATGCCAGCAAAAAACCCCCCTTGGCCCATATTGGGCTGCCAGCTGGCAGGTCATGGTATCTTCACACCGTATGGTTGATAAGGTCGGGCATCCATGATTTCAAATATTTGTCACGCCTGGTCATGAAGAACAGTAATGATGCCCAAATGAGGCAGTCATAGCGTCCATACAAGGTAAATGTTGTAACTTCAACCTGGTCCGTAAGAAACCACTTGAGTGAAGGAGCCAAACAGAAATCACGTGAGTCATTCTTTCATTCTTGCTTTTACTCCCCCACCAAAGTCGCTGATGACTCCAATGCCCTGACTTTAGTTGATATTTCCATATAAGACCAAAAAGGTTTGATAGAGCTACCTCGTATCATTGTGTTGCTTGTGAATCCGGATGCTGTGTAGATTGCCCTTGTGTGGGTTTTCCATCCACAAACCTCCAGCCTTCATGATACATCAAAGACCACCTCTCAGCAACCTTTTTCCGTACCAAGTCGCCGGTGGCAATAGAATCCTCTTTAGAATCATGGCCCTCGGCACCTCCCATCTGAATTCCCCTGTTGAGGACTTTTTGGGCGAGATATTTCAAAGATTGCCGATAAGGAAGACCTCTGGGATGGGGGAACAAGATGACTGTATCAACAATCATGGGGTGAATTATACGGCAAACGTTGAGATCATTATCGATGGCGTGGCCCATGAGAACCGTGTTTGGTGTGAGGTGATCGAACAGGAGCTGTCGGGCAACAGCGGGCGATGCCACCTTACGGAGGCCATCCTTTTCGGGGTCATATTCCAGCCCTGGTTTGTATTCGGGAGCTGCTGCAAATGCTTCTTGGTGAATTCCAGAAAATCTTGTATTCAGGTCGAGTATCTCTCCGAAGGGGCGCACGAGAACGTCAAGAACAAGCTGGCCACTCGGCCAACGTACCGCGGTGACTCGAATGACTTCCATCCCGAGCGTGGTGTAACCCATTTCGCAGTCGAATGCCAATGGTGATTTGGCCGCCTCGTCCTTTGCACCAGGAGTGGTCTCGAATGGTAGAATAAGACTAAGTCTCTTTGGATCCTTCACATTAAAGACATGCGTTTCACCCTCGGTGCATCCTTCGCTCCCAGGTGCTTGGCCGCAGCAAGGGAAGGTGGCCTCTGACTGGCCTAGTATCTTTGTTGACTTGGAGGTCGGAGCTCGATTCAGTTTGGCCCAATGGTGGCGACATGTTCCGTGGCTTGTAAGCCGCCCATGTTCATCTCTGCCGGGAAAGACTTGGAATCTTGTTCCACATCGGTCGCAAACTTCGTAGCCCCCAGCTGACGAGGCGGCAGCCATGGCAGCTTTGATCTCGCTCTTGGGAACTACTTGTGTCACGTAGCCGTATTTTTCATAGCCGATCAGCGATGTCTGAAGATGGGGGAGAATTGCGACCTCTTCGTCCGAAGACAGGCCCTTTCCAGGGATGGCGGGGTTTGAAGCGGCTTCAACATCACTTTTGACGTTGACGGGCGTTTTCCACTCTTTCACTCTCTGGATCCACTCATCTGATGTCATCTTTTTGATGCGTAGGACCTTCTGCGCCATGGTATTGCGATATATATCTTCGCCTAATCTAGTGGCAAGTTCTTCTTCGTCGAGAGCAAACGTGATAGCCTCTTGGTTTGTCAAACGGGCGTCTGTAGAAGCATCCTTCTTGGCTATCATCTTTTGATTCTGGTCACATACTTGCTTGTGCAGTGCTTGGAGGACCGTCACCCGCGTCTTAAATACAGCTGGAGCTTTAGACACTTTGCGAGGGGTTAGAGGCTCAACCTTGATCGTTCGCTGCGCGCTAGGCTTCGCTGTTGTTGGTTCATCCTTGGTTTGCCGTTTTAAGGGTGGAGATATAGGTCTTTGCATCGACTTAGGCGACTCCTTCCGTTGTTGAGGTTTGGCTGAAGAGCCTTCCTTGACGCTGGCTGTGACATTTTCACTACGACGAACGGTTGGTGTCAAACCTTCAGCGCCATTGCCCGTTGGTTTAAGAGAGGGATGACTGTTTGCCGGCTCTACGCGCAGCTTCACAGATCTCAGTGTTGCATTCTCTGCCCCAGGTGATTCAACCCGTCTTCGTTTCGGTGGTGGTTCTGCTACATCGCCGGCACTGAACGGGTCGTACTCCTTGGCCAAGCCGCCAAGTGGCGCAGCAGTAGAGTCCGAGATCAGGTGGGCAAAGATACATTTTGGCAGAGAGCAATCGTCCTGGCGTGGGCACGGGGTGTTTTTAAACAAACCAATGGAGGAGAACATAACATGACCGGAAATATGATCAGATGTAAAGTGATATGAGCGTGTCACTCGCTGATGACGGAGAATGCCGAGAGGTCAAGTGGTCGGTAGGGGGTGAGATGTCAGGATGTGTGTAAGTGGCAGTGATGGTGCGGATCAAGAAGTTCGATGCAGATCAAGATTCGCGTGCACATGTGAACCTGGGCTGGGCGACTGGGCGTCGGGAACGACAGGGGTGGCACCAGTAGTGAGTTTGTCTGGCACTTCTGGCCCGGAATTCCCAAGCCTTGCATACAACAGGGCAGAGATAAGCAGAGATATGCTCCAGCCACCAAGCCCAAAAAGTCACGCCAAACACAGGTACCTACCCCCGTGGGTTGACGTCTGCTCCGTATTTCGGCCATTCAGCCTGTCAACACATTCCTTATCGCAGGTTTGTGTAGAGGAAACGATAGCGATACTGGGTATGGTAAGGCTACTGGCGTCTCAATTGTTACTCCTGGTTAGACATGCCGGAAGGGTTGCGAAATATATGAAGTCCTACATCACCCGGTTTGAGTCGGTGAAGTAACCTCTACTACAGTGACACACCTTCTCTTCAAGCAAACAGCGGGCTGGCATCAGTGATTTAATTTCCCCTTTACCTCTGCAAATTCTCTTTTATCCAGTAACATTTTCTTGAACGTGAGCATCTCGACTTACTGACTCTCTAGAAAGTTGCAAAAAAAGGAATCAGGATTGACATTGCAAGGAGCCTCGATCTCCAGTTCTCGTGGACAGCCCCATCTGGTGAATCACCCACTGGCAGACAACGTGTGTGTGTAACGTGCCCAGCGCCCGCAGGAACAAGCAAAACCAGGATTGGACTCGCCAAATACTCCAATACGTCAGCATCGCCAAACAAAGGTGGCGTTAAGCATCATTCCCAGCTCCAAAAGCCGTCACAAAGCACTTGCTGCCTAGCGATTCGGCGATAGGCCTGCCCCCGAGACCAGAAATTACAGGGGCCGCCGGACGCGGCGCAGGGGCAGAGGATCGTGCCCAGGGCCCCGCTGCAGCCACACCGGCCTACAAAATGCCATCACTAGCCCTACCATTTGACTTGCGCAGCATCGACAGGCAGACACTTTTCTACAACCAAACTGTGGACATGCCTCGAGACGCCTCTCCCAGCGGACAGTCGACGCCGACTGGTAAAGCAAACCATACTGTGTTCCTGGTTCACGGGTCAGCCTCAATTCAACAATCCTTCCTCTGGCATTACGGTCACTAACACTTCCATAGGCTCTGGGGCAACGCGGTATAGTATGCAAGCATATTCCTTTGGGCAGCTGCTAATCTATAAGCTAGAACCATCTCCAGTACATCCTCAAGTCCCTGCATGATCGATACACCGAAGATGAATTGGTGGTTGTCGCTTGCAAGAGCAACGCCAATTCCCTGACGTACGATGGCATCGAAGTGGGTGGCGAGCGCGTGGCAAAGGAAATCGAGGACAAGTTCCAAGAGTTGGCTCGTGATGGTTACAAGATCTCCAAGTTCTCCATCGTTGGATATTCGCTGGGCGGCCTAATTGCCCGTTACGCCGTTGGATTACTTGATCACAAAGGTTACTTCGACAAGGTCACCCCAGTCAACTTCACCACCTTTGCAACACCCCACCTGGGGGTTCGAACTCCATTGACAGGTTATCCCAACCACCTATGGAATGTGCTCGGGGCGAGGACGCTTTCTACGTCAGGGCGACAGCTCTTCACCGTCGACAAGTTTCGAGACACCGGCCGTCCACTCTTGAGTGTCCTTGCGGACCCTGACAGCATCTTCATTCATGCACTCGCCAAGTTCCAACGACGTTCTCTCTATACAAACATTGTCAATGATCGTTCTGCAGTCTACTATACCACTGGTATTTCAAAGACCGACCCTTTTACAGATCTCAGCAAGGTACAGCTGCAATACCTCAAGGACTTTGAACCTGTCATTGTCGACCCAGATCAGCCCGTGATCAAGCCAGCTGAGAATGAACTCCCTTCATTTTACCAGCGGTTCCGGAGCGGCAGCACGACATTTCTCAGACGGACGCCCATTTATTTGGCCCTTATGATCCTCATTCCAATCGCAACGCTGGCGTTCCTGATCAATTCCGGGGTTCAAACTTTCCGCAGCCGTCGCAGAATCCTCCTGCATGAAAGCGACCACGAGCGGACCGGATTCGGCTATCGGATTCCGCTCCTCGTGCGAGATATGCGTGTTGGACTCGAGGATGCATTTGAAAATGTCAATTCGGCTCAAGACCAGGAATATCTCCCTCAGGGTTCAGAAGAAATGACAGGCGTGACAGCCAGCGTCTCTTCCTCGAAGTCCTCCCAGCAATCAACAGACTCGTTGGCCGCCGAGAAGTTAGACTCGACCAAAGTCAGAGAAGACGTGGGAAACCCAGAGAGAAGTCCCGAGTTCCCAACGCTGGCGTTGACACCGGCTCAATTCGCCATGATCAAAGCACTTGATGACGTTGGGTTTCGCAAATATCCTGTTCACATTCATAAGAGCAGTCATTCCCATGCTGCCATCATCGTCCGCACGTCCAGAGCTGCATTTGAAGAAGGAAAGCTGGTTATCAAACATTGGCTTGACAAGGAGTTTCGCATTTGATTTACGAGTACACGGCATTTGGTCTGGCATCTGACACTCAGCATTCAACAACATTGAGCCTTGATCATATCTAGCGTTGGCGTTGTTGGACTGTTTGTCATCGTTAGTGTTCACTTCTTCACTTGTTTACTTGCTAGACCTGAATACAACATTAGGTACACATTCAAAAGTGTCCCCTTTAGACCTCGGTACAGTAATACTCGTCTCTGCATAACCTCGTAGTCTGGTTGGGATACATACTCCATAATATCTGCACATGCATCCACAGTGTTGAGATTATTCTCGTCTGTAAAGACCGTGGGGGGTGTCCACTGCTTGGCAGCCACCCTCGCCCCCTGCCAATCGTGTCTGTCAAATCGCAGTGGGATATTACAAAGTATGTACTCTGGGGATAAATTTAGGCCCAGCGACCAGAGTCCACTAGAGTACCCATTATCATCAGACGAATGAACGTAGTGCTTTTGTTCCACCGAATGATTTTCGTCCTGACAATCAGCAATGAAGCTGTGATGAGCAGGGTGCCATGTAAGCGCAAAAATCTTGGCACGTGTTTGGGCAGATGCAAGTTTGCGTCATTCGGACTGGCACGACTGGGTACCGACATGATCCCACTTGTGCCTGCAAGAGCAATCTACGCCATCCCTTGAGGCCAGCATGTCCCCGCCAATGACATACACTACGGGTGATAAGTAGGGGGGGCATTGGAGAGGCAAGAGGCAGTTCCCAGTCGTGCCAGTCTGCAAAGAAGCCCAAAGGATGATGATGAAGGATCCGCCGAAGTACCAGGAGGTGCAGCTACATGACTTATAACCTCATAGCACGAATACGAAGTAAGCAACAAGACTTGTAGGTCATAGGATAAGCGAAGGAATTCAAGACCCGACAGGCTGAGTCTTGGGGTGTGGACTGTCTTGTCTATGCGTCTTGTGCGCTGCCACCTGCGTACGAATACACGAATACACGTCGGGAAAGGCTCGCATGAAGCAATCCTCTGGTGTGGCTTTTAGTTGGATGGCAGTGATGGGCAGATTCCGAAGACAACATTGGCGCCACGGCCGTCATTGGGGCAAAGAACAATTCTTTGGCACATTCGAACGAGTAGGACGAGTACCAGCGCCCCGACTCGGGAGACTTGAAACGGCGTGTGCTTTGACTTGCCCACCCTGTTGGGACGAATCAGAAGTTGCTGGTGTCATGAGGCTCCACTGCTCACTCGACTCGTCAGTGACCCGTCCACCAAATTTTCACCGCAAGGTTCACAATTAAGCAGCGTGGGTCAGAGTTGCCGGTGGCAGTTTATTCGTTCAACATCCTCGTCTCCATCATGTCGACGTCATCTCTGCAACGTTTTGAAGTTTTTATGGGTATCATTTCCGCAACGGCGACCACCGCCGACCCATGCTAGAGATATCTCTGACCGTGGCATCCATTGTGATGTTTTCGCGTTATCCACTGCACCGGCTCCAGTCGACCGTGATATTCCACTTATCTACCCACGTGTAACCGCTGTTGTGAATTGTTGCTTTTTTAAATCTGTCTCGTTAGCTATTTCAATTCCTGTGTTGTGTAGTCCCTGTCCCCCGCAAAAAGTACCAAGTATTTCACCATATCTCGACATCCCACCTCTAGTCCTTAGTATTCATCGATATCTCGACACGTGTGGCCAAGTTATCACGACCTAAGTCAGTGTGTTTGATAAGTCCTTGAGGCTTAGCACCATCTCCATCCAACAACACTTCCAATATTTGCATGATGCCGGGCGATATCCCCTCGGATATGGAGGATAACAACTTGCTCCGCGCAGGAACCAGAACCTCAAAGAAGAGCACACGTCGACTATCCAGTCAGAGTGCCACTCGAGCGGATCTCTTCGGGGGACCAACCGTTGTTGCACCTCCCCAGCACCTGGAGAACCGCAGCAATGCCCACGAAACAGCTCATGCCATGGAGTTGGCCAAACACCATTTGGCTGATGACCCTTCAGATGCTACTCCAGATGATTCAGGCCCTGTCACCCCTGATGCTTCTGGACTCAGCACCACCGACAAATATGCTTTTGCCTTTGATATCGATGGCGTTTTGATCAGAGGAGGAGAAGTTATCCCTGAAGCCGTGGAAGCAATGAAAGTCCTAAACGGGCAGAATGAATACGGCATTAAAGTGTATGATACGTCCACTTTCCTTTGATGACCTAATCCAGACCCATACTAACGTACCCCATAGACCTTATATCTTTGTCACCAATGGAGGCGGCAAGACAGAAGAAGAACGATGCATTCAACTGTCCAATCAGTTGCAGATGGAAGTATCTCCAGGTCAATTCATCTGTGGTCACACTCCTATGAGAGAACTGGCACAGAAGTACCACACCGTTCTTGTTGTTGGTGGTGAGGGTGAAAAGTGTCGAGAAGTTGCTCTCGGTTATGGTTTCAAGGACGTGATCGTACGTTACCACCCGCCTACTCTTCAACTCAACGTCCAGACACTAACATGCGCAATAGACACCTGGAGACATCATCAAAGACAACAAGGACACCACCCCCTTTCGAAAACTTACCGAGGAAGAGTTGAAGAATTCTAAAAAACGCAACTACGGCTTGGTAGACATTGAGGCCGTCTTCGTGTTTGCTGATAGCCGAGACTGGGCTGGCGACTCACAGATCATTCTCGACCTGTGCATGAGCAAGAACGGACGGCTAGGCACACGATCCGAAACCTTCGACGAAGGCCCCCCCGTTTTCTTCTCCCACAACGACGTCGTATGGGCAACATCCCACAGCTACTCACGAATTGGCATGGGGGCTCTACGAGCATCTCTCGAGGCCATGTTCAAAGCCATCACCGGCAAAGACATGAAGACCATTGCCTTTGGCAAGCCTCAACTCGGCACATTCAACTTCGCCACCCGCCTTCTGCAGCAATGGCGTAAAGACACACACGGCATCGACAAACCTTTGGATACCGTCTACTTTGTCGGGGACACACCGGAGTCCGACATTCGAGGCACCAATGAGTTTGACGAGTCTGGAGGGGCCGATACCAACTGGTATTCAATCCTTGTTCGGACAGGCGTGTTCCGAGAAGGCACACAGCCAGCTTATACGCCAAAGATGACGGTCGACACTGTGTTGGAGGCTGTCAAGCATGGAATGCAACGTGAATTCGACAAGGCTTTGAAGAATCTCACTGTTGGAGACGTGGTCCCGCAAATTACCTCGGCCATTGTCGAGGACGATACGGAACGCTAAAGGTGGCCCGTATTTATTTATACGAAGGTACTTATTTTGTTTTGATGAATCATGACCAGCATTGTTGGAAAACTGGCGTTGTCCAGAGAATGGATTTTCACGCTTTGATTGCCATCATTTTTGGGCATATCACATGTTGAAATCTTGTGACAAAGAATATATAGATTAGACTGACAAGGGATGAAGTTTTCCCCTTGGAGGAACTACCACTTGGAGCGTGATGGCGTTGAACCAGTACTTATTGCCGAAACGAAGGATCTGCTCAAGCCAGGGTACGATTAGAGTGATAGATGGGTTTATTCAATAGCCGATTCTCACATTCTTGCCAATTCTACTTTCCACCATATTTGCCATGTGTTGACGGTGTTGCTTTCAAAGACAGACATAGAGGTACCGTGGCGCCTCAAATCCTTTTTCCTACTGGGATTCTGCCGAACCGAAATGACGAGACCCCAGACCTATCATTACAGGACCGCTTACTGAACACTTGTCTTACTCAAATCCTATGTTACCGCACAGGCAAAAGTTCCCCGCATGTTCAACATCTCAAAGAGGCTACCGCTTCAAGTGACGAGGAAATCAATCTGACCTGTCAGGTACATACAGATGGGCTTATGCAAGCCAACGGCCGGGTCTAGAACGGACGAAACACCACATATCCAGATGTTTGGATATAGGGATTTTCCCACACCACTCTCGAACTACTCCAGCGGGGCAGAGGACTTCAGTGAGCAAGGTCGGCACAGCCCCTGCATCGATCAGGATGCTTTGATTGTCACCAATTTTCGGGCCTAAGGACATGACACGACAATCCACGGAGAGGCGTCCAGTCAAACACCTTCAGCGGAAGAAGAGATTCAATCCACTGGCGTGTGGTTCTTGCAAGTGCAATCAGATCCAGCGTAATCGATGCACCAATAGCAGAGCTTACCGATCGGAATACTACTAGTACCTTTTTGATTCGAAGGTCAACCCTCACTTTCAGAGTGGCATTCGATCCATTCATCTTTGTATGGCCCATGTTGTTGACAGGAGTTTGCTGGGGGACGAAGAGGATCGACCTGAGAAGGCTGTCTGAAGGTTTCCGCAAATCATTGGGACTTGTCCAATAGCTTTCAGAAGCTGATGAAGGAAGGTTGAATTCCCCTCTGACATTGTGAGAGGGCTTCCGAAACTAGAGTCTGCCAGTATTGGCGGGAATGGCCAATGGCACTCTCGAGTTTCAGTTTATCAAGTTGGAGGAGGTCATCATCACCTGAGAGAGACATAAAACATATTTGGTACCTTCTGTTCAACGAGAAAGAACGGGAAAGACTATACCAAAGCCCAGTCCAGAGGTGGCATATCATTTCACGCCATTTTGCGGAGGGGGATCGAGGTGTATGAATGTAGGGCACCTAAGGCACAAGAGCTAGTTTTAGGTCAACGGCCCATCAGTAAAATCATTTAGGAACAACGGCTAGATTGGAGAGATGAAGTAATTGAATTGAAGTATAGTCTGCTCAAGGCTGAAGGTTGTATGAGATCAATCATGATTGTGAAGGGCAGGTCCCCCCCCCGCACAGATCGCGGATCACATGTGGCGCGGTGACTCCTCCGTAAGCTAATGCTTGGCTGTGTGGCTGCACATTATCACCAAACTTAAACCCAACAGCTGCCTCTATCTCCGAGATCCAAGGGACGTGATGCCTCGAGGTCCCTATAACTAGGCTACTATCTAGTGCCAAAGGGTAAAGGTGAGCTTTGATGTTAAGGTGATCAATGATCCGAAGTAACCGGAGTCCGTATGCATTTATGCCGGAAGAAGAGCAGCGACAGCGCTTTGCTAATGCAGGGCACCCTAAACCTGGGGCGTGGTTGATACTACTCCGGATCTGGCACTTCTGGGTAACTCAAAAGCCACTCCCTGGTATCAATCAGCCTGATCCAGTTGCTGGCTAATAATAATTAATCTATGATCAACAACGCCATTCAGCCAAATTGGTCAAGGACCTTCGTCTGGGTGCTTGCCTGATGACCGAGTGCTGACACGAGAAGTGCGACGGCGGTTGCCAAGATTCGGCCCTTAGGTTTGGCAACTGCGGCGTTGCGGCGATGCAATGTCATTTTAGCTTCTCCAGGCTTGGTTTCTCTCTTCTTCGCCCCAACAGCAGTGTCCACACAGAACTCGTATGCTTCTGGTTTCCCTTAACAAAAGCGATCATCAACGATCATCAAGTAGAGCCTTGGACTGCCGAGTGCTCCGGCCCCAGAATTAGATTCTTTTCTGTGCTTTCACAATAGTCGTGAGCTCCACGTCTCCGCACCACATGGCGCTTTGGGACCTTTTGTACGTAAAATTAGAATAGAGCGAGCCTGGTCTGGTCTGTGCAAGTTGATACTACCTACTGTACAATGAGTCGAGCCTGTGCAGAAACAGTCATCAGGTGAAAAGAAAACGAATTTTCGGGTCGCTGCCATATTCCTAGTAAAAGTAGGTCGCGCCATGGGCTCCTTCACAGGCGAAGGAACGCACCTTTGCAAGCCACTGTCACTAAATATTGATGTTTAACTGTATCGCGAAACGAAGGGCAATTTCTCAGCTTCTTCTGGCTCTTTGTTGTTCAGAATGGAACTCCAACTAAATCATCGCCACCCAAAGATGGCAAGAGTCATTAGGCATCAATTTCGAGCCTGAGTACCAAGAGACGAAGCGTAGGCGAACCTTTGGTCCACATTCATGACCCAAATACTTTTGGCCCAGTACACATGGAAATGAGATGAATTGAAGTTTTTCAAAAGATTGCAACTGGACCAGGCTCGCACCTGTACAGATACGTAATCTGAGTAAAAGCAGGTACTGACGACTTCTAAGTAGAGCCAGGGATCTGAAACGCACCCCAAGTAGAGTTCTCAGGTACCCACGTGTTTAGGAGTCCGTGCGACGGCGGTACCTTATAGCTGGACGGCTAAGCTGTATTTAGGCCCGAGTGCCCGACAGCCCAGCGCCCCCTTGGGCATATGGCGTCCACTAGCCTACGCCGGTGCCAGTCCTTGCTTTGGGGCGAGATACGAGCTCTCGGCGACGTTGGAGCCAAGTCCAAGCTGGCAATGTTGGTTGATGGTGGTGGGCACCCAAAAGACTCGAAACTGTTGGCTACACGCTCCTCCCGCTCCCGTCACTATTCAAGACCATCCAACCCACCCAAAACCACAAACCTGCCTGCAGCTTGTTGGCAGATCCTTGCGCCTTTGCAAGTTGACACAGCGTCAAGCCCTGCCATCCAACCCTTCGTGCTCTTCTTTCATTGTTTGACAATGGGCTTCCCTTGACCACAGATCGCGTTTTCTTTTCCAGCTCAACGCTCAAGCTTACCTCCCTGCGTCTATTGTTTCCAGTGAGCATTGTCTGAGGCGCATTGGTGGTCAGCATACACCATAAGGGCCCTGTTGCTGCGCCCGCCTGATCATCCTCCCTCTATCCTGCTCACCCACCCATCCCTTCGCTGAATCCACCTCCCGCCAGCGCTTCATCCTCCATCTACGAGAGACACCGTCTTTGGCACTTGAGAATCCATCATCTACATCTCTTACCTACTCACAACCTCATCACCAGTCCCCATCCTATTTAGTCAACTTGCGCAACACGAAGACGTGCGTCAGGTTGGCGATCCGGGTGTGACCCATCTTACGTCCTTCTAGAAGCCCTGCCATCCCCAGAACACCGGCTACTGACGCCCAAACCCACCGTTGGATATCTGTCTCGACTTTCCTTCATCCTGACGGCGTCACGGCGCCTGTAGCCTCATAATGGCGACCGGAGGCGCAGGCACCGCCAGCTCGCCGCGAACCATCATTCAACCTCCTCAGCGTAACACACCTGCTCCTTCCCCCTTAGCTGCTGTTTCTCCTCCGTCCAAAAGAGAAGAGTTGGCATCTTGGTGGAAAAAGTTCAGAAAGAATACCGAAAAGCCAGAAGAAAAAGGTGAGTACCTCATCTCTCAGCCCTCAGCAACATTGACGGGTATTCTCCCTCCCTCAGTGGCAATCCATCCTGACCATGTCACAGTTGAAATTCAACCTAGTGGTATATTTGGCGTACCCCTGGCCGAGAGCATCAGGTATGCCAACGTCGCCATCTCCTTGCAGAACGATGAAGGCCAGAGTTTCATTTACGGATACGTGCCCATTGTTGTTGCAAAATGCGGCGTCTTCTTGAAAGAGAAAGGTGAGTTCGTCCAGCGCGCCTTCCTGAAACTCGAACTAATCGTGTATCAGCAACCGACGTGGAAGGTATCTTTCGACTGAGTGGCTCTGCAAAACGGATCAAGGATTTGCAGACCATTTTCAATTCCCCCGACCGTTTCGGAAAAGGTCTAGATTGGACAGGCTACACTGTTCATGATGCGGCCAATATCCTTCGCAGATACCTCAATCAGCTACCCGAACCCATCGTACCTCTCGATTTCTACGATCGATTTCGTGATCCCCTACGTCGCGCACAGCGGCCAGCGCAGACTGATGGCGAGGCGCAGCCCATTGACCTTAGTGTCGATGAGCACGCGACAGCAGTGTCGGCATACAAAAAGCTCATCACAGAACTCCCACCTTTGAACCGCCAACTTCTTCTCTATATTCTCGATCTACTCGCCGTCTTCGCGTCCAAGTCCGATCTGAATAGGATGACAGCAGCAAATCTAGCGGCAATCTTTCAGCCAGGTATCTTATCACACCCCATACACGATATGGCACCCAAGGAATACAGACTTAGCCAAGATGTTTTGATATTCTTGATTGAGAATCAGGACAACTTTCTGATCGGCATGTCCGGCACTGCTGTTGATGAAAAGACTCAGAAGGACGTCGAGAGTGGCCCGCCTTCACTAAAGTCACCAATACCTGTGGTGCGATCGACTTCCAACGCAAGTGCTGGCGCCGACAGTTTGCGAAAGTTTGGGGTCAGACGCAATGTCTCTGTCTCCTCTCGTGGCTCTCGAGGTGGTGGCAGTCCTGGAGTTTCCATTCCTGGAACGCCATCAGGCCTCGCCACTTTTCCCGATGGCACTACAGGCGCAAAGATCTCTCGGAGTAACACGGTCCCTTCCAAAAGATCTCCAGCAATCACTTCAGCTCGCTTCCAGCGCTTGAACGAACCGTCAGGTTCGCCATCCCCGGCCGCATCTTCTCCTGGGGCCAGGTCTACGACTCCCTTCGCAGCTGGCGACGGCGCAGATTCGAAATCCTCTAGGTCCAACTCTATCGTTCCAGAAGAAGCAGCGAATATTCAACCTTTGGCTCAGGCGACAGAATCTTTGCCAGCTGCTACACCTGATCAAGTGCAACCACCACCATCACAAGCTTCAGGGCATCGGCATCAAGTTCAAAGTGATACGGAACCCACGTCTGTGGGGAAGAGTACATCCTCATCCACTCCATTCCCTCAAATCGTGCAGTCGTCACAACCTCCGACAACAACAACACCCGGCACCACTCGCGAAAGAAAGATATCGAATTTGTTTCCAAAGTCACCAATCTTTGGACCCTCAGATGCCCAGAAAGCCCAGCCACGGAAGCTCCAAAAGAAGCAAAAGCTTCCTGGCGCTGTCAATGATAGCGCGCAGAGCTCGGTGAACTCTCTCAATGTCGACGAACCGAGCAACTTTTATACCCCAATGATATCTCCTGACATCAGTAGCACTACCAGACTCGATCCCATTGCCAGTCAGCAAGGGCCGCAGTTGACGAATACTGCAGCCACGCCAGTCACCGAGACGCCAACGATCAAGTCTCTTGGGAACCTGACATCAGCTAGCGAGGGTCAGAATCAACCAGGCGGATTAAAGCCTCCAAAGTCTCCGCCTACATCGACCAAGTCCAGATCATCGTTCACCGATCATTCTGAAGTAGAACCACAGGACGAGAGCAAATCTGATGAGAAGGACAAACGGCGTCATCGCTGGAGGTTTTCGTCATCTGCTAAGAAAGGGGATAATTCGCCTCTTGTCCCGCCTCCACCGATTGGTCAAAACCCAGCAGCTCGTGGGAGCAACACTTCATTTGGAAGTGCTCACCGACCAAGAAAAAGTTTCACGGGAGACTCTCAACAGACGCAGTCTGCATCGCTTTACGGAGAATCGGCAACAGGCCAGCCGTTTCTGGCAGGGCAGTCTAGCAATGAATCGGGCGACGCACAGAGAGACCCAAATGCAGATACGGAGAAGAAAGGTTTATTTGGGAAATGGAAAGCCAAGATGTCGCAGACAAAAGAGGAAAGGCAAGCAGAAAAGGATCGAGCGAAGAGTCCGCCGCGGCTTGAGCAAGGGGCTTCGCGCAGCAGTCTGTCTGCTTTTGCGCAAGAGCATCTGGCTCCCCGGGGCAGGTCGTTTGATGGGACTAGGGAAGAGCAATCAACACGTCTACCTGAGCGAGCTGCCGGGCCAGAAGCGCAGGAAGAGGAGAAGAAGTCGTCATTGGAAATGCGACGTGGAGGAGAAGGACAACCATCGTGACAAGGCTTTGCCGAAAACGAGCGAGCCGATCGTTGGATGGGAATAAATGAGTGTCGTCGGCGAGCGATCACTTGTCTAGGATAAGGAAGACACTACCCTTGGTATTGGGAGTTTAATGACCTCGCAGCTGTAGTGTTGGCAGAGAGTCTCGTAATAATTTGATCGAAGTATGAATAATGACCGAACGAAAATGTGTCCCAAAGCGGTTAGCGCGTGAACTCCCCAAATTTTCCACCAGCTGCACAGGCATTTTCCCAGGCCAGCGACTTTTGATTTAGTGCGGAGAAGGACTTTTTTCAACCACTACATCTTGCTCTGAACCTACGATCTGGCCTCGAACGACTTCCTACGGATACGCGACGAAACCCAACTCTCGTTTAGTACCCTAAAATTCGCGAACCTCACACCCACAATGGCCAAAGACAAGGAGACTAAGGAAGAGCGCAAGGCCCGCAAGGCCGAGAAGAAGGCCATCAAAGAAGAAGCTGGAGTAACAAAATCCAGTTCTGACAAGAAAGACAAGAAGGAGAAGCGGAAAGCGCTTGCGGAGAAAGCCTTGAATGAGATCGAGGGAAAAAAGTCAAAGAAATCAGTCAAGCAAGAGGATGAAGTGAGTGAGGATGAGGACGGCGATGTCGAGATCAAAGACGCAGGATCAGAGGCTTCGTCAGACGACGAGAAGACAGCGGTCAAATCAGAGAAAGTCCCTTCAGCCAGACCTGTAGGGGCTTTGGTCCCCTTTGCCAACCCACTGGCTGACGACAAAGTGGCCAAGAAGGTGTTTAAGAGTGTGAAGAAAGGTTTGTAGCGCGTTCAATACCCCGCGTCGCACGACATTAAGACTGACATTATCACAGCTGCGGCACAACGTACGCTCAAGCGAGGAGTCAAGGAAGTTGTCAAAGCCCTTCGGAAATCACCTAACGGTAGCCTCTCGGACCCTCTCCCTATCGGAGTTGTCATCCTCGCGGCAGATATCTCTCCCATGGATGTCATCAGCCACATCCCAGTGCTGGCGGAGGACCACGCCATTCCCTACATCTATGTCACTTCCCGAGCAGAACTTGGCACTGCAGGTCAGACCAAACGCCCAACGTCAGTGGTGATGGTCAGCCGTGACCAGGGCAAGAAGAAGGATTCCAAAACTGGAGACGCTGATGTCAAGGACGACGGAGAGAGCTGGGAAGAGGTCTACAAGAGCCTTGTCAAGGTGGTGCAAAGAGAAGGTAGTCATGTGCGGATATGAGCTTGCAGTCTTACGGTGTGCAGCGATGATGAGAGACTACGGTAACTCGAGGCGCGAATGCTGCTACCAACGGCAAGTCGAGTCGGGTCTTCGTGACGTGCTGGTGTCGATGACTTCTCGTGGACATTGAATTCGCACCTCTTGATTGCGGGATTGTGTATGCAAAAAATGAATCAAAGGATGGGAGACTACCGTTGATCAGAAGAGCGGCCCGGCCGACTGGCATATGGGGTGAGAGAGCTGCCTGAGGAATTCTAGCAGCGGGGATTGACCTTTACCTGGAGTATAGGAGTCTGGGGGAAAAGGTTCCGGTGGAATGTCTCTTTCAGATGTTATCTGTCGAGAAAAGACGAACCTGGGTACCTAGATACACGGTCTCCTGCTATGAGACTACAGATGTTTCTAAGCCTTATCAAGGCTGCTGCAAGACATGTGCCAGCTAGCCTAGGTGCATTTACAGTACTTAGTACTATAGATGCAAGTATCTTGGGTGTCTAGGCCTTTGCTCGAATGGACCCCGATCACACACAAATGAGAGATCTGCGTGCCTGTCCGATGTTCACATTGAGATCCATATTCAGTTATGCAGAAGGCAGAAACCAGACCATTAACGCCGAACTAAAGGGCCAATGGTTTTTCAGGCGTCTCTTTTATCTTGCCACGAGGGTGCAGCATTGGCGGCCACACGACGGGCCGAACAAGTGATAGGCGACCAGTCGAGGATCGAGGCCAATACAAGCAAGTTCGAAGCCTTGATTTCTATGGAACCAGCATAGCAAGAATGTGAGTCTAAGAAATCCTTCAGCTCCATAATTACACTCCACCTGCAACAATGCCATGAAATCTTTTGAGGGTGGCATCAAACGATATACATCCTACACCGACAGTAGTCAAAGCTGATGATCCATTGGGCAGAGCAACTAATCACATCAGCGTGCCTCTCATTCGAGTGCCTGTATCTCCTTGCAGGACCCTATCAAGACTTCAAGCGGCCAAGTGGAGGTGTTTCGCTGGGAGAGACATTTAAGGTGCATTTAAGGCACATTAGGCATGGCGACCAACCAAGACCGGCGGTATGCCAAGCACCATCCAGGGATCCTCGACACCCGTGGGCCCCCCAGTCGCCCCCATATTCGGCCCTCAGTTGGTCATTTCGACGGGTCGATCCAGACTGCGCCTCTATCAACCCCTCGTGATAGACAACCGGCGTTGAAACTCTATCGATTGCACCCAGCCATCTCCCTGCTCTTCTTCGGCGTCAGATGCTAATGCGTGGGATCAATGGTAGCACGGCAGGTAGGTACTTTACTCGAGGTACCCTTTGATCATGATGACACGATTGAAGTCATCTCGCAGGGTGGCACCACCACGTGCCTACTGTGCAATTGCTGCTGTGTGTCCTGCACACCCGACACAAGCGTGATTCAGCAGCCCTGCGAGCTTTTGATTTGGCCTAGCACCCGTTTTGCAGGGAACATTCTCTATCTTACTGTCACAAGGTGACCCTGTCTGGCTTTACTCCGAAGCGAGTAAGTCTCTAGGATCAGACTGGCTTGCTGCCTGTAGCGCGACACAAGTGACCAAAGACATCATCTCATTGCAGCCCCAAATCAACAGCCAGACCTTTCGCTGCCTAATTATATGGTCGTCACTTGTTCCCCTGCCATCTCGAGACCACTTGGGAGACCATCTTGCATGGTCTAGCACAGTCCGGCGCTCTGGGCAACAGGAATGCCGTCACAAGTCCGGCTCGACAGCCTCGTTCATGTTTCAATAAGATGACCAGCTTCGCTCAATTCTCCGATCATTCACCCACCGACCCCCTCGATGAACAAACGATCCCGCCAATGGCCGCAATGGCGGTTGATCAAGCGACTCTTGTCCAGTTGATTCAACAACTCGAAGCAGACCGGAAGGCGTACCTATCTACCTTCGAGAAGGTCAACGAAACTCTCAGCCGTGCCCTCCATGGACAACAGCCTGATCCGTATGAGGTCCGGCCCGGCATCGTCAACCGCTCGACGATGTCGTCTGAAGGCTCACTTCAAGTTACCGCTACAGACCAGTCGTTGCTATCACCAAAACGGCCTCACAGTACAACTCGCCGTCAATCAGAGATCACTACCCAGCCTAACAAGAACTCCATCTTCACTGGTGATGATTCTTCCGATAGTGACTCCAACGACGAGTCTTTCTTCGTACAACAAACTCTTCCTCCCTACCAGTTTGACGAGGAAGATTTAATCGTCCATCTCCGGACTCACAATTGGGACAAGTACTCCAGGTTCATGCTTCAGGATCTCCTGGATAACGTCTCAATCCTGTCCAATTTTGGCATATTCCACAAGGACCGACATCTCCACCTCACTGGCGCAAACCATCAACATGCCGACATCTACCACGTATCAACTGATGGTGCTCCTCTACGCCATAGTCGTGGTGACTCCGAGGAAGGCCCGCTTGCTACATGGGAGGCGTTGAAGTGCATCAACACAGACAACTCGAGGAAGTTGGCCGTGGGGCGTATCATTGTTCTTCGAGAACCTCCATCCAGCCTGCTAGCCGCCTTGCATTTGACGATGAAGGATCATTTCGATATGGACTCTATCTATCGACTGTTGATCGACGATGACACGCCTACTAGAGCCATCACCAAAGGCTTTTTGAAAAAGGATCACCGCCGTCAGCGTTCAATTGTTTTTGTCTTCAAATATCATACCGTGGTTGGAGAAGGAAGAGCCCCTTTACCATGGCAAAGTCATGACGACAATATCGAAGAGAGGAAAGGGGATAGCATCGCATTGTCCACTTGCTCTGCCGTTGTTGCGCTGTCTCTGGCAGGAAGACCCAGTCACACCTTGAGACGAAATTCTCGCAAGACAAAATCCATCGTGGGTCAAATCTACGATCCCTTTGCTCCATGGCATGTTTTATCAATCCAGGCTTTCCCAGACTGGAAATCTAGCGTCGAAACCCACAACACCAATCACCATTACGTCAATGGACCTGATGCGTTTCTAGTCACTCTCCTCGCGGAATACAGGGACGCCGTCAAGAGATTCAAAGAGGTTCATCGCCAAATAACGCATCTAGCAACCCCACCAAACAAATCCATCTTCGACAGCGCATTACGTGACGAACTACTATTCGAGAACGACCAATATACATATTCTCGACGATATTTCTGGGCTTCACAAACCCTGGGCGTTCTCAGCAACGAGATCAAAGATATGATCAACGCCTACAGAGAAACATTCAGCGAGGACTTTTGGACCGGCGAACACAAGACACTTTTTCCCGGTACCAAAGAGCAATCTTCAAAATATGGGAACTGGCGCAAGAAATTGTCCCATACCCGGAAACAGTTTGAAAAGGAGATTCAAAATCTCGAGGAGGTTCTGAAAATGTTTTCACATCAGCAAAAGGAGATACGAGGGTTGCGGGAGTGGTTGTTCAGTGGAACGTAAGTATTATTCTGAATTCTCGGTCCACATTTATGAGTATTCGGTTTTCTGGATAGAGAGCAAGAGTATTTCGTCTCTCTTTTGGTCGACGGTGCTAACACCTTTCCTTAAAGTTCTGTCTTCGAATCGAGAGATGCTGTTGGTCAAGCAAAGATCACCGTTGAACAAGGCTACAACATCCGACTGTTGACCATGGTCACATTGTTTTACCTGCCTCTTCAGACAGTGACCAGTATATTCGGAAGTATGTGTTCCTTTCGAGCAATTTTTGTCTTAGCAACATTTACTAACAATCAGCAGTGACAAACGTAAGCAATACTTTCTTCCGCAAGCAATATCTCAACTAGAACCGACATCCTTTCCCTTATTGAATCTATCACTAACTTTGACTTCACTAGATGCCGGAAGATGATGGCTATCTTCCATTCGCCCTCGCAACCTTAGGGATATGCATCCCTACATACTTAATTATCGTTGTTGTCAACAACCCAGAAAAGGTCCGCTACATCGTCACTACTGTGGAACTTGCTATCGCCAGTCTCTTTTCATGCGCCATTCCAAAGCAAAAAGTCGACAAGCTGAAGAAAAAGATCGAACATCAACGCGAAAAGCAACTAGACTCTCAACCGGGACACACACAACGACGACCGATGATTCGCAAGACGGCCACAGCTACCCACGCCAGCTTCGAAGCACGATTGTCAGCCGACATGGCACTCGACCCTATCCGCCATGCATCTCAAAGCATCGTCAATGGAACTCGTCGAATGTCTCAATCACTAAGCCATCACCTTCCAGCGGGTCGAGGCGGCGCTGGTCGAAAGTTCCTGGGTCACTTAGTCCACACGTCGGACAAAATGCCCAAGGTGACAGAATCCGACATCGTGCCTCCTCCCCATGAACCAGACATGTATTCAAACTCACTAGACACGCCATCGACTCCACCTTTGGCGGCTTTCGGACGATATAACCGAACCAGTACAATTCCAATCGACGAGTTGACATACAGTAATCCCCGACGCTCGCAAACTGGGTTGAGTTCATTGACTGTTCCAAACACCAGCCCGAGTATTTTATATCCGGAAGGAATCATCGCTCGTGACATGGAGCGATCAGCTACATTATCTCCCACATCACATCTATCACCTGGAACGACGCCACCTCCGTCGCTGGGGGGACGACGAACTCGATCGAATGATGTCAATGGCAGTGCTACTGCACAGCACGCCCCATCTCCAACGCACCTTCCCGTGGTCGATAGATCGCTTCTCCGACGCTGGACGGATTGGTATTCCCCGTTAGAGCGATCAGCGCGAGTGTCGAGGGTCAATACGCCTGAGACGCCGAGTCCGAAAGAGCAGGTTTGAAGGGGGGGGTGGAAATGACATGTGGGATCACCCGTTCGAATCGAGTTATGGATCTTGGTTTGTTGGTGAGTGGTGGGGTGTCGGATCGATAGCCACCAAAGAAGGGAGAAATGGAAAGAGTCTGACGAATGATCCGATGATTTGAAGTGAAGTGAAGTGAAGTGCGATTGCGATTGCGATTGCGACTGTAAGAGTACGATAATGGCGGTTTGTGGCTTGGAATGATACAGGTGATGTGATCATGGTATGGTGTGGTATGAGTTGACGAGACACGACATGACATGACTTGATGCGACACGATGCATGCGATATGATTTATGGTACGAATGTGACGACGAACAAGTGTGCACAACAGCACAACTTGGCGACAGAAGGGGAAAGGAGAGAGTGGTGGTGATGGACCAAATGGACATGGACATGACCGAGCCGAACAACTACATAAATCAAAAGCAAGCATATCTTTTCAAGTAATAGATGGCACACACTTGGGAGAAGTTTTCAGAAGTCCAGAATCCTTTTGATTCCTTTTGCAATTGAAGCCTTTTTATAGTCTTTCTCTATCTATACAGAGCAAGTGTTGATGGTGTTGTGGTGGTGGTGGTGGTGGTGGTGGTGGTGATCCTGGTGGTTTTCATTCCGTTCGTTACATCGAGTGTATAAATATGCGTCGTTCGTGGCCCAGTCGTATCCTATACACACATTCAAATCATGTGCTGAATTACATGATCCTGTCCTGTCCCGTCCCGATCCAACCGGGGTTCTCCCCAGTAGTCAAGACGACGACACTATCTCTTTGTCTGGTGGAGACTTATATTGGCAATGATGGGTTCGTCCTCGTCTCCGTCGCCTGTTCCGAATACATCTGATTCGTCATCGGTTGGGTCATCGTGATATTGAGGTTCTGGCCGCTCGTCTTCTGGACTCTCGTCGAAGTAATCGGGCGCATCTAGATCCTCCCTTGCGATGACCTCCGCAGCTGCCTCTGTGTCTGGGTCGTCGGCAAACTCTCTAGGGATGTGGCCTGTTCGTCGAGTGGAATCATGGATGAGATTTGCTTCTTCTGCTTCGAGTTCCTTGGCTCGGGCCATCGTCTTACGGTAGATGTACCAACCAGTGGTGACTCCTACGATGGCGCCAATTGCAATTCCCGAGTAGTTGACAACACGGTCTGTGACTGTCATTTTCTCTGCAGTGCGAGCGATGACAGCTAAGCGCGAGCCAATGAAGACAGGGATGAAGAGCTTGGGAGTGACTAGAGCTGTGGCAACGGCATAGGATACGGGGTGAATGGTGGGGAAAGTGGACAAGGCGGCGTTGCTGATAGAATATGGTAGCGGACAGAGTCGAATCATGCAAAGGAGCTTGAGACCGTCATGTTTGAGGATGAGGGTGAAGGCCGCAAAGCGCTTGTCGTTGGCGACGAGGCGGTCGACCCATTTGCGAAGGACGGTGCGGGAGACGAGGAAAGAACAGACTGAACCTGCTACGGTTGAAGTGGCGAGAATAGCCCAACCTTCCCAGACGCCGTAGACGAAACCGGCCATAGTACCACATGTTGAGTAGCCGATCATAGGAGGAAATGCGGCGACAAATGTCATAGACCACAAAATCAACCAGCCTCCTCTTGTATGTTTCCACCGTTCGGCGAGTGGTTCTAAAAAGCTGAAGATGCGTTCGTTGAAGATGAGGAAGAGGATCAGGAGAGCGTTTAATGCGACCAGCGCGGCGACGACTAGGATGCGTTGTATCCAGGAGAGCTTCCCCCAGATCTTCTTGACTCTCCGACTGGTCTTCTCGGCGTTTCGTATCATCTCATCCCTCCAGGCCATAGAACGGCTAGGCGCATGGTAGGGAGAGGATCGACCGGTGGAGATGGAGTTCCGGTGAGGATGCCATGAGTTGAGCAGAGCATTCCGCGGAGACTCGTCGTCCGAGTCTGGCAGTGTGATCTTGTTTGGACCCATGGTTCGTTGTCAAGGGCGGATTGACGTCAACAACAGGTTGGCTGGAGGGACAGGCCTGCGATGAGCCGGATGGGCCGGCGAAGGGAAAATCAGAGTTATAGGGTCGAAAGTAACAAAGTCATAGCTGTTAGAGCAGCGAAACAGAAATCAGTGTGAGCGTGAGAGAAGAATTGGTATCGGAAGTGCTGAAGATGAGAGTAGGTAAGAAATAAGGTAGTTTGGTGTTGTTGTGATTTGAGATGACAACAGGTGGGTGGTACGGCGGCTGAGGCACTTTTAGGCAGTGTGGCAGGCAGCCGGGAATCCCTTATGGTGGGACCGAGCGCTTCAGCCGCAATGGTACGACACAATAATAATAATGAGTGACTGGATACTCGCAAGGAATGCCTAGCAGGTACCTACGTGGATATTACTGGGCACATGCTCGTATCTCCGGGCGCCGTGGGCACCGATCATGGCGTCCCCGAAATGCGCTATAGGCACTTGATAGACTTCAATCTACCCGCAACTACGCTTGGACAGGTCTTTGAAGTCTATGCATACCTCCTATAGATTAGGTAGCCAAGGGTGGTTGCAGACGTCATTGTACCAAACTCCGATCTCCTGATAATCTACAAAGGCTAATTATCCAGAATTAGACACATTGGAGAATCAAGGATAATTATGTGCTCATATGAAATATGGTGCTTAAGAGGCAGGCTATTTGTTGATATATATTTCTTTCCTTGCCTGGAACTCAATACATCTGGCCCAGGTCATCTCGTAGTGGTATTGGCATAATAGGAAACTAGGCCTCCTCTAAGTCAAGTCCGTTGTTTGAGGTCGAATCACAGAATGCCCAACCATAAATGTCCATTATTGTGCACCTCACCGCCAGCTGGCACCGTGCACGGATCAGGTCATCGAGGGTAAGTGCTGAGTAGGTACTTAGGTAGATATGGATGACACGTGATGTTAAATCCTCACCAAGCTCCTGTCTTCCCGTCTGTACCATGGACTACTCCTGGTGGTTATTAATGCAAGGACAAGAGATTGTGATACTTGATATGTTGCATTTTATGCATCAGCGCAGCACAGCATCGTAAGAAAATGGATGCCTATCAATCGGCTACATATCTGGTGTCTGCAAGCATGGCAGATTCACTGCACCCCGCACAAGGAAGTGAGTGCACTTGGCTGAATTGAGAGTATCCATCCTGGCATTCCACCCTGTGGAGAGGCGCCACCAGCGGTTCTGCCCAAGGCCGACGGCCTACTGTATGCCTATCCCACCTATCCCACGTCTATCCTACGCCTAGAGAGCCCCTCAGGCTCCCACTGCCTGTCCACATGTGATGTATGCGACTGCCTTTGACGCCGGCTGCGCCCATCTACTAACTTGCCTTCTTGCCCTCTTGCCCTCTTGCCCTCTTGCCCTCCTGCCCTCTTTGGAGGACGCCCTCACCTTGCTACTGCACTCGCTCTCGCTACTTACTCACCACTGCATCACTCACTCTCGACACTCCTTCGCTCACTCCCTCTACACACCATCACCATCACCCTCATCTCTGCTTTCCCCCATAATCTCATCATCTTCATCCGACCTTTCCCAGTCTCCCGAGCCCCTCCATCATCCAAAACCTTCTGAACAGACGTGCCCCTTCCCCCGCAATCCTATCTATGCCCTCGCTGTTCTACCAGACCCGCTGCGTACACATCCCGCTTTCAGCCCCAAGCAAAGCAGATCTACAATCAGCAGAGACATGATCGTTCACATAGATTGAGACTGCTCTCACCTTGGCCTGCACCCCGTCGTCTCACGTACATGTCGATTTCCGTCCTTGTCGCCTACGCTTCATCACCTTCTCCTACCCTCTGACACAACGCCCGCGCGCACCCTTGCCCACCCGCCTCTCCATAACGACCGCTATGATTTCTGACGAGCATTACGAATTATGTCGCTCTATTTTAGACGACTCTTCAATAGAAGATGAAGACAAAACAGATCGGTTGGAGGATCTCCTCCGCTCTCAAACCAATCTCAAGGGTACCGCCCTCGAGAACGCCGTCCTAGACGCCTTGTGGAAGCACCGTAATGCTGCTCGTGGAGAAACAACCGAAACTCCCATGCGACACAATGTCATCCGAAAGTCTTCTCCTGCGCCATGGCAATTGCATCGAGCCCCAACTCCCCTAGGCTCTCCTCCACCCTTGTCCTCCAGTCCATCCCTGTCCACTGGTTTTCCAGCCTCGAGGCCTAGTTTTTCCCGTCAAAAGTCCAGTATACATTCTCCCTTTGGTTCCCCTCGTCCGTCGCCACGTCTGGCCCTAGCTCAACCCATTCCTCACTCCCCCAGCCTAAACGCCTATGAATTCTCGGACGCGGCCCCAACCCCTGACATCTACGGCGACTTTGGCCACGAGAACGTGGATTGGCTTTTGGCCGACGACACCGCCAGCAATGCTTCCTCTAATGCGACTGCCAACCTGAGCGCGGCCGCTCCTGAATGGTTACCCCAGCCAGACATGAGTCCCTATGATATCCTTCGCTCAGTTCTAGGAGATCGCAAGACCGACGACGAGATCGAAGAAGCCCTGACCAAGAACTCGTATGATTTGGGCGCCAGTATTGCTGCCCTGTTAGGTACAGACTCTGCTGACACCCAATATACTGGCGTTTCCTCCTCGGACAACAACGTCTTGGTTGGCAAGTCTATGACTGTGAACCAAATCCGTCCTTCGACCCCAGGCTCGGTCAAGAGTCCCGTGGTCTGTAAATATTGGTTAGCCTCAGGGTCCTGTCTGCGTGCAGATTGCCGCTTTGCTCATGATACGAGCGGCTATCTTTGCAAGTATGATCTTTCTCGTATCTCGATTTCACAATCTGTGGCTAACCTGCATATAGGTATTGGATGCAGAACAGCTGTTTAGCTGGCGACGCATGCCAATTCTCCCACGACCCTGCTCTCCTCCTCAGTCATCTCAATGTCGGGGACAGCTCTACTTCCCAGACATTTCAACTTCAAGACCAGTTTGATCAATTTCCCTCGCTGTCCAATTCGAACGTCCGCAATGCCCTCCAAGCCGGCCTCGCTGCTGGCAACAACTTTGTCCCCAGCAGCCAGCGAAATCGAAGCGCTCTTGGCAACTATAGCAGTAGCTCCCGGCCACAATCTCGGCCAAATTCTCGCCATCAGAACCGTCCAGAGACGCCTTCGTCTCTGTCCATGGATGATCCAGAGGCGTTCCCTTCTCTGGGTTCTCTGAGTGCCAAACGCGGCTCAAAACATCATGGCCATCGATCAAGACATGGCCAGCTCGAGAAGGATATGCCTTCCTCGCTTGCTGATGTGGTGCGCATGTCACCTTCACCAGTACCTGGACAACAGCGCAAGCCCGAGCCAGGCCGCAAAATCCGCACATATGGCGGTTCAGAGAGCGCAGCCGCCCGCAAAATCCCCGAGCCGCAACATATCCCATGGCTTGAAACTGGAGGTCGTGCTAATCAGCAATACTTGAAGTATCGACAAGAGGCAATTAAACATGGCAGCATTCGTAACAAATTCCTTCAGAGGTAAGTCATTCATGTGCGACAAGACTGGCGTTTGCTGAAAGAGATGCAGTGCTGCACAAGCGTGGAACCGCAACGACGCGCGTGCCGCCAAAGCCTTGTCTCTGCGTGGACAAGCAGAGAACGACGCGATGAGAAAGGCACATCGAGAGGCGGCCAAGGCCTTGTATGAGGAGCGTAACCAGCATCTATCGGTGGGGCCAGTAGATGAGGAAGAAGAGCTCTATGTTGATCTCCATGGTCTTCATCCTGAGGAAGCGATCGAATACCTGGAAAACATCCTCCTCAGCCACTCAAAGCGGGGCCGCCGCATCGTCTATGCCATCACCGGAACAGGACATCACAGCAAGAATGGCAAAGATAAGGTGGGCAAAGGGGTGCGCAACTGGCTGAATGAGTGGGGATACACGTTTCGTGAGTTCAGTGTACCGGGAGAACGCGGTGGCTACATCGGAGGAGTCTTGGGCGTTGATATCACGAGCCACAGACGTCAACCCTTGTCAGCGGAAAGTGGATCTGAAAGGAAAGAGGACGAGGAAGAAAGTGAGTCGCCCACACCAACCCCAGCGACAACGGTGAGTAGCTTGGGCGGTAAGATTCAAGTCCTGAAGCGGGAGGAAGTCCCTGCATAAGCACTTGGAATGTACTCGTCTCAGTTTAGATATGGAATGATGGGGCCCATTGTCCCACTTAGACTACAGGATTGACCGTCTGATGGTACCCTCCATATACCAAGCGGCAGACTGATAGATACACTCCACGCTCAACCTTGAACTCATGACAATTGTTGATCGAAGAGTTCTGCATTATTTTCCTGTTTTCTGTCTGCAACGCTGAACGAGGCTGTTATCTCGTGGTACTTCTCTCATATGGTAAGAGGTAGGAAAGCGCGGCTCGGCAGCACCGACATAGACCATAACTACCTCCACTGAACACCAAAAATCTTGCCAACCTTTCCCTTGACGCCTCTTTCGGCCTCGCGATTCTCCACAAATACCGTCTGCTTGCCAGGCACATTGAGACTCAAAACCTCATATTCCAAGACATCACCTCCACGCGGTTTCGTCATATGCACATTGACGACTCCGCGGCCTTCAGGCCCCTCAACGTTGAAATGCATTCTGAAGTGCTGGGTGCCAAACCTATCGACTTCACTATTATGGGCGAGAGGTCGAGCACGTGCCCATTTGTTGGAGGTCGGTTCGCCATAGGCCTTGATTTTGGAGGATGGGCCTAGAAGAGCTCGGGCTTCGGGGTGGGCTTTGATGCGGCTGACGGCCTGGTTGAATTGGATGGTGACGCTGTCGGGCGCGAATAATTCGGTGTATAAGAGGTAGAAGACGGTGAGCTAGAGATAGGTAAGACGGTGAGGGCAAGTTACGTTTGGGTGAGGAAGGGAAGATACGGAGGGGGGTCTGTTGCTCTGTATATGTAGGTATATATGTACTTACCGTCGCAACCGCGCCGGCAGAGACAAGGAGAAAGTTAAAGGTCTGTTGAGTGCCTCGAGCAGCTTTCTCTCCTCTGCTCAGCTCTGACCAGTTGTACCGCCCATCGTCGCTGGTGACTGTGATGGCTCTGCGGTGTGTTCCCGGAGAGGCAGATGAGGAGGTGGAAGAACTCGTGCTTGCTTGACGCCAGGTGCGGTGGGCGTTGAAGGGTGACGATGCGACATGTCGAGGTTTAAACGTAGGAGGGGTATATGGAGTCAGTCGTGATGCACGGTTTTGTCTCGTGCCAGGCGGAGAGATAGAGGACGAGGATGAAGATGACAATCGATGTTGGGTTCTGGACCGGTCGAGAGCGGTGCGGATGCGACTGCGGCAGGCGGTTTGAAATGCATGTGCCTGCACTTGGGCATGGGATGCGGCTATGGTGGCCATTATCTTGAGAAGACACGATGCAATGCAGCGCTGATAACTGAACGGATCGAGTTGGGAGTCGGCAGTCGGAGCAATTGTGTTGTGTCGAACCAAACTAGAGGCCGTTGCTAGATTGAAGTTGGACTACAAATCTTTCCTTGGGATGCAGTTGCCAGCCTCGGGTGGAGTCGACATGCCGTTTTTACCAGTACCTGTCGTGCCTGCCCCAGTGGCTTCAGCGGAGTTGGATTTATCCGGGCACGGTTATTATCTCCAAAGCCCGAAGGCCCTGAGTCACTTAACCCCGAATACCCCAAAAATGTCGAGGATACCTTATACTCCGTATCGAGTTCACGATGGGTCAAACTCTTCTGTAAACGCAGCTGCCTAATTGTCCCCAGTAGTAGACAGATACTACTGTACCTACCATGCCAACCTACCTAGGATAATGAACGAAATACAAGCCTTCTCTAGGGCGACAACTTCCCTACGGCGACTACTCCGTATGTACAAATGCTAGTGGGCCTGGACACGTTGTGGTAGCAAGGATGAGACCAAGAAGATCAGGTACTCCGTACTTGGCTTGCGAACAGATATACGGAGTAATCTTTAATGGCAGCACATTTTATAGTTAAATCCCTTTGGAGAGTCCACTAATCATCACCGCAACCTTGCTGTGACTGGGTACTTAAAGCAGCATCAGGAATCCATAGTAGTGGCACAACGTAGGAGTTGAGACGCCTGGACGAGCACGAGAAGATAGCATTACACTACTCTGTATGTACCAAGGTACCGAGTGCAGGTATGAATATTGGCAGCGACGAGATCTATGACGGCCATAATAGGTACCTACGTAAGGTACTCATCCTCGTCGCCTTTAAAAAATGTACTAATTCGGCACTTTTGTCACGCCGGCCACAAATTGTAAACTCCGGCGCTGCTGAACTTCTCCGCTCGTGCCTTCTTCGACCAAAGCGGCCAAGGGAACTATTAGTACTCTAGTCGCATACCTACGGAGTAGGCAGGTACTCAATTCGCCGCAAGTTCGCCTACCCCCCATGCATCATGTTGATATCAACAGGTCTATGCTTCGAGTCTCCCGGATGCTCTTTCGTCCGACGTCAAACCTAATCTCTTCCTTTGTTCTAGACATTCTCTAGGCTGTAGATGCTAGTACAAATAGCGGCGGACACCCGCGCCGAGGTCAAGTGTTAACCTTTTCATTTTGAGCATTAATCAATTGCTCTTCAGAACTTACCAAAGACTCCAAGTTGCCTGTTGTCCCTTCGGCCATGTCGGACGACCTTGTCATCAACATTCAGCTCGGCGCCTCTCTGCGTCGGTTCTTCTATTCCCAGCTCTTTGTTACTCCAACGAAGCCAGAATATTCTTTTCAAGGACAAACCGTCATCGTCACAGGCTCCAATGTCGGCCTCGGCTTCGAAGCTGCTCGACATATATATCGCCTGAATGCAGCCAAGTTGATTTTGGCTGTGCGCACTGTCAAGAAAGGTGAAGCCGCCAAGGAGACCATCGTCGAGAGCGTGAGACATCGAACAGATGGCGCCACTGCCATTGAAGTCTGGCCACTTGATCTGTCAAGCACACCGTCGACATTGGCATTTGCCGAACGAGTCAAGAGTCTCGACCGTGTCGATGTCGTGGTGGAGAATGCAGGTATCAATGCATTACAATTCGAACAGGCCGAGGGCTTTGAGCAGACCATTCAAGTCAATGTCCTCAACACCCTGCTCCTCGCCCTATGTGTGTTGCCCAAGATCCGACAAACAAAAAGGGCCTTTCCCGACAGCACCGCACACCTCGAGATCGTCAGCTCAGAGGTACATCGCTTCACCAAAGCGCCCGAGCTCAATGCTCCGGACATTTACGCTCATTTGAACGACAAAAGCGCCTTCAACATGGGGAGATACAATATCAGCAAATTGCTCGAGATTTTATTCATCCGCGAACTGTGCTCTCGCCTTCACGACGAGTCTGTCGTTATCACCATGGTCAATCCAGGCTTATGCAAGTCAGAACTCGACAGGTCGGCCAACCTCATCTTGCGATTGTTTCTCACGCCTCTCAGAATGATCTTGGCTCGCACGACTGAGGTGGGTTCGAGGACCTTGGTCGCTGGAGCCTGCAGTCCCGATAGTCATGGTCAGTTCATGTCTGACGGAGTCAATCAAGATCCGGAAGCTTGGATCTTGACAGACACTGGAAAGAAGGCCCAGCTGAAACTGTTTGAGCAGACGATGAAGATTCTGGAACAAAGAAAACCCGGAATCTCCAAGGAGGCCGGTCTTTGATGGCTGTCTTTGGCTCAGGCCGGCATGGATTTGGACTTAGGAGCATGAACTTTTCTGTCATGACAATAGAATGTCCACGACTTCTCTATTGCTTCATGGCCCTGGATTGGTCTGCAGGCGTTCAAAGTTGTAAGGAAGTTTCATTCTCCTCTGACGAGGTCGGATTAAGCATTTAGTATCTTGGTACTGGTCGCCTAAACCTCGACTCAGAATGGTTTGTAGGAGTTTCATGAATCGATCAATCAACATCTGACCTCAGGCTTCACTTTTCCTTCACCCTGGCCTCACGTTCTGTGTTTCTCCGTGCCACGCTCGAGTAGCATCTAATATTGGCAGTCTACGGAATAAGCTAGGTACATAAAAATCCAACATCGAAGTGCCTATGACCCCGATTACCTAAGCGTCCCCATAATAGATGTCACGTGAGATGATCTCAAAGGGACAGACGATGGCGGACCATCCCATGTTGTCAGGTAGCTTTGGATAGCATGAAGGCCCTCGACAGCCGAAAGACATAGATTTAGTTTCTGTGGCAATGAAAAGGGCTCGTTCAAAGGGTTTTCGAGGCATTGTTGGAGAGATCCCTGACGCATGAGTTCCAGTCTGATACCCTTGTCTGTTATTTCGAGGCATTTGACGACGTTTTCACAGCCTGCGAGGCGACGATAGATAGTCTTCTCATTTTCAATGTCCTCGTACGTGCTGAAATACGGTATTGACGAGGGCGACAAATCTTCACGGCCAGATATTTGGGGGATTTTGAGAACAGTTGTTGTGTATGTCAACACTAAGCCTCCCCAACCGGACTTTAGTCTTCCTGTATACTGCAATTTCTTTCTATCTGTCCAAAAGAAGTGCCAACGACCATCCGGAGAAGTCATGGCGATGATTAGAAGGATGCGCCGCAGGTATGAGGAAGGATGGTATGAGTTCACTCCGTGTTGTGAAGGGATACAATACAGGTGATCAAGTCTTGGCACAGTATACAAGGCTATACTATATATAGAATAGCCTCTCGGCTCAGAGCCGCTTACGTAATTGTGCCCCACAAGTACTTTTGTATAGTACGGAGTATATAACCCGTCAGCATCGCCAGATGCATATAAAAGGATCCCCGCCGTGCCCATCTTGGGGCGTCTCCACTGCAGCACATACTCGACATTCGCTCTTTATGCGTGATGATCCACCATAAACGGCCTCGACCTCTTCGCCTGGATTGCTATTGTTGCAAACCCGCCTGCGCTACTCGGCTGCTGAGCAGAGATGAGTTCGATTTTCCTGCGGCCGTTTTTTTGTGTGTCCACACTTCATGCATCAGTCACTATGAAGGCAACCAATGCATCCCAAGTGGTTCAAGACTGGATGTACGGAGCTAGGATGATGTAAACAGATAGCACATGCGGGTTCGCGCAAGACCATGGTGAGGACAAGGCGGCATTACCCGTCCCCCAAAGCAGGGTAGGTGACAATGAAATTGGGGCCAGGCCCCCGCAAGTCACCATCCAAACTGCGTAGTTTGGAGTCAATCCGCGTGGAGCTACTTACATTGACAGTTCTCCCACCTCAATTGCATGTTGGTAGCTAGGGGATGCTGGCCATTCTGAGCTCCTCGCCAGTGAGGCTGCGACCGGTAAACCTCATGTGGGCATGATTGGTGGTTACATTAACAAACAATAACAAGTTGCTGTCGCTTTTCGTGTCTAAATGATCACTTGTTGTCAATCCCCTCGTTCCCTGGATCTAAGATTTGGAACCAGGCTGGCGGGTTCATTTCAGACGACCCCCTGATCCCAGGGTTTCAAAGTGATTGACAGCTTTGCTGCCCTCGTGACTCACCCAGCGGTGTTGTTGCGTTACACCAAATGGGCGTCAGGGTTCGTTCAAGCCTGGCATACGCAGTGGAATGCGACAGGCTGCTCTGCGTCCTACAGCAAGAGAGTGTGTACTGGTACATGATGCTAGAGCGACCACACAATATGAGAGCTGAATGGCGTCTGAACCTCATCTGGTGTATAAAAGCCTCACTATTCAATTGTCTTGCCTCAAATTTTCAGATCTCAAATTTTGACCTTGAACAACAAATGAGTAAATCATGCCAACAACCCCGACCAAGGCCCCAACTCTGAAAGCTCCACGTATCTCGCCCCAATTGGATCCCAGATTGGCCCGGTGTATGCATTGCCTACAAATCGTATCGGGTACACAAACAGATTGCTCTTTATGTGGAGGAGGGGTCGGCAGTCAATGCCGTCATAAAGACTGTAACAAACATCCAGCTGTGAAACACGATTATCAAAAGGCAAGTGTCCGACCAGAGGGAGGCTGATTGGCTGACTCCCTAGCCAGCCACGAAAACAGGGGTAGTTGGTCCCGTATAGCCGAAGTTGTGGCGGGATCTCTTTTTATGTAACCTTTCCTTTTCCAGGCAAGGTACATATTCTCTGGCAAGCGTTGTGGGGGACAACTCTCTCTTTCCGATGCTGACTCCGTCAAGTGGAGACTTTGAATTTGGTACTTACTCCGTAAGTAGTTCCAACTCCTCCAGCCTTTCCATTTTCTTTCCTCTGACAACTGCCCAAAGATGGGATCCTGGAGTGTGGTAGACAGGCACTACGCCTACGACGAGGAAACTTTCACGAAACGAATCCTATTCGAGCACGAACGCCCTCTTAATACGGAAGGCCGTCCTGCCAGCACGCCCTGGAGTACCGAACGGCTCCAGAACGAACAAGCGGCACTTATATTCATTCGAGAGAATGCTACGATCCCTGTTCCAAAAGTTTTCGAGTTCAAGAGTCTTGGAGAAGGGGCATACGAACTGAAAATGGAGCGTGTTTACGGGACACCTCTTGTTTCAATCAAGAAAAGCAAAGATCAGGCTATCAAGGCAGTTGATGAGTACATTTCACAACTTGTTCTTCCTGAGCTCCAGAATTTGAGATCTCGCACTGTGGGTTCTTTGACTGGCAAAATCATTCCTCCATGTCGACTGTGGGAGGAGTCCGAATCTCACCAGTGGACGTCATGGAAATCTTGGTTCAAGACCAATGGCTTTGTTCATAATGATCTAAGTCAATCAAACATATTGGTGGATGACAACTTCAAAGTGGTCGGGATCATCGATTGGGAGTACTCGGGCTTCTACCCGGACGAGTTTGAAGCCCCGTTGTGGACTTCATCACACAACGAGGAGGGATATCATGATATTGGCGCAGAGAATACTCCTCAACTCGTCAAGTTCCTTTCTCAGAAGGAACACCAGCAATTTTGGCCACGCAATTTCTCGCTATTATGCGGTTGTCGTGGAGGGCATGTGCAGAGGAATCCAAGTGGATAAATCTTCCAGATGTGCTATCTTTGGTAAAATAAGAGTTTCCAGCACCCGCGTCTTGCTTCTCTCCTGCACCGCAATGATCCCTGTCGAGCCAGACGGTTGATGAGCCACCAAAGCCCAATTGTGGCGTATGTGGTACCGACCGCCTTTCAAATGTCTTCAAGGGTAACAGGATGAAATCCGCCCGGTCGGTAGTCTAGGAACTTTTCCTCCTTCTCCAAGACGTTCGGTGGGTTGGGGTACTGTTCGTTTCATTTTGCTGAGCCATCCTCGATGGATATGTGTGTCTATGAAGGTGTTGTATTCTATGAATACGAAAAATTTTATAGAATGATATGCAGTAAAGTGCCAGGCCAGAGCTGTGCTGAGGCCTGTGTAGGTTGTTCAAACAATAAGGCGCTCAGAGTAATGTACGGTCTTTCGAGACGCAACGGCATCCTTAAATAGACAGAGCATGCATACATATTGACTACCTCGACGGTCAATCGCTAGGATTACCCCGTTCTGGGATAAGTTCGCCTGGGTAACATGGCACGCCTTCTCTATTCAGCGTGACTCATCGTTGGCCATTCTTGCAGTATTGTACAAGAAGTTCTCGGGTGTTTTGGGCGTTAAATTAACCTTGTTTGATACCTTATTTATAGCGTGTAGATCACCCTCTGGGCATGCTACCCCAACTACGGAGTATGTAACACTACCTACTAGTCGCCCGTAGCCTGCGACTAGATTACGTCCTGTGTCTTATTCAATTGGAGCATCAACATCAAGTCTGAGATCTTGCTCTGTTAGTATGCAACCTTCATCGATCGCCTGTTTATGTTCATCGTGGCTGGCGCCCTAGTAAGTCGACTGTGGAAGGTACACCAGAGTCTTGGCACTGCTCCTTCCCAATATGCTTGGTGGTCACGTTATAGATGCACGTGACGAGTCGAATGTTCCTGCACTCCATGTTGGCTTCAATTTTCATCAATCTCTCCTCGCTTCTGATGCAGTCCAAGCAGATATAAAGAGATTTCAGGCAAGGCCTCTCGCAGCATATCGAACCGCTCTAACAGAGACGCCCAATGGTATGGAGGTCTGCCGAAACAGCCAACCAGTTCTCTTCGGAAAACGGCGCTTGTTGCGGACTTCAGCGGCGGACCTGCTAGTCATTGTGACGGCCGGCCAGGCTTCTCTGATCGCTAATGGTAATTCCAAGCTATCGTCGTCTACACTTAACATTAGCGATACAAATGATACATTTTGACACCCAGAAACTGAACTCAAGTCTTGACGCGTGAGGATACAGGAAGGTGATCTCCGGCCTCTTCCTGTATCTCTTGCCGGTCAAACACCTGTGTCTCCCCTCTTCGCTCACCGAACCAGCACATATATACTGTTTCATGTCCCCCCCAACAAGTATCTCATGTCATCCAGACTACAAGCATAGGAGACAAAGCTTTAGCCCATGCCAGTATTGACATAATCTCGTCCCACTTCTTCAACCAAAGCTCAAAGAGTTGGTCCATCATGGCATTACCCCTCTTCCCAGCTCTGGCTCTTGTCTCACTGGCAGTGCTCGCCGGGTACAAGTTTATATTCCGCCCGATCTTCTTCCATCCTCTCCGCCATATCCCCTCCGCCCACTGGTCCATTCCGGTTTTTGGGGATACTTGGATTACCTGGCAGCGATACAAAGAACGCAACAATGCCGTCACATATGCGGCACATCTCCAGCATGGTCCCGTCGTAAGGATGGCCAGAAATGAGTTGAGCGTGAATTGTGTCGACAATGGTATTCGGACCGTCTATGGAGGAGGATGGGAGAAACATGCTTGGTACCCTCAGAGATTTGCGAGTTATGGGTAAGTCCCAGCCGAAAATGCTCTGGCAACCAACGAGATTGGGGGTGCCGACGGCAGTCCCTCCATCTTGAGAATGCCCGATGTCTCTTCGCCCATTCTTGATTCCAATAATGGCTAACCTGGCTTAAGGGTCATCAACATGTTCTCCACCATTCACCATATGCCACATTCGCAAAAGAAACGGACCATAGCCAATGTTTACTCAAAGTCGTACATGGCGAGCTCCACCCAAGTGGCAGCCAACGCCATGACGTTGTTCTCTACCCGCTTCCTACCCTTGCTGGAACAAGTCAGTCAGACTGCAGAGCCTGTCGACGTGCACGACATGAACAACGCAATGGCTATGGATTTCATGTCTGCTTTTCAATTTGGCCTGTCTGCGTCCACCAACTTCACCCAGGACCTCGCCGCCAGGAGGAAAATCCTCCATCTCTATCACTGTCGTCGCGATTACGAGTTCTTTTCCGCTGAAATGCCGTGGGTCAAGGCTTTGACTCGCAAACTTGGCTTCCCAGTCGTACCCCAATTTGTCGATGACGCGAATGTCTTGCTCGAAAACTGGAATGCGGACATGTGCCGAGGCGCAGAGTCCTATCTTTCGTCCCAGCAAAACATTTCTGCATCACCAGGTAATGAGCCCATCGTGTACAAGCAGTTCAAGACTGGTCTGCTCAAACTCCGAGAGAAGGACCCATCAGCGGGTAAACCGTTGGCCGAGGATCAAGTGATCCTCCCAACTTCTCGACATGACGAGGGGCCAAAAGGCGACTCGAACGACAACACCACAGACACCTCAACAGCGGAAATTTACAGTGAAATGCTAGACCAGCTGGGTGCAGGTCACGAAACTTCAGCCATTGCCCTTACGTATCTGTATTGGGAAATGAGTCAACGTCCACAGCTGCAGAAACAACTCCGCGACGAAGTTCTGACACTGGATCCCCCGATCCTCTGGCCTCGACCAAAATCCGACGGAGAGTTCCAGCTTCCCAGCCCTAAGCAAATCGACGCGCTACCCCTTCTCAACGCCATAGTGATGGAGACCCTCCGCCTGCACACTCCAATCCCCGGCATTGAGCCACGAATCTCTCCCCACACGCCGGGAGGAAACACGTTGGGCAATTATGGGAACATTCCCGGTGGCGTCAGAGTCTCGGCTATGCCATATACACTGCACCGTAATCCTGAAGTTTTCCCGGATCCCCACTCTTTTATTCCTGTGCGGTGGCTTCCTTCACACACATCAAAAGATCAATTGTTGGAAATGAATCGATGGTTTTGGGCTTTCGGGTCCGGTGGCCGGATGTGTATTGGGAGTCATCTAGCAACTCAGGAGATTAAGTTGTTGGTTGCCGCCATATATACCAACTGGACCACTGAGATCGTCGATGATGACGGTATAGAGGAGATTGACGCTTATACGACCAAACCTAAGAGTAATCGATTGATACTGCGTTTCAAGCATGTTTAAAGCAGAAGGATAGTTCAGAAGAGGCGGAGAAGAAGCTGGCGGGGTGAGGACCTACAGGACATTAGCAGACACATGATTACGCACTTGCCTAGTTCGAATCATATGACCCAGCCATTCCGAAGTGATATTACAAGCAATATTACGAGTCATGATAGAAGCCCAGGTCTGGGGACGACATCATAATCATAAAAACCCTTGACGCTATGGCAGCCAGAGCGATGGAACGATTGCCAGGCAAGAGAGTCCAGAAGCTCAGCATAATATACAGAGTATATGTAGACATGCAAGAGTCGATTCCATCCTCATCGAACACTGGAAGAACAAAGTTGACATTCATCTAAGAGTGGCAAAAGATCCCATTGAGCTCCGTGCCGCCAACTTGTACCACTTGTACCCTGCACGCGGAAGACCATGCTCAGGCCTAATAAGGCACTCAAGGTCAGACCACCATCTGGTAGGGACAAAAGTTGGAGGAGACCAGAAGTCGATTCGAGCACAGTCAATGCTTTATGCTTGCCATTCTGGTTGGACCTCTGGGGTGCTCCTCGATCCTCTGTGGCCTGGCAGTGTACGGAGTAGGAGGGGAGAAAGAAAAGATTGGAATGTACTCCGTATGGTCTCCAAAAGATTTGTTCAGTGCACCGGTTGTACCCGACCAAAGCAGCTCGTGCTGCCGAATGTCACGGGGTTGTTTCTGATCAGTGGGTGAGGGAAGCCCGCCGCCTGGATAGTGGTTAGTTTGGTAACAATTGACAGCGGATCATAACCGCAAGCCAGATATCTCCTGAGCATTTTGATCCTGCCAAAAGAGCCCAATATTTTGTGAGCATTAATGGACCCTCCTGGCCGAAGAAAATCGACTTCAAGTCGTGTGAACATCCACAGGTAAACAGTAAACAGCAGCAGTTGTTTGTAAACGGCCAAAAATATCCAACTTGTAAACAAACATATGCCCTTGTGGCGATGATAGGGACTTGTAAGTCATAGCTTCAGCACTGCTCACCTGGTGTTCAAGTCTCTTTGTTTACCTGTAAACAAGTTCCAATCTGGGCCACTTTATCGCGATGATGAGGTGGTCTTGGGATGGTCATGATTCAATCTACTGACGGTGATGAGTCGCCACTTGGTGGAGGATGGAAGGAGCCAACACTGATTTCAATAGATTGAGCACTCTCCCAGTCAACGAGGTGGGCATCAACAACCCAGGTGGCGAAATCGCGAGAAGGTCAGTGCGGACACGCGACAGCTGTCGGCCAAATGAGCACGGATGGGCAAAGGGGGGCCAAAGAAGCGGTTTGACAGCGTCCGAGCTGTGATGAGCCCCATTTGCAATTTGGACTTGAGATCTGGGCAAGACCTGGTGTACGTTGTTGGATTTAATTGCTGTGGTGTGTAAGGCGTCTGGCATACGCGCCATTCGTCTTGGTGGTAATTTGGATGTGATCATTAGATTTTGTTGTATGCATGCTTGCGTAAATTTGAGGTGGTCGAGAGCCTGAAACGTTTCCTGGTTGCAGGAGACGAGGAGGAAAGGGGCGCCGAGTAGGCTTTCAGGGTCAGGGAGAGGCTACGTACAGCCTTTTCAAACCCGGGTTGCGGCACGAATGAATGTTGACGCGAAAAGACGAGACAAGACAAGGATATGTCAGTGAAGTTCTTTTCGGGGGTGCTGGTTCCATTTTTGGCTATGCTCGCCCTGAAAAATGGCGGGAGTTTTCCCATTTGGACGATTTCGACGCTGTCTCACGGAAGCCATGACACCTTTCCACGAGCTGTCCGAGTCAATCAGAGCACGGAGAGAGCCAAAATGATTTCAGGAGTCAGTGCGAAGAGGATTTGCCGTTGAAAGCGCGTGCAGACGTCCATGATGGAGGATGAAGTGTCTTCTGACAGGTGTTAGTGCAGGGGTGGCCGTCGTCGTGGATCTGACATCAACATCCGCAGCCTTTGAGGGGCTCCCACAGGCAATTGACCTATAGAGATGACGTCCGAATGAAGTTGGAGGGAATCAAGGAATTGAGATCTGTAGAGCAAAGTTAACAAATGCAGGTTTGAATGGATAAGGCCACGAAGCTGAAAGTCCGACAGGTAATTATGCACAAGGCATGAAATCTCAGTGGCCGCCGCAGGACAATTGCATCGTCCATTATGTATGATGCAATGCTAAATGTCGAATCGGTACAAAGGGAAATCTTGCCCGGTGAGTCAACCATGGGTCGACGACGTGCAAAGTGAGAATTGACTAATTGTTAGCTGCGACCTGAGGCCTCGAAGGAGTTTGGTAGAGAGAATGGTTGGGGAAAGGAGAGAAGCCAAGTCTGCAGATGTGCCATTCAGCCTTTGCGAGCGTTTCGTGAGCCCGAGGCAGCCCCTCGACGTCCCCATTTCATTCGCCCACCAGCCAAACGACGTTGTGGATGGGCAGTGGTGAGCCCCGCGGGCTCCTCATGTCTGCACCGAACGCGTTTCCAGGTGCCCCTCGTCCTCTATTCAGAGCACCCCTCGTGCCTGGTAGACCTCCCTTTCTAGGCCTGGCTTAACTAAAAGGAGCCAAATTGGAGCCAGGTTGGAGCCAGGTTGGAGCCAGGTTGGAGCCAGATTGGAGCCAGATTGGAGCCAGATTGCCCCTCCGCTCCACTAAATGACTTGCAGGGTGAACCACGACTGCAGTCACCCCTCTCCGTGTCTGTCCTCTCACAATCAATCCTGCAAGACCCAGACTTTTTTCCTAGTCCCACCCTCGCATCCCACAGAGCCACTCCAGACTCGAGGCAAACATGTCATCTGCAATCGTGACCTCAATTACTCAATCGTCACCATCCTTCACCGACCAGAGAAGGCGAGATGAGGCGCACGACGAGAAATGATAAAGCATCAATTGACCGTCGATCGACTAGTCTCGTCGTCGTCTCCATGACTTCACTTATGGGAGGCCAGGTAACCAGCCTTGACCACCAACAACCCATTTCCCACGAGAGAACGCTCGAGTACCCCGTCGCCCTGTGCAGACACGTCAGTCTGTCCGTCAACACCCATCACTGCGGTCACTAACATCAAGCTCTACATAGACGTCCTTCGCCGCAAGATTGCAAAACATAGGCCCTGAATCCACCAGTCAGTCTCGCCACGGACCGGCCGCTCAGATACTCAGTACAAAGACCACCTGAATCCCGTCCGTGTTCTCTGTCGCTCCATCCTTCAACACTCTCTCCTCCACACGCTCGGATCGAAACTTGGATACCACTGCTGCACGGCTCGGCCAGAGTCTACACACACCACGTGGGAGCACAACACAAACAGTTGGGGGTCGACCGATACTTGAGCCAATACCAACATCTCAGCTCCAAGCAAGTTTGAGCCTCGCTTACAAGAAAACATTTCACTCAAGCCATACGACGTACGACAAGGTAGTTCTTTGCGACTAGTAACCTGTTGCTTGGCTGTTACATCGGCCATATACAACTCGAGGCTGAGTATAGCATCTCGGATCGGAGGCAAAGTCCAGGGGCAGCAAACCTAAGCGGGACCTGAGCGCATTACCGTCGCTTGTCTCCTCCCGGCTAAAAAGCTGAACGTTCTTGCGTCACCCTCCACCCAAAAAGGTCCCATTCCTTCTGGAGGTTCCCGCCTTGACTCTAACACTACTGGCTGCCAAGGATAGCATACCAGAGTCTCGCCCTTGTTGTCAAGCATTCGCATTCCCCGAGCGAATGCCAGCGTTTCATTAGCCACACTTCGGCTCTCTTTTCTTCGTACCTTCCTTTGGACTCGTTCTATCGATCTCTATTCCATTCTAGGTGAGTCTATTTCAATATTGCCTCGACTCCTGTGTTCTATTTTCCAAGGTCATGGACTGTGCTCTCTGATATCATATATGACGGTGGTTGGACCAACAAGGTCGCCGCATCTCAGTGGATGAGAGCGCCTTGACCTTCTCCACCTCTGGCACTGATCCCGGGCGGGCCAGAGTGCTATCAATACCATGATCCCCATCGACTCTGGACCTTGGGTTGTTCTTTCTGTATCACATCACTAACACGCAATCATGCAGACCTCAGACTACCGGTACAATTACACTCAACCACAGAAATCTCAAGGAGACGCTGCTCACCAGCGCCCATTGAGACAACCGCCTACGGCATATCCTGTCAAGGGAGGAATGGAAATTGGTGGCCTTCTGAACGCCAGGAACGCCGCCGCCGCCGACGCTCAACTTAGACGCCAGCTTCAACAATCGATGCACGTAGAGGGTGGAGTCGCATACGCCATGAATCACAACCAAGGTCCAACAATGCTTCACCACGCCCAACACCCTATGCAACACCCCAGTGGCATGGGATATCCTCCGCTCGGTCAGCCGCAACATCCTGCGCACATGTATGGCAACAGCTTCATTCCACGACATGACACCCACGCAGCTCTTGCCGACGACAACTTTGGTGCAATGAAACCAAGAAACGAAGGAGCGCCCAAGGCTTTTGCCTGCAGCACCTGCCAGAAGGGGTTCGCCCGACGCAGTGATCTGGCTCGTCATGGTATGTCGTTATCCGTTCTACTTCTAAAGCAGCGAGTTCTAACTCGAGTAGAACGCATTCACAGTGGCATCCGACCACATGCATGCGACTACCCAGGCTGCGGAAAACAGTTCATCCAGAGATCTGCTCTGACTGTGCATGCGCGAGTTCACACTGGAGAAAAACCACATATGTGTGAACGTTGCGGAAAGGTGAGTCACAGGCGTTGCGCTTGCATTTGGGCGACATGGACTAACGAGCTTTGCAGCCATTTTCCGACTCCAGCTCACTGGCCAGACATCGCAGAATTCACTCCGGCAAGCGACCATACAAGTGCCCATACGCCAACTGCCAGAAGACGTTCACTCGGCGAACGACACTCACTCGTCACCAAAATCATCACACTGGGACGATCGAGCAGGCAGCTGCCGAGACCAACGCCAAACTATCGACCACTCAGCCTCCATCGCAATCGATCTATGGGTCTACCTCCGGATCTTCGAGGAATTCCACGGCCTCGCCTGCCGATAGACAATTATCGGTTTCTCCCAACTCAGAGTTGCCACCAGTGACCAATGGGATGGCGCGACAAGGGTCGGATTATGGATACATGTCGCAACCCCACTCACTACCGCCCCACATGCGAAGCGACTACCAACAAAATGCTCAGCGCACCACACCTTCGATGAATGCGCATTCGCTCCAACACTATACCAGTGCTCCTCAGCAGCAAAGACCACCTACAGCGTCTCGGCCCTCAAATTATGGGCCACCCCAACCCATGGAGCCACCCACGACAGGGCCTGGTAGTGGCAACGCTTCCCCTCACATGAACAATCTCGCCTGGGCTGGACAAAATGCGCCCAACATGCCAGGATCAGGCAACATGGACAATTATGCTTATCCTGAGCCGGCTTATGGTGGTCACAACATGTACTATCCAGGAACGAGCATTCGTCGACCACAGAGCACGGAGCCGGAGGACTACGGCATCCGGCTACGACATCCTCACATGGCCCACCAGGTACCAATCACGGCAGACTGGAGTGCCATGCCCATTGGCGTACAGGACAATCGACAAGAGCGATATGTGATGTAGACGAGTTTCCACATGCTTGGCAGCAAGCGGAGACTCCATCTTCAATAATTCCAACTCGGTGACACATCAGGCACATCAGGTGGACGCTTGATTTTTGCACGACGGTGGCAGAATCAATTCACTTGCTCGGTTTGGGAACCTTCTGCCAATCGGTCGCTTCGATCGATCTTTTCTCTCTACGATACCCCAACGGCCAAGTTCTCAGGACTTGATATTGTTTTGGAGTTGTTTATGCAATGTATGACATGCAGGACGGTTTCCACCAGGGCACAGTGTACAAGGGGGATTATCTGGTCAGGTGTAGGTTCTACGGAGTACTCGGTCATCATGGGTTGGGGAGGGTGAGGACCCCTCGAGGCATTTGGGAATAGCAGCGTCTGGATTTGAACATTTGTGGTTGCAAAACCGTTAGTCGGTGGCGCACGGTCCTGCATGTGAACCGACCACATTAATTGGCGCACACGGGCCGCTGAAAGACTTGATCGGGACAGGTTAGAAGTCGGTTGCCTCACAGGCGCCTTGAAAGAGTCATGTACTAGTGGCGATAAGGCAAGCACACTTTCAATCCTTGACCCTCTTCTCATTGAACAATAATGTATGATGCTCGTAATGTTCGTGATGCTCTCCTAAGAGCTGGTCTGCGCTCTGAGGATCTTCCGCTTCGGTCCATCTGGCGAGTTACGTAGGTGATTATGCCCGATTGAGGATATCGAAGCTGTAACGGCGCACGCCTAAGCCACAGGACCTCGTAGGTAGCGTCGATCCAGGGCTCATGGCCCAGGACCTAGAACAAGGCTATACGTGATTTTACGAAACAAGGTCAGATCACACCAATATACAAGATAGTTTTCTAGGCTATCGATTTGGAGACCAGTCGATTCTGACGCCGATCCCAGAAAGGAAGGCCTTACGAGTAAATGCTCCACTGATTGAGAAGCAACCACCTCAAAGTCCGACAAAACTTCGCCGGAGGTGGCCTGGATCATGGATTCTTTTGTTCTGAAAGCCAATAGGAGATTGGTCAAGAGGAAGAAGAAAACGGAGGAGGGTTCGGCTCCAACAGGGACAGGACATAGTCTCTCGTGGTGTGACGGGTTTCCAGATGACGCTGGTCCTATGGTTCTCGCACGTAGTTACCTCCAAGTGCCTCCATAGGAAGGACAATGAACCGCCGCCGTTAATAAGGTTTATTGCGTCGTTGGCCCTAGCAGGCCTAGATGAAGGGTGCCCCTCGATCCTCGAGGGCGACTGGCGACTTACTAACCAACTAACGACTCCATAATCCGAGCTGCCGTAAGTGCCGACCGGCCGCCCTGCAGGCTGCAGGCTGCATGATCGGATGACCGGCAAAGTACTGTACTTATCTTAGTTCCAGGCGTTGAGATATGGGGTACTGTAGTGTCCGTCGTTCGGTGGAAGTCTCCTTTCACTTTCATGCAGCAGCGTTTGTACCTACCAAAGGGAGTTAGGTTAGTTGGGATCGATCAGTCTAAGTCGTTCCTCTACAGAGTAGATAGTGGCTAAGTAAGTACTTAGTCTGCCTAGATATTTAGTACTTAGCACTTATCTGAAAGGCAGGTACAATCCAAAAGACGTGTGTCATCAGTTCTGAGTCTTGCCACAGTGGAAAGCGCGACCGCGGAGTCACGCACTCATGGCAGGCACAGCTGACGATTGATGAAGTTCATTTACTCCTCGCAACTGGAAAGTACCTCGATCCTAACTCAAAAAGACTGACACGTCGCCGAAAATAGCAATTTAGCCTATAGGCGAGCCTGTAGCGACAAGCGCCACCATTCCACCCATTCCCCGGAGGATGCGCAATGGCCCCTTGGCCCTATGAAACCTACCCTAAGTACCTAGGTACACATACCCATGGACCATATCCTTGCCCAAACGACATCCTACCTTTTGTCAATCCGGGGTTGGTTTCTGCCCCTTGTCCTGAAGAAAAAGGCGCTTCTTGAGTTTTTTCGCTTACCCCCGTCTCTGTTCGCTAATACGCCTCGTCTCAGCCTCAAGATTCTGGGCAACCTTGTTTCTTTCAGCCTCGACGTCAAGATACTCTGAATACCAGTCATACCCTCGATACCCCTCTGCTCTTACCTAATTACTGGGATTTGTCCCCTGTTTGGAAAGTCTTGTTATTGCTGGAGGTACCCTGACTAGGTCGGTATGTACCCTGTCACTATCTGCCTGAATGACATTCTATTTCGCCACAGGATGTCGATGACATTGTCGCATCCTTGAGCTGAACTGAGATACGCGATGTGGCGACCAGATTCTAGCGACGTGGAGCATTCTTGGCATTCGCTGCCACGACGACGATGAATGCCACGCACGACCAGGGTCAATCGAGATGAACGAAACCTCACGAGTCACCACCGTCCATGTGCACCAAGTTGGTAGTTCATGCGTGCCTGTAGGCTATACCCACAGGGTACAAGGGTATTCCGCGTCGCATTGTCGTTTTCGGTAGTTTACGCGAAACCACATGTCAGCTCGCATCAATTGTTTCTTGTACTGCATTATTGCATCCTTGAGTCGTTGACCTCCCTCCTCTCTCAAATATCCTCTTTCCATGCCAGCGCAGACAGGGATTTTCAATCCTTGTTTACTGTTCAGAACATGGTCAGGATGCTTTCCGACTACGTATGTCTTCAGATGCTAAAGCTGCAGGGAGACGACATCGTGGACTCTGGCGTTCTGTTGACCTCGATCTACACCAAAACCGTGATTTTTGTGGACGAACATACCTTGACATCGCCCCGGTGAATTCACGCAAGACGACCTGAGGTAGGGCATGGCTGGGCCTCTTCCCACTTCTTCATAGCGATCGGTCAATTCTGCAATGGTTATTGGTTTCCCTTGCCACGTCTTTGTTCCTTGGTCGGATGCAAGGTAAGGAGATGATGCTCTACTGACCTCGGGGTTCTTTTTGAGACATTTGGGCACAGTTTCCTTACATCCAGCGTTCGCTTTGATCCCCTGGATCCAATACTTCATTGAATCCTCTCCTTATCTTGATAGCAACCCTTCTTTTGCCCACTATTCATGCTTACCTGCCGTTGCATCATATGACATATAACATCTCAACTGGGAGGCCGAAACAACAAAAATTCTACAACAAAGTACATGATCCTGACTTGGGACAAGTTCGCAACTTCCAACGACCTCAAATTCCGAATGAAGACACCCCTCTCCTGCCTCTACCTCGAATCATCCTCACGAGAGATCAATCGTTGTTTCCCAAGGAACTTCTAGAGACACTCGCTTCAAAAGAGCCGTTCATACTTCTTTCCATCATCCCATCCCGGATTATCTGGAGCATCATGCAGATGTCTTGGACCATGAATCACACTTTCACTTGTGTGACCATCAACCTCGACGTGATCACGACTTCCCACCATTCATACTGACGCCGGCCTTCACTGAATCAGCGCCTGTTCGCAGGCATCTGACACCATTCAGCAAGCTGAGCCTAAGTCAATCTGCACACTCCAAAGACATCGTCGTTGTGAACGTCGAGAAACTTTGACCCGCAGCAAGGGAATTCTACTACCGCAGCGATGGTGTCGCCGTACTTCGACAACAAATCAACTCCATCGAGGTTCATCACTAAATGCCAGCATTCTCGCCAAAACCAAGGCTACACCTCAACCTGGGACAGACCGACCACTTCCACGAGACACAACACTTTTGGGTTCGAGGCAAGGTGATCACCACGGAATAACCCTTGATATCTCCACGACTCCTACTCGGTCATCTTCCCAAACATGCTCTTTGAAAAGTCAATCCGCTTAGGAAATGGACAATTTACCTTCCTTGCTTCCTTCACAATTACACTACATCCCCACAGTCAACAAACACGAGTGAAAGGCATCACTCATTTAGATCGAATCGAGTCGGATCGAACACCGTCGAAAAGGCAAGCAGTCTGGAAAGACAGGTCCAGAAGCGCGGGATCGCATTCAAAGGCCTAGGCATGAGCTAGAATCTGGTCCCCTCGAAGTCGAAGTCGAAGTCGAAGTCGAAGTGGGACAAAAGAGAGGAGCAGGCCACCACATCAGGACTGTTGTCACTCACATTGCGACATATCCAAATCTCACCCTGTGGTTCCCAGATACATCTATGAGGAACCAAAGTACATGCTCCGATGGTGGTTTGAATGAACATCTTGCCCTACTCTGAAACCCTGTCTGTTCCATCAACCCAGATAGTGAGCCGAGAAGAGGCCAGAAACCAAGAAATTCAGTTGGATAGTGTCGACAGTATACTGGATCAGTGATGGGTGAACGTCACTACCGGTTGAAGCTTCATGAGAGATGTGCGACGGGTTGATCAATTTCACTATGGTTTATCCTTGAGAGGCAGAAATCTCCGGAATAACAACACAAGAACAATACACGTGTCCATGTCCCGGTGCCGCTGGGGAAAGCAGTTTGATGCGTCCGAGTCACGTCACAGGCTGAAGATTCGACGAGGCTGAAAACTATAGAGACGACAAGCGCAAAGGTTCCAAGGATCTCCAAGAGATGGACGCAGAACTGGATCGGCAGCACAGGTAGGCAAGCCCTTGGAGATCGTGGGAATATCCTTTTTTCAGCCGCCGGCTTGAGCGTTCGTAATAATCTAGATTGGGTGCTGTATCAATCAGCAGCTTTGAGTTGAGGTTTTTTATTCGTTTTCTCTGCCGATCACACAGTGTGGGTATTCGTAGCGTGAACAGTATTCCCAGTACAAAATTGTATTGTGATTGAAAGTCGTGTCATTGGGGGGGCATTAGATTGCACGGCATAGGTGCACCGAGACCAAACCGCGGCTTATTCGGCATAGTATCGCTTCATAAGAGCATCCACGATCTTGTAGGCTTTCTTTGCTTCGTCGATGCTTTGACGACTTAAACGAATGAGCTTGTCCTCATCTGGCTCGTCCACTTCTCCTGTTTCATTCTTCTTGTGACCATAATGCTGAATCTTTTCACACTCGTCTTTAACCTTGGTAAAACCTAGGGTGGCAGATGAACCTTTCAGAAAATGGCCCAGACTGGATAATTCGGGTAGATTTCTCTCTTTCCTGTAAGGTCAAATCTGTCAGAACTGCGAACCATGGTGGTGGGGGTGGAGGGAGCAACTGACAAAGCAACGTCCATCTTTGTAAAAGTCTGTTCGGCTTGTTCCAGGAAACCAAAAACGATAGACTTGCTGAAGTCACGATCATCTTCTTCGTCCATGTCAAGGATTTGCTCGAAGGCAGATCTGTCGACATTGTCACCGAAATCGAAATCCGCCTGAGGTCACAAAGGGTATTAGTAAATGGTTCTCAGGGCTTTGGGGTGCGGTGCGGTGCGGGGCCAAGATCGAGAGGTGGTGGTGTCTGGTTTGTTTGTGGTTTCCAACTTACTTCTTCAGCCATTGTGAGAAGAGAATTTGATGGTAGTGGTGACCAGGTTCTTTGTTGCTGATCTGTCGGGACGGCTGGACAGGCGAGAAAGGCTCTCGAAAAGTGGTGAAAACCTGATGTCGTCGTGCAGGAAGACCGACAGCCGAAGGAGGAAACGAGTGGGGGAGTGAGAAGGATGAGCGCGGGAGGAGCAGCAACTGGCTGATTGAAGGTGGTGGTGACAACAGATGAGGATGAGGATGTCTCACGACCTTGAAGACCAGAGAGGTCTGCTACAGTGAGGTGTTAGCGGACTGAATCAGCATGCGAGCAGTGTGGTAAAAGGATAGGTGCGGTTGGATCACATGTACCAAGGAGCGAGCGAGTTAGAGTTACTCAAGTACCGTGGTTCAGTACCAAGCGGGATGGGATGTATGTGAAGAGTGATGAGCAAGATGTACTGCGGGGAAGAAACAAAACTGGTAGAAGCTGTTGGAGCGCAAGGAGCCAACAGATCAAAAAATGACTCCAGGACAGATGAGCAACAAAGCAAGAAGGGCGGACGAAGGAGGACGCCGAGAAATGGACTCAAGAGTAGTTGCGATAGTGGGATAGTGGGATAGTGGTGCGGACGATGGTGGTTGGTGGTGGTAAAAGTGGTGGTGGTTGTGGTGATTTGTGCAGGCGCAGGCAGGTAAGGCACAGGCGCAGGTCAATGTGCAGGAGCAGTTACAGGTATACGGAGTTAGTAGGCACAGCAGGAACAGGAGGCGCAAGTAGACACATAGGGACAAGAGTAATGGACATGGTAGTGGACACTGGGGCGTCTGTAATCGGGTCTGGTGGAGTACAACGGACGTCGCACAAACCAAAGTCGTGTGGCAGGTCTAAAGTCCCCAGGCGCACAGTGACGTACTGCCGGACGGTTAAGTGCAATCAGGTGTCAGGATAGGTGCAAAGGTCCCAATGCAGACGCTGCAAGCGCTGATCACCCGAAGCTTTCGAAAAACGAGGTGTGAATCGCCCCTCTATTTTGGATCAACAAGAGGCTGCCCCCAGCACCCGTGAATGAATCCGAACTTCGATGGCTTGAGGCTGAACTCGTTTCGGGCGGTCAAGGTTAAAAAAAAGTTTTTTTGGCCCGTCATCAGGCAGTACGTGAGACATGGGTTTGGGTCTGTCAAGTGAGTGGATCCATCTCCGTCATTGCCTGGGGGAGTGAAATGGGAAATGCTGGGCGTGAGGGATTGATGAGAGTTTTCTTACTGTGATTGATGGGTTTTGGCCGAGGTCAGGAATTGGTGATGGGTGATTAGGTATAGGATCTGTTTGGGCGAATCAATATTAGTTTTGTATCTTGTTGGAGTGTGTGCCAAACTTGATGTAGGGTTGCCGTATTGTTCCTGATAAGTGGTCTTGGTGCTTGGTGATGTTCAAGAAAGATCCAACCATGTGGAGGGGAGGGGAGGAGAAGGAGGAGGTGGAAGACGGTAGTGGGGTTGGCAAAGACGCCAACTTGGTGGTCGAGGGGCATGAGGGGATGGATGCAGGGGCAGTCGGTAGGCGGGATGCATCCGTAGGGCAAGAAACTACCTCTACTCCGTAGGTACGGTTCAAATGCGCCAGAGGCATGTCCTCGTATAAGCCTTGAGGTTGGAGTGCCAGTGATGGGAAAGAGAGTGGAAACGTCTGGCTTGTCGTGCTGATCCCAAGCTATCAGCCATCAGAAATTAGAGGCTACAAGTCAGAAAGGCGTGAGAATTATGGGGTGTAGTTGGGGTTAGGGGCTTTTAAAGCCAGAGACGCCCCCTGAGGAGTACCCATCATGCCTGTAGAATACACCTTTCACGCCCATCTAACGTCCTACTACTTTTACTGTACTTCCGAACTAATGCCTAGTCTTTTGATAGGGCGTCCTGCGAAGGAAATGTGTTTCGATATCGTTTGCTGTCCATATAGGTATCTAACCGCTCCGAATCGTGGGCCTCTACTACCAAGCTGCATGCATCCACCCGTATGTAAGCCGACCGGCCCTATGACAGACGATAGTTCCCTCATGTAGGTATCCTTTATCGGGCCCGTCCACCTCGTATGTGCAACTGAATACGGCAATCAAAACCCGAGGATGTGGATAGACGTGGACAGCATGCGACTGCATGCATCAAGATTGTGTGACAGAAAGAATGACTGCATGCAATGGAGAAATTCTCTCTCCAAAGGACTGTGAGGCCCTACGAGTATCACTCGAACTTGACGGCTGGAAACCTATACCTTTATTTTCGAGTGTCATTTGTGTAGACGCAGGCCACTATATTCTTCACAGCTGTCGTGAGGATAATGAAGAAGTGTTCAATTATATGGCACTAGTTCTAGGATCTACACTAGACTAGAGCTGGGATCGACCATCCAACACACAATGTGGATCGTCTCAGGGTTTCATAGATTGCGATTAAAATGCTGTTAGTGGCCCCTGGTATGCTTCGTCCTGTATGGGTATAATTTGAGATCTCGTCAGTATTATCAATGGCATTCCGAGTGTCAATATTGCATCACAATCATCAGTGGTTTCTTTGATCCTGTGGTCTAGGGTTTTCCACGGTTTTCTGTTGTCTATCGAGATTGCAATGGCTTGCACGAATGGCAGAACTGGCGGTGTTCAGATATGCCACTCAACTGCCGTCTATGAGATCTTGTTTTCACACCTGACCCAAGCTGCCCCGATTCTGGAACCAGTCTGTTGGCACATGGTTTCCCTATGGATTTGATATGCTAATGTGACATGATCGCCTTCGAGTTCAGAGCCAGGAAACTGTCATCAACTCGAGGCTTGATGGCGTCTGGCCTCTACGAGGTCACCTTGTGGATGGACTCGGCGAGTCTCTTGACATTGGCGTTGGTAATACCTGAAACAGAGATACGTCCGTCTCTGGTGGCGTAGACCGAGTGCTCCTTGGCCAATTGGTCCATTTGCTCAGGGCTTAGACCAGTGTAGGCGAACATACCAATCTGTGGAAATATGTCAGTGCTGGAGAATACCTAAATGGTTTGTCGTTTCAAGACAAGGCTCCTACCTGGTTGGTGATGTGATCCCAGTTATGCTTGCTTCCGAGATCCTCAAGATTCTTCTTCAACAAGGCTCTCATCTTGATGATGCGATCGGCCATGCCCTTGACCTCACCCAACCATTGCTTGTTGAGTTCTGGGTTGCTGAGGATTTCGCTGGCAATTCGAGCACCGTTGATGGGAGGGTTGGAGTAAAGAGGGCGAACAAGAATCTTGATCTGAGAGTCGACGCGCGCCTTTTCTTCTGCGCTGTCGGTGACAATGCTGAATGCACCAACACGTTCACCATAGAGACCCATGTTCTTGGCAAAAGACTGAGCCAGAGCCAGACCATGGCCTTCCTCAATGAACAAGCGGACGGGGAAGGCATCTTTATCAGTGTCACCAGAAGCAAATCCTTGGTATGCCATGTCGAAGAACGGGTAGTGTTGCTTCTCCTTGACAACCTTGCTGATCTCTCGCCATTGCTCTTGTGTAGGGTCAACACCGGTGGGGTTATGGGCGCATGCATGGAGCAGGACGATGCTGTTGTTTGGGATCGACTTGAGATCGGAGATCATACCCTCAAAGTCAAGACCGATGGTGTCCTTGTTGTAGTACTTGTATGGTTTTACCTCCAGTCCAGCGTCGGAGAAGACGGCTTTGTGGTTTGCCCAAGAAGGGGTTGGGATGTAGATGGTCTTGCCATGAGGGTAATGTCGCTCGAAGAACGCACCACCTATTCTCAAAGCACCTGTACCGGAGATGGATTGGGTGATGGCGACACGATCTTCTTTGATGGCTTTGCTCTCTGGGGTGTAGGCCAGGAGCGCGGCATGCTTGGTGAATGACGGTACACCGGTGATGCCAGCATACTCTTTGTCAAGCTTCTGGTCAAGGAGTTTGGATTCAGCTGCGCGGACAGAGGGAAGGACATAGGGCTTGCCAGCGTCATCGCCTGAGAAGGGAGTGAGTAAGTTATGACGACCAAGAAAGAGGTGATGTAGATGAAGAGTGACTCACGGTATGTGCCAGCACCCAAGTTGATCTTCTCCTTGAAGCTGTCCTTCTTGAATGCCTCGGTGATACCTAGAATGGCATCAGGAGGACCCTGTTTGACACTAGCCCAGGTGGAGGCATTCGCGGCGGCAGTGAGGCGAACAGTCTGTTGCTGTCGCAGGGCCGTTCTGGCAGCGGGTCTGAGTGTGGAGAGCATGACGAATTAAGAGAGGATGTGAGAGTGGTAGTGGTAGTGGTAGAGAAGGTGATGTCGTCCCCAAGAAGGGTGGTGGTAATGCACCTATTGGAGGGCAACGGTGTCACTGGAAAGGCAGTATGGAGCAGCTGGGATGATGCACGGCAACACACTGGAATAAGATGAAGTGGACAAGCGCGGCAAAAGAGAAGAGGTAGACAATTGAGCAATGAGAGAGGATGAATGATGAACGGGAGAGGGAAAGTTGATGATGAGATGGTGAAGGTGGTTACGGGGATACAATTCACAGTGGGTGATCAATCACAGACTGGCCAGGGTGTGAGTCGCGAATTATGACTGGTACTTTTTTTTTGTTCTTTCTCCAAATCCCACGTTTAGGATCAGATTCAAGTCAGTGGCAGGTGCATGTCGCGGGTTGCCGCTTCAGGTTGCAAGTGCCGGGGCTCTGAGCTCCAAGCTGCAGCTCCACGGCGATTGACTCATTGGGGGTGCAATGGGTCATTGCATCCACCCATTTCGGTATAATCGGTACAATTGAACGCCTATGCCACCCGCATCACAGATGCCCATACAGTACGAGGATACCTAAACACACCACCACACCTAGGTACCTAGTACTTCCGTAGATTGACACCATCCCCATCAACACCTTTCATCCTACTTACTCCGGACACTGACTCGATGCCATGCCATGATATCCTTAGCGTCCCCGGATTTCTATCAAATGTCCCGACTTCGGAAGTGAAATAGCCTCCCTTTGACCCGCTGACAAGCATGCGATGACCCGAAAGCTCGCTCTCAATGGGCCGAAGTGCTTTTAACCTAGGTACATGGTACATTTCTCCTATCATTATTACTGTTTATGGAGGACAAGCAACACGAGCTTGAACCGGGTACCTGATTCTAGTTTACCCGGTCGCCCATGAAATTCATATGCATACGGAGTAGAGGTACGCAACCGCACTTTTTTACTTTTATTAACCCACTGTACTCCGTAGTTAATTAACCTGCCCGGGCTTTTCACTTGAATTGATTGATAGATTAAGCTAGAATTGCCTGGGACTTTAACCTCGGACTTTGTTTCCACCGGAAGAATGGCACACGTGTATGGACACGTGCACACGTGTTCAGGGGTATAACAATTCTACTCCCTCCCTTTCGACCGAGATGCAATTTCTGTCCTTCTGTCCCCTCTGTCCTCCTTGCGCTTGCGAAGATTACAGTACGTAAAGTCCAGGGGGATTTTCGACTTGAAGAGTGTGTCTTGCATATAGTACATACAGATACGTACGTGGGGTACCTATTGAGGTACGAAGGTCCCTAATACTAGCACCGTACCAATCAATGCATCTTCATACACAGCTCAGGCCAATCGAACACCAGCTTCCTTATGCCTCTTACCCATTGCACCTTGTGCATTGCTCATCCCTGTAGCCTTGCTACTATCCAATACACTGGATGCCTCTCTCTTCTTCTCCTCTGCAACCTTCTTGAGATGTTTCTCCGTCTTCTGCTTACCACTGCCTTTGCCATGGAACTGGTGGCTGAGATGTTTGAAAGCCTCTTTAGCGTTCATCGATCTTCCATCGTCATCAATGTATTTCAACGTCACGTCCGGCTTGTATTCGCGATTGAACGCTGCTGCCGCTTGGATTGAGCTCTGGTGCTCGCGTTGTGTGTTTTGCCATCGAGCGTGTTCCTCTCGCTCCTTGACCGACATATTGTTGAGCTTGCCAGATTGTCGATCCCGTTCACGCTGTGCTCGAGCCCGTTGCTCCGCTTCATGCTCGCGCAGTCGTGCCTCGATGATGAATTTCTGTCGATCCTTATACAGACTGTTCTTATCGCCAGCGTCGCTCTCCTTGATCAAACCACGTTGTCGAAGCAGTCCTAGAGCTGCTCCAACACCTTGGTCCATCGTCTTTTCGTCATCCAGACCTGAATGTGATATGTCTGGAGTGTTGGTCGACTGTTCACGGCGCAGACGCTCGAGAAGCTCCTCTTCATTCTCCACTCCGTTGTAAGCCTCGCCCATAGGATGATCTTCTTCCTCCTTGACGGGAGTTGGCGGGCTGGCCGCTTCTGGCTGCTCGATTGATTTTTGCACTGGTTGTTCCACCGGCTCCTCTCGAGGCCGAGAGGAAAGATTGTCCAAGAATACTGTAGTATCATCGAAGACCAGTCCACCATTGGCCTCGTCTTGTACACTCGCCTCGTCCGCCTCCTCCTGCTTTAACTGCTTGATGATGTCTTCCGGTTTTCGTTTTTGCTTCTTCAACACTGCTCGCCGACTACTCGCCAAAGCACTGGCCAGGTCATCGTCGTCGTTGAAGTTGTCTTGATATGAACGTGATTTGGAGCGTGCGATGGCGGGTTGGGTGTCGACTTCCATGGCATCACCATTGGCTTGATCTTGAGCCGGGTAAATGTCATCCTCATCAATCTCCTTTTGCCGCTTGGATTTCTTCTTCTCCTTCTTAGGCTTCTTGATCTTAACCTCCATGTAATCGGAAACAGACTCGGGTTTGAGAAAGTCGAGACTAATTGAGGTCTTTAACTTCTCACCAACTTGTTGACGTTTAGCTTCTCGCTCTTCAATAGTGGCACCTTTGCCATCAAGAGTAAACGCCTTGCGCTTCTTATCGTCGTATTGAGAAAGCAAACCCTTTTCCGAGTCGTCATTTACATCATACACCTTGCGCTTTTTGAGGTCGAGTTTTTCTTTGAGGGCATCTTGTGCATTGATTTCAGCGTTCTCGAGTATATCCTCCTGCTCGCTGTCATCGTCCTTTCCGATTTCTTGATCTCGTAGTGTAAGGATCTGCTCGGAATCGAGACCGTCAAAATCATCAATCTCGTGAGCTACCTGCACTCCGGCGAGGTCTTTGGAGGTATATTCAATTGCAGCCTCGGCCTCCCGCTCGGCCAATTCTCTGGCTAGCCGCTCCGCACGTTCACGTTCGATCTTAAGTTGACGCTTCTTTTGTCCTTTCAGCCAGGCTTTGGCGTCGAGATCACCTCCCTCATCGACATCGCCGAGACCTTTTCCTTCGAGTTTCCTGGCTCTGGCATCAGCATCGCGGGCCTTTTGTAATTCCTTTTTCCGTTTCTCTCGTTGCACTCTTTTTTTCTCATCATCTTGAATTTGTTTCCAATTGGCGAAGCCAGCGGCCTCGCGAGTTTCGAGGGTGGAGGCTACTTCGCGGTCGGAGTCTTGGTCGGAGTCGTCATCGCTTGCAGAATGTGATTTGAATGTTGGTCCCTCAGAGGTAGATGGAGGTTGTGAGCCACTTACGTTCAACAATGGTAGACCCAGGCTCTTGCGGAGCTTGTTCATCTGCTCAATGTCTGCGGCGGCGGCCATCTTGAAGGTGGACCGAGAGGAGATTGCGAGAATCTCCCGACCGATGACACTGACAAAAATGAACAAGAGACAGATAGTCTGCCAAAGAGTTGTTGAGGGGTCGAGGGTTGAGGGAATGAAGAAATGTTCTATGACAGGCTGCGCTGGCGCCACAATTCACGACTTTTGAGTTTTGTTTGACAGCCACTCACCCAGTCAAGCCACTTGAGCCACACTAGCCACACTAGCCACAATCTTGGCATCAAACTTTAAATTCTTTCCCCAAGAAACTTCAAAACACCAATTTTCCCTTTCTTCTTTTCTCTTCTTTTCTACTACAAACCACGTTCTGAGTCAACGCTTGATCCTTTCCATTTCCTTTATGGGAATGTGAGAGTTGCATCTCGCTTGACGCTCTCGACACCAACCCCATGGAGCACATTAAGCATCCCCATTAATGTATATCATCCGGTCGAGCAGAACTGAGATTAACCCGAGAACTTTTTCACCCCTTTGGGGGTCCTCCACCTGTAGCGCCGGATCTTGTATCTGTGCGCTCGATGGTTGAAGGTTGTGTAGGGAGACGTCTTATTCCCAAGCTTGGTGTGATCCTCGTCGAGGAATGATCATTGAGCAAAACCAAGACTATTGTCTACATTTCATTACATTATAACAATTCTTTTGATGATCTGGATGGATGTGCATAGACCTGATACATATGAAAGGTTTACTCCGTACGTACATTTATCTAGCAGTAGAACCTTGACGCAACTACTGCACAACTAGGGGACCCTAGGGTTGACATATTTCAAGACGCATCGTCGTCGTCGTTAGTGAGTGCAATCCGAGCATGCAGTCTCCGATTGGTCGAGATGAGGATGAAGGTTTGAAAGGAGAGATCAAGGTATGGATTACGATGCAATTTGACCAAAACTTCGGATTATTGTCCATATCGGGGACGCTTGATTGTCATCGATACAGAACCAGTGAACACACTACATCCTTGGCCTTCATACGCCAGCTGCGGGCGCCGATTGGTTCACATATTATCATACGAACGGCATGAGGGTCTGCCAGGCTCGAGCGCCATTGATTTGTAGTGCTTGTTACTACTGTGTATCAAGTGTATGAATGACCTACTGTTATTCTCCTGTAAGCATCAGCTTCTTGGTGTCCATCAAGTTGAGCCTCTAATCTCTTAGGAATCTACTGACGACTGGTATCTCTCGTTTGACCATGTTCGAGCCTCAAAGTCCTCTATCTGGGTCCTTCCCCTTTGAACCTTCAACCTACTCGTGTTTACAATATTACCCACCTCGCCTTTCTTCACATTCCTCGCTTCGTCCTCTTCTCGTATTCGTTTCGTGATGATGCACTCGCCGATTGGACATTGAATTTTATGGACGGCCCACGTATGCAGGCATGGCGTGGCGTGGCGTGGCATTCATGGTATTCCATTGCACTGCACAAGACCAGGTCTTTACGTCCACGGTCCAAACCTAAGCGCTGATAGCAGGTGGTGACATATGAAGTGACCGACTTGTCCTCCGAGAAAACTCTCTCTTGCGTGCGTTTATCTCGGAAGGAAGGCTAGGTCCGTCCCGTCCTCATCCCAGGTGATGCAAATGACCTGCATTGATTGACAGCGCTTGCTTCAAGAAGCCATTATAGCCCTGAGGGATTGGGAATGGGGATGTTGGTTAATTTTACTTATTCATGCAGTCGCCGATTGGATGACATATCGTGGGTCTCGTACCGAGATGTGGCATGAGACAGAATGTCGGGAGTGACACTGGGACTGAGGCCGGATGGAGGCTGGTTTACGAGACGGGACTTGGTTTGAGGGTTTGATTAGTTCTTACACCGTAAGTGCAAGGTCAAGACGGCTGTCCCCCCTCCTCGCCATCCATGCCTGTGTTTATATGTGGAGCAGCTACTGTGTCTGCTTGACTCTGGAGTGGACATACATAACACGAGTGAAACCCTCAGAGAGCATCCATGAATCTAAGAGACTCTCTTTCATGTCTATTATGATTGTATCCTTCTAACCATGTCCCATATTCCCTCATTCCACAGGTGTGTATGTATATATGTATGCTATCACTGACAGAATTCCTTTCTTCTTTCTTTAGGCAAGCCACGACACTCTTTGCCTGAACGACTTCGCCCTCATGCCCTTGTATCCTCATGTCTTCACGTCATAACGCAGACATCACCAACTCGCCAGTCCTCTCTCCCTATCAAACCCCCCTCTTAACTGTCTATTCGGCTTGACAACTTTCCCCTGCAAGACAGTGAATCGCACAATATTCTCACAATCCTCCGGTCTTACTCTCGCAAGCCAGATTAACTGCGTTGCTTCTCCTCCTGACTGCGGACCTCCCTCGCCAGCAGCAGTACCAGCACCAGCACCAGCCTCCTCCGTCTCCTCTCCACCACCAACATCTCCTCTTCGATAGATCATGACGTTCGCACTATACTTGTGTCCACCGACATGGTTGATGAAATAGATACCTACACCGTCGGGTCGTTCGTCGTGGACATCTCGATACAATCCCAAGGGTCGTAGGATTCGTTCGAATTCTTTTCGTAGAAGAGGTGCTGATTGGCCACATCGTGCGTCTCGTGTTTTGTGGCTGCACATGAGGATAAGGTATTTGTGAGGGATGGGTCGGGTGCGGAAGGTAGGAGATAATGAGATGGGGCTGGATGGTGAAGTTGAGGTGGCGGGTGGCGGTAAGGATGTTGGTGATGATAATGAGGTTGAGTTCGATGTCTGTGTTGGATCTTGTTCTGACAATGCACCATTCTCCTGTGTCGACTCTCGACCTCCTCCAATTTGTAGACCATCCACATCAGGAAGATGAATCTGTCCATTTGCATCTCCATTCAAGGCGGATCCCACAATCCCATTCTTCTCGCCATGGCTCACCACTGACTTGACACCACCCACCGGCATATCGTTGGTAACACTCAAATCAACCACCTCCTTCATCAATCGATCAACCTGAGTCGGCCTCACACTCTCCACAATCCTCCAAGCCGGCAACAACAAACAATCACTCCTCACTTCCCCATCATCCTCATATTCATCTCCATCCTTACAAACCGGCAAGTCACAAGCACTCAACATGACTTTCCCATTACTTCTCTCCACACCCACCCTCCCCACCGCCTCCATCACACTTCCCTTCTCATCCATGACATCACGAACCCAATCCCTCTTCCCCGTCGCAACAATCAAATGCGAATTAAACCCCTTGACATGACCAAACAAATGATCTGATTCATCAACATTGAATTTCCGAGGATATTCCACCGTACATGTCGAACAATCATGTAAACAATCCTCACCGTCGATTTGTGGATCGGTTGGCGTGAAGAGTTCGAATTCGGTTTTCGCCTTGGAGAATCCCACCGCACCGCTTCCTCGGCCGGTGAGGTCGACTTGACTGCTGGCCCCGCTGGCAGTAGGTGTGAGAAACGCTCGGACGTTACGCAAGAGGGACATTCCTTGTGTGACTGCCCGATGATGGCCTGGGAGTTTGGGCTTGGGTTGGGAATGGGATTTGGATGTAGATGTTGGAGGGTTTGTAGCGTTTGTCATCTTGAAAATATTAGTCAAACCAATGGGTGGGGTTCCCGTGTTGTTGGATTCGAGTGGATAAGGTACCTACGGAGTAGTACGTAGGTATTGGCTACCGCTGCCGTACAAAGCATGCGCCTTTGACGTGATCGATCGACGCGGAGATAACGGGAGAGTGTGGCTCTGGCTGGCTCTGGCGTCTTACTGTAGGCTTCGAAACCCCAATCTTTCTTTGGCTTTGCGGGACGGGTAATGAACAGACCGAAGAGAACCAGTACTTACTCAATGAGTAATGACAGGAAGCAATCTCAGGGCTTTTCTCTCCTGGAAATAAAGGAATAACAATATGGCAGGTATGATTTGTCCTTTGTCTGTGCAATAGAGTCTGAAGTAGAAGGCAAAAATTGATGGTGATTTCGTAGTCAGGCAGACGTGATACTATCTTGCACTCTCAGTCTGTCATTCATTCACTCGGTCCAAGTACCCCTGTTTTGGTGACCTGAAATACCTTAAAGACAACAACGGAGATCAATTCATTCGCAGACAATCGTACGATATAACCATTCCAAGTCTTTAGACTTCCTGTCCATGCTACCTTTCTGGTATACATATATCTGCCTGTATCTAATCAATCATACAAGCGAGCGAGACCGAATCACCGAAGTCTCGGTCATATCGGTCTTCACTTGGACTGATTCACCATTGATCGACATTCTTTTATGGATACTCTTCTGCCTGGCGATCAATTGCAAGGATAACCTATAGTCTCATTCCAGGCACCAGCAGTCAATCGATATTCCTAATGATATATTGTATTGTGTTTGATATGAATGTCAATGATACACCCCATCGTCTCACAACACGCTCTTTCATGGCAACCAAACTACCTCGTCAATGAACCAAGACTTCATCGTTTGAACATAGCCGTTGCATCCTCCTTCTTCCAATCGATCTCCAGGCTTGACTCGTAAACACGCTCGATGATCAGTTTCATCCGGTCCCATGCATGCGAATATCGAGTATTGCACTCTTCCAGAACCCTCGCAATCAGCACTTTACTTCCTGCATGTGACGACAGATCTTCCGCATCCGTGAAATGTTTTTCTACCCGCTTCTTCAACGTCTCAATACCTTTACGCATCTCCTTGCCATCGTAAGCAGCGAGGATCTTCTTGGCCGAACTTCGAGAATGGCTGGGTTTGTTGGCGATGGTCGCATATGAATCCGTCGCCTTCATCAGTGCCTCGGTGCTCTCCAAAAAGTCGAGCCACTTGCCCAATGGTCGACGGATCACCGCGTCCGTATATTGTGCGAGATGCATGACCTGATCGTGAGAAGCCTTCTCTGACCATTCCTCCAGCACCACATTGTGATGCGTTTTGACTTCCTCCACGAAAAAGTTCATGTTCTCGATCAGAAGGATATGGTAGTTGAGCGCTTCCTTATCTTCGGGATCGCCTCCGCTGGGAGCGTTCGAATGCGCGGCGCCCCCAGCGGACGCCGGGTGGTCCTTGGCGATAAAGTTCAAAGACTCCCACATGGCTTTGAGAAGCTTGATGTAACCATCATTCACAATGAATCGAATTTCCATCGTGTCGTGGTGACCAGGAGACTCTGGTGGTAGCATGTCCTCAATCGCGGCTGCAAATTCCGGAAACACTCTCATAAAGGAGATCAATCCCTTCCTTTTCTTCACCTTGACCTTGGTCTCCTCAATTGCCTTGACTTGTTCGTCCACAAACTTGTGGAACAGTCCCGTCAACCGTTCGTGCAACGTGCGCACAGTCCGGCAGATGAATTCTTGGTTGGTTTCTTCATACTTGTTCAGACACTGTTCCAATGACAACAAGACCCCAACACCCTGCAGCTGATCCATCTTCAACACCCACTCTACCAAACCCTGCAACTCCATAGGCCAAAATGAATAGATTCCTTCCGTCGTGTTTTGAACAATCTTGGCCATGTCTCGATCCGGATCATACAACTGTTTCGCCTGAAGATTCGGGAGTTTGCGTTGTTCCGGTGCACTCGACTGGATCACCTCGGAAAAGTCGGTATTTGACTGCGAGTCCAAATGGAAGAATTGCACGATAAAGTTCTGCTCCTCTGCAATTGCTGATGCTTGCTGCTGGAGGACCGTATCAAAAGTCTCCCACGCCTCGGGTTTCCCATCTTGCTTACCCCCAATCGACCGCCGGAGAGCACTTGTCTTGACTGTTCGGCCTCGCTTGACAGTGAGCTTTCGAGCAGCCGTTGATGTCAGTGACTCGTCGGATTTCTCCTTCTCTTGGTGCGTAAAGAGGATTTCCAGCTCCTCTCCCGAAGGTTTCCTGGCAGACTTTCTCATCATCATTGCATGGTCCCGGAATTGATCCGAGTAGTTTTCCTTGAACACAATCTCATAATTTCGTATCAAGAGAGACCATTCATATTGATTGACCTCTCTGACGAACAGCATCGTAGGGTTATACACCCAAAGTTCTTGTCGTGACGCATTGTTGACTTTGAGGTTGAGCGAGATCAATGAGGAAGAACTGTTGCTCGGCAGGTTATCCTCGCTAATGCGTTGCCTTGCATTCGCGAACATGGCTTTCATGAACTGATTGTATCGATTCATAAACATGAGGCTCTCTTCTCGATACTCCTCTTTCTTCTGCCGCACCGCCCGCATTTGGCCTATTTCGGTGTCGGCATACACGCCTAAACCAGACCTTTGCGTTGATGAAGCATTGGCTTGACGAAGTTTGTTTTGACGAATCTCGGGGTCGATAGTCAGCAGTGCTCGATACAGTAATGAAAGTGATTGCTCGATCGCCTGGACACCAGATAAGCTGTCAATTGGGGCGGATTGTAACGCCCGCAGGTCTTGAGAGGATATTGTCAACGTCGTCAGTAGATTCTCAAGTTCACTCTGGAGCAACTTTTGATTGGCGGTTTGAACTTGTAGTCCCTGTCCTTGAGCTTCGATATACTCAATATCATCATGGAGGGTGTCCAGTTCGTGTGCGTACAAAGTCAAGAGTCCATCAAGCTCTTCACACTCGGCGATCGCCTTATCAAAGGCCTTCGACAGTTCTTGAACTTTGTTTTCTTGTTGCTCGACATGGCCTAGCCACCCGCTTGCTTGAGCACGCCCAATTTCTCGACGGATGTCCGTTTCTAGATCTTCGACCTTGGGATGATGTGACAGCCTGCCTTCCCAGCCAAACTCAGTCAACAGCTCATTGAAGTCCGCTCCTCGGCCGTCGAGAACCCGTGGATCAATCCCCAACAAGAGGCAGTGTTTTTCAACTTCGGCTTCCAATCGTTGACGCCGTTTTCTCTGGGGAGAACCTGACCGAGCCTTTTCTGGCGATTCAGGCTGTGATTGAGCCTGGTCCACTGGTGCATCCAAGGTTGGAGCGGGTATAGCTTTGGCAGGAGATGCAGTTGATTGTATGCTGTCAGTTGTTGCCTGTCTTTCGAGTTGAACTCTTGGAATCGTCTCTGAAGCAGGCTTGGGCGTTGAAGGCCGATCTTTTTCGACGACTGCACCCGAATCAGTAGCGCTATCTCTTTGACTGTCAGAGCTCATTCCTCGAGTCAACGGCGCAGGCACGACACTTGTGATTCCATCTGGTTCATTCGAGGTCTTCTCTTGTAGGGCCTTGAGGCGGGCACCAGCACCACCGGAACGTGGTTGGAAGGCTTGGGTGGCGGCTGCCGCCAGAGCAGCCCTCCGAAACTGGTTGGCAATATCCTTGCCCGACCTTTTCTTGACCATGGGACCTAAGCCAGGACGGTGTTCTTCTTCAGGCTTTGGTGGAACTGGGACAGTCTCTGCCGGCTCGGCGACCATAGCTTCATTTGTGATTTTTGGAGAGGCTTTATCCGCTCCAGGAGACTCATTCATGACAGGCTGCTCTGGTGGAGGCTGTACTTGTGATTCCTGGGTCAGAGGCGGTATTTGCGGCGTCTGTTTTGAGTCGAAATAGCCCTTCTCGCCCTTGGGATCGATGTTTTCAAGGGCACTCGGGGTTCCAGCTGGAGTTACAAAGGTGCTGTTACTCTGACTTGGAGGACCGGTAGGCTCGACAGGAATGGGATCTGCAGATGGAGTAGATGCAGGTGTACCCTGCCTGCGCTCCGGTAGAGGTAGTTCCACACTTGTCGCAGGAGTGGCGGTAGGCGGCTCTGGCGTTCTTCGTTCAGTTGTGGTCGTTGAATGTGCGGTACTGGGACGAGGACTTGAAAGTTGATCAGGGCCGGACGCGTTGCGATATTGATCAGAATTTGGGGTAGATGCAAGTCTTCGAGACGAAAAGTCAAGGGCGGCTGGCTTGGATACATTCAATCCATTAGGCATCAGGCTCGACTGGTCTGCGGCTAGCTCATTACGTCTCAGAGACGACTGTGAGGGTTGAGGGCTTAGAGAAGGTCGTGGTGTGGGTTGAATGCTACTTGACAATGATGCCGTTCGATCCTCATTCTGGACATTGAGGGATCCGTATGGCTGCTGGGGCCGAGGAGATTCTCGCGACTGCATAGTCCATTCTGATCTTGCGGAAAGAGGTGGCACTGCTCCAGATGATGGAGGTCGGGGCTTGTATTCATTCCGGGCAAACGCCCCCTGATCCTGTGAACCGACACGATTACCGTCTCTGCTGGGAGGTGGATGCATAGGAGCGTAGGGCGACTGTGGGCGAGCTGCACTAACTGCGGGAATTATCGGCGGAGGCTGGAAATGATTTGAGGGTTGAGGAGAAGGAGTGGCTCGATCCGAAGACGGGATGACTGGAGAGAAGGTCGACTTCTGTGCAGGAGTAGGAGTGGCTTGCGCAGATGCTGGGGCAGCGGTCAACGCGTTGACTTCTTGTGCCGTGAAGCCTGTCAACTGTGGTGTCTTTCCACCGGTGTATTTGCGATAGATCTTAACCAGGCTGGCGATGAAGAAATCCTTTTCCTTTTGCGTCGAAGCGTTCCAGAAGTATGGTTTCCCCAAGGTGACAGTGAATCCGGTGTTGGATGCCCACTGTTTTTCCATCTCTTGTTGACGGTTGGCAGGAACGAGGGCGACGTAGGATAAAATGACGGAAAGGTCTTCCAACGGCCATGTCTTTCCTATAGAGAAGGAACCGTTCGCATTTTCGCGGGCCTTGTGGACACGCACCTTGCCGGATCGGCGGACAGCAACAAGAATGACTCTTTCCTTCCTGTTCTGTGGGTTGGAATCGGGAGGAGGCGGGGAGGATGGGTAGGCGGCATCTTCGGAGATTTTGACGTGTGTAATGTAGGATTCAATCTGCATGCCATCTGGATCTCTCTTATTGAAACAGCTTTCAATGATGCGCCTCTTTTCATCTTCGAATCTGGCAGCGCGATTCTGGTTGCTCTCGGTCAGCTGGAGTGGGGGTCTCAGTGACTGAGAACCTAGGGAGCCATTGCGGTCTGAAGAGGAGTGTGGAGCAGGCTGACGGCTCCCAGAATACATGGTCTGCTGGCTCATCGTGAATAGCGGTAGGTCTCATGGCATTATCTTTCGTAATGCATGCAGGGAAGGTGCTGATAGTTCATGATTTATCTCGATGTCGCAGAAGGAGAGGGATACGGCACGAGCGGAGGAGGAAGTCTGGGAGTTGGGCTTCGCGTCTCAGGTTGGGCGTATGCGGAGGTCTGGTTGGCGATGACGGTGAATGTCGGGGGTGGGGAGAAACCGACAGGGAGGGAGTATGATCACAAGTTCGAATGTTCTAATGATGGCGAAGAGTGTGTCAGCGGTGACTGGCAATGAGTGAATTGTCGTGGAACTTGTCTTGGTTGTGGATGGAGGATGATGGATGATGGACGAGTCTCCCCCAAAAGGATATGGCGCTAAGGCCCAAACAGGAAATCTCCACACATGTCCAAATAGGAGACGAGAGTTTGATATATCAATATCATCAATATCATCAGTATCATCTTCATCAACCCAGCCTCTACAACAGGCAATGTGTCCTCTACGTCCGTCTACACACGTGCAGATTCAAAATTCCAAGTCTCCGTCTCCAAATCCATGCTATTATAACCACTTTTCGAGGTTCGCCTGCTCGCAAGAACTCTCACCTCGCTACTACGCAGAATCAAAATCTTTGGACTGACGATCCAGAAGCCTCCAATGCAGTCAACTCAGTCTGTCCGTCCCGCTCCACGCTTTGAATAATTCCCATCGCATCGCTTCCTCATCCCATATGGAATCCCGTATGCCTCGCCACATGCCCAGTGTCGTCCCAGGTAATCTTCGCTCAGGTAGTCGACATATATTACAATACACGGTACCCGACCCTGTGTCAGTCCGAGATGAAATCCACATGCATGTCATTGGGGGTATTCCTTCCCATCCATGACCCTTGAATGAATTCGCCTAGATCCACCTTCATCAACAAGTGGACAGGTCAAATCGAAGTTCTGGAAGCACCTCTCCGGGGTCGTATCCAAACACGTGTCTATTTCCCAAACAATCCGTCGCAATTCTCCACCATCCATGTCACAGCCTCGTTCTTCATCTTGGTATCGCTCAATTCACGGTTGAGACTTTCAGGCCTCATGATTGTGGGCGCAAACACCACAGCAATGTTCGTGCTGGTCATGAGGTTTTCCTTTTCTCGTTGTACCACGCGAGTGAGATGTCTCATCAGATATTCCAAAGTTTCGTAGTGAACACGAGGGAGATATTCCAGCGCTGCCTGCATCGCTTCGACGCGTTCGTCTCGATCCTGTATTGAAATTGTCTCCAACAGCCGATCGTACACTTCGTATGTGATGAGCGGATTCGGCAGGCGACGGAAATACTGTTTGAGTCCCGAGGTTACGGCATGAATGTCCAAGTCTGGATCGGAGAGGTCAAAGTCTTGGTGTGGATTTTCAAACCAATCCTTGACTTGTTGAACCTGGGAATTGCCCCCAGATTTTCGGTATATACCTTCCACATCCATACCTGTGCATACGGTCAGCATCTAGCTTCCTCCAGAATCAAGAACATTAAGATGGACTTACCTCGAGATTCCACTTCCTCAACACACGTCTTGACAATCGCGGGGATAGCTGACTTTTCGTACTCGGCGCGTTGCTCGAGATCGGAGCCAAACAATTCTGTGTCGAGGTCAGTAGACCGACTTGCTAATCGACGCGTTCAATACTTACGTGATGCCTCCACCAGTAGAGACGGCGTGCTGTTGTTGCTCTGCATGGCGTATAATCCATTCGGCTTTGTGCCAGATTTCTGGTTGCCAAAAAAGCCAAACCCGCCTTGCTTCGCGGGCTCTGCATTCTTGGGAAGACTCGAATATTCGTGTCCTCCTGATGTTCCTAGGCTTCCATACGCTCCATTCTCAGCGAATTGCAACTCACGGTTGTAGCTCTGCTGTGTTGAAGAGAAGGCGCCTTTGATGCCCTTGGTCACCCCTTTGCCGACCTTTTGAGCTTTTCTCCAGTCAAACTTCTTGGCTTGTCCCTTCTTTATATTTACCACATGAGGGCCCTGGAGTACTGTGACTGGCTCTGCTTCTCCCGCCTGGATAGTACTGGCTGAATCCACCACGGTGGCGTCGGTCGAGAAGTTGCGCAAGTCCCGACTGTCGAGTGATATGTTGGATTTGTCTTTGTGGTGTGAGTAGATGCCTAGTCCATTCACGCCAGCTTTGGTCTCGGGCTGGGTGGTGCCAGAGTTGGCCTTGTATAATCCTTGAATTTGATGAACGAGCTGGTTGTTGAGCTCGGCTAGCTGTGCATTCTTGGAAGACAGTTGCTCAAACTCCATGAAGCTCTTGTCCTTCATCTGTGTCAGATTCGCAATCTCGTCCACGAGGTCATTCCGCTTCTGGATCGATTCCTCAATCTGGGGAGCAAATGAGTTCTTCAGTCGTTCTAATGCTTCTGCGAAATCCCTCAGAACGGCATTGTTCATCTTTCCGATATCAAATGGTTGGCCCGTTCGCTTTGCCGCAGCAAGGTGATCCGTCAGGATTTCAAGCTCACGAACAACAATTTCCTTTTGGGTGTCCAATACAACCATGGTGGAGCGCTTTTCCTTGAGCTCAGAATTGACTTGTTTGATGTTGACTGCCGACTCCAACTGAGTCTCCAACTCAGCAATCCTTTTCTCTCGCTCCACGGTTCTCTGCCTCTCGCGCCGCAATTCGTTTTTGAACCATGCAAGCTCGTCCCGATGTTCGGGCGAGGCAGTGCTAGGGCTACTGATTTCTTGACCAATTGAGGTCTGAGGCACCGCTGGCGACCTAGGCCATCGAGATTGAGAAAGTCTTCCAGTTTTGTCACTATAGCTGCGGCCATGTCGCACTGAATTGGAAACCCTCTTGAGGAAAGAGGAAGCTTGTTCCTCATTGCCCATGATTCGCGCCATGTCTTCATCCATGGTGAATTCTCCGCCAGTGGAGTATCTGGGAAGTCCGGGCGACTTTTCGCCCTCGCCGCCCTTTGTCGAGTGCACCGTACTGACAGATTGTGATCTGGAATGCTCCGGTGGCGGTAATGGTGGTGCTCGAGGGTCCACAAATGATGTTGTGCTCGTCTTGCCGCTGATGATCTCGGACGCCTCGAGGGGGTTGTCGGCAGTATCAAAAATGCTCTTGGACTTGGGGGTCCCAATAGGTGCTGATATGACCTTTCCGCCATTTGCTCGTTCGAGGTCGGCGGGTGTTGGCGTTCCTTTTGGTGTAGGAGAGGACCCTCCATTGATGGCAGCACTCAGGGTCGAGGGAAGATTGGCTGCAGCGCCGACCTCTTTTCTCGTGATTGTTTGCGGTCGTTTGGCGCTGTCAAGTGAATCGCCTCGTTTTGGCAGAGCCTGCAACAAGGACGATGCAGAGAGCTGTGGAGGTTTGGGAGACTCGTTGCCCTGGATCCTGGGGCTGGATTGGCTCGAAAGTCGAGGTGTAGAGAAGCCATTATCTGAAGGGGTGGCAAGATCTGGGGGATTGAGCAGCCGGTTGGTAGCATACTGTTCGACCGGGTCCCCCGTCTCGATTCGGGGAGTGGTGGATTCCGAGCGTGAGACGGGGCTCAGACGCTCAGGCTTCTTCGTCCTGGGCGCCTCCTGTAACTTGAATTTGTCACTCGTGAGCAGGTCATTACTCGCACGAGGTGCAGTTGCCTGGCGAGTGGAATCCTCCGACTTGCGGACACGGTCCGGGACGACGAAGGGTGAGGCGCTTGGTGTGGTAGACCCACCAAAAACCTCCTCGTTCTTCTGTCGTGCAAAGTCGTTGACTTCTCGAGAGGCCTGTCGGCCCTTTTCCTGATATGCTATATGTGGACTGGCAGTGGCTGGTTTGGGGGCCTGAGCAGGTCTATTTGTAAAGTAATCTTTTGGTCTCTCCTCATTTCCGCCTCTTGGTGTGGCCTGACCAGAAACACTTGGAGATTGGGAGGAGGGTTGAGGGGTAGGATCAAAGGCCAGGGGAATCAAGAACTCTTCTGGGCCTGTATTGATGTCTGATCGTTGCGACATCATAGAATGGCGGTTTGTTCGGAAGGTTGTCGAAGGGAGAGTCCGCAAGTCTGAAGAGCAAACAAATTAGTGGGTGTAGGAGGGGAGGCTGGATTATAGAATGACAAACCGCGATTGGACTGATCTGCAGAAGATGGCCTGGAATCGACATCTCGTTGAAGCTCGGAGATGGTCTTAGACACGGATTGAATATCAGGGTTGGGAGAGTCCTGGTATTCATCTGAATAGGGAGATTGCACCTCTGGGACAGGGGCTGGTTTGCGTGATTCTGGAGGGGGAATTGCCGGGAGGGATTTGTCGTAATGAGTCCCAGGACCTCTGGACTTCTGTGATGTAGCCTTTGCGGACTTTTTGCGCCTTCTAGCCATGAGAGCTTCGTGGCAGTCCATACAAAAGATGCCTTGAGACGTCCGGGCGTAGCGAAGGTTTTCTATTTTTCGCTTGCAGTTGCGACATTTGAAACAGTTGGCGCAGAAAGCCTGGTCGCCTGTCAGAATAGCCAGATCTTCTATCTTGTTGTTGCAGTTGCTGCAGCTATAGGTGCAATTGTTGCAGATGAGAGAACCGTCGCCGAGGAGGAGGAGGTTGGCATCGGAGTCGAGAAGGGTTCCGCAGGTGTTGCAACGGAAACAATCGATGTGCCATCGATTGCCAGCTTGAACATGGTTAGTGAAGGAGACGGGCGGTTGGGGTTGAACAGGCATACCTAACTCAAATGCCTTTCCTTCCTCGAGAATCTGCGGGTGTAAGCCCACGTCAGCCATTGTCTATCACGACTCGAGCGTGAGGATAAGTATCAACTCACCTGTCCACATCCTTTGCAAGGAAAGGGAACTTCGTCGGGATCCAGAGGAGAATCTGGAAAGGCCATGGGTGACTCCATTGCGGTTGCCATGACGGGCTATGGTGTTGCGTCCCAAGGGCAATTATGGTGTTGACGACAGGTCATGGAAATGAAAAGATGTAAGCCCCAATCACTGCAACCTTTTCTTGCACCCAATCTCGGAAGGATAGTTCATCAACAGCCGTTTAGGTGCGAGAAGTCGAACCGACTTGGGTTCATGTAAGACAGTGAGCGAGTGGAATGTTGTTTCTAGGTCCGAGGACTTCTCTGCCGGCCTGCAGCTGAAACACAGTGATTGAGTGGTTGATGATGGGTTGGAGAAACGAATGGCGCACTGCGGGAGCAGATGCCGTGGAGGAGTATGAGGTTTTGTTTGGGACCAGTCAATGGAGATGGTTGGCCAGGGATGCCGCAGGGTGTGACGAACTGTGGGTGGGCTTGTTTGGAGATGTTTGGTCGGTGAGATTATATGTGAGGGGGTTTGAGGGTGGACAGATGGGAGAAGAGTCAGCCCGTGTCAAGTCAAAAGTGAATAAATTGTAGTCAAGGGTTCTATAGTCAGCGCAGGATAGAACACGCTGCACAGTGAGGTGGTCCAGGGGATTTTCGTTATCTTGGTCGTGGGTCGCGTGGAATGACAAGACGAAGATGAAGAAGCGCTGAATACGAGCAGGAGGGGTTGAATAATGGTACAGTGGAGGAAGGTTAGGGTGAATTACAGGCGCGCCTGATAGAGGGAGGCCGTCTTGGAGGAGGAGGAGGTCGAGGTGATGGTGATGGGTGGAGATGAGGATGAGGATGACGGTGGTGTTTTTGGTGTCGGTGACGAGGAGTGTAGGTATGGTGGTGATCGATCAGGTTTGACTGACAATACAGGGAGCAATCGTGAGGTGAGTGCAACTGTTTCCAGCAAGACTTGGTAGTAGCGTCGAGTGCTGGTTGGCGAGCCACAGAGCCTAAGGGCCCCTCTGAGCTTGAGTAGTTTGACCACTACTCTTAGTCGACGAACTACGATCCATTGCAAGCTAATCGGAGAGCGGTTGAACCAATTACAAGGTTCTGGGTACTAGGTTCTACTGGGTAGAAGATTGATTGCCCTTGGAGCATTGGGGGAGGGGGGTCCAGATTCCAGAGGGCTGTGAAGGCTTAGCGTTGCCTGTCTCGGTGGTCAGTCATTGCAGTATGGGTTAGATACATATTGTTCTTAATAAAAATATGCGTGAAGAACCCGTGCAGATTACGAGGAGCCACAATGAAAATAGCCCCTCGACCCACACTATGTACTCCGTAGAATCAACGGAAAGCTCAGGCCAGTGAAGAAGAGGGGACGGCAGACATTGAGGATTGGCGAAAGGGCGCAATCAACCTGGGCTCGTCTAGCCGCTGGCAGCAGGTTTGGACCATATGGGGAGTGAACTGGCGCGCTTGGGTGACTGGGAGTTAGGGAGTAGACTTATGCAACAGACACACGCAGGTAACGTGTTGCAGAAGGCGAAAGCTGACCACAGGCTTGCCCCCAGTGACCCCAGTGCCCGTTCGCCGCCCAAACGCCTCCCATGGCCTCTTTGGTAGACCTGCGTTCCAGGGTGCCTGAGGACGAATACGGAGTATGCGTTCACCCCAAAGGCTGATCCACTTGTGCGCCATACAGCCCATAAGGGTAAGCTCCAGGGTCCACCTGATGTTTTCGCGGGCGAGGTGGGACATATCCCATGCACAAGACATTTAACTGAGGGGGAGCCTGGAGGGTTCTATTGGTTAGCGGCCAGGCTTGGGCCAAGGGGGATGGTCGAGCAAGGCAGCTTTAGGCTCTTTTAGGTGGGCGCCGGGCTAACCCGTGTCAATGCCTAGGTACCTTAGTTAGGTACGCATACGCACAGGCTTGGCCACGGTCTCGCGTCAATTGGTCTCGAGATGTTCAGTTGGGGGCTTGGGTCCATCAAACCTAGACTACGGTAGGGACTTTCACTACGGAGTACTTCATAGTGTGTAGCGAGGTGGCCAGGTGCAAGGTTCTCCAAGGCACAAATCGTAGCCTCGACACTCACCGCAATTCATCCACTGTGGGAAATGAATGCTGCATTAAGGGGTTGCCACCAGGATGGCGACTTCATTTTACTACGTTGCCGTTACTACTATTGCCAAATCGACTTGAAGCACGGGGTTGCCTGTAGATTGACGATGCTGCAGAAGCATCAACGCACATCTCCTTTGCCCTGCATATTTTAATCACAGTTGAACACTCGAGCTTCAAGAAGAGGGCAGACTTTAGTAAGAAGGCTCGATCCACCTTGCCACCATAGCAATCAAGAAGTGGTCTTTGTGAAAACTGGTGTCATGTCAGGTCTTTTGACATAATCCATCCCAGTCTGGAACAGCAGTCCTGACACCTGGGCACAGTGGACAGTGGGAGTTGTCGGGGAAAGTGGGATCTTCTACCTCCAATTGAGCCACGTACCATTGTCGATTCCTGGCTGCCATGGCCATGGGCTCAAGAATGCCGGTGTGATCTTCGATGCCTAGTCACTTAGTGTACTTACAGTTACTGCATCTTCGGCGTCATTGCTGTATAAAGTGCCTCCTCGGCCCTCCGCCTAGGCGAGAGTAGGTAGATAGCCAAGGTACTTCAGACTTGTACATGTGTGACGCCGTGACAGGTACAGTCCTCTTGTTTGCACACGCGTATATTCACTGCAGGCTTCCGGCTTCCGGCTTCCTTCATGGTATCACAAATCCATCTGAAGATACATCTCCACGTGGTCGTCCGGACAGACACATCAAAAATACGGGGTGCCAGGCAGTGGCAGTCGAGAAAAGAAGAAGAATAAACCCGTCCCTCCGCACAGACTGTAACAGGCCAAGCCACCTCCTCACCCCTGGCTCCGCGCTTTGAAGAATTGAGAACTCGTGGATGGGAATCATCCAATGACATTGCACCTTGAAGCCTCATAGATTGGCATCCTGGATAGCTGCATCATGGGATCTGGATAGGGAAAGGCTGCATCTCCTTAGCCCATCGATCGTGATCAGGATGGTAGCGCAGTGTACGGAGTACACATGAACATACTCCATGTTGACCAACCGGAATAAAAGGAGAGGAGAATTTTAGGCGTCATGTGCCTATGGTGCCTGTAGGGGCTGGTCTTCTTAGGTGCTCATACTCCATATGGCTCTGCCCGGGGGATCTTGTATGACTATCTACGTACTCCGTAAGTAGTAGATCCCTACTAGTATTTCCTGCAAAGGGACAAAGATCCAGAGAGTGACACAGACCTACCGTACATAGACACCTACCTTACTTAGACTTGCGTGGAAATCTCACCTGAGCAACCAGAATAAATTCACATGTGCTTCAGCTACTCTGATACTCAAGGACCCGAGATTCATTTGTCGTTCGCTGTCTGTCAATCAGAGCCATGGCCACATCACCGTCTGTCATGACTATTCCGTATCCGCGTCTGGTGTACGTGTCTATCCTGTCTCTCTTCCCGTTCCGCTGCTATTCCTATCACTACCCCTACGGCTACTATTGTTGCCGCCACCACATCCTTTGACTTCTTTCATCACGTCCTTACTTTTCCCTTCACACGTCCCCCTGTCTTGCCACACTTGCAACCAACCTCCCTTACCCAGGGCCATTATTCAGCCTAATACTAATTCATGTTCATTTAGATGCTCATATCGCTTCCAAGTGCTTTGTGCACTATTGGCGTGACTGCTTATCATTGCCCCTGTCCTGTTGTCCTGTTCATAGCTGAACTAATCTCCTCCTGTCATTTGTACTGTGCTCGTGCTGTTGGTGCTGTTCAACCGTGTGGACCCATAACAAAGCTCCTACTTAGCTCTCCTTTCTATCCTTGACCCTTTCCTACAAAGTAAGTAATACCATTGTACGGCCTAACCTGGATTCGGGAAGTCATTCTCTCCGAATATTCATTGCCGCTGCTGTCGCTGTCGTGGCAGTGGCACGTCACGTCGCTCTAGTAGACACTTCCAGACACAAGCTCATGTCAGTCGTAAAGAGACAATTTGATGGATAGCGGCTGGCAATTCAGCCCGTACCATCTGGTCAATGCCGTGCAGTGATGATCAATCGACGGTCTCAACACACAGACCAGGTAAATCATTCGACCCACGAGCAAGCAAGCGGGCGATCAGATGAGTCATGTTACCTACGAGGAAGCAGATGCCACCCAGTGTCCATGGGTACAGTTCAATTACAAGCACGACGAGCTCAACAAATATTCGAAAGGCACAAGTCTTGTATGAAGCTCATTGCTGATTGATTCTCTCTATGATTTACCATCATTGGTTTCTGTGTCGTTTCAACACCATTGCTTATCCCCGATTGAGGTCCCAACGAGTGTGGTAAAGTCCGAGGACAAAGGCATTGAAGCCTTCATCCACAATGTGAATCCATTCCAATGTCCTTGTGTCCTGTGTGAAACCACTGTGCCCATTGCAACAAAACCCATAACCCATTCCTTCATGGACGTCCATGATTCGTGATCCCAGTCCAACAACATTGATAATAATACACCTTTGTTTTCGTCAAAAGACTTGTTCTTTGGAGCTCAAAGATCCTGTATGTTGATCCTGGCTGGTTGCCATCCATCCACTACTCCTCGGCAGTGGCTCCCAAGACTTTCCAATTGCTGCTCTCCTCTGATGTAGCAAATTCGCTGACAGAAGACCCGACCATTGTGGCTGATGTTTCGGTAGAAGTGTGTGCCAGCTTCCATTGAGCTGAGACTTCAGACCCAGGGTCAAAGGTCGAAGGCTCGGGTTCCATGTACTCAATGGCCGGGACCGAAGAGATGACAGTCCGGGCCATGGGTTCTGAAGCCCCGTACAACCCAGCCGTAGAGCCGGCGACATAGTAGTGCAGAAGATTTTTGTCTGATTCTCGGCTGAAGTAACTGTAGAATTTTTGTTCAGGTTTGATGACGGCGTGCAGTGCAGTGCAGTATTCCATCACTTGTCTTTTGATGAGGCCAGTGTAGGTGGTGAGGAGGTGTTCTGCAAAGCGTGCCAGGCGTTCCTCCTGAATGCCATACAACTCCTCACGGCAGACCACGAGCCGTTGGAGCAGAAGAATCAGGAGTTTGACCCCAAACGCCATAACAATAGGCAACCGTGTCGCAAAGCGCGGACGTTCCGGTGCAAAGTCTGAGACAAAACTCTGCAGACTGTTTATGAATACTGATTTGGTGGATGAAGGTGTAATAATGGGGTCATTGTTGGTAATGATATACTCGATTTGTTCAAGTGTGTCGAGAACAGCGTCGATAGTAGGAAGTGGATTTTGAGAAGATGTGCAGAGAATGTAGGCCGAGTCGTCAATAGTTTGTAAGACAGCTGCGTAGCCTGAACTATGGTTGCATCTGGCGATGAGTAGCGCGCAGAGCGTCATGCCCGGTTGTGGCTCTGGCCACTGAGGGTATTGTCTGAACAACTCGATGATGATGATCAACATCGTGTGTCGATTGTAGACAGGGTGGTTGATGTTAACTGTTCTCCTGTCCCGAGATTCGACGAGTTCGTCAAAGCACCCAATGTTTTGAACCAGAAGCTCAAAGAGCTCATGATGTTGTGTTTGTCGTGTGATCAAGACATGAGGATGGGTCTCAATGAGCTTTCTAAGCCGTCGATAGCCCAAGGCATCGAGGTTGCGATGGCGAAGATGCTCGATCGCAGTTGCAAGTGATCTTTTGGCCGAAGAGATGCTATTGCGACGACGTGGTGATCTTTGTGGTGAGCGAGAGGGAGATTTCTTGCTGCGTGGTTTGACAACATCGTTTTCTTTGCCCTCTGGCACATGCTGGCGCGTTGCTGCTCTTTCAGCAAGGCGTTCAGCAGGAAGGCTGGCCAGGTTTTCTGGGGCCAAAGGTCGCACAGGACGTAACTGAAGAGTCGCGGCGGGTGCTGATTGAGTACCGTTTTGATCAATCTCATTTGATACTTTGTTTGTGGTAGGTGCAGACGCCGAATAGTCTTCGACGATGACCGGTGGTTGGCGGTCAGCTTTCTTGCCATTAGCAGGAACTGTGTTGGAAAGTAGTAGTGGTGCTTCGACGATGACAGGAGAATGTCGCTCAGTCTTTTTGGTTGATCGGACATCTGCTGCACGGGTAGTGCCTCTTTCTTCAGCCATAATTGCCTCTTGGCGGCTCGCAGTCTTGCGATGGTGGCTGGGAACAGATGATGGGGCCTCTTTGTCGAGTTGATGAACTGGTGTTTGACGGCCAGAAGATGTTTCCTTTGTTTCTGAGGGTTTCTTGACCGCCTCACCGCGAGAACCAGGGCGGGAGGAGCCAGCTGGTGCGATTGGAGTGGCTACGATGCGGCCTCTGCGGATTGGGGCAGACATGAGAGATTTGGCCTCAACTTGAGGACTTGAAGTTTTGATGTCCTTTGCGTCGATTTTGTTGTCTCGTGAGGCTGTCTTTTGATGACGAGACTGTGTGGAAGCACCCTGACGTGAAGATGTGGAGGATTCACTATGGTGAGGAGTATGAGTCTTGTCTTTTGGGCGGGATGCCGTCATGGTGCTTGCTTGTTTGGCAATCATTGCCTTGTCTTTGTCTGTGAGGTGGTCCAGCTCCTTGAGGGAGCCAAATGCAAAGTCATCAGGTCTGAGGGAGGCTGGAGTGGTACCTCTGGTAAGACTTTGTGGTTGTGGATTTTGCTGGTGTGCACCCTGCTGCTGCATACGTTGTTTGCTTTGAGCTCTGATTTGGGCCAATGCGGAACCAGGTCTGCTCGGAATCTTCGCAGGCTTGCTGGGTTTGTCTGGGTTGTTGGGATCGTCCCGGAGTGCATTGGCAGCATGTGTGCCGAGGCCTCCGATGATCATACGTGCTCCTTGAACGTCATACTTTTGGTATTGCCAGTATGCGGCACGAGTGTTCTCTCGTACTTTGGGCTGACTGTCTCGGAGGCCTTCATAGATGGCCTTCCTTGCGAGTTCGCCATCCTTGTCTTGATCCATTTGATTGCGGTAATTTTCAAGGAGAAGACGCAGCCAATCTGGGGCGTACGTGCGAGGGGGGATGCGCTTGTCTTTGAAGGCAGCGCAGGTGTGGTAGAAGAGGCGGTGACTGTAACCTGCATGCTTGCAGATGGCGAGAATGGCTTCGTTGGCATTCTTTTGATTGATATTCTTGGTAGAGCCACAGAGGGTTATCAAGTCGGGAAGGATGATGTCGAGTTGTGATTGTATGTGAGTTTCAAGGTTTTTGACGATGTTGATGATGGTCTTGCAGGCTTGAGAAGACAAGGTGGTCCGCTCTGAACCGGCAGCCTTGACGATGTCGGGCAAGATGCCTTTGCAACGTTCGACAAAGTCTCTGGGGAGTGTGCTTCCTTCGATTCTTTTTTCGAGGATTTCTGAGAGCTTGCCAAGAAGGTCATGGCGACGTTTCCAGCTTTCTTCTGTTTCGGCTTGGCTCAATTCAACGTGCAAAAACGTGAGAACATCATTGTAGCTTTGGCCGGTCATTTTGGCTCTAAAGCCAATGATGAAGAGGTAGATACTCTTCCCTGCAGTAGGGAAGAAGTTGTCGAGTTTATTGACTGTGTAGAAGGTTTGTCAGTAACTGTGAAACAAGGGACGATCAAGCAAATCATACACATCCCCATGTTGAGAGACGCGGAAGCCAACGGCGTAGTCGCTGACGGTGCGCGGCAAACAAGGGATTGGGATGATGTAAAATTTGCAAAGATGATCCTTGAGGAACAGTGCTTTGGAGTTTGAAGAATTGTAGTGGGAGAACAGTTTGGAACTGGTACAACTTGTGTAATGTTTGAAGTTGTGAATAATCACGTGATGAGAGAAGATGGGAAAAGAGAAATGAAAAGTGTCGACTTGGGGGGAAAACGGGAGACTTTATAGAAGCCATGTCGACGTACCTTTGGATGAAGAGGTTGGGCTGTATTGTAAGGTTCGACGCGATTGATGTCGATGGTGGGGATGAAGCGCATGTTTCTAGAGGAATCCAAGTGAAATAGGCGAGATGGTTGGTGTTGTCGAGTTGTTATGATGTTTGGGTAGAGCGGGGCTTGGCGGGCGTCCCTTCGCAACCAATCAGCGTTCAGGCCTCTCGGTGGTTGACTTCGAACCAGGGAAGCCGCATTCCACTTCCTCTTCACCGATTGATGCCCTTGAAGAGCTTTGTTTGCTTCACTTATAGTGGTGCGTTCACGGATTGAGGCTAAAAAGCTCTGTTTTATGGGCTTTTTCTTCCGTGTGACTTGCACAATCCTCTATACACCTCGCTAGACTCACGTACCAGTCATTCCTTAGGCCACTTTGAGACAAAATGCCTCCTGTTCCAAGACTACATCAAAAGCCAAAGTTACGTCTACATCTGGATGACCTTACACATCCTGCTACCCAAGTCACAAACTCGTCCCTCGATGGGGGTCTTTACTTGGCTCGTGCGGTTGATCATGTCTTAACCCACTTATTTGACCCTTATGGTCTGGACGAGATCCATCAGGTCCGCTCAGTCACTGTCATCTTGCGCGAGATGGGCGGAGTTGCCTACACCACAGGCCTCGCATTGGACGATCTCCACAAGGAAATCCACGTATCACTTGACTACATTCAAGGTGTTTTGGCGCGGAATTCCTCTGGGCTTCGACATGAGGTAGCAGGTGTCATCACTCATGAAATGGTCCATTGCTTCCAAAACAACGGCCATGGCACAGCGCCAGGCGGGCTGATTGAAGGAATTGCGGACTTTGTCAGGCTCAAGGCGGGTCTAGCGCCACCTCATTGGGATAAATCGCCAAAAGGCCGAGGGGAGAAATGGGATGAAGGGTACCAAAGGACTGCATGGTTTCTGGAATGGCTGGAGGACAAGAAGGGTGCAGGGACTGTCAGCCGACTCAATGCGGCACTGCGCCACGAAAAGTATGACGAAAAGAAGTTTTGGTTCGATTTATTTGGAGCCTCGATTGACAAATTATGGGATCAGTACAAGGCCACCTGGACACTCAGCGGCGATGATGCTGCGCTTACGTTTGATTGACAGCGTGCCTCGTGACGAGCGGGTCTTGGAATGGGCTTTGAATTGGTTGGGAGCTAGGAGCATATATTTTGCAGGCAAACTAGTGGTCAATATGGGTGGAGAGCCTACGATTTCTTGGTTACCAAAGAGACCATTTTCGACCAAAACTCTACGATGAATATCAATCACCTGTGGCAAATCTTCGTATAGGTCAGCGATAGGATCCCAAATTTTGGTCAAAGGGAAGGTCATGATGTGATTGGGTTCAGTAAAAAATTAGAGTGTTGTTGCGTAGTTTTCTTCTTCAAGGAACGAAGTTCTCCGTGTTAAAAATGGATCATCATTTGAGGGGCAGTTTTGAAAGGAAAAGTTTGTGGCTTACCAGTGAGCTTCGACTGTCATCACTCTGTTGGGCGTAGTCACTTTCAAAAACTTGTCGATCACCGAAAAACATTTCGATCACGGGTGAGCATGTCAATTCATTGTATGTAACTTGACTGTCTAGAGTTCGCTGCTTGATTGTATTCCCTTCGCCATTGGGCAACATGTGGGTCACACCGTACAGGATACGTTTAGTCGAAGAGACCACCGAAGCCTGGTCTTCGTTAGTTGAACTGTCAACATGATAACGCTCGCCTGACTTACCTTCATCTTCGCTCTCCTCTTTCTCCTCTTCCTTCTCCTCCTCCTTGGCGGCAGCGGCAGCTGGGCCGGCAGAGGTGGCGGCAGCAGCAACAGGGGCAGCGGCTGCGTATGCGTCAGGGTTGGCGATACGGTCCTTGAGCTCATCAATAGCCTCCCAGCTGTAGTCGGTCTCAATGGCGACGGAGATGGCATTCTTGTAACCATTGATCAAACTGTGGATGATGGATGGAAGAGTAGGGTAGTTCGCGGCAAGAGAGATGGTTGTGATGGTAGCAATGGCAGTCGACAAAGCCTTCAATAGCTGGCTCTCCTCGATGTCCAAGACTTCGGGTGAGAAGCTGTTGCCCTCCTCGTAGACCTGTTGAACTTTCATACCATAGGTGAAGGGAGAAATGTTCAACATGTTGAGAAGAGTGGCTTCGGAAGCACCGACCTTGGCGCCAGCCTCGACCAACTTGAGATCGGTAGTGATTTCAATGGTACCACGAGCAATCTTGGTGGGGACACCGAGAGCCTGGAAGAAAGAGGTCTTGCCAGGTTCCATACCAGTGTTTCCAGCGGGAACGTAGACATCACCAGGTGCAATGGCACCGGCACGGGCAGGGGCGGCGACTCTGTTGGCCAGGATCTTGTCACGGACAGTCTTGAGATCGCCATTGGTGAAGATGAAGCCAACGTTTCCTGGTTTTGTCAGCGACCATATCTCTTGACGTAATGAACTCTTTATTACATACCCTTGACGTGGGGAAGGAGACGTTCGTACTCTGGGTTATCGGCGAGGAAACCCTTGAGCGCACGGCGAACCATGGTGTTCTTGCCCATCAGGACGACAGCCTCACCACGGAGGGAGCTTCGGATCTCGTGCATCTGCTGGGAGGAGACATTGTCGACGCTGACCTGGAATAAGCTGTCAGTAATGCGATTCTTGATTGTATGGTAGTAAAACTTGCGATGAAGATGGACTTGTACTCGTCGAGCAAGCCCTTCAGCTTGTCGAAGTAGACCGCTTTTGTGCCGGATTTGCCCCCCATGACTTCTTAGGGATGAAGTTAGGATGTTTAAGGGCAAATTGAAATGATTTGCTTGTATGTGTTGTGGTTTGATGGTGTGGTTGTTCTTCTCACATTGAACTGCGTTCAGTTTTGGAAAGTCTGTGTGCGAAAATCTTGGCAGCAAAGGATGTCTTCTTGATCCACCACACTCAATACTGCGGATTATTTATTCACATCGCGCCGGAAATTTTACCAGTGAATCATGATTTCTTCCCATTGCAGATGTTGGATGATTTCCAAAGAAGAAGCTCGTCGAATGGACTGAGGCTCAGTTTTAGTTTCTTTGGGGCTTAGTATAAAGGCAGCAAGGAGGCTCCTGATACGTTGGACGCCCTTCACCGGCTGAGGAGCAGCCAGACATAGAGATGGCCCAATACCCATTTCAGAAGCTGTGTTGCGTTCGACCTGTGGATAACCAGCCACCGTTTCTGCTGGCAGCATCTGGATCACGTATCTATTCGTTCGACCTGAAGGCCGGAGCATTGTTGTTTCAGTGGCCAGAGGTCGACATCTCTGCAGACAATGCCAAGGATCATTCAACCCAGAGTCAAGGTGAAGACCGGCCAGCAAAGCGACGCAAGGTCGGAACAGACTCGAACGGAACGTTATCTCATGAGGCTACAGATGACTCGATCGAGATCATATCGGAAAGACCGAAAGGCGAACGACATCAACCGAAGGTGGAAAGCCAAAACCTTCCCAATATTTCCCATCTCATCACAACCAGTGATGCTTCTTCCGTTATCGTTGTGACGGCTGAAGACAAATGTATCAGTGTGTTCAAAGTGGAAGCCGCTGGGCAGTTGAAACTGCAAAGTAAAAGGTTGGTGCTCCACAATTTTATAGTACTGACAATGCTGATGTTTCGACAGATCAATGCCTAAACGCATCAGCGCCGTTGTGTTGACGCCTGACGAGACGACTATCATAGTCGGTGACAAGTTCGGAGACGTCCATTCGTTGCCACTGTATCCTACTGAAGGCTGGACGCCTCAAGTAATAGAGCAAAATGAATCAGAAGGTGCATACGTGCCATCAGCAACAGAACTAACAGTGCACACCAAGGGAAACTTAGCAGCACTCAAATTCCAACGTGAACAGAAGATACGGCAACCGCGAAAGCTCGGCCCTAACTTTGAGACTAAACTGTTGCTTGGACATGTCTCGTTGCTCACGGACGTTGCATCAATAGAGGTGCAGGACGGGTTGAAGCGAAGACAGTACCTGCTGACGGCGGATCGGGATGAGCATATTCGAGTTTCACGTGGAATTCCCCAGACTCACGTCATTGAAGGGTACTGTTCGGGACATCGAGATTTTGTAACCCGTTTGCGCATCGTGCCATGGAAGCCTGAGCTGCTCCTCTCTGGAAGTGGTGAGCCCTCAGTTCGAGTCTACGACTGGCAAAGAGGACTATTACTTGACGAAGAGCTCTTCCATGGTGGGATACTAGCTGAGCTTACCGCTTTATTGCAACAAAGCGAAGATGCTCGCACCTTGAACCAAGTCTCGGTCAGCGGAATTTGGACCATCCACTACAATGCCACACCAAAGTCGCCTGTATCTTCGACTCCACCACATATGATTCTCGTGACTCTTGAAGGGTGAGTGTTTTGATTTTATAGCAAGACATGAGCTAACGATTGTCTAGCATGCCGGTGATCTTGAGCTATACCTTGAGCACTGAAGGGAAACTACAACACCATCAGACACTGACTGTGGCTGGAAATGTGCTCGATATTGGAACAGGCCCTGCTTTATGGGATATTGTGGTTAGCATTGATAACATGCACCGGCCTAGTTCTATTAAAAGCCTGCGACCAGAAGAACTCCCAGCAACAGAAGTCTTTGAGACCTTTTCTCTCTGTTCCGGTTTATCGCCGCACAATGGCGATATGGCTCCAAGCACTCAAACTGGTGGAACGGTGCTGCGATGGGAACGGTCGAGTCTGGCAGTGCTGTTGAACGAGGCTGCCTTGGCGATAGAGAGACCGAAGATACCGTCGGAAGCTCCGTCGAGGAATAGGACTATCTACAGTAGTCTTGGGGAGACATTGTACGGACGAGAGAATCTGCGCAAGCAACGTGGTCAAGCAGGCGCAGAAGAAGAGGATGTTGGTGAGGATGAGACGCCCAACTTGGAAGAAGTCGAAAACTAGAAGCGACTGCCGAACAGATTGGGAAATGTCCATTCACAGAGAAGGTGCCGGCCGAGTCGCGGTTGCCTTTGATCCCGTTCTAGAGATTCTGAGGAAGGTACTACTTGGTTGCTCTTGCCCTGTGGAAAAAGACCATGAGACACGTGACGAGACAACTCAGAGACGAACAGACTCTTGATAACGTTGAATTCTAGTGTATCCAGGACCTCACCGCTGATCTTCATGTTATATTTGTTCAATCGAGTTTGGGGAGACGTTGAACTCGGCAGAACCTCCACCCTTCACCTACCTCGGGAACGGGTAAAGCCCAAATTGGATCCCAGTGCCCCTGTGCCCCGCAAGTTAACTGCCTACCATTGTCTTTCAGCCCCCGCGGCTGACCATTCTGTGATCTGGTAAGCAAGTTTGGACTTGTATTAGTTTATGAATTGTATTTTGCCATTGGCAGCCCAGCACATCAATATAGATCAAATGCCTTGTGAGGCTGACAGACTACGATTCACCCCAAACACTATGTTTGAGTACCAATATCCTATCCGTGCGGCATCGTACTATACCCGAGATGCTTTGTTGTTTGCCAACAGCATTGGGGTCACTAGCGACGAGTTGCACTTTCTCTATGTAAGACCTCCGACTTTGGACGAGCTGCCGAGACTGACCTTGGTCAAAGGAACTGGACTCCAACTTCCAAGTCTTTCCAACATATCCTACAGTCCTTGGTAAAAATCCTTGACGAGCAGCATATTATCCTATCTTCCCCTAACTCATCGCAGCATACAAGGGTGATGTGCGGGACGTCCTTGACGGACGGTCTCAGCAGGATCTACCTCCCATACCAGGAGCCCCAAAGCTAGATGGAAGCAGAGGCGTGGATGGACAGAAGCTCTTCAGAGTGTTCAAGCAGCTTCCATCAAACTCAGAAGGCAAGCTCGAGCTCCGCAAGAAGGTCACTGGTCTCTATGACAAGGGGAAGGCAGGTACCGTCCTCGAAACCACGACCGACTTGGTAGACAAACACACTGGCCAAGTCTACACCAGTGAGGTGGGCAGTGTGTTCTTTGTCGGACAAGGAGGATGGGGCGGTGAGAAAGGCCCGAAGCCTCGAATCTATGCACCACCAAAGGGAGAGAAGCCCCATAAGACTCACACTATTCAGACGAGCAAAGAGGCTGCGCTGCTATACAGGTATGGTACAATCTTCCTCTCTCAATGGCCAGATCACCTCGACGTGGAAGCACTGGAAATGTCTGACCATGTCTTAGACTCAACGGTGACTACAATCCACTACATGCAGAGCCTGGCCCAGGAGCGAAAATGGGATTCGGAGGCGCTATCCTCCATGGGCTGTGTACCTGGAACATGGTCTGTCATGGGGTTTTACAATCATATGGCGGCTCCCAGGCTGCTAATCTGAAAGAATTCCAAGCCCGCTTTTCAAGTCCGGTTAAACCAGGCGATGTCCTTATCACCGATATGTGGAGTTCCGGCCACCAGGAAGATGGATTCAACGAGATCATCTTCACCACAAGAACTGGAACAGGAACTACAGTTCTGAGCAATGGGCGTGCTCTGATCAAATTGGACGACACCAGCGCCAAGCCCAAGTTGTGACGATGAGAGCCTGTCAAGGAATCGACGGGATGGGCGGAACACGGAACTGGTGTTGCCATCACACGTCGACATACATAACGGGGAAAAATTCTGAATATAGAACCTATCCCAAACCTCGAAGACCCTAGAGCATCACTAGGAACCATCGAGGCCTAATATTGTGTCCAGGATATCGAAATGATAAAGTCCGGTACAAAGGTGGTCTCCTCGACTCCAGACGAGGCTTTCCATCTCCATTCCGTACCCGCCACACCCAAGTCGATCCCCACATTGTTATCCTCGGCTTCGGAGTTCGGCCACCAGGTCCGCGAGGTCCATTGACATAAGAATTCCTGACATGGTGGTATCTAAGCAACAAACTAATTCCGAGCACCAGGCTGAGGGACTTCACCATGTAGACCACCTATTAGCCACTGGTGCTTCCGTAGTATATGTACTTATCATTCTAAATCTCGTTACCTGTGTAAGGCGGCAAGTGTTTATATTCCGGTCCTGGGATACATTCTAAGATCATAGTAGTCTCTTGATTGACCCTTTTCGGCACCTAGTGTGTACAGAATACTCGGACTCGACCTTCAAACCGATGCTCGATATCCACTTCTTCGCCTAGGTTGAACGTGTGCACCTTTGTAAGAGGCTGCAGTCTTTAAGGCCTTCAGTCTCGGTAAAAGACGCAAAGTTGAACCGAGGAGGACTTGTCCAGCTGGGCCGACGACTCATCGTCCCACGGAAAGCATTCACCAGGTTCGGAACTGCGACTTTACACAACAAGTCGATTCCGGCCAATATCCTCCCGGACCTCTAACTAAGCACCTCGACAACGACCCAAACAAATCATGAGAGCCTATCAATTATCACAACTTGTCAAGGGCCCCGACGACCTACGTGTCGTCGAGATCCCAGACTTCAAGCCTCACCCGACCAAATACCTGATCAAGATCCACGCCGCCGCCATCAACTTCTTCGACAACCTCCAGATCCAAGGCAAGCATCAACAAAAACCACCCTTTCCATGGATCGCTGGGAATGAGTTCTCCGGTGAAATCTTGGCCGTGCCGACCGAGAGCACCGGCAAGACTCTCAAGTTCAAGAAAGGCGACCGCGTCTTTGGTGCCGGACTCGGTGCATTTGCCACCATGATTCTTGCTCCAGAGGTGGATCTGCGACCTGTTCCCAAGGGCTGGAGTTATGTCGAGGCCAGTAGCCTGTTCTACACGGCGCCCACGGCGTATGCGGCGCTGATTCTGAGAGCCCAGGCCAAGAAAGGTAATCCAGCCGTTTCTGTTTGAAAGGGTGATCAATGTCTGTATAGTTGTGGGTCCGAGTTCTGACATGTTCCTTCTTACTCCAGGCGACTATGTTCTCGTCCATGGAGCCGGCGGAGGAGTGGGCCTCGCTGCCGTCACCATTGCCAACGCGTTGGGCATGAAGGTCATTGCTTCGGCCGACACAGAGAAGAAACGCGAGATCGCCAAGCGCTTTGGCGCTCACTACGTCGTTGATGCCAAAGGGGACTGGGCCACTGCAGCAAAGAACGTCACGCCCGACAAACGAGGTGTCGATGTCGTTTTGGATCCTCTCGGCGTCATCTCTCAGTCATTGAAATGCATTCGCTGGGATGGTCGCTTGACCGTCATTGGCTTTGCTGCGGGTGAGATCGAGAAGATCCCTACCAACCGACTCTTGTTGAAGAACGTCAGCCTCTCAGGCTTGTTCTGGGGTGAGTATGCAAACCAAGACCCGGCAAGTGTCGTCCTGGTCTGGGACACCCTCCTCAAGGTCATCGACCAGGGAGGTATCAAACCTCTGCAGTATACCGAGAAGGAATTTACCGGCTTGGAACAGATTCCCGCTGCATTGAAGCTTCTGAGCACTGGAACTGCCTGGGGAAAGATTGTGGTTGACGTTAGTGAGAATGGCAAGAGTAAGCTGTGAGAAAAAGTCAAGGTTATCGTAGTCTGCTTGGTTGTATGATATCTTCTATACCGTGATCTCATGGATTACCTGGACACTCCACTGCTCCCAGCATCTGGTCCTGCAATGTGACAATAGATATCAAACGAACACGTCCTTCGATGAGACGATCGAATTATTAGACCCTTCTTGATTAGCCTGTCTAGTAATGTCACGTGATAGTACTTGGATAGGCCCGAGGGCCCTGTTGGAGTAGCAAACCCACCGCCCCTCTAAGATCCAAGGATGATTGGCGTGGTGGGATTTCCAATCCATCTCAAATTCATTCGGGAAGTCTGTAGGTGACTCACTACCATTGCTGACTCGAAGTCCTTGACCTTTAAAGAAGAACGCCTACTTCGAGCCAGACATCGCCCATTCTACCAATTCATCCGTCACAATATCCCAAAAGTGAATCACCATGTTCACAGGCCTCGTCGAAACGATCGGCACTGTGACTGCGCTCGTTGACCTTGATCCCTCAACCTCTGGCGGCAACGGCACCTCCCTCACCATCTCCAATGCGGCCTCAATACTTTCAGACGTTGCTCTAGGCGACTCGATCTCCGTCAACGGCACATGTCTGACAGTGACGGAGTTTGAGCCGTCCAGTTTCAAAGTCGGCGTTGCACCGGAAACCCTGCGGCGGACGAACCTCGGGTCGCTGAAAGAAGGTGACAACGTCAACCTCGAACGAGCCGTCAGCGCAACAACACGGATGGGCGGACACTTTGTCCAAGGTCATGTCGATACAGTTGCGTCGATATCCAGCGTGACACCAGACGGCAATGCACTGACATTCCGTCTGTCGCCGCGTGAGAAAGAAGTGTTGAGATATATTGTCGAAAAAGGTTATGTCACGCTCGATGGGGCCAGTTTGACCGTCACCCAGGTCAATGATGCTCAAGGCTGGTTCGAGGTTATGTTGATCGCGTACACGCAAGAGAAGGTGGTGACAGCGGCCAAGAAGCCAGGTGATTGGGTCAATGTCGAGATCGATGTCGTGGGCAAGATTGTCGAGAAAAGCGTCACAGCGTACCTGGAAGGAACTCTAGGAAAGGAGGGCGCCCCAGCTATTCTGGACAAGATCGTCAATCGGTTAGTAGATGAGAAACTAAAAAGCATCAAAGGATAAGATGTGTCATGCATGATTTTTACGAAATCGAATATCAACCTGAACATGGCCCTCGTGTCCGATTAGGCTGAGTCATGTGCGATTCAGAGTATCAGCTGCATCCGGTGAGGTCGAGGGGATACCCAACGAAGATTCTCACAGTTACTTGCTGAATGGACATGGATTCTTACGACAAGCTTTTCCCATTCGTCCTAAGGTATGAGAAAGGTTCAAGTTTTGGTCTGGACAATCTTATTATCAAGCTAGGCAGGGCCTTGCGAACGGCATCTAACGTGCACGAATATCTCGCTTCTATTTTGACCATTGCCAACGTTGTTTTTTATTTATTTGATGTCTCCCTCGAGGGCCATCTTCTATTCGCCCAGCAATCCAATGGCATTCCCTCTGAACATCCACGAGATCTCAGTCTCGTTGAACAACTCTGGCAGAGTCTCATTCATTTCACCGGTCAGGCCAACCGCAGCTGGCAATGGAGTGAAAGCGAAATCACTTCCATACACAAACTTGTCCGCTCCCCAGAAGCGGGCCATACTGAAAATCTGACTCGACATGGCAAAACCAGCCAAGTCAAACCAGAATTGACCCTGGAGCAACTCGGTTGCATTCTGGAGATTGTAGGGGATAGCAGGACGATCAGACGTTGCTTTTCCACCCAAAAGAGCCGAAGTTCGTAGGAATCGTTCAAAAACAGCGGGCAGCACGCCACCGCAGTGGGGGATGATCCATTTGACAGAGGCATAGTCCCTCACCGTCCCCGAGAGGATCAGGTCGGCCACGGTGCGTGCCGCGTCAAAGATGAATTCTAGGATGGGTGCTTGAAAGACGTGATCGAGCGGCGCGACATACCCAAGCAGCTCTGTTCCTCGAACGTCGGTCGGCGCCATTCTGGGGCAAGGGTTGGTGGGGTGGATAAAGATGATGCCGTTGCGCTCGTTGATTTTTTCATAGACAGGTGCCAATGCAGGGTCGCCGTGGTAAAGGCCCCAGTGGTTCGACATGAAGACGAATCCATCAGCGTTGAGTTCGTCGTAAGCTCGGTCAATCTCTTCCAGAGCAGCATCGATATCTGGCAGCGGCAGCGAGGCGAAGAACCCGAATTTATCTGGGTATTCCCGCTTCAGATCGGCAGTGAAATTGTTCATTTCCCGCGTCAGCAGAATGTTTGCTGCTGTGTCGTTGGCGTACAGATTGGTTCCGGGACTCGAACAGCTGATGTATGACTTTTCAATGTTGTTGGCCTGCATGAATGCGAGATGCAGGGAAACATTCCATGTCTGGTTTTGGTCAGTATAGCTCCCCAAGTGTCAAGACATCTGTCCACTTACTGGATGCCCGGCATTTCCATCTGGTCTGTCGACATAGGTCAGCTTTTGTTCATGTTGATATGCTTGTGGCTATAGTAAAGGGGGGCGTAAAGAGTCGACACATTTGAACCAATCACGTGATATAAAATGCAATTGGAACGAGCGACATGGACTTACCCCGGAATCCATCCAGCGTCAGTCACAGCCTGTCTATACCAGTCTGGATAGACATGAGAATGGGTATCGATCTTAGGTGTCGCCAGACCAGTGGCACCATCATTGCCATGTGCGCAGACACATGCCACCAGGCTGAACAGACACAATCCTTGAACCTTCATATCGTCGTACGCTGGCTCCTTGTATCGATAAAAATGGAGTCAAGGTTCGGATTGGAGGATTGTCAGGAGACTTTTCTGAGGGTGTTTAACAGCTTGTATTTATACCTATGCAGCTATTCCTCTGCCATGGCATTTCTCTCAACAAAGTGTCCAGGTATCCCCAGAAAATCTTACCGATTTCCCAGCCATTCGCGGGGTCACACTACAGCATATCTGGTTCTGACTCCGATAGTCTGTCAACTAGCCCTTGCGATATGGGGTCTCAATACTCTTGAATTGAGTGTGGGCGACCATGTTGGACGAATCATCGAAGAATGATTGTGCGACAACGTGGTACAGAAATCCCCGAGGCCTGGGAGATGTACGTCGGCCAAGGATAAGAATATCTCGCTAGCGGGGCAACATCGGTTTTGTATCCCAATGTCCCAATGTCCCACATTCTCAACATTCGATGTTTGGCGTTTGTGAGAGATGTACAGCGATTACAATAGTAGACAAAGGCCGAGGGTAGCGTGGCACCGTGGTCCCTAAAGAACCCCCGCAAAACCTCTCCATCTTGGCGAGCCCCGCGGGGTCTACAAAGATGGGACTAAACTCGATCAAGTATTTCAGACTTGAATGCTCCCACATGCATTCGGCTTCAGGTCTCTCGCTTGCTTCTTGTTGCTAGACTCTCTCTTGGAATAGTCTCTCGTGTGTCCCGAGGAATCGTCAACCTATACATACGTAGCTGCCCACCTTCTACTTAGTCAAGTCGCACCTGAGTCGATCTCCACTTGGAAGTAGCGCAATAGATACCCGGACCTGACTCGAATCCAGCGACCAAGCAGGGGAGAGATCGGCTCAGAGGATTTTTAGGCCATAGACATCATGATTCTGGCTTCATGATTCTAGCGATATAATTAACAGAATCAATGCAGAGTCGTGTGCTGAGGCCCAGACGAATAATAAGAGCTTTTTCGTTTGCTCCTTCACATAGAAACACTCTCCTTCAAGTCCCAGACGTTTGCGAACTTGTGGCCCCTTGATCGCATCTGATCATGGCCTCCGAATCTCTCCCTGGACGTTGGAAGGAAGCTCTCCATTCGAAGCCCGCACGACATCCTCGAATCTAAAGAATGATCAGGATTAGCTTGGCATAAAGACCAAGACCACGCCAAACTTACGCAGATTGGAACATGATATAAATCATCTCGTCGTTGTAGTTGCTCCGAGTATATTCTGCCGCCTCTGCACTGACTTTGATGGTCTGAGTACCCCGTCCTGCACATGCGGCATCGGCCAGAAGCTGAGCCTGAATACATCGATCCATGGCGCCGAACAAAAAAGCTGCCCCATCGACCGTCTTTGCAACTGTCAAGTGGCCATGGTTTTGAAGAATCACTCCTTTGGTGTTCCCTAGTGCTTCAGCGATATGTCTGCCTTCATCTTGTTTGAAGGCTATTCCGCCAAAGCCGGAATATATGCCGTGGTCGTTGTAGAACCTAGACTTGATCGTTAATCTGGTCTCCGCCGGTTCTTCGTGGACAATAAAGGTGTGAAGGGGTAGTGGCTAGTATTTGGATTGATCTCGCAACTTACCGACAAGCATCCTGATTGATGGGCTCCAATTTACAACCAAGGGCGGAAAACGCCTTGCTTGGGACCGAGTGACAATGCACGGCGGCGATGACATCCTCTCGAGCCTCGTGAACTGCAGAGTGAATGATGTAACCTGCTGGATTGATCGAGTGCATGTTGCCACCCTCTTTGACCTCGCCATCTTTACTAACCAGCACTAGGTCGTCGGGAGTCATATAACTGAACGACTTGCCATGTGGATTGATCCAGAAGTGGTCCGTCAAGATCGGGTCACGCACCGTGACGTGACCACCAGCTCCTTCGTTGTTGTAGCCTTGGTATCCTAGCCAGCGCAAGGCAACGGCATGGTGCAACTTGCGATGAGCCCGCTCGGCTTCTAAATCCGCAAACTCAGGGATACGAATTCGGTAGACCTCTTTGGCATTGGGTCCGCCTACTTTTGGGTAGGCGCCAAAGGTGAAATTTGGGGTCGGTGGGCCAGGTCGTGTGCTATGATGAATGCTGTCCGGTATGATGGCCGCTGGCGCCTTGCTTGATGTAGCAATGCAACGTTGGCTAACTCTCTGCTGTTTGCACTGTATTGCTCCGGATTTCGTTTGTTGGGTAGCGCAGCGGAGGAACCTCTGGCTGTATGACATGATGAATATAAAACGGTAGAAGACTCAGCCTTGCGCTGTTGAATTTTGGTGTATTCGATATTGGGTCGAATTATCAATCGGTCACATCGCTAATGGCGACTTTGGCAATATATCATACGCTTGAGCCTAGTCATGAAGCGACGGTAAGCGGTGTTATGTTCTTCAAATACTCACGCACTCAGTACTTCAGGATCATCGTGTCTCCGCATCATGGCATTTGAGGGGGTGTGGAGGCCATTGGAGAAACACGGCCTGGTTGTTCTGTGGTCCAATGTACGGTAAGGACAGTACAAGTATATGGGTTTCTCCAAGTACCTACCTATTGATCATTACGAGGTACTTTAGAGACCATTAGAAAGAGGAAATACCTGGAAAGTTGCCATCCTCAATTGGTGGGACGGCCGAATTGAATCCGAACCCTCATTTACCTATGAAATTGCACGGCAAATTCGACTCTAGGGTGAGAGCTTCGTTCAGTTTCTCCACGAGAGGTCGTTCGATACTCACAACTTGCGGTGCATGAACAGTCCAAGCACACTTCCTGCGAAATTGAAAATATTGGTAAGTATAAGTACCTCCCTACTTGCTATAGCGTGCGCACTGGTGAGGATGGTGTGCAGAATAGAAGTGACACCACCTTCCTGTCTCGTATCGAGGAGTTGCTGTCGCCTTATTCACGCTGTCCCCTCCCCGAGGATGTGTTCTCAAGAAATGCTCGCTTCTTTTTCTCCGATCAATTCCTTCCCCTTCAATATTACTTTCTTCTTGTCCTTGGATGATCCAGAAGATAGAATCACCAGAGTTTTGGAACCACAACAACAGCAGCCATATGACCTACCCCTTATATACATAGGTATCGTCATCGTCAAGGGTTGGTAAGGCTGTGAAACCTTTCTTGCATGAGTGCGCACGATGACTCGCACGCTCTTGTCCGCTCCCCCACATAAGTCAAGTCTCTCCAGGATTGGTATGCGCTCTGTCGATGCGTGGCTGGACTGTGACGTTTGGCCGGAGTAACAAAGCTCCTTTGTCAGCAGAGATTTTTGACAGTGAGCGGGCTGAGCTCCAATGCAACGTTACTTATCCGGTTGAGCTCTTCAATTCGCACCCAATTATTTATTACCCGCACCGTCATGGCTTGCGAGAGCAACAGGATCTACCCCGCCGACAAAGCTAAAGTTGTGTAGCCTGACGCCCGGACACCATTGGCTCAGTTCTTCCAGGCTTCTGGAAGATGCCATAAGCATTCACTATGAGGGCTTAGCGGCCTCGGAAATGGCCAACGGGCTTGCCCATTGTGATGAATCACTTGTCGACTGAAGGGCGTGCAGGGCCAAGACAAGCCATCTCGCTGTTGTCCCATACAGCCCGTCAGTGTTTGCCTGAGGAGTCATAATATTTGCTCCACTGATCTCGCGGAGATTCGCATCTACTATCCGACCAGAAGGCTGAATATAGGTATCTACTGAGTCTCGCAGAGCGGTGTCCAGGCCATCTCTTCTCTTTCACTTCAATCCTCCGTCTAGTACTTGCCTCATCTACGGTGCCCGAGGTGCTCGCTGTGGCGAACATGGAGTACTTCGATTTTGAGGACGCCTCCAACGTCCCTCCCTTCGATCTCGAAGACTATGCTTCGTCATTGGCCCATGAACCCACTGAGCAGGATGCCAATGAAAGCTACGAGTCACTCTTTTTCGACAAGACTAATACCCTGCCTGCCTCTCGACATGCGACAGCTGGACCCATGAAACTAAAACTGATCAACAATGTTGAAATTGAAGTCATTCCTCATACAGCCGATGTCTCCGCTGACTATCCCATGTTTCGTGCCAAAGTTGCCTGTGATCTCTGTTCAAGGATGGGCCTCGACTGCTTCCTCGCCACAAGAGGAGCCATGGTGACGGGATGTACCTGTTGCATATCACTCTATAGAGAATGCAGTTTCGTTCACCCAAAGATCCCCAAGGGCTTCGTCAGCACCTTTCCTGGCATCACTGAGGACCAGCAAGTCTGCGAGGGTTCCATCACTGAACGCCGCAGGGCCATGAGATCTATGGAAGAGGGCCGAGGACGCAAGACTGGTGCCCGTTTCCCTCGAGAGGCAGTGAGAATCTTGAAGCAGTGGCTTGCAGACCACAGCGACCACCCGTACCCCACTGAACGAGAAAAGGATGAACTGAAACAACTCACCGGCTTGAAGAGAAGTCAAATAGCAAACTGGCTCGCAAACGCTCGAAGGAGAGGCAAGGCCAGGCCTGACAACTCCGACCCATCCTCTCCGATGCTCGGTGCCATTGACATTCCTTCAAATTCCGATAGATACGACAATGCTCATCTCAATCCCCTGGACAGATGGAAAGCTTCACCACCGGAAAATGAACCTGCTTCCATGACCGCTATTGCTCGTGCCGTCACTGCCACTCCTCTCCCGGTCCGCAACAATTCCATCTCTAGTCTTCACGGTTCTCGGGCCAGTTCCAAAAAGTCGTCGAGCGAAAATGACTCTTCCTTTTCCATGTTCCGGGCTCCATCCGTGAGCAGTTTTGAAACACGAGAGTCGAGTAACAGTGATCTCACCTTTGCTTCGTCAAGGTCCACCAAGTCCAGAGGATCCTTTGCCTCGTCTCAAGATCGTCGGAGGCGGCGCCGAGCCCCTATGACACAACGAGCTGCAGCTCAACAGGCCAAATCTCGAAATGCTAGAATTTTCCAATGCACCTTCTGTACAGACACATTCCCTGCAAAGTACGATTGGCAACGACATGAGAAATCTCTACATCTAGCACTCGAACGATGGACCTGCTGTCCAGACGGAGGTATAATGAATGATAAGCTCACTGGCATCCCCATCTGTGTCTTCTGCAAGGAGGCCAACCCAACAGCAGATCATCTAGAATCTCACAATTTCACTACTTGTCAAGAAAAGACGTTGCAAGAACGAACCTTTTATCGAAAGGATCATCTGAGTCAACACCTAAAGTTGATGCATAACACAAAGGTTCAGCCTCATATGGAGCAGTGGAAGACCACCAACAACGAGATCAAATCAGCATGTGGGTTCTGTCCATCAAAGTTCACCACTTGGCAACAGCGAGCCGATCACCTCGCGGCACACTTCCGGAATGGTGCGGATATGAGTGGGTGGTCCAATGGATGGGGCTTCGAACCATTTGTCGAAAGACTGGTCGAAAATGCCCTACCTCCATATCTCATCGGGTATGAGAGGAACACAATGGAACCTTATGTTGCCCGCCGTGAGCCTTCCAAGGACACATCATCTTCTGATACCGGAATGACCATTGGCACATCTGCTGACGGTGGAGATGTCGACCAGATGACCAAGGATTCCAACTGCTGGGGTCGCCTGGAACAGGAGTTGATCAAGTTTGTCGGTCGATATAAAGGTGCTGGCAAAATTCCTTCAGATAAGGAAATTCAAGATCAGGCTCGCATGATCATCTACGAGGACACCGATCCATGGAACTGGACGTCTGCAGACAATCAGCAATGGTTGGAAACCTTCAAGTACCAACAAGGAATTGGACCATATACCGAAGCCATGGTCACACCTTTACTGGCCGAAGTGCCAATCATGCCACCGTATGTCGTCAAAGGAGGTTTGAAAGCAAAAGTACTAGCAGACAATTGTGCATCTGCTCGCAGTAAGGGGTCATCTGCTTCTGTGAGCAACAACCACTCGAGGTCAAACTCACAAGGTCTCTCAAACAGTCTACCCAACTCTACCATGGCGCCGACACCGACGTTTGAGCAGAACATGGACTTTGACTTCGACAGCATAGATTTTAGCAATCTAGACCTCGGAATGATGGACGATGTCAACTTTGATATGGATATGACTGGCACAGCCGCGGCACATGTCAACGGAGGACTGAACGTCGCTCACTCAACGTCTTTTCAGCCCAGCTTGCCTGCTGATCCGATCTTTGACACCTTTGCCTCTGACCAGGGAACAGCCTTTTTGAACACGGGGGTGCAACAGCAACAACAACAACAACAACCTCAAACTTCGGCATTAATGAGTGAGCAGGATTTCAACCAGTTGTCAGGATACATGGCTGGCTTCAAATAGATATGAAAGATGGACTAGGCAGACATACGTCCCTACCATCACTTGACCTATCATCTTGAAAGATAGAACACACTCTAAGTTCTAATTAGGTAGACAATGTTAGGAGTTATTTGTGGTATATCCTCACTATCCTATAGCTGCTTAATATTCTTTGATCAGATCTACACGGCAGAAATCCGTTGTGTGTCTGAAGCACCACATTCAGATCAAACGCCGCACGTGATTGTCCGACTCTCAATGCCGAAGGTACTGATAGATTTTGGTACATGAGCCACTAGACTGATGTGGGTAAAGGCGACAATATCGAGCCAACAATTGCGGAGGGATTTAAAGCCTATTTGAGTACCATCACCTGTTGTGATACCGTACGCGATGTACCACAAGTTTGGGGTTGGTTGTGGGTGGTATGATATCGCGGGTTACATCTCCGTCACACCACACCACGCGTGACACTGACCAAGCACAACAACCAGCACTTTTGCCCGAGCAATGGTTGCAAATATGGTTCGAATGCAATTTCATGGCCTTCATAAGCTGCAAGATATTCCCTTTGGAGCATATGGGCAAGAAAATAAAATCACTACCAAAAATCACGAATACTTCGAGCTGCTCGCCAGATTCTTTGATTACCTAATCTTCAACACATCCATCCACTCATACACATAAATCATGAGGAACCAACTAGCATACTGGGGACCATGGCGCACGCCCGGAAGAATCCAGGCTGCCCAATTCGGAGGCTTTTATATTGCATACCTGGTACCGTTTTCGCTCTTCCTATATGCCATGCAAGACCCCGCTAGTGTTGCGGAAAAGCGAAGGCGAGCAGAACGACGGCGTCTATGGGCGAAATAAACTTCCCGAACGCATTACTCGACATGCGTGTGTCGAACATCAAGAGCAGGAGTTCAAAATACATCATATATCCATGAGCCGACGGTGGCGAGAGATGATTTGACGCCATCCAACAACACAATCAACAAGAACCAAGCCGAATGAAAGAAATACTGGAAGAGAGCAGTTATTCCGACCAGCAATGCACCATTGTACATATCTGAATACACACCTGCGGGAAGCTCGATTCCTCACAGGATGGCCGTCCAGTTTAAGGGCATGAGCATCGTTATCAACACCAAAGAACCCTTACAAGGATGACTGGACGTTGGAAGGGCAGACAACAGGAGTTGGGGGAACATATTCATTGGCATTGGCCAGGCTTTTATCACAGGATGATGGGCTTTGTTTAATAAAATGCTATAGTCGGATACTAGCAAATCAAATATGGGACTCGAAAGTGGTTACATGAAGCGTTTGTATGGTCGATCCCGGGAAGGGGGCACACCACTCGTCGCATGTGAAGAGTCCCAGTTCAGATTAATTACTTGAGCAGTATTCGTGCGCATATTTTTAAGCTCATGGACCCGAGGCCAGGCGAGAAATTGCGACGTCTGGAGTAAAAAACCTTCTTGACTGGGGAATTTGCTGGATCTCACTACACCCAGACAGCCAGACCCGAATTGACCCCCTCGGGCGCCGCCAATCTTTGGCTCTCCTGTCGCACCCGAGACCCGGACAGCCGAGAGTTTTGCGGCTTGGGAGGACAAAGAAGTTTGTCCCTGAGGCATGACTCTCACTGGCACATGCCAATAAGCGGACAGACCAGTCGCATGTGAAAGTTTCAGAGGTGACATCTGCCCCATCATCTAGAAAAATCTCATGCCGGCCGTTGCCTCTGGGCTGTGGTTCCCTCAACAAACACCCCCGGACATCCGTGCAGATTAAACATGGCCATAGTTCCCTGTCGCTCGTATCTGCTTATTATGGAGTCTGCAGTGTCTTCCAGCATGTGCAAGGGTCATATCAGGAAGTGATAACATCAGATCCCGGGGAAGAGTGTGTGCTCTTCTCACCTTATCTATCCCCAGCCTATCTCTCAGCGTTTCACCCAGATAAATCGCCAGGCATCAGTCAGTGTGCATCTTTCCTTGAAATCACGGCCAGCTTCAACCATATTACCTACTCAGAATGCCTGCAACAGCGTGCGATCACGCCATGATGGCTCCTAACCAGTCCATGTGCACCGAAGTCGTTCGTTCGAGCTTGTTTACCATGCTTCCTACCGCTGTACGATCGCGGATCCCCGTCCTATCCTCCATCAGACGCTCAGCCAAAGCTGTTGTCTTCAGTGGTGCCGATAATGCGCGTCGAAAGGCATATACAATCTCGAGTCTGGACAGCAATCAAGATATGTACTCTGTTGGATTTGCGTCCACGGTACCCAACAGCGAATTGAGTACTCCGACGTTAAGACCTCAAACTCCAGAAGAGTCGATTCGCACCTCAGAACTCAGCTTGACGATGCTGCCTCAGCCAATGACTGAGTCGGGGGTGAAATGGGATGTTGCTACAACAGGCATTCGACTCTGGACAACAGCCAAACAACAAGCCGAACAGAACGGCGACTCGGCCGCATTGCGCAGCATGCATATTGATGCGGTGAGATATATGCACATGGCCCTGCCATCGGACTTGACCCCTCTAGAGATCAACAGCCTCAGAGCTAGCATGCCTGTTGAGTTACTGCCCTTTCCTGAGTCGCCCAGTCCAAGAATCGAGCGACCTCCGACCATGTTGCGGCGGAGCGTGGCACAGTTGGTATGCTGGGCTTTGGCAATTGTGCTGTTTGTCGTCCCGGTAGTCATGGCCTTTCTCAATCGTGCTCTTCAGATTGCACTCAACGTCGAACGGCGACATCAAGTGACAGAGCGATTTCTAAGCAACAGCCTCGACATCGTCTCTGCTTTTGGAGAGCAGGGATCTAGACTACAACAGCCAATGGCTCGATTCAAGGATGGACCTTTGGGGCTAGCATTTTTGAAGATACTGAATTGGTTTATGGAAGGGGTTTTGGGTGGCGTCAACGATGGTTTTGAGGCCATCGCTCAACGGCGGCCAAAAGCTGCTTGAGAGCGTTGGGCTATTTGGTGTGGTTTGTTTGGGAGAAGCGGGTTGGGATGGACGTCTGTTATTGCCCTTATGATTATGATACCCTTTACGCTAGACACGAATGACGATAGATACAATACACTTGACGTCTCCTTATCTTTTTGTTTGTGTTACACCTGGTTGTCAGTTGATACTCACCACCTGCCGAGGCTCTATCTCAGCCTTGTCGAGTGGCCGCGGGGTCGCGCCTGCCATTTCAATCTGGACTCACGCGTACTTGCCCCCAAAACATCTCGAGGACCATGTCGACGCCTCTGTTGCCTTCATTTCGACGACAACAACTGGTGCTTGATTTGTGAGTTGCGTCTGTTACAAAGAGGTATACAGCTTGTTTCTAACAATCGTGATCAAGTTCGACTCTGCGCGGCCACTGCCCAGAAGGCATCTATCTTTCGCTAACACCGGGGCACCCATCGACCTGGGGAGGCATCTTCTTCGTTCGCAAAGGTAGATTCGCAGTCGCTCTATGCAGACAATGGTTGGTTTTCCATTAACAGTCTTCTTCAGGACCTTACGCTGAAGCAATCCTCCGCTTTCAAATCTCGTTCCCAGACTCGTACCCAACAAACCCTCCCCTAGTCACCTTTTCTACCGACGTCTTCCACCCCCTCGTCGTCCCATTGACGACTTATACCTTCAGCGCTAATGCTGTTGCTTCTACTGGCGTGAGTGCCTCTGACGACGACCGACTACCGCCTGGTACTTTCAGTCTACAATATGGGTTTCCCCAGTGGTTCCGCCAAACTGGGCAGGTAGCAGGAGAAGATAGCCAGAAGAAAGATGCGACAAGAGTTGCGGATCAGACCAAGGGCCAGGTAGAAGATACAGAAACCGCGAATTCAGAAGCCGAGAATTTGGATGACAATAAAGATGTTAGAACGACCAAGCAGCCCGTGTTTGACATCAGAGACAGGAAAGCCACTCTCTTAAATGTCCTAAGGCATGTCCATACCGCATTTTCAGATGAGACCATGCTCGACGCGATCCCGCTATCAGCAGCTGGTAACCCCAGTGCCTGGCACGCGTGGCGCGCTCATCGGGGTCTCAACCCTCCAAAGTCACCTTCTACCCCCGATCTGGATGATTTACCAATTACTGTCGCATCGTCACCCAAGCATCCTGGAGAGTGGAAGTGGGATGGGGTGTGGGAGTCTCGAGTAGACAACGCTATCCGAGAGAGTATATCTGAGGGGGCTCTCTTTGGGAGCTCAGCTTCTGCAAGGACACCAGCTGGCCTACCATATGGGAGAAATGTGGCGGATTCACCTGCGCGAGGGTCGAAGTTGGATCACCGACAGATGCTGCAGGCTATGGCAGATCGACAAATCAAGTTCTCGAAATTGAGCGACGAGAATATGGCCGAAGTTAAGAGCAAAATCCAAGTCTCCGCTGGGCCGGGCCAGGCGTGACAGGAGGGTTTATAACATATTCAAAAGGTGGATGTTATTGCAATTTGCGGTCATGAAACTGGACATGCTGGAGGTGGAAACATGGAGATTGTGAACAATCATCAATCATCGTGATATTCTACATAATTGACCATCATATGGTGAAGCCACCATGTTTCCTATCGCCTAAGCGATTGAGATGGGTGGCAGAGAGGCGTGACCTTCCTTATTATCTTGACCTTCATCGACCACTTGACCAGTATTTTCAGTCTTGCCACTTGTGGTATTGTCCTTCCCACCACCCTTCCACCCAACAGGTACACCATCATCCGTGAAATTGGCCCAAACAAACCATCCACAGCCTTCACCTGCACCAGGACGATTTCCAGCTTGACACATCCACATATAGCGACCTCGATTACCCCGTTGGCGCTGCACACACTTCAAGACACAAGGAATGTCACAGCGACAGCGCGGGGTATATTCAGGACGGAACTCGTCGCGATACCATCGATAGGTGATGTTGATGCGTTTATTACCGGCCACAGGGTGGGGAATGATAGTCGAGGCCGGTGCAATGCTATGTTTCCATTCCTCTTGCATCTCGGCGTGCATGACTAGGAGAGAGTTATGTGGGAGATGGATGGAGATTTGACCTTGAAGGTCAGCGGCAGCGGCGGCGTCGGGTGGATGGTTCTCATCATCACTGCTTTGGTCTTTCGGCACAATCCGCCTAACACGGAATTCCCTTGCAACTCCCAGACTCAGACTACCAATAACGGCGCGTGGACCCAGGTATGTCAATTGATCGGAATGGTAGCCGACGTGCTGAGCACCTCCATCGTAGCAGTTGACAAACGCCGCGTTGGGTTGCCATTCCTTCTCCGTCTGGAATCGTAGTTTTTTCCCGTCTGGATAGAAATCCCGGATGCGGGTTTCAATTTCCTTGTTGACTGCAATTCGAACTAAATCACTGACTTGTCTTGTTGTCGGGAGCGTCTCGCGTACATCGAGTAGATCGTTGCCGTTGTAGTAGTATTCGGTTCGTTGACGAGCTCGGTCGATGGGGTTGTCGACGTAGAAACACGCCGTGTGTGGTGATTTAACTACATTGTCGAAGATCTTGAAGCTGATGGATGAGTAGCTGGTGGATTCAGCGAGTAGTTCGTTTAGGAGAGATGTGGCAAGTGTCGATGGAAGGAAGTTGTGGATGATGGAGCAGGGCGTGTGAGTGGCAATGTCGTCTGGTGTGTACAAGTGCAAGGTTTTGCCTTTTCGTGTCAGGGGCTGACGAGGTTGTTTTGACGATGATAGCAACGAGGATGAAGACGATGATGATGGACGCTTTATCTTTGGGTCTGCTGTTGATGAGAAAGGAATGGCACTTTGGATTCCTGGTATCATCTGTCGTCGTTTGATATCACGTGATGACCAGGTGGTTGTGCTGCTAGAGAGACAGTCTATGGCTGCAGATACGCTACCGTCACAGCTAAGCAGGACTTCCAATAGATCATCTTGAGATCTGTCCGGGTTGAGGGAAGAGAGGATAGCGAGTTTGACATCAGTTGAGTCTTCCTCCTCTTCTTGAGGTTCATTTGGGAGTGGTTCAGCCGGGGGTGGCGAAAGACGACGTCTCTTGCGTGACAGAAAGGCGTCCATGATGGAGATGGGGGATAGTGGCTGGTGATGAAGTAGTGATTCCTCGATCAGGAGCCATCATATACACCCTTAGCCTTGGGTTTGTGGTGTTAAACGAGATGGGAGTTGATGAATTGGTTGATATTGGAGGGAGCAACATAAATGTTTAGTGAGCAGAGAGTCAATGTACGCGGGCTTATGGGTGTAACAGGCACCGAGAGCATATTGTGCGGGGGGTGACATGCCTGGAATTGGGTGATATTTGCCCCCACAAGAAAGTTCAGGGGACCCCAAGACCCCTCAATCATGAGTTTTTTAGGCGCCACCCACTGAACCTTACGCTTATGTCCTTTTTGTGCCTGATCCATCATCTACAAACTGCGAGCTGCGCTGCCTCGGTTCATTCCGCCACCACGAAAATGACGAAGATGGGATGTCAAATCCAAGCCTACCCACCATCACAACTTTGTTAGTTATTCATGATCTTCCTGGCAAACCACGGCTGACAATTGATTGACGTGAGATCAGAAACCACCATGCATTCAACATAACGCGTGAACATTGTCTGGTCTCATCCACACCATGATCCTCGTCATAGGCCACAGACGACACGCAACCAAACCTACCTGCTCTTGAGGTGAATCCAATCTCGAATCTACCATCCCGCGAGTTCGCCATGTTGGAATTTCGCACTCAGGGATTCCAAGGCTACGCAGTCAAATATTCGCCATTCTTTGACAATCGCATAGCTGTTGCAGCATCAGCCAACTATGGCCTGGTGGGTAATGGGCGTCTTTACATCCTGGAGTTGACGCCTCATGGCATTCAAGCGTTGAAAAGGTATGCGACACCAACATCCCCTCTCTACACGAGTTAGTCTAGAGTCCATCTAACAACATCAGTTATCCCACTCAAGACGCTCTCTACGACGTCACGCACTCCGAAGCCCACTCCTTTCACGTCCTTACATCCTCTGGCGACGGCTCATTACGACTTTATGACACATCACTGGCACCCGACTTCCCCATAGCTACCTTTCAAGAACATTCTCGAGAAGCATATTCCTGCTCGTGGAACCTCACCTCCAAAGCAACGTTTGCATCGTCATCATGGGACGGCACAGTCAAGATATGGAACCCCGAAAGACAACAGAGTCTATTGACGCTACCCACTCATTCTTGTACATATAGTGTGCAATGGAGTCCTCACACTGAGGGTGTGCTCAGCGCTGTTTGCTCCGATAGTCATCTTCGAGTTTGGGATTTGCGCACCCCAGCGAGCGCAAGCAACCACCTCACCTTACAAATCCCCATCCACTCAGCACCCATGTCAGTCGGCATGGGGGGCAAACTCCAACCGACCTTCCCACCATCAGAGGCGTTGACTCACGATTGGAACAAATACCGAGGCACTGTCGTGGCCACTGGCGGCGTCGACAGAATCATTCGCACATTCGATATTCGACAACCAAAAGGTCCTGTTTCACTGTTGCAGGGACATGGATACGCGGTGCGCAAAGTCGCATGGAGTCCCCATTTACCAGATTTATTGCTCAGTGCCAGCTACGACATGAGTTGTCGTGTGTGGACGGATGGAGGCGAAGGAACACAACAGCAAGGACGAGAGTTGGGTGTTATGGGCCGACACACCGAATTTGCAACCGGAGTCGACTGGTGCTTGTTCGGTAGTGAAGGCTGGGCAGCTAGCTGTGGCTGGGACGAGAGGCTGTGTGTTTGGGATGTACGGACTTTTATGCATTCATGAGCAATGTTGGATTGCAGGGCTCATCTCCATGCATCAAGATACTGGAACGAGAGCGGCTTTATTCGCCGCATTTTGGAATACTGAACACCAACACCTACACCTACACCAACAACATTCCGCCGATAAACAGTCGGCTTCAATGATAACCGTGTCCTCTACTAGTTCTCTGTTATCGTTTCATGGGCAAGGAATGGAATAGTAATTGTCTACCAGTCACAACTCATGTTGTTGACAAATCAAAAACCACGTGATTAGAGGCTTATACATGACTCGCGTGGGTCTGGATTTTGGGTTTGAATTGACTCAGGGTTTCAAAATCACGTGCACTTACATCCGGGGGATGTCTCGCAAGATATATATATCAGAACATCCTGTAGGAAAAGCAACAAAAGGGTAAAATTCTTTCGTGTCAACTTCAGCTTCTCCTACAAACCTCGAGAATGCTCCACGAAGTTCTTCTTATATAAAGACCCATGTGCTGTTCTATAAGATACACCTCCATGTTAGGACATTGCGTCACGTGATTAAGAAGCGCCCCCCCCGAGAGGGACCTCTGCTTGCCCCCATAAGTCATAACAGTCTAACCCCTAGTAGCATACCTAGATACCTACCTAGGTATGCAAGTCTCTGAGATTCACCGTTATGAAAGAAGATCCCGTAGACCAACTCACAGCCTGGAGCACGAAGCATGGGGAGATGAAGCTCAGTCCCCAGGCCCGCTGGACAGGTCCAAGTAAGTTGTCAGCGGCTGGTCCCCTTCTCGCCCGGGGCGCCGAACAGGGATTAGATTAGATGCCGACACACTCAAACAGTTGACCTCGGGAACCACTTTGATGCGTAGTCGTCCCGAGCAAGTCAGTGGATAATGATTTCCAGGTAGGCAATTGTATTGATTCCCCCTCCCCAGATATTTAAGTACTAGAAACATCACCATGTTTGACGTGGTGTCTGTTTTTTTACTCTCAACTCAACCGAGGTTCAAAAAGAGGTTGGCTTCATATTGAGTTCTGACTCTGAATTCTCGAGATCGATTGATTATTTATTTCGGTTCCTTGAACTTGACCCCGCGTTTCACTTGTTGGTTTGGATCGAGGAACCAAGGTACTATAACTAGTATCTAAGGGTATTGGTCGACGACTAAAACAAGCACACTCACTTTACACTCCATACCTTATTCCATCGATTCCTGGACCTACAACGCGAGCCATTCATTCACCATGTCTCCTACCGACAACCCCATATTCAAAAATGCGCCCTTTGATAAATACCCGCAATGGGTGCTGGCCAAACTTCGTCCTCAGGCCATCGATATGATTCAAAGAGTCCATAACTGGATTGAAACCGAATGTATACCCGCGGAACAGATTATGAAAGCCCAGGTTGCCGCCAACAGATGGAAGACGCCCGAAATCATGCGTTCACTTCGAGCCAAGGCCAAGTCTCAAGGCCTATGGAACATCTTTCTACCCAACCACTTCAAGGAGTCACCAGGCCTGACCAACTTGGAGTACAGCTGCTGTGCCGAGATCATGGGTCGAGTGTACTGGGGAGCCATGACGATGAACTGCCAGGCGCCCGAGACCGGCAACATTGAATTGCTGGCCAAGTATTGCAACGAAGAACAAAAGCGCAAGTGGCTGAAGCCTCTGATGGACGGCGACTTTTCGTCGGCATACAGCATGACCGAGCCCGATCGTGCCAGTTCCGACGCCACCAACATCGCCTGTCGCGCCGTGAGAGTTGGCGACGAATACATCGTCAACGGCCGAAAACTGTACGGAAACGTCAACTACAACGAAGACATGAAGCTGTACATTATCATGTTGTGCACCGATCCCGACAACAAGGATCCCTGGGCCCGTCATACCACGTTCCTCATGCCCAGCGACACCCCGGGGTTGACCATCAAGCGAAACCTGACCATCATGGGCTACGACCATGCTCCCGAGGGCCATGGAGAGTACGTGTTGAAGGATGTGCGCATCCCCAAGGAAAACGTCATTCTCGGAGAAGGCAGAGCCTTTGAAATTGCCCAGGGACGATTGGGACCCGGCCGTATCCATCACTGCATGAGATTGCTTGGACAAGCCGAGCGGGCGTTTGAATTGGCTTTGTTGCGATGCAAAGACGTGCGCAAGATGCCACGTGGAAAATTCATTGGAGACTTTGATTCCAACATCGAACGATTGGCCGCCATGAGGTTACAGATTGATGCCATGCGACTAGTTGTCCTCAACGCCGCCGACACCATGGATTCTCAAGGCAACAAGGCCGGTCGCTATGTGATTGCACAGAGCAAGATCCTGGTCCCCGAGATGATGGCAAATGTTATCGACGAATGCATGCAGATGTATGCCGGCCAGGGCTTGACCCAGCACACTTCTCTACCTGAGATGTGGGCCTATGCTCGCTTTGTCAGAGTTGCCGACGGCCCAGATGCTGCTCATCGTCATCAAGTCGGCCGAGACCAATTGAAGAAGTTTGAGGCTACCAGACTGCGACATACCGCCTATGCTGATCGAGCAAGGGGGCTGAGGAAGCAATGGGGACTTGAAAGTTCCGAAGGCGAATTTGAATGGGAATATGTCCCTCCTGCGCCCGCCAAGTTGTGAGGCAGCGGGTGATGAATGAGAAAGGCACGGGAAAAGAGCTAGATCTAGATTGTGAGGAATTTTGTCGTAAACTTTGATGCAGCATTGCACATTGTGGGATTTGTATAGTGTTGCGGGTGATGAGACCATCGGTAAAGTATACTATTAGGCTAGAACATTGCTGTGTCACAATCATCCGGATCCAACTCTCAATGCTTAAGTTGTGAATAGGGGGCCCCTCAGGCACTCATGAAGCCGTTGTATTGGCCTCCCACACCAAGTCAGATATAGTGATGCAGATGTAATTGGGCTGCTGTCACTGTCTAAGACAAGGGATCCGTACATGATCGATCGAGCGGACTTCGAGCGCCGGTGAAGTTGGTCGAGTCCGGGTCCGGAATCGGTGTCCACGGGAGGAACAGCCTCTGTGCAGAACGCCTTTGATGGTCCGGCTGAGGTGGACGTACTCAATGTGGCAGCACAAAAGACTCAAGTGTGTCCGTGAGCACTGGTAAAGTGCCGTCGCAACCGTGGTTTTATTTCGAGGCCAATCTCTTTTCGACACCAGCACGTAGCCTCTCCTTTTCGGCATTCAACTCTTCCTTGGTGGCATCAAATTGAACATTTCCAGCCTGGTTGAAGGGGTTTTCTTCACTCTTCTCGAATTCCTTTCTGACAATATCGATGCGCTGCTGTTTTCTGAGACCGGGATGTTCAATCTCAATCTCGGGAAGGCGACGTTCCTCAAAGGCCTTGTACGCCGCCTTGAAGCGACGCTCCGGGTGCCGGTCAATTTTCAGCTCGTTGCTTGACGCTGTCAGACTAAGTGCATCCAGTGCATTGTCAATTCCCGAAGCATTCAGCGCTTTGCTTGCTTGTCCACTGCCACCAGCGTCGCCGTCCAGTTGACCGAGATCTAGCGTTCCTCTTGACTTCTTCTCCGCGGTCTTCTTATTCGCACCTTTGGGCGTTGACCGTTGTGACTTTTCTTCCTCTGCTAGTAATGCTTCTCGTTCAGCTTTCTTGGCGGCCGCAGATGCTGCCTTTTCTGCTGCTGCCGCCTTCTTGCTATTGTCTTTGGCTCCTTTGCTCCATTCTCGATCTTCTGCCGCGGCTGTTTTTGCATCTACGGCTGCTTGCTTCTGGGCCGCTGCTTCGGCCTTTTTTGCGTTGCCGGCGACTTTCTTAGAGTTTTCCTTCTTCGGTCCCATGCTTTGGGCTGGGTGGGAGGAGGATGTGTTGTTACTGCGAGTGGTGTTGGTTGTGGCGGGGTGTCGGTGGGGTTGGAATTGTTGGTGGCGTGGGCGTGATGGGTAGTGTTCCGGGTCGGTGCTGCGCAAGTACGCACTCACACTTAGGAATGTGGTGAGGTGGACAATGGCAAAGATCCGGATGTATTGAGTGGGAGAGAAGAAATGACGATTAATGGGCATTCAAGATTCGAGGGTTGAGATTTGGTGACTGGGACTACGCCTTAAAACTGGAGGCTGCTAATGCTGCAAGCGACGCCGATATGACTCCGATGTTCTTTCCTCATCCAAAGTCATAATCCCACACATGTGACATCGTGGTGGGGAAGAAGATACGAGTCATGTCACTTCTCTCCATTATTCATATTGACTCATGTTAGTCAAAGTAATCATAGACTCATCGACCGACCAGTACGCCCTAATGCTATCTGCGCCGAGTTCACCAACATTCCCAACTCCAAGAACCTAGAGTCGTAGAATCGTTTGTAGTCATGTCGCCTCCAACTTGGGCGAGTCACACGTTGCTCCTTTCAAGAAACGCCTCGTTCCACCATGCTCTCGTCATCTGCCACCTGAGGAAGCACCTCAGATCAACCGCATAGGTGTTCTCATGCCTGCGAACCCCTGCCTCATGAACTTGTACTTGTTGGGCACCACTTGTAGTCGCCGAAAAGCCTCTCTCACATGTTTCGGTTCGACAGGGGTCCGTCCTTCTTCAGGCATTTCGAACAAACTGCATCCTTCGCGCTTCCTCTTCTTACTTGCCTCTTGATCTCCTCTTCCACCATTAGCCTTCTTGTTCGCGATGTCTTCCGCAGCTTTGACTTTCAGGGCCTCTTCCGTCAGTGTCTGGACAATCTCGAAGGTGAGAAAGCCAAGGATGTCCACAACATCATCGTTGGGCTTCGAGTCGATGATGGTACCGAAACCTGCCCACTCTCGGAAACGCTTGCCTTTGCGAAAGGTGAAACTTGCTTGTCGACAATCGGACCAATACACGTACTCATCCTTGGTCATGTTTTTGGTTCTTTCATCTGCAGAAGCCAGACGCGCCAAGGTGGCCTCATTTTGTTCCTCTTCCTCTTCGTCTTCTTCGTCGTCTCGCTCGGGAACTTGTTCAGAATAGAAAGACTGGGCTTCCCAGGGAAGAATCAGTTTGGCTTTCTTGGTAGTGCTGGACTTTTGTGGTGCTGATGGATTGACTCCTCCGGAAGCCTAGGGCGTAATTCTTGATTAGTAAAGGTCGTCGCATTTGTAGCAGGTTAAACCTCACTTCTTCAAAGTCGACATCTGCCGCGTCGCCACCGCCCTTGTCGTCCGAGTCCTTAACATTCTTCCGGACGTCTTTCCACGATAGAAAGGTCTTGAGACGTGAAACTTTGGCCTTGTCATGACGGATCTGAAAGATCAAGTCGACAATTGAGATTGACCTGGTGCCTCTGCGGTTGGCCAAGATTGTCGCTTGTTGTAGCTGTGGATTGCTGTCAATTTGCGATTCGCCAGGTCAACGCGCCGATAGCAAGGTACCCATACCATTTCTAGGACTTGTTCTCGAACGATTTCCTCAATCATCCATGTCGTCTCCGGACTCGGCTCTGCAGTTTCGCCAGAGACAAACATCATCTGTCCGACCCAATAGATTAGCCGACGTTTGAAGTCTTCAAATGATTCTTGATCATCGTCAACATTCGAGCAATCCTGCAAATTGAAGGGGGTCGGGAGAAAAGGAACGACATCTTCGTCTTGGCCCATATTGCAGTCTCTGAAACATGTAAGAGGTGCAGATAGGAGATGTACTTATGTGGGTGGATGAAGATAACCCCTGGGCGACCAAATCTTTGACCATATTCAGGACTGTTCTGTCACACCCGCCACAATGCGCTCACAATCTGCCTGCGATCTGCGGCTACTTGTTGTCTTCGCAACAAACGATGTCATGCAGAAAACAACTTCAGCAGTGCAAAACTCCGCGTGATGACTTACCTGTTGGATCTCCTGACGATACTTCGCGGGTCTTTCTGTTGCCATGTTGAGGGAGTTTGAAGTGGTTTAAAAGGATGAACTTGCGTGATCAGTTTTTTTAAATCGACGCCCCGACACAACCTAATAACGCCTGGCCGAATGAAACCCAGATTTTGATGATAAGAATGCGGTTTTGATGTGCAGAAGGAAATCGCGACAGTGACAAGGATGAAGAAGATTAGTCTAGAGCGTCTCCGTCCCGTGAATCACCAACTTCCGCGGCCAAGCCTTGCTACAGCGAATGCTATACTTCACCTAAGCAGGTTCCCCGCGTTGCTACAGAGGACCAAGCATGTCTTTATGCAAATCTCCAAACCACCAAAAAAGTTGTTTATGCGCTGAGTCTAGATCCAATCCTGCGCATTCAGTCACACACCAGTTGGTCGGTCACTGACGCTTTCTCGGGCCTTCTGAGCATCATGCTATATCTGATTGGCCTTGGACTTGCGGATGAAGCCGACATAACAGTCAAAGGTCTGGAGGTGGTCAAGCGGGCGGAGCGGGTCTATCTCGAAGCCTACACCAGTATTCTCCATGTGGGAAAGGACAAACTTGTGAGCCATGTTCCACACGATTGCGATCTCTGGCTATGATCGCCGGCCTTTTTAGTGTGGACTAACTAAAAGCCTCTCTAGGAGTCCTTCTATGGCCGACCCATCATCATAGCAGACCGTGAGATGGTTGAATCCTCAAGCGATGAGATCCTCCAAGATGCGGACAAAGTTGACGTCGCCTTCCTGGTCGTGGGAGATCCATTCGGGTACAAAACATGCCGCGATCTCGAATTTCCATCACTAATGTCAATCACAGTGCCACAACTCACACCGATCTGGTTCTCCGAGCGCAAGAATTATCCATCCCCACGAAATCCATACCAAATGCCTCTATATTAAATGCGATTGGCGCTACAGGCCTCCAATTATACAACTTTGGTCAAACAGTCTCGATAGTCTTCTTCACAGACACCTGGAAGCCCGCGAGCTTTTACGACCGGATACGAGAAAATGCGTCCATCGGTCTTCACACCCTATTACTCCTCGATATCAAGGTCAAAGAACAATCCTTGGAAAATATGGCGCGTGGTCGAAAGATATACGAACCTCCGAGATACATGACAGTGGCCCAATGCGCGCAACAACTGCTCGAGATTGAACAAGACAAGCAGGAAGGAGTGTGTAGTGCGGATAGCCTTGCGATAGGCTGCGCCAGAGTAGGTGCAGATGATCAGACCTTTGCGTGCGGGACTCTGGAGGAATTATCTGAGAGCGATCTTGGTCCACCTCTGCATAGCGTGGTCTTGGTCGGGAAGAGGGCTCATGAGCTAGAGAAGGACTATCTCAAAGGCTTCGCGATAAACCAAGACACATTTGAGGCAAGCTGGAAGAAATATCATACACGGCCTTGACCTTGGAATCCGTCTATGCGAAGGCAAGAAAAGATGTGCAGATGAACCGGTCCTCCTTCAGCAAGATCATACATGACTGACTGAGGGAGCCATTCCCAAAAACTGACAAGGAAGCATACATACTTGCTACAAAGACCTTGTGACCGGCACCCACCCAGAACAATCGTGGCGGCCAACACATGTATCTGGCAGTCTCCGGAGGCTTATTGCAGAGACATGCGGGTAGTAGTAGCGAATCTAGTTCATCGATCTTATGAGAGACTGAAACCACAGTCGGTTCCTAATATTAGTACCTAGGTAGTCAAGAATCACTATCACGATAAGGGGACAAAAAGAGTCATGTGACAGCGGCATCGTTGAGACTTTGTTATACTGTCTGATGGAGGAAAAAATTGCAAAAAGTAATTCCGTAACGGGGAATCGAACCCCGGGCATCAGTGAAACTCGATGGTGAGAGACTGATATGTTACCTCTACAACATCTGTTGCATGTTAGAATGATGGTCACTCGGTGACATCAGGTTGTTACTTACTACGGAGATTGTTGACGGAAATTTCAGCTTTTTAAAATATGATGCTGTTAATTAAAATGTGGAGTCCCGGTAATGTGTCGCTTCTCGTACAGCCCAACTCGTAGACGGTTAACCATCACACTACGAGCCTCGACAAGCCTGCGTTGTTGGAAGAAGTGGTAAATCATGAATTTAAGTTTGCAGACTGTTGCTCCTTTTAATGTAATGAGCATTTTAGAATGACTCTCGTGCAATTTGAGCACGAGATGGTGGTGCAATATGAAGTTTAAAGCAAGTCTCATCTTCGTGGTTCCTATCCAAATTCTGACCTCGACATTGATGGCTCAGACCTAGAACACACATATACTCCCTAATGCCATTACTTCCATCTAGTCCTTCGCATTCGTCAGGACAGCAATAAGAACAATTACAAAGAGGAATACCAGCCCTAAGCAGAAGGTGCAAGGTTAAAAAACTGCTGATGCTACAAAAGATAGACCAATCCGCTCTCGGCAAACCTGCGATATATAGCTCTTGGCACATCCTACAACAATACGGAGCAGTCACGAGATGATGTCCAGTCCAATAATAGGCGCCAGCTTATCGCTACGGATTTTGGCTTACCACGTTTTTAAGTTAGTCCGTGGTCGGCCGGAATCCTTCGTGGATCCTTCGTTTTTCATATCCCTGGATCACGTTTGAATGTATGCAATATCACGGGTACATCATTAACTCCACGTTTGTTGACTCGGAGATTAGACATTGAACCTGCCATCTCTATAGTCCACGACAATAACTTTCTACCGGCTCATAACTATTAAAAGGTAACGTCTATCGCTGAAAGGTGAGTACTCTCTCTATATTCAACAGTAGCATCTTCTCTACAGTCCTAAAAGCATCAAACACAACTTTCTCAAACATGACTACTCGTTACGCAGAATCCCACAAGCCCGAAAACAGAAATGGACCAGGTGACTCGCGTCCAACGGCCTTGCAGATCGTCAAAGACAATGACCTTGAGGGCAAGCTCACCGACAAGGTTGCCTTCGTCACTGGGACCTCCTCTGGGATCGGTATCGAAACGGTTCGCGCCTTGAAAGCTACCGGGGCCAAAGTGTATGCTGCTGTTCGCAACCTGGAAAAAGGCCGCAAGGCATTGGCCGACTACCTCGAGCCTGGACACGTCGAACTGATTCTTCTCGACACCTCGTCGTTCGATTCGGTCAGAACCGCTGTCAAAGAATTCCTCTCGAAGGAATCCAAGCTTCATCTTTTGATCAACAACGCGGGTATCATGGCCCTTCCCGAACTTACCCTTACTGCGGATGGACAAGAAGCCCAGTTCCAAACAAACCATCTAGGCCACTTCCTCCTCTTCCAACTCCTCAAGCCCACTCTACTGGCCTCCTCGACCCCAGATTTCCACTCTCGCGTGGTCAACGTTAGCTCAACTGGCCATAGAGTGTGTGGGGTTCACTTTGACGACCTAAGCCTCAGCAAGCCCGGTGCCTATCAACCGTTTGTCGGTTATGGCCAATCCAAGACTGCCAATATCTACATGGCAAATGAGATTGAGCGACGATACGGTGGCCAGGGCCTGCACGGCTGGTCTCTCCATCCTGGTGGATTCAATTCTGGTCTTCAGGTACACCAAGACTTTGGCGATCTCATCAACGTCCCAGAAGTTAGACGTTATCTGAAATCTCTCGAACAAGGAGCTTCCACCACACTTGTGGCGGCACTGGACAAGGAGCTAGAAGGCAAGGGCGGCAAGTTTCTTCAGGACACTCAGGTCGCTCCCCCAGTAGATCCTGAGGTGGAACAACTGTCCATTGCACCGGGATATGCTGCTTGGGCCTATGACGTTGAGTCAGCCAAGAAGTTGTGGGAGGTTAGCAACGAGATTGTTGGTGTGAATGACGATTAGGCAAAGCGAGGATGTCAATATCATAAGTCTTTTGTCTACTCTGAACAATCCATATAGATTATGTATAGTCTAGCTCTTGCTGGTTGTCTCGAAAGTTGTCGCAATGTCTAGCTCCATTAAGCCCAATAGTCTCAAGGCTATTTATCCCAATCAATAATTTTTTCATGTTGCCAGAATTCTCCACTGGTGTCCTGTAGATCATGGATTGCAAGCATCACCGGAGTTTGGGCACCCTGATCAGGTGTCTTGACACCTCCACCACGTGTCATGTCCGTTACGACATAGCCTGGACAACAGACGTTGATCAGTATATTGCTGCCAGCTTGTTTGTGATCACGTGCGACGACTTTGGTGAGGCCGATGAGACCAGCCTTGGAAACAGCGTATGCGGAGCTGGGCCAGTCCTTCTCGTAAGTTCCACCTGCAACCGCCGAGGTGAAATCCTCCATGAGCTGACTGATGTCCTCCGGTTTCGTTGCGTTGAGGAAACGAGATTTGATAGAATCCGAGTATTTTGAATTCAGATGGCCTGACATGCTAGCCACGTTCACAAGTCGGCCTCCTTCCTTGATGAGTGGAAGCATCCGTTGCATTGCATGATATGTGCCATAGTAGTTGCAATGCAAAGTGTCTCGGACCACTGTATTGTCGAACCCCCGCTTCGCGATTGCGGCGTTGTTGATCAAGAAATCAATTCCTTGTGGATGTTGCTCCTTGAGAAAAGAAGCAAAGCGGTCGACGCTCGTATCATCATCAATATCTAATGCATGGTACTGAATCTCGGTCAAGCCACCGTGTCGTCGTAAGGCTTTGGCTTGTTTGATTGCGGGGTCCCCGTTGATTGCATCTAGAGCAGCTTTGCCTCTCTCTTCATTGCGGGCGGTCAGATAGAGCAGTAAAGGACCATTGTTTATGGGAGATGTGGGGTATTGTAGAGTAAGTTGGCGGACGATGGCAAGTCCAACGCCTTTATTAGCGCCGGTGACTGCGCCAATGCGGGTGTATGTGGTCATGATACTTTGGAGCAGGGTGGGAACGTCGCACTCGCGTTTAAAACAGGGTTGAAGTTCAGTGGTACTTTTCTTCAAAGAAGAGTTGGTTATTTTTGCTGACCTACCGATGACGAACACATCTCGAGGGAGGACATTCGACATGCGAAACCTACGTTGATGATACCAGTGATGTTTCGAAAGTGCTTAGGAATGCTTGTCATTAGTCAGGGTGTCACTGATGTTCTCGCCTCAGAAGGATGACGGTCATGACGTTAAGAGGCCTTGGCCTGCAAAGCCACGGCAATCTAACGCTTACGGAGTAGGGCCGTGTTCCGTGAACCGTAAGTACAAGGAGACCTGGATCAAACCTGGAGAGGCATCACTTTTAAAAGCCGGATTGATTGGCGTCATGAGAGAAGCTGTGAAGCAAATGAGCTTGTGTCAGACCAGATTTTGATACCATTTCTCGTCGTTCGGTGAGTAGACCGACTGGGCTATTGATGCAAATTGCTGTGTCTGACGCGTACCACACATTCTAGGCCGATCTGAGACCGAGTCAGATAGTCTGGACCTCGGATATCCATCACGTGATCTACAGTCAAGGGAATGCAATTTGGTCTTAGCCGAGTCACGAGACTCGCTTGATTTGCTTTCCCCATGCTCCAATTGGTGGTTCGACCTCCTCATCCTCGCCCCGGGCCCGGGGTTAACCGACTTCACTGACGTTTACTGCGCTGAGAATATACACGGATAGCCTGTCCGCCGTGATTTCCCCGTAGCACCCCATTCTTGAAGGTCTGCTTCCAACAAAAAAAGCGCCCTAGATATCTCGCAGGCTAGGTGTCAATCTCTCCTTGAATCCTATACACCTCATCATGGCCTCCAAACACGTCGCTCGTCCCTTGCTGAGGTTTGCCGTACCTGCATCCCAGACGCGGCATTTCTCCAGACCTGCAGCTTCCCTTGTCAACGCCATCCCCGCACACAGACGAACGGCCACACGGTCGACCAGACCAGTTTTTGTAGCTGGTCAAAGACGTTCATTGTCCTCCAGCTTACAACGAAGATATGCCGACGTCGAAGAAGAGTTTGATCCCATATCAGTTGAGCGAGAATCAGATGAAGTCGACGTCTGCATCGTAGGCGCAGGTCCAGCTGGGCTGAGTGCCGCCATCAGGTTAAAACAGCTTGCAAACGAGGCTGGCAATGAGGAGTTTCGTGTGGTGGTCTTGGAGAAAGCAGGAGAAGTTGGAGCACACATCGTCTCTGGAAATGTCCTCGAACCACGAGCCATCAACGAGTTAATACCCGACTGGTTGTCAGAAGACAATGAAAATCGCTTCACTCAAGCCACACCTGCCGGGTCAGACAAGATGCGATTCTTGACAAAATCGGCTGCCATCCCGTTACCGACTCCTCCTCAAATGCATAACCACGGGAACTACATCATCAGTCTCAGTCAATTCACAAAATGGCTAGGGGAAAGAGCAGAAGAGATTGGCGTTGAGATCTACCCAGGATTCGCTGCAGCCGAGGTGTTGTACAACCACGAAGGCGCGGTCAAGGGCATCGCCACCAACGATCAAGGTATCGGTCGTGATGGCAAAGCCAAGGCCAACTTTGAACGTGGTATGGAGTTCCATGCTAGAGTGACACTGCTTGCAGAGGGATGCCATGGCAGTTTGACCAAAAGAGTCATTAAGAAGTATGACCTCAGACGAGACTCGCAACCTCAAACGTACGGGCTCGGCATCAAAGAAGTGTGGGAAATTCAACCTGAGAAATTTAAAAAAGGCGAGATCTCACATACCATGGGCTACCCCCTGGACAAATCGACGTATGGAGGTGGCTGGATGTATCACTTCGGCGAAAATCTAGTGAGCATCGGACTTGTGGTTGGTCTCGACTACCCCAACCCATGGGTATCACCTTATGGAGAGTTCAACCGAATGAAGTTGCACCCATTTTACAAGAATGTCCTCGAAGGCGGCAAATGCATTGGCTATGGCGCACGCGCTCTCAATGAAGGAGGGTTCCAATCAATACCCAAATGTGCTTTCCCCGGTGGAGCTCTTATCGGAGACACGGCAGGGTTTCTCAATGTCCCCAAGATCAAGGGCACTCATACCGCGATGAAATCTGCCATGTTAGCAGCAGAAGCTGCTTATGATGCCCTCACCAGCAACCCCGACAGTAACACTATTTTCCTGTACAATTACGAAGAATCTCTGCGCAACAGCTGGATCTGGCCTGAACTGAAAGAAGTCCGCAATATTCGGCCATCGTTCCACAATCCATTAGGCCTGTATGGTGGAATCCTGTGGTCGGGCCTTGAAGCGATCCTTTTCAAAGGCAAACTGCCCTACACGCTCAGCCACAAAAGTACCGATTCTGCAGCGACCAAACCGGCAGACAAGTTTAAGAAGATTGAATACCCGAAGCCAGATGGTGAGATCACATTCGACATCTTGACTTCAGTATCACGGACTGGCACGAATCACGAGGAAGACCAGCCTGTGCACTTGCAAGTCAAAGATTGGGACGCCCATGCGGCAAAGGAATGGCCAGTATACAAAGGTGTTGAGAACAGGTTTTGTCCCGCTGGTGTTTATGAGTATGTCGAGGACGAGACCAAGGAACTCGGGGTGAGATTCCAGATCAACTCCCAAAAGTAAGTGCTCTAAATTTCCCAGTCGCATCAGCCGCTGACATTGTTTGTCCAGTTGTATCCACTGTAAAACATGTGACATCAAAGTTCCAGGTCAAGATATCAATTGGCAAACCCCACAAGGCGGAGAAGGCCCAAGTTATAGCATTACCTGATACCAGACATGAGAATGCAAGCAACGACACTGCTTTTGCTCATTTTGAGTCTGTTCCTGGTATTGAGGCCTGGAACCTCCACGACTCTGCCAGTATAGCTCGGCAGTAGTGATCTAGTATATGTTGAGATCTGGGGGTCAGTATCGAACCAATGTCGTCAGCGTAACGCTTGGATTGCGCAGAAGTGGCTATACATAGACCTAATAACCAGGTCAAAAGCAACTTACTTGCTAGAATTGTGTTCGTCATCTATCCATCCATCGAGCAATCTCTACTGCGATGACAAAATCAAATTACTAGCAGAGCCTGATGTTTCACGGTACTTTGATGAAGCTGCCTCATGGCTTGCAATTGCAGACGTTGCTACACAATCAACTACACCAGCCCTAAAACAGACTCTGCAAGGCTGTCTAATTCAAGTCAAGGAAAGTAGAACGACAGGTCGTCTGAGTGGCGTGATTGGGCAGCACCGCCTCCTTTTGACTTTTCGGATCCACAACTCACCGGTTTGAAGCCAGCGTGGCCTGACGATGATTGGCTCAGCGCATGCGAGACAGGAGAGTGGGGAAGCAATCGGCCAATGCCAAGCCCTCAATTGCGTGTCTCGGCAGCATGTGCAAGTTGATCCTGGCTGACCTGCCACTCCTACCATCCTGCATTTTGTTGTGAGTCATATTTTCTTCTGACTTGTGCAGAGCCAGCTCGTGTTGTGTGTCGCAATTGACCACACAAACACAAACATTGACTTGCTGCATTGCATTTGATTCATGACCTTGATATTGTCACAAACAAGGGTGTTACTGAGTTCTTCTTAATGAGTCCGATAGATTGGGGTCATACCAATCAGACATTCATTGTGGTGGCAACTCATGACCTCAGTCTTGTCAATTTCGGCGCCATGACGATGATGGTACTTAGTCAATAAAAATGACGACGGATAATATTATTGAAAAAAATTCGCAATGGAAAAACACGTGAGCGTTATTGGCTATTGTAACATCGACGGTGGTATCGCGGCTCGGCAAGAGCTCCAAGATTTGGCTTTGCTTGGGCGAATTCTCGGATTTGGCCGAGACGAGGTCCATGTCTCTGATCACATTCAAGGTTCCGGTTGAGAAAGAACAAGGCGAATTTGTGGTTTGATATGAAGCAGAATGATATGTTATTGCGAAATGGAAACCCATAGGTGTGTTATTCTTGACCAGGCAACCGCTGCATGACAGGATGCATGCGGTAATGGCCAACCGCCCAGTCAGCGAGAGGTGCAGAAAGCAAAGAAAAGGGGCAAAGATAAGGTGCAGATGCATGCAGATGGCTTGTGAGCAAACTCCAGGGTGCTCAGGCGCCATGGTGCCGACAAGTGGACCGAATAAGACTAGCGGGGTCACTAGTGTATGACTATTGTAGGCTAGTGTGGCGGGGTTCTGGTGGTCGGATTATGGTATAAAAGGTGCCTTCCCTCCCCTCGCGACTGCTCCCGGATTATTTGACATTTCCTGGCTTGGCATTTGGCCGCGATATCCTCGCCTCTCCGAAACCACTTTTCTTTCCCCACCGTCAGGCTGAACTACAAGCGCAACAGTGTTTGTCGCAAGTCGTCTACGTCTACGATACCTTCATCCTCTCTATCCGTATCTCTCATCGTCGTCGATCCCGATCTCATTCGATCGCAGTATCGCGACCTGATCCGTTCTTTGAGCGCAAAAGACCGCAGCTCACCGGCTTTGTCTCCTGAGCGCCTTCCATTCTCTTACCTTGCCCAAGGCTAAAAAGACAATCAAGAAGAAGAACAGGAAATCTCAATCCATTTAGACAGTCTGCTCTTTCCGCAATTAGTAATTCGCAAAAAAAAAAAGTCAAATCTCACTTCTTGTCCTTGTTTCGTCGCATCCCACTGTCGATCTGTCATTGAGTCTCCGAAGGACTCATCGATCGAGCAAGAATATCAACAACAGGCTCACGGCGGAACGCGTTCGTCGTCGTCCCAGGTTCACGGCTCCCGTCGACGGTAGTCTCGCTGAACAGTAGGGCAGTTTGCTTGTAGGGGAGACATTGAGTTGTTCATCTCCCACATTTCGGTACGATTCCTCGCACACGATCCTCCTCTACCTCCTTGCATCTTCCCAAGTCCACCAAATCCGAACCGCTCTGGGTCGATTGTCTACTGGCGAGAGGCTTCTTGGTGTGGTAAGCAGAAAGTTCTCACATGTGGGATTCACTGCCTCGACACCCAGTCACTTTTTACCTCACCCGTGTCAAGTCACTCAGTCTAACCGGTTACATTCAAACACCTCACCCTTCCACCTTGCAAACATAAGAGTCATCAGCCTAACTTTTTTTTCATAGACTGCCTTATTCGTCTTTTCTCTTGGATCACGATCTGAATTGATCTTCCAAGTTAGACACATCTGACTGCGACCGCTTCATTGCGACGCAGTTTAAGCCAGACTCAACTTGCAATCATGGACTCTCTCACCACTCATCCGTCGACCGCTCAACAGGCAAAAGCCTTCACCTCTCCTGCGTCTCTCTCGTTTCCCGGCGGCGCCGGAGACTTGACCCCGCCTTCCTCTGAGAAAGATGGACAAAACCTCAACGGTGGCTCATACGCAGATGGGAAGATGAACGTTCAGCAACAGGGGAGCGCCACGCAGGCACCTCAAACTCCCACCGCTACACCTGGAGCTGGCGTGAGTGGTATTGTACCTACCTTGCAGTGAGTACCCCATCCTTTGTTGCCCCGGTGGCCAGCAGAGGTTAACATTATTTCTTTCAAAGAAACATTGTTGCTACGGTGAATCTTGACTGCCGTCTTGATCTCAAGACGATTGCTTTGCACGCTCGCAATGCCGAGTACAATCCCAAGGTATGCTCATCGTATCCATATTAGTGGATTTTAAGCTAACACATTGCCAGCGATTTGCTGCCGTGATCATGCGTATCCGTGAACCCAAGACCACCGCTCTCATCTTCGCTTCTGGCAAGATGGTGGTTACCGGTGCAAAGTCGGAAGATGACTCTAAACTTGCCAGCCGCAAGTACGCTCGGATTATCCAGAAACTTGGCTTCAACGCAAAGTTCACCGACTTCAAGATTCAAAACATTGTTGGTTCTTGCGACATCAAGTTCCCCATTAGACTCGAAGGTCTTGCTTCCAAGCATCATCCTTTCAGTTCGTATGAACCAGAGTTGTTCCCTGGTCTGATCTACCGTATGATCAAGCCCAAGATCGTCTTGTTGATCTTTGTGAGTGGCAAGATCGTTCTCACCGGTGCAAAAGTCCGCGAGGAGATCTACCAAGCCTTTGAGCAGATCTACCCGACACTTTCAGGTATGCCGATTCACACCTCGTCACCTTCGCTTCACAAAGTACTAACATGTGTGTCAGACTTCCGCAAGGTCTAGTAGACACGTCTACAAGTGTTGGCGGTCTATCCGTGTACAACATTCACGCTACTGCACCATCTTTGACAAAGGTCACATTGTCAAGGTTGGGACGATTGCTTGAGCATCGTCGAAACCCCCTCTTCTTTTTTGCCCTGTTACGAATAGTCCACGAGCATTGCTTGGCGTTTTGAGCGATTTTTTCGCAGTGGAGGGCCACGACAGTTCGTGGGCCTCTGCTGTTTACACCAATTAGACAAAGGGTCGTCGTCGACGGAGGGACAATCAGCGGTATTCGGCGCTGGTCGACATCGATGCTGCTGGCAGATTGTCCTATTCTCAATTGAGAGTTCCACTTGGGTCATGGTTGCTTAAGCTCAAGCACCATCGGCATTTTTTCCGGCAAATAAAGCACTGGGCTTCGAATAGTATGAGCACGCTCAGAACCTCGAGCGCCCGGTCCTGGTCGCGGAACAGAGAATGGAGATGAAGTTGTCATCGTCCATGGAGTGGAGAACGCAATAAAAATGTTGTTTGCGGGGAGAGAAGCGGTCTAGCGGGTTCAGCATCGGGCGGCAGGTTGCGTTACCTGTCTTGTGCTGTGTGAGGCGGAAAGGGTAATCTGGACTCATTGAGGCCAGCCAACTTTTCGTCATCCGGACCATTTTCAGACAGCATAAGTTTAGCGGTGATAATATGACCAGTTCTATCCGCCATATCATTCTTGTCTTTTGCCTTTGTGAATGTGTCTTGTTGAGTAATAGCTGACAATAGGTCTGAGGCTGTAGCACATGGTGAAAGGAGGGCGGCCTTGCGGACGCAGTCGAGGGGTTTGGAGGATTGGAGGGATTTGGCTTGTTGGGCGTCCACAGCGCAGCCTATGTCTGACTTTGAAGCGTTGGTGATTGTCTGGAGAAAAGAGGAAACACACAAGTCTGGACAGGGAGGATGGAGGGTAGGCACTGATGATATAGCCAACAGGTTCGTGACTACTTTGAATAGTAAACGGAGGAGGGCCTGCGGACAGACATTGAGGACCTTAGAGGAAGTAAGTAGTTTGTTCTTGTCAACCCCTCTCCTACCTATTAACGGTCTGCAAATCGACTCTCATGCATTTCGGAGTGGGCACCAGACAGAATCGAGGACAAGACTTGTGTGGTTGAAATGGTCAATGAATATACATACTTTCCGCGTATGTGAGCCTACGGAGTATGTGAGGAGGGGTTGGCTGCATGAGGTTCGGAAACTATAAGAAATATATATTAGTTAGGAGATGATTGACCTTCCACTACCGCCCACGAAAAGGAAAGAAATAAGGAACTTGCAATGATTGGAAGATACGGACACAAATTAATTGGTGGTCTTGAACAACTCCGTTGTCTTCTCCTATTCTTCTCTTTCTTTCGAATCATCTCCCAACGAGACAAGTCAGACTTGAGGTAAGGGAAAGTAAGGTAAACGCGTCGTGGCCTGGTGTCTTAACGTGTCACCCCAACGCAAGCTTGATTCATGTCTGCTCACGGTTCTTGTTTGTGATCTTGTTTGTCATTTTGAGCAGTAAGTGTATGAATCAAAGATGACAAAGGAGAAATAGAAGGAGGAAAGGAAAACTGCCCATACAAACGTAGATAATCTCCCTTATGTAGGTTGTAAGCAAGTGCGTCAGGACCAGGCTGATATGTGATGGAATAGGATGGATGGAACCTTACCATTATATGAATGTGACAGTCGCACAGATTGACATGACAGTTGTCAGGTAGGGTAGTAGTGCCTGCGCGTCTGCTCTGCATGTGATGTGCGCGTGTTAGGTGTGAGATGTGAGCGTCATGTCGTGTTGTGTTCCTCGTTCACCGTTCACCGTGCACTGCGCTCGTACTCATCCAAGTTCACCAAGACTATGGAGACACACCGTGTCTCAAATCTCAAGTCCTGTCGTGTCACATTGAATGATCTGTCTCCACCAGATTCTTGACCTTGTGAGAGACGTTTCGCAATCTTGACTGCATGTCAGTGGTTGGATGGTACATGGGGATGTCAGCCTTGGGAGTCTTGTCAACTTGGACTGCATGTCACAGGTCATAGGTCATCGTGTCTGAACAAGGAAGATGCCAGAATCAGTAATGAAATCTAATCAATCATGAATCATGTTGTCTAAGTACTATGTATGGACGAGTCATAATCTCTCTGGTGTGTCTTTCTGCCGTGATTGTCTACCTGGTCCTTTTGAGTTCTTCCTCTAGGATCATCCCTCTCCGTCCTGACCGACTCCCATCGTCGCAGCCAGAAAATTCATGTAGTTCTCCTCCAATTTCCTTTCTCAACTCGTCATCACTCCTCCAACGCCATATCTGCTTCAGTTCGGGGTCCAGTGTTCCTTCGATCGCGGCTACAATCTTGTCGCCTATGACTGGGAAGAACTTGAATCCGTGACCTGAACCGCCTGTCGCGATGAAGAGATTTTTATATGTTGGATGGTATGTAATGAGAAAGTTTCCAGATGGCCTATACATGTTTGTCAGTGCCTGCAGAGTCTTTGGAAGGATCGTGATTTGATCCTTGAATTGATGAGACCTACGTGTCACAATACCAACAGATTCGGCTCTTTTTCAGAGGTCGATCTTTCATATGGGGGACAAGTGCTGCTAGTTCTGCATGCAGCATTTCTTCTGCTTCAAGAGGGATCGGAATGGCCGTTTGTGGCAAACTGATTTCGACTTCTCCATCTTGGTCTGACAACGGATCGATCTTCTTCATCGGGATTTTCACCATGCTTCTATACCCATATCCATGCCTGGCGATTTTCAACTCCTGCGCTCGTGGAGGAATTATGAAAGTACCGCGACTCATGTTCATGATTGTCGGCCGATGCTCCATGGCTTTTTGTTCTTCCGAGGTGAGGTCATAGTAGGCAAGTGCCTGACCGGTGGCGAGACATCTTCCTTGCAGGTTGATCAAGGCAGGACTCCATGCGCCAGCAGCTATTACTGTCAAATCAGCCGTGATCTGCTCCCCACTTCTGGTTTCTGCACCGATGACATTGTCGTTGGAGAAAAGTAAATGGTCAATGTGGACGTCAGGGCGAATGGTGACTCGGTCACTTGCAGGGTGTTGCTTGATTTTCTTCAGCGCATATGATACGACAAATTCGGCATTGGCCCATCCCGAGTTGAAGTTGGCATAACCACTATCACCGCTCACGCCATCATAGCCTGTCGCAGCCCGGATGTCATCCTGTCCATTCAACACTTTGATCTTGTTCAGATCTGAGCCAAATTCTGCGTTTTCCTTTGCCAAAGATCTAACGTTAGCCAGAGATTCTCCCAAATAACCCCCTGCGCCTTTGTCTTCGGTCAAGACAAATCCTGGCTCGTGGTATCTCTCTTCACCACCCCATCCGTCCGGACTCTTGTCGTGCCACAATATCTGAGCCTGGAGGGCGAGTTTGGAGTATGGACGGGAAGCATAGTCGGCACGGACGATGCGACTGGCATCGACGGATGAGCCAAAGGGATTGGGAAGAGAGGGAGAGGACTCGACAATTGTGATGAGTGAGGATTTATAGGTGGGATTGGAAAGGAGGGAGAGTGCGGTGGACAGGCCAAACTCCCCCGCTCCAATGATGAGGATCTGTTTAGGTACGGGAGAAGTAGTAGAAGACATGATGGGGAACAGCTATTGCGCAGAGTGTACTTCCTGTTTACCTTTGCCAAAGACTGCAGTCCCAGTCCTTAGGTATATAGGTGTGGTGTGGCATGATGCATCGCATTGTGCGCAGGTAGTATACAAATGCAACCCCAAGGCGACACGAGTGCTGGCTTGACGTCGTTCTCCGTCTCCACCGGCTCCGCGTCTTGTCGCCTGGCAGGATCTTTATGATTCGCAACTCCAAGAAAGGTTGCCGACGAAAGGATCTTGGAGATGGAAGGACGAGACGAGGAGATGACCGGGCCGTGATCAAAGTCACGTGTCGATAGCCTCCTGCTTACGGCAAAACTTCGGTGCAGCATCAATAAAGCAGAAAATCATCAGGAAGATATTCAAGAGCACGACGAGATGCGATCGCAGTCAGCGCCGATGCAGCACCATACTCTTCTGTAGGACAAGGTCTATTCCTGAAGATCTGTCCGTATTTGACCATGTCCGTATTTTGACCCGAGTCTTTCTCCCATCATGAACAACCTCTCGTGCACGAGAATACCGCACCTTGCCTATTCACTCACTTCCAGGCGTGCTGGTACATCTACTCGCAAGCTCAAGGCCGAGCTCTCTGCATTTGACTTCCATTTCCAGAGTTCGAGTACGAGGGCATTCAGAGCTAGCCACCACGTCAATATCTCTTACCACAATGCCCGGCATGCGTCGACAAAGGCCAGACGTCCTCCACCTCCTCCAAAACTCACCTCGATTCAAAGCAGCCGGGATTCCGTTCCGCGCACAGCCCAAACCTCTCGTCAGTATCCAGACGAACTTTCAGAAGAGTCAGCGATAACCTCCGACCTCGACGAACGGACACGCAGACACCGTCAGAAACATTTCAAGGTATACCTATGGGGCGGGAGTCTGTTCAGTATTGCCTTTGCACTCTACCTTGGCCTCGTATATGCATCCTACAAACGAGCAGTCAAGCTCGATGAAACGCTTGATCTCGAGCAAAACGCCGATGTCTCGTCTCGTTGGAACGATCTAGGTCGAGACTTTGACGATGAGGTGGAACTGTCGGAGAAGATGATGCGACTACACAAGAAAAGAGCAAAGCTTTGTGAGCAGGCCCATGGCAATGTCCTCGAGGTCAGTTGCGGGACTGGGAGAAACTTGAAATGGTACGACTACAAACCGCGACGCATGCCCGCCAAGGACAGGATCACCAGTCTGGTATTTAATGATCAGTCAGAGATCATGGTGTACCAGGCGCAAAAGAAGTACGATGCAATGATGCAAGAATCAGGTGGTCCTAAGTTTAAGGGCAAAGTGGACTTTGTGGTCGGTGATGCTGGCGACCCCAAGACGATCCAACGGCCCCAAGGAGGCTTTGACACTATTGTCCAGACCATGGGCATTTGCAGCATGGCCAACCCGGTAGGGTTCCTGCAGAGGATGGGTGAACTTGCCCGACAGCCTGGTGAGGCATCGGCAAGGTTCAAGCCCAAGCCAGAGGACGATGCACCTTCTTTGTCAGAGGACAAGGAATCTACCGACTCGTCAGACTATGGCGAGGTCGATTTCCAGGGAGATCAACGATTCGACCCCGGTGTCGACAATGGCGGACGGATCCTTCTCCTTGAACACGGGCGTTCCAGGTACAACTGGATCAACCGGCTGATGGACAGCATGGCCAAGGGACATGCAGACAGGTATGGATGCTGGTTCAACAAAGATATTGAACAGGTCGTGCGCGACAGTGGCCTGGTCGTGGAGAAGATGCGTCGTTACCAGTTTGGTACCATGTACGAGATCGTCTTGAGGCCAAAAAGGCCAAAGGCTCCTGACGAGAATGTCGCTTCGTGAACGGCTTTGCGCCGATTACGGCTAAACCAAATCTACCATGTAACCATAGATAACTTTATATAGAATATAAGATCAACCACCAGATCTCATCACTTGTCGTTGCTCGTGTAGGAACTGGAGTTCATGAGGCAAGGCTGCATGATCTCGGGGGCAGATGGGGCCAAAGCAGCAAGAGGGTCTCTAGGGATAACAACTCGGAACGTATCGATCCCTAGGGGAGATACGAATGCCGTTCGAACCAAAGTTCGGAGAATTTGATAGATTTGCGACTTCGCATCTACCGTAATGTCGCCGTGATGCAATATTGATATGTGGAGTTAGTTGCCCTCGCCTATGCGCCCTTACATCAGGAAACACAATAGCATGACTTGGTACACACCATCTCTCCATCTCTCGTGTGTGCGAGTAAACCCCCCACCGGTTCAATTATCCACCTGTCTGTGTGTCGGCAAAGTCCAGTCCACTCGTTGCGGTTGAGCGCAACACGGTTCACCTGGCAGTACGAGTCAATACAATGACATTCATTCCATCATTTTGCGGACTAGCTCCAACTTTCCAAGAACCATGACCTTTTGATAGAGTGGGGTCATAGACTTGCCATTGGTATAGAGATAGAGAAGGAGAACCGCTTTTGGAGTCGGAGTTGAAGTAACAGAAAGTGCTAACGAGATTAAAGCTTCGTTACGTCTGTTTCAAGAACACACCAGAGCAAATGCAGTTACCTGATGGGGCTGGAATATCCAGTATAGGACAAACCTGGATGGAAGTAGATGAATGAATTGGACCAGTGGGGTAAGTGTTCTGTTGATCATTCTGCCAGAAAGCATGGCAGCGTAATAGTCTGAGAGATAGCAATTGAGAAGCAGGATCAATTTTCGATCTATTGAGATACAAGGGAGATGGCGATTCGCCGGGGATAAGCTCAGATCAACGAAGGGGAGGAGCAGAGATAGATGAGGAGAGGGGAAGAGGACCCTCTCATGAAGGTATGTGGATAGAGGTGTCGCAACATGTGCAGCAATGCAAGACAAGATACAAGAGATACACTGTAGTAGCGAGCAAATCAACAAGACCATGGGTGACACACTGACACCCACAACCTGACACCTTGACCTCCAGATGGATGATGCATCCGAAGTTCCAGACCAGGTCCCGATCTACCGACTGTACGTCAATGCATGTACGCATCAGCCCCTCGGCCGTCTGTCGGGGGACCACTGGAGACACACGTCAATCGAGCCGTGAGCCCAGCAATGACATCAGATTGGTTGGTTGGTTGGTTGGTTGATACTCGTGGATATCATGTTGTAACAAGCACAATACGACGTGCATTGCGACAGCGACATGATCAAGGTTGACAATAAACATTTCATTACCTACTTCGATTTCCTCGTCTCGATGTGCACGGGAGAGGGCAAAACCTTGACTTTATTATGAAGCTTGTTGTCACGGAAGCGAGCTATACGGGACGATAGGCTGGCGGGCTGGCTGGCCTTTACCTAGGGAAGCGGATGTCAATATGCGTATGCGGCAGGCATATCCGCGGCATCGGCCAGTGACACACCCATTACCCCTCGATCGCATGGGAGGTGACAGGCGGTAGGTGGCGATATCGACAGCAAGATGCATGCATCGCCCGGGCTGTCTTCGCCCGAGACAGGGTGGGATAGAGATCGCGTTGAGACGGGGAGAGGGGGAGAGGGTGGAGGGAGGGTATGAGGATGTAAGTCACGTGATAGATATGCTTTGCATGGGCATCTCCAGTCAGCCTGTCATGGTATTTTAGTAAAGTTAATCACAGCAGCTGCAAGAGAAGGTTTCTCGGCTTTGGATCATGGTGATGAATAAATGGTAGATGGTTGCTGCAGGTCACGTCAGCGATTCGTCAATTATTCGTCGACATGTAACATCGGTTCGAACAGGGGCGACTTGGTACATGTAGAGTTTGGAGACGGGATTGTGAGCCGCAAGGAAGCCAACGAGCCGCAGGAACAGGACCGTACCCAAGAAGCTTGCCTGTGGAGGATGATCGAGATACAGTACAACAAGCACGAACAAGGAAGCGCATACGGAGTGCTCTGGAAAAATTGTCCCTACGCATACACGAGTGCCAATACCAGATATGTCATGTTGCATACGAATTTAAGCGTGGGGCGTCACTAGATTCCCTAGGCGGCTGAGTGAGAACGAGAAGTTGGCACATCATGATCATGGTAAATGTAATGGTGGGCTGACAGGAGATACGGAGTACATTTCCAAGCGAGCATTGAACGACGATAGGAACAATCATAGATCGAGACATGAATGAACACACGTGCCATGTCCTCATGTACCATATCAGCATGGTTAACATGTCAGGAGACTTCTGTGCCAGTATCCTGTTTGTATGTCTCTCTATCGACATTCGAGAGAGAAAATAAATTTTTCGAGAGCGGAGCAAGAATAGCGGGGCACTTAAACGGGGCCGAGGGGCGATTGGGAGGCACAGACAAGGATGGTGCATTGGGGTGGGAGAACCATTGAGCCACCCCCTGCGCTACGCAGTGGTTAGGAACATTTTCAAGCATGCGTACCGAGTACGCATATGAGTATGGTGCATCTTGGAAGTATTCGTGTCTACAGGATATCGTCATTATCGTCATTGTTGAGAGGATCATGATCGACACGTTGTGTGTTCAAAGCGGAAGGAAGTTGCTATACCCACCACCACTGCACTTGCCGTGTCTATAGTAGTAATGATCGATCGCATCACGTGCATAAACTGATACAAACATTCGATCAACTGCAAGTCCCAACTTCGCTGCCCTGCTCGTGCACCAGATCGCGCTGGATCTCATTCTACAAGTAGGAAGACCGGACTGATAAAGAGAACACGACGCACAGAGCATTGCCATAACAAGAAGTCAGTACACAGCCAAGCAGTGGTGACTGTCGATCACCATTTTGAATGGTCCTGTTGATCAAAGAAAGACAAGAAATTGGGGTTGGCATTGGAGCAACATCTGGGTGTGCCGAGTCCCTAGTTGGGAAACGGCGCGATCTGACATTGGAAGGGTTTAGGGTTTCCAACTTGTCACCATCACCCTCTCAGGCGCATAGGCATGCTCCTACCACCAAAGATAGCCCCCGATGCCAGTGTGTCAGGCAGCCCAAGTCATCGCGGGAGAAGCACCAATGCTGCAGGCCGAAGCTAAACAGGTTGTGAAAGACACACCATCACAGTACCACAACATGGCTAGCTGGGGAAACCGATCAATTGGCGTAAAGTCTACCTACGGAGTAGGCATTCCTTGTGTCAAGTGTCAGAACCTGGAAGCGAAACTCTGGTTGTCTAGCAGCTGCATCCGCATTCCGCATTCCGCGCCGTCACAATGGGTGGCTTGACCCCAAAAGCGCGGAGCAAAAGGTACCTACATGATGTTGTATCCAGGTACAGCTAGAGAAAACAAACACAAGATAATTTCCATGTGAAGTCGAGGAGCCACAGCAGCATATGGCATTGTCAGCACCACATAGGACCTGACCACTGGTTCGTTCAATACCCAGGTGCGAATGGACCTACGTACCATGATTATCTTCTCCATCATCCAATCGTCCATAAATCGCAGTCGCATAACACCATAATCTACTCCGTATGGCTCAGGCACCTCTCCTCGGATCTCTTTACCCCCAGGCGACTGGCGATGGACTGTGAGTCGATGACAGTGGAGACAAGTCAACGTTGCATGGGCAAGGATTATTCACCAACGAACCAACTCCATGATGCCTGATTATCACGACTATGACTCGGTTACCGTTCCAAAAGAAGATTCCTAAGGTGGGGCCTGCCCGAAGGTAGTAGGGAGCTAAGAAAATCCACCTATGGGCACAATTGGATTGGCATCCGTGAGACCCGCAATGCCCGCAACCGGCGCATTTTAACTGGCTATGGCACCCCCTCGCCGCCTAAAGGTCAAGTATTGCGCTTGCAAGCGCACTAGTATTGTTAAACTGGTTGAGAATTATTATTGAGCAGTGGCCAGACGACTAAAGGCCTGGAGCATGCGGCATGTTACAGCCCACGGACACCCGTCGACCTACCGTGCCATCGTGCCTATCCAGACAGTGCCAGAGGCCCCCTAGGCTCCTTCGGCTCCTCGCCTACTCGCCTAACAGCCCCTACTAGGCAGTCATTGACTCCCTGACTCACTGATTCAACTGGCAGAGACCCTTTCTGGGGCTCAGACCCTCAACCCTGTACTCCGTAGAGTCCGTGGGTGACTGACCAAGGTTTCTGCACATGACAGTCTTCGCCGCCTGCCCGCCATGCCCGCCCACATCTGTAATTCCATCCTCCCACCTCGAAATTTTTCTCTCATTTTTCTTTGTAGCGCTTTGAAGCGGGGATCCGAATTTGGGCTTTCCTACCTAATTATTTTAGTACGTGTTGACTTACGTCGTCGTTCCTACATTATCCACCTTTGTAGCTTAAACCTTCAAGTCCCTTGGCCACCTAGATTCTTGAGGTTGTTATCCTACAACTTCTCAAGTCAAGTGTTGCCTTGGCTGTGTTTCCGCCTCCTCGAGAGATTTTGTAGCTTGACATACTTTTTGCGGCGTCTTTCATCTTCGCTGTAGATTTAATTCCACGATTCTCTTTTCTCCAGATTCGCCGTGTACATTTCCCTGTGCACCGCGAATTCACCATCACATCAATCTCCAAAGCACAGCTATAGCGCAGCCGCCCGTGCTCCTCTGTCAAACTCTCTACCTCGATTGGACAACTCCTCTTCCGCCTTTCTTTGCCCTGCCTCAACCTGCCATTGCCTGGCCCCGACGTTGGGTTGTCAATCTTCAAACATAACAAACCATCATCGCAACGCCTTTACAAAGACATTCCCAACCACTCTCAGACAATTCATCCACCATCCACCTATCCATTCATCCATTCACCCCGGATCTGCAGCCATTTTCACTCCTGCTTACCGCCGTTTGGCTCAAAAACCATTCAGCAGTAACCGCGACATCTTGAGACGCAAGGAGGCAAACGCTGCCTACTACCCTGGTCCCGTCCTGACCCTCCTATTGCTCCACGCATCGGCACCTTGCATTGCATTGCATAACGACTTTACTCTTTGCCGCATTCCAGCTGCCCTTGACGTCCAATCACGCCTGCGCCGTTCTTCCCAAACCTGTCACACTCACCCATTCCCTTTCGCATCCTCCATATCTTTTTTGGGCCTGCAACTCTCTCCCTGACCGGAGCCTGCCTGCACTCATCATCACCACCACCACCAACGTATACCATCATCCCATCCTCCAAGTACCAAGTACTCCTTCACCAACACCTCACTTCCCTTTCTAGTCATCGTCATCCTCAACCACTCTCATAGTCGACACATCAACACCGAAATATAACTCCCCTCTCCATACTATATCCCTCACATCACCACCGCCCCTCAGTCGACCCATGTGCCTATTGCAAAATGCCTTACAATACTCGACGGAAATCACTCTCTCTGCCTTCACTCGGCATTCATCTACCTAACTCATCTCGCGTCCATCGCCCAACCTTCAAGACTCTCACCAATGCAGACTCGGATGTACTACCTCCCACCAAAAAGTTAAAGCGCTCCCATGATGGCGATGAGCCGCTCTCACCTGTCTCCTCTCCTCGTTCCAAAGTCGGCTCTCCTGCACTGGAAGAAGTTCCCAGCTCGACCCTCGCCATGACGAGAGGCGCCGCAGAACAAACCCCTCCTCCTTCACCAAAAACCATGCCTCAGTTCCGAAAAGTCGACATTGAGGGCATTAACGATGACATTGTTATTGGGGTCATTGAGCAGCTAGAGAAGACAGGCAACCGACCTCACCTCATTCGAGATTTGGCAGCCATACTTGCTCTGTCCAATGACAGCATTGCTCAGTACGACCACCCCGCGAAACATCTCCTTTCTTGTGCTAACCGTCTTAACAGTTCTGCCAACCCAGCTGCACTACTTTCCTCCCGTCTCAGTCTATACCTGAAGCGACCATGGACTGCTTTGTCACCATGCCCCTTGGCCAAGGAACTCATACCGGTCCACCCGAGGAAGGTCTTCTTTTTCCTGACCACTCAGCCCCGACTACCCCTACCCCAGTCCTCCGATGATATCCTCCCTCCTTCTCTCATATCCGCCAAAAATCTGACTCCTAGTATTTCCGACCATAGTCTGGGTGATGACTCGGACCTGGAACAAAGACACAGAGCTCGCCTATCTCCCAGTCCAGAGGTTGAGCTCTACTCTCCCGAGCTCGACCAAGAGGATCCCATGCAGCCCCCAACACCTGGTCAGCACTTTAGCGCCAGAAGCAGTCTGAATCCTGATGGCACACCGGACATCCGCTCTCGGCCCAATCGTGCCCCTAGCCCGCCCTTGGAGGCCGACGAACGAGGCTTTACTGAAACGGCAACTGCAGTTCGCGCCCGTGGCATGAGCCTACGAAGTCCCACCGTCCAAGAATCAGTCGAGATTGATGAGAAACTTCGCTCCGTGGAGCTGGTCGAAGAGACTCCGGAAGTGAGTCAGAAACGCGACAGAGAACTGGGTCTCGAGCTCTTCGGCCATACCAACTCTCACATCCATGTCCCAGAGCAGAAAGTCTTAGGCAGCAGCCCGATGATTCATGCCAAGCCCGACTTGTCATCCCATCTGTCCAAACCTAATCTCAGTCTACAACTGGAAGAACTGGACATAATCGAGTCTTCATGGGCTCTCAAAAGCCCCGAGCAGATGGACATTGATGAGTTGGACGACTTGTTCACGGGCTTCTAAAACCAAACCAAAACCACCGACATCGCCTTTCCGCCAACTTTTTTTGTTGCGCACTTCTTATCGTCCTTATCGTTATCGATACCCAACAGATCACATGATTTTGCGCAGAACCTCTCCACTTTCTCATTTCAACCTCATCTTCACCATCAATCTCCTTTATACCACAGTCGATCCTGCACCGGCTGAACCATCTCCCCATCTCTCCAATCTTCCAACACATGCTCTCATGTCGACAGCGACATGAAATGCAATTGACAGCTTCGGGAATAGACTACTGAGCTCGTTACCTTATAGACGGTACTGGAAACAGGTGTCCACGCAGTGTGTATGTAGCAGTACCGAAATACGGTTTTATGATCATCCAAAGCATGTTCAAAAAGCATTCCATTATATCAGAGATGAATGGACCAATCAATATTAGAATTCTTTACTCCCTTTTTTGACTTTGTTGCGTCAAGTGAGCCACGATTCTTCAGTCCTGCACTTAATAATCAATCGTCTTGCTCTTGGATCCTTGGACTTCGCGTACCTCACTTAGGTACCTTAGGTACTACCTTGATAGGTAGTCTTGTGACGATTGTCTCATTCTTGAGTCGCCTTTGCTCTTGCTCTCTCCTGCCTATCTTGATCATCGTGTTCGTGCATCACCCAACCCACGTTGACTCCTGTATATTTCTCTTCTTTTGACCACATCCAGCAATAGGAGATTATGTTGCCCATCTACCAACACCCTCCCTGTACACGATGATAGATAGCTCCCCTAACAGCAACCGATACATAACGTGATCCATGCCAATAATAAGTCCCAATAAGTCCCACTCACCCTTCAAGCCCAGTATGTAGACTCGCCTGGCCGTTTGATTGACCCAAATGCCGAGCTCCACTGCACCGCACTTGTACTGCACTACCTCTCTACTACTCGACGGAGTACATACTCTGGCACATTGTCACATTCCCTCATCTTCACCGCCTCCGCCTTCGTCTCCAGATCCTGTCATAGCACCCCATGCATGAAAAAAATGCAACCAAAAAATAAAAAGTCCGGTATGTACAATAGAGAGATGCATGGCATTGCGTGTTGATCCTGCTACTTGCTGCAATTCCTTGCCACACAGCCACGCTGCTGTCACCAGTACTCGACCCCAATTATTGCTCACCGCCCACCACACTATTAGGCTGGGGTAGGAATTTGGCTATCTCTATCTCTATCTCTATCTCTCCACTTCCCTCGTCCTGGGGATGATAGGATGGTGTCACGATGTTGACCCACCGTAGCGAGGTATGTAACGGCACGCCGTACACCTATGTGTCCATGCACTGCACGCACGTGAGTGACACCTTCTCATTCCTATCTTTTTCGTCATTCGAATTGTTTGATATGTCGTCTTCTTGTCTCTGCAGAGATGACTGACCAACCGCCGACTAGTTTCTTTGATAGTGGATATCTATATATATTCATTCTGAGATGAGACGAGATCATTGATATCATCATTCAAGGATCCATACAACGGATACAAAACATATTTCTCCTATTAAAAAGACAATGTCAAAGTCCATGTCGATATCGATATCGTTACCATTCCAATCGATCCTGATCCTCACCACATCTTCTCCCACGTCCTATGGATAACATTCATCTGAGCTAATCGTCGTCTCTCATTCTCAATCAAGCCGCCATCCTCCCAATGCTTACATTCTTCATCAATCTCTGCCTTTCCGCTGTACAAATCAGCCGTCTTGGAACTGACAAACTTTGTTTTCTTGTACACCTTCCAAAATGTAAACACCACCAGGGCGTACGCCAGTCCAAAGTACGAGGTGATGAATCCCTCGGTCGACCAGGGGACAAAGACGTCGAATCCAATGAAGATCATGACCACCCAGCCAAGGAAAATAGCAAAGTAAACCGTGTAAGGTGCATATGGGGATTTGTATGGTAAGGTGTCGCGATTCAAACCCTGTGCCTTGCAAGCGTTGAACCAGCCAATAAAGGTGATCATGAAACTGGTGTATGTGAGGATGAAAGCAATGGTGGTCAAAGACACGAACCAGTAAAACACCGTGATTGCCGAGTCCGAGGCTACCAGAAACGTGATACATGAGATAAGCGAAACGGTCAAGACGCAGTAGATGGGGATTCCGGCCTTGGTACACTTCATGAAGAACTTGGGTGCTTGACCGTCACGGGCAAGGGAATATAGTGTTCGGCTGGACGAGTACAGATAGGCGTTGCCGCATGACCAGCCAGATAGGAGGATCAGGGCGTTGATGAATCCTGGGAGGCCCTCGATACCGAGATTTTGAATCCCAATCACCCATGGTGACGCTGCGGCGCCAACGTCGCCGTTGTCGATGGCTGACATCAGTCGTTCGTCGCGAGAAGAGCAGATGATGCCCACACAGAGAACTCCGACCACATAGAAACCCACTAGTCGGTAGAAAACCAATTTGGCCACCCGAGGGATCGTTCGTCGAGGATTCTGGATCTCGCCGGCCGCGAGTGCGATCAAATCCGGGCCCGCAATGGTGAAGGCGGCATATCGAATGACACTCCACCAGCCGAGAAATCGACCCGTGTTCGGATCCGCGCTGTAGTACGGGTGCATCGCGAGACCGTTCTTCCAGTATCGGAAGCCATATGCGTCGCGACGAGGATTCCCGCCAACCATGGTGATGAAGGTGAGGAGGATCAGGCCCATGAGCAAGAGTATTTTAGTCGACGCCATGACGAACTCGGATTCACCGTACCACCTGTACGTACAGGTTAGTAATAGTACCACACACAAGCACATCTATCACGTGGGAAAGGGCTTGAGTTCCTCACCTGACAGCGACAAGATTGAGAAAAGTACATGTGACCAGGCACAAGGCAACCCAGACAGCAGCGTTGATGTCTGTGTTCCAGTATTGGACGACGGCAGCCACGGCGGCATATTCCGTGCACACAAGCATTGCCGTGGCGAAGAAATATGTCCATCCCATCGCGAACCCCAACGCTGGATCCACGTAGCGAGAGGCAAGTTCAAAGATGGTTCCTCGTACAGGTAGCCAGGCCGCCATCTCTGCCACGCACAAGTTACATGGCCAGATGAATAAGAGTCCCCAGAAAAGGTAGCCTAGAAACAACGACAGTGGGCCTGCACGCTTGAGACTGCCTCCGATTCCGACAAATAGACCAGTTCCAATGGATCCGCCGATCTGCATCAATTGGACATGTCGTGGTGAGAGGCCACGTTTGGTCTGTCGATATTTGTCCCATTGTGCTTGCGATAGACGGCGTTCGAAAACATCCCCATGCATAGTCTCGGATGGTGTGTCCGACGCCGACGTACCAATTCGGTCGGGGCTCACGTCTTGGGCCGATTTGACGTCCATTCTGATGGCGGTTCGCCTGGAGGACACCAGTGTTGGTATGTTATAAGTATCCAGTGGGTAGATATCAACTTAGGACCACGAGCAGGAGGAGAAATGGCATCTGAAGAGGGTTGAGAGCCCATAGATATATGCAGGGGAATGCGAAAGCCTGGTCAGCCTTTACAGTATATTGCCAGGCTCGAGGTTCGGCAGCAGATTGAATCATGTCGGTTATCGACCATTGCTATCAGAGACCGGTTCGTAAGGTCTCGCTGTCTCCTGCCATGCAACGACCACGTTGAGCTGCGATTGACCGATAAAGGAAAAGGGAGGCAGAGTAATTGCATAGCCCCGGTCTCAGTCATCCAGTCACGAAGCATCTTCTGAAGTCGACTAGTGGTGTATCGGATATTCCTTGCAATGATAAGACGCCGTTGAAGTTCTTGGACTGGTATCGACTTGCCAATAGCCTATAGGCTTTAGGAGATGATCCCTCATCCATTCGCCATAGAATGGGTTCAAGAGTGGACAGACATGACGGAGTATACCACCTGATGGCGACAGACTAGAGATAAGCCCGTCTTGGCCAAGATGGATTAAAGGAAGATTCAGGCTGTCCAGGCGTCTTCATCATATAGACTAGGCCTTGTCCAGAAGGCTTTGCGGGGATCAAGCAGTCTAGGCGGCACCATGGTGCGTCGGTGGAGTAGCTTAGCTCGGACTCAAAGTATACAAACCTTGCTTATCTCTCTCTCACGTCAATGCCAAAATCGACGGTTGTTCGAATTGTAGGTCCCGATAGACTTCGCTCTGATTCACTGGGTCTGATTTCGTGGGTAGAGCAGGCGTTCCAACTTCACTGTAAGTTCCCTAAACGCATCCATGGCATCTTCGATTTCGAGACCGATAGGGACACTTTCATGACCCTATCACCGAGGTCTCATCTCGTTGTTCTCAGACGGCCCGACGTTCCTTACCGAAACTGGGCCCTGGGTCCCCGGTCGCCCCGGCCCTCGTGGCCTTTTGAACGCCGGCGTCGTAGATCTCGCTGACTGCTACCGATTTTCGCCTCGGATTTGTCCACTATCTGATCACATCTCATCTCAAGTTGCACAGCTTACATGTGCATGTAATTAAGCGCGGCCTAGAGAGGGATATGATCCTAGAAGGATATTCGATCCCGACTCTCGGCATTTGGCACTCTTCGTTGGGTCGTCCCAAATTGCCCGAGTGAGTCGGTGAAGGTGGCGTTCCTAGGTCGGTAACATCAATCAAAATCAGAACTTTCCTCAACGCCATGTCCTTCCTTATTCTACGTTGTGGTGAACAAGTGGCAGCAGCGCTACTTGTATCGACGCTGGCTCAGGCCGCTCTTTCTAACCTAGCTTTCCACCCCGATGCTCTGGAAAGGGGATGGACAGGCTTCTCAACCCAACAGATGGGGTAATTTCTCTCCCCATACGCAGAGAGCCGTGTGTTTTATTCGTACATACAATGCACTGGTCGTTGCTGACAACATCGAGAATGCTAGGGAATCCATGCATTTGATCAAGGTAACAGAGAATGTCTTGCGTATTAACGGCGACCGTTTTGAGGTGCCCCCAATGAGCAAGCTGGGGCTAGGTGCAAGAATCGGCTGCGGATTGCGTTGAGGCCTAAGCATTGACCATCATGATTTTGTCTTTTGGGGGCTGCCCCATACAGTTTTGGCACAATGAGTGAGTTGTCGGGACATCTCGACCACATACCACTGCCAATAGAGCTCTCATACCGGAAGCGCTATGTCCGAAAGATCAACCCTGGAGCGCTGTCCGGTCTAGGTGTCACTTCATCCTAGGTTGAGTTGCATTTCGACCTCCAGAAAAGCTCATGATGGGTTTTGAGAACCATCGACATATTCATATGGCGAGGATTCTCCTCCCTGTGCGGCGCAAGACTGGCATCCAACCCGGCACCTCAGTCGAACCCTCATCGTCTTTCAAAGCCCAAGCCTGCTGAACAACTTCCCAAAGTGAGGTAATGTTGCCTATCCGGTGCTTGAGCATCCGGTTCCACCAACGGTACCAAACCTCACGCGCATCGCCACTTTCTGCTTCACAAGAAGCGATGAAGCCAGGCCAGGTAATTGTGGCCGCAAAATTGGTGTCATAACCTGCCCCCGCTTTAATATCTTCCAGGACTATTAATTGCTGCGCGACAAGTTGCACATACTGTGCCATCTCTGATTGGGAGCATGGCAGGATGCGTGTGTGATAGTACACGCGCAAGCTGTATGCGAAAGCGAGGACATGGTTCTTCGCCAGTTGAAATGGAATACTGGACTCGAGAGTGTCCGACTCTGAGGGAAACAGAAACGACAGCAACTCCGATTCTAACGACCATTGATCCAGCGCATCAGAGAGTTTCCTGCAAGCGGAGACCAGAGCCAAGGGAAGTGGGATCGCGTTTGACGCATAGTATGAGATATTCTGGGCCCTCAGAACCATCAGGCGCATGAGATGAGCAAGGGTTGGTGTGATGCCATATGTGACTTCGAGACCGTGTCCAGCGCTCGAGTATTGATAGTCGAGATCCATGTTATCGATGTCCTCATCTTCAGACCATGGTATCTGAGGCAGATCCAAGGAAGTTGTGTTTGCAAGAGTGGAGAGAAATGAGGAATTCGTAATGAGGCGATCCAGAAGCGGAGAGGCTCTTCCTTCAGCCCGCAGTTGTTTCCCCAGCCGAGCAACACCTTCCAAGTGTATCCAGTATTCGCTCATCGAACCCTCCATGACCTACAGATCAAGTTAACGACAAGGCGACATGACATTCTTAGTGACGACTTACATCCATCGATTGAAACGCCAGCATGGCCGAGATGATGGTCTCAAAATGGGATATGGCAACTTCTGACGTGCTCGCGAGGGTGTGATTCTCCGTGGAAGTGGCTGGCTCGTTGAAAGCTTTTTGTAGGGATGCGAAGGCCTTGGCGCGAAAAGATCGAGCTATCACATCAAAGGTGGAATCCCCGGACGAATCCGGCCCTCGAATCTGAAATGCCGAGCTTGCCAGTAAGGCATAGAAGACGGCAACATTACTGGCGGGAAGATCAGAGACTGGAGCTCCGAAACCAAAAATCAGATTTGCTGCTCCAACCATGGCGTTCGGGACATATATGGAAGCATAGGGGCTCTCTGGATGAGGAAGTGGCGGCAGGACGTTAGCAATGTTTTCTACATAGTTTTTCATCAGTCGATCAATCAGTGGATCTTGGAATATGGCTAGGCTCAGAGAGAATGCTGTTGGGGATGCCACAACAGAGGATCTTGCAATGGTTGTAATATCCTCAGTGTCTGGAACACCCGAAACCGAGTCGATATCAGCGTCAAAGATGGAAGGAGAAGCCAGCGTGTCGATGTCGGAAGTTGTGCTGGCGAACGGGCCTATCGTGGAGTAGTCCACATTGGAATCTGGATATTCAGGAGTCGCGTCTGTCAGTTGATGGAGGTTTGTTGGGAAAACGGTGAAACCGCCTCTTCTGAACGATATGAAGGGCAGGTTCTGAGCTTCATAGCTGTCGATATCCGCAAGCTGCTTGTCAACTTCATCAAGTTGAAACGGCCAGAGTCGAAGGCCTTTGAAATGAGTATCAGCACATTGATGTTGACAAGGATGAGAGACGTTTGCAGGTGCATGAATGCCCGTACATACCCTCCAATGTCATCGCCTGCCGCTTGATAGCGGAAGGCGCAACAGTATCCTCATCGGTAACCCAGTACAACTTCAAGTCATAGCCTTCACATGGGAGATTGGACTTCTTGCATCGCAGGCACTTAGGGCGGCTAGCATCACATTTGACCTTGCGACCACGGCAGGTCCAACATCTGGAGTGTGTCCGTCAGATCAATCCTTCAAAGTAAAGAGAGTCAAAGGGCGAACGGACGTACCCTGTAAATGTCTTGGTCTTTGGCTTGAATTCTCTGGTTCTCTTTTGAGGGTTTGGCATGTCTACGGCGAGTGTCAAAGCTCATGATTTGAGTCCATCATGCTTGACGACGGACGAGGCAATGCCGTCGAGGCCGCTGAGGGCTTATCTTTCAAGTATTCCCGCGTATCTGGCTGAGATCCCCGGAAGTGAATATGAGATAGTCTCCGAGGGATATCTAGGAGGATACAACTTGTAGCACTGTCGAAGTGATAGAGGAGGGTTCCTCTATATAGAGCACAACAAGATGGCGTATCGTTGATATGATGCGAAGTCAACCCGATACTGATTGGCTTAGATATGGACATGCCAAGGCTTGGGGACTACATCGGAGCACTTAGGCCAGCGGGCTGATATCTACGGTGAAGTGAGAAGCACTACTGACAGCGTATTTTCAGAGACGAATCAAGAGACAGGGACGGACTGGAAGCGTGGTGCTGGCTCAAGCCTCCTACGCCTGAAGGAGACCGGGGTATGCATTAATTGCCTCCTTTTGTCGTACAAGAAACGCTCTAGGCTGGCGCAGGGATTATGAAAAGATTTTGTCGGGAATATCACTTCCGCAAACACTATATGGTAAACAACTATATTCCCTCGCCATGCTCATGAGGCATAACCTTGTCAACATATTTCGTCCTATGCATTCCTAGCTAGTAGCACTTCCTAATGCGTGACCTTCAAAGCATCACACTGTTGGAGTTCACAAAAGAGACCTCGGTAGTAAATGCCTCATCACCGTTAATATCTGGCCCTGCCGGATGCATTTAGCTCATGCTTCTGCCTCCTCGCAAGGTCTCGAGCTGCTTTGGCGGCTTGATATTGCCTCGCGTGCTCTAAAAGATCTTGATAATCCTCGTCATCACTTTCATCGAGTTCAGTAGCGCTAGTCGTGGCATGAGAAAGGCTGTCGGTGCGTACAGGATGTCCGCCAACTGCCACATTGGACAATTGTCTGAGTAACTCGAGGTCAATCAAAGGTTGCTGTTGTGTTCTCATGATCGGCTTCGATCGGCTGGTTTTCAGACGGGGAGGCACTGCCGGAACTGGCGGTAGTGCCCTGTCTGGTGCCTTTGTTGGCGGATGTGTTGGTGTTGTTGGTGGTCGTGGGAAATATTTCGCCCCTTCTTCTGATTCTGACGCACTTGTGCTGTAATTAATATAAGTGAAGGCGCCGTGGTCGACTGATTCTCCAAAAGACAGACGCGGGTCAACCTCGCTATCATTCTTGTGCATCATGTTCCAGCGCATCGCAGGCTGGTCCTGGTTGTCCGTGTCTGGCCTCGTCGACGCGTCCAATTGACCTGCATGGTAATGCTTTCGAAGCCCGCCCCTTCGAGATGGCTCACGGGATCGTGGGCTTTCTCCCACCACCGTGTCAGAAAGTCCATCGAAATTGAAAGATGCCAAAGAACTGGCAGACATAGTTCCAGGAGTGGTGCTGATGGAGATAGTCCTGTGCAAAGAAGGCGTGTTGATTGGGGCACGAAGAATGTCGGCGTCCGGGAGAATTAGCTGCTGTTGAGCCTGTCTACGCTCTCTGCTTAAAGATGGCCCATCTACTGCGGATGGAGATTTCACACCATCATTGAGCAATCGACTCGATGAAGCGGTTGCTCGTAATTTTGGAGTCGAGGTCTCTGGAGGCCGAGGTTTCTCAGCTGCACAATGAAGAAGCGTCGAATCAGCAAACTGCCTGATGTGACTGGCCAACTTTGCCTCTAGACCTTCGCTTGTCAATCGCGCAAAGGGGTCTCGTTCCAAGCATTGCAGTGTCAGCTGGATGATGGGACCGACAGCATGTAAAGTTTGATTGCCTTCTTTTTTCGCTTTCTTCTCTGCATCATTCTGAAGGGTTTGCGCCCAGAGGAAGACCTGGCCAAGGTTGGCGTGGAAGCTTGCGTCGGCCAAGCCACCTCCTCTACCAGCATTTCGATTCTTTGAAGCCCGATGTCGCGAAAAGGAACTATAGCTGCGCTTGCAAAGTATGGTCAAGATGTCCAAAATCACGGCGCCAAGGGAGAAAACATCCGAGGAAAACATGTCATCCTCGACCGATTGCCAGGTCTGGACGACAGCACTCCGCCCTTCAAATGCAGAAGCAAACACAGGATTGCTTCGATTTGAACTGCCCGTCTTCCGGCCACTTGAGCTTGTCGATGAGATGATTGAAGCGGGTTTCGACGGTTTGGCTCGAGCGGTCCCTTGTGTTGATATTGACTTGTTGTCAGCAGCCGACCTGACATTGCGCTCGCGTGGCTGATGACTAGGGAGCCTGTCAGGGCCGATTGCTGCGCTTAGCCTCAGTCTAGCGTGTTTGCCTCGAGATGTAGGCTCATAGCGAAACGTAGCGGTAGATCCTGGCCGGCTACTCGAAACACTTCTGCCATCTCCAGATGTGCCAGTGCGTAACTTACGGGCAGATCGGCCTCCTGACGGTAATGATACAGCCACAGAGCCAGTGTTCTGGATTGTAATGGCCCTCTTCCACCTCTCCGGGGGTGCGTATTGATAAGGCTCAATCTCATCAGACCGAACGGTATCACGCAAGACACCATCGCCGTCTAACATGCCGAGTGATATGCGGAAGGTGTCATCGATCTGGATGTTGGAAGGCCGTATAGCTCCATGATATTCACCATTGTCGTGTAGCCACGCCAAGGCGCTGGCCAGACAGTGAGGCCAATTGATGAGATGACCATGTCGCACGGATTTGGGAAGGATATTGAACGACTTTGGCGGGTCGACGAGAAAGCTTTTCAAGTTCCATTCAGCTGCAGGAAGTGACAGGACGTTGAGGACTCCTTGCTGCAGGTAGGATCCGAAAACGGAGGTGACATGTTCGTGGCAAAGCTTTCGACTTGAAGCAATTTCTGCGAGGACGTCATCTTCAGTGAGGTCCTTGTCGAGAACGATCCGTCGCCGGAGAACGACCTTTGACGACTCAAGAGGCAAGCGAACCCGATCAGTCGCATCGTGTCCCTTTGGGAAAACCAAGGACTTCAGGCTCAGAGGCACCACAGGGACCGTTTCCTCATCAGCATAACGAATATGTTCACCTTCCCCTACAACTCTAGTCAAATAGCGGAATTGATTCTTGTAGAAGCGTTTATCCAAGGCACGATCCGGTTCATAACTGAGTCGGAGCTCTGGGACAGCACTTTCCACGACTGGCAAGTCTTCATCATCATAAGAGTCGTCTATGATACCGAAGATCTGATCAGGGACATTGGTGGCAACGAGGACCAGGAAAAATCGCTTAGCCCGGGTCAAGATCCAGTCCAGATAGGTGTCATCGGTGAGGTCTCCTCCAAAGTATAGGGGTCGTTGCAGCAATTCTTGTTCACTGGGTCGGAGGTGGGAGTGGACGTAAGCAGATGTTACTGTCTCTTGAACACGCTCATCCGTCCACCAAGACACTGACGAAGTTGTCATTGTTGATTTCATGGCCTATTCCCCATCGACGTAGAACAGCATGTCGGGGTGAGAGTCGGACAGATGAAGACTGGGGCCTTTGTCATTTCAGGGTCGAGAGGAAAGCATCCCAGATGGGACGGGGGATGCGGGTCACAAGCATATTTAGGTGGAAGGAGTCTGGGGTGAGATGCTGCGAGCATGGCGACTAATATGGCTAATTTCCAAGATCAAACCCCGGATCCACGTCCAATGAGACAAACAAGTGGATGGGCAATTCTAACATTCGTTGAGAGAACAGCGGGATCGCACGAAAGGCGACAAAAGAATAGACGTCGACACGAGCACACAAAGACTCACTCCTTGGTGGTACAGTGTGCTAGGGTATGCTCACAACCAGGCCCAAGAAGGTGTGGTTGTGATTGAAGGTGGGGGTGTGAGATAAGTGTGCTGACCATGTTTGGGACTAAGAAGTCTATCCTGCTCTTATCTCGCCGATTAAGAGCCAATTGAAGTCGACTCTACATGCAAACTGGACGGCCTAAAATGATTCCTCTGCCGAAGTCCCAAGCCCAGGCGTACCGACCAGGGATTTCTCGGATGTATGCATAGGCTGGGGGGTGCCACCTACGCAGAGTTTGATCAGGAGACACAAAAGTTATAAAAGATCGACCTGGTTTGCATATGTACAGGCATTTGTTCTCCAGGGCCAACATATTTTGAGGAAGTACGGATCGATGTGACAGGTGGGCGACTCGTGAAACCCTAGGCTTCACATAGTACTGTTGTACATGATTGGCCGCTCCTCAAAAATATTGCTCTGGCAAGTCTGCTCGCTCGTGTCATCCGGAAACTCATAATCTGCCGAGTCAGCACTTTGCTCAAGGGTCATTGAGACTGTGTCTAAAAGCAAGCTCGCTTGCTGGACGCGGAATCCTTTGCCATGGACCGTGATGGTGGCCCTGCCCTGCAAAAAGAAAATGCTCCAGGGCGATAGACAGGCACATGGTCAGGGGGATCGGCCACCTCCACGGTTGCGATTCGTCTGTTGTAGCAGGCTCGGCGGCCTTGCATGCCTGGCAAAGGCTGAGGGCAACGTTGCTCTCCCTAGGCACGCTGTTTCTTATTCAGTGCTAGAGGATAGAACCCGCATGTTTTGCGCCAACAACGCATTACCAAGTGTTCTTATCAAGTGCACCTCGTGGCTTTATCTATTGTTACGTTGACGGTACGCAATCAGCGCGCAATGCATGAGTGGCACTCAGTCCAGCCCTGTAGTGGGCTCCCCAAGACTCGGAGACAACTTCTGGCTTCTCGCATCCGGCCCCAAGCCTGCCGGATCCTGGGCGTTAAAGGACTAGCGGCGAGTGCCACGAGGAGCGGGCACGAGCGGGTGGGATGAGCTGACCAGGGGGGGCATTCATGATCACACCCGATCCCGGTGTCGTCCCAACTTTATACTCCATACATCCTGAACAGAACCCGGGACAGTCAAAAGCCAAAGGGAAACGATGGGCAAATGTAACTACAGTCGAAGGTATGCTTATTAGACCAGTCAGCAACAGTATCTCAGATCAAGGAACCGACCAATTATCTTATAGAGATGCCATTAGGGATCGATATTGGTTACTTTCTCTAACCTGGGAGCCGCCCGAAGGAAGCAGAGCAGGGGACGTCATCCCTGCTCTGTGGGATGCACCAACTCTTGGTATGCAGGCACAATGATGATGCTGATAATGATATAACGCCACGAACGCGTTCATAAGCCCGAGCCAATCCATTGTTCCATTGACGGTGTCTCGTGCCTTGGCTATGAGATACAGGATTACCATCGAGTTTGAGCAGTTACATTTTATGTAGATATCTCACTGTGGGGGACAGGGTCACCTGGTCAGTTTTAAACAACAGGCGAGACCGTAGCTCTTCTACGGGAACAAATGATGCACCACCGCTTCAAAGTTAAATAGCCTAAAAATTCCGACGAAAGCTTGATCACAGTCTGGGATTGCCTTGCGACTGTCGAAGATATATAAATATGTACTCGTCACACTCGTGTGTTGCTTGAGAGCACATGCCCTGGGAGCCAATAATCTTAGCCTCTGATCAAGATTTCAGATTGGCACAAAGTGCTGAGCCTTGATCGATTGTAGGTGGGTCGATGCAGAACATGTTTGTTGTGTCCACTGTCTAATGAGGGAGAGCAATTCACATCCCAACGAGGCGTATCTCGATGTGTATCATGGGCTCATCGCTTGATATCGCGTATGTGGTTAAACTTCAACGCTCGTCTAGGAAGGAGGATTGTGCAGTTCTGAAATAGGCTAGCACATAAAGAGTGCCGAGGCATACGGTCACGTGCATATTACCACGACCGCATCAAGCTGCACGAGGAGTCAGTTTGAGGGTTGGTTATGGAAGAGGTGCTTATCTAATTGGACAAATATTCGTGGTATGACATAGGATGAAGGCAAGCGATTCAACACGGCGAATGTCATGCATATTGACAGGAGAGCTAGGCGGAAGCCGGTTTCAAGAAGGGGTCTCAGGATTCTATTGACAGCCTCGTGGCTCACCGCTCTAAAGTAGACGCTGTGTAATCATAAAATCCCTCTATAAGGTAGCTTACACCTGACTATTGCTGAGATGACATTACTACGGAGAAATAAAGCTATGGGGCAGCATCGGTACTCATGCAAACAATTTGTTCTACTTTTTGTTGCCGAGGTCCAGGCATTCTATTCACAGTAGGACTGGGGTTTGAGGATGTACATATGTATGTTGTATACATGTATCACGTAAGGTGAGAGGGACTTGGGCTCCAAGAGAAATTCCGCAACAGTGCCGCTGTTGCCATTTTGTTTGAACAAGCAAAAATACCTACTAAAACTAATGAGCCAAGATACGCAGCAAATATTAAATCGCTTCAAAAACTATATAAATCGTCTTGTTTACGGAGTACATACTGTGGCGCACTGGCACTATTGAGCCAACTGCTCGGTAGACGTCTTTACAATAATGTCCGAGGCTTGACCTCGCAAGGCAGCGCAAGAATGCAAATAAAGAGTTTTTTAGGTAAGTGCAATGTACGTACATAATCTTCAGTGGGAGAGTGCCTTCCCAGGTACGTACCCACGTACGCCGCCCTCCTCATCGATCTTCCCGCATCAATCATCTTGCAGTTTCCATTGCAGCTGAAAAAACGGTGAAAGTCGACGCCCAAGCAAATTGTCAGTCTAAAGATCAACTCTGGCCCCAGGAGTCTCTCTGTTGAAACCATACAACACATGTCTAATTATTAGTACGCATCCTGCAAGTGAGGGATTTCAGCCTTTCCTTGATTGTGTTGTCTATTTCTACATTGCCAGCAGGTCAAAAGCACAGATCACCCGGTTGATTGTACTGATTACATACTCCGTAGTTGGTTCGGCCAATTGGCTAGCCAAGCCAATCTCGTATCCAGTAGGGAATTATTTGTTAATATTGAGTACATACTCCGTAAGTTGGTCAAAAAATCATGGCCCTAATGCCCTTGGAACCATAGTTTTTGAGAACCAGCGACATCCTAAGCGACGCTGGGTACCTCGAGTGTGTTGTGCCTCCCGTTGAAAGAGATGGTTTTCTAACGGTGAAATGGGGGCTTGTGGTTGGTACAGTTTGGGCGCCTTGGGCGCCACAGAAGCCTTGGATCATGCTTCGGGGGGCTTGCATAACCCATGTCACATGTGCGTGCTCAGGGTCCTCAAGGCCAGTTTGACCAAAAAAGTACTCCGTATTGCCATAGCTCTAACCTCCAAAGTCGGTGCCATTATTTTTAGGTTAACAATAGACGTGTACGACTCCAATGCGCTAAGCTCCTCGTATCCCAAATCTGCACCCAGACAAATTGGGTATGCAGAGAAAAGTGGTTCAGAGCAGGGCGTATCTGTTGATTGTTTGTTTCAGTGAGTAGTACTCTGCTTACTGAGCATCTTTGGACTCGTCAATAACGAGTCAAGCAGCGTGCAGGTTTGCCCTGTCGTGTCTGCCTGCAGAATTCTGGATGCCTGGCTAGAGGCAAGTGTGCAGTCGCCTAGGTACCTAGGACCTAAGTAGGACGGTAGCTGGTAGCTGGTAGCTGGTGCCTGGTGGGACTCTGCGGAAACTCAGAGTTTCAGGCATAACAAGTCGCCCGTGGGGCCCGAGGGGCTCGAGGGGCCGGCACAGGCGACCGAGGAGACCACTTGGCCCCTGTTGGCCCCAGCACAGCTAAAGTGGATCTCTGCTTGCCCCAGCGCCAGTTCCCTGTGGCTTTGTACGATCTATCAGAGTCTAGAACGCGCCAAATCTTCTTTACTATGCTCGAAACATCCAGCAAACCTCTCAAAGGCCAACAGTCTTGCATCTTGCTATTGTCCACACCGTCGATCCGCTTCGATGTTCTGCATGTCAAGAACACAATCCAGTCCCTAGCCTCGTAGCCACCAAGCCCACTCCGACACTCGTCTTTGCCTACCCCGTTCTACAGCTGGCCATCCATGCCTTCTGCATATACTCTCGCCCTCGCCCTCACCCTCACCCTCACACACACAGATGCCCACGTACCAACAGAGTCTGGGCTTTTTGCTGCCAGTTGTGCACGGATCTTTTATTCCCTCTCATCTCTTGTCTAAGCCATTGTGAAACATCTCTGGCGAACTCTCAATTCCACATCTCTTGCCGATCATCCATTCATCCATTCATCCATTCTCCTCACACTCTCGCTCTTATTCCATCCGTTCGGCACATCTTGTCCACGCTCCTTGTGCGACTCGACCCTCTAACTCTTCCAGCTTAGTTCTTTATTTTCATGGTCGCTGCTCTATTCCGCCTGGTCTTCCTCATTGCAACCGCTTGTCCACGACCGCAAAGCCAGCTTGCAGCCCACCACCATCTGCGAGTAGGTGCACAACAGACTCAAAGTCGGCTCGTGCTCTCGACCCCGCGACATTTGGCCTACTCCCAATCCTTCACCCATGACCTCTTCAACTGAACCTTAACCCACCCACCCCGAAAAAAGGCATTTAACTACAGCCAAAGACTTGTCCAGCGGGACGACTCCAATGAGCTCTCAGGCTTTCTCATTGGAAATCGAGTCCTTCGTACCAAAACAGCAGCCCGTTGTGGTCCAAGTCCAGGAAGTACCCATCTCATCGCCAGTGGACGAGTTACCCTCTAAATCAGTGAGCGCAGAACCCGTTCTGCTCGAGGATCAGTTTGGGGATGGCGTTTTTGAAGGTCCAAGAGGTTGGAATCAGGCTACAATCATGAAAGGTTCCGATCCATGGTGTGAGGCCGTTCCCACCCACGAAACCGCCACTTGCCACGAGAACATAGACGAGAAAGAGATGGCCGAGTATCAGGAGATGATTAAGAGGCGGCCAACTATGAGGCTACCTGCCTTTCGCCCTGTTGAGTGGGCATCCCCGCCTCGAAGGTATTTGGATGGCCGCCTCACTGGACATGCAGAATTGGCGCGGGCGGGGACTTTTGACAGTCTTGCATCCCCCTCTACGTCTCATCAGAGATATCCAGACATGTCTCGATGCTCTCAAACCCTGTCTTGGCCGCTTGCCTCTCGCGAGAGCTCTTCCCTCGCCCCATACTATGGCTGTCGACCACCTCTACTCACTCCGCCCGAAGACGTAGACTCCTTCGATTGGGGTACAGTCCCAAAGACAGAGTCGAGGTTCAGAACGGCGGCCGATAGTCACACTCATGACAGTCAAACCCAGAGCCAATTCCGACCGTCTCCAAGTTCACGACCGTCAGAAATCCAAATGCCGCTCCCCGCATCACTCCCAACGGATGACAATGGTCTTGGGAACTGGCTTGGCCGGGCTTCTAACCATCTAGGTGAGCACAATCTAAAGGTTACTGTAGTCAGCACTGACGTGACAATTAGTTTCTCACATCAACGACTCCTTCGCCCAAGGACAAATTCAAATGGTCGTTCAGGCACTTCCGTCCCAAGCCAAACACACAGCAAGTAAGCCAACCTTTGAGAAGGTTGTAGAGCTTGTTCAAGCCCAGTTTGCACTCTCGCCTTACATCACCATCACCCACGCCGTGTCGCAAGTCATCAGTATGGATGAGGTACCTGCCTCACCCCCAGCCACCCCCAGCACCACCTATACCAGTGACGACTATTTCCAGAATCAAACCATTTTCACCCATGCAGCCGTTGTTCCTGCATACCACAGCTTGACACAGTCGAGCGGGGTCCTATCTCAGCGTCCAACGAGCATCATTGCCGCACCCAGTTCCATTCATATCACCACTCTCGAACGCTACATCCCTCCGACCACGCCCCAAGAGGTGGATGACTTCTTCAGCCTTAGTAGGAAATCATACCTTTCCGACCGACTGCTGGAGCTCTCAGCGAACAATGGGAGTCTACTGTTGGTTTACCCCACCAAAGCTGGGGCCATGACTTTTGCCAACAAATACGTAGGTCCAGTCATCGAACCATTCCTCCGCCAATTCATTATTCTCAACGATTTATTTTCCCACGTTGCTTCAAGCCTTGGTCGCCTGGCTTCTTTGGACAACATGAAATCCTTTGACGAACTCGAAACAGCGGTCCAAGCAATGTGCCGGACACTTGGGCAGCGTGCGCCTGCGCGAGGTCTACACACACGATATGACCTAGTGCATGCCGAAACGGCAGGTGTTGTACTCGAACGCGCCGTGTGGAAGGAATGGTTTTTGGAACAAGAACAACCCCGGCTGCGTCAGAATCTAGTGGATTATCACAAGGCTGGTGGTCGAATGCCTACACGGGCGGCCAGAGTCGAGGTAACTCCGACCATGCTAGCGAGAGAGGTGGTGGAAGGAATCAGGTCCAGCCGAGAGCCAGCAGGCGATGTGGAGATCGAGGTGGGAGTGTTTGTCATCAGAAGATCTATTGTTTAATTTTGACATTACATGTCACCAGAGATGGGAGCTGGGATCTTGGTCAAAAAATGCAATCATCAGCAAGGCGTTGGAGGATGAAATTCAAAGCGGAATTGGAATCAGTACATGACGAGAGATGATATACCCCGGATACTATAATGCTACCAGTATTGACACTGCTCTTTGAAGCGTGTGCCAGATAACTCCCGCATAGGTAGAGCGGGCGACCTTGCATTGCCCTAGATAGGTGAATTCTGAAACTTGCTGCAATTCGAAACATAATGATGGTCGGTAGTTGACGTTGGAGTCAAGCTCTTTTTGGTGGTTGGGTAAGCTTCGCGCAGTTGGGCCCGGGCATGTCAAGCCTGGTTAAGCCTGGGCGGTCCTCATGCCAATGGACCTCACACCATCAAATACCAATAGGAAAATTTTGGCCTCGCTGAAGTCCTTGGGCAGCCATTCCGCATAGAGAGTACAGTAGGGGCAATGCCCGTCCCGCCATAACTTGACTGGGTGGACTTCTTAACCGTAACTCTACTTATTACACGCATAGGCCTGAAGATTGGGCTGAGGGCGCCATTAAGCACCATCTTTCACCCTTATCATTATATCATTGGTGGTTGATCTTCTTCACAGGATGCCCATTATTACCAAGCCTGCATCCCGCATACAATGGTATCTGCCCACCCAAAATCCCATGTCTCCTCACCGTCATCGTCATCGATCATCCTTTTTTGACTTTTGTAGACCATCGACCTGAAAGAATCCTGTTTTCTTAGTCGACCGACCCATTTCCATGCATGATTCTCCAGGGCTGTACACGCCTGATTGGAGTGGCAATGGGATCGATTCGGAGCGATAGCACCTCGCTGCCTTCCGTTTCTGTTACCGCCCGCCCGTTCTCTCCATCCATGTCGCACCTCATTTCAGAAGCGAAGTGACCTCCCTGCCTTGGGTTATCGCCGTGCATGGAGCTTGACGAGTTGGTCATTTTGCGATCGTCACACCTCCTCCGTCCCGTCTCTGTTCCATTGACAATAATGTTGCCTTGGTCTCTGTTCTTCATCTCCTTTCGTCACACCCTGTCGTTGACTGTTGACTGTTGACTGTTGAGCGTGCAACTGCACTGACTGTGGTAGTCCCTTCCTTTCGTTGCATTCGACGCGCCTGGCTTTTGTTTTCGTGCTTGCCTCTTTGGACGCAGATTTCCCAACAGCAGTCGTTACTCACCATCCCAAGGTGAGGCAGTCACTCTTCCCTTAGCGACATTCACTTGCCACCGTCTTCATTGTCCTGTTGCATGTACAGACACAAGCCGTGAACCGCTTTCACCGTTCACCTTGTGGTTTCAAATTTGAGTCATCTCTCCGTCAACAGTCACCGCATGGGTATCAGTCATAAGTGCTACTTATTCCCACAAAACCTCTCTTTTCACGGCACAGGCAGGTTATTCCTCCAGAACGTCTTGCTCCCTCCCAGATTATTTCGGCCAAGCTAGCCATATCGGTACGACTTTTGATCTCTGAGCTCGATCAAGACTTTGATCATGGGTGCCATCTCCCCATTGATCCTTCTACTCTTTTCGACACTGTATGTCACCATCCAGGCCCTTCCCACGATCTCTGTGGTTGGATCAAAGTTCTTTACAAGCGATGGGAATCAATTTTTCGTCAAGGGTAAACCACGGAGCACCAAAATATTCAAGCGTAGTGACTAACATGGTCTTTTCCAGGTATCGCGTACCAGCTGATCGAAGATGATCCCCTCGTCAACACAACGCAGTGCCAGTTGGATGCGGCACTGATGAAAGAATTGGGTGCAAACGCGATCCGGGTTTACCATGTCAATGCAGCGGATAACCATGACGGATGTATGGCTGCCTTTGCCGATGCTGGTATCTATCTCTTTGTGGATGCCGACAGCTTCCATACCTACGTTCGAATGGTACGAGATATGAGCTTCAGCAAACTTGAAGGAGACTAATGAAGATAGGGAACCGAAGCGTCATGGACTCAAGATAAATCAAAAAGCTATCGTGAAGTGGTGGACGCGTTCCAACAATACCCAAATACAGCAGGGTTCTTTATAGGCAACGAGGTGCTTAATATTTGTCAGTGAACCAGACTAAGTACGGCGACCAGCAGACGACTGACTTTGATGATTAGTGGACGATCAAGATGCTGCTCCGTATCTCTTGACCGCAGCTGTTGACCTCAAAGCGCACATTGCCGAACAAGGTTATCGAAAGATTCCGATCGGATACTCTGCCACAGACACCGCGGTCCTTCGGCCAATGCTTCAGTATTATCTGGTGTGCCGTCCTAACGTGACCGAGCGCCTCGATTTTTACGCACTGAACAGCTACGAGTGGTGCGGCCAATCTCAGAACTACAACACATCAGGCTACTTTGCACTGCAGGAGGAGGCGGAGAACTATCCAGTGCCCATCTTCTTTTCCGAGGACGGCTGCAACACGGTGCCACCACGCACTTTCAATGACCAGGCGGCAATCTTTTCCGAACCCATGGTGAGCACCTGGTCAGGGGCCATGATCTATGAGTGGATTGAAGAGTTGAACCACTATGGTGTCGTATCATACGGACCTCCATTGGATCCATCGGTGCAAGATGGCGACAGAGTTATTCAGGGGTACAATCCAACTCAAAAGTGCGCACGTTGAGCCTTGTGGAGCTAACACGACGCAGATTCACCCGGCAAGGTGTGCCCACGCCTCTCCAGCCAGATTTTGGCAACCTTCAGCAGCAATGGAAAGACGTCAATCCCACGGGCGTGCGGTTGTCGGACTATGCAGCAACAGTTTCAACATCTCCACCATCTTGTCCAACTTCAACGGCGGGAGGATGGGTGATTGACGGATATGCTCCTCTTCCAACGATGGCGTCGGGAGCCGTCTCAGCAGGTATGACCACCGAGGTTTCGTCATGGTCTGCTCCGCCGGGCAGCATTGTGGCAGAATCATCCGCCGGGCAGCCCAGTAGTACTTACGAGTCCTTAGTTGTCCCCTCAGGCTCCTCAGGCACCTCTCGACCTTCCAGCACTCAGGAGAACAGCAGTTCGGCGACCTCTGAAGGTTCTGCCCCACGAGCACTTGGACCAAGCCCGAGTGTACATGGGTACGGAATCTTAGGCATGACGACAGCGTTGGTAGGGCTGGGTGCGGCGGTGATCGTGTGGTTGTGAGAGTAAGACGGCATCTGATGGGAATGCGGGTATTTGTCCTTATGGGTAGACTGGTGTTTCGAGGCGACTCCTGACGACTTACATGAACGTGAATATGGCAGTATTAGAACAAACACGACCTGAGCGACACAACCAGCCACGCTGCCATGTCAGATGTGTGGTAGATGGATTGGTCAGATGGGTGGTTCAGGCAGTGAGTACGACACAAGGAGATAACGGAGGTTCGGAACATCAATATACTCCGAAGCTACCTTATCTTGAACACATCGGGGGATCAGCCGCAGCCAGTGAGTCATTGTAGCCTGTTGCATGTCGATGGCTACTTGATGTTCCCACTACTACCCACATAGATCCAAAGCTTGTTACTTTGATCCCACTGTACCAAGACACTCGCAAGACGATCCCCATGCTGGATCTGAGGATGGTGGCCTTATTGCGAGACATTTTTGGGTGATCCGGTGGACTTTTTTCGTCGGACATTTTCCATGATATCCAGAGGGTGCGTGTAGTTAATCTATCAGGGCAGCAGGGTCATCTTCAAGCGAAACCTTCGGAGTTCGGACATTCTGGCCGCTGAAGCCAATGGTTGGAGGCCTCCAGACCTGCAGTAGGTTTAGTTACATAAAGTAAGCATGGGCCGAGCGTACTCACTCCACCAGTTGTGGAAGTGTGACAAACCCCGATCATGACTTGGCGATGGCGATTGCGGGAACAAATTTTTATTATTGAACGCCGGGGTTAACAATCCACTGTACATTCATCTTGTCGTTGTTGTCATCATACTTCACGATTAACTGGAGCTGGCCTGCGCAAATGCCCAAATGACTATCTAGATAGGCCTGGTGATGAATGATCTGAGTGAATGAAAATTACGGCATCAGGTTCCATTGCTTGGCAAGGCCGACGGAAGACATTCAGAGCGTGGAATGTCAAAGGTTTTAAATCATCTCCAACTCTTAGTTCCTTGGTTCCATGTTCCACTTTATTGGTCGATTGCTGACGTAGCAATGACGGGCTATTGACGGGCTATCTCACAAATGTTGAGATTCAACCAGCATTTTTCTTTTCACCCAAAATGCCACAGCCTCCTGATTTACTTGGTCAGGGCCATGGAATTTCCACGTGTTTACCAAGGCTGGACTGGACGGACCATCGGATGATAGAACTGCTTTTCAATTGGCAGTTGAAGCAATTTCGACCGTGATGCTTGACGCCTCCGCCCGTGTCAACGATTAGAAATCCATGCGTACATCCAGTCGGTTGCTCTTCTCAATCTGGATTACCGCATTCAGTCCTCAACGTCCCTGTCTCATTTGCTTGCCCATTTGCTTGTCTTGATATCGCGAATGACCACTGATACCTCCCTCCTAAGCAATTCTTCGTCCGTCGGACGGGCCTCTCAATCCTCACTTGGGTGTTATAAGTTGTTCCTTCTTTCCTTCCCTCCCTATCTCATGGTCGTGGTTTCCCACTTGGCCCAGACGTGGTTGCCCAAGAATTTACTGCCTCACCAACCAAACAAGCCCCGTTCCTTCCCTGACAGCTAGAGCCAGCCTCCTTCCCTTTCCCTGGCTCTGGCCAAACTAACATCCAGCCACTCCCCGAGCCACTTCTTCTAAAAAACTAACAATAAAAAAAGATCAGGGTGGGCAACACCCAGAATCACCATCATGTTCAATCAACATTCGGGGGAAATGTTCCAACGGCGGTACAGAACAGAGAATTGTATGTGCAAACCCAACCCAGACCGACTAGGATGGGATCGTTAACGTTTGAGCCAGCCCAGATAAGCCATCTACACAATGTGGCCCCTGTTACCGAGGCCTCCCAGTTCCCCTCGCCTGCGGATTCTTCCTCCGAGGACTTGAATGCTCAAGCCCAGTCGGCGGATATGGCAGGAACCTGGGGCGAGCGTGATGTGGGCGGGCCTGTGTCACGACCAACTGCAATGGCCGAGTTCGACGAGGTGCGGAAAGAACTGACTAAGCTGAGCTTGCAACGCACTGTAACCCGAGAGTCTAATGCCAGACCAGGCTCAAAGAGATGGAGACAGCCTACCATCACGAGAACCAGGACCAGGGAGTCAACAGCCGACACCGTCACCACCACCGGCACTGATCACGAGCCCGATGCAGATCTCGCCGGAGAGAAAGACCTCGACATCGGTGAGTTCCTCAAAGACGGCCATTTCGAGAAGCGAACAGCGGAGGGGGATGCAGCTAAGAAGGTCGGCGTCATCTACAAGAACCTGACGGTCAAGGGTGTCGGTGCGAAGCCCACATTCACCCGCAATCTTCCTCAGGCAGTTCTCGGCACGTTTGGGCCTGATCTCTATCATCTCATTTGCCGTTTCTTTCCCCGACTCAAACTCGGGAAATCCCCTCCTCTACGAAATCTCATCCATGATTTCACCGGGAACGTCCGTGATGGTGAGATGATGCTAGTCCTTGGCAGACCAGGATCAGGCTGCTCCACTTTCTTGAAAGTGATCGCCAACAAGAGAGAAGCATTTGCTGCCGTAGAAGGCGATGTGACTTATGGTGGCATTCCAGCAGCGGAACAGCTCAAACGCTATCGAGGTGAAGTCAATTACAACCCGGAAGACGATCAGCATCTTCCATCCTTGACTGTCTGGCAAACATTAAGGTTTGCCCTTATGAACAAAACCAAGAAGCATGATGCTGATACCATTCCCATAATTATCCATGCTTTGTTGAAGATGTTTGGCATCTCCCACACTGCAAATACTCTGGTTGGCGATGAATATGTTCGAGGCGTTTCTGGTGGCGAACGCAAGCGTGTTGGTATCGCCGAGACTCTAGCGACCAAGTCCACCGTTGTCTGTTGGGACAATTCCACCAGAGGCCTTGATGCCTCTACCGCTTTAGACTATGCCAAATCCTTGCGGCTCATGACCGACATCTCCAACAGAACCACCATTGTTACGCTCTACCAAGCAGGAGAAGAAATTTATGAACTCATGGACACGGTTCTGCTGATTGAGGGAGGTCGCATGATATATCAAGGGCCCGCCAATCTCGCACGGCAGTACTTCATCGACCTCGGCTTCCATGCCCCAGACAGGCAGACCACAGCTGACTTCCTGACATCCATCGGGGACGTCAACGAACGTCAATTTCTGCCCGGCAAGCAGGCATCCACTCCAAAATCAGCGGAAGAACTCGAGGCAGCTTTCCGCAAGTCTGACATCTACAAACACACGATAGCCGAGGTCGAGCGTTACGAACAAGATTTGCACTTGACTGACTGCCAGAATACTCGGAGATTTCAGCAGGCCGTTGAAGAGCAAAAGAGCAACAGCAAGTTCATCTCCTCACAATCCAGCCACACGGTATCTTTCTGGCGTCAAGTCCTCGCCTGTACGCTTCGCGAATTCTGGCTTTTCTGGGGTGATAAGACCAGTCTGTACACCAAGTTCTTCATCATCATCTCAAACGGGCTGATCGTGGGCTCACTCTTCTACGGCACTAGTCTGGGGACCGAGGGCGCTTTCCCTCGAACCGGTGCTCTCTTCTTCCTCGTTCTTTTCCTCGGCTGGTTGCAATTGACTGAACTTATGAGGGCGGTTAGCGGCCGAGTGGTCATATCCCGACACAATGACTATGCATTCTATCGCCCCAGTGCGGTGGTTATCGCCAGAGTGCTTCTCGACCTTCCATTACTGGCAGTGTCGTCCATACTCTTCTCCATCATCCTATATTTCCTTTCTGAACTCGACGTTCAAGCAGGGAAATTCTTCATCAATCTCCTTTTCGTCTACGTCAGTACACTATCTGTCACGGCCTTGTACCGCATGTTCGCGGCATTGAGCCCTACCATTGACGATGCAGTCCGCTTTTCCGGCATTGCTCTGAATCTCTTGGTCATATTTGTTGGGTATCCCATCCCCAAACGCACTCTCACGGGCGAGGTGATCTGGTTTGGTTGGTTATATTACATCAATCCACTATCCTACGCCTTTGAAGCGGTCGTGACCAATGAATTTTCTGGCAGGACCATGGAGTGCTCGCCGATGAATCTGGTCCCTCAAGGCCCGGGTGTTGAACCCCAATATCAAGGCTGCGCGGTGCTAGGTTCAACTCTTGGAAGCCCCTTGATTGACGGTGACGTATACTCGAGCTCCAATTTCGGCTACTCACGGTCTCACCTTTGGCGTAATTTCGGTGTTATCATCGCGTTTACTGTTCTGTACATACTGATTACTGCTGTCGCAGCAGAAGTCTTTTCGTTCGCAGGCGAATCTGGGGGTGCGCTTGTGTTCAAGAAGACGGGAAAGACTCAGCGGATGGTACAAAACGAGAGGAAGCCGACAGACGAAGAGACAGCAGCAGTCACATCTCCACCTTCGTCGGCGACGTCTTCGAACGCATTGGATGATGAAAAAGTCACGCCAGGAAGCAATCTCGTGGAAAGTAAAAGTATCTTCACATGGGAGGATGTGCGATATGAAGTTCCGTATCAAGGGGGAACTAAGAAATTGCTGAATGGGGTCAACGGTTACGTGAAGCCAGGGATGATGATCGCACTGATGGGGGCGAGCGGGGCGGGGAAGACCACGTTGCTCAACACTTTGTCGCAAAGGCAGACGACGGGCACTGTCTCGGGAGACATGCTAGTGGATGGCAAGCCGCTCGGAATCGAGTTTCAAAGAGGGACTGGATTTTGCGAACAGATGGATCTACACGATGAAACGGCGACGATTCGAGAAGCTTTGGAGTTCTCGGCAATTCTGAGACAAGAACGGTCGGTCCCGAAGCAAGAGAAGCTGGACTACGTGAACCAGATTATTGATCTGTTGGAGCTGAAGGATATCGAAGACGCAATTGTTGGCTCACTAGGGGTTGAACAAAGGAAGCGACTCACGATTGGGGTTGAATTGGCGGCGAGACCGGAACTGCTCCTGTTCCTAGATGAACCAACGAGTGGCTTGGATTCCCAGTCGGCGTTCTCGATTATTCGATTCCTAAAGAAGCTCTCACAGTCTGGACAAGCAATCATCTGCACAATTCATCAACCTTCATCGATGCTGATCCAGCAGTTTGATATGGTTCTGGCCTTGAACCCCGGCGGCAACCCGTTCTATTTTGGACCGGTGGGTGATAATGGTTCTGTGATTGTCGACTACTTTGCAAAGAGAGGGACGCAGTGTCCGCCACAAAAGAACGTTGCTGAGTTCTTGCTCGAGACTGCGGCCAAGGGTGGATCCAAGGGAAAAGATGGCAAGCGTGTTAATTGGAACAAAGAATGGCTTGCGTCGGAACAGTATGCGGATATGATGCAGGAGATTCAACGCATTAAAGAAACTCGGGTCGACCGGCCGTCGAAGGAGTTTGGCGCCCAACATGCATTCGCTGCACCGGTCGGCCTGCAGACGTTGGAGCTGACGAAGCGGACGTTCCGACAATACTGGCGAGACCCATCGTACCTGTATTCGAAGCTGTTTGTCAGCGTCATCATTGGCATATTCAACGGTTTTACGTTCTACAACCTCGACAACAGCTTCACATCTTTGCAGTCGCGGATGTTCACGCCTTTCTTGGTTGTGCTGATTCCTCCGACGATCGTCAACGGGGTGGTGCCCAAGTTCTACCAGAATCGGTCTCTCTGGGAATCTCGAGAGCACCCAAGTCGGATATATGGATGGGTTGCGTTTTGCACAGCGCAGATTGTGGCGGAAATTCCGATGGCGGTGGTGTCGTCGGTCATCTACTGGCTACTGTGGTACTACCCGACCAACCTACCTCGAGACAGTAGCACGGCAGGATACATGTTCCTGATGACGATGCTCTTCTATCTCTTCATGGCGAGCTGGGGTCAGTGGATCTGTGCATTCGCACCGAGTTTCACCATCATCAGCAACTGTTTGCCGTTTTTCTTCGTGGTGACGTCTGTGATCAATGGGATCGTGAGGTCATATGAGCAGCTGCCGGCTTTCTGGAGATATTTTGTGTATTACCTGAACCCGGTCACGTACTGGATAGGGGGTTCGCTGGCAGCGACGATGCACAAGCTTGACATCGAATGCAGGACGGAGGAGATGACGCTTTTTAACGCTCCGGCAGGCGAGTCGTGCGAGGGATACGCTGGCGACTTTGTTCGGGGGGCGACAGGGTATGTGGAGGCTCTGACGAATGGAACGTGCGCCTATTGTGGTTTTAGGACTGGGGACGAATATCTCGCGACACTGAACATCCAGGCGAGTGAGAAGTGGCGAGACTTTGGGATCTTTTTGGTGTTTGTCTTTACCAACTGGCTGTTGGTATACGTGTTTATCTACACGGTTCGGGTGAGGAAGTGGACATATGGGATGGGACCGCTGTTTGATGGGCTGGGAAAGGTGGTGCGTAAAATTCAAAGGAAGTGAAGGAAGGCCAGGGAAGTGACTTGCAAGGATGGAGTTGCATATGGCTCTGGCGTTGGCGAGGAGTGGTTATGACGAGGGAGTCAGAGGGCCATGGATTTGGTTTTCGATCCTGTGATACTGTAAATTGATGGACCAGGGAAAAGTGAACATGCCAAGATAGAATGAAACGTACAGATGGAGATAGGTTATTGTTGTCTACCTGTGCATAAGCAGTTTCAATGACGTCGAAGGGCTTTATGGATAGTTTCATCGTCAGCCAACGTGTACGTACAGGGTTGGATATCTGGTGATTGAACCATCAGGATGAGAGACGAGGGCAAGGGTGTGGATGTGGGTGAAGCGTCGTCAGCGCCAGCGTGGTCCTTAAGCGAACCAGGCATACGGAGTACACACCAGGTCAATTGGATTATGTAGTAGTGGAGATGAATCGGACGAGAAGGTTGACAAGGCGGACGAAGCAGTATGCTCATTATTATCAGGATATACTTATGGACCCCTTCAAGATAATACCTATTTATCATTTTAAAAACTGTGATGCCTAACATCTCGGCACAATGCAACAACGGCTACCCGTACATACGTATACCAAACAAATTGAGAGTGGAGAACGATGTGTGCCGAGTCAGGGGTAGTATAAAAGTAGTGCTGCTCGGATAAAATACGAGCACAACACAACAAAAGCTTGAGAGATGCACGGAGATAAAGCGACCATGACTGGAGATTGGAGCGTTGGAGTTGAGTTTGATGTTCGGATAGAGTACCTTCGAGTTTCCTGGCTTTGAAGTCGAAGTCTCGTCACTTTATGCATAACATCGCGGCCTCAAAGTATGTAGTCCGTATATGGAATGTCATTACCCGTACCCACCTCTCTACCTAAAGGGGCAATCCTTCTATTTTGGGTTGCGTGGTGGTGGTGAAAAGGAAAGCACCACCCACCAGGTCGTGCTTTGCCTTCTTCGTTTGACAGACTCAAAATCGTTCCAGATTCAAAAGCACGTGCCAAATCCCGTGATCGAGACTGAACGAGAACAAAAGGACAGAGAATCAGGAGCCTGAGGCATTAATGTTGTTATAATATTTGCAAAAGTCCAGGTCGGCCTATTGCAAACAACCAACCTCATCTCAATTCGACTCATCAAATGCCGAGTGCCGTTATCGTCTCGAGGTCAGGTAAGGAGAAGGTGTCTGGTGTCTTGCACCTGACTTTCACATTGCTTTCTTCAGAATCACGCGTTGGATTAGGTGTTTTGAAGGAGCAGGTTGATGTTGTTATACCAAGTCCTGTGATGAAACATCTAAATAGAACCCCAGAACCCCAACCCATCATCTCACATCGTACTCGGGTACAACAATCCGAATACGTAAGTCGAGCACATTGGAACAAACACTGCAACGATTGAAAAGAAACCAGTGTCGGTCTAATTGTCGGGTAGACTCGCGGCCCCGCGAACCGGTATTGCGTTAATTTCCACCAAGCATCCCTTCTCTCCCCGTGTGTATTTCGTACACGAGTACGAGTATTCCTGCCTGAAGATCCTAACGGTTCCTAACAAGAACGTTCTAGAATGGATCACATCGATCATATCTTACTCCGTAGATTCAGGCACCGACACTTGTATGTGTCATGTCAACGCATATCTTTTTCGCTTATGACTCGCGGTGTCGTGGATGGCTCGTGTCTTGTTCAACACATCGTCATATCCGAATGAAAAAAATGACACTGCTAAAACTCTGTTCGTCCGGTTCTCGTCCTTTCCGTGTTCTTCGTCTCAAAGACTTTGACACTTGTTTGAGCTTGGCCAGCGCCAACATGTGGCGGAGGCACGTTGATCGGCCTTGGCGTATATGCCGAGTCTCGCATAAATGAGGTTTGCGCGAGACCCTGGTTTGGAAATCATTCGTCAGACGAAATCTTTAACCATTGTTTTGTGCAATCTCCTAGTATTCCCACCTACCGGGTATTGACAACGGCGGCTCCGAGGTGATCGTCAGACATGGTTTTCCTCTCCGGATACAAAATCCTATTTCTCCCGTGCACAAATCCCAAAGTGGCAACGCCCGTTATTCACAATTCTTCAGACTCTCTCCTTTCCACTCACTTCACGTTACGGAGTACACTATTGCGGCTATCTTGCTTTGAGGACTGGCGCTTCATGGCACCTCGTCGTTCCATTTCCTCAATCTTGGCCTGCCATCCACTCACTCCCCTCTAAACTCCGGCTCTTCCATATACCCTTTTCCGTTCTATGCGTATTCGGATCACTTCTTCAGCTTGGACCCCCCCCAGTCTCTGATCCGAATCCACTCCCAATTAGGTTTGTGATGAATGGTCCCATTTGTGAATCCCCTGTTCCTCCACTGTCGTTATGTCTCCGTCGGACACTTTTGCTTGCAAGGCTCCCATCAATCAATCCATTATTATCTTGCTCTTGACGCCCTGACTTACCTTTCTCATATATCGCGTCATTCATTCGTTCCCTTCTCCCAACATTCCTATATCAGGGGCATGGCTCTTGTCTCGTCCTGACAAGTAGTTCCTTTTTCTTCTTTCTTTACCCGAAGTTTTCCCCTTTGTTTACCCACAGCATTGTCAACATGTCGCTGGTGGGCAATTTCATCAGCAACGGTGACCGTACCGCTGAAACAGCTGGCTTCAGCACTCAACCACATATTCCTACCCGGGAAAGCCAGGTCGAAGAGACATATCATCCATTTCGAACAAAATCTAGATCATCCGCCCATGCACAAATGTCTCCCAATGATGACCCTTCCCAGGTCTCCGCCTCGGGCGACAAGCTAGACTCCTCCAGCAGTTCAGAAGATGAGGGTGCTGAGAGAGTCAAATACTTGGCCAGACAATTCTCTCGAAATTCAGCCTTCTCAATCAACGACAGTCCCTTCCAAGCAGAGCCAGACCCAGCCATTGATCCTAGTTCCGATTCGTTTCGACCCAGCGCCTGGGTCAAGGCTATGTTTAAGCTCCAGAACGAGAATGAAAGATTTCTTGCCAGAACCGCGGGCTTTGCTTTCCGCAATCTCTCTGCCTATGGCTATGGTGCCTCCACCGATTACCAAAAGTCCGTTGGCAATGTCATTTTTCAAGTCGTCGGCCTCGTCCGTAGCTTGGCTGGCGTAGGTCAACGAAGAATCGACATTCTTCGCAACTTCGATGGCCTTGTTCTGCCTGGTGAGATGTTGATCGTTCTTGGCCCTCCAGGTTCTGGCTGTTCCACTTTCCTCAAGACCATTGCCGGTGAAACCCACGGCTTCAACGTCGAAAAGGACTCTTATATCAACTATCAAGGCATTAGCTATGCTGATATGCACAAGCACTTCCGTGGCGAGGCCATCTATACTGCTGAACAGGACGTCCACTTCCCTCAGTTGACTGTTGCAGAAACTCTTTATTTTGCAGCCCGTGCCAGAGCTCCCAGGTTTCTCCCAGGTGGTGTCTCAACGGAGAAGTACGCTGCACACATGAGAGACGTTCTCATGGCCACTCTGGGCATTCGCCACACCTTCAATACCCGAGTTGGAAACGATTTCATCAGAGGAGTCAGTGGTGGCGAGCGTAAGCGTGTTAGTATTGCAGAGGCTATGCTCAACCAGTCCCCTCTGCAATGTTGGGATAACAGTACTCGTGGCTTGGATAGCGCCAACGCCCTTGAGTTCTGCAAGAGTCTACGTGTATCAACAAACATCCTGAGCTCTACCGCTGCCGTTGCCATCTATCAAGCGCCTCAGAGTGCCTACGACACTTTTGACAAGGCCATTGTCCTCTACGAAGGTCGACAGATCTACTTTGGCCACAAGGATGCGGCACGGGACTATTTCGTTCGAATGGGCTTCCATTGTCCAGACCGCCAAACCACGGCAGATTTCTTGACTTCCATGACTAGTCCCGACGAGAGAATTGTCCGTGAGGGGTTTGAGAACAAGGTACCTCGCACACCAGACGAGTTCGCCCAAGCCTGGAAGGACAGCCCTGAGCGTGCACAGCTCCTCAAGGATATTGAAGCCTTTGACCAACAACATCCCATCGGTGGAGAAGGCTTGGAGAAGTTCAAGGAGTCCAGACGTCTTCAACAAGCCAAACAACAAAGAGTCAAGTCCCCCTATACCCTCTCCTATGGTCAGCAAGTTCGACTCTGCCTCTGGCGTGGATTCCGAAGACTCTTCGCCGACCCAAGTATCACCTTTATCCAACTGTTTGCCAACACCATCATGGCTCTCATTCTAAGCTCCATCTTCTACAACCTCCCCAAGACTACAGGGTCCTTTTTCGCCCGAGGCGGTCTTTTGTTCTTCGCCATCTTGATGAATGCCTTTAGCAGCGCTTTGGAGATTCTCACTTTGTACGCCCAACGACCAATTGTCGAAAAGCATCAACGTTACGCTCTTTACCACCCTTCGGCCGAGGCATTTGCTTCCATGTTGACCGATATGCCGTACAAGGTCCTCAACACTATCGTCTTCAACATCACCCTCTACTTCATGACCAACCTCAGGAGAGAACCCGGAGCATTCTTTTTCTTTATGCTCATTTCCTTCTTCCTCACTTTGGCCATGAGTATGCTGTTCAGAACTATTGCCTCTGTGTCGAGATCTCTGAGTCAGGCTCTTGCTCCTGCCTCAATTCTCATTCTGGCTATCGTCATCTACACTGGTTTCGCCATCCCTGTCAACTATATGTTGGGTTGGGCTCGCTGGATCAATTACTTGGACCCTGTGGCCTATGGCTTCGAGGCCTTGATGATCAATGAATTCAGTGGTCAAAATTACGAATGCACTATGTTTGTACCATCTGGTCCTGACTATACTGATGTCCCGGCGTTGTCGCGTATTTGCGGCACCACTGGAGCTCAACCCGGTCAGTCTTTTGTCAATGGCGACGACTATATCAACACTACCTACCAGTACTATGCTTCCAATCGATGGAGGAATTTCGGTATTCTTATCGTCTTCATGGTTGGTTTCCTCTTCACCTATCTCGTGTCGGCCGAGGTTGTGTCTGCAAAGAAGTCCAAGGGTGAAGTTCTCGTGTTCCGTCGTGGACACAAGCCTGCACATCTCAAGGACACGCCTGAAGATGCCGAAAGCGGGGTGACAAGATCTGCCGTCAAGGCCGATGGCCGGGATCTCCAGCCCATCTCCAGCATCATTCAAAAGCAGACTGCCATCTTCCAGTGGAAGGATGTTTGCTATGACATCAAAGTCAAAGGAGGTGAGCGACGACTTTTGGACCATGTCGACGGTTGGGTCAAACCAGGTACTCTAACGGCCTTGATGGGTGTGTCTGGCGCTGGCAAGACTACTCTCCTCGATGTTCTAGCCACCAGAGTCACAATGGGTGTCATTTCTGGAGAAATGTTGGTCGATGGACGACAACGAGACGAGTCCTTCCAGAGAAAAACAGGCTACGTTCAACAGCAAGATCTCCACTTGGAAACCTCGACAGTCCGCGAAGCCATGAATTTCAGCGCCATCCTCCGTCAACCAGCTCATGTTCCTCGACAGGAGAAATTGGCCTATGTCGACGAAGTCATCAAGTTGCTCGAAATGACAGAGTACGCCGACGCCGTTGTTGGTGTGCCAGGTGAAGGTCTCAACGTTGAACAGAGGAAGCGATTGACTATTGGTGTCGAATTGGCCGCTAAGCCACAACTCTTGCTCTTCCTCGACGAACCTACTTCTGGTCTGGATTCGCAAACCTCGTGGTCGATTCTGGATTTGCTCGAAAAGCTGAAGAATAACGGCCAAGCTATCCTCTGCACCATTCATCAACCGTCAGCCATGCTTTTCCAGCGCTTTGACCGTCTTCTGTTCCTCGCCAGCGGGGGTAAGACCGTGTACTTTGGACCCGTCGGTGAATCATCTCATATTTTGACCAGCTACTTTGAGCGGAACGGCGGCCACCCATGTCCTCCGGAAGCCAATCCTGCAGAATGGATGTTGGAAGTCATTGGTGCGGCACCAGGGTCTCACACTGACATTGACTGGATCGATACGTGGAGAAACTCGCCTGAATACTACAGCGTCCAAGCAGAACTCGACCAAATGAAGCGTGACCGATGCAAACTCGAAAGAGCTACGTCCAACCGAGGAGACAAGTCAAGTTACCGGGAATTCGCAGCACCTTTCTGGCTTCAGGTCTATGAAACCTTGAAACGTGTCACCCAACAATGGTGGCGTACTCCTTCGTACATCTACAGCAAACTCAGCTTGGTCGTCTTTTCGGTAAGTCTACATTACCATGATATTCTATTCTCTTGGGGTCATTCTCAACTAACTCTGTCCGTTTAGGGTCTCTTCATCGGCTTCTCCTTCTTCAAAGCCCTTAACACACAACAAGGTCTTCAAAATCAAATGTTTGGTATTTTCATGTTGATGACTATTTTCGGTCAATTGGTCCAACAAATGATGCCTCACTTTGTCACTCAAAGATCGCTATACGAGGTTCGCGAGCGTCCTTCCAAGACATATTCCTGGAAGGCATTCATGCTCAGCAACATCCTGGTCGAACTGCCCTGGGCAGCCTTTAGCGCCGTCCTCCTCTTCCTCTGCTGGTACTATCCGATTGGACTGTACGTCAACGCCGAACCCACCGATTCAGTCCACGAACGCGGCGCATTGATGTTCCTGTATATTCTGAGTTTCCTGCTCTTCACATCGACATTCGCACACATGGCCATCGCCGCAGTCAACACCGCGGAAGAAGGAGGCAACATTGCCAACTTGTGCTTCATGCTCTGTTTAGTCTTCTGCGGTGTTCTCGTGTCACCGGATGACATGCCCGGGTTCTGGATTTTCATGTACCGCCTGTCGCCGTTCACATACATTATCGACGGGATGCTCTCGACGGCCGTGGCCGACACCAACGTCATCTGCGCCGCGAATGAATACCTCCACTTCAACCCTGCCGAGGCTGGTCAAACCTGCGGCGAGTATCTCGCTCCGTATGTCTCGGCCATGGGCGGATATATCCTCAACTCCAACGCGACGGAAGATTGCTCGTACTGTCAAATCAGCGAGACCAACACTTTCTTGAACGCCGTCAACTCCCATCCTCAATACATGTGGCGAAACTGGGGGTTGACTTGGGCGTATATCGTCTTCAATATCTGCGGCGCCGTTTTCTTCTACTGGCTAGGCCGTGTTCCTAAGAACAGAGGTAAAGGAAAGAAGGAAACTGGTTCTCCCTCGGCAACCAAAGAAGGAAGTCTGATGGAATCTCCCACCGATGCATCACCGATCCGAGAGAAGGGTGTTGAATCCGGGGAGACGACTGATGTGAGTCAACCTTCGACGGCGCAGGGTTCGGGGACTGTGGTCACGGAAAAGGTGGAGATGAAGGATGATGGTGGTGTGGTGAGATGATGAATGTCATGAAAGAACGATGATGACAATGGGGGGTTATTATTTAATTTTATCTGTTTGTGGGGGTTTGGTTTGTTTCTTGCTAGTTCAAGATTCATTCGTCCATTCCCTCGAGAACATATATAACACCCAGAGTCTGTTTTGATATATGTTATGTTTTGTCTGGGAAAGGAAGGGGAGGTTTATATGCATTGGTGTGGAGTTTTATCTGGGCATCTATCTTATCTGGTATAGACAGGACCATTAGATATGGGACAGGGTAGAGAAATCGCATTATTATAGACTAATTTTGTCTTATTGATTGATCGATCGCGTGCATTGAGTACATGTACATGTACATGTACTGTACCTTGTACAGATGTATTTATTTATAGCACAGACAAGAAAGAAGAGATAAATCCTAATCGAGGTCGTTCGTTTACGACCATATCAAGATCCATATCGAACATCTCTGTTCTAGACCTCACATGCAATGCAATGTAATGCTTATGCTGATGTAAACTCGGTGTAACCATCGACTAGCTTACCTGCAGGCCGGCTATAGCCCATAGTCGTATATGTATAGAGTAATGTAGGTGGTAAGTTCGCTACTTGGATTACTGCTCAGTCATCAATCATCACCCATATCACTCGATCTTCGGCTATACCCTCCCGCCTATAACCTACAACCCACATCCCAACAACCTAATTAAAATGAGCTCGTTAAGGTACTGAATTATATAATCTTCATGCATGCATGCGTATGCGTACCTTATGCGAGGTCAAGGTCGAGGTTGAATGTCGTTCCATAAAACTCACAATTTTAGTCTGGCCAGATCAGACCAGATCAGACCAGATCACAATGGAAGTTTGACAGGTCATTCATTGTCCCCGTACTCCTCGAGGCCTTTGACACTTTAAACCCCTCCTCGGGAACGGACAGACGATGCCCATGCCCATGGACTCCTCTTATTTTAATCCCACCTATCGTGTAATTCTCATGACTAACAACACCCGTGACCACCTCGTGCCACCACCAGTCCAGCCCAGCCCAACCCAACCCAACCCAACCCAGACCAGCGTCCAATTTCCACCGTACCAGAGCCAGAGGGGGTTGGATGTGGTCTTGTGATGCCGTTCATAACCGTAACCGCCTCCGCCTCCGCTTCCACACCCACACCCACACCTGTCCTGTGGGTTTGACAGGCAAAGGTTCAGGTTCGTTTAGACCCTTCAGAGACGGGCATCGATTGTGCAATAATAGTAATAATAAGAATTCTTAGTCCTTGCTATGCATAGAACTTCATATTCACATCTTCCTCGCTAACTAACCACTCTACATATATCCCATGTGGTCAGATACAGTCATCCAGAATACAACCTGGCTAATAATTTAAGGGTTGTCTTCCCTAACTCGCCTATTACGCCCGTTGCGCGTATCACGGCTAGCTACTAACAGGGCTTGCGTCTATGCGCGGTTTTTAACAAGTCACCACACAGATGCATTTTGGCGTTGGATAGGGATTCAATTATTTTATTGTGACTTGCTTGCTTCTTTCTTCGACTGCCTTCTTCAGTCTTAAGTGGATTGATTGGTTCAGATCAAGAGCAAGAGCAAGAGCATACCAAGAGCACTAAACCACGACTTCAAAGCAGAACTACCAATACATCAAGTATGATGGTCACTTATTCAGACATTCGGCTGAACAATAGCAGTCTGTCGATTGCAGGAGGCGGAACTAATGGCAACGGTAACGGCAACGGGAAGAACAATGGCCCAGTGATCGTCTTCGTTGGCGGAACAAGCGGGATAGGAAGGTCGACCTTCGAAGCCGTACTTCGACATATAGCGTCCCCGACAATCTACTTAGTCGGGCGGTCCGAGGCCGGGTTGGAGCAACAGATTCAACAAGGACAAGCGCTCAATCCAAAGGCCAAAATCGTGCCTGTACTGACTGGAGACCTCACCCTGGTGAAGTCGGCGCAGACGACAGCCCAGAAGATCGCATCGTTGGCCGGTTCACGAGTCGACCTCCTTTTCTTGTCGCAGGGCTATTTCAGTTTCGCGACTCGGCCAAATTGGACGGTCGAAGGCCTCGACAAGATCACCGCTATCCGGTACCATTCCCGGATGCGCTTCGTCATTACCTTGTTGCCGCTGCTTCGCGCCTCCCCGTCCCCTAGAGTCATTTCGATTCTCGCTTCCGGCAAAGAAGGCACTCTCGACCTCGATGACCTGTCTTTTAAGCGGTCTTATGGTCCCGTCTTTGCAGCTGGTGCGAGTGCAACGCTCAATACCTTGGCCTTTGAAGCTTTGGCCGCCCAGCCCGACAATGTCAAGATCGTCTTTATCCATCTCTACCCTGGAGGCGTCGCCACTGGGATGAAGGCTCTCGAAGGTCCCGCCATGTTGAGATTCCTCTACAACCATACATCTCGGTCGTTTCTCAAAGTATTTGGCCGCTCACTCGAAGAAGTTGGTGAGAGGGTCTTGTTTGCTGCCACCAACGGTCGATTTCGAAGGCTGGCCGATGGGGTCAGCGGTGAGGGAACCATGGTCCAGCGTGGCAGTAATGGAAACATCGGAAGTGGTGTCTATCTTGTGCAGGATGATTCCAGTGTTGTTATCGGAAACGAACATGTGGAAAAATTGAGAGACCAAGGTGGCCCCAAGAAGGTATTGGAACACACCCTGGCCGAGTTCGAGAGAATCGAATCATCAAAGGCTGCCTCGTGACCATAACTGAGGCCAGTGGCAGACGGCAAATTAACATCTCATCACCACTTGCCCTCAACGCTCAAAAGAAGTTTACGGCGAGCACATCTCCACCACGGTCGCCTCTCGGTCTTGGAACATGATTCCAGAATCTTGTTGAAGCCCCAACTCGATCATCCGATGACGACGTGAAACCGATTCTGGAAGATGATTTGGAATTCGGGGCGGAAAGAACTGTTTTTCTCTTGAGTCTCGGATATATCTGAGGACTTGATGTCAATATGCGTCTCACCGTCGATGTATCATCCGAATCAAAACTCTTCCCTGGTTGACGGTTCCACCAGCCACTGCAGGTTGTGCCAATGTTGTAATCACTCTCCACATCAGAGCAATCATCCAGATCGAGTCCCGAAAGCGAGGTCATGGCAGTGCCACTTGGAGAGGCGATGGTATCTGGAGTCTTCGCAAAGGCTTCTCCCTTTTCTCTGATACCCAAAAGCTCAGCCCAGCCCACCAACCCGCCATTGTGGTCTCTTCCTGAAACATCAGGTTTGAGATAGAGGCGTGGACGCTGGAACTTGCAGATCGGTGTGAGATCTTCTGTGTGCTCACCCCGGATCGAGCCAACATCATTGTGGTTTCTATCATGCGCTCGTTGTGGTCGGAGTGGACTTCGAGGCGGCGGCGATGGAGGCTTCTCAGGGTTGGGGAGGGGTAAAGCATCTTGCCATAGTGTTGTAGTTGAGTTTAAAAGCCTGGTGCTGGCTACTGACGGAAGTCGTTCCTGCAGTTTTGTGGTCAAAGCAATCCTTTGGGCACGTACTCTCGCCACCTGCAGAGATCTCGAATATGGACTTTTGTGGAAGTGGTCCAGGCCATCTTGATCCCGTGAGCGGGCGTCGAGGGACACCGCTGTTGGAAGACAAATCGATTGGAGGAGTCCATATGGTCTGATGTCGCTAGGAACTCGTAAATGGGCAAGAGATGGGAATCCTTGGTGCTGAATCGACAATGCCAGATGATCGTTAGCCTCCAGAAAAGAGTGATGGTTCTGGAAGCTGCTCCGTGCAGAGTTATCCGCACCCTTTTGGCGGGAGACATCCCAATGCAAGAATTTGAGAGATCTAGAGAAAAGAATTGGTTGGACAATGATTTGTTGGTCGTGTGAATTGAGACATAAAAGTGTATCAGGCTGCACTATCGTCAGTTTTGTGAGGCATTCTAAACTGGCCAAAAGTTTGGACAAGCTGAGTAGATTTTCAATCTGTTGATACATCAGACTTAGCCGTTCCAAATGGAAGGCTCGAGGACTCGCAGCCCACCGAGTGAGACCCGCCTCTGTGACACCAGTGCATTCTTCAAGACGTAAAGATTTCAGTGCCGGAAGTGATAGGAGAGTTGCATCATGAAAGTCATCGCCATCCAAAGAGCAAAGACCCAGATGAGCCAACGACGGCAAGCAGTGCAGGACATCGATTAGAACCTGGTGCTCGACGACCCCAAGACTTGCAGGAGAACAGAGCATCAGCGTCTCTAAGTTTGTCCAACGATCATGATAGTGCAGAAACTGGTCGACCTGGTAGTGATCCAGGAGACCAGGAGGAAGCTGGGTCTGGCTTCGAGCTGTAACGTCGTCGTTTTCTGCAATCACCCAAACATGTTGTTTAAGCTTGGACCTCGTGGACAGGGCCTGAGTCAGGCGATCAAAGGTATGGTTGTAGAACGGGTAAAACCCAGTGAGGGCCTCGAGGTTGGGACACTCCATGACGACTGAAGCCAGAACACACAAAAATGAATCATAGTCGGGATTTGGATCTCCGCCTGAGGTATAGAGGGGGATATGAGGATCAGAAACATGGATGGACGTGACCAAAGTGGCAATGAGGGAATCCGCGCGTAGAGTTGAGCGTAAGCGTGCCAGTCTTGCAGCCCTGGGAAGATTCCATCTGCGGAGCATTGAATCATCGTCCGGTCCGACGAGTTGAATGTCGGAGTATAGTATGCGTTGAGCCACAGAGTGCCAGGCCTTGCAAGACCTTTGCACAGCAGAAAGATCCCTCATATAGCAGGTAGAGCAAGATCGACTTTCGTGGTCGAGATGAGAGATTTTGAGCCATTCAAGAACTCGGTGCAAGATTGTAGCTGGAAGCCTCGTCCAGGTGATTGCAGCTCGTGTTGTCAGTACCTGTCGATAAAAGGTATATTTCAGAGGCTTGTGTGGGATATTAGAGGGCAATGATTGGGTACTGGTTGTAGGGAGGGCAAAGGAAACGCCACTGGTTCGCTTGAGCTTCTGGGAAGCAATTTGTGGAGGGTGACTGGAGTATAGGAACTCATGGCGGTTGTTGGGATTCATGGTGACAATTGACCAAGTTGGTGAAATGGGATGGAGGAGATCTGCCGCCATGGCATAGAGTGAAATGTCCACATTGGATGGAATCAACGTATCTGAATGCCGATCCAAGGCCTTGGTACCGATTATGGACCAGAGATAGCCATGATGAATGCGTGACAGAAAGAAACAATGTGATCAAGGCGACACGGTGGTCATGTTGGTCATGATGGGAGAGTTGGAATGCCATGTTCAAGAAGTTGGCAAGTGCCAATGTCGATTGGCGAGTGGGGAAGGTGCAACCAGGGGAAGGCAGTCTCCTAACCAATTAAATGCATCATCCCTTCCACAAGGCTGAGGGAAGTCATCTGACTGCCACCTTGACAATATAACTTACCTTTTGCTGTTCATATCAAGAATCTACTTGGCCAGTGGTGTTGTTATCGACAAAAATGACAAGCAAGACACATGTGAAAAAGATCGAGGATGATGCAGGTGGTGGTACCTCCTCCAGACAAGACACATCCGGTAGGAAACCCACACAACATACCATTCTTCTATCTAGTGCGAGAGACCTTTGGCAATGCTATAGAAATACAGGCATGCTCCGTCGATATGGCAGAGCACGGTTGCAGCACGGGTGAGTAGTTGAAAACACACCCTACGCATAGAAGTTGACCCTGTTGAAACTTGTTAGTACGGGGTAACATGTAAGCTTTCGAGGGACGAAACATACGTGTCTTTCTTCTTGGCCTGCACCTCTGCGATGGCGTCCACGTAGTGTTCATGGGTAATTTTAGAGAAGCCCTTGCGAAGAGCAATCATGCCTGCAACCGGTTTTGTTAGCAAGAGTCCATCCAAGGAGACACGCAGGAAGGATACTGACCTGCTTCCACACAGACCGCCTTGAGCATGGCGCCACCGAACTCATCCGTGCTTCGAGCCAACTCGTTCCAATTGATATTGGCTTCCTCGATGGCCATCTTTCTCGAGTGGATTCTAAGAATCTGTGCCCGGGATTCTTCATTCGGAAGAGGGAATTCAATCTTTCGGTCCAGACGGCCTGATCGTAACAAGGCGGGATCCAGAACGTCGACTCGGTTGGTGGCTGCTAGTACCTTGATTCTCTCGTCCGAAGCGAATCCGTCAAGTTGGTTAAGAAGCTCCAACATGGTCCGCTGGACTTCTCGGTCACCGCTCTTTTCAGAATCGAAACGCTTGGTTCCGACAGCGTCTAGCTCGTCGATAAAAATGATTGAGGGGGCCTTTTCTTTGGCAAGAGCGAAACAATCCCGTACCAATTTAGCTCCGTCACCAATGAACATCTGCACCAGTTGAGGGCCGGCAAGCTTGAGGAAGGTGGCGTTGGTCTGAGCAGCGCAAGCTCGTGCTAACAGTGTCTTGCCAGTACCAGGGGGGCCATACATCAATGCGCCTGGAACCTTGTCAGTAATACATCCACAGATAGTACACAGTGTCAGCGCAGTCTACCTTTTGGAGCCTTGATTCCAATCTTCTTGAAGCGCTCTGCCTCTTTCATGGGCCAGACCACGGCCTCTACCAGCTCGTCAATCTGCTTGTCGAGACCTCCCACATCACTGTAGCTCTCCGTAGGCTTCTCATCCACCTCCATTGCCTTGACTCTTGAATCGTATTCGGCCGGGAGTGTGTCCAGAACGAGGTATGAATCTTTGTTGACGCCAATGAGGTCGGCAGGCTTAAGCTTTTCATGATCGACGAGACCGATCAGAGGGAGGAAGATGGTTTGTCTGGTGCTGGTTTTGATGACGGCAGATTTGCCGACTCGGGTGGCGTCGAGATCGATGTTCGCACCCTCTTCTGCGGCTTCGGCCTCAACGTCCAAATCCAAAAGTTCAACAACGTTGCCGACAAGGTAAGGTAATTGTCTGGAATTGACACATGAGCATTTGGGGGCATCATCAATCGAGAGGGGCAACCCCTAGAACTTACCGGTTGTTTTCAATCTTGTCCAGATTATCCTTGATCTTTTCCTTCATGGTCGTCTCTTCATGTTTTAGACGTTGGAACTCGCTCTTGAGGATCTTCATCTCGTTCTCCAATAACCGCCTGCGATTAACAATGTCTCTGGTCGTGGATTGAAGGATGTCTGAGTCGAGAAGGTCATCGTCCTCGTCTTTCTTGTCCGCCTCTGCGTCTTTCATCTCCGAATCTTTGGACTTGCTGTCTCCTAACAACGGTTTTGTCTCGTCGTTGTCATCTTTCTTCTGCTCCTTTTCGTCACGCTCCATGTCGTCGAGATCCTCTAATGTTGACATGATTGCTAATAGGGTATGGGTCGGCTAGGGGGGGTCAAGTTTGGGTCGAATCGGTCGTAGAGTAGTCGAGCTTCGAGAAGGAGGGGTCAAGACCAGTTCTCGGAGGGAATTACAAGTCGCAACGATGGGTTGCAAGGTGTGGTTGAGGTGATCTCTGAGGTTGATGTCCAGTCACTGTAGACAAGTCACAAGTCAACGTACGTGGAGAGGCAACTGCGGACATGGTCATGTGACCTATTCTTGGCACAAACACCGCGCAACCCGAGGCAGCCTGGCTGGAAAGCGACGTGTAGAGAAGCTCATGGACATCCACCACATCTCACCATCTCACCGACACTTTAGAAAGCGAATTCTGAAAATACGTCACATTAGATACGAGTGTTACGCTTAGGTTGTATTCAATAGTTCTTTGTTTATTTCTATTCAATGTGATATGCAATGGTTCTGTCCATTTCTATCTGCAGGTGAATACAATGTCTCTAGTTTTTGGTAACTGTCCCCAAAAATCCTCATAGTAAAGCAAAGCAACACCAGCTAAAATCGCTCGTCGCGCCAGCTTGGAGGAAAGCGACATTCTGATATGTATCATTTTGAAATCATTACGTCTTGAGCTCGTATTCCTCTTTTGAAATCATGTTATCAATAATTCATACATCATTTCATTCCGTTTTGCGCCGGACTCTTCCACCCATATTGGCCCTTCTCTGTATGATGCCTCTTACTCGTACAGATCCATGTTTCCATTGGGTGCATCCTCGAGTTCGAGCATAGCATCATCCTCGTCGATCATGTCCTCGTCATCGTCCATGTCACTGTCGGTGTGGTTCGGAAGTACAACAATTCTTCCATCATCCAATTCCACACGAGCAGTCTCGCCATCTTTGATGGCTCCTCGGAGGATGAGCACGGCCAAACGATTGAGGATCTCCTTCTCGATCAACCGTTGCAAAGGACGAGCGCCATATGCCGGTGAGTAGCCAGCGGCTCCAAGGTAGTCTTTGACTTCGTCCGTAGCATCGATGGTGATCTTCTTGTCGTTTGATTCCAGCCGTTTTTGAATCTCCCGTAGCCGCACATCCACAATCTTGCGAATTTCGCGCCGCGTCAACCTGTTGAAGATGACAATTGAGCTGATACGGTTCAGGAATTCGGGCAGGAAGTAGTTTCGAAGTGCGTTCATGACCAGTTCCTTGGTCGCGGGGTCAATTTTACCGTCAGGAGCGTTGTTTCGTGCGAGATATTCGGCTCCCAGATTACTTGTCATGACGACAATGCAGTTCTTTGCATCGACGACACGGCCTTGACCGTCAGTAATACGGCCATCATCCATAAGTTGAAGCATGACAGTCAAAACTTCTTTCGCTGCCTTTTCTACTTCATCAAACAATAGAATGGAGAATGGTCGTCGGCGGAGTGCCTCGGTGAGTTGACCACCGGCGTCGTGACCGACATATCCAGGAGGAGCTCCGATCATCCTTGACAGGGAATGTCTTTCTTGGTACTCAGACATATCAAACCGAATCATGGCCTTGGGGTCGTCGAACAAGAACTCGGCAAGTGCTTTGGTGAGCAACGTCTTACCGGTTCCTGAAGGACCACAGAAGAGGAAGCTTGGTGGTTGATTTGGATTTGCCAGTCCAGATCTTGTCAGCCTGATGGCATTGGATACTGACTTGACAGCTTCCTTTTGTCCAACCACAATCTGCTGCAGGTGTTGCTCCATGTGGAGGATCTTTTCCCTTTCCGATGCTCGTAACCGTGTGACTGGGATACCGGTTTGTCTGGCCACGATGGAGTTGATTTGTTCCGGTCCGACGGCATCCGTCGGTGAGGCTTCTCCAAGCGCTCCAGCTCGTGCGTGCTGTTCGGCGTCCGCTTGGGCTCGTGCGGCCTCGAGGCCCTTGATTTTGGCGGTGACATCAGGGATGGCGAAGTACGTCAAATCAGAAGCGGTCTGAAGATCGTTGGATCGCTCAGCTTCGTCTCGTTTGTTCTTGAGTTGTTCCAGCTTCATCTTCGCTTCTTGGATCTCTCTTGACCGGGCCTTTTCCCGCTCGTAGTGCTCCTTCAAGGGTTCTAGTTCTTCTTTTGTATTTGCAGCCTCCCTCTTGGCCTCTTCGAGTCTTTGAATTGACGCAGGGTCTGTCTCTTTTGTCAGAGCGTGAATTTCAATCTCGAGCTGTCTCAGCCGTCGTTCAAGATTGTCCAGCACTTCTGGTTGTGATTCTCGGATGACCCGAACATCGGCCGCCGCCTCGTCGATCAAGTCGACTGCCGAATCCGGCAATCTTCGCGAAGTGATATATCGGGCTGCTAGGGTTGCTGCAGCCACGATTGCACCATCGAGGATCGTCACACCGTGATGGACCTCATATCGTTCTTTCAGGCCGCGAAGAATGGAGATGGTTTCGGAGACGGTAGGTTCCTTGACCAAGACTTGCTGAAATCGCCGCTCGAAAGCAGCATCTTTTTCAATGTACTTTCGATACTCAGCGAGGGTGGTGGCACCAATACAGTGCAGTTGACCACGAGCAAGCATGGGCTTGAGAAGGTTGGCAGCGTCCATACCTCCTTCGCCACTAGCGCCAGCGCCCATGAGCAGGTGGATTTCGTCGACAAAGAGGACAATCATTTCTTGTGAGGCTTCAATCTCCTTGAGAACCCCCTTCATTCTCTCTTCAAATTCACCACGATATTTGCTTCCCGCCACAAGAGAACCCACGTCGAGCGAGAGTAACTTACACGCTGCGAGGTTGGCCGGAACATCAGCGTTGATGATACGTTGTGCAAGACCTTCAATGACAGTGGTCTTTCCGACACCGGGCTCACCAATGAGGACGGGATTGTTCTTTGTTCTTCGAGACAGGATTCGAATAACTCTCCGAATTTCTTCTTCTCGACCAATGACAGGGTCCAGTTTGCCTTCTCTTGCTAACTGGGTCATGTCGATGGTGAACTTTGAGAGGTTCTCGTTCTCCTGTTCCGAATCGGCATTCTTGGTATCGACCCTCTTTGTGCCACGGATTTGCTGAATGGCACTGTCGATGAGTTTGGTATTGGGGATGTTAGCCTCTCTCAGGCAGTCCATGATCTTTTGGTCTTGAGCCAAGGCTGTGATGAGGTGATCGATGGCAACAAAGCTGTCCTTTTGTGTTTTTTGGAGTTCTTGAGCAGATCGAATGACCTTTGAGAGTTGTGGAGACATGGTGACATGGTCGGGAGGAGGGTCTTGACTAGGTAGACGGACGAGGGCCTTTTTCAGGGCTCTGTCGAGTAACTGGAGGTCACCGTGGGCTCGTTCGACGACCTGTCTAAAGAGGGGAGCGGAGGCATGTTGTTGTGAGGCATTGGCCGTCGTCTGTTGATCTTTGGATTCGTCTGGAGGAGGATCAAACAGTGCAACTGCCAAATGGACGGGGAGGATTTGGGTGTGGGCGTATTGTTCTGCAAGAGCAGCAGCATCGGTCAGAGCTTTTGCACTCCGATCGGTGAACTGCGGGCCAGTAGATGAGGCCATTGTTCAAACCGAGTGAACTTTCAATATGTGAATGTTTGTGTTGTTTTGTCTTCAGAAGCACTGAAATCAGAGTTTCGTCTGGGTGACTCGGGTACTTGTAGTAGGAAGAACGACGAGGGATTCACGGTGTGATGCGTGACTTGGAAGAATGACATCGATAATTCCAGAAACTTCTTAGCGTGAGGCGAACGGTCTTGAACCATTGAGAAGCCACTGGCACCCGCTCCAATAGGCGTGGTTCGCCTAGAAGGTGCCTGCACGGTCCCCGAATATCTTTGCCTAAACCTTACTCCAGGTTGGTCGAGGGGGCCGAGGGGCCACCGGGGAGTCCAAGCTCCAGGCCACAAGACGCCTACACATCAGGGCACATTACCTGGAGATCATCATTCTCAGGTGATCATGGCAGCGGCCAGAGCCGTTCAATCCCCACCAAAGTCACGCATGACAGGGAAATGGAACTGGGCAGACACTCTTGCGTATCACGGGTTACGATTGTCATACGACTATGGATGAAACAACTCTTGACAAAACTAAAAGTGCAAATTCCACACCAATGTGGGCGTGGGGCCGCTGCCCAACCGTGACAGACTGACGATGGTTGCAAGGAGCCTCAGCCTGGCCTCCTCCTCGCCGCTCATGGTTTCAATGCAAATTGCTTCAAGTACAGGTAATCAGGCATATTCTTGTCGACCGTCTCACGGATGATCTTGGCTCCCTTCTCTCCATACTTCTCGACCCATTCGGCATCCCATTGAGCTTCGGTCTTTTTCGCCTTCTTCTAACAACAGTCAGTCATGTGATCATTCTGGGGAGGACATTGGTTAAACATACGTGGGCTCGGGGTTTGAGGTCCTTGGAATTGAGCGCATCATCGTGGAAACCTTTCCACTTCTCAAATGCATCGTGAGCACGTTTTTGATCTTCATCATTGTCCCAATTCAGCATCCGTGGCGAGTATTCAAGACCAACGCTCTCGGAGTACTGCTTTATGATGCTTTCAGGGTCGTCAAGGAGGTCATCGGCATCGACCAGACATATGTCGACCTTTCCAGTCTCTCCATTGGTTCCATTCTGGATTCCATTCTGCTGTCCAGTGATTTTTGGGCCCACCAATCCCGTGTCCTTGGCAAAGTCGAAGAAGCGACGGAGTTCATCGTAACCAGCCTCATTGGGATAGAATTCGTAGAAGCCGGTGACGTCATCCAGAGGAGGAATTGTGCAACGCCAGTAAGATGGAATGCTCGAATGAGGGTCGCGGATGAGGAAGGTGAAATGAAACTTTTCCAGAAGCTCACGAGGGATAATTGAGGGATTGCCATCCTCTGCATAAGTTGCAAAGGGGAAGGGTGGTTGACCCTCGTAATGGACTCCATTGGTATCGTTCGAGGTACCAATGCCCCGTTTCTTGGTATGCAACGATGGCGCGATTTTTGGTGGCTGCGAATCTGGTGGTACCAGGTAACAAATCATGTCCTTGATGAAAAGTCTTCTCCCCTGTTTAATGTGTCAGTAGTTGATCTCCAGGCACTGTTTGCCGACGAGCCCAACCCAGAGTCTCTAGGTCTGGGGCGTGGAACAGAACGCACATCTGCTCCTTCACGATCCAAGCGATCGAAGATTGTTTTGTAGGTAGAGTTGGTGAAGCCGGTTGCTTTCCGGGCCTCTTCATCTTTTTCATAGCGACTGCCGACCCTTTCTGGGCTAACAAGGGTCAGAGCTTGAATGTCGAGCGAATGTTCAACTTTGAACCTACCCATAGTAAAATGCATCCCCGAAAGGTTCGTGGACACATGTAAGATCTTTCCTGGTCATAAACACCTGGCGTGCGATTAGCTTGGGTATTCCTGATACAAGTGGCTCAGGCGAACCCTTTCAAATGCCGTGCTACAGGCACGTGGGTGCGTGGCACAAAAGATGGGTTTGGAGTTGGCCATGTTCAAGTAGAGGGAATCGATCACCTGCCCGTTGTCGCAACAATGCTACAAGTTGCAAACAAGTGACAGACACCGAGATCTCAAGAGGGCTGTAGCAATTCAGTGACGCAAGTCTGGTCGAAACTCGATCGATGTAGCCCCTTTCGGTCAGCCAGATCGATGCAACGCAGCCTTGGTGTTTGCACGACGATAGAAGCGGAAGTGTATAGACTTCTGCGGTCAAGAGTGCCAAAAAACCTTCAAACCTGGGGTGATCAAAGTTTGGGAGATGCAGTGTATATAACGACAACCGAGGAGGTTTGCACAATGATACACTGGACATGGATAAAGTCTCTATTATTGGACATTTCTGGGTCGTAAGGAAGCTGATTGAGTGAGACGAGCATGACAAGATGTTGGCTGTGGAAAGCAAATTCGTCATGGCTTCCCGGATGGAGATGTAAAACTCGAATGATGGTGGTCTGTTGGATGTGCCCTGACGATGATGAACGAATGGATGTCCAGGTCTGGGGACACACTTCTCCACAATGCTGAGGTCAAGGTTTTATTTGGTTGAGATGTCGACATTGCTGTGAAAGGCACATTCCTATCACCCACTTTTCTCAGGAACACCGGCCACTGAAGCTGGGGCTCAGAACTAAGAATTTAGTCCGAGACATCCTCGATAGGTTGGGGATCATCGAGTTGTCACAACGTGCTTTTCCCATTCGACCTGAGAAGAAGTCCGTGGCAAATCAGGATGTGGAACCAAGTATACCGTACATCATAGCGTCCCAGTGATCCTTTGATCCCCCGCAGATTTCACACCTCTAAAGCCCCACGTGAAAGGGTCTCAGGCCTCCATAAAATGACATCCAAGTGCGAGTTATCCGGTGAAATCCAGGTTGATATCCACTCACTCTGCTACTCAATAATATCTCGCCGTGTTTGGTAGCTTGGTTGGACTGTGCGACTGTACATGAGGGTGCACAGAGTGTGGCAGTGTCATACCTCAGGCTGCTCGTGCCCAGTCTCATCAGCGGCGTTGATGCGGGGGAGTGGGTGACTTGGATTGGGAGCCCTTTAAGTATACGCGTCTGGGCATTCCTGGCTGCGTCTTGACTGGATGAGAACTCTCTTATCAGTGTTGGGTGCTGGGGGTCATCAGAGGATGCAACTGCTTGCATCGACAAGATGACCAAGTACATTGAAGTGCGTGTCGTTGGGAAAATAGGACGCGTTGCCTCTTCTTGCATCCATTGTTTGACGGAATCCGCGGGGGCCGACAAAGAGTCAACTCCGGCGGTCAACGATGCCACTCTGAGTAGCTTTTAGGTACCTACCTCCCTATAGGCAAGGGGCGCGAGGGGTGGTGCGTCAGCCAACCAAACATTCCTCGTAGGTAAGAGGTAGGTACCTAACCCCCAGGGCACTCCCTACGGGACGGAGTACTTAACCGATGATAGGCATATGCGTCTTCTCATGATTGTCACTGATTGTCACTCTGGTACCTACTAGCACCCGACTGGGCCTGGGCTGGCCTAGCCCAACCACCCTAACCCAACACAGTAATCCAGATTTCCCATCCCCGAATCGTACGATTTTCTCCAGACTTGAAGTTTGCCCCAAAACGTTTTGTCGAGATTTTGACAAAAGCTTCCCGGTGGTTCGCTTTTGGGTTCGCTTTTGGGTCTCTGGCCAGCTCATATCCATTGCCCATCCTCCAGCCTCCGTCACTACCCTTCTTTCAAACGGTCCATTTCTCTACCCTCACCACTTATTGGATCACCACGCTCCTTTATGGACGGACAAGACTGGCACTAATTTGATTGAATTGATTGGCCGACTCCACCTTGAACTTTTACACCCTTTCCAGCAGATACATCTCTCCTTGACCTTCCCTTCTGCGCCCTCTCCTTGTGCGCCCTCTTTCCGACAGACTCTCTTGTCCTAATCCCTCTCTCACACCTTGTCGCCCTTGCTCGACACTTACATAGACGCCCCTCTCGATTCAGTCGGCCGCTCCTTTTGGCATTCCCAACATGAACTTTTTCAAAAGCGCCCAACCCCCCCCAATCCCAGCAGAGCCTGTGGCAGAGGCACTCAACCACACCGTACACCCCTTCTATCCATTGGGAGTGGAAATTGTCAACTATCTAGCAAATGAGAAGGATGTGATCCAGCTACTGACAAGCTTTGCATCCTTGGTTGGCTCCATTCTCCTTGTCTCATGGTATGGCGCAACCAAGTTTGCTCCTCATCTCAAGGCCTCGGATCAGTTGGCGGTGCTCTGGTTCGTTCTGTGTAAGATATGGTGAAGAACATACCTGAACAAAGACCTCTGCTGACTGATTGAAGGTGGAATGATACACTTTTTCTTCGAGGGCTACTTCTCGTACAATCATACTCGTATGGGCCCGGCCCAAGATCTATTTGGACAGTTGTGGAAAGAGTATGCTCTGTCTGATTCAAGATATCTTACTTCGGATCCATTCGTTCTGTGCATGGAAACCATCACTGCGGTACTGTAACCCGCAGTCTACTTCTGCGAACCATCAACTGACTTGCGAAAGATATTCTGGGGACCTCTGTCCTTTGTGATGGTCTACTTCATCATTACCTCCCACCGATACCGCTATCCTTTGCAGGCCATTGTCTCTCTGGGACAGATCTACGGCGACGTCCTCTACTATGCGACATGTCTATTTGACCACTATCACAAGAGTCTTAGCTACTGTCGACCTGAGGCGTATTACTTCTGGTTCTACTTTTTCTTCATGAACTTTATCTGGATCGTGATCCCCAGCTGTGAGTGATATCGCCACCAATACCTACTCATACTGACCTCCAACCTAGCTTTATTATATGACAGCATCCGCACGACAGGCAAGGCGTTCAAGGCTTTGGAGAGAATGTCTAACTCTCTCAAGACCAATGGAGTATCACAAAAATCCACGGCCAATGGCCACATCAAGAATGCATAATTCGCAATACCAACAGTGTGTACACTTTGATTCCAAGGGAGCGAGAAGGCGACAGAGATATAGGTCTTGAAAGAACAAACAAATAGAGCATCATTTGCCTGGGCGGAATCCAAATACGGCGATGAATTCCTACATAGAGCAATTAGTTGGGTATGTACCTGAGGGTGCATTGTGACAGGACCATATGCCGTACTTGGCGTTTGTCAAACGAGGGGAGATGTCGTATCATTATGATAGAGAAAAAATGTACCTACGACAAGTCTGTGGCTTCTGAAAGACCGTTGGCTTCCACCACATCAATTCCGCGTCACGATCGCTTTTTAGCCGGGGACGATCTTCAAACAACTCATGAAGTATTTGCAGACGGAAAACGGATCAATAATGTTCCTGTATGCAAGATGAGTGATCGCAGTGATCGGCCTGCTCGGCTAACTTGTCATCCATGCAATCCCACGCCCCAGTGCGCCCCTCCCCGGATAAGGTGAGTTGTGGCGAGTTGCAGCTGCCACAGGTCACAGGTGGCACCTGCCTGTCCAAAAATCGTGGCCGAGACTTGGCAAAGCGGTTGCCATAACAACGATTGAAGCAAATGTGCCCTGGCAGGAACCCGCATCCTCCGTGCAATGGCAGCCACGACGGTGACGAACCAATTGTTGCCAACATCCCACAACCGTGCAACATGCGCCAACCAGCACCGCCTTGCATCAACTTCGATATCACTACTCGTATCTGGAACAGTCACCTCCCACCCCAGTATCTTCTGCAGCTGATCATCTAGTTCGCCATTCCTCGTATCTAACAGTGACCGGAAAAGGCCCCCGACAGACTTCTTGCATCGCATACTTGCATGCTTGCCCATCAAGTCGACCCTCTACACCGCATAAACATCCTCCATGTCAGAGATTCGAGCACCGACACGTCAGGCTCTATCTCGGATGCTCCATACTGACTCAAGCACGCACCACCTGCAGATCAAAACACTAAGCTCTTGAATACCAGTCCCGACAACGAAATCTCTCTGCCCTCGCAGAACCCCCACCCTCGATGCGCACTGATCTCGCCTTAGATCCTCATCGCAAACCGACAAGGAAAGCTCGTCCCGACAAAATAGACTCTCTCAAAAGCCACAATGTAGCCACCGGCAATCTTGCATCCATCTCGGTTCAGGATCGCATTCGTCAATGGCAGGCACAAGGTGCTGCCAACGCACTCGACCCCGACACCATAAGCCTCTGTTCCGCCACTCCATCCGCGTCTGCCCATGTCGAGCCCGTAGCCCGCAATGAGCGCACCGGGCGTAGTGCAACAAGATCAAGAGAAGACACTGGATACACTGCGTCAGCGTCAGAGGCGAGGAGTACAAGTGCGCCCCGAAAGAGAATCGTCAGCGACGACCACTGGAAAGCAAAACAGAAAGCAAAAGTCTCCAGGTTCTCCTCGTCTCGCTCAAAGTTGAAGTCCTATCCGCGCAATTGGGATCCGACCTACGCTTCAAGCAGCATTGTCAATGCACGAGACAACAAAGATACTATGTCAAATCCTTATCTCTCCAGCGTCATGCCTGGGGAAGTCGACATCGGCAGCCCGCCAGACCTACACACATCACTCGAACCCGATATTCACCATCAACACGACGGCCAATGGTCAAACCATGACGGCGAAAGTAATTCAGACCTTGACCTCGCCAGACGGCTAGCGTCTGCCTCGTTTTACTCTGATGACTTCGACGTGAAATCAGACACTTCAATCCAACCTGAAGACTTCAATGGCACTCCACAAAGGCCTAGCAAGTACGTTGAGACCCTAGCGAAGCTGAGTCCAGCTCCTCAACCAGACCTTCTGCCGCGGCCGAAGAGAGGCACATTATTCGGCAAAACAAAGGAAATCCTTATCAAGTCTGAAGAACCTCAGGTCAACAACCGGTTACCAAGCATCGAAGCTTGGCTCGACGAGCAACCAGATCCGTTCGTTGACTCTCATATTCAGGGTGACCTACCACCAGTCGACATACCGCAGCCTCTTAAAAAACGGCATGAGCGAAGACGTTCGTCTAAAGACCCCTCCCCGACTGTCGATCCCAATAAAATTTGGGACAGCGTTCAAAATCCGACTGATGTCGAGGGCCCATCCCTTGATCAGACCAGATCTCGTCCAAGTAGGCGAAGGACCCCATCGAGCAGTGGCACCTGCACGCCAAAGCAAACTGACATTGGCCCATCTCATCTTGCCGACGCCAGCCCATCGCCTTCCAGTTTACGTCGGAGAGGCGCAAGGCTACGGAGATCGAAAGAGGTCTCCATGTCTGACGCCGCCCAGCTGTCCAAAATTTACAATCAATTGCCAGATCTACTGGAAGAGAACATGAGTCAAGCCAAGCAGCCCCTTGACGACCCAGCCCGCTTACTTTCTCTTACCGAGTATCACCCTGTGTCGAGTACACCACCAGAGCCCCTTCCAAATCAAAACGGCAATTTAGAGGGATCTAACGGGGGACAAACCGAAACCCTTCCAAATCAAAACGGCAATTTAGAGGGATCTAACGGGGGACAAACCGAAACCCATCAACTCAAACGCAGACTCACTACACATGAAGATCTCATGTCCGTGCTCTCCATGCCAACCAAAGGCAGGAGCATTCGTTCAGCGAGAAGCATTCGGCATTCGCACAGATCAAAAGCGTCACACACTGCACAAGAAGTCCTCGCTAGTCTGCTCGCAGATGAGGAGAAATACAGCCGAGAGCTGCGAACTTTGGTTGATGGCGTAATCCCGGTCCTTCTTCAGACAATCCTTTCAAAGACAGATGCAGCCGCAGCCGCAGGCCTCTTTACTACTTCACAATCTGCCGAATCTGATGGAAGCTTCACCAAACCAATCATTGAGATGGGCATTGCCCTTGAAAGGCTCAAGTCGTTGCATGGACGTATACCGTTTGAAAATGTCGACAATCTCTTGAGATGGGCACAGACAGCACAAAAGGCCTACAACGATTACTTGCTTGCTTGGCGGCTAGGATTTCAAGACGTCGTCGTCAATCTTGCTCCTTGGGGAAATTCCCCTTCAACGGAGAATGGCATGACCCATGATGAGACAGGCGATGTTATCGATGTCCAAGGGAAAAAGGTGGATGTCGCTTATCTGCTCAAGAGACCCTTGGTAAGAGTCAAAGGTCTGGGGAAAACATTCGCCAATATCCGGGATGAGTGCCGAACCCCCCTGGCCACGCAAGTGGCGACCACTTATGCCGATCTTACTGCGATGGCCAAAAGACGATTCCAAGAAGAACAAGCTCGATTAGAAGATGAGGCGGCAGCTTATATCGACGCAACGAGAGCCAGAGACGTGCGCACGCTTGCCCCTATCACCGGAGTTGTGGTTAACAAAGAAAGGAGGGTCAAAGCAAGAGATTTCTTCAACCTTACCATCTATCATAAGAGCGGCCAGAGGTTGGACTGCGGTATTGAGCTGATTTATCGTGACAATGCACGCGGAAAACCGGAAGGAGGAGACGTTCTGATCTGCGAGGTCGACAACTGCGGCAAATGGCTACTTTTCCCTCCAGTCGATTGGAGCTCAATCTCTGCTCGTAGAGGTGAAGGAGGCATCGACCTTGTCATCATGATTCGGGGTCGCGCGGGCCTTGGAGAAGAATGGCATGAATTGCTAGCCCTCAACACTGACGATCCAGAAGCGGTCACAGAATGGATGAATATGCTTGGGTCAAGCCCTCTGCCACCAAGGCTCAACCGAACATCCAGTTTCGTGAAAAAGACTCAATCCTTAACAACATCTGCTCTCCAGGCGCATGAAGCCGTGCAAGTACTCGAGGAAGAGGTGGATATTGACAAATCCATCGACTTCGACACTCCGCTAGGAGAGCCATCAGTGATTGGCAAGCGAACTGAGGTCTCTCGGCGCTCATTGCCTCCTGAGAGCACTCGCCCAGGAAGATTATTGCAAGGACTGAATCTGGGTGGAGCACTTGCTGTCAAACCCCTCGCAGTTGGTTCAACACAAGTGCTTGGATCTTCAGTCCTCTCAGGTCGGAGCAACAACGTCCCAACATCTCAAATTGGCAGATCGAGCTCTCCATCTTCGCCGCGGTCAGTACCCAGGAAACCGGCGCCACAATCACCCGTCAGAAATGCACCGTCCTCAACTATACCTTCTTTCAAGCCAATCAGCCCATACTCCGTACCACTCGTCAAGAGCACGAGTGTCGAGGACCAAACTAAACTGAACAAAGTGGAGATCAGTCCTAAGGAACAGTGGACGCCTTCAACGCCAGGGCGCTCGTCTGAGCCCAAACCTGTTGCTTCCGAATCCAAATCAACTAGTGGACCTGAGCAATTGAAAGTGGAAGCAAGCCAGGAGATGACACTTCCAAAAGCAGAGCGACCGAGCTACAATCGGACATTATCATCTACTCCTTCACGAGAGCTTCCAACGGTTGCAAAACTCAGGCCAAATTCTTCGACTACTAACCTTGTTGGAAACTCTCCTCCCTTGAGTGTGACCCAACCGCCGACAGTCAGCCCTCAGCAAAGCTCCAAGCAGGAACGGGCAGGAAGGCGTGCATCAAGGCGACAGCCCGAAACGGAAGAAGTGCCTCAGCCTCCTCCGCACAGCTCTGCTCAACAGCACAAGTCCCGCGCCGATAATGGACCAAACTGGGAGGTTATCGGTACCCCAGCTGATGATAAAGCCCTGGATGAGAAGTCCATCAACAAGCTCGCCCTTGGGCCAAAGGTGGCTCCAAGCACTCCAGACAAACCACCAAGACGTCGAACATCATCTCCACTCAAGCATGAATATGCACCCTCTCCAAGTTCTGACAGCTCGTCTAATTACGACTCGGATTCTGGGAGCGAATCCTCTTCGGAAACCTCTGACGACATGACATTGGAGCGTGGCGATGTCCCAACGCCTTTGGTTTCCATAAAGGGGGTAGACCACCGATCGTTAAAGCACAGCCGTCCGCCACCTCCATCGTCCTCCACGGGCACGCGAACAATAGCTCCGTCAGACTCTGCTTCGCAAGGGCCATACCGCAAAGCGCCACCTTCATCGACACTATCATCTGGTCAAAGACATAAAGCAATTGCTTTGATCTGTTCGTGGTCTGACCGAGGCGTTTGGGAACAAATTCACCCGGATGAATGCTCCATTGTGGTATCTCCAGGTCTGATTGAAGCCTTCGAAATGTCTGCTGCCCACTCAGAACCACAAACAAAGGCCGCGAAAGGGAATTCCGATGATTCCCAATCCAAGAGCTTCTCAATAGCGCAGCAGCCACTTGTCGCCTTTGAGCTGACGCCAATTGTGCCTCTCCGCAGGGGCACTGCACTAGATATCTCTATTCGCTCTCCGCCGACCTCAAATTCCAAAATCCTCACCACGAATAATGTCATGTTTCGGTCACGAAACCCGGAAGAGTGCGAGGCACTCTACGGCATGATAAACTGGGCCCGGTGTAATAATCTTACATACATCCAGCTACAGATGGCCCGTCCGAAACGTCAACCTTCCGTCTCCTTCAATGTCAAGCAGGCCGGCCATGCAAGGTCTAGGTCGAGTTCTTGGTTCAGTTTCGGCAACGCAAGGAAAAACAGTTACCGCGCATCATCAGCCCCAACGATGGCATCCATGGATCAGTCTGTTGATAGCTCGGGAACAATGACCAATGCATTCTCGGCGCTCAAAAGATTCCGTGCCAACTCTGGCTTCAATTTGAATCGTTCGTCGGTGGTCCGCAGAAGTGCAGGCAGTGCGGGACCTCGATCAATCTATTCTTCCAGCAGTGGTACCAACTCAGGCTCTGGCTCGAGTACCCCGGTTCCCAGCCAAATCGGGTTTGTACCTGGAAAAGATGGTCCGAACGTTCCCTCTACCAGTGCAGCAGCAGCAAATGGAGGCGGCATGATTAATATGATGAAGATACGATTATATGTGAGGAAAGGTCAACAATGGGAAAACCTTGGGGCGGCAAGATTGACGGTCTTGCCCGCGCCAGGCCAACCACAAGAAAGCCGCAATGTGACTCCTCATCGGGGCGGAACCGTGGTTGACCCATCACCTCCAGTCACACCACAGCATGGAAGATCCCCTTCGAGCGTAATGACTGCTGGTCTCCCCGGCCAGAATCGCGGGCCCAGGTTACCAAGTTCAAGCAATACTCCGCATCGAGTGCACGGAAACGGTCGCGAAAAACGGATTCTCATTGTCAAGAACAAGCAAAAGGATACGGTACTCCTTGATACTGTGCTTGGAGAAAGCTGTTTTGAAAAAATCATGCAGACTGGTATCGCAGTGAAGGTGTGGATAGAAGACGACACCATTGCCCATACTGGAGGAGTGACGCTCGGTAAGGAGAAGGTGTACATGATGCAATTTCCCACTACAAAGGAGGCTGGATGGGTGTTTGGTCTCTGTGGGACATATCGATACGGATCTGCTACTACTTGAATGGTGTACTATATCACCAACCTGGCGAGGGTGGTAGTGTCACTGATTGGGAGGCTTTTTGTTTGCTTAGATAGCGATTTGATCTGGTTGTACTGTTGAGCAATAGAGTTGATGACTTGACGGATAGAATGGTTCCGATGTTTTGAATGAATGTATACGACCAATTTCTCATTCTATTGTAAATGAAATGAGTTTTTCCACTGAATTATCGAATATTTTCCTTGGTATGGTTGGTTTCGCGAACGTGGTGTTCGTGTTTCTATTCCCAGATGGAAGTGTGTAAGTTGAATATTTGTTTAGATATCTACTCTGCAACCTCGGGCGACAGGTTGAGGTCAAGAACCACGTGACAGTAGCGGTTGGAACCCGACAGTGTACCTCTGAAAGTATGGCGCCAGGTTTTTGTATGTATTCGCCAGCGAATCTCACTATGAGTGGAACTGGGAGAATGAGTACACAATTGTCATGGAAGGCTCTTGCAAAACACGTGGGTGGAAGAAGTCAACCCAAAAAGACATCGGAACAGCTCGCTGGGCAAAAGAAACGAGGCTCAACAAGCAAACAAGCAAAGAGCGAGGCAAAGAACGAGGCAAAGATCGAGCCTTTTGATTCAGGTTTCATAAGTCTTATTTTGTGGTTGTTGAGTTAATAAGGCTGGAAAAAAGGGGACCCAAGGAAGGGGGCTCTCCTGAAGAAGCAAGACGAAGGAGAGGTTATAGACATCAAACTCAGGATGTCGATCCAATACACATCACTTGTTGACTTTGGTTTCGGTTTCGCTTTCGGAGAATCAATCATTAAAAATCCCAAATCACTTTGGTGATGAATAGATTGGACGGATGGATGTCTGGGGTTGTTTGTCTTTGTCTCTCTCACACAACACAACACATACACACGTTAAGTACCCCAGAGTCCAGCAACCAGTATTCCCTTTTGGTTCACTTCGGCCATGGTGTGTCTTCTCTGTCTCTCTCTCCACACTGGTCTGTCCATGTGCCTACTGTGATGACCCGATGGGACTGTACTGTACGTTATTCTGGTTTCCTTCGTGAGATTGTTTTGCTTCTTGTGTGTCTTGGTTTCTCTTCTTTCTCTCATATTTTCTTGCTCGCAAGGGAGGGCCCGCGAACAAGATAAGATGCTCGGGTGGATCATGCACCGCGCAAGCAAACAACAACAACAGCATCAGCATCAGCAGCAGCAGCAGCAACGACAACGAAACGCCCTTCGTCTACCTCCCCTCCCCTCCCCTTCCCCTGTACTGTCCTCTCCTCTCCTTGCCAGTTCCTCAACCACACATCTTGGTTGTCATCCGTTCTCTCCTCAATCCATCGGTGATTCCCTGTTCTAGGGTTGGTGATGGATGGATGGATTTATGGAATCTAAAACTTCAGCTCGTGAGGTCGCTGTCCGTGTCTCAAAGAGAAGCTGGATTTCAAGTAGCTGGCGAGGAATTCTTCGTTCTTGATGGCAGATAGTAGAGGCTTGTCGATGGTCTTCTGGTCTGCGGCACGTTCTGAGGCGGGCTTCTTCTTCTGTAGGGGTCAAGGTTGTTAGATTCTTGTCCAGGACATTTTTGTATCGCTCGATCAAGTGTCTTACCTCTGCTGTCTCTCCTTGCTTCAAGAATGCCTCCTCACCCTTCTGCTTCTTGCTCTTCTTTTCTCGGGCAAAGTACTCGGGCTTGGCCAACTTCTCGAGAGTCGCCTTGTCCAGGCCGGAGACATCGACTTTGGTGGATGTGGCAATCACGTAGCGGGAGTTGACTCTGCGGATGGGAACTCCGTTGATCTTGAAAGGACCTGTGACTAGGAGGGCACCATCCTTGAGGTGCTGGAGAAGGACGACACGCTTGCCGCGGAAACGGCCGGCGAGGAGGATGAGAACGGAGCCAGGTTGCAGAGATGCCCTAGGCTTGGATGGCTGGATGGTCTTGCGTGACTAGAGAGGAATATTGAGTCAGCATCTCTACCCTGATCTGAGGGTATCTTTGACGAGTCGATCTTGATGCGCTTCGGAATCCTTCTAGGAAGACACCTCGACCTCGACCTCGTAGAGAGAAAACGACTCACCTTCTTGGCCTGCGCAACGTCGTGGCTAGGATACCACTTGGAAGCCTTCTGGCTGTAATGAGGCACTGATCGTTCGCCTTTGCCGAACTTCTTCACCACGGCTTTGTTGGCCTCTGTCGCGGACATGATTGCTGTATGACCAGGAAACTGAGTTAACGGTTACTGGAAGAGTAGGACGAGGTGAAGTGCCTGCGATGGGAAGAAGCAGAGCAATTCGGTCGGTTGTATCGCAGTCGACGGTAATCAATGTGTGTGTCGGCGGAACGAGAGGCTGCTGGAGATATGCGTTGAAAGTGCGGTCCACTCGAAATTCAAAGCTTGGCGCGAGATCGTCCACCACTCAAGTGCGGGCACAGGTTTTGAAGGAAGGAGGGCGACCGTGGAATTGACCTATTGAGTCATTGGAGATTGCCAAGATATTATTCCACGACTCACGTGGTGTCCGGCCTTCCAATGTTTGCCATGTTTGCCATGTTTGCATCATCAAATCCCCCATCAACGCCTTTCTTCCATCCACCGCCGCGGGTGCCACAGGTTGACAAGGCTTCGACCCTCTTACGCAGGCCAACTAGTGTCATTGTTGGGGTCCCCAGTTACTTCTTTACTAGCCCTTGTTTTCCTCATTGCTTGCCAGTTCTACCCATCACTCTTGTTTGTTTCCCCTTCTCTTCGCGTCATTTCAGCATGGAGGTAGCCCCGATCTTGACATTCAAGGCGGGCTTGTGTGACTTGGACGTGAGTACCAACACTGACAAGATGCTAATTGCAACCTCCAAGGTGGCCCGACTAACAGATACGTGACGCAGACATCCACCACACCTCCCAAGGTAAAACCATTACCGACTCCCGGCTACCTATACCTCTACGCAGACGATGATTTGATCCATCTGTGTTGGCGTCCGCGCTCAACTCCTGTCGACCAACCTGAACTTGATCTCCTGATGCTTCCTCAAGATGGAACATTTGTCCCGTATCAAAAAGCAAATGGCAGAATCTACGCTCTCAAGTTCTCCTCTTCCTCCCAGCGGCATCTGTTTTGGCTGCAATCTAGGAGTCAACACCCTCATGGAGATCCGTCATTCTTTAGCGCACGAGACTTAAAACTTGGAGAGATTGTCAACACTTTATTGCAAGGTGAATCGGTAGATGTCGAAGGAGAGATCGCCAACCTACCGCGCAATGATAACAATTCTCCTGATGACGATGATGACGAGCCTATGGAGGATGTTGAAGGCACCAACCATGACAGAAATCGTGCTCCATCGAATGCTGGAGGTGGTGCAGGTCCAGATGCTACAGGCGGAGACGTTCGTGAAGAAGGGGAGCAGTCAAGAGAAGGTGGCGCCGATGGCGGTCGAGCGTAGGTAATACATCCGTCTCTACTTGCCTAGGTATTTGTGTCTAACCCAACGCAGAGCTTCAGACAACATGGACGTCAGCAGTATTGTTCAGAACTTTATCAATTCTATGGGCGGCCAAACAGGACAGGGTGCGAGTCGGCAAGGAGCACATCAAGAACGAACCTTTACCACACTTGCTGACCTATTAACTCCTCCCTCAACCATACCATGGATTGATTCTGCTGATGAAGAACTGGTGGATCAACTACTGCAATATCTACCGCCGGCGTTGGTCACCCTAGCGCAAGAGGCTGATGACTTGGCAAATCTGAATATTGATCAAGCATCCGTTCAGGCCGCCGAACAAACTCTGAGCCTTGCTCAGAAGAAAGATATTCTCCGAAGAGTGCTGCGTTCACCCCAGCTTTCACAAAGCCTATCAAGTCTTACTGTTGCACTTCGGGATGGTGGTCTGCCTAGCATCAGCGAAGCATTGAACATTCCTGTTCGCAATGGAGGCTACATGCGACGTGGCGGAGTGCCGTTGGGAGGTGGTGACGCTGTCGAAGCATTTCTAGACGGTGTCAAAGAATTTGTTGAAAAAGAAAACCAAGGAGGTAGTGGTCAGGACCATATGGAGACCGATTGAGAGCTGAGAACTTCTTTGGACCTATTCAAATTAGTGTCCCTTCATTCGATTCAAGCTGAGCGATTCATTCGACTGTCCTAGACCACGATAATCAAATTACCTTTGTTCTTCAGACATGGACGTTTACTTGTCTTATGTATAATCCAGCATCGTAGTGCGACGGAACTAGAGTAAATTATAAGGTAACCGAACAATGCCCCCACGAGCATCTTTCCATTTTATATTCCAAAATGAAACATTTCTTCCAGCCAGATGATCAAATTTGAACAAAACCCGTCTAATATCATTGACACGTACATACGCTATACAGAGGAATGAGGCGAGGCGAGGCGAGGCTATATCCTTCGCATGGTCTCATAGTTGACCACAACAGATCATACAAACCAGAGCTCATAAGATACATGTGTCCCTGCCCCAGTCCGAGTCCCAGTATGCTTCCGATTTTCCCAAGAGTGAGACCACCGCCACCGCCGCCACCGGCCCATGAGGCGATAAATGGTAAAATGTATTGTGGCATGTCAATCCACGAGGCGAAATCAATCGCTATCGTCGTCGCTACCGTCAATCTCGGCCCTGCCGTTCGGCTGCAAGCCAACAGCTCGACCCGTTTTATGATCGCGGCCTTCCAACTCGTCATCGACATCATCCCCTTCGTTGCCGTCATTGTCGTCACTATCGTCATCTTGATCTTCGTCGTTTTCGTCATCATCCTCATCGTTATCCTGACCTTCCTCTTCCTCTTCCTCCTCATCATCCTCATCATCCTGATCCTGACCACCTTCATGGTCCGACTCCGTCTCATCATCTTTCGCCTTCCCATTCGTATTGGCAGCCGGCGAAGACCCATACTCAGCAGTACGACTTGTTTTCCTGTTCTTCCTCATCCCTTTAACCCTCCCTGCACCACCACTCGCCATCCCATCTCCATTCAATTGCGAGTCCAGCATATCCTGCTCATCACCATCATCTTCATTTTGATTATCGTCATCTTGATCTCCAGTCGTCTGCATGCGCCGGGCTTTCTTGCTACTAGGCTCACCCCTTTCACCGTCTTCCTCGGCTCCCTCTCTCGCTTTATTGGATTTTCGATCCTTGGCACCTTTTCTCTTCTGCATCAAGACTTCTTCGTAGACGGCCAGTTCTCTCTCAAGACGACCGCCCAATCGTCCGTCCTTGCCCACAGCCCCCAATTGCATGACATTGTCGAATTCCAGCTCTCTCAACGCCTGTAGCACGTCTTGTGGTGCTAGTGTCTTGCGCGTCGATTGCTCGTTGGCCGCGTGGGCTAGGTAGGAAATGAAGACGGTGGCGGACTTGGAAATGGCGAGGACTGCGTCGCGTTGGATCGACGTGTTGGGTGGAAGTGCACTACGTGCGAGGCGTTGGATCAGTGTTCGTGGTAAAAGGAGATCCTGTTCAGTTTTGGTCAGTATTCTATGGCTTTGTATTCGGGTGGTCCTGGGTTGGGGGATTCCGCGGCGGGCGGGAATGGCCATGACTTACATCGATTCCTACTCCGTCTCCGTGTCCCTGTCCGCCACCTCCGCTACTCGAAGGTCTCGATGGTTTGGAGTGTGCTTGAGTGGCGTTGGAAGCTGCTGTGACGTTGGAAATCATTGATACGTCGCCATTGGCGTCTGTGGCTGGGTTGGATGCCGTGCTCTTGCGTGGTGCCATTTTCCCGTTTGGCTGTTTCCCATCAGATATCGGTGTTGTTGAGTCTTTTCTTTTGAGTCGCAGGTGAGTCGCGCTAAAGCTGGCTCCTGATAATCTGGGTCCGGACAAGTCCTTGGTGGACTTTTGGTGGGTTTGAACGCGGGATGTTTGCTGAGGGGGCTTCTAGCAAGTGGAAATTATGGATGACTGCAGGTATATGACGGGCGCATCCAGAGTAGACTGTTATACACGTAGACGGTGGAGTGTTCCCAGGGAATAAAATGGGAGAGGACAGAAGGGTGGAGTGGGTGATGCTGTGATTGAAAAGAAAACGCGAGTAATTAATTACCTCGTGGTCGCGTCGGCCCGTCAAGATATACTATAAATCTCGCCTGCGACATGTCGAGTGGAGCGCATGCCGCCCAGAACGGAGACATGGCCAAGTACATCATGAAGTAAACAATACTCATCTACGGACCTTGAGAAGTTTAGAATTTGTTCTTTGTTGCTGTCAGAGGGTCATCTCGGTATCAATGCGAGGTTTGAATTATGCATGGTCTTTTTGCTATCGTTTGACAGATTTTATCCACGACTCCAAACACCTTACTGAACAGCCCCCGCCCTCATTAAATCATCATGACTCTATTTGCATCGCCTCCGAGTTTGTTTTGTCGTTTGAGTCATCACCCCAAAGTCCCTCAAGCTTGAATTCTGCAGCCCATTCTTTGACGATTTCCTTTCGGTCTGCACCGGTCCCAAGCTCCTTGTCAACGTCCTCACCCTCCACCATCTCGGTGTCGTTAGAGACCTTGAGGACTGGTGGCTCAACCCAGCCTTGGATTCTCCCATCTCGCCAGTCTGTGATCACCGTCATGGCTGCTGCGTTCAAATTGGGCACTCCACCCTTGCCCAACCTACCACGTTTCCTCGCCACTTGGACAAGGAAATCGGTGGTTTTGTCGCTTCCATTGAATTCACCAAGGGCCACCACTCCGTAGTTGGCGAGTAATTTCTCAAACAATGCTTCTGAGACAGATAGTCGAGCTAGAAGAAGGTTGATTGCGGGGATGGGGTCGGTCATCTGGCTAGGTGGTAGGGCGTTGAGAAGGATCAGCCTCGCCTCGTGCTCGGCTTTCTTTTGCAGTTTGCTTTCCCTGTCATGACCATCCACTGTTGATGGAAACACAATTCCGGGAGAATCAAGAATCTTCAGTTTGCTGTCAATCTTGACCTCTCGGAGGCTGGTTGTGACGCCGGCTTCGGAGCCAACTGGGCAGGCGAAGCTTTGTGTTCCCTTGTTCAACCGTGATGTCAAAGCATTGATGACGGATGACTTTCCGACGTTGGGATATCCAATGACTCCAACCGATATGGAGCGCTTCAGTTGTTTCGAGACGGCGTAGGATTTGAGTGAGCGAAGGAGGGTTTCTGAGGTGGCCTTGAGTGTGAGCTGCTTGTGATCAAATGTCTGAGCATTGGATGCTGGTGTGGATGCACGGAGAGGTATCGTAGGGAAATATCGTCGCAAGTGTGTAAGCCATCCTTTCAAAACTGGAGGTGGTACCAGATCAATCTTGTTCAGCACCAGAATCAGCCGCTTGGATCCTCCCTCGGCAGCCATAATCTGTCGCTCTACTTCTCTTGACCGAGTGCCCTCGGGGTCTCGCGCGTCCAGGACGTATAGCACCACATCTGCAGCGTCCAGGACTTGCTTGAAAATCTTGTCAAATGCTCGCCGGGACGAGTCGGGGTTTCGATGGTCGGCTGTAACTGTTTCGGAGACTTGTACTGCCCCGCCATTTTGCTCTTCGTCCTCGTCGTGTACGTCTCCAGAAAGCGCTCCGCCATCGTACTCTGCCGCTCGTGCTTGTGCAGAGGCCAGTAGAGCAGCCATGGGGTTTGCCGAGTCCCCTGTTTCTTCGTCGTCGTCGTCTTCATCCATGTCTTCTTCAAGAAGGTCATCGTCTTCGTCCATCATGTCGTCATCTTCCAAATCTTCCTCCTCAGCCAAGTCATTCTTTTTCCCATTCTTCTTCTCCTTGGCGGCTTCTCGCAATCTCTGGGCATTTTCTGCCTTTTGCTGTTTCTTTTGCTCGAGTTCTAGAAGGAGTTTGTCCTTGAAAGGAAATAGGTTTGGAATACCGGGGTCCTTCTTTAGGCGGGATTTCCATTGAGGGTTCTGTATGGGCCCGTGAATTAGCCTATATCCGTTGAATCGCCTAGATAGAAGAGACCAACCTTTTTCGACTCCTTGCGCGACTTTCTCTGTTTGGCGGCGCTGGCCTTCTCGATTTTATGTCGAAGTCGAACGGGCGTCCGTTTCGACTTTGAAACTGCAGATAGATCAGTAAACATATGGCGGGATAGACTCCACTGGTGTATACCTACAAGGCTTGACCATGTCTACGACCTCGCTCGTGGCAATTGCACTGGCGTATGGCGAAAGGATTAGATGTTTGGTGGTGCTGGTGAATGTCTTTCTGCATACAAAAAAGTTTCATGCATGGGTCCAGCGCCAAGAGATTTTTGGTCGGAGAATTGGAGACCGAGGGGTTGAACACGTGATCACATAGTCAAAATTCATGTCGAAGAGGGAGGAGATGCAATACCTTTCGTACATAAGGGCAAAAAAGGACTCATTCCGGTTTGTCCAGGGACAACCGTTGCAGATGTCGGTGAAGACCATGTTCATCTCGCTAATTGTGGCAACATTTGACGCGCTCTATGGCCATTAGAGAGATAGATATTTGGTTGGGGTAAAGGAATACAGGGTACGGCAGGCTTCCAAAAACAGAAATGTCCCCGGCGATGGCGACTGAATTTAAAGATGTTGACTTCCTCACCTCAAGCCTCTACACTCTGGAGTCATCAAGCGACATATACATAGATTTTTCTGCCTGTACTTTGATTGCATCTTGATTTCTCCAAGTTCCTGTTGTCCCTCCGTGAATCACTTTCTGCACATAGAGTCAGACAGAGGAAAGAATGGGCTCAATCGAGGCTCCGTCATTCTCCGCTCCACCACAGGTGGTCACAGCAGATGGCCTGCTGTTCGACTTTGACGGTATATACACCCTTGCCACGACAGACCCCGAGCCTGACACTACGTCGTGAAACCCTGATAAGAGAGCTAATATTTCCATTTCGCAAATCTGATAGGAACCATCATCGATAGCACAGAAGCAGTTGTCAAGTACTGGCACAAACAGGCAGCCTTGATGGGTGTCGATCCAGACGTCATCTTGGCAACGTCGCACGGCAGGAGGAGCATCGACACATTTCAGATCTACGACCCGTCAAAGGCGAATTGGGAATGTGAGTAGAAATGTGCTGGCTGTTGGTTGAGGCTGGCCCCCAGCCGAGGGGTGCGAATCGCCATCGTCACATGCCTGAGAAAGGACACATCTTCTTTCTTCTGCACTCATATCACACCATCCAATACGAGGAAGCGTGTCCCTTATCAAGGAGGCTAACTATGCGCCCACTAGACATCAGCCATCAAGAAGGTCTGATACCCAAAGACTTCGGCCGGGATGCCGTGGAAATCCCTGGGGCTCGTAAACTACTGGCGAGCTTGGAGGAGGCCAGACTGCCTTGGGCAGTATGCACTTCGGCCACGTCGGCGCTCTTGGGCGGGTGGATCGAAGTGCTGAAGCTGGCGCATCCACAAACCGTAGTGGTTGCCGAGGACGTTGAAAAAGGCAAACCGCACCCCGACCCATACCTCCTGGGCTGTAAGCGACTGGGCCTACCTGAGAGCTCTCACATGATCGTTTTCGAAGATGCTCCATCGGGTGTCCGTGCTGGCAAAGCTGCTGGTTACAAGGTTGTTGGTCTGGTCACGACCCACTCAGTCGAACAAATCGAGGCCGCTGGAGCCGATTGGATCGTGCGCGACCTAACCAGCGTAGCCCTATCCAAGTTTGAGGACGGCGTGATACAGATCGAGGTCACGGACGCTCTAGTCAGATCATGATGACATGGGATGGGGGGACGAAGGGGTCGTCTTGAGCTTTGAGCACTGATGGACGGACATCTGTGCTCGAGACCAGGTCACATCACAGGCGTAAAAGGTGTTGATGGGTAGACGAGATAGAAACCAATGGGTAATGATCTTCGATTCAGGTCCTTCTGCCAGGAAAGAGCCGCACGGGCAGATCAGATGACCCTTTGAGAGCCACAGAGCCACATCCGCCCCGATTTGGTTTTGTGGTCTGCTTACGACTCGTCCCGCCGCCGCTTGCCCGCAAGCATGATTGAAGATCATCGAGAGACCATTGCTTCGCAGTCTATCATTTTCAGGGTCGCACCAGCGAGCATCAATGGCTCCTGCTCGACATCGATCTCACACAGATCGTCCTGTTGCAAGGCCCGTGGTACCTGCGTCGATCCGGCGACATGTCCGGGCTGATTGGCGTCACCGAGCATGTTCATGCAATGCAGGCAGCCACGGTCAAGTCAGAAACGGCATGTGGTGGCCGTGACGGGCGGGCAGAGGGCCATGGTACAACGTGGCAAGCAAGCATCTGTCTCGGTACTGTCGGTCTGGACGTCAAGGGGAAACCTACCGTGTTGACGAAGCGGACCTGGACCAGGTCAACAGCGCCAGTTGGCGGAGCATCTGGGCAACAAAGAGGTGTCATCCGTCAGTTGGGGAGGCGATGATGGCCGGCTACTCCGTACACGTAAAGTTGTGGTCAAAGCGAAGCCGTGACGGCGAAGAAGCGTGGGCCGAAGAGGTATCAGTGCGGCGACGATGAATGGAGTCAAACGGGTCCCCAGGTCATAGGTCAGAATCCAGAATCCAGAACCCAGAGGCACAAGAGCCCAGACGTCAGGCTGTTAGTGAAGTTGTTAGTGCTTTGTAAAAAGTTGCAGTTAGACACTGGATGACTGGCCGTTGTCTCGAGCGGTCCCTAAGCCCCGCTACAGAACAAAAAGACTGTACGTACATACATCCGAACTTCTTCCACAAAAGCCCAAAATACGATGGAGGGCGTCTTGGTTCCACCTTGGGTCCAGATTCTCAAACCTTGGACATGAGCAACTCTCTCAGAACAGGAGCATGGGGGACGATTTGAGAAACAACCTTGCCGGAGCCGATCAATCAGGAATCGGCTACCATCGTTCTTGGAGGCACGCGGGGGTGCCCATGCCTAATTCGGCCGGGGGTTATGAGACAGTTGAAGCAGAGGAGAAAGCATCGTCGAAAAGGCTCAATTTCACGACATGATTGGATCAAGGATAGCTGCATGGAAATTAATTAGCCCAGAAGCCATCGAATGAGTGACGTTTGGGCTTTACTTGTCACTGCTATTATTATTTCGAGTACGATGGTAATCTGTACTACTCCCTACATCGAGGCATGAAATTAAGGATTTGGCCCTGGACTGAATCCAAGGGATTGGGACTCGAAGATTGCCACCCTTCCTACACGAAGAAACCTACTCCGTACCTAGGTGCCTAGGTAGGTACCTAGTAGTTGATTGTTGAATTGCCGACCCTCAGATTACCGTGAGAGGCTTGGCTTAGAAACGGCAGCTTCCAAGTCGCAACAAATGCCGCCCCATCTCTCTATCACCCACCACTAAACGAGAGTCGTCGTATCCGTTGGTGTGCTGCTAGGGATAAGCGAGCCTCGGAGGATTTTTCCCTCCATGTTTGCGATCGCGTTCAAGTCAATCAGGCCTAGTTCCATGTGGTTGAGGCAAGAAGTTGAGACAGGCGAGATCTCAGGATGTCTTGGGCCCTCAAGCGAGGATGAAAAGTGGGAAGTACTAGGTAAGTAGTGCCGGGGTGCTTAGGAGTAAGGCCTAACAGTGCCTGGCTTTGGGAGGTAAGGTCACCAAGGTACCCATATCGGAACGACTCCGGTCTGCAAGCTACAGACCACAACCTACAGGGTCCGGCGAGACTGTTCACAGAAAGATCTCTACGCCATGTGTTTACGATACTCGTCACGAGAAGCAGCACTAGAGTTTGACCTGCCTGCATTGGAAATTGCCTGTGTTCTTTTGTCCTGCAAGGATGAACCAACCCTCTTTGGCGAGTAGCCATGCGAGGTACACTTATGGAGTAGTGGTTGACTTGAGAAATGGGGACCTATCAATAAATGGGGGAGCCCATGAGACGAGTTCTATGAAGTGGGTTGGGAGCCCGCAACTCCAGAATCTGCTCTGCTCCGTAGACATTTGGGCCAGAACCCTCCATGGCGTGTATATCAGACATTTGAGTGGCTCCGCGGCAACTACTGTAGGCATCAGAGAGAGATTCTGCGCATGGGGCAGGCAAGGTGAAATTGAAGTGCCAGCGGCAATTACGGTCAGCAACAGGGTTGCCAATAGAGAGGGCGTAGCCTATAAGGAAGCAGCTTGATTCGGGCCCCTCGGGTCTCTGGTAGGGATATCGCTGCAGGCAGAAACGCCCATACAGGCCCCAAAACGTTGCCCAGGTTTGGCAAGTGGGGTGAGAACTCAGCTGTGTCTGACGTGTACTCCGTGCAGTATGTCGCCACTGATGCAGGTACCAGATTGCTTTGTGTATCATCCTGCCAATAATGCTTCTGATCAACACTCCTGTCCGTCAACAGGGTAGAGTCTTTGAGAATCGGGCAGTTTGACAGGCTGTGTGTTGGGCTTGAGGCATGCATATGAGGATTCTCCAGGCCATGATGCGCTCAAAGATGGATGATGATGCAGGCGGAATCATGGCCGGCGCAAAATCCCGGCGGTTCACAGGTTGCGTGACATGAGTGTAAGGGAGCCAGAGGCGACAGAAGGAAGCATGGAAACGCGCTTTGTTCACGACGTGAACAAGCCCAGTGGCTCCAATTTCAGGTGCAACGCATGCTTGGAGATCTCTTGGGTTGACCCAGATGGTTCAGCGTAGGCGGCAATTCTTGAGTCAAGGACCACTAAACAGTGGGCTCTAGGCGCTACAGACAGCTGCACAGTTTCGGCAGCTTGCATGCGCCCGAATGCCCCAGCATGCCTAACTCGAAGCCTCCAGGCACGTCATTCTGGTTGGATTTAGGCTGGGGATGGCACAATTTACCCTGTATTTCACTCCAATCATGACCCCGGGCCCCTATAACTTCCTTGAGATTGGGTCGTCACACCGGCCCCGGTCGGGGGCAAAGAATTGTCCATCTCTCAACAGCCATCAGTGGCATTCAAGGGGTCAGGTTCCGCGATCCGCCCGCATCATCTCAGGAACTGGACAGGACCAGCGACAAGACGATCCATGACTTGGGCCCAGCCACCATTTGCCCCTTTGTTTGCTTTATTGTGGCACAGGAATCAGCGCTGCGTACATGAATGATGTATTAGATCCCTACGTACTGTCCGAGGGCATGACTACGAATGGAAAGCCCACAATGAGCTTTCAGCTGTAAAAACCGAGTGGGTGTCGCGGCGGGTGGACGGCTCTGAAGTCAACAAGTGGATTCGCCTGTTGAATTGACCCTGGTAGCCTGAGCCGACAGGGATCCTCCATCGAACTCGGACTTTGTGTGTGGGTGGACAGTTGCTCACTTGCTGCAGGTCCCTACTCTGGCAGCTGGGGCTAAACTAAGGACTCCGACTCAAAGTCGGCCAAGACTGAAGTTGCGCCCGCAAAGAAGAACACAAGTGTCTGTTCCTGCATTGGCGCCGAATCCAGGTGAAGACGCCTGAGGCAGACAACCAATTGATGCGTCGAGCCGGACAATCTGCAGCATGAATCCACTGTGAGGCGACTGGATGTCTCCGTAATGCATCGCTTGTTTGTATGTCGGGTACTCGTGAAGAATGATTCGAGTCAAGAGATACGTAGCTAAAATGAGTCAAATGAGTCAAATGCAAGCAGGGTATGGATACCTAACCATGGGTCCATGATTGCATGGATGTCTTGGTGTTTTTGGGTTGCCATGGTTGGGTGGTGTGTGTGTGTATGCGTGCTTCGTACTGCGTACTGCGTGCTGCGTAGTGCGTGCTGTTACGATCAGCTTTGCCCAAGAATCGTGACCCAAGCTTGCGCCCAAGACAAGAGTGTGCAATCACCGATCGCCCTTCTCCCAAAACTACAAGGTTAGCCTGATTTTGTTCCTGGGTCCAGCCTGAGGCCACAGGCAAGAGGCAAGAGGCTCCAGCGCCTGAGGGCCGCAGGGCCACAGGGCCCGCAGACTACCCTCGTCGCCTCCCCCTCTCCTCCCCTCCCCATCCCCTCCCATGCCTACCGAGCGCCTCATCCGCGACTCCGAGTCGCTCGAACTGTTGAGTCTCGCTCGGCCACTTGACCTCAGCTTAGAGTTTGGCTTGAGGTTTGCATTACTCCGTACATGGATTTGACAATCGTCTGGAGGACGTGGCCACGGGCGTCAGTGCCAGTGCCAGTGCCAGTGCCAGCGGGATAAGAGGGCGCCTCCGAATTTCCCCTCCGTCCCTCCCTCCTTCCGCGCAGGGAAGCAAAAGTCAAAAGAGAAAGAAGGTGGTGATCTGGTCCACTCTGACACTTTGTTTTTTTGGCCAGAATTGACATTTTCCATTGCTCATCGATCATCCAAGATCGACCCCATCGCCCATCACCCATCCCTCTGCTACTGTACCACAGTACAGACCTCTCTCCTCATTTCGACTCGTCACTACTCCCTCGTCCTCCTCCATCCTCTATCTCCATCACGCAAAGGTCCCCACCGACTCTTGTGCTCTCAATTCTGCCCACCTTGACCGCAGGAGATCTCTCAAACCTCCAAGCGCAGTCGACATCGAGAGCAGAGTGGCCAATTGTGACGGTCTGACTGCACTCTCTGCCTCATCTCCAGAGTCAGCCTCCTGGTCCTGGCCAGTGTACCCTGGCCGAGGGCCCTTGTCCTAGTTCCTGATCCACTTTCTCGCCTAGCTTGCTTGACTCGCCTCCTCCGGCAGACTCCACCCACACGCTGTTGTCCACTCATCATCCTCCTGTCTTCAACGCTTCGACGCCTCATATCTCCACATCCACTGCCTTTCTGACGCTCTCCGTTCAAGTCTCTTCCACTCCCTCTGCCAAACCCGTCGAGCCTCTTTCCAGGTGCCGCCACAAGCTTGCGGTGCACTGATGACCTTCGCATCGGAAACCAAAGGACGTGCACCACTGTTGCTCCAGCTGTTTCCGTGTCGTCCATACATCACATTCTAAACTCTACTGGTCGTCTTTGTTTCTTTCTCTAGAACCATCACATCTGGCCAATATTCACGGTTCACGGCCATCTTTCCTTTATTCCAGACCACCAACGACAGGCTACCGACGAGTTGGCAACAACATCGCTCATATTTCCCCCGAACCTTGTTCCTTCTTGGTACTCCTCCGCCTTGTTTGAATCAGAGAGCCTGCTTCGGTCAAGCAAAACTACTGGCCTTTTCCTCCGACTATCATTCCTCCACTTTCCCACAACAACCACCCTTCAAACACACTGCATCGTTGTCCCAGGCCTGCTGGCAACTCGCGACCCAAATCGCCTCATCCTCTTGTACGATATCTTGGTCGCTCGCTCTGCTATATTAGCATCTGTCCAACAAACCTCTTATCCTCACCTTTCCTTGACTCCACCACGCCGTGTCGCCCGACTTCCGCGGCGTCAAATACCGTGCTACTCCTCGCCGGTTGTTCCCTGTATCCTCGTTCCTGGAAAGTTCTTGCCTGGTACTGGCCCTCATAGACTTCCTGGTCTCGACACATCTGTTTGCGACCCTGCTGGCCCAAGAGGCCTGATGCGGCACCTTGCCATGACTGTGGGATAAGACGAGCACAACTTGACCATTCTTGTTCGACATGGACCTCAGTGAGCAGGATCTGTATCAGCAAGCTCTGTATTCGACACAACAATTTTCGAGAAATCCTTACAAAGATACCCATTTGGCGTTTCCGCATCATCTTCAACAACAACAGCAATATTATGACTTGAACTACACCCCATATGTCCTCGGCCATCAGCAAGGCGTGGACGAATTCTTTCCTGGCTATGGAACAGAGTATGCCGATTTCATGTATCCTGGTATGGGTCAGGATGAATTTGGAGAAATGGAGGAGATATCAACACGACCTCGTTTGACCAAGGAACAAGTTGAGGTTTTGGAGTCTCAATTTCAGGCGAATCACAAACCCAACAGCCAGGTCAAACGCCAGCTTGCGATTCAGACCAAACTCACCTTGCCACGAGTCGCCGTAAGTACCTCAATAGATTGTTTGTTTGTCCCATACTGACGCTGTCCAGAACTGGTTTCAAAATCGTAGAGCCAAGGCCAAACAGCAGAAGAAGCAGGAGGAATTCGAAGCACAGAACGGTGGAACGGCTAATGACTCGAATGGGTCAACCTCGTCCAAACCTGCCTCGGCCGGCCCATCGTCGCCGACAAAGTCGATTTCATCTCCCAGCAAACGCTCAGTGTCTTCTCGACATGCTTCACCGTCGCCCACCAGAGTGAGGGACACATCCAAGGAAGCCAGTTGGGCCTCCCTTCAGCGCGCTCTTAACTCGGCCAAGGTCGCCCAGGCTACACAACCACAGCCAGGCCAGATCAAGCCGAGTATGGCACCTCCAGGACTTCCACTACAGGCGACTGCCATGAACCTACCAATCAGATCCAGTCGGCCCAATTCAGTCGCGCAGCATCCTTTGGGGGAGCCATGGGCGGTGCAACGGCCAGCCGGAGAACCATATCCATCTCCAATCACCTTACAAGACACCTCATTCGATTTCGGCTTTGATCAAGATACTTTCACCTCACAGCAGGCTGTCGAACAACCAGAAGCTCCGACCGATTACTCCTCAAGCGCATTTGTGGTCACTCCCGAGGACTGGGAGGAGCCATTGGCCACGCCCAAGAATGCTGCCGGCAGCTTTGACCCGTCTGCTGCTCTTCCATCTCCAGGCTTGACAGGCCCATCCTACCCCGGCTCGCGGCGTCAATCCACCACGGACGATCTGTCCAACAACTTCGGAAACTTTGCCTTGGCGAGCAGTTCACCCAACATTGTCAAGGCAAGGAGGCAATCAGAGACCATTCGTGCTCCCGAGAACGGCAACCTTGACATTGCAGCGAGAAGAAAACGACCACGGCCGGCGCCATTGACTTCATCGTCGCTGCGAAGTCGATCATATGGGGCCATGACGTCGGTGTCACCCACATTCCGCCACGGAACTGCCACGCCTCAGGCACCTCATACGGTCAGACACGTCAAATCTGCGGGCCATGGCCTCAACTCTCGATTTGCAGGGGTGCGTAAGGCGAGCTCGGCGCAGAGGTCTCCAATGTGTGTTTCGACATTCGCGGAGAATGAAGCCTTTCATCAATTGATGGCGCAGCAGGCGATGGCGGCACAATCATTGGCAGATTTGCCTCAGCCTATGCTGTCGCCCGGTGTCATTTCTGGCAGTCGTGTGCATGAACCGGAGAAGAACCCATTCTTTGCTCACAACATCGAAATGCCACACTCGTATCAACAGTCTCTCCACATCACCACTGCATCCCCACCCATCACACCGTTGGCAAGCGATTTCCTCAACCACGGTGTGCCGTCGCAGCCAGCGTTTGTTCCAGCGTCTGCACCACCACAGTATGCGTCATTTCCTGACTACACGCCGCCATACTCTGCGGGGCCTATGACCAACAGTAGTTGGTCGGATGCTCCTTTGACTTCGCCCGATGGCACGGCATTTCCTTCATCGTCGTATATGGGGTACATCAATCAAGGCGATGGTCTCCCAGCCAACTTTCAACAGTTTGTTTTGGCCTCGGACAAGACCGACATTTCAATCGATGGCATGAATGACCACAAGAAAACAGAATTCTATATCCAAGAATTCCCCAACCAACGACGAGAACATGCTCATGTCGCCCAGCAACTGCCAAATCAGACTCCCAAGAGCTACACATTTGCTAATTTCGCCCCCCAGGATTATGACTAGGTCAATTGGACCAGACCAAAGAATCTATTGCCATGTTTTTGCCAACTGGAAATGTGTACGGATACAACAGACAATGTTTGAATATTTTTGAGCGATTTGGATACCAAAATGAAAGAGGAGGACATTCATTCATGGAATTAACCAGCAAAGACCATTCTCTCAAGGGTGAGGAATGCAGATGGTTAGAAATGTGAACTTTAGTATTGGGGGCGCTCCACGGTACTCTCACTGGTGGGACATAATCCACACCGAGCAGACAGTACCATGGATATGACAACACGTGTAGCAAGATTAATAACAGACCCGTGACGGCCGCTAGCCTATTGAATGGGCATTTTCCACCTTTTACAGTATTCAAACTGTGTGTTTTTTTATTGAAAATCCTCGAGATCCATCACCGAACCATAAGCAGAGGTCATAATAAAGACAGCGGACATGAAGCCAGCCAGTCGGCCACAGGATACTGGTATGCACTAGTCCCAATATGGCAACATCACTTTCCTCAACTCCATCTCGTCATGACTTGCTCCTTCCTTCTCTTCCATCCACAAAAGATGCTCAAAATCTGCAGCCTGACTTGATTTCACCGTCCCAACTCATGCACGATTACTCATTTGCGTCTCCATGACTGGACTGGCACCTCTAGCCATGCACCTCATGACGATGGAGACTGTCCCGACGATAGCTTGATCAGACCGATCGCGCAAGGGAGTATTTCCCTTGGGCTTCAAGACATACTCCACAAGACGGCCTTTCCTCATGTGACATGGCGTTCACGACGCGATCAAAGATATGTCATCATATTGAACCGTGTATGCGTTGACCAACATGTCTGAGTGTCAGCAATGATTTCATTGGCTTCGACTCCCCATCGCCATGCTTTGCTGTGTACGCCATTTGAGCCAGCTTAAGAAACGACTGATTGTGCATCAACCCATGCTGAGCGATGGTGTCTTCTGCTTGGAATCTGGTACGAGGCCTTGGTTGATCACGTCTTGCCATGACTGGTCGTGACGTTCACATTTGTTTAACGATGACCGGGCCTGACATCCGAACCCTGTTCCTGAATCTCTTCTTTTGTATGCTCTCCGCAGCTTGTGGAAAATGCGTCGAGATCGGAGCTAGCATCTTGCATCCGAACCTTGACACACGATATTGTTCATCATCTGCATCAGCCCGATCGATGGTGGCTCCACCAGAATTCCCCTTAACCAGACACTGGCTGGATCTAACGTCTTGTCTCCCATACTACTGACTTTGGCCAATGCTGTACCCGGTACAGTGCCTTCTTAGACCATTGAGTCACCATATGCCCAGGTTGGCCCTAACGACATCTCAGAAGCAACCTTCCCCATATGATATTGATGCTGATCATGATGAATCATGCAACCGAATTCCCCCGCAACCGAATCCGACAACTGGGTCCACTGTCCCGTGTTGCCTGAAGTTTCAGGTCGGAAGTGAAGCATGATGATGATGGAATAGTCAGTACAGGTGAGATTCTGAGCAACGGCCTTCCCAAGTGATGACGATAGTGCTTTTGACGCCGTTCCTGAGGACAGGAATTGTCTATATAAACCCGTTGCACATCCCATCATCAAGCACTATTTCCTCCTTCTCATCTCATTTCATCTCAAAGATCATAAGCAAAACAGAAACATCAAAACATCACAAATCCCAAGTCCTTGACACAATCACCACACGTCAACATGTCCGACTACAAGCCCACTGGTAAGCCTCTTCTTAACTTGATTCCCTACCTCTCCGCACCTGGGCAGAAAGCTAAGTAATTTATCAGAACACGACGGTCTCCGCAAGGACGGTCAACCAGACCAGCGTGTCGGCACCGGTCAATTCGCCCAGGGCAAAGTCGACCCTCATGAAGCAGGAAAGGCCGGCGGTGAGACCGGTGGTACTTCCAGTGGTGGTGGTAGTGGCGGCAGCTCTGCACCTCAGGGCGCCGCCCATCAAGGTGGTGATGGACTGCGCAAGGATGGACAACCTGATCAGCGATTGAAGCAAAACCAGTAAAAGCAGGGGCTAGTATAACTGGAGGAAGGGCGAGGAATGTAGGGTGGTGACGAGACAAAAGACTCATATTTGATGACACTGTCAATAAGGAGAATGTGTTGTCATCATGGATGAAAGGGTGGGTTGTGGATGTATTGCTGTGTACTCTCGTGACACGCCAGGTACTGACTGGCCGGTCGATATAACGAGACAAACAGATAGTTAGGTATTCACATAGCAGTACAGACATCAACCTTGATCTCTTTTTCGAATTTGACCATGTGCTTGCTGTTCAAGTGTTTCGAGTCGAAGTGGAAGTGGTGAGGTATCTTCATACTGAAAAGATGATGATTTACTACTTATGTACTTGGATTAGAATCTTTCAACAGGCCAGGAAGTGCTACCTCTCCCCCCCTACTTGACGTGCCTAAGTATGTACCTACGGAGTTAGGTACCTTAGGTAGTTTTTGAGTACCACCCACTATACCAAGTCTACTTATTAGAACACTTCACATCCCATGAGAATATACCTACCTACCCCAAGTACTATAATAAGGAAAAACACAATCACCACCAAGAATAATAAATAATAATTTTGAATGTGTTTGGTTTTGTTTCTATTCATCCCATAGTAATAATATGCCACACAAAATGCAAATATGCATTTTTCTGGCTCGCCACACAGCGCGGCATCATTTCTCAGGGGGTATAATCTATTTGTGATGTCGTTGTACCCAACAAAAATGTGGTGTGTGTTGTGGTTTTGTAGAAAAAAAAGAATAAAAAAAAGGAGTACAACCAAAAAACCAGTCGCGTCCTTTCGGTGGGATCGTCTCATACCCTCGAGACTTTGGGATGTTGGGGAAGAAATGAGTTTTTCTGTACTTTGAAAAAAAGAAGAGAATTTCCAATCCTCCCCAACTCCTTCCCCGTTTCCCCCTCGTAGTTGATCACGACCTTCATTCGAACACTATACTCAACCTCGGAACACCCATGTTCGAGGGAGTCTTATGCGGGCTGAATTTCTTTCGAGGCAAGTGGATTCCCAACACCATCTCTTCGCTGGAAGAGGGTTGGCGGGTTCTCCCCGTAGTTAGAAATCCCGTCGCAAAAAAATACTTCCACTGCTTTCGTTTTGTACATTGGTCATTAAGACGGCTAGAAGATGTTTTTGCTTCAGCATCCCAGTCCCCAGAAACAAATCCATTACAACAAAGCCACCACGGCACCAACGACCACTGCTCCGAATGACATGTCGCGAGCGTTCAACTGCGAACCAGCGCCGGTGAACGTGGCGGGTGCAATGGGAACGGTACTTGAGCCTAGTGTCTGGACTGGAGGAGCCGCGACAGACGAGGCTGCAGGGGGAGCTCCGAATGGGTTGTCTGAATCTGATTCTCCGGCAGGGGGAGGTCCTGGTGGGCTAGGAGGACCAGTAGGGCCGGGAGGTGGCGATGGGGGGCCAGTTGACGCGGGTGGAGCTGGAGGGGGCGCTGGGGGGTCCACCAAGGGGATCTTGCCGGCGTTCTCAATATACTTCTCGATGGTGTTGGGGCTGTCCTTGGGAGGGTTGATGACCATAGCCATACCACGTTGGCAATGGTTGGTTTGACCACAGTACAGCCAGATGGGCTTGGTATCGTTGACGAGGACATTGTAGACTGGTGTGAAGGGCTCAGAGCCAGTGACGGGGATGAAGCCAGATCGAATACCAGGTCGGATGTCTGAGGTCAGGTCGGCGGCCAAAGGCTTGCAGGGGTCGGCAAAGCTAGACTCTGTGATGGTGTGGTTCTGGTTCGAGAAATCAGTAATTGCTCACTCGCGATTTTGGCTGATAACTTACCTTGGGGAAGAACTGGAATTGAACAACGGAGCCAACGGGAGCATGCACTTGGTTGGGGAAGTACTTCAAGCTAGCATTCTTGTCTCCAACAGCAACAACCTGGACAATGATCTCGCCAGGCTTGGTCTGTTGCGGTGGGGGGGCACCAGTGGGAATTGGGATACAGCCAACTGGGCATGTTGCGATGGGGGCAGCAACTGGAGGACCGGGAGCAGGGGGCTTCTTCTCCCAGGTCGACCATCCTTGGCCACCGGAGGAGTAGCTGTCGCTGGAAGGAGTCCAGTCCTTGGAACCGCCGTGACTACCACCTCCTTGACCTCCCCACGAGTCGCCTCCCCATGAGTCATGACTGGTAGCAATAGCCGTAGAGGCGAGGATTGTTGATAGCAAAAATGTTCTGAGAGACATTGTGAATGGCTGATCTGGAAATTCTTCGAAAGTGATTTCTTCCCTGAGATGAGGGTGTAATGGATGCGAAAGACAACGAGCGACCGGCGCAAGGAAATAAACTGCAGCGCGTCAAGCAGCTGAAGGAACGAAATAGACCTGGAACGGAAAGAGGTCAAAGCAACAATGCAACAAAAGACGGTGATGGGAATGGAGAAAGAAAAAGGGTTTCCATGGAGGGACTGCAACCGCTTCATAAGTAGGCGAGAAGAGGCGGCGGTGCATACCTGACAAGGGCAGCAATCACTCATCTCTGCTCCGAGGCTAAGAAAATGGATCTGAATCTCCCGTGAAGCTGGAACTGATCGAGTCTCGACACCTGGTCGCTTCTGGCCCCGTACGGAGTAGGGTTGGAAAGTAGTTTCAATGTCCAGCGTTAGAGATCAGTCTCAGATAGGCAGGGTCTGGGGGGTGGTTAGAGGCCAGGAGAAGGACACAAAAGGCATAGCCAGGCGCAAAATAGCACCATGGGCGTCTACATTAGGCGTGTGACTTGGGCCTTGGTCCGTTTGAGGTTGCACGTCAACAGTGGTTGGCATTCGCTGAGATGTTTTGTCTTGTGTTTGGAGGAGTCGATCTGAAGCATCTCCTGTTTCGTGGGAGGGAGGCGCCTGCCCTCAAAGCGTCTAGTTCCTTCCCTTTCAGATGTCTTCTTGGCTCGTTTGTTGGGTTTATCAGCCTTGGCATTATTAAGCGAGAATTTACGCCCTGGAGCCTTGCACGTTTCGACGGGTCTTGGTAAGACATTCATCTCAGCCTTGCCAGGTTCGTCGCATTCTACTTTGTCCACTTTCACCGTCAATTCGTGGGCGAAGACAAAATGTGCCCCGCGGCACCGTCCTTGTGTCGCTTAATTCACTTCCGGCCCATTACGTTGACTTGGTGCGATCTAGATTGCCGCTGGAGTTAGACCCCAATCTCGCCCTCGGAGGATGGGGTCCCTCAATAGATCCACCACCTCAAATCTCTTAGCCCATGAGACCTTGCCCCAACATTGATCAAAGCCAGCAAAGTACGGAAAGTCACTTTTCCGAGTTTCATGCTCAGTCCTTGTCATATAGCAGAGGACGAGGATTGTCGGAAGTGTCGACGGCAGAGATCCTTTCCGAGAGTGGTCCACAGTCTTCTGTCGCAATCACTCGTCGCAATTTGATTTCAAGAAACCTGATTGTCGCGACATTGCAGTCGTTCATACATAGATAAAGCTGCCAGTATCCCCACCGAAGCTTGGCCATGCCATGGAGATGCGTGTAGTTGGTAGCTAGAGTAGCACTGCCCGGCCCGGAAGATGTGTATCCTGTTGCAGATGATTTGAGCCTTGGAATTCACCATCATGGTAGTGACTGATGCTGATGCAAGTTGCATATTGCATATCAGACACACCGTCCACATACTGTAACATGTTCCATATCAATTCCCACCTACTCCTACGACACCAAGAAACCCCTTCAACATAAACGCTGCATACCAATAACCATCCGTGTATTCTGAATCTCTTCAAAGAATCAATGCTCCAATCCAAGTCAAAGTCCTGTTAACCTTGCGCAGACAACGATTTTAATCAGCCCCTCTTGGAAAGTGTTCCGGGTGAAGATTGCCGGATCTCTCGGGTGGGGCGGCAGAACCAGTCCTGGCGCTGATTGAACCCTAGTGGCTATCCTTAAGTCATCGTATATCCATGAGTCGGTGTAGCCATGAAGTTCCACTGTCCAGGCGGGAGATTATCGCGCTGACTAAATGGGGGAGTGGTTTGGGCCGAGTCATGAATACCGGTCAGAGCTGGGTCAACATCATCTTCTGGCTTGCGCTTTTTGGGACGACCGCGTGGACGATTGGCATTGGGAGGGTCTAGAACATATTCCTCCTTCAGCTGCATGGAGATACTGGGATCGTAACCACGTTCACGAGCAAGCCTGCGTAAGCCAGCCAGGACTTTGGGATCCATGCCCGTGATTTCTTGAATTCTCTCTGAAGAGATGCTGGCTTCGGCCAAGGCCAGCGCTTGAATGCGCACGGCCGTGCTGTGCTCCTGCATCTTCAAGACCTTGGGAGCCTTTGCTTCAGCCGACTTGTGTGGCCACTCATTGCTCCTGAAAAAGGATTGAGGGTCTGCAGCTTGACGCGTGATGCTGGTCTCAACTCCAGCTTCTTTCATGGCTTCGAGGTATGGTTGACAACCTAGGAGATGGAGGCGCTGGCGCGAGGTGTGCTGCGCCATTTCCCTTCCACAGTATTTGCATCGCACCTGTGCTAGTTTCTATGGCCACCTTGTTAGTTGGGGTCCGCGTGAGGAGTCAAAGGAGTGCCGACATTGATTTGGGGCGCACCCGGATCTTGAGGAATGATGTCCCATGCTGAATGGGTCTCAGTGTCACCCGGCTTGTTCTTGTAACCCCCAGAACCAGGACCACCTGTGGGACGATGACATTGTCAGTAGCTGCGTCGTGGCGACCAGACAACAATGCTGCAGAACAAAGCACAAATAGTGGACAGTGATAGATGTTCACATACCCATGGTTGAGTCAAGGGCAGGCCAACGGGTCAGCCTTGCGAGTGGATTATATGTCGTCTTTTGATCGTGGAACGCGAAGAGATGACGAGGAATAAACGCGAGAGGCGGTGGGAGACAAGCTGTAGACAAGGTGTAATTTGCAGAATTTGCAGCCGAGATTCTGACAGACAGCCTGACCAGATGACACGCTAGGCTTGATTGGGATGTCCAGAGGCTAGTGCCAATTTGGATGCCACAACACACCCCACGTGGTTGAATGAGGCGGTCGCACCTTAACATTGACCCCAGGATGAAGACACGACGATGTGAGGTCCACAAGGCCGACGTTTGAATCATAGTTACCTCTTGTATCTGTCTGGCCAGGAGCAAAGCCCACGATGACAGACGCGTCACAGACCGCGTCAGCATTGCTGACCGAACATCTCCAATACACACCCTTGGTAATTGTCGCATGTCAATAGTGTGATTCAAGTCGCTAACGTCGCTTTAGTCGCTCATCGACGACATCATCAATTCCGTGAATGATCTGGTATACCAAGGGGTGGGCAGCTTGGAAACGGGGTTGACCTCGACACCGCCCGAACGACTTGGCTACAAAGCCACAATTACCACAAACGAGCAAGGCAGAGAAGAGAAGGAATTCCCAGAGGCAAAACAAGAGATTGAGGAAGGCCTACACAAGTTGGAGACACTGTTGAATTCCACTATCGACAAGAACTTTGACAAGTTTGAAATCTACGTCCTGAGGAACATTCTGTCCGTCCCGGCTGATCTCGTCAATTGGGTGCGCCTCGCTCATTACGAGGTAAGTTTAATTCCTGACTTCCTCGACTTGTTGCTAAGATGACAGAACGTCTCCTACCCCCCAGCGCAGGATGCCGCAAAGCCCGAGGATATCCAGCAGCTTCGGCGCAAGTTGGCAGCATCACGCACAGTGTCCAGGGCCCTCTCAGAAGAGCATCAGCGAAATGCTATTCTCATTCGCCAGTTGAAGGGTCTCGCAGAAGGAACTGACCACACAAACTTGTCTTTTCTTACCAACACTTCGACGCAAGCATCCCAGTCACTTGCCAGCAATACAAGCTTTGTGCTCTCACAGATGCCCGCCCTACGGTCCCTACTGGCAGACTTGCGGCCCAAGTTGGCAGCCCTGCACGCGAGCAGAGCAAAGATTGAGCCAAGTTCGGCCAAGGACGAAATTCGACAAGATCGGCGAGGTTATATTGAACAGCGTACACGTGCCCACCTGGAGCGACACGGACAAGGTATGGGAAGCGATGACCCGGTAGTGGGCGGGAGAAGGGTCGACCCTGAAGAGGTGCAGGCCTTGGAAAAGGCGGCAAGCATTTTCGATCCGACGTGAGAACTCCATGGGGACCGCAACCGATCCTCCCTGTACAGACTCACTATGGGATGCTTGGGTGGACGTTAAACGACTTAACGCACGTGTCCATGGGGCAAGGCTCGAGCAAGTGGGTCACTCTCCTGCAGAAAACATGAGGAATTTGCCGACGAGCCCAATTGAGGGTGGTATCCTGCTGATTCCGGAAGTGTTTTGTTGAATTGAAGGCCCAGCAGACGACTATGTTCTGCATATGACTGGAGTCATGTGCTGCCTAGGTGAGACCATGTGGGGACTATCGCCCTCGTTGGCGAGGATCCCTAGGTATGCAAAGAGGCCGCAATCATAAGCGTGTCTGTAAAGACAACTTGGTGGCTTGCTAGTGCGAGGTCTTTGAAGGAGGTGGAGTGAAAGTGGAAAGAAGTCCCCAGACGTGCGCTGGTCATCCCAACAAAGGAAAAGCGATCGGGGCTGGATTGCAGTCCAGAAGTGCTTTGTTGCAGCGGCTTCCTGCAACCATAAGTTTGGCCTCTGGACCTAATGCAACAAGACTGTCTGACAGGGTCAGTCGACAAGAATCAAACCGGTCTTTATGGCCCTGGTAAGGGTCTCTGGTGCCCGTGACGGCTCCGGTGGAGGCTCCACGGGCATGACATTTGGATCCGGCTACTGTCGTCAGACAAGACTCTTAGTTTCGTCAGCATGGGTGTTGGTGGCCAAGTGGGGGTCGAACATCTACGGATATGTTCATACCGCAGTCAAGGTAGAAGAAGTTCCATGTAGCTTGGAGGGATGCTGCATGATTGATCGAGTGTTGTCAAACCGTTCTCTCGCTCTACAGGCACGACAGGATGTCGATTCCCAGGTACCTAGAGACATGTTTCCACTCGATCTCAATGCCCATCGACCAAGACATCGATCGCCGCATCCCTGATGAGTGCGACTGAAAGGGCTCCAGGTTATCTGGCACACCATTCTGAGTCTGGCTTAGCCTTGCAGAATGGGAGGTGCCAGCACAGCAATGACTGCGTCAAGCGAGGTTGGCCTGCACTCGAGTATCGCAACCAAAGCCACTTTTAACCATCCATAATCTGGTGGGAGGCGTGTTCTTGTCCAAAGATAGGTACAGTAGAGACAGCGAGGTCTCTACGAGGAGACTAGTCAGAGTGCTGTGAAATGCCAACAGAGGCGTGAGAAGCCATGCTCGCCCCCATCAGGATCAAGGACTCTGTTCTCTTGTTGGACTGGACCTGGGGTCGTGTTTCGAACCCTGGTTGCCGCCTTCCACACTGGCGCTCCAGCTGCGGTCCTGCCCAATCACGCCTGCTGATACCGCCAAGGCCCAGGCTGCAGCCGCCCGCAACTTCTCTTTTTGGACTCCGGGCCTTCCCCCCGTGACGACTCGCTGTTGTTCTCTCATCTGCATCCTTATCCTTCTTCCTCCCAGGTCCAGCGTCTAAGGAGGTTGGTGGTCGCCATCCTATTATTGCTGACAGCGACCTCTGGTGGCCTCGTTCCTCGAGACCTCCTATCCAACGCTTGGTTCGCTGTAACCGCTGTCCACAATGCATTTGCCGCCATCATCATGGATTTGATTCGGTCTATGAGAAGGATTGAGACCATCTCCAATCTTCAGAGTGTTACTTTGAATAGCTCAAGCGTCAAGATCCGCTCAGCTCCAGCTTGTCTTCCGCTCCTCCAAGCCGATCAGGTAAAATCCCAAGCGCTGTGCAATGATATACTCCATGAAGAGACCATTCAATAAGAAACTCTCCTTGGCCGTGCTCCTTCCCAAAACACTTCATCTCAGTCGCCCTTTCCATTCTTTGAATCCTGGGTTCCCCTTTTGTTGCGCTGGATTCGCAGTTCTCAATCTTTTCCAATCCATCTGTGTTGGCTTGTTGATTCATCATTTTGCACTTCATCATGGCCCAAATCTCGTCCGACCGATCCTCGACGGGAAACCGTTCCAATCACTCTCTTACACTCTCTGGAGCACAGAAGCAGCCCTCCTTTGACACCACAGCACTGGCAATAGTCCCCTCTCCTTTGATGACATCGTCTCTGTACTCTCGCAATTCTGCCACGTCAGCTGAAGAATCTACCTACCTGACACGGGCAAAGTTGCTTCGTTGGAGTCGGCTGTTGCTGGCTGTCTTGATCATCGCCATAGGCGTCACTGTAACGGCCTGCACCGGCCATGTCATCAAGAGATACAACTCGACACACTTGGGACCAGACTTTCATCTTCCACTCTGGCCACTGAATGTCGACCTTCGACCTGCTCTGGCAGTCTTGGTATCTGCTGCGATTGTCACCGCGGGCACTTTGGGATACGTTGTCTTTTCCTTCATTCCGACTGTGAGTCTCTCTTTGTACCACTTGAAGACTCCGGACGCCCGACTGACATTCTTGTTCAGCCTCATTCCCGCACACTTTTGTACAATATTTTCTTTGCCGCTGCGTCTTTGATTGGACTTATTCTGTGCCTTTTTGCCCTGTCATTCAACCTGGCTCTTACAAATCCGACCATGACACACCAGCGAGACTCTCTACAGTCGTGGACTTGCAAGTTCTCACATGGTGCGGCCCGTTTCAGTGCCGACGCCAAGCAGCTTCACCTACCCGTTTATCTCGATGATGGAATGACAATCCCAGCTGGGTTCAAGAGGCTTTGTTCTGAGAGTGAGGTCAGTACGGGGCTCATGATGGCGATGCTAGTCTTGGAGTTTCTCGGCTGTATCATTTCTCTGACTGGCGTTTTGCTCGAGTTGAGAATTAACCAGGCGCGGAGACTGCGATACAGCGCCGGTAATGAGAGAAGAGAGAAGGAACCCTTGCCAATCTAGAGGTCTGGGCCCAGAACAAGAGTCAAAGGCACGGCGCATGTTATGTCAACAAGAGAAAAGGGTCATGTCGGACAGGGTCCAAGACACCCGAGTTACGACGTTGACAAAACACAATGGTGTGCTTTGAACAGGTGTCTCGGGAGGTGGTGCCATTTGTGTGTCGGCTGACGACTGTGTCGGTCTACTTGGGTGAGATGGGCTGGGATCGCTTCGAGGAAGTCTCTAACCCCCATCGATGAAGAAGGGTAGTGGTCAGGGAATCTATGGCAGGGGTGCAATGTAATATTGTTGTTACTACTACATGATGCGGCATGTTGGATACTCTAGGATAGACGAATTGGATCAAGACCAATATCATTGCTTGCTGGTCGTCCTAACTCTTTGGCGCTCATGCTCCTTCAACGAAGTCCACCACGATGCAGAAACTTTTTCATGCACGTCTTGCGGACGAGGGCTGTTGGATGTATTCACCTTCCGCTTTCGCACTCAATCATTCTGCATTGTTGGTGCTAGTCTCTCTAGCCTCCTGTACATTCCAGCATGGTTTGTCAAGTGGCGCCCCGCTTATCTTCTCGATATGGGGCACCATAGGCCGAACTATTCATACATGCCATCCAAAGTCTGGGCAAGGAGTGGTGACAGGGTGAACGCTCTGTTGTTTACAGCATTTTATGGCCTAGACTAAAAAGCCTGTGACGAGTCATCTACCATCTACCTCAAGCACAATCTTGAATAGTATAAAAAATTGAATGATGATTCAAAGTGGTTCGCAGAATCATCAGCCTCATCAAGGTCACAACAACGCTTTGTTTTTGACAGATGACCGGTTGACAAAACACTGCCAGCCCTGCAAGGAACAAGTCCTCCGAGCCCGACAACCCGTGCCGTGCCGACTCTTCCTTTGTTAGTGGGCATGACAACAATACCAATGGCATCATCAACAAGCAGAGGAAAAGACTTGGCATTCTAAGGACCACCAGAGCATCTTCAACAGAGCAATCTGGAGCCGAGAGAACCGAAATCAAAATAGAAATCGCAATAGGATGCCTAATCTTACCCGATGAGGGTTTACCGAGGGGCACTCGCTGAAGAAGCCGAGATCAGGGTATACAGTAGTATACCTTGTGACCTTTTTTACTTGCGACAAAGACAATCAACCACAAGCGCACGAGAGGTAGAGAGGATTTCACCATCAAAGAAATGGCGCTCAAGCTCCACTTGGCACCGACGGGTCGCGCTGCGCTGTCTCTCTTGGCATTTCCTCTGTCCACAGAGCATCACAGAGCATCACAGTAGTCTTGGTCCCCCGCCCTCTGGGCTCCGAAGACCGGTGGTTTACGCCGAGGGAAAATACGAAGATTCCACCTCTCCTCGACCTGTGGTCATCGCGGGAAGTATGAGGCAGTAGGAGCACCCAGTTCCCATCGAATCCCATGATCCGCCTAGGGTCGCCAACGCCCAACCCATGCAGGTACCTTGTCTCTTAGTGTACGAAGGCGTATACACACGCATGAATGTTGATCCTTGCGTGGCAAACCAAGATTGCCAAGAAATTCTCTTCTAGCCATACAGTTTGTAGCGGGAAATTCTTGTCGAGCTTTCACAGGCGCAGAACGCTGACTGTTTTTTCCTTTCTGTGTTCTCAATTTCATTCTCTGTGATTCAGAGGGGTAATGCTAGTCGCCGACTTGCGGAGAGAATCCCTTCCGCTCGCTTACACGACTCTTTCTTCCTAGACCCGTTGGCACAGTGGAATCTTTGGTGACCCATCTTGGTCGGGACAAATATCGTCCTTGAAGCCCCTGTGGGGAGCTCTCCTCCTTAGGGTTTCCACCCGCCAACCTCTTCTATTCACGGCATGCTTACAAGACATGTGTGCGACGATCGATCGAACCTTCTTGAATCACACCACACCTAGAGTCTGACTTGGAAGCTCGCCTAGCTACAGAAAGGGCAAGTAGGCAGGTTCCGACCTCGCTTCGGTTGGCTGACGGATGTGGATTGTACGGATGTGAAAAAAAAGGGGCCTAGCCTGATCAGGTTACTAAATTGGCTGATCCCACATTATCAGATAATCTTATCAGATTATCACATCTGATTGACTATTCAATCCCCGCATCTAATGCAAGCATGACCATGTGGATGAGCCGGCGAGTCATACTAGAGAACTGTTTGATGCATGGTGATGTCGTCTGGTTTGAGCCAGGGCCCTGTCACCTTCCTAGGGCCCTCTTGGTCGCCGCCTCTGTGGACTCGGTTTGCTGCTGTCTTCCGCTCATGGCTGTCCCTCCCAAGGCGTTACTGAAGCTGACCATGCAGGGCTTTTTGCTTTTGCTCTGCGAATGCTGCCCTCGGAATGCAATGGAGCGGACAAGTACGTGAATAGGTCCATGTGTCCCTGTCCCGCAGCCCACATGTATAGCTTCAACCCACTCTAGGAAATATCTAGCCCGCCGCTCGAGTTCCTCTCAATTCATTTGCGACTTCGGTCCTGTAGCGGCTGGGCGTGCAGTCCAAGCACCTTCTCTTCAGCGACAACCACGACTACTGGGACATGACTAGTCATGAATTGGAATCGGCCAAAACAAACTTTATTGAAAATCTCGTGGAAAATTGCCTTGATGCATGCTGAAGACCCAGAATGAGGTGCTCAGGGACCAGTTCGGAGTTTTCTCTCGACATTGAAATATCTCGTCGTGCCCGATTGGAATCCTGCTTCTTTCTCCAACTGCATCCTAACGTATTCAGAGGTCGAGTCATCGTCAGATACACCGACACCGCTCGTTACCATGTTGTCCAAGACCTTCGCTCTTTCTGCCTTGGCAGCGACTGCTGTCGCCCAAGATGCCCTCCCCAGCTTCACCCAGCTGCTCAACGAGACTCGTGCCCTGGGTTACCTCAACGAATTCCTTGCCGAGTACCCACCTCTCTTGAGCGCTGTCAACGCGCTCACCAATGTGACCATCCTGGCCCCCAACAATGCGGCTCTCCGTCTCTTCCCTTGGGATCCTCGATTCATGGATCTGTATGAAGGCACTGTCGACTATGCCCAGGCCCTCATTGGATACCACATCATCGAAGGTGTTTATGAGAACTTCACCGAGTCGTGGCTTCCATACAAGACCTCTCTCCGCGTCGGAGAGTTCGCCAACGTCACTGGCGGCCAGGTCGTCATTGGCCGCTACAACTGGCGTGGATACTACAGCGAGTTCTTCGGCGGTGACAGTGTCACTGCCCACTACCCTGTCGACAAGGTTCCTGCCCTTGCCCCTGTCGCCATTCCCTTCAACGGGGGTGTCATCTACCCCATCGACGACGTGCTCAACATTCCTGGTAACCTCACCAAGGAGTTGGCCCAAAAGAACGTCAACGGCTCTACCTTTGTTAGTCTTCTCGAAAAGGCTGGCATCCTCGAGGAAGTTGAGGGTCTTGCTGATATCACCGTCCTCGTCCCCGACAATGCTGCTTTCGAGACTGTTGGAGCAGCCGTCGAAGAGCTTTCGACTGAGGAGCTGGCCGAGGTCCTGAAGTACCACATCATCACAGACAACGTCGTGTATGCCAACCTGATCGCCAACGGTACCACTTACCCCACCTTGTCAGGAACCGAGATCTCCATCTACCGAAACAGAACCACCTTCTTCGGCAATGGTGCTGCTACCACCAACAACCTCCTGATCCGCAACGGTGTTGCCATCGTTGTTGACAGCGTCCTGAGCCCCGATGCCCCCGCCGTCAACGGCACCCAGTCCGCAGGAAACCCTGCTTTCCCCGTTGGACCTGGCTCTAGCTCTAGCTCTGATGACACTACCGGATGTGCTGCTGCCACTACCGGAGGTGCTGCTGCCTCCACCACCACTGGCACTGCCCCAGCTGAATACACCAACGCTGCCGTCTCCTTCAAGCAAGGTGCCGTCAGTGTTGCCGCTTTGGTCGCCGCTGCCGGTTTCGCCATGAACTTGTAGAGGAGTGCAGACATCATGCAGTGGACCTACTAATACCCAACAACGGTCCGCAATGACGGCTCCCGTCTATTGAAGTGAGCAAGATAACCATCTGGGTTTCTATTCTCGAAAAACCATGTACAGACGATCCTTGATAGATGTAATACAACAGCATGTTGATACCACTACCTTGATAAACTTTTTTCCGTCCCTGGCTAGCTGAGTGAAGTGATCGTTCTAGGTCTAGTGGAGGCTCATGTTAAAGATGGAATTGACCTAAATAGGGAGCCGTCGGCAGGTTTCCACCTCCAAACTCAGCCAAGGCGCTAAGTAAACCTGTGAGATGGAACCACAACTCCGCCTGAGTTCGTCGAGTCTGAGCTTTCCGACAAAGTGGTTTCAGTTATTCTCCCTCTTCGATAGGATGCATGCCGTTATTTTGACTGCATTCTGTGATGATAAGATCCTTCGCACATGGTCTGGCAGATTTATCTTCTGAGTACGACATGGTCCAGTACAGGCATCATCAGAGGACCAGTGCGCCCCCCCTAAAGGCCCCTCGGCCTTCACAAATCTTTTGTTGATCAACAGATACCCCAACGGGAGCAATACCTCGCATTTCCCTCAAATCAAAAGAGTGTGTGATGTATCTCGACGTGAAATATTGAATTGACGTCTGCCTGGGGCTGACATTTGTTATTGACATGCCCATTTCATTACTACTGGCGGTATGGTACACGGTCACGTGATTGAATACGACAGGGCCCCTTTCCCCAGGCAGCACAGTTATGCTCCAATGCCGGTGTCCTTCAAAGGATGCATGGCATGCGGCTCGACTGGTTACTTGAAAAAGAATGACATTCCTCTTGTTGAAGATTTATTTTGTCACATCATCTCCGCAGATCTGTGTCGTCTCGTTCAGACCCGGAACGAGATTGTGATTACAAGCTCTCCCTTTTTCATTTCAAATTGATCCCTTGAAGCCTGATAGACTCTAGCAGTCACATTGCTATTGTAATACACAATACACGGACCTGGGCTGTTCTGAGTCGAGAGTCGCAAAGTATTGGTGGCTAAGATGGCGAGTGACCTCTGGTATTCAAGACTCAGATCCCTGGCTTCGAAGCATTCGCTGATCATCTTTTACCAATAGTCCGGTTTATTCAGTATGTCTCCTGCTCCCTAGGTCAAAACCACTCCCATACCAGCGTATCGAGTCTTTCACTACACCATTACATACCTGATGTCCTTCTTGAAGTAGCTCAGTGTCAAGCTTGATGTTTGGGTGAAAAGTTATTTAGAAAAGAAAGAAACAATCATCGTTTGTCTTTGGCGGAATGGATACTGACAATCCCACGCTCAGCCGTTTTTCTCGGCCATGGGATGCGCCAGCGCAATCATCTTCTCATGTTTCGGAGCAAGTTATGGCACAGCAAAGTCTGGCATCGGTATCATGGCCTCGGGGATATTGCGTCCTGACCAAATGATCAAAAGTGAGTTCCACATCATGAATTGGTAGAGAGATCAAGGCATCTTTCAGCACAGACTTATGCTCACATCGAATACCTCTCCAGGCTGCATGCCCACTGTAATGGCTGGCATCATTGCAATCTACGGACTGGTCATCTCTTTGCTCATCAGCTCGACCATTTCCTCAACGAGACCGACACCTCTTGCGGCATCAATGACGCACTTTGGCGCAGGTCTGGCCGTTGGTCTATCAGGTCTCGCAGCAGGTTTCTCAGTTGGTATCGTTGGTGATGCGGGAGTCCGAGCCAGTGCACAACAACCAAGATTATTCACTGGCATGATGTTGATATTAATCTTTGCTGAGGTGTTGGGTTTGTACGGTATGATTGTGGCGTTGTTGATGGTCAGTGGGGTCGAGGTGGAAAACGCTTGTTGAGACTGTACATAGCTTTGAGTGTGCGTGCCTGGCTAGGCGGTCACCCAACCAGGTAGAAAGCCGGAGATGAGGGTGGCGATAATGGATACGTGATCCATTGTGGCTAAAAAGAGAAGAGGAAAGTGTCAAAACTACTAATCGAAGAAGGTGGACTTGTGGGAAGAGAAGGATCAAGTTCCAGCCAGCTGGCTTCTGCGTTGTGTGGTCGTTATTGTAGGCGCTGATTCTCAGGATGGGCCCAATAAACGGAAGACGTGGTTTGCCAGTATAACATAAGGCTCGTTGTGAGATATGATACTGTTTTTATCTTTGCAACGGCTTTTCGAACCCATCAGAGTGAATATCTGTTCTTGAATGGGATCCCACCAGAACAACAGTCCCCTAGGCCGTTGTCGATCTACCATACCCATGTCTTCTAAAGCGAAAGAATCTATTAGTTGCCAGCTAGTCCCTTTGCTTCTATACACGTAATCCTCTTACTTCCTATCTACAGCCTCCTGAGATGATTGCTCGGAACCCACCTCCTGAACAAGGACGGAAGCGTTGTCTTTGCCCCATTTGACCTGCTTGAACTTTCGAACCACTTGCAGGGTTGCATAGTAGCTGAAAGGCAAGGCGACGAACCAATAGCCGAAGTTGATACCGGCAGTAACGATAAGAGCAGTGGGGACGGCTTGGATGCCAAAGCCAACAGCGACGCCTGCTGTTTCAATTCCCCGGAGTAGCGAACTATATCGAATCTGGTCCCCTGGCGAGTCGGAAAGGTTGCTGATACACCAGTAGATATAGTTCTCCACCATTCCGAGGCTAATGCGCTCAAATAGGTAAACACCGAAGCCACGGCCAAATGTGCTCTGAACGCCCCAATCCAGCACTGGATGCGATTTGCGGTATTCGTCCTGGATAATAACTGCCCAGATCCAAGTAGCGCTGTTTAGTAACGCTATTAGAACGTAAGTTAAGACAGCTCTTCGTGTTCGTGACTTTAACCAAGGTACATCGACGAGAGTACCGGTTAACCAGGTTGCTAGGGTTCCAACAACGGCTGACATGAAACTTCCTAGAGCTCTAGAACGCACAGTGAAGTATGTAGCCAGAAACGTGCCTGGGTAAGCTTGTATCCAGCCAAAGTACCAAAAGAGAGGAATTAGAAGTAGAATAGATCGACTTCTTGCAAGGCGCCACATCTCTTTGAGCTCCGTACGCCAGTGAATCCCTCGTGGAGCTTCAATCCGAGAGCCATCGTCACGAACGACCTTTTCAGGGTTAGACAGTAACAGGCCCAAGGGAAAACCTAGACACTGAATAGCAATGAATGCTAGATAGGTCTGATAGCCAACTTGTCCCCTTTGGTTGATATTGACATTGATGCCTAGAGAGATAGCACCGCCGATGATATTGCCGAAATTTCGAAAGGTAAACCATGTAGCGATATAGCGACCACGTTTATGCTGCTCCGGATATCCCGTGGCGATAGCACCTTCAACGCTCCAGAAAAAGCCGGCCGAGATGCCACATGCTACGGCTCCAACATAGACGAACCATTCGACGCCTTGACGGTTGTTGACGTATAGACCAGCCGCGTACAAAGGGTAACCGAGAGTACCAAGGGCCAAGGTCCAGCGGAATCCAACGACGTTGGTCAGCCAGGGACCAGCAAAGCAAGTGATGGTCATGAAAGCGTATAGTATTGCATTGGCAGCGTTGACCAGGTCAGGAGATGCAGAGCCCCCGACTCCCAGCCCGTTCATGGCACTCCATATCCCTGGAGCAGTAAAGGCGCAGGCTCCGACAACGAGGATTTGGAAAAGAGTGCTTCGGAAGAACTTGGGTTTTCCGTGCCGGTTGTATAGCTTTTCGTCACCCGCAGGAATCGTTACTGGGATTGGTACTGGAGAATCTCTCAGGTCCTCTTTGCCCAGCGAAAGGGCCGATTTGCCGTTGTTCGGGAGGGAGGACATGTTGATCAAGACGATCGCAGGTAGATCTTCAAGGCCGTGGCTTAGGACAGTGAACTCCGAGTGTTGAGTTGAAAGGCTTCTAACGTCGTATTGAAACTAAATAACATTTTCCTCAACCAGGCGCATCGGACATATCCCACGCTGACTCGATTTTCTCAGCGCGAGGTGTTCCACGAGGCAAGCACGCAAGATCCCAGTATGGACACGATGCCAGTCCGCTGTGGTTGGTCATTGGTCATCTTGAGCAAGCATTCCACATCCTCGGGGCTCTTTGAATGACGATAAGGTAATAGCATGGTTGCCATTGGTTCGATATCCAGAGAATGAGATTTTCAGGGACATGTCCGTCAGTGGACTATGCTAGTATAAAATTCACGCATATGGTGACGGAATTCCCGGGGTTACAACAGGTGTGATAAGGTGGGATATTGATATCGCAATATTGGCATGAATGATACCATTTGAGGGTTTAAGGAGAAGACAACGGGCCAAGGTTTTAATGTGGGGAGGTTGGAGGACGTTGTGGAGTGCCTATAGTTAAAAAGTGTGTTCTGTTTTGGAATGGAAATACTAGGTAGTGAACAAGTCCGAAACCATAGGGAACCTCTAAAACTCGGTACAGAACGCACTTGTCATAACAATGTCATGACCCTCAGGTAATTTCCCGGTCATTCAATAGGTATCGTCACCATTCAATCATTTTATACGCCCGTTCATATCGCACGAGGCTGCCTTAGCCTAAGCAAATGATCACGTGTTGGGGGTTATTCGATTCTTGGCGGCGCCCCCTGAATCCATCTGGTGTCGCTCTCGTTGACAGACTACTGAGTAGGCCTCCCATTTACAACAGTTTGTGTGATGACTAGTTAACCCATACCAGGACACATTCATTTGAATAGCACAGTCCAGAATAAGAACCGCCTCCGAAGTGGGTATCCTCATCTCCAAGTCCTTAGCCATGGCATTTGATGACAGAACCTCCATCGATATAAAGCTCTTCTCCAGTGATGAAGCTTGCTTTCTCACTTGCCAGGAACACAACCCCCTCAGCTATATCCTCAGCCATACCCCAGCGATGGATTGGAATTGCTTTGATCATGCCCTCATCATAGGTGCCAATCTTGATCTGATGGTCGAGTACTGTGACAATTAATACTTTGGCCGGTTCTCCTTACCACAGATGCACTTACAAGGGGTTCTGATGTATCCTGGGCAAACTGAGTTGACACGAATGCCATCCTTTCCATATGCACAGGCGTCTGTTCGAGTGATTCCCAACACCGCTGCTTTGGTAGCAGCATACTTGAGCTTTGCATTAGTGGCTATCTTTCTCATGGGATGCTGTATACTTACTGCTCCAACGTTCTCATGTGATACACGACCGAAAATCGACGATATGTTTACAATGGAGCCTCTCTGAGGGTTTGTTCCAGCCCTGTCACATCATTTTATCAGCCTTGACACTAGATCGTGGAATCGACAGTACCAACCTGGTTCGAAGTTCTGGCTCTTGTTTCAGCATCTGCCTTAGCTCCGCCCTCTCACATAGCCATAGTCCTCGTTGATTGACGTTTTGTACACGGTCGTACGATTCAACCTCAAGCTCATGTGTCCTGACTCTCGGCTTGCTGGAAATGCCAGCATTGTTGACGGCATAATGGATGGCTCCAAATTTTGCCACCCCTTCATCTACCATCCTTTGAACTTGGTCCTCCTGGGAGATATCGCATGTGACCAGACACGTCTGAACACTGTCGTCAAGCTCCTCGAGCTCTTTGGCAACTGTCTGAAGCCCCTCCCCATTGACATCTGCGAGAATGAGTCTGGTACATCCTTCGGCCACAAATGTATGAGCCACAGCCCGACCTATGCCTGATGCTGCCCCCGTCACAAGCGCAACACTAGTTGAATTATTACACACATCCTCGGTGGAAAGGCAGTCAAACTTACCCCTTCATACGGTATGGTGTTGGTGCCATTTTGCTATTGAAACAAAGAGACAGGAAGTTCCAACTGCTGGCGATTCTTCAACGTCTCAAGGCGAGGGCGGCGACGTTTGGGAATATGCCAATATCGAAAATACGATCTTGGCTGCCATTGACCCTTGGATCCCAGAGAACCACAGCATCATATCCGCTCCTCGGTAGTTGAGGTCACCCCAGATTGGAGAAGTGGTGTGGAGATGAAGGGCACAGATGCGATCACGTAAACTTCGCCTTGGAGACTGGCCCGTGGGCCCCGCCTCCCCATACTTTCTCCCCACAAGGTTCAGCACACACGTAAGCGCTCCCTGTTCAGACCATCACTAACGTGATCAACACTTGAATAGTGCTTGGACGAATCGATGACTATGGCCCTTGCTGATTGGTCCATGCTGGTTGATGCTTGGGACGGCCATTGCGGCTTCAGGGGCGATTGGCCGTGCAGCGCCTCTCAGAGCGAGCATATAGGCCAAGCGTGAAGTATTAACTATTGCAGGATTGATTTGTATTCGACTCAATCACCACTGATTGATTACAACAGCTATGGTTGAGTTTCCGGATCTCAAGGTGAACGGACAGCAACACACGAGCCCGCCAACCGAATCCCCTGAGGATGTTGCCGCCAGATTTGGCTGGGTTCGGCAAAATGGGCGAGGCTACAGCATTCAGGAGCGTCCCTATGGCACGGAACGGCCAATGAGAGTAATCCACATTGGTGCTGGCATATCCGGAATCTGTATGGCAAAGTTCCTTCCTGAGACACTCAACGATGTTTCTCTTGTCTGCTATGACAGAAACGAGGACATTGGTGGGACCTGGTTCGAAAACAAGTAAGCACTCAATGTCATCAGCGCCAAAGCAATACATTTGCTCACTACTTATAATAGATATCCGGGATGCGCTTGCGACATTCCCTCGGCGAACTATCAGGTGAGTCGAAACTTCCTGGATCTATGGGGTATTTCCTAATAAGTAACGCAGTTTACATGGGCAAGAAATCCTCGTTGGTCTCATTTCTACTCTTCTGCTGGTGAAATCTGGGAGTATCTGAGAGATGTTGTCGAGCAATATGACTTGAAGAGATACATGAAGCTCAATCACCAAGTCACCGGTGCATCATGGAACGACGAAGCAGGCGTCTGGGAAGTCTCAGTCAAGGACTTGTTGACTGGACGGATGTTCGTCGATACGGCAGAGGTTCTTGTCAACAACGCTGGTGTTTTGAAGTAAGTGCACGTGTTTGGACTCTAAATGCTGCGGGCTAATTTGAGGCAGTGACTGGAAGATGCCAGATATCCCAGGATTGGACTCTTTCCAGGGTACACTCTGCCACACAGCACGATATGATACAAGTCTCGATCTTAAAGGGAAGCGTGTCGCCGTAATTGGCATGGGGAGCAGTGGTATCCAGGTGACAGCTGAGATAGCCGGTGAAGTTGATCAGCTATACACATGGATTAGATCTCCGACCTGGATCACGGCTGGTTTCGCTCAAAACTGGGCAGGGCCTAACGGTGCAAATATAGAGTGTATGTGCAATCTGAAAACCGACCTTGATAAGTGGCTGACATGTTGTCAAGACTCGGAACAGGAAAAGAGAAGATTCGAAGAAAACCCTCTCGATTATCTCCAATACTGCAAGCAGATTGAGAGTGAACTTAATCAACGGTTCAAGTTCATATTGAATGGTACACCAGAGGCCGCCCAAGCAAAACAGGTAACAAAGCTTCCGCGACTTTAAGCAAGTTGGCTTACACCGTTCCAGTTTGCGACCGATCAAATGAGTCAGCGGCTGGGTGGGAACCAAGAGCTCATCGACAGGCTGATTCCGAAAGGATTCAGTATTGGTTGCAGGCGTCCGACGGTAAGCAACCCCCAGATGAACAGACCAAACGCTCGTTACTGAAGTCTACTAGCCTGGAAATGGATTTCTGGAGGCTCTCTGCAGACCCAATGTCAAAACTTTCGTGCAGGGAATCCAGAAAATAACCCCACGTGGATTTGTTAACGAAGATGGAATCGAACATGAGGTTGATGTGATAATATGTGCTACAGGGTAAGCGGAAGAATCGTATCATTCCTTCATAATCTCACATTGCTTCAGATTCGACACCAGCTGGATCCCACGAATTCCAATCATTGCGAACGGCAAGAACGTGAGAGACGTGATCGCTGAAAAGCTCGTCTCATATCTATCAATTGCTGTTCCTGATGGTAAGCTCAGCGAGTATCAAGTGCGGAGCTCGTCTAATGATGGCCTTAGTTCCAAATTACTGGTCTGGTGTTGGCCCATATGGTCCCCTTGGTCATGGGTCCTTCATCCCTATCATTGAGCTCGTCACACGTCATATTCTTACCATTGTCAAGAAGATGCAGAAGGAGGACATCAAGTCCCTTACCCCTAGACTCGACATTAGCGAATTCTTCGCTGAGCATGCAGACCTGTTTCTGCAACGCACAGCCTGGTCAGGGGCGTGTCGAAGTTGGTTCAAACAAGGCCGACTAGATGGAAAGCCAGCAGTATTCCCGGGCAGCCGGCTCGTCTACATGGATCTTCTCAAAGAACCGAGATTTGAGGACTACACCATCCACTATTCACATGGGAACCCGTTCGCTTTTCTTGGTAATGGTTTCAGCACCAAAGAATTTGACGGCAGTGATCTGTCGTACTATCTCGGGACCGAGGAAAACCCAGGGGGCGCACTGCCGCGAGGAAAGAACTCCAAAAACGTTAGCAAGGAGATTCCCAGTGTCAAGGAAGTCAACGGCTATCATTAATTCTATCTTTCATCGTCGGTCCTTGCTACGGCACATCAGATTCGAGCGCGCTCCGGAGTCATCCTCCTCCTCCTCATGGTAGTCCATAGATTTGCGATACATTCAAGCTAAGTAGAAGTAAACGATATATATTTTAGTCCTAGATCAAAGGTACCATCGATTTGTATACTGTCGTGGAAACTAGCTAGAGAACAACATCGTTCTATGACTAACTCAATCCGATCCTCCATTGACTGGGATTACCTGCCCTGTCATGAAACTGGCGGCATCTGACAAAGCAAATAAGATGACATCGGCGATATCTGTGGCATATGCCATCCTCCCCAGTGGTATCCTAGAGGAGAGGGCAGAAGAGAGCTTCTTCAAATCTTCAGGATCTCCGGTGCTGCTGGTAGCACCCCTAGAAAGGGGCGTATCCGTCACACCTTGCATTGGATGTCAGTGAAAGCTTTACATGGTACTTTGGAACCTGCTTACCAGGGGCAACTGCATTCACTCGAAGAGTAGGCCATTCCTTAGCCCAAGAACGTGTCATCCCCAACACGGCATGCTTTGAAGTGCAATAAGCGCCGAGACCAGCAATGCCACGGAGAGACGCTCCGCTGGCGATGTTTACGATAACTCCAGCACCAATCGTTCTCTCACTTCCTGGTAGCAGGCCTTCACTCGAGTGCTGCTTTTGCTGAGTCATCCTTTGGATCGCTTCCGTGCCCATGTACCACGATCCTGTGACATTGATTGACATAATCCGCTCGAAAAGCTCGTCGCTTGCCATTTTGCCTTCGACTGGACAGATCCCTGCGCAGTTGACAAGGCCATCAAGGTTCCCAGGGATAGAATCGATGAATGTTTTGCATGCTTCACGACTTGTGATGTCGCATTTGTTAACATGCACATTGGCCTTTCCTTCCAGCTCCTGTGGTGCCTTTAGCACATCTGCAATGTAGACTGTGGCTCCAGCATTGAGTAGAGCCTGCGTCGTTGCAAGCCCAATTCCAGAACATCCACCCTGTATCGAACTCAGTGAGCAGGTGTGTCCTGTGGCCATCACTTGAGCTCAAGGGAAACTCACCGTTATAGCAATTGTGCGACCCGAGAATGAATTTGCCATCTTTACGAATATGATTCAATGGGGTAGCTAAAACAGGACGATGGTGGGATATCGCTTGAGCTGCGGTTGGTTGACGGTTTTTCTGTGTTGTCTATCACACGCTGAGTCTTCGCAGCACCCATATTACCATGAAGCTGTCCATATTTAGACGATGCCCTTGTGGCATCCACCATTCCTGGCTTCGTCACACGCAAACCATGCTGTACCACTGAGTCTCCACTGGTGACTAAACCCTGCCCCTGCGAGGGAAGAATTCATAGGCCCCCTCGGCCTGTCTCTCCGCACTCTCCCCACGAGCTGTCCTGGCTTGAGACCCGCAATTCCAAAGCCTAAGAACCCCAATCTACGGGTTCCTACGAGTACTTCCAAGGATGGGAATTTGGGGGGAAGAGGGGGACAGTGGAGCCGAGGGTATCTGGCCATGCCTTATCTGGGCGCCGCAACCGGCTTTCTACCCTCGGTTCTCTCCGTCATCCATTTTTTGCCCCAATGACAGAAATGAGCATGCATATCTGAGCTCAAACATGTTAGAAATCGACCACACAGTCATCTTGCTCCTCCTTTCTGCCAACCAAGATGCCTGAGACACCCCCAAATGCGATCAGCAAAAGGTGCGTTGAATCGAGCTTAGCCTTGCTAGTGCCCCTCGAGAGATATGCACTGAATACTTACCAAACACAGGCGTGCGCGGAATCGCGTGGCCCAGCGGTCTTTCAGAGAGCGTCAAGCCCGCTATGTCAAAGAATTAGAGCAGAAGGTTGCAGCAAGGCCACAGGACGAAAGCTCTAGGCTCAACGCGGCGGAGCAGGAAATCCGTCGCCTACGAAGTGCTCTTCAGACCACAAAATCCCGTATCTTGAGCTTGAGTACGGCGTTGTCTGGCATCACAGATAATATCAATGCGTCGTTGGATGCTCTGAGCGATTCAATCGAATTGGATCCGCTGGATGAACTGCGTGAATGCGGAGAAGGCAACACTCTAGAGCAGACAATTCAAGATCGACTCGAATTTGAGGAAGGGCCATTTGATAATGAAGCTGAGCCACGCCAATCTACTGACGAGGACGAAGTTATTGCGCAAGACACCCTACCTTTACCCGGAACCAACAATGTCGATACTATTGATAATTTGCAAGTCCCGTTAAGCAATAACGGGGAACATGGCCTAAGTAGATATGAGCGTCCATCTACCAGCGAGAATCACCACAGCAATAATTTGTCGAACACGTTCATTTTGTCACCGACCGAACTTATAAAGCCTGCAGGTGCTGCGCAGCACCTCAACTCTCATACTTTCCCGCACTTCAGCGGCCACGAAGACGTCCGGTGGTCTTTGAACGGCGACTCTCAGGCAACTGTGCAGGCTCCTTGCCCCTTTTTCCCATCTGCCGGGCCTGAACAGTCCTGGAATCTCCCTCTTACAAACGTTGCCTTCCCTCCCGGGACTGCCAGCTTTCCATCAATATTCTCGGCGCACCTTGCAGTATGCGAGTACTTCATTAAGCAGAACCAAGCCTATCGGGATCGACTTCAACCTCAAGGCATGGAATCGTGAGTGCTCAACATTACCAACTAGTGCAATGGTCCATATTAACACTTCTTAGGTTTTCAAAGCTGATCAATACGATGGTGAATATGTTCGTTCAGACCTGCTGGCCAGGTATGCGGGTATGGTGGGCATACATACAATCTGCCGCCGTGGTGGAAAAACTCATGAAGTGGAGGCTCGATTCTTGTCTTGATACTTATAAAGCTCTCCCCATAACACATCGACCCACCGCTCTTCAGCTCAGCACCACGCATCCAGCTATCATTGACTGGGCGTTCTTCCCATCGATACGGGACCGCATGATTGAGATGTACTCTCACAGCTGGATGCTGGATGAAATCGTCTGCGAATTAGTGAAGGCCTACGTCGTTGAAGCCGATCTGACCAAGCTTGTAACTGGCATGGAGAATCTTCCACCTCAGACGGGCTACTTCAGCATATGGGAAATAGTCCAAACCATTGCCCGAGAAGATAGGCAGCAGAACCAAGCGAATTTTGACCTGTGGGGAAATGGACTTCACCTCGACGAGGATCTCTTCGCAGAATCATCGAGCCCGTTTGAGATCGAGCAAGCGGATAGTGATGGGACATGGATCAAGATGCCGCTTGACCAGATCTACCAATCTCGAAAGGTAGCCTTGAAGCTTTTCAAACTACTACGCATGGATGATCGTCGAATTGTGAAACTCGACCCAGCTTTCGCAGCTGCGCATCCGGAACTATGCGACGACGTTAGTATTATTTCAACAGGGCTCGACTGTACTCTTAGGGGTAACAGCACTCCAGTATCTCGCCCCAAACCTCTTACTCGTGAGGCTATTCTAAACTATAAGATGACGCTCTGGAAGACGAACTTATGAGATCAGATAATACTAGGCATTCTTAATGATCATGGAACAATTTTGCTGCAACGACAGATGCTTTTGCTAAACTTCTGCAAACATGACCCTGCCTAATGCACTCTCAAGCACACACGTAATCCCAGGCTGGAGTTGTAGGCTCGCAGATCACGAGTGGGTCGTCCTACCAAGACACGGGGAATTTAGCCATAACCCACTGGTGCCGAGCTTTGATACACGGTGACTTCATGAGCGCGAGTTGCTCAACACAAATTGCTGTGACTTTACGACTCAAGCGCCGATACTATTGTCTAAACAACACTATTCGACATCGATTGTGGTGTTCTACCTAGAGACAGTCTCGCAATACTTGGTCAAATGGAAAGCACTGTCCTTCGAGACGTGAATGGAATCCAAGTCAGAGGCTTAGCCTCAACACCCTCAGGCGTCGAAAAATTCCTAGGTATACCATTTGCACGCGTCACTCAAAGGTTCCGACCAGCCCAGCGGGTTCCCCTGGCCAGCTTGGGCCCGAAACTCGATGCAACTGCTCTTGGACCACGTTGTCCTCAGTCTTTCAATTATGGACCCCAGCGTCGCAAGCATTTATACGAAGGAGCACCATCATCAGCAAATGATGAGGTATCTGAGGCTAACTGCCTAAACGTCAATGTTTACGTCCCACCTCAGGCTATCGCTGAAAAATCGAGGCATCCAGTTCTGGTCTGGATCCACGGTGGCGGCTGGGTATTTGGGGATGGGGGGGCCGAATATGGTATGAAACACCCTCGTCTTGTTCCTTCATCTCCTATACCAGCTTCTGATCCGAGCAGATGGGGCTCTGCTCATTGACGAGGCTTCTCGGCGTGGCAAACCGTTCGTCGTAGTGACGTTAAATTATCGACTGGGATACTATGGCTTTCTTAGTTCTCGAGAACTTCAGATGGAGGCCGAGGCAAGTAATGAACGGTATTGTCCAAATCTAGGGCTTCTCGATCAACAAATGGCTCTCGAATGGGTACGACGACACGACAGAACTGCATAATTTCTGCTAACCCCACGGCTTCAACAGGTCCAAGAAAATATCACACACTTCGGGGGCGATCCGACAAATTGCACTCTCGCCGGACAGTCCGCCGGAGCCTGGTCGGTTCTGAGCCATCTCGTCACGGATAAACCTTTGTGCAGGCGCGGACTTGTGATGTCAGCCACCGTCCTAAGTTTCCCAAGCACAGACGAGAGTCAAGCAATCTTCGATACGCTTGTTGAGAGGGCTGGTGTTGGGCGAGGCGCCTCTGCTCAGGAGAAGCTGGCTGCGTTAAGAGGCCTTAGCGACGACCAGATGACGGCGTGGCTAGATGGTGCCGTCCTCGTCAGACCAGCATGGGACCCTAGTTGGTTCTCTTCGCTCCAAAGTCACTCACGACTCGATCAAGTTGTCTCATTTCCTGAATGGGTGGAGGGTCTTGTCATCGGATCGACAAAGGATGAGACAGCCAACATCAGACCAGGCTGGCAGCCGTTCCCTACGGACACCATCGTCAATGCCATCAAATCTGTGGTTCCAAGACCGGACATGACTCCGGAAATAATCGAAACTTATGGTCTTACCTCCTCGTCCCATGAGGAGGTACTTGATGGCCTGGTCAGCCTGACCACCGAGAGCTTTTTCGGCTTATTCCCACAAGCATTGGCTCCAAGGTCAACGCCAGTCAGTGTCTACCGTTTTGAGCAAACGGATACCTTTGAGCAAAGTTTCTACAGAGACAAGGCATATCATTGCTTGGACTTGCCGTTCCTTTGGCGTTCCCCTGCTGTAGCTGGTGGTTCTGCTGATGTTTGGATGAGAGCAACGGCAGATGCGCTTACCGATGCCATTGCCACATTCGTCCATGGCCAGCAGCCGTGGGAGTGTTTCCATACTGCTCAAACTGTGATGGTCTTCAATGGAAAAGATTCCGGAGCAAGGAAATGGCCCAACAACGAGCGGTGGAAGCGGTTTTTCCCTGCCGTCGATCGCTCAACGGCTCTGGTAGATACAGGTCGGCTTTTGATGACATACAATCTGGCGCAACTGGCTCAGAGTCAACCTACTAAGTAGCCTATGCTTGGAAGCCTGGCGGGCTTGACGGCTACTGTATCACATAGATGATTGAATAAAATGCATAATGTTTTGCGTATGGGACCGGGTAACAAGTTCATGAAAATTTTAGATACCATGTTGGCGAGTCATGTCAACGGCTCATGCTCAAAATTGGAAACCTCCATTTCTCAAAGCTTCTGGAAAGGTTGATTTAGACATCGGCTCAGACGGCTGCTCGCCCAGAAGGCTTCGGTTTCTCGATGTCGTTTAAGCCGTCCACAGACCCACTATGTTCTGGCTTGGAATAGTCGCCAAGTCCAGATGCGGTTGTCAGGAGGTGGTGACAAAGAGTACAATTATGTGAGTGATCGGCAGCTCATCTCCTATACTGTGTGACTGTACAAGTCCAGTGCTCCTCACAAGACGCTATAGTCATAACACATCGAGTACCCTGGTCTTCTGACTCAATGATCTTGACAGTGATGCATCCACATGCATCTCATCAGTTAGGGTCTTCGCTTCGGCTAGGTGTTTCCAGCGATATTGTTGGTAATTTAATGTAACACTATGTAATCGCCATAGAGAAGATTGTGTAGATTACAGCACAGACTAGGCGTGATCAGACTAAGTGCATAACAAACTAATAGCTCGGTCCATGAATATTCCCCAGCCGAACAGGTTGTTTTGACAGCCTAGTGTACTACGCATATAGGTCCACTGACCTAGGAAAAAACCTATGATGGCTTACGTGTGTGCCTTTCCCCACACATCAACCTGACCATGTGCAGAATCAAGATACCCAGAGGCAGAGCTTGGGGTATCTGGGGTATCTCCACATGCTGGAGGGTTTCGAAAGGGGCTTAAGTACAAAACAAATCCTATATCGTACTACCTCACGCTTTGCATACCTACAGCAATCACACGTGGTCCAACTCAGAAGCAATCATGGCTCAACAAGTCGAACCTGAAGTCGAGGCCACGAAGCCAAAGTATGATACCAAACACGCCGACGAGCTGTCGCTTGAGAACGACGATGAGCTTTTGTTGGATGGTAAAGACCCCCGCATAAAGGCCATCAAACGAAAGACCGATCTCAGAATATGTGCTCTGCTCGGGCTTCTTTACATGATGGCGGCCATTGATCGTGTCAACTTGGGTGTAAGTACGCTTCGTTGTGGTAGCCTGATCTAGTACACTGACAATGAGCAGAACGCGTACGCTCTCACGAACACTATCTACAAACATCTTCTCTAATTTTTCTTAGTGTGGTTGCGGGCATGGGAGTCAGCCTAGACCTTCAAGGAAATGCATACGTGAGTCTGACCTACTGCAACTAGATCTCACCTCGTACTATGGCTGATGAACCTGCTACAGACCTTGCTCATCCTCGTCTTCTTCCCCTTTTACATTGCCTTTCAACCTCCTGCAATTGCAATTGCCCGAAAGGTCCGGCCCCGTCGCTTCATCACGTTCATTGTTGTAGCATGGGGCATTGTGACCGTAGGTCACGGTCTGGTTACCAGCTGGCGCCAGATGCTCGCCCTTCGAGCCTTGTTAGGTATCCTTGAAGCTGGGTACTTTTCTACAGCCGCTTATCTGGTCAGCACCTGGTATATCAGAAGTAGGTTGCACTGAAGACCAATGGTATGAGAAGTAGCATGCTGATAACAAGCAGGGGAAGTCGCGAAACGGAATTCGTCGTTCTACCTGTTCGGTAGCATGTTGGGTGGATTTGGTGGTATACTAGCATATGGGGTTCGTCAGTAATGCTTCCAGACTCAGAAAATTGCTCACAAGAATCATAGCTCCAACAAATGGACGGAGTTGGCGGCAAAGAAGGCTGGCGATGGATTTTCATTATGGAAGGAGTCATCACAATCGCCATGGGTCTTCCAGCCTACGTGATCCTGGTGGACTTTCCTGAGGAGGCTCCTAGATCTTGGAAGTTCATTAACGAAGAAGAAGCGAAGCTCATCGTGGCCAGAATCAATGCCGACCGCCGCGATGTCATCACTCCACCTTTCAACCTCAAGCATTACCTGAGCCACGCCAAAGACTGGAAGATCTGGTTTTTTGCCCTCAACTTCTGCATGACTTCTGTTGTCAACTATGCTGTCGCTTACTTCCTACCTATCGTTCTTCGAAACGAATTGGGGTTCTCTGTAGCGGCAGCACAATGCCTCAATGCTCCAGTAAGTGGTGGTTGATCATGCGTTAGTGATATGGGGGGCTAATTGTGGATTCCAGTGCTACGTCTTCGCCATCATTCTCGGCGTTTCGGAGAGTTACTTCTCTGACAAGTGGAACCTTCGAGCCCCTTTCTTCCTGTTCAACTGTGCTCTAGCGGTCATGGGTGTCTGTGTCCTGGGCTTCGCTAAGCCGAGCGGTGTTCGATACTTTGGCGCCTTCTTCATTGTGGGGCCTGCGTTTTCCAACATTCCGTTCGCCCTCACCTACCAGGCAAACAACATCCTTGGCCAGTGGAAGCGTGCGTTCTGCTCAGCGACGATTGTTGCTGCAGGTGGTGTTGGAGGTATCATTGGCTCTTTGGTCTTCAGAAACCAGGACGCTCCAGCGTACCGGTTAGTTACACTTTGATCCCCAACTATGATGACATGATATGCTGAACTATTCTTGCAGTCCGGGTTTGTACGCCTGTCTCACGGCAGCTGGACTTTGTGTCATCTCGATGTGCACGACGACCGCTTATTTTGTCTCGCAAAACAAAAAGGCTGACAGAGGCGAGACGGTGATCGAAGGTGATCCACTTTTCCGATACACTTATTAGCGTTTTCGAAGCCGGGATACCACAACACCTCAGCCGTAGGGAAGGCTGGACGGAGGGAGCTGGCAGAAAACGAATCTAAGATAGTCGTCAGAGTGTGGATCCGAAGTCCATTTGAAGGCCTGATAGTGTACCAAGGAGTTGAGGACAAGGCTGTTAACCCAGGGGCTTGGGTGAGGACCGTCATCTCAACATTCCCTCCTATAGAAAGTAAGGTCTGCAAGGCTGTGGCCTCCTTTTACATTATGACATGTCCTTCTCGCCTGACACGATTTTCGACGGTCTTGAATACAAAAGTGCGGTTGCATTACATGACATTACCAAGTCGAATGTTGTTAGTCTTCCGAAAACGTGGTGTGGTCAGAGTTAGTGTTACTGGCTCGTTGGGGTCCTGGTTATGTATTGGTGCCGGAACAATCCAAGTTCCTATAGGCTGTGATAGGGCCAAAACCCAGATTCGTAATCTTTAGCAGGGATGATACCATCCGTTGGTGATGAACCACACAAAGACAAGGTTTGGTGCGGAGAACTCCTACCAACATCGACAGACTCCTACCGAGGCCGAAGAGACCAGTACATAATTCGAAGATTAACGTGGTTGGGCATGATCCTTCACATACCTGTTTGAACGTTCCATCAATACTCGGTAAATTTCTCGTCCAAAATGGCTGCTTCTGTGCAGAATCTCGCAACGTCATCCTTGAAGTTAGACGGTGCATCAGCAGCATCGTTGTCTTTCGAGGCATTCGATCTTCCTTCCGGCAATCAACGAGTCCTTGGCCAACCGCATCCAGAAGGGACTGTCATCCCGCTGGCTCTCCGTCCCTCAAGCTATGGAAACAAAGAACTTGACCTGGACACTGTTGTCGACACCATCAAGTCTCTTCAGGCCAATGATGGCATCCTAACCAAGAAACTGGCAGTACATGGAACCCTGCTCTTCCGAGGCCTGCCAATTCACAATGCCCATGATTTTAGCAAGTTTGCCCATGCCTTCGGATATCAGCCACATGAAATCATCGGAATTGTTGTCGACCGACCCCTCCTGGCACCCAACGTGGCGCCAGCCAACGAGGCACCAAAAGAAGTTCTGATCTATAACCATAATGAATCGCCTCAAGTACCACACGCGCCTGAGTACATCTTCTTCTATAGCCACAAAGCACCCGAGATTGGAGGGGAAACTCCAATCTCTTCCTCACTCGAGCTCTTCCATCGAGCCAAGGAGGAAATACCCGATTTCATTTCAGAGTTGTCTGCAAAGGGTGTTCTCAGCAAGGTTACATACAGGGTGGATAAACAATATGAAGGTGGCTCAACCTTGAAGCAAGCCTTTGGAAAGAATATTGAAGACGGTGATGACGAGGCCACACGACGGGCAAAGATCGAGGCTCAGATTGCCCGCTATGGGCGGGGCAAACACACTACATTTGAATGGGTGGATGAGTCCACTCTCGTCTTGACACACAGACTGCCTGCCATCCGAACTCAGCCTGACACGCACTTGCCCACGCTCTTCACCGGCCTGGCAGCCTACTGGAAGAACGTGCAGGTGAATCAGGATGCTACAGGGCTTGCTCGAAAGAAAGCCGTAGAGCAGTTGTATGGAGATGGAACGACTATTCCTGTCAAGTATCTCGAGGCTCTTGCCAAGATAACCGATGAGATTCGTGTGCTTCACAAATGGCAGCGAGGTGATGTGCTTGTCTATGACAACATCATTGCACAACACGGAAGACAACCCTGGGGAGGAGAACAATCGTCTCGCGTTGTGCTTGCAAGTCTGTTCGACGGACACAAGGTGCCCGGAGCATATTCCTCCGACGACTGGGCCCAGGTTGTGCAAGCCATTGACGGTTAATTCGTCATGGATGTGTAGCTGAACTGAATGAAGTGTCTGGGTAGAAATTTCGCAAAGGAATTTTGCAGAAGTTGTAGCTCATAACATAATGTGGCATATTTCGATTGTTTCATTCTTTGAATATGTCCCTGCGCATCTGCCCCGTATGTATATATTAATCAGAATTTTCGAGTTGTGTGAATGGCAATGATCCATTGAGTCTAGGAAAGGGAAAATAGGAGGATATGATATCACGTGTTGATAAGGATTGCCCAGCCTGTTCAGATAACCCGCCTAAAAGTAGATTATGACGTCAGACACCATCCCCACGACGACAGTCCTTGTTTGGTGCCTATAATCTTCATCAACCTCAGTATTACGATCCACGATGATGAACTACCAGATGATCAATCATCCATTCCAAATTCAAAAGCTTGAGTTGAGATCCTAGACACTATCTTCAATATTAGGACAGGCGAAGTAGACTCACGAGAAATGACGTAGTAAGCACCACAACATTGGGACGATGGACATGATGAAGGACAAGGCAAGTTAATCACAGAAACAGCTGTCTATACGAGATTCATATGGAACTGAACATGTATCTGCCTCAGACACCAGGAGCCGGTGGGCATCGAGGAACGGGGTCCACCTCTTTTGCTGCCATAGGCGCCACTCTTGTTCCCACCGTTATCACAGCAGCCGCTTTCCTGGTTGCCTTTATCTTGTTACGGTCGAGATACCGAAACATCTATGCACCAAGAACGTACTTCCGCACAATACCTCGAGGGTAGGCCAGTCATGATCGGTCCGTTGAGAGCTTGAAACTAAGAACCAATAGGGATCGTACCCCTTCTTCTTCTAGCCATGCCACTGTGTCGTGGTTTCATGATTTTCGTATCCTTGACGATAAATTCGTCCTCCGCCACTCATCACTAGACGCCTATCTCTTCCTGCGATATCTTCGAATGCTGGTCTTGATATCCGTGGTTGGATGTGTTGTGGCGTGGCCGGTACTCTTTCCGGTCAACGCCACCGCCGGAGGGGATGCTTCCGAATTGGACAAGATCAGTTTCAGCAATGTGAATGATCCCAAAAAGCTTTATGCCCACGCTATTGTCGCATGGATCTTTCTTGGTGAGGTCATCGATGCTGTTCGTTAAGGTCATCTAACTTGGATAGGTTTTATCATGCTTCTCATCACCCGAGAACGCATGTTCGTCATTGGGTTGCGTCAGGCATATCAAGCGACACCAAAAAATGCTTCAAGGCTGTCGTCACGAGTAGTCCTGTTCCTCTCGGTCCCCCTTGACTGGCTTAAACCAGAACATTTGCAACGTCATTTTGGACCAGATGCTATTCGAAGTTGGAACGTCTCCTCGCTTGAGGGTGTCGAGCAAATAGTCGCGACGCGGGATGTCAAAGTTGATGAGCTCGAGCAGGCGGAATTGAAACTCCTCAAGAAGCGTCATCGCAAACACTCAACCGGCACAGGCGGTGGAAGTTCCAACGATGTCACAGACGATCGGCCACATCATCGGTCTTACGTCGTGGTTGGCAAGAAGTCAGATACGATTGCTCGCTTGAGACAAGAACTACCTGAGATCGCCTCTGATCTGGCGCAACGTCGTCGTGCAGATAAGTCGTCTCCAAGTCATGGGTATGGAGCAATGTTTGTCGAATTCAAGGATCAAGTCAGCGCCAATCAGGCCTTTCAGCAATTCCACCACCCCGCGCCCTTTGCTTTGCAGCCCAAGTTCATCGGCGTACAGCCCAAAGAGGTGCTCTGGCAAAATCTGAACCTGGAACCAACGATTAGAGTGTCATATTCGTACATTGCCATGGCAGTCGCTGTTGCGACCATTATTCTGTGGTCCATTCCAGTTGGTATCATTGGGACCATATCCAATCTCAATTATTTGACCGACAAGGTGCGATTCCTGAGATTTCTGAACGATCTACCGGATCCAATCCTGGGATTAATCACCGGGCTTGTTCCTCCACTACTGCTCAGCACCGTGGTTTCGTATGTGCCATATTACTTCAAGTGGCTAGCTACGATATCCGGTCAACCCACATCTAAAGAGGTGGTCAAATGGGCTCAGACATGGAACTTTGTCTTTCAGGTGGTCCAAGTCTTCCTAATCACAACTTTTTCCTCGGGTGCTGCAGCTGTTGCTACCAAGATTGCCAACGATCCCAAATCGATCCCGACTCTGCTGGCGAAGAACTTGCCCAAAGCCTCCAACTTTTATTTGACATACTTCATCATTCAGGGAATCGGAACTGCATCCAAGAACATCATCAACTACTCTGACCTGCTGCAATTCCTCTTCTACTACAATGTGATGAGCAAAACGCCACGACAAAAGTACAACACGTACATCCAGACCAAGGGCATCAGTTGGTTTAATGTCTTCCCCAAGTTCACGAACTTTGCCGTCATTGCGATAGCATACTCGTGTATCGCGCCACTGGTTTTGGGGTTTGCGGCTGTGGGGATCTACTTGTTCTACCTCAGCTACAGATACAATCTTCTGTATGTGATCCAAGTGAAGTCGGAAACTCGAGGGGAGTCCTACACCCGAGCACTGCAACACTTGATGGTGGGCGTCTATCTGTCCGAGCTATGCTTGATTGGATTGTTTGGAATCAAGAAAGCGTCAGGAGCGTCAACTCTTCTGGTGATTCTATTCCTGACCACGATCTTGTATCATTTGACAATCAATCGATACCTAGGACCGCTAGAGATGTATCTGCCTGTGGAAGCATTGACCAACGTTGATGAAGAATCGCGCTTACTGGATTCTAATGGTGCTACTAATCCAAGCGAGGATTCTCGGATCTACAGACTTGGTCGAGGCAAGATCCCTACGGTACTGCTGGACCCTTTGGCGTCATTCCTCGAACCACACGTATTCGCCTCACAAGAGGCATTGCGTCCTTGGCTCCAGGATCCTGAAGGCGAATACGAGGAAACCGTGTCGTATACGAAAGAACAGCTGGAGAACGCGTATCTGAATCCAGCTTTGACTTCCAAGACACCTAAGATCTGGCTGCCGAAAGACTCGAATGGCCTATCAAACAAAGAAGTGGAGGACAACGAAAAAGCAGGACTACCTTGTACGAATGACGGCGCAACGCTCGATCATGAGTCCAAGATCCGATGGAATACGGAGGATTTCAGTACCGTGCCAATATTCAAAGAGGCCACAAAATTCTGAGCATGGTGTAATGCTAGGGTAAGATTGATGTACGATGAAGTTTCTGTGTTGCAGATCTCGGGTTGAGAGGCCCTTCGCCCACGAGTTAATCGTGGTATAGCAAGCATGAATTGCAAACAGGCAAAAATCTAGAGGATAAGAACTCAAATGATGGCCTGGTTAGAGCGACTGTCCATCAGGGGACAGCTACAGTATGAAAAAGCGTGCAGGTAGTTGGGCACGACCATATCACAGTATCCATGTATCCTCTGGGCTTGAAACGTCTTTAAAAGATCAGTACATCGTGACTCATCAATCCCCGACGAAAACGGTACGTACAACAACATTTTGCTAAGTACTTTTGGCAGAGGGATATCCCCAACCACGCTCGATTGATATAGCTGATTTAATAGGATTGAATCATCTGCCGTGCAAGCATAACGGGCCTCGGCCTCCTCACTTCCCGCTCCTTGGCCATGCCAAACTCCATGAATTGGTTGCTTATCCCAAGCCTCTCGCTTCCGCGGGGAAATGCCCAATACAACCAGGCCCAAGGTGGCCCCTCGGCCGCCCCGTCCCCCAAAAGACCCTTGCCGTGACCCATGGTGGCACCATATCAATGCCAATTAGACTTAAGCGTCACCATGAAGTTTCTTTGTCTGCCGAGGCGATGTAGCCAATTCTAGCCAACCACCCAACCACCCAGCCAGGATTACGGGGAACTCTAGACCTAAACCATGACGGGTACGCCTGAATAGATCGATTGTAGAGAGAGGGGAAACTGAACGGAGTGGGTCAGGAACGAGATCCATGAGGGATGATAAACTCAAGTAACTGCTTAGACCTACGCCTGGCCTCATGTTTCAATTCAAAGTCACAATTTGGCTAGTTCTTTCTGCATCTCCGTCCCCAGGGCACTTGCATCGTTCGATCACTACGAGATATCGTCAACAGGAAGAAGTATTACTTCATCCTCACGATTGGACATCGACAAAGACAAATAAGATAAAGAGCCGGCGCGGGGCGCCTCTGACTTCACTGACTGGCATCGTGAAGTTGTACCTCCCCACCACAGCACTGCCCAGGAGCAAACACTGTGAAACGATTTAGGCCGTTTGCTTTGTCCGACAAGTGAGTGTTGCACTCGAAAAGACCATTCAAAGTCATTGATCGGATACGTCGATTAAGATAATTCTCTCGTTTCTGACTTTTGGTCCTCTCAACCACCAACTCCACCAACAACCCCATCGCCAATGCCTACCCCAGCTCGCCCATTGTCGTTCTCTCGACCATCCGAGACAGCAGTCTCGACAATCAAATCCAACCCCGACACAGACATCAAGTCCCCATCACCCTGGAAATCACGACTCTTCCGACGCCGGCAATCCAGTCGAAACTGGTCAATTGATTTCAACTCATCATATCCTTACTCGATGGACTCAACGGCGGCTGTGTCAGTGTCGTCGACGACGACGATTTCCGACTCGAGCATTCTCGCCATTGATCAAAGTTCAACCGATTTGGATCCGAAGGCCATTGTTTCCATAGAGTTCCCTTCTCAACCAGCACTGTCCCTGCAGAAGGCACCATCCTCATCCTCTCCTTTCGACCGCCTTTTAAGATCTGATGTCAATTACGCTTCGTCTTTGCACTCTCGTTCATCGGCCGATTACCACGAGTCCCAGGCTCAGACGTGTCGAGATTTCCTCAGATGAAGCTCATGCTGGCTCTACTGTGTTTGAGTGGCTGTGTTGCACTTGGTATGGACGGGGACGTGGTCGAGGCGACTGTCGGATTGGTGTTTTTCTGGAACGACTTCTATGATTATGGTGATGATATTACCTTGTGACCTCGACTGGTGGCTGAAGAGGCGTCCTTGACTGGACGCAGCGCATCTTGGATGAAGAAACACTGGTATTGGCATTATCCTAAATCAATCAATCAAGGGCTCAAAGCCTTACGAATGACATGCATATCTACATATTTTAAAAGATCACACTACCAAAGCTACCTTTGACCCATATTCTCCAATTTCGTTTTCGTCATGTCGACACAAAGTCTAGAGGTTCGACAAAATATTCATCACCATGTCTTGGGTCACTATTCCTCTTACAACAACCCCTTCGCATAATATCACTTCAGAAGTGGCGTTGTCTCAGAAGTCGCAGCCTTTGATGTGGGCAGATTGGCCAACGCCCACTCCCTCACCACACCCTTGTAATCGGTGGATGTATAAGGCGCAAAAAGCTCGGCAAAGACATTTGATTTGCGCCAATATCTCAGTTTGAGATCCTGCAGCAACGTGTCCATGTACGGGAGCTGGTCAAACACTAGATCGGGGATGAACCGACCATGGCCATACGGCGCTCTGTGTCTGACGTACCGGCTCATCAGCGCCGTGTCCTTGTACACGTTGGACCGGTCAATGTCGAGCTTATTGTTGAGATAGGCATATGCCCATAGACACTGCAGCTCGCACCGCGGGGTATTGGCTAGATTCGAGAACATGCTGATGAAGACGAGCGAATTATCGCCTCTGGACGTCGGCCCCGGCGGCGCAATGCCACGATATAATTGAAATGGGGTGTAGTTCAGCTCGGGATACAGACTGGGGTCGTATGGTCGTACAGGCTGGGGAGTGTCGGAGCTTGGTGACAGGTGTGGCCCGATAAGCAGACGGGGGAAACTAGCTGCGATTTGGGCATCTGCGGCTTTGTTAAGGGCGCTCCAGAATTCATGCTGTTCTTGTGTGAACGAGGTTGAAGGTACACCAAGATCGGCATGGCTCGAGGTTGGCGTAAACTGTAGCGTTGGTTTGGCGGAAAACCCCGTGGCCGTGACCAATACATCGACATTCAAAGCTTGGCCATTGAGGAGATTGATTTGGCCTTCAGACAAATGCGAGATGTCCTCTCGGTGCACTCGAACTTGACCGCTCTTCAAAAGGCTGTAGAAGTCTTGGTCGTAGCTCAGCACGCCAGACGCGGTCCCGTACCAAAAGGGGCTAGAAGGAGATTGATTGATTAGTCTAGTCGGGCGGTTCATCGCGGATCAAGATAGTCGTTCACCTACCCGGTTTCCGGCTCTAGGACTTTGGTTTTCTCGTCGTTGAGCATGCCACAATCGCCTAGAGTCTTGACGTGGATGTTTGTCCAGAATTTCTGCGCAATCTTCTTGCCTAGTGTGGTGAAGTGTAGAAAGGCACGCAAATATCGCATGCCATCATTCCACAAGCAGGGGCTGAAAACGGAGACGATCCTTCGACTCGGCAACTGTTCACGCAGAGCTTTGAATGGTCCTAGATATGTGTGACTTGGAAAGATCCATTCGGGACCTTTTCCTGACTTGCGAATAATCCACTCAACCGTCCGGCCCTTTGAGGCTGCTAAGTAGACTGCGTCGTAGGCGGACTTGCCACCTCCAAGGACGGCGACTGACTCTGTACTGGATGTCGCAGACAGAACATCCCCTCGCTTACCGAGCTCACCGGAATGGATAATGGGACGATTGAAAGTTTCTGCGCCTCGAATTGACGGGCGGTGCGGAACGTTGGTAGCGCCGACGGCGACGATGAGTTTGCGGCTCTGCAAAGTGCCATCCACTTCCCTGTCGAGTCTGACGACCCAGCCCGTGCCTGATGGATCTCTCGAAACTTCAAGAACTTTTGACCCCAGAGATATTCGACTGATCAGGTCTGCTCGCTCGGCGTATTCTTGAAGATACTGATGCATGACCTCACCTGTGACATGCTGGCCTGGTTTGATGCCGAACCGATCGTCCATATAAAAATCAGAGAAATCGATCCTGTTCCGGACGTTGTTGGTCTTCAAGCCGGGGAAAAGGTTCTCCTGGGCCCAGACGCCACCGAGGGATTTGTTCTGGCAGTTCAATTGTCAACCGCATGACCTCTGGCATGATAGCGATGCTGTGAACTCACACCATCAAGGATTTTGAGTTGGGCGTCTGGTTCGCACTCGAGGATTGTTTTCGCCGCGCATAGTCCTGACGGGCCTGCTACCTGTGAGCCCAATAGACATGTTGGCGTTGAAGTGTACCTACCAGCGCCGATGACAATATAATCGAGCATAGCTTCAAGCGACGTCTAGGCCTCCCTTTCCTCAAATCTGCCAAGGATGCTTGAAAGAACAACCACCGTGGAGGGTCGAATTGAAAAGGTGGTGGCCTTGAATCGCAGATGCGGCCATATGGGGCGCAAAGGTTGATAAACCAGCGAAGAGGCTGTTGTCAGATGGCAAAGGATCAGTGGGCTGACCGTAAGCGAGACCCTCCATCACGCCTTCGGTTGCGCGTCGATCACAGATATGCGTTGGTGGCTATCAGTAAGCGTAAGCACCCCAATGAGAAAGCAATGTGGCTACACCATGGCTTGGAGAAAACCACTCCCGAAAGGATTGCCAACGAAGCTTAATATGCAAGGCGTCGAAGTGCTTGCGACTCGTCTAAACAATTCGATAAATGAAGAAACGAAAGAAGCAATAAGCAATATTTCGGGCACTCAATCCTACTGGAAATGGCACGGGGCGTTGTTAGCGGGGTCAGCCGCACCAAAATCATAAGGCATGAGTATGTAATATCATCAGCTTACTCTCGCACCGCGCCAGTCAATCAGAACGGGTCGAACGTGAAGAGTATTTGGAAGCAGATGTGGTGGCATTTGAGCACGGGTCCTTGAGAGGAATGTGTTTGGGTTAGATGGCATGGGATGAAGAAAGGCATATAAAAGACCATTGTAAGCTTTGATTGCCTGCCATCCCGAGCTTTTGCTGGTTGGGGATGTAGCTTTATTAGGGCACGTTTGAAATATTCCGGGGTCGGGGGGTGTCTAGCCTCATTGGATCTCCCCTGACAGTGGAAATAGAGAACAGTTAGAGCAACGACATGGGAGATTGATATAGGACCGAGAAAGAGAATAGAAGAGGTGAAGACACCCACGGGGTGTAAATCGGGTGTCACAAGGAGTATACGAGGATGGACGTATACACACGTACGTTATACGAGGAAGCTGATTGCTCGCATCTTGATACTCCTCAAGTCCTGTACTCCGTATTTTAGCCTGTGCTTCAGTGTGATCTGATCTTCAGGTACTTAGGCGTTCCACTCTGGCGGCCTCGGTTCCTCGATTCCCACCAACATCCAATCCTCCTGAAAGTCACCCCCTCTGCTCGTCCACTTCCTCAACTCATGAAAAAGTAGCAAATCGAGGACCTTATTATTATTATTGTTATCATCATATTCAAGCGGCACGAGGTGCTAACTCCTCCTACCGTGTTAACTTTCTCTCTTCGCTCTACACATATTCAGATAAGCACATAGACTCACCTGTGGGGAGAACTAAGTAATTCCGCCATCGTTTGCTCAGTTTACTCCTCAACCCTCTTTCAGCGTCACTGGAAGCTCCCTCATGGCCCTCCTCAACATCTCACGCATCGCACTTACGGGTCTCATTGGCCTTGGTGTCGCCTCGTTGCACATTTTCGGCGAGTCTAATGGATTGTTCCCCACGATTGTCGACTTTCGTACCAGAGGGATCTTACCCACCCATCACACCTGGACCAAATCAACCTTTGACACCAGCATCACCGGCTTTGATCCTCCCGACGGACTACTTGCTACACTCCTTGTCTTCTTCTGGCCGCTCCTTGACGGGGAAAATCCCGCTGCGAGTCTGATTAGCATCGTTTTTGGTGGCCAAGCAGTTGCAATTTGGTCCGTCTATGTCCTCGAGGGCTGGAGGAAGATCAATCAAGGACGAGTTATTTCTTTGTGAGCTTCCCTCTGTTCCAAGTGATTCTACATTGGTTCTGTAGATGGCTCTTCTGACTCAATCATGGTATTTTTAGCACCACTATTTGGGGTCTAGTCATCCAGTGCATTGGATATGCTGTTATCGGCCCTCTCTATCTGACGATCTACCTCTTCACCTCACCACTGGTGACATCCTCGGCACCCCTTACTCCATCCGCATTAACTATCCAGGAAGGGAATCTTTCTGGTTTACCATTTGGAATCATTATTGGATTCATCTTTCCTTCAGTGCTCATGGCATTACCTACACCAAGCGTCCTGTCACTGACGTCCAAGATTACCGCGATCCTAGTCTGGCAAGCATTCCCATTGTGGACGACCGTGTACAATTACATCTGGAGGTTTACCCTCTGGCCCAAGATCGAATACACCAAGGAATCTGATCGCCTTGCTAACCAAATCACCATCCTCCGAAACGTGTACAAGTTTGGACTGGCGTTGAGTGTTCCAGCTCACATTGCAACATGGACTATCTCACTCTCTACCGTGGCATTTCCCAGCCTCTTCACAACGGCCGCGCAAAGTGAACTCCACCCAGCTAGCGTGTTCCTTCCCCCCAATCCCTTTGGTGATGCCAAATCGATTGACGTTGCACAGGGATCCAAATGGTTCATGCAGTACGATTATGCAATTACGTCGACGGCATATGTCATTTGGGCCATTGCGTCGCGATACTCGAAATCTGTTAAGACGGCAACCAAGGATCAATCCGCTTCCTTGGACGCTTTGGCTCTAGTTGGCATCCTCGGCAAAGTCGCACTCCTAGGACCTTTTGCTACGGCCTTGACTCTGATCTGGGAACGTGATGAGATCATTTTTGCGCAGGCTGGAGCGGTCGAAGAGAAGAAGACATCTTGATGGTGGACGTAAGATCTGAGATTGGTCACCTTTTGTATTCTCCACTCTATTCTACTTGAACAATAGTATCAGGGAGGACGGCTCAACAAATTTCGCAGCTTCAAAGGGGAACCACGCCTAGATGTATAGCGACAGTCCTCACATTGGGAGTGATTAAAACTGCATTCTATCTATGGATTAATGCTTACAAATTTCCTACGTAGTTCCGTACCTAGGTATCTACGTCATTATCAGGCAGTGACATGGCGAACTATTTTCCTGTACCTAAAGTACACTAAGTAGACAAACCTCACCGTAAGAGCCTCAATGGCATGAGTAAAGGTACTACAGGCGTAGAGATGAATCAACAGCACAAACTTGCCATCTCTTCAGTCTCATTAGGCTGGCATGCCTCACACACGCTAGAAAGAAAGATCTCGGCGGTCCAAGCAGCTGGGTATCAAGGTATCGAGCTATCCATCACTGACTTCGACGCATATGTGAAAACACACGACGTGAGCCGAATTGAAGGCGCTCATCGCATCAAACAATTGTGCGCCGATCACCATATCGAGATTCTTTGCTTTGGATCATTTGACAATTTCGAAGGACAGCCATCGCCTTTGCAAGACAGATTGAACACTGCAAGAGAATGGCTTGAAATTGCCAACACCCTAGGTACCACGGTGATTCAGATCCCAAGCAACGACAACAAGGAAGCCATTGGGGATATCAATGTCATTGTGTCGGAGTTGAGGGCCCTAGCCGATCTAGGCGCACAGCAGAGCCCTGCCATCACGTTTGCCTATGAAGCTCTGGCATGGGGCACCCATGTCGCCGACTGGGAGGAGTCACTGCGGATTGTACAACTGGTCGACCGAGCCAACTTTGGCCTCTGTCTCGATACCTACCATGTGGTGTCGCGACTATGGGCAGACCCACGATCCAAGTCGGGTGTTCGGGCAGGCGGCAACGCAGCGCTACAAGCGTCGATAGATCGATTCAACCAGTATTGTCCACTGGACAAGATTGTCTACATCCAGCTAAGCGATGCCGAGAAATTATCACCTCCGCTCCTCCCGGGTCATCCTGCTTATGATGATGACAAGGACGGAGCTCATGCATGGTGCAGTTACGGTCGATTGTTTCCGTTGGAGGTGGACGAGAAGGCTTACTTTCCGATGCGAGACATTTGTCACGCCTGGCTGGTTCAGAGTGGCTGGTCTGGTTGGGTGAGCATGGAGATTTTTCATCGCAAGATGAAGGAAGAAGCGGCTGGGCCAGAAGTTTGGGCAGAGAGAGGTAGAAAGTCCTGGGAAGCGTTGAGGATGATTTTATAGTCTATCATAAGCAGGTCTTATTCTAAACGTATGCGCCGAGATAGGCCTTTAGGGGCTCCGAGGTGCCCGAGTATCGCCCCAGGGGAGTAAATCAGCTCTGGAAAGCCCCATAACTTCCTGTACGTCATTAAAATGACCAAAGGTGCCAAAACACCATCTCTCCCTCAAGATTCCCCCTCCATCCCCACCATATCTGGGCGTCGCTGGGCTTCTCCAAACCAAAATAAGGCGATTCATCACCAATCCTCCGAGGATTACATGTAGTATCTCTTACGGAGGCATTACTTGATCCAGTCATTCGCAATGGTTCCCCGCACGCCGCGAAATCGACCTTCTGGCTGAAGTATTTCAACAACGTATTTGAGCGGGCTTCTCCTTCATAGCTTTCCAACTTTATTGTTGAGGTCCAGGAAGAGAGAAGGAGCTCATATCACAGCATCCAGATGCCTCAAATACTCAAAATCGGCGTAAGCCAGTCGCAGACGCTGGCCACAACGGCCGACACACTCGCTGCCCTGCGAAACACCACCGAACTTGCTGCTTCCAAGGACATCTCCATCCTGCTATTCCCAGAGGCTTATCTGGGCGGATACCCTCGAACCTGTGCGTTTGGCGCCTCTATCGGATCTCGTACCGATGAAGGGCGTAACCAGTTCCTCGCATACCACCGGTCAGCCGTCGATCTAGGTGACACGCCTAACGGAGCGGGCGACGATTGGCTCGATCGCAAACTGCCTGTCAATAAAGAGACAGGCCGGAGAGGTGATGGAACAAGAGAGATTCTGGAAGATATTGCTCGTGAGACAGGTGTCTTTATCGTCACAGGTCTAGTCGAGAAGACTGTTGGTAGCCTCTACTGTACAGCCGTCTACGTTGACCCGGTTCGCGGCATGATTGGAAAGAGGAGAAAGGTGATGCCGACTGGGTCTGAACGATTGGTGTGGGCACAAGGTCAACCCAGCACGCTCAAAGCCGTGACTGCAACCATCAAGGGCGTCAAAGTCGTCATGGGCTGCGCTATCTGTTGGGAGAACTTCATGCCTCTGTTGCGATACTCGATTTACAGTCAAGGCGTCAATCTATGGTTGGCTCCTACCGCCGACCCCAGAGACACTTGGGAGAGTCTGGTCAAGACCATTGCCTGTGAAGGAAGATGTTTCGTCCTCACTGCCAACCAAGCCACCAAGCGAAAGGACTTGCCTGAATGGATCACCGGCCAGGCCAAAGAGACCGGTCGCGGAAGAGAGCAACTAACCAATGGAGCCTCCAGCAGCGGTGGCACTGTTGTTACCAACGGTCCTGCCTCTACCCAAAGACGCCGCTCCATGTCTACACGAACCGAAGAAAATCACGAGATTGCGTGGCGATGTAAGGATAATGTCATTTCCGAAGAATCAACACTCGACGAAGCTGGCATCAGTACGAAATTGCAGAACACCTCCTTGGCACCTGAAGAGACTGCCTCTGTCGTCGACTCATCTGAAGAATATGTTTCTGCTGGAGGTAGTTGTATTGTCAATCCCATGGGCAAAACCATTCAAGGACCAGTCTGGAATAAGCAGGATCAGCTTCTCTACGCCGAAGTCGATTTCGACGATTGTGATAGAGGACATATGGACTTTGACGCTGTTGGTCATTATAGTCGGCCAGATGCCTTTAAATTGACGGTTGAGGGCTTGGATTTGGTGCCTCCGCCTTCTTGAGGATGATGAGGATGAATATGAAAAATCCAATCTTCAAGGTAGAGGGAGATGTGTTTATGCCTCGTGGATGATTGTACATTGTACATATAATTGTACCTAGGTATGCCCAAGCATGGCCTAAGTAGTAATCAATTATCCGGCAAGATGCCATAATATGATACAGGATCATGAGCATCACCAGATATATATATTCCTCTCCAAGGAGACAGAGGTAATCATCACGATTGACCCTGATTAGAAGCGATCCAACCCTACGATTGTCCCGCCGCATAAATTACAATAATCCACCACAATTCTCCAGCCCGTATAGGCCGAGACTCGATGAAATCGTACTCAAAGATCGGCGACAAGATGGAGGCAAGAACCATCCAAAAACAGATATATCCCATATCTCCACCTTTTGTTCTTGTCTCGTACAACACTCCAGATGGAGTTGTGCATCCAGCTCTAGATCAATCCATGGTGTCAATGGATGACAGAGAGATCGAGCGAGGCAAGAGACGTTTTTCAGAGAGTCAAACCGGGGTGGAAAACTTCGAAAGCAGAGGGGAGGATAAGAAGGGACATCAAAGGAAATCAAAGCACAAGACAGTAGGATCCTGGGGGATAGAAACGAGGCTGGCGCGCATGGACGCGCTGGCCTGGAGAAATAGTGCAACTTCTTCATATACAAGTAGCTCATACACTTTTCCCTATCCCTTTCCTTTTCCGAGGGGTATCATTCATTCCTGCTCTGTCTTAGTACGCCACCCGTGTTCTCATATCGGATAGCTTTCGTTCGATTTCTCGCACTGATCGATCCAGTTCCCCGGCAATCTGGAGCTTCTTGTCGTTGGGAAGGAGGAAGAACGTTTCGCACAGGTCACCGTCAATCATGCCTTTGGTCGGTGCATAGTACGACCGGTAGATCAGGTGGTCTCTTCCCAGTAGAGGTGGGTTCCCGTTGCTAGATGCGAGCTGCATTTCCAATGATTGGAAAAAGTCCACATCTTCGCGGCCGAGGAAGGGCACAAAGATGCCCAGTGTGCCCTGGTACCCCGTCCAGAAAACCAGATCACGTCCACCAGCCACTAGGTTCGTCTTTTGAATACTGGTTGGGATGTCACCGGGGAAGAAGTGCGTCATCAGGCTTAATCGGTTTGGCGCCCCATTAAGATATTGTCGTTCATGTGTTAGATGTGCCCCAGAACCATCTTCGTCCGCCTCTTCCGATGTTTTTGGTGGACAACGTAAAAGCCATATGTTACCAAACTTGTCTCCTCCCGCGACTGTTTCATAATCCACCATGGTTGCACACGTCGTCCACCGGGCGATCGTATCGTCCGCGAATGGTATCAGTTTGTTTTCCTGGAATTTGTACACCACATAGGTGATGCTGTCCTGGATGTCGCTAACAATAATCCGGCTTCCTTGAGTTTGTAGGCCCACGATGAGATTGGGACTTGCCTGCACTTGACATTTTCGAAGCATTTGCTTCATCCCTAGGTCGTATATTCGGAGGTCAGGTCCCACACCGGCGAGTAGACGACCCTGGAAACCAAGTAAAGCCGTGGGCGGATGTTCAACCTTGGTCTTGTGGATGAATTCCAGCTCTTTCCCATCCTCGTGGAATCGATAAACATGGATGAAGCCTGCCGAAAAGCTTCGGGGACTGACCACGAGATCCTTGGCCGTCCCTACGACAAGGAATGATTCGTCGTCTTGTCCAGAAAAGGGAGCGATGGCAATACTGGTAGCGCATTCGTTGTCTTCTAATTCCAGGGTGAAAACGACAGACTTCGTGGTGATGGGGTCAATGACTTGAATGCACGAAGCCCAGTGACCGGTCCCTCTCGGGTACCCAAAGTCTTCGGGGGGTAGAACCACGGCGTCGCCATTGACAGCCGTGGATTCCATAAGTAGTTTAGTCCTTGTTGATGGGGCAAGAACATTGTTGTCGGCCTCGATGACGTAAAAGAGTGGTTGGTCGGGATGTTTGACAAACTTTCGTGGCGTATATGGTAAGGGGATGTTTTCTTGAAGCAAATTTCGTGAAACGTCTTCGATCGTAAATATCCTAGGATTTGCGTCAGCAGGCACCAAAAAAGAGATATTCGGCGAGATATGCAAATGATTCAACTTCAGAAGGAACAATTGGAATTTTTTTGATGTCTTTCCGCATAAATCTTGAGATTTCAGAAAGAGCATAGTCATGTGCTCATCAGGGTGAGAAAGAAGGGCGATAGGTGATAAGACGTACCTTAGATTCTGACCCTGGATCCCCACCATCCCCTCGGGGCATTGCTCACTTGTAAAGTTCCACACAAACTGCAGGCCGACGTAGTCGAGGGGTGTTAGCATGAAGCCATTTGTTTGGGTGTCGGTGTACCCCAGCCAGGCGCGTGAGCTGACTGCCATCACAGCAGATTGCCCGCAGACAGAAACTTTGAAAAGTTTGGCAGGCTTCAAGCCAAGAAATCGAGATCGAGTGTCGGACAATTCTCCTGTTATCTCATCCAGGACGGTTCGCAGATACACACCAGAATAAAGACCGATGTGAAGGTACAGAGTGTTTGCGCCCGAGGTAGAATCAGGCATGGTATTAATTGACAATGATGAGGGCGCGGACGTCAGTGCCTGCACCGACTTGCTCTCGAGAGTCGAGTTGGGGTCGAGACTTAGAATTCGAACGGTCGAATCATCGCAGCCGACAGCAAGGAATGAGCTTCGCACTCGACCTTCTGGGACATCTCCGAGACTGAGACAAGTGACGGTGCCGTTCATTTCTGTCCGCTCTTCGTATTCAGCGAGAGAACCATCTGTGTCAAGCTCAAAATAGACAATTTCGCCAGAGCTTAGCGCGACGGCTATCTGCCGCTCATTGGTGGAAGCCGCAACGATTGAACGGTGCTGGGGAGCAGGCCATTCATTCACCCTTTTATCGGCTCGAATATGACGTATACCTTTGGGGTGAACCTGGACTAGGCTGTCTTCCCCGAGTTGCTGAACAGCCAAAGTAGGGGCCCCTGACAAGAAGCCTGTATCTGTGACCTCCTCGACGGTCTCGCCGATGCTCAGAACGAGAGTTCCACTTCTGAAGGAGAGGACAATGTAGGCATCATACTGATCGTCGTGAGTAAGTTTGGTGGTCCATACCGCCTCGGGACGATCTGGAAGTTCTGACTCGACGATTTCTGTCACTGACAAGCCATGTTTGAGAGTTTTGAAACTGCTCCGTGCTCCGGCACCGCACACAGAATATATTTGAGGAGCATCGTCGTCCAAAAGATTGACTACTTTGCAATCCATGAGGGGGTTGGCTGATTCAACACTTTGAGTGAGGTTGAGATTAGAAAGGGGGCGCGGGTGGAAATAGGCTGGCTCGTAATGCTCTGTTGGATCGGCTGAATAGTCGTCGCTGCTGAATTCTGTTTCTTCATCGTCGTCTCCTAGCTTTTCAAATTGGTAAAATTGATGATTGCCGTTCTCGGCTGTGACAAAAAGAAAACCACTCTTCAAGATATGTAGGCTGTTGGCAACGGCAACGGTGTCGAAGTACTTGATCTTCAAAGATTTGACTTCTCCAGTTGGCTGACCGTTGTCGTCCTCAACCATTTCTATGGTGAGCTTGAAGAGGTCGCCATCCTCAGTTTGTAGAAGGAGAAAGAACTGGCCCTTCATCTTGTGCATGACACCAGCCACAATGTGACGCTTCCGATCCGGATTTTCGAGGACACCTCTTCTCCGGGGAATAGGCACACGGAAAGCGTCTTGGTTTGAGTGTCGATAGGTGATGTTGTCCTCGGAACAGACGAGAACACCGCTGGGACCATCAGAGCCTCCTGGGATCTGAAATAATTTTGAGGCATCTCGGGCAACAGGCTCAGCCCACTTCCGGACAACATGGTTGAGTCCTAGATCAAGTTCGTAGAAGACGAGAAGTTTTTCCACTTCTTCCATAGCTTGTCCGCTAGGATCCTGGTCAACCTCGGTATAGTCGACCTCTAAGGCAGCGAAGATGGGATTCTCATAGCCGACATCGAGGGCAACGCAGTCAAAGACTAGAGTCTGAGGTTTGTGAGCCTCCAGGGGGGAGGATATGGTGAGCTCGGCTTGAGCATTCCTGTTCAAGACGTAGACTAGCTTGTTCTTCTCCACCGAGGCGATGAGACATGCTCTTCCTTTGGGATCTACAGCCAGATATTGGCCTGGAATGACTCTGCGGATGCCGGACTTGCCAAAAGTCTCGAGATGGACTCGGTGGAAACGGTTTTGGTCTCGTAGATACTCGAGGATGGTAATGCGCCCAGAGTCGGATCCAACAATGAGGTAGTCTTTGAAAGAACATGTTAGTTGAGTATCGAATAGACGTGAAGAGATCAACTGACCTTTGCTACTACCGGCAAGTCGAAAAGCGGCGAGGGTTCTGATTATGCCGAAACAGTCTTGGGTAAAGATTGGGGAGATCTTGCCCTGGGTGGGATCGGGTCTGTGGATGGTGAGTTTGGAACCAGAAGCTGTGATGATCTGTTGTTCTTTTGTACCGGCGAATTGACCCAGAACAGCTTGAGTGATGGCCGAAGGTGACTGTATAGTCAAGCTGTACATGAACATGGAACTAGTGGTCGCCATGGTGAAATGACGCCTCTAGGCTGAGGATCTAGGTTGAAATCTTGAGTATGTTTTTGATTGCGACTGCGCTTTTGAGCCCAATAGCGTCGATTAAGGCAGCATGATCGGAAGGCTGCAGATGTCCGGAGACGTCTGGATGGTATAGTGGGAATTCTGAGAGCGAGTAAAGAGACTGAGACCGAGACAAGGTGTCAGTGCTGTAGTATTGTCTCCTCTGTTGTCTGGATGGGATGGTGATGCTGTGATGGGAGAGGAAAATGTTTCGACGATGCCAAGACTCTCAAGGCTCCCACACGAGGTTGAAGAGAAGGCGTGGAAGCTCACAGGCTCACTCCTGCACTACGAGCACTTAAGTGGCGCTAGCGGATTAGTTCGCCGTTGGCCCATAGGGCATCATTAATAATATTTAGGTAGGGAGTCACAGGAGGGGAAAGCCCCTGGCGGCCCTCGGGCGTGTCCCACCCCCGCTCCTTTAACTGGAAAAGTTGTGTCCTGGATTTGTGTCTGAGGCAGACGCGCTCAAAGTTGGGCTCCTAGGCTTCACGCGTCGTGGTTAGTTCGACGTTGGCAAACATCTCCCACCCATCCACCCATCCCACCTCTCAACTCACCCATGATCAATCATGCCTCGAGAGATCATCACCATTCAAGCAGGCCAGTGTGGTAATGCAATAGGTTCACGGTTCTGGCAACAATTATGTCAAGAACACGGCATCAGCAGAGATGGCAATCTCGAGGACTTTGCGACGGAAGGCGGTGACCGCAAGGATGTTTTCTTCTACCAGAGCGACGACACTCGATACATTCCACGAGCAATCTTGGTCGACCTCGAGCCTCGAGTCATCAATGGCATTCAGACCGGCCCCTACAAGAATATCTACAACCCCGAGAATTTCTTTGTCGGCGAACATGGCATGGGCGCAGGCAACAACTGGGCCGCAGGGTATGCCGCCGGTGAGAGAGTGCAAGAAGAAATCTTCGACATGATTGATCGCGAGGCCGACGGCAGTGATTCTCTGGAGGGCTTCATGCTTCTGCACTCAATCGCCGGTGGTACAGGATCAGGGTTGGGATCATACTTGCTGGAGCGAATGAATGACCGGTTTCCAAAGAAGATCATCCAAACATATTCTGTCTTTCCAGATACTGCAATTGGCGACGTGGTGGTGAACCCATACAACAGTCTTCTCACGATGCGACGACTGACCCAAAATGCCGACTCAGTGGTGGTACTCGACAACGGTGCTCTTTCGAGAATTGCCTCGGAGCGATTGCATGTTCAAGAACCCTCGTTCCAGCAAACTAACCAACTGGTCTCCACCGTCATGTGCGCCTCCACGACCACGTTGAGGTATCCTGGTTACATGCACAATGACCTTGTTGGAATCATCGCGTCACTGATTCCTACTCCTCGATGTCACTTCCTCATGACAGCATATACTCCCTTCACTGGTGACGACGCCGAAGCTGCCAAGACTGTACGCAAGACGACGGTTTTGGATGTCATGCGCCGACTGTTACAGCCCAAGAACCGGATGGTGTCCATTACCCCCTCGAAATCTTCCTGCTTCATTTCCATCTTGAACATCATTCAAGGCGAGGCCGACCCCACAGACGTCCACAAATCACTTCTACGCATCCGTGAGCGTCGCATGGCAAACTTTATTCCCTGGGGCCCTGCTTCAATCCAAGTTGCTCTAACCAAGAAATCGCCCTACCTACAAAACACCCATCGAGTCTCAGGGTTGATGCTGGCCAACCATACCAGTGTGTCCACCCTCTTCAGGCGAATAGTGGTACAATATGACAAGATGAGGAAGCGAAACGCATATCTTGAGCAGTACAAGAAGGAAACCCCTTTCTCTGAAGGACTCGGGGAGTTTGATGAGGCAAGAGAAGTCGTCATGGGAATGATCGGTGAATATGAGGCGGCCGAGAAGGACGACTATCTCGACCCCGATGCAGGAGAGAAAAGAGCAGATGGAACATGAGTTTCGTGTACCGAGGATAAGCCTCGATGCTCCGCTATGATCAGAACCTGTCACGATCTTGAACGAACCAGTTGGCTTTTGGACCACGTATTGAATTGACATTGTACACTTGAAAGACCAAGTACAGGCGGAGTTCTCGAATAGGACGGTCGGTGTGCCACTCAGTCATGATTCGCTCTGCAACGTGGCACAGGCAGAATAACGAGCTTGTCCATACGACACGCTAGTTCAGAGTTCCGAAGCATCGGCGCATTATGACCAGGGCTCTGAGCAGGCGGAGAAATGTTTGAGGTCCTGTTGACAAACATCGATCGACCAAGGCTGCGAAGAGATCCACCTCCGGGTTATCTGCGTTGTGCATATGCAGGCGACGATCTAATTCTACGGCTCGGGTCAGTCACAGTTGAGCACATGACTCTGTCCAATGTCTAGACAAAAGCAATATGGCCATGTGAGTGCCAACATTACCGAGTTCCAACACTTCAACGATGAACGATAAGACTTGTTAAAACAACCGCTGCCGAAGAACACATGCCATCCCCCAAGCTGAACCACAAATATCAACCTAGGGAATTATCCGCATGCTGACAGGAGGTGGCGAGATGCAATGCTATAGTAGACCAGAACACTTGTTTGCGCTTGTTTGGGCACAGCGAGATAGGCACATGCGGACAATTGATGGAAACGGACTAGCCCCAGGTGGATTGTTGGGTTGCATTTTGACACCTTACTGTCTGCCAAAGACTGGCTGGACTGTGTCGATCCTGCTCTTGTTCGGGATGGAACTTTGTCTGAAAGCGCAGGCCCTGACCGCATGCGAATGCCTCAGATGGTGCAAATCTAGCTTTCGTCGGAATCGATGAAGTCTGGATTGGTTGTCCGTGCCCTTGGGCCACGAGGAGTCTGTGCTCGCAGACACCGAACTTCAAACAGGCGTGTGCCGCAGTTTTACTATGGAGTAGGTCATCAATATGCTGAAGAGAGGATCAGGGTTTATACCATAATGGTGCCATATGGCATTTCCCACACATTCCAAAGCATAATTCTACAAGACGGGGTCATGTTACCTATAGTAGTCAGAATGAAGGGGGAATGCACCTCCCGCACGTGCGGGTCCGTTGCCTCTTCAAAGAGCAGGTCGTGATGCTGTTTGGGCCGACGTCCGATTGCGTTACTGACTGGCCTTGAGTTTAAGCTCTGGATAAGGAGCAGGGCCGGTAGACCGTCACCTTCTGTGCGTTGTATGGTATTTTGCTTCCAATGGTGCACTGATCGCTGGTAGAGGACGGCGGGACCCTTTGACCTGGCCGTGTGCAAGTCGGAAGACCGCAAGCGTTTGCCTCTGCTGATTGCACCACAGGCCAACCGTTGAACGTTCACTGTTCCATTGTGGTGCAGCCGGTGGGCTGTATGCATAAGGCATAAGCTTGAGGCCGAGACGGGCTAGATCTATGATGGTTCGGCGTAGGCTCCCTCACTTTTTAGGCTTCAACCAGGCCACTTCATCTGACTCTTGCGCTATCACGGTCTCGACAAGAGACGACATATGCTTCCCTAGATGTCGGCGTGTGAGTAGGCGCTGAAGATAATAGAGGGTCCACTTGGCCGAGCCTACCATACCCAGGGCTACCAGTGCTGCGACTCGTACAGAGTCACCCAAACACCCAAGCACCCGAGGAGTCGGACAGGCGATGCAGACCACGAGACGAGACGGCGCGGCGACTTGTGGACCATAAGAATACTCTTGGCAGGCCCTTGCTCTATTGAGACTCTAGGAGCGACAAGGACGACAAGAGCCACAACAGCCCCGAGAGAGAACCCTGCGTCGCGCTCCCCACAGCCCATAAACCCACATCTAACAGACCCGACAGGGTGCAGTCGGGAGGCCCAGGCATTGACAACCTCAATAAGTCTGGTCGGCGCCAGTGCCACCATTAACGCCAGTGTCGCCTCTGGGCTCTGGTTGCTTTGGTGGCTTTCTTGAAGCTGCGACCAGCTTCTATGGTCTCGTCATTTTATCGCCATCTGACCTTATCCCATCCGCCATCCGCCGTCAGCGCTCCACTTCATCCAGTCATCGGATCACCCACATCCACATCCCAGTAGGTCCCAGCAGGACAGACCTCAACCAACAGCCACCTTGTCACTATCATCTGAAGCAGCCCGCTGGTCCTCGCCTCGTCTTGTTGGCCTCTGCTCGATCCACCAGTCTGCCTACGCCCACGGCCGGCCTCCTTCATATTAACTCCCATGACACACCTGCGTTGTTTCTAATCTGCCTGAACCGCCTTCCTCCGTCTGTCAATCCAGAGATTGCTTCCTACAAGTTGCAATCTGCAATTCACTACTACTTCCTATCTGTCCTCTTGACCACCAACAACAATCCCCATTACCTCTCACCACCCCAACATCTTTCCTACAAACGGCCTTCCCTAGCCGCCTTGTCACTTCCTGCTCTTCAACTAGTCCCACTAGACGAGACCTACCTCCTTTCGCCTCCTGCACCTCGTCATCAGGTCACGAGCCACCAGTCCACACCTGCCATTCTCGTCAATCAACCGACTATACTGCCTCTCAACCTCCTTTTCTCTTTGAAATCCTCTAGATATCACATCGAGTCATCACCGCCATCATGCGCTCTCGATCCGGCTCCGCTACCTCCAACACATCTAGCAAGAGTAAGGAGCTCTCCGCCGATAACATGGCCATTCAAGTCAATATCGGCGGTGGCAAGAGTACGTTTTCCATATTCATCGGGCTCATTCTGATTGCTGACAAACATTTCTAGCCATCAAACTGAATGTTAGGCCCATCCACACAGTCTCCAACGTTCTAGAATTCTTATCTGCCTCTACAACTCTCCCCGTCGATGTACGACTCACTCTTGACGACAAACCTTTAGAACCGTCAAGTACCGTCGGTGATTTGAAGCTTGAAGAATCATCAACCCTACAACTATCTCCTCCTATTCGAAGCTCAACACCAACAGAACAATCCACACCTGCCCCGTCGTCTACCGAAATGACATCCAAACCATCAACACCCGCACCTTCCACGCCGACCAAGAAGAAGTCAAATAAGCCTCGGTGCTCCAAACAAGCCTGCAAGGCTCCCGCTCAACCCATCGTGGGAGACTGTGGCTTCTGTCAAAAGCGATTCTGCGGAAAACATCGAATGTTGGAGAGCCACAACTGTGAAGGCTTGGAAGAAGCCCGTCGCATGGATAAGGAGAGAAACGCTGCCAAGTTGGAGGGAGAACGAACTGTCATGCTCCGTGGTCTTTGAGATCATGTTATCATGTCCACCGCCTCGTTGTAGGGTTTCTACGTCGAGTCTCTGGTGGTCAGAGTGACACGGTTTCATGCCTCTCTGAACTCACACTATCTGAAACTAGTAGGCCATGCTTTTGGCTGATTACAAGAACGGCGTTCAATCTGGAATACTAGGTAACTCAACTACCAAGGGTTTGCCATGGTCAGCTGGCTGGGGGTACATGGAGCATTCCGGAGACAGACGGCATCTGCTCATCGGGCCTTGTATTGTATTCTCAGCTTTGTAAAGGGGACTGACTTGGTCCGGACAGTACTTGATCTACTGGGGCTTTTGTGCAAGGCGCCGGTAGTCGATCGATCACCAAAGATACAGTCCACGGCAAAGCACTAATACACATTAAATCCATCAACTTTCTTGAATCTCGCTTTTGAACTTTTATGTCAAAGAACTTTTTGTATCGTTCCACGTCTTCGGATCATATGCCCGTGAATCTTCCCAAAATGAACGATACCCAAGGCGAACTCAACCAGACATGCATGTTCCCGACTACATTTTAGACTCAAACCTTCAAGACCGGAAAATGGTCAAGCCCGGTCTCACCACCAACAAGGCCCTGCCTACTTCGTATTGTGATGTGCAATAGTAGGCCTGCCTAGCCAAGGGCCAAAAGGATAAATCAAGAACTTGATGTGGTAGAACTCGTGTTCGTGGATTAGGATCAGGCTTGCCGGTTGAAAAAAAATCGACATCTATTGTTGTGGCGACCGCCGAGTGCAACTCTCGCCAGGGTTGAAGGCCTGTCCAAAACGTAGCCCCAAATCCGCAATCTTCTCCATCTTTTCCTACTATAGCTTTCCTGGACTTGTCGATACTTTTTCTTCGGGTCTAGATTCTTGGATGTATGTATACTGTATTGCGAGGGCTGCGCCATGTGATGTGATGTGACTGGGGCGCATGCGTAGTGTATGTCTAAAAGGAGTAAATGACCTGTATAGTAGTAGTAGGTTGTTCTTTAGGCGTGCAATTCTTGCTGGGGCAAGGTCCAATTTTCTCTGCCAGGATGTGAGACAAGAGCTGCTTCAGGGTCTCTCAAACCTGGCAAGAAAAATCATGGGCAGGTTTCTCGATTCTCCCAGAAATTAAAAGTACTGATCTTTTCTGGATTCCAGGTACCTGGTCGACGGCGATCTTCTTGAAAACGGCCCACATCTTTTTTCCGCTTGCAATACTTTCTTGCACATGTCTCGACCGCAGGCCAGTCTGTGTCGTCGAGGTAGGTCCTAATGGATTTGCGATCTTGGTGTAACCTGACGAATGCATCACGCACCCAAGTCAAACAGTTGAAACCCACATCTTCCTGAGGGACGACAATGTCTCGTAGGATGGACTGGAGGCGAGCTTCGTTGGTCACTTTGGCTATCGCGATCCGGACCAGACCTGCTTGAGCAGATGGATGAGTTGGAACATCTTGTTGATCGTAGAGATATTTGCCCGCGTCGTGGTCCAAGTGCTCAACGTGATACCGGGTCCCGGGATCTTTGCGATTGGGGCTTTGAGACCCTACAACGAGAGACCAGTGGTGCGAATCACAATTGATGTCGTTGCGGAATGAGGACGTGGTGGTTGAGCCCCCTCGTGGGTACAAGACTATATAAAGGCGGGGCTTGTGCTTCGAGGGTCTGATGACCGAGTTGGTCGAAAGAGAACGGAGAAAGGGTGGTCGCGAACTTGAAGTAGACATGTTGTACACCAAGTTACCTTACTAGAGTCATCCGTCCTGAGTATGCATGTTGATTGAGATACTGGATGTGATTTGGTCAATTGGTCAATTGGTCAATTGGTCAATTGTGGTATTTGATATTACACTGCAGATAGCACCGAGGTGGTCATAGAGTTGCCGAAAGGTGGATTGGGCAGGAAAAGAACAAACTGGTTGCTGCGGTGGATGCTCAAAGAAGACAAAGTCTGCATCTGGCGCGGCAGATGCCGGTTAAATCGATGCTGGAAAAGAGCCGTAAGATTCAAAGGTCATGCGAGAGCAGCATATAGGTAAGGTGTCACAGTAGTGGTGAGATGCCACTCCTATCTACCAATAATAAATGAGAGGAACTGATTCCTGTATGTACTCTGCTTACCTAAGTCAACTCAGTCCGACGTCAAGTCGGCCATCTGGATGTATATACTCCGTAGACCTGTTGGGCAATGGGAGGCTTGCGAGGATGAGTGAGCAGTGGGAGTTTCTCGTAATCCCGTGACTCGATAACAGTTGCAAGGTGGGTCGGCATGGCGCTCTAAACACGTGAGGAGGATTGGACATGTGACGTCACCTTTATTCTTGGTCTGCTGGAAGTCACGAGGCGTCCAAAGTCTCCTGAGGCTGGAGGAAGGAACGGATCCTCTGGAAACCACAGGCTTACGTGCATGAATTTACCGTCTTGCATAAGAAAAGAGGTACAGAGGACACAGAGAATCACGAGATGAGACGAATGGCCAAAGAAAACCCCAAGCATTTTGTTTTCAGTGCCACGAACCATCGAACGTTGTGCCGCAGATGGTGATGGTGCAAAACTGGAACAACGGTGGCAATTAGGTTCTCTTGCGACAAAAACTTCAGGCATGACTTCAGATCTTTCCAGCATCATGTCATCAGCCACAACAGTCGCCGTCATTTCCGTAACCTTGTGTCGATTTCATGCATTCACCTGGCAGAGAGCAATCATAGGCGGGAGGGCTTCAGATGATCATTGATATCAGCCACAGCAATGGAAACTAGCCCCACAAAGCCACACAAATGTGCGAGAGGGATTACGACGCAAAGGCTTCGCATAGACGAGAAGATTGGCCATTGGTTGATTTAAGTGCACTCGCTAATGACTTGTGGCGTCAATGACAAGGACCAAGAGGCCCGTCTGTTTGAAACTTGCACTGTTGTGGGCATGCTGGGGCAGGAAAGAAGGCTAGTTCCTGGCATTTCGGCGCGCAAGGGCGGACCTAACAAGGCCAAAAGTAGGCTCCCGACGTCATTGGGGAGAGTGCCTGCTGAGGCAGAGTCAGACCAACTTTGGATTGGGGAGGCAGGATCCCTCTGGGAAGTCTGGGCGCTGGTCACTCTGTCCGTGTCAGTCGTCACCCGTCACCCCCGGTCACTTGTCAGCCCCGATGGTTGTCATGATCGAGAGGAGGATTTCTTGCTAATCACCTCTCGTTGCCAACTGCCCACAGTCCGTGCCAGTACCATTTCAGTGCCAATTCGCTCGTCATTAGAAAGCCAGCCACGTCCAAAAACCTATAACCAACCCAGCTCGTCGCACCCTCCAATCCTTCTTGCCTTCTCTACTCAGCCCAGAACTTCACCTCATCTCGATCTCATCGTCTCTATTCACCAACCGACAACACTACTCTTCAAACCTTCAAACCCCATCATCACCCCACACACTCATCAACATGCCTTTCACAGCATCGTAAGTCGCGTTCCGCTTCATCCGCCGCCGCGTTATCTGGTGGCCCGTTGGACCTGGGTGAGCTAACCGGCCTCTTCATCAGTGACATTTGCAAGATCATCCTTGCCATCATCCTTCCTCCTCTCGGAGTGTTCCTCGAGCGAGGCTGCAATGCTGATTTCTTCATCAACATTCTTCTCACCATTCTCGGTTACATTCCTGGTATCATCCATGCGCTGTAAGTCAAGTCTTGCCGAAGCCCCGAATCACCGAGAGCTTTGCACTAACCCAATACCCTCAGCTACATCATTCTGAAGTATTAAGCCACTTCTCTACGGATGAGGCACACTTCTACCGCCCGCGACATGAATTCATTTCTGACGAGGATCGACCACCCCTCGCCTACCATTGATATCCCACGTGTTTCGATTCTTGGGGGCTTTGCAACCAGCAAAAGCGTGTAGGCGCCGTCATCTACTCGAGAGTCGACGGGCAGCTGATGCGAGACCGGCCGGAGCAAGCCCTAACGCAGGGTATGGGCAGTTGAGCATACAATTATTGTCTTTGCAGGGAGGATGGGGTTTCGTTCCCATTCCAACTTGGGAGCAATACGGCGCAGCTGGTCATGTAGCTTGGACGCAAACACCTTAGTATAACATAATGTGATACCGTTTTCCCGTCGTCAGCCTTTTCTGCCAGACTTTGTGACAGCTTAATCGGATGCAATTCAACTTGTGAGCCCAGATGTGTATTTCCTGCCTTTTTTGGGCATATGCTTCCAGCCAGCATGGTTGTTCGAGGCTACAGTTATGAAACGCCTGGAAGAGATGGGTCCGGATTGGCCTTGATCCGAACTCCTACCATGGTCAAGCGAGCCACTACCCCCATCCAAGCTGTTTGAAAGTGCCTGACAAACAAAGAGCTAATCCATGAGCATTTAGAGATCGGGTCACGGCAGAGACGGGCTTGTGAGACGATGATATGGACTGATCCTCGACTGCGAACCCCCTCTTTCTTCTACGTAAGATTGCACGCAAGTTACGCTATGAGACTTGTCACACGGGTGTAGAAATACCGAGAGCTGTTGCCAGCCTCACAGGCGCTTCGACAATGCTTCGTTCCAAGACCGTGGAGTGAGCAGCAAATGCAACAAGCAAGCGACTGAAATTACTAGTCGATTGTTATAGGTCGCTGAGTCACCAGACGACTATAACAATAATAAAAGACGTCGATCCAGGGTAACAGATTTATTCATTGGCTGATTGCTGTGATTCGTACACCGACTGAGGGTATCCCGGGGTGCCCAGGCGTGCCAGGTAAGGCCCGAGGGGCCCTGGTGGCTGACCTGTGCCTGGAAATCACGTGTCTGGGACCGAGGGGGACCAAAGGCCGGTACCTTTACTACTACGCAGTCTACGCGCCCCTTTACCCTGGATCCTTCTGTAACCTAACCGCCCTCAAAGCGCCAGCCCTCACCACCACTGCTGCCTCACATCCAATGCTTTGAAACCTCCCACGCTTCATGTCTCTTTTCCTATGGCCTCTACATCGATAAGCCGCCATCTTCATCGTTGCCATATCCCGTATTTTCAGGGATGGGGGAATGTTTCCTCGACACGCCTCCCTGGAGAGGGGCCACAGTAAGTAGGGTTAATCTGCCCACGGTTTGACGGTGAGATCGCCTGGTTGCCCCTCGCTCCGTATATCTGTATCATCCCCCAGATCTCGACCTCAACGTCGCAGATCTGATTTCCTGACTAGTTCGCACGCGTCATTGCACCTCTCTCACTCTCTCTACGTCCTTTTGCCGCAAACGGCTCACATTCCTTCAACATGAACTCTCTATAATGACAAAGAAACACCATCTGAGATGCGTAATTCACCATCGACACCGAGACCGGCGAGTCCAGTCCGTCATGCCGCTCATTTGCATGCCCGTCAAGATGACATCTGCCTTCCTTCAGCTCTCCTCTCTTCTGTCCCCAGCTGCGCCGTTCCTTGCATCCAATTCTTCGCAAACACCAACTACCCAGGGAGTACTTGCGCCGACACTACCAACCTCGACTACTTGTGCACTCGGGAGAATACATCTGATCTGACGATAGGAGAAGGCTCTGTACAGTGTGTCAAAGCCTTGTGTAGAGGTTCAGATCAAGACAACGTCTCTGTTTACAACGTCTGCGGCTCAGTCAGGGGAGCGCTTCCAAATCTTGCAAGTACCATCACTGCAACGCTTGTTGATCCCACGGCTTTCGCGTCTGGAGCCATGGAAACTCTCCCTGCAACAATCGGCAGTCCCGCCACCACAGAAAGCGTGAGCATGATTGTCATGGACACAGGAAGCCACTCCATCCCAAGCGGGTCTGCCTCAGGTCCGCTAACAGACAGCGGCACTTTTGGTACCAGTGCTGCCTATACTACTGGCCATACCACACCAGGATCCGCGGCGATCACTGAGCAAGCTGCTGGCAGGGACGGCTTGACTACTGCTCAGATCGCAGGGATTGCGGCTGGCGGCGCTGGCTTTATCCTGGCTGCCGTTGGATTATTTATGTTCATATTGTGCATGCGAAAAAGGCGACGAGAACGGAGACGAAGTCAAAGAAGGTCACGAGTGGTTGATGCCCCACCGCCCCCTGTTTATCAGAGTCCTTTGCAGAAGCAGGATCCGCCTCTCACTACAGACCCCAATTCGCTCACAGTTCCAATGTTGAATGGCCGCTTTTATGCTCCTCCGTCGGACCAAGGAGTGGAAGAAAAATCCAAACGCCGAAGCTTTTGGAGGAAGAGCATCAAGCCCGAGGATATAGGCGTGGCTGTATCTCCACAAGTGCCTGGAGAGATATCACCCGTCAGCGTCACGTCACAACAAAGCAGCTCACGACTCTTACCAACCTTCCCCGCCAGGGCCTTGTGGCCTGATCCTCTAAACGTCCAGGGTTCTGGACGTCGTCAACCTGCACAGCCAATGAGTGATGTCGGTTCTGTTGGTGACATTGAGTCTGCGCCTGGCGCTGCAGACGCCCAATCAGTGTATGTCGATAATCAGCCGTTTGATTTATTGCCAGTTCGCAAAAAGCAGCGCGTCGCTCCTCCGCCACTACAATCCCCTGCTGTGGTAGAGGCATCTAACGGCACCACTAAGGCACAACGCGCCCCAGTTGAACGAATTCCTTTGACTCCAACATATGACAATGGTAATATCAGTGTGCCGTTGTCGGCTAGAGGCTTCGGATCCCCCAACTATCGAAGTTCTCCCAGCAGATCAGAGCCGGTGTTTATCGCCCTGAAGGCTCCTGAGCATCAATTGCCGCCGTCCTCATCCTACGCGAACCGGAAAGTGTTGAAGAAGAGTCGGGGTGCTGGACCACCACCAACACGGACCATTACTCCATTAATAGAGCCATCAGAGCAGCTTCGCACTGCCCCCACTCCACAGTATGTGCCAACCAGGGACATGCAACGTCGCTCAGGATCCTTGAGCTCGGAACTCACCGAGATTGAGGAAGACACAACACCGGAAGAGTCAGACAGACAACTTGAACTGTCTGCTCTTCCTCGGACTGAAGCGACAGGGCTGCAGAGCCCTCTGAAAGATCTCAGATACCCTAATATCCCTAGATCTGCGGCAGTCTCTCGACAGGCTGAAACGCCACCTATGCCTAAGATGCAATTTAATCCATCGAACAGGGGGATGCCTCTCAGACTCACGAGGGATCAGTTGATCCGAGCCGAAGCCTCGTTCATGAAGACCGACAGCACATCCTCGGATGGGTACCTTTCGGACTCAACCATTGAATTTCCAGCACCACCTGGAGAGGCCAGCTCGATCTCATACAGGATCAACCGTGAACCGCTGCGGATGTTCAAGAATGAATCGGCTGCCTCGCGGGATGAGACGGGCACAATACTTCAACGGTCACCATCCGGAAAGGCCAAGCTGACCCCGAGCAAATCCAAATCTGGAGACTTGTATTTGACAGTTTCAATCTAGGCGCAGTTGTTGGAAAAGGCGTTTTCCTTGACTAGATGTATGGTTAAAACCCAAACGCACGTATGATAAGATAACTATGAGGCTATTGTGATGATAAACGCTGTCCTAGGCATATGAATAGCAGAAATATAAGTTGATGTCGACCTGTGTCTTTGGTGATCAAAGTGAGTTGAGAGCCATATCACGTGATATCATAGTCTTCTCTGGTCAGTTAGGAAATGACGAGAATGACGGGTCTGACCCCGTATATATCATAAACGTCGACTGAAATGCTGGACTTCTTCTTCAATGCTTTTACACCTTTTTATCAAAGGCTAGTCACCACTTAGCCGAATCCGACTGATTCATTACCTATTGGTTTTGCAAAGGCATTGGGTAGGCTGCGTCTCGCTCGAGCGAAGATGCAGTAACAGCCATAATTCATCGTTAATTGCCGACAGTCTTACAATGTTCTACAGATGTATCCCTCGTGGCCAGCTCATTTCTGGTGGCGGGCGGCGCCCAGCCATACGACATGGAATAGAAGCCCTAGCAAAGTCAGCGTCAAACCACGTGCCATATGCGGATACTTCCAACAGTGATCTCACAACACCAGAAGTATCTCCCCAGTACCAAAATCCTTGGAATGAAAGAAGGGAGATGCCTTTTTTCAACCGTAAGCTCATGAGGCTGAGATATAAGTTTTCTGGACAAGCACGACTGGGTTTCACCTGGATTGCTAACGGCAAGAACAGAGTGGTAAGCATACAACTCTAGCGAAATTGTGCAGTGGGTTTTTAGGTTCGTAAGCTAACACGTGCTTTGTACACGGCAATAGAGTAAACAGACTATTCTGGAAAATCTCCCTCCGAGTCAGCGTTTCGTTATCCGGAGCCTTGTCTTTCTTGCGACCCCATCTCAAGTACATCTCCTCGATCAACGTCGATTCCTAAAGGATGTGTTGAAACGGGTTTTTAGTTCCAACCAACACACAGATCGAGGGCCCAATGAAATCAAGACAATCGCAGCTGTTGTTGATGCCTTGCCTGATTTTTCTCTCTACCCGCAGTCTCTTTCTCCCGCAGAGGGCATTTCTATCCTAATTAGCGGTGAAAGCATAGAAGACATGTCGACGCCTTCAAAGGAGCACGACGACAACGAAGATCATTATACTCTCCAATTCATCACCCGAGTCTTTCGTGACCCTATTCGTGAAAGTCATATGTTGGCTTCTCATGTTCAACTTCCAGTGGCGAATACCGTCTTTGTCAATGGTACCCGAGCAACACTTTTTGAAGACACCTGGGATGTAAAGTTGAAGGAAAGTCCACAAAAAGCCACTCGCGTCTTCGACCCTAAGCCCGTTGTCGTCGTCCATCAGAAGCGAATCCCTCTACAATCCTCCGTCATCCCCCTCACCCACCCGCGATCTCCAAGAACCTTTATATCAGTCCCATGCGAAGCCTTGACACCGCCACGCAAAATCCTGAATGTCATGGGCAATGTTGTCGCCGCAATCGAAGTTGACGGTGTTGCAGTTCCTGCTTCGACCGAGCTCGAAAAGGCAGTTTCGAAGTATTTGACCGATCACCCGAAAGCTGCGGACAATAGTCCGTTGGGAATCTACGCCTACGTTTGGCCAGAGAGTGCAGCAAGCTACGAAGACAGTCCGTATGACTTGCATGGTGGCCTCAGGAGTTTTCCGGGCAAAGCAAGACTATTCAAAGTTACAGGTGGTGGCGGTGGGTGGGGAAAAAAGAAAGGGCTTCTCTCGCTAGATCCGGCGATCGACTATGGGAAGACGCCCGAGGTTTCGAGTTTCCCCGATATGGACATGCTGGACAACGAGGAGATGGAGGGCGAAGTCAAACTCAAAGGCATGTTGCCAGCGGAAAGTACGATCCAATTTCTCGTCTCGAACCCGAAACTCTCGCCATTCAGCCCATATCACCGCTCTGCTATAGTGTCAAAGAACCATCACCCGGATAGGTCAGTTTGTATTTTTGGGACCTGTCTCAACCCCGAAGGCGGGGACAAAGTCGAAGTCGAGGTGAAGAAGAAAAAGGCATCGCCTAAGATGGCGCCAACTTGCTTTAACGCGACGTTTGGAATGCTCAGCTTTGAGGGTTCGGCCGTGGGACTAGAGCGCAGCATCGATGGAAAGCCATTCAACACTGACGCCCGAAGTCGTTTAGACGTTCCGGGTGCATTCACAGAATTTGAATTACCCGTTGTTACACCCTTCAACTCCCAGGTCAAGGATGTGTGGTTCAGGCATATCAATCTACGCGAGATTGATGGATCAGCTGACAAAATGCGGATCAAGAGTCGATCCGTTAGGAAAGTACAGATCAAGAGTGAATCCGTTAAGATTGCACTGGTCAAGAGTCGATCCGCCAGGAAAAAAAGTAAGAGGTAGTTCTTACGAAGCATGTTCTTGGATAAGGCGAAGTGACCTTTGCCCAAGATGCTTGACAGTCCTGAATGACTGTCTCCTGTACAGGTATTGTCAGGATATTGGGGTATCGGGGTATCGGAATATATTATGTAGAATAGGATGCAAAAATGTCCCATTTCAGCCAAGGCGTAGTCGATATGTCGTCGCCGAATCAGTATTCGCTTGATATCACGATTGCCTCTGCTCCAGAACATCAACATCCAATTCCTGCATGATATGCAACACCACACCGAGAGACTCCATATACCCATTAACCGCCACACGCAACATTCGATTGGTCGTAGCCCGGTATTCTGTGCGTAAGATTGTTGTGGATTCGTCGTCGAGTCGGTTTGGTGCGTCATCTACAGACGTCGTCATATCTGTCGCCTCTGAAGGTGCCACCAGGGTGAGGCGGCGGCGAACCAGTGGTGAGAGTTCGGCATCAACTTGTAGTGCGAGTAGAGCGGTGGAAGCTAGGCGGTGATTTAGGAGGGGAGTGTGAATTATTCTTGAAATCACCGACACGATGTCAAAGTTAGCATGTGTCCACTTAGCTTTTGAGTTGACGAGGATTGGATAAAATGACCGTAGTCAAGGGCGTCATACAATGAACAGGGAAATTCAGAGTCGGATATTGAAGCCATGATGATCGATGATTGGACCAATAATAGCCAGGTAGGCGAGCTGGACTAATGTTTGATCGGTCTAATTAGTGAGGCTGGGGGAACCAAGATAGCAACATCCCAAGGCTCTGGTACTTGGAGACAGGCTCTGGTGGTTGAGGATGGGGCCGCACAAGCGACCAAGATTCGGATTATTTGCACAAGACAGGAGATGAGATCTCTGTCTCGATCCAGCTGGTCAATCTGAACCTGGACTGCTTTGGTTCGTAAGTGGGACGAGGTTTGGTTGCGATGAGAAACAAGAGGTGGGGGCGGGCGAGTGATGACAGCAAGAGGGAGAGACGAAGGAGACAAAGGGCCGAGGGGCGTCCTGGGTGTCCTGTGTGCGGGTTTTCCAACAAGCTTGATGCAGGGGTGTGTGTCAACGAGTGCGAAGCGTCAGAGGCGAAAAAAGATGGCGAATGTGATGCGACGAGGGATGTTGGTGGGGATATGCCGCTATTCCGGATTGAGTATAGCGGTTGTTTGTTGCTGGGTAACGGGCAACTAAAACAACACAGATTCAACTTGGACCATCGACTGCAACTCACCACCTCTCACAAGGTACATCTACCGTCCGTCCCTACAATTCCATTTCCATTACCACTACCACTACCACTGCTATCAACTCTACCTCTTCCCATCCATCATTCTCAGCTTCATTCAACGCTCGGTTGTATTCTTCCATTCTTAAGCCGCTCCTCGTTACCATTGCCCAAGTCTTCGTCCTGGACATGCAACTCTTATAACCACAACATCCCACTCTTGGAACTTTATTCACTTTGCCTCAAGCTAGCAAGACTTGTTTGTTGGCCCATTTCGACTCCTATCTCTTCTCACATCCCTCTCTCACCCGTCAGACCGACCAGTAATGGCGCCTACCATGGGCCATTCTGCCAGTTACGGTCAAGTCATTGAATATATCCAAGGTATGATTGACTGACCGCTCAACAACCTGCGCACGCGACTGATTACCCGCATTTAGATCGACTATACCTAGCCTCATACAGTCAACCTCCCAATGAGCATACTCCCTTCCCATATCCTGCGACACAAGCAAAGAGGTCTCCTCACAAGAAGTCCATCCGACCTCAATCCACACCTACTGCCCCATCACTGCGCCCGCCTCCAGTGTACTTCACAATTGACGATACTCTTCTTTACAATGCTTTCCATGCCGATTTCGGTCCGCTGCATATTGGCCATTTGTATAGATTTGCAGTTCAATTTCACGAGATACTTGGTGACCCCGCAAACAATGACAAAGCCGTCGTATTTTGGTCGAGGGCCGACGCCAGAAGCCGAGCAAACGCTGCATGCTTGGTAGCTTGTTATATGGTACTCATCCAAGCATGGCCTCCACATCTCGCCCTCGCCCCTATCGCGCAAGCCGACCCTCCCTATATGCCCTTCAGAGACGCTGGGTATAGTCAAGCAGACTTCATTCTGAATATTCAAGATGTCGTCTATGGTGTGTGGAGAGCCAAGGAAGAGAATCTTTGTCAACTGAAGGAATTCAATCTTGAAGAGTATGTTTGCGCGCATTGAATAAGTCAACCCCTGGCTAATTTGCCCTCTGCAGGTATGAACGCTATGAGCGAGTGGACATGGGTGATTTCAATTGGGTCTCACCTCAATTTGTCGCATTTGCATCGCCTCAATCCGAGCCCGTCGCTCCCATCCCAATCACTTCTCCCGCCTATGCCACCTTACCATCTTGCGTCCCGGAGATCAAGAACGCCAGGATTGGTCAGCCCTTCAAGAATGTCTTGACTCACTTCGTGCAAAAGGATGTCGGTCTAGTCGTGCGCCTGAACTCGGAGTTGTACTGTCCGACCTACTTTACCGCTTTGGGCATTCAACACATTGATATGATCTTTGAAGATGGCACATGCCCCGCGCTGCCTGTGGTTCGCAAGTTCATCAAGCTTGCTCATGACATGATCGCGAAGAACAAGAGCATTGCTGTCCACTGCAAGGCAGGACTTGGTCGAACAGGATGTTTGATTGGTGCATATCTGATTTACCGACACGGATTTACCGCAAACGAGGTCATCGCGTTCATGCGTTTCATGCGGCCCGGTATGGTGGTTGGTCCTCAACAGCACTGGCTACACTTGAACCAGAACCAGTTCAGAGAGTGGTATCTTGAAGACCAGTGGAAACTGAAGATGGAATTGGCCAAACCATCCACCCCTCGCACAATGTCGACAAAGACACCAATGCGTCTGTCCAGCGCCACACACAGCGCCACTCCAACACGGTCCAGTGCCCAAAGATCTGCCCTCGGCGAGATTGACGGCAATGATGTGAGCAACGCTTCCTCCCAAGACGAGAATCTTCCCGCCCCAACCCCCGGTCAGCCGAGAAAATATGCTCGCATGGATCCTAGACATCATCCATACGCACGATCGACGTCAAACTCGATGCACATCAAGGACGGCGCTTCCCAGACGTCTCATCGGCAGAGTCTGAACGGTGCTGAAAGTGAAGAAGAGTTAACACTGCAGAGAGCCGCCGCGAGACGCAGCCACAGTAGAAGTCCCAGCAGCAAAGGAAAGGCCCGAAGCGTGTCCTACACAACGACCACGACCACCACGACCAAAACATTTGATGTTGCTGGTGGCATGGGCATCTATGAGGATGGTGCGGAGATGGACTTCCAGGTCATTGAAGACACCAATGCCATTTGGGATGAACTTGCTCAGGAGCAAGAGAACCTCAAGCTCAGCACCAGGTCTGAAAAGGGTCAGAACGGCAATCGACCCCGGACACCACGGTCCGCCAGTGGTATGGGTGCGATGAGCGTGTCCAAGACCCGATCTCTAAGAGAATCACCGCGCCGCGCAGGTGTCGAGGCCAACATCAAGGTCCGCAAAACCAGCGGTCGGGTGGGCAGTGCCAGTCATGGCCCCATGGGTGTCAAACGATGATTCCAGTCACATCTACCTCGAGATGATACGCTTTAACGAAAACTACTGTACTGATGATGTCTTGGACCAACAAAAACCTTTGATGAGATAGACGCAGGAACAACTAGTTGCATGGATGTCCATCACCAGAGGAGGACAGCACTGTGGATGATCAAAGCTATATATTGACATGTGTCTGTCTGTCTGTCTGTGTAGCGGGTGGGCGCTGGCGGCAAGGTCGATTGCACAACACATGAAGTTCGATCAGATGGGACGAATGACGACTTCAAAGGGATGTTTGATTTTGACGACGATTGATTGCATGGCGCACTGGGTAGGGGGGCCGGGGACATTGTTGATAAAATGACGTTTTTGTTATGCATGCATGGTAAAAACACCAGGCACAGCCTCCGTCACCGGCTCTCGTACATGGCTTATAGTTGACAAGGCGGATGGATGGATGGACAGTCGTTTATTCCTCCTGGCTGAGAATAGTAGCAGTGGTAAAACCTAGTGATAGTCATACTACTGTTCTTGACCATTTGACCAAAGTTCGGCAGAGGCGGAGTAAGAAGTTGTTGGAGGTGTTTATTGTAAAGAATCATTGTTTGTATTGTTGCTACAAGGCGAATTCGCCTATTAAATGTGACGACGAAATGCTTCTAAGAGTGCTGAGTGTGGTCCATTCTTTTGATGGGTAACAACCGTCTTCCTCGCTTGTATGGTAGATCAAAACAACCCTTCTTTCTGGTGAAGGCCAAGAAGAGAGATATGTCTGTCGAGATATGTCTGTCCATCTATGACTCCAAGAGCAAAGTCCCCTTTTCACTCTTCAACTCATCCAAACCCTTGACCCTCAACTGCATGACTCGCAACACCGTATATCTATGCTTGGAGTGAATGACGCGACGATGACGATTCCGGCGCTTCTTCTTTTCCTTGTCCATCATGGGACCAGTCTCCGTGCCCATGACCCGCATACGCAGCTCAAACAATCGCTCATCAAGATAATTAGGCTCGCCGGTTCTCTTGGAATCGTAAGTCTCGGTATTACTCATACCGGCCTTGAGCGTGAAGTCGCGCGAGCCGATAATGCTAGCCCGGTTCAATCGGAGGATATCGCCGGGGAAAACATCCTTCATCAGGAAAGGTAGCCGTAGAGTATCGCCTTCGGTGAGAAGATACGGGAATCGGTGGATATGTGCTGTAATATAGTGTGGCTTTTGAGCGTGGAGTTGAGGGAGCATGTCTTGCAGCGTCTTGGAGAGGACGAGTGGTCTAGTCAGCGTTCCTGATTTGGCTGTTCCTACACTAGCTACCTCTTGTTGGGCGGTTGGTGCGGGATTGATGGTGCTTTGGTTGGTGCTTTGGAGAACGGTGGGCGGGATCTCCGGCGACGTGTTCTGAAATTGCTGCTTCGAACTCACGGATTGTTGACCTGTGGTTGTTGCAGAGTGAAACTTTTTCGCACGGAATGGGAGGAGGAATGTCGGTGGTTGAATGGTTCGGGTCGTGGACGTCAGATCCAGTGCGCTGCGGACCAAAGCTCGTGATGATACATGGTGAGAGCGAATGTGGCGAGGAGGGTAAACAGATCTAGAAGCTTGTCAGCTTGCACTCATGGAAACACACACATCATGGCGCAATTGCGAGTGGGATGCGGACCTTGACCTTGTCGAGGCTGGCATTTTCGGCACTCGTGAGGGCATCGAGTCAAAGATGCATTTGACCATGCGCCCGCAGATGCGGCACATGTTGAGGAAAGAGGCTCAAATGAGCAACCTGAGAGCCGTGTATTCAAAGGCGACCAGCTCGGTAGCTTCGAATGGAGGACTGCAGACTGCAGTGGATGGCTCGAGGTGGATGATTGAAGTCGTTGCAGAATCTCAGTTCAAACTGCGCTTTCCCTTTCCGCTTGAGGTAGAAAATGCTTGGCGTTGGATAATGTCTGAGTCACGTGGTAGGCTTGACCCTAGGCAAGCTTTACTACGGAGTAATATAGTCCTACCACTCCTTTGGGCTCTTTTAGAAAGAGGCGTGATGTCGAGCTTGCACGCTGATTTGCTTGGTGAAATCACACCAGGACATGTCGATCGATTTGCTAGAGGCTGTGACTTCGGAATGTCTCACGAAAGCGTCCCAGGACATTTATGTGTGATTCCGCAAGCGGCCTCGACAAGGACGAACTGGATTTCTGCCAGGAGCTGCTCTCTATCAGCGCGCCCCACCCTCCGAATTCGGTTCTCGATGAATCTACCTTCTTAGAATTCTTCGAATTGACTCGAGACAAATCTGAGCAATGGCTGGTCAAGAACATGCATCCACACATTTTCCCTGCACCAGAACTTTTAGCGCTTCGCGGACAAGATGGATTCAAAGACCTCGTCGAAGGATGTAACGATAGCTGGGTACGAGCCATTTTCCCGTCATACGGGAAATGCCCGCAACCGGATTCCACAATTGCTTTCAAGTGGAAAAAGTTCTCCAGGGAAGAAATTCGGAAATTAGGCATCGTTATTGGGTTACCATCCAAGTATTTAGCCCGCGATGATATGTTCTTCCCTTTCATCACGGGAGAAGCCAAATGCGACAAACAAGGCCTTCATGTCGCTGATCGGCAGAATATTTATAGCATGAGTGTTGCTCTCGAGGGCATCATCGATCTCTTCCGGAGAGCAGGCCGATTGGAAACACTCAATGGCAAAGCTCTTGGGCTGTCAATGTCTTACGACAATGAGACTGTGAAAATGTTTGCCCACCATGTGGTCATCAAAACTCAAGAGCCAAACGACCAATCTCGCCAGCAGCCAACGATTAGCGCCTTGAAATATCGGACGATTCTTGACGAAGTGAGTTTGAGTGCCAAGCAAGGGGGAGATCGTTGGAAGCCATACGATTTCTTTTACAACGCATGCCTGAAGTTCTCTGAACGCCATCTCCAACGAATCAAAGAAGCAATCGCCCTTCTTCCCTCCCCAGGCGACCCGGGCGAAGCGCACTCTCAACCGGCGCCCTCCCCGGATGAAGTTGGGCAAGAGCAAATTGGAGAGAGTGTTTTTAAGAAGCCTCGGAATGGCGGTGTCGCCGGAGAACTTCGGAAACAATTAGCTGTGCTCGAGAGGCAACTAGTGGAGCAGAAAGAGGAGGGCAAGAGGCGTGAAGAGGAGAGCAGACGGCGCGAGACCGCACTTCAAGCACAGCTGGATCGTCTGCTACAATTACTCGAAACAAAGAGTAGATAATGTATTGTTACGAAGCGATGGATGAATATTTGATTCCTGCAGCCACTACGTCCATGGATATGTTATGTAAACACTATTGTTCTCCTGGGTCAGCCCGTTGACAACGACCAAAGGTTCCTAGAACATTCCGATGTTAATCAAGAAACGTTGGAGGCCTCGATAGAAAAAGGGGGAGGGCACCTCGATGAGTACCCTTTATAAGTCACGAGATCAGGGTCGACTACTAGGTACTACTACTAGGTACTAAGGTACCTAAGTAGAGTCGGCAGCGTTGGTACAGAGCGAAACCAACCTCTTAAAAGCGGCAGCCTTGCATTGACGAATACGGAGTACGGAGTATATAGGATATAGTTTTACTAGTTTTAATAGTACTCCATAGACAGGTCAGTGGATCTGTGCGGGAGACCTCCCACCGCAACCACGATACTACCATTTAAGAGCCAGGACCACCTCCATGACATCGTGTTATTATTGACTCGAGACTTTGTTTCTCAATCCAGTAGTCTAAACCCCCCTCCTTGTCTTCTCTAACTCAAACCACCCGCCAGAAAAACCATAGCTCCCACCAAAGCCGCAAAAGACACTTTAATACCTTGTACTGCTGCATTCTGAGTCTGTTGAGCCTGAGAACCAGTGCTAGTGCCAGTGCCAGTGCCAGTGCCAGTACCAGTACTACTTGCCGTACTACCAGTCGAAGGAGTCGCTGCAGCTGATGCTGATGCTGATGCTGAACCTGAAGCCGAAGCCAGACTTCGACTAGCACTTTCAACGAGTTGCTGAAAATTCGTAGCACTCAAAGGAATAGTGGTCTGGCAGGTGGGTGTGGCCAAGGACGTTGCCGAAGTGGTGGTCACCGTGTCGGTGCTTGAACAGAATGGAAATCCGTCGCAGAATGACATGCTGAACCCGGTGCCTCCAACACAGCAATATGTTGCAGTGGTGCCTTGGACTACCATGGCTCCAGGACAGTTGCTGACGGTGACTCCGTTGATCACTTCGGTGACGCCAGCCTGGTGGGTTGGTTGTCCGGGTTAGTGATTACTTCCAGGTGACTTGGATGGATGTCAGGGTAGGTGTTGATGGTGGGTATGTTACATACTGAAGATAAATGGACAAGCGCTGAGAGGCTGAGCGCGAGTAATGAGGTGGATGACAACATCTTGTCCAGTGTCCTTGTCGTAATTTGAGAATCTGTAGAATTGGAAGCCGTGATGTAGTGTGTTTTCCGTATATAAATAATGCGTGTTTTCAAGCAAGGGGGGTTTGGAAATCTGAGCCTGTTGGTTTTTCTATACCTGGCAATCTCTCTCACAGTCACCTATATAGTATCTATATATCTCCACAACAGCGTCTTTCGCAAGGCCCAAGTGGGAGATACAGTCACTCTGTCCCAGAGACTCAGCCCGCCATTGTGAACAAACTGGGTTCTGGACCCTGAGGAAGGTTTTGGGACCAGGGAAACCAAAGGTCCGTGTGCCTCATTCCATGCGAGCCTTGTCAGGTATAAACTATTGGCTCGAGTCTCCAATCAGATCCCAGAGCGATTTCTGGACGGTGTAAGATTTCATACACCTATCTACCACTCCAACCGTAAGTGGAACGGGGGTCCAATACCAGCTCAGTAGAGGCATTATTTGTTGGCTGGCGTAGAAACCACCAATGACATGGCCACGCGGATCATCCGTTGTCTAACTTAACAAACAAATACTTTTGTACCGGGCCATGTCTATGCATAATGACTTGTTGCTACACATGGTTGGAAGTTCAAATGCTGCAGTTCAAACCCAACGCCGCTTCCTTCCTGGACGACAATCGTCTACAAGACATCGGCTTCTCGAGCTCATCATAATACCTGGATCACTTCACTCACTGGACCCCAACAAAAAATCATTGTAGAGTAGACTTCTCTCAAGTAAAGTTGAAGCCGGTTCATGTTCCGTGTTTCCATTTCCGCTAAAAGCCAGAGCCAACCAAGCTCACACGGCTCACCTGCGTACCCCGATATAACAATGGTTGCAGCCCCAAACTTTTCGATGCCAACTTCGAAAATGTGGGTAATACTGACTCATGACAATCCTGTTGCATAGGAAATTAAGAATAGATCACAATCAACCTACACCCGCCCGCGTCGTAGAACTCGTCGTGGAGGACTCTTGTCTCGATCATCCTTGAAATATTTTTCGTCCTTTTCATCGTCTCTAGTTGTTGAACTAGCCCTTGCTTCTATCAGGTCTCCAGCCTCGACTGACTGCCGAGCTGCTGTGCTTGATCGTCGACTCAATCGTCTTCCAGTACTGCCGGGTGTGACCGCGGGAAGCGTCTTGTTCGATAATGTAGGCGACTGCACGAGACCTCTTCTGCCATAGTTCGACTCCACACTGGGAGCTGTTTTGCTTGCATCGCCGTCAACAACGATTGTCTCGGACTGGTCCTCGGCTACCTCTTTCAGCCCGTTGGTGGGTTCTTCAGGCTTTTGTTCGCTCTCGGGTGCAGATCCTCCCGGCATCTGCGCATCAGGTCTGTCCGGTGCACTGTTCTCTGTCCCAGTCATGACAGTGTCGCCATCTCCAGTAGTGCGTTCAGCCACCTTTTCTTGGGCTAGTCTGGGGACGCCAACTTCAGACGGCCCTGCCTCTTTCTTTGGTTCCACCACGCTTGCAACAGGTCCTTTGGGGTCGGTCGCGGGAACGGTAGTCGAAGACGATTGGAGTTCAGCAGGCCGTGGGTTGCTGCTGACTTCAGTTGGTGCCTCAGCGGGCTTCGGGCCCGAGGGTGCATTCGAAAGCAACGGGCGAGCTTCATTTGCGACAACTGGTCTTGGGGCTTGGATAATTGAACTCGAGATTGGGGGTAGCGTCTGGAGACGAGAACCATCCGATGATCCAATGTCGCCCTGGAGCTTCTTGGGTTCTGGTTCAATATGGGACGTTGGTGGGTTGACCCGTCCAAGCCAATCAGACCTATAGTCAGACCGTACATGGGTTCCAGTGATGCTCGAAAATGTAGTAATGCTTGGGGATGCACTAACACGAGGCAACACCGGCTTGGCCTGGTTGTCTTTCGTGGCACCCAAATTTTCTTTTCTGAAGCCATTGGTAAAGCCGGGAAGCGGGCTGCGCTTGATTTCTTCCGTAACAGGAGGGCTGCCTCCAGGTGAGGGTGTTGGCCGCCATCCTGCAGGTCTCGCTTGGAGATCAACACCTTGCGACGTGGGAGTGCTTTTACCAGCATAATTCAGTTGCTCCTTCGTCTTGACTTTGATCTTATGGTTCTTGGGATCGGCAACTGTGCCGGCTGAGCCACTTCCATGCTCACTTTCATGCTTCTCAACTTCCTTGACCGGCACTCCATACTTTTCGAGAGCCTTGTCGAGACTACCGATGGTCCCCTTAGGCTGCTCATGGTTCTTGACAATGTGACATTGCAGGCCATGAACTGTCCGCCAATCAATGCGAGAACACCCATCATGATTACATCGTAAGTACATCTCGGTTGGTGGTCCAGTGGGGTTTTCTTGTGTACCGCCAACCCCATACGAGGTCCAGATACCGCGGTTCAAAACATCGACACGTTCGCAGTGATGGTGTCTGTTGGCGAAGGCTTCGGACATTTGATAAGGGTGAGTGGTGGACGGGGTCCGTTTATTGGTGGTCGTCGGGGTGGTGGTCGCGGTGACTGTGGTGGAAGGACTCCCTGTTGTTGCGCTGCTGTACGGATGGAAGCGAGAACCCTCTGTGCTTGGTGCCACACCCTGTTGATTTGCTGTCTTCTGGTGACTGTCTGCATCTCGTGTAGCTCCCATGTGTGGGCTCACGTGTGAAGATGCTGGATGTACAGGGCCACGCGGATTTATCGCGGCATACCCTGAGCTAGTGGGCGTGTTCACGGTAGCGAATCCAGATGAGCCTGTCGTAGGTGGAGGGCGAGTGTCATAACTGGAGCTTGCAGGGCGAGCTAGGGTATTTGAGCTAGCGATTGGTGTGGCAGGAGAGCGGGTGGTTGTGGCGCGGTTTGTGTGTGGTGAATCAGAGCGCGAGACCTGGCCAAGAGAGCTCCTATCGGTTGGGTTCTGAGAAGTCGAGTTCAGACCATTTGTCGCGCTAGCAGGCGAGGCGGAACTCGGAGTGCTATACGCTGGAGATTGATGGAAAGGTCGTGAGTAGCTGGAACTCTCTGAGGATCGATAGTAAGAGAAAGGAGGATTCGAGACAACTGTCTTGATTGGGTGCGGAGGGGGTAGGTTGGCTGGATCAGCAAGTCGTGAATGCCCGCTTGATGATTCCAGATGACCAGGAGGACCGGCCTGGTGACGCTTAGAAGGCGGCGGCAGGGTGGAAAGACCCGAGCCAGGGGGAGACATGGACGCTGATGCGATTCGTGAATTAGATGGTTGAGGGGACTCGTCCGGAGGTAGACCTCTCTTGAGCCGCTTGAGTCGTTTCCGGAGATTCTGGAAGCCAAATGTTAGTCACGAAAATCCGGCGCATCTAAGAGGCGGGCACAAAGCTACCGTTTCTTCATCCTCGAGATCATGCTCGAAGAATTGGGTGAATGCAGCATCTTCTCGCTTGCGTCGAGCCTCGATCCTTGCATCGCGACGGCGTCGAGCCTCAGTGATAGTGGCCCACTTTCGATCTTGAAGGTCTCTTTTATGTCGGATTCTTTCATCCTTTCGCTTTCGCTTGGCTTTGAGGATATCATACTTTCTGATGTTCATTTCTTCAACCTTTGACAATTGGTCAAGGCGATGCTGAACGCCATCAGACGACTCGAGTGCATGCTTTGACGGCGGAGGAGGTAGAGGTAGAGGAGCAGTCAAACCTCTATCATCGCCACCGCCCAAGGAGACATCACTATCCGAGGATTCAGCCTCCATGGCGTCACGTGCATGTTGAGTAGGTTGATAAGTATGCCGCATCGGTTGAGAAAAAGGAGAACCCCAGTGGGATCTCGGGCGCTATTGGGGTATAGTCAGCAAGAATGTATTTCATGATGAGTAACGTGAATGGACGATAGGAAACAGTCAGTCCCCAAGGGCAGAAGCAAGTGAGGTGACAGGGTCAAGCGAGGGGTCAGTGTGGACGGTAGATGCAAGAGCGCCAATGATAGCGGTGGGACCAGTGAAGGGAGGAGGTAGCTCGGGAGGCGGGAATGGTATGTTAATCAAGGAAGATGAATTGGACCAATAACATGAAGTGGAATTGGTAGGTGGGGTAGACCAAAAATGGTTATAGATGATGAAGTCCATAGGGTAAAGATAGTGGTTGAAGGAGACGGTGGATGAATGACTTAAGGCGACACCGGTGATTGGTGCAGAAAGGATGGGATGCAGGAATTGACAAGTGTTGCCAAGGGTTGAGTCGAGAGATGTGGTCGCAAAATAGCGGAGGGTGGTGCAGACAGAGGCACCCTAGATGGCTCTAGGGCGGGAGTAGGGGTGTTGGAGGGACCAAATCCGGCCTAAGATCGAAGCCACTGCAAGAGTGCAACACGCGGTCAAGCGAAAGATTAATGCCAGGGTGACTGGTACCCATTAACCGAGTTCCGGGCTTTTTTGGGTTGGGACTTGAGGGCTTTGGCTGCATGTCGCAAGAGCAACACATAATCACCACATAGTGCGGATCAGGTTGCAGAGCTGAACTCGAGTCGTGAAAATGTGGTTGATTGTCGAGTCAAGGCCCAACGAAGGTCGCCGCATTGATACGGCATGGGGCTGACAGAGGCTTGGAAATTTGTGATGGTGGAGTGAACAGCTGTCGGGTGCTCTGCTCCAGGTCCCACAGAGATGCGGTTCTGGGTAGCCACCGTGGCGGATGGGGGATGGGTTGCAGCAAGAGGCAAGACAAAGTGACACAAATACTGAACAAGAAACAAGTAACGTACCTCGGAAGATGGCAAATCCTTGCGGATATCGGAGACAGGGCGGGACAGCATGGTTGTGAAGGGCGACTAGTTGTCCGGACGAGGAGCCCGAACAGGCGTCGATGCGACTAGGATAGGAATTGAGGACGAAGGGTACTCATCAAGTAGATGTGGTTTATTGTCCTCGACAGGTGTTCTGGAGGGGTATTTAAGGAAAGGTAAGAGTGAAGGACGAGATTTCAGATTTGGATGTGAATTGAAATCTCTGTCGAGGAAGGAGAAATGCGAGAAATGCGGCGAGGCGGTAGGAGGGGAAAGGGAAAAAGCTTTGAGGACGGAGCAAGGAAGAAGGAAAGGAAGGGACAAAAGGTATTAATTTGGAGGTGAAGAAAGCGTAGCGGATGCTGAGTCGTAGGTACTTAGTGTGCAGTCAGCAAGGCGAATAATAGTGAAGAGTGCGCAACGTAGTACAGTGAGCATGAGCGTGAGCATGAGCATGAGCACTTCACTTTTGCACAGGCAAAAGGGTGAAGAAGCGAGAAGCGACAAGCCACACGACAAGTGGGCAATTGGGCAATTGGAATGGTGGATAGAGTTGAGTATGTGTCAATAATGAATGGAGTCCGGGCGTGTACACGGTCTAGGTCTCGAGATGAGATAGGAAAAGCGAAAGTCAAAAGGCTTGAGGAAGCGAGCGTCTTGAATAAAAAAAGGTAAACGGTCAATGGTCAACAGTGACGGGAGTTCGCTTGAGTTGTGGAACTCTTGTACAGGGTTGCCAGAGGATAATTACACGGAGACCAATAGGGAGCAGCACTAAAGCCAAAGAACAGTTATCCGTATACGGAGTACGTAAAGCGCATACAGGACTGGCGGCACACAGCCCCTCGCTTTACTGAAGATACACCAATGTGCTGACAAGGCGCCTAAACAACCACCCTAGAGGCGGAGGCTAATAAGGAGCGAGCACAGGCAAGCCAACAAACTGGTGGGTGGTGGGAAATACCTACTCCGTACAAGCCCGGGTTATCTCTACGGGAGTAGAGAATGTGGTCCGAGCTTTGCAGAGCACCTGGAGGTCATGAAGCCTGCTAATAAGCACTGGGCACTGGGCGCCAGGCTCTATACCCCCCTCCCCCAGCCTAAGTTGTGTACTCGCTTGTCAGGAGATTCACCACCAACGAGGCCACGTATTACGCACAGAGCAATTCGTAATCTTTGAGGTGGACGGTGGACGCCACAATACCTTTTTGATAGATAAGTCTCAATTTAAGGCCGAGGTACCCCCAGCTGCAACTGGCACTTTGCTGCGACGCGACGAGCAGAATAAACGACTCGACTTTAACGGGTCTCATGAACTAGGTACCTAACTCCGTAGACATGAGTTCGGGGTGTTGCAGATGCCTCTGTACCTTAGCTGACCTGTGGTAGCCCCGTTGCCTTTCTCATACATACATCGAGGACCCTGAAACTGGTGGGCTCCATTGAATCCAACAGAAACCAAGAGACGAATGTAACATTGAGTGATTGACAAGATAATCACGACAAGGTTCAATGTGAGACGTCACTCGCGATTGGGATCGACTAGGAATGTTTGTTGCATAGACATACATTTGGATACTATTACTATGATGAAGGTGGTATTGTGCTCTAGCCCCGTGCGTGCCTAGAAACCAGGCGAAGGCGGACCTGGGTACGTACCTAAATTGGAGACTTTATTGTTGCCACGTTGGTTCTCCATATGGCTGCAGGTAGCGATCAGAGTATCCGTGATGGCCCCGCCACCCCCGAGGCGGAGGATGTGCTTGGGCATTGCAGAAGAAACAGCTTCCTTCGCCCCTGTACTGTACATCTGCCTCTGGGACGAAACCATTAGGAACACCCCATTGTCAGCATGATGATTCGCAATCTAAGTAGTTTCAGCTGGCAAATGGTGTCCGAATGTCACGGTCTGATACTGGTTCAGGATGCAAATGTCCGTAGGATCACCCAAAGCCAGTAACATGCAGATATTTGATCATGTTGGAAGAAGCGCTTCGATAGGTCCCCATGTTGTGCCCAGAGGCAAATTGCAGCTGAATGGAACCCAGGTCAGGAGTCGATCATTACGTGAGGAGGATCGTTGAATCCATGCATGCGTAGTATTCCACCCTTATTAGTTACTAATAAGGTACTTAAAGGAGGATGACGAAGCGGAATTCGCCTCCTGCTCCATGTTCGATCTACGGCGGTACTTACCTGCAATTAGGACAGCAAGTGCCACAATCCCTAGACACCGGCACCTATTCCGTACTCCAAAGGTAAAGCTTTTAGGGTTTGACATATCTCTCCAAGGCAGTTGCACTATCAAATCTAAAGTACCGGACTCTATCCCTGATACGAGTCGAAAACGAGATGCCGAATGCCGGATTGACAGGATTTACGAGTCATTGTTTAGCAGCTGATCTTTGGCCCCGTCAGTCATCTTAGGTGGTACAAACGAATTGAGGACATCAAAGTTCTGTGTACTCCGTAGGTAGATTAACACGGTGCCTGTACGGTTCTTTGGGCGATCCCATTATCCAGTCTTTGGGGGGGGAAGTGCCTAGGCGTAGGTGAGGTCTGCAAAGTCGCGGTAGGTTGCGACGCCTGCACACGCGCCTAGATCGGACCATGGGCCCTGAGTCCTTAGTTAAAGGCCCACAGATGAGCGTCTCATCCCGTATCCTGGCGAGACATCTTCGATTGGAGTTAAAGTTAAGTGTAGAGCATCCGGTAGATAACCAAATTCCCACCATAAATGCCACCTTTCTTCTTCTAGTAGCCTCTTTGCTAGCTTGATCTCAGTTATCAAATTGTGCCTGGGATGTGGGTCGGTCGGATAAAAGTACCATATGAATAAAGGATGCTATTGTACTCCGGCCGCGTGGTTGGAGCTTCGCCATGAATCCATGACGCCGGCGACGCCCAGTTATGCCAGTCTCTTGTAATCTATTCGACCATCTGGCTTCCAGGTTATCTTGGGTTTCTTTCAAGGGGAATCATGGTGCGCGTTGCGAGCGAAGAGCAACGTGGCGTCCTCTGCTGGAGTCGGCCCTAATATAGCTCACGTGCTCCTTCTTACCGAATCCGGTTTCTACAGCCCTAGGCTTCCTTGAATCCCTGAAGATGGCTCCTGAATCGATGGCTGAGGTGTCTGGGGATTTTACACGTACCCCGTAGTGCCCGTATAGGCACCATTCGGAGTCCGGCAGTAGACAATTCTTGCCGTAGCATCTCACGCACGGATGCCCGCCGTCATCAAGCTAAGCTACTATAATCGGCGTTCTGAACACTGTGCTCGGTGCCCCTGACTTAGATACTGTAGATGTCGAGCATGTTGAATGCCAGAACCTTCTCCTCTCGAGCGCCCGTTATCAACCCAGAGTTTGTGGAATTGTCCCACTCCGACAGCCTCAACTTAGCATCACCCAAGATGGTCTACAGCCCGTGAGGACAATCAATATGCAACACGGGTATCCTCTGGTGGCCACGAACATGTCGATTCGTCGCGGATGCACTAGGACCGTCTTGATTATTGGTCTCACTTTAGGTACCTACTCCGTACTGACCAGTGAGCAGGGACCTATGACCATCGTTTGGTAGCCAAAAAGCCTCAAGACTTTGCAAATCATTCGACCCCCACATTTGTTTCCTTATTCCTTGCCTTTTTGCTTCTCCTCCCTCTCATCTTTTTTTGCCACTTCCGGTTCGACTTGCCGACGAGGTCGTATTGTGATCTTATCACCGAGGTCTTTTCATGAAACAGACACAATACGCATATTTGTATGCAGACTGCATAATCAAGAGTAGTCAGTTGCATCATGATCAGCTCCTACCCCTTCTCGAAGCGGTAGATGCGACAGGTCTATCCAACACATGAAGAGATATGGATGCTAGGCATTTGAACACAGCACCACGTACTGTATACAGACTCTGAATTTCGACAAATTGGAACGCTCATTGGCCACAGGACCTCCCCAGGATTAGTGATGCCCAAGTCTTCCAATTGTATGCACCGGAGTCGGGTTTTCTGTCTTGGACACCATCCGCCTCGGAAGTTCGAAGACAATCCGGAATGGGGCAATGAGGTTCCACATTTTCTCTATCCCGTCAATCGCATCATGCGTGATACATTATTAGCACGCAGAACTACCTACCAAAATACTACGTCGTTTGCGTTATCTAAGATACCAATTTATCGTTCAGAATCATTCAGAAATGCTGGTACCATGACTCATGGAATTTATCACGTCAAAGTTTTACTTTATTAGCAAGTTTACACATAACGTGATTTATGCTGCGCACATTGCAAGAGCCTCCAGCACGACCCATCATGCACCAGGTCTATACTCCGTAGATAATAGGCTCTCAATAGCACCATCTCGCCATGAAGGCCAAGGCAGATACCTCGCCTGTCCACACATCCAATTTGTCGTGCGGCTTGGTTCGCGGCATTGGCATTATTCAAGAAGAGTATATGCCTACTGGGCAGCCTCTTATGTGCCATTAGTAGCCGTGGTAGCGTCGGCGTAAAAACCCCAGAATTGAAAGACTCGTGTCTAGACCCGTATCCTATGTAGGTTGTTATCATTCTCAGCCTCCTAGAGCTCGTGTCTCGGGTCGAACCGCCGACCACCTCAGTTCCGTGGCATACTCCGTACAATCATGTCGGGACCTCATCTGCAAAGCGGAAAGTCATGGAACGACTCGATTTCCGGAAACTGGAGGTAGGCAAGTTCAATTGGCACCAGCTCTTCACTTGTACCTATTGTCCAATGATGGTCATGTTCCTCGTAGCCGTTATGATTGGGACACATATGTAGGTACGCATGCTACTACATTGTGTGCTCGTTTACACAACAACACACTAAACCATTTTCTGCACACCTGCATAAGACATCATACCTAGGTATGTAAGACAAACGACCGTGGTGAGAACTATTTCTGGTATTTCCTACATATGAATACTACATACTACCTTCGTATACGCACGAGTTGGGGCGAATCTTGGTATTCGAGCAACTAATGCACGGCGTACGCTTGGGACTCGGCATAATACGTCAGCTGTGCAACCATGTGCAACCGAATCAAGCCAGAGGTTCGATGGAACCCACCGCCTGTACTCCTTGATTCACGCTAGGAGATACCTATATTGTGGCATTCGGCGACAAAGACCACTTGAACACCAGCTGCCAGTGAAATAAGTTGCTGTCTTGTTAGAGCCTCTCGCGAAACTGATTGAGTATTTAACAATTCGGCTGGTAATCACAAATAAATTGTAACGTCCAAAACAGATCCTTTACTACACCCTCGCACACTTGTCTTACATCTGTCATCTTCTGGCTTACCCACCAATCCATCACATAGGGCTCGATGGATGGCTATAGGGAGAGTATACACATCACCGCCCATTGGCTAGCGACGCCAACAAAGTGCTAGGATCAATTGGACGTCATCCAACCTTGGTGATTTACATTCTCGCGCGTACTCTTTGTGCACACTTACATGGCGACACTCTACAGCCACGTCTCAACTACGGATGATCCTTGTTTAGATTGCTGGCAGAGCCCGTCTGCTTTCTTCATAAGAGGGGAGATTGTGCTTTGTTTTCTCTAATCTTTGCCAGAGAATCCATCTGGGATCCGACTGGTACATGTGACATCCCATTCACTGCGAGAAGCCGTCAATGAGTTCTGTAATGCCAGCCGTGATCCTTTCCTTTGGCTTGTCCATCCACGTAGCTTCTGTACAAATAATTACATCGATTTCCACCCATCAAGGTTTGACCCGCCTTCAAACCATCGCTGCCATGATGCTCAAACGCCAGCTTTTGTCAACGTGCCAAGTTGAACACTTGCGCCACTCCTTTCTGCCATCGAGAATGTCGTAGCTAATACAACATAAGAGAGAAACCAAATTTTCCATGTGAGCCAGTCGACATCCTCAACGGTCATCATGAACATGGCCAAAGTCTGACGCACACTCTACCCAATGCTCTGTGGGCAGAACAATCTGCAATCATTGTGCGCCGTAATTGACGTACGCACCAGATCCTGAATACTAGGCCGCATCAATTTGAGCACCCACCTCATGCCATTTGGCGAGACACAGGGTTAACCATACATGGACATGCTGCCGCTCCATGATTGTAGAAGTTGAGTGAAAAGAATGACCATGTTCCAAGGAAACGGTGCTGAAGAAAAAGTCGAGTACGAGGGATATCATTAAAATACATTGACGGCGCGCTGAATGGACATCGAGATGTCGCTCAAGTTCAAGGCTTTTGTTCGCCGCCTTGTTGAGAACCAGCATCACCTCCTGGGGGAGGAGACTGCGAGGCCTCCTCACGAGCCTTGTGCATCTTGTCAAAGAGGGTGAGTGCGCTGGTCTGGAGTTCGTCAATCTTGGCCTTCAGCTCCTCGGCGGTGGCGGTGCCTTCGCCAGTCTGGTTCTTGGCGACGTATTCACGAAGAGTAGCAATCTTCTCTCTGATTGTGTCTGCTTCAGTCTTGTCCAATTTGTCTTCAAACTCCTTGAGAGCCTTCTCAGTATCGTTGAGGACGCTGTCGGCACGGTTGGCAGCTTCAATGGCAGACTTGCGTTCCTTGTCTTGGGCACCATATTTCTCGGCATCGTCAACCATGTTCTGAATCTCCGAATCAGAGAGACCGGAGCCGGATGCGATGGTGATGGACTGATCCTTGTTGGTGGACTTGTCCTTGGCGTGCACGTGGACAATCGAATCGGCATCGATGTCAAATGTGACCTCAATTTGAGGCACACCACGATGAGCAGGAGGAATTCCGACGAGCTGGAAGTTTCCGAGAAGCTTGTTGTCACGGACTAGCTCTCGTTCACCCTGGTAGACCTTGATCTCGACAGCTGTCTGGAAGTCAGCAGCAGTGGAGAAGATCTGCGACTTCTTGGTGGGAATTGTGGTGTTTCGGTTGATCAAACGAGTGAAGACACCACCCAAGGTCTCGATACCAAGGGAGAGAGGAGTGACATCGAGCAGCAAAACATCCATGACTTCACCTGCGAGAACAGCACCTTGGATAGCAGCACCGATGGCAACAGCCTCATCGGGGTTGACCGACTTGGCAGGGTCGCGGCCAAAGATGCTCTTGACGGATTCGGTGACCTTGGGCATACGGGTCATACCACCGACGAGGATGACCTCTTGAATGTCTTTTGCGGCGAGACCGGCATCCTTGAGAGCCTTGCGAACAGGGTCAATGGTACGGCTGATGAGAGGGTCGACGAGGGATTCGAGTTGAGCACGAGTCATCTTGGAGTTGATGTGCTTTGGACCGGACGCATCAGCGGTGATGAAGGGCAGATTGATGTCGGTCTGAAGGGAGGAAGACAATTCAATCTTGGCCTTTTCGGCAGCCTCTCGGATACGTTGAATGGCCATGCGATCGTTGGATAGATCGATGCCAGACTCCTTCTTGAACTGCTGAACCAAGTGACGGACGAGGGTAATATCGAAATCTTCACCACCCAAGTGAGTGTCACCGTTGGTAGACTTGACTTCAAAGACACCCTTCTGGATTTCGAGAATGGAGATATCGAAGGTACCACCACCAAGATCATAGACGGCAATAATGCGGTCCTCTTCCTTCTCGAGGCCATAAGCTAGGGCAGCAGCAGTGGGTTCGTTGACAACACGCAGGACGTTGAGGCCAGCAATCTGACCAGCATCTTTGGTGGCTTGTCTTTGCATGTCATTGAAATAAGCAGGCACGGTAACGACGCCGTTCTTGACGGGCTTGCCGAGATACGCCTCGGCAGTCTCCTTCATCTTTTGCAAGACCATACCACCGATTTGGGATGGGGAGTACTTTTGACCACGTGCTTCGAGCCATGCATCACCGTTGGTGTGTTGGACAATCTTGTAGGGGACTTCCTTGATATCTCTCTGGCACTCGGGGTCGGAGAACTTGCGCCCGATCAAACGTTTTGTGGCGAAAAGAGTATTCTCGGGGTTGACAACAGCTTGACGCTTGGCAGAGACACCGACAAGACGCTCGCCACCTTCTGTGAAAGCAACCACTGATGGAGTTGTGCGAGTACCCTCGGAGTTCTCAATGATACGTGGTTGCTTGCCTTCCATGACAGCGACTGCGGAGTTTGTGGTTCCCAAGTCAATACCAATGACCTGGCCTTTGACTTTTTCTGTTGGTTCTGTTGCATCGGTCGAGGCATATCTGGGGAGGATTGAGGAGCGAGGAGCCCGGATATTAGAGATGCGAGAAAGTGGAGATGAGCGTGGAAGCTTCAGAAGAGTTAGACATAGAGTAGGCACCGGCGGAGGGAGAATTTGAGGACTTACAGCTCGGGATAAACGTGAGGCAATCATGTTGATACAGTACAGTGGAAGAGACGACAATACAGAAGCCGTCAAAAGTAGACGGTATACAAGGGAAGGATTGGAATGAGGAGGGCGATCTCAAGATGATGCACAAGAGATTGGGATGGGTGGTGAAGGCAAGAAGCAGATGGATGATGGTTGTAGATGGCTGGTAGAGGGAGGAAAAAAAAGTGTGGAAATGGAAGAGCATGAGAATTTGGCCAGAGATCGCAGAGTACGCCGTGGAGTCGGAGACGTGGTTGGCTGGTCTCTTCCCTGCTCCTGCTCAGACGACAGTGAGAGAAACTCGACGAATCTGTTCTGGAGAAAGCTAGGCCGTTTAGAGATTAGTGTCTTGGTGCCCACATTATCCACCCAACCCGACCAGTGGAAGGCACGCCTAACACCAATAGGATGTCCGTCGCTCCTGCACCAAGATTGATATTCCATTTAATCACGCGTCGCAAGAGATGGAAAAAGAGCAAGTGCGATTGAGGGCTAGAATCTTTCCACTTGTTTGAAGCAAGCGCAAGAGCAAGCGCAAGAGCAAGCGCAAGAGCAAGCGCCAAATATTATAGGCCAAGGACTTAAGGTGAACACTACCTAGGTACCTAGAACCCGGAATTCCTAGAGTGAGGTTTGTTCTTGCACTCTTGTTAAGGTCAGCCACAGTGACAAGCACTATTACACCCTAACATAACTCCGTAGAAGCCACACACAGCACCTGCCCCGACTCATCAGCCAATTGACGTCAAGTCAGCCCCAAGACCCGAACTGACCCTCATCATCTTCAACATTCCCACCTCATCTCTCCCACATCGCAGGTATCTTATCACACGCTTGCAATTCAACACTCCTACTCAGCCTCAACCTGCTGCATCTCCACGCCAACTTCAGTCACTCCTCGTTTCATCCCAATACTCAACCGCCCGATTAGCCCTTGTTCGCCGATGCCGTCCGCTCCTTTCCCCCCTCTATCTACGACCACCACTTAATCGTCCCTCCGCCGGGAGATGCTCCTCATCCCACTCTCTCGTGCCTTTTTCACGACATGACCATACCGGATCCTCTACTATGTCTGAATCCTACCAGTGCCATCGCCCATTACGACAAGTTCTACCCTACCCGCATCCCCAACCAACACCATCAACTCCGACATCAAATTACCATCAATGCTAATCACCTTATATACTATGTCTCTAATTACGACATCTTCGTCCTCGATCTACATGACCATCAGAACTCCCTCCTAGCCACCGTCCCCTTCGAGCCTACCTGTCTTGCTGCAGACCTCGGCTGGCTTGCCGTCGGGGGTGGAAATAATGGGGATTGTGCATTCATCAAAATTGAGAACGACGAACATGGCCACCCACGCTGCTTCGGACACGACCTTGTCGTTGAATCCTTGGGGGGTGCTATTGTCAATTCGATGAACATCCATACCCTTCCTGTCGCAGGCTCTTCCGCAGAAACTCCCATTCATGAACCCGTCGTTCTCATCTCCAACAATGACAAGTCCGTCAAGATTTACTCGCTGCATCAACGCCAGGTCATCACCACTTTGCTCCACCCCGTCCCGATGAACTTCTCGGCCATGTCTCCAGACTCTTCTATCATCGCTGCAGTTGGTGACTCCAATAAGCTCTACTTCTATCGACGCTCCAAAGACGAAACCCAACTCACCGGCAAATCCCCGCCCACGACCTCCACAGGCGGCTGGGTTCTCTTCGCTGAGCCTTCTTTACCCACGGGTGATAGCGTCTACGATGACTACTGCTTTGCATTGGCATTCTCCCCAAGCGGTCATCTTTGCGCGGCTTCGTCCCAAGGCGGCGCAATCTCCGTCTTCGATGTTGTTAATCTCCTTCGCCCAGATCATAGTCCTCAAGAAGCCATGTTGTGCAACTTTCGCTCCTCCAGACCCACTGTCGTCGGCTGTGTGAGGGCCATGACGTTCTCCCCTGCTCCTTGGGATTTGTTGGCCTGGGCCGAGGATCATGGCAGAGTCGGTCTGGTCGATGTCAGAAGCCAGTTCGTTAGAAGACAGGTTCTCGAGCTAGACCGCAGGAAACCTGATGTTGTCGAGCTCGAGGATGGGACTCCTTTTGCCTACCGCAATCTAGGTGTCAAGGAACGTCTGAAACAGCAATATCTTGCAAGGATCCGTTCAATGCGACAATCATCACCCAGAGAGCTCTCCTCCGATGTTGCAATGGACGATCCTGCCGACCCTGCACCGGACACTCAGAGCACCCTCCGCCAGGATTTGCTTTCATATCACCACGGTCTTGATCTCGATGCTCGCGAAAGATCTGTGGTTGATGCACTCGAAACCACAATCGACACTATCGAAAACAATCCTTCACGTCCCTTTAGTCTCCACTACCCCGGTAATGCTACTGGAGAATACAGCATCATCATAAATCCACCCCCGCGTAACGCCGGATCAGCTCATCACGCTCCAAGAAGGAGAACTTCAATTGTTCTTTCACCCTCCGCAGCCAACACCCACCGGTACCTAGCTACAGTGACCGATGAAAGATCGCGACTGTCGGCTTCTCCTGCACGTATGGCCGACGACGACGAGAGCCCTCTCATGTCTACCAACAATCTAACTCCATCAACCACCCTTTCAACTTCCCATCCTCAACCGCAGGACGCACCTACCACAGACACTCGTACGTTTCTGACATCGGCCATGGAGCGAGCCCGAGATGCCGCAAATCAAAGTGGCGCGCAGTTGGGCCGGATTGAAGCTGCACTAGACGATGAGCGCCAGCTTGCCATCCAGCTCGAACGCTTGTTGGCGGAGGAGAGACAGTTATCCAGCCTTCTCCGGCGCCAGCTAGAAACGCAACAGCGCCTGTTGATGGACAGCTCCACCGACCTCCTCCAGCTGAGGACCGGCCAGGCAGACTCCACTACGTACGATCGTGTTCTGCGACAGGAGATAACCTCGGAACAGCAGTTTCTTCAACAACGCTCCCAGGAGCTTGAGGAAGAATTGAGAATAGGGACGGACTATGCCAGGAGGTTGGAAACTGAAAGAGCTAGGGTGCTGACCCGAGCTGTGTCGGGCTTCAGAGACGATCAATCCGAGTCTGCTCAAACTTCAGCACTTCCAACCACTAACCTGAGACCCGAACAGCCTCGTGACGAGCTTTTCAGCGTCCTCTCCGACTATTCAGACTCGCGATACCAGCGGATACGACGAATCGAGCAGCTTCAGCGGCAATCTCGTCGTGCCGAGTCTAGAGTCGCCTTGGCTTCGTCAGACATGGACGCTCTCGAGGAAGCGATGAGAAGAGCCTCCGATGCTCGTAATAATGACAGTTCAGCCACCAACACCGAAGCCAATCATACACAATCAAACAGATCATCACTCAACACGGACAACCGTAACTCGAGCAGACGAGACCCTTCCCGCACGGACACGGAGACTGGTTCATCACGAGCGACCGCACGCCGTCGACCCTCTCTCACTGCCAATGACCTCCGTGCGTCACGTATGTCCTCACGCATGTCCCGACCTGACGGACGATCATCCGACAGCGGTACCAGCCGGCCACAACAGTCAGACCTACTTACTGCACGAATTGTTTATACTCAAAATGCTTCCACTTCAAGTCGGGCCTTGGACACCAATGGAAATTGGATGCCTGGCTCGTCATTGCATCGAATCTTGGCGGGTGCGTCGGCGTGGTCCACTGGCAATACGATGTCTGGCCCCAACCCTGCCTCTGAGGCCCTGGGCTCAACAGATGTATTCAGAGACATGGGACTCGGAACTGCTGGCATCACCTTTAGCCCAGACGGCCACTATTTGTAAGTTGCACTCTGCTTAAGTTGCAAGTCCTCAACTCGTTACTGACATCTTGCCTACAGCTACGTGGGCACTGACGAGGGCATTTTCGAATTCAGAATTAATATTGCCGATCGAATGACGTTTCCAGCTTTTGAGATGCGATGAAATTTATACCTGTTAGCTAACAAAGCATCACCTCTTATCTGTTGGTCGAGATTGTCTCCGGCATCTGGAGTCACTACGATATAATACGAACACGTGGAAAGACCGTTGTCCGCCGCGAAGTATACACATCATGAGAAGGATGTTCCTGGTTCGTGAACACAGACAAATTGAACTAGATGAAGCAACGTAAGTCAGCGCCGGCGCCAGGGTCATTGCGAATTGGAAGAGTTTGAAGTTTTATCTGTGACCGCGACACGCGCAAAACGGAGCGTATTTCCTGTACATGATTGCTTGCAGGTGTGATCAGCCATTTGGAACATACCTCGCTTTGATCTCGGTACATAGGGACATTGATCTTTATTCCAGACTGCTTGGGTCTCTCTGGCCACGCCGTGCCCTCATGACATTTGATTAATGACTTGGTGACTCTGACCTGACCATAAGCTCGAACAAATTCAATGTCCTCGTTTCGGCTCTGACTATCCTGGTCCTCAGAGTTAGGGCTGCAATTCCACACTTTACAACGAGGGAATCTTTGTCATCGAATATGCAGTAGAGATGTGGGAACTCATATCATCATGATGCTACTTCAGCTTGGTTACCTAGTGTTTCAGCAACTGGACAACCGAAGATAGAATCACTCGAAGGCTCTCAGTGCAAGCAATGGTTGTGGTCTGTAACCATCAACCAGTAAAAGCCCACCCATTCCTCGCGCCTCTGTTCCCCGCAATCCCCTTCTCCACGTATCAGTTAATGTTCATTCCTCTTAAACAGTCCAAAAGGATTTTTTGAAAAAAGGAGCTGGGTGTCGCAAACGATGCTCGCTCGCTCAGTGTCGAAAATATTGAAAGTGGTCCTTGTTCATTATTGCAAGGTCTGGCTTTGTGCATGTTGCCCATTGCAGGTTCATATGTTGGGATATCAAGAGTTGCATCTCAAACTCTGATTGACAGCATGTTTATGTGGGTAGTCGTCGAATGGCGTTACGCCAAAGTAGTCGAACAAGAAGAAGTCTGCTCGAATAACAATAGCAAATGAAGTGAAATCGAAGTGGTGGGATGAAAGAGGAAAATGTCCTCTTGCTCGCAGGTCGTAGGACTATACAATCTCCCTCTGCTGCGAAAAATCGTCGTGAAACGAGTTGATACATCAAAAGAGCCGTGATCAAAGTCGCCAAATCCATAATTCATCAGAGCTCCAGCCTGCCAGCTAAGCTCTTACCATCAAGCTGTCAAACGAGTCTCATAGTCCACTGGTTGAGTTGCATTGCTTCGCATCTCTGTCTTTACTTTTCCAGAAATGCATCAGCCGGCTGATCCTGTTTGGCTTCTTCTTGCCCTTTTCATCGAGATCCACGGGATCGGGAACAGTTTCGAATTTGAGCTTGCTCCCATTTGCGGAGCCAGGTATCAGTCGATTCAAACTAGCCAGACTTGATCGTTTCCAATCCGCTTGGATATTAGATCTCGACGTTGAAGGCACAATCATTGACTGTGATCGTTGTTCGACCGACGATCTTGTGCAAGCGCTGCTCGAGACTCTCGGTAGCGCCCCGCTTGAGATGCTGTCACTCAATGAAGGTAGATCATCGTTCGATGCGCGAAGCACAAAGTCCGGACTGAATTCACCCTGCGATTTTGAAGGCCGAGAACTGTTCTCAAATGAGGTATGGTCGACATCTGGAGACGACATCATGGAAGCTGAAGTTGTCCGGCCTTCTGTCGAAGAGGCATAGTGAGATTGTGGTGCAGGGTAAGGAAAAGGCATTGGAGAGGACATGGGTCGTTTGACATCATCGGAAAGAATGGGAGCTGCAATCGTCGAGTTGGAGGACCTGTCGACCTTGGCGACATCGTCATCTGTGTCAGCAATTGTGATGCCGTCCACGGGTGACTTGTTGCTGATCGTCAGACCTAGCCCTCCTGTCGCGTCGAGGTCTGCTGTCTCCAAGGGGCTGGCAGAGAAGGTCTGCGGTGTGATCGATCTTCGCGTACGCGACTGAATCCTTTCAAGCTTTGAGTTTGCGTTCTCTTGAGCCAGTAACTTGTCTTCCTCTTCTTCATCAAAGACGTCTTCCGATAGCGATGAGTTACTACCCATTCTATGAAGGTCGAAGATGCTCCTATTCAAAGCTGGCATTGTTGGCGCGGATTCGGTTCGTCGATGGACAGTTCCAAAAGCGTCCACGTTAGCCCTTCGTTCACTGCTGTGAAGCTTTGAAATCCGGTTCACATGGACAACTTTGCCACCAACGTCATATCCCAACTTTTCTTCGCTCCCAAAAGGCCCGAGTGCTGCATCGAGGTCCAGGACCGGGCTAGTGATCATATCGCTTGCTGGGCCGGGGATGCAGGCCTGGGAAGTGTCAAGGTCCTGGGGAAACGGTCGAGTTCTGTTTGCAACAGGGGACGGCTCACGTAAGACGATTGTGTCGTCCGCATCGAAGATTTCATTGAGGCGATCACTTGGTCTGCGAGTTAAGGATGCTCGCTTTTGCTGTACATCAGGTTTTGGTTTGCTGGCTCTCTTATCCTTCCTCGAGAAGATGCCAGATGTCCAAGTATGGTATTTTCGTCTTTTGGACGAGGAAGACATTTCTCCGGAGGATGTTTTCGGTCTTCCGTTGTCACCAAAGATGTGCAGTCTGGGTGGTTGCGGGGTGGGGCTCGCACTGAAAACATCCATCGGATCAGATTGTTCGACCTTTGGCGTATTCAGAGGAGAGTCCATCTCGGAATGACTGGACCAGAAGTGCTTCTTTTTACTGGGAGGACTCCCAGAGCTGAGCTGGCTTGGTGAGCCGGATGCAGAGAGAGGCCGCTTTGGCAGATTGATCATGGACACAGGGCTGTTCCGAGCGGCCAAGCCAAGAGATAGGGTTGAGAGGGCATCGGCTGTGTGTGGGCGTTCCGGCGAGCTAGATGTAGAGTCGTTCGAGGATGTGACGATGAACGTGGGTCGTGCAGCAGGGCTTGCGATAGAGTTGATGCTTCCAGAGAGGGAGTGGCCGCCCCGAATGGTTGAGCTGCTTCCCTCCGTTTCCGAAGAGATCATTGAGAGTGGTCGGGGAATGACATCGACATGTTCGGAAAATCCGACCCGTGGTCGAACACCAGGGGCACTGCCTCTTCTCCTAGGACTCGACGGAGGCGTCCGGACTACGTTGGACATTGACTGTCGTATCTGAGGGCTTCCGCGGCCATAGGCAAAGGCGCTAGGGTCCGAGGGGGTGGTTGGGGTGGACCCTGCCCGGGCCTTGGCCAAAGCGTTGACTTTGATGAGCTCGGACGTGTCAATGTCAGAGATGGAAACAGCCTGAGAGCGTCGGTGGGCATGGCCTCTGCCTCCTGTTACAGGTGCGTGTGGCCGATGCTCTAATTTTTCGGGGCTGGAACTGACCATGTGAGGTCCTTCCAAACCCCCACCACCGACGAACTCGCTGATGCCGCGGCGATGTGTACGTGGCGGAGGCTGGGACTCTGAGAAATCCGTCTTGGTTGGGCTTGGAGAAGTTTGAGCGATTGATGGGCTGGGAGCGAAGGTAAATGCAGGCAATGGGGCTGGTCTTGCTGACCTGACTGCACGTTGCTGATTGAGGGCCATTTCCTGCAGAATGGGATGTGTGGGGCTTGGGCTTCTTTCAAGGGGAAGGTCGGCGCCAGGATTGAACTTGAATTCGGGTAGAGGAAGTGGCCTTGCAGACCGACGACTCGAGTCCAAAGCCATAGGGCTAACCTCAGGACTTGCTTTGTCGGTGTTGGCTGCCTCTAAACTCGGGGCTCCTTCAAGCGCTGGGTTAAACAAGAAGGGTGGGAGGGTTGCAGGAACATTGGGGCTCCGCGACGGGCGCCTGCGATGGGGTTGAGGCGAGCGAGGAGGAGTTTGAAGATCGGGGTCCAAGGGCGAGAGAAGTGAGGGGGGCGTAGGTAATGAAATCGAAGCCATTGTGGAAATGAGGCAGCCACCTAAGAGCAATAATGTTCAAGATTTTTCGTAAGCTGACCAGCAGGCAGATACATTCAAGGCAGTGCGATGATGCTGCCGTGACCGTGTGCGGGTTGTGGTCTGTAGGGATCTCGAGGCTTAGGAAAAGGAAGGACTGTGGTTGTTGCCATAAGCCAGCATGACCACCTTGGAAGGAGCGACGGGCGTGGTTGTTGAGAAGGAGCGACTTGAAAGACGGACGAACGGTCGATTCTATGCAACCATGGATTGCAGTGGGAGCGGAGCAGATGACGCCGCAGTCGGTGTGGTCAGGTCAAATTCTGGTCGAGGGCGGGTTCGAGGCCTGAATGTTAGATCGTGTTGAGGGTGGTGTACGCAGGGTTTAACCAAGGGATGTGAGGGTGGGTGAAGGAGCGGACAGCAGCCTGTAGAGGAATGATCGTATGGTGATACGATCAAGGACTCTACAGGAGCCAGAAGAGCGGATTGAGAGTTGAGCGGGTTGGCGCAAAAGGGAGGAGGAGAGGTGAGGTGAATTGAGGTTGGTGTGAGAGGAAAGGTGAGAGAGAGAAGGTCGAGGTGGAGAGAAGAGGCAGCAGGACGGTACTGCCAGAGGATGACTTGTGGACAGGCCCAAGGGTCTCGGGGCCCAGTTCTCCAGGCTTCCTCGACCAACGGTGGGCGCGGTGGTCCTGCTGCAAAAGGTCAACAGTGGAGTTGGTGCACCTTGAACCGTGGCCCGGTAGGTGACGGCCACGAGTGGGATTTGTTAGCCCGAAGATGGGACCAAAGTGGGCAAACAAGCAACAGGGCGGTTGCTAGCTGCAGCCTAGAGACCAAGTGCACGAGTCATGAGGCAGTCTCCTGGATAAGGTCAATTAAGTGATAATACGACTGGTAAAAGCCCCTGTAGTTTTTGAGGATGCCTAACCTAAAAGCACGGGGTTGCCGGCGGGCTGCAGCACATTCCCGAGCCTAAAGTATGCAATAATGAATACTGTACGAACACGGAGTACCTGGAAGGCCTGGACGCTGGTACTTTCACGTAGACCTGGTGAAGCCATAATGAGATGGCGGCTTCCTAGACGAGAATCAAATAAATCATGTCCACCTGTTGCTGACAGTCTCTTGATCCCAGCTAAGCCAAGATATAGTTACATGTTGAGTAATGGAGATGCGCGTCTCGAATTGACTACTGTTCATTCAATCCAAGGTGAACAATTGTCAGGGGCCGAGGGGTCTGAACATGCGTGAACCTGCCTGGACCAAAATGGTGTGCCAGAAATGCGCAAGCTAAAAGGCCTTCCATCACGAGACGTGCAGTCAGCGGAATCGATGATGATACTGATGATGATGATGATGACCTATACTATGATCGAGATTATAAGTTATAGTACATGTACGGAGTAGACATGATTGTCTCATGTCCCACAAAAGACATGATCCTGTACTCCAACTGTATGTAGTACGAGTAATCATGGTTAAGGAAAAGTCAAGATGCGTCTAGGGAAAGAAGAACGTGCCACGCCTGCCTGGCTTGCCTACTAAACCGGCTCAGCCGCATCCCACGGCGGACAATCTGAGGGCAATTTCTGTTGTTCCACTTAGCTTGCATTACTGTCGGATTGTCGTCGTACATTGCTGGACCGTAACAGAGTCAAACTGGTATTGATATTCATATCAGCGCCATCATCGCATAATTGGCGAGCATGACAAGTTGTTCTCAATGCCAGACTGACAATCAGCAGAAAGTCCCAAATCGAATAGGTATCATGTTCAACAGGTTCCCCATGCGGTGATGCAGGCCAGGATGCGTTGGCAAAGTTATGCAGGGGAAGGAGCTAGCAGGGTTGGCAGATGGCCGAGTCCCACCAACGCAGGAACGATGCTGAAGAAGGAGCCAATTCCATCTTCTCGTTCGCTCCTTCACCTAATTCGCCACGCCACCCACGCCTACACCAAGGCATGGTTTTCTGTACATTGTAGCCAAAAAGTACACGCCCAGTAATCTCTGTACGTACAGTTCACCAGTTCTCAGCTCTGTCTTGATGATTACTAGTACACAGTAGGTAGAGTCTCCGACTGATCAGTTCAGATCTTCATGGTCATAGCACGATCGCCAGGTTCGTTGGCCTCCTCGTTGTGGGGTTGTGTTGAACATCGTGGTACTCGCAGTTGCCCATGTTCTTGATCCATGTTTTGGCTACTTTGAATCTCAGTTTCAGGTACAGTCACGCCGTCGCTTACACCTGGGAAGCCGAACTCCTCATCTGGTTGCCCCGAACAACAACATACTGTGACACCAAAGAACGACTGGGTAGTGGTTTTTCTACGATAAGAAAGATGCTGCGCAGGTAAAGATCTACACTAGTCGAGTTTTACATACGGAGTAGGTATGTGTAGCCATCCTGGCGTTTCTGGTTCCAGGCGTCCACTCAGAAGATTGTCATCTCATTGCCCTTGTTTCCAGTGTCCTTTTGCATCCCCAAATTATAGTTCTGACACCGTAGCATCTCAAGCCTACGGAGGAAGGTCATCTGTACATAACTCTACAAATACCATTAGATGCTCCTTCTAGTGCAGTTGCCCTCCATCATCCACGACAGTGGGGCATGGCGAACAAGAATGTGAAGGTTGACCCTGCCGTGCCTCCCCTGATGCATATACGAGAGTCTTCACTTGCGCCGTCGTGCCCGTCTCCCATGCTTCGAGTCTCAGCATCCCTACAGTAGGTACTTAAAACATCGGAAAAAATTACCGTCCAATAAACCCAATCTCTTAAGTCTAGATAAGGTACCTTCATAGATACCTACGTACATACATAGTCCGTCCCGCTCAATTGTCTACTTAGACCAAGAACTGGTTGCGCACATCAATATTATTAGCCTTGTAAAAAGGCAGGCCCTATCCCTAGAACATCTAAAAATCGTGCGCCAACGCTGGTGAAGCATTTGACAGCTGCCATCCAGATGTCTACGAAAACGCTTTTTGCTCCGGGGCTTGCAAGCCCACTTTTCCCAGCTCGTTGCACGACAAAGACCCGTATGGCTCGCTGCCGTAGGACAAAAAGCAGCAACTATCACCTCGCGTCAAATGCGCAGATAAACCAATAGTGAAATGTCTGCATATGCAACGAAAACTTAGCCTGTCCCGCAGCGAATCAATTTGTTGCACCCTTGTTTAGATTTCAAGCTCCCACTTCAAGAACCTCTGGATTCACACCGACACTCAGCGATTGACCAACAGTCGTCGTTATCTTTCGGACACTTCTTTTGCTTGGTTTGTTTTTCGAGCATTCCAGGTCCTGGTGCCTCGAGCCTCGCTGTTCCTGCATGACTCGGTGGGACTGTAAAGCAGATGGTGAACTTCGGCCCGTCCTTACCAAGAATGTTGAGTATCATCGGACACGATTTTTTCTGCTCCTGAAAGAGCCCTGGCACAACGGATCCCTGGGGCAGTTCGTACACCGCAACTCGAATCCCCACAACGTCGCATGACATACGACTCAAAGAATGGCACCGACGAAGAAATCAAAGGCTGCCAATAAGTCCAACTCGCAGAAACCAGTTGACCATTCGCGTAGACAGCCCGCGTCGTCGACTTTGTTGGTTCCACTCGATGTGCAGCAATTGACTCTCGATGTGTTCCGCCGAGCCTTCCCCATTGACGATCAGACTGACCTGGCTTCGGTCATCCAAGAGGTCAAGCGGCATCTCTTTCAGAGAGACTTCACACTCGCATTCGCCAAGCCTCAGTATCTGGATGCTTACGCCTTGCGGTGGAGTGCCAGCCGTGCTCTTGGCTATCTCGACATTCTTGTGAACAGCCAGATGCATCCAGTCTGGTTTGGTGAATCTCCGCTTGAACCAGACAATCGTCAACACCCGTCCGGAAGCGCTTGTAAAGTCGTTTGCATTGGAGGTGGTGGGGGCGCCGAAGTGGCTGCATGTGCGGCTGCAGCGCGCAAACTTTGCCTCTCGAAAATGCAAGTTCATGTCGTGGACATGGCCGACTGGGCGAGGCCTATCGACAATCTGCATACTGCCTTGACCACGCCACCACCACTTTCTCCATATGCGAGTCAAGGCGCCAAAGACGCGAATAGCCCGTTCCTCGAGGTTGACCGACTGGAGGTCTCGTTCACACAACATGACATTCTGGCAGGCCAAGACCAGTTACCACGTCTACTCACTGGCCTGACCCTCTGTACCATCATGTTCACCCTGAACGAGCTCTTCACAACCTCAATCTCTCGCACCACTGCCTTTCTGTTGGCCCTGACCGAAATTGTAGCAGTGGGCTCATACTTTCTAGTGGTGGACAGTCCGGGCAGTTACTCTGAGGTGAGGCTTGGGCAAGAGGCTAATTCGACGGCTACAAAACAATACCCGATGAAATGGCTACTGGATCACACCTTGTTGGAGATTGCAGGAGGAGAGGGAACACGGAAGTGGGAGAAGACAGTATCTGATGATTCACGATGGTTCAGGCTAAGCCCTACGCTCAAGTATCCCATTGATTTGGAGAATATGAGGTACCAGATCCATCTCTATCGAAGGATCGAATCCCAACCGGCATAGATAGAGTCCTCTTTTACAAGTCCTGGCATCTAGCCACCACTAATCTACTCGTCATCATCATCGCCCTCGTCGTTGACGACATTGAAGAAGCGAAGCTCGTAGACACCCTTGCTGGTCGAAACGACACGGAGCCAGTCACGCAGCTGCTGCTTCTTGAGGAACTTCTTGGTCCTGTCCATTGTCAGTATTTTGCGTCCCAACATGCAATCCTCATGGCAACATACAAGTACTTCAAGTAACGACCCGAGAAAGGGATGTGTGTGACAATCTCAATCTTTCCATCGCCGACCTGCGAGATGGCCACGTCGTCACCGAGGTTGTTGGTGCGGCCCTCGACCTTGATGCGATCGTGCAAGAATTTCTCGAACGCCGACAAGTCGAAGATCTTGTCGCTGACGGGCTGGCTGGCGTTGATGATGTACTACTTTGGTCAGCGACTTGCTGTGGGATTCGGGGGACAATGAGGGTCAAGAGCTTACCTTCTTGGTGACCTTCGTCTTCGCCGCCTTCTTAGATCTTGCCTGCAATACCGAAAAACGAAAAACCTTAGCCTACTGTTCTCTCCGACCTTTTGAAAGCTGCGCCATTGAAAATGGACGAACGCTTCGACAAGGCTTGAAACAGCAAAGCGATTCGGTCGCGACTTACCTGAACTGGTGCCATTGTGAGGAGAGATTTGTGGTCGATCGCAAAGAAATTGAATCCTGCGTCTTTTGGTGGGAGGGTAAAAGAACGTAAGGGTATGCGGGTTCTTCTGAATTGATGCCGACTTGGACCGCAAATTCCTTTAGAATAATTTCAGGTGCGGTCGAAATCTTGGCGTTCGGAAGACTTTCCTCAAGCGGGGGGAGGGGGGGTGGGACAAGGCTGTCATTCTGTCTACCACAGGAAGACATAGTCATGTTGTTTAAAGGTTGATTTTGGTTCTACCACGTCCTCCCTTTGATGCTGAGTGCTCGTTGAAATAAAGGGTTCATGTTCCATGCATGGTGTGGTCAAGTCAGTAGCCATATCTGACCTCGGACTTATATACACCTATTCGTAATCTTTGTCCGAGCGTGAAAAGGATGCTCGGTGCAGTCTCACTCGTTCACAGAATGAAATTTGTCAACCTTCATAACCTCGCTGCTTCGGAGTGCAGGTCTGGTCTTCACAGATACAAATTCAAATCTTTGAAAGGAGCGATAGCTTCGAGGCGTTGTCTTCTGAATCGAGCCACACGTGCGACAACAGATCCAAGTGCCCTGCAATCCAAATCGCGCTCCAGACCTAGCTTTTTTGACATAGTACTTCACCTCCGACTGATACATCTATCGTAACGACTCTGGTTCTTGATTCAGGCAAAACAAATCAATGAGTGATTCAGTTCCTGGGATCAGTCACCACATTCTGCCAGTGATCCAGTGATTCTGCCAGTTTGTACTTCACCGCTTTCGCTTTCTACCAATCATAGGTGAGGTGTAAAGTAGAAAGAGGATGATCTTTCTCCGAGTCTTGGCGCGAAAAATATTCTATAAGTATCTGCTCTCTCTCACCCATTCTCTCTTTTTCTTTTCTTCAGCTCTGTATGTCAAACCAACCCTGCCCCTACAGTTTCTTTGCTAACATCAACACTAGCTTTGCCTTTTGGCTTAGATCAAGTGTAGTATCTGTTCTTTTCAGTTTAATCTCTGAAATTATCCTACGGGATAAATACTTTGATTATTCTCATTTTTGGATTCCGCCGGTTAAACCCCTCTGTGCTTGCGCAATGGGTTTCTGGCACCGTGTCCTTGGCCTTCCACTACCGCCTTGTGATGCGAAACACCCTTTTCATCAATTACTTTCGCTATGAGCAGAGTTTTGGAGAAGATCGGGTCTAACGGTACATGCCTTTCAAGGACGATGGGATGGATGGTGGTGTTTGCAAGCATGATATGGAGAGAACAAGGTGCGACCTATCGACCGTCGACGATGTAAGGAACACAGTCATTCAGGTACACCTCTATCCCGGGTTCTCGTAGTTAGTCTAGGATAGAGGTCTGTTTTCTTAATCGTCAAAAGCCGAGCAACGCTAGATAGGAAGAATTGCACTTTGATAAAGTTGACATCGCGGGTTGTTGTTTGGGGTTACACATCCCTTCCAACCCATCCGTTCTTAATTTTTTTTTCCCGCTGTCGAAATAAAACGTGGTTCTCTTTGTTATCGCACCCACCATTCCATAACACGCCCATTTGCATGAATCAAAATGTCAAGCATTGCTGATCTCACGAATCCTGTGCCTACTACGGCCTCCCCGCACGTTGACCCTGCGATCTTTACGTCCCTCCAGAGCAAAATCGACGAAGAGAGTGCCATCCGAGATGAATTGAAAGCGTTTGTTGAGACGCTCCAGAAGCAAGGCCGACTCACACAATCCATCCTCTCCCGAATTCACAACACTCCTACAGCAGAACTTGAAAACACTGTTCTCAAGCCAGCGTTCGAAGCTTTGGAACAACAAGCCCAAACCGTCAAACAGCTGAGCGAAGCAGCCTCAAAATACCCCTTCTACCGGTGGAATTCCATCTGGCAACGCGATATTCAAGCCGTCATTACTAGCATTCAGATCGCCGATTGGTTGAAGAGTGGAACACTGGCCACCATTGAAGAAATCGGACAGCGTCTTACAGGTGAAGCCATTTCCTTGCCTGCCTCTTTTGCCCTACTGACTCAATGTGCAGTTCCCGTCAATCTAAAGTCAGAGGATGCCTTCCACATCACCATCGAAGATTACCTCCTTGCCTTGACAAACACATTAGAAGAGCTCGCCCGCCTCGCTCCCAACGCAGTTACTCTCGGTGACTACTCACGGCCGCTTCAGATCTCCAAGTTCATCAAAGATATCCACGCAGGGTTTCAACTGTTGAATCTCAAAAATGATGCTCTCCGTCGTCGGTCCGACGCAGTGAAATACCAAGTGAAAAAGGTGGAAGATGTCGTCTATGATCTGAGCCTTCGAGGATTGATACCAAAGTCTTGAGAAAGAGAACTACTATGGTCTACGCTGACTTAGGCTACGACTGGTCATGATAATTGAATCGAGGGTTCATCAAATATGATTGAGGCTACATACCCACGCAAGATGATATCGAGGGGTGGCCATCAGGATGAGGACATGAAAATATGTGTTAGAATTGACTTGAATGCAGGCCAGGTGATTATGGTGCAGTTGGCTTCTTGAACTCGTCTCCGTCAACTCTGACGGAGCTTTCAGCAGTGGCAGGCCCTCTCAGACCCTCACTACTATGGGTACCCAGCTTGACATTGACTCCCCCACTACCGACATTGACAGTACGCTGATCAGCAGATTGCAAATCGGCGCTTGCACCGCCCACGGGCTGTTCTGGCAGGGGCAGGTTGGCCTTGACTCTGTCAATCTGTTCTTGTTTGGATTCTTGTTCGGAGAGGAGTTGCTACAGTGAGAGAAGACACGGTTAGCTATACGCTACCAGGCGGAAAATGAGAAACTGGGCGCCTTACCTTCAGTGCGGATACATCAGAATCTTTTGGGGTCTTCCCATCATGATATTTTGATTCTTGTGCTTCAAGTGTGCGGACGTCCTCGCTGGTGACGCCAAAAGTTTTGTCGGACATGATTGATGGATGGTGGGATGACGGGAAGGACTGTAGTTGATGTGTGTAATTAGAGTCGATCTGGTAAAATCTGTGCTAGCGATATGTGTCGTAAATTTATTCGATGATACAGAAGGTGCGAGAATGGATTATATTCGACTTCTAATATTTACATGGAATAAAGTGCGTCGAGGAGATTCGACGTCACAACCGCTGCCAGGATACCATCATTCGGCATTCAGTTACCCGCAAGAATTCATGAGACAGCGATGGGATCAGGACATTACGTGCTGAAAGGCAAATTGCGTCACGACCTTGATGGTCATTTGTGGAGATGGAGTTTCCAGACAATGCTAGAAGTCATACAGAAACTGTGAGATGAGATCCGATTTACGTCATTATGGACCCTACGAAAGCCTGGAAGATTTCTCTAGGGAGTACATACAGACTGGAGCGCCCACAAAAGATTGGGATGTCAACTCCGGACCAATTATAGGCGAGTGGTACCTGGGCTGACACGTCTGCTATGATGGAACCATGATTGAAGAGGGAGGTCAACGACGTGCAAGTCTTTCGAGATGATTAGATTTTGGTAAGTACATGTGACAAGAGATGATAACTTGTGTTGACGTACAAGTTCCAATTCACAACTCAGCGAAGATTATATTATATGTTCATCAACGTACAGAATATTCTACCGCGAGATCATCTATGCAAAATTCCCAGTCCATACTGCTGCCAGCATTATGGAAGTCCGCCCAGATCTCAACACGAGTCATATTGTCCCATGTATGATGCGTGAACTCCTCCAGCTTGACATGAAAGACGTCGTGGAATCCAGCTGGGAAGTCGACACTCCACTCCAGTGCTGAACTATCCTCGGGCGCTGAGCTATCAGAGGTCGCCCGCACACCACGCAGATGCATTCTGACTTGATTGATGGGGAAATTGAGGGGCTTCATCTTGATGCTTTCAAGCGTGAAGACTGCATCTTCATTGCTTGGACGAAAAGAAGGTAGGCGTGTAGTTTGAGGCTGTTGTTTCGTGGATGCCGACCTGCCCTGGAGATTGTATCGAGTTCCATGGAGAGCATTTGGTTTTGACACTGCGCAGTTCAAGTCGTGTAGCGATATGAGGCCTTCGAATGTCGGATGGCTCGGCTTGAATGGGTAGAATCCGTCAAAGACCAGCCCGGCATATGGTTGAGATAGCTCACCCCATCCACGACGTGTTTCCAAGTCGTCAAACTACGGCTTGGTCAGCCATATTGGCACGAACAGGGACTACGAGGGCTGACTTGTAGCGTAACACTCGATGTTCCAATGAGTACCTGGCCCGACGACGCAGAGACTTGATTAAAGAGTGCACCCAGCACAAAACAAAGCATTACCATGGCGTGGAGGCGGAAGAGCCTGAGGACCACTGGCTGCTTCGTATTGGACAGGCACATGACTGTAATGGTAGCACCAGCACTGATGAGCTCGTTCCAATGGAGATGCAAGAGTGCTGTCGTGAAGTAAGCCACTCGATAGAGGAGATATTTCAATATCATCGTAGCAGTGTGTCAACCAAGGTGGTCAAGTATTGGCGAGTTGCTTGAGTCCATTCTTTTGTGGTCAGAGACTGGCAATGAAGTCTCAAGGCCGTCCGAGCTGTAGCGCCAACATGCCTGGATGTAATTGTGTCTCAGACCAGAGATTATCCAACCAGAAGTCGGCCAAAGGTATAGCCAGGATGTCGAAACAGAGCTGATTTATGGCGGATATCGAAAGGCACCTTGACCAATTGCCGAATCTCTTTGTCATTTGAACTCGGGCTCTGAAATGGTAGGTGCGATGGGGTCGGGTGCGGCTGCCCCTCGTCAAAGTGATATCCATCACTTTTGTGCCATCAATCAATAATTGTTCCTTCAGTCATGCGGACTCAAATCGTGGCAAGACCAACACAAGTTCTTACCATGCGGCAAGTCGGATCTATGCAACCCTTTTAGAACCCTTCTACTTCTTTCGCCATGCCCCGAGACCCTCTCATCGGGCTGGTCGGCAAGCCATCCTCTGGCAAGTCCACCACGCTGAACAGGTAAGGAAGGCACTCTCTCCGCCTTCGACATGATTTTAGGTCTCAGCTCACTGGTCCGCCTAGTTTGACGGATGCCAGTTCGAAAGTAGGTCAGTCCGCGCCGCCGCACCGACAAGATGCAAAGTGACATGGCTGACAGTGAAGCGCAGGCAATTTTCCGTAAGAAATCGACTACTCCAACACCATACCTTCCAACCACTAAATCCTTTTCAGGTTCACTACCATTGACCCTCAACGAGCCATCGGATACCTCCAGATCGACTGCGCATGTGTGCGTCATGGCCTGAGCGACAGATGTCGACCAAACTACGGTTCTTGTGTTGGTGGAAAGAGATCGGTCCCGATCGAGTTGCTAGATGTTGCTGGCCTGGTGCCAGGAGCTCATGAGGGCAGAGGTCTGGGTAATAAGTTCCTCGACGATTTGCGTCATGCAGATGCCTTGATCCATGTGGTCGATGTTAGTGGTGCCACGGACGCCGAAGGAAAAGCCACTCGGGGTTACGACCCCTCGGTTGATATCGAATGGCTACGAGGAGAGATCGTCCGGTGGATTCAAGGCAATCTGATGGAGAAATGGGGAAGCATCAAAAGGCGACATGTAGCCATCAAGGCGAATGCGGTTGACACTCTCCAAGCTCAATTCTCAGGGTACGGGAGCACCAGCAACATTGTGGCCAGATGTTTGGACCGACTACAGTTGAAGCAACCTCTGGAGGAATGGAGCGACGCAACCGTCGCCAAGGTGGTCGAGGCATTCACCGATGAAAAGTTTCCTACAGTCCTCGCCTTGAACAAGATTGATCACCCCGATGCAGATCGGAACATAGCTAAAATTGCCAAACAACAGCCCCCAGAGAGCATCGTCTTGTGCTCAGCAATCTCTGAAGTCTTTCTGCGACGACTCACAAAACAAGGCTACATTAAATATAAAGAAGGACAGGAATACTTGGACACACGAGAAGACCTGATTGAACAGGGCGATCCTGACGGCGGCGGTCTCAAAGAAATGGACGACAAGTTGAAACAGCGGATCGAAAATCTCAAGGACATGGTCTTGTACAGGTTTGGGAGTACCGGGGTCGTCCAGGTCTTGACCCGGGCAGCTGCACTGCTCGGACTTGTTCCCGTATTTCCGGTCAGAAACGTACATACGTATGGTTCAGGCGGCAGTGGGAACACGGCTGTTTTCCGCGACTGTGTCTTGGTCAAAAAGAACAGTACCGTTGCCGATGTGGCACGAAAAGTCATGGGCGATGCACCAATAGCTTTCATCGAAGGTGACGGGGGTCGACGAGTGGCTGAAGATCAGATTGTGAGCGTGGGCAAGAATGACATTCTTTCGTTCCATGTGGGGAGATGATAAAATATAGTATGCTTGGTACAGACACTGCCAGAACACCATCACCAATGCCTGGACATGACCGAGCCAGAGGGTCAGTGTCCCTTCTATAAAAAAAGTCAGCGTTGCAGCTCTCAAGGACCACCTCCGCGACACCTCCAGACTTACACCACCTCTTTCATCATTCATACCGATGACCGGCTCAGGAGCAGCGGGCCTGTCTTGTTTGGCACGCTTGTTGTTGTTTCCTTCGTCTTGACGACTGATGGCTTGACTGCCTTTCTTGAGCGATTCGTGGTCTTTCATCCCTTGGTGGGCCGACTCGGACTGGACATCGTGCCCGTCTCGTTTGACCGCGTGGTCATCTGTCTGCCGGCCAGACCAACCGGGAGTCGAATCATTCTTTGAGGAGGCCGACTTCTCGGCTTCGACTCGGCTTGTCGATGATAGAGGACGGACTCTGGTCGTCGCGAATGAGTATGAAGGCGAAAGGTTCGTCGTCTTGACAGCTGATCTCATGTGAGATACAAGGAATCTCGGCATGATGGACGATGTTTGCATATGCGCGTAAAGAGACTAGAGAATAGGCTAGATAGAGAAGATGGCGCTTTAGAAACAGCAAGCAACAAGATCTAGGGCAAGAAGACCACAGCTTTCATGCCCCGGAGTTATATCAGAGTTTGTGAAAGTGGGAGATGACATTTTCGCATGACGCCGCTGGACGGGGAATTTGATAGGCCGACTCTGCCATATGATGCCTTTTCTGACGATTCGATATGGCTGGGCTCGTCGTCTGGAGAGGATGTGAAAAATGATGTCGAAATTATGACGACATTGATGATGGAGGCAGGCTCCTTCCATTGGCGTGCGAGTGACGGAGAGATTTACAAATGCCTACACAAGGCACAGCTTGGATATACTATATTTGTTCTTAGGAGCTCTTGCCATGGATGGATATCTGTTTGTGAAACCGGCCACGTCCTTCTTGAACATATCTGTCTGTGTATCGCTCAATGATGTCTATGCAAAGGTTTCAAAACGATGGCTCCGAACAATCCTACACAAGATCCTCGGGACGCATACTATTCGGATGCGTTGATAATGTCGATAGAGTCGCCTCAACACAATTGACATCTTCTGATTCTCACATACCTGGACCAAGGGACTCTACAACATATACGAAGGTGTGGGATGCTCCTTCCTCCCCTTCAAGACGACGCGTGACTGGCCAGTAATTTGAAATCAATTAGCGAATTAAATCTATTGGAATCCCAGGAAAGTGGGCCTCTCGTCTCGCCTTTCCTGCGAGGTACCAAACCTTAGGCACTTGCCTTGCTCCTTGCATCTGACAGGGCGAACTTCATGGTGATCAACCAACTACAAATGCCTTGCATCGAGGTCCATACCACAATGAGGTGGACTTCCGCCGTGATGGCACCCTAGTCACAGTACTGGGACAAGCCTCAGAGGTCGTGGATATGCTTATTGAGCAGCAGTCCTTGCGGGACGAGGCCCAGCCCCGGATACATGCATGCTTGGCGATCACGACCGAGAGCGCCGAAGTTCGGCGGGGCAACCGCGGACTTTCATATCAAACGAATGGGCCAAGCTAAGTAGAGCCGACTCATCCCATCCCATGTGTATCGGTGCCTTCGAGGAGTCCATCGTCGTTCTTACCGCATAGACTGAAACAGATTGCAAGTGTTTACCATGGGAAGTATTGGCCCAAGCTGGCAAGACGTCGCGGCCAAGCGTCGCAACGACATCAATCGAAAAATCCCCCAGTCATGGCTTTTGTCGACAGAGACGGTGAAGAATCACAGACCAGTCGACCTGCCCCGTCAATCAGGTCTTCTCTCACCCGATGAATTGTACCTCACAGAACTGTCGGCGGTTACCCTGCTCGCTGCCATTTGCGATCGGAAGTACTCTTCAGTTCAAGTCACTCGAGCATTCTGCAAGAGAGCTGCCATTGCACATCAAGTGGTAAGGCCTCCCGATCTATGGTCAATTACTCTTCAGTGGCTATTTGAACTCGAAGAAACGAAATTAACTGACTATGGTTCTCGAAACAGACAAATTGCCTTGCCGAGGTGCTCTTCGACGAGGCTCTCGCTCAAGCCGAGGAGCTTGATAACTACATGGATACTCACGGCAAGCCTATGGGAATGTTGCACGGATTGCCTGTCTCGGTCAAAGAGCACATTTTTGTTAAAGGGACGACCGCTACAGCCGGTCTGATTGCTTGGGCAGATCAACTCAGCCCCGATGATGCACTCATAGTTCGAACATTTCGAGATCAAGGGGCAGTCTTTCATGTCAAAACCACAAACCCCCAGACTTTGATGGCATGTGAGACCGACTCAAACCTTTTTGGCCGCACCTTGAATCCCCACAATCCCAAATTGTCCAGCGGTGGCAGCACCGGCGGCGAGGGTGCTCTTATTGCCATGCATGGAAGTCCCCTGGGGATCGGAACTGACATCGGTGGCTCAATCCGAACACCCAGCGCTTTCTGTGGCATCTATGGCTTGAAACCGAGTGTCGCAAGGCTGCCTCATAGTGGTTTGGCCGGCCTCCATGACGGTATGATGAATGTGGTTGGCGCAGTCGGTCCCATGGCCACAGCCTTGGATGATTTGGACCTATTCTGTGCTGCCGCTCTAGCGCAGCGGCCTTGGGACCATGAACCGTCGTTGATCGAGTTGCCTTGGAAGAAGGACGTGCAACGGCCGGCCAAGCTCAAAATTGGTGTTGTATGGAACGACGGTGTTGTGCATCCACATCCACCGATCACCCGTGCCCTTCAAGAGACGGTATCTTCTCTGCGTTCTGCAGGACATACCGTGGTTGACTGGGACAGCAACCTCCATGAAGGTCTTATAAACGCAGTAAATCAGGCATATTTCCTGGACGGAGGAGAAGAGTATCACGAGATTCTTGAAGCTGGCAACGAGCCGGAGGTTCCCCTACTAAACTGGATCCTCGAAACCCATGCCACTCGCAAGTACACCATCCAAGAGTCGTGGAAGGTATGTCTAAAACGGGACCGTCTGTTGCAGGGTTACTAACTCTAGTAGCTCAATTCTCAAAGCGATCTCCTCCGGACCCTGTACGCGAGACAACTGAATGCTACAGGGGTGGATGCACTAATCTGTCCCACTGCACCTTCAGTAGCGTCTGTTCACAACGAGACTCGGTACTGGGGATATACTTCTGTGTTCAACGCTCTCGACCTCCCCGCCATCATCATCCCTGTCAGCACAGTGAAATCGACCGACACTTGGGATAATCACCCAAACACATTGCCAATAGGCATTAGCACGACTAACGACACATATAGAGCACTATATCCAGAGACTGAAGGTCCCGCGCGTTACAGCAATGCCCCTGTTGGGATTCAAATTGTTGGTAGGAGACTTCAGGAGGAGAAGCTGTTGATGATGGCGAGAACCATTGAACAAGCCATAAGACCACCTCATCAGCGAACTGCTGTCGCGAAGAATGGCTTAACCTAGGAGTCAGGATCTCGCCTCAACTAGTGGCACGATACGAAACAAAACACCATTCGAGAGATAAATTATATGCCTACACTTTCCAAAGTGCAGCTTGGCCTTTGCTCCCGGACAATGCTGTCCGCTGTGCATACCACGGAAGTCTCTCAAACCAACAGGCCACAGATATGCATTTCTGCCATGGCTCGTTCCCAGTTCCATTCTTCGGCGGGATGCAGCAGTCGAGACTCCCAGCATGTTTCCATGATCTGCAGGACCGTTACACAGTTTCCGAATTCTTGTGGAGAGTCGCCAATGACCTTTCTCATCAGATCTCGGTAGAACGGTTGCTGATGAGGTTGAGCCATACATCCGGACAAACAGACGGGCCAGATCAGCCCTCGCATGTCCTGGTCGTCTTCGATGTGCCGCAGAGCATCCATGGTCTTGGTGACGGCGTGTTGGATCTCTAACACACTAGGGAAAGCGCCCGAGACAATGGTGTGCAACTGGACTAGAGCAGCCGAGGCGAAAATCCGGGTAATGATGAGCACAATCGGCGCCGAGGCTGAGGTATATTGGCCCCGGAATCGATCCTTTCTTCGCTGTGGTCCCTCAAACACCACCTGAGATTCAATCATGGCCAGTCCTTGCTCCAACTTGTGTTCTATGATCAAGCTGCGCTCGAGAAGTTCTTGTTGATCCAACATACCATTCTGACGAGCGGTCTTTTTCCACAAGTTCAGGATAGCAAGGTCTCCAATGGAAGTCATGACCCAATTCTCGCACCCCACGACGTCCTCGAGGTTGATCGCGCCATTCTGCAGTAATTCCTGATAGGACAGGCGAGGAGCGGACCCAGTAGTTGCACATGAGAGAAGATCAAACCAGAGCACCACAGCAATCAGGAAAGGCAATGCGGCCGAGTCGATAGATGTCGGGGTCGTGCCTCTGTAGAACTCTGGATAAACACCGGGGCTAGTAGACTGTAAATCGAGATCCAAATCATGAACAATAGACGCAAGGGCATTTAGATGTAATTCCCAATCACTGACCCCGCCTCTAAACAACTAGACCAGAACGACACCATGTTAGCTAACAACCCAGTCCAACACAATCAAAACAGCGGGACCAAAGGAAAATGAAAGTATCTGACCTCGAAGCTGATAAGCGAGACGCCACATGCAAGAACTTCAATACTGCGAGACCGGTGATCGGAAGCGGCATTGTTATCCTGATTCGCCCTGAGGAACGACTGAAGATCCCTGATTGCTTTGGAGTGGTACTCATTAAGTTCATCCAATTTATCGCTCTGGCCGTGATATCGAAGCGTGAACTGATGTAGAGCGCTAAGACTCAATGCCGCGTGGTATAGAGGACCTGTCCGCACCAGTAACCATAGCAGCCATCCGCGATTGACGGCGCGACCTGCGCGCTGGTAAAACCGGAATTGTAAGGGGAACACATGGTCGAAATAGTGCATTAACAGTTCTGCGTCTTGGTAGTCTAGGCCTTTTGCTTCCGAGTTTGTCTTGTTAGGGACACTGTGCTGGTGGTATGACACTGTAGTAGATTCAGGGGCGTCTTCTTCTGCGGGGATATTCATCGTCGTGGTGATGGTGGTAGTAATGGCGGCGGCGGCGGCGGTGGCGGCGTGGTGGTCAGATGACGACGACGTGATGACCATTGGCTCTGTACTTCCTTGTTGTTGATCGCCAGACCTCCAAGAAGGAGGACCACCACGAGTGTTAGCATCAAGATTTAGACCGACTTCTTGTGAAGAATGATGATCCGCTGCCCGTGGGTCAATCACCTCCTGAACATGTTGCTGAGAAGACAATCTGGCCGATGAACGATTATTCGGCACGCTCGGTGTAGTCGTGGCCATGCCTCTCCTGAGCAGTTTGAAGTTTTGCTTGACCGCACGCTTAATGTCTTGTCGATATTGCTCCTCGAGTTGCCCACCGTCCATCCACACAGGCTTGTCGCCGAAGCCATGACATTGGATGTGACGCGACGTGCACACCGTACATTGCGGTCGAGTTTCGTCACATTTCTTGTGTCGGACCCGACACGTCCAACAGCCCTGTGTACTCCGGCTCATCGGTTCAACCGCCAGTGGCTCTCCTTAATTGATCCGATCCCCCCGTTGAGGTTGGGCTGGGCCTGATTGGCATTGTCTGCTTCTTGCGCTCTTCTTCGGTGACAGAGCCAGGTTCGACTTAGTTGGACGAACCGCACCTGCCCAACTGTATACACAACATTGGCGCCTCGACACTTGGCTTTCAAAGTTCTGATGCAGAAGAGCTTCTGATAGAGGTTGTATCTGCTGATAAGCTCGCTTTGCTTGGTGGTGAGCCTAATTTTTAGCCTATTGTTAACATAAGACTAACTAGGGAGGCGTGACCTCACGTGACATAGTTGACATCATCTAGTCACGTGCTAAAGAAGGGTGTCCGACACGTGACTTTAGACGACGAGGTCCTCCTTCAGATAGACATCTATGTCAAGATCACAGATCCATCTTTCTCAGCACACGCGCAGACCGCTTGATTCAACCAAGCTTCCTAACCCGATGAGACCGTCCCGGGGTTTCATATAGCGAGTCCTCGCGTATTCAGGGCCGAAATGCATCTCAACAAGCTTTCGTTGTAAGGAACCCATGATTTGAAACAGTGGGGCGATGGATATCAGAGACTGACCAGACCACACAGTGTAACATGGCATTCAAGTGCTAGAGGTACTCGTAGCCACAATGGACATCCGGCTTACCACATGTAGTAGTCATAACGTGCAAGATGAATCCCGTGAGTGGGCAAATTCCAGTCCCTGCACGCTATCGAGTTAGTTGGCGGGCCTCGACCAAAAGTTAAAGTCAGGGCGAAAGGATGTTTCGAGACGCGTATTGTCATCTTGCCCATCAAAATATGTCGGGCTCAATTGATCGCTCCTCGGGACCTTTCGGGAGAGCTTGGAATGTACTCCGTAGAGAATCAAGGTCAAAGGTCACGAATGCTCGTGCTAACTGTTTTGTTTTGGCAAGGAGCATGTTCATATACATACTGGTTCTGAATCATACATAGGCAATGGGCGTTCCACACTGTCACATCATCTGAAGTTCGCTGGACCAATGGAATTGGCACCAAACCCTCACAGAATGCACCATTCTCTTCCAACCTCTTTGTCTGCGTACAGCCATAAGTGGCAAATCCAAACGTAGTCAAACTATCCGTAATTTTCATCACAGTTCGCCTCCTTCATTTTGGGTATCTCCTTTCGTCAAAAAATCATCTCCAAACACGGTAATCGATTATACAATTTGTAGTCCGTAATCACCAAATACGGGCCTTTCCGTCCGTCTCGTCTCAGGTCTCAAGCCTGCAGTCCGTGTAAATCAAAGTCGTCGTCCACGGGCATTGTAATGCCACGATAACGGTCGCCAAGGTCTATTTGTTCTGTCGCTGTAGAACCATTGTTGCTAGGAGGCGCCGAGAAGAGGAAATCGTCGCCGCTGGTCAACGACTCCTCTGAAAAGCTCAGAAGGCTTTGAGGAACGTTGGCTTTCGAGCAAAAGGCCTCGGGTCCGAGGTGCCAGGCATCAGGAGCCCAATCGTTACTGACGCTTGGATAAAGAGCTTGTCCGTTATCCGGCAGCTCGGCGTACAGAGCAGCTTGCGAACCATCGAAATTACCTAGCAACTGCTCCCAGCTGGGGTCGGCAATGGTGGGCGTTAGCTCTTTCCGGGGAGGCAGCATCGTGCTTGATGACGTTCTTGATGGCGAATGCATGAAATCGGTCAAGGGAAGATAGTCGAGGTTGATTGCCGGTGGGTCTATCGTCTGGGGTGGCAGGCCAACAGCCACAGTGGGTTGCTTGGGAAGAATGGGAGCGGATCGTGCGGATGAAACGCTGACGATGCTGCCAGCACGCTCAACAGAGCCACCATTCTGCACAGACATTGGTGGACTTATCTGGGGGACACTAGAACGTTTCTGACCGTCTTCGGGTTTGCCCTTGTTGCTGAACGACGACCATCGAGACGCAATCGCTTGAATTTGCTTGCGGGTGGATTTGGACTTGGCGTCCGCTGGGGTGGTCACCGGAGCTGCCATACTTGAGTTTGCGCTCGAGGGAGAGTTAAACGCCGAGGACTCGTTGGAGGATGACTGTGCTTGTGCGTCCATGGCGACAAACTTGCCGGCGATCTTCCTCAGTTCCGTTGCCGCGGGAGGATTCTCGGTGCCGAGAATGGAAAGCAACAGCATGACAGATTTTGAGTTGTCCTTGACCAGTTTGCTGTCATCTTCTAGGTCGAGCGACTGCCACATGATTGAAAATGTGGCATCCAAAATAAGATCGGTCTTGTTCAATGGGAAGGTGTAGTTCATGCGACGCTCGATCAAGAGATCAAGAATCTGGGAAAGGTGTTTCCCAGCAGCGGCAAGGACAATACTGGCGGCAGATGCAGCGCTGCCCGAGCTATGACACAGCAATGGCCGATGGATGAGGCTTCTTGTGTAAAAATAGGCAAGAGACTGCCATAGGATCAGTCCTGTTCACGGTGGAGATAAGGAATTGACTTACCAGTAGAGGAGAGCGACAACTAATCAGATGGGTAGCTGGCTTATCATTGCAGAAGCGGAGACGCAGATGTTCTGGAAGCTCCTCCGACCATTGATCCAGTTCGTCCGACAGAGCATGCAACTTGGTGACAGAGAGTTGGTAGCTCGCTTTAGCAGGGTACAGGTGCTCCAAGACCTTTGCGAGGACCCTTGTGACACGGAAAAGGGCAAGAGCGCTAGAAATCTTGGTCAATTCGCCGGGAAGAGTGGGCGAAAATCCTTGCGAGCTCAGATTCTCATCATCCACGTCTGCAGGGTATTCGGTGGTGATGTCACTATCACGAAGGAGCATGGGTGTTCCGGTAGTGGCCGAAGCGAACCTGGATTCATGGTCAGTGGAGGGATGCACGGTTTGAGAACGAGAAACTCACTTGTCGAGGACATATTGAGCCCAGAAAACTTTCTTCTTGGTCTCTGCTTCCAATGGGGACAAGTTGTGATATTTGTGGTCCTGGTGTAAGCCCAGTTCGTGGCACATGGAGACGGCAATGCTGCGATGGCGAGTGAGATGGGTGTGATCTGCTCGCAACAGGTAGCACACCTGGGCGAGGAGGTGGCATTGTAGAGTTGACAAGCAGGCAGTGGAAGAGGTCGAGTAGAGGGCTTTGCGCCAATGATGCTCATAAGATGGGGTGGCCTTCTTGGATGTCGACATGGAGGAAAGAGCAGCAATTTCAAAGATGAGGAACAACTGAGCCAGCGACTGCTTGTTGTTCTGCCAATTACCGGTCTCGGGGTTGGTCACATATTGTTCATAGACTCTGAGGAAAGTTGGGCGATGCAGAATGGGCAACAGAGGCTGCCATTCTTGGAAGAAGAGATCTGGACATATTAGCGAGAATCAAAAGGGTGTCTAGGGGCTTGGGCATACTGATATACTGGTCCGACAAAATTCTGGGAGGGAACTTTGCATTGACGGTAGAGCGAGTGCATTGGATGGCCTTCAATAAGGGGGTGGAAGAGATGACTGTGACGTCGCCACCGGTATCTTGGATTTTTTGTTCGAATGCCTCGATGAAAGAGGGGACGGTGGAGGTACCCGTTGAGGTGGCCTTTGGTGACACGGGGATGGGAATTTCGACATGGAGGGTTTCTTCTCGAATTGAATCTACTTCTGCCTTGACCTCAGCGGCATGTGAGGGAGATAGCGAAGCTGAGCATTTCCTCGAGGGAGGGGAGAAGCTGTGGATGCGAGAGAGCATGTCAATCTTTTCGTCCTTTTCGTCCAACAGATCCTTCAGTTCTTTGACTTCAGCCTCGAGGCCGCGTACTCGGTCTTCCAGGGACTCTGTGTAGCCTCTGGGGAATGCTCGTCGGCTCAACTTGTCGCTCGTTTTGCATTCGAAGCCGACATTGGCGCACTGGGTACAGGTTGGGCGGATACCATCGCAGCGGATTTTCTTGCTACGACATCGATCGCAGGCTTGAGCGATGCGACTGGCGGCGCTGCTTCCCACGCGAATCATCTTCATGGGTAATATCCCCGGCATGATTGCGCGAGTCAAAGGGTTGTGAGTAGATGAAGTCGATTATAGCAGAGGCATGAGATGGCTATGCCAGAGGTGGAGTAGGCGAAGCTGAGCCTTGGTTCGAGATAAGTGTGGTGACTTTGCGACGAAGACTCCTAGCGGTGGGATGAAGAGATCAAAAAGGAGCTTGAATAAAGAAGTTGGGGGAAAAGCCAATTGATTATGACTGAAATGGATCTGGAGCTCGAGACGGTGATATGGGATCGTCTGGGGTTGGCGGGAGTAATAATGGTCAGGGCGAGTGGACTTCTGACTTGCGAGGGAAGTAGTGTACGCCACAAAGTTTACTAGTTTATGGGGTCTGGGATAAGGAGCAGCGGAAAGGCGTGACTGGAGTAGAGGAAGAAAAAAATGGTTTCGTGGAGGAGAAATTGAGGAGTTGAGGAGTTGAGTGGGTTTTCCAAAACCAGGAACGAGGAAGGTGCAATAATTGAGGTTTGATGATCGGGGGATTCTGGGGCAAGAGGAAGGAGCAAAAACATGGAGGGGAGGAGGAAGAGGGCGGAAGGTGCGATGCGGGATGGGATGTTGCGGGTGGGTAACTGGGGAAGGAAGGAGCACGCAGGCGACACCAACAAGGGACAAGACGCCGGACACGGAGGACGTGGACGAAGATGAGGGGCGCCTCGAGGCCCTCGAGCCCTCGTGCCCTTGAACCCTAACAGCCAGCAAAGTCCTTCTCGACACTTCTTTCGGGATCAGAACCCGCAATCATCTTCTGCAGCTTGGACCGTTGAGTCTTGATCCGTCCTTGTTGAGCCCAGCTAACTGAACTAGCACCAACCCCCAGCGAGTTACAATCCATCCCACCCACAAACCACCCCTCCTCATCTCCAGACAGGAGCAGGGTTCGGGAATGTCTTGGGCGAGCATAAGACTTTTATGAGCATACACATTCACAAATCACAGCTGGGATCAGCTTCATTTGCATTACGCTACTTGTCTCCCTGGCCAGCATACTCTCAGAGCCATCAGTGGCTCCACGTTCAATACGAAGATCCCTAAAGATCCGATTCACCGGGCGATCCACAAGTGCCGTGACTTCGGCCTGTGGTTGAAGGACACACCCAATTTGTATACTGTTACAGAGGGTGTTAGTTAATTCCCCCCTCCCATCCAACTTCTTGTCTCAAGCATTGCCCGTGCTGACGCTTCGACGGATCTACATCTGGTGGCGAGGCATACCAAGGTTCCATTCCCCCGCAAAAAAAAAAGACTCCTTCAGCCAGACAAAGTGCTGTTTGATCCAATTCTGTTCAAAGTCACACCCTCATAAGTGTCATGGACTTGTCATCGCACCCTCCCTCAACCACACATATTCGATGATCGGCGACCAATGACACCGAAGTGCAGAAAACGAGTCGACTGTCTTGTCGCCACTAGCAAAACCCGCCCACAGGGTCTTCATTGGTGAGTTGGGAGATTCACCAATCACCATCGTCGCTAGTCAAACCTCCATCGATCCGAGCTTCGTCCGCCCGACTACTGGACTTCTCTCCACTTTGATGCCTACAGCCAGCTTTCAACCCACCATGCCCCATCATCGCCCAAATCGCATCAATATACAATCTGTCCCTCGACAATTGTCGAATCGACATGCTCTACAAATAGATCAGCAACGAATCACATGCTGTAGCCTCAGCCTGCCCCCTAAGTGCTCCATAAGGAGCTGTGAGTTTGATGTCTTCGTCATCTCACATCGTCTCTGCCAACAAATCTAGACGCTCCAGATCTGTAAAATGCATCAGCCACCCGTGTCGACTAAACAAACACAGGATAGCTGTCGCAAGTGACTGCCTTGACAACCATCCAGGACCCCAGTGCTTTTGCTCTTGCTCTGGACGAACGGAACCACGCTAGAAGCATGAAGTGGAACGATCACGATACACGACGATGGCGTATTCCCGTGGCCAGTGCCACTCGCCATTAGCCGTCACATGTTTCCGCGCGTTTTGACCTGAGTGTCTCACGCCACACTGGACGCCTCGATCCTTTTGATGTGATTGTCTGCCTGCCTGCATGCTTGGGCCATCGTCTCGCTTCGAGGTCCACAGTCTGGGGTCACGACTCATCAAGAGATATCTCCCTCAGTATCCCCCAATGACGCTGTTTCCCCTACGTCGTCCCCCTGTTTGAGGTACCGACAAACAACATCTGATTTGAGCAGTGCATCCTTCTGTGCGATGTTAGCGTTGCTTTGAGCTCTGTCTTGAACCACTGTACCTGATTTCCCAGTGCCTCATATGCTCGCGTCAAGATGCCCATCTCCAGCCTCCGGAGTCGTCCGACAGTCTCATAGACGTATTGCCTAACCTGGGTGTTGGGAGACAGGGCATCGAAATCAACTTGGCTTTGGGCAAGTTGCTCGCCTTGTTCTGCGACAACCTCTTGTAGCATCACCACAGCACGTAGCAAGAAAACATCATGGAGGTAATGCTGCTGAAGCCTGGAAGGTAGTTGCTCTGCGATCAAGTCTTGGCCGTCGAATATAGCCTTGAGATCCGTATCTCCGTCAACAGTCTTTTCGACCAGGAAATCCAGACCATCCTCGTGATTGACACAAGCCCACCAGACAAAAGTACTCTCCCACTGAATCTGATCTGCCTCGTCAATGTAGAGGCGAACACCGGGCGCCTCCTCAGCGAACCAGATCTTGGCCCTCCTGAGTGGATCGTCAGCCGGTATAGATAGACCGAGAAAGATCTCTCGTGCATTGCTCGCGTGCTCCTCAAGAAACCCATAGGAAAATATCATCTCGCATGCCCCACCGACTCCATACATGATGGTGGCCTCTTCTCCCGCAGCAATGGTCCGGTCGTCCCTCACGACCAGCAAAACCTGTCCTTGGTCCTCGTCAACCTCGAACCTTGCATTGTAGCGATCGTCAGAGGCATGATTAGCCATATCCACTACCGGAACCATGCCAACACCAGCTCCTCTCGGGAGGTCCAGGGCGCGAGATCTATAGAGAGCATCGGCCAACTTCCAGTCCTCCAGATTCAGAATTCCAGACTCATCGTCCCACCAGACCTTTTGGCACCATGGAATGTCTCTGCTTGACTCTTTGAGCGATTGAAACTCTTTTTCCAGGCTGGCGAGCTTGTCGTCCAAAGCAGAAGACAGGGAGGTACCCAACAACAAGTCCCTTTCGTCCGGAGAATAAAAAGTAGGAAAACCAGGGATATCCTTGGGCAGAAATTTGACGTAGTCAGCAAATGGACCATGCAATCCAAACCCTGTCTTTTGAATATTGATCGTCATGCAGTAAACCAGGAACAGGACAACTGCAGCGCGAGGAGTCTGTGAGGTATAACACACATGTCAGTTCTCGAAATACAGGTCTCCTACCTTGGAAACTTCCATAAATTTAGTTGTTTGATAGACTGTTGCAAACCTACCTGAAGCAGGGGCGGAATAGCCTCGAGCAATTCTTTCAATTGCTTGTCGGCCTTTGCATGTTCATATACTCGTTCTTTCGACAGCACGAGATCCAAAGGGACTCCCAACAGAGCCTCTCCCGGGCCATGGCTCGTTTTCACCACCAGCCCGCCTCCTTTATCACTTCCGTCAGGAGCAAGAATGTGTGGTTCCACCGTCGTACCGATGAGTTTGACATGGTTCAACTCCGCCCAGGCGTAGAGATGGTCAATTGGCATCGACTCATGCCGCATCATTGTCTGTTGGACCAGTCTGAAAGAGGTTCCTTCGACATCAGGCTCAAGAGGAAGTGCATTTGAGGGAGACATGAAATTATGCACACCACAACCTGATGCCAAGATGTTTTAGTCTGACAGAGGGGACTTATAGTCTGGCACACTGACAACAGCATTAAAGCTCAACCGATATCTTCCGATTTTCATGTCTGACATCTCTATTCTCTAGCTCCAAGGCTGCACCTCCCAACACTCACCATATCGGCAGGGAGGCTTAATGCTGAACCATACGAGAGCTGCGCATCTTTTCACATGTAGGTATGCGGGAATATTCATCAATGAGAGAGGCCTCATGCGTGGGTGAGGGTTTCTGGGAGGCTTTTGTCTGCACGTGACATCAGACTTATCACGTGATCACTGATCGAGACATGGACAGGAGCGACTCTGTTTAACAACAATCCACGAGTGTCTACCTCCACCGAGATGCCTACTCTTCGCTGAATTCTTTCAATGCCAAACAGCATGCCGTGGCCTCCATGATCTGTAATTATCTATTGAAAATTATCAACAGCCTCCTCACGGGCTCGCCAGATCCCTCAACTTGATTCAAGAGGCAGGGGAGTTGAACGCTGTAACTGATCAATATTTTGACATGAGGCTCATCACCATGCTGACGATCACAGATTCGCTCTCCTCCAATTAAGGCTCGTCAATGTCTCGCCTCGATGAATGGCTCTAGCTTCATGTCACGCATGTCTCACCAATGATGCACCAGTGTGCCAGTCAAGGAGGTCACTATCTTCAGTTCACGAAAATGCAGACGATGATCATTAACCAGGGACTTGTCGTCTTCGGGTGCCACAACAACGACCCTAGTTAAAGAGGAAGCCCCTTTGATTGAGGATATGTTCTCCGATCCCGAGCCAAAACCTTCCACAGGACGACCCTCCGGCCCCCCGGCCCCTACCATAATTTGACGTCAGGGATCACATCGGACACCTATAGCAGCTCGAGACGAGCCACGCAGGCCCAGTTTATACGCAGCGTCCGGATCGAACTGCGGAGAAATGCTTAGGTCTCGGGACCCTTCACATTGAGTGTTGGTCTAACTCGACTTGGTTCAACCAAGGTGCTACCCCGCGAAATCCTGGTGTTTTCACACACCCAATCACATTGAAGGCCTGGACGACATTACCAGAGAGATCTGCTCTCGCCCCTGCCTGTCATTTAGGTGAGTGTGGTGGTCGTGAGAACCATAATCTTGCAGGGACAACACCTCCACAAACCTTCTGGATGGACCAACGGACTACCAAAAACGATGACTGACACGATGACTGACACGTCAGCATGTTTCTCTCACCAATCCAATGCAAGGAATTATTTTGGAAATAAAGAAGCAACACGCACGACCGTGCCTGGTGCACAAACCAGATTTGGTGAAGCGACATACCCCTACGCACCTGCGATGGTGGCCTGTTTTCGACATCGCTTGTTTGGTCAGGGTTGATGTCCTCTAATTTTCCTTCCCACAAACCAGCGTAGGAGACGAGCATTCAAGCCAAGCCAAGACAGTACATACCGTGAACTGCCGTGACTGCTAGGCAATGGCAGTGTGTTCTGGCCATGCACGTCAAAATTTTCGTCACACCACTCCCCAGAATGTATGGTTGCCGCCCCCTCTTTTTCATTACCATTACCATATGTGCATATGCTGTTTCCCCATGTCGATTTTGCTGGTCATCAATGATCCACGAACATGTCCCCAAGATAAATAAGCGTCAGCATCTAGACGGGTCTAGCCAGTCGCTTTGCTGATGGACTAACAAAGCTCGTTTGCATCGGCGATCAGACAACTCGATTCGAGAAATTGGCACTGGTTCAGGGCTGGGCAGTGAGATCATTCACAGGGAAATTTGACCACTCCTTATTTTCCGGGAAATGGAGGGTGTCGAGGTTTTCACGATCGCATGATTCCAAAGCAGAACCACGCAAGGATGGTGTATTTCTCGGGGAAAGACGGGCAAGTACGACAACCGTGTTACTGCATTGCAGTATACGTAGACATTCGTATCCCAATGGGCCCTGATGTCCTTGTTCTCTATGACGAATGCCATATTCCCATCTCCCATGCCTTGTGCGGCAATTGAGACGTCCGCGAATGGCCATTTTCCATCCGTAACTGTCGACATGGAGTTGACAATCGCGGATTAGAGCACCTGAATCTTCAATTCCATTGCTCGCACTGCGTTGATACAATCCCACAATACAACAGCCCAGCGAATCCGACATAGGAAAGAAATTGAAGACACTTTTAATTGCTTGCGTAAACCCTTTCCCTTTGAGATTCCCCTTTCAACCCGTCATATCATCTTCATCTCTCGATTTCGATAGAACCTCAATAAAGATATCCCACGACATATCTTCACACTTGACCTGATCTCTCTCGTAAACACCTGGTCCACAAGCCGCAGTACCAACACCCGCAACATTTGCATCGACTCGCCATAATGCGCCTTGACGCTGGGCTCCTGGCTCACGCAAGTCACATGGATGTGCGGCATTCTCGATCGTTGACGCATCGTACATTTGCGTTGAGAATTGAAACACCTCTCTTTCATCTGGTTCGTCTAGTTTGATGCGTGATACTCGTAGAGCTGGAGAGGTGACTTTGTCTTTCGATGATGGTGATGTGCTCGTGCGAGATGGTAGAGGTGTCGAGGACTGGGTATCACCATCTCCATCGTGGTTATCTTCGTCGTTGTCATCGTCATCCGACGCACTCACAATACACCATCTAGTTCCCACCCGATTCCCGTTCTCCTGTGGGACATCATAATCTGTTCCCATATCGATGATCTTCTTCTCCCAGACACCCACTCGTTGAGCCGAATGCGTGTCATTGTAGCTTTCGCCGGGACCGAGGCCAAACCACTTGACTCTCGTGTATTGCGGTGCCAATTGGATGTTATGCCCTATCCGAGGTAGATTCGGGGGATGGTTGTCCTTGGGTTGGACAGTTGTAGAGATTCTCATACTGAACGGTATCGTGCCACCCTTCAAGGTATTGCCCGTTGAGATCGTGTATCTAGTCTCAACATCCAGATACCAAGCCAGCGTGGGCGGTGCGAGGGCATGATGGAATGCCAATGTCACTGATTGCAATTCTGTATCTAGTGAGTCTGAGTAAGAGAAGGTAGTTGGTTTCCCAATTTCTGCAGATATTAGACGACTGGTCATCATGTGAAGTCCGTGTTTCTTCCATTCACCAGTCTGGCCTGCTGCATCATTGTCGGTCGGAGGTCGCCAGACATCGAGAGCGAGTAAGGGGTCATTCGAGCTGGCTTGGAGTAGTGGTTCATGGTTGTGAGTCCAGGAGCTGATATGTCCGCGAATCCGATCGAAGATAATGCATGATGCTCCGCTTGTGATCGAAATGGACAGAGCGTCTTCCTTGATGTTGAAGGGATAGTCTGATTCTGCCCGCCATTGATAGTTTAGCACTTTGTGAGCACGTTTCAGTTGTCCTTGAGCCCAAGCAACAACATGACCAGCCGCTGCCCAGGGTCTATCATGCTTTTCTCGAAAATTGAACGTGATCCATATCTCCTCTAAGCTCCAACGGTATAGCAGTACCTCTTTAGGTAGACGAATATGCTTCTTTTCACCCGGTTCAATGACAGGGAGGCTCAAGGTTCCACTGGTGAGCACTTGCGCCTTGGTGAAGAATGCTTCGACGACATAATCTACCTTGAGATGGTCCAGCGACAAGAAGTCATACTCATTGGTAACCACAAGATCATCCCAATCAACGTAGGCTCGAATAGGAGCAATTACCTTCTTGAGTTCCTTCAACCCTGGGGTAGGGTCGTGGGTGCTGAAGCACAATCCATCCATGACAAAGGTGCCGTCGTTGGGCACATCCCCAAAATCTCCCCCGTAGGCAAAGTACCCCTTGCCACGACCATCATCCTTCCATAGACCATGATTGGCCCATTCCCAGATGAAACCACCCTGGAGCCTTCGATGATTGCGGAATGCATGTTGATAGTCATCCAGTAGTCCTGGTCCGTTGCCCATGGCATGGCCATATTCGCAGAGGATTATTGGTTTGACAAAGTCGTCACCCTCTCTCCCGGCTTCCTTGATGAGGTCTTCTGGAGAAGTGTACATGTGGGAGATGATATCGACGGTCTTTCCTTCTCCATCTGGCTCGTAATGGATCAGCCGCGTCGGGTCACGGGCCTTGGCCCAGTGATACATGGCTGTATGATTTCTGCCGTAGAAAGACTCGTTGCCCAAGGACCAAATGATGACACTTGGGTGGTTCTTGTCTCGCTCGACAAGTTGATGCATTCGGTCGAGATATGCAGCTTCCCATTCTTTATTGTCAGAGGTGAAGGACGCTGCATCTTTGGCCACAGCCTTCACCCGCTCCGCAGACAACATACCGTCCAAGTTCATGTTCAGAGCAGCGGCTGCAGCGAAACCGTGGCATTCGAGATCGGCTTCATCAATGACCCAAAAGCCCAGCTCGTCACATATTCCAGTCAACCCTGGATGAGATGGATAGTGGGAGCAGCGTATGGCATTGATGTTATGAGATTTCATCAAAAGGAGGTCTCGACGGACAAAGTCAAGGGGCACGGCACGACCCAGATGAGGATGATGATCGTGACGATTTGTGCCTCTGATCTGAATTGGTCGTCCATTCACACAGATGAGTCCATCTTTGACTTCAACAGTGCGAAAGCCGACCTTTTGGACTATTTTTTGCGTAACCATATCATTCGTTTCCAGGGATATCTCAAAGTCGTACAAGTATGGCGTCTCAGCTGTCCATTTCTGGGGAGAGGGTACTTTGAGTGATTTGCAATATGATTCACGAGTTTCCAATGACATTGTGTTGGACGCCTCATTTGACACCACAAGGTTTCCGCGAGCATCTTTGAGAGCCAGAGATATATGGTTCTTGGATGCGGGTTGTAGCTCCAGCACCAGCTCGACCTTCAACACGGCATCGTTGTAATTCGAGTCCAAGAGAGTCTGAAAGTAAAAATCCTCGATATGGTTCTCCGGAAAGGCAATGAGATGTACATCACGAAAGATCCCTGTGCCAAACCCTGTCAGCATTGACGATGCCACAGGCCAGGGTTGGAATAACTGCAAGGAGATAGATTACCTACCAGACAGCCACCACTGATCCTGATCCTCAATATAACTTCCCGAACTCCATTGTAAATTCTGCACTACCAGAATATTGGGGCCGTCTCTCTTTGCATGAGACGTGATATCAAATTCAGCTGGGTTCCGACTTCCCTGGGAATACCCGATCTTGACACCGTTCACAAAGAGATAGAAGGCACTGTCAACGCCGTCGAAGCGCAGTCTGATCCGGGAGTTGGAATGCCAGTCCGATGGGACCTCAAAGTCTCGTCGATATGTGCCCGTGGGGTTCTCGGTCGGGGCATGAGGTGGACATGTTGGGAATGGATAGATGACATTTGTGTACTGCGGCCGACCATAACCTTGAAGTTGCCAGTGGCCGGGAACAGTGATAGGTGACCATGAGTAGGCGGACGTGTTGCATACATTGGGCTCAGTTGCACTGCTTGTCTCCTGAGCTTCTGTAGATGTGATGGGGGTGACCTCGCTGGCTTTAGTGCCGTCGGGGGCGTGGTACGGGGTAGGAGCATAATTGAAGGACCAAGTACCATTCAGGCAAACAGAGGTGTCGGGAATATAGTACGAACGCGGGGGAAGACGATTACGTTGGAAGATATGTTGGTCTTCCCAGTCTGGCGCCGTGTTTGGGACACTGTCAGGAGGCGCAGGAGATGACGAGGTTGTTGCAGCGCGTTCTTGGGGAAGGGCAATACCATCTTCGCTAGAGAGTTGCATGACTATAGCTTAGTTGCAAGGCTGGCAAATACGTTGAGCGTCACTGGTGTCATGAGCAATGGACGCTGATAATGGATGTACATCGTTATGGAGGGAGATGCAGTTGTGGCCGAGTTAAGCAAGGGATGACGTTGAAGGTTGAGGAGAAGGCGTGGATGATATGCGGGGCCCCACGAGGCTGAGATCCAGCCTTGGGGGGAGTTTTGGTGTACTCCGTAAAGAAGGCTGGCGGAAACAGGCTGCTCAACTGCGGTGGCGCTCGTATGATTCCAGGTCGACTCTGATGGCAAACGCCTGACAGCACCTGGCACCCGCCCGGCAGACTACGAGCTCGATCCTCTACACGTCCGTAGTCGATCTTACTTAGATGGGAAACACCAGGCTTAGACATATATCCTTATTGGTATTGGGGGAGAAGCCGATCATTGTACCACTCGGAATCAGATCAATCGATATGGTCTTCAATCACCACGACTCACAATCACTTTGAATCCACCCCTCTCTGCCTCCAGGCCTGCTGTCCTAGCATGCAAGTTCGCTCTGGGCGATATCCAAGGCACAACCCAGAGATGTTTCCAACATGACACTGCACGGGTCAATCACTCATTCCATCTCTGCCCCAAATCCAAGCTGGCTGCTTGTCATCTCTCTGTTGATCTTACATCGCAAATTCTCGAACGCAACCTTTGCTGAGGCTGATATAGCTTCATCAAATGTTCCATCATCCTTCACCCCAAATTCGCAACAAAAGAGAAAAACTGCTGATAAACCTGACGTCAACGCCGGCATGTAGCATGCAAAGTAGAACAGGGCAATGTCGTATCATAAATGGGTCTGGTATTGTTGATTCTGCTGGCGCGGTATCTTAGTCGGTAATGACATAGGTCGCCGTGCCTGAGAGGATAGAAACCTGAGAACGATTATGTCAGCACAAGGCTGTGGGAAAGGGGGTAAAGGCTTCATGTCACTTACCGTGCATCCTTGAGAATTGCACCCAGTTACTCCACAATATTGTCCGTTGGAATACTTGCATGTCCCTGACAAATCTCCTTGAATTTCTACTGTACCCTGGTATTGGGCACTGGTAGTTGGCGAATTTTGGAAGATTGAAAGCCATGTGGTGCCATCCTTGGCACCAACACCAAAGTTGATAGGAGCAAAGTTGCCCAGGGGCTTGTCAGCAGTGCCCCATTGGCAGGCTTCAGAGGCACCGTATCCAATGGGATTGAGATAGTATTGAGCTGAAGTGGACTTTCCTTGCCACTCGTAGTATGCAGCCGCATCGGGGACGGTCAACTGATTGGTCTGGCCAGGCTGAAGCTCGACTGGAATGGTCTCCGACTCAGTGCCAGGATAGTCGGTACGGCAAATTGAGACAGTTCCAGAGGCCTGGTTGGATGCCACAACTCCTCCCACACCCGGGATGCAAAGCTTGGTGGAAAGACCTGCATTGGTGAGACGCAGCTTGCCACCGGAGCAGGACAAACCGCCGACGGACTGTCCAGTGGCTCCCTGGGTAGAGGGCCATTGGGACTTTTGGTATCCAGGTGGGCAGGCATACGAACACATGGAACCCTCCTGGCAATTGTCGCCGCTGATACCAGTAACAATGTGATTGACGAAGCCTCCGGAGATCTGGACGGCCTGGAGACCACTCCATCCTCCCATGTTGAGATAAGGGAGAGCGACGGGGCCATAGTCCGAGGGAAATGTTGTGCAGTCGAGTGCGCCGTCGGGGAAGTCAGCGTCGATGCCGCTGCCACCGGAAGGAACACTGGGGCTGCTGGGAGCCCATGATGATGCGGATTCGGAGGCCGAAGCGCTGGAGGGCCAGTCATTGGGGCCGGCCCAACTCGATGATGGGTGATTCCCCCAAAACTCAGCAGGCTGGGACACAGTTTCGGCAGCTGGGGTCGTGGTGGTAGATGGATCCTCTGTCGTAGTGGTTGAGGTGGAGGCAGAGCTCGTGGAACAGACACCGGGATCTTCGCCGTCGATAAACTTCAATTCATTGTCTTTGAGTCCCTGGCAAACCTCTTCGGGAGAGATCTCCTTCCCATCGAGGATATACTTGTAAGAGGTTGGGCCTGGTGCCCATGCGGTTTTGGTGACGTCTCGCTTGCGTTCATGCACATGTCGATGAGCGTGGTTATGGGGCTGGGCTAGAGCGACAGAGGCTGAGACCGCCGTCAAGGCGAGCTGAGAGAATTTCATGGCGAAATCGATCGCAAATGGCGAATTGCAGTCTGTCAAAGACCGTGGAAGGGAGCAGGGGTTAAGTGTGAGTGGTGATGCCTAGAATAGACGAATCTAACGTGGGCACTGGTTAGTATCCTTTGTGACATTCTGGACGTTGGTTGGAGGGAAATATTCAAGACAAAGACGCTTGAGATGTTGTGACCGTTCGCAGGAATTTGAAAGGGACGTACAAAGCCGAAGACTCATATGATCAAGATGAGCTGATAAGTGTTGTAGCGCTTCTAGGTTTAGTCGGATGGCGATGAAGCGAGAAGAGGAGGTGCCTGGTACGACTCTTCTGTTGTGCTGGTGACGGTCCTTGTGCCTGTGATAAAGGAATGGAACGAGAGAATATCTCTCTGTAATGAGCGTATACCGAGCAAAGACGGTCAAGAGAAAAAGAGCGTGAGGAGGCGGTGGACAGGTCTTGGTTAGAAAAGAAGGTCAAGAAGGTCAAGAAGGCGCAATGGAGTCTGGGGTGGAGGTGGATGGTTGTCGTGGGAAAGGAGACCAAAGGGGAACAGGAACGGGGACCCTCAGAGAGTTTGGCACTCGCGGCACTGGAGGTGTCGCAGCGGCAGCTGTTTGCTCCTGATACAATGCTGCTGGACATTGCTGGGCGGGTAGAGCCGAGGGGCGTGCCTTTAGAGGTTGCAGGGCTAGGGACCAGCGTGACCAGGCACCGCAGGCATGCCAGGAACAGGCCTAGTCTTCACCACGGGCCCGCCCAAGGAAAGCTTGAAATCTGGGATGCCAACCAGTGCAGGGGCAACCCCCTGTGTGCCGGAAGCCAGGAGAGCCTATGAGGGTTGCCGCATACCCCGACGAGTTGGCCCCGGCCCCAGTCTAGTTGCAATCGGGGCTCGCTTTGTCATGCGCGTCGACCAGTGGCCAGTGCATCATCTCAAAAGGAGATTGCATCTCCACCAGACCTGCATTCCTTTCCTCAAGAGCTTCTCATATGTCTGGCAAGCTCTGTCGCTTCCTCCTCGACGACGACTGTCATTGGCAGGTTGACGATGAAGAATTCGACCATCTAGGCCAGCGATAACCACCGTCCTCGATCTTGAACAACCGAGAGTGGTCAACGTGGTAGAGAAATCAATCATGGCCGCTCTACTCTGCTAGACTGAAGCCATTCTACCACTCATTTGGACATGAACAGGATATGGATGGAACAAGTCGGAAGACCTGTGGGAGACCCAAGCCGTCCAAGCCGTCCAAGCCTACCGCTGGACACTGTGCATACTGTACCGTGTTCAGTGCGGTATCAGAAAGCGTGGCCTGCATGAGGGGCGACTCAAGGCTAGGGTTGCCTGCTGCGATGCTCCATGAGACAAGGCCAACACGTCAGCCAGATCCCCCACATCTCGGCTGGTCCACGTATGTACATAATGTACGTATATCCACAGGCGAAATATGCTGACTGGGCACTCCTCGGTGTTGGTATCTAGTTAAGATCAAATATCACATTTATGTTGGTACATTGTAAACAGTCGATCATGTAGATCGTGTTGAATGAACTGTGAACGACATTGTAGGCCACGATCATAATCGCTGCGGCTAGATCGCGATTCGCGCCGAATACTCAGCAGGACGTTTTCTTCTCATGATTAGCTGTCACCTATCAGGAGTGGTGGTCATGGCTTTTGCATCTAGCGAGGGTCCTTGCGGTGACACTGACAATTCACCACCGCGTTCTGTGCTACAGGACATGTATGGAGTAATGCCAGGGCCGTACGAAACCGAGTTGGTGACGACAACGATGGAGATGCCCAGCGTCAAGTCGTCGATCAAAAGCACTGCCTCATGGAGAGATAATTCTGGGCGGCGAGCGGAGAATATTACAACCAGCATTGACAAGACATGTTTCTCGACGGTAATAATGAAAATATTCCGTGGCTAACATCAGGAGGTCAATCTTGACCTCTGCCCGGTCAAAAATGTATGATGAGGGATATCCATAATCATTCTAGGCCCAAGTTGCCACCGTGCTCGACCAAGGAGGCTGAGGACTGACTACGGGACGCTTTGAACACATCTGTTTGGAGCCCCTGTCGACGTCGACCTCGTCGTGGCTGGAATTACCGGTTGACGTGGGCCAACCTTACGCAAACCCACACCACACACCCTCAATATCTTATCTGCCGTGCTACTGCACACGTACGCAGCACGCCTTCAGAGTCCACATCTACGGCACATTAGAAAGGGGCTTTTGATCAAGCATCTATCAGAGACAGCCACTGATCCACTGAATGTCAAATGTCGTCAGTAATGGCCCCAAATCTGGTTGTCGACTGAGGAACCCAAGCCACTACCAATGAACAAAACTACCGTGGATATTCTCAGTAGTGGAGTCTTCATATGTAGACTGCAAGTCATCTCACAGTAACGAAGTCCTTGACACAATAAAGAAAAAAAGCTCGCTTCTTGATTGTTGTATTGGACTTCTAGAATTGACCCAAACAAAGCAGGGGTGGTTGGTCAAATTCGCGTCAACTGGAGCGTGTCTGATCACGTGGATTGATTTTTCCCCCTACTAATACCGCGAAGTCCTCCGTGGTCCCCTTGTACCCCAGCATCACCCCTGTGGCTTTAGCCCAAGAGCCCTCGAGGGACATGAATGATGTGCACTTTATCGCGTGTGCCACGCCCCGGCGATCCACCACCGTTGGGTTTTGGGGCCCGAGGGCTTGCCTCGTACCTAAAACATACGCGTCAAAGCCTCCACTCCTTGACACAGTCACCAACCATGGCGACTTGGTGGAAAAACTTCTAGAAGTCAAAGTCCACTGATCATTTACATATCTCCATATTCCCATAGTATTGACATCCCATCACCGATCGATGCATGCTGCGTGTTTCATCGTGGGCAAAGACAGAACTCCTGCAATTTGAGCACCATCGAATGTTGCCATCAGACTTTTCCTAGGTCCCAATTTCTCCAGCCAGAATACGACGCCCTTAAGTGGTCCAGAGGATGTACATACTGCACGCTCAACGTTGATCCGATTGTCACGGTGCGTGTCTGATAATCGTGCTGGAGTTGAACATGCACATCCCTGTTTGTTGGGCAGGTAAACTCGTTCTTTGTTATAAACAGATCGGCAGCCCCAAGAAAAACCCAACGTGTCAATTTGCACGAGTACACTGCATCTCGATCCCTACGTAATAAGAGTGAAGTAATTGTGTACACACTGGGTACGTGGATCTAGTCCACACATTGCTATACTGTGAAAATCCTACTTGGCAGGATATCGCAAGATTGTCAACATATCGCCTCATCAATAGGCAGTAAACACTGCCGAGATAACCCGTAGCACGGCCTGCTCGATTCCAATATGGGCCATGTCAGCATATTTACCAATTCCAGAAGCACTTCAATGGCTTCCAATTAGTGTCGAGGTGACCGGAAAAGAAGGATGGACAGCCAGGCTTCTGTAAAGCCGACCATGTCGACAAATCGGTAGAGTCTTGAGATGGCCATAGTTCCATGATGTCCAAGTCAATTTCAAAAACTCGACCTGCCTGGCTCCTTGATTCTCTTAGCTATGTTCGATAGCCCTCCAGTCATGTGCTCACAAATGTCAAATTCCCTATGTCAAATGTCGTAGGCGGTCGACCTGGTCGTTGTCCATGAGGTAGGTTTCACCTCTCTGCAAAAGCCCCAAATACTTTGATGAAGCTAATTTTGTTCGACCTCAGTACTGATTCCCTCTCGACTACATATTGGACTCATATGCCACAATATCTCCCCCGCGATGGTCAAGTGTCTAGTGTCAATTTCTTTCATAATGGTTCGGCTGGATCGCAAGGACGACGGCCAAGCTCGCGATCATCAATGAGCCTGTGATAAAAGCAACGGCAAATATGCTACCCCGACTTGCCGGGAATTTCCCCTTGATGATCCAATGTTGGGATTCAAAGTAACGATGAAATCCAATAAAGAGAATGATGATTGAGATGCCAATGAATGTTGCCCCCAATGGCTTGCCGATGGACCGAAGGTTTGTCGACTTGTCTTCCACCTGCTGCAATGCTCCGAACTCTTCTGCATAGCTGATCTGAACTCCATGCTCGTCGCGCGGACCAAGGAGCAGCAATTGATCGAGAAGTGTTGGACCAAGGGTGGGCATTGATGTGGCCGCAGATACCGTTGCGGAGGCTAGTAGCTCCTGGATGTATGGTAATAGCTCTGGGGGAAGAGATGATCCAACAAGAGGCGAGAAAGGGAGTGTCTCCGCCATGGAGAATCTCTGTGATCGGTTTTGTCCGACGATATTCAGTCGAAACAACTGGGTGATGGCAATGCCAATGCTCGCAAAAGCGAGACTGGTCCTTAGCCATGCTAGAAAGGTTCTTTCCAGAGCCAAATGATCTCTTGCGACTGACCCTTTGTTCTCTAATGATATTGCACCATACTTTTCGACCAATCGTCTCCACCAAGAGGTTTTGGGTTCATCCTTTGCTTGATCTGCTTCGGGACGATTTTGTTCGGTGGAAGAGGCAGCCTGGCTGCGCTCTGTATTATACTGCCTGTTCTCATGCTCGCTCGCTTGTCGTATGGGCGTAATCTCATCTGTGTCGAGAGCGTCCCGGCGAGAGGGAGACATGGAGGAACCTCTTTCTGAACGAGAAGTCGGTCTGGTGTCTTCAGAAAACCGGACACTAGGCGACCGTCGTGAATTCTCCGGATTCGAGGGACTGGGAGATGGTCTCGAGCTCTCGGAGACAAGGTGAGGATGTGTAGAGGAAGATGCGGGCACGTGGCCCTTCGCCAACGACGCAGCCATATCCTTATAAGGGCTCGGTACAAGAAGCAACCTAGACCCGCAGCTAGTATGTCGAAAGCTCGATTAGCACGTATGAGGCGCGCATGGCATCTCTCGACTTCAGAAAGCGTCAAATCACTCCGGGCTGGCATGCATGTTGGGCTGGGGTCGAGGTTAGGCGACTGATGGTCAAGCGTGATTGGCGAGAGGTCGTCCAAAATATGGGTTTGGCAAGTTGAAATGTGGTATAGGAACGCAACAGACTTCGGCGTTTGGACTAGCTGGTAGGTGAGCGTCGATAAAACTGGTTGAGAATGTAAAGAGGGCTCCAGTGGCGTAATTGTGAATTAATCCAAGGAATTGCGTGATAGCGAGCTAGACAACGGATGTACGGAGTATGCGTAGGTACTTAAGGTACCTAGGTAGATATGAACCTGTGAATCATGTTGAGTGTCAAAATCAATAGGCGCCATGGGCTTAAGAACCGCGGGGTACAGGGCTTGACCCTGGCGCCTAAGTGGTCAATCGGGGGCCCAGAGTCATCCACTTTCTAGGGCCGAGGGGCTTTACTCCGTAGACGTGGCGTGTGCGTTGGTCATCATCACGGTCGAAGGGTCCCTGAAAGGATGACTTGTGGCGTCATGAAACCTTGCCTTGTCAAACTGTACAATATGGGATCATTTGTTTCCAGAGATTCCATCATCTTGCCTTTCAATATCTACCTGCTATAGCCATGACGGCCGATACAACCGCGAAAGCATCGGCTCAGAACAGCATCCCAAAATTGATCCCAGGTTCACGACGAAGGCCGTTGAATCCTCCCACCATCAACGAACCCGCTCCAGAAACTCCCGTCCTCCCAGAACCTCCCTCACTCGATCCATCCCAGTTCTCTCCTCCGATCAAACGTATCCTGTCTCCCGCCGATCACCAAAAGTTCCTCTCTTCGCCAACCTATATACTTTTGCAGGCATGGATATTCACTCTTGCGGATTCAGTTCAGGGCCAGACAATTCCCTCTGTTGAGACAAACCCAGTTTCGGAAATTGTAAAGAAACTTGATGCAGTTCTTGACCAAATAGAGGCACTGGTTGCCAAAAATCCTCCTCTCGATACTGGTTCTCGATTTGGAAATCCGGTGTTCCGCTCTCTACACCGAGCAATTGTGCATGATGCTCCGACACTACACAAAGAGACGCTGGGGTTGAACAATGACCTTGCCATCCAAGAAGTTTCGATATACCTGATCAACTCTTTCGGGTCCGAGGAGCGCCTGGACTATGGCTCCGGTCACGAGCTCAATTTCTTGATGTGGTTATTATGTCTCTTCCAACTGGGTGAGATTCACCGAAGCGACTTCAGCGTCCTCGTTTTACATACCTTTGTCCATTACCTTGATCTCATGCGCAAGATCCAGAGTACCTATTATCTTGAGCCGGCCGGAAGTCACGGTGTCTGGGGACTAGATGACTACCAATTCCTGCCATTTCTATTCGGTGCCAGCCAACTGGTCCGCCATCCCTACATCACCCCGAAATCGATTCACAACAACGTCATCTTGGACGAAGAGGGCGGAAAATACCTATACCTGAACCAAGTTCGATGGGTGGACAGTGTCAAGACCGTCAAAGGGCTGCGATGGCATAGTCCTATGCTAGACGATATTTCTGGCGCAAAGAGTTGGCAGAAAGTTGAGGATGGCATGCGGAAAATGTTCGTCAAAGAAGTCCTGGGCAAATTACCCATCATGCAACACTTTCTTTTTGGCAGCCTGATTCCTGGGACCAAAGAGATGGGTCAGCTGGATGCGGAAGCCGTCCGCATCCAGTTCGAGAGGATGAAACACGTGCAAGAACAAGGTCATGAACCTGATTACTGGGGAGACTGCTGTGGCATCAAGGTGCCGAGTACAGTCGCAGCAGGAGAAGAGATGCGGAAACGAATGGGAACCTCGGGTGCTCTGCGTCCTATTCCTTTTGATTGATCGTATCTCATGCGGCCTGGGGGCATTGATAGGACGTGGATACGTGAGGTTGTGTAGGATCCAATTGGAGACGGAGTTCTTGATCACACAAGATCTACCATCCGAGTTCCGGTGGCATTGATGAAGCACTGTTGCCTTGTCATCTTCAAGAATGCTGGGAATGCTCATACAATGCCCAAGTTTTCTGTGGGCAGGTCGTGATCCATGTCAAGGTGGACAAATGAAACCGAAGTCTGGTGATCAATCAGCCTATCGCTAGGGACGAGCTAAGCATGATGGCGAATGAGCTAAGGCCAAAGTAGGCGGGAGCCTGAAGCCACCAGGCAGACACCCACAGAGATCAACATGGCGTGCATGGGTCGCTTTTCCCCACCTCTACCGAGTGACAGTCAGCCTCACGATCATGACTCCTAGCCAGGATTCATTCACTTTGACTTGGACCGTCGTTCAGCCTTGTATCTATGTACTATGGGCTACCGGTGTATGGGCTACCGGTGAGTCCCATATGCCGCTCGGCTGACTAGCCTTAGTAGTAGTTGGAAGACGTCAGTGGTGAGACGAGTGTTTGCCTATTGTCCATCCCTTTACCCCTCCTCGTGACTGGGGTTGACTCGCATGGTGGGATATGTTACCAGTCACCACAGTCTTCAGTTCAGACCTGTCACACTCAACCATTCAATCTCTTGCTTCGATTTCTTCTGTTACATTTTCCTCTTTACTTCTCTTGTCTCGCGACAGTCAAGACTCTCCCTAGACGGCTCACACATCTTAGGCTACCTCTACTGAAGACACTACTCAAAGAATCTTTATTTCATTTCCCTCCCTAACCTCTATAGCAATCTGATATCCAGCTCTTCGAGTCAGACCAACTACAAGATGGGCAAACGATCGAAGAAGGCCGATCCCTCAAAACCTCTCAAAACGCCCATCGCGCCATGGATCTATGTCTTTGACGCTACACCTGGTGCTCCCTACCTGCATACACTGCAGGCTAGACTCCCCTCGGTCGTTTGTTTCGATCTGGGAGGTCATTCTCCTGGGGATTCATCCTTGGTCCCTACCGCGAGAGTGGTCGCTCAAATTCTTCTTGGGAAGCATGATGAGCAGATTGTTCTCGTTCGTGGGAGTGAGGGAACATTGAAAGAACGGGCCCGCACAGCCAATGCCCTCCATACAGCTGCTATCAAACACGACTGTAACTTTGCCAGCGTGAACATTTCGGCTGTGGACGACGAGACCACCAAGCAGGGCAGTCAGGTGCAGTGGGGTACGAATCATCTTGAAGTCAGGGCTGAAGATGTCGAAGCTACAACCGAGAAGATCTTCAAATGGCTATGTATGTTGTCCTGGCTCTGATAGTCGCCGAACCATTCCTGTCCTTCCTTTCACCAACCCCCATCAAAGTGTGCGAAACTAACGTCAGCTGATCCATAGTCACTGCCTTCACTGTGCACGAAACGATCCACTTGATCGATCCTGAAGAGCTCAAGGTCACCGATCCCCGAAGCTTTCCTGGCTCCGAGTACTGCCCAGTTGCCGAGCACAAACTTCGACCGCGAGACGCAAAGGTCCATTTTGTGGCCATTATCCTCTCACGGCCTGTTCTAGGTGCAGATCAGAGGCTGACCTGGACGGTCGCAGATAAGTCTGGTGTGGTGAGTGGACCTTGACGGCGGTTTTCACCGCACTTTTTCTTTGTCCGTCCGTGATGCTAACCAGCCGCGCTCTCCAGGCGAATTTCTACTTCCAATATCGAGGAGAGCACAGTAAATACACATGGGACTGGGTTCAATCACTCAAACCTGGCGAACGCACAATTCTCCCCCGGGCGAAATCGGTTGAAGTGAAAGAAGCCAAGGGCGTGCAGGTCGTCAAAGCCCCTTTCCGTGGGATTGGGCTTGCCTTTACAGGAGTAGGCCTCACTGTACAAGCCATTGGCCATGGACTTGGGAAAGTCGGCCACGCATTCAGAATGGGCCATTCCCGCAAGTGGGTCTCCGAAGGAGACTTGGTCGATGGCAAGGAGGTCAACTGGAAACAAGTCTTTGCAGAAGAGGAGGCTCGCCTGAAAAACTCCGTTACTCGGGTCAAGCCCAACACTAGTTATCGTCCCATCAAAGTCTTCGACGAGAAAGGACGCAAGACCTGGGTGGAAGAGGACGAGACTGCCAGCACACAAGCTGATAGTGCCAGCGTCAAGTGGGAGAAGGAGTTTTGCTGAACGAGCTTGGGTGGCATGACATGTTGAAGACTTTGGCTGGCTCCGTTCTCGCACTGGATCTTGGTACACTTGGCGTTTCTATATACATCTGGTCAAGACAGTCACATGTACCACGAGCTGCGAGCCAGTCGGCTATTATGGGAATCACAGAGGATGGCAACGACGACGAGATTAATGATGACTTTTTCCCATTAGTTCAAGAATGATTATTTGCCGTTAGTCCTTGACGCATATACTACCTAATCTCTAAAGTCTGTGCTTGTATCATTGCAACGAGTGACATGCAAGAACATGGTGACTATATTGAATTTGCCCAGTATCATAGCACTGTTGTGATGCAGTGAATGGAACGCACCCAGTAGTCGGACTGGTTCACCTGGCCTTGATCACAGAGAGAAGATATCACAGACTCAAACATCAGGTGGGGCAACCTCATGCCAATCTCAATAGTTGTACTCTCGTGCCACCACTCCCTCATGCGAACCACAACTAGGCGGCCCTCGGCCACGTCCATGAGGCACATGACGGCCCCCATATTGCGAGGATTTACTCCACATACAAACTCACTATATTTGCCGATCCTTCGATGGAAGGAGACCACGTGAGTCAACCTGACCAACTCTATCCAACTCGTATCAGGAGGTATGTTGGCATCTTACATCTCACCCAAGCAGACCTGGTCACCTCTAGTCAGCATTGTCTCGATCCTATTCCCTCGTGGCCCTTGAAAGGAAGCAAGAGTACGGCCACAGCAGGGCGTGGAGGACCGTGAACCCCACAAATCTATCTGGCTTTGTCTTTCCCTTTCCCCAAAGCCCAGGGTTGGGTGCTCCACCAAGGCGGCTATGCGTACGTACATACAAACATACCTTACATATATACGAGGTATGTGTATGCAGTACGTAAATAGACAAACACTGCGCCCGACGACGGGACTTCCTCCAATCAGTACCTCATCTTGAAGATGCCTTGCATACTGTGCATCTCGTCGGGAGGCTCTACACATGGGTTGGAATGCGTACCTGGAAGATGGTGCGCCGGAGATATGGAGGACAGAAGGCAGAGAGGGGGAATTATATTCTCTCGGTGTACAACACAACTTGGACATAGAGCCTCATGACCCTCGTAATCTCTCCAAAGCAGCAGTGAGACAAGACGACCTACATCCTTAGGGAGTACTGTATGAATCTACGGTAGTAACAAAGACCACACTCCTGTCCGAGGTCCAGGTGTCGATCTGTGACCAGTTCCTGTTTCCCACTGTCCAACGTCGTCCAGTGCCCAGAAGTTCAACACCAATCGATTTCGGTCCAGACTACGGGCCAATGCAGTGCAGTGAAAGTGGTAGTACAACCTGTAGGAGTCTGAAGTGTATCTCAATGACACTATACGCTTACACAGCAATAATCAGGTAGAAGTAGTACAGGACTACAGTAGTACATGAGTACACGAGACCTTCTTGGTAGTCACTCAGCTGTCGGCACTCCACGGCTCGTCGTCCTCACTCCAAACCCTCTCAAAAGTCACCTTCTCCATCCTGTTGTTGTACCCAACCTCGGCGTTCTACAGTGAAAGTACAGTTCGGTTCCACAATCATAGCCTGATTATTGAGCAGTCCAATGGATTCATTCGCCCCGTTTGCTCATTCCTGAATCGCCACATCATCTCGAGGCCCCTCTCGGGCCGCGAAGGGGAGGAGGGGAGAGGGACCGATGCCGCCAGCAAAGCGCCACGACCCATCATCCCACGCCACGCCACGGACGCCTAGAAACAACGAAGCGCAAAAGAGCATCACTTTCTGGACCAACTTCGGGCGTCTCTTCTGCCGAGGCTGAAAACAACCTTGGGAATTCATGTCCATTCTTCGTTCGTATCCTTCGCGAAAGACCTTGCATGGTGTTTGGGAGAGAGGGGATGGGAGAACAGCCAGTAAGGTTGTGGATGGGAAAGACAAGAAAAGGTGCCCGGCATGTGTGAGAAATGCTGGATTCTGTATGGATGCACACTTGCCGGTGATATCTGTGTACATACCTACATACCTACCTATACGCTGTCACAAGGGCGCTTATGGGTATTTTGGTCCGCTTGCTGTCACAGTTGTAGGTTTGGTTTTCGTGGCACGGTTCTGTTTTAGTTTGTTCCTATGTTTGCAACAGGCTTTTGAGATGCGGGCTTCAGCCTTAAGCTTTGTTTTCATGTCTGATGAATGCTGGCCTAGATCTTTGGTCTCGGCACGTAGGATGGATTGATCGACAGACCCTGAGCCATTTTTGGTCGCTCTGGTCGGGTAGGTGTCGTGTGGAATCACAAGTCCTGTGATGAGGTGCCCGCTGGCTGTGCCCGCTGGCTGTCTGTCTCTAGATACATTGGGTGGGGATTTTGGGTGATAGGTACCCGACCGTTGGAGGACCTATGAATGTACAATGGATATTCTGGGCTCAGAACTGGTTGTACGCCGGGTATCAATCGTGTCTTGGATTGATCTCACTGTCGGTAGCATCCTGCCTCCCACGATGTCTAGATTTGTATATCAGACCGTTGTCGCGGTCGAGGAAAATCAACTGAATAAAAATAGATGAAATTGGCGGTGCTGGGTACCACTACATGTCCATCATCAAGTGTTACAATACAGCTAAGAGATCGATCATAGCCTTCCCATAACACCACTTCGCCCTAAGTGACAATTGTCCAAGTAGGAGCTATTCCAGACAACCTTGATCAAAACATCCCTTTCAATCACAATGACCTCCTCCCGTAGCCTTGTCCTCTCATCAATCCACATGCCCATCCACCTGAAACCTTCGGGTTCCCCTGCACCCCATCCGTCAGGGCCTCCCTTCCACATCCCTTCCCTGAACCATCCATGTGGTCTTGACTGGAACAAGCATGGAGATGGCTTCCATTGTCCTTCATCCTCGTGTTGCCTCTAGATTTCTCCTTCCATGTCGTGCTTGATTTGGATGGATAACGGGTTCGCTCGCATTCAAAAATCAATACCTTCTCTGCACGTAAGAGTATGAAGGGGTACGAGTAACAATGTCGACTCCTCCAACGCCGAAGCCACTGTGATAGACTCCATAAGAAGCGGCCGAAGGGGTTTTCAACTTGAGAGTCCTCTGCTGTGGTGAGTACATGTATGGTTCTGTTGAGGTACTTTCGTATCCATTAGAGGCGCGAGAGCCGTAGGATCCATAGCCCGAATCACGATACTCGTAGGCTGCATAGGGATTGGTGGGAGGCTTGATGTGTCTTCGAGATGATGACCTGGTGCTGTGGGCTGACTCGAAGCTCTCCTGACTATCGTGTCTGGCGTGCTCTCGTGGGTGACGGCGACTCCTACGGTCGTGTTCATCGTTCAAGTGACGAATTTCGATCTGTAGGTTCCTCTCCGTAGTATCCATCTGTCGTCTTCGAGCATGATCACTTTCGTAATCATGGTAATGCAGATCCTCTTGGTGTTCGAAAACCGGTCGATCCCTTGGCGAAGGTGAATCAACAACCGTAGAACTGGCGCCAGAGCATGACGAAGATGAGGACAATGTTTCTCGTATGCTTTGTAGATCTGTGTTTCTCTCCGCATGCTCTTGCAGCCATGCTCGATCGGCCTTCAATCGTGTTGGGCTACCCCAGTCCTTCTCTTTATTACCTTGAGGTGCCGCCCACGGACTGATGCCGGCTCCGACATCCAAAGAACGATGCTCACTATTGCCTGCAATTTCTACCAGAGGCTCTCGCTGCTCCGATCGGTCTGGTCTGCGACCAAGCTCCTTTGCATATCTGCCTCGACCTTCTCTCCCACGAGTGACGACTTCGCCACCGCGTTTGCAATCACGACAATCGCCAGATTTAGGGTAGTGGTATCTCTCAAGGCTGGTGCAGCGCGAATCACCGCACTCATTGGTGGTTTTGTACTCGTGGCCGCAGCCATATGAGGTTTTTGTTCGTACGCACATGGCTCCGGAGCAGTAGAACGTTGGTCGACAAGTACAGCGCTGGGCTTGACCGACAGTCAAGACAGCGAAGGATTTGTGTGTACTGTGTGACTTGGCGATTAGGGTATATCAACTGTGGTATTGTGGCTGGTTGTCTCGAGGCGTGGTGTTTAGATCTGCTTCAGTGGCAGTGGCAGTACCAGACATCGAGGTCCAGCGTCAACCAGGCGGTGAAGAATGGTTGAAGAGGGGTGAACTTTGCAATCAGACACAGTACTTGCAAAGTGCTGTTCGGTATACAGTGATGGGGATCACGCAAGGCTGGAACAGGTCTCAGAATGGTCGAAGGTCGGTGACGTCGAGGTACATTCAGAGACCTGGTCAGGATCGTCACAGAGCAGGAAAGAATTTCATTAGTAACTGGCGGTGTCTCAAGATGGTGACGGACTTTTGCATATGAGCGGTGGATTAAGACGATGATTTTGAGCAGAAGCACGTTGTGTGTTGTGTGTTGTGCGTGGAAACTAAGTAACAAGTGATTGTGGAGTGACGGTGTTGAGTTACGAGTGAGTGTCTATGATATGTGGACGGTTGGAGGTGTGCTCACGAGGGATAGGATAAGGATGAGGCAAAGACAGCGGCGTGAGTGAGCGGGAAGACTGGAAGTGAGTGGTGGTGATACGTGGGAAGAAACATTCCCAACTTGATCAGAGCGAACGCTGCATCATGCACGTTTGGATGCCCCGTAAAGCCGTCGCCTCAGATTCGACTCGGCAAACCAGATTGATGCGAGGACCAGGGCCGATGCTGTGCTGGATTCGTAAGAAGCTGTGGTTCGATGCCATCGTCGAAGCTCTGAGCGCTGGGCAAAGACACCAAAGACACCAACGATGCAGATGCAGCTGACGGCGTGGATGAGCAACCATCATCCGCCCATTTGGCTTGGTTAGGCATGGTTTAGCGAGCCAATGCAGGCACCTGTAGCCACCTGCTGCAGTGCAAGGGCGGATCTCCAGGCCCGACAAGCAGGGGTTTCAGCCACTGTGACAGCAGGTCGCTTAGGGGCCAGGTTTAAGTGGCCGAAGTTGCAGCATTCGGGCTGTCACAGCTGCTTCTGGGGCGTTTCACACTCATGAGGCGGCGCCCAGTGCTTAGCCTAGCTCGCCGCGAAGATGGGCCGGGCGTTGGTGGGATTGGAGACTTGCTCCAGTTTGCGGCCGCGCTCTTCTGCTGAAGCCATCTGCTCTGCCCTTGACGAGACGTTGCGGCCCACAAAGGTAGCACTGGTGGTTACGGCGATTGGATCCTGTTGCTGATCTTGGGGCGGCGTATGAGAGACTGCACACACAGAGAAGCCCAGTAGCACCTGATTATGAGTACGCCAGAAGCCTGATTGGGTCTTCAGCGGGATTTCCACGTTGCACCAGCCCATTGGAATAGATTATGGAAGTCTGCGGGATATTTTGGCAGACATGCTTTTGAAGACAAAAACAATGAGTGTATGTGGCATTGGATACAAGCCAAATCGGGCGCCATACATAGTGCTTATGATCAGGAGCATGAGCAAAAAAGAAGGAGAGAAATGGCAAAAGGGCAAAAATGTGATCAGACTGGGGTTTGAACCCAGGACCTTCTGCGTGTTAAGCAGACGTGATGACCAACTACACCATCCGACCTTGAGAACCAGGATTTGTCCTTGTCAGGACTTGCTGCTTCTTGGTGAGAAATCTGAGAGCTTAATCTATGTAGACATGGGACTCAATGACCTAATATTAGTGGAGATTAGAGCCGCCAATCATATCTCAAAGGCATCACGACTTCTTTGCGGTTTTTTATCGTTGATAAGATTATTATCATCACTGACTACTCGTACGCTAGATTACATCTATTCGTCTTGGTCTTGGTCATTGTAAAATCTAATAACTCTATGTATAATGATAACCTCTACATATTTACCTTCGCTCCCGGAGTATGTACCTCGAGCCCAACACAAGGAGCCAAAACCACTGGTAAGCTAGCCTGTCAGGCCCATCAAGAGGCGCACTGGACAAGAGGCGCGATCAAAGGCCTGTTCAAAAGCCATCATCAATTCCGGCAGCTTTCTCCAGACCTAGACGCTCGTTATTTGTATCGTGCCACCATCTATGCGACTCGTCTTGGATGTCTTCATATTTCTCGTCCCACGGTTTGGGGCTTAAGATGTAGTGAACGTTCTTGACACGATCGTCCCGCCAGATGCTGTCGTGTACACCTTTCCACCTCAAGGTCTTGAGACCGTTGTAAATGTATGACAGTCCGACCCAACGACCGTGAAACCGCTCCCCCAACAAACTCTGATCTGCAAACTCATAGCCTGCCGTCAATCCTCCGTCTTTTAGGGTACTCAAAATCTTGTCGTAAGTCCCGTCGGAAGGATTGCACACCACCAGACCACCATTGGGGAGCCCGATTCCGGTAGTTGATGAGGGACCATATATTTGCGCATTGTCTGGATCGGCATGTTGACTGGTCAAGGCGCAGTTTTCGGGTGTCCAGTCTTTGGGATAATGAGCTTTCTTCAGAGGATTGCAGGCGCAGGCAGGGCTTGCAGCATAAACTCTGTTGCCTTCACCATTCAAGCTAGGTTGATCCAACTCGAGCTCCATGAGTTCGTCCATGTTCTTCAACACCAGCATATCGCTGTCCAACTGCACCACGCGGTCATACTCGGTGAGACTGAACGGAGTAAGCTTGCTCCAGCAGTCATAGAAGCGAGGATCGTTGGCGTATTCCTTTGGAACAGAGGGGAGAAGGTATGGGATCTCTTTCGCAAGGATGCCGCGGCTCTTGAGGGCTTGTAGGCCCTCCTCAGGAAAAGTGTCGGTGTAGAGTGCGATCAGAGGGTACTGCGAGTTCGCTTTCCGGAGGGAATGCTCGAGGGTGAGGAGACCAGAAAGATATTTGGTGTTAGTGATTAGAGTCGTCCACACCTTCTTCGGAGGCGCTCCATTCTCATGGCTACCGTCTGCCATCTTGGTTTCAACAGTGGTTGCGATCAGGACACTCGCTATCGATTTCCCTGTCGCAATCTCTCTCGCCCTGTCGATTTTTATTGAAACCAAGGATGTCGGAATAACCCAATCAAGGAAGGTCTTTTAACAGCAGCATTCGTAAGGTCAGAAAGTGCAAGGTGCTCAAGTTTTTGATAAAAGGACATGTCACAGTCATCGTGAGCACTGGGGAGGTGTTGTCAGAGCCAAAAGCATTTTTGCAGTTCTCTGGAGGAAGATGCCCCTCATTGGTAGCCAGTCATCCTTTCAGGGCGCCGTGTGTAACTCCTCCGGCGCCGACTCATGCGCGTCATTATTAATTTTGGGCTTTTCTGATAGGTGGGGAGCCCAGATCAAGCCCGATCCGGGCGGCCAACACGTCGTTGGGGGCGCCGAGGGGCCCCGAAATGTCCCCCTCGCGTCGCCCCGGCTGTCAGGTTCGCCTCCACCCCAAAAGTTTGCTGTAGGTGAAATCTATCTTAGATAATACTGCCTTTCCAAATCTTGACTGCGATTCGATCCTGATAGATTTCGCGGACACGCTATTCGGTGAGACTCTCAGTCACAACTGATAGAATTGTCGTCCTGATGACTCTGCATCGGCGCTCGCTTTCTCGACGGTAACAGGCAGAGTCAGGTAGCGTGGCCAGAGATCATGTCGGCCACGAACCTGTGAGTCTCCGACAGTCTGATGAAGAACACCACTCTAACTGTATATAGTCCCGGGACCAGCCTTAATGTTGTCGCCGCCTCGTCGCCGTCTTCTGAAACCGCACGTCTGCTGAAAGAAGATGATGCACCGAAAAAGTCGGCGGTGAAAAACTATAAAGGCTTCGTTGCTGGAGTCTTCTCGGGCATTGCCAAACTATCTGTCGGGCATCCTTTCGACACTATCAAGGTCCGGTTACAGACATCTGAAATATCACAGTTCAAGGGCCCGTGGGACTGTCTATTGCAGACACTGAGAAAAGAAGGCCCGGCCGGGCTCTACAAGGGCGCAACCCCACCGCTTTTAGGATGGATGGCAATGGATTCGGTCATGCTGGGTAGCTTAACTCTGTACCGACGTTTGCTCCATGAAAATGTCTTTTCCAACCCAACATTCAGGCCAGGAAAGACAGCAGCAGAACTGTCGCATGAGCCGCTTCCTTCTGTGGGACATGGCATGGCAGGCATTCTTGCTGGGTCGACAGTCTCCTTCATCGCAGCGCCCGTGGAACATGTCAAAGCAAGACTACAGATTCAATACGCAGCCAACAAAGCCGACCGGCTGTACCGAGGACCAATCGACTGCACCAGAAAAATCCTCACACACCATGGAATTCGTGGTTTGTACCATGGTTTGTTCGCTACCTTGATCTTCCGCTCCTTTTTCTTTTTCTGGTGGGGAAGTTATGATGTTTTTTCCCAACTCTTCCGGCGCCATACCTCTCTGTCCACACCCTCGATCAACTTTTGGGCCGGTGGTCTCTCAGCACAGATCTTCTGGCTCACCTCATACCCTTCGGACGTGGTCAAGCAGAGAATCATGACGGATCCTCTTGGTGGTGGTCTCAACGATGGAACTCGGCGATTTCGACATTGGAAAGATGCAGCAGTGACTGTGTACAGAGAAGCAGGATGGAGAGGATATTGGAGAGGATTTTTACCGTGCTTTCTCCGGGCTTTTCCTGCTAATGCAATGGCGTTGGTGGCCTTTGAAGGGGTGATGCGCTCTCTTCCTGAGTGATTTGCCAATATAGGCCATCCAAGCGTGGTTGGCTTGTTACTTTAGTTTTTATAGAATCAAGAGGCGATTTGGGGAGATAGTCGGGACCAGATCTCAACTCCAGCAATGGGCAAAACAGTCACCTGAAAAAGTACCGATGTATGTGTTTGTTGATGTGAATGTCGACTCTAGTAGAGTGTCACGACCTCTTCCAAGGCTCTTATAGACGCCAAGAGATGCCAAGACATAACCATAAATCTTCAGCCTCGAGACTTCTCAGTCCATGTCTTGACCAAGACAACAATGTTCGCCATCAGTGGATGATCATGGCTAGACAAATCTTTAGTGAGCCTCCGCAGGCTTTCCTGCACACATTGTCAACTGCGGATGGGTCGGCTACGTATACGGCGCCCGGCAACGCGCACAAAATCATCGCTGGTGTCAACTATCCAGTGGATGTGCCTTACAGAAACGACGAAATTCCCGAATCGACTGTGATTGAAATCAACATCCGTCCGCACAATGGAGTGACCATGGTCAAAGAGCGCCATGTGGAGGAGCTTGTCAAGCGTACACTCGAGTCCTTGGTTCTAGGACAGGAATCTCCACGGACTATGTTGCAAGTCACCCTGCAAGTGGTGGGTGTTGAGAGTGACGAAAGCCTGCCAGGAGGCGTCAAGGAAGGTGGTCAAGGAGAATCTTATCTCGCTATTTTGGCATCTGCTATCAACGCTAGTATTCTGGGTTGCATTGATGCTGGTGTTCAGTTACGATCAATCGCAGGAGCTGCACTGGTTGGCGTGGGTGCAGACGGCCAGCTCTTTCCTCATCCAAACGTTGGACAGAGAAAGATGTGTACCAGCCTCCATGTTTTTGCCGTCACTAGCGACGGCAAAACCATCCTCATGGAAAGCGAAGGTCGATTCCACATGTCGGAATGGACGAGTGCATCAGAAGCTGCTAGCAGGGCGGTTCTGGGACAAACCAGCGTGGATAAATCAACAAATGTCAACAATGCCAACGGGGACGTTTCCATGTTTGGAAGTGATACAAACCCTGGAGACTCGGCTATCTCTGTGACAGAGATTATGCGGAAATCTCTAGAAGAGAGAGTGATTAAGGATGAAAGATGGCGACAGGACTGAAAACATTCTAGTTTCACATGACCATGGGACATGCTGAGACACATCCACATCACCAAAGTGGGCGGCTGATAAGCATCAAACAACGGCGGGTTCCTGGTGGTGCCGGGGGCAGCGGGAGTTCGCACAGGGGCGAATATTGGAGGTTCACTCGGTGTTGTTATCAGGGCTCCAACGGAGCTGGAACATGTACCATCAACAATAATAGGGTGCTAAGGGTGTCACGGGTGCCTATGGTCGATCCCGGCGAAGGGCCGAAGGGCTGGAAGCTTAGCCAGCTTTAGCCTGAGATTGGCCCCCTCGGCCCATTGGACCCCCCGAATGCCCCCACGAGTCCCCAACGCACGTGTACAGTCTCAACCTCACAACAGGATATGTTGAACGAGCGACATGAGCGGTCATGGGCAGCCTGGGCAGCGCATGTTGCAACGAGTCAAGTGGGACGAGGGGGACTTTTAGTTGTTGGGTCTGAACTTCTCCTGTTCCTGAACTCCAGACTTGGTCCTCATCCACTCTCGAGAAAGGAGTACGGATCCTATGGACCCATGGTAGGTATCTTGCAAGTGTACGCGAAGGCATCAACAGAATAAATACCCTAGGCCGCCGTGGACATGTTGAATATGGAAGATCTTCTAGGACGGAGGATTCTCAGATAAGTCATAAGTCTTTCAAGAAACAAGGAGCAGCTGGCTGCTCTTGAACGGGATTCCCTACGTCGTCTTTTTGCTATTGTACTTGCTTGCATCTGTTGCATTTTGTTTTTATCACTCTTGTCTTTTCTCTCAATTGCCAGCGATACTTGTTGATTTTACACACCGTCTGATGACCCAGGGCTTGATCAAAAGCCAAAGCTAATTCATTCAACGCCTGTCAAAGCCCCTCGGCCTCCCAGGGAAGCCTGCAGGCTCTCACGGGTCCTGGAAACTCAACTCAACTCGGCACACTTTTGAGCGACTGAGCTTCCAGCATTTGATCCGCTGCCGCTGCCACCATTGGACTGGGCACACTTGGATAGCGCTATTCTCGTTCTTTGTCCGGGCATCTTTTGTCATCACGGCAATTCTCCCTCGGCATCGTCCAATCCACCAGAGCCGCCAGCGCCCTCCGATACCCGCCCCTGACAGCCGCAGAGTTACCCTGTCACGCGTACGCACACCGCATAACGTAGGCTCTCTTTTCCGACGCCATGTCCACCCTCATCACCCACTCCGCGGCATCCTCTGTCTCTCCAACCTCCGAGGCGACTCCGGATTCTATGATATTCTTATCCCCGACTCCTGTTATTGATAATCTCGGGTCCCCGCTCCCACATGGCATGGCACCTCTGAGTCCAAAGCCTGCGGAGGGAGACACCATTCTGCACCAGAACGCTCACGAAGATGGCCACACGAACGGGGCACAAGAACACATTCAAACATCACCCAATGTAAACGGCACCACTCTCATCACTCCTCCCGAAACGACTTCCAATCTTGCGAACACGTCTCCCACCATTCAACTCAAGTCCTACACTGCCCACCACCCTTTTGTTCCTGTTCCGAAACCGCTGTCCTTGCCCAAACCATATACGAGCCATCACAAAGGCGCAAAATCTATAGACATTCCTAGACAGACCATCATGAAAGCACTAGCATCCCGGAGTCCAAGTAATGGTGCGACCACCGCACCACTTGGAGGACCAAATTCGCTCAAGGGGCTCATGATGGATGCTGGACTGGAACCAGCCAACGGAACGTCTCCATCGTTATGCCAGACGGCCACCTTCAGTCGCTCCAACGGTGTCCCAGTCCTGTCGCCTTCCTCGACCAGTTTTTTGAGATCGCCCTGTTTCTTCCATCAACGGTTTGAAGGGTTGGTAGACATACAAAAAGTTCTAGATGAGATCTCAGAAGACGACTTTTCACACTCCCGTCTCATGCAGACTGCAACTGGGGTGCGGGAGGTTTCCAAGCAGTTACAGCGTCGACCGCTGAAGCGTGCGGTGCGCAACATCATGATTGTGACAAAAGCGCGAGACAATGGGTTAGTGCACAAGACACGAGATTTGGCTGAGTGGCTACTATCTACCCCCCGCTACGGCAACGATCTCGGCGTCAATGTCTATGTCGACGCCAAGTTGAGACATTCTAAGAGGTTCGATTCTGCAGGCCTGTTGAAGAAGCAGCCTGCGTTCCAGTCAATGCTCAAGTACTGGACCCCAGACCTGTGTTGGTCATCGCCAGAAAAGTTTGATCTTGTCCTTACTTTGGGCGGTGATGGCACCGTCCTCTTCACCTCATGGCTGTTTCAACGAGTCGTGCCACCGGTTCTGTCTTTCTCTCTGGGCAGCCTGGGCTTTCTCACCAACTTTGAATTCACCAAGTATAAAGAGCATCTGGACAGCATCATGGGCGATGCGGGAATGCGGGTTAACCTCCGGATGCGATTCACATGTACTGTCTGGAGGGCCGATACCTCATCCGGCGCATCCAAAGGTGCCGTGGAAGAAGGCGAGCAGTTTGAAGTCCTAAACGAGTTGGTTATTGACCGAGGCCCGTCCGCCTACGTTTCAAACTTGGAACTGTACGGCGATGGCGAGCTTCTCACCATTGTCCAGGCCGATGGCTGCATCTTTTCCACCCCAACTGGCTCCACGGCCTACTCACTTTCTGCTGGCGGCTCGTTGATCCATCCGTCGATTCCTGCCATCCTTTTGACTCCCATCTGCCCGCATACGTTGTCATTCCGACCCATGGTTTTGTCTGACACCCTAGCGTTGCGAATTGCCGTTCCAGCCAAGTCTCGCTCCTCGGCTTACTGCTCCTTTGACGGCAAGGGCCGAATCGAGCTGAAGCAAGGAGATTATGTCACTCTGGAGGCCTCGCAGTACCCGCTTCCCACCGTCATGACCGGAACCAATGAGTGGGTAGAAAGTGTACAGAGAGCCCTGAGATGGAATGTGCGAGGAGCCGTCCAGAAAGGTTGGGACGAAGGCGAGGAAGAGGATGAGCAGAGTGACGGAAAATGGGACATTGACATTGACTCAAGTCCCCTCGGTGGTACAGACAGCGGGATCGGGCCCAGTGAAGATGGCGATCCCGGAACCGCCAGTCCCACGAGACGCCAGATGAGTCTCTTGAATATGTAAGGACTACATTCACAATATGTGTCCGCCAGCCTAGCCATTGATGCTGCGATCAGACAGACGCGTGCACTGGCTTTGTTTATGATCTCACGATATCCCAGGTTGGGTCCAATAGATGTGTTTGCTCTTTTTGTGACTTGTTATCTCTGCCTTTTGATCCATCTTCAGCCTCGTTGAAGAGGTTACTTCCTGCTCAAGACAATCACTATACAGTATGCAGAGGGAAGTTTGTCAAACACCACAAGTCTGAAATGATATACTTTGGTGGTCCTCCTGATGATCATGATATGCTAATGATAATATATGAGGCACTCTCTAGCACGACAATAAGACCCGCCATGATACCGAGATCCTGTTACTAACAAGAACCAGGAACTGGGGTCAGTGTCCGGGGAGCCCTCCTCACATCAACCTAGATTTACTAGGAAATCGACGTCCTTTTACTGACTATCATGAGGTGCTGGAGGAGATATCTAGGCGCCTTCCTCTGACGAGAATAAGAGACTAGTCATATCCGGGGCGCCCTCTGTGAGTGAAACTGAGACTAACGATGATAATGATATCCTATTACTGATGAGAATGAGGTGCTGAACGTCATATCTGGGGTGCCTTCTAACCAAGTGAGTGTTCATACCTAGAGGAGCTCCTCTACCTATGAAATTAAGAACCTCTTCCTACCTGGGGCGCTCTCTGGTATCAGAAACAAGAGACTGTCCATACCAGTGGGCGCTGTCTATAGCTGGACCTGTGAACTTCTTCATCCCCAGGCGCTCTCTACTAAGAGGAACGGCAACCTTATAATACCCTGGGCGCTCTTCAAAGATGGAGATAACAATCCCTTCGTATCCGGGGCACTTCTACGGATGGAGACATGAACTTCTTCATACCAAGGCCGCCCTCTACTGGCGGGAAAAAGAACCTCTCCATATTCGGGCGCTCTCAGCTGAGAGGAACAAGAACTTCCTATACCCAGGGCCGCTTTCCACGGATGGAATACAACTTCTTCATATCCAGGCGCTCCCCCTTAATGGAAACAAGAACCTCTTGTTACCCAGGGGCGTTTTCCAAAGATGAAAACATGAACCTCTGAATACCCCAGCGCTCTCAACAGATAGAAGCAATGGTCCCGCGACGATACACACGGGGCTTAAACTTCTGAGCATGTGAAATTGTTCTCACCAGCCTCTCTACAGCTGGAAGTTATGGTCCCGCGATAGCATGAGGATGATCTTTCTTCCAGACCCTCTACTTCCTTTCTGCCACACCCGCGCACAGCGACGCACATACAAATGAATTTTTATATAATCTTCTACAGAGGCCAACTCTCCTTCCTTCTCTTTTGTCTTCCACCTAAATTCTGTACCTATAAGCACCATGTCGCCCCGCGAGACTGACGCGGGACCAACCACTATGCCTATCTTCAACCGTCAGGTAAGTTATCCCCCGCGATGATCTATCATCACTTATATAATGATCTTGCCCCGCGAGATTGAAATGACGGATGAGTAATAACTTGTTCACAGATTGAGGATTCTCCTACTCCATTGCCAAGGAACCGCACGACTGTCAATAGCGATGACATTGGCTCAACGCTTCGCACTTCAAGAAGCTCTAAACTCTCTGATAGCCCCGACGGTGGTGTCAGTCTTGCTCTTTGCCCACCTAGATTTCTCGCACGGACAACTACATCTGCCAGTCCCTACGACGCTGATTCAGACACGGATTCCAAGGCGTCCATGTCCCCTGGTGCTGCTGTCATTGTGAACCGTGGGAACGCAGCTGCATCGGCTACCTCTTCAGAGCATGAATCTTCAAACACTAAGCCACGTCTTCGCCTTGTTTTGAGACAAGAACCTCTCAGATCCGTCAATGCCAGCATGCAAGATCTTGCATTACAAGACCAGGAAGCTATCGATGCATTGGATGCTACCAGACATGCAAACCAAGACAAGCATGCTCGTGTGGATGACTACAACGGCTCTGAGGACGATTTGCCGCGGGGTAATCATGTCGTCAGCCACGATAGCCGCGAGAAAGTCATGCCAGGACAAGTCATGCAGGAAGAAACTATGCCAGGTGAAGCCATGTCAGAGGATCCAGCACACCTTGAGGCACAGATGTGGGCGTCCATTGAGGGGCGTGATGACGATGACGACGCTCATAGTGAGCTGCATGATGATTTTCGTACTCATATTCACGGCCGTCAACCAGCAACTAGAGTCGGACAAGTGGTACAAGAGATTGCTACAGATGAAGCACGAACCATTCACCACTGCTTGGACATCCTCTCCCTTGCAGTCGACAACCTAGATTCCATCGACAATCCCTTCTCACGCGGCCGCAACGATGCTATTGTGGCTAGGACCATGATTATACACCTTCGCGAAGAGGTGGATCGAATCACACGAAACAATGCAACCACTATGCAACTTCTGCAATATCAAGACATCTTGTCAGAAGGCTTCTTGCACCGATTGAGGTGGGAACAACGTGCTCGCAACAGACATTTCGACACCTACGGATTGAATCCTAACTTCTGACTCTGACGAGGCACAAGGCAGAAGCCGTGGTAATTGGTCTACATCTCAGATTGGACACTTTTGCTCACTTGGCTTCTTCTCTCTTCTTGGTCCACCTGGAATCAAGTCATTTGCAGAGGCGATGGTGAACATTGGTTGGACGAAGCAAAAGGTTCTGCTACGAGATGTTGTCGACCAGGCTAAGACGAAATCATGAGCAATGCCTTGGAACTTGAAATATGCACGAGACATGATGACACACAATGAATGACATGGATGACACAGAGAAATGAAGAAACGAACACAATGATGGTTAGAGGATAGCCAAGCACAAGTGTGAGCGAGATGTGCTTTAGCAGAGAATTCACAGGCAGACAATGTCCTTTATGGCGAGCATGCACAGAGCAGAGAACAGTCATCAAGCTTATGACCAAAGATGCCATCAAGGCATAGGAAGCTGATCACCAAAGACGCCATGAAGGCATAGTGATCATAGACATTGCTCAAAAAATGCAATTCCAGGTGTTGTAATCGGGGATGCAGAAAATCATTCAAATGACGGATATTAAAAGTCAGCCCCCGCGAGCCCCGCTGTGCCCCGCCGCCGTTTTAGCGACATGTAATACTAAACTGTGTCTTTACAAAGGTTCTGATCAATGCCAAGACCTTCTCCGCGTGCCTGCCTGCATAAGGTAGTGTCTCCATGACTGCCGTCTAAACTTTTCTCAATCAAGACGTGCCTCCACTTTGTGAACATCCTCATACATTCTTCTCAACCTTGAACGCTCTTCTCTGCGTCCTCTAGCAGATTCACTTACTAGTACATCTACCCTCTCACAGATTCATCGCTCATCCTCACACCATGGCCGAAGGCATCGACAGAGATGCGGAAGGTACGGACCCCGCAAATTCTAATGATTCTCACTAACACGAGTCGCAGGCCGCATGGAGTTCACTACCTCTAAAGAAGTCACAGTGGCGCCAACGTTTGAGGACATGCATCTCAAAGAAAACCTCCTTCGCGGTATCTATGCCTACGGATACGAGTCCCCTTCGGCAGTTCAGTCTCGCGCCATCGTTCAAATTTGTAGAGGAAGTGACACCATTGCCCAAGCGCAGTCAGGTACCGGCAAGACTGCAACATTTTCCATCAGTATTCTCCAGGTCATTGAGACATCAGTGAGGGAGACACAAGGTATTCTTTGCCCTTCTGGCCTTTTGACCCCGTCTAATTTGTTCCGCAGCACTCGTCCTCTCTCCTACCCGCGAACTTGCCACCCAAATCCAAAGCGTCATCATGGCCCTGGGTGACTACATGAACGTTCAATGTCATGCCTGTATCGGTGGTACAAACGTCGGCGAGGATATCCGCAAACTCGATTATGGTCAGCATGTCGTGTCAGGTACTCCCGGTCGAGTGGCCGACATGATTCGCCGTCGAAACCTGCGCACACGTCATATCAAGATGCTTGTCCTCGACGAGGCCGATGAGCTCCTGAATCGCGGTTTTCGAGAACAGATCTACGATGTTTACCGATACCTTCCACCCGCGACGCAAGTGGTGGTCGTATCTGCGACTCTGCCATACGACGTTCTGGACATGACGACTAAATTCATGACCGACCCTGTCCGCATTCTCGTCAAGCGAGACGAACTGACCCTCGAAGGGCTCAAACAATATTTCATCGCTGTGGAGAAGGAAGACTGGAAATTTGACACTCTCTGTGATCTTTACGACACTCTGACGATCACACAGGCGGTCATCTTCTGTAACACTCGGCGCAAGGTGGATTGGCTGACGGATAAGATGCGTGAAGCCAATTTCACTGTCAGCAGCATGCACGGAGAAATGCCTCAGAAAGAGCGAGACAGCATTATGTCGGACTTCCGACAGGGTAACAGCAGAGTGTTGATCAGCACCGACGTTTGGGCTCGAGGCATTGATGTTCAACAAGTCAGTCTGGTCATCAACTATGATCTTCCCTCGAATCGAGAGAACTACATCCACCGAATCGGTCGCAGCGGGCGATTCGGCCGCAAAGGTGTCGCTATCAATTTCGTCACAAGTGAGGATGTCAGGATTCTCCGCGACATCGAACTCTATTACTCTACTCAGATCGATGAAATGCCCATGAACGTCGCGGACCTTCTGACCTAGACGCATTTGGTGGCAATGACCCCAGTGGTTCATTTCTATTCTAAATGGCACATGTCGGATTGTGCGCAGCAGACCACCACTTACACCCAATCTGCGAAGCCTGGGCCAGACTCCAATCTCGACTGGGTTTTGAATTCCTCACTTCAATTTGCAAATTGTTAGGACACTAGAGAAACGCAGCTTCGGGCGGCGTCAAAGCAATTTGCCATAGTGCAAAGTCGACGCCGATGCAGAGAGAGACTGAACACCCCTTCGCTGCTCACAGGAAATGCCCAATGTAGGCACAGGTGCAGCAGCTTAAACGTCTGCAATGTTGGAAGTTGGACGAGCAACACGACAACTGCATGGTCTCACAGAAAAAGCATTTTAGGGCTTTGGAGATTGTTTCATGGATGGAAATGGGCTGAAATAGTCAAGGTCAGTTGAGATGAAGCTGAGAAATGCAGTGAGAAAAGTGCTGACACACTGCATGGTTCAGAATGCAATTATCATAATCATTATGATTCCCAAACTAGGTCAAGTTGCTCTTATGCTTTGATCCCATCCCTCACGCGGTGACGTCGAATTTAGCAAAGTAATCCCTCTTGGCGGCCTCGAACTCGTTGATTATGGTTTCTCTCCTTTTTTCACTCCTGACCTGGATGTCGAGTGCATATGGTTTTGCGCAGACTAAAAAGCCCTCGCTGTAGCCAGTGGTGGGGTCAACATCTGGGACAACGTCTTGATCCTGGTCGTCTTTGCCGGGCTTGAAGTCAAAGGCCCAAAGCAGTTTTGAGATGGCCAGGAACAGATTGCGCTCCGCCAGATGAATGCCGGGACACAGCCGACGTCCCGCACCATAACCATAATGATCTCGGTCGTCAGGGTTGACACTCTGAGCCAGCTCCGAGGCCAATGCGGTGACGCCTTTGTAGTGATCTGGGTCGAAAGTATCGGGGTCGGGGAAGCGGACGGGGTCATGATGGATGCCCCACGCGTTGAGGAAGACGACACTCCCTTTTGGGATCTTGTGGCCGTCGATCCAGTCATCTGAAACAAGGGGTTGTTAGTGATATTGTCTGGGTCCTCCAATCTTCATCGTCAGACTCACCTTCATCTGCTGCGTGCGGGAATGCCAATGGTACAACGGGACGCCAACGCATGGCCTCTTTGACGGTTGCTGCCACGTAGGGTAGTTTGTCATAGTCTGCCCAGACGGGGGAGCGGTCTTCCCCAACGACAGAGTCGATCTCGCGCTGGGCCTTCCGCATGACTTCAGGCCACTTGACAAAGGCCTGAACAGCAGATAAAATGATACTGGAACTTGTGTCACTGGCTCCCTCCATCATGGTGCCACCGAGGAAATACAACTGGTGCTTGTTCAGCTCCAGCTTGTCTCGTTGGTCCAAGACTCGATCCATAAAGGAGAATCGAGGGCCGACTTTTTCGCGGCGTCGCTCCAGACCCTCGAGCATGTCGCAGTATAGGCCGTTCATGGCATCGCCGACGTGTGTCGCACGCGACCTCCAGTTTCCAAACAACTTCTCGGGGATCCAGTGCAAAAAGGGGAAGATGTCAACAGGAGGCGTGTTCCCAGGCTCCATAACGACAGACCAGTCTTCCATCAAATGATACAACCTCTTCATATGCGGCGTGTCGATAGAAGGAGACCTCACTCCCCAGATCGTGCCACAGGCAATGCTATTGGTGAACCGCTTAGGATGCCACATATGATTCTCAGGGTCAGTGAGATAGTCATAAAGCAATTGAGAGCCCTCAGCCTGCTGCAACGGCAAATGATCTTTCATGACAATAGACTCCATGAAATGCTGGTGGATGACTTTCCGATATCGTTGCCATGTCTTGCCGTAGTGTGCGATCAGCACGTGGTCACCACCAGTGATGAGGTTATGTGACACATAGCTGTGTGGTCGATTACTGTAAATGCTGGATTTCTTGTCTAGTAGTTGTTTGATCAGTTTTCGGTCCGTCAAGACAATGCCGGTCCCAGTGCCTAGCTTCAAGGAGAAAATCCCGCCGTAGGTTTTGGACCATTCGGTGAATCTGGGAGTCCGTCAGTTGATTCTCGAGAGGCGTCTGGAAGAGAGAGGTGAAGAGAAGGAGAGGTTGAGATTTGGATTTCCTTACTTGAGATATGATCCTTTGGTTGGAATCTGGTGTAGATTGCCTATGATAGGAGCGGTGGGAGGACCTGATTGGAAGGAGAGCATCGTTAGTCTTGGTCTTGCTCGAGAAGATAGTGGGAATTAAATGGGATGGACTGGTACATACCAGGAGGAAGACCCTTTTCACGCCGCCCGATGAATAGGACAGCATAGATGATGAGAGCCACCACAGAAGCACCGACGACTGGGAGGAGTGTTCCAAGTGCCATGGTTGCAGTCACCAAGATATATGAGAGCTGGAGTGGGAGTGGAATTGGAAGTTGAAATAGAATTGGAATTAGGGACGACTACGTCAGAGAAGGAGCAATGAGATTGAGAAGAGGAAGGAGCGAAGGGGTAGAACATGAATCATTATATCATTCGATTGATCGAGGAGTTTGAAATATGAAGTACTACAGCAGGAATCTAGGTATCTATTAAATGTTCCATCTCGGTACAATCTTACTTAATAAACGACCATTTTCTACTGTCTGCCTTACCTACCTACCTTCTTTCGACGGGTTAATTCCCAATTGACCAGTGATATCTCGTCCAAGCCGGATTATCCAGCCACGCCAATCCCAGACATGTACAACTCGGGGGAGGACAACCGAAGAAGGTGGGCCGTCTGGCCCTAAGCCTGAGGGGATGAACTGATGGATCTGGGGGATTGGTGGGGAGAGGGGAAGAATGGCATCGAGATGCTGTACTTGTGCTTCAACTACTGTATGTACGAGTTCTTAGTAATTTCAACCCCACATTCTTGGAAGACGTACATAGGACCTATGTAAATGCAGCATCTCTTCAGGCCCTGGAGTGACGATCTTTGGGGGGAAATTCCGTCGTGTCTAGAGAAAGGAAAGTATTTCCTGTATTATGAGAGTATAGGCGGGGGTCTCTAGACCTAGGATTGGTTACTTCTGTACACACCTACTGTACATCGTTGTTTGCTGTGGATAATAGGTATGGAAGTGATGGACAGTAGCAGTTGGTGCTTGAAGTGGAGAAGTGGGGGAAACTGGGGATGGGGCCCTCGGGCTGGGGGAGGTTAAGGGGGGTTTGTCCTTTTGGCCACCGAGTAATCAGCCCGAGGGAGTGCCACTGAGCAGACATCTCGTTCTTGACGTTTGTGTCATCCACCTAACAAGGTAGTATCTACTTGGATGCATCTTGTACAACAATCCATTGGACTGTAGTAGTATCAACTGCCTGTCTTCCTATCAAAGGAGACTGATCCGCCTACTCTCGCTCGGCTCCACAAGCCCGGAAGTCCCACCGGCAGCCACCCGTGGTTAGCCTGACACTCGCCCATGGAAAAGACCCCAGAGGGACCAATTTCCATTCCGGAAAAGACGGGGATTGGTTATTCGGAACGTCTCTGTCCGAAGAAGCCCAAAAGAACTGCAGTGATGATAGCCAGAGGAAACGAAGCCCTTGAGCCAGTGCGACATACATGTATTGTCATGCATCAGGCTGCGAGAGGTCTATCCAGGTCAGCTGACTTCCCATCGAACTGAGGATGGCTTGGCATCGTCTCCTCGATAGATGTTGTCCAACTTTCCAGCAAATATGATATATGGTCAACAACACAAAGATGTTCAATGGAAAGGGAAATTTGTTATTCTTCAAACGACCCTCGTCTAGATTTCAAATATTATCCGATCTTCACCTGGAAGTGGGAGACCAATACCTCACCTACCATATTCCCGTGCAAGCCCCTTTTCTCATCCTTGCAGGTGATATTGGTCGACTTCAAGACTATGACAAATACCTTTCGTTCATCGCCACACAATGTGCCCAGTTCGACGCCGTCTATCTAGTCCTTGGAAATCACGAATTCTACGGAATCTCTCGAACTGAAGGCCTAGCTCATGCCCAAAGGCTAGAGAAGGACGCAAAGACCCTTGGAAGGCTGAAAGTCCTTTATCGGACAAGGCTGGACATTGACCCTTCTCTCAGTATCCTTGGATGCACATTACAGTCGAATATCAGACCAGAAAACCGGGCGGTTGTTGAGTCAAGAGTCAAAGACTTTCAAAGAATACCAAACTGGACGGTCGATCTGCATAACGAGGAACATCAAAGAGATTTAGACTGGCTGCGGGCAGAGATTGACTCAATCAGTTCCGAATCAGAATTGAGTAGCAAAGCGAAGCACATCCTCGTCATTTCCCATCATGCGCCAATCAAAAATGGGAGCAGTCACCCGAAGAATGAGAGAAGCCCTTGGGGAGATGCCTTCGCCACAGACTTACTCGGAGTTTACAAGGAATTGAGCAAAGTGCAGTGCTGGGTCTTTGGACATACACACTACACAACCCAATGGCGAGAATATGGTGTAAATCTCGTCAGCAATCAGAGGGGTCATGTGCTTGGTCCTGGTCAGAATGGACAAAATGTCGAAGGGTCAAATACGAGAGATCGATGGAGGGTTTTGGGATCTAGATTCAAGCAAAAAGAAGAGCATTGCTTTGACCCACGAAAATGTATAACCATTAGAATGTAGTATCTCTTGGTCTATGATCGATGTGACTTTCGAACCCTTCCCGGTCTTGCCCTATCAAGCCATCGTCACCAACAGCTCCTCAGCCTTGGGGGTGGTCGCTTCCCAGGCTCTATGGTCCAGATGATGAACCAGGATAGGGTGAATCCGGCAGTTGCTTCTCAAATCATTCTGACTGCGTCTATTCTTTAGATATATGCTCTCCTCTCTCTGAGAGTCTTTCAGTCTCGCATGACGCCCCCCAATAATCTTCCCAGAACACCACGAACACGGCTTTGATCTCCCTTTTGAAGGGTGGTGAGAACTGTGGCCACGCTGGCAGCAAACACGATCTGTTCACGTCCTCGATGACGCTTGTCATACACACGCGGAAGGACGGTGGCTAATGCACGTGGGGCCACAAAGAATGCGATTTCTTGCCGCCGGCTTGGATTCTCGAGTAATATAGACCAGCCACAGGCGAGACAGCCGGCTAAGACACAGAGTCCCGAATCCCACATCTGGGGGGTGATTGTCTTGGAGGAAAACAACTTCGGCCCCAGTCTTGTCCGCGCAAGACAGACACAGTAGTAGAAAAGAGAGACAAAGGCCGCAAGAAATGAAGATGATTGGGAAGCCGCCCTGCTAGCATCGACAATCGTTTGTGGACTGAGTTTTCGAATTCGTGTGATGAGTTGAAGTGGGAAATACAATTCAAATGCAAGTCTCCAACTCCGCCAGAATCTCGACAAGGCGTGCAACTCGCAGCTCTTCCCTATGCCAGAATGGTACAGCTCGCAGGGAATTGGGATGGTTTTTGCTGGGTCGCCCCACTCTTCTGGGAGACCAAGGTCTTTGCACATGCCTTGAAGGAGTGGCGCTTGGCCTGTATCCTGGCCGTAGACAAAGTCACCTTGGCGGACGAGTCTCAATGCTTGAATGAGCCGTGAATCGATCTCGGCAATCTTGGATATCCAGTTATTGTAGGCTCTGGGCAAACGGTGAGGCGAATAGAACCACGACCACATGATTATTGAAGCGGATAGGGCGAAGATGGTTGGGTCGGCCAGCTTTCGTGCAGCATTTGCCATCCGAGGTGCCCTTTGTTCGGGGTGCCATGATTTAGCTCGTGTCCTGGTCCAAGCTGTTATGGCGGCGATGTCGAGAGCACGAGAAAAGACAAAGAGAGTAAAGTCCATGGTTTTGCCAGCGTAATGGGGATGGTAGTCTGGTGGGGGCAGATGATGTTGATTAGGGGGGTGAAACTGGTTGGAGGTGACTGTGGCGGCGGACCGCGATTGAGCTCTCTTTCGAACCCAGACCTCGTCACGGTTGAGGAGGCTGAAGGCGAGCCATGATGAGAGAAAGGAGCAGATGAAAGTCAGCTTTGAGGAAATAGCAGGGGTATATCGCTGGCTGCTCGAGTTACCAGTGGTCTTGAGCAGCCATTGAAGGATGGTGTGGATCAGTCGTGGGAGAGCAGTAGCACCCCCTATGATGATGGCGGCAGCCGTAGGGAACCTATTGAGCTGAGTCGACGTCCTGAGGATAGTATATAGTAGACGTAGTTTGTCGAGGGTGGAGAGGTCCGAACGGCGAATCACGCGAAGGAAGCCAAACAATCGAGGGCTGGTAACACTGATATATCCAAGGGCATATGCTCGCAAAATTGGCTTCAGAGAAGTGGGAAATCTCTTTGAATCTGCCATCGCGAGAAGTCGAACGCTCTGGGCCTGATACTGGATATCATATGAAACGAGTAATCGACGTCGCGTGTCATCATTCATCGATGGAAGTTGACAGCAACATGGGATGTCGTAGTCACATGTTGCCAAGACTACCTCGGCAATACCAATGGGGCTTGGGGAGGATGGGGGAAGCGGGTTAGGGCTCGGCAGGCCTAAAACCAGATACTGTGGTACTTTCTTGTAGGTATCGTAATCCCCTGTCCACCCCAGATTTCATAGTTTACGGGTCAAGCTACCACCCACTAAGCCTAAATGCTTGAGGAAGAGAAGCAGCAAAAATAATGGAGGACAGTATTCTGTGAGCGTTGGCCTATATTTGTTACTGTACGTAAATCTATTGATGCCTAATAGATAGTACCTTTTAGCTAGAAGTTAGAACAGAGACATCCTCGTACCTGAATCCCATGTGTGATTCCCCTTCGCTTTGACCATCAAAGTTCCAGATGGTTGCACATCTCTGACATCGAAAGCAATTTCTTCCGTTGCACTCGAGTCTTCAATTCTCTTCTCATCCATCAAGATCACCACAAATGCCATCTCCTATACCGACCCCTCTTAAATCTTCCACCGTCGCGTACCTGCATTGTGCAACCGGATTCAACGGCGACGGCTGAGATGGATCCTCCGATTGCTGTCATCGTCTGAAAAACTCCACAAATCGTTCTCATGCTAAGTCTTTGGTGTCCCAACCAGTGTCGATCTCATCCACTGAGGGCATCATTTCACATTTCATGTTACTGTCGCACCCACTGTCATGTCAAGTCTTCATGCTCAGCCGTTTGCTTATTCCTCCTCTCTCCACTGCACTTGCCTTGACTATTACATATCCTGCTCCTTCTCAAATTCCTTGTAATGCCCACATCCATCGCTCTTTCCAAGACTTTCATTTCTAGTCTTTCCTTCTTTCAGTCACTCAAAAGCCCAGCTTCATCTTCAGCTTTTCTTGTGCAGCTTTCAGCTTCCAGGTTGATGCTTGTTGGTCTCAACTGCATCTCTATCACTCGTTGACTCTCCATCCCCACTGCCAGCATCCGTCATGACCCTATATCCATACTTCCTTCTCTTCACCCTCGTCTTTGTCCTTGATTTAGCCCTAGGCTCCCCGTTGCTTTCTCGCCATGATTACGCCGTCAAAGAGACTCACAACCCTCCTGCAACATGGACTGTCGTCGGTGAACCCGACCCCATGCATCTTCTGAAGCTTAAGATCGGCCTTGTCCCTCGCAACTTCCACCTATTGAAGCAGCATCTTGACCAGAGTAGGTTCTCACCTCTGTTCAGCTGCTCCTTCTAACTCCCACAGTCTCCGATCCCCACCACCAGCGATATGGACAACATCTGTCTCAGCAACAAGTCCACAATTTCATGAAACCTAGCGACGACTCTTCTGCACTGGTACAAGCCTGGCTGCTTGAGAATGATATCGACCCTGCCAAGGCACAATTCAGCTCAGCTCGAGACTGGATCTCCCTGACCATCCCCGTCCACCAAGCTGAATCCCTTCTCGATACCAAATATCATGTCTACCAGCATCGTGATGGTGACAAGCTCCTTCGAACTACTAGCTGGTCGCTGCCACTCTCCTTGCATCCCCATGTGTCCACCGTTCAGCCCACCACGGCCTTCCTCCGAACCAAGAAGCATGCCGCGGTCACTCCGACCATGGACGTTAACATTGATCTTGTAGCCCTTGCGGCCGCCGCCAACATGACCGAACTCAACCGAGCCTGCAATTTCAGAAGCATGACTCCCACTTGTCTACGTCTTCTTTACAACGTGGCCCCTTATGTACCAAAGCTGCCCAACCAAAATCTCGTCGGTTTCACCAACTATCTCGAGGAAGTCTGGAATGGCACCGATCTCGAGACATATATGCAGACCTTTCGTCCCGATATCTGGCCACAGAGAACTGAGCTTCGTCAGGTGGGCATAAACCAGGGACCCTTCGCCGGCGGAGATCATCCTACTGGCATCGAGGCGAGCCTTGACATCCAGATTATTGCCGGTATCACATCCCCCACTACCATCGTGTCCTATTCCACCGGTGGGAGACCAATCCAGTTCATCCCCGATCTGCACACTCCCACAAACACCAACGAACCCTACCTAGAGTGGGTCCATCACGTTCTTGAACAAGACCCCAGCATCAGACCCAGTGTCATCTCGACTTCGTATGGCGACACTGAGCAATCTGTGCCTCGATCCTACGCCGAAGCTGTCTGTGACCAATTTACCGCTCTCACCGCTCAAGGAGTCAGCCTCATCTTTCCCTCTGGAGACTTTGGCGTGGGTGCTAATGGCACCTGCATCTCCAACGATGGCCAGAATGTCGAACGTTTTACACCACTCTTCCCGGCATCCTGTCCCTACGTCACTACTGTCGGCGGCACCCAGAGTTACCCAGAGGTTGTTGCCGCCGATCCAAGAACCGACTATGTATCCGGAGCAGGTTTCAGCGACTACTTTGCCCGTCCAACTTGGCAAGACGAAGTTGTTGAAACCTACGTCCGAGGCTTGGGCAATGAACATGAGGGTCTCTATAATGCATCCGGTAGAGCCTATCCTGACATCTCAGCCTACGGCATCTACTTCACCATTTGGGTTGATGGCTCCGTCATGAGTGTTGGAGGTACCAGTGCGTCCGCCCCGACAATCGCCTCCATCTTCTCCCTTGTCAACGATGCGTTGGTATCAAGCGGGAGGCCGACCATGGGCTTTCTCAATCCATGGCTGTACTCGCAGGGGTACAAGGCCTTCACCGATGTCGTCAACGGCACCACCACTGGCTGTGATAGTTCCGGCTTTCGTGCTGGCACCGGCTGGGATGCCGCTAGTGGATTCGGCACGCCGGATTTTGGCAAGATCTTGAAGATTCTAGACCTGTGAGAGTCCTGATCGCAGCACAGTCAGCCAACATTATGTTTGCACCCCTGGCACGAATACGAAAATGACCATAAAAGCATCATGAAAGAGTCCCAAGATTGGGCTCCCATTTTCAGCATCAGCGACAATTAATGAGGAATTGTACCACCAGCAATGACGATGGCGCTGCATAAGACCATGTAATGGCTGACAGTACTGAATTGCATCAACGCCAGAAGGGCGTTAATAGCTTGGATTGGCGTTTTGCGGAGTCAATGAATGGTTGTCTGTAGGTAGCTTAAGTACCTAAAGTAGTCAGGGAGACTCTTGTTCAGAGCTGATTTCGAGGGATTGAGGGACCACGCTCAATGATAACAAGATCTTAACACTTCTCCTACCGTTGCACCAACGGCCAATTCAGTGCTTGAGGAGTGATTGGGCTCGCAGCTGCTGCCAAAGTCATTGAATCGTGATCCTCGCCTAATTACATTGTGAAGAGTCCTGGGAGTAGTGGTTGACATGAATCCATGCGGGGTGCATCATGCTGCCCTAGATATGATATAGCCTTCCACAGAATACGTCCATCGTGTCTTTCCCATCTCAATCACTCAATCAACTCAACTCCTCCACGACTACCAGCGTCACTGATCCCTATCTAGTCGTGCCACTAGTCCAGCAACCTCAATCCCCGTCGTGTCCGAACCTCGTCCAGCCCTGTCACGCTCCAGTAGTTTCCAAACCAAGTCTCTCCCTTCGCCAGAGAGCGAGAATAGTCAGAATCAACATATGGCTCGTAAGTTTTATGCTTACATGCAGAGCTCTCTGCTATCACCTACCTATTCTTTGGCTCTCGTGTATTATGGGTTATGTGTTGCATCATTTCATCATCACAGTTTTAGTCCTGTGAAATATATATATCTACTAATCATACATTTATCTGAGAGGATAAGATACCTCATTTCCCGACGACCTACCAGTACCCAAGGATGATGGTCAATATGATCATTTGACCAGCGGCTTTCGCATCCCCACCGATATTTCATTGCCGGTGGCCAGGGATCCTTCCAACAAAGTCGTGCTTGCCAATCTTCCTGGCTTGACTATTCTCTTCATCTATCCTAGAACGGGTATGCTAGGTCCATTCCCATTCATTTGGATGAAGAGGCACTGACGATCGTTGTTCGACTTCCCTTTTAGGCGCACCGAATGAGAAGATTCCGGATTCGTGGAATGAAACACCCGGCGCTCGTGGCTGTACCCCGCAAGCCTGTTCCTTTCGAGACAATTTCTCCCAGTTACGCTCCTTGGGAGTAACTGCCGTCTATGGTATCTCGACTCAGTCTCCGGCATATCAGGCCGAGGTCCACGCCAGGCTTCGTCTGCCGTATGACTTGCTCAGTGACGAGGATTTGACCTTTCAACAAACCCTTCACTTGCCGACATTTGAATGGAATGACACAAAGGTCTTGAAGAGGTCGATGATTGCAGTCGAAGGTGGGCTGATCGTCAAATGGTGGTACCCGGTCTTTCCACCAGATCGAGGAGTGGACGATCTCGTTGAGTGGTTGAAGGGGAGATGATTCGTTAATTGATAATAGTCGGTGTCTGTTCATGCTGGTGCCATGCCTAGAGGGAGCGTGGTCAAGACTCCGTTGTCGTCATATCTTGCCTTGAAGAAGGTATAGCTCAGGGTGATTGTGTCGATCTTGGCCATTGCTGGGTCCTTGACGAATTCTGGGTCGATAAAGAAGAATACAGGCATGTCCACGGTCTCGCCTGCGTTCAGCCTCTGCTCTTCAAAGCAGAAGCATTGGATCTTGCTAAAATATGGGGCGACCTGGCCTGGGGTCACCGAGTATGTGGCAATGCCAATGATGTCCTTGTCACTCTTGTTTGTAGCTGTGAAAAAGGCCAACGCCGTCTCGCCAGGAAGTACCCGGACTTCCCGTTGTTGAGGCGTGAACTTCCAATCCAAAACGTCTGACACAGACCCGTGAAATGTAATGCGTAGGCGGCGGTGATCTTCCACCGGCTTGAGACGTACTGTCGGGTCGCCGCCCGAGTCGTGAGCTTTCACAGGTTGACCTCCCCAGCCTGTTTGTTGGCAGATCTGTGTTGACCATTAGCATAGGTATATATATTTCCACGACAGACAGCTCGAACCATTTTATAAAGAGGCACAGAAGCATATGAAACCGCAACGACTCCAATTCCCAGACTGAGGCCATAGAACCTATGCATTTTGTGTTAGCAACTATCTTCTCTGAATCTTCCTTCGTCTCTTGACGACATACAAAGCTGTCTGGTTCTTTATTCTTGCATGTTCTCGAGCGGCTTGCCATTGCTGCGACGGTCCGTGTTGTTGAGGGTGTCTAGCTGATTGAAAAAAAGTCCGCAACTGCGGCCTTTGGCGTAGTGAGTGGGGAGCATTATGTCGACAGGTTTTGAGGCATTGTGGGAGGTGTGCAGCTGGAGTAGCTCCTGACCGGAGAGAGGAGTATATTGGGATCATAACGAGGGATCTGTCCTATAACTTGGTTTTAAGAGACGTCGTTGTAGAAATGAGCATGAAGCTGTGGTTTGAGAAATTGTGATTTCCTCAGGTGACAACAATTATTATTATTACTGATGGTTTGATATTCGGCCGCTGCTTTAACGAGAGGAGATGCCTATCCAATGTCAAACCTCCATTTTATGTCCAGTAGTGGTTGCCAGTTGCTCAGCACAATTCTCTCGACAATGAGCTCTTGTTACCTCTTAATGGGTAGATGTTCGCATCCTCTCACCTGCTTTGATCATGTACTCCATCCTCTGCGACTCTTCCATGGACTTCAGCGTGATAGTTCAAGTATACCTCCATAATGACTACACTAAACCCATGCATGTTTCTCCAACCACAGAACATTCCCCCAATATCAGTGACGTCAAAGGCAAAAGTGTTGAACGGTAGGGATGAAGACGCATACATCACAACTTTGACCTTTCCCACCTAAAGACCCATATATATTCACATGGTCTGGGCGAGAAAACCAAATATAATGACCCTTAGCCTTCTTCATTAGATGGACTTGTTTCACGCCATCTCCCAAACTATAGACAACGTCCTCACCTGTGACTGGTACGACTCTTTTCAAAAGTTGAATCCATCCGGTGGCGAGTCAAGTTCAAGACGCCAGAGTGACAGTGCTATTTCCTCTGCAGTTTCAGGTGGTTTCAATCAGAGCATTAAGCACAGAGCAGCCAGCATGTCCAGCAACAAGGAGAAATTGATGGATACTGAGCCCGGTGGGGAGACTACTCAGTAAGTCAAGTCGACTGTCTCGTCCTTAAAACTTGATGTCATACGTGTTCGTTGAATCACTAACAATGTGGTCGAACAAAAGATACGAGTCCATCAAGACCGTGACCAATCCCTCGGACAAGGATCAAGGGCAATTAGGTTGTAAGTAGATGACATTTATTCTTCCAGCCCTAGAACATCTCTCAAAATGCTCCTTTTTGCATCTGTTCCTAATTTTCACCCTACTGACTCTTGAATCACAGCCGGATCCAACAAATCGGAAGGTGCTGCCACGTCATCTCAAGATGGCCAACGCACTGCCGATAATATCAGATACGGCCAGAATATCTCCGAGTCAGGCATGGGCGGTAAAACCACCACTTCAACAGGCACTGCCAACCAGGACGGTGGTTATGGGGGAACAGCAGACCAACCCAGCGACCAGAAGAATACACGCAGAGAGCAAGGGTATGGTCCTGGTTCCGGGATCGGTGCTTAAGGTCTTGCCAGTTTAGCTTTAAAGTCCAGCCACAGCGCCTGCAACACTGCTGTAATCGAAGTCCACCATAGTTATAATGCCAGATTCAAGTCTTGTTGTACATCAAGGCGAAATAGCTGCCTCTGTCTTTGTCGAGTCCATCTCCCGTGAAACTGATCGTGGAGCCGTGCTGGAACCGGATGGCCCAACAATGTCAGAAACTTCACCTAATTTGTCCTTGGGTACAACAGGTCTCCTGGCCTCCTTCAAGCTCTGCAGAGTGACTCCATTTCCGAGTTTCGTGATCCCAACCACTGGCGGATCTCCTTTCTTGACAAACTCCCACAATCCAGGCAGTTTGTCGCCAGCAAGCCTGAAAGCATCTCGAGCTACTTGCTCGTGGATCTGCCCCTTGAGCTCAAACACGATTCGGCTCACCGGAATTCTTGCTGCCCAGTAGTCGAATTTACCCTTTCCCTTACCCATACGCACTTCACTTCCTTTGGTGTAAACACCAATGTTGGCACTCACACGAGTGTACAGTCTGAAATGTTCTCCTCGAAGCCGCCGGCGGATCGTTTCCTCGCCGATTCGAAGCTGTTTGGCAGATACACGACGATCATGATCTTTCATTCGAAGTCCGTAATCGCCCCACACAACAGTCGTGCCGCGCGTGCTGCCACCTGTGGGCATCCTCGGCCGGCCAACCATGGACTTGGACTTTTCAGCTCGCACTGGTTGCAGCCAATTCTGCCGAGAAGGCTGGGTTGAGAACGCCCGCATTTTGATACATTGTGAGGATCGCACAGTCGCGTCTCGCTGCGTCGAGAGGATAGAGCTCGTTGGAATGAGGATGGAGGGTTTGCGAAAGACGGTGGTTGATCGCAGATAGCGCAGGCAGGCCACTTTTGTCATGATTAGCAATATATTCGCAAGTTTATAAAGAAGCCAACATACCTGAAGGGCCCATCGCAGGGCCGGTCATTGCGCCGAGACCAAAAGCTAGGTTGGTCAAATTTGGCTGTGTTTATTCAAGTTGAAACATTGGACTGGTGAACTGAGAGAAATCGTGGAAACATTGAAGCTTGGAAAGAATCACGTGATATTAATATACTTGGCACGATCCACCCATGTTCGTCTTCAGCACCAACAAATGGAAACTATGCGCGAGAACGAGAGACTTCTCTTCGCCGAGTGGCAATCCCTCAAGCGCCATCTGGGACTAGAAAGAAGAAGCGCCATCAGCTAATGAGATGGGAATGAAAAGGGCGACGGCGTTGGGAGTATTGAATACTGTGAAAGCGGCAAGGAGGGATGGTCGTCAATACACCAATCATTTAGGTAACCACCAGTAGGCTGGGGGCTCCTTACTTGGCTAGTGGAAGGATCTCTCTAGGGAGGATGTACAGGGCGGCATAATCCTCGTCCCGAAGCGGGGTGAAGTGCCAGCAGATTTTAGTTGGCCTTGGCGGGCAGGTTCCAGTCGCGTCACTGTTAAAGTGCAGGCGCGTCATGAAGTCTGGTAGGGCGTTTGTCCCATCGAGATCTGGTGCTCACATCGCACGGATTCAAACCACCATCCCTCGGTCGGACGACAGGCCACTTCCTTACCGTTCCCAGGCCTCAGCGTTGTGATGCGCTACTCGGTGTCTTCTTCTTGATACTTTTATTCCAGATCGACAGAAGATGCCTTCCGATATAAGGAGTTTCTTCGGAGGCGGCGCTGCCGCGAAGTCCGCCCCCAAACCGGCAGATACAAAGAAAGACGTCGTATGATAGTACACGCTCTTCAAAAGTCTACATCGACTAACAATTATCCAGAAAGCTCCCAAGAACGAAAAATCTCGAGGCCGCCCACGCAAGATTGTCTCCGACGATGACGATGATGAAGTTGTCGAGGTGAATCCCAACAAATCTTCCACACCCAAGATCAAGAAGACAACGAGGGAACCAGTCGAGGAAGAAACCACAAGCTCAGCCTATTTTGCCTCTTCTAAAGCCAAGCCCACAAACACAAAGGCAACCCCTACTAGGTCAAAGTCTACAAATGTGAGCAACGGCATCAACAAAACCCCTACCAAACAACCAAATGGCAGCACACCATCGACCGGACGACGTTCTGCTAGGAAGACTGGCCGCAAGAACTACGCTGAAGAAGATGATAGAGATACCCGGATTCTTGAAGAAGATAAAGAAGGTCATGATGATATTTTCAATGATATGAAGAGTCGAAAGGTTGATGATGACTACGAAGAAGGTTCCGATGAGGAAGAGATCCAGCCTCCAAAACGAGCGACACAAAACACTAACGGAAAATCAAAGAAGCATCTTGCCGATGAGGACGAGGATGACCTTGATGTCGCTGAAATTGCTACACATAACAACCGCAAAAGTCATGCGGCCGCAACTACACCTTCTAGTCGAAAACGCAAATCAAAGGAGCTTGAAGCTGATGACGATTTTCTTGACGACGATGATGATGTTCCAAAGAAAAAGATCCGAAATGCCCCAGCTCAAACCTCGAGGAAACCTCGAACCCCTGCTAAGAAGGAAGATAAACCAGAAAGCGAAAACATACAGAACATCCTTGACAATATCCCTACAGTGCGAGCACCGACACCACCGCCCAGAGAGGAGGGTGCCAAGACCTGGAAGTTTGGAGGAGGAAACGCCAATGTAGCCCCTCCGGCCCAGGGAACTGCACAAATCCCAGTTGGTGCTCCCAATTGTCTAGCAGGCCTGAACTTTGTCTTCACTGGTGTCTTAAACACGCTTGGTCGGGAAGAGGGCCAAAATCTGGTCAAACAATATGGCGGTAAAGTTACTGGTGCCCCTTCCAAGAAGACCAGCTACGTTGTCCTTGGAGCAGATGCTGGTCCCAAAAAGTTGGAGACGATCAAAAACCTCGGTATCAAAACCATTGACGAGACGGGCCTCTTCGCAATCATCAGTAGAATGCCTGCAAACGGAGGTGATGGCAAGGCAGCCGAGGCCTATGCTGAAAAGCAGGCCAAAGAAGAGGCCAAAATTCGCGAACAGGCAGAAGAAATGGCAGCACGAGAGCGACAAAAGCAGAAAGAAGCTGAAAAGGCCGCGCAGGCTGCGGCTGCTAGAAATGGCGCCCCAGCGTCAGCCAAACCAAAGCCCAAGGGTGATGACCGACTCTGGGTCGACAAGTATGCACCAGACTCCATGAGCAGCGTTTGCGGAAACAAAAACATGGTGGAGGGACTACAGGCATGGCTTCGGGCCTGGCCGAAGAGCGCCAAGTCTGGCTTTCGAATGGCCGGTGCTACTGGCAAGGGCATCTTTCGTGCAGCTATGCTTCATGGACCTCCTGGAGTGGGTAAGACGACTGCCGCTCATCTCGTCGCCAAACTTGAAGGTTACGATGTTGTCGAGAGCAATGCTAGTGAGACTAGGAACAAGAAACTACTGGAGACTGGCCTGCGAGGTGTGTTGGACACGACCTCACTGTTGGGCTATTTCGCCGGTGACGGCAAGAAGATTGACCCGTCCAAGCGGAAGTTGCTTCTGGTCATGGACGAAGTTGATGGCATGTCTGCCGGCGACAGAGGCGGCGTTGGAGCGCTTGCAGCGGTGGCAAAGAAGACACACGTTCCCATCATCATGATTTGCAACGATCGACGACTTCCAAAGATGAAGCCCTTTGACGGCTGTGTTGCGGATTTCCCATTCCGACGACCCACCACTGACATGATTCGAGGACGGATTGCTACAATCTGCTATCGTGAAGGCTTCAAGTTGCCTATGCCTGTCATTAACGCCTTGATCGAGGGTTGCAACGGGGACATTCGTCAGATCATCAACATGGTGTCGACAATCAAGCTGGACAAAAAAGACAAGGAGCTCGATTTTGACGATACCAAAGCCATGTCGAAAGCATGGGAGAAACACGTGATACTAAAGCCCTGGGACATCGTCAGCAAGATATTACGACCACAGATGTTTGCTGGAAGTTCTTCTGCATCTCTCAATGACAAGACTGAGTTGTATTTCAACGATCACGAGTTCAGCTATCTTATGCTGCAGGAGAACTACTTGAAAACGCAGCCGAGTTTGGCAAATGGCTACTCTGGAAAAGAGCGAGAAATGAAATTGTTGGAACTGTTTGACAATGCCGCATCCAGCATCAGCGATGGTGATCTGGTTGATCGAATGATCCACGGTTCTCAACAACAATGGAGCTTGATGCCGACGCATGCCATCTTCAGCTTTGTTCGACCAGCCAGTTATATTTATGGAAATTTCAACACTCAGGTGGGATTTACTAGCTGGCTCGGAAACAACAGCAAGCTTGGTAAGTGGAGCAGGGGTATGAATATTGGTGGATTCGACTGACCATGTTTCTCTAGGTAAACTCTCTCGGCTCGTAAAAGAGATCCAAGGACATATGCGACTTCGTGCGTCCGCCGATCGGCATGAAGTACGCCAGCAATATCTACCAGCCATCTGGAACAAAACGGTGAACATACTTCAAAACGAGGGCAAAGACTCTGCCCAGGACGTCATCGACTTTATGGATTCATACTACCTGACCCGAGATGACTACGATGCTGTCTTGGAACTCGGCGTTGGACGTATGAATCAAGAGGCGGTAAAAATAGATACAGCGACTAAGGCGGCATTTACTCGACTATACAACTCGCAGAGTCATCCGATGCCATTTGTCAAGGCTGGCACCACACTAGGATCCTCGAAAGGCGCCGCACCCAAGCGAGACAAACCGGATTTGGAAGAAGCAGTAGACGAATCAGAGGCAGAAGAGGTTGTGGACGAGGCTGTGGAAGACTCGGGCGACGAAATCGATCTCAAAAAGGACAAGTACATCAAGGCACCTAAAAAGAAGCCCGCCCCTAAGGGCAAAGGTCAGGGCAAGGACAAGAGGAAAAAGGGCGATGAAATTGATATGGACGAGGACGCTGAAGAGAGTGAGGATCAACCGAAGAAGAAAAAGGTTGCTGGCGGAGGAACCAAGGGTGGTCGAAAAGGTAAGGGACGAGGCTAAGAGGGTGCAGGACCAACGAGGGAGACAGTTGCTCCTGATGTGGTGCTGTGGTTCGTTCAAGCCCGGCAAGCCAATATCGAGCTGGATCATGAAATGGCCGAGAGATGAAAGCAGGCCAATGCTGGAATACTCTGGGTCGAGCTCAGTCATGCCCATAGTAGCGAAGAGAAGCTGGGTGACAAAAAGCGTAAGATAGATAGTCCTTGCCTGCTGAATGGAGGCACTCGACAACAAAATATATTGATACAAAAAGCAGACGAACTGCAGCAGCAATGTCATATTGAAACTCGGGAGAAGGAAGTAAGATCAGTCTCAGTAGGGGGTTTACGAGGGTGTCTACAAAAGGCTCATCCTCACTAAAGTAGTGATGAGTCCTCCAGGTACATAGCAAGAATTTGTGACGGCGACCCTTGCACTGGTGGTATGGCTGTGGCGTCGTCATTTCGTGGCCTGGAGCCTGAAAAGAGGGCTTTTGTGCGTGAACAAATCCAAAAAGAGTACCGTCTCCGCAAATTGCTAGGTTTCGAAACCGTATTGAAGGAATGTTGCAGTAGAAGGCCTGACATCACATCGACTAGTGTCGCTCTAGAAAGGTCTGGTCGGTGTCGAAGTCTAGATTGATATGGTGACAAGCGATTTGTCGACAAACCGAATTCGGGAAAGAGCCAAGACGAGGTAAATCTACGCCCAGCGCACCGCCGATCGGGACAAGGATGATGCTGTCCTGTGTTCAACCCCGGCTCACGCGAGCCAGTGTAGCCCCTGTGGGTCAAGACACTCGGAATAAGGACAAAAGACAGTGTGTATGGAATCGTATAAGCTATGGAAGATATTGTAAAGACTAAGCTAGGGAGAGAGATGGTGCGGAGTGAGATCCTTGCAGGGGAGGGAGCCAAAAAAGGAGGGGTTCCTTCCTTGGCTCCACACCAGGCACCGGGCCGTACCTGTTCCCGACGAACTCAATGTCCGAGTTCAGACAGCATCAAGAATTTGACTTTGATGAACCTCATCCCTCGAAGTTTCCCACAGCGTCGTCGTTTGCCCAGTAACACCTTCAGTAACATCTTAAGCTTAGGGGCCACCGATCCCGAGCTCGATATTCAGAGAATCGAGGCCGAGCGGGCCCCTTTACTCGAAATTTATTGTCAATGGATCCTGGAGAATCCCTCTTTCAAAGAACGGCGCGACGGCACAACAAACCGAACGTTCACATAAGGACAAGAGGTGCCTGCATTTTTCATTTTCGACCAGTGGGAAGAAGCTGGTTACGTTGTTGTTCAACGGCACAATACAGATTTGGAATTGTTATCGCGAAGGAATGTGGAAGAGAGTCGCAATAGGTTTGACGTCCGGGAAGATGGAACAAACCGAGCAAGACCTTCCGTCTTCGAACCGATCACGGCTCGAGCAGAAGCTGGACCTACTGACTTTGTATATGGTTGATGAGAACTATGGAATACATCGCAGTTCTTGGAAAAATGCCGTTTGCATGGAAGGCTTCGGCAATATTTCGCAGAATGGGACCCGGCCGCGGAATGACGGTCCCAAATGGGCCGTGTGTCCCATCTTAGCTTGGTTCCTCGATCAAGGCACCATCGGATCATCGCCATTGCAGCCGAATATATTGTTCAACTGATCTCCCATATCTTCTCGAACGAATGAATCTTCCAATCTTCATAACAGGATTTTGATAGGGTCATTTCGTCCAGGGCCAAGATGGATTCCTCAGATTTCGAGTCGAAAATTGCGCGGTCTATTGAAGAAGGAATCGTGGCGGGCGCAGCATGCGTCGCCGGTCGAAAAGACGGTGAGATCATCTTACTTTGTGTAGCTCGAACTTCCCGTCTAGCACCTTGGTTGTCTAGAAAGCTGCGAGGTGACAAAAACAGAGTGTGGCGAAACTGACATCCCTGATATAGGCACCATCTTCTACAACCGTGCCTTCGGCAAAGCTGGCGCGGAACCTGACGCTAGCTCGATGAAAGTGGACACGGTTACATGGGTGGCCAGCTGTACTAAGGTATGCTAACTGTGGGATTTGGTATAAGCCATCAGGAAACAGCTGTTTGTCTAAACTCTATGGCTACTAACAATGCTTGTGTCAGCTTCTTACAGCCATCTCGGCACTAAAATGCGTCGAAAAAGGTCTTTTGAAGCTTGATGCCCCAATCAAGGAAGTTCTCACCGATTTCAACACGCTCGATGTCCTAGAAGGCTTCGACCCTGAAACCGGTAAACCTATCCTGCGCAAGGCCAGCAAGGAAATCACTCTCCGCAAACTCCTGACACATACGTCAGGCTTTGCCTATATTGGCATGAATCCGGCGCTTACAAAGTATTCGACAGATGTTTTAGGTATGCCTGTAGCATTCAGTTTGGATGCCCCGAAAGACAGCTGTGAGGGACCACTTGTCTTCGAGCCCGGGGAGAGCTGGACGTACGGTGTTTCAATCGAGTATGCGGGGCGGTTGGTCGAGCGAGTGAGCGGAGTCAGACTGGGAGAGTTCATGCAAGCCAATATCTTCAATGTGCTCGGAATGCCCTTCACCACGTTCCATCCGTGGGACCACCCAGAAATTCTGGCCAAGATTGGCGGCCGAGCTTGGAGGGATCACGAGACTGGCAAGGTCACCGTTGATCAGAGCGGATGGTTCCCTTTCGAGCGCCCTAATGCCGACTACGGTGGTGGAGGTCTATGGACCTGTGCGCAGGACTACATCAAGGTGTTGATGAGTCTGCTACTGAACGACAGCAAGCTCCTTCGACCAGAAACTGTTGATGCTCTTTTCACCCCGCAGCTGAAGGAGCCGAATCTGAGCGCTTTAGGAAAAGAGCTCTCTACTGGAATTATTTCTGCAGCCATGACCAATGGGTTGCCTAGAGATAGCGAATTCAACCATGGGCTAGGAGCAGCTTTGTGCATGGAGGAGATACAAGGGCACTGTTCGTCCGGCATGCTATTTTGGAGTGGACTTCCAAATTCCTTCTGGGTAGGTCTCTTGTCTTCAATTTGCACAAAAAGAAAACATCTGTTCCATTCTCCATTCCGATCTCGACCAGAGCCGTTGATTTGTTCTCCACACTGATTAATTTTTTCCTAGTTTATCGACAGAAAAGCAGGGACTTGTGGAATTTATGTTTCACACATGTTGCCGCCAGGCGATGCACCAACTCTAGAGTTGAATGCGCATTTCCAACGTTATGTATACAGCACTGCGACAAAGAGTTAAACACTCTTATGGTTTAGAGGCCGACATGAAGTATCTGGCACAGGACGGCGCTAGTCAACATAGGAACGAGGAGTAGATTGATGAGCGACAGAATGCTTCAGATGCTGTAAGGATGATGCGATGACTCATCAGATTGGTTGGACTCGAGGACTATACATGTTAATTATACTCTCCAAATCGAAGTCGATTTCATATGGAAAATCTTGACCTCTTCGAGAGTTCCCCCCGAAACTTGAGCTGGAAGGACTAGCAACCAGCGCCGAATCTTTCGTTTTTTGATTTTCCGCGCCTCTAGACTGCTCAGGAAGAGTGCCAGAGGCAGGCTGAGGAGGTGCCTCGACAACACCTGATCTATTACCCGGTGAAGACGTGCTATTGTGCTGCTCTCCTGGAAATGGGCCAATATCCTTTGCCTGATGGACAATCTTCAATAGTCCGATGGCATGACGAGCAGAGCCGTACACCTCTCTCAAGCGTCTTAGACATTGGAGGGTTTGTTCCAGAAACAGTGCTGCGGCTACCCGTGCTGAGACATTGACACTGCACATGTCGCTGATATGCTGCATTCCGGCGAAAAGGAGCGCAACGATTGCGATTGGGGCAAGGCGTTCGATGAGACCTTCATTCATCAGCCGTTTCGCAACTCCAGTGCTTTCTTGCGCGGCTTCGCTCAGCTTCTGGCCTGCAATCACCTGAAGTGCGTGTGCAGCCGATTCTAACGGCAAATCTTGACGGCATTGTGGTAGATGTACCATGCTGCAGACGGAATGGTATACAAGGTTTAGAAGTCCCTGGTGAAGACGCACAATGTCACAATCTTGCGATGATGTGTTGGGGTCGTGGAGGTCTTTCAAGCTCGAGCGGTACTGCGCACTCCATTGGCTCAGCTCTTGGTCCAGGCCGACAACGTCACGCACAGTCAAATCCGACTCCCGCGGAACAAGGACAACTTTGATCTCTGAGTTGGAAAAACGGCGGTGACCGCGAGGCACATAGAGCGTGTCGAGAACCCGGCCAAAGATCACGCATAGCTTGATCTTTTCGATCCACAATTGATTCAAGATGTCCGCCTGACGTTCTGTCACCAAAACGTCATTCCTCCGGAGAACATCGATAAAGAGTCGAGTTTGAAAATCGTCCAGAGTGGGTATGTCAAGGTCGGCGTCGCCTTCGAGGATGGTGCTTTGACGCCGCTCAGTGAGACAAGTCAGTCTCTCTCTCGTATAACAGCACCACCATAGCTTCCGTCTAGATTGTTGTTGAGCCAGAGACAAATCGTAGGGGTGTGCCCTTCGATTAAGTCCGATCTCATAGGCATAAGAAAGGCCGATCCTCAACCAATACCACCGACCTTTGATATCTTCGGGCATATCGTACCAATAAGTCATTAGGAGAGTAGCTCGAATCAAGGTCATGGGATCAAGCTCGACATTGAAGTCAAATAGTAGCTATATGCAGCGAAGTCAGTGAACTTGCGAAGATAAGAGCAACGACGCTCGGAGAACCCTGTTGGCCTACCCTGACCTTCTCGAAAAACTTGCAGCGTGCTTGTTCGCGACTCTTGAGGCCTTCGTTGTGGAGGTACCGCATGTCGACGAAAGGTACACCACAAAACATGACTGCTTGGAATAGGATTAGGGGAATTTTGTGCATGTGGCCGTCATTGTTCAGAGCCTGCAGAAAAGTCTCAAGGTCCAGCAATGGTAAGAAAGGATGGACATAGAGGAAGTAGCTTTGTAAAAGCTCGTTTTGTAGTGGACCTTCGGGCACTGATAACGCTCGCTTTTGCTCCAGAAACATCAAATCATCTGGAGCTAACTGGCTTCGGACTGGCTGGATATAGTCGGGCAGTCTAGTTCTGCGGAATGGTTGCTGTTGGGGAAGTGAGAATCTTGTTTGCAGATTCCCACCGATTGTTTGGGTAGCACTGGGCCACTCATCCACAGTTGGATACGGTTGAGAAAATTCCAGGGAGTGCATGGTGACATCCTCGCCAGGAGCACGATAGTTGGCTGAGTCGTGGTAAACCGAGAACGTGGAAGAGGTTGAGCGGCCATGCGTGGCGGAGAGAGCTTGATCTAAATTGAACTCCAAAGCCTGAGGTGCGTAGGCAAGAAAGTTTTCGATTCTGGAGCTCACGTCCTGTGGTAGCTGGTCTTTCAAAATATTATCTGCTTCGCTGACGTTCTCGTGGGCAGGAGCAATCGTGTGCATGTCGAAGATATGAAGGCCGGTCGGAACACTCTGGTGCTCTTTGGCAGTGATACTCCGGATTGCGCGTTTCGCAGGATCCGACGAGCACTCGATGCCCGCACTGGAGCAGCTCGCACAAGGAACGCCATTGGTGGTTACATTGCACCGGATTTTCCTGATGCGACAGGCTGAACATGCCTTCGATGCCCTGGTACGGAGCTGCGGCATGATTGTTTGTGATCATTGCAACAAGACATTGTGGATGTTTGGGCGAAGGTTAAATACTGATGCAGTGGTTGAGCGTCTATGATTGGAAGACACGACTTAATTGGGAAATTCGAGATTTTATATGGGTAGCTGGGATAGAAGAATTATTCAAAAGCTGGGGGATACCTCGACCTTGGAGATCCAGGCCCCAAGAACCCCGCTTTATGATGTCACGTGGATAAGTATGGAGTAATTGCTAAGACGGAGATACTTTCTGAGTCCCACTCCTTAAACGCTTAGCCTCATAGCGCTATACTTCGACCCTCGCAGCTTTCCAGGGATTGGCATCTCCCCGTGGGACATAGGCAACCTGGGGCATCTTGATCTCGATCCAAGTCATGCCATGGTGAAGTCACCCCATCTAGATCAAGCTGCACAAGCGCGGGTGGAGACTCATCTGATATGGGCTTAAACGAGGCAGAGATTCCGAAAGAGCCTCGGCCACGGCCACGCCTACCCGATCGGTTTGGCCTCATCCGACCACCGAATCTCGGTATGTCGCAAGGAATGAGGTGGAATAGATCGAAGTCGGCCATGCTATCCGGCACCCTAGATAGCTTGTCATGGCGGTTGGTTGGGTATATCTTCATTGCTGTCTTCGGACAATCCTGATTCCACCGTTTGTGGACCACCTCGCTGTCGACGAAGGGCTATTCAACTTTGTACAGCTTGATTGTTCTGAAGTCGCTGAGCTTGCTCAATTTTACATCTTTAGATCTGAGGTCAGAACGCGACGATGCCAATTAAGTCGCGCTGGACGATCGATATTCCAAGATGCTCCCTTCCAACCTTTCTCTTCGGTTCTTCCGCCAATCTTCCTCATGCCCCCAATAACCCGGACAAAGTCTATCTTGCCGAAGCTGCCCGTCCCGGGACACACTTCCTCACACGTGCATCCTTCCAGCTATGGTGTCAACGATTCGCTCTGGGACTTCGGGAGTCTGGGTGGTTTCATCCGGGTGACCGTCTTCTTCTCTTCAGCCCTAACGATATATTCGTGCCGGTCATTTTCATGGGGACAATCATGGCTGGAGGCATCTTCACGGGAGCCAATCCAACGTTTACCTCTCGAGAGCTGGCTTACCAGTTGCGAGACTCTGGGGCCACGCTGATACTTTGTCACAACTCTGCCCTTCAGACCGGACTACAAGCAGCCAAAGAGGCACGTCTGGATTTGTCACGGGTCTTTGTCTTCGACAGTGCGGTATATGATGGCTCTGGGTCAGGTGTGGCCGGTGCTGCCTACTGGGGTGATCTCATTTCTGCAAACGCCGAGAAAGCCAAACACTTTGTCTGGGACGATTTGACCGGCCCAGGCGAATCTGACCGCATCCTCGCGCTCAACTACTCGTCAGGAACTACTGGCTTTCCCAAAGGAGTTGAGATCAGCCACCTCAATTACATTTCTAATACTATGCAGACTGTGTATGCAATGCAGTTGCACCCGGACTACGAAATGAGAAAGGCGACGGGCATCTCGCTAGCATACCTCCCTCTCTATCATGCATATGGTCAAACGGTTTACATTGCCAGCTATTTCCACCATGAACGAACAGTACTGGTAATGGCCAAGTTCGACTTCGTTCAAATGCTCGAGTACGTCCAAAAGTACAAGGTTACGGATCTCCATCTTGTACCGCCAATTGCTTTGGCACTAGCGAAGCACCCGATTGTTGACAAGTATGACTTGAGAACGGTCAACTTCATTGGGTGCGGATCTGCCCCTCTTGGGAGAGATATTGCAGAACAAGTTGAGCGAAGATTGAATCGGAAGCGAAAAGAGGAAGAGATGCTGAATATGAAACAAGGTTGGGGTATGACCGAGTAAGATTCCACAATGCTAATTTCTCCTCGCAAATGCGTCAATGTGTGGAAGCACTGACTATGTGATCAGAACCACATGCTCCCTTCTTTTCCCGTACATCAATGGCGTGGTCAATGATAACTCAGTTGGCGAGCCCCTTGCGGGCACTGAGGCCATGATTGTGGACGAACATACTGGCAAAGAAATCACTGCTCGAGGTCCCGAAGCTCGAGGAGAATTGTGGTGTCGGGGGTTAAATATCATGAAAGGGTATGTTCAATCTTCCATCTTTGCCGGACACCAAAACCAATGGACAATCTCACACCACCAAATTTACTAGCTACTGGAAGAATCCCCAGGCCACAGCAGAGACCCTCACACCCGACGGATGGCTCAAAACTGGCGATATCGCTTATGTCACACTTGCCGGAGAGTTCGTGATTGTCGATCGACTTAAGGAACTCATTAAGGTCAAGGGCCATCAGGTTGCCCCTGCAGAGCTTGAGGCATTGCTTTTAGAGCATCCCGCCATCAATGATGCTGCGGTCATTGGCATACCGACGCCGGATGGCGACGAGTCCCCTCATGCTTTCATAGTACGCGAGCCCTCCAAAGCGGGTAATCTAATGACTGCAATCGAAATACAAAAATTTGTTGAGGCAAAGGTGGCTAGATACAAGCGCTTGTCGGGTGGGGCGACATTCGTTGAGGAGATTCCACGAAATCCAAGCGGGAAGATTCTGAGAAGACAGCTACGCGATCGATATGTGTCGAAGAAAGGATACAGTGCGCGGTTATAGATGTTACATCGGGATGAGTCGATCACACGACCAAAAGTAGAAAGGAGATCATGCGGTCTCAAGTCTCAACATGCAGAGGGACTTCGCTGGCATTGATGCAAAAGTCGCGGACCAGCCTTTCGACTCCGGAGTATGAATTCGCAAGTGTACCTGTAAGCCGTTAGAGAATATCCCGCACAGTTGAAGTGCTCGATTCCTGTCCATCGTTCGTAACCTGGCTAAATGATGGGTATGCCAACACTTTCCGCTTCGTTTCGGAACCAATACGATAGCACTCTAGTACAAGTGTCGAGTCGGTCGTCGGCTAGACCCTGTCAGCTTATTTCGCTCCAATTCTTCTCCGAAGATGGATATCCAGGAGCCCCGGCACATGCATCCCCATGGGGACAGATTCCCCCGGACGCCTAGAGATAGCCGAGGACGCAGCGGAGACACTTACCCTTTTCGACATACAGCCTTCGTCAACACAACAGCCATATATATGAATCGATCCTGGAATACATCAAACCTTGGAAATAGTGTGTAAATCTGTTTCAACCCGAACTGGACAACCAAATAAGCTATGGCGGTTCCAAAAGAGGCCAAAAATGAGCCCACCACCTTTCACGGCGAATACCAAGAACGTGACGATCAGAAAATGACTCCTGTTCAAGTTGCAGAAGATGGTCGGACCCTCCAGCAAGAGATTGAATCGTATGAGACTCGTGACGTGGATATTTGGACAGTCATGGCTTGTGTGGTACGTCGTTGTGCTTGATTCCATAGATGAAGGGGCAGGAAACGGCGAGAGTGAAATGCTCAGTTGGCTCACCAGACTTGCAGGCAATCGCATTCACCTACGAAGCGTGTCTCTTCTCCTTCGTTCTACCGTCTGCTATACTTTTGACGATCAATAGCGCTATCGGACCATCGGATCGGATTTCTTGGATCCCTACAGCGTGGACTCTAGCCGCGGCTGTAGTCACTACCATCGCTGGCCGCTGTAGTGACATCTTCGGACGAAGGAATTTCTTCCTTGTGGGCAACGCCTTAGGGCTAATTGGTAGGCAAGCTCTCGCCTTCGAACAAGATTTCGTCGCATGAGAGTCCGCACAGGGAACTGAATTAGTTACTACAGGCTGTTCTATTGCGTCCAGGGCACATTCAGTTGGGAATATCATAGCTGGGTCGACTTTAATGGTTCGACCCTCTTTCTACACGGTGAACTCAGCTGATATGGATTACAGGGCGTCGGTGCAGGACTCCAGCAGCTCGCATTCGCAGCCTCTAATGAGATCGTACCTAAGAAGTGGCGAGGAGTGGTTGTGGGTTTGCTCAACCTCGCTGCCTTGCCTGGCTCAGCGTTCGGCTCAGTTATTGGTAAGCTTCTCTACGCGAGGGACGTTAACCCCAAATGCAAGGAGACTAAACATTCCCACAGCATATGCACTGGTTGCTCACCTGAACTGGCGCTGGGCGTTCTACTTAGGTATCATAGCTAACGGGTTTGCTCTTTGCCTCATTGCCATTTTCTATTGGCCTCCGCGTTTCGTGGAGCTTCATGCAGACGGAAAGACGCGCCTTGAGCAGGTCAAAGAGATAGATTGGATTGGCTTACTACTCTTCGGAGGAGGACTGGTGAGCTTCCTCCTCGGAGTGTCATGGGGAGACAATCCATATCCATGGATCAGCGCCCAGGTCCTCGCACCCCTCATTATCGGCGGTAAGTTTCTCCATCATCTGAGCACCATGCTCTGATTTTGACTGATGTATCACAATGAAGCTCTCTCTGTGTTAGTTGCTTTTCCTCTCTGGGAGGTGTTCAGCTCTGACAAGGTCGCCAAACTATGTCCTCCATCCATGTTTCGCAATGTTCGTGGTTTCGACGTTCCGCTGGCTGTTACCTTCCTCGGTGGGATGATGGTAAGCACATCTCCAGCACCTGTGCCGAATGATTGACACTCTGACTGAATGTCCTTGGTTTTGCAGTTCACTGGTCTCCAGGTGTTGTGGCCTCAAGGTAAGAAGGTTTGATCCTGATACAAAGGAGTCTTGAGCACTTATACGACGTCCACAGAGGTTCAGCTGCTATACACTGTGATTCCCACTACTGTTGGCTGGTATAGTCTGGCCTACAATGCATCTGCCATGGGTAAGCAAATTCTTTGGTGGATTCCCATTGACCGGCCACTAGCTCACCTCAGACTCATAGCGGGTGGTTTGATCTCCGGTGCCTTGTTTGCAGTCATCAAAAAGACAAACCGTCAATATCTTGCAGTCTGCATCATCCAGACAATTTTCATCACCTCGCTCTCCTCTGTGACACAGCACACCCCAGGAAGAGCTATTGCATTTGTGGCAGTTGCTGCCTTCGCCGTTGGCGCCCAGCAAGTGATCGGGATGCTCATTATCCAGTTCGGCGCGAAAGACCATGAAATAGGACTTGCCTCTGGGTGAGTCCAATCTGCTCCAGATCGGCAAGACATTTTGTCATCTGAGCGAAATATTGAATATGCTGGCTAATTATTTAATTGGCAGGATATCAAACTCAGTGAGATCAACTGGCGGCGCTATCGCCATTGCAATCTATTCAAGCATTTTGAACTCGAAGGTGAAGCACAATCTAGCCGCAGAAGTGGGAGCTGCTGTTGTACAGGCGGGCCTGCCGGCTACAGAGATTCCAACTTTCATCAGTATGTGTTGCGCTGCCAGAATCCCGACTATTCCCCTTTATTTGGCAGGATTCAGAAGGTCTCATGCTGATTCATCTTAGTGGCGCTGGTTTCTGGGTCCGTTGCTTCCTTGGACAGTCTTCCAGGGATGACCCCTCAGATCTTGCTGGCCGGCATTAATGCGGCGAGAGGCGTATATGCAGACGCCTTTCGAATGGTGTTTCTCGTTAGCCTCGCTTTCGGAGGTATGTCTGGCCTGCAGTCCCGCGAAGATGTTCGTACCAGGGAGCATTGGCTAAATTTGTCTTGTACCACAGCATGTGCATGCATTGCCGCAGTCTTTGTCACCAGCGTGGATCACCACTTGACAAGGTGAGCTTTCATCTCAGTTTGATGCCGGTTGTCCAATAAATTATCACTGACTCGCTTCTGTAGACACACGGCTGTCCATGTACACAAACCACATCTTATGGGGGCCAAAGAAGAGAATACAGCTGACTGGACCGAGACGGAGAAGAAATGAGGGAAGCAAGCTTGCCAAGTCCGGATACTGCTCTGGACCGAGTCATGTCAGGCTTGAGCTTATGGCCTCTTGAGAAGAGGATAGCAAAAACCCACAATCTGTAAATCTTTGTGATTCTTGCCCTAATTCGTTAAGACGCTGGCTATGATACTTCGTGCTCTTTTAGACTATGTTGAAGAAAGTTACAAGTCTCATGATCTAAGAAACTATCTCCGTCAGCAAATCTTGCGGCCAAAACGGAGCGTCTTTGCCATTCCCCCTCGTGCCAACATTGTACCTGAGCTCGACTTGGTCATTGTCAAACTTGATGATCGGTTTGACAGTTCGGTGAATCGAGTCGATTGCCTTGCTTGGTCTGTCTTCGAAGAAGGCATCATTCAAGAGCGTCGACGCGCAGCCTTCCCGTATCATTCCAAAATATTCGCGCAATGTGAAGTTCATGTTATGGTAAGACCTGGATGTCGAGGTTATCCTATCAGCTAAGACTTTTCTCGGTATCAATCTGACACTGCTGCAAATGACGAGAATGCAAGCTTGAAGTAACATAAGACTTACCTGTAGACCTTATTCCCGTTCCTCGCCCAGACATCTTGCCAAACCGGATCTGGATATTCGCCGACTTCGTCGACAAGCCATTGATTGTAGTAGTTCAGTGCCAAATCAATCTTGTAACTCCCTCCCTCATCTGCCCTGCGCATTAAGGCATTGAGGACAGCGACCGTCCCAGCAACTCCGACCATGAAGTCACTGTTCGGAAAGACGGGCGTGATAGCTTCACCATCGGGAAGACCCATTGCTCGTCCGAAGCCCGCTGATACACCAACACAGGCGTCACTAACTTGCTGCCAGCCAGCACGATGACTCCATGGTCCATGCCACCCGTAGGTGTTCTCGCGAACCGAGATAATACCCCTGTCACGGTCCTTGACTGAATCGAGAATGGCTTGTTGGCTAAATCCGTACTTGTCGAGTACACCAGGTCGATATCCCTGGACAACAACATCGGCATCATAGATAAGATCCCGTAGCTTTTGCCTGTCGTCTTCTTTTGTCAGATCCAGACTGCACTGCCATTTGCCCCAGCCCATGTCTACTGCGAGGATGGTGAAATCGGCGATATGAGGAGACGTGACGCGCATTACACTGGCACCGAGTTCTGCTAAGCCGCGAGTCACCGCAGGTGCTGCTATAACGCGCGTTAAATCAACAATTTTGAGCCCAGCAAGTGGTCGCTGGGCAGTCGTTTGTAATGTTGGAGGCCACCAGCAAGGTCCATGTGCAGCAGAGGTTTCGACTCGGAAAATCTCATATAGACCGACGTGTGCATTCCCTTTTCCGTGTTCGGTAGATCGAAAGGATTCAACTGTCTCACAGATCACTCCTGCCTGCTTGTAAACCTCCGATGCAAGGTGCTGCATGGTGGAGGAGTCGATTGTAGCCATTCGCTCAATGAACGGCTTCATTGCATCGTCCCAAGTCTTCAGCTCAGGTTCGTCCATGGGCAAGCCCAAACTTGTTAACGTGGGATCGGGATTCATACTTCCATGAAGTTGGAAGTACCGCTTGTCTTTCGTGCAGTATATACTTGTTGCGCATTGTCTGTAAAGTGACGAGCTCATGTTGTGAATGTCGTAGTTAGGAAACAGTTCATATAGTCGCGCAGGCAGAGGCGTCTGCTGTAAAGAAATTGCGCGATCTGTCCCAGGATCGATTGTCCAAACAAAAGTTGACATGAAGAACAGTTGTGCATGGTCTGTATTGATCTCAGCGCCCGCAAGCTGAATCCCATATTTCCGCTTCACCAGGGCGGCCACCGTACAAGCTTCCAAGGCTTTCAGACTTGCTGCTGACTCCGCGAAGCGCCAATTAATGGCTATGGATGGCAATGGAGAACCTGTGAAGCTTATCTGATCGGCGAATTCGAGGGCTTCAGAGGGAACATCCTTGTTGAATCTAGGGTTCTTCAGTAATGCTTCTAGCAGGAGGCGTCGGGCTTCAAGCTGAATCGAATACGGCGAGGTATCAGATCCAGCAGCAGCAGAATCACCCATTGTCCGTAGCAGGCGATCAGCAGGTGGAAAGTATGGTTTCTGAGATCAAAGTTTTCAAAAACAGTGTCATGTTCCACTCAGACTGCTCTCTTGTGGCTATATGCAAGTTGCACTGCGTTCTGGCTGGTTATTATATGGACACCTGGCTATGATCAGAGTATTTCTACTTCGGTACTCGGTAAACTGAATCAGCATCTACGACAGCATGCAGCTTTGGCTAGTCTTTGTCGAGGAGAGGTGCCCACGGGCGCTACGGCTGAACTGCAATTACACGAGAGCTTCGCCTTGGCCAAACACTGAACGACAATTCATATTTTAGAGAGAACCATGACAGCGATTTTCAGGTACTTGCAGATTTTATGGCGCCTCGGTCCGCGGTCATGCCTTCCTGGTACATCGATACGCGGATGGCTGCCCGAGGGCCCAAAACGGACATGTAGGCCGCGGGTGGACCCAGTCGCTCACTTCCGCGTTCACATCGGAGGACGGGCCAAATAAAGTACCACTGCGGTAGGAGAAAAGTGTAGGATTGATGGGGTACTCCAAAAGACCGAGTTCTGATCTAAAAGCCAGACTCGGCCGTTGGCTGTTTCAGCAAGTCATCCTGACAAGCGGTCCAGGCGAGTGGGCAGAATAGAAATGTTTCAGAATTCAGCCACCAAGACCTCAGGGTGAAAGTCAAGCCGATGCCTGTGACGTTGACAAGACCAAAGACATCAACAACACGCGTAAGAAGATGGATCCATGTATTCTTGTTCATGCACTTTTTTAATTTTCTGTCCTGAGAGTGAGGGAGTAAGAGAGAGCCTTTGGTACTCGAGTTGGATGGCTTGATGCATTGAATACTACAACGCCATAGCCTGAGTGCCTGGGTGCCTGGGTGCCTGGGTGCCTGATTCCTGATTAGCCACATCTTATTAGAAGCGAAACTCGAGGTACTTAGTCTTGGGTAACAATACGCGTGGTGGTGATTGTACCTATCTTTGTCGACAGAGGGGGAGCCTAGAAGGTGGCCGAGATGAGATGCGGGCGCAGACTGGAGATTAGGAAAGGCCGTTATGGAGGCTTGATGGCTCCTTCCCGTCCCAACCCCTGCTCCTGCCTCCATAACCTCCCCTAATGATCTCAAGTCTTGGCACACCGTCTTTTAATCTTCAACCGCCTTTGCACGTTTCCACCCCCGTCTTTCTCACCACGGACTTCGATCCCTCATCCTACAGAGTACTCATTATAACACCCATGCTTCGAAAGGGGCCGAGGGGCCACATCAGGCCCTGGTGTCCCGCTTTCACACTACTGTATCTCATGATGAATCCATAATTATTAAAGTACGGTATGTCCGCCCCATGCCTGATTGTGGATTCATTCCGACTGGCCGTCTCACGATGGATGGCCCATCTCATCTGACCATCACCGTGGCGCCCCACGTTGCCAAACAACAAGGATCACAGTGTACACAGGCACACAGGCTACAGCAGGTAGGTACAGCAAGAATGACATCTGTTGATCTTCTTATAAACCTCCCCCGGCTCCACCAGGTAGGTCTTCTTCTCCCTCGTACTCGACATCACTGTGTATTTCTGTTAGCACTCTCACATTCGTTTATTGGCTTGAGGTGTCGGTGACCCTCGCCGTTCATTCTTTATCCCCAAAGTACGATTGTATCGTACGTTCAGTCTTTTGTCAAGCCATTCGCTGTTGTTTCTATCTATCAATCCCGGACCTTGTTACCTCGATCCTGTTTCACCAGCCTCGTCGGACACCGTCCCCATAAAAAAAATGGTTGCTCTTCTCGCCGCCAGCCTCGTGGCCGCATTGGCTGTTTCTCCAGCAGCCGCCTTTTGGCGACTCCCATGCAAATCCCCCATCGTCGTCGAGCGATCGGATCCTATCGTTCAGCCTGGCCAGGTCTCCAACCATCTCCACACAATCATGGGTGGAAATGCTTTTGATTTCGAGATGACCTACAATGACACTCAAAAGTCCACCTGCACGTCTTGCACCGTCGCTGGTGATTTCAGCAACTACTGGACCCCGACCTTGTTCTTCCAACACCAGGACGGAACCTTCGAAAGTGTGCCTCAAATTGGTGGTGCTTTGGTTTACTATCTTCAACGTGGAGGCCAGGGCGAAAAGATCCACGCCTTCCCCGCTGGCTTCCGCATGGTCGCTGGCAACCCCTTCAAGCGTACTGCCGGCAACGACTTTGCTAGTCAAGCCATCAGCTACAACTGCTTGGATTATAACGGTCCTGCAAAGCCCGAAACTCCCAACTTTCCAAACTACAATTGCCCCAATGGTCTTCGTGCTCAAGTGTTTTTCCCTGCTTGTTGGAATGGAAAGGACTTGGATTCCCCCGATCACAAGTCTCACGTCTCATACCCTGCCAATTCCTACAATGGTGGCTCATGCCCTCCCGAGTTCCCAATCCACCTCATCTCCATCTTTTTCGAAGTCATCTGGGATACCAACAAGTTCGCTAGCAAATGGTACGGCAACAAACAACCTTTTGTCTGGTCCATGGGTGATCCCACTGGCTATGGCGGTCACGGAGATTTCCTCATGGGTTGGGATCCTGCTCATCTCCAAAGAGCCGTCGATCAATGTACCAACGACAGCGGTCGTGTCGAGGATTGCCCGGTCTTCAATCTCATTCCAGACAAGCAGGCCGAGGGCTGCAAAATCCCCACCGGTGTCAACGAAAAGGTTTCAGGAATTTTACCAGCTCTACCCGGCTGTAATCCAGTTCAGCCAGGCCCAAATGCCAGCCCTCAACCAAACACGTGTGGCGCTCCTACCGAGATCGATTACTCTGATCAATCAGGCTTCGTTGATCTAACATCGAAGGGTTGGGGCTATACGGGCTGTGGTACCGATGACTACTACAATCGGGTTTTGACTGGTGCAAGTACTGCCAACGATCAAATGACAAATGAAGCCTGTGTTGCTTTCTGCGAAAGCAAAGGGTTCTCTATCGCTGGCACTGAATACGCTCGAGAATGCTTTTGTGAGTCCAAAGTTTGGTTAAGATGGTCAATTGGGTGTTAACAGTAACTAGGTGGCAACTCTCTCCCTGAGAAGGCCAAGCCCATTCCCGGCGTTGCTGGCACCTGTAGCATGCCTTGCATGGGTAATGCAGATCAGTTCTGTGGCGGTCCTGGCGTCCTCACCCTCTACACCAAGGGTACACAAAATACTGGCGCCCCTGGCGGCCGTGGCAGCTCCAACGGCGGTGGCAGCACTCCACCGGCTTCTTCCCCTGCTCCAGTGGTGCCTTCATCTTCCGCTCCAGCTCAAAGCTCTCCTGCTACTTCATCCACGACAACGACGAAACCTGTGACTTCAAGCACAAAGGCACCAACACAACCCGCTTCTTCGTCCAGCACAAAGGCACCAGCACCAGCCTCTACCACCAAGGTAAGTTCCTCTAATCTGATCCCCGGTAGATCCTCGACCACCAGTGTGGTCGAGGTGAAATACAGAGTCATTGTCTGACTGATCAAACAACAGGCTCCAGCACCGGCTCCATCGTCCTCCAACACTGCTTGGGCGTATCAAGGCTGCTTTGTCGACGAACTCAACCCTCGCAGTCTACCACAATGGTCCAACTTCAACGGAAACACCATGACGAATGACAAGTGCATCGCATTCTGCGAGTCTCGCGGCTTCAGCATTGCAGGCACCGAGTATGCCGGAGAATGCTTCTGCGGCAACTCACTGACCACAGCCAAGCTTGACGAGTCCAAGTGCAACATGTCGTGCAAGGGCAACAGCAAGGAGAAGTGCGGTGGACCAGCTGCGCTCAGCGTGTTCAAGAAGGGAGCCGCCAAAGAAAAGAGAGCTAGCTTCATGGTGGCGGAGAAGCGCCACTTGGGTCACCTCGCCCGCCATGGACGTCGCTCTGCTGGCTTCTGATTGCCGACTTTGACTTGAGTCAAGATTTATTGATGGGAAACCCCGTACGTCGGGCTCAGAACACCAAACATATGTCATTGATGGACAGGATGTGTTTTTGGATGAAGTTATGTCCTCTGTCGATTGTATCAGTTGGATCAACGTACCGACATCGCCAGTTGTCAGTCGTCTGTTGCATTAACCTTCTAGCTCAAATGTATTAACTATATACATCACATTTATGCCCTCATTATCAATCACAGTGCCCAGAAAGAAATGATATCAATTGAATATCTAGGCGTGCATGACTTGAATATCTTGTATGATTCTCTATCTTGCGGTATTCAATTGGTTGGGTACCACTATCTCTGTGGACCCGGTCAAAGAGTCGGCCATCGCTCTTCCGTCCCTGGGGGATTGAGCAAGACGTGGTGGGTCGATGATATTCATCTCTGATCATAACGCGAGCCCAATGGAGGTCATCCCTGAACATGGGGATGGGATATCATTATAGAAACGTGTTGCGTGCGTTAAGCTGTTCTCGACAGGCAAACGATCAGACTCCCAATTCCTGCGTTGATTTCCTATAGCTGATGCTACATGATGTTGACGCAAAGAGACCTGGAACGGCCCGGCTCATCCGGGCAGAATTGCTTCCGGATCGACCATAGCATTCAGTTCCATTATGACCTATGACGTGGTATAGATCAGGCGGGGGTTAACTGCGACGGGAATTGAGATTTCCCAATCTCCCATTCGGCGATAGGAACCGTGGCGAAGTGGACGTATTGTTAGTATTCTCCCTCAACGTCATCATCATGTCGACCCCCGATCAAGGGACATATTTCGGCAACTGATTACCGTCATCTTGACGAGGATTGGGGACGGCGGTCGAGGCATCCGGGTCCTGACCGCCATGTGGTGATCGAGTCTCGTCCATATCAGTCGATCGAAAGGGGATTTCATGGGGATTTTGAAAAGTTATTGCAGGTGGGACATCCTCATCACGGGCTCGGGCTCGGGCTCGGTCTTCGGCGGCTTCCTGGTCTTTGGATTTAGAGGATTTTGAGTGTTGTTGCTGTTGCCCAGAAGGCGCAGCAAGTGATGAGTGGTCGACATATGGCGGTAATGAAGTTTTGGTCAGTTTTTCTTTTGTCTTGGTCTTGGTCTTGTCACCTCCAGTCAGAGAGGAAGTCAGAGGCGAGTTCCCCGATGCAAGGGCCGTGCTTGTGGGAGTGAAGCCCGGTTTCTCTTTCTCGCCACGTGATGATCCCGTCGGCATCGCGCTCATGGCGTCTTCTCCTGATACACGGCGACGATTCCAGAGTCCATTTGAACTGCTTGTGACTGATGTCGCGTGGGCGAGGTCTGCACCTAGGTAGTCGTTGCCCACCCCACTGCTAGGGAAGGAGGACTGGGTGGTTCCAGCGGGGAGGATGACGGTGGTTGGATCCCCGTTCTTCTTGGATGAAAACTTCTCCACCTTTTCCGCACACTCGACTTCGAGATCCCATGTCAAGAAATATTCGCGAGCGACGTTGAAGGTGTTAAAGCTTGGGCATAGCGGCGTTTCGAGCTTGGAGCCCAGATTGGCGTTGCCGAGACGGAGGTCGCAGAGGGCACCCAGATCTAGGCGTGTGTCTGTGTCTGAGTCGAGTTTGAGAGACGGTGATAATGGCTGATCTAAGGATTTCTTGGCCAGAATGGGAAGCTCGTATGTCTTCCGCTCAGAATATGTGCCGGCTGCCCGGCAGCGCACGTGGGTTTTGAGTTGGATCGAGGCGTTGCGTAGCACGACTCGTGGGAACCCAGTCGATGTATCGACGGTGGTGTTTTCGGGCGTTTGGTCTGGTGTCAGAGTTATTAGGAATGGAATGGGCGTGGGATGGAGCAGCTGGATCGTGGTGGGAGCTTCGACTTTGAGGGTGAATGAGTACTTGGGAATGCTGTCTCGGTGGAAGAGGGAGCGTGCTCGATCGCGTAACCCTAGAGAGGTACCGGCATGTTCGGGCAGTAGCTTGAGAGTAGAGATGGTGATGAGACGACTGTCTTCGATCAAGCCCCAATCCTGGATTGGTTCTGGGGTTGATAGTGGGTGAAAGGTGAGGGGAAGAGTCGAAGTCTTGCTCTGGGGTTTACGTATCTTGTGAAGGCCCTCGGGCTCGGTCAGGGTGGTGGATAGGACATATTCGACAAAACACTCGGCCTGACGACCAAACATGATTCTGCTGTGATGATTTGACGGGGGCAGCACCAAATTGAGGCCGTCCTCGTCGGCGGTGGTGGTGCCAGAGAAATGGTCTTTGGGCTTCCACTTGTCGCCGGCGAGAACGGAAGTAGGATCAGCTTGTGAAGGGATGATAAATTCAAAAGGCCAGGAAAATGTGCCTGGCTTGTGGGTATATTGACCTTCGTAGAGGACTTGTTCGAGGTCGAAGAGAGTTGTACGTCCTCGGTGGTAAGTGACGGCTTGTCCATGCTGTTGGATGATCCTCGACTTGGTCCGTCCCCACAGGTTGACGGCGATTTTTCCAATGGCACTATCTTCGGCCGTGTTCAAGACGACTTGTCCCCGTATGACATCGCCTGGTGAGTACACTTGTCGGGGATTCTGGATATCAAAGGACAATCCGGGGGAATTCTCCGTCTTGGTGAGTCCCATAGTGAATGGGATTTAGCACTGCCGTGTGCCCCTTTGTGGTTCAGATCTGGGTCTGGAACTCGACCCACATTGTTTGATAAAGCTCGATTTATATATGGGGAAATAGATCATGAGATAGTCTTGTGCCAAAAGTACATTGGGCCAGGGTTAAGGTCAGCGTCAGCAATTGCCTCAAGGTCTGCCTCGATTTTGGGTTCCGAATACGTCAGGGCACAAGACGGTTCAGCCTTGGATCGACGTGATGGTAGCTCCCATTGGTGGTTTGGTTCTGCCTCGGGTGGCTTGCATTAGCTCCATAAGGCGGATTTCTACTTCGCCCAGATGCTCCCAAGGTATAACATTGATGAGTCCTAGGCACAGCGATTTGTGGTTTGGTGGTTGGTTCTGTTTTTGTAGAATGTTGAGTCTAATATAGAGATAAAATGTTTATGGCCTGTTGTCTTGATCGCATCACGGCAGGCACGACACGTGAGCTGAGCGATGAGGGATCAACACGTGAGAAATGGGAGCAATCCAACCACGTGATTTGAGATGATTGGTGCCTGAGCATTTTGCTCTTCAGCTCACGGGCAGTGATCTCATCAAAAGCCTAACAATAGATGGTGAATTCCTGGTGCCTGGTTGTGTGCCATTTCTGCAATGGACAAATGATAAAAATGAAACCTCAGAAAAGAAAAAGCGTCCAGTTAGGCTGTGGAATTAGATTACACCAAGCCTTTAGGCATGAAATGATCTCTCTATCTATACCCAGCATCAGACGATTCAAGATCTGTCTATCCTTCTAGGAGCATTTTTCAGAATGCGAACATGACTGCCGATCACACGCCACCAAAGGACAACCCTGTATTGTGGCTTACAACTTGATCTTCCTGTCAGGCTTAAATAGCCCCTCCTTTCCGGGCTTGATGGCCACGAACGTCACTATACTCTCACACAAGACCTGACCAGACGAATCCTGAATGACAGCCTTTGTGGTAAACTTGTTCCTATCCAACTTGTTGGTGTTATACCAGGCGCGGACTTGGACGACCTGACCTGTCGCGACGGGCCGGCGATACTTGACGGTCAAATCGCCTGTGACTGTGGCCCAGAGTGGAAGATCATGGCCCGGCCGGGGGTTTTCTACTTGCAGGCGATAGTTATGGCGCCCCAATAAACCTGTGACCTCGTCGGCGATACAAGCGGCCATGCCGCCGTGCATGATGCCCGGATAGCCATTGAGACCATTGGCCAGAGCGATAAAACACCTGACTTCCTGGATTCGGGGTTGAAAATGGTCGGGGGGTAACGTGGGGTTGGTTTGACTGAGGTCCACGAGCTTATACTGTGTCATAAACGCTGGCATGGTTTCTGCTGTGGCTAGGGTTCGCGCGAACAATGCATCCCGTATTGCGTCTTTGCCCCTGCGCGATATCGTGTCTATCGTGATGAAGCTCTGATCTTTGAGAAGCTCGACACACCATGGCACTGAGTTGAAGTAGGCAGTATTTTCGTCTGTCGCGGAAATGGCGCTGGCATCAAGTGCAATTAGGTCGTCTGCCATGGTGGGATACAAGGAACTTGATCAGTGTTTTGCGATATCGACGTGGAAGGATTGTTTCTAGGGTTGTAGGACCTTGCAGGTCAAACAAATCTGTTGTTATCAGGAACATGCCCGTCTTTTCAACCACCTTCGAGTCGAAAAGGGTTCTGGCAAGGGAATGGATTTGGCAAAGACGTCGTTACCTCGGTACTTGGCGGGTAACAATGTCGAGAAAGCGATCGGAGCGAGATGTGATTAGCCCCACGTGATTTTCGGCATATCTACATGCCAACCCAAAATGAGATGTAGACAGAGCTCTATTAGGCTCTTGCTACATACATCTATACAGAGACTCACTGACTGCGTGATTGGTCCTATAGTACAGCGATGGTTACCAAGATATCACCTGATCCGACACATCATTCTCGGCTGTCAACATGCTATACAAAGCCCTACAAGACAACAAACCAATCTACCTCAAATTTGGTCGAGGAACACTTGTTTCCAGAGTCTTCAGAAGCTTTTGCATTTCTAAGCCTTGCTCACTCGTCGACTGTTTCTTGCAGTACACCTTCTCAAGTCACTTCACAAGCCACGGGTATATCTCACTATTACAGACTGCTCATCTTCTCCTCCAACAAATGCCATGCCTCTCATCGACTCAAAGCCACTGGCCCCTCCCAAACCCCCTTGTCATGCCGTGCCATACCATGTTATCCCGTGCCGCGTTGGTGGAAACATGACTCCAACTGTCCCACGATTCTCACATTTCACCAGTGCCTGTGCCCATGCCATGATTGTATATCTTCATTAATACTGCAAAAGAATTCGTGCCCTGCCCTGCCCTGCCGTGCAGGGCTATGTTGACATCCAACGCCATGGTTTAAGTTTGCTTCTAACGCGCATGTCGGGCCCTGCTGGCACCCGTCCTTCCAAAATCATGTACATAGAACGCGAGCGGCCTCTCACTTGACCAGACTGGCCGCCGCTGCCGCTGTCGCCAGGTCAGATCTCCCGCTCAGACTCCGGGGGGCCACTGTCAACCTCCTCAAGTTCGAATTCGACGCCGATGATGTCATTGCCGCATGTGATGCCCGTTTGGCTTGTGCCGTGCCCAGTGAAGCACCGGGCGCGGTGGACTGTCGACGTGCCCCTGCTTTGTTCGGTGATGAATCCTGTCGAAGGCTGACGGGGGCTTTGAGTCCGCCTGCCGGGGGTTGCGGCAATGGCCGCGCTCCTCCTGACGTCGTGATCGAGTTGACTCTCTTGATGGGTGAACTGCCCATCCCGCCTGCAAAGTTCCGCCGCGCAGCAGCAGTGCTCATCTTGATCCCCGTGATGAACTCGTGCTTGTTCGCCTCATGTGGTGTCATCCTTCGAACTGGATCCCATTTCAAACACTTTGTGATAAAATCCAGAAATGCTTCGTCGTCGCATTTCAGCACCTGTCGCAGTTCCTTGGAGCTCGGTCGTCGTCGTCGTCCCTTGGACGACACCGTGATTCGCGGCTTGCCCATCGAGTCAAAAAATAATTTCTTCCGACTACTCTTTTCAATCAAATGCTTTTCCGGGGGTCCAAACACTTCCATGATACACGCCAATTGCTCCTGCTCGTTCTCTCCAGGGAATATTGGATACCCAGTGAATAGTTCAGCCAATATACACCCAACGCTCCACATATCGATTGGCATGCCGTACGACATGCCTAATATCACCTCGGGCGATCGATAAAATCGTGATTGGATGTACGTGTACACCTTCTCGTTTTCGAAACAGCTCGATCCGAAATCTATCACTTTGATCTCCGAATGTACTGGGTGGGCAAGCAGAATATTTTCCGGTTTGAGATCACAATGGATTACCTTGTGTTGTTGCAGCAGAATTAGACTCTGCAAAAGTTGTTTGGTGAATCGTCGAATCAGTTTGAGTGAGAACCCTCGGAAGTCGTGCGCCTTGATGAACTCGTAAAGATTCATGCCCAAAAGGTCCGTCGAGATACATAGGTGGCCTCGGAAGTAAAAGCTCTGGTCGAAATTAACAACGCTGTGCTTCTTGTGCGGATCCTGTTCCTTGTCAGTAATTGCTCATCAAGTGGTTCAGCCAAACTCACCCATTCTCGGAGCTTCTGGAGGATGTTGACCTCAACCAAAGCTTGTTGATGAAACCGTTTCTTGTTGCGGATGATCTTGACTGCAACAAGAATTCCTGTCTTGTGGTCGACACACCGCACAACTTGACCGAAGCTACCTTTGCCCAGCAAGTCAACGACTTCGTACCGGTACGCGAGATGATCACCTTCCACGATGTTATAGTCACCTCGGTCATCATCGTAGCCAAAGTTGGAGGATGCCGAATTCAGATCTCCAATGATTTTCCGTGCTTTGGCAGTTCCTGTAAAGTAAATGTGGCCATGGTCGACAATCTCCCCTCTTTCGAAAATGTTCAGATCGAACATTCGCGAGGCTGTGCCGGCAGACATCCGGCGGACTGGCCTGGCTCTGGCCCGCAGTGCATCGAGTTCGCGGGCAGCCGACTCGAAATCTTTCCGTTTGCTCGCCAGTTTTCTCATCTCCTCTTCTGCGACAAGGTCGTCCCGGTCCAGAGGCGGCTCTTGCAGACGCTGGGAAGGTTGTTTGGCGAGCACGTGAGGAGCGTTAGACGTGAGCGACCCCGATCGATTGGTATGCATCATCAACGTTCTCCCAGCATCGACTGCCGGTCGAAGGTTCGACGGCTGCGACATTGTGCTGTCATGGCTGTCTTGTCTCTCGGGCGCGGTGTTGGTGCCAGACGTTGACGTTTGTCTTCTCGAACGAAGGTAGGACGGCCTTTGAGAGGGGCTCGTGTTACCGGCTTGAGGATTGGTCCAACTTGCAGACGCCGGAAGCTTGGGTGGCGGCATATTGTCATACTTGGCCAGTTTATCGCTCTGGACGACAGGTTCAGGGACCATGGATTCACTTCGTTTCCGGCTCAACTTCCGTCTCAGCGCGGCCGTCGAAAAGACGGATTCGCTTTCAGACGGCTTGTCGACACTAGCAGGACTTGCAGCTGGGTCGGTCTTGGGAGTTATAGAGAAGCTTGGGGCTCGTGGTCCGTTCGGTTTCGCAAGGCTCGGATTTCTGCTCAATTCAGTCATAAAGTTGGGTCTCATATGGTTCACAAACTCTCCATTGGATTTTGGCACGGAGGAGGAGACAAAGGGCGAGATGTTTCTTGTGTTGGACGTTGCAGTCTCGAATGAGAACGATGGAAGACTTGGGCTGTCATCACTGGGTGCCCGAATCTCAGCCGACCTTAGAGCATGATGCGAGGTGCTGCTTCGTAACAACGCTTCCTCAGCTGCTTTGTGAGAGCGTGAAAAGAATGTGGCTTTCGAGGCCGTCATGGGCGTGCTTGGGGTCTTCATCAGATTTCGAGATGTGGGCGGGGTCATCGAGCCGTCTGTAGATTCGACACTGGAGTGAAACGACTTTATCTTGGCGGCTGTTGGTGTCCCAAGGGGCAATAAATTCAGTGGTGGCAACCTGAGGGTCTGAAGATTCTTCTTGCTTGCTTTCAATGGTTGCTTCGCCTTGGTATCAGTGTCTGCAAGATGCAGGGCTGGTTGTGGTGGTGGGTTGGTAGAGACGTGTGACGACGTACTCGGGGCGCGAGGGGTCTCTAGCGCCTTCATGGCATCGGCGAGCGAAGCCACAGTTGGGCTTTCAGAGATTTGTACGTCGAAGGGAGGGAGACTAGAAGAGCGAGCAGAGAAGAAAGGTTGTTCATGTTCACTACCGGGTGATTCGTACGCCTTAGGTATGGCAGGCACCGGAGGAACCTCGAGCTCAAAAGTGGTAGTTCCCGACGTGTCCACTCGTGGCTTAGGGGTGGGCAAGCGTGAAGAATTGACAGCCTGGGGTAGCCTGGGCGGTGGGTTGGCTGCATTTCGCACAGAGCTATAACTAGTAGTTGACGAAAGTGACTGGCCCGAACTGTAAGACTTTCGATTGGGATCGGGGGTGGTCCGCGAAGAGGAAGGAGTGAGGCTCTTTCGACTTGTGAGGACTGGAGAGACAATATCTGAGTGGGGAAGTTGAGGAAGAGGTTCAGGCTGGGGAGTTGGGGGTGCCTGCGAGATGCGGCTCTGTGGTAGCGGAGGAGCCGGTGGGACGATGGACATACGTTTCATGCGCCGTGCGTCTGTCGGACTGACGGTACGAGCACCCAGTCCGGTAGCGTGAGGTGGCATGACCGACATTCTCCGGTTTCTGTCTGTATTGCCCCCTGGTGTGGTCGTCCTACCAGGTGTCGATTTCTCTCTTGTTGGAGTATGTTGTACCCCTGTGGAGGTAGACCTCGATGGGTCTGGAGTTCTCGACGGTGTAAGAAGGTCCTTGGAGACCTTCTTCCGGGGACCGAGAGAGCTTTTAAACTGAAGGCTCTTGGTACTCTCTGAACTAGACTTTCTCCCCCCAGCGCTTGGCCTTCTCTTGGGTGCCGGTGCCTTCTCTGACGAGTCTGGGGCAATGAATGTGCCAGGACCGACTGATTTCCGCGGGGCTTTGGTTGTGGTCCCACCAGCATTATTGAATGAGTTTGGAGGAAAGTGGCTCTGTCTCCTTCCCCTCAGGATCGAGGTTGTTGAAGCTGACATTATGTCAGACCGTATCGAGTTTCTCGAAGTATTCGACGCAGTCGAACTCTTGCGTGTAATTGGTATCACACCTGACCCCTTCCGAGCCGGGATAGGAATGGCCGGTTGTGTGGCCGGTTTCTTCTGTTCACTCGTGGAGGCAGGAGGGTCATTGGACGTAGCCTTTGCGGGCGGTTTAAGAGAAGGGGATTTGCCGGGAAGAGGGAAGTGGTTCAAGCTCGGTTCTGTTCCGACAATTGTGTCCTGAAAATCGTCAAAATTGAAAGTGGGCTCAAGGAAATCCCCAAAGTCTAGGCCTGCATCACGTTCCTCTTGTGGAGAGGCTTTGGGCTGTATGGATGCAAAGCTGAAGCGGGAAATGTCGTTGATGGATAGTTCTTTGGTGTATGGATCCTGGGAAGCAACTGCAGAAGTCCCACGTAGGGAAGCGAAGTGGGAGTTGCTGGTGGACCTACCAGAGGAAAGAACGGGTTAGTGAATGATAAGACTTATATTGTGGTGAAATTGTGGAAGCTGCGACCGGACACGCACCTTTTTCCGCCATTGACATTGTTGCCATGTTCCAACGAACGTGGTCCCATGAGAGTTTTGGCATTGGGGATGGAGGATTGCCTTCGTCTGGAGGTCAGGGTCGGGCCCTGGGCAGTGGATGTTGCATTATCTGGAGGGTCTCGTGAGCGAGAAGGCGCTGTATTGGTAGAGCTGTTCAGGGCAAAGGCGGAAGGAGGCTTTCTCGAAGATTGTGTGTTGGCTATAGGGTAGGCTGGTGTCAGTGGGGGTTGATGTCCTGCAGGTAGCCCGGGGATGGGTTTCGTACCACCATTGTCTTGATCATCGGCCTTGATCGAGTTTGTGTATCTTGAGGTGGTAATCGAAGACAAGGGTGCATTTTGTCGATAAGGCATGGCTATGGGTACGATGGCACGTCGGCCCTAAGGGGCAGGCCGTGGTGTTTCTCTGCCCGTCACCTTTGAGGGTGAGGTGTCGACATTGAAATCCGCTGGATTCTCAACGCATCTCCAACAACAAATTGACAGAGTTTGGATATCGAAGTCGTAGGATAGTGGCCTACGTCGCGACCGATTCACGAAAGGACCAGGGTGTGTGGTTGGGGCAATCAAGTGGCTGTCAAGGGCGGTGGTAGGAAGGCCAGAGAGTGGATCGTGAGGGTCAGGACACGCGTTGCTGAGAACAAGAGGTGGAATGCAGAGGGTATCAGAGCTGATACGGGGATCTCGGAAAGATAATTGATAGAGGTTGGCGTATAGAGATGAGAATAGTCGAGAACAACGAGTGAAAGGTAGGACAACGTCCTGCAAAGTGGAAGTGATGAGGTGGTTGTTTGTGTGAGAGTACGAAGGAGTTTGCTGTTGTCGATGTTGCGGTGACGGGCCAGTCGATTGCAGACGCCAGGGATGCTGCAGGCGGAATAGCAGCTAAGACTGCATGTTGAACGTTTAAGGATAGGGACTAAACGGCTAGCCTGTAGGTGCCGAAGGCCATCCATACAATCGAGGATCCGTGCGAGTGTATTGGGGAGGCAGTAGTGGGTACACAAATCGCCTATGCCTTTTGGAGCAATAAACTTGGATGAGGGTTGCTGTTGATTTGTGGCCGAGGGGCCTGTTGTGGTTCAAAAATCAGGCCTGGTTGCCAACAAGGTCGATCATGGACAAGGGGCACACTGGGGCAACCCTAGATGGTTGGCGGGAATCAAGCAGCCTTAAGATGGTGTCTAGGGAGGTACCTACCTAGGTAGCTGCCCAGGTACCTGGCAGCACCAGTGTGAGTATGACAAACACTGGATGGTCTGGGGATGACAGTTGAGGTACTCGTTAACAGTACGATTAGGTGTGCTACGTACTGTGCTAGGTATCTAGGTACTCATTATCGGCTGCTAGCTGCACCTACACCTTATGTAGGTACCTAAGGTACCTAGGCCGGGATGCATGGAGGTACATATGGCAGCTCGTGGCAAGTTTAGGCTGGCGCTGTAATGCGAGAGCGTGAACCGGTGGCATCATGACTGGGGAAAGGTCCCTCGACTTGTTGCAGCTTCGGTGTTCGAGTAGCCCCAAAAGCCTACAAGTCGAGCGCCTACGACTACGACATGTGTGGAGGTACGCCGCACCCGAGGCTTGCCGTAGACCCGCATCTCAGGGTCAGCTCGCCGCTCGACACAAATCCGCTCATGGACCAAGTAGAACATTCGCCATCGAATACGATGAGCCCAATTGGCTTGGCTTCCTCTTCTTTCAAGTAGTATCTCGAAAATCTTCAGTGCTAGTTGGTGCTATTATGGGAGCCCTGAAACGAGCGTCAGTAGAGTGGCACTTGTGGCTAGAGAGTGGTCGAGATGTTTGCCTCAATCGATGTATCGCACTGGACGTGTTACCTTAGGCACAAACGACATGGTGCTCTGATGGCAGAATCACACATACGAGCAGTCCCAAGAATGGAGCGTCGCGACGTTTGATTTGGCAAGGCAAGACAGGTGGACACCTTCCACCAACAACAGCATAATCACCACACCAACTAAATGGATCCGCTCGCAAGGCCATCAAACCTGACCAAGCTGCTCACGTCGATATCAATATCGGTTGTTCGTGGTGTCGACATAAGAATGGGGCCTTGATGTTACCATATTGCTCAATGGATGATCACTCGCCTGCAATCTCGCCTCGAGCGTGATCTCGCGGATGTCGAATTCCACGGGTGCCGATCCAATGAGTAGAGGAGTAAGTCGCTAACGAAGTGACATCAACATGGCGCTTGCCCTCCGAAAGAACCATCAGCTCAGGCTTCCAGCTTGCTGAAGGTTCTATCTTCCTGCCAGGATACTTTTTGCCTTGGCCGTGCTGACTGTGTAAGGACTGTAGCTTTCCGGGGAGAGGGTTTGGACGCGACGACGACGTGGAACCTTGGGCCTATTATTGGGTGCCAGAATCTATGATGTACTGGACATATGCAAGTATAGGGGGCAATGATATGCACCTAACTCCAGATAGCCCATGAAAGTACTACTTGGCCTTTTTACCAGAGAATCCAAGGTAGCTTGGTAGCGACGAGTACCTCCATACAAGAAGCTACGGAGTACTATACACGTAGTGTAAGTCCTTATTAGATCCATTCAGGAAGGAGAACAGCTCGGCAGCCCATAAATCAAAAATCCTTCTCCTCACATGCTCATGTTCGCTTCCCACAGCCCCCAAGCTAGGGTTAGTAAGTGTTGTAGGATAGTACAAGAGAGATAAGTCCACCTTGGTTGATCTCTCTAGACCCTGTCAGCTTGCCGCGGGGACGAACACTTCACCATAAGCCAGATTCTATGCGTACTGTAGTGCAGAAACGATAGTGATGAGCTGTTGTGGTCAAAAATCATAATGGATAGCCCCTCGGCCCCTGGCTCCTGCCCAGATTTGAAAGAGCCACGCATCAAGCCAATCTCGTGGCAGAACGCGTGCTTTCTCTCCGGCTCGCTTTATCCGATCCGACCACCAGCCACTTTATGGTCACGTGTCGATGTCTGCCTGGGTTGTAGATCACATGTCACTTGTCACATGGCATTCTTGACGACACCTTCTGTCCAGCATGGACATCATCGCCAACTTGATTCATAGCCATTGACTCATGAAACCTCTCCACTGTGAGGTTAATCAGGAGTCATGAATCAATAGCAGGATTCTTCAGCACCAAGAATACATTCAGCATGGATGAATTCACGCAAGACGCGTTTGCCAACCGGGATGAGCCTGTGCCACTCATCGCCGTCACACAGAGTGACCTGGACATCTCATCGTCTGAGGCCGAAACTTCGTCAAACGCATCCAGTCAACGACACCGACTCAAACAATCACTATCACCATCTCGACTAAAAACCAAGGGACAGGAATTTGCCGCCGCGCACCTGGATCAACGGAATCTCGATGGCACTCCTTCTTCCGCTGATGGTGGGCTCGGACAGTCTATCCAAGACCGTCTCTTCTCCAAGATCCTGGCTCAGGTTGTGCCGACTGAGGATGTTGACGATGACAGCTCCCCCAGCACACCTGTCGTCGACCGACGATCCTCGAAATATGTGTCGCGACCGGCATTCTCACTACCGACCATGACCAACAATTTTCGTCGCTTCAACGCTCGAATCGGAATTGTGTTCGTCTTTCAAAACCGTATGATCCGGCTTTTCACCTGGCGCACCCCTTCACATACGTTGTCGTTCCTGGCGACGTACAGTTTTGTCTGTCTGGACCCTTACCTTTTAGTCGTCCTCCCCTTGGCTGTTTCACTCCTCTTCATCATGGTTCCAGCGTTCACCTCTCGCCACCCGCCTCCGCCCCCACCAACAACGATATCAAGTACGACGCCCTACTACCACGACAACTATGAAGGCCCAGCCCTAGCTCCAGCTCGGACCATCAAACCAGCTTCAGAAACATCCAAAGACTTTTTCCGCAACATGCGCGACCTCCAAAACTGCATGGCTGATTTCAGCAACGGGCACGACGCACTCATCAGCGTGGTGGCGCCCGCCACGAACTTCAGCAACGAGGTCTTTTCATCCCAGCTCTTCCTCTACCTCACCATCTTGACCTCCTTATCCTTCATCACAGCACACCTTCTCCCATGGCGCATGATATTCCTCGTCGCCGGATGGACATTCATCGTGTCGATGCACCCCACAGCTCAAGTCTGGCTAGCACGTCTGCAGAAGCGGGCTGAACGACAAGCATCACAAGCATTATCAGATCCTAATTTCAGACATCGACGGTACATCCATGGGATTCCACTGCCTGCGACCCCGGCCGTCATGCAATCGACCGCCCAGTCACTTTCAGCCATCACTCTATCCAGCATGCCAGATACGCGAGAAGTCGAGATCTTCGAGCTTCAACATCGCCCGCTGATCCCTCTGTCGGGCAATACATCTAATGCGGTGCTGGAATGGCAACCGCATTTGTTTTCGAGCACGCCGTACGACCCGCTGTCGCCGTCGAGGATATCGGGCGATCGACCGAGAGGGACGCGGTTTTTTGAAGATGTGGCTCCGCCTGAGGGATGGGAGTGGGCCGGCAAGAAATGGGAACTTGATCTCGAAGCGGGAGAATGGGTTAATGAGAGATTAGTCGTGGGTGTCGAGTACGACGTCCTGCACCATCAAGAGGACGATGAGGATGATGACAAGGCCGTCCGCAATTCCAAGACGGGCATGACTGATGGAGCTGCGCTGCAAAAGGTCACGAGCCACCGTCGCGGGTCGGTTAATCTCGACTTTGGAGGCTGGGTATGGGATCTGCCGCCTCCGCCGGGAAGCGGGCTCAGCCGTGACGACGATCTCTGGCTTGCTTATGGCGACTATGACATCCCATCGTCGACTGCGGAAAGGGACAAAGAGCAAAAGAAGAGAAAAGGAAAGGACCGGAAGAAGAAAGACCCCAGTGTGGGGAGTACCAGGGACTGGGAAGAAGCTACCGCGTTGGAGAATAAGGGAAGGACAGGGGAATGGCGAAGGCGTCGGTGGGTGAGGCTTGTCAAACGGAAGATGGTCGCTGGTGAAGCGGGCACATGAGGAAGGGAACTCGCGGCCAAGTTGAATCGGATTACATCTTTCTAATCTACTAGTACCATTGATGGTGGGCCACCGTCCGCAAGCAAGGTCATTGCTAAACCCTGCATTCCTGCAAAATTGTGGCCGATGTTGCTTGTGACTTCTCCTGCGATCGGATTCATATCTTGCCGTAGCCCCGGAGAAGATTGTCACAACCTGAATGTTGAAAAGATGTGCAACATGTCACTAAGCCCGCCAGCCCACTTGAACTCGCTCACAATGTCCATCACGTCATAGGATCTGCGAGATCTCCTGGTGCCTGTCCTCAGCTATTCCTTTTCCGCGACATCTCTGAACGAAACCCTGGCCTCTTGGTCGAATGTGACCGATCCTAATTTTGTGCTTTCACTTTCGTGGAAAGAATGGTCCATGGAATCGATAAAGTCGAGTTCACGATCAACGGGGCTGCGAGGCTGCGCCCAAACACGCCGATGAGGACTAGGTGATACTGCAGAAGATCCGAGGACTGCGGTCTGATCGGTTCCGCTGGTCAAGGTCGTCGATCTGTTTTGCTGCTCCAGGAACTTTTGCCGAAGAGGGCTAGCCCCAGGCGATTGAGGCAATCCGTCGCGGTGAGCTTCGGCATCATTGTGACTAATGGTCATGAACAGAGTGCCCAAAGGCAGAATCAAGAAGACGGTAGGCAGTAAGATGACCATGGGTTCAATAAGAACTTGGTCAGCCCTGATGAGGGTCAAAATGCAGAAGACGACTGTATGGGAGAGTTAGATGATTTGCCTGAAGAAAATTGCAACAGACTCACATGGTACCGCGAACGACTGAGCGCACAATAGTCCCACCAAGTTCAAAGCTGAGGCATATGCATTGGCTCCCTTGACGACGGATGCAGGGCGTCTCCAGATGATGCTGATGATAGAGCACATTGCCACGAGGGAGTGGCTTCCAATACTAGCAGCATATGTCAATACATAAGCTGTTTCATATCTCCCATAGCTTTGCAAGGCCTTCAAGGTGGATCGTTCCCCAAGCTGTTGCGCGAGAGCGACCAAATATGCAACCTGAGCTGAAAAGGCCGAGATGGAGAAGAGAATCAGAATGGCCAGGATACACATGTACCATTTTTTGGCTTTGACACGTACACCAGTGAGCAGACCTCGAGCTTGGAGCCAGAGACAGATGCTTGCACAGGTATATGAGGATATATTTGAGACGTAGCTTGTCATGTGGATTGTCCTATACTCCTGAGTATAGATGCTAGACTCTTGATCCCTGGTGAGAACATCATATGCCGGATATTTGCTTAGGCTAGGAATGCAAGCCGTGATGAGGTCGATCATGAGGTGAATAAGCAGAAAGACAAGACCGAGGAGGAGAAAGGTATGAAAAGGGATGGTTCTCTTTCGGTTCGGGGTCAGAGCGAGGACGTAGATGAGGGTGCCCCAGGCCAGGCCGGTGGCAATGCCCATTGCGGAAAAATTGCTAATAACGATTCGAATGTAGTCGTCAATCAGACCCCAAGAGATGTGATTTTTGGCAGTGGTGGTATAGGTTGGGACCTGAAATTTGACTTTTCTGTAATAGGAGCCTCCATAACCAGCGGTGGGAAATGTCGTGGGAGCAGTGAGGACTTGGGCGGTCAAAGTCCGCAAGCCCATGCTAGTGCTACCGGCCATTGTTGTCAAAAGCCCAAAGTGTGAGGGTAGACAGAGAGAGGAAGGGAGAAAGTGCGCGGGTGTGGATCTGAAAGATCTGAAGGTTGAAAGCCCGCGGTTCCCTGATTGCTGATCTGCTCGCGGAAGGGCGGAGAACTAGAGTGAGAGTGAAGTTGCGAACTGTCTTAGGCCCAGCGGTGACGCGGAGATGATACAGAGGATGAGGGATGGAGGTGAAGAGGGGGAAGAGTGAAGAGATGCTCAGTCCGGAACCTGCTAGTGAGATACAGTGAGGGAAAAGTTGAAGTGAATGTGAAAGAAGAGAGTGACCAAAAAGATTTGGATTGTGGGATGGAAAACGACGCACAAGGGGAGGGAGAAATTATCACTGAGTGTGTGCGGAAAGAGGTGTGAAATAATTGTATCGCACCTGCCCTGATCTGATCGTGGCAGGTGGCAGATTGAATGATCGTCGCTGGCTGTCTGCCTTGGTGGGATTTCTGGGATTTCTGGGAATTTTTAAATCACCGAGACTGTGGTAGGTTCACTGTATCAACGGTCCAGCTGCTCCTGGTAACGACCAGCTGGATCCATCCTGGTCCCTGGTCCTTTTCTGTCCATCCAGCCCAACTTATCCCTATGATATGTTCCCAAGTTTACTACATCTGTCTTGTAGAGAAAACTTGTCTCATATCGATGGGTCCCTGGGCCTGGCATCATCTTCACCACATGTGCTGAAACCTGAGACCAAAGGACAATACTAATCCTTGAGATTGTTCTTTTCTCACTTACGGTACTTCTCCATGGCATTGGACCGGTGCTGCTTAGGAGTCCTGCGTTGATCTTAACAGGTATGGCACCTGAAGCACACAGTCAAAGAAGACAGTCTGCCATTAGTACTAGTCAGCCAGTGTTGCAGTCTGAAGTACCAAGCAACGTAGGAAAGGGGGACGCAGGAAGTTGAGGTGTCGTTGGTGTTGTGTCCTAATGCTTGGCATTTTTAGATCGGCGATTGGATCTCTCTACACTCCGCTGGAATTAAAGCTACGGCAAAGCACTAGCGTTTAGCTGCATGGTATATTACACAACAACCTTGGGCCAGAATTTCGCTAATCAAAGCAGAGCAGGACTATATTGAGAACGGCTGTGACTTGATGTGCATATTCGTCCGTGACAAGTCACGAGATCTGAATCTCGACGGCCGTACACTTCTGGAGGTCTATAGTAACTAGTATGTATATTTGAAATCAGGATGATGGTCTCCAAGCTTCTCGAGCTGTTTCGCTGGGGAGAGATCACGGACGTCTCTCAGAGCGTTTTCTCTCCAGATCGGATCATCCTTTTGTTTGTTGTATCTCCACAACAACAGAATAAGAGCTACCATGAGGGCCATGGAGATGAGGATCAGAGCCAAGATGAATTCAGCAGCAAAGGTGTAATAAGGAGCGTCTTTCCTGGGGAAGATCCAGGTGCTGACGATTCCACCGGTGTTGGTCCAGATGAAAGCCATAGCGATGGCAGTCGCCCGACGGACGTGAGCAGCTGAATTATTGGGAACCCAGGAGATGAGACTGGGAGCGGTGGCATAGACGCCCGTGATGAGGAAGAATAAGCTGGTGTAGCGAACTGCTGTTGTGCGGCCCACGTAAAACATGATGATGCCAATTAAAGCAAGGAGTGTCGTGGCGAGGGCAGCGATGCCTCGATGTCGATAGTAATCAGCAAGATAAGAAGATATCATGGTGACGATAAAAGCTGCGACGAATGGGGGAACAGTGAGGAGTTGGACGTGTGTGCGGCTGTAAGATCCCAGACTCTGCACAATCGAGGGTGTAAAGTAGGCCAGACCAAAGAGACAAGCGCCGCTGCAGAAGAGCTGCAGACAATGTAGCCAGAGATGCGGCGACTTGAAGACGGAGAGAATTGCGGAGAGTGAAGTCCGCTCCTCTTCGGTGAAGTCGACATCTTGCTTGAGTCGCTCGATACAGTGGGCGGCTTGCTCGGGTGTGAATGTCTTGACTTGGGTAGGGTTGTTTGGGAGCACAAAGAAGGCGAAGATGCCAAACACGACGGTAAACAGACCTTCGAGGAGGAAGATCCATTGCCATCCTCTGAGTCCGCCAATTCCCTCCATCTGTTGGATTGCAGCTGCCAGTAATCCAGAGAATGCTCCGCTTAATGCAGCGGCGGAGAAGAACAACGCAATGCGTACTTGAAGTTCATGTCTCCGGTAGAATCTGCGAGCCAAGGTTAGGTTTGTTGGACATGGCCAAGGGGGAAACTTACACTGAGAGGTATAAGACTATGCCTGGGAAGAGGCCACCCTCCATCAAGCCGAGAAAGAAACGGCAAGCCAAGAGGCCCGCGTAATTATGAACCTGTGATTGCAGAGTGGTGACAATACCCCAGGTGACGCAGAGGAAGGGTAGGAGGATACGAGGGCCAATCTTCTTGAGCAATAGATTAGATGGCAGTTCGGCAACAATGTAGGGGACGTATGTGATGGTGATTGCTGTAACAACTTTTAGTAGACGTCATCTTGCAGAGGTTGGTCTGCACGTACCAGTCTGGTATTGGTGATCTGTTATCCCTAGATCTGCCTGAAGTCCGGCCTAATGAAACAAGCGGTCATCAGCAAATATACCACGATATCAACCCCAATGGCCTGACTTACCACTCGAGCGTTACCAATATTGGCTCGATCGAGCCAGGCGAGCAGGTAGAGCATGGCCATCAAGGGAACCAGGACCAAGTCGAGCTTGAGCAGCATTTTCCGGTCAAAAGCTGCAAGCTCTTGCTCGCCCAACTCGCTCAAATAAAGTTCCTCATTGGAAGGAGAAGCATTGTCGCTGTGCTCCTTGCCGGCAATTTCAACCTCGTTGAGATCAGACTTGTCTAGGGCACCTGCAGAAGCCATGGTTTTAGCTGGAAGAGATGTTTGAAGGGTGGATTTTAGAACAAGTTGCGTTCTGAGGGCACAGCGCCTCCTATGACTTTATAGATGCCAACGCAGGCCAGGATTTGCGAGACAATTTGGACCAATATTCATGGTCGTCGTCTAGCGAGTCCCCACGACTATGCCCCATGCTTCATGCTCCATGCTCCATACCCCATATTGCCAGGGAAGAATCCTAGGATGTACTCCGTAAGCCTAGAAGGCGCAACGGCGACACCCAACGGCAGATGGCTGGGTGGATAACTGGGTCTGACTTGGATAGGATTAGGAGATGGTATATTGGAAGGCCTCCGCCGTTGGGGAGATCTATATCACAATCAAGTGCCGTCAATAGTATCCGGAGCCGTGTTACTTGGCGTGTAGTAGGGAATGTTCCGGATGCCATGGGTCAATGCGAGCAGAACTACTAAGCTCCAGATGCTCTGGTCAGGATGCTGTACTCCGTACTGACGCAGTGAAACCGAAGTGTACTCCGTAAATACTGGCGAGTGGCAAGAAAAGTCGGGGGTTTGGGCGGGTCTGTCAAGCTGCCACCAATGACAATGCACATAATGGGTTCTGACCCATTATTAGGCACTCTTGGGATTGTCTAGGCACGACAGGGCATCAACTCTTGGCACTATCGTCCTTGTTCGCCTACACGATTGGCATATTTTTCTCTCGTTTACTGTAATAACCAGCATTCCCACGACAGCTGTTGTGTCTAGGCGGGCGACTGGCGACTGGCGCTCCTTCAGGGCTGGCGGATGTTTCTTGTTTACCAAGTACGGATATAATGCCATGGCTTCAGTTCGATCCGCCCTGGCAGTTCACTGGGCCATTGCACGTGAGATTAAAGACCAAGTCAATTTAGGCACGTGACTATTTAAACTTGAGCAGCACCTTCTTCCGATCAGTGTATCTGGAGTAAAATTGGGGGATAATGCTTCCGGGCAAGTCATGATACCCGAAAAGCCTCCTTTTACTCTACCTAGGGACCTAGACGCCGATCAGCTCACCCACAAAGGCTGTAAATACGAGCACATGGGTATTTGCGCCCCGGATGCAGCCCCGGATCCCGCCCCGGAACAAGTTTACGGGGAGTACTTCATGTGTTCATGACTGACCGAAAGTGGTAGTGTAGGCCGAGCAACCGAGGTATGCGATGTCTATGCGTGGTGTAACTACCTCATCTTAGACTAGTCGTGCCAGTGTAGGTAAGTATCAGTCAGTCTCCAAGAATTCTCAAAACTTAAGACTGGAAAGAAAAACACAAGATTCAGCTGCCAATTTCCTCCAACACTCGGCGTGGCAATGCCCAGCTCCGTGTTTAAGGGTGCGGACGAGGGGTGCGGGCCCGGACCCCCCGGACCCCCGGAACCACTCGGCCATAGGCTCCCTAAGCGTTATAATTGCAGCTAGTCGGGGGACTCTCACATGCTACTGTCTCCCCTCAGCCTTGGGTAAACCCATTGCGGCATGCAGACGCCACCAACCGCACAATATCCATTCTTCTATTCACATCCTTGTCTAAAGTCTGGCCTTGCTTTTTGTGAATTAATTATCAACTGAAGAGTGCTTTATATTAGTAACAATTGAACATTTTCTCTAGAGACAGATCCTAGCAGGGAGAAAGATGGTAAGTACTGGGGATTGTAGGTACGAGGAAGGTAAGTCGATCTTTGTGGCACCACGTGTTGTTACTTTTTAGTTCAATATTCACATGGAGGAGGTCGCGCCTTCCTCGAGGGGGCCAACACATCTCAACCAACACACATGAGGCAGGTACCGACCTACTTCATGGTTCCTTCCTGTGGCAACTGCATGGCGTACGGAAGTCACGAGCTGCAATTGAAAGAAACGCAGAGATCTCAGTTTATTGTCACTCTTCAACATCATCTCTTTCACTATTAACCTTCTTGTTCTACTTGTGCTCGGCTCCAGCTGACTCTAGTCACTACTCAGGACTCCCGCAATCATCCAACGTATGCTATACCTCCCCTAGTACCACGGACATAATCAACATCACACCACTACCAAGCCTTTTCCTCCTTTTTATTTGTCCTCTGACTCTACCTATCCAGGCCAGTCCTGTCCCGTCCCGTCCCTGAGTTTGGTCAACCCCGCCTCCCAGTTTCCCTAGCTAGAGCCTTCTGAATATTATTCCAACGTCGCCCAAAATTCATCCAACAATTCGTGTCGCTTGAGAGCCAGGTCAAAGTCAGCATACGGCTTCCCCGTCGCATAGGCCTCATACAGCCTGCCAATATTCTGAGCTGGCGTTGGTAGACCCGTCCACTCCTTCCCACCCTCGTCGATGGTGATATCTTCCACTTGGTTGGTTTCTGAATTGGAAAATCGAATACTCGTGGCGGCGGCAATCTGCGGCCCAGCACTCGCAAACTCAACCGCCAATTCTCCTTTGGTACCATAAATGCGCCAGATGGACCCGGATGTGTTGATGAAGCGATCACCAGCCCTCAGGTGGAAGCTGATCACTGCAGGAGGGTTTCGATCCAGCTTCCCCTGAAGGAGAATCTGATCTGGAGTGTTCTTGTCGTAGAGCTCCTCCGTCAAAGATCCGTCCTCCTTGGTTCGGTGCATCTTCCGTCTCAGGTTTGCTGCCAGCGGTGTGTACGACCCTGGCTTCAACTCGCCCACAGCGAGCAGGATCGAGTCCAGTATATGTCCACCGTAGATGGTCAACAGATTGCCGCCTACCTTACGGTCCATGAAATAGTGATACCGATTTCCTGCGGCGTTGTTCTGCCAGACGTTGATTGCACCCTGGAAATTAACGCTATGAATGTCCCCCAGACGGCCTGAGTCGATGAGTTCCTTGACCTTGAGCACACTTGGAGCGACACGGCCCTGTAGACCGACAATAGTCTTGAGATTCTTCTGACGAGCCAAGTCCGCCATCTCCCTTGCCTCCTCGGTGGTAGCACCCAATGGCCACTCGACGTAGACGTTGCGACCTGCCTTCAAAGCCGGCATCGCCACCTCATAGTGTGTATCCGCTCGCGTCGACACCACATACAGGTCGACGTCCGGGTCTGCTGCCAACTTATCGTACGAGTCATACGCCCTCGTCGACTCCGGCAGACCGTGGGCCTTGATCGCAGCTCGAGTCGATTCTAACGATGAATTACACAATGCCACGATCTGGTAATTTGGCGATGATACTAGCCGTGGCAAATGTGACGTTGTTGCCCATGCTCCAGCCTTGCTCGACAGACCGACAATGCCAACTCGGATTGGCGCCATCACGTTCCAGAGGATTTCCGATTATCGTTGCTCGTTGTTGCAAGTCTTGACCTTGCTTTTTCCCCTCAAAATTCGTCTAACCACATACCCTATGAGAAGAAGTTTGTTCGAGGTCTGGTCCACAGGGTTATAAGCACACTACAAACGACAGGTTTGTCACACAAGGCGATGCAACCAGGTGATCACCATTGCCCCGGGTGCCATGCGGGCGTCCGCCAATAGGCTGGCTGACAAATCGGACATGTCCTCCAGCCTGTGAGCTGTGAGGCTGATTTGTAAATTGAAACATGTTTTGATTTCATCATTCTCCAGTCAGCCAAGAAAATCTCCAACCGTCGTGAGTTTGGGGTAACGAGGGGATGGTGACACTTGGATACAGGGATAGTAGTGGTAGCCCAAATGTAGCGATGCATTGTTGAGGTCCTTAACTCAGACATTCCGCTAGAATTTAAATCACCGAGCAGACTTACTACAATTAAGTTGTTATAGTACGAGGTAGAAGAGCTGGTGCCAAAGGCGATTTTATGGGGCGATAATAGTTATAATACAGTCGGATGCGAGTAGATTATCACAGAAGAGGCTTAAGGGAGATGTTTAAATATATCATCCTATACTTCAGTCTATAAAGGTCGGTGCAAGAAACTCTCAAAGCGTCCAATATTTTGTGAGTGTCCACTTTTCCAGAAGGTCAACTCTCACAGAAAGAGCTGTTGTTGTGGCATCTCCAGGCCATCTGAAACCGAAATATCAGCCAGATCGTTGCTCTTCTTTTCGGTTGACTGTCAGGATTTGAAGTTTGGTACTGGACAGCCGAGGAACCTGATATCGCACAACAGCTGGTGGAGTTCCAATTCCCATCATCTGGGAAGGCACACAAGGTAATGAAGACAATGCGTCAGACTGATCTTGCAGGGGAAGATAGTAATCTGGCAATGAGGATGTGAAATTTCTTGGTAGGGGCATCGCTGCGGCTCGATCTGATCGATTCTGGACATAGTTGCCATTGTGACAAGGATAACTGAACATGCTATCGTATGGTGCCGCGTAAGATTCTCCCTGGCCGCGTTGATAAGCGTACATCCCTTCCGGGACATGCGATGCTGCTTTCCAGAATCCCGCTCTCAGAAGAGGCTAGGAAGGGTCATCTTGACGTAGATAATGGCTTTCCCTCAGGTTTCTTCCATGGTCATTGGGGAATCTGAATCGCAAGGAGCCATGGGCAGCAAAGTTACCAGAGCTTCCAAAAGTTCGACCAATAGTCACTTCACCAGAGACCTGCTTGCCCCGATTAGGTTCCTCCCATTCAAACGAAATCCAAGTTTCTGGAGAAGCTCATTGCGCGATGCCATGAACGACTTGAGTGTGGGGTTCAGCCGTTTGGAAAAAACAATGATCAATGATTTATTTCCTCGCTAGACTATGTTGAATCTAGATCATTCCTTCGCCGGACAACGTCGCCTCGCCAATATTTCTGACGAGAGTGCATCTAGCGTTCGTGTAGCTTATGGTATCGCCAATACCACACGCTGTTTATTGTGTTATCGATAAACTGTCGATTCGAACTTGTCGGATCTATGATGCGCTCCTGTTGGTACCAATGCCAATCTAGCATGCGCCAGAGCACAAACCATAGATTACCTCCTTTCCATAGGTACGAACTTTACAACATCTGAGCCTACAGATAACGCGCAACGGTAGAAAAGTAGGACTGAAGGTGCATTGTCTCTATAACCAATCAGAAATAATTCCATACAAATCTAACTCTATTTGTTAATTTTAGCCTCCGAGGCCCCTCTCTAATGCAACTGACATTGAATTGATTCGTTTAGTGTGGCCTACCAAGTCGCTACAACCCCACCTCGCTGTTCACAGTAACCTTATCAAAGGATAGGATGTCATCTTGAAGTACAGCTGATTATTTGTTTGGTAAGAAGTTTACAATCTGCCCCATCTTGTCGCCTACCGAGTTTGGCAACTATGCTCTAGACCGAGAGACAAGGGCGGTGTTAGGATCCTTTTGGTTAATTTGATCGAGTCGTTTCCTTAAACATTCCCCCCAGATATCGTCCAGATGACCATCGGCAATGTTCTGGTTGGCTGATCTGCTCATTTCTTGGGATTGACATGGTGCTATATCTCGAGCATATAGGTAGATTGCTCGCACCTTGAGTAGTGTTTGGTTGTTTCTCCCTTCAATCCTCCTGCACAGAAGCGCCTCGAGAAGAACTGGTGCACATAGCTACTTTTGTTTCACGCTTCTCTCTCTATCCCTCTCCAACTACCACAGGCACGATGCCGATCTATCTCAGCATGCAACGGGTGCGCTTTTCCAGCCCAGACGCGTACGAAAAGTTCAAGGTTCTCTTTGCCGATACACGCCGTCACCTAATGCAACTTCCTGGCTTCCTACACCTTATCTGGTGGGAGCATCCGGACGACCGAAGCTGGTATAACGAATGTAGTTTTTGGACGAGTCGCGGCGCATTATACGACTGGCACAAGGATACCTATCATAAGCATTGTAAAGCATGGGCAGCCAACGGCGCTATTATGGAAGACATTATCACTAATTTCGAGCTCGTTAATACTCGACTCCTCCGGATCTGCCCCGTATGCAACGAGACCCAGGATAAAAAGTACGATCTTGCACAGGAGCAAGCAGTGTTGCACGAGCAATGTCCTAAATGCGGGTTTCATTTCCCTGTTCTGGAAGAAACACCCTCAAGCTTTGCCGTGTTTAAAGATGCAGTCATGCCCCCAGCCGACAAAGCTGGGGGAGCGGGCGAAACTGCGGCTGCATAATCAGGCAGAAATCAATGAGAAGGGGCTATGATTGAATAATGCCAGTGATGACCCAGGAGGGTCATTCAGGTCTTTCGAGAGCATATCCAACCCAGGTCTAGTAAAGATGTGAGAGAGATTACAATGATACCTCATGGACCAAATCACAATTCCTCGCAAGTAAGAACGAAAAAAAAAGAATAAGATGGTCAGGGAACAAGTTTTTGGCCCCTTGGACATTACATGTGAAAACGCGCCTTCCGCCCAACGTTCTTGGCATGGAGGGACATTTCCCCGCACTTTGCGTGGCCTTGTATCAAAATAACCACGTGATACAATTGCGTTGAATCGTCTAATCGTGTCCTAAGAACTCTATGCTTCAGATGAAGATGAAAACTCTACGAGAGGAAGCAAGGGAATTCCTGCATATACGTATACGCTGTCTAGTCCATCCACAATATAGCGTCCTGCAATCTAGAAAGAGCCACTTGTTCGTCAATCTTCTCGACGTGCACCAAGTAGATAATGTGATGCTCTTCATCATGTCCCCTATCTCACAAATTTGGACCTTTTGAATCCCGTTCGGCTAGTCAATGTGATGACGCGTTGTGTTTGGCATCGCCAATCTCGGTGAAGGCTTTGAAGGTGACAAGCTCGTCCGAAGTACTTTCAATGACCAGCTCGGCGGTGGCACCGATAAAGTAGACCCAGCCTTGTTTGATTGGTTCCTTTTTCGGGCCAACACTGATGAAACCCTCACCACTTGTGGCAATGACAATGCTGGGTCCGTCGATTGCTTCAAATGTCACCTTGGCACCAGGCTTGTTCAAAGCTGACCGCACGACACTGAATTCCTCAATGGGCGGGTCATACAGCAAGGCTGAGCTGTTGGAGCTGTAGGCGGTCGAGTTGAGTGTGGCATAAGCGTAGTCGACAGGCTGGAGAAGTTGTTGTTCAGGAGGATCGTGGTCATAGGTCAAGATATCCGTCAGTGTGTTGACATCCTGGAATTTGGGGGTGAAGCCTGATCGGATCACATTGTCACTGCTGGCCATGCACTCGATGATATCACCAGAGATGTATGCATGGATATCGTCGGCCTTGAGATACATAGCTTGCCCTGGATTGAGCTTGACAAAGTTGAGGAAGAACAGAACAAACAAGCCAATATCGGCAGGGAACTGGCCATTGCAACGTTGAACAAGTTCGCAAAGCTCTTCGCTGGTGTTGACTGAAGGCCCAGGGGTGATGGAGCCAGACTCGGCCAGGGCGACCAAGTCTTTTGACTTGGAGGCCACCAGTGAGCGGTCAGATTTCATCAAATGGCTGAAGGCTGCCTTGAGTCGAGATTTGGCGTCTTCCAGGTTGGGAGAGGACTGTTGGGCTACCTCTTCAAGGGCCTTTGCATCCGCTTCTCCGACGAGTTCACGAAGAGGAGCAATGGTGGCGAGGAAATGAGCGATCTCCTTGAGGGGCCGGAAGCCACAAAGACCCTCAAAGGGAGTAATGGCCAAGGTCATTTCAGGCTTATGGTTGTCATCAGGGTAGTTTTTGGGGTCCTTTGCATGGAGCTGCTCCGCCAACTTTTTGTTGGGATGAGCCTGGATGGAGAGTGCCTTGTTGATGGAAAGGACTTTGAAGAGGAACGGTAATTTGTTCTTGTACTTGGCCGCAATGTCTCCGCCGAGAAGTTGTTGGTTATCAGTGACCAGGTCGATCAAGGACCGACCAGTCTCCAGGTCCTTGGAGGGTAGGGAAGGGTGTGTGCCCATCCATAGCTAGACACAGGACATCGGTATATGCCAATAAGATGGAAGTGAAGCAACTTACCTCGGCATATGGCTTGCTCTCCTGGATGGTGAACGAGTCTGAGGGTGTGGCGGCAGCATACTTGGCGGCAGCAGAATCGTTTCCAATTTTGCCTTGATATCGTCAGTTACAATCCTTGGAGCATCTGAAGAGGCTTGACTGACCCCAGTCATAGCTGTTGACACCTGCACATCGTTAGTATGTTCCTGTGAACTGTGGTTGGGAAGATTACGATTCGGACGTACCACATTGCAGGCGGAAAAGGGGGACTGGGGGCATGTTGAGATGAAGTCTGAGTGAGGCGTCGAATGTCCTGAATAAGGTCGGATTGGCGGGATGAAGCAAAGATCAATTGACCAAACTCGAGAACATAGGAGGATTGGTCTTTAGGAGAAGAAAAACTCAGGAGTAGCATTGGGCGGTGAAAATGACATGGGTTCTGATTGATGACAGCCACAATGGCATCTAGACACCTGAAGGTGGACATCGTCATGCAGGTGGCAAGATCATTGGTCGACGGGCATCGTTCCAGATCTGGCAGCCAACCCTACCGCAGCCTGTATGCTTCGCCGTACTCGGGGATGGGGTCACGTGACAGGCACCACCTACGTTGAAGCATACCATCTAATTCTGCACCTTCCTCCTCAAACGTGATATTCTTCACCAATCAACATGCGAGTTGGTGACCACTCAATTGACAACCTCCATCCTCATCATTGTCTCACTCTTTTTGTCTAAACATGGCTATATCTGTTTGCCAATCCAGGCGTAGCACTAGTCACATTTGATCACCGTCTCGCACTAGGTCTGCGCCGAGCCTGTTTTCTGCCGACAGAGCTGGTCGGACGTCGGACCTCCGAAACACAACGCGCTCACCAGGCCACTGGGCCGCGTGAACTAGTTCTGATGCTGGTGTGACTGCGTGCTTTTCATTTCAAGTTAAATCAGCTTGTTCTCGGCATATTTGTCCTTTCATTTTGTCTGGTCTTATTGTCGATCATTTCTGAGGAACACGCGACACATTAACTACACGGCATCCAACCACCAACCACCAACCACCGTCTTGAACCCAACATGAGCTCTCGACCAAGAGCGGGTCGGGGCGCGACAGGACGCGACGGCAAGGAGTCGGATCTTGAGAATGACATCCTCAGCAGGGTTCTTGAAAGTCTTCGAAAGGCGCAAGGATTCAATGACCATTGCAAGCGGCTAGGACAAGAGATTCTGGCTTTAGAGGAAGAAATCAAGGCTCAAGGCCGTAAGTCCCGGACACCTCCCTCTCGCCAGATCATGCCACCCCTGGACATCTGGCTAACACCCTTCACAGATTCGACCTCTGAACAGCATCGACGTCTTGACACCTTGTACCGAGACAATCTTCGATATTCGGAGATGGAGCGGAAGGTGCACGAAGACGAGGACATTGTCAATAATCTGGCAATTCTTGCTACGATGAAAACCAATGATGATCTTGCCCCCAGGAATGGGCAGCCAAAATCCCGCAAGCATCAACGCCCTGTCGCTGTGGAAGTTGAGGTACCAGCAGAATCCCCTGGCCCCAGCCCCGGTGATGGTCGACTGGAGATGATGAAGCGAGTCAAGGGTACTTCCCAACGAAGCTCGAGTACAGCAAGCCAGAACCGTGCAGCCGCCAGCGGTAAGGACGATGGTGTGGAACTTCACAAAGGGATCCAAGCAGAACGGGCTGGGCAACTGGTCGCTGGTACCGAAGTCTTCTACAAATATCCCAAAGATCAAGCAGATCAAGAGGAAGGAGTGGGCATTCATGGCATTATCAAGAAAGTGTGGCAGGAGAAGAAACCGTAAGTGATGCAAAACGAGATCAGGACTCACCGCAGAAGAAGATGACTCTGACTATTTACAGAATTCAATACGACGTCAGGGACCCTGAAGATGACCTGTCTGGCAAGCAAACCGTGCGCAAAGCCACGGCGCGAGATCTGGTGCCCATCTCACAAGTCAACCCCGGCGTAGCACAATTCCCTAATGGAGGCAATGTCTTTGCCAAATACCCCGACACCGACACCTTCTACCGAGCCAAGGTCAAGAACTTCCAGAAGACGATGTACAGCCTGAAGTTCGACGAGGATGATAAGGAAATGCTCGTGGATGCTCGATTCGTTTTGGACTCGCGGCTTAGGTGATTAGGTATCTAGCAATCGCTTATGAATACATGAGATATGACTACAATTGAAATGAAACGTCCGATTGGCCGTAAATGAAATTGATCAACCCTTCAACTGACCCTTACTAGCCAAGTAAGCAGCACCAGAATCTGCCCAAATCTCGTAGACCTTGACCTTGTTCTCTTGATCGAATTCAAGCACATATGTAAAAACCTCATCCCACGCTTGACCTGTACTCGTCCACGTGAAACGAGCTTCTCCTCGAACCGACACCTTCGACGTCTCAACATCAACCAGATAATTGCCAAACCGCATATTTTCATACGACAGAAGAGAAGACAGGATGTTGAAGTACTCCTGAAGGCCGGACTGACCACGAAACTCTCGTCCTAAGAACGGAGCCAATCCTGGCAGGCCATGTTCGAAAGCCAGGACATTTCCGGAAGAGGAGAAATGAGACAGGATCTCAGCTGAAGGTTTCTGGTTTGCAAAGGCCTCGCAAAACTGCTTAGCTGCAGTCAATAGGTCTTGACGATTTGGATGAGACATTTTATTTCGGACGAGAGAGATAGAGTGATTTTATTGAGATACCTAACGATACGTCGTCATTGTTGTGCTTGAAAGCACCTGGGTCTTAGCGTAGGCAAATGCCAGGGTTGAGTTGCGTGGAAATTCCGGGCTGACCAAAGTGCTTAGCAATGTGGGTTTGGAGGTTTGTCAGGGAACAGGTTGTGCGCTCATGCCGCTATAAGTCACGTGTCAAACAAAGCCCCTCTCACCTGCACCTGCCTTGCCTTGCTTTGCCCAGTACTCCCCCGAGCAGACGATGTGACACATCCAGGCAAGAGCCATAAATCGCGATCTGTCATATTGAGTATCGTCATGATACATAGCGAGGGGGTTTCAGGGCTCGAGCAATCGACAACAGGCAGGCATCGAAGGCTACTCGGTTCGAAGTGGTAGTCGAATGCGTAGGCAGTCGCTCGACTGATGTTTGTTGGTAACCGCCGTTGTGTGTTGGATAGCGATGTTTTGAGCATTTTGGATTTCGAGGACTCACCTTTCTGTTGTGTTCCAGGACATGCATGCTATCCAGGACCTATAGGTATCTACCTACCTGCATGTACGCAGCATGTCGTTCGAGTGTGCAAGTGTTCAAGCGGCGGTCAGAGACCGCTTAATGATCCTTTGGACAGTAGCAAGTGAGCCGAGGCTCAAGCGCGTGTAAAGCGGCGAGCGGCTGATCAGAACGGGATGCGAGGTTTCTGGTCCGAGTACCCGTACCTGCTCATCAAACCCTCCAGTGCTCTTGCCTCCCCCGCGGCTTGGTAACCTTGCCAATAATCTTTTTCCATATTCCGCCATCCTCTCTCCGCTTTGGATTCGAGATGCTTCTTCTTCTGCGTCCTCTTCCTTCTCTCACCAATCTCCACACAGTTCCAACCGCATATCCCGCTCAAGTGACTCCTTCTGCACTTCGTCGTACATCGGATGACCTTTCGACTATAGAATGACGACTTGACGGCTCTCTACTTCAAACATCTGCCCGCCCTCCTCCCTCCGGGACCATCAATCATGGCCGGGCCAAGCGACGACCTCCCTGCCCATTCTTCTCCCATGCTATCCCCTTTGCCCCGACCCTCTGCACAACATACACCCGGTTGGACTGAATACAGTGATGAATCTCCTGTCACTCCTGGCTTCCCTGAAAATCTCCTCTCTCCCGCTTTTACCCCACCAGCCACTCCCGGTGCCTCAACTCCCTCTCGCCATCTTCATGCCGAACCAAAATCAACCCCCGTCGATACTTCCCTCGATGACCCCGACACCAAACAGCCTCGGCTGGTCGAGAAAATTCCAAATGTAGAGTGTCTAGTTCGTGCTCGCATACCCACTACCTCGGGCACAGAAATGTTTCTTCATTTATATCAGAACGACATTGACAACAAGGAACATTTGGCCATTGTATTTGGCAACCACATTCGGAGTCGCAGTCTTGACTCTGAACGTCCAGGAGAAACCGAGATGGATCGCATGATTCGTGGCGCTTATACTGGCAGACTAAGACCTGGCCGCACAAGTTCAAGAATCGACCCAGACCAGAACAAGAGGCCTTCAGGACTACCTCGGTTAAGAAGTGGTTCTGCGTTGAAGAACATGACCACTGTGGAAGAGGTGGACGACACGCCCTCTACAGCCGGCCCTGTTCTGCCTGTCAAACCCGCTCAAGATGAACAGAATTCAGAACAGGTCAAAGATGCGGCTGAAGGTGTCGCAACCCTCCTTGACAGCGTCCACATCAACCACGCTCACTTAAAACCCCCTCTCGTGCGCATCCATTCCGAATGCTATACTGGAGAGACTGCCTGGTCTGCCCGATGTGATTGTGGCGAACAACTCGATGAAGCTGCACGACTCATGTCCCTACCCAGTTCCAATGGGGGTGTCATTGTATATCTCCGACAAGAAGGCAGAGGTATTGGATTGGCTTCCAAGTTGAAAGCATACAACCTTCAGGACCTGGGAAATGACACTGTGGAGGCAAATTTACTCCTGAGACATCCCGCTGATGCCCGAAGCTATGGCCTTGCAACTGCCATTCTACAGGACCTTGGTCTGGGCTCTGACACAGATGCCGATAAACCACCTTCGGAGCAGGGTATTCGTTTACTCACAAACAACCCTGATAAAGTCAGGGCCGTCGAAGGTCCCAACAAAGAAGTTCGCGTGCGAGAGAGAGTCGCCATGATCCCCATTGCGTGGAGGACGGGCGGAAGCAAGGGTGTGCGAGGCATTGAAATTGAGAAGTACCTGGAGACCAAGATCGGAAGAATGGGACACATGATTCAAGAGGAATAGTTTTGAGTCCCTCTCTTGAACAACATGTTACACGGCTGAGAAGCTCGTGGCTCATGATATCAGTCGGAACAAATCCTTCATGGTACACGACAGCAGCTTCCGCACTTTTGACCGCCTCCTGGCCAGGGGCCACAGAATTGTCTTCCCGTCACAAGAGGCCAGAGGGAACGCCCCACCACTGGACGAGCGCTTCAATTTGGCCCACGGTGATTCCTATCATCCGTGCCCATCTCTGTTTGTTCGTCAGGAGATGACTCAACGAGATCACAAACCTGAAGATTGCATCAAGATTTGATGTCTGATATATACCACATGGCTGAAGGGGATCATGTCCCTTCCCCTAATGCCCAGCATCTAGGATGTACATGGAAAGAGCATGCACATAAGTCATAGAGGGCCATATATTGTACAGTTTGGCTAAGAGACTAGCTCGAGGGCGATGAGAGACGAGAGGTAGATACCTAGGTACCCAGAAGAGATGAACAGCTCTTGGGTGGGCGTTCATGGTCCATCAAACCCAAGATGGAAGCTTCTTTCCCATTAATCCGGTGACGGCCATAGCTTCAATATGAGAACGTCCATCACCAGAGCCCAAAATACAACTTTCTCTTCCTCTGCTGCTGCGGCGCCGGCGGCACTTCACCTTGCCCGTCACCCTCACCCTCTCCAACCTTCTCCACACTTTGAGCCTGATGTTCCAAATCACGCTTCTGCTTCATCTTCTCAGCAAAAGCCTCAACATCATCACCCACCTTCCCACCCTTGTTCAAAACATCCAACCCCGTAACCCTCTCTTCTCTCCCACCCCTCGCCCTCTCTTTATTCGTCAACCCATCATCCCACGGCGCAATTCCTCTCACATCAATCCCCTCCTCTTCCTCGGCATTCAAATCCTCCATTCCATGTGCCCGACGATACAAACGCCGTTTCTGTGCATCGAGAATCTTCTGTTGACGTGACGCGTTGGTCTTTTCCGTCGTGTAGTCAATATGGAGCCGAATAATCGACAGAGATTCGGTAATGTAGTTGATGGGATGAAATAAGAACTGGGATATCGGTGGGATCAAGTGTCCATAGGGAGAGGTTTTCAGGAAGGTTTGTGTCAGCGTTATGGATGCGAGGATTACCAATGTACCCTAAAGATCAAGACTGGTCAGTGACAACGTTATTCGGTTCGCCTTGCGAGAAACATGGGTTTCTTGATAAGTAGTTCTTGTCACAATACTCACCATCGTAATCCAGAGATGAATCGCGCGATTCGTCAGAAACCAATGCATGAACGTCCCTTGATTTGGAAACGTATGGGGATATGATCTGGTCTTTTGCTTCTCCTTCTCTTCTCTTGTTGCACCTTGATTATATGCCGCTGGACCAGGTGTGGGTCGTCGTCGACCGAGTCGCGATGGATGCGACGGCGGCCGGAATTGGTCTGGTCGTTCCAAGACAATAGGTTTTCCTTGGCTGTTGTTGTTTTTGTTGTTGCTGGAAGCGCCTGCAGTCACTCGTGACGAGGTTGAGAATGCTGGTCTGCCTGCTGCTGGCGCGAATCCCAGTCGCATACCCGCCGTTCGTCGGAGGCAGGTCCGGCATATCGATAATGAGAGGGAGCTTGTCTGAGATGCCATCGTTGGGAGGGGAGAGGGTTTGACAAGGTTGAGAAGGGGAAGGTCTGCAAGATGGAATATGACAGGGTAAAACAGGACCCAGCCTGCTTGGGCACTTGGTGTCGGTGAGCTTGAGGTGTGTAAATCAATTCCAAAGCTTCATGTTCAGTTCCTTTTCCAGAACTCGGAAACATTTCGAGGTGGAATGAGATCCGCATAATCTTCGGTCTTGGCAAAGCCATTGAACTTCCGTTTTCTTATTGGTTGGAACCACCTACACATACGAAGAACTCCTCATTACATGCTTCCACATCTTTCACATGGACATTTTGTACCAGGTTACATATACATCAGACGATGCTATAGGATTCAATCTGGGCTAAAATTGCTAGACAGTTTAGTCCTGTATTGGGAACTCCGCCGACTCTCCGTGTCCGTACATTTGATTTCTAGCTGTACACTATAGCCCCGTGTTCCCGAGGGCAATTAACAAATGAAATATATGTCGCTGTGAAAAGCTGACAATTGCAGGGATTGGGCAACGCAAAATGCAGCCCATACTCTCCGTTATCCCCGATAACTGCAATCCCGAAGCCCAAACCGCTCAAAGGCTCAAAACCGAAGCCAACCCCTCCAACGTCCAGATGCAACACCAGAGTGGGTGGTTTGGAGCTCCACTCCATCATAAAAATGAATTTAACAAATGGGAGGCGCAGCAAGACTCAATAACGTGCCCCGAACGATCTCATTCGGGGCCTGCTTTTCTTTTTTCCTCCGGTCAACGCAAAACTCCTCGTCATACTCCTGTTGAGCAGGATGCAATCTCTTTGGTGATTTTTCGTACAGGATATCAATAGATAATAATATATCATTCGACGTGGTTGCCAGTCACAAAACGCCCGATTTTAACGAGCGTCGTTGTTATCTGATTGATCAATATGTCTACCGATAGACTGACCCAGCTGTGAAAATGCTATTAGCCGCCGATGTGGCCCAGTCATTTTCCTCGTATGGTGGTGTTGGCCACAATGGCGGGGCCTGCTCGTTTTCGCTTCTCTTCTTGCTGATGTTCAAAGGTTGGGAATGATTGGAATGGGTCGTATTGAACTGCACCCCATCTCTTTTTGCTGAGGGGGATGGTGTCAGATACGGACCCTGAAGCGATGCGCTGGTGGGGATCTGAGGTAGCGATTGTCGGTTGTAATCTTTTTGGGCAAGTGCAGCACGGTGAAGCTGCGAGGATGATTGGCTGTGTTCATCCATGCGTCGTACTGCCCGGTGAGTGGATCGAAGGGCCTCATCGAGGAGCTCGTCTTCCTCTGCAGGAGCTTCATACTGATTTATAGGAAGTGGTCGTCGACTTCGAGGATTTGCGGGCAGCGTATTGTGGTTCGGTCCGTCTCCTGACCGACTTCCCTGTGACCTCGGAACGGAATGAGTCCTCTTGAGAGAGCCAGTATTGGAAGCTCTCTCTGAGGGATTCTTGGTGGTCTGTTCCGGTTGACCAGGTTTGTCGAGACTATATCTCACATTTTGTAATATCCGGTCAAGGTCTGAAAAGTCGTTCTGGTTCTCAGGGATTACGTTGTCCACCATCAATGAGGACCGGTTCGACCAGGGGACAGTAGCAGCAGCATTAGCTTCAACATCGTCACTGCTTGGAGATGCAAGCCCATGTCTGCCAGAAAAGCGCCGAGCTCGTTTCCGCAGATGTGAGAAGAAGCTCTCCTTCTGGCCACTCGGCGGAGAGACGAGCCCGCTGTTACCGTTGAGTGCACGTTCAGCCTCTTGTCGATGAATGTCGGTGTAGTGATTATGATGAGAATTAACAGACAATTGCCGTCCAATCTTTTTCGACTTTTCCTCTATGGCGGTCGAGGTATTAGATTTGGAAGGGTTATGTGTGGTGAATGTGGAGCTAGCTTGTGCAGTGACAGCGTTGGGAAGAGGTGAGATTGGTCGAATGGAAGGCAGAATTGGCATAGGAGCAGCCCCAATGGGATTGGTACCATTGGTCCAAGTAGATCGTTTACTGGCCTGAGGTCGCAGCCGCTTGACCAGAGATTCGGGTTCTGGGTGTACAGGTTTGGTCTCTGGGTTGTGCTGGGGAACAGCGGGTGCACTTTCTCTCGCTATCAGTGACCGTCGGAACCAGGATGGCTTGGAAGTGATGGTCGGGCCCTCAACAGTATCCTTGGAACGGAAGCTGAGATCGGAATGCTTTCGCCCCAATAATCTCGACGAAGACTTTGGTCTCAACGGGTCGATGGCATCTGCAAAGAACTCGTGCTCCATTGCTTGCTTGGACGTCGGGCGGCTTTTGGGATCCCACATCAAGCACCAGGTGACGAAAGAGCTGAAGGCCAAAGGCCACTGGGGAGGCGGGAGAATAGTCTCCATGGCGTGGGGAGCCATCTATCAACAGTCAGCCAGGTCACCTCATCAGATCAAACTAGTCGAGCTTACCTTGGGAAAGGAAAAGCCTAGCTTCTGAGCAAGTCTCGTTCCATCTCTCCATTCGCCTCCACCGACTCGAGACCCAGACTTCGTGTACCAGTTTCCAGGGCTTCCCATGATCTCACAAACACGCCAGACTTGGTCGACCTCGTTTCCACCAGGGAAGAGAGGCTTCAGGGTAGCCACCTCGACCGCCATGGCGCCAATGGCCCAGATGTCGACGGGAGCAGAGTATTCTCCAGCCCGCAGCAGGACCTCGGGAGCGCGGTACCATCGTGTAGAAACATAAGTGGTGTAAGGGAGTTTGGAGTGGGTCTCACGTGCTAATCCAAAGTCCGCAATCTTGATGGAATAAGTTGGCGGTGTGGCGGGTGGAGTAACGAGAGACGAGTAGCGGCTGAAGGTAGAATGGCTGTCTTGAGGTGCAGAGGTGGAGACTAGGATGTTCTCGGGCTTGATATCGCGGTGAAAGAAGTGGTGAGCGTGAATGTGATCAAGGCCGTTGAGAATCTGATACAGAATGCTTTTGACACTCCGGGCATCCATGCACTTGTGGTCCCTTGCCTTCATCAGCTGGTAGAGATTCCCATCCATATACTCCATACAAATATGAAGCTTCTTGCTGAAAGGATCCAGGAAGATGTCCAGGGCGGGAACCAGGTGTGCGTGTGAGGGTAGTGTTCGTAGGAAGATGACCTCTCGAAGTTCTAAGCAGGGGGCAAATGATTCAAACGTCTTCTTCATCGTCTTAATGGCGACCTGTTGACAGTGTCAGTCTTGTTTGTGGGGCAGAGGCAAACAATCCAATATACCATAGTGTTCCTCCGTGCAACACTGGCACCATTGGCTCTCACTCTGGCCAAGGAGACACTTCCAAAGCTGCCATCTCCTATCTCTTTGATCACTTCAAATCGGTCTTCCAATGCAGTCAGGGAGTACGAAGACGCCCTGCTGTTGTAGTCGGTAACAGCCATTGCGTCGGTAGGAAGGGTGACGTTTAGGATCAACTCTCTATAGTTCTCTCGAAGAGAGTCTATTCCGAGCGTGCTTTCGTCTCGATTAGGGCGACCCTTGGATCCATATAATGTACGCCACTTTCAACACGTCATTGCCTGGTTTCGCATGGAATGGAGGGTTGACGGGTGGTGTCTGATCTCTGTCGATTGAGAGAGAGAGAGAGAGAGAGAGTGAGAGAGAGAGTACTAGATGACGAGCTGTAATAGTGAGGGAAGGATAACAAAGGCGCGCAGGAATGATCGTGCAGAGTGGTGAGCAAGGTCGAGGTACAAAAGAATGATGCTCAGGTCCAAGACCTAATTCGCAATAGCCTCGAGGTGCAGTAGCAGTTAGTATGTAGGTTGGTACTGGAAGAGGTGGATTGGCGGTTGAGGATGCAGACCCGCAAGGGGTGGAGGGAAAGTGGATAGAGCCAGATGATCCCTTTCTTGATTGACACAGACTCTAGAGGAGGGTTGAGCTAACTAGGAGTGTGGAAGGACTGGTGTTAAGGGGGGAAAAGTGACAGATGGTTTCGGTTGTGTTGACGATGTGCTCGGACAATTTGCTTTGGGATTTGGGAGGCGCGTCTTTGCGAGAACGAGTGTGGGAGCTGGCAAGTTGCAAGGACAGCCGGGGCAAGGGGGCCTGGAGAGGCGTGAACATGAGGAGAGGAGATGATGAGCGAAGGGTATAGCGGATTCTGGGCCTAGTTGGTTCCCACCAGGGCTTGCTTTACCATCAGCCTAGTGGCGGTGGAATCAAGCTGGTGGAGGAAATCAGATGGAGTGATGTTCAGAATCCAGGAGAGAAACAGAAGCAACCCAGGAAACGAATCTGAGGCAGAGCCGGACGGACCCCAAACCCTGCCAGGATGGGAGAGGAGCCAGAGGAGCTCAGCCAGAGGCACCACTACGGAGTACACGGCCGTCTAGGCCAACGTCCCAACTAGGATGGGTGATTAGGCTGTCCGGAGTGTGTTGGAACCAGCACCCCGGCAGACACTAAACTCTGCTTGGGGGGAATAGCGTGGTAGCGTGGTAGCAGGGTAGCCTAATAATAATAAGGATACAGCTAAATGGTAGGCTCGGGCGATACCTTGCAGTGTTAGAAGCAGCCAAGCCTGCCGGGGATGGCCTCTGACTTTCGGCTTCACGGGCTGGCCCAGCATGCACAGCAGGTGTCCAATCATGTCATTCCTTGTTGGAGCAGGTGAATGCTGCCTACGGAGTACACTACGGAGTAAATCCCAGGTGGTTAACGCAGATTAATTGTCCGTGGCTGCCCAAGTGGAATCTATCGAACCACTGTTATGGTTCTTTGCCTCGCCCCGTTCCAACCCCATCGTGCCCATTCTCAAGCGTCGTCAGCTGTGCTGCACTACCAGCAAGCAAAAGATGCGTCAACAAGGCATATGACGAAGCATACCAGGACTACAAGGTCAAGATTGTTCAGTGGGGATTATGCAACTCAAGGATTGAGTCTTTTAGGTACTCGACGTGTCAGTTGTTCTCGATTATTGACGAATAGAGATGGCAGTGTCAAAGAAGGAACCATGTCAGATCGCTTGTGAGAGACGACGCTGGACGGCGATGGTACGGGGCGCGCTAGAAACTTTTCAACGCCTTACGCCTCACTGTAGCCACACATGAAGACTACACCATTTTGGTCCATCTACGAAGTACGCAGGAGGTCTCAGAGCGAGATTCTGACCTCACCGTAACGCGAAGAGTCGGACTGTGTAGATAAAGGCATTCTTTCTGTTATGAAAATTGTTGAATGTTGACATAATCGACTCGAACCTGAGAACTGTTTGCCGATTTGTAGGGGAATGCTATTCGCGCAAAGCGAATGTTAGCGAAGGTGTCAACCTGTCAACCATTCCTGTCATCACCGTCATTTGTAACCGGCATACGAGATCGCAAGAAATCAGAGCATTGGCCACACAGGATCTCTCCATCCGGTTCTTGAGGTCCTGTGGCCTTGAAAGCAGCTTCAGCTGGCTTGTCTCGCGGAAACGGCGGGAACTGAATTTGGCGGCCACTACTGGTCAAAAGACTTGTCACTCCATCATTGTCAAGACCAATTGCAAGTCGCCACACACACACCGCGTAGATGCGACCACGTTGCAAAACCCCTTTGTAACCTAGGTCAGACAGAATACTACCTGAGTACAAAATGCTACCTACCTACCTTATACCTAAGATTGCGCGCAAGATTTCAATCATTCGCGTATCAGTGGGAGTGCATGCAGACTGTACATAGATAAAAACCATTGCCCTCGTGGTTTTCAACATGGGAAATTTCTTTCACTACCACCAAACAGCAATTTTGGGACGCGTTTCTCCAGATCAGGACGCAAACTACAGCAGTGTACCAAAGACGCAGACTCGATAGCGAGAGCCACGTTGCTGGGAAATGGACACAAGTACGACAGGGCCCCTTATGGACTCGTGCATCGCATCGTACGGCTGTGACTGTGTCACTCTCGGCGGGTGACGGGTCGCTGCGATACATATGACACCAAAATTCAAGGGCTGCGGGCTAAAGTCACTTTAAACATGGCGGACGGCTGCCCCTTGGGCTAAACCTATCAGGATTTGCGTTCCTGGCTGGAAACCTGATGGGAGGAAGAGTCAAAAACAGGTTTGGCGATCAGTGCACCGTCCATGACCCTCCATCGACCCTCGTCGGCCCTCGTCCCTGGATCTACCTCGACGCGGAATGGTCCAAATGGGACGGGGCGTTGATAGTGCCGGCCAACGGTCTTGGTCAATCTCTGATGCCCGCACCATTGGCCCGGGACTCTCCACTGACACCATTTTTGACTCTGGGATGCGTGGCCTGCCGCTCCGGCCTAGCTTGCAGCTTACGCCTATGCGTAGACTTCAGGCCTACTCCGTAGAGATAGAGGACTCACTGCACTCCAAGGCCCAGAAGTCTGCATACTTGAGGGTTCGATGCTGACCTCATAGGCGCACTATCTGGGTTTGCCCACCGCCAACCTTCCTAAGCACTGGAGGCCGTCGAGGGCCGAGGGTCGCTCTGCTGGCTTCGCCTGCTGGCTCCTCCCACGCTCCAGATGGACTACCCGACTTTTCGGTTCTGCCCTTCCAAGCAATTACGGAGTAAATTCTCCCCCAAGTGGACCATGACTTTCCCTCTGGAAGGATGAAACTGCTCTGTGACATTGTGAATTGCCACTCACAAACCAATGCATCTGCTCCAACATTATCGTCACGGCACGAAGGGATAGGATACTTGCAGAAGGGGGTGACGGGTTGAGACAATTTCTCTATGCTCCCCGCTATCAGAATTGCGAGTAACAACAACCCATTGGAAGAGTTTCATAAAGACATCCGAGGCCGACTTGGCCCCAGTCGTTCCATGTTCGAGATTGCGTTGATTTCGCCGTAGTATGGCCTCAACTAAGCAACGCTGCGTGAAGATGATTCGATCTTTCCACCCCTCAGATTGATTCTACCTTTTGAGGTTTTTGTCGAGATTAGATCTTGGCGAACCAATCGCCTCGTTAACAATAATTCACTGGTTTTTGTTGGACGAGCCAGCCTCTGGATATCATGTCATTCTGTCCCTGCATGATTATCGATTATGAGATATGAGATACGAATCGCGATTTCGCCTCGAATATGTGCGTTGGACGACCTTGCTTGGGGTTATCGCATTCGTCTAGGAGATGATCTAGCAGAATGCCTACCCGTACATAGCTGCGGTTTAATCGACCAACGGGTTTCCCAGAGGCATCTGCTTAGAATAGTGTTGTGTAACAAGCCATAGGAAATCAGCCTAGACAGAATGCACAAGATACGGAGATCAGACAGATCCAATCACCACATGAAGGACGACATATATCACAATGCAAAAATACTGCGTGCCTAATAGCTGTGTCCAACCCTCGTACGTCTTGCTTTCCCTCTGTTGTGCCACTACTAGCTAGGAATCATAAGTGACGAGGTCATGTCGAGTGAAGCTTTGTTCATGCTCCATTGCCTGTTGCGTTGCGATAAGAGTCAATGGTATGTGGCGGTGGGGATTGATTGTTGGAGTTTGAAATCCTCCCCAAATATCATGTTTGTCAATCCTGGTATCTTTGGCCGTGACCCTCATCACAGTCATCTACCTCATATTGTATCCACGTGCTTCAAACGCACAACAAGAGTGTCACAATCGCTTCGGGCCCAATGACTCAATCACAGTTAGAATCATATGCTAAGTCCTCATTCTGAATCGCTGCTGCAAACCCTCACCCTCTCACCTTCCTCTGGATTCTCGATTCTTGGCATTGACTTCAACCTCACCATGTCTCGAAACCACAATCTTAGAGAGCAGTAAGTACAGAAGCGGTTTGTGTGTTCAAACTTATCTCCTCTTCGTCCCCCCTCTTCGCCCTCATCTTTTAGACGCCCCGATGCGCATTATTCGCCTTTCTAACCATCAACTTATCCCATCAGGTCGCGCAGAATGGCTTCCCACCACGGTCCTGGTCCCCAGCTCGCCAATGTCGAGATCGGAAGACTGTAAGCATGGACCGATCTTCTTCTCCTCCTCCTCCTTGATTACTCTGACTGGCTACCAGGATCAAATGCCGTGATTGTGGAATCAACGCCTTCCCTGCTCGGTTCTCGAACAAACAGCTTAATGAGTATCGTCGGGAACTCCTCAATGTACGACATGGCAAAGCCGCGACCCTTCCGAGATGCATCAGTTGCACGCCCGGCAATGTCCAAGAGCTCAAGTGCCGAGATTGTCGAGAGGTCAAGCCAGTCGAAGATTTCTCTCGGAATGCCAGAAGTCAACCAGACAATGCAGTAAGCCATCGCCCCCGACATGAACATGACATTCCATGGCAAGATACCTAACACAGTATAGAGGTGCAGACCATGTGTTCAGGCAACAGAGGATCTCGTCCCAGATCTCGAAGAGGCACTGGCCGAAGAGCAAATTCGCGAGGAATATGAGAAACACCCACACGGGACCTCAGTCTCATCGTCCCATCATGGCTCGACTTCAGGCTATTCACATGCCGACTATGCTACATCCGACTCAGCTAGTCAGCCTGCTTCTAATAGGCACGGAGTCTTTGTGAACAATAAGCATGACTCGGCCTGGGATGACCCTCCACAATCTACATCTTCCTCCGTTTCTCCCCCGAGCACAGTACACTCAGCACGGGCTTCCACTTCATACAGTCGAGCTCCTAGTGGTAGCACTCGAGGTGGATTTTCAAACATATCGGCATACAGACCACCAGTGGAGGTTCGTGTTTACGAGCAAATGCAGCGACAGCGACAATTGCAACAGCAACAACAGAGCCAGAGGGACCAAGGCAATCAGCAGGCTCGAGGCACTGCCAGCGGAAGACGAGATGATTCTGATGACGAAGAGGACTCTGACTTCGAATTGTGAATCACGGAGCCCAGATCAGAATGCAAGAGAGCAAAGTGACCTAGCATCAGAGCCATCGCCAACCATTGCAGATCATTACCTTAACAAAGGCCGCACACAATTTTTGCAGCAGCTAGCATCTCGAGTTCCAGCTCTCCATTCTGAGACAATATGCCTCGAGATCAGAGCGACAGATGGGTGCGAATTTGAATTTGCGATCATTTCTGCATGAAGGCTAATTAACTTGGGATGATTGCAAGCGACAGAGGTATGCTGCTTTGACCAGTGGGCGATGCTGCTCCTATCTGAGGCACTCATCGATGAGTTCTATTGAATCCTAGTTATTAATTAGTTATTAATTGAAAAATTGAAAAAAGCTACCTGGACTTTGTGCTTTGTTGCTCGTAAATGCTTGGGGTGGATATGGTAGTATAACTCTAGCTAGCGGGGAATTACAGAAGTTGTTTATTTTTAATCAACTAGATGTGAACTTGAGTGATGATTATTTTACGCCAGGAATGTCCCAAAACTACCTTAGTTGTCTAGCAATAATTTCTTTTGTTGTGTGGGCTCATTTCAGTGCAAGCTAAGTGAGAACACAAGGTATGTGATGGCTTTCAGTTGAAGTTGGGTATCAATGCAAAAGCGATGGTGATGTGTTGTATGGAGGTGCAGGTTGTACATCCGCCATCAAATCGGCAGGTCCTGCGGCCGCATCAGCAGTGTGATGGTCGTGGGAGTAGTTTCAGCCTTCAAGTGAGCGCTTCAACAAGGTCAAGCCCACACATTTCAAATCTATGCAGGTCGGTTCAGACGATAGAAGTGAGATTCTGGTTAATAATAGCTACAAATCCCAGAGGTACCGTTGACAGTCGTGTCTGTTGTTGAGGAAGCAGTTGAGTGGAAACTTTGACGCATATGTTCGGCAGACTTTCTCTTCATCAATGCCCTGCTAATTAGAATATGTCACCATGTTCATTATTAAACTACCACAATGCTCACCCTTTAGCCTTGGCTTCACATGGTCAGACACACAAGTTGGGCAATAAAACCTCACAGAAACCGGGCCATGAAGTTGCGAAAGTTGCAAAGGATGAAGCATGTGAGCAATGATGATAGGGCCAGGTACAAAGGGTCCGACTTGCCCCATGCATGCGGCATGGCTGGTGCCCACACGTACTCCGTTGGCTCTTTGCCGCTTGGCCTTCGCCTCTGCGGGTGCTGGGCCGAAGTCTCCCCTCTTGAAGCACCGAACAACCAGAATCATGGATCCAACCCAAGGAGACCTCATAGACCACCCACCCACACGCCCTTACAAACCTACAAACCAACGGCTCTCCCGCCCACCATAAACTTAAATCACCTCAATGACGAACTATGACAACCTTGATGTTTGCTATCAAATAACCGGTTCTGGATGCGCGGGCGGTGACGTACCATTTTGCCTATCCAGCAGGATTTGTTGCCTATTCCTCCAGTCCTAGGCATCTAGGCAAGCTCGTCGCATCGCACCGTCGAGCAACGTCTTGGGCCACGTGGTATGAGGTTGCGTGCATCATCAAACCCAGCAAACGATACGCAAGACCTGAGGCTGTGGTTTCTTGACTCGATCAGCCTGTGACCTTCCCAGAAGACGTGTAACCCGAGGCATGATTTACTTTTGAACGTCGGCTCAGAAGCCCTTGGTCGTCTGGCGTAGGCACGCTTGGAAGGTCCATCTCTGAAGTGATGCAATCGACAGATCCCGCTCCAGCAGAGCATCGATGCTCAGATATGGCATCTGAGGACCTTGCAACTTGAAATATCAGGTTGGATTGCCTTGATGCCCTTCCACATTGCTGTAGATTATCAGGTTATCATTATGTATCATTAGTGTGGTGTGCTCATAGCAGGAGGGACCCTGGCCTCTCTGGGTGCCTGGCTTCTTTCTTCCCATATCGAGTCGCATCCACCCGGCGACGGAACCGGCCTCATTCTCTTGTCTTCCATCGTCCTACTTACACCATCTCTCTGCCCTTCATTATCCATCGACTTTGACCACAGTGTCGCAACTTCACCTTGATTAAGACGAATACTGTCCAATCCATTAGCACTAGGCGCCTCTATCCTCCACTGACCTTTCGACCCAACTGGCGCAGGCTCGCGACGTGTCACCACCACTCCTCTCCCTGCCCACAGCCTTTCCCGACGAAACCCAGTTCTAGCCTCACCCTACTCCTCCTCCTACCACCCGCCTCGATATGAGATAATATTCCTCTTTCCTCTCAATCGAGGTCACACGGGGTACAAGACGTGTTTCACCAACAGGCTGCATCGTCTACAAGGCTACCTCCAGCCCTTGAAGCCTCCCACGCACCATCTACAAGATCCCCACATACCCGCCTGAATCCACTCTAAGGCTTTCCTAGTCTCTAACCTCTGGACAAGGAAACCTGACGAAATCAGCTGAATGCTTTGTGTCTAGCTCTCGTCCTTGCTGGGACTTATAACTCCCTTGCAATGGCGTCTCATGATGGCGGCCCATCATCAACAACTGCAAATGGCGAGCATGGCGCAGCGAGATATCTTCATCCTGGTCACAACCCCTTGAACCCCAATGATCCCAAGACGAGACCCCGAGGCACGTCAAATGGGTCTCTTGATAACTTCAGCTTTGACCCTTCTAGACTTCAAGCCCGTCTCCCCATCAATGAAGCGCTTCAGTCCGCCTTCAATAGCGCCGATGGAGGCTCGACTACCAGTATCCCCCCGGAACTATTACAACAGATCACGTCAGAAATCACAGCAAATGTGCTATCTCAATTGAAAGCTTCGAGTGTTCCACTGGCCAATTCGCAAGCTGCACCGTCGACCTCACACGTGGATGCGTCTTCCTCCACGGCAGGCTCTCCGCCGCTGGATAGAGCCACCGTCTACACTCCACCATCACCCCATCGGACTTCGGAAGACTTTGGTCAGCATCCCCATTCACCTCGATTTCCTCCGCCTTCAGAATCATCATCCTTCAGAGCTACTTCACCTCTCCCAGACAGACAACCACTGTCGCCGTCTCTTCATCCGACCAATGCCCCCGAAAATGAAGTAACACTTGAACGCACAAGCCGACCAAAGGGTCCTAAAAGACTATCTAGCGGGGGCGATGCAACAATTCTAGAAAAGGCCTGGGGCACACTATTTAGTGAGCAGGGTGAGGCCACCCCGCGCTTTGGCCAGTTCCTTCGAGGGATCGCAGTCCATCTCATTGAAGACTACGAGCCCAAGCAGAGTCTGGTTGTCACCCCAAGCAAGATGCAACGTTATTATGAAGAGACCAAGCTCTCCAATGAGTTGTACCCCTGGAACATCATTTTTGACGATCGAACGTCTTCGATATCGAGGATGTTTCGTGACATTGAAGCGCAGCATCATCTGGTACAGGATAAACTGGATGAAAGGCCAGATATCCCCGGCTTGACCCCTCAAGGCTTTCAGACCTGGGCGACCCTGTTATTAAAGGCCCATCCTGATCAAGAATTCGAAAGATTGGCAAAGACAGCCTTGGACATGCCCATCAGCAACCCGGACGATAAAAAGGAACGCTTTCCAAAAGAACTGTCCAGGCGACTGTTCCCTCGAGCTCCCGATAACCAGGTTGAATCCAAATTGCAAAAGTCCATGTCAACCCATTGCAATGTCACATTCAAATCACGTCAGAACAGCATGGCAGAATCGCGGTCTCAGAGCGTATCTTCGAATCCGCCCCCAGCAGAACCTGCCCCCAAAACAACTCTTCGACCTTCGGCTGAAAACCAAGAAGCAAGCGCCAATGGCGTGCCTCTCAGTCCTGCGTTGTCAAACAGCGGCCTGGAGCGGCAGCGGCAACCTTACTCTGGAGTGCCTACCTCTACTGCCCCAGCGCCTGATCCTCCCTCTCAGCAGGCGGTCATCGATGATGATAGTGAAGACATGCCGACCCCACAGCCGATTGAGCGGGAGCGCAAGCCCTACGTGGCCGCTCCCGGAGCTGGGAAGAACTATGACAACCTAGACAAACCTGTTGCGGCCCCTGAGACTCAGCCGCAACAATCTCAGCCTGAAATTAAGCTGAGCCGTTCAACCTCGATGCGTGACAACGCGCGACCAAGCTTTTCCCAACATAGAGCACCGCCCGTTGCAGTTCACCAGCGCGCACCGCCTCCGCCTATGGATTCAAGCGATAGCCGTCCGCACCGGGCTGGTAGTATGTACCACCGAGATCAGCCTCGTCGGACGCGGTCGCCGTCGGCAAATTACAACAACGGCGATGCGCAGTACATGCGAAGATCGGAGAGTGACGTGTCATACCCGCCTCCTCCACAGTACCCGCCTCCAGCGACTGACGGGTTTGATGATGCCAGAAGATACAGAGATTATGAAGCGCAACGAGAACGACTTGCGAATGACCGGTATGACGCTGCAAGGATGGCTGCATACGACCCTCGAGAGCGAGAACGGGATCGTGATCGAGGAAGTCGACCCCGAATGCAGTCTGTGTCTGATTTTGACGCACCGCCGCGAGGGTCATATGCCGGATACAATGACGAGGATTACTACCGAGAGAAGGGATATTCTGGCGGCAGCGGATCCTATCATGCATCGCCAGTTGTCAGTACTGGATTTCATCCGCCGCCTATTCACACAACTTCAGCCAACAGTCGAGAAGGACTATATGGCTCATACCCCCACAGTACACGATACCCCCCAACCAGTTACAAAGAAATGCCATGACGGAAGAATGATAATCGATGATGAGTGGAAAATCTGTGGCCAGGTGAGATCTGAGAGCTGGTTTCCTGTTGTCACAACCTGAATGACGAGCTTTGGTGCGAGGGCATTTTGTATGATGTCGACTGGAGTCTTTGGGACTCTACTTTATTTCAATTTGTAGATGCTTTTTCAACAATACCCCCTCCTTTTTTTGCATTTAGGCAGACGAATGTACCAAGATTGAAACGAGAAATCAATACATTTGCGGATGGTTTTTCATTCGTTTACGCTCTTGCTGGTGTGTTGAGGGAGAAGTGATGCTTGTCCATTAGTGTGATAGTATCGTGAAGAAGCATTAAAGCTTAGATATAGATTGCAGATTTTAGGCCCCTCGGGCATCTTGGGGCTCCTCGGCCTGCACAAATACATGATAAGCGAAGCCTAATCACGAACCATCAGCCATTCATCCGTGAGTTCGTGATCTGAGTTGGAGCATCGATGATCAAACTCCAATGATACTTGTCCTTGGACCATTTTGACTCTGTTCAACTAAAATGATGCTTAAAACACTCATGCAGATTCCCGATGTTTCGACCCCAGAGATCCCCAATGGATCATCATACGAGTACTCGTGGTTGACGGCCTCACAGACCATCTCATCCCTCCCGCTCCACACCTCGCGCTTTGAGTCCCTCACACACACCCTCGCATACAGATGCTCAACAGAGCCATGACCACCACCACAATTCAGTCACGCGTAATAAAATATACTTTGCAGCCGAACCCAGGCCATCCGTCACCACCATGGACATCTCACTTTTGCCGTTATCAGTACGAGCAGCATTGTCTACAGCTACCTTACTCACCTCCTCCCAACTCCCATCCTCGTCCTTGATTTGCTGTTGACCAAGGCACGCCTTTCCCCTACCTCCTACCACCTGAGTGCCCTGGACGCGAAGCAGCACCTCAACGCCCTCACATAACGACTCATTATGTCTCCTCCGCATCCTCCTCCATCATGACCCCCATCCACTCAAACCATGAGCTATAACCACGCCGAACAAAAGGAGCTCGATGACCCCATCGAACCGTCAATCTCAGACTCCACAAGCTCAGATGTCAGCGCTGATGAGAAGGAGGAAGAGGAAGAGCAATGGCGTCCGGACGAGGAGAGGGATTCGCTCCCGTCTCTCCCGGCCATCAATACCTCCAAACACTCTCGGCCCTCCAAGAGAAGCAACCCATACCAGCAACGTGGCATTCTGAAATTGAGACCTACTGAAGATGACCTTCCCACCAGTTGGTGGTTCGCATCCACTGCAATTCCCTTGATCGCCGCCACATTTGCTCCCATGGCCAATCTCATATCCATTGCTGCCCTGGTTGTCCCGTGGAGAAATAATGTCGTCGATTTCGATGACCCAGCCTTGTATCAATCCACCTCTGTTGGTTTCCCGGATCCGAAATGGTGTATCGACCTCAACATTGCTTCTCTGGTCTGCGGGTTCGTGGGAAATCTCTTCTTACTCTTCAATTTCACAAAACGTATTCGTTATATCGTGGCGCTACCCGCCACCATCATCTTTTTCTTCCTCGCCTCGGGCATCCTAACGGCAATCACGGCGACGATGAATGTCTATGTCCCACCCAATGCCGACCAGGTCTACTCACAAGGCTTCTGGAACGCCATTCTAGCTGCCGCTCTCTACATGTTCAATTCCCTCATTCTCTTGGTCAACATGGCTGGATATTTCCTTGGCCACTATCCCCAACATTTCACCTTGTCTGACGAGCAAAGAAACCTCATCCTCCAAACCATGCTGTTTTTTATATGGCTGGGAGGTGGTGCTGGTGTCTTTTCCAGCATTCAAGAGTCATGGGGATATCCTGACGCTTTGTATTTCTGTGATGTCACTATTTTGACCATTGGATTTGGCGACTATACTCCTACCGACGACGTAGGTCGAGGTCTCGTGTTTCCTTATTCTGTCGGCGGTACCATCATTCTAGGTCTCATGGTGAGCTCCATCCACAGATTCGCCCGAGAGCTCAGCACAGTCAATGTCTTGAGAAAACACGTCGAGACCCGTCGTGTGAACACATTGTCTCGGGTCGTGAGTGTGGACGACATGGTGTCTGAACAGAGACATATGCTCGAGGATGAATATGCACATGGTCTTAGACCCACCATATCTTCTCCTATACCCAATCCCCAGATCCAGCGAGACCTCGACGCCGCGGCACAGAGAAATGGCCTCCACCTCCAAACTAACAACAAAGCCCTTCCGAAGCAAGACCCGGCAACTGGAGACCAGTCTCATCCAGCCCGTCGCATCGAATTCAACAATACACCGAGGGCAACATTGAAAGAACAAGCCTCCGTCGATCAGAGTGAGCCCCACCCCAGTCAATTCCTCGTCTCCGCTCTCCGCAGACGACCCATCCGAAGAACCTTCAAAATCATCACCAAAGCCGGCGTCAAAGGCGCCAAAGGACTGAAACGGGCAACCTCGCGATCTCAAAAAGTCATCATCATGAGAGAAGAAAAAGATCGATTCGACGCAATGCGAAAAATCCAACTCAACGCCAAAACCTGGAAGAAATGGTATGCCCTGATGGTCTCCATCTGCGCCTTTGGTATCCTGTGGTGTATCGGCGCCGTCGTATTCTGGCAAGCGGAGCAAAGCACTCAAAACATGACATATTTCGAAGCCCTATATTTCTGCTACGTCAGTCTCCTGACCATCGGATACGGCGACCTGGCGCCGAAAAGCAATGCTGGAAAACCGTTCTTTGTCGTATGGTCTTTAATCGCCGTTCCCACCATGACGATTCTCGTCTCCGACATGGGCGAAACAGTCATCTCGAGTTTCAAACGCAGTACATTCAAAGTCGGCGATTTCACCATCCTTCCCAAAGCAGGTCTGTGGCATGATTTTCTTAGGTCTCACAGCATGATCTGGAACTGGATCGTCAGTCGAGCCGAGAAAAGAAACCGTGCTAAAAGACAATTACCAGTCGGACCGTCCGAAGACGCCGGTCTTCCCGATCTAACGATCGAAGACCTCGCCGACGATAATCCAAGTGAAGCAGAAATGACCAAACGACTCGCCTGGGCCATTCGTCGCACCGCAGATGATCTGCAACATGCGCCTGGAAAGCGATATACATATGAACAATGGTGTGATTTCACGCGTCTTATTCGATTTAGTCGTGTGGGTCTCGAAGCATGTGATGAAGCGGAAGACGGTGTGGTTGATTGGGATTGGCTTGAGGAAACTAGTCCCATGCTCAGTGGCCAGACGGAGTCGGAATGGATTCTTGATCGCTTGTGTGAATCGCTGCTGAGACTCTTGAAGAAGAACATGCTTGGTTTGGCGGGTACGCCGTTGATGGGTAACACGCCAACATCTTCATCAGTGAATTTCCGGTCGCCGATGAGTGACGGTGCTGGAACTTCGCCTTCGGCTTCGTCTTTCAGTTTCTCGCGTCGGCCGACCTTCTTTGAGAATCAGACTTGGGATTCGGAATCGGGCTTGAATACAGGTACAAGGAGGAAGAGAAGGACCAGCACCGGAACCGCTGGCACCACTGGTGCCGCGCACGGTCAGGGCCAGAGTCGGGGCCACCGTGACAATGCCACCGATCCCAATAACACATCGTTCCTGAGTCCTCCACCTTCTCTCACCACCCAACGTCGGCGACGCGCCTCAGGAGCCGACGCCCTACTCACATTCTTCACCGGTGACCGTGGAGGTTCGCATGCATATGCAACTGAGGCACCGCAATGGAGTAGAAAGGCTCAAGAACGAGCCAAAGAACGCAGAAGGAATAGTCTGACCAACCGTCGGCGAGGGCCTTTCAGCGGCCTCGCTCCTCCTAGTGCCACGTCTGCTGGTAGCAGCGGCGGTCTGGGGGGTGGAAGAGGTGGGGCTGGGGCGAGGACGATGAGGATGAGGCAGAGTGATAGAAAGAGTAAAAGCAAGAGCAGCGATGGGCAAAGAGACCAAGCGAAGGACAAGAATAAAGTCCTCGCGGGGCAAGATGATTGATTAATGATATACTGAACTGGGTCTGACAATAGCATTTGAAATCAATAGTGAGATCACATGACATATCGATGCTACAGCTTCATCTGTGTCGACCATCATACTGGCTCCTTATATCACCGACGAAACAAAAAGATCATCAGACATCATTTCCGGGAGGGATAAGAAAGAATCCATCAACGCACTAAGTTTGGACTTGTCTTCAATTGCCAACCCTGTCAGTAATGCCCGCACCCGCGGTTCAAACCATGATCTTTCGTCTTGTAGATCCGTCCCCTTTCTCGCGAAGAACAGGCCTGTCAGAAGGATCCACAGGAGGAGTTCGTGAGACTTGCCCGTCCAGATGGAATCAAGAGGCGTCAAGGGATTTGGAGGAGGTAAGGATGATGATGAGACCTGTGACGGTGACTGCAGTAATGCCTTGGGGTTGATTTCATTGCAAGGCAGAAGAATTTCATATTGAAGTTGACGTTGGAGTCGTCGGATCCACAGAGTCGACTCGGAGGTTGGAGAGTACATCTCGGACATAACGCATGCGACGTTGGTCTCTAGGACCTGAGACATGTGCCTCAGGACCAGTGCCAAAGCTAGTCGACAGCATAGTTCATTGCCGTAACTCGGAGGAGACAGAAGTCGATAAGTCAACCCACGACACCTCCACTGAAACCAACAGGTCTCAGGGCTCAGGCTCTCGCCATGGTGGAACCGCTGCCTCAGATGCTGAAAGATCCCCGGGATGGAGACAAGGTCCTGTATGATTTGCTTGAGGTCATTGCTGTATGTGACGGCTTCCAGCGCAGATGTGAAGCTAGAGCAGCCCGCCTCAACACAGCCTGGACCACTAGTTTGCAAGCAAGGTGCTGAAAGTGTAAATGGATGCACAGACAGGGGGAAAGATGATCTAGGTGGCTCAAACTTTTGAACAGGAGACACAAACCCGCCCATGTAGGCAAGCATATCATGCAGGTAGTTGTCTATGGTGGACAAATCAGGTTCCAGGGACTTCCAGAACGTCTTGACAAATTTGAAATGGGTGTCGGCGGCCTCATAGTTGCCCAGATACCATTCACAGACGCTTAGGTAATAGATGTCTAAGATGAGTTGCCTGTCTTTTATGGTCAGCTCCGTGTTGAGCATGCCTCGCAGCTTTTGCATTGCCTTGTCCAAGTAGCTCTCGGGCCCATTATCTGCTTGGAAACGGACGCCTGAAACCAGCCTCATTCGGCTTGCAGTTGCAGCCAAAAGGGAATACAAGTGTACTTCCTCTTGCATGCATCCTTGCACAATCGCTCGAATGATGGAAGAATGATGAGTTATCGTTCTGGATGGCGTCAAGCAGTCTTTCTTGGGCATCGACAGGAGGACAAAGGATAGGTAGTATTGGAGGACAGAATCGGCATTGCCATCTCGAGGTAAAGAGGCAGGAATCAAAGGCTTGAAGCTGGGAGATGTGGGGAATCTAATAATGCTTGGAGGCCATGTCACTGGTCTCGGCCCCATGATTGCATTCGCCTTTGTTTCGGAGTCTGATGATGTTGTGCACGATTTTCCCGAAACCGTAGCAGGCTGACTAGATTGGGTAACGATTGAAATCTGGAGCTTTGCTTGTGTTGTTTTGACTCGACGCCGTCTCGGCTTGGGCGGTCGATTATCCGAGGTGACCAGACGATCGAGACGGCATCTTGTTACACACTTGTCAAAACTCAGAGTCTCTGTGTGCGATGGGCAATCGTCTGAGCCAGAAGGTTGGCGAGTATGTGATAGAGCGGCATCCTGGGCCCATCGTTGAGCATGACTATTGATACTGGCTGCTGCACTACGAGATGTGGATCTTGACAGCAGATCAGACTTGGGTGTCTTGACGACGAATAAAAAGGAACCTTTGTTTGGACTCGGTCGCTGAGGTCCAAGTTGTAAGCTGGTGAAGTGCGCAAACTCAACAGGTGAATCCTGTCGCTGGCAAGCCATGGACGCAAACCTTTTATCGTCCACAGATACTTGTTGAAAGTGCCTTCACACGGTGAGTGTTGAGGTAGAAACATTGACAAGCGCTGGAGACTCAGGTGAAGCGGGGTCAAAGAGTCTTCTGGGCCACATGCAACGGGTCCCTCATGAGTACGATTGTAGTAGACCACAGTCAGCATCGGTTGGACTTGAGCTGCGATTGAACTGGCAGTGTTGGTTGGAGTGATTCAAGTGGTGCGGGACAATCGTTTGCCGCTGCTAAGCAGAAATAGGGAAACGAGATACAAGGATTGATAAGCTCGTAGTATTAGTAATCTCCAAACTTCCAAATTCCCAGAATTGATAGAAAAATAGCATGCGAAGATCCAGGACACACGATGGTGAATGTACATTACGAGATTCATTCCTCTCGTGTGGGGATCTTGCCATATTCATGTCTATGGGAAAGGTCTGTTCAACATGGTCTCACGGCCATTAAAACTCATAGAATATTTCAGTTCCAAAGTCCCAAAGCGTCATTGGAATGTTCTCGTCTCCTAAGAGTGTGCTCGTATGGCTCGGCAAAGGGAACATAGAGCTTGTCCCAAAGCCTGGTCCGATCGACGACTGGAAGCTAGATACAGCGGTCCTTTTTGGGCGGCATGACGAAGCTAATCCATGATCCGAAGCCTTGCGTTTCATGGCAGGATTGAGTGCTTGTTGTCGATGTTTCCCGTCGGGGAACTTAGACGAGGGCGAGGATGGCAGAAGCCTGGCAGAGGCTGGGTCCAATCGTACCTCTGTTCCCCAATTTTGAGCCTCTGAGGTTACTTGGTGGTCTTGTCTGGCAATGGTCTGGCAATGTTGCATATCTTGGTGAGGTGGGTAGGCTGATAGAGTAGGAAGGCGAGGCTCTATGGCTTTGCGTTCCCGAGGATGTTGCGATAAAATGGAAGAGGGAGGTGGTATTTGAGGTGGAGAGCTATACTCCTCAGGGAAACGTCTGATTGGAGCACATGGGAAGGTGGCAGGCTGTAGATCTCCAAGGGACACTGGTTGGGAATTCTGGTCAGAATGCTCACCATTTTGATTCGAAAAGCGGGTTGAGGGACAGTCGTCATACCCCACAAAACAGGATTCGTTCTGTTGGTAACAAGGCTGGGCCATAACGTCCTCAAGAGGCTGGAATAAGCCTGGCGATGAATTGTCGGTAGCCAATGATGAGGAAAGCTCCATTACTTCGTCAAAGCTCCTGAGGCTGAGGAGTTTGTTCAATGGTATTAGCGGTTTGGAAAATAAATCCATCTGTGGCATCCGTGAGATTGGCTTGTGAATTCGTGCTTCGTGTCCAGCTGGAGCGGTATGGTTCCAACAGAACTCACGTTCTGGAGCATAGCTAGGAAAGGTGGTGCATTTGCGTGGCATGTGTCCTGGAAAATCAGCTGTCGGGTTTGAGACAGACCTAGCTTGTGAGGGAGGCGGATGGGAACCCTGAGCATCCAAAAGACTAGAGTTTTGATCCGTATGTCTGCCGAAAATCGGGGAGTGTGAGGGCGAAGAAAGATTTCGTGCTGCCGCTCGACTCCATTGATGCCGTACTGGGGACTCAGACACTCGCTCCTGAACTTGCCCGAGATCGGCATCTCCTGAATTCCAAGAAGACTTCATTGGTCTTGTCTTTCTGAGTCCAGCCCAGTCACGTTGTGAAAGTAGGGTCTCCTTGAAGAGGTGGTTTATTCCAAACTCTTTTTTGGGCTGAGAGTGCTGTGGCTGCCTCTCTGAAGGTAAGTTGGTGGTGGGATTGCCTCGAAACTTTGGCTGCAGGATGCTTTGGATCTTGCTCTGGGGCAGTTTGTCCAATTCTGCGTGAAGCTTGCGAATGTGTTTTGATGTTCCTCGCTGATTGATAGGCAAAGCCGGTTGATGCTGGGCATGGATCGAAAATGAAGATCTGGAAGGACTCGAGGTACCTTGTTCGCGTAGTCTTGCTTTTGCAAAATGGCGTTTCTGGGATTTGAGGAGAGTGTTGGAGTTGGCCTTGGAATGGCGGTTCAGATGACCACCAGTCCAATTCATGGTACTGGATCGGACTAAGATCAGAAATGCGGAAGGAGAACCTTGTGCAGCGACTCGATGTTGCACAGACCAAAGATAGAGAGGACTCGGTAGACGGTAGACGTATGAGAGTAGATCTGAAGTTTTAAGAGGCCAGGGAGCATGAAATCATGGGTAGGAAGCAGACATGGACGAGATGCAGCGAGCCGTGGCTTCCTCTGGTTGACGCCTCCTTACCTGAGGCCTTCCTACCTAGTTATCCTGCATTGGATCCAGGCGGCCATCTGATCCAGAAATCCTCGTTTAACACGAAGGATTGTGAGTCTTTGATTCTTAGCCATCAGAGCTCTGATCGAGGTCAAGCAACTGCATCTGCAGGCCTGTTCATGTTTGAAATGGAACTCATGCACTTTGAAATCCGTCGGAGTGGCTCTGACTGTGAACCCCCGCACCTCAAGCAGCTATCCTCACCAGGAGGTTGAGACGCTTCGTTTAGCATCCACTTCACAACATGTAAAGTTCATGATGAATATCACGTATGCCCGAGGAGGGGATTGCTCGACACCGTGTGAGAGGATCACGTCAGTTGGAAAAGAGGAAACCTGCACCAATGACGAGAGCGTCAAGGCGCGGAGTCTCAATCTCGTGTAACATACCTGCTAGTATTGGACTTTTGGACACGGCTAATGGATTGTCGCTAATACTATCATCAAACTTCTAGGCTTAATATTGGCCAAAAGTATTTGATAACCTGTGTGGTGATCCGAGATACGATTTTGAGCTTCATCAAAGTGGTCTTGACATCCGCACGAGATTTGCTTCTCCGTATAGTCACGTGATCTCTGTCACGAAAACTTCAACCCACAACTTTTTTCACAACATGAAACCCTTTTTCTTTGTCACCCAACCAGATATCTCGTCAGATACATACTTCGCGCACCGTAATGCACAGATTGGGCTTCGAAGACCGAGAGCGCCGTTTATGAACATCCTCTGCAGCTCTTTCCCAGTCCAAACCCACGAGGCCGCCTTGTAGCGAGGTACGTTTTCTGCCCTTCTGGCAAGCTTTCTTATAGCCCATAACGACATCTATGATGAACCAAATTACAAAAAGCATAGTTCAACCGAGACATTAACGTCCTTGAGCGAACACCTTACCATCATCAAACTCTCTGAATCACTTAGCAATGCATTGTTGATAATTCTGTTTCTGCACTCGCGTGGTACAGCCGCTGACGGAAATTGTTTAACTAGATTGACTGCTGCCCGATTACCGAGGCACAGAGGTATACCGGCACGTGAGATGGGAAGATGATTGAGACGACGATCATGATTGTCGTGTCCCCGTCATAGGCTCCAGCCGGATCGTCGAAGACGAATAGGTACGGGCAATCATTGTCGTCATTTTTTATGCAAGTGCCGAGATGTACAGTCGCTACTTCGTAGGCGACTCGGAGAGGTGTGTTCCTGTCGATAAACTTCCCCAACTGGCGTTGTTCAAGATTACGCATCCTATACCCTGCTTCCACGGGTCCATGTACGTGGAAATTGACACTGAATTCGCGCAGGGGGAAGGACAAAGCATAAGTAGAAGCCTCCTTCCAAAGGCGCTGGCTGTATGGTAGATTTTTTGTGTTTGTTGATTTTCTTGGTTCCGGTTGGAGAGCTTTCTTTTTCAAACGTTACGTCACCGTACTACCCTGTCCAAGTACATCCTCGCCTTGCAGCTTGTTCTATCAGGCGTCCAGTGGTTACTAGTAGATTGCATTACTCAATAATGGACTCCCCTGAATCTCCCATATACATTTCACTTCATTCGTACTTGCTATACCTTGTCTCTTTGCCATTGTCCCATGACTGCACTGCCCGTCCCGACTCTGAGAACGAGAGAAGAAGACAAAAGATAGACAGGGGATATGTGATGTTCAGGCACCATGTCCGGGCATAGCATGACGCCTGAGAGTCTGTGGACAGGGCTATTTAGGGCGCTCTCCATTACAATGGTAAAGTGGCTAGCGATGGTCTCACCATTATAGGTCACCAACAGCTTGTGGGGTCTCATGTGACTGATTAGGTCGGTGCCCAACGGATGAGGCCAAAAGTTGAGTTCTACAAAATGCAGAGTACTCGGGCTGTGAAACCCAGTTGTCGATTCTCCTGCTTTTCTGTGTTAAGAGGGTGGTGTGGTCAGAGGCACGATACGAGAGGAGTGCAGTCTTCGGAAGACTTGGATCGTAGGAGAAGCTGCCACGTCAGTCGGTCGCAGCTGCACGCTGCAGGTGCTGAGGACGGGTCACAATCGTAGGAGTGGTCAGTTTCGAGGTGGATAGGAGAACAAGATCAAAACGGTCGAAAACCAAAGCCCTTGTTCCAAGGTTAACTACGAATGAAATAGGCCCTGTTGATCAATGCTGGGCGACGATAACCACACATGATCGACCGACGAGGGTGCGGTACGGGTCGGGCGTATCACTGATGAGTGGGGTCGAAGATCAGCAAAGTTGACTCGCCAAAGAAGGTTGCACCGGTGCGCGAGGCTTGCACCGCTGGCGCCGCCCGTTGCGGGTCTCGTTGGACATGACAGGCGAGTTTCCAAAGTCACTCGGTTGCCAACGGTGGAATTGAACAAATATGCCACCAACCATAGAGTGCCGAGTTTGATGCGGGGCCCTGTTGCAGTAAGAAGTGCATGAAGAGGCTTTTATGACAAGGTGGAAAGAGAGAAGAAAGGCAGACAACGGGCGAAGACGTGTTGGGGAGAGGAAATTCAACTGGCCGTCTTGGGAGCGAGGCAAGAAAGGCCAACACTGCCTACGCCCACAGTCGTGGTCACACTGGCCCACTTCCCACTTTCCCCTTCCCGCAGTTTCCAGTTTCCACTTCACGAGATGCCAGTGGCAGTCGCTCCTGCTCTCTCTCTACAGTATCATTCGACTACAGGATGACCTACAGGCTCTCTCAGTACTCGCAAGCACGACAGGCTACACTCCTTGACACACTCGCACTTGCCTTCGATTTGACTCACCGCTACCAATCAACTACTTAGACATGCATGCGGCAGTTGCGCTCTCCTGCTTGTTCCTTCCCTTTAAACCAACTCCCTCTCCCTCCCTGACCTTTTTCTTCTTCTTCCTTTTTCTCCTTGTAACTGACACCTCATACATCTCTTCACTCTCATACCAACTGTTCATGCTATAACATCACCTCTCAATTACCATCACAACTCTCAACACTTATATCGACTTGTCTGTGCAACAACCAATTTTGGCCATTTGTGGAGCCCTACATCTTCCCAGGAATCACTTCCCAGGTTAAACCCAGGCTTGCTTTTGTGCTTTTTGTCTACTGTCTTCACCGTCAATCCACCCAGGACTGCCACTCCAGGATTTGGATTCTGTATCAACTCTGCCGGTGCCACCATCTTCGGGCTGCCTCATAGCAGCCAAGCTTTAGAGGTATTACTTTTCCTTTTCTTTTCTACCTACCTATCTTGTTCGTCGTTGGCCCTCCCCGGGCCAGTTTGACCTAGTCACTACCTTGCCGGGAATATGGATCCTTTTTCTCTGCCACCACGATGGGCCATGTCCATTGCGTGGGTTGGCCTGCTGCGAATGCAGGAAGTGGGCAAAGCCCACTTCCCCGCAGAATAATGAAATGAAAAGCACGTTAGTGCTCTGCACCTTCTACCCAGGAATTGAAAGCCCACCATGGAGTTTGAGCCCCGGACAAATCCGTTGGATATGCCACATTGGATCTACACCCTGACCGGACGTGCGATTGAATCGACAAGGCGACTGGAGGCGTCAGTATCATGCTTGCTGTCCCTCTATGTCGAATGTTGTGACTCTCACCATTGCCCCAAGTGTGCCCGTGTCATGTCATCGACTTGTTTATCTGCCCCAAGGAAATTTTGGGGACAATCACTGTCATGGCCAAAACTCCTGGACAAATTGGCCTTATCCTGACGGTGACCTGCCACAATTTCATGGCCGACAATATCGTGCCCAGCCTAGTCAATCATGTTTGGACTTGGCTGTCACTGTACCCTATGTCTTGTGGCGACAAGATGACGCCACTCCTCTGGAACACCACATCTGGATCTCCTTTTGATTGTTTCGGGTCCCCGAACTGGCAACTTCTCAGCCAAGGATGTTTCCCAGTGCTTCTCTGCTGTCCTCGATCCTGTCGTCTCACGACGACACCCTGGCTCTACCTCGAACGACACTGCTCGGATGATCCACCAAAAGATAACCACCGGACCTTTTCCGTACCAGTCACCTGCACGCGTCCATGAACATTCTTATTTTGCCTCTTCTTGCACCGTAATATGCACGAGATACTAACCTCGTTGGTCAACATAGATCTCACGGGATACTCCTGGCCATAAATATGCAAAACCCCAGACGCTCACATTCGGGATCTAGCTCCCGCACCCACAGTTCCCTTGGACAAACCCCCAGGACCATGCCGATGATGCACCCGGATTTCCTGGATTATCCAAATTCTACCCTACCTGAATCCAATGGCTCCCGGTTTTCATTGTCCTCATCATCTTACCGTTCTCGTCAGGACAACGACTCTGACAGTTTCTTGTTCGAAGGACCCGGCAGTCGTGACTTTGGACTCTTCACTTCAGAGCCATCAACTATGAGTTATGCTCCCATTCATGTCTCGACTGACGCTTCCGGCGCACCGCTGTTCTCCACCGTTGATGCGTATGTATCGGAACCAGCGTTTGATTTTATGACCTCGACAGGCCACCAATGGAGCGAGATTGATCCCAGCAATCTCAGCCTCGGACCAACTTTCCAGGATGCTGTATTAGATCAAGACGTAATGCCTCCATATGTGGATATGTCGACTTACACTCCACCATCCGTGTACAGCTCGCACTTTGGAGACTCTGTCAGCTGGCCTGGCCTCCATCCGCGACCATTTACACCACCTTCTGAGCTTGAGCTTGAGCTTCAGCGGAGCCTAATGACCTTTTGCAATGAACAAGATGATCCCGCAACCACGGACCAGGACTCGCTCAACCGTGACACCAGTGGAATGCCTGGTTTGCTTGCCCGTCGAGCGGACTCATACTCACCCCGCACAACCGCTGTTGGAGACCTGGATCGCGTTAACAGCGTCAGCCCAAAGAGCACCATCCAACCAAGACCAATCCGATGTGCTTCTGAAAGGACCGATTACCTGAAAGCAGACCACCCCATTGTTGACCCCAAGACGACCTCGGAGGAAACAGGCGACCTTTCCAAAGCTAGGAGTCATGCATTCTATGAGGCCAAGGTCCAAGCAGACGGAAAATACCACTGCCCATTCTCTCGAGCGGAGGGAGACAAGAAATGCAGTCACCCACCGACACAGCAAAAGTGCATCTACAAGTAAGTTTGACCATATCCCTGTGTCGAGACATGCTCTAATACGTCGAGTACAGCAAATACCTAGATTCCCACCTGAGGCCTTATCGTTGCCGGCTCGCCGACAAGGGAGACTGTGACGACACCCAATTCTCGTCTGCCGCATGTCTCTTTCGCCATGAGAGGGAAGCCCACGGACTCTGGAACCACGGCATGAACCCTTTTCTTTGCAAATTTGCCGGTTGTGAGCGTGCCCGGGAGGGGAACGGATTCCCTCGAAAATGGAACCGTCGTGATCACATGAAACGTGTGCACGAATACACCGAAGTTGACTCGCCCAAGGATACCACTGGCACCATGGAAACCAAGAGACGGAGGGGATCCGGAGTCCCTACCTCTACTCCTATGAAGAGATCCGACTCTTCCACCAAGTCCAAGTCGCGCGCCCTGGCCGGAGCAGCTTTGCACGCGGATCTGACAGGATACGTGCCCTCACGAGGGCAGTCTTCCCGGACAAGTCATGATGTTTCCGCAACCCGTGCACTGCCCAATGGTCAGTATGCTCCTGCAGGAAACACAAATCCCCGGACATCCAGGAATGCCCAACCATATCCCAGGATGTATTCACATTAGTTTGATTTTTTGAAACTTGTCAATGCATGAAAGCTTTCAGCCAGTCTTGTATTATGTCTTAACAATCCCAAAGGAATTTTCCCAGCAATTGTGCAAGATTGTACATCCATATGGACCCCGCCAGAGGAGCTAGACCGGCACCATTTCCATGGCCAGTAGCATCTACGCGCAGCAGAATCAGTAATTCCATCAGGGCGAACACCGCCCTGGCTCTTCCCTTGTCGTCAATCGGAATCGTTGTTGGGGACATCTTGACCTTAGATGTGATCCATTTCCGAGACAGGCAGCTGGGACATTTTTCTAAGGAAGGCGCTGTATGAAACAATCATCCCGCAATATCTCCCAGGGTCAGGCCACTTTTTGTACGGAACAATCCCAGGATGTTTCCTTCTGGACGGAGCAAAATCTCGTAGGAACGTTCGCTATTCAGCACAGAATAATTGTCAGCATATTCACTCATGCCGAGTCCTCGGAGAGTGGGACACTGAACATAATGATGAATGACATATAGACATATACATAGAGCGCGTGCAAAAGGCTTTTGAATACGAAATGGTTTCGGGTTACTGAACTTGGCCGTCGTCAGTGTGTCCAGATGCTAAGTAGATTGTCAAGGGGGAAGGGGGAGGGTAGAGGGGCCGAGGGACTGACGGGCCAACCTTCAAACCTTGCCCGGGACCCCTAGGCTTTGGCAGTCAAAATTAGATACCTAGGCCTCTATGCGGGAGATCGAGTTACTCTCAGACGTATTTAGAATTACTCCAAGGCTGAGGCTGATGGGGGCCATGGTCCCCGAGGATTGAGGGGCTCTCATGGCTCTCAAGGCTGACGTACCTGATTCTGGGCACGTGAACGTGCACGTGCTTAAGAAATACTCCATGGGAATTTTTGGAGTTTGCATCATGGCCAAAACATCCACCTCACCGTGATGCCCGTAAGTATACCGACCCATCATCGTCTCCAGATGTTGATTTTGATACTAAGTCTATATCTCTGAGTAGCTCATTATCATAACGGGCCTTCCGTGCTCAGGAAAAACCTACCGAGCCGAGCAGATTGCCACCCAGTTGGAAGCCTATATTGCGTCAGACCCGAGTTTATCGAAACGCAGTGTACAGATCATCCAGTCACACCATGCTTCCCTAGATCGAAAAAACACTCCGTCCTCCTCCTCCGATCAAAGTCCGACTCCTGAAAATCAACCCAACGAGATTTCCACCCTCCGAGATGAAATCTACAACAGCGCATCTCGAGAGAAGACGGCTCGAGCAGAAGAATTCTCCGCCATTAAACGAGCCCTGTCCAAAGACAACATCGTGATTGCCGATGGATTGAACTACATCAAGGGCTACAGGTACCAATTATGGTGTGAAGCCAAGGCTGCAGCTACAAGATGCTGTGTCGTTCACGTTGCCGCACAGGAGGACGAGTGTCAGAAATGGAATCGTGAGAGGATGAGAGTATGGGGAATTGAAGAGGAGGATGGTGGAGACAAGCGGGATGTGAACAAGGGCGCAATAGATGCGAATAGTTTCGGTGAACTTGCGCCTGAAAGCCACACGGCCATCTATGGCGATCGAATGGTGGAAAAACCATCAAGCCGTTCGAGATCATCCTCGATGGATGGAATGGATTCAGATGATGAGGAATCCCGACCACGTCGACCCGTGCATGCTGACGACGATGGCATGACTCTGAAATCTCTGTATATCGGTAATCAAGCCCCCGAGACAACTCAAAGTAGTCGTGATGCCAGAGGAATAACCAACGCCACAACCACAACTCCACCAGAACAACGCACTCCCTCACCCCTACTACCACCATCATCAACATCAATAGCCGCACCACCACCACCACCAACCTCCTCCCCACCCTACCTCCCCTCCACCCTGAAATCCCTTCTCATGCGCTACGAGCCCCCTTCTCCATTCTCCCGCTGGGACACACCACTATTCACGATCCCCAGCTTCGACATCACGATACCCACAAGTCAAATCTGGGAGGCATTGTATCCCACACCCGCAAAGCCGACTAGTAAGAAAGCTCTATCTCAGCTGTCGAGTCGTGAACGGAGTGGATTCTCTAGTCAAGAGGATAATAACACCAAGAACGGTATCTCGTCGACTCAACCACCCTCGTCAATGGTCAAGAATGCGTCAAGTGTTGGAGTAAAACAACACGCAGCCACGATTCTACCTCAATCGAGTACGGCGGATGCATTGCAGACACTGGAAAGCACGACGATGGAAGTGGTGAAACAGTTGCTGGCGAGGGCGAGAGAGGTGGGGGTGGGTGGGAGTGTTAATAGTGATGGTGGCGATTTGACCATGACAATGACGGCAAATCCTCTGTCCGGTGTCAGCGGCGATCAAAACGACATCTCAGTTACGATGCATATTCCGCCTGGCTTGACGCTAAGTCAGCCACTCCTCCAGCGCTTGCGGCGGAAATATACACAGATCCAACGGGCGGGGATTGCGCATGGCCAGGGATATGTTCAGGGTCGTGCTGCTATCGTAGAGGGATTTATTGGATTTCTCGACGGGGAGTGGAATCCGGATGAGTGATGTGAGGTTTAGCAAGGGTGTCCGGGTCTGGAGTCTTCTAGAGCGAGTCAAATAAAGCTGTCAGATAATCGATCAACTAGAACAAGATTCCCTGTTTGAAGGTGGAATTTCATCATCACTATCATATCGTAGCAGTCTGTAGAGTCGTGAACCTGATCGATCGGTCTTGGCCATCTAATGTCCAATATCTTCCAAATCACCACTGGATGAAAAGTAAAACAACTCCATCGTTTAATGCGCCTTCAAATGATTGTCGACGAAAGAAAGCCATGTCCCTCAACCCCTCGCAAAATGACCCATCGTAAAAAACAAAATCCCTCGCGAAACAACTCCGATTATTGATTCGTCCTCATAGAAAAATCCAAGGTGGATGCAGATCTGAAAGCCAAGATAATCATCAAAAAGGAGCCGGGGTCCAAAGCCGACTTAAGTCCGTTTCGAAGGCATTAACCTCAACATTCTCACAATGAAAAGCAGGAAAACCTCATGTATTAGTTGTATTCCGGTGCGCAAATAAAAATTGAAAAAGGGGGTATCTGTCTACCACAGTGTTGAAGAGCAAAGTAGTGAGAATGTCTGATTCATGTCAGATTCGAGTGGAGTTTGTGAACGCATGTAGAGTGAAGATAATGGTGATTGGCAATTCCGCCGATAGCCCCGGACACCCGTTTGAGTAAATGAGCTCGGGGTTGTAAGCCCCGGGTATAGGCCAGTGCGTTGGCTGTGTGACGACTTGTTCTCGGGGTGTCGAACACCGGGTACAGTCAGTCCACGGGTGTCGGAACCAGTCTTCGGGATAGAGTCCGTGGGGTAGGAGTGTTTGGTGGGTTCAAGAGCTGAGCGTACTGAGCTGCGCATAGAACTTTTGATTGCAGCCGAGTTTTCCCTGGTGAAACTCAATATTCAGGCCAAGTCGAGACACTATGGTGGATCCCCGATCACATGTGCTGAGCGGGTGGCCTCGGCAAATGCACCCATCATCTCAATGGTGTAATCCCGTGGAATAGTCACCGCCAGAAATCGGGTATGGACCGGCCATGGACCGGCCATGGCAACAATCACGAAATGGACATAGGCTTGTAGATAGCTTGATGTAGAAGAGATATTGTATCGTCAAAGAGACACATCTCCAAGATCTCGCATCAGACAGGCCATTTGAGCGCGCTTTGCAGCCTCGGCTAGGAAGTCGGGAGGTAATTGGCCTGGAATAGACTGGTAGGCATGCGCTGGAGCCTCGTGCGAGAATGAGTTGGTGTGAGGATGTAGTTGATGATGGTGATGATGTTGTTGCTGCTGGCTCGTTTGATCGAATTGTTGCTGCTGGTCGTTGTATGTCTGCTGGCGCTGTTGGGCAGGATAGCCTGATTGTAGAGGCTGCACATTGAAAGTTTGCGTTTGACCATTTTGCCGACCAAAGAATGGCTCTGCGTCCATGGCAGATGGAGACGGCAGGGGCGCATTCATATGGGGATGTTGGTGATTTTGAGGCATTAGGTGTGATTGCAGGTGAATACCGAGCTGGTGTTGTTGGGGTGTGGGAGGAGGAGGGGGTGGTTGGAGGTTGTCACTGATTGGGCTGGGATGTGAAGTCGTCGAGGTACTTGAGGACTGAGAGTGGGAGTAGCTGTGAGGAAAGGCTGATGAGGAGAGACTGTTCGAGGCTTGGTGGAAATGATTTTGGAGTTGTGATTGAGGAGAAAGTCGAGCACTTCTCCTGGGGTAGTTGCTCATTTTGTGCTTGAGACCAGGAGTTGCTCAATTGTATCGAGGTGGTTTCAAAATGTAGCCGCTGAGCGGGCGGCTACTTTGAAGGGCAAGGGCCGGCGTTTGTAGAGGGTCGTTGGTGGAGGAGGTGGAGGTTGAAGAGGAATTTGGTCTGAATGCAGCCGTCGTAAGATTAGAAGAGGAGTGAAGAGGCGAATGATGAATCGGAGAGAGTAGATGTGGTCTTCTTGCAATGAGACTGATAAGTGTCGGTCGCAGGTAAGAAGAGAAGTGGCGGGAGTCAGAGAATAGTAAGAAGGCGCGAAGGAAGTCTCGCCGTAGTCTCCCCGGAAGGCGGAAGGAGTATCCAAGGACTTTGTTTGGAATGGAAGGCGGGAAAGTTGTCGAGTGCGAATGCGGAGGACCGAGGCGACCCCAGGGCTTAAAGTCAAAAGGTCACCAAAGTATGACGATGTTACTTCGGTCCGATCTGGATTGATTGATGATCAACGTTCCAAGTTTGAATTGGAGGCTTGGAGATGATGGTGAAGATGGAATCCTCGGTATGTCGTATTGGAATAGCGATCTACTACGATGATGATGATGATAATAGTAAGTACTTAGTTGAGGTTGCAGTAAGAGGAAGAAACGCCGAGGGACACCGGGTAATCTCGTTGGCCGAAGCCCACCCAGGGTGCCAGGCACGCAAACTAAGGCCCCAGGCACGACAAAAGACAGTCCAGGCACCTCGAGTAAGCAATCGTGGCAATCAAGCACCCAAGCAAGAATGCTGAATGACTCGAGTTCCGGAGCCGGGATATTGGTGGACCTATAGGCTTCGTGGGGGCGGGGCAAGCTCAATTAATCGGCCAGATCAGGGATTTGATGGGTGCAGCTTAGGAGCGTCTGGGGCAGTCACGGGCGTCAGGCGGTCCGAGAGCAACTGAAAGCGTAGATAGGAGTGATTGACAATGACATCCGCCACAATAGCAACAGGACAGCAGTACCCAAAGTACTCCGTTCACGCAGATGAATCAAGTGCGGAGGTGGAATAGCAGGGAAATAATAAACAAGATTGACTCGCTGGCAAGGTGACGGACAAGACAACTAAAAGGATCAGGATCAGGCTCAAAGTTTCAGCTCACTACTGTAAAAGAGGTGATTAAGTTAGATGATTGATGCAACTCCATGTCTGATTTCGATTCGGAGCGTCAAGTCGGTTAAGTCGGTCAAGTCTCTAGGTACTTAGGACAAATAGGTACAAGCAGTGATTCTGTGGTACCAGGTCCGTTACTCCGCTGCATCCGTCCGTCACCATAGGCATAAAGAGGATTGAATGCCAGGTTCAAGACGAGGGACCTTAGGTACCGTAACTGGCATGTTGTTAGGCATGGTGGCAATGGTCCTGCAGGTACCGCAAGTACCGCTAGGTAATTCAGGTTAGAGGCCGGAGGCGCCAGGACCTAAGCACCCAAAACCCAAGAGAGTCTCTCTCGCCTTGCCCTTGTTTGGTTTTACCGAGGGACTTTTGGTTGCTCTCATAGAATCTCCATGCCTGCAAATATAACCACCCACCCACCCATCCACCATGCCACCCCGCAGCCATCGCGACACGCCACCATGACCGGAACCGTCACCACAACCCACCGCAACAATGGATTGATTGCCACTGTGAATTCTTGAAGCAGACACGTGTGCAGCTAACAAGCAGTCGTGTCTGTTTGTCCTTTGGCAATTTCCCCTCCCGATGTTCCTCCGAACCACTTTACCAGTGTCCATATGGACAAGTTGCATGATCTTATCCGTGAGTGTCGCACCACTTGAAGAACAAGCAGCAGATTCATTGTTATTATTTGTTATCGTGCTTGACTACATACCTATTTGGGTCAGTCGTTCCCATCAACTACCTATCTTTGACACAATCTTGTCGATGCCTTCCAACAGTGGACATAGAGACTTCCTTACGTTTGATTGCACTGATCTGTTAGTAAGGTACTCCGTAGGTGCGCCAGTAGTTGCTCCTTGCATGACTCAGCACCGCTGCCAAGCCACAATTGTAGAAGAATCCTTTTGCCAATGCGTGAACATCAGCCTCGTCCCTCAAAAGGACCATCTTAGTTAGCATGGGCGACGAGAGCTCCAGTGATGATGAACCGGCCTCGGCGGCTTTGTTCAATGAACCCGAGGGCTACTATCAACCAGAAAAGCCAGCTACCTTCACCAACTACACCCTGACAAACGGGCGCCATTTCAACCTTCGCCTTGTTGGCCATAGTCCTCTATGGGTGTGTTGTTGAAATTCGACCTGACAGCAGTGTCATGCTAACAATCTCCCAAGGGGCATCTACTATGGAACGCCGGACAGGTCGTTGCGCAATATCTTGAAGAAAATGCGCAATCCCTTGTCAAAAACAAAACTGTCCTGGAGCTTGGAGCTGGAGCTGGACTCCCTAGTCTGGTCTCGGCCACTCTAGGTGCAAAGCAGGTCGTCGTCACCGACTATCCAGAGTCGGATCTCATTTCCAACCTTCAATACAACATCCAACACAACCTGACCGAAGCAGACTCTCCAATCTCCGCCCACGGATTTCTTTGGGGTGCACCTGCACAAGGTTTGAAAGACAAACTCAGCCCTGATGCTGACGGATTCCATCTCTTGATCCTCGCCGATATTCTTTTTAATCATTCTGAGCATGGCAAACTTCTGGCTACTTTGAGAGATTGTCTGGCCAAATCCAACGATGCAGTCGCTCTGGTGTTCTTTACCCCCTACCGACCATGGCTGTTGGAGAAGGACTTAAACTTCTTTGACATTGCCCGTGCTGCAGGCTTTACCGTTGAGCAAGTAATGGAATATACGATGGAAAAGGTCATGTTTGAAAACGATCCAGGGGACCAACAGTTGCGCAGAACCGTCTTTGGATACACAATCAAATGGGTGCTGTGACATGCTGATGCACGCTCTGACGCGAGCGAGAACGCGTCGTGGCGGGCGGAAAAGTTTGGAACAGTTTGGTTGACAGCCTCGCAGCTTCCCTTCTGGAATAACCTCCTGCCTGTACCGAATCCATGGAACAACAGAAGGAACCACTAGCTCTGTTGATCTCGATCGACACTTCAACAGTCGTTTCTGCCATCCAGAAACCTTTTGATGATAAACACCTCACTACCCCTGCACACATCGCCTCTCGTGCACTTTGTATGGAAACTCCTACAGTCCATCTCTTCCAACCAGTATCAGTTTTCCCCACCATCCCTTGAGGTTGTAGGCCCCCCCTGCGCATCCACATCCACCACCGACTGGTGACTCACAGCTAACACATCACAGTCAATCTCTTTCCTACCCCATTCAAACTATAACACAACATGCCTGTAAAGGATCGCATCAAGGAGGTTTGGGGGGACAAAGTTATTGGATGTTTTGGCACACCTGAACAAGACGAGAATCCTGATGCACCATCTTCTGGTAAGCTTCATACAAGGCTATCTGCCTCTAGACATCCTCGACCAAGTATTCTTACATGCTCGCTGTCCCCAGCCATGTATCCCGGCAGATGCACCCATGTACTTGAATCCAGAATGTGGTATCTCATCATCATTATGGCTTTAGTCTTCAACCCGGTGGCCGCGGAGACTCCCTTCAGAAAACCCATGGGCCGTGACTGGAGATTAACACGATTCTTAGCCCCCCAAGCGCCCCCCGCCACCGCAGCTGCTCCCACCGGTACCTACCAAAGAAGTCAGGGTTCCCAGATTCCGAATCCAGAGGTTGGGGTCAAAAATGATGTCAACGCAGAATACAGGCCCAACAGAGACCCCGGGGATGTCCAGGATGCCAACGGCACGTGGATTGTCCGAAACGTAGGAACTTTTTCCAACAAGGCGGTGTATACCTTCTCCGGAGACACATTGCCAGACGGACTCTATGCAAGCGATTACACTGTACAAAACAGGTTGGGTGATGACGGTCCCAGAACGGGCACTCTTTACAACCACAGATTTGACCCCGCCAACGTTCAGTTGAGCAATGGCTTTGTTCGTCTCATCGTGCCTAGTGGCCAAAGACCAAACCGCCGACCGGACAAGGCAATCAGTTGTGCCGAAATAGCCACAACAGAATCCAACATCATCAGCGCAAGTGTACGCACCCGCGCTGTGTTCAGCAAGGTGCCGGGCACTTGTCATGGCAAGTCTTCGGATTTTGTGTCATTGGAGTGTGATACTGACCTCTGCAGGGATGTTCTTCTACAAAAACGATACGCAAGAGATTGACATTGAATACTTGACCGACCCCACGTCCCTTTCAAACAACGGCCCGCGTGAACCGATCCCGATCTGGTACACCAACCAGCCAATCGATCCAGAAAATCCAGAAGACCACGATTCCACCTCTGAGACGGGACCGGCTCCCTTCGATTGTACCTCGAGGGTACATGAATATCGCATTGACTGGACACCAGAGTACACGGCATTCTATCTTGATGGCATCGAGCAAAAGCGTTTCACCGACAATGTCCCCACCACCCCCGGCTCGTGGGTGTGGAACAATTGGGCGAATGGAGATAAAGGTATGCGCTTGAGATCTCACACCCAGCAGCCACATGGAGACTAAGACATTGCTTAGGCTGGTCGAAAGGCCCTCCCAAAGGAACAGCCGACAACGTGTTCAAGATACAGAGTATTTGGATGTACTACAATACCAGCACCGAGACAACATGAATCATTTGAATAGCAGAGGAGGATCGCAACGATGAGCGGATGCAATCAATACAGGTCGTCGGTGTCTTGTTCAATTAGGGCACGGAGTTCGGACATTGAGACGGGCGTTTATTAGTGCATTATTGTGGGACTCTGAGTCCAGTTGTCAGCGGGGTGTGGTCAGAACATTCATTGCTGTCGAGTCGCAAAGGAACCCGGGGGGGATGCGAGTCGGAGGCCAAGGCCGTTTCAAATTGATAGTTACTTGAAGAATCAGCATCAACAAGCTTCAAAGGATTCGAACCACAGCAAACATGGGTGCCAATGTTGGACTGTCGTCATTCTGCCTTTGCTGTATAGATCAGTTATTGCCTAAGACGATGATCACGGGAGATCATGTTGGCCGTGCTCGCTTAAAAGCCGGAGGTTGTGGGACTGATCGTTTGGATCACTCTCTCTTGTGATGTCAAGTACAATAATGCCGAGTAACACGGTTGATCCGTGCCCAAAAGCCGTCTCTATGACGGCGAGGTTGGCCAGGCACGTGCCAGGCAAATTGAGTCTAACACACAAAAGCTGGTTTTCAGACCAAGCAAGGAGGTAAGAACGCAGACAGAATTTAGGGTGTTCGAGTTGACCAGGGGATTGCGATGTGGCATGTCGACCTGCAACTCCAGAAAGATGTCGCGCCCGATCAGCTCCGGGGGTTGTGGTGAGCTGAGAGCTGCAACAGGCAGTGGTTTCCTTTTAACCGAGCCCATGACGACAAAAACCAGCATGGGTCACGAACTCGGCAGACCAGCGTGTTCGCAAAGGACAACTAATAAAATACAGGCATCAATAAAATTAGTACTTGGCACGATAATCTGGAGAAGACGAGCTGAACGTGGGCAAGAAATCTGGGGTTTTCTTCCTATGTGGCTATTTTCCCCGAGGAAATGGGTTGACAATGCCTGGGCAATCTTGGATGAATTTGTTGTTGTGGGGAGGGGGCACTGAGGGGGTAAAAACTACCTAGGTACAGAGTCAGAGAAACACAAGTCATGGGAATTGTGATTGAACGCGTGTGTCGCACGCATACGAAGTTCATGTCAGAGCGGGCGGGTGGCTGGCACGGTGGGAGCGAGTTTCTGGAATTCCCGAAGAACTCCGAATAGCGTTAGATGTGAACAGGGATGATGACGATCGACTTTTGTTTTGTGAGGTGGAGGTGGGCGCGGGCATGGGCCGAGGGGCTCTGTGGGAGTGCGAAAGCCACCAAGCAGCCAAAGCGGCCAAGTGTCGCATGATGACATTTCGTTTACGATACGCTACGCTTGTCGCCAGTCGATAGGCGGGAGTATCGTTGACCAGGGTCAGTTCAATAGCCAAAAGAACACGAGAAGTCTAATAAGTACGAGGGTTTGAAATGTTGGTCGATAAATGTAGGTCTCTAGGTACTGTATGTGTCTCTGCATGTGTGAGGAGATTATAGCGGGCGATTGTTGTAGATAGGTACCTAAGGTAGGTAGTGATGGGTTCATGGGTATCTAAGGGAGGCTCCCAGGCACTCTTGAGGCTCCAATACTCAGATCCACAGCCTAAGAATACCTGTCTTCGGTGGGCGGACCGTCTCGCTTGCAGCGCGGTGGCAGGTCGTAGCCAAATAGTGTAGGAAATCCTACTGCCGTCATCACCACCACCACCCATAAAAGCAGGAGTGTTGCAGTGGGTGGGATTTTGCCTCTTCAAGCAGCCCTGTCTCTATCAATTACTACCCACCATCTAGCTCGAGTCTACGAGTAGAATACCTGATGTCCCCCATTCTTGAAGTAACCAGTGGATCGCGGTGAATAGATCGGTAAAAGAGGAAAGCTTGCATTTTTCCATCCACCTGCATTTTTATTTACAGTTCTGCAGCTGCAATATCACTGAGATGAACAGCCTCTGTTGCTGTGCCATCAGCCTCATGCCATAAACACTGTCAACACATTTCCCCAGCCACCCTTTAGGCACGGGTAAGGCCAACCTTGAAGCCGTTGAAGGTGTGTGCAGATCCAGGTGAGTCCGCGTCCTCAACGGTTTGTAGGTTTGGAGTTGTGGGTTTGCGGTCACAATAATGAGGGAAATAAATCATGCCTAGACAGGGGGTCCGCACATTCACGGGCAATTTTGATTGGCAGCGGGGCTCCAAGGCTCACGGCGGATAAAATCATCCCACTTTTTCACCCACGATTGCCCGCGATTGAGTGCCAGGTACACCTACAAAGACATCATTTTGGGTACCATCTGCAGGACTTGTCCGTGATCCAGGCGGGCCCGAGGGACTCGTCTTCAACTTCATTGGTAGTCTGCACCTTGCTGCAAGTCACCCACGTCTTTCACCCTCGTGGCAAACCCCATGCGCGTCCGACCTAATTTCGTCGCTCGCTCTGCTCCGTCGATCGCGAATACCCTCGTCGTGCTCCTGCCGTTGGTTTGGTTGCTCCTGCTCTTGCTGTTGAGTTGCTGTTGCCGTTGCCGTTGCCACAACCGTTCCTGCCTCACGGAATGATTTGCTTTTTTGTGTTTGATCCTCCCTGCCTGCGACCCTGACTTGGTTACAGCAACTCTGAACCCTCTACGACCTCTCATTTCTACTACACCTTCGCTTCTGTCTCTGTCTGGGGTTTCCTGCAGTTCCTAATTCATTTCTCAAACTCGCCTTCATCCTGGCACATTGTTGTCACCCACGGCCATTTCCTTCTTGACTTGTTCCACCTGGTCGACTCCGTTCTTGTCCGTCGTCTCAGACCAGAACCTTTTTTCTTTCTCTCCCAATTGGCCTGTCTTTCGTTTGAAACCTTTTCGGCTCTTTCTTATTAGTACTCACCACTGCCCCTCCTGGACGCTTGTCTTCCTCGGTACTACTGTGGTTGTCGTCTGAATCACCTCACCCACAGCAAAAGACCCGAGTCATAGAGTCCTTGACCCTAGTCCTCTCCGCAACATCATCCTTGACCCCGGAATCCACCGCATCCCATTCTCTGAACACGTCCGATGACGGGTTGAACCTTGCCTCTTCGAGGAGGACTAACGTCCCTACATCCCTAGCCGGATATCCTGCTGCCTAAAGAGCTCTCCAGCCTCTACCTGGTTAACATCTCTCCTACGACTCGACTTCAACACGTTGGCGGTCTAGTCTTGACCACGCCACCGCCGCCCGGTCTGTCCCAGATAGTCAGTCACCGCAACCAACAAGGGCGGACACATTGTCTGGCCTGACTGGGTCACGAGAATAGGAGCATTGTCATCAGGACTGCAATCACCACTGAGATGTCTCGGTCTCTGTGAGTTATATTCGGTCAGACTCATCTCCGCCTGTTTTCATTGACCGGACCAAATCAACTGCCTCTCCTCACCTCCATCGACACTCTTTACTGGTTCTCTAGGTCTGACAGTAACCAACGCTACCAGCCATGTGCAAAGCTCATGTCTTGAGATTCTGTTGTGGCCATGGCATCCTGATGGGCTTTGAGCTCTGCTCCTTAGGACCATGCGCTCTGCTCAAGACCACCGGAGTCAAGCTTCCACAACAACCCTATAAATGCTACAATTGCCAGAACAAAATCTCAAGCACACCTATCAAGCCTGTTGGCCCTCGAGGATCCTGCTCATCATCTGGAAGTTTAGATTCCGATTCATCAGGCGGCTCCACCATAACACCTCCAGCCTCCCCCATAACCAGGATCAATTCAAGAGCTATGGCACCGCTTCCGGGAGTCATCAAGCAGCCGGCTGAATGTGGCGATCTAGCTCGCAAGTTTAGTCGAACACAGTCATATTCTCAGAAGACATTTGCCTTTGCTTGTCAATCCTCGTCGCACTACCCTACGCCTCACTACATGAACCTACCCAGTTACTTACCTCACCAGCACCATTCATGCCCCCCATGTCAACTGGAGGAATTCAGGCACCAGGGGGATGTCGATGCTATCAGAACAGCTCGCGCCCAGTTTCCTCACCTGACTACCGACATGTTGGTCCGAAACGGCAGGGTCTGGGAGGACTGGCAACATAAGCCTACCCTGGAGAGTTTCGTGGAGGAGAAGAGAGTCGAGGAGCGTCAGATGTGGCTTCACGTGACAAGGAAATGGGCTCAAGATCTGAAAAGGACTCGGATCCTGGTGTCTGAGGAAGATGGCCTGGGTTTGCTGTGATGAGTTTTTATTTTATGCATTCCAGGCGTTTATTTGACGATGCCACGAAGATACATGGCGTTGGGGACTCGACAAGGGGAAACATTGGCTTTGGGAAGCTTTCCTTCGTATCTGATACCCAATGTCCCTCAGCGCGGCTTAGCGAGGAAGAGGGATCATTGGTATTTCACTTCACCAGGCGAACTTCGTTGTGATAACGTTGTTCTTGGGTCGCACGGTTCGATCTAGGGCCGAAAAGCCTTCATACATAATTCTTGCCTTGCTCTTCCCACCACGGAATGGAGCGGAATGTCGATATTACCTATAGTAAATCTTGCAATGATATAGGTGAGCGCGAGTAATGCGAGCCTACAGCATTGATGATAGCCAAGATCGTTGCTCTAGCAGCCTATCTATCTGGGTGCTGGTTGTAACTACCTTCTCCAAGACTTTTATCCTATTATCAGTCGCGACTTGACGCTCGAGAAGGGCAAGTAACCACGAGGCTAGCCTCCCAGCCCTCGGTACGACCCGCCTACACACCCTTGTAGGCTCTGGGCGAGGGAGAGCACGGAGGGGTACGTAAGAAATCAGTACTCATGAGGAGATCACCGTCCGTTTGTTGTATGCTTGTCAACTGGAGGATGTATGCATTGGGGGCCACATCTCAGCCTATGGATGTCCTTCGCGCGATCGAACTAGAATTTAAGCTATCGCGAACAAACTGGCTCACCAAAGCCCAGAAACCGATCCCAAAGTTACTCGATCAAGGACCCTTGTCTTAGGTCTTCGTATAGTCGTTCACCAGTGTCCCAGGCCATGGTAACTCAAAATCCACCTGGTGCGGAACAACGACCGCTCTTTAACATTGAAGACATTACTCGCCATTGTTTCTGATATGTCCAATCCACTTACATCTTGACCGTCGACTGAACTCATCTTTGGTTCCTTCTACTGCGACTGAACTACACATGTAAGACTTCTGGACTGTGCCCCGATCACACCTAGTCGCCCTGTGAAGTAGTAGAAATTGTGAAATTGACCACACCTCATCATGGACACAAAAGAGGGATGTCATTTCGACAAGGAAACAGGACTCACGGAAGGACTCCCATGTGAAGGAGTCATCGTGCCACCAACGCTCGAATCTATATCCGGGCAACGTTATGATGCCATTGTTCTCGGAGCGGGCTATGCTGGCCTAGTAGCTGCAAGAGATCTGGCGACTCGAGGTATACAAGACTTATCACGGCCGACAACTATGGCTATAGTCTGGTGAATGCTGACCTGGACTCCATCAGGACACAAGGTACTGCTTTTGGAAGCACGAGATCGCATTGGGGGCCGTACATGGACATCGGTCATCGAAGGATATCCTTACGAGATGGGCGGCACATGGGTTCATTGGGGTCAGCCTCATATCTGGACAGAGCTGTCAAAATATGACATGGTCGACCAGCTGGAGGACTCGGCCAAGGGTCTCCCAGGCGTCCAACACAGCACTTCATACTATTTTGAGCATGGCAAGCGGACAGTATCGTTGGCCGAAGACGTATGTGACTAGTTGTTTGTTGGCGGCTGGTATTCGAGAGTTACAGATTTGTTTATAGCTAACACATCGTGGAACGTTTCTAGGCCGACAATCTCAAGACTGCCTTGACAGCCTTCTGCGACGTTGATGGGGAGTTGGGCAAGACAGTCCTACCTATTCCCCACAAACCATTTGCTGCAGCCACAGAATTCACGAAATGGGACCAAATATCGGCAGCCGAGCGCTTCGACCAGATCAAAGACCGACTTACTCCTGATCAACAAGGAATCCTGCTCTCCACCATTGTCACAGCTTCTGGCGCTTCCGCAGATCAATTAGCCTTTACCGAGATTCTTCGATGGTGGGCACTGTCCGGGTATGACTCTGAGGCGTACATGGCCTACGTGATCAAGTGGAAGCTCAAGTGTGGTCAGACTGGACTGTCACTCCGTATCTTTCGTGACGCTCTCGCGTCCGGAAGCCTGTCGTATCGATTCTCGACACTAGCGAAGCGGATCGACCAGTCCGGTGGACAAGTAACAGTAACAACCAGCAACGGATCCCAACATGTTGCAAGCTATCTAGTATGTACCATTCCATTGAACACTCTCAACGACGTCGTCTTCAACCCGCCTCTATCTCGAAACAAAGTTCTGGCCGCAGCTAAAGGCCAAGTCAACCTCTGCGTGAAAGCCCACGCCGAGGTCGCTGGCACCGATCAACGCTCCTGGTGGGGCATTGCCTACAACAAAAGGCCAGGCATGATGGCCGGTGCATTTGGAGATGGATTGACTCCAGCCGGCAACACTCACCTTGTGTCATTTTCGTTGAACGGTGCTTTTCAAAACACGGCAGACCGAGGGTTTGCAGAGATGAAGACTGCATATGAGGAATTCACATCAGCTGAAATCAAACGATTGGTAAGTCTTTTCTTATTGTTATCAATCGAGCAGCTCGCTCCTGCTTAGACCAGCGCTGATGATCTACAAGCTATACCACCCTTGGGCTCAAGATCCACTCTCCAAAGGTACATGGGCTATGTACGGCCCAGGTTTCGCTACTCGCTTCAAACGAGACTTGCAGGCGAGTCAGGGGAGAGTTCATTTTGCCAGTGCAGATTGGGCGGATGGATGGCATGGTTTCATCGATGGCGCAATCGAGCAAGGAATACGTGCGGCGACGAAAGTATCTACAGAGCTTCAAAAAGTACCTTCTGCGAGGCTGTAACATGGTTGGATATATGGTTTGAAACAAACAGAGGTTGGTCTAGTCACGTGATAGAATAATCGCTTACAAGATCATGTGACATTTGTTCCGTCGTTGTTGCCTTGTTGAAGCCCGGGGGGGGTTGCAGCTCCTGCCTAGGAATGGTATCCCCGCAACGCCCGAGGAACCTATTGCCCATGGTTCCTTCCCCCATTTGCATCCCTACACTGGTGACACACCTACTCCGTATGCACCTTCCTGCGCATTCATTTGGCTCAGGCACCAGCCATTCCATTTTCCTCGATAATCACATCAACCATCATCGCACTTCCAGTTGACTTCCCTCAGTACACCATCACCAGGCTGTTGCCAGCACACGACTCCCTCGAAACCTCCAATCTGGTCACTCACCATGTTCCTCACTCGTCTATCCCTTCTCCTCGCTCTTCCCGCAGCCATCCGTGCGATCGTCGTCTACCCCGAGGCACAGATATTTCAGGATGCCCTACGACAGCCAGCCCAGCTAGCGCCTGTGAATCCTCGACTTGGTGTAAAGCATGTACTCCCTCCTCATCGCCCCTGTCAACATAATCAAGAGTCAGTGAAGCTTTCGCCCAAACTTGCAAGGCCCGCAGATGATCAAGAGGAGGGGGACGAAGAGGTCTTGCGTTCAAAATACATCACCTATCCCCAGATTCTCGAGGAGGACTTGCAAGACTCGTGGATAAAAATCACAAAACTACCGCCCAAACAGCTAGCGCCCAAGTTCGCGACACCATCGAGGAAGGCCACTGACACTCTTGACGACGACGACGATGAAGATAATCCGCTTCCAGTGGTCATCTGGCATGGTCTTGGTGACACGGCCGATGCCGCAGGCCTCAAAGATGTCGCCGATCTGATCGGAGACATACACCCGGGAACATACACATACATCATTTCTGTGGTTGGTACAGGCGGATCAGGTGACCGCCAGGCCTCTTTCTTCGGCAACGTTACCGAACAATTAGACCGTGTCTGCCATGCCTTGCACCAAGACCAGATCCTCAGCACTGCTCCCGCCATTGATGCAGTCGGCTTCAGTCAAGGAGGCCAGTTCCTCCGCGCTTATATCCAACGCTGCGGCAGTTGGGCCCCCAAAGTTCGCTCACTCATCACCTTTGGTAGTCAACATAATGGTGTCTCCGAATTCCAGAAATGTGCTGGCCCAACAGACTGGGTGTGCCAGGGCGCCAATGCCCTTTTGAAGAGCAGCTCCGTCTGGTCCGACTTTGTTCAATCAAGACTGGTTCCAGCCCAATATTATCGCGATCCCAACGACTTTGACAATTACCTTGCCCATTCCAATTTCCTTGCTGATATTAACAACGAACGAGATGTCAAGAATGCCTCATACGCGGAGAATTTGTCTCAACTAGAAAAGTTCATCATGGTGGTCTTCAATGACGATCGCACCGTCATTCCCAAAGAGAGCGGTTGGTTCGCCGAAGTCAATGTCACATCATCGACTGTTACTCCACTAAGAGAGCGACCTATTTACAAGGAAGATTGGATTGGGTTAAAGAAGCTTGATGAAAAGGGAGCTTTGGAGTTTGTCACCGTCCAAGGCGAACACATGCAACTGGCCGACAAGGACTTGAAGAAGTTGTTTGGTGAGTACTTTGGAACTGCTGGCAAGAAGTTTGAAAAGTCAAAGACAGACGACGAGAATGAATGGAAGGTAGATTTGTAGGACAAGATTCTGATATTTCGAGGCGGTCGTCCTTGCCAGTGATGGCTCCATAGTGTATAGGCCCAGCTTTGTTTGCAGCGGGCTGCAAGAAGTCGGGCGTAAGCAAGGACAGATATTTTGCTATGTACCTCAAATATTAACTAATACAGAAATCCATAAGAAACCAGTCTCTTGAACTGATAATCCACATGGATGATTATCCTGATCTTGACATTGCTCGCGTATTTAGAGTTGCACAAGATCTCCTTTGATGGATAATGACTCAGAGCCTCCCCCACCTTGACGGTCTTCCCATATAGATTGTCAAGGAAGTTCATCATGTTTGATTTAGATAAATCTACACCAATCTTCTGGATATCTGGATATAACCACGTTCATAGGCCAATCGCGGCCCTCCCTATCCCACCATGTCGAGCTCATACTCACCTCTAAACACCCACCAAAGCTGGACCCGCGATGGTTATCTAATATCAACCGACCCAAGTCTCATCCCCATCCCAGACCTGATCAAAGCCTTTGCATCACAACAAGTATACTGGGCCCAACCACTACCTGAACCCGCAACGCGCGACATGCTAGACCACTCACTATCCTTTGGCCTCTATACCACAGCCCCAGAATCACCCGAAACCCCGTCATCTCTGATTGGATTTGCCCGCTGCATCACCGACCAAGTCACGTTTCTCTACCTGACCGATGTCTATGTGCTGCCAGAACATCAATCCCACGGTCTGGGTAAATGGCTTGTCGGATGTGTCCAGCAGGTGGTCGAGCAGATTCCGTACCTAAGAAGGTCGATGCTCATCATTGGGCATAGCAAGGAGGAGAGGAAACGCTTCTATGCGAAACTCATGCATATGACGGAAGTGGTAGAGCCAGCCATGGTTTTGAATTGGAAGGGGCCTGGGAATGTTTTCTAATCGCCCAAGTCGGGTTGATTCCGGCTAGAGAAGAATGCTGTCTTTCGTTAGAAGAACTAAGAGATACAGTCCCTACCTAGAACGACCATCCACCGGACCGCCATCACAGTCCCGAATAGACAGAAATCAATCTTTGACTATTGCTTCGTTCGTACAAGATTCGACACTCATAAGATCCGAGAGCCATACATCACTACTTTGTACAACCATATCTTTCTTGTCCTCTAGACCAATCTTCCGATGGGCTGGTGTAAACGGCTTGGTCCAAGCGGGCGCCAATCACAACATGATGATTGCCGCACTCAACTCGGCAGTTGACCTTGTCGGGGTAAGGACGGGACCCTCAACGGATATCTGGGGATTGCTTCCCCGGAATGTCTCCGCCAAATATATGTGTGTGGATGATATATGTCGACGACATGAAATGGCTGTCACTTTAGTGTAGGAGAGCGTCTCGGTCATCAACAACGTTTAAACAATAGTGACATCGGGTAGTCACACTGTGTCTGCAAAGATGGGTCTTGTGGGTAGCAGTCGATTACACCTTCTCGCAGGGAACGCATCACTCTCACAATCCGTGGGAGGTGCTATCGTCATCATCCTCGCGGTCATTGTCCTTTATGCCCTCCGAGTCAAATATCGACCTGGGTTGAGACAATTACCTGGCCCACTTCTTGCCAGTATCTCTCCTCTGGACCGTGTGCTGAGTGCCGCTTCAGGCCAGCAATTCAGAATTCATCAGGCTTATCATGCCAAATATGGTCCTGTCGTCAGAGTCGGTCCTCATCATGTATCTTTCTCCAATTCCGATCTCATTCCTCTGGTCTATAACATTACTAGTCGCTTCGTCAAGGTAAATTCCATTCATGTCCCTTGGGCTTTAGAAAATTTCCCAATCCAAAACAAATCACTAATTGCTGTCTCTCACAGAGCGACTTCTATACATTATTCGACGTGAAAACCAAACATGGAAACTTGGTCCCCACCGTCTTCTCAGTCCGCAACGAAAAGCAACACAAAACACTAAAACGACCCGTCGCTAACGCCTACTCAATGAGTGCATTAGTCGAATTGGAACCCATGACCAATTCATGCATTGAAATCCTCCAACGCAAGCTCGATGGAGTGCAAGGCCAGGTATTGGACTTTGGCGAATGGTTACAGTGGTTCTCCTTCGACGTCATCACATCCATCACTTTTTCCAACTGTATGGGATTCATGGAACAGGAAAAAGATATCCAAGGAATCATCGACGCCATCGAAGGTCGTCTGGCCTACAACTCCGTCATTGGCGAAGTTCCTTTCCTACACCGATTCCTCCTGGGTAATTCACTTGTGGGTTATCTGGCCAACCAAATCCCATCACTTGCCAGATTGAACTCGGCCAAATATATCGTTCAATTCGCGGCTAAGCAGCTGGAGAGATATTCTTCTCGTGACAAGCAAGCAGATTCATTGAAGGATATGTTGGCTCGGTTTCGACGTTCACGCGACGGCGAGGAGGTCATGTCGAACGATGACCTCCTCAGCCATGCATCGAGTAACATGTAAGTCGGTCTCAGGGTGTCTTGTTGGGGCACAGAGTATTGATATCCTACAGATTCGCCGGAAGTGACACAACAGCAATTTCACTCCGCTCCATGTTCTACTACCTATGCAAAAACCCACGCTGCTACAAGTTGGTTCAAGACGAGATCGAGAAAATGGACAAAGAAGGCAATCTTTCAGAAATCGTCACTTTTGCCGAAGCCAACCGCATGCCCTATCTTCAAGCATGTATGAAAGAAGCCATGCGCATGCATCCCGCAGTTGGCCAATTACTCGAACGTCTGGTTCCAGACGAAGGGTTTGAAATCACTCCAGGCGTTCATCTCCCTCCTGGAACCATCGTGGGGATTAACCCATGGTTACCGGCTAGAGATAAGTCGGTGTATGGCGAAGATGCGGCGGAGTTTCGTCCTGAAAGGTGGTTGGAAGCAGATGTCGAGGGGTTGAAGCTCATGGAACGCAATTTTCTTGCTGTACGTTGTCGTCTCCCCCTTTTTCTCCTGGTGACTCGTAAGACAGATCTGTTGACTGACTAATCTCTTTTATAGTTTGGAGCCGGTGCTAGAACTTGTCTTGGAAAGAACATTTCGTTACTGGAAATGTCCAAACTGGTTCCTCAGTTGATCCGTCACTACGATATTGAACTCGCTGATCAAAAGGCCGAATGGCTTCTGACGGATAATTGGTTCGTCAAGCAAAGTAATGTCTTCTGTCGTTTGACTCGACGGACGACAGAAAAGCAATAGCCAAATCCTACCAGGGAGACAGCGTATGACTTAATAGGAGACAGCGGAATATTAATGATCAGACCCGTATAATGGGGGGTGGGTGGCTGTCCAACAAGTCCTCGGCCCTACCATCGCGAGGCACCATGGTACCTATTTGCTGCTGCGGGTCATGTGATTTTCTTCACGAGAACAGCAGCGTCTTTGAGCCATATCAGGGGTTGGTTCCTGTCGTCGAGAAGCATATTGACCTTGCACCTGCCATGAGGCACGGACCTAGACATTAGACCATCATGTGGTTAGGGTGTGACTAGGCTTAGCATATTACCTCGAGGATATCTTAAGGGATATACGCCTCCCTACTTATACATGAATTAAACTACATCTCTTGCATCACCGTGATATCATGATTCCGGATCAAGTTGAGAGACTCAACCGCAACATGAAGATGGCCGTAACGCAGAAACGATCCTTAAAGTAACATGGCACGAGGACAGCTTTCATTTTGGAACCCTCTGATAACCCCAGTTGCATGGTTCGCATTTCGCTCGATCTTGGCAATGATGACTCAATGCTTTGTGAATGGGCTCAGGGCATATAGACATAGATCTCGACGCGTTTTACACGATTAGATCATGAATGAATGGCTTTACTGGTCAAAAGGCTTAGGAAGCAGACAGAAGATGTAGGAGCATAGAAAGTAACTTCCTCAATCTATAACAACAAGTCTATTGAACCTGACCCTCTTACTCACTATCGCTCACGATATGCGGGTTCCCTGAGCCCTAATGCCCCAAGAATATAGACATGCAACCCATGGTATCAAGAAAATGCATCATAACTCCCTATATCCCACCCATCCGCTTATGATGGGAAATCACTCGACGACTTGAAACAAGGCTGAGCCGGATCCAACTTCAAACTCAAATATTTGCTCGCCAGACTTGCTGGGATAAGGTCCTGGAGGAAGATCTGTTTGCCCATGAACTTGATGGCTGCCTGCCATGAGACCATGAGCTTAACTCCTAAGGGAGTCACACAGGCGGACTCAGTGTCTGAGAGTACAGTTGTCGTGGAGGGATCGACTGAGCTGGAGGTTGTGGTTGCCGCGGAGCTATCGTCATCGTCACGTTTAACGACGCCGCTAGATGTGGCAGTGGGGGTGGCCGTGGCCGTAGCCGAGACGTTGTCGTCGTCATTGGTCTGGGCGGCGGTGCTGGCTGCAGCTGCCGGGGCAGACACGGTTGACACGTCACTGCTGTCGTCGCTGGTGGTGCTGGATGAGGTTGTGAAGATAGTGCTGAATGTTGTAGGCGTGCTGATCGACGCTGTTGAAGATGCGGTTGTGGATGAAGTTGCATCCACCGACCGAGTTGAGATAGTGATCTGATCACTTCCAACTTCCTGAACCCCCGAAAACGAGATGCCTGGTTGGAGAGTAGTAGACATGTCCCAAACCTCGACGTTATTCCGTAGGTACTTGATACCAGCGGCGATCTTCAGACCGGCATTAGCGGATAACTGGTCACCTTGGGCCTTGATGCTGTAGATCTCAATACCGCCAATTCCATTACCATCTTCCTGCCGTGAAAACCCTGGAGTCCCACTGGACGCGTTGAACTTGCCGCTGGTCACCTTGGTGGTGATCGCAAAGTTGAACTCCAGAGAGGCATCACCAAGCATGGTGTACTGGCCGCCCAAGTCGACGGTGAAATACGGCTTTGCTTGCCATTCGGAAGAAGGTAGGCATTGACTCTCGCCATCGGAATCTGGGGGGAGGGCAACGCCCAAATCAGGGATTTGGACTTCAGCGTCGCTGATCGCAGGTTGAGAATCGGAACTGCTGCTCTCGCTGCCGCTGTCTGCGGAATCGGTGGTGACTGGGTAGAGTCTGTGCCAGTATTTGCCGGCCATCCATTTCTTAGGTGCGGTAGACTTGCACTTGATGGTGACAGTGCCGCTGATCTTGCTGTCTGCGGCATTGTAGTCGACTTCCTTGCCGATTTCCTTGCTCCAGTCAGCTTTGGGTTGGTTCCAGAGAACGTTCTTCAGATACACGTCGCAAGGACCATTGGATGGCAGGTCCTTTTCGGGAGGTATGTCGTCGGCAGGGGGTTGGATATCGCACTGGCTGTTTGGAATTTCATCCTCATCTGTTTCAGGTTGGTCTGGGTTGACGACGATCCATGGAGTGACCAGCGTAGTCTTGTAGGTGATGTCATCACTGTATGACCGAAGGTTCTTTGGGTCAGGGAGAATAGCGGTGATGGTCTGAAGGACAGCGACAACTCCGATGACGGCGATCACAACTTCACCGACGACTGGGATGGCAGCTGCACTCCCAGCAATTTCGCCATCGGTAGCGAGCTCACCGCTGAGGATAATGATTGCCGCATCCCGAGTAGCAAGTTCGTTGGATCGGACTTTGTTACGAGACGCAGGAGTATCAGCATCAGCGGCGGCACCGCCTTTCGCAACCACAGGCACTGGCGTCACTGTAGTAAGGCTTTGGAGCAGATTTGCAGCTGAAATCAACTCTGGTGTTGGAGTGATAGAATTGGCAAAAGCATCGCCCAGACCTGAGTTGCCATCACCATTGAGGACGTCGATCAAGTTCTCGGCTTCTTCGTTTGGATCAGGGGTCAAGGCATTGTTGATGGCATCACTCGCTGCAACCATAGCTGAACCGGCATCGAGGACCTTGACACCAGTCAAAGTGTAGGTTGAAGTTCCACTATCAAGGGACCCTGGTCCGGGGAATTGCAATGCAAACATAGCTCCAGGAGGAGTACATTCGTCTGGGCTGTTGGTTGTATCTGTATTGAGAAAGAACATGGTCGCGGGGAATTTCAACAGACCCACGTAGTGGGCATAATTGGAGGCAGAGTCAGGGTCAAGTTGAAGCACCACAGAGCCACCACTACCTTGAGGACAAGTGACTTTGAGGACAGCGTTCTTGACGTCCGTGTTGTCGTCTGTCGACTGGGCACCAACAGACCGGAGCCCAGTGACAACTGCTAAGCAGATGACAAGAAGTGACAACATGGTGTAAGGCTGTCGCAGGATTTTGGTTTAACTAATCATGGAGGAATGGTATTCTGGAGTTCTCCATCTCGTCATTGACGACGCCTGACTTATAGATATCCCAACTTATCATTCTTCTCTCTTCATGCCTACACCTACATCGGTGGCCGAGCTATCTCGCATGGCTATGGCTTTCTGCCATTACTGGTGGCGCGATTCTGCTAACAATAAAACAATGCCAAGATGTCTAAGCATCGAAGCTTTCTGGAACATATCTAAAGCTCGGACCATTAGAGTGTGGCTTGCGTTGCGTAGAATCCGAGAAGAAGATTCTTCGCGTGCTCTCCTTGAAAACTTAGCATGAAGGTGGTCCGTGTTGCAAGGTCTCGACTCACGTGGGTCAACGTAACCTGTGGTGCAACGTAGTAGATGCCAAGAGGTACACGAATACTAAGACACCAAAAGAAGACCAGCGACACAAGTACGTCATTTTTTAACGATGTGCCGTTACATGGATCGGGCGGCATCTAATTCTGTAGAGTCCTAGATCTATAGGATCCATTGTTGGCAGGTCTTTTGTGACTAGATCATAGAAGCCGGGGTGAAATGGGGCTAATTCTCTACTCCGTATGCAAGTATAGGAGTCAAGCATCTGTGGCAAGCGTATGGAGCAAACAGGACAAACATATGGGTAAACATAGCTTTTTCCAGATTCAACTAATAATGATTCGCTATGTAGAGACAATACAATAACCGAGGCCACCAAAATCACCAATTATGTCCACCGTCAGGCAATGGCAGGGCAGTGATGACGCCACTTGGGAGAACAACCAGAGCAACACCGGCAGCCAGGCAGTCAGTGCCTCCGAGGATATCCTTCTCCAGAATGCAGGCAGATCGGTCATCGACATTGAGACCATCATAGATAGTGGTAAAGCCCCAAGATGCAACCTGAGGACTTGAGTAACTGGGTTCCTTTCCTTCGAATAGCGCAGCAATGGCGGTCAGGGGCTCCCAGTTGAAATGACCACCAGCTCCAAGATCGATCATTTGATTCACTCCCGGGCCGATCTTGTACAGTTGCCAATGGGTTAATCCCGCATCGTTCAGTCGATAAGTGTAGACTGGATTGCCACCGACCTTGACATTCATGTCGAGGGTCTTTGTGTTTTCGAAGCAGTGGAGACCCGAGTTCTTCATCTCCATCTCAAAAGACAGAAAATCAGGGGTGCTCCCTGGGGTGAAAGGATGAAGCTGGTGGTTTCCGTTGGCAGCCTGGCTACGGGTGGACAAGTCTGACACCCTGGTGAATTTGCGGAAGGCTACTGCCCAATCGTCGGGGTCCCTGGGATAGTATGCATAATAGCTGTCGATGTCGTCATGTGCGTAATCACCACTGTTTTGGTACACGCAGTCGTTTTCTCCATCGAAGCTGAGGGTGACGTTGTTTTGCGACAGGTTGATTATAGGCCAGATGGCTTGGACTCCTGCTTGGACGCGGCCGGCAAGGACGAGGCCGGCGGCAGCGAGGAAAAGGTTGCGATTGCGAGTCATGGTCGATTTGAAAATTTGAAAGAGTTGAAAGAATGGATGTGGTATAGAATTGAGTGGTTGACTTTGAAGATGAGATCGACGAACCAGGGAATGGAACTTCTACACTTAATATGTATACCGCTTCGACTTGAATTTGATTATGATGAGGCTGTACGTTTGATGCGTGGCCAATATTGGCATATCAAGACTAAGTGGAGCATACTTTCTATCCTTAAACCCGCCGAGTCTTCAGACCGCCGAGACACAAGAACAGTACAGTGAATCCGTCGGGCGTCGATAGGCGGGTTTACGAAAGCCAGATGGTGGACCTTGCGCCATGCGATGAGGCCCGAGCGGAGTTGGTTACTCCATGGTCTTCGGAAAAGCTTTCCACCAAAACCCCACTAAAGATAGATATTCTTTTTCAAGCGTTGAAAAAAATCAAGCAATTGCCTGAGAGTCTAAATCTCTGCTTGAAAAGATGTCATTATTCCTGAGTCGATGGTTCGAGAGGAGTGGTGAGCGGGCGAGTTACAAGTGGCGCAGCGTCGACATGCGCCACTTGAGGTTGGCTTCACCTCCATATTGCTTCAAGCAGCATGGGCCTGCCGTTAATGGATTAGCATAGATGAATGATACCGCGAAGAAGATAGTAGCCTATTTTAACTGGGCAATTCTCATATTGAGCGCACGAGGCTTTCAGTGTTGGTGCAACATGGCCAATTTATCGACCATCCCTCTAGCCTTGAAAGGGTTTGTCTTATCCCCGGCCCTCCTGGAGGTACTCCCAATGGCAGAAATGGTAGACAATTGACCACGAAGACTTTGAGATTTGCATGCACCCATGTGCACAGCCAATAGCTCATGTCATGGTGGCTTAGTCGACTTAGGTATGATCACTTTACTTCTTCATGGACAGCCCTTCTCTGATGTAGCTTCCAAGGTAGACACGACGTAGCGTCTTCCTACCCGCTCTCGTAGCGAAACTTCTATGCAGAAAGTGAGGCGAAGCCCAGTAATGAGAATTTTAGAGCACAAAAGGCGATGATAGAGTTATCATGCACGAGGCTGACAGAGAGGATATCACCTGGCCAAGGGGGCCGAGGGGCTAAGCTAATAGTCAAGGGAGAGAATCTATACATGTGCCAGACATCCTGCCTACTCCATATTCCATTCCTACAAGAGTAGCCTCCTCATACGGCACGAGTACTCCGTAAATCAAGCATTCTCCACGATACCTAAGTAGTAAGGTACCTAGTACCTAGTATGTATCGTGTTTCTCCACATATTTTTCTGCTTATGTTCATTTGGCACCAGATCGACACCAGGCAATCCCCCTCGTCCCCTCGTTCCCCATCGTCTCCCCTCGACCCCAGTGGCCCCTAAATCGCTCGGCGCGACATCGGCCGAGGGCCGCGATTGTCCAGCTCTTAACCAATAACAATTAAATGCTCAACTCTAATTTAATCATGGGTTTATCAGTCAAGTATAAACAAAGCGAGGTGGTATTCTTGAGATGAGCACGGAATGTTCAATGATTGGAATGACTTGAGATCGATTCAAGAATTGAAAAGGCCAGCACAGGATCAACCAAGAACATGCGCTCACAGGCTTTGAAGACATTGAGTCCCTCTCTCGGCACCTTCACTGTTGGACTAAGCAGAGGAGCATCGCTCAAGATTACTCGACCGCAAGCATTCCTACCACTGACCACCATCTCACCACCATCTCATCGCAAAATGTCAACTACCAAAGACTGGAATGCTACTCAATACCTCAAATTTGACCGTGAACGAACCCGCCCATCACGAGATCTCCTGGCCCAAGTCCCGCCACTTCCCACCACCCCAGGCAGACCAGCACACATCGTCGATCTGGGCTGTGGCCCAGGAAACTCCACCGCCGTCATAGTAGAACAATATCCTGACGCCAAAATCACTGGAATGGACTCCTCTCCCGATATGATCGCCAAAGCCAAACTCGCCCTGCCCGCCCATGAATTCATTCTCAGTGATCTTCAAACCTACCAGCCACCACCCTCACAACCAATCGATCTCTTCTTCTCCAACGCCGTCTTTCAATGGCTTCCGCACTCAGACCGTTTCCCCATCATCACACGCCTTCTTCAAACCCAATCTCCCGGCGGAGTATTCGCGTTCCAAGTCCCCGACAACTTCACCGAACCATCTCACGCCGTGATGCGCGAAATCGCCGCTCAAGGCCCATGGGCGGCAAAATTGGAAGCACTTCGTCCAGCGCTAGATAAGCTTCAATCCCCACAGGAAATCTACGATGAGTTAGCTCCAATGTGTTCGAGTGTGGATATTTGGCATACGTATTATCAGCATGTGCTGGAAAGTCATGAGGCGATCGTCGAGTGGGTGAAGGGAACGGGGTTAAGACCGTTTATTGATCCTCTTGATGAAGGGCAGAGAGAAGAGTTTTTGAAGAGGTATTTGGAGAAGTTGAGGGGGTTGTATCCTGTGAGTACTGATGGGAGGGTTTTGTTGAGATATCCGAGATTATTTGTTGTGGCGGTGAGGAAGTAGATGGGTAGATATCTAGGGAGGAGTGCGTCTATAGGGCTTTGAAGACATTTATGCTAGCTAGTCGATGGTAGAGTTCTACGTATATCACCCTTACTGTCTTGTTCTATCGACCTATTCTGCTCGTGTGCTCAGATCTGGAATTCATCTGCGTATCGTGGCCTTGATGATCCACCGTGAGAACCCATGAGCTTCATACGGTGAAACATTAAGTATATCCCGACACGCGATCTCACAGCTTCATACCTAAGCAGCCTCCTTTTCATTCAATTCATTCAATTCCTATTGTTTGAAATTTTTCGCGCCCAATCAGTTGATTCAGATGCAAACACGCGTCAATTGAGTCTATTGATCATTCAACTCGATTCACACCCATTCTTCCACCTCTGCAACCAAGCATAAATATCTCCTTCTTTTTTCTCACAGCACTTCTCTTCTTCTTCCCTATCCCTAATCCTAGCCCTGGTCCTGACCCTGTGATATGTTTCATTTTGCAGCAAGGGGTCAAGCTACTAAGTAGTACAATCAACTGCCAACATTTCGTCATTATTGCACACCGGTCTCAGTCCTAACTTCTCCCTCAATGATCTTAAGAAGATCGAGTTCTCACGCCGAGATCTCAAAGCCTAACACCAAAATGGCCACTTCTTTCACCTCACTCACTCCATTTTCCATGGGAGACTCGTCAGAGATTTCTGGTGATCATTTAGATGAGACACCTCGTCGTCGATCTACGCGAAAGCGTAAGTCGACTGAGAAATCTCAAGCGTTTTCCGCCACTCCTAAGCGTCAGAAGTTGACTTCTGCACCGTCCTCGTCCTGGAGAAGTTCACCACCAGTTTGGCAGTCTTCACCTGCTGGAACCACCACCACTAACATGACCAACGCCATGACCCAGACCATAACTCCACCAACCAACAAGCACGACACTCGTCACAAACCTGCCAATCTCAATCTCAAACACAAAGACAAACAAGACACTGTCTCAGCTTCAGTCGAAGACGACTCCCTTCGCCGTTCGTCGAGGAAGAAACGGCCTACCGAAAAGGTTGGAACTCCCGAATCACTCAAAACCCGTAAATATCATCGTCAACCATCATTGTCAATCCATGCATCTCCCGTTCGAGAGGATAGCACATCAAGCATTATTGTTGGTCCCATCACGGAAGTCGATATCGACATCAAAGTCGTCTCGCACAAACACAAACACACCATTCCAGCTTCAGTCGAAGACGACTCCCTTCGTCGTTCATTGAGGAAGAAAAAGCCTACTGAGAAGGTTGAAAGTCCCGAATCATTCAAACCCCGTCCATACCATCGTCACCCATCGCTCTCCATCCATGCATCGCCCGTTCGAGAGGCTAGCATGTCAAGCGTTGTTGTTGATCCCATTTCGGAAGGCAATGTTGATGTCAATGTCGTCTCGCAAGATTCTCTGCTGGCGGAGGAATCATGCGCTGAAGCGACAAAATACGCCTATACTTCCACCTCCACCTCTGAACAACAACAAACAGGAACAAGACTCTCTCCACCAACTTCCGGATCGGCCAACTTGCACCTTCTCTGGACTGCCGGAGAGCTTACAGACGATGAAATCGATCAAATCTGCGCCAAGATACAAGATCATGACGCGTGGCCATTCCCTCCTGGAGGATGTGATAACAATCCAAGTTTGAGACGTTGGTATATCCGTCAAATCTCGTCTGCTGTCATCCGACACAAAATCCCCTGCTATTCCGATGCTTCTACTCAGATGGAGTTCTTCTCATGCATTGCAGAGCTTTGCACCGAGTCGTTGCCCTTTTCAATCTCCTCTGCCGTCGCCAAAGCCAACAGTGAGATGCGAGTTGAATGGAAAATCAGAGAGGAGGAAGAAATTGCAAAGCAGGAGCGAGCAGACCGGAAGAAAGCAAAGCAACGATTGGACGCAGCGAAAAAGATGCATTCAAAGATGAACGACGATGCGGGAGAAGGTCATGGCGGAGATGAGTCGGAAGGAGCGATCATGAAATCAATCATCGATGCTATGCAACAAAAGGTTGAGGCTGTCAATCAGGCCGGTCGCACGGATGACATGAGGTTGGCAAGGAAGAAATGGTTGGGGTTTGTGACGACGTTTCTTGCCGATGCGGAGACAGTCTTGAATGAATTGGAAGGATTCGACAAGCAACCCATCGGTCTTCCCAGCCCGGAGAACAGTCAAGATGCATAGTCAGTCAGTCAGTGCATGGCGACGTCGCAGACAGAGGGAATCATTGAGCTGGTGAACAAAAAGTGAAATCAAAAGTAACATAGAAGAGGCACAACAAGATCAAAAGCAAATGTAACATAGAACAGCAAGGACTTGACTTGAACCAGAATGCGGATGGATATCTCATCACAATCGACATCAGACGTAATTTCTCGATTCCAGATACTATCATCCAACCAGAGGGAACATTGAACTCAAACTTTGGCCTGTGCGGCCAACTTGCGAACCTGGCTTTAGTCCTCTCAGCGACCTTTTTCTCATCGAAGATAGAAGTCACGCTGGGCAATTGTACCACGGCATCAGCCCAGGCCTTAAATTTGGGAGCTTGTTGCTGTAACTGTGGGAGAAGGTCTGGACTGAGCAAGTCGTACTCGGGTTTAGCGTGTGCCAACAGACGAAGAATAAAAGGGCCGGTTTGGACCTATTTCCAGCACGGAGAGGGTCACACTCGGTCAGCCCACATAGTTCATTACCTATTACGTCGGATCACATCGAAGAGAAGGCTTACCTCTGCCAGCGTTGGCTTGGAATGACCACCAAAAAAGGCTCCCTTTGAAGCATCCCAGGTGAACAAGGGCTCGACCTCCTTGACGACAGCGGCGACCAGATCCTCACCGGCCTTTTGTTTGTCCTCGGGGGACTGCGCACGCAGACTACCGAAAAAGTGGGGTAGGACCTTGGTGATGTATGTGTCGACGAAGAAGGCGACGCGAGCACGGAACAACGCATTGTCAACTGAGCCAGTCGAGGCGGGTAGCAGGTGCGACTCATGTGCATCAGCAAGGAATTGGCTGACGACGGCGGATTCTGTCAGAATGGTGCCGTTGTATGAGATGCTGGGGACTAAGCCTCGCTGGAGTAGACGAAGAATAGATGGTCAGCTCAAGCCCTTTTTTCTTGAACCATGGTCGTCACAGATAATTATGTAATCAATCAGAGTCCCTGACTTGGTGAAGGAGATTCCTTTTTCTTCAATGGGCAAACATAGATGATGCATCTGAATCCATACAAGAATGGTGACTTTCTTGATACGATCATCGACTTACAGGATTAATCTCGAGATACCAAGGATCACGAGGTCGATCAAGATCAATAATCTCCTCCTTGAAATCAATGCCAAGTTCATTCAAGGCAATATGAGCACGATGTGCCCAAGGACAGCCATGATTGGTATAAAGCAGGATATCTGGCTTGGAAGCGACGGCAGCGGCCATATTTGCGATGCGACGAATGAAGTGGGTGAAAGATGGATATTACAGTAAAGAAGATGTCATGAAAAGAAAATGGAGAAAGATAGTCTAACAAGCCAGATGTAGAACTTGTCTTACCAGGTCTCTATAGTAAAGGGAGAAATGGTGGATTGTGTTATTCAATGTCAAGATGGCGAGTCCCCGAGTCTACAAAAGATTTGTAATACACGAACGGGAAGGTGCGATGGATGGTCTCAGACCCGAAGTCGGATTCTAAGGAAGGTGGGGTAATTATGCATTTTAACATTATCCGGGAAGGAACGATCAAGCAATGCACTTTTGCTTGTTGCTCTTGCCTGAATTGCAAACTGTACCCATCACTATATTTTAGGAAGGTACGAGTATCTACTACAAGTAGCACGTGTCTTGTACAATATATCCACTGGATGGTCTAATAGACACTTCAAGATACGGCCTGATCAACCTTGCTCTACGCACAATGCATACTCTCATAGAATATCATGTTCAATACGCTAAATGCCAGCAATGATTACCTTTATCCTTTTATACACATAACCTTCATCCCTCATCTTAGTCCAGTCAACCCACCGTCCATAGTCCTTTATCATAGACCAGAAGCCATGGTCAGCCAGCGTCATCCCAATGCCCTTCCAATGCCCAAACTCCTCTTTGCCCCAGCCTTTCTTTACATGTTGGCTAGTTCTCCATCGATTGCCTTGTCGAGGAATGTCCGCCTCTCTCCAGCGGGTACTTCGCATTGAAGTCTTTGCTCCACCAACGCGCGGACTTGCTTTTTGGTCACTTTGTCCAGATCCACCTCACTCAGAACCATTCGAATTGCATCAACAATGTCTTGATCGCTGGGTCCTGCAGATGGAACTGTCCGGAAATCCATGATCGTCGATGTTGGTCGAGATGTGCCCAATCCTAATAAGCTTGGTCGGCTGGCCGCATGCTGCATCCCGCTCTGATATGGGTTGCGTTCTTGGTATGGGTTTGGCGAAGGAGACGTCAGTCGTGCTTGACTGCCCAAGCTCATCATGCTCATCTGTCTGCCATGAACGCTAACCGGTTGGTCGTGGAATTGGGTCAACCCGGTCATCGTGCTCGCCCGATTGTTCATACCAAACGGTGCAGGTGATCGGGGGGGCGCCACGTACGGATGCTGCTGTTGAGGGAACCCTGCCAGAATCGTGCTTGCCGGCTTGACGGACGAGTACTGGGAATGCATGTCATCCATTTCCATCACTCCTGCATCATCCCGGTAGCCACCTTCCATCCCCTTTTCATGATAGATTCCGCTGTTTCCTCGCTGCCCCGGTAGATTGTTGCTTGCCGCATAATCATCCCACCTCTGCAATGGAATTGATCTCGGGTCGAAGCCTTCATCCTGAATCGCCACCACCTTCTTGTCTCCCTTCTCTCCAATGACAATTCTGGTATTTCCCCAGCTGAAATTGTCCTGTTGCCAAAATGAGTAGATAGGCAGAATAAAGCTGTAGATTGGATACGCCATGATGTAAATGATCATCCATCCAATATGCTGCCATTGCCGTTTGATGATGAAGATGATGGCTTGCAGACCATACACGGCCGCCAAAATGATCAGGGACAGTAAAGGAAATTGCCCAGTTCCAGATGCCACACGATAGATGAGATATGCCAGGTACACACAGGTTGCCGGGAGGATCAGCGTTCCAAAGAGATCGATAAAGACCACAAATCTCATAGAGAAACAGCAGAACCCACACAGATCCTTGAGGAAGACTAATTCTGCAAGGTTGTGGATTGTCGAATTGATCCATCGTCGACGCTGCGAGAGAAGGACGGACCATGTCTCGGGCGCTGCTGTCAGCGCATATGCGTCTGGAACAAACTTGTACTTCATGGCCGGGAAGTGCTTGGTCATTAAAGTTGTCAAGTACCGATCCTCACCCAGAGACAGCAAATTCTTCTTGTGAAGAGTGTCCACGTCGCAATCGGCATACTCGTTGACCACCTTATCCGAAATGATGAGCGGCCGTCCTTTGTCAGCGGTGCGAAGACGATACATGCAGAAACTAAAATCCATTAGTCAACAAGCCAGTGAAAAAAAAAGGCATACACAACATACCATCCAGGCAAGCAGGTCACACTGCCAAAGAGTGATTCGAAAGCCTTGGAAAGATGATGAGAGATGTAGTACTCATACACTTGGATCATTGTCCACCAGCTTCGCTCTTCATTTTCCAAGCTCGTTTCACCGCAAATGCCAGCAATCTTTGCATCGTTGGCACATGCCGCCACCAGTCGATTGAGGGAGTCCTCTTTGACCATCGTATCCGCATCAACCATGAGCAAGTACTCATACAGCTCGGGGTCCACACCAATAATGTTGTTGATTTGATGGAACATCTCAAGTTCCAATGGAGACATGGGTGAACGGTGATGCACCCGATTCAGGAATTGCATCAGCAAGATCTGGGAATCCCGCTTGCCCCGGTTACCTGGTTTCGACTTGGCTTGCTCTGATTCTTTGCCCACCTTGATGACAACCAGGTATGGCACCACATTGCCCTCGTATTCGTACAGACCCGAATACACTTTGCCGTAGTTGAGCTGTTCATTCCCATTACCAACCGATCGGAAGGGTAGTGCAGGAGGGTCAATCTTGTGATCAACTCCGAGAATGTCCAGAACAATCTTGGGTGTAGGTCGGTCATTGCCACCTCCAACGATCATACCGTCACAGATGACACAGATTAGCTTTCTCTTGTTGTCATATTGGAGCGCTGTCAAGGAGTCGAGCGACTTGCGCAAGTGATCCTCACCCTCTGTGTAGGCGGGCACTTGACAGATGACAAACTTGTCCTGAGCAGCGGGTCTGCGTTTGGACCCTAATTGGAGAGCCGCCAAAAACTTGACCAAGATGACCGTACAGACTATGATGGTGAATGCAAGAAGAATCCAGTTGTTGACCACACATCGGGCCGACTGACGGAAATCAACCTTGGCAACGTAGAAGACATTGTCCATACAGTTCTTGCTGTTGAGGAAACTCGCACTGGTCCCCCATTGGTTTGTGATGTCCGTCCCCACGTTGTTTCGGATGAGTTCAGCGACATCTTCTGGAATGAAGTCGTACGTGTTGAAGCCATTCATCAACTTTAATGTGTAAAAATAATCTGTGAGGTCGTAGATGCCATTGTCAATGATGACCCATTGTCGTTCATCGTCATTCGCTTGTTTCTGCACTTCGCTTCGCCGGACCACCAAGTCACCCTTGTAGTATTCGTCAATCTTGGGTAAGAACCTCTGATCGTACCAATTTATACTGTACAGGGCAGAATTTTGGTCGGTTTGCAATTGCGGCCCCGAGAGATGGACGGCAGTAGGATTTTCGATAGCGTTCGGGTCTTGGTGCTGCAAGACGACACTTGGGTCCACGTCTAGACCGGGGCAAGCGACATTTAATGGAGGTGGGAAATAGGCATCGAGATTCTTGCCAGCCAGCTCCAACATCCTGTCAGCCGATGCAGGCGTGTCTGTATCAGAGTGGTCAATCCGGTAGAACTTGGTGATGTCGTACACTTTGCCACGGATGCTGACGTAAACGTCGTTCTCGCCTGTGTGGAAACCCACTTCTCTAGCGTTGAAGGCCTTGTCGAGGTTAGGACACAAAAGATTCCCAAATGCCACGATCCAGAAGATGATAATCGCGTTGATCAAAAATATGATGGCGACCAGTACCACCTTTTCTCGCCATGCCATGCGCACATCTGGACGCTTCATCCGACCGATGAATCGGAGTAGAACAGAAGGAATCCAGAATGTAAGAGCCCACACAAGCGAGACCCATGCCTGCCGTCCGATAGACGTCTTCTTCGATTCAATGTTTCGCGGGTCTCCAAACTCTGGGTCCAAATCACCAATATATCGACCCAGGTCAGGATCCCAATATGGATCTTGGCGAGTGTCGCCTTTTGGACCCAGACCATAATCCCCACCTATTGTGTGGGTGGTGCGAGCCATTGTTGGAGCAATTGACTTGGTTCGATCGCCAGCGGCCACACCAAGCAGGTTTTCCCGACTGTCGAGCATGCTCATGGCGTCGCCCATAGGCGGGAAGAAGCCACTCTCATTGTGTGGGGGGTGGGCAGAATATCCCGAGTTGAAGGGGTTGTCGTAGTGTGAGTCCATGGGTTTCATGTCAAGCATGGACTCGGCTTCCCACCACGCACTTTCACGCATCCAAACGCGTTCTCGTCCAATTATGACTTCGCCGTTAGTCCACCCCCGTTCCAGAAGAAAAGTCTCGATACCATCTGGGCCTTCTTTGCATCCAAGTCTCGAATATCTGGTGACAAACTCATCCACATCGAAGTCGGCGGTAAAATCGAGCTGTTTGTTCCGGTAATTGGCCCACTCTGGTAGTCGCCAAGAGCGGAGCTGGCGAGAGACAGCACCGGCGGACCATGCTGACGTTGCGGTTGCATGTTCGACAAGTGAACTGGGCGGCTCGTCGGTAGGATGGATGGATAGTTGGTACCATACCCTACTGCTGGCCAGGAGGCTTGCAAGGTCAAATCGGCCTTTGCGACCAAAATTTAGACCTTCGCCATCAACCGCATAGAGGAGATTGTGGAGAAAACTACCCTCTTCAACGCCCGTGCCAATCTTGACCAGAATACCCTCTCTCCTATCACGATCGTGCTCCTTCTCACGCATTTGAGCACCCTTAATACCGAGATCGACTTCCACTTCAGAGACAGCATTGTTCATTTCGCGGAGCACAGAGTGTCCCACGGATGAAATCTCGACCCCGTCATCCTTCATTTCGGCGTTGATTCCCAAGGAGTCATCGAAGACATTTCGGAGGGCGATGGCTTTGGCCAATGCTTCAGTTGGAATCTCTACCACTGAAAGACTGACCTCGTCTGCGTTTTCGCTTCCAGAATCCGGTGTAAGCGCTCCTGCTCTCATCTGATCGGCGATGGCTTGGTTGGCTTTCAACACGACCCAGTCGACGAGAGCCTCGTACATAGCAGCAATGAGGACTTCGCGATCATCTGTACTGCACTGCTTGCTCAGGACTTCAGGTTCGATGCCGACCAGTCCACCAACATCTTCACAGATTTCATCGAGGACGTCGGAATCAACGAGGAGACCAGTTGTCTCACCGAGTTTGAGAAGACCGGCAAGGGATGCCAGCAGCCCACGAAAGTCGGCACCCTTGATCCCAATTGCTTTGAGGGAGGAACGCCAGTCTTCGGCCGCTGCATCATCGTCTGCAGAAGGGAGGTAGGAAGGTGGATTGTAGCAGGCGGATCGGTTGAGTAGGGTATATTCAGAGGGATGTTGTAAGCCAAGAAACTCGCGTTCGGAGGGAGTGGATGCGGAGGTCAACAGGTAGTAGAAAACATCGAAAGCTCGGTGTCCAGGTTCGGAGGGGATCCTCAGCAAGCCACGCTCCACATCGATGCCGGAGCCAGACAACGCAAGAGTAAAGCCCGTTACAGTGCCAGCAAGGGTGACTGTATACTTCGCTGACAAGGCTGAATGTCTGAATGCGATGCCATTGGACGGGGTGACACATGAAAGGAATGGCCGCAATGCTGAAAGGGCGGTATAGGCAAGTTGAGGAGTGGCCAAGGGAATGACTTGTAGGGTGGGTACTAGCAGTGAAGGTGTGGACGGGTGTAACGAGCCTAGAATAATGCAACCATCTTCTGCTCGTCGTCTGGCATGTTCCCAGGCCCGGGAGGCTGCTTGAGCATCAACAATGCCTCCAATACGGCCATGAGCATCTGGATTGGTGGCAGTGAGCCAGGTATTGACGGCTATAGTTGTACTTGCATCGAGCTGATAGGTTTGGCCAGAGGAGTAGATGTTATGAAGAGAGTTTAACAAAGTCGTAGTTGATACCTGTGTAGGCTGCTGTGCTGTTGGTCGTCCTCCAACCAGAGAGGACTGGTTTGAGTAAGTGGAATAGCGATTGGCCATGTTGTTGACTCGTTCCTGGCGCCGTACCCCAGACTGACGACGACCAGGACGGTATAAAGGAGGGAGGGAGAAATGCGGAGGAATATGAGGTATGAAATTGTTATTTCCCCCTTTTGTGAGTTCCAATTACAATGTATGGTAGGACAATAATGTAGTGGGCTCGTAAGGAATCAGGAGATTGATTTCGTTTCGAGTCTTCGAGGTAGGGGTTGGAAATGGAGGGCCACAGTAGGCAAGACAGGACAGAACGTAATAAACAATAACAACGCTGCCATCAACGAACAAAAAGGAGAATAGCGAGAGTGATGTGATGATAGTGAGCTGAGAGTAAAGGACAGAGACAAAGAGACTTGTTGAGCAAGCAGTAAAGGGCGACGATGAGGTGCAATCCTCGTGTGTTAGGTTTGGCTGAGTGGTTCCAGTCCAGGTTGATGGGAAGATGGTGCCATGGTTGTGGGTTGTGTCATTCCAGGTTGTATCAACGTTGTGACAAAACCATTACAAGAGTGTAATAATCGACAGGGGCTTGGGGCTTGTTCGTCGCCCCGCCCGAGCAACCAGTTGGCAGTGAGAGTCGACCAGTCGACCAGGGTTTCCAAGGCCCAGGGGTCGGGCATCTAGCGTCCGAGGGAGGCCCTCGGCCCTGGGGTGGCCACTGGCGACCATTGGGGGCCTCTCGGGCCCTTCATCGCTGAAAAATAGCTTTAAGGTTGCGAGGTGGATGTGCCACCTTGGACTTTTTTCCTGGTGACATGAGCTCCACACTCTCATTTTAGGCATGACCCGTGCGGCTCACTGCAGGAATTGCGCCTGTAGTGTTCGCTCCGGGTGCCGAGAAAAGGTGAAAGTGCAGCCTGGAGCCAATCATCAGGACTCTTATGTTGTGCCTCTGTTAGATGAACAGGGCAACGGTCTGAGCGCAGACAAGCCTCACAAGGGTTCTCGTGTTGGAACTGTCCGACACGTGCTGCAAAATCCGAACGTGAGGATCATGGCAATAAACGATGAATAATGTGCCAAAGGATGTCATGATTGGGCGTTCTATCTTCCGTCGGGGTCTTGGTTGATGAGTGCATAGGGGGAAAAGACATGGATTCAGGCCTGGCCAGGACTACCGAATGCCTAAGAATAGGTAAACACCGCTGACATCCTTTGTCAGGATAACAGTTGCCAAGCTGGGTCAAAAGCATGGGGCGATTAAGGAGATCGGGCGAACCAAGGAAGGGAGTTACCGAGCCTCAATTGCTGGAGAGAAGAGTCCAACTTGTCCCCTCAACCCACGATTGAGTACTCGTCGGAGATGCTATAATAATAATTCAATTGGTGTGAAATCCTTTGCTCGAGACTTGCAGTCGCCTTCAGGCTTGTTTCAGTTGGCATGATTTTGATCGCCTGAGACAATGACTCAATCAGGGCCGCATGGACGTCGTCATTCGCTGGTCAAATGCTGCATGTCTCATCGGCCGCCGATGGCTGCAGTCAGGCCCCATTGACCATTGGGACCCGAATAAAATGTCTGGTTATGATTTTCAAGCGTGCATGTGGTAATAATGGGGTCATTTCAGCCTCAGGTAAGCCAGTTTCTCGGTAGGGCTTATAGGTGGTCACTACTGCATGCACTTTCTCTTCATAAGCTTACCCTTTCCAAGGGAAATGGAAGCCTGGTAGTTTAGGTACCTATAGCGATCTGCACCTAACACTGTCCATTATGTACAGCATCTAAAAATTGCCCACTGAGCTGTTTTTCGCACACAACCAAAATTCTTGGATAATTCTCTCCCCACAATGCCAGTGGGCTAGAGGCTTCCATGCTCCTTAGCGAACTGAAGTACGAGTCCTTCGGCTCCCATGAAAATGTTATCTCGACAACATTATAGCAATAGTGATTTCGACAGGCCAATACGTATATAGTGATCTAAGTGTCTTCACTCAACTTCCGGAAGTGTCAAATTCGAATCACAAATGTTGACTACCTCGGAGACGAACACACAGACAAAAAGCCTCACTGTCAGACTGTTTGTGTTCCCATCACCAGCTGGAGAGCGGCGAGGACCTACTGTGTACGCACTAGGGGCGCTAGGGGCTCTCAGTGGGTGTGGAGTTGTGGCGTGGCGCAGGAACCCCACCAACCGAGACTTAGCGCGTCTAATGACTTTGCTTGAGTCAATCGCCAGTCTCCAATCCTCAAAAATCCAGACCCGGACTTGCCTCTTTGGCTCCATTTGTAAACACAGTGACTTAATACCGGTCAGTACCAATGTAAATACACACAAGACCATGCATCCGCCACACGTTGACTGCGCCCAACATTGGATCCGCCCTGGCGAGACATCGACTGCGTCTGCATCTGCACTCACTTTCTCATTACACGATGAACTTCAATTGTCATGAACAGTGTCTGCAGCTTTGAGATCTCATTCTTCAGTATCTCGACAGTTGTCTATCTCAACAAAATCACTTGATCGTCGCTCATTGCCATCTAACTCATCTTTTGCTTCATCTTGCTTCCTACCAAAGTCGACATTCTCTACTGACCATTTTACCCTGTACTATCTGAACTTCCAACACAACCACATCGTCTTCGCAAAGAATTGTCCTTCGATGACTTGAGTTCCTTCCAGAAATAGGCTCTGGCCACACTCTCTATCCACTGGTTTCGTCTAAACACCCACAATGGCCACTCGGGGAAACGCTCCCTCACATATGCAGGCATCTTTGCCTGCACTCCCACCACATCTGCAATCAGATACTCATCTGACCGCTCACCTTGCCAGCCGCTTCCATGTTTCTTTGCCGGCTGCCAAGCTCTCGTCACAAGCCATCGTCTGCCTCAATACATATACGTCCTCAACTCGGGGCCCAAATGGCGAAAAGGAGGGAAGCGCCATGGCTGAGGCCGAAGACCTTGCACGAAGAGCATGGACGAGACTGGGGAACAGGGCTGAAGACCAGTCTATTGTCTTTTTGTGAGTACCGTCGTCTCTTTTCACGAGCCTATCTCATCCTTCAACAGCGGAGAATCTGGGTCGGGAAAGACCACCGTTCGATCGCATCTTTTAACTTCATTCCTCTCCTTTTCCTCGACGCCGCTCTCTTCCAAACTCTCACTCGCCGCCTTCGTGTTTGATACCTTGACCACGACAAAAACCACTACCACTCAGACTGCCTCCAAGGCCGGCTTATTCTATGAATTGCAATACGATGCCATGTCCTCGATCCCTACCCTCATTGGAGGCAAGATGCTAGATCACCGCCTCGAGCGAAGCCGGATCTCTCATGTTCCCACCGGCGAAAGGAGTTTTCATGTCCTCTATTATCTTTTGGCTGGTACAAGTGCCGCTGAGAAGGCACATCTCGGTTTGAGCAACCAGACACATGTCACCACCGCTGCCTCTGGCCTCACACGCTCTGCATCGGTAGCCCAAAAGAGATGGAGATATCTAGGACATCCAACTCAGATGAAGGTAGGGATCAATGACACTGAAGGCTTTCAGCACTTCAAGACTGCCCTCCGCAAGCTCGAATTTCCACGCGCCGAAATCGCAGAGATATGCCAGGTCCTTGCAGCCATCTTACATATCGGTCAGCTTGAGTTTGGCACCGGACAAGCCACATTGACTGCCGCAGAGGAAAGTGGTGGTTACTCGCACGAAGGCGGCGAGACTGTCACTGTGGTCAGGAACACCGAGACATTGGCCACTGTCGCCGCCTTTCTCGGCCTAAGTGCTCAAGAATTGGAAGAGAGTCTGCGCTACAAGACAAGAACTCTTCACCGTGAACGCGTCACGGTCATGCTAGATCCCAAAGGTGCTCGTGGAAATGCCGATGAACTAGCAACGACGTTGTACTCGCTCCTGGTCGCCTATATCATTGAAGCCATCAACCAACGAACTTGTGCGGCTGAGGATGCAGTGGCCAATACCGTCTCCATTGTTGATTTCCCTGGGTTTGCTGATCACCCTTCCACCGGTTCCACGCTCGACCAGTTGTTGAACAATGCCGCCAACGAGTCGCTGTACAATACCTGCTTACACGGCATTTTCGAACGAACCACAGAGTCCCTTGACAGTGAAGAAGTCAGTGTTCCCGCAACAAGCTATTTCGACAACAGCGACGCTGTGCGTGGCCTTTTGAAGCACGGTAACGGCTTACTTGCGATCCTTGACGATCAAACCCGCCGCGGACGCACTGACATACAATTCTTGGACAGCTTGCGTAAACGCTTCGACAATAAGAACAAAGCAATCACGGTGTCGACTGCCACAACAACACTCCCGGGGAGCAACTTTGCCACTACGAATCTCGCAGCCTCGTTTTCCGTCCGACATTATGCTGGTGAGGTCGACTATCCCGTCCACAGCTTAGTCGAGGAGAATGGCGATGTCGTATCTGGTGACCTTATGAGTCTTATGAAATCTACAAAGAGTGATTTTGTTGCCCTCCTGTTCGGCCAGGAAGCACTCAATACTGTCAGCCACCCCGCCGAGAAAAGCGCTATTGTTCAGGCTCAGGTGAGCTCGAAACCTTTGCGAATGCCCAGCATATCAAGAAAGAAGCACGACCAATTGCGGCGGATGGGGAGCATAAGGGCAGACCGTTCGCCAGCTCCTGTGGCAGAGTCTGCAGAGTCAGGTGCTCGTCCTGATGATCTACGGACCCGGCGAACAAAACCTTCGGCATCCGGTCTCACGCAAGGTGCTGCAGCCCAATTCCTGTCTGCGTTGGACAACATCACCAAATCCTTGACTGCTCCTAACGTCAACAACTATTTTGTGTTTTGCTTGAAGCCAAATGATCGCAGGATAGCCAACCAATTTGACAGCAAGTGCGTTCGACAGCAGATCCAGACATTCGGCATTGCAGAAATTAGCCAGAGGCTTCGATTAGCAGACTTCAGTATCTTCTTACCTTTTGGCGAGTTTCTAGGCATCGCCGACACTGACGAGGGTGTAATTGGAAGCGACCGAGAAAAGTCACAGCTGATTCTCGATGACAGACGTTGGCCTCCCAATGAAGCCAGAATTGGCAATACAGGTGTCTTCTTGAGTGAACGCTGCTGGGCCAGTATAGCGCTCACGGGCTCTCAGGCAGCTGCATACTTTGGCGAAGGAAACGCTCTGTCGCGGCCTGATACGCCTGGAGGCAACCCATTCTCAGATTCAAAATCACGGCTCGTGAGCGCCAGGGGCACCCCAGGCTCGATCTATGGAGAAGAGACCAAAGGTGGCTATTTTGGCGTGCGTGACTTGGATGCCAAATCAGAGGCAGGTGCTTCAGCATTCCACTCTGGCGACTTGTTCCGAAATCTCGAGACCAAAGAAGAGCTTGCTGAGAAGGGAAACAAAAAGAAAATGGAAGAGGTCGACGTCTTGCCTGTCAGTGGAAGTCGTAAGCGCTGGCTTGCCATCGTTTATCTTCTGACTTGGTATCTACCCGACTTCACCATTAAATGGGTGGGTCGGATGAAGAGAAAGGATGTTCGCGTTGCGTGGCGGGAGAAACTGGCCATCAATCTCCTGATCTGGCTCAGCTGCGCTTTTATGATCTTCTTCATCGTCTTCTTCCCAGGCTTGATCTGCCCCAGACAGGATGTTTACTCGGCCGCCGAACTCTCGTCCCATGACGGCAAGGGCAAAAATAGTGCCTACGTCGCAATCCGTGGCCAGGTCCTCGATCTCGGAGCGTTCATCCCCAGCCATTATCCCAGCATCATCCCTCATTCTGCACTCGAGAAATACGCTGGCCTTGATGCGACCGGACTGTTTCCAGTTCAGGTTTCTGCTCTCTGTCAAGGGAAAGACGGCAGGGTGGATCCGACTGTCTTGCTCGACTATTCTGCCACCAACATCTCTGGCTCTGCCAACGTCATCAGCTTGACGGATCCAAATCAAAGATACCACGACTTCCGCTATTGGACCAACGACTCGCGTCCGGATTGGTTTTTTGAGCAAATGATCATGCTCAAAGCCAACTACAAGAAAGGCGAGATTGGCTATACACCACAATATGTCAACACGCTGGCACAGCAGTCAAGGGCGATTGCAATTCTGAATAACAGAGTGTACGACTTCACCACGTACAACCAGGGCGGCCGGCCTACCAAAGCCCCATACGATGAAGAAGTGCCTGCCGGAGTAGACGTCAATTTCATGGACGACTCCGTGGTCAGTCTCTTCACCCAACGGGCCGGGCAAGACGTTACGAAGTACTGGAATAACCTTGCCATCGATTCCGCCTTGAAGAGTCGAATGCAACTGTGCTTAGACAACCTCTTCTTTGTGGGCGTGACCGACACTCGTAACTCGACACAGTGTCTTTTTGCGCAGTATCTCCTCCTTGCCGTCTCAATCTTCCTGTGCAGCGTTGTGGGTTTTAAATTCCTGGCTGCGCTTCAGTTTGGGGGGAGGAACGTCCCAGAGAACCTCGATAAGTTTGTTATTTGCCAAGTACCAGCATATACCGAAGACGAGGACTCGTTACGACGTGCGATTGACTCGGCCGCGCGGATGCGATATGACGACAAGCGCAAACTCCTCGTTATCGTGTGCGATGGCATGATCATTGGTCAAGGCAACGATCGTCCAACACCTCGCATCGTCCTCGATATTTTGGGAGTTTCCGAGACAGTTGATCCAGAGCCCCTCAGTTTTGAATCTCTCGGCGAAGGAATGAAGCAACACAACATGGGCAAGGTATACTCGGGCCTCTATGAGGTTCAAGGCCACATTGTACCATTCATGGTCGTGGTAAAAATCGGCAAGCCGTCAGAAGTGTCGAAGCCTGGAAACCGAGGCAAACGAGACTCACAGATGGTTATCATGCGATTTCTCAACCGAGTGCATTACAACTTGCCCATGAGCCCTCTGGAGCTGGAAATGCATCATCAAATACGGAACATTATAGGCGTCAACCCGACTTTCTACGAATTTATGCTACAGATTGACGCCGATACAGTCGTTGCTCCCGACTCGGCAACTCGGATGGTCGCCGCGTTCCTGCGAGATACAAGGTTAATCGGTTTATGTGGTGAGACATCGTTGACCAACTCAAAGGCATCGTTTATTACCATGATGCAAGTCTACGAGTACTACATTTCTCACAACCTGACCAAAGCCTTCGAATCGTTGTTTGGCTCGGTGACTTGTTTGCCTGGTTGTTTCACCATGTATCGAATTCGAGCAGCAGAGACTGGCAAACCTCTCTTTGTCAGCAAAGACATTATCCAAGACTATTCCGAGATTCGAGTCGACACACTGCACATGAAAAATCTGCTGCACCTCGGAGAAGATCGATATCTGACGACGCTTCTGCTGAAACATCATCCCAAGTACAAGACCAAGTACATTTTCCATGCTCACGCCTGGACGATCGCTCCTGATAGCTGGAAGGTGTTCATGTCTCAGCGGCGTCGATGGATCAACAGTACAGTTCACAATCTCATTGAACTTATTCCGTTACAGCAGCTCTGCGGGTTCTGTTGCTTCAGCATGAGATTTGTCGTGTTCCTCGATCTGCTGTCAACCATTGTTGGTCCTGTGACGGTTGTTTACATTGTCTACCTCATTGTTCTGGTGGCTACGCAGACCTCTGTGATTCCTCTGACGGCGTTTATCCTACTGGGAGTAATCTACGGCTTGCAAGCAGTCATTTTCATTCTGCGGCGCAAGTGGGAAATGATTGGATGGATGATCATCTATATCCTCGCGATGCCTATTTTCTCTCTTGGACTTCCCTTGTACTCTTTCTGGCATATGGATGACTTCAGTTGGGGTAATACACGACTCGTCACCGGAGAGAAGGGGAAGCAAATTCTCATCTCGGACGAAGGCAAGTTTGACCCTGATACAATCCCGAAGAAGAAGTGGGAAGAGTATCAAGCCGAGTTATGGGATGCGCAGACTCAACGAGACGATGTGCGGTCAGAATTCTCTGGACACAGTTACGGGACCAAGTCGTATCACCCTGCTGGGTCGGTTTACGACATGGACAACCAATACCTGATGCCAAACTCACGATCGGCCTCGCAGTTGGACATGCATCCACCGGCATATAGCGGAGGGCACAATCAATCCAGATTATCCCTGGCTCCAGCAGAAATGCTCGGAGAGGGTGGGTTTCTGCCGAGTGGTCGCTCCGTTGCCGATATGGAGTTATCTGATCTCATGGGGCTGCCGACGGACGACCAGATTCTCAACGAGATTCGTGACGTTCTGAAGACGGCAGATCTCATGACAGTGACCAAGAAAGGAGTCAAGCAGGAGTTGGAGCGACGATTCAATGTCAACCTGGATGTCAAACGGGCATATATTGGAAGTGGTAAGTCGACTAACTCTGAAGAGCTGCCAAAAACATGCTAACGATGTTCCAGCTACGGAAGCAATTCTTTCCGGACAACTATAAAATCATGATGTGTTGATATTTTGAGCGGACATGTATAGTGAAGGGAGGCGTACTTGTAAACAAGCTTGTTGGCATGAAGGTCAAAGCATAGATGGAGTTTTGTCAGTTGAGAATAATGGCGGACTTGGTTGATGGATGTAGCGAGAATAGCAGCGACAATTTTTCAACTATGCCAACTTGGTTTCAACTCAGATTAGCCATGTGTATGACGTGCAATGGATCGTCTCTCGTTAGACATCGAGTTATTACTTGGTCCCTGACAAGTTCCAGCATCCGCATTTTATTGACAAGACGCCGCGTAAGCTCATTACCCTGGCACGCCCGGTGGGTGGGTTTTTGCTTTGGTGTATCTCGGCTGGTCGGCAGCCACAAGGCTTGTGCTACTAAATGGCGTCTCTTCGGGTCCATGCTCCATGCTTTTGACGCGATTGAAGATCATTCTCTCTTATAATTGGTTCCACAAGAGACTCAAGTTCAAGGTTGTCAGCCAAAAGGTCAATTCAGTGACGTCGTTGCCCAACTCCCCACGTTTCCCTTCCCATCCAGTGACAGCTTTATTTCCCGGGGTTGGAAAGATACGAGAACCCATGTCATTGTTTTCGTAGGAGGAGGCTCACATACTTGTCTTGTAAGCTGGGTTCTGGACCCTGAGGTTGCGCGGCCTTCTTTGTATTTGACTTTGGGGCGGACATACATAGGAATACATACATAAGTACATCGGTAGGTACCTTGTGGTTGCGCATGATTGAAGAAGGCTTGGGTTGGGATTCTTGTGCTTTACAATCTTTCATTTTAATTCGCCTGGTCGACTAGCTAGCTTCTCGAACACCAAACCCATTGAAGTGCGATAACTAACATCCAGCATGGCCTCGCGCACCGCTGTCTGAAGACCTCGTCCGATAATCCTCAGGCTGAAACGTTATGAGAAGTCTCTGGACCATTAACAACAATAAATAATCACCAGTCACTCGACTCGGCGCAATCATGATACCCCAACATGTCTACGACTTATGCCAGAGTGGAAAGTCAGTGACGTCGGAGCTTGCCAATAACCCCTCTTTGACGCCCAAAGAAGCGGCGAAGGCCTTATTTGGAATCGATATCGAGGATGATGTATGCAACAAAACTCTTGAACTCCGACACCCAGGGGAGAAAGAGATCGAGCAAGCGCGACAGTGTGGGAATTGGGGGGATTCAAAACCGAGTGATTTATTTCTCAAGGTGAGAGAGCAATGCACTACTTAGAAAGCTACAGTCTCAAGATGTCGATACTGACAAGATTAATCAATTCAACAGATCTATCACGATGTCCTCTGCACACTGGACAAGAACCCACTCCTCGGATCCTGTTCACCATCTCTCCTCGGAAGCAGTGGAGTATGTCCATTGACAATCATGGCGCCCGTACCGGATATCTGTCGGCACATGTCCAATGTGATTGCCCGGGCCGAACATGAAGTCTTTCTGGCGACCAATTTCTGGATGCACTCGGAGCCGACCAAGCTGATCACGCAAGGTTTACGAGAGCTGTCAAAGAAGGCAGTGGCGTCGAACCGTAAAGTGGTGGTGAAGATTATGTATGATCGTGGGAGTCCAAAGCAAGTGAGTACTAGGAACAATCATCGCTCCGCGAGTGAGATGGAATCGGATGGGACAACGGACAGTGCTAACGTAGTCTACTTAGATGGTCAAGAATCACCTTATGGTCCAGGAAAAGGAATACGCAGATCCAAACGGCAAGATTCAAATCCCCAGTGCCGATCAGTTGCCCAATGTTGATGTTCAAGTCATGAATTTTCATACTCCTGTCTTTGGAACATTTCATGCAAAGTATATGGTTGTGGACCGCAAGATTGCGGTTGTGCAGAGTAATAATATTCAGGATATTGATAATCTGGAGATGATGACGCAGTTTGAAGGGCCGATTGTGGATTCGTTTTATGATATTGCTTTGATATCGTGGCATGAAGCTATGAAGCCACCTTTGAAATGCTTAGGCAGCCCGGCTATGGGCGGTCCGATGCCGACTTTTGGTGTGGAAAGCTATGCTTCTCTCTTTGAGGACAAGACTGGACAAAGTGCGCAACTCTATCAGGCGTAAGATCTCCTATGTGTCTTGTTGGGTTCGATACTGATTGAACTTAGGACAAACCCCGTTCCTGAGGGTGACAGCACTCTTCCGCAGATCGCGGAACATGGAGCACAGGTTGATCTTCCACAGCATACTTCTGATGACCCTCATTTTGATGAGGATGTCAAATCCGAGGTCTTACGGGCGGTCGCGTCTCTCAATCCACGACATGGAGAAACGAGAATTAATGCCGTGACTCGGCTTCTCAATACACTGATCCAACCGGATACCAAAGGAACAGCTCCAGAGATCGAACCAGCTCAAGGCATGACTCCTCTCATCCCCATCCCTCCACACGAGCCGTTTCCAATTGCCATGGTTTGTCGGAAACCCTGGGGTGCACCAACCAAAACCTCCGTTCACACCCCGCAGAACCAAGCATGGACAGCGGCATTGCGATATGCAACCAAGTCTGTTTTCATCCAGACCCCTGACCTCAACGCCGAAGCCCTGCTCCCAGAAATCCTGGCTGCATGTCGACGCGGGATCCACGTGACATACTATTACTGCCTAGGATACAACGATGCAGGAGAACTCTTACCAATGCAAGGAGGCCACAATGAAGGCATTGCGCATTATCTATACAGCGAACTGGCAGAGAAGGACCGTCAGAACCTAGACGTGTATGTCTATGTTGCCAAGGACCAAGTGCGACCAATCCACAACAAGTTCAAGCAGCGATCTTGCCATATCAAGATCATGATTGTGGATGGTCACATTGGTATCCAAGGGAATGGGAACCAAGATACCCAGAGTTGGTATCACAGCCAGGAGGTGAATGTCATGATTGACAGTGAATTGGTCGTGGGCAAATGGATCGAAGGCATCCGGCAGAATGAAAACACTCACCTCTATGGCAAAGTCGAAAAGGAGGGAGAGGACTCGGGGTGTTGGAAGGATTCAGAGACAGGGAAACAGGCTGAAGGAGCACTGGGAGTTGACCCTGGGAAGTTTGCTTGGGCGCGTGGTTTCATGGGTGCAATTCAAAGGGTCAGGGGTATGGGTGGATTCTGAATGCGTCTTTGGAAGGGAACATGGTGTTGAATGGTTTAATTATTGATACTTGATTCTTGATGCTGCAATACAGTCAGCCTTCAGTCTTTACCATTGACCTTTGACCCTTGAGCCTTCAGCCTGAATGTGGGTGTATCAAAACGTGCCTGCCGCATGTGACATGAATCTGATATATGTACGTGCCTTCCTGATTAATATATCATATGTTGGAAAAATAATCCGCCGCTTCCGAATTCGAAATTGTCACACAAGCCTCAACATTCTGCCATTAATTTGATCTCCTGCGACATCATCTGTCTGTGTCTTGATTGCCATCTCTTCTCCATACCACCATTCACAGAACACACGGCAAAAGGTTGATGACTACAGCATACCCTAACACCGCCTCTCCTCTAGCTGTCAATCACTCCCCTGCGGCCCTGTCCTCGGCGTGCGGAGTACCTCCTCCTCCCCCAACCCCTCCCCCTCCACGGAATTTCCATCCATCATCGGGACTTTGACACGGGACTTGGTCAATTCCAAATGGTCCTGCTTGCCAATCCGCAAACGCGGGAATAGGTTCCAACACCGCTGCTAGCCGTCCCTTTGACCACAGTTACCGAGCGTCCTAGCAACCGTCAATCCCTGAAACGATTGGTTTCCTCCTCCCATTAGGGGTGCGGTCCCCACAGACAATCATCGGGGCAAAACCTCTTAAACATTTCCCTCCAATATCATCATGAATCCCAGAAGCCCTCAATACCGCAAAGGTTCCCCTCGCCGTCACTCGCGCAGCATTGTGCCGAATCCTTTCTCCACTCCCTAGCTGGGGAATCGCTCTTGAGTCGTCCAAGCCAGGAAACAAGCAATAACAATGGATCCGAGACACACTCCCTCTTTCCCCGTCCTGTGCGGTATTGCCCCGCGGCACATCGGCTACGGTCTTACAATTAATGGAGGTTTGTATCTAGAGTAGGGAACTATTTACATGACCCTTCCCATCTCGAGGAGATTTGCCATACCCTTTTTGTGCCAAATCTTGTCCTCTCCTGTAATCATCGCCACACGTGCCACGCGTTTTCCTACTCTGGTCCTTTCACACAGGGTTGCACTCCTCCTCTCTCGTAAACACTTGAGCGCGGGAAACTGTTCGGGGTCTCGCAGACCCATCCTTTCACAAGATGGGTTCAATGGCAAAAAATGAGTGAGATTCTGCTGCCTCGCTTAGGTCGACACGACATTCTGACATCTCCACAGGCTGTATACGACCTCATTTGCCTTCTTTGAGGCACTTTGGGAGGCAAGTCACCGTCCATTCTACGCCCTGAACTATTACTGATGGCTCCCAAGGCGGGCATCACCCATGTCTTTGTCAATCTAGGCTCCGACCACCCTTCAATCATGGAGGCAATGGCCAAGGGTAAAAAGGAACTGGGAGACAAATTTCCACGAGTCATCACATGTCCGAACGAGGTAAGTAGTGTCTAACAAGGTACGGCTCAATGTGCTAACGCCTACGTAAGATGGTCGCCCTTTCCATGGCAGACGGCTACGCACGATACTCCGGAAAACCTCAGTGTGTCATTGTCCACGTCGACGTCGGTACCCAAGGCCTGGCTGCCGCAGTCCACAATGCCTCTTGCGGGAGAGCTCCTGTCCTGATATTCGCCGGCCTATCGCCCTATACCATCGAAGGCGAGTATCGAGGTTCGAGAACAGAGTACATCCACTGGATCCAAGATGTCCCAGATCAAAAGAAGATTGTGGAGCAATACTGCAGATACACCGGAGAAATTAAAGGCGGAAGAAATGTCAAACAAATGGTCAATCGTGCCCTTCAATGGGCGACCAGCGATCCACAAGGACCTGTCTATTTGTACGGCGCACGCGAACCAATGGAGGAAGATATCGTACCATACCATCTGGATCAGACGCAGTGGCAAAGTGTTGCACCCGCTGCCCTGCCAGTAGACGGTGTCAAGCTCATTGCCGATCACCTCCTGGCAGCACAAGAGCCCTTGATGATTGTTGGTTACACCGGCCGGAACGCAGAATCTGTCAATCTTGCCGTCCAGCTCGCCGACAAGATTCCAGGCCTCCGAGTTCTGGATACTGGCGGATCTGACATGTGTTTCCCCGCGAATCACCCAGCTTCCTTGGGCCTTCGCTACAGCTCTGACCCGGCCATCAAAACCGCAGACTTTATCCTTGTCGTCGATTGTGATGTTCCCTGGATTCCCACACAGTGCAAGCCTCGTGCTGATGCCAAGATCATCCACGTCGACGTCGACGTCCTGAAACAGCAGATGCCTGTCTTCTACATCCCAGCCTTCGCTCGTTTCAAGGCCGACTCCGCGACCGCATTCTCCCAGATCAACCAATATCTCGAGTCACAGACAGACCTGGCAGCCAGATTATCTAGCGACGCATACAAGACGGCATCAGAACAGAGGAAAGCGTCGCATGAAAAACGATGGGGAGAGTTCAAAGAGCTTGCCAAAATTCCTTCTGATCCCAAGAACAGCTCCATCGACCCTCATATTCTTGGAGGACAGATCCGAAAGTTGGTCCCAGAGGACACAATTTTCGCTGTCGAGGCAGTCACGCTGTCGTTGTTCATTAGTGATCAGATTGCTGCCATCCTACCCAAGTCTTGGATCAACTGTGGAGGCGGCGGTCTTGGCTGGTCTGGTGGTGGTGCGCTAGGAATCAAACTCGCCACAGACTTCGAGAACAGGAACCCGCAAGCCGGTGACAAATTCGGAACCGGCAAGGGCAAATTCGTCACTCAGATTGTGGGAGATGGTACCTACCTTTTCTCCGTACCCGGATCTGTATACTGGATTGCCCAAAGATACAGCATTCCGGTCCTGACCGTCGTCCTCAACAACAAGGGCTGGAATGCACCACGGCGGTCGATGCTTCTTGTTCACCCCGATGGCGAGGGAAGCAAGGTGGACAACAAGGAACTGAACATCAGCTTCGACCCAACACCAAACTATGCCGGCATTGCCAAAGCAGCAACCGGTGACAAGGCTTGGGCAGGACAGGTGAGCAATGTTGCCGAGTTGCTCGAGGAATTACCAAAAGCCATTGAGGCCGTCCAGAGTGGCAGGTGTGCTATCTTGGAGGTCAAACTCGGCGTAGATCTGGCCAAAGAGCGGGCAGCCAATGTCGATGATGTAGCAACGTCGAGTGGATGATAGATTTGCATTGAACAAAACGAAATACGCGCCTAGATACATATGTATACATATTGGTCTCACTAGCATGTCTCGTCACGTGTCTTGACATGAAAGGAATGGTTGGGAAGTGCGGGGCCACACGCGCCAAGAAACCACTTTACGCGCTTCGCGTCCGACGCGTTCTGAGTTCTGGCCGCCCCAAATTGTCTCAGGGATAGAGACACTCATCAGTCGAGTCTTCCTTCACAGCACACTTTTGAGTCCGAGACCACTGAACAACATCTTCAATAGTCAAAGATTCAAAATGGCGCTCGATAGTCGTCAGCTCCGTGATGAAGCGGTCCGCGACCGAGTCAGGCTCGCAACCGAGTTTCTCGACCCCACAGACCAAAGAGCAAAATCCTACCGCAGCGACATCGTGTTGATGCTGAATCGAGGTCTGCGAAGACTGGTAGTCAGCATTGATGAGATCAGAGCACATTCTCGAGAACTCGCCGACGGAATCCTCTCTCAACCATTCGACTACTCTCTGGCCTTTGACGCCGCCCTGAAGAGCATCATTGCCACGATCCCCAACCGCGCCGCATTCGAGCAAGATGAAGACACGCTCTACTACGTGGCTTATTCTGGCTCTTTTGGCGAGAATACTTGCAATCCTCGAACCCTAGGCAGTGGCCTGTTGAACCGTATGGTGTGTTTGGAAGGTATCGTCACAAAGTGCAGTCTGGTCAGACCAAAGGTCGTCAAAAGTGTTCATTGGAACGAGACAAAAGGGACATTTCTGTTCCGTGAATATAAAGATCAGACGATGACGGCCGACGGCCCTGCTAGTCTGAGTGTTTATCCTCAGGCGGATGCGGATGGTAACCCGGTATGTAAAGACAAATTCCTCGTTTGTGGATGGTGCTGATTCATTCAATAGCTGGTCACCGAGTATGGCTACTGCACCTACCGAGATCATCAAACCATTAGCATCCAGGAAATGCCTGAACGCGCCCCTGCCGGTCAATTGCCGCGTGGCGTCGACGTGATCATGGATGATGATATGGTCGATCGAGTCAAACCAGGCGACCGGATCCAGCTGGTCGGTATTTTCCGATCGTTGGGTAATCGCAATGCTGGCACGGGATCTGCCATCTTCAAGACCATTATCTTGGCCAACAATGTCGTGCTGTTGTCCTCCAAGTCTGGAGGTGGTGTCGCTCAGGCTACCATCACTGATCAAGATGTTCGAAATATCAACAAGATGTCCAAGAGGCGCAATGTTTTTGAGCTGCTCGCTCAATCTCTCGCTCCCAGTATCTACGGGCACGATTACATCAAAAAGGCAATTCTTCTCATGCTACTAGGTGGGATGGAGAAGAACCTGCCCAACGGAACTCATTTGAGAGGTGACATCAACGTCTTGATGGTTGGTGACCCTTCGACTGCGAAATCTCAACTTTTGAGATTCGTCCTCAATACTGCTCCACTGGCAATTGCCACGACCGGTCGAGGCTCGTCTGGCGTAGGTCTCACAGCCGCTGTGACTACCGACAAGGAGACTGGAGAGCGAAGACTGGAAGCCGGTGCCATGGTCCTGGCGGACAGGGGTGTTGTTTGCATCGATGAATTCGACAAGATGAGTGATATTGATCGCGTCGCCATCCACGAAGTCATGGAACAGCAGACTGTGACTATTGCCAAAGCCGGTATTCACACATCTCTGAACGCACGATGCAGTGTCATTGCGGCTGCCAACCCGATATTCGGCCAATACGACAGTAACAAAGATCCCCACAAGAATATTGCACTCCCAGACTCTCTGTTGTCTCGGTTTGATTTGCTGTTTGTGGTGACCGACGACATCGACGACACTCGCGATCGACAGATCTCAGAGCATGTTCTCCGAATGCATCAATACCGTCAACCAGGGACGGAAGAAGGAGCTCCAGTACGAGAACAAGCTACTCAGATCTTGGGGATTGGTGTCCAGGAGGCGCAAACAGCCAACCAAACCTCAGAGGTGTTTGAGAAATTCAGCGGCGTCTTGCATTCTGGCATGACAGTCAAGACTGGCCGCGGTAGCAAGCGGGGAATCAATCCCGTGAGCATCGCGTTCATCAAGAAGTACCTCCAATATGCCAAAACACGATGCAAGCCTATCTTGACCAAAGAAGCCAGCGATTACGTGGTGAATGCGTATGCAGACTTTAGAAACAACGATTTGGACGCCAACAAGAGGAGAACAAGTCCCATGACGGCCAGAACTCTCGAGACACTGATCCGTCTTTCTACTGCACACGCAAAGTCGAGATTATCGAGCCGAGTGGAGGAGAGCGACGCCATTGCTGCTGAGGAGATCCTGAAATTTGCCCTTTTCCGAGAAGTTGCCGTCAAAGAAGACGGCCGCCGGAAGAGACGCAAGACCCAAGACGTCGACATGAACAGCTCCGATGACAGCAATGATTCTGGCAGTGACAGCGATGATGGTAGCGATAGTGACGACACTCCATATCGTGGCAACCGGCCCGCGGCTTCAAGGTCGGCTCAACCACAGACTCGCAGCCAGCGGTCGACCAGAACCAATGGCACAACGAATCGCCGGACCCAGGAAGGAGATGACGATGACGAGGAAGAACCTACAGATGAGACCCAGACCACTACCCCATCACGACGGACACGTCAAACTGGAACCGAGTCACAAATGTCTCGCATGTCCCTTGCGAGCTCCATGCCTAGCTCTCAACTCCCCTCGACTCAAGCAGACTCGCAGTCACAATCTCGGAGGTCTCGAACTCAGACCCAAGTTCCAGACGAGTCGTCTTCAGAGTCAGAGGCTGAAGCTGAGACAACTGCGCCTGCGGCTTCGGCAGCAGAAGCCACTATCAGCGAACCGCGTCTGCGAGATTTCCGCAAGGCCCTGGGAGCTCTGACTCGGACAAGCTTGTTCCAGAACGACATGGCCAGTGTAGACGACCTCACGGTAGCTGTGAACCATCGTATGGATGAGAGTGGAAGTGAGGAGTTTGAGGAAGGGGAAATCCTGGCTGCGCTCAGAGCCATGAGCGAGGCGAATCAGATCATGTTTGTGGAGGACAGTGGAGAGGTGTATACGTTGTAAAGATTGGATGGGACTTTGTCTAGATGCAGGCGACGATGACGATGACGATGCTGCTTACAGGGGTTAAAATTGATATTGTATTGTATCGGCGTCCATAGCTGGTTGAGTGAGGTGGGTAAGGTATCTGGAAGTGACAGGACATGATTTTTCTTTGATCCAGTTCAAACTCGCCGCTTCATCTATGATTGTCATACCTTATCTTGAAGACTATTGACAAGAAGATTGACAAGGCTTTTTTACGGGAGAGAACCATCCCTTGGCCCGCCATGTTCTGCCGTGCCGTGCCTGGTGGACTACATGATGACATGCAGAAATATGTATGTGATGTGATGTAGTATGTAGGTATCTATCTACTCCGTACCTACAGTTCGAACATGCGCAGGAGAAGAAATGCCAAGGATGTCCAGCCGCCAAGCCCAACCAAGGCTTGGACAAAATCGGGCCGACAACGCCCAAGTCAAAGATGAGAGGACGAGAGGATTTGACCTTGTGTTGAATTACCCAACACCTAATAGGTTAGCTAACCGTTAGGTGCTTTCCGGCGAGCAAGGGCCGAATTTTAGGGGTCGACATGCACCACTGTGTAGTCCTAGCAGGGGTGAATGCCGGTAACGTGGTTGACCTTTGCAGGCCGGGGTGTCACTGGGTTCGCTGGGGGAGCCTCGGAGCACGGAGAAAGCAGGCGATTCGAGCCTTTTGAAGCCTTTCGAGTTGTTTTTTTTCCCTCGAGGGGCAATACAAACACCAGGGGCACACACGAGGGGCCAAGTGGACATGGCGGGGGTTGGGCGGGGGAACCCTGCGACGTCCACCTTCCACAACTCCTTTGTCTTTTGCTTTGCATATTAGGCGTAGAAAAGGATCACGTGCTGGTCGCTAATTCACTAATTCTTGGGGTTCTGATGGTGGGTTGGAAAGGACTTTTGGGTCAAGCCAGCACCTGCCATCACTGCCACTGCCAGTGCCAGTGCCAGTGCACTTGCCACTAATAAATTGTCTGCCGCACTTGCACTTGCCTCTGCCCAACGAGAGATGCAACAAAGCAAAGACAAACAACACCTGACCTGACAAGACACCACCAAAGGAAGCCACAAGCCACTACCATTGCTCCTGCCTTGTCTTTACCCGCTCCACAAACCACACAAGGTCCTCGACTGACCTTGCTTGCCATGCCAGGCTCCTACAGCTTCATTCATCGATCTTGTCTCAAGTTCAATCACCAGACAACCCCATCTCTCCATAATCAACATCATCATCTTCATCATCATTGAACCGAACACGTCCAGTGGCTTGAAACTCAAAACTCACCAATGCCCACGGTGGCCCGATCATCACGGCGCTGCTGTCCCCTCGCTCCATCATGACCACCTGGATTGGCGGCGAATCAACCTCGCCACCTACAGCTCTCCAGCCTGATGTTTCGACCTCGCCAGGACCCAAGAAACAACATCGCGCATGCTTGAATTGTCGGTACGTCTTTGACTAGGCTTCTTCAAACCCGAATCGAAACTATCTCTCTAATCCACTACTCTCGTCGCACAGTCGCAAAAAGGTCCGTTGTCACGGCGAACAACCTGCGTGTAGCTTCTGTGTCCGCCTGGGTCAATCATGTCGCTACCCCGGCCAGGTCTCTGCCTCCAGACCGAGTGTCGGTGCTGAAGACTCTGGTGCAAATAAGCTCTATGTAAGTGGTTTTATCGTGCGATTTCAAACAACACAACATGTCGTTGACCACTACTCTCTACAGCCAGCCTTATTGTCCAGGATAGCTTCCATCGAGGCTGAGTTGGACGCCGTCAGGAGTGCAAGCAGGTATGCCTTGCCACCCTTTTGTCCGCGCTCCGCACTCTCTCCACTCGCTTGTGGTACCCCCTTGGGCACAAGTTCGACCCCGGTTTCTGACTTGATTGATTGCAGCGACGAAAAGCCCAGAGGTCCTTGGTCTGAGGACGCGGTTGGACCCGATGAAGCGAATGCTCCCACTTGGAATCACATGACTCTGCATTCTACTGAGAGTACTAGGTAGGGATTGAGTCTGCCCTCTGGCAGAGGCACGTCTTGAAAGGATTGCTCACACTCCTGTACAGATCGCCAGGCGCAGTTCTTCCTCCGTTGGATGTTCAACTAGCAGCCATTAACGACTTCTTCCGCTACTACCACAGCCAGCCATATTGCTTCTTTCATGAACCGACATTCCGAACCCAATTTTCCCGAGGACTACTGCCAGACTATTTGATTCTTGCAGTCCTCAGCATCGCACTTCGATACTCCAAGACCTACGACAGTACAGGCGCCATTGCGGTGGATCTTGCCGCCAGAGGCTGGTCTTTGGTAGTCGCTGCTGCTTTCAATAGCGACCAGAACCCGACCTACCGTTTAGTGCAGGCTGCGACCCTCCTGGCTTTGTTTGATTTCACCGGTAAGACTACCGCTCCTTCAAACATGTCAGGACTAACTGCGGCAGCATGTAAACATGGCACCGCCTGGATCAAAATCGGAACCGCCGTCAGCCTGGCGCAGTCACTTCAGATGACGGATGAACCCAGTATGAAGTTGGCACCCGCATCACGGGAAGAACGTCGTCGAACTCTCTGGTCCATTTATTGTCTGGACAAGATGAGCACTTGTGGCAGACGTCGCCCTGCCCTCTTTCTCGACCAACATTGCAGTCTACACCTCCCCTGCAGCGACTTTGCATTTCACGCATCCACAGAAGAAATAGTTCCAACTTTGAATCAGCTCAAGTCATCCGAAGACTTTACTTTGTACATGGTTGATTCTCCTGCCGCGACCGTGGTAGTCATCTCGGTGCTCAGTCAAATTACTGAGTACTTGCTCCAAAAACCGAAAGAAGAGATCCAGAAACCGCCGTGGGACCATACCTCTCAGTACCCGGCAATCTGTACCCAGCTGGCTCGACTGGAGACCATGTTTGAAAATAATCAATCGATTCACGAACAACTCGAAGCCACTGGATCTCTGGATGGGGCTGTATCTACCCCTCTATCGGAATCAGCCATCTTTGCATATGTCATTTACCAGCTGTGTTATTGTGTCTTGCATCACCCTATTATCCTCAGGTGCAGATTTAGTATGACACATCCGAGGATCCCGACCAGCTTTTTGGCCCGTGCGCTAGAAAGTTGCCGTTTTCACGCCACTGAACTCACCAAGACTCTGATGAATGCGAAGAAGGCCGGCTATATTCTGGGGGCCTCATTTTATGGATATTCCATGTTGGTTAGCGGCACACTGCATGCATTGTTCCAGCATTCAGACGACGCAGAAGTTGCATTGTCATCGGCACAGATGCTTCAAGCCAACCTTAAAATGCTCGAGGAAAAGGCAAAGATCTTTGCGAACTCGGTGCGCATGGTAAGTCTGCCTGTGATCCTGGGCATGACCCAAATCTGACTGATGACTTCAGGGAGTCGCATTGATGCAATTTGCCTCCGAGGCCAAAGCATATCGTTCACTCATTGATCCTTCGTGCGTGACTCTTTATTTCGCGCCAAACGAAGTCGAGCGATTGTATTCGGTCATCGATTATGGATCCATGTCCACAACACCGACGCAAAATACCGAGGACCTTGATGTAGAGGAGATGTCCGATGGGATTGGTGGCCCTTATGACACCTACCACAACATGAACGTCTCGGGGGTTGCCACCAACACGTTCTATCCTCCGGCTGACCAGTTTCCCGCCTTTATCGGAGAGCATTTCGACAATGTGTGATCACTCGTCGTCCTGACTGGTTGTTGCCAGTCAAAATTGGAGGATGAAATTGTTTGCCAAGCCAGACCGGTGCTATTGACGTCGTCCTCCATGATAAGACTCAGGAGATGTTCAGATTGATCGTTGTTCAAGCGTAGATGACGAGGCTGAAAATTCCTGTTCCGATGGAGACGATCGTTGCTCTGATGGTTCTTTTCCCTAGGCAGGATGGCGTCTGGGAATGCAGACCAATTATCCATCGACCAGTTTCTCCACGTAACGTGGAAACCACACCAGTGTCAGGCCGCCACAGGCTATTGATTTTGACGCAATATAAGCACAACGTGCTTCTATCTTGAAATGTGTGTTGTCAGACGACTCTTTGAACAAGACCAACTCTTTTCCAAAATTTTCGACCAAGACTCGGACTAGAGGATACATGATTAGGAGCAGACTGAGGTCTTTTGCGGAAGATCAAGAATTCGCTGCAGTTCTCTGGATCCTTATTTGAAGGTTCATATCTCACAGGGAGCTGCGAAAGAACATGAGGAGGATTCGTTGCCTGTTGGAAAGTCAGAAGATGTTTCCCAACATGTTCGGACAGGGCCAGAATGCCATGTCTGGAAGGGGGTGAAACTGGGGAGGTCGATACCCAGCGAAACAGCCATATGTTGAACAATCATGGACAGGCGATGTAGGAAATGTTAGAGACGTGGAGACGCTGATGATGATCTGGCTGTGGATATTATGCCTCAAAACGATCAACTTTGACAATGAGGAGGCGTTTGAAGCGTTGGATACCAGAGACGTACGGCGTACGAATTGAGTACATTCCACAATGTCATTAAGTTAGGCTGAGTACTGCAAATCTGGTATAGTCGTCAGTGTGCGGCTCATATTCGGAATCAAGAAGAAATGTCGCCAGAGCGAGAAGATAGTGGATGAATCGATTAAGTTTTGGCAACATGAGGGATATTCCACCCATGAACAGCACATCGGCATAATGTCCGAGTCTCCTGTCGTCTTCTTGAACGTCGGATTAAAGACGGTCGTTAAGAAGACCATGTGGCGCACCTTATGTTCTATCTGAGCTCTAGAAACAAAATCCACGGCCCGCGAGATCTCGGAGTGGGGACGGTGGACTTGACGAGAAGGATAACGACTGGACGGACCGACCGGGTTGTCCTTACGGATCATCATCTGGATGCTTGAATTAGAGCTAGAAGAAAGCAGTCCGCATTGGTCCATTTTGATGAGTGTGATGGCCATGATTCATGGCTGGGAGAAGTGAGGTTGATTTGGACTTTTTTTTGGGTTCTGGCTGGTTGTTATTTGGGGAAGGTGCGAGGGGTGGGAATGGATGGATGAATTGGTTATGCCTTCCCTCCCATCTTTATTTTGTTGGCGAGGCGTCGTCAGCTTTATTTTCAAGGCAGGCGCAACGAGTTGAAGATGGTGCTCATGGTAGCAGTCATTATTGCAGCTGTAAGTAGTTCGGTGGCTATTCTTGTTCAAACCATCTAGAATGCATCACGCACATATACGCTCCGTATGTACTTCCAATCCAGAGGTGACACACGCCCAAATGACGTTGGGTGGCATGGGTGGGTACGGCGGCCACGGAGCATGTCCGAGTATGCACAAGGGACGTGCTAAGGACTTTGTACCTAGACTTATACTTGCTTACCTACTCAGACGCCAAGTATCGATGAACCGAGGCTTCTCAACGTCAACTCTCATTTATTTGCAACCATGGTTCTACAAAAGTGTGAGGGGTTGAATCAAGCTTCAGTATGTGTATGAGTATACGGTGGGAATACAAGTCCATGGTGTATTACGAGTCTTCTTGTGATCGAACATGTCCATTCAGTCACGGGGATCATGAGCCTCACGTCTGAGTCTGAGTCTGATTCATGATATTCTTACCTTTGATGATTCCAAGTACTGACAAACCATTCCCTTGACTCCTCCATACGAGTCCTTCCTATCCATCGCCCATCTTCTACCGATCCATCTTTTCCTTCTCACCATGTCCATCCCCAATCTCCCCCTAAAATTCGTCGCTGTATCCCCCATCCAAAATGGCGTCTTCCTCATTACGCTCAACAAACCCCAAACCGGCAACTCCATGCACCCGCGACTGACCCAAGACCTCCTCACCTCACTCCAATGGGCCGACCAACAATCCTCCATCCGCGTCATCGTCGTCACCGGCGCCGGCAAATTCTTCTGCACTGGAATGGAACTCGTCGAACGAGGCCCCATGGCATTCGGCCCCGACTCTACATTCCGCGCATTAAACCGCCTGTTGATCCTGACAGACAAAATCCTCATTGCTGCCGTCAACGGTCCTGCCGTTGGCTACGGAGTCACTAGTCTCGGACTATTTGATCTTGTCTATTCCGTCCCCGACGCTTATTTCTTCACTCCCTTCGTGAAGTGGGGCATGACAACGGAAGGTTGTTCGAGTATCACGTTTCCGAGGATGATGGGCCATCAAAAGGCGGCGTTGCTGTGTTTAGCGGGAGATAGGATTGATGCGAATGAGGCGAGTGGGCTGGGGTTGGTGAGTAAAGTTTTACCGAACGATGGGTTTTTGAATTCAGTGTTGGGAATTGCGAACAATGTGGCAAAGTCGTCGCCGGGGTCTTTGGCTACGACCAAGAGGTTGATGAAGACAATGAGTGTGCAGGATTTGCTCGATGCTAATGATCGTGAGTGTGAAGCTTTTGAAAAAGAGAGGATTCCAAGTGGGGATCTGGAATTGGCGATTAAGACGTTTGCAGAAGAGCAGAAAGAGAAACAAAAAGCGAAATCGAAGTTGTAAGCGACATGGTATCGTGAGCTGAGCGAAGGTTCATAATAAGCGAGCGACACAGTATATATGGAGATGCTCACCGAAAGATACAACGCAAAAGACTTCTTCAGGACCAGACCTCATCTCGTCAATTGTCCTTGTCCGATTTTTACCTTCCTCTCTTCACCTGTGATTAACACCTTCTTACCATGAGATGTCCATGAATCTGGAATCAACAATTCACATGTCGTCCAAGAGAACCCTGGTCCATCCAACTAGCAACTAGCAACTAGCAACTAGCAACTAGCGGTGACATGAAATCGAATCCTTCACAACCAGTCAGTATCACAGTCATGATTATGAAACAAAGACATGTTCCCACCGTGTCATGCACTGATATGACTCTCACTGGAGGTTTCAACCTCTGACTCTTCATCAAAGGAAGAAAGGCATATAGGACCATCGTTGCGACCTAGTTGCTGAGTTCTTCACACAGCTCATCATCAACAATCTCATCCGTGAAATCGTCATCAACACGCCCATCCGTGGACTGACCGAGAACTCATCCATCCATATGTCGATCAGGTTCTGATCAACGTCATTACATTCCTGCGTTGAGACTCCGCGTTGTCGATGAAGGGAGGATGCGAGCGTGCCGCCATCCAACATGTTTGCAACTTGATTGTTGGGTTCTTCATATGCTCATCATCGAATCTGTCTCACTTGTCGAACAGACGGAAACCCATCCATCCACATGCCGTCTCGGCCGCAACATCGTCAACGTCGGCTCGAGTCAATGTCAACGGCGTACATGCTGTATGTCTCCTGATGTCTTCTGGAGGTCGCCGATACAGTGAGAATCCATCGAAAAGAGAACGGAGGCCCACCGGATGGTTCGATCTTCGTCTGCTCATCGTTAGCCTCATCGGTCGACATTAAGCCAACACCAACGAATTGTTCTCTCCGTTCCTCCCAGGTTTCTTCTGAAGATCGCCCGATAGAGCGAGAAGCCGATGAAGGGACAACTGAAACCCATCAGTCTCACCTTTGTCAAAAGTGACTTCACAATCGCCATGATGATGGACATCGTCAACGATTCGTCGTTTGAGTTCCTCCCAGAGTCATCCTCAATGCCGCCCGATAAAGCGAGAACCCGACAAAGGTTAACAGAACCATGAAGACCTTGACACAAAGAAAAACCAGTTAGTTGACCGATACCAACGGCGTCTGTCTGTCTGACTTCCAACTCACAAACTCAAACGTGGGTTTGACATCAAACAACAAAGGCGGCGATGGACAACAGCCCGCTCCGCTCACGGCCCCTGTCGCAGTGGCATGAAAGCAATCTGTGGAGAAGAGACAAAGGCGGGTCCGCAGCAGAGATATAATGCCTGGTGTTGACTGCGGTGACTCCGCTTGCCTGCGCTACTGCGATGTGACACATAAAGTGGAATAAAGAATATGTGTAACAGCAACCCAAGACAGCCTTGCGGCATAATTCTCAGCCTGATAATAAACATGGCTTGCGACAATACAACACAAGATAAGTGCACATGTTCAACAAGAGAAGAATCTCTTCTATGGCGAACAGAAGCGAATTCACATGATGCTATTAGGCATGACGATGAACAGGATTTCTGTTCATGTGGAATGACAAGACTACTTTCACTTTTGCAATTTTCTTTTTGGATGACACTGACATTGTGGATCTCTTTACCCAAGCCTTACGGGCTGTCAGATCCGTTCAATCTGTTGGAGGTCCTCTCGTTTTCCTCCTTGCTCAACTCTCTCTCTCTCGATAGGAGCAATCCTTTCAAGGATGTCCAGGGCCATACAAGTCTTCTCCTTCAGCAACCTTTGCACCCTGCTTCACCACAGGGAGAGCCCCCTTCAATCGACCAGAGGTTCGTGCCTCGGCCACATCCTCTGACTCCCTTCCTGCCTCCATGGCCTCGATGTCGTTTGCGGTCAAGATGATCGCCTGGTGGCTCATCCGATCGGCAAAGCTGTCCGCTGACTCTCCAGGTCGAAAGGTGCCTCCAGCCAACAAACGGTCTCGGTAGACGTGAAACAGGTTGCCGTCGTACTCGGCATCGCCTGTGGCGTCCATGTTCCACGCCTGCCTCAACAGATCACATCTCGCCGCGAGCTCCTGCAACATGGAGGCCTCCACCGTCACCGCCTGCGTCTCTCGGGTCAATATACTGAACCAGAGGTCTCCAACGAAGTTTCGACAGATCATGTTGAAAACCCGCCCGAGCACCCCCTCCAGTCGAGAGCTTGCTTGCTCCAGACTCTCGCAGGGTTCCACGTCGAAAACCACCTGTACAGGAGACTGGACCTCCCGGCCCACAAGGCCATCTCCTTCTTCCTGACCCTCGTCCTCCTTTGTCCCATCGACCTGTGCCTCCGCTTTCTTGCGGGGTTGCCGCTTATGGCCCGTCACCTCGAAGTAGATATGGTCTTGTTCTCGACCAATCCCATGTTGGAGGAAGTTCCACGGCCTCCCTTTCTGTCTCTTGGCTCGGGCGTCTTGTGGGAGCGCGTTATAAATTCGCGGAGCATCCCAACCCTCTGCCACAAAAACTCGGAGCATCTGACCCCAGACGTGGTTGGCATATCGCTTTGCGATCTCGTCCAACGTCAGGTGCGCAGGGAGCACTGTGTCTCCTGCTGGATAGTTAGGATACACCGACTTGCCGATACGTGCCCGATCAACGATCAGTGGCCACTTTGTTCGGGGCTCGGTTTCGTCCCCAAACAGCGCCATCAGATCGCTCCCAGAACCAGCCCCGAGCGGAATTCGACGAGGGGTTCGGGGTAGAACGGTCCCCGCTGGATATCTAGTGTGGACCCCAGACTTGGTGATCGATGGCCGATGGTGTTGTGACCCACCCAGTGACGGGAAGGCCACGGTTCCACCTTGGCTCTGGTCACTTGCTCTTGCAATAGGCTGAGTCACCTCAGCAGCAGTATCTTGCTGAGGCACACCAGCACCCAAACCCAGGCTTGGATAAGCAACTGGCCCTGGGCCGACCATAGCCTGGTCGCCATTCATCATTCCGGGATCCACCCTAGCTTCGGCGGTGTCGAACCAGCTAAAGTCAATCGGGAATTGACTGTCGTCGACTAAATATCGGACGCCAAAGTCCTCGTTGTAAGGAAGAGGAACGCTGTGACCTGCGTCATTATCGGGTGTCTGAGTGGCATAGTTGTAAGTGCCATTGGTCATGAAGGGATTCCATTCCAGTCCCTGGTAGGTGTCAGTTGAAGATCGAAGTGGATTGGGCTCAGGTGTCAGGGGCTCCCATACCTCAACGTCACTTGGCATCATCTCATCAAGAGGCGGATATACTGATTCTCGAAGGTGGTCGTCGTTGTTGACGCCACCTCCGTTGTGCTCGGCGGCCTCGTATTGAGGCTCCACCACCCAAGCAGGACTATCTTGTCTTTGTCTCTGCTCGGGTGCTTCACTGATTCGTGAAGCAAGCTCTGGGTTCTCAGTGAATGCCAGCATGTCTTGTTCTCTCAAGACTCGCTTTGCCGACATTTTAACTGAAGGAGAGGATGTAGAGGAGGAACAAGAATTGAGAGAGGTGAAGGTAAGCTTGAGAGAGAGAGAGAGTGAGATCGCTGACTCAAGGTGATGGTGGTGTTGATCTGTATGATCTGTCGAAGGTCAGCTTTCTTCTTCTCGATGAACTTGTGGGAGAGAAAGGAGACAACAAGAAGTTCGATGGAGAAGAATCTTACTTATATGATGACCGTTCTTGTTGTCTTGTCGAGAGGAAGTTGGAACGATGATGACGGTGATATTGAATAAAAAGGAGGGAAAGATGGATGGAAGGCTCTGTTCCAGGAATATTTATAGGCTGTGTGTCTGAAGCCTGGAAGTTGAGAGCGAACGGCCAGGTCAGTCAGAATCAAAGAAGGTCCGGTCACAATGCCTTCTGATCACGAGGAAGCCGCTCACAGGTCAATCCTCAATCACCCAGGAATGAACGCGCCTTGTCTGGTCTATGACCGAAGGAAGGAGTATACAGAGAATGGTTTGAAGGATAAAGAGGAAAGAAACGGATATATTGAGAGTTTCTCTTCTGGTTTGTTCCTGGTTTTCTACTCGGTTTGTTGTGGCTTTGGGCTTTGCTCTTTGCCTCTGGCACAATGGATCTGATAGTGAAGACGCGTCGCTCTATCAGCCGAAGAAATCCCGGTCTGTTCAATTACAGCAGCCTACAGGTTCAGTCTACAGTTACGATCATCTTGAACAGACGGAAGAACAGGTTCTTCCGATGCTTTTACAGTCAGAGGTGATCCCAGGTTCTTTCTCGTGACTGTTTGCTGAGTCTTTCGTGAAGATGGAAGAAGAAAGAAGACTGGACCAAGAGAGGGACAATGACTGAAGGATCAGAGACAAAGCGGCAGAATGGCATCTCGAAGTCGATCTGATAAATCCTATAAGAAGAGACATGCTGCTGCTGCTTCTTCTTCTTCTTCTTGAATCAGGTTGCTTGCAATCCTCAAGCTCTCTATTGGGCGGGATTGTGGGTGATGCCTGAATTCTGAGGACCCACTTTGTTGATCTGCTTCTGATTCTTTTTCAATTGCCACCTTCTTCTTGTTCTCTCTCTCTCTCTCCCACCTCTTCATCCTCTTTCTCTTTAACCTTTTTTCTCTTCCTCTTCCTCCCCTCTCCCTATCTCACTCTCCGTCGAGATCTTTCCCTTCCTTCCTTCCTTCCTCCTCATCTCCTCTCATCCTCGACCTCATCCTCCTCTCCCACGTCCTCATTGACTTGACTCCGTCTTGTCTTGATCTCGTTTGATCAAGACAAGACGGAGTCATGTCAATGTCTCATCATGGTGACAATTGTCAGTGCCTAGCATGATGATGAGGTAAGTGAGTCACTCGGTCGAACAAGACTGTCAATATTCCCTTCGTTTGACATCTCATACTAACAGATTAACCTCAGTATAAATAAAATTAGCGAACGCCCGGGGTGTCTTACCCCCATCAAGGAGATTCTCATCTCAGGGTTCTAGCCCTCCTGGGGCTCTGCTCTTCGTGGCCAAGTATACATGTTCCTAGCTCTATGGCCCATTACAACATGCTAACAGCGTACTACCCGATAGTCTAGGGCCCCTTCTTCCTAACGAAGGGATTCCAACCCGACGCTGATTCATGGCACTGGCGCAAGCAGCGCCATGTATTCGGCGTGTCAACCAGCTCCATGACCCAAACAATGCCCAGGGTCTTTACCCTCCAGATGCTCTGCTCTTTGTTGCCAAGTATATACCATCCTAACTCAATGGACTACGACTATATACTGACAAGTTACCAGTTTGTCTACCCAGCGCTCTATTGAGCAACTGCAAGAGGCATGCGAAGGTGTCTTTGGATCCTATTGTCCTTGCCATACGAAGGTCAAACACGACAAGAATGGGCATCCTTACGCCTTTGTCCAATTCCATGTACGATTTCTTACCCCCCTCCAGCGATACCAGAATTACCTAACGAAGAAAACAGAACATCAACGATGCCCACGTAGCCGTCGAAGGCTCTAAGGACTTATCGCTAAGTGGTCGTAAGATCCGAATCGAGTTTGCTAAAGCAGAGCGTGAGTACCTTTCCTCCATAGAAGAGAACTGTCTTGTACACTGGCTGATCTAACTAGGTGCTGTGATTCTTTCCCGTATCGACGGGTATGCCATCTCAATGAATGAAGCAATGAAAGCTCTGGAGGTTTACGGCGCCATTGAAGCCTGTAAGCCTAGCAGCCTAGGATGGCAGACGATATAAACTTTATCGGGCAAGGAATTACGGAGGATTGCAGAATGGTGGTTTATTATTTACAGGGCTTGTTGGTCATTGACCTTCCACAGTCCAAACACTGTCACTGACAGTACACTTGGGAATATTCGTCGGGCGGAAAAGATCACACTCAGACCTTTTCCACCGGGGTTGCTAGCTGGGACTGATCAAAAACCGAGAAAGGGTACGCCTGGTAGACACCGAGGGCTCTGGTTGTAATCTCCAGAATCAGGAAACAAAGTTTTAATCACAATCGTAGAGCATAGTCTCTTTCTTTCTTTGCCATCGACCAATGACTGTAGCTGTAGCTTGCAACCCTGCCCTCAAGTTTGTTGGGCAACCTCTTGAGAGACAACTACCACCCAGATGCGTAGAAAACGACGTGCTGATACTGATCATTACTCAAAAGAATGACTTGAAGTCTCAAAACAACCATGATGACTCAGAATCAGACTCGGCCAGTAGATGCGATGAAATTAATCATCGATCATCTCATACCCTCACCAACACCCAAATCTACTGATTCCTTGGTTCAACAGTGAAAAGTCACATTCAGAACTTTGGAAATCCAGATCGGCATCTTTTACCATGAATATTGTGTCTATAACCTCTTCCTTTTGAGGGTACCAACTGATCTACCGTCTACCGTCTGGTGGGCGAGATATGACATCCAACGACATCCATTTGAGCCCTCTGAGAGCCTCGAGGAATCTGGTGTACTGTCTTGACCGGGATAGACAGGAGAGGGAGGGAGGAAACTAGTATCAGCTCACATGCTGGTCCACTTTTTTCGCTTACTTGAATTCGCTGCTCTACCACCCTGCGCTGGACGCAATGTAGTGGGGCAGCAGGCGAGACAAATAGCATGTGTACAAAGTAAAGCTGTAGCTTGCAAAAAGACTCAAATGGCTTGAATTTTCTTCGAATATGTGGTGGACACGAATGATATTGAAGTTCCAAGGTAAGTAGACCACTCGAGTGGTGTGGTGGTGTTGGCTCAGCCTGCGCTGACCTTTTCTGAGGAGAGAAAGGATGTTGGGCCAGCACAACCACCACCCGCCACACCACCACACTCCTTCAAATCTATATTTCCTGATCCCCCCCATCTTCAAAGCTATGAGCTGAGGGTTTGGCTAAGCATAAAACTTGACTTTCTTCATCAAGACCCAAGAATGAGAACGACGAAACTCAACCCACTTTTCAGAGATCGATAAAACCATCGAAATCTCTGCAAACCCTCCTCCTGACTGTAACCCACTCCCTGTTTCACAACAACGATATCCCCACCGAACTTGACATGCCCATCTGTCCAGAATATCCTTACACGAGGTGGAATAGGTCCCAAATCGGGGATACATCCTGAATTTGCGGATTGCTTACACTACTCAACCGAGTGGAAAGTGGCGCCGAACGCGAAAGTAACGTCAAGGTAAACAAAACCAACCTTATTTCAGTCCACATATTAACAGAAGCTCATCGTATATACCCGAATTGAGAAATCATCCCAGCAATTTCCCCAAGGGATTCGAGGAGCCCGCTCCAAAGATACAAAGTCATCCTTTGGGAGTCCCCACGATTGGAAACTCTCAGCGACAACTCCTCGAAGGGTTCAATCAGATCAAGTTCGATAGAGACATCGTGAGCAGAAGAAAATAATTGGATAAACGAGGACAATTGAAGTTCTTTCAAAGGAGAAAATATTTGGTTTGAGTCTTCCATTCAATCACATGGATTGGCTCGAGTGTCTGCGCCGGTTGCTTTGATGGGGTTGGGGCCATAAGAGGACCATACTCCCTCCCTGGCTCCACTGTTTGTGCAGGATGTTATGAGGGAGTCGGTGGCATTCCTAGCATCACTGGCCGCCGTGTGTGCCGGATGCTATGGAGGGGTTGGGGGCACAAGATGGTCACCAAAATCCCACGCTGGATTGACAGTCTTGTGCAGGATATCATGAGGAAGAGGGAGATACAGGGGGATCAAACCCCGTCACTGGCTCATGTTCACTATTAGGTCAAGTTATCTGGTCTAGCTATTCGGAGAGGCGCTGGAGCTACAGGGAAAGACCACTTTTGCCAACCAAGTACTAACCACCCACTGTTACATATCACCCCAACTTCCAAGCTCCGATGCACTCTCCAGGAGATCCCACTTCAGGATTGTCACCCGCTCCTCGCTCCTCGCCACTATCAAGTTCTCTCAGTCACTTCTTTACGGAAAAGAAGTATACTCTGCCACAACACAAGCTCTCTAAGAGCGCTTTCGCGCCAGTCGGTTTGCTAGCCAGGTAAGGTCCCCGACTGGAAGATTCACAGGGAATGCAACCGAGGCCAAGATTTGCACCGCCAACAAATACCAGCACAGGATGCAGACGACAAAGCCACATGCCCCGGCCGCAGTCATGAGATTCGTCGCTGCGATCCCCTCGGCAGCCTTGAAAAACACCCCCGAGAGGCACCCTAGCATAGGGACCAAAAGTAGGAACGTCAACATAAGCACCAAGTTGGTTTTCAGGGAGGCAATAAAGTAGATAAAGCAGAGTAAGCCCATATAAAGCGGGAAATATGCGAATGTCGCATTGAAAGTGGGGTTTGTAAGTGCTGTCTCTGGTGATTGTGGTTGATAAGCCGCGGCAGCATTGTAGAATGGAGTCAACGTGGCTCCGAATGACAGCCAGAAAGCTCCAAAGGATCCGAAGACTGCAAATTGGAAGGTGTGTCCAAGGAAGAACTCGAGGAAGGACGCAATAATCATGAGAAGGCCACCGAAGAAATAGAAGACACCGCTAGAAGAAGGTCAGTCTCTGGCTTCTTGCATGGTAAATGAACGATCAGGACTTACACTTCAGCGGCTCCTAGGCCGCCGGCACCACGCCACCCCATCAAAGCATTTGTTACGGGCGTGAGGGACATCAGAAACCCAAGTAAGGCCCTTGATTATTCGTCAGTATACATTGCCAATATTCACCCGAAGCAGGGGGTATATCATACATTGGCATTGGATTTCCCAGAGCAGCCTGAACACCGGCGACCGGATTGAGCTCCATCTCGATGTGTTTAGATTGGGTCTCGGCAGGCACTTGATCTTCGAACTTGTGTTGTTCCACGTTCTCTATATCGGATAACGAGCTCTGGCCGTTGGGACCCATTGGACGTGTGGAAGCCTAGAGTTCGTGTGTGTGGGAGAAGGGGAAGGGAAAGACAGACAACTGGATTACTAGATGTAGATAGTGGAAACCACTGATTTATTGACAAGACGCTTTACTCAAGTCTTGTAAACCGCACAGGGGCTTGGGAATAGTCGGACGATGTTTATATATTCTTCCATCTATTCAATGGGCTTGGTGCCACATTCGTAGTCTGAGTGGAATTGGCCCGGAAGCAGAGCCCAGATACAAGCGAACAGGAGAAACTCAATACAAATTATTGCTGTCAAACCCCAGCTATTACGGGGCGATGGATCTCCTGGATGAAGATCCCTGGCATCAACAATGACGGGGGCTTTCTGGGGCTCCGCATTCAACTCCTAGCCTTTCGAACTAGCGACAGATAGAGTCATTCCCTCGGGCCGTCTGGAGGGGGTTGGCTTGTTTCGGTCAACTGGAAGAGAATTGTCAAAAGATGGCTTGATCTGAGCTGGTTACACATAACAAAGAACTCAGTTCAAGGCTACGGAGAGCGAATGGGGCAGGCATGAGGACCACTAAGAGCTCGCTCCACTAGGAGCACATGATTGGATCGAACGCGCTAAGGATAGCGTTTTAACTCCTTTTCAATGCTGTAGCACTCTGGAGCGGCTCCGCCATGAGGCTCGCAGCTCACAAGCCCTGTCTTTTTGTACTGTAGTCGACAGCAGGGAGATTTCGGTGTATGATTTACAGTAAGACTCGAAGTAGAGGATACTTGATAAACTATGTACGTGTACCTTGATAGAAATGGACAGTAAGGTCAACTAGGCGTGATGTGTGACTTGAAGATACAATCACTGCCGCAGTGATGTATGCCAACATAGAAATAGAAGCTTCAGAGAAGACAATCCAAGAACATCATAGTGTTCTAGATAGACACAACCTCCCTGGTGTTAACGGCCGGATTGTGGTCTCAGCAAGCTCAGTGGACGACAGGCTATTCGATACCTTGTTGCTCAAAGTTAGAGGTGAAAAATCCAAACCATTGCCGTATTGTGATATTTCTAACCTTTCTTTGATAGGCATCGTTCTCATATCTCATAGCGAAGAGGCATCCATCGAAGACCTCATCACGCTGACCGATGTTAAATCTCTGGCACACTTTGAAAAAGACGCAGAAACTGGCGATAGCGTTGCGAACTTTCACTTCGACCTCCCTATTGATGCTCCAAAGCTATTTGGCGGAACTAGATACCTTCCACAGTCAGGCGCAACCAAAGGCCACGCTTCCCAAAGCCCAAGTCCTGGTTGCCTCGGTAGTCCGAGGATAGTCGAAGGACTCTGTGAGGTTTTGTACTGGATAGATGCAGAGTTTCGACTCAGGGGACAAACTGTTGGCTGTCTCTCAAAGCACCTCGAAGTCTCGAACCTCTACCCAGGGTTCCAAATCACATTCCAGCAACCAATTCATCTTCCCCTCAAAGAATCAGGTGGACTTTTTCAGAAACCCAGCCATGAGATAGAGGTGAACCTTTCGTTGGTTCTTCAGCAAGGAGAGCCACCCCAAAAGGCCCAAGATGAGGCACATGGTGGTTCAAATGGGTCTCTTCAATTATGTCTTGCGATGAACGCCCAAAGCGTTTCCGAAAGGCGTCTACCTTGGAACACTAGACAGTCGTTGAAATGCTACATCGACTACAAATGGGAAACGAAGTTCTCTTTTGCAACTGGCAGGGATCAAATGGAAACGAAAACGAACCTCGACTGTAAGCCGCTTGTCTTCCGTTCGAGGTCACAAACATCAACCAAGCGTTGCGGTGTCTACCTCCGGCCTGAGGTGGTGCACTCTTCATCTCACTATTAC